ATACCAAGCGCCAGATCTAGCGCGAGTGATCGTCTCAAGATCATTTTAATGCTTGCTTACTGAGAGACCGAAGGGCCCGCAGACACGTCAAGTAGCAGAGACCAAGAGAAAGGACCGAGAAAACGAGGAAGGGAAAACCTGCCCTACGAAGGGGAAAACCCTCCAACATCTCATCTAGTCCTGCACATAGGCAAGCATCTGGATGACGAACCTCCATCACTTTTTTCTCCCTCAGGTAGCAACGCAACCTCCATGCTGATGTCTATGAGGTTGAGTTTTGACGGTCAAGTTAAACGTTGTCTCTCTTCAGGTGCTCTGCAAGCTTCCCTGCAAGCTTCCATCAATTCACCAGTAAAATAGAAGCCTCGGTTTTGATATTGGGGTCTTGTAAGAGTAGATGGAGCTATCGGAGTATCGTGGGTGAAGGTCTCAACTAAGTACCAGTCCAGTCAGGGTCTTTCTTTAAGCCTGATAGCACCGAGCGAGGCAATTCTTGGGGTTAAAAATGGGGATTCGCGTGCGCTTTGTGCTCTTCTCGAGAAACGAATGTGTAGTGTGACTGCGCTATGACTCGAAAGACTGTCAGCTTGAATCACAGATTGTGCATCACCATCAAAGCTTGAACAATTTCGAACATATGTTGTTCCGTTTTATTTGCTTCCTCTCCCTAGGTATCATCCAGCTGGAGTTCATGACTTGGCTCAAGTTGTCTTCAAGAAGGCGTCCTGAATCTGATTGCCCATGACAAATTCGTGAAATTGTCGGGAGGCAAAAATGGGTGCAGTGAAAGATCGGTCAGATCGTCAAAGATACTAAGCCACCTGATGATATCTGAACCGGTTCCTTGCTTGCGAAGGGTCGCACTCATATGATCCGATTTCAAGTGAAAAAGACAATATGATGCTCGGCTTCTCCGCCAAAAAAAAACCTTTGAATACAGATGCCGGCCTGTGAGGGGAGTCGTCTGATCTACCTGCAGACTTCCAACATTGTAAGCTAGGCCAACGTAGAAGAGAAGAAGAGAAGAAGAGAAGAAGAGAAGAAGAGAAGAAGAGAAGAAGAGAAAGGAGCAATTGACTTGGCGAGCGGCGAGGAAGCCTGACCAGACCCCCAGAAGATAGAGAGAAGAAGAGGAAGACTTACCAGAGACAGCAGGGGAAAGAAATCACATGACTGCTGGGTCTGTAGGTACATGAACGGAGGCAATCTCCGCCAACAAGTCTCGACGATGAGAAAATTTCAGCCCAAATGCTGGACGACACGTATTCATCGAACAAGCAAAACCGAGAATAGCTGGAATGAGAGATTTTGTCATGCAACCATGGCCTGAAAATGTGTGTTTTGGTCAGATTCATATGATGTTGAGCAGAATTTTGCCCGGACCACAGCGTCAATACTACTGCCAGGAAATGAATTCTGACAAAAATCGACCACTCAAGATTGTTGAATACTCAGAGAGGTCCTTGCGAGAATTATCCTTACTGTAGACAGGCCACCAACGTACCGTCTGTTCACTGATATCAATAGACCGGTACATGTCGTGCTATGATGGAGATTCGCCTCCTGCCCTTCAGATGGCTTCCTGCTACTTGATAGGTTGCTACCCAGAACCAACAGGCATGCGCTGGTGTCTGATAGGCAAAGCTTCCAGTACATTCATGAATTCATCCCTTCCCCTACTCTGACAGACTGCAGTTCACTTTTGCTCCGTAAATAATGTCTCAGGGCAGACTTGACACGGTGCATTCCCTGCACTCAGACTAGCAATCACGCCCACGGCCAAGTTGGCATGGGAATTTTCCTGGATGTTTATCTAGAAAAGAACACGGACACATGTACCACCCCGTCTTAGAACGCAAGGTATCAACTGTTTACCGATGAGGCCCAGCATACCACATAAACTGCAAAGAAGGACTTGAGGAAATTTGAACCCATAGAGTCATGGAACTGTCATACTGCTTGTTTGGTGATCTCGAAGTTGTATCCCTCCACTCGCATGGGAAGTCTTGCTTCAACAGGCTGAAGAGGTCGTCGGAAAAGGGGCCGAGAGGTCAATGGACCGACCCGTGGTCAGAAACAATCGTAGTGATCTGGTATCAGTCCTACTTTTCTATCTTGCAACAGATGATCCCAGTCGAATTCGAGGAATTGGTATACCCGAGCTCTTCCGCTTCTTGCAAAATCATTCACACTGACTCGTTCACACTCACGGAGACCTGCACTATGCTCACATTGAGACCGGAAGTCATTCGAAACTACCATGCTTCGACCGATCAGGTCATCCGGTCCAGGGAATTGGCCACTGTACGCTAGTGCTTTGGTCATTTGGCCCCTCAGAGCAGTGGCAACTTCTATTGACTCGAATCAAGTCCTTCGCGGCGAAGCGATATGCGAAGGCGAGCTTGATAGGTCCGCGCGTTTGCTAGTGCGCACCTCATCCATGTCCAGTAACCGCAAGGACAGTCAGTCGTGGCAAGCGGGTGGCACACTACTAGACCGACTCAACAGTCAACAGACTCAACACACCCTTGACCAGAACCGGAAAGGGCAAAAGGCTGGGTAAATCATCTCCGATTTGGCAAAGGAATGGCCCTTATGCCAAGCCATCGGGTTGCGCATCGACCATCGATATTCCATGGAGAAGCTCCTGTCAGAGGACTCTTCGAATTGTCTTTCCCAAAAGAAGAGACTCTCATCTTTGACATGGATGTCTTGTGCTACCTGTTTAGAGCTGAAGCCCAATGGGCTGCTCTGACTCGAGCAGAATAGGAAGCGACTGTGCGCATGGGCACTTCATCATTTAGCCGGCGGCACCCATGCCCAGAGATCCAATGAATTCGAGATTAACGAGGTATTGACTGTAGCGAGTTGCTGTGATATCATCAGCTGATTGAATCAAACCTCGAGTACCGCATGTGAGGAGCAATCTGGTCGGAGGGTTGATCGCCCATTTCGATTGTTGCTCATGCGAGAACCGTCAGGCCCCATTCGGCCTGGGAAGATGAGGAGGGGACTTGACCCGGCCGGCGTCTTCGGCCACGATGCTATTTAGGTGCATGGTTACCGACGAATCCACTTGTGTGCAGGAGACCCTCTAGTGCGTAAGCTTCCTTCCTGACAGGATAATTTCTCTTCCAAGAATCACATTTCTCACTGCAGCGAGTATTTTCGCCTCGTACTTTACCCATTGATTAGCAGGAACAGCCAGCTTCGTAAGTGGGAACAGTCGGACGAACACCCTTCAACCAAAGGCTGTAGTAGGATGGATCTTCCCCATTGCTTTGCTTGAACATGGGTCTGGTGATTTGCCAGGTGAATCAAGTACACAAAAGCGGGCCCTTTGATCTCAATTCCGTTAGAGGGTCCAGCCTTGTAGACGTGTGCCGAACATGGAATGTTTGCGACCCATGGCCCACTTGCGTGAAATAGCGACGCGATACCGTGCTCCAGGCAGAGATCCTTGAAACTCGAGAGATGCTCCAGGGGAGGCAAATCTGGCTTGTCAAATTTGGAGGCAAAGTCGGCTTCGATGCCTATGCCTGGACTGCGGCCTGGTGAGTTTGTGATTTTGGGAGGCGAAAGCAATCGGTTCTCGAGACGTCCAGGCTTGGTCTCTCCCCATCACGTGCACGTCCTGCTGCCAAAAGGGCCAACACTTTAGCAAGTCATAGCACCAATCACCACTTGTGAACCTTGATCTTGGTGCAAGCCCCTTCCCTCGGCAGTTGCAAATGTCAATCACAGATCGCGAAAGCAACACCGATCACTACACGAAAGCTCGCCGCGAGGGAGTCACGAGCTATGTCAAGAGATGACCCGATCCGCAAGGCTAGACCGAGACAGACCGTAAAAATTGGGTGAACCGCGAAGCCGGCCTTCAACCGGTCGGCTCAGTGGCACAGACACGTACGAACGAGATGCTGACCGATACAGCTCTCATTTCTCAGAGTCCCGAGGACGCCCGAATGGGTTGCTCCAGTCATCCGCTCTACAGGTCTCCTATGAACAAATCAATTTTACGATTGCTCCAATCGTTCAAGTGGCCGCAGACTTGCGGAGTCCAGACTGGCTGGTCGGCTGGATGAATACTCTCTGCCACTCTGGGGTCAGACAGCGGGGAGGTCTCACGAGCGGCACGATGCCCTAAGAAGACTAATCAACGACACTATGGGGTTCAACTTGCCCAATCATGCTTCGCGTGCTTGAATCCGGGGCAATTATCAGACAACCTGGGGGAAGAAAGCCTTCAGCTTCAGGGATCAGTGGAGCTGTTCAGTGGAGAAGTTGTCCACGCCCTCAATGGCCAGCCCCTTCCCCCATATCCCGATGCAGACGTCGGCCCTGGGCTCCTTTCCCGAAACGCTTTAGGGTCGCTTGCGGCCAACGCTCGCAAGTCCTGATCCATCCCCCGCCGTGAAAAAGGTCCAATCATGGTCGCGGGGTGTATGCCGCAACGTTTCCCCTTGAGGTGATGTACGGCTCTCACTCCGAATCCTCAAGCTTCGCTCCCTGGCCTCCGTGACCCTCGTGACGAGCGAGCGCCATATGCGAATATACATTTTCTGTTGGTCGCCTTGGTTGTTCCGTGGAGAGAGCCTGCATTTAGCCTCAATCCCGGTTTAGCTTTGTCTCAGACGGGGTCATGCCGCCATAGCTTTCCCTCAGGTGGTGGAAGCCTTGCCATGCAGTATACGGCAAAGCTTGATGGAGTCTGGTTCTTGGGACTCCGCAACTTGATCGCAGGCCTGGGGTCTGGGGGACCGCGAGCCCTGACAGGCCAGAGGATCTCGCAATTTATCCTATTTTGCCGCTAAGAGAGACTGGTCTGTCAGTGGCAATGTAGTCTGCCTCGCTTATTCAAATAGTCGCCGGTCGCCAGCAAGTGTTAGAGAATTCTTTCTCTGAGGACCGCGCCCTTGGTTGCATTTTGACCGCAGCCCCGTCCCCGTCCTATCTCGTGCACTTCGCCCCAAGAGAGAAGACGCAACAGATCGACAACAATGGGAAAGGATACCTTTACTCTCGCCGGCCGCGAGTGGCCTCGTGTCACTTGGTGGAAGATGAAGGGCATGCGTAGTGTCTATCTGACTCTATGGGCTGCCATGATTACCTCCGCTACCAACGGTCAGTTGTTTGTCTAGGCCATGTCTCCCAATGGAACAAAACACTGACTATCGGGACAGGTTACGATGGATCGCTGATGAACGGTCTTCAGTCGATGGATTCCTGGAACGAATGTAAGTGGCTCTTCCTTTCAACCATCGTGGAGGATGGTGTGAAGCTAATGAGATTCATATCATAGCCTACAACTACCCTACAGGTAGCACTTTGGGTATTCTTGCTTGCTCCATGTCAATTGGTTCCCTTATTTCGATTCCAGTGGTGCCATACGTCGCCGATCTTCTTGGACGACGTGCTGGTGTGGTCGTGGGATGCGTGATCATGCTTTTCGGTGTCGCCATGGTCTCCATTGGCTATAAGATTGCCTTATTCGTCGTTGGTCGAATGATTCTCGGCTTCGGTCTCGGAATTGCTCAGGTGAGTCCCGAAACTCAGGAATGTCTTTAAAGCCCTCTCACTCACCGGACTAGGAATGCTCTCCTCTTCTCGTCACTGAGTTGGTGCACCCCCAGCACCGTGCGATCTACTCGTCCATCTACAACAGTTTGTGGTATATTGGATCCCTCATTGGAGCTTGTGTTGCTCTGGGTAAGTTGGGGACTATTATTCCAGATCAATTGATTACGTACTGATCTGGCGTGTCTCTGAATAGGAACCAATCACATTGGTGGCAGCGCATGGTCGTGGCGTGTCCCTTGTCTTCTCCAGGCTGTCCCGTCTTTGTGTCAGCTGGTCTTCATCTGGTAAGTGGCAGAGAGACTCGCATTACCCATGACTCGCACACGCACTGACACCATGATTGAAGGACCGTCCCTGAGTCGCCGCGTTGGCTCATCTCCAAGGGACAATTGGAGAAGGCAAAGAAGATCTTGGCCGATGTGCATGCGCAGGGTGATCTCGATGATGAACTGATCAACATTGAATTTGACGAGATCCAACAAACAATTCAATTGGAGAACGAGTACGAGGGCAACAGCTGGCTCGAGTTCTTTGCTACCCCGGGTAACCGTCATCGTACGATCATTCTGGTCACCATTGGCTTCTTCTCCCAGTGGTCTGGAAATGGAATTATCTCCTACTTCCTCCCTCAGGTAAGCACTCGACTTAATTCTCAAGCATCTGGTGAACATTTCCGCTGACATGATTAGGTCCTGAAAATGATTGGCATTGGTGACTCTAACACCCAGCTCACCATCAATTTGATCTTGAGCGCAGTGAACGTCGTCTCCGCTACCGGAATTTGCTTCTTCGTCGATTACTTTGGTCGTCGTAAGCTGTTCCTGACATCCAGTTTCAGCATGCTCGCGTGCTACGTCGCCATGACCATTGCCCTGGCTCGCTTCCTCATTGCAAAGGAAGGTGGCGTGAAGGACAACAGTGCGGCGAACACCGTCATCGCCTTCATGTTCCTCTTCTACATTGCCTACAACATCGGTTACAGTGGTCTCCTAGTCTCATATTCCTCTGAGATTTTGCCATACCGTCTCCGCGCCAAGGGTCTCACCATCATGTTCTTCTGCGTTGACCTCAGTCTCTGGTTCAACCAATACGTGAACCCCGTTGCCTTGGACGCCATCGCATGGAAGTACTACATTGTCTACGATCTCTTCCTGGTCTTCGAGATCTTCATCGTCTGGAAGTTCTACGTCGAGACCAAGGAAATTCCTCTGGAGGAGATCGTCAGGAAATTCGATGGCGAGCGAGCCGTTCTTGGCGGTGCTCTGGCTACCGAGAAGGTTCAGGCGCTTTCTGGCACCGTCGGCCGGTCTGCAAGCGCCGACGGTGGTGAGAAGGCGACCATTACTCAGCATGAGCTTTGAGAGATGCGATCACCGTATCCTTTGCGGCAGCCTTGTCATGGTTGGAAAAGCCGTGTGATTTCATGTTCTATCTAGTACGAGGATCAGAGTTACGATGCTTACAATTTAATGTCCTTCTTTTTGACTCAAGTATCTCAATTGTCCTCGTCATTGGAGTGTAGCAACCCCGCCTCCCCCCATGGTAAATTGGGTTAATACTTCAGCCTTCTTCTCTTCAAAATCTTTAGCCTACATACTCTGCTGGCCTGCCTTGGGCTGAAGCGACCCTATTGAATCAACTGACTTGGTATCAAGAAGTCACCATACTCTACAACGCGCACCATCGGGGTTGAAGAGGAAAATTCTGGGCGCTGCAGAGCTTGACTCCTCTCCCTATGGACATCAGGCTCAGTATTTCTTCTGGAGTTCACATTCCCAGTCGCACAGGTATTGCTTTACTAACTTTGCATCAAGGATCCAGAACCGAACCGAACCGAACCGAACCGATAGCAGGACGCACATCGAATGCGATGACCCCAACCCACAAGAATATGATCACCCTTTGGGAGTCGTTCGACATTGCATCCTGTCATCAAAGTACTTGTGGAACCCTACCCCAGCCCCATTGAGTCCTGGTAAAAAAAAGATTGACTCTGTGATTTTGATTTCCTTTTCTGCTTCAATCGCCTATCCTCGTCTTACATCCTGAAGGGAAGTTGGCTTTTTGGGCATCTGACTACCACCTTTGATTCTCCTGATTTAGATTGCAAGATTCCTGCATTGGAAGAGGAGAAGACCCACACAGGAGACTTACGAACTTTCGGAGTCGCTGATCCTTTCCTGCGTCAATTATCAAAAAGTTCTGATGATCCTTGGGCCAACACAGTCCATTATCCGAGCCAGTGAAGTGATTTCAAAGTGGCGAAGCCACGAGCTCATGTAGACATCCTGCGGTGTAATTGATAATCCCAGATGAATCAAGCGTGCTATGAGGGTACGCAGACATGGCATTGGCGAGCCCATCGCACGAAACAAATCTGTGGCATCGCTATTCAATGAAAGATCAAACTGAATCCCTGCTCCCTGGGCTCACCTTCGAGCTGGTTTCTTCCCAAATGGTGCACAAAGTTTTGCCCCCGATAGAGCTTCGATCTAGATTTGAGCATCGACCCCAAACCGGCAGATGGATATGGCCGGTAATTCATCGAGTCCCCTGATCGGTTCGATTTACCATGAGAGATCATCGATCGAATTTGAGAGCCTACTGCCAGATGGTGGAGGTTGAATGTTTGTCACAGCTCGGATCATTCAGGCTCTTTAGGAGACCCTTTACGGCTGTGCACAGACGAGAGGCTAGACCTAGCAAAAGTTTGCCATTGAGTCCACGAACCCTGACAAAGCACGTTCGCAGTCTGGAAGAACCTGCTAGATAAACGGGACTCGCAATATCCCAGACCCCACAAGAGTCAAAAACATAGTTCCCGAGCCGCGGTTGATTGAAAAGTGGCTTTCTGCAGCTAAATTGCGCTTAGTCCTCCTCTCTTTCTGTGTATAAGCCATCTCCGTTTTAAGCGGAAAAAGGGCTAGTGTCTCACAACTTAGCCGCTTCGTCTCTATTTCCCCGCGTTTTGGTATAGCCTAATGGCTGAATGATTCTACCATTGACCTGGCAAAGGTGTTCTCAGGGGACTCACATCCAGAAAAGGCCAATAGGAGTAAGCGTAACCGGTGTTGACGGCAAGGATTATGGAAAGAAGACATGCGGGGAATGTATGCCCAAAAAGCTTGTTTGGGATTGTTTAAATAGCCTCCTCAAATTCATCGAAGAAGAGTGTCTTGAGCATTCGAAACATTCAAAGTTCTTTGATTGTACTTTAGAGCAACCTTGTTCAATCCACGATGCGTTCGACCATTATGATTGCGGCCTTGCTGGCCGGGCTTTCTCAGGCTGCACCACATCCACCCCAAAGCCACAGCGAAAAGGTGGATCTCAACAAACTCGCGCAGCGTCGTGAAATGCACTGGTTTGGTACCGCCGCCGATATTCCCAATACGGCCGAGACCACCGATGCTGCCTATCTGAAGGTCTTGAGAAAGAACTTTGGCGAAGTTACTCCCGCAAACGCAATGAAGGTATGGAGACGCAACCCCGATTTACAATTTCCAGGGTGATTTTACACAGGCAACGCTTATATGAAGGTGACTTGCTGACACTCACAATCATAGTTCATGTACACCGAACCAGAACAGAACGTGTTCAACTTCACGGCCGGCGATGAGTTCCTAGAGATAGCTGGACGTCACGGCGCACAAATTCGCTGCCACAACCTTGTCTGGGCCAGCCAGTTGTCTGATTTCGTGACTTCGAAAACGTGGACCAAGGAAGCTCTCACCTCGGTGATGAAGAACCACATCTACAAGACGGTCCAACACTTTGGCAAGCGCTGTTACTCATGGGATGTGGTCAACGAGGCCATCAACGGCGACGGGTCTTTCTCCTCTAGCGTCTGGTACAACACCATTGGCGAGGATTACTTCTATCTTGCGTTCAAGTTTGCCCAGGACGCGCTGGCCGAGATTGGAGCCCACGATGTGAAGCTGTACTACAATGATTACGGCATTGAGAACCAGGGTGTCAAGTCATCAACGGTTCTCCAGCTTGTCAAGAATCTTCGAAGCCGGGGCATTCGCATTGATGGTGTTGGTCTTGAATCGCATTTCATCGTTGGCGAGACTCCCTCGTTGGCGGATCAGGTCGCCACCAAGCGAGCCTATATCGAGGCTGGTCTGGAGGTTGCCATCACCGAGCTTGACATTCGATTTGCGCAAGTACCCTACTATACTCCCGCTGTGCAGAAACAGCAGGCTCAGGACTACTACACAAGCGTCGAAAGTTGCTTGAATGTTGGCCCGCGCTGCATCGGTGTTGTTGTATGGGACTTTGACGATGCATACTCTTGGGTGCCGGGAACGTTTGCTGGCCAAGGTGGCGCGTGTTTGTTCAACAATACTCTCGAGGCGAAGCCTGCGTTTTTCGCTGTAGCTGAAGCTCTTGAAGGGAAGCCTTGCACTGTCTGCTGACCGCGACTGTCCTGCTGAACGTCTCGGGTGGATAGCTAGAAACGGTATATACCTAGCCGCCCAAAACCATTGTTTCAACAATAATCCCCCCCAACTGTCTCATACTCCTCGTAGTGTTAGTTGTTATTGATTCTACTTGGGGTAACTCCCGTCTTAGTGTAAAGGTGACAGCTACTAGCTGAAAAGAGGTACCCAGCCATGGGTATAGTTGCCGATTGAATAGCTTCTCCGCTTGATCTTGGGACTCTCTTACCGAGTCGTAGAAAGTATGAGCCCGACAAAAACTGTGGAGAACCCTACAGGACTCGGTAGGTATCTCGAAAATGCCCGTTCTGCTAGTCAATTTCAAAGAAAACCTCCCATATAGCGACCTAATGCCATCAGACCTGAATATTGAGAAGTAGATGAATGGCTTGGAAAGCTCTTTGCAGGCAGGCGTTCGTAAAGAGGATACTCCAGCCCAGTACTAGTCAAACAATTCTCTCGTCAAACCAAAGGAGCGAAAAAAGGCGAGCTTCTGCAGGTGGTCCTTTTCTCTCCCGGATACCATGTACTGGTCAATGGTCAATAGGAATAACGCTCAGACATCCGATAACCACAATCAAGAGTCTCTCAGGTTCATGAATTTGGTCTGACGTGCTGATGCAATTTCAGGCCCAACATTTTTTCCTTACCAACCCATCTCTCGAATTGTGATATTACGAACGGCAAACATTTTCACTGACTGTATTTCAGTCCGGAGAAATTGACAAAAGAATCAAGGGTTATGTGTCCGTGAACATAAATGTAGTAATGTAGCGCCTTGCAAACTTGCCCCACCTTCCAATGTCTTTCGAGTGGGATTCTCGTTCGAGGAATCTGCATCGTACATTTAGGCCCCCAACGCACTGCATTCTTATGCTCTAAAGGAGGGAAATGATTGGCTTGCTTTTGTCAGCCAAGAGCGCCCTAGTCGTGGATGGGTTAGTTGTGCTGGATTGCATGTTAGGGTAGCGACTGAAATGGATCATCACAACGGCTATAGCAGGGTTTCATGTATCTCCATGCGAAGAAGTACGTCAAGAATGGCAGCGAAAGACTAACAAAGCGTTTTCCCCTCTTCACTTCTAGGTAAGGTCGATGCAGGGATAGAAACAAATTGGGTCATCTGCAATGACAGCAAGACTTGTATGGCTGAATCTATCTCCGGGCACAGTGTGGAAGGATGAGAGTATCATGTTCCAGTGGATTAGCCAATGCACCCGGTCTGAATGAGTAGCCCACTAGGTTTCCTTGGGGCGATCCAGAAGAATAGAATCGTTCATTGGCGACAACAGAGAACCACCTCATCCGCTCGTGTCAATGGATCAGAGCGTGCTGAGTCGGACACATTGTGGAGCATCCATTCCAAATTGTAGATATAAAAAGGGCATGATCCCCCCCGGCTTTTGCTGTTTACAATCAGATCAGTCTGTGGATCAACGAAGGTCTTCCATTCCATCTTTTGACTCACCTTTTTCGAGAAGTCTTTCCAAATGCACTTTCTATTGTCAATGACGTTGGTTGCTGCCCTGAGCACGGCCCAAACCTTCAATGTTTACGGTCAGAGGAACTATCTCATCGGATGGACCGTGACTCCCCATTGCAATGCTTGATGGATACTCATCTCAGTATAGATCTCTTAACGACCCCAGAAGAGATCGCCGCCTACGAGGACGTCCTCTCACGCGCTGCAGCAGCAGAAGCTTCGGATAATAAGCTCGCTAAACGCTGCTGCGATTTCCTCAGTCCATGTTGTGATATCGATTCCTGTTGTAAAAGCAGAGACACTTGCTACGTGGATTATTGTGGCTTATCGAATCCAGCAGGAGCTGCGTGCGCTCTTGGTAAATGATTCACCCACTTTAAAGCTCCCATGGAATGCTGGGACGTGAAAGCTGATCTTGTCTTCCTGATTTCAGGTTGTCTTACTGCTTGTCCTAGCAGTAAGCAGTGCTCGTGACGAGGTTGGGCAGACGTACTGTAATGAAGTCTTGGAAAGGAGGCGATCGTTGCGGAAGATGAGAGGCCGAGTGTGTGCTACCTACGCGCTTGGGAGGTCATGTGCCTTCCCGCTGGCAATTAGGGCATCCGTATGGATGTAGATTTGAACTCTATATCAAACCTAACACGAAGACTTCCGGTCGAGACATGAACATCAATAGGTACCAGACGTGCAAGGATCTAATCTAAATTATGGCGGGCTGCAGCCTGTTGGGTTATCAATAATGATTTCAAGCTTGTGTGATGTCTTTCGCAACCTATCTAAGAGCTACCCGGTTGAAGGAGCTTGAACTGTTTCTGATCACAGCAGGTCATCTTCAGTAGAGCCCGTCCCCATCATCCATGTCAGTTACCTGATATATACTACCTCTACATATGTGCTCTGACTAAACATGTATTAACCTGCTCCACGTAGTTGTACAAGCTATGTGTTCCAATCATCATGAGTCAGAGATATTCGGGAGGCAGTTGATGTATGCTCCTTATGAGATGGTCATCAAACAAGTGTAAAGCTGCACTACATAAATTCAATGGAGCAACCTGAGACTTCTCATCTACTATATGTATTCGTTGTATTACTCTCGAGATCCTTGACGGTCGTCAGCGACTTCTTTTGATCTTCATGGATATCTCCCGCCCGAGACGGGACCCGATGGAATGGCAAGATGTTCTTGCAAAAGAGCATGAGATATCTCACTAGGGACATCATGTGAATATCATGGTGCATTAGTATCATGCGGTTTCCTTCATGTTCAACTGGTTTCTGGTCAAATGAATGGAAGTTAAGGCTTTCTTTGTGCCACATCTACTATAGGAACTATTAGGGTCTTTCATGCCGGGCGTGACGGTACGCAATTCAGGCAGAGCATCTTTCAGTTTCGCTTGGACCTCACTACAGTCTGCACTCTGGAGGCGTGAGAGGTTGTCCAGTTGGAGCTTGTCAGTATTGCAATTGCACAACGTAGATAGTAGACACTAGACACAAGACAGAACGAGCCAGCCTGTGGGTAGGTCCAAGTGCGGTAAAATATGGAAGGCAGCTTCAGATTTGCTCTTGCCGAGCTGGCGAACAGCATCAACGCAAAACACTTCTATGAGGCCTTAAGAGAATTGTCTCCGCGGTTAATTTCAAGGTAGGGGGGCCTCTCATCAGCCTCCAAATCGGCTGTGTGTTTTGCAAATTGTCATCTGCAAAACTCATAGAAGTGGCGCCGCCCGGCCCGAAATAAAATGGGTCTCACATGTCGAGGCTCCCGTCCATCACGGTCTCGGTTGCTGCGTAAAGTCATCATCAGGTCGGAGAACAGTCTGGTCAAATGAAGTCAATTGACCATCCCAGCCATGCGCCGATAAGAATTCTCCTGTGAGGCCACTCTGATACTCAGGTCATTGTAAGCACGATCAAAACTCACGATGATGATACGGGTGCAGACAGCCGCGACGCAATGAAGTCATCGTGCTCCGCGGGCGGTGAGATGCCTCCAAAATTTGAAATCCAGGACGGCTCTAGTCCTAGTCGAGAGGCGCTTTACCTAATTGGGATGTTCTGCTGTGTCGTGACTGCCGGACAGCCACACCGATTCGCCCAAAACAGTATTCTTATCAAAGCACAGCTGCAACGAAACTGATCCATTGCACCCCATTGATTGGTTCCAAGGCTTCCAGAGCTTCGAAAAGAGCCCAAAAAGAAAAGAAATCATATTTTTTTTTCCCATAGAAAATCCAGACTCCCGTTTGGGATGTGCGCCCTTGAAAGATCACTTTCGAGATTTTCTGGATTTTCACACCTGGTCAAGGCGTTCGGGTCACCTCATCTGGCAAGGCCCGTTATTATCATTCAACCTGGAGCATTGAGACACCTCTCTCTCTTTTCCCTTCTCTCCTCATACACTGCTGTCCCCCAGCTTCTGTACCCGCCTTGTTCCCCAGTCCCAGTCCCAGTCCCTCTGGCCGAGGCGCCCTATCCATGACGACCTCCATCATGGCTGGCTCCGCACTGGCGATGCGTGCGATGGCATCACCATCCAGCTTGTCGCTGGCTGCGATGTCACGCCGCACCTTCGCCACTGCATCGCAGACCCTCCGTACTAGCCCTCTGCGTCCCAACGGCCTGCAATCCATTTCTCGCGCCGCTCGTCGCGGTTATGCTGATGCCGCTGCGCCCGCTTCCGGGCCGGCTCCCAAGCCCAAGAAGCGTTTCCGGGTCCTGCGCTGGGCCTGGCGTTTGACCTGGCTGAGTGCCCTCGCTGTCACCGGCTCTTTGGCTTATAGCATCTACGAATTGCGTCACCCGGAGGAGCAGTATGAGGCTGATCCGAATAAGAAGACCCTGGTCATCCTTGGTATGTCGGAGTTGAGAATGACCGACCCTCCAGGAAATTGGCCTGTCCAGCCGGGAAAGATGTGGAAGCGATGCACTAACAGATGTTTGTCAACTAATTAGGTACTGGCTGGGGCTCCGTCTCCCTCTTGAAGAAATTGGATACTGAAAACTACAACGTCATCGTCATCTCTCCCCGCAACTACTTCCTGTTCACTCCCCTGCTGCCCTCTTGCACTACTGGTCTGATCGAGCACCGTTCCATCATGGAGCCTATCCGCAACATTCTCCGCCAGAAGAAAGCTACCGTCAAATTCTACGAAGCCGAAGCCACCAAGGTCGACTACGAGAAGCGCGTCGTTCTGATCAGCGACGACTCCGAGATCAAGGGTGATATCTCTCACACGGAGGTTCCTTTCGATATGCTAGTGATCGGTGTTGGTGCCGAAAACGCGACTTTTGGTAGGTTCCACTCTTCAAGGCCTCTGCCCAGTGACCGATTGAGGTGGGTGTTTGTATGTATGGGGAAGACAAGGCTGACATCGAGCTTCTAGGTATCCCTGGTGTTCGTGAGCACTCGTGCTTCCTGAAGGAAGTTACCGATGCCCAGAACATTCGTAAGCGCATTATGGATTGTGTCGAGACCGCCATGTTCAAGGATCAGACCGAGGAGGAGGTCAAGCGTCTCCTGCACATGGTTGTCGTCGGTGGTGGCCCTACCGGTGTCGAATTCGCCGGTGAACTCAAGGATTTCTTCAACGAGGATCTCAAGAAGTGGATCCCCGAGATCCAAGACAACTTCCACGTCACTCTCGTCGAGGCTCTCCCCAACGTTTTGCCCATGTTCTCCAAGCAACTGATCGAGTATACCGAGTCTACTTTCAAGGAGGAGGAGATCACCATTCGTACCAAGACTATGGTCAAGAAGGTCACCGACAAATACATTGAGGCTGAGGTCACCAACCCCGACGGCAGCAAGACTCTGGAGACTATCCCCTACGGACTTTTGGTTTGGGCCACTGGTAACGCGGTGCGCCCCGTGGTTCGCGATCTGATGGGCCAGATTCCCGCTCAGAAGGATTCGCGCCGCGGTCTCGCAGTCAACGAATACTTGGTCGTGAATGGCACTGAGAACATCTGGGCCGTCGGTGACTGCGCCATTGCCAACTACGCCCCTACTGCCCAGGTTGCCGGTCAGGAAGGTGCTTTCCTGGCCCGCCTCTTCAACACCATGGCCAAGACCGATACTCTTGAGAAGGAGCTTCAGGCCCTGTCTCACGAGCAGTCCTTGGCGAAGACCGATGAGGACCGCAACCGTGTCTTCGACGAGATCCGTGAGCGCCAGAAGCAGCTCCGCCGCACCAAGCAGATTGGCCCCTTCCAGTACTCCCACCAGGGCAGTCTCGCTTACATTGGTAAGGAGCGTGCCGTTGCCGATATCAGCTGGCTGAGCGGCAACATTGCCAGTGGTGGTACTCTGACCTACCTATTCTGGCGTAGCGCCTACCTGAGCATGTGTTTCAGCTGTGAGTTTGTTCCTGTTTCCCAATTGCGAGATGCTGTCATGGGCCCTGACTAATTTGACCCTTCTCCCATCTGGCTAGCCCGCAACCGTGTCCTGGTCGCTCTCGACTGGATCAAGGCCCGTGTCTTCGGCCGTGACGTTTCCCGCGAGTAAACAATGCTTCCGCATGTCATCTGTTCAGGTTGTCTGAAACCCGTCTACGTGATTGGCTTCTCGACACCGGAATAAAGATGTGTCACCCCTGCTTGTGCCGCTGAGCTTACTTGGCGTGCGCTCTTCTTGTGCAATTACACCTTTCCCCCGCCCTTATTATTTTCTTTTTTTTTACTGTCCTGTGATAGATATATCCATTACCGTGTTCCTGTTTTGGGTGTCCTCCCCATTGTCTTTTCATTTACCTGCTCCCGCCTTGTACAACTGCATGCATTGATCGTGTGACACGTCCTGAGGGACACATGGTCATGCCGGTGGCAGGTGAGTTAAAAATGTTGATGAGCCGGCTGTACTTTATAAGCCCGAAGCTGTTTGTTTTCTCTTTGTTTGTCTGAGGTTGTAAGCTATGGATGGGTATAGATAGACCTATATGACGAGGTTTAACCGTGTGACTTGTCACTCTCTTTGCCCGTTCACCTGTCTACTTTCCCACGCCTCCTAGCCGAATTATTTCAATCTACTACACTAATCATATTGAAGTCTCGAGCGATCAGTAGATGAGCAAGGGCGGTAAAATTGATTCGGTAGTCGTGATGTGGTGGTCACATGCGCACCTGATACCTATCCACTCTAGATATTTCGGCATATACATCGTTCAGGGAATTGCCTCCAGCTTGAACTGAATGTGTTGACCTCAGGGAATTTGACTGATTGACTGATCATTCCAGACAAAACTAGAATTTAAGCCGTGCTAGAACATTCCGGGCCTATGATCCCATGAGTCTCCTGTAATCCTTTGAAAGCCCACCTGCAGATCTTTGCATTTCACCAACGTGAAGACGACTCTAGGTAGGTATCGGGCTACGGCCTGTTGTGATCTTGTGGTGACAGCACCCCCACCATCCATGTATATTGGCTGGCTTTTGATAAAACCTTTGACCGGACGACTTGTGTTGGGTTGTAATATTCTGGGCAATATTAGATATGTTTGGTCCGTACGCTTCATTGATATCATCCCATGTCGAATTGAACAATGACAGCTTTATCGATCTTCCGGAGATGTTCAACGATACCTTACCAAGGAAAAGCTTACTAAAGACAAACAGGCCCGTGCCAATGCTGGTGCGATGGCTCGAGTATGTCAGTCTGATATGACCTATTTATGGAAGAAGGAAGTTACTGTTGCTAACGACTGTCAAGAATGAGAGGACGTAGATTCTGTTGCACCCCGTCGGCGTCGCTATACTCGAACGTTCATGCTGTAAGCTGGGTGGACAATCAGCAACGAATCTGCAACCCCCTGCATGCAAGGCAAGCCATGCCACGACTTCTGACTAGCACATTTCGTGATAGAGCTTATATCCGAATCCGGATATGGACAGGTTTCGCCGTGACTGCTCACTCCGACATTCAGTAGGCAGAATACCCATTGAATCATCTGTTCTATTGAGTCTTCGTCATGTTGGTCAAGGAGTCTTCTCGGTCATGAGGTACAAGACTCCAAGACCAGACACCCTGATGGTGTTGAAACTGTTCATACTTCATCTCCCGATAGTTGGCGCATGTTCATTATTGGGCAACATAGATTGGGAGCGACGTCTGGCTCGGTTCACTCAAACTCAGCGATTGTTTCAGCTGATACTACCGCTATATTGCGCAAAATCAACAATCCAGTTATGTACCTTCATCATCCTTGTTTGCCATTGGGGGAATTTCCGTTTTATGCCGGAGGAAGCAAACGTTTCGAGGGATATTCTGCCGTGTACGCTTTCCTCGTTACCTCTGTAGACGATTGTTCTTCTCTCGCAAACTTACTCATCCCTCTTCTTTTTTTCCCCTTCCTCTCAATCACTCTCACCAAGACCCTCATCAGGTATCAAGGCTTTCTGTGCTACGCTTCACGTGGTCCTCATATGATGGAGTCGGACAAGCACAAGCCGTCTGGGGAGGATCAGCCATCTGGAGAGGACAAGCAATCCAAGGAGGCCAAGGCTACCAATGAAGACTACGATGTTATTCGTAACTATCTGAGTCCCCGTTCGAGCATCTTTCAGGACTTGATTGAAACCCAGGACAAGGTATGCAGCAGAAAATCCTTTCCACCTTGTTCTTTACTTACCATATTTTATAGGTCAAGAATGATCCCGCCGCCGACGAACACTTCAAAAGACTGAAAGAAAGCATCATGAAGGTCTCGCAAGATAAACAGCTCGGCTTTTTCAAAATGGGCGCTCGCATTTGCAGTGAGATGCAGCAAAAGGAGGATATCATCCCCCGGCCTCAGAGAACGGTTCAGCTGAAAGCTTTCGATATCTGCATGGCTCCAGGTGCTTTCTCACACGTGATCCTCAATGTCAATCGATTCGCGGAGATTCGAGCTCTGACGCTGCCAAAGCAAGACGGCGGACATGAGCTTCTTCTCCCAAACTGGCAAACCGACAGGAGATTCAAGGTCCATTTCCTGGATGTCACCATGCTCCCCGCTGCTATGGGATTCCCCGACCTCATCCCCACCGACCACCCTCAAGCTGTTAAATTCTCCAATGAATTCCACTACAAGAACGAAACCTTCGACATCGTCTTCTGTGACGGTGCGGTTTTGCATACCCACGATCGTGGCCAGGAAACACCCGGCGAGGCCGTTCGTCTCTCAAGTGCTCAACTCGTGCTCGGCCTCCAGAACCTCAAGTCTGCCGGCACGTTCGTCATTCTGCTGCACCAGGCATACTCCCCCACTCCGTTCGACTCATTGCCACGTTCAAGAAGTTCGCCCGCGTCTCGCTGTTCAAGCCCACCGTCAGCCACAGAAACCGTAGCTCATTCTACCTGATCGCCAAGAACGTTGAGACCACCAGCCCGGAGGCCAAAAAGTTCCTTCGGAGTCACCGACTCAAGTGGCTGCGTAAGACGGTCGAAAGCTTTGATTTGAAAATGCCTGACATCGAGCCCCAGGAAGAAGAGGAGCCGATGGAGTCGATCATTTCCGCCATTGGCGATGAACTTATTCGACTTGCTGAACCTCTTTGGAAGATTCAAATTTTAGCCATGAAGCAGTTGTTCCTCAAGCCAAAGCCCACCCAGGAGGAGTGACTTGAAAATTGAGCTACGCTTCGTCGTCCATTGGTAACGCACACGAGGTATGTGTGTCGACTTGTTACATCTTGCGAAGTTTTGTCGTGTTAGGCCTGGGTTGAACATCAGTCATATCAAGATGTTTTGGAATATCTGTCGTTTGCATGTTTAGATATTGAGTGAATCAAAGTGTCAGATTTCCATGTAATGTGACAAGGTCAGATTTTCCTATGATTATGTAGTAGTATGCGTCGAGTTGATCAGTAACTGCGTGTCTTGATCATGTAGGATAAGATATACGGACGTTTACTCACCGAAACTTTGAAAACTGGCCTTTTAATATGGTTTGCAACGAATGCTGCTTGCCTACTCCCTTATAAATGAAGGATGGGCGTGAGAATCGTGAAAATTCCGGTCCATATTTGAGGTTTACCTACTGCAAGATGTTGAAGATTGAAAAGTTATCTAGCTAGATTGATAAGCACTGCCGTCCGTACCGGCTTCCAAGTTAGGTATCACTTTGCAAAAATCACTAATTCAACACCATTGGAATGCAGTATATGTATGTACATAATTCTTTCTTGGACATTGCGTTCGCCCCACGTTGAGCAGTGTGCCGTACAAATAATCAGGAAATTTGGGGTTATTATAATTTGCCAGAAGCTATACAAGGTATCAAAATAGACGGAGGGGAGGTATCAAACAGTAATATTATTTTCCAAACATCCAGCAACCAATCAATGGTGTTCCTTAGAAGATGTTCCATCGGCTGCGGGAATCTTTTGCAGCATGCGCACGATCCGGTTTCCGATGCATACTTCGACCATCTAATTGGCGAATGCTTTCGATCTTTTGTAAGGCCAGTTCAAGAAGCTCCTTCTTGCGGATAATGTCGAGATGACGGCGGACCCGCGGGTCTTCTCGTGCGAAGCGCTCAATCTCTTCGTCGGAAAGATGTCGTCCGAGTCGCGCGTCGAGTTCGCGGGGGAAGTTATAGTAGAATTCAGAAAGCAGTTCAACGTTGAGGAAGAGCACTGCTGTTGACGTAAGCTTGTCGGCAACCACGTCCAGGAAGATCTCCGGGCAGTAGTATTTGTTTTTTTGCGTAGCACATTGCTTGGACCGGACAGCCAGGAGCCTCATCTTGATGAGATCAGCTCTGTCACGAAGGAAGACCCCCTCTCGACCTGATCGATCAAAAGTTAGCCGCTTCGTATGAGTATCCAACGGGGAATATCTGCTACTTACCCTTTGCTAGCAAGTCGGCACTGAAGCCGCCAGCACCACCGGCGCCATTGCCTTCCAGCACGATGTCCCCCTTGAGAACTTTATCAATAAAGGACATAACGTCCTTCAACTTTCGCTTTCCAATCTGCTCCTGCATGTGCTTGGTGGCCGATTCACAAGCGCGCAGTTCTTCTTTCAAAACCTTGCTCACGTTCTCGCGTCCCTTGATCCACTCGGAGTCTTCAACCTCAATTTCGAACTTGTAAGGTTTGATACAATTCTCGACTTGGTCGCTTGTGCTAAAGAAGCGGTCGTTCAAGATGCTATTGCAGGCATCTGTGATCTCCTTGTGAGCGCCTGGATGTGAGGCAAATGTGGAAGCGGAGAGAAGTTGGTCCACGTGGCTTTGAAGAGCATTTGCGACCACAGTCGTAGCAAGTCTGCCGATGCCGAGTTTGGTCAAAGTGGAACTGGAGGCGTCGAGTTTTCGATGCCAGTACAGTGAATCGGGATCAGCCTTGGGCAAGTCTTTAAGCGGGTCCATCTCCAAGGGCTTGGAAGCCAGATCTTCAATGGGCTTGTTCCAGTAACGCTGGGCCAGAATGTCCATGACCCGCTGGTCAAGCTCCGCTTTTAGCATTTCGCGAACTTGTGGCCGGCCAAAAGACTCAGCAAAGGCCTTGAAGGAGTGCTTGAAGCTGTCCAAGCTCTCTGCAAGGTACGACTCTGCGCTGAGAGGCCGGTCATTGTACTGCACTTTGAACTCATACGTAGCCTCCTCAAGCTCTTGACTAATGGCATCCCGGGTTCCGGAAAGACTGGAGGCCATGGTTTGTTCCAGCACATTCATCAACTTCTTCCGTAGGGTACTGACACCAACAGAAGTATCAGAATGAGTACCGAATTCGTTAGGATGAGCTGAGAAATAAGCTTTCTCGTTCTTGAGAATAGCACTTGTGATGTTTCCAGAGCCGCGGGAGAAAAGAGCGCTGGTTTGAGGAATCCGACTGACGACACCCACGTATCCCAGGCGGAGAGGATACTTTTTGTCGGTAAGAACGTCGTGACCACGATCGGGAGAGACGAGGTCCATCTTTGTAATAACGCCAATGGTTCGCTCACCGCGAGGATCGACCCGACGGCTGGATCGAAGCGCTGTGGAATTTGCCAGGTCGACGTCGGCTGCCGAGATGGCCAGAATGATGTTGGGAGATTGAATGTATTTGTCACATAGATCGGCGATTTTCTGCTTCAGCTCTGGGGGCTGGTCGTGGCCTGCTACCTGAATATAGCCCGGAAGATCGATCATAGACAAATCGGGAACGTTGGGAGAGTAAATGGTTAACTGGATTGGGTCGTCCGAAACGCAGTCTTTCTCAGGCACGGCGAGGTTCAGATCGGTCAGCGTTCGTTGGATTGATGTAAAATCGGTGATCTTCCCGAGGCCCAGGGCCGGAAATTCACCGTACTCGGCCTGTGCGTTGGGTGTGTTGACCAGAGTGAGCTCGATCGGTCGGCGTGTGACCATATTTGAACCCTTTGGCAGAAATTCATGGCCCACAATCGCCTCCAAAACCGAGCTCTTGCCTGACGACTGGGAGCCGATGACCACGATCGAGGGCAGAGTCAGGGTTCCGGACTGGCCGACAGATTGAAGAATGTTTCGAATTTCGATCATTTTGCGCGTAAGAATCATCATCTGATCGTCCTCCAAGATCTCTTTGTCGCTACGTGAATCCTCCTCACTGGACTGGTCATAACCAAAAGCTGCACCAGTTGCCGCCGCCGCTGCAACTGCTCGACCTTCTTGTGGCTCTTTGCCCCCACCACCTCCTGAGCCTTCTCTTTTCGACTTTGACTCTTCGTCAAGGCGAAGTATCTTCTGTAACCACTCTGGAAGGTCCACATCTTCGGTTGTCTTGTTCCATCCACGTTGTGTCTGCTCGGCCATTTCCTGTAGTCCCGAAAAGAGTCCCGTTGCAGTGTTCCCTGCCGCCTCGCCGAAGACCTTGATCGTGTCTATCGCATAGTTTCCGGCCTCTGTAATCAAAGTCAGTTACTCCAAGCTGCCGTAATAAATATATGGACTTAAAACGCACGAGTTGCTTGGTATTGAAGGTACGCCACTCCTGCAATTGTAGCTCCTCCAAACATTGCCGGTAGACGGACCAGCTTGAGCGCAAGCTTTGGAAGCATTCGCGCGAACGAGATAGATCGCACCGCCGGCACATTATTGTGTATCCCGTTCGCTCCGATGGGCCATGTTCGTCCCCTCAAAGCGGCGCTGCCGTTTGCTCTCAGAAGACCCCCGGTCCGAGCACCTGCATTGTGTAGATGACGTGCGAGACCAGTCCGCACGAGCGGAACAAGTCGGTGGGAGAGAATCCTCCCACTCATGGCTATTGCTGGATCGCATGTACGGAAATAGTTGACACAGGAAGTCAAGAAGCAACAATCACAGAGCCGGTGACATCAACGTGACCTGCATAAGTGGCCGCTTAGGCTCCCGTAGCCCTCTATCACGTGTCTCTAAATGACGTACTGGTCGGGCGACTTGAGGTGTCTAGGGAAGGGGGAAATAGGCGATCAAGTCTGAAGATTCTTGAGGGTGACAGTTCTAGCTGTCCATCAAGCCCTGACCATCGTCAAGGATTCATTCCTGCTCTGAAGCGCGGAAGTTTTGCAGAAGAAGCATCATTTGCTGCCCGACAATCGGTGACTCTTCACCGACAACCTCCCGACAAACCAGTGACTAACTTGACTGTCCTTCCAAGCAACGATATTGAGTCTGTCCCTCAATCGCTGTCGTTAGTCGAACGCCATTCACGGAGTCATAAGTCATCTTTGGGCGACAATATAATTTTCTCGTTCCGCCATATCTTTTTGCAGTATTACTCTCTAGTCCTTACTCCTCAGACATGTGCCGGTTTCTTGTAAGTGCTACATCAACAGATAGTGAATCATCCCTGACAATTTACGAACAGATCTACAAAGGCAGGAATGAGATTCGTCTCAGCAAGCTTGTGACCGAACCCAGTCATTCAATTCTTACACAATCCTATGATTCGCGACTCAGATTAGTAGGTGCAATCGCTCACTGCCAGGCGCCATCACCGAGATCGGCCTCCTTAGCTAATTTTCTTGATAGGACAATCGTCGACCAGTAAATGGTGATGGTTTTGGCGTTGGATTCTATACCGACCCGAAATTGGGGCCGGAGCCTTGTATATTCACATCAACTCTTCCGGCCTGGAATTGCGAGAATCTTGAGCGTCTCGCGTCTAAGACATGTTCGAATCTGATCTTTGCGCATGTTCGGGCCACGACTGAGGGCGCCCTAGCCGACAATAACTGCCATCCGTTCCAGCACAACACGCTCATGTGGATGCACAATGGCGGTATCGGGGGCTGGAACTATATCAAGCGCACTCTGGCAGAGTCCCTGGCTGATAAGTGGTACCTTGGAGTGAAGGGCGGTACTGATAGTGAGTGGGCATTTGCGCTCTTTCTGCATCTCCTTGAACAGGAAGGGGTCAATCCGAGCTCTGATCCAGGGCCAGAAGGGTTTGGACCGGCGTTACTCCGTCGTGTCATGATGAAGACCATTGCCAAAATCAATGAGATGGTGCGTGAAATTCCAGCGAAGCACAATGTCGCTGTCGAGACACGTAGTCTGTTGAATTTTGCGATCACGGACGGACATACGGTCGTCTGCACGAGGTACATCAGCAGTAAGACCGATGAGCCTGCCAGTCTATACTTCTCGTCAGGAACCAAGTGGGTGGAGGGAAAGACGAAAGGCCACTTCAAGATGGAGCGCCATGACAAGGGCGCTGACATTGTTTTGGTGGCGAGTGAGCCTATTACTTTTGAGAGACGTGAGTTCTTCCTAATTTTCTTCTCTACTCATTGGATATTTCAACCTAATTCTGACAATTTACCAGACAATTGGGTCTCGGTGCCGACAAATTCCGTGGTGACGATCCACAAACAAACCGTTCTTTTACATCCCATTCTTGATGAGTTCTATGGCGAAGACCTAAATCAAGACCGGTCCTCCTGCTTCGCGGTATCCAAGGGCCTGGTCAGTACAGCTCCGGGCAGCACCGTGCCTCCTCAAGCTGCGGCGGACGGATATGCTCCTTCTGCAGTCAAAGCGCCCGGACTCGATGAGCTTCGGCATTGCTCTGGTGCAAGAGTCACCACAGCGTACTGAATATCTTTCTCGGGTCGCTGTCCTTGGCGTCGGCGATTCCTCTAACGGTACACGAAGCATGAAGGTCTTGGCCGGGTGTCGGCGTTTGTTTTTTTTTTTGTTTTTTTTTTTTTTTTTTTTCATCAAACCACGTCGGATGACATGGTGGCAACTTAGCATCTTACCTAGCAACTTCGGGTATTCTTCCATTGATTGATAATGTTATAATCTAAACTCATTGAAAAGTACGGTTTATACCTGCATGTCTACGGCCAGATGGGTGAGCAGCGTCAAGAACCCATTCAGGGCCCAGGAGACTTCAACGTAGCTTTGCGCAGTTAATCCACGTGTATACACATCAGGTAGAAGCACTTCTCGTGGACTTCATTAACGTTGATCGTAGTCGCTCGTTTCATTCAGCTGTCGTCGCCAGATATATTGGCATGCTTAAAGTACTTCATTCCAACCCAAGCCACAACAACCCAAACCCACGACATGACCGCTGTCAGTATTATTAAGGCTGGATAGTACCCGACTATGGGCAGTGTAGGATCATCTTCCAGCTCTGGAGGCGCGTAAGGTGTCTCACCCACATCCCAGGCCCAACTCCATACCTCAAAGCAGCTTCCCATGCCGACCACAAATACCAGCCATGTAACAAGGAGGATAATCCAACCCCACCATTCAGTCTCAGAATAGTCCCACTTCTCGTCCGTGTTGTTCATTTCCAGTGGGCGCGTGGCTAAGGGTGACGATTTACCACGATGTACGGACCGATAGGGCTCGTCCGAGCCGAGCTCTGCAGGCAGAGAGTAGGGGTAATCGGATGATGCGGGGAAATGCAGAGCAGCAGAGCCTCCATTCTTAGAAGAAGATGCCCCAACTGAAGCGACATTGGTGGTGTTAATACGCGGAAGCGAGATCAACTCTTCGTCGTCCGTGCCCATTTCATCGCCGCCCAGGATGCCTTGGGGCCCGAGACCTTGCCGGCGTCGAGAGAGGGACGGACGAGCTGTCTTCTGCGTCGAGCTCGTGCGAAACCAGCTCGGCTGCACTTCTTCTGGTGTGTAGTCAAGACTCTCGCGGGATTCAAATCCGGCTGACCCCTGAGCGGTTTGGACATTGTCAGATCGTGTCGCTTCCGAAACGTATCTGGAACCGGGGGATTCTGAAGACTTCGATGAAATCCGCCTGTCGCGCGAATCCAACTTTGTTCCTAATAACGCTGTTTTTCGTAGCGACCCCTTCCGTCGGCGTGTCTTCCGTTGTTGCTGTATCGCTGCTGACATTGCTCTTGCGCCAGTTGTGGCTTCACTTGCTGCGTACGGCGTGGCAAGCTTGTCATTGGCCATATCCAGATCCATAACCGGAGTAGCTTCGTGAGATGGCGTCGATGCCTGGTTGAGTCGTAAAAAGGAGAGTTTGGAGAGCAGAGAGCCCGAAAGGCTTCTCTTGTGGCCGTTGCTCACGTTGCTGGCTTGCGCGCGATCGTTTTGTTCGTGGCCGGATATAATCGTGGCATCGCTCGTGGTGCCATTGTCCATTTGCGGGAACAGATTATCGAAAAACTTCTACCTCAGCGACCGACGAAGCAGACGTCTAGCATTTGGAATTGAGATGGGCTAGTAAAATTGCCTTGGGGAGCATTTGACTGAGCAGGAGGGTGTGGGGCCGTCGCGGAGACCCTAAAGAAGTCGGACTCAACCTCGGAAGATCCCCAGGGGTCAATGGAATGCCGTGTAATCCAGGCATCGAGGTCTAGGCCATCAACATCATCTATCTGAACATGATGCATTCATGAATTGTCCGCTCATGCATGCTCAATAATCCTCCCCACAGAGGCATGACTTTCATTGTTGGTGCCAGAGGTCTACAAAAAAATGGTCTAGTAGTTGAAATACCCAGAATTGGCATAGATCCAAGCGATGATCTAGCTGTCCCGTAGTGTCAGAGCACTTCTATAAATATCCATGAGTTAGCCAGGGTATCAGTGGCGCCTGGATAGGTATCGATGAGGTGATGGAGGACACGAGAGAAAGATAATTAAATCTAATAGATTAGGCAGCGGTCAATGTCAATGAAAGCTCTGATGAACGTTGCAAGCGAAGACAAAGCAGATATCGAGGTCTGAGTGTGAGGTCAGCAAAAGCGAAAGCAACCTGCGTCAACCGGATTTTGGATCAGGCCAGGCCAAAGTATGCTCTTGATTAAATTTTCATGGGGACACCATCCATCTGGTGGCAAAATAGCTTCCCAGTCTTTGAGATTGGAATTATGCAGAGAAGAGATCATGCGCGGTCGGACAAGTAAGAGATGATAAGCAAGATAGTCTATCGCTTCAAAAACGAGAGCATGACCGTTTCTGCACTTCCAAGAATGGAGGTCAGGCAGCCAGCCAGTGAAATATCAAAGCGGATGAAACAAGTAAATCAGTCCAAGCACCTATGCACTAGAAAAAGAATAATCCATGGCGCTCTTCGCAGAAGAGGCATGTGACAGCATTTATAATGAGAAGAGAATGAAGTCGCTTTTAATTTTCCAAGGCATCCAGCAAAAAGGCCGAGACTTGATGAAGGAAGCCTCATAATCATGACAAGACAAGTTGCTCAAGGGCAAAGACGAGATAAAAGGGCAAATAAGATTGTGATGAGGTGAGAACAAAGATCGTACCAACAAAGTGGATTTGGGGTATTCGGTGCAAAACACACAAAATTCCATTTAAAGACAAGGTGCAGTTTGATCGCTTGGTAATCCACTTGAGCAGGCAATTTAGAGTCAGAAACGAAACGCAGAGTGGAGAATGGGATAGCGCGATAGATCATCGCGGCTAGGGCAAGAAGCGTGAGTTGAGCAAACTTCTCAGCATACGCGCGTTAACGGCGAAAGAGAGCTCGACTGTGAAGCGCGCGCTCGTCTTGCTTGGATATGAATCCCGTGTTCTCAAGACGGCCAGCGAACAGTCTACGCCTGGTAGGCTCCGTTGAAACCGCTGTTGGACTGATCCCAGTTACCAGACGGGGACATGGGTTGGCCGCGACCGAAGCCGCCATTACCCTGTGCATAACCCTGGGCGGGCATTCCGGGCCCACCAAAGTTGTTGCCTTGTTGATCCCAGCCTCGACCAGCAGCGGCAGGACCTGTGCCTCTATTGTCAGTAAGATGGACAACGGAGGCAAATCGAGAAAGGGTTGGACGTACCTTGGTTCATGGGATTCGCGGGCCCACCATACTGTGGGAAGAAACCCGGGCCATTGTTGAAGGGGGAGCGGCCGCAGCGGCAGCGGCAGCTTGCTGTGGAGAGAAGTTGTCAAATTGGCCGGTGGGGGGACGATCTTTGCCCCACTGCGATATCAAGTGTCAGTGAAATGTGGCGTGAAAGAATAGAGATAGGATGGGCATGACATACGCTACACTTCAACGGACGCCCGTTCACGTTGTAGCCATTCAGCTGACAGATGGCCATTGCGGCATTTTCGTGCGAGTCCATCTTCACAAATGCGAACCCACGGTCGGCCTGCAGACGTGTCTCAAGAACATAGCCAAAATTCTGGAACAGAGGAACCAGATCGTTCTGGGCAGTGTAGGGAGTCAAATTGCCCACATAGCAGGTAGTTTGCCACTGCGGAGTCTGCTGAACAACCATGTCGTAGCTCTGAATCCCCTGGGTAGGGAAATGGTGGTGCCCGAAGGGAGTCGTCGGGGTCATGCCCATAGCAGCCATCGCCTGCTGCTGCGAGATCGAGGGTTGACCTTTCTGATTCGCCCAGTTGCATCGAATGGCACGAGATCCCAGCCATTCTCCATCCATCGCATTGAGCGCCTTATCAGCATCCGCACGGTCTCGGAAGGCAACAAACCCATAGCCTCGGGAGCGACCTGTCTTCATGTCCCACATCACACGTGCCTCGGAAACCGAGCCAAAGGCCGAGAATGCCTGGGTGAGAACTTCATCATTCACCTCGTTGCTCAGGTCACCAACGAAAATATGATAATGGTTCGAAGTATCTTCCTTGCTGGTGCTGTTGGACTGGTAGGCCCAATTGACGCGGATTTCCTATCAGGAGCGAATGGACGGATTAATAAATCTTTCCCAGCGTCGAGACATCTGAGCCCACCGGTGAAGAGGCCTGTAATGTTAGCAACTTACCGACTGATGAATCCGTCGACCATTGAGAGTCTGCATCGCACGTTCTGCGGCGCCAGGATCGTCAAATTCAACAAAGCCGTAGTTCGAGCCCTTGCTGTTGAACTGTTGAGACGCCATCAGTGTCTGTGGATCGGAGCATAAAAAGTCTTGGTCAGATCAAAGTGGCCGGCTGAATTTGGATTTGGCCGTGAAAATTGCCCAGGATAGGAAGGAACAAACAAGGTGGGCCGCCTCACACAGCCCTAGGGCGTGGCCTGCAGAAGAGGGGGCGAGGCAAGGGCGGAATTGAAGGTTAACTCACATTCTTATCCGGGATGATCTTCACGCTGAGCACGTGGCCGGTTGTCTCAAAGATCTGCTTGAGGATATCTTCCGTGACCCGAGGGTCCAAGCCACCAACGTACAGAGCTCTCTTGTTGGGCTCGGGGGCAGCGCGACGAACGTAGCCACCCGCGCTCGTGGGAGACATCATATTGCCGGACATGGGCGAAGAAATGGCCGTGGGGATTGGATTGTTGTTCTGGGGAATCACCACCGGGGGCCGCGCAGGCGGGGCCATGTGGGATGGGTTGCCCTGGCCATTACCCTGTGCGCCATCGTACTGAGCATTCTGGGCGGGCGCAGCCTGAGGGGCCGAGGGCATAGCCGTAGGAGCAGGGGTGGAAGCGTTTTCGGCCATGGTGAGATTGTCGTGCGAGGCAGGAAGCTAGGTTCGAGGATCTTGGTCTATTCGGTTCAGATGGATTGCCGAAGCAAGTTCAAGAGAAGTCCACGTAACAATGGCAGAGGAGTTCGACGCAATATTGAACTAGTTGCAAATTCTCAACGGACTGTCAAGGCCCGATGCTCTCTCTTGATTTTTGTTGGAAGGATAAAATACGTTGCTCGCGGGAGATGGTGAGTGGAAGGAGAGGGAGGTGGCAGATAATTCCAGTGTTTGTACTGGTCCAAACAAAGAGCGAGGTTAGAACAAACGAAACCGTCGACTAGTCGAAGGGTATTGCGGTGACGGATCCGATTTGAGGGGGTCTCACTTGCTGGACTACTGAGGTAGATATATCAACCGAATGAAGTTGGACGCCGCGAAAGCTGGTGGTTCAGCAGGAGCTTGTAGATTGGCCCAAACTGGACAAATGCAGCTGACAAGATTGGGGGGGGGAGGGAATCCCAGACGGCCCAACAAACAAAGCTTTCGAAGGTCAAGAGTCCGCAGCTCAACAGAGTGATGAGCGCGACCAGTCAGAGGAAGCACAGCCGACCAAGGCAACGATATAACGAGACGGTGGAGCACAGAACAGAAGGAAAGGAAAAAGAAAATGGACGATTAAAAGGATGGGGAGAAGGGAGATGCAAAAGGAGGAAAGACTTCTTGAGTCTCCAAGAGATTATGGACGGGCCAGCGACTAGTCAAAGGCCAGGTACGACACCCAAAGGGCTCTAAAGTCGTGGGCCTCCCCGCTCTGAGTCTGAGGCCAGTCACAGTTCGCCCAGCAGCAGCCCGAGAAACGAAAGGAAAATCCGCCATCCCTGATCAGGCTTAGCGTCTCGGACCTCTTCACCTGGCAGGTCGGAGATGGAAGCCAACTGGCACGGGCGAGCTGGACCGAGTGTCTTCTGTGCGACCTCACCAGCCCATTGAAAGGCACTTGGCCGTTCGAAGGAGCTGCTTGACATCCCAACCGGGTACACGGTCAACTCCCAAACTTACCTCCCATTCAATCTGCTCGAACCGTCACGCACGCTTTCCACAATGAGCCTCAACTTTAGCAGTCCCGATTCCTTGACCCGGCTCTCCGGTCTTGCGGAGGAGATGGTAAACACACTCACCCTGTCGCCTCATAAGTCGAGCTATGACTGCGACCGAATCACTGCTGACTGTTCTCTTCTTCCAGATCAAGGAATCGGCACAAATGATTCGCAAGTCTGACGCCATGCCCACGAGTACTCGTCTTCAGCGATCCATCCCCACGTACTACGACGGCTTCCAGGACGCCTTGGACAATCTCTCAGAGCAAATTGTAAGTGAGCACAGGTCGAAGAGCTCAAAGGTCTAACTCTCTGGTGAGAGTCGCTGATAAGCTTCGCGATGCTATATCTTGTGGAGTCTTTCATGTTGCCAAATTCTTACGTTCGGGTTTCTAGTTCATCGCCAAGGCGTTTCTAGAGAAAGAGTACGGAGCTATCAAGGCTCGCGAGGCGGTACCCCCACCCAACGAAAGTGTTTCCACGACCGAAATAGGCTCAAAGACAGAGGGAATTTCCAAAACCACATCCCCGGCGCCAGACAACCCCCGCGAGGAGGCTGTCAAGGTCGAACCGACGGCGGACGAGAGTACAATCGCAGTCCTCACCGCACCTGTAGTCGCATCCTCGCATGACAAAACAGATGAGCATAAGACAGATGCAGAAGAGAAAGAACCGGGGACTGAGTCAGCCACGAATCAGACAATACCTGGAACAGGCGAAGGCATGAAGTATGACACCGGTCTTGACGGTGCCGGGGCCCCCAACTCCTTCGACCTCAATTACGATTTCGGCAACGACGACTCTGGCAATCAGGCTTTTCTGTCTGGTACATCTTTTGGAAACCCCACCGCTAGTAATGATAAGGGAGGACAAGCCACGGCGCCAGCTAAACCACAGGCTGCGCCCACGGCGGGAGGCGGCGCATTCGACATGGAGCTGGGCAAGACCGATAGCCACTTGAATTCGTTCGCGGATCACTCCAACGGAATGGACGACATGATGGGGCCGGGCGAGTCAAGCTTTGATGATCTTTTCATGGAGGCAGACAACATGGGCGGTACTGGAGGCGATCTCCGGCAGCTGGAGGGGAACAACTTGATGGAGATGAATGAGCTGGACGATAGTTGGTTCAACTGACCTACCATAGAAATGGGCGACTCGGCACAGTGACCGACGCAAGGATTCTTAGCATGAGGCGTGAGCTGCAATACCAAAAATTCCAGTAGACGGGCCCGCGGACGCAGACAACGACCACTGGAAAGCACCCACTTCCTCCTATCGACGCCCAGCAGGCCTTGACACGGAAATGTGCTTTTGATCGTTTTTGATCCTGTGATGATCCCTGCCTTGATCGCTGGCCCGCTTCGATTTGAGAGGAATCACAATTCTGCAAGATACAGCATGCCTCGTGCCGAGACGTGTCTTCCATTCCCTCGACATGCCATCTCACCCAGCACTGATTGTGTTGTAGATGGGCTCATTGCCCTACTACCGAAAACTGCGCATGGGTTGCACGCGACGTCTCGCAAGCCAAGCGAGTCTGTTGTATATTGCCCCATGACTCTTGCTTAATTCTTCGGTCCATGTGTCAGATTGACCGCAAGCCGACATACTGTATGGACTATGGACTATGAACTATGAGGTGTATGCGTCCAGAGTGGATCAGCTCGGCCTGAGTCGCAATTTTGCCGACGAACGAGCTTAACTACGCGGTTCGGACCACTTCAACCACTACTCCAGAGTACAGTAAATGCCATCGTAGCCAATACAGCAGTAGGCTGCTCTATTGAAAGATCCTTCAAGTACCTAGGTAGGGCACATGACGTTTGGAATAACAGATCTTGCGCCGACACCTCGGATGTTGGAACCTACCACTGCACGTGCACAGTGCACACTGCACAGTAATACGCAGACACGCAGACATCAGCACTCCAGAGACTCCAGTTGGGATGCGACACGTCGAATGCAGCTCGGCATTGCTAGATCTACAGCCCATGCTCCATCAAATCTGCCCCAAGCCGAGTCACGGAGCGTCGCTAGTGCCCGCTAGTGGATTGGACCCATCGACTCGTTTGACTGGTCGATCGCCAAGCACTCAATATTCCGCCGCCCGAATAAGCCACAGTTTCACGAGTTGGAAAGCTATTGCGATCCGTCCAAAATTAGAGAGTGTGGGTTCCATTGGATCGAGCTCGAGAAAATGGCACTTTGTTAAATATAGTGGAGAGGGGGAGGAAGCAAGCGCTGACGACAGTGAGAGAACTATTCAACCGTCTACCGAGAGGTGCTGCATATGCTTAGTAGCGACAGAGTTCTCACAACTCAAGGGTCAACCTCGTTAACCTCAGGAAAGTGAGAGTCTACTGTACGAGTCTACCTAGTTTCAGTGGCCTAGGCTCTGATTCACTTACCAATTTTTTTTAAAAAAAAATTGAAATGAAAATCACATGGTTGTCTCACAAGCCACGTAGGCTGTGTACGCGAAAAGCTCTGACCACAATTACAATAATATTCAATAAGTCAGTTTACTACTACTAGTTTAAGTCTTAAGTAAGTAGTAAGTAGTAAGTAGTACTTACTAAGTACTAACTCTAGACCTCCCGTTCAACTTCGGTACGTGGCGCAGGGCCGCGGATTCCAGTCGCAACTTGTCAAATTGCTTGTGACGATGACATCATATGGTTCTTGTACTACACCAGCTTCGCACTAGGTAATAGCCATAGTACACTAAGTAAGTGTAGTGAGTTCATCGAATCAACCATGTACTGCAAATGCGTAGCAAAGCAGGGCTGAGAGAGCTTTCACACGGGAAATTGACCAAGATAGCGATCTGCTTGTTTTCTGCCCAAATATTGAGCATCCTGGTGACGTGGTACCGGTGATGGAAAATCAGGGCGTGGAGGAAGTGTGAGTGTACCTTATTTCGCTAGGGTCGAGAGCAGATCGCGCAGCAGGGCCTGTGGGTGAGAAGACTGCGAGGGAAGATCCTCTCGGCCCATCAGCCAGTCTACATCTGGATGTTCGCCAACGAGCAGGGATCATTAGAGTTCTCTCGAGCAAGATTCACCGTCACTAGTCGTCCTATTAAGTTATTTTAGCTCATCCTTACATGCCTGCGTGGGCTAACGGGGAAGGACGCGTGCCGATGGCCTCGTTCTCGGCTCAGCACCATGCTAAAGTTGGCAATGAGATCATCGCCCGCTGCCGGCTGCCGGCTGCCAGCTACCTGGCGAGATGGGCACATGCAAAAGTTGATATCAAGAGTGTAGCACGGACTCCACCACGAGACGGTAGCGCTGCTGTGCACGGTCACAAGAGCAGCAGCCTGGAGGCTGACGCTTTTTTGCTCTGTCGTGAATCAGAACGCGGTGTCGGGTCAAACCCATGATTGCTGGGCAATAGGCATCGGTCTTCCTGTTTGGCTTGACAAGAGTACAAATCTGGCTTTTCTTGTCACTTCGGCCATGATGCACGTGTAAATGAGACAAGGGCCGCACGATCGAGTTTGTGTAAATTGAAACAGACGTGCCTTCTTTCGACCGAGCGTTGGTTCGCGGCTAGTTCGCAAGTGCCGGGCCCGAAAAGATCTAAGCAGCTCATCCAGGCACCGCCGGCGAGGAAACTCATGGCTGGTTTGATAACATGAAATTAAAGGAGCCGACGCCAGTCTGTGGTTTCCGCGTAATCTTCCTCCGCGGAGGCTCGTCTTATCGACTGTGACTGATGGGGCAAGTGTCAATGACAAATTTTCGACCACAGTGGAGATTTCGACTGTATTCCGAATTGTGATTTGTCCCCACGAGGATGCAGAATAGACACTCTTCGGAAAGTGTGAGCCGGTATATTGCCCGACTCAATTTATCGAGGGACTTGACCATGTCCTGGAGATCGTATAGGGACCCCTGCTATCATTGGAGAAATGTTCGGTGAAACCCCCAAGGACTTTCATCGCCTTAAAGATAGGGAGAGACGTCAAAGTGAGGTGTTATTGAATCTCACGTGCCCGAATCACGCGATCTAATCTTTGGTTAGACTTTCCCCAGACTCTTCGCAAGCCCTCCGAGGACCCATATTCGCCGAGTCCATGCATGTCCTGTCTGATACACACAAAAGAAAGCCTGTTCCTTGACGTACAGACCGATGATGCTCCTCGACAAGTTGACATACATGAACTCGGCAACACAACTGTGCAGATTTTCACTTCATTCAGCGCCGGTAGGATGTCTGCGACTCGATGAGATTGATGGAGTTTCAACTTGGTCGGATGACAGAGAGGCATGGCATGGATGTTCGCCACTCAAGCCGATCTCCCCGATCTCCAAGAGGTTCCCACAATTGATCAATACGTCTCCGGAGTCTGCTTGGATCCATAGTCATGATAACTGTAGCCCTCAGGATCATGATGCAAGTAGTCCACTCCTCAATTGTTGCCCCAGTTTCCCCCCCGTTCAATGGCGGCAAAGCTACCTAAGTTCCATGAAATAGTCTAAATGATATAAACATTCCATATACTCCAACCTGTTTGTATCGTCATTTGGGGAGTTTTCTGTCTCCAGCTGCCGAATTTCCCGGCCCATGACATCCGACCATTAATTTAAAGTTGACGGAGATACGGCCCACCGATGGATGGCCCCTCAGTCTCACGCACAAGTGAAGCTTCTCGCCACCCAGGGACACTCTCATGACGAGGCCGACAGATCCGAGTCTGGCCTGCAGCAAGAGGATTCAACCGAGGACTTCCTCTGATGTTGTGACGCAGCGCGTGTATGTATAATACTTTGATTACAGTGCACGGAGATGCCGGTATCGCATTGGCCTTCACAATGATGTTCAGCTCTTGATCTCGGTAAGACGGCAAGTCCACGACCTGAGTCTCGGCTCGCTCCGCGTTATTGGGATCTGGGCACAGGCAATGCGATATGGCCCTGGAGGCAGCGAGGCCACTACATCCACTAAGGCGGGATGACAGACTTCCACTACTACAGTCGTAGTGAGAGCATTCCAATCTGAGCGACGGTGTCGGATCACATCGAAAATCCTGTAATCCGTGATCTTGAGGATCTATGTATACAGCACTAATACTGATTTGAGTTGAGTTGTGAGATCCTTGTCCATTCAGAATTGAGGCTGTGTGTAGATCACCAAGTAAAGTTGACGGCAGGCACGATCGTCGGCGGATCTTCATAGTCATAGTACCGCGATTGAGTCTGGTACTGTGATACTCACGCAAACTAGCACCGGTGAAATTACGGCCTTCAGCACCTTTTTTCATTGCCAGACAACATGTTGGAGAAGAGTTGGAGATGAGCCGATGCCAACATGGGGAATATCATGTGACAATCGAGGCTCTGGCGGCACGGGGCTCGGTCGGCACTGCACCAAACACACCTCTCCATCTTGGTGAATCTGCAAGACCACGTCGTCTCTGCTGGAGCGAAGGCTTGCTCCTCGTGTGCCGCTCTCGACCTGACTTCAGTGTCCCCAAGAGAGTCATGGTGATCCTGCTAATAATAAGGCTATGATCAATTTCCGCCTGGACCGGATGGCCGGAGACGTAATAGCGGAGAGATGGACCTCTTCACTCCAATGGGCATTGGTGTCATGTCATCATCGATCCATTCCATCCCCACTTTCGTGGCTTCTGGGGGCCCGACGAGGCGTTGACAAGCTCCGCTTCGGCTGGCACTCCTCTTCACCCCAAGTCCCAGTCCTTCAGTGCCGTCCCAGTCCACGTTGCTGGCTCGGGCCTACGTCGCGGCGACCATCAGAACGAGCGAGGGGAAAACCGCATGACCGTATATGGTTCAACCGATCGATTTTCGGGTCCAGTCTTTCAAGCGCTCCTCTTTGCACAAGGGAAATTTCAGGGAATCAACATTTCTTCATCGTCATTGCTCTGGCCTGCTGCTAAAACGGCCACACACAGCAGTCGGGCGTTGGCTGTCTTCCTTTCATGTTGTTTCATCCTCTTCCGGGCACGAACCACCTCTCCGTCTAGAAGATCCTCTGCACATCGGACCCTACGATCAATCTGTGCCAGGGGACCAATCTCCGTCGACCAACCCCGAAACGACGCCACAATTACAAAGTCCAGACCGAACATCCCGTAATACGCCAACACTTCCAGTTCCAGAGTGCCACTCCCGTCCCACTTCTCTGTCATCGTCATCCCCAGTACCTAAAATTCCAGCCTGAAGACTGGGGACAGCCGCGGACTACTTCTGTCTTCTTGCCCTCACAGCCCAAAGAGACAATCATAGACCCGATCTCAAGTAAGCCGCCCAAGCCGCTCTGGGGTTGCGACCAGTGCCAAAGCCATCGTCCGGAAACCTCTCGTCCCCTCTCAACCAATCCAACTGATTGCTGAGGTCGATCTGCACCACGGATGATCACGGCCGGCAGACCCGTGCTATGAAGTCAGTGCCCTCTCCGACGTTTTAGCGTGTCTCCATCTTTCTCCTACAAAGATCGGTGTGCTCCTTGCGTGACTTCGCATCGAAGGGGCAACGGAGTGGAAATTGGCCCCCCCCTTTCTCATCTGCCCAAAAAAAAAGAATAGGTCGTCGGCTCCAAAAAAGAAGCAAACAAAGGAAGGCTCGAAAGACACATGCAAGGATCACGAAACAACTGAGAGACAACTTTGAGTAAGTCATATACTGGCGTCTTCCCTCCCCTTGTACTGCAGCTTGTTCGTTTGACTGGCGCATTCATTCCCCATTTCCTCCCCGTTTTTCCATCGACTGGCGAATGTGACGGTCGACGATCACACCGAAGCAAACGACAGGACAACAGGAAGCCGGAGCGAGACAGGCAAAAAAAAAATAAGGAGACAGAGACACCGGATCAATCAAAAAAAATCCAGTATCTGTTTGCTCGGAAGCGACGGGACGGCTTTTGTAGCTTACACTGTCTCGACTGCTACTTGGACGCTCTTGGATACTCTGTCTTCGTCCCCGGATTCGGCGCACACAGTGCCCACTGCCCTCAACCGCCATGATGATGGTCGCTCATTTTCTCCCTGCACAGATTCCATCGCGGTCAAATTCTTTGACTACAGAGCACTCGTTCGATCTTTCACGCCCTCCGTGGTTCTCCTCTCTTGGCCGCGTCGGATCGGCTCGGCGTCGAACGGTTCACCCTAAAGCGGCCGTCAAAGAGCGACCGTCGCCCAAATCAAAACCAAGGCCTTCACGCCGTCGCACCACCCTCATCCAAAAGCTGGCTGGTCCACGGGAAAACGCGAAGCGATTTCTTCGCCTACGCTCCGCTGGGGTAAATACATCGACACCCGCGGCATCGCCGTCTCCTCCACCAGCGCCACAACCCCGTTTGAACCCTCGCCGAACGGGCCCCCGCCCGGTATCTGAGGTCATCCTGCCCTCGCCACGCTCAAGAGAAGCCCCGCGGTTCTACGAGGAAGGTGATATGCGCTCCGATCCCCTACCTATGTCCGGTGACGTCCTCGCACGAACGATGCCCGACCGTACATTCACTGCCTCGGAGACCTCTGCGCCGTTTGTGCCTCTTCCCAATGAGAAGATTGTCGCAACGGGCAGCGGCCTCACCGTGGGTATTAGCCTGACGGAGCCGGTTCTCTTCCTACAAGGTTACGATCAACACGATCCCAGCACGAAAAAATCAGCCATCCTGCGAGGCCAGCTTCACTTGAAAGTGACCAAGTGTGTCAAGATCAAGAAAATTTCCATCTGCTTCCGCGGCCATGCGCAGACTGACTGGCCAGACGGTAGGTTCACCTCCTATTCCCCGAAGGTTCCCGGGTCGTGAAGCGCAAAAACGGTTGACTGACCGACATGGAACAGGAATTCCCCCCAAGAAGATACATTTCCACGACAAGAAGGACTTATTCACACACGGCGTCATTTACTTCAATCACGGCGATACCGCACTCATGCAAAATGACTATGGCGCGCACTTTTATCAACACGCAAAGCCCGGATCACCCACACCCGGAAAGGAAGGGGTTCACGCAACGACACGAGAGCTTTTATCGAAGAGCGGATCGAACACGTCGCTAAGTCTTCTGACCGCAAAAGATGCGATGCGCTTGTCAATTCCAAGCAGTCGGGGCCATTCGCGAAGCTTTAGCCGAAATGAAGCACCGGTCACCTCTCACACCCCCCCGCAACGTAACTATCGCATGTTCCCTGTTGGAGATTACCTGTACAGCTTTGAGTTCCCCATTGATGGCTCACTTCCCGAAACTATCAAGACCGATCTGGGTTTTGTTCGATACGACCTTGAGGCCATTGTGGAACGCTCGGGTGCATTCCGGCCCAACCTGCTTGGGACGCTCGAAATTCCCGTCATTCGCACTCCGGCGGAAGGCTCACTCGAGCAGGTTGAGCCCATCGCCATCTCACGTAACTGGGAAGATCAGTTGCATTACGATATTGTCATCTCGGGCAAATCTTTTCCGTTGGGCTCCCAGATTCCAATTGCTTTCAAATTGACACCTCTAGCGAAAGTCGAATGTCACCGCATCAAGGTTTACGTGACGGAGAATGTCCAGCACTGGACTGTCGACAAGACAGTGCATCGCTTACAGCCAGCAAAAAAAGTACTCTTGTTCGAGAAAAGGGCCGAGTCTGCAAGTACCAGCACTTACCCCGGCAGTTCCATGCGTGTGACTGCTGGAGGCGGAATCGACTGGGACCATCGTGCGGCTGCTGCGCGCGGTGAAGAAATCGTGGAGCGCGGTCGAACCAATCTCTTAGGCAACTTGAACTCGGAGGTCGGCGTGGGACCCACTGAGATGGAGTTCAGCGTGCAGTTGCCGAGTTGTCACGAAATGAAGGCTCGTGATGAGGCCCAGCGTTTGCACTTTGACACTACATATGAAAATATTCAAATCAACCACTGGATAAAAGTCAGTCCTACTCCGAACATTTCTATGATCAAATATTGAGCTGAAGTATTGACATTATATTATAGATCGTCCTTCGTCTGTCCAAAGTTGATGAGCGCGACCCCACCAAGCGCAGGCACTTTGAAATCTCCATCGATTCGCCCTTCCACATACTCTCCTGCAAAGCAACTCAGAACAACATCTTCCTTCCAGCATACACGCGTCCAGCGGCGGATCCCACACCACCGGCGCAAGAAAACGAGTGCGGCTGCCCTGGTGCGCCTCCCACAACACGGGAGAACAACTATATCCAGACTATTTCGGCTCGCGAAGATGCTGCCTCCAACATCCAACGGCCCGGGTCTATCGCACCCGTGTCGCGCAGCTTCACGAACGGCTCTGGCGGCCTTGCTCGCCCTCCCCAGGCTCATCTGGCTCACGAGCCAACTGCAGACCGGGAAGCGCCCCGTCCCATACATCTAGTCCGTGCTCCGTCATTTGCACCACCCGCCTTTGAGGACGTACCCCCCCCCCTCCACTAGTCACACCACCTCCTGAGTACACCAGCATTGTGGGGGATAACGATCGAGAGGCAGTGCTTGAGGATTACTTTGCGCGACTGTCGTACTACGAAGACCAAGACGACGATCGGGGCCTTGGCCGTGTCGATGTACCTCTTACTCCCGGACGACGAGTCAACCGCAGCATGGACGTTCCGCGAGAGTGGGTTCGCCTGGAAGATTTCTCAGCACCGTCATAGTGCTCTTCTCATTGCCCGTGAAGAGGACAGAACCTCAATGTCCTCTTCTTGACGACTTGACGATATTGGAGGCATGAAGCCCGTGACCTCTCTCTTTGGTTGGACTGAAAAAGGGCCGGCGATTGTTCATTTGGCTTGGGTGGGATTCATAGATCTATTATTTTCTCCATCTTCTTCGAGCTCACCGTTCTTGGGCTTTGTACATGTCTTCAATGAGGGCTTGTTCTTTTTTGTGAATTTCTTGCCGCGCAATTATCGCCTCGGGTCTTCTACCACGAGTGGCGAGGAAGGAGGGTACGGGGATAGGCTTCAGGAGTTGGCGGCTTGGCACACGGTATTACATTTTCCTCTTCAATTTCAAGTCTTCTTTTCTTTTCTAGAAGTTGCCTATACGCTGTTGTTGGAGCAAGGTTATTGTAATCGTTGCGGCTAATCTTCGACAACTGATAGCATTAACTAACACGCGACTTGACGACAAATGATAGCATTAACCTTATCAACACGCGGCTTGATGCTCTAGGTATATAACTCGGTTCTCGACAATTTAATGCTTCGTCCCTCTCGAGCTATGAAGGTTTCCATATTGTTGACTGAGTTCCTATGTAATGACTACCACTCGCGCACCCTCGGACAATGCTTCTCGCAGTCTCCGTAGTGTCAATCTCGTCTTGCAACAAGCTGGACACTACACAGTATGCCATCTACTAAAAATAGAGGGCGTTGCCTGGACGCACGTTCCGGGTAGAGTTTCCACAACCAGCCTTATCACTGCAACAAGATCGGGATCCATAGACAACAAAAGTAGGTAGGTGTTGGCCCCATACGCCTACGTTGACACCTTTGTCCAGCGGAGACACTAGCGGACGCCTTGAAGCTTACTCTTTCCAAGTGGGATCTTTTCCATCGAATGATCATCTCTCCATGGTGTCAATCATGTCCCCGCAAGATGTAGGTTGCGACTGGGTCATTCCGAACGATCATCGCTGATAAGATAGCTGATAAGTTATCGGTTCTGAGGCAGCCGCACCGCGTGGAACTGCCTCTTCCGGTCTAGGCCCTTTCCCCATACTTAGTTACCCTGGTTCATTCAAGAAGAACCATTCCTGCCGTGCGTCCTCCCGTTATCTTCCTCTGGTGCTTCCGATTATCTAGCCTGAGTACTGTTATCGAAACGGTCTTCACGTTCTTACCCTCTTCATTCGTTGACTTGCGTCTTCATTGGTGTTGACTACCAACTTGGATCCCTCCGGGACCCCCCTCTCGTCTGGATTTCCGACAGCCACATCGTATCTGGCAGGCTTCGATCACGTTAGCAGTGGATCCGGTCAAGAATCCAACGCTACCGCCTTTACAAAAGTCAACTTTCAGGCTGTTGTGAACTACACTGACTCGCAAGATCATTCTCTTCAATATCTTTCTATATTCTCGTAGATTCTTGCCGAGTCCATCAATCAAACCAAAGCCGCGATTCACCCAACCTGAGCACAAGAAACGAAAATGGCAATCAAAGTTGTTCCCTTGACCGAGGAAGATATTCCCGCCACAGTCGAGGTCATTCAACAAGCCTTCGCTGACGACCCTTACTTCAACTGGGTGTTTGACAAGTCTTCGGTATGTCTGAACCACATCTCCGAATATTGGCTCGGAGCTCGCTCTTAGCCAGTGATCAAACCGCGAACTTTCACCCTGCTAGTTCAAGCCGTATTGACATTTTTGGCTCTCTCTGGTAACGCGGTCGTCGTGGCTGGACGTTACACTGCCAGAGAGACTACTGGTATTGGTCTAGTTCAATCCTCAAAGAAACTACGACTCATTAGCAGCCCGGTGTCGCTGGGGCATCAAAAATGCCATTTTCGAAGTTGCCAAGGACACCGGCGCCGACAGTGCCTCGCCCTCAATTCTCGGAGTGTCATGCTGGTTAGCTCCGCAACAGGAATCCCAGCCAGAATCCTGGTACTCATGGTACCAGTCCTGGGTCTTATCGTGGCGCCAGCTCGTCACAAATATCCGCTATGGCGGTCGGGGTGGTCTTCGCACCCACCGGTATTGGATCTGGAAAGACCGTCAACAAGAGGCACAAAAGTCGATCTGGGACGATCCACGCGGGTACTACTTTTGCAACATTGTGGCAGTGAGTCCCGAAGCGCAAGGTCGAGGTGTTGGAAGGAGGCTGTTTGAGTCGGTCACAAATAAGGCTGATAGGGAGGGGATGAAATGCTACCTTGAAAGCTCGAAGAAAGAGCCAAATGTGAAGATCTATGAAAAGATGGGATTCGAAATGAGGAAAGAAATGGAATGTCGGGATGGTGATGATGTTTGCATGGTATGTACAAGGCCTGCGGTTGATCAAGCTATTCTTTTACTGTTGCAGTACTTGGCTAACTTTGGAATCTCGGGTGGCGTCCATATAGATTTATTGTATGGTGCGGGAGCCCAATCCCACTCAGTAGAAGAAAGCTGGAGGGTGGAAACCCCCATACTCAGGGACTTGAGGCTCTGAGCATTGCCCATACGCTCTCTCGATATTTTTCTAGCATTTATACAGTCGTGTTTGACGACTCTGTGATTACACAAATGCGATTCATTATCAAGCTGACAAGTCTTGTGTGTTAATAACCTTGTCCGATTGTTGTCATTTCCTTCCTGGCAAACTGGACGTTCTCATCCAGCCGTGGCTCCGGTCATACTGCATAAGAATAAAGTGTCTGAAAGTCTACTCGTACAGAATCATGTACGACGCAGGTACATAGGTAATGGTAATTCTTCCTGGGACCATGACCGCCGCGGCTAGACGCAATGTCAGCTCTTGAGTTACAAACTTCGGTATCTTAAGTCGAAAGGTCTTCCGGGGGTTGAAGTTCTGAATTTTCTTACCCGCTCTGACCTGTCATCTGCTGTGATGATCTCCCAATGGTTACCTTATTTCACTGACAACCTGACCCCCACAAACGGGCGGGTCCGAATTAAACTTTATTGCATTGAGGTCGACTCGGAAGTGTCTAAGCCCTGACATCCGCGGCCCGGCGCGCGTTTACACGGATACTGATGTTGGCGGGAGTGGATGTATTTTGATTTGAACTGATCAGGTCAAACCGAGGTTTCCATCCCGGGGCTTGTTTGGATTGTTCATCTTCATATACAATCAAAAGTAAAGAAAGGCCTTTTTTGGAGATTTGGGATGGACGTGGCGTTTGTCTTTGAATCATGAAGACAAATCCAATATCATGCTTACTCAATATTAAGATAAAGGGCAGCTTTCTACCAACGTTCATTACCCATTACACCGTCCAAGCTACACTCTCCTTGAACTTAAGCTTCTAATAAGTCTGTCACTATCTTCCTCCAAAACATTGAAAAAGTGAGTTGCGAGACTGCGTGACTTCCTACGTCAAACAACTAACAGCTTCTATAGCGTCCAGTCATGATATCGCCATTATCTCGCAAGGCTCGTGATACCTACGCAGCCATCGTGAGGTCTATCGCCAAGCACATCAAGCCGGACGCAAAAAGCGGGAGTCTGGATAATACACACACCAACGCTGCTGAAGCTGAAATCTGCACCGTACAATCTGCACACGAGCACAATGCAAACCCAGAGACACAGCCAACCGCATCTCCCAAAGGTCACGCAAGACCATCATCCCGAAGATATACGCAGCTCAGCGACACAGAAACCATTATCCAACAACTCGCAGTGATTGCAGCCCATATTGATCGATCACATTCCTACACAACCCGATGTTCTCGGAACCCAACCTTGCCAGCGTCGGCACATTTGAGAAGCGCAACGGCCGGCAGTTTTAAAGGCCAATACGACGTGGCAGAGGGCGTGGAGTCTTTCTACTACCTGTGCAGTCTGATCAGCATCTCACACGCCTCGTCGCAGCAGACTCCAGTCATTACAAATATCGAGGTGCTTGGGGGTCAGCCCGTTTCTCGCAAAAGAGCTTCGTCCAGGATCAGTCTTCGTCTTGGTGATTTTTCGAGTATGTCGTTTCCAAGGGTCGCTAGTAAGGCTTGCCCGAGATATAGTCCTCTGCCGCCGTTGAACAAATACGCGGAAGTTGCGACTCACCCGCAGGTGCGGTTTTGATACGCTGTCCTGGCTCGACCTATGTTCGTTCTGTTGATGCTTGGTGTCACTTTTCATCAATAACATACCTGATAGAGTTCGCCTCGCCATCCAATGACATTGATGTAGTGAAGTGTTTTCGAGTATCTAGATGCCGGACAGTATTGCTTTACCTCGGCCTGAAGTCGGGAGTAAACAATTTTGTCTCTTGCAAACCTCCTGACTCCGTACACGATTACAAGCTTGATTGATCTCTGTGATCGTCACACTCTTGTTCAAGCTGGAGGTAACCATCAGCTTTGACCAATCCTGCAATTTCCATGACGTGTAAGTCAACATCAATTACCACCCACGATGGATCACCCATCAAAGATAGAACAGATGCTCGCAAACAAGCTGACGCGGACCTTGAACGCTCCCTCCCCAAAAAGGATAGTTGTCCGCTGAGATCGACCAGAAAGCGGCGATCCTCAGTCCTCGCCTGCCTAGTCGAAGCTCTGGTTGACCATGTAGAACAGTGGATTGAGAATATTCTAATTAATCAATGGATGAATGAAAGACGAGGAATTAGCCTTTCACGCACCATATCGGATTGTGGGTCCCATCTTGAGACCGCGTTGCAATTGATAGAAATGATGCAGGGGCTGCACTAACGGACCCACTATTTTATATGGATCACGGGGTAAATTCGAGTTGCGGTTGTCCCTTCAAATGGACAAACCCTCGATTTCTGCCAATTTCAGATCAGAAAATACTTTCGTTGGGCTTTCTCCACATGAAAAAACAAGGGTCCAGCAAACGATGGGAAATGAAACGATCTCCGCCTAGCCGATTCTCTTGCAATATGTCAAACTTCCGTGGCTTCCATCATTTCTCTGCGCTCATGGAACCGCCCACGACTCATCTATGATATCCTTTCCTATTACCCATGAATGCCACACGACTGCAAGGTTTTCCCTTTCACCCACGAGTCTAGCGGCCATTAGCCCGGCATGCCCACTATACAATTCTTATTCAAGCTTGAAAACGATGCTCAAGGGCTGTATGACATTGGTAGGCACAACACGAAGTGTCAATCTCAACTGTGGAATAAATTCACCTGGAAACGCCTTTGCATATACCGGTGAGCTGCATCTGCAATGCCGAACGACGGTGACAGGATCGATTGTAGTCATAGAAGAACTGCGGTATAGAAAGAAGGGGTCCCGACCTTTTTGTTGACTCGTAACCCTAAGGCTCGGTAGGACTCATTAGTAGTCAATCATCTTATATACACATCTTCTGTCGGACCATCACAAATACCTTTGGCGTGTGAAGTCTGTATTTGACCTTTCATATCAGTGTCATTCTTGATCTCGCGGCGACATCGTTCTTTTCCCCGGCCGGGTACTCTCTAGGGCATTAAATCGATTTCATTTCAGCTATTTCTTCGCCTCTGTTCTCACTCAACCCCTATCTTGGTTTGTTCAAGACAGAATGGAACGAAGCAACCGTTGGAAGGAAGTCACTTCATCACAATGGCCTCTCGGAGGCCAGTCTCCATCAACAGTGACCGTCATCATCCAGAGGCCCACATGTTTCAGGGCCCCTGCCATCAGCTGATTTAAGATATGACTCAGTGCCAAGCTTTCTCCAGATTCACTGAGTCAGTTTGTCGGAAATTTCCGAACGGAACGACGTTGCAATAGCTTTTTCCGTTGGGTTTCATCATTTCATGGCTCAGGATTCAGAACAGTATTTTTCTGCACTTGCAAGATTTAACGGCCTGGTGTACTATTACCGGAGAAGACGAGCTGTCATCTGAAACCTAATGGAAGTACTAAAAGAGAAGACTATTAGTTAGTATTTATTACTCCCTAGGGAAGCTTCTATTTTCTACTCTTTTCTTGTCTTTTTCTTGTCTTTTTCTTGTGTTTTTCTTTTCTTTTCCGTTATCCGGGGATTTCTCTCTCGGGAAGAAACAGCTTCCGTGCGTTTGCAAGGGTCCTGGGGCATCGCCCGAGCTCATTCGAGCTCATTTGAAACCACGTAAGCTAATCCACCCTTTCAAACCGGAATATCTCCTTAATCTTGGCCCCCAGCTCCTGATGATTCGTTATTCAAATGCCGGTAAAGTCCGGCTGCAGGACGGGATAAAAGCAAACAATCCAGTCCGCTCGGGCCAACGACCCAGACTATAATTTATCGTCGCCCTTCATAAAGACGCCATTGGTTCTATGTCTGAGTCCAATAAGCGTTCGACACGCTGTTCGATTGAATGACTTTCATCTCTTTCCAGTCCCGGCACTTTCATAGGGGTTTCCTCCCCTGTAGGTCAATTAGCTTTTCCTGGGGTCTGTGCAAGAGAAAGGAATAATGGGTCCCACGAATAGCACTAGGCAAAAGATGATCCAATAGGCCACTGCGATGACTTGTCTCGATTCATTGAGCGTCGCAACGCACGACTGCATTAGTGACTTCCTTCGCTCGTTTTCTTGCCGCCAGACCGGGCCAAGAAGTCTCTGCGTCGTGTTTTCGCCCCCGAATCGGCTAGTAGAGCCGTCAGCCTGTACCTTGGTGTTGATCTACCGCTAGGTACCTATCCGTTCATTATACCATCTTGGAAGACCTTTCCTTTTGAAGCAAGAACCGTCAATTGCTTTTGCATTGGAACGTGCTTTGGTGCTTGCTGCAGCTAGGAAATCTGGAATATTTCGTTTTGCGTAACATCTTTGGAGGCATTGACTGTACATGCAGAATCCACTGCTTATGACTGAGGTCCATGGGTATGTACTTTCAAGCCCGAACAATGTACGGTACCTAGCTGGGCCGACCAATTTTTCAGTCCAGCGGTCAATCCTTGAGACGAAGACGCAGGATCATGGTGTTTGTCTTTGAAGTTCATTGATCAGATTCTTGAACCAGTCAAGGCGGAGGCATCGTAGATATGTACCTCACGCAAGGGAAATTGATTCTGGTTCACTACTCCTGAAAGTGCATCTGACTTCGTTCAACCTTTCTACTGCCACTGGTCTTCCTTCTACAATGCCTTGAGATGACGATCTATGAGATTGGGAGAGACGGGCTGCTCGAATGGGCGTCCGACACAAGTGACCACCGAGGGTCTAGATTGAGAACCCGGTCGATTTCATTTCCCGACCTCCAGCTCCATCCTGCATCGGATCAAGATGCGTCTGCAGGTATCTCGGATGGAAGTTCTCATTGGAGTGGGATTGTATAACCGGCCAAGACTTAACGCTACGAGTCAGTGTCCTAGAATTCTCCTAGTATAAATGGCATGTATCGGGTCCAATCGTGGACTAAGAGGAGGCTAACGCGGGAATCGTCTACAATCGCTGGATATTAGTAATTTCTCAACAAGCGTGGCTAGTTGCAGACAGACCTAGTGATCCATTCGCAGGCAGCTTTCATTCCTGTCAGACTAAGTTAGCTGCTTCAAAGAGTAGGGGATTCATCTCCGGTCGATAATCCTGGACAAGACTGCCGTGATCAATTGTTTATACAGACTGTAACCCGACAGGATAACACAACGTCATCCAACAGTCCCAAAGGCATTTTACCAAGTACCGGGCAGATACCCAAGAACGGCGCCAGAATTGTCTCATCTTCAGAGAGGTTGGCTTGGACCTTGACGACCACCCAACCTGCCCTGGCCCGAAGTATCCCCTCCCAGGAGGTACCGAGGTGATCCTGTCAGTCATCGCCCCCTCTTTCCATCACTTCCACTCGGCCACGCCACGGATCCAGCCATTGCATCGACGGACATGTACGCACTATCACACCCCGAGCATGCACGGGTCCTTTGACGGGGGTTTGAGGGGGGGGGGGCGGGTCAAGACTTGGCGTCTTACGCATGAGTGGCAGTGCGCATGAGTCGAGCAGCATCGGTACTTTCGACTGGAAGCTGGAAATTCCCCTTCGCTCCATCAACCGAGAAAGGCTAAGACACCATCATTAGCATACGTTGTGCTGCACGGCCTTGGGGTCTCAGTCACTGTGATATTAGTAATTCAGGACTACTGGGGCGCTGTGATACCGCCTGGGTATCGCCCTCATGTACGCTGAAAGATCAGGTCCATAGGGGGCTAACAGGAGCATGAAAAATCAAAGGATAACCAGTCGTACGGATACTGCTACTACTTCAAACGCTCCGAGTATCTGGGGCCTTTTGCCGTGTCATCGACGATGAAAGCTTCCCGCGTCAGCAGAATTCCCGATAATCCTTGTCCGTGCATGGCATCCGTGTCGGCAGCGGCAGCTGCAGCTGCAGCTGCAGCCTAGAGCGTTGATTTACTGTTGGTCAGATCCACTGGTTCATGAAACTCCCGGAGAAAAGACATGTGAAAGATGTTTGCTCCGTACACATTACGGTTCAATTCACATGTATATAGGTTAGTCGGACTCTCAAACTTCAGTATACATGGATTGGCCTCTTAAATCTCACTTGTTGGTCGATCGCCTTGCCTGTCAAAAAGCGTGCAAAACAAGCTATTGCATTGCAGTGTAAAATTGAACAATCTATCTCAATCGAATTCAGTCAAAGTGGAAAAGTCTTCCATCTACCTTACAATATCTAGCCAATCCAGATCCCGTTCCTTGAGCAAATGGACTCCGACCTCGTTTTCTATCATGGCGCTAATTGTTTTCGTTGAGCGCCCTGCTTCAATACATAGAATGCGGGCGTGTGTTTTTGTTTAGCTCGGAAATGCCGACTTGTAAAGCGGCCACTCTTCCAGAAGTTCAATACATTCCCCCATTCGGAATCGATGCTACAAGACATTGTTCGGACAACACACGAGATCATTTAGGTCGAAAGCAACGGTCTGGTAACATTGACGAATTGGGATTCAAGGAGAGTCGTCCGTGCTCAAAACTCTGAAACTTGGGCGGCACTCCACACACAAGTCCACAGAGATGCAAGAAGACAGACCAAAGAAGATCGTTCGGTCGACACGTCTGGTTCACGCGTCGATCAAGACCGACTGGGAGGATTGATCCACTTGATCAGCCATTGATTGCCTGTGACCTGGTGTTTTTCTGTTCTTGCTTCCGCCTCTTTCCTCTGCATGTCCCGGGTGTTCTTTGCATGCTTTTCATGGGGGTGATGTCCTCATTCCGTCCATTGAACTCGTGTTGGAAATGGGGTTGCAGATCGTCTTCACCGATCATATGGAAAGTGGCGATTTGAACAGGTTCGTGTAGTCCGATGATCGACTATCGAGACGGTGACGAGATCGCCGCAGAAATTGTATGTAAGAAGTGGCCATTGTGTATCCAAAGGGGAAGCTTTGGACCGTTCTCGCCTGGCAGTGGGGATGGAATTGGGCATCAACCAGGAGGAATGATCCATATGCCCGATATGGGGTTTGGCGGCAAAGTGTCAAGCCGAAGCCTAATCTGGATCGCACTGAGCTTGCGAGCAAATGGAGACGGTCTCTGCGTCAACGCCCACATAGCAGACATTTGCCCACAATCACGATGAATCGATCATGCGGCCCATCGGCACAACGAGTCTCTTTGTTGCCATCAAGGTTGGTCCGGAGAAAATGGGCGGCGGGGTTTTGGCAGGTGCTGTAGATATAGTAATTTTTGAAATAGTGACACATGCTGAAGTTGGACGGACCTCGTCGATTCTGAGGGTAACGCTCGGCCACGAAACGGTGTGAATTTGAACACCGTCGAAGGGCGTCGGATGAAGGAAGGTGGTAAAAGTTTGATGGTGTAGGGGATTGAATCCTTTCTGAGGACAACAACACAAGATGATGAGGAAATTTGGGGCTCGGGGTGTACAGGGAGGACGTTCATAATTAATGCCAGAAGTCTTGATCCTGTTCTGGAATTATCTCCGTAGGTCGAGACGGGGATCATAGATCAGGGTTTTCGAATCAGTGTGGTGCCATCAAGCCACCCGAAGATTGACGAGATTACCGGGCCTGCAAATCTATGAGGGGAGAAAAAACTCATTCATCACGGAGGTCTCGAAGAAGTCTATCAATTGAATTTCAAACTGGAGGGCAGGAAGAAGGGGATGATCTAGAAGCACAGGGGCCCGGTCCCAGTCATTGTGTCGTCAATTGTGTTTTCTTTTTCTTTTTCTTTCTCTTTTCTTTTCTTTTCTTTTCTCTTTTTTCTCGATGTTTTTTCCTCTTTAATCCGAGACCAGAAAACAGACAGATAAATAAAGTTTTGGCTGGTTGGTAATAAGTTCGGAGTAGCTAGCTTTCTGAAACTCGACCCGGAATTTAGCACAGCACTAGGGCCTCCATAATACTACACCGACAGTGGCCCTTCATAACTTCATACTTTCCATCTGGAACGAGGCAGTTTCACACAATCTGTAATTCCATGGACGAAGAAAGGTGGTGACCCGTGTTTGCTCTAGCACGACCGAGGAAGAGGAATTTGATTATGACTGCCACTACTCATCTCAACACCTCGAGCTTCACTTGCTGGACTCACGGTTCCGTGCAGACCAGTGACCAAAAGATGCTGCATAAGTACCAAGCACATAAGTGCAAGCTGGGTGAACCCGCGAAGCGGGTCTTGTCTGCGTGCTTGGTGGCTTGAACTGGTAAAAAGTAAATATCACTCAATCAGTCAATAGCCATCTGGAAAATGTTCACTTGGAATGCACGCCCAGCAATGCCGACCGGAAATTGATCCGGTATGATAAGGGATCTGCGACCCTTGACCCCCAGTAGCGTCCCTCCCATGTTTGACCCTCTATCGGCAAATACCATCAGTTCTGGAAGATCGACAATGTGTGTGCCTGAAAAGCCGTTGGTGGGTAATGACTCCCTGGTGATCTCGACCAACAGTGTGTAACTACTCACACGTGGCGCTTCGTTTGCATGAGATAGCCTGATTGTACTCGTCCGGCGGTGTTTTCATATTTTCCGCCCCTCGTACGATGAAATCTGCCCATCACATGCTAGGACAGGGCTGGGAAAACAGGGTATGCTGGACAATGGGAATCCTCGCCTTCACTTGACTGGCCTCATGCTGTGGTAGCCTAGTGATACCCAAAGCTTTTCTGCATGATCTAGCCACATAGGTAGTGGTACAGATGTCGACTGGAATGAGAAAAATCGGCCAACTCTGCAAATGAATGGAGCTTGGCAGTGCGATCCGGAGAATTTTCCGAATTGGTATAGTTTTCCAGTGATCGAGCAAATGACAGAAGAAGAACGCCCCGTCCGGGAGACACTAGCTGACGATGGAGACAATACGAACAACCTGTAAAGCCCATGCACGTGCCAATGATTGTTGCAATCCTACAGCCCGAACCAACTAGTAGCTATTTGATCTGCCGTGCGGGCCACAGTAGTAGTTTTAGATACCAGCATGATCCGCAGTTGACTCTTTGGGTCAACCAAGCATGGAAGCGGTCTATCAATCCTGTTGATGAGTCAGACTCAGTTGAGCTGGCTGGTCAAGATGAATTTCCCATCTGCACATGGCAATCTTCAGAGCGCACAGTGTGTCTCTTTCCGAGTCCTGTTGAGGGAGACAACCCAAGGCAGTGCTATGATTGAGTATTCTGGTGCACTGCAGACAAAGAATGGGTGGTCATAACTCATGAATGATGGAAGACTTCATGTTGTGATATAAAGTTGGCAAGCAGATGTTGACTTCGGATAGTTTGTTAGCCTCAGGTGACCGTCATCAACCTTCAGGAACCATCTCTAAATCACGTGGGACTCAACCTCAGCCGCCAGGCCTAAAATAGAAACCCACATGAGCAATCCCCAGTGTACCCACTCTTCAGAGTACGGGACACGATCGGATCCCGTGACTTGATCTCTGCAGTTCAGCTCGCCGATAAGGAGAAGTCTCGAACCTACTACCGCCGTTAGTGATCGTTCACGCCTGGTTGCACCACTCGCTTACAACTAGCTTGACGTCTGATCTCGACAATTATCCAGAGTTTTCTACGAGCTGCGTCACTTTGGGGTCTCCATCGTCATTCGTTTCGTTCTCCATCGACCAATACGTTGCAGCGCACCTTCAATCCCCCGCTGTTCCACATCAAACGCCCCCCCCCCCCGTTGTTGTGGAGACGGCCGTTCGACAATAATCTTTGACTCTGTGACCGCCCACCAATTTCAAGGTAGATCAACTGCTTCATCCTTTCCGCTGTCGCCTTTCCATAAGCATATCGACGGCCACAAATCATGGGGTTCGGCGACTTCAACTCAATATGCGACAAGACCCCGTTGCCGCTGTGCCTGCTCGTAGGCCCAGCGTCGTCAATCTCGGGGGCCACGGGCATCGTCTCAAATTGTTACGCGCGAAACATTGAGGTTGCCAACACTGTCATCTTCGAGGGTGCGGCCTCTTTCATGCACATCATCGCCCTTGCAATGACAGTGATTATGATCCTGCACATTCGATCCAAATTCACCGCTGTCGGTTCGTTAGCCTTCCCCGTTGATCGCAGATATAGCTCGAGATCTAGAATCATGCGCTAAACTGTTGACTGCTTTCCCCTAGGCCGCAAGGAGATTGTCACCTTCTTCTATATCTACTTGGCTCTCACCATCTTCACACTTGTCATCGATGCAGGCGTGGTACCACCACGCAGTGGCCCATTCCCCTATTTTGTGGCAGTCCAAAGCGGCCTGACATCCGCTCTCTGCGCCTGCCTGCTCGTCAACGGGTTCGTCGGATTTCAGTTGTATGAGGATGGAACTACACTCTCTGTATGGCTCGTGCGGATCAGTTCCGCCGCCATGTTCGCTCTCACCTTTGTCATCGCCCTCATGACGTTCAAATCATGGGGTGGACTAGGCCCCACCCATACCATGGGCTTATTCATCGTTCTCTACCTTCTCAACGCCATTGCCGTCGCAATCTATGTTGTCATGCAACTTCTTCTAGTCGCCAACACCCTCGATGATCGTTGGCCCTTGGGAAATATTGCCTTCGGTCTGTTGGTGTTTATCATTGGCCAGGTCTTGATGTATGCTTTCAGCGATACGATCTGCACCAACGTCCAGCACTATCTGGATGGATTATTCTTCGCCACTTTCTGCAACCTCCTGGCCGTGATGATGGTATACAAGGTGAGACCCTCCACAATCGCATTATTTCAAAATCCCTTTCTTGTCTCATACTGACTATCGGCTTTAGTTCTGGGACTCGATCACAAAGGAAGATCTAGAGTTCTCAGTGGGCGTCAAGCCTAACACGTGGGAAGTCAAAGAACTCCTTGCCGAGGATGACCGACGCCAGACCATGTACCAAGACACGAATTCCGAGTATGCTCCAAGCATGTACCACCAGCGCCAATCGGTATACGGACACAATTACTGAATGTTGACGTCCGTCTGCGTAGTGTTGAGTCATTTACCATCCTGACTCTGACTCATGCGGTGATTTATCTTCTTGTCTAAATTCTTGTTCCCCAACACTGTACTCTGGGAGGATTTTTTTACACATAATGCATTTTGGGAGTGTGTTTTTTTTTTCGAGCATTTGATTACCAGCTGAGCGGCTGCCTTACTGCAATCCACTTGAAATGAATATTTGGTATCTAAAGTTTTATCGAATGCGCTGATTGTACATGGATGTCACACGAGCAGTCGCTCATACTTTGAAGACAATGCGATGAACAACCTTGTCGGTCCTTCAATCCTGTCGTGGGCGTTGACAGTTTTATTCCTTTGGAGCGCCCCTCGCTCAGGCTGATCAATCCAGGATCTTTCTGAAATGACACGGGTAAAGCTGCGTAAAGTGATCTGGGCAGGGGAAGTTGCACTGCGCCATGGGGAGGAACTTTCTTTACTTGGGAATAAAGCACGGAAGGGATTTTGAGATGAATCTCGCCGCGACGATTACCTTTCGGCATATCCCGAGTCATTTGGAACCAGTGTGCATAAAAAGCTACCTCACTATTATCCAATGTTCACAATCATGTCGAGCCCGAGCTCTACCACTATCGTTCGTGACAGCGGATTCAGAGATAATTCGTCAATTCTTGACACTTCACATCTCTGATGTGCTGTGGCAAATGGTCCGATATCAGAGAGGCCCGTGTCCTATTCTGAGAGCCGAACAGAACGACGAGTTCAACGAAGGGAACCTGATGCTCCGGTGATGGTAATCACCGTTTTGATCTGAAGCTAGTGAACCTTTTCTAAAAACACGTCAGCCACATTCTCACCGGACAAAAGTAGGCTCGCCTGAACATCGATTGCGGAGAAATATTTACCCGATGTAGAGCAGGCTGAAGTCTTGCCTTCTGAGTGCCGAAGTTGCGCTCAAGCGCGCATGGGTTCAGGATTGATAAAAAAAAGAATTCAAAATTTCTGAATTGTCAGGATACTGGAGTCGAAACCAATTCCGCGTCCCTGTTGAATGATGCGCTTCATGAGATCCGTTGTGGCGACTTGAAATAGTGCTCTTCTGGCGTGTGAGCCGCGATTCGGGGGAACAGAGTAACGTAGCGAAGGTTTCGCCAGTATTCGAGGTTCAAATTCTCTGCAGAAAGCCTCACCGTCCCATTGGGAGCTTAGACACTCATTTTGAGGCCTGAAGGCATTGGGTTTCAGCGCTTGCCTTCCACGACCACGACATCATCATCCGAGACAAAATTATCCACCGGTCCAGTCGGCAGAGAGGGGTCTTCGACATCCGCTGGTCCGCTTGAGGAATCATACCAGCCTCGGTCGATGAACGATACTAGATTTCTGCATGCTTCGCTGAGTAGATCCAGGAAAGCTGGATTGTCCTTCGGTAAGAACATGCTGACATGAGCCTGGACTTCGTCACTGGCCTGGTTATTCACGGCTTTCGACCATTGAAGGCCAGTTCGGCTTGGCGTTGTCGAGCCGTCGCCGTACTCGACTTCCTCGGGGAGCAAACAGAAGGTCCTGTTCTTCGATCGGATGATCTTTTGACTGAATGAAGTCCTGCCGGTTTGCTTTTCCGCGACCAGATTTCCAGCACCCTGTCCTAGACAGGTAAAGAAATTTACGGACTTGATTCCGCGATCTTCTTGAACCCGCACCAAGCCTTCGAGACGCTGCTTCAGATCCGAAGGCCGCGCAAGACATCCCACAAATTCCAGATGAGAGGATACCCAAGTGAAGCCTGCTGTCAGATTTTGTCGCTGAGAATATAAAGCGGCGGCACCACCGGCTGCCACTGCCCCAGCTGCCCCGGCAAACATGGCGTATTTGCCCCAGCGCTGCCAAGACGGACCCTCTGCTGCATCGGCACTTGCAGGCAAAGCCTTAGGTGCTGCGTTTTGTGGCATCGAGCCTGCACTGCTCGATGAACCTTTGCCGTAGCCGAAGAGTCCTGCAACTTCGGTGAAAGTGTTGTAGGCCGTTGTCGCATTGCGGTAATGGCCTTCAGCCCCGTATGACACAACGCCTGGCGCGATACCTAGAAATGGGGTATCAAAGGCGAGCACGCCTTGGACATGGGGGAACATGAACGTGCCCGGTTCAATGATCGGCGTTTCTCCTTCGGCCTCTCCTGGCGACAATGAAGATGAGGTCGCAGAAGGTATGGGCTGCTCACTTGCAAGTAGTAACAGTGTCTCGGCAGCCACAATACCTCCCATGGAATGTCCGACTAAGAAGACATGAACGGATGGATCAACAGTTGGGGATGCAGTCTGATTCGCGACTTCAAGGTCGATGACTGTGTTTTGCAGCCTGATTTGGACCGCGCGGAAAGTTCATTGGTTGATGCTCCATACATGCATGAAATTTCGGGGGTACGCAGGGTCTTACCAGTCTCGAAAGCGTGCTACACATTCTTTTAGATCCCCTTTGGTTTCGTACTTGGGATAGACAGCAGTCACCACTTTGATGGCTGGAAGGGCCTTGCTCACTACCGTACGTAACTTCTCTGGGAAGGTGGCAAAGGTGTCGTCCCCTCCCTTGATCATTTGAGTCAGCCTTTTTTGAAATGATTCCGCGAAAAAGATTGAAGAGCACACAAGTCGGCATCACAGTAAAGAGCAGCATTTATTGAACACGATGCGAAGAGACATACCTTGAACCCATGGATGAAGACTAAAAGTAATATCTTGTGCATGATGTTCGTCACATTAAGTAGACCTGCATAGCCTGGATTGAGGGATCAAACTCGAAACGTTCAAGTCGTTGTTGGGTGCAGGAGCGTTCCAAGTGGTCGCCCAATGTCCAGAAAACAACGGCACTCTCGTCCTCGGATAGTGCACGATGCAATAAGCTGGCAGTATTGCCGCCGGACTGGTGCGCTGGCCTGAGGTATCTAGTGGATTCCACGTCATAGGTCACGTGTTGCTACGGATATATTCCAACTTCATCTGTAACAGATCTTACAAAGGAGGTGTTGCACGTGGGTAAAAGATACCCGTAATGATCAGTATTACACCAAGATCTACATACATAGGTGGTAATACGTAGCGAGGTCCTGTCAGAACTCCAATATTTCATGCCCTATTCCAGGTTTAGGAGGCATTGCCCACTGCCCACTTTGATGTTGTGCCTGTGCATCTTCGATACTGGCCTGATATATTAGGCAAGAGTATTCCGGGTCGCAGACAAAATGGACAAGACCCATGCAGAAGAAGCAATCTACGTAAAAAGTAGAGGAGGATATGAAGCAAATAACAAGAAAATTGGGTGATATACAAAGTGCGCCGGAAGTGCTCATGTGCTCGAGTAGTAGTGCGAAAGGTCCATGCCGTAATGGTACAAAAAGAGTTGGAAGACGGGTTAAGGAGCATGTCCACACGACGGGGACGACTGGCGACGGAGAGCAAATGTCAGGCCTATCGTGTAAGAGCAGTTCCAATAAAATGCGAAAACGAATGTTTTTACTGCATTTAGATGGAGTCCGCGATACTCCGAGTCTTGTTCCATTCGACCTTGCCATCGATATCCTTGATCTCTTCGAGCTTATCGCCAAGCTTGACGACGGAGAAATTGATCATACGGGGATCCAGACCTAACGTGCGGCGAATAGAGGACTGAACTGGGCCGGAAGCATCGAAACGCATGATGAAGTGATGGCCCTCGCTGTATCGGGCCTGATGTTTGGTAGTGACTTTGGGCAGGCGGAATGCGCCCCAGTTGGTGAACCCACGAACAACGCCACCGGAGCGGATGACTTGCAAGCCTGCGTTACGAGCAATCCTTGAGGAAGAATCAGCGTTCATGATCTATTTCATAGAGTGTGATTCGAAAAGGTGTGGCCCGATTGTAGCTTGAGGGATACGTACTCGCGAACCTCGTTGAGGCTGCCGGGGCGGACCTGCATGCGGATTGACACATTTTAGTATCTGGTTTCAAGGGAGTCTATGATATGCGAAGAAGGGTCACATACGATGGCAATCAATTCGTACAACATCGCATCGACAGTTGGCGCATGGACCCAGTATGGTGGTGTTAGGAGTCGGCGAGAAGCGTTGCCGTGGCGCAAAATTCCGACGAGGTCGGAGCTGATTAGGCTTATCGGTAGTCTCGGCGCTATCTTATCGATTGCATCGCAACTCCGCCGGGGAAAGCACCCCATCTTTCTTGCACTTAAACTCCTCTCCCAAGACCTTCTTCTTTTTCTTCCTTCTTCTTCTTCCTCTCAATTACACCATTCTCATATCTCAAAATGTCCTCCATTGCTCGCTCGATCCGCCCTTTTGCTTCCCGAGCTTTGGCTCAGAAGCCTTTCACTTGCACCCCCCGTGCTGCTCCTGCTTTCCGCTTCCCGCGGGGAACCCGGAGCTTCTCACAGAGCCCATTTGGTGAGTCTTTTTTGCACCTCAAGTTATCAATTCCTCGAGTCAAGACTGGCTTGACCATGTTGGCCTTGAATGATGTCGTGACATTGTTTCCTTGGTGATCAATGTGACCTTGGTGGTTAACGTCGCTCTCAATTGGCCTCAACAGTTCGGGTAAAGAAGTATACCGAGTCGCACGAATGGATCGAGCTCGCTGAGGGCAGCAACACCGGTGAGTCAATCGGAATACCCTTTTGCAGTGCTTGCAGTGCAGACTTTTGAACATTTTTGGAATCTAACAAATAATTACAGCCAAGATCGGCATCACCAATTACGCTGCTCACTCTTTGGGTGATGTCGTCTTCGTGGAGCTTCCTGAAGTCGATCTGGAGGTCGGCGCGGGTGAGCCCGTGGGAGCTGTCGAGTCCGTCAAGTCAGCCTCCGATGTTCTCTCTCCTGTGGCTGGAAAGGTCATCCGTGGCAACACCGTTCTTGAGGACAATGCGAAGACTATCAACGCCAGCCCCGAAGGCGAAGGCTGGATCGCCGAAATCGAGGTTGCTGATGTTGCTGCCCTTGATGCTCTGCTTGATGAGGCTGCTTACAATGAGACTCTCGACCAGTAAATCCTTAGAATCTGTCAAGGAAAGCGGCGGATGGTTAATAAGGAGTTCTGACTATATGATTTGTGACGATATGCCGCATACAACGTCCGTTGAGACGAATACTTTTTCAACAATGCTATGGATATGAGCGTCAATGTTGCCACAACTGTGATCTGATGGGACTTTGAGTTATTCAAAATAAGTTGGTCATTTTTGGAATAGAGCGCGACTCAACAGGTGCAGGTGGCTGCTCACCTCGTGTGCTACAAGATATTCTTTAGATGGTCACCTCTACCTAGGTATTCATATTCAGATGACCTACAACTTGAAACAGGCGTCGGGTATCATTTATAGCCTATTTCTTGTTAGCGACGGCGGAGTGCTCCCTCACACGGGTGCCACGATAAAGTTTGGCAGGACTATGAGAAACAATTGTTGCCCGTTAGGTATGTATTCCATAAGGTTGCAGCGAGCAAGAACTATTCAATTCTAACTCGGATAAACGAGAAAACATCTCTAGCATGTCTGTTCCGATGCAACTCTATACAGGAGGAATCGATTCACGGCAGATAGGACATTGCAAACGGAGCCTCATCCAGCTCTCCAAGCAAGGTGTGTGGAATATGTGTCGACATGGAGTTACCATGTATGTGCGGCGACTTAATATGTTAGAAGCGCCCTCGGCGACGCTGCTTCCGCCAGCAGAAGTAGATGCCGAAAAAACAGGAATCTCTATGTCTTGCATGCATATAGCGCAGTCAAAGACGACCTTTTTGCGATTTGGGGACATGTGCTTGCCGTCATCCTTCGTGTCAGCGATCAAGTCGCGTTCGTCAGCACGTAGGGAAGTAATGGATATCACATTCCCAGATTCAAGATCTTCGTCAGTACTTGAACCATCTCGAAGAGTTGGATGGTAGTCATAAGCAGGAGGAGCCCAGCCGCGAGGAACGAAAAACCTAGGCCCAAGAACGTCTTGGCTGGCTAGGACCCAGGCTTGCACCCATACCCACCCAACCATGACCAAGGCAGTTGTCCAGTCAGGACGTATGAACAGAACGTTCTCGCGAGCCGTCAAAAAGTACACGAATGGGAATAGTCGTAGGACACTTTGTCCGATGACAAATTCCCAGCGCAATGCTTTGCGACAGTTGCGCATCACGTTGCGGTAAATTTGGGGAACCCAGAACGAAAGGTAAATCCCTGCAGCCACCCGCGCAAAGATCGAACCTGCTCGGCGCGGCAGGAACGTGGCCGAGGAAGTTACCATGAACAGTGCGAAAAACACCAGGTAAAAGCGCGCATACATGGTGCCCACATCTGTACGGGGTTGGGTCGCAGTTGGCGCCACAGTTCGATTGGGATTTGCTGGTGGGTCCAAGTCATCGGCAGGCGGGTCTTGATCCGGGGTCAGGATGACCACTGGTGTGGCCCCGGTATCCTGCGCGGGAGCCGTGACAGGCAAAGGAAGTGTGCCCGGGCGTGTTGTGGGGGCTGGAGCGTTCGCCGACCGTTCCTCCCGTCTCTCCGGCTCTTGAACCGCCCAGATTTCCAGCATGAACTTCATGCCAATATAACTGACGGAGAGGAATGCCAGGAACAAGGCGGTAGACAAAACCAGGAAGGAAACAGTGGCGGAAAGCGCCAGAACCATGAATGCCAGAATCAATCCATCTCCGAGCGCCATCAACGCGATAGTGTAGAAGCTGATTCGACTTCGCGTGGAAGGAGTCGAAGCCTCTTTGATCTGACGCAGCAACAGAGCGATCTGTCCAACGAAAACACCGCAGGTCATGAAGAGGAGACGCGCAGAGTACTTGCTGTATTGTTCCGCTTTAGGGCCTGTCAGAAACAGCGAATCCGTGGGAGGGAATTCGGGAGCTCCCTTTGATTCGAGAATGTATCCGCAGTCGGGGGAGAATACGACACATGACATTGTCATAAGCGGAGGGTCAGGGATGGGCGCTCCCACAGGATACCTGAGTTCCTGTTCCATTCGATCAAGCGTCAGCCTGTCAGCAACCATGCCCTCGATCACAACCGGATGTTGCTGGATAAAGACAACATGTTCGCACTTTGGCGCTAGAAATTCAACCTGTTCGGTCCCTGCTAATGTAGACCACGGGATGAACGATGGATGAAGAGACTGGTTTCTCGACATTGTGCTCACGAGGGACTTGATGGACAGCTTGTGAGACATTTCGAATGTATCGGCTGAGAGCGTAAGATGGGCCAATGTAAAGATCCCGGCAAACTTTTCACTCGTAGTGGTCAAAACGATGCCTCCATTCTCTGGGAAATGTACGCCAGATAGCGGCATATCCCAGCTGCTACCCCAGAAGTCATTGCTCTCAACTTTGAGGCTAGCCCGAATTTCTCGGACAAGCGACTCTCCGATACGAAGGTCTTCCCCACCGCCTTCTTCAATGTCAAAGTAGAATGAACCGTCATTGCCCGTGATATTGGAGCTGAACTCAGCATTGTAGTATTGATGCTCCAGAGCGATCGCAGTCATGTTGAGAGGCAGGCGGCGCTGTACATCAGATCTGCGAACCCAGTCTCCGTGAAGCTTACCCGTAACATTGCGATAGACCGGCAGGAAAAGCTTGGTAAGGTTGGAAGATGAGGACAAGGGGATATCGTCAACGCCTCGGGGCGTTTCTACCCCAGCGGCCGTGAGAGCGGATTGCAACTGATCACGGACGCGATTTTGGGCATGTGGAAGGAGGTCCCACGCGAAGCTATCGTTGGATCGCGCGCCCAGAAACGGAAGCCATCGCTCCGCCGGCGGATCAAAGTCTCCATACTTGGACCCGTTCAGTAATTGCAGCACATTTTCCTCTCGCTCAAGCGCCCGCTGGCGCTCCCGATCTTCATCAATGAGCGGGGGACGTGACTGGGAGCTGAGGAGCAGGTAGAAGACGAGAAGAAAGACAATGAAGGAGCCGCGATTATCCATCGACGCCACGCAGATGCTGCATTGGAATCTTTCACTCAGCACACTGGAGAAAAATACATCGCTGACAAAATCAACACAAAGTTCTGAATGTCACTCGCGGCTCTCATATACCGCGCCTCGGGCAAATGCGCTTTGCGATCAATGACGAGGGTGGTAGTCCTGCGGTGTCTGCTCCGAGTGGATGATGTACATGACATGCGGTCGAGACCATTGCCTCCCCGCCCCTTCCGCCCGCCAAGAGACACCTGAATTCCAAGGCTTTATAGGGTGGCCTCCTCCGTTATCTCCTTTTCCCGCGAGCTTGGTTCGAGCTTCAAGACGGTGTTTGTGCACCCCACCCGACGATTGTGTATACGATATACATCCGCCAGGCCACTGTAACAATGGCCTCAAATCTCCCTCTGCCGATACCTCCCCGTACCCCGACTCCGCCACCAGATGAGGCTCATGATCACCATGCATCGTTAATCAATACAGCAGTCCCGATGGATCGCGACGCGTTATCGCCGCTTCGAGAGTCATTTCCCCGGACAATGCCTCTAGATGCAGGTACATCGGATCGCTGGAGCCCAACTAAATCAGCTTTTACCCTCAGCCCAGGGCGGGCAGACAATAGTACCTCAGCCGACAATGGACCTAGTGAGCCTTCATCTGCAAGCCCGTTCAACTTCAACACAACTGTCATGGCCAAGGGTCCAGTTGTGAAATCGGTATGCTTCATACTTCGACGAACCTTTTGTTATGTAAATAAGATCCTGACAAATCATAGAACATTGGACAGCGCCGGGGTCACAAGTACAAACACAGTAGTATCTCGCATCAAATATTCCTCGAACCTCCACCACGAGCACCCTTGGCTTTGCCAAACTCGCTGCCTATCCCAACATGGAAGGAGTGCCGTGCTAGCATGTCAAGAGAGCAGAAAACACGGTTTTGGTGGAGTGTCTGCCATATGTTTGTCGCTGCATACACCTTGTGGACCGCGCACGGGTCGCTCGCGATGACTGCGCTTTCCCACTTGATATTGTTCGACTCATTGGGTGCTCTGCTTTGCGTGGCTGTCGATATCCTTGGGAACTTTGAGGTGTGGAAGCGGTCCAGTATTCGACATCCATTTGGACTCGCACGAACTGAAGTCCTTGCAGGATTTGCCATGTGTGTCCTCTTGCTGTTCATGGGTATGGATTTGATCTCCCACAACCTACAGCACTTTTTGGAAAAGTCAGGTCACGAACCACACCATGACCACGACCATGAACGGGCTTCTGTCGGGAGGGTGGACATCACTGCTTTGCTGGCTATATCCTCCACGCTGGTCTCTGCAATTGGGCTAAAGAACCATGCGCGTATTGGTAAAGCCATGCGATTCGGGTACATCAAGTCCCTTCCGTCGGTACTGAGCAACCCGTCGCATTTCCTTACCCTCTCATGTTCAACACTCTTACTTCTGCTACCGTTGGTCTCGGTACGAATCTATGATTGGCTTGATAAGCTCCTCTCGGGCACGATCGCAATTTCGATGTGCATGCTTGGTGTTCGCCTGGTCAAGACTCTGGGGTCAATGCTGCTCATGTCTTATTCAGGTCCAGGGGTTCCCGAGGTCATTAAGGACATCGAGGCGGACCCCGCTGTGTACGGAGTTGACGATGCACGCTTCTGGCAAGTTCACTACGGACTCTGCATGGCGAATTTGAAAATTCGGGTCGGTGGCTCAGAGGAAACCACTTCTCGTTTGAGAGAGAAAATTTCCAGTTTGATTCGAAACCGCCTCGGGGGCGGATATGGCACTGGCAGTCAGAAGTGGGAAGTGACCCTCCAATTGACTATAGAGAAATCCTGAAGTACTGCATGATATGAAACATGCTCATGAGATACCACTTATCATACTTCAATTCACATCAATATTGTCCACAGTAGGATTCCACTCTTCCGGTTCGGTTCGATAGTGACGCAGAGACCCTCAGCTAATTTACCCGTTAAGTCCTGTCCTTCAACTTCTAGAGCAGCGCGTGAGGAAGCCACGCAGAGCTCATTGGATGGAGATCACTCGGGTGGTAGAGTAGCGTCTAATGTATGTGCTACTGTGCAATTGGCCGGCGGTTTATTCGCAACGACTCTCCGAGGTTGAATAGATATCAAACCGTGGAATTTTGGTACATGTCAAAAAAAAAAAAAGGAAATAAGAATGAATACACACGCAATGCTTCCACTCCTGCAATAATCATCACTTCAAACGCAGACCAGCCGCTTATGATGCAGCAGCCAAAACAGCGTTCTCCTCGGTCTTGCTAAGCGCTTCGCGCTCATCCCGTCGTCGGCGCTTCTCAAGAATGGCCTCTCGTCGCTGAGCGAGCATCTTCAATTGACGGTTCTCGACACCCTGCATCCAGTAGCCGAAGCTGCCACCAACACCAGCAAACAGAGGGTAGACCCAGAGGGATTCTTTAGCGAGAATGGGGCGCATCTCGATACCGAGTTGCCAAAGGCGGACGGCGATGCCTGTTGTGGTAGACAGGTTAGTCGAAAATCCTTACAGAACTCAAAAGGTGCCAAGGTCAAACGAATTGCACGTCGACGAAGGTGAGGGAGGAGCACGTCACGCACCGAAGCCGCTCCAGAAGAGGACCTTGTGAACCATTGTAGCGGGTTTGACGGAGGCGTCTCGGGGGCCGTAGAGGAGTTTGACAAGCTAGCTCCAGATAAGACAAGAAGTGTGGTATGTCCGCGCCGCTGCAATGGAGCGTCTCCCGAGGTAAATGTGGATGGGGTCGGACGAAGCGTGTAGTTGTATCCGGGCGGCAGGAGGTTGAAGCAAATCAGCAACCCGCAGTTCTAACCACGGAACAACATTCTGCCGTCGCTCGGTCGTGTCATCGCTTATCGATTGTCGCGCGCGCCCGATGAATTACAACTGCCTCTTGCTCCTTCAATCGCGTGAGGTCCCCCGACACTTCGAAATGACTACCAAGGAAGTCATGGAAGACGTGCAGGTGGGATCCAAACGGTCTACACCTGATGTAGGCTTGTTGACTCGCAAAAAGTACAAGCCTGAAGACCTTCCAATATCCGCGGCCCAAAATGCGGCGATTGACAAGTTGCTCCACTCTTTCAAAAAGAAAGGTGGTTTTGACAGCATTCGCAAACAAATATGGGCGGAATTCAATCAAGGTGTATGTGCCTACAGCTTGGAGAAAATCGTCCTTGGTTTTGTCCACATACGGAAGGCTGACAAGTTTCGAAGGATTCCAAATCTAGATTCACGGACCAATTGATTGAATTAGCGGAATCGGAGATCGAGCGCGAACCAGCACATCTTTCGCGAGAACGTGGGAAAGCGGCGACGCTGATAGAAGGCGCAGTTGATCGAAGTGATGTGTACAAGAACGTCGAAGAGTCAATCAATGCACTAGCCTCCAAGCATCTCCAAAGTATTCTGGACACAGTCCGCGCTATCCGCCGCGAAGATGTTGGGGAAGAGATCGCTTCGAAAGAAGAAGCCTCCGGAAGCAAGACCGATGATGATTACGAGGCTTTCGTCCAGGCCAAGCGAGAGGAAAGGGACAAGATTTGGCGCGAAGAAATGCGCAAACAAAAAGAACTGGAGGAGGAACAAAGGCGGGTCAGAGAAGAAGAGCAACGCAAGAAACGGGAGATGGAGCGACAGAAAGAAGAAGAAGAAAGGGCTCGAAGGAAGGAAATTGACGACAAAAGGCGCGCCGAACGTGAGCGACTACGTGAAGAACAAAGGGCACTCGATGAGCAACGTGACCGTGAGCGAGAAGAGCGTTACGAACGAAGGAGGAAAGAGGAGCGTGATCGGTATCGTCACCGCGACCGCTCGCCGGCATATCGGGACCGGGGTTTATCTCCTCGTGTCAAGGATCTGAAGCGGGAGAAATCCACGACCTCGAAAGACCCAACGCCCGCTCCAAATCTTCCCAACGTCGATGAGAAATCATTGGAGGAGTTTGCTTTGCAGATGCTCCTGAAAGAGGGAGAGGAACTAGCCGCCAAGGCTCGTCAAAAGCGTGAATTTGACTTTGAGGAGGCAGAAGCTATTGAGAATGGCCTGAAGCCGTCTGCGTCCGCCGCGCCCCCTAAAGCGTCTGGCGCCTCCACGAGAGGGCCCAGTCCGTCCAGAAATTCCAGAAGGGCTGATTCTACTGTCGGCCGTTCTGACCGAGTCAGACTTTCAATTAGAGATCGAAGCCGCAGCCGCAGTCGCTCGCGCCGCCGGCATACCTCTCGTTATGACCCTGACCGTCGCCGTGACCGCTCTCGAGACGCATCCATTAGGTCTCGAGACCGCTCTATGGAAGCCCGTCGTGGCTATCGAGACTTTCGGGATTTCCGCGAGGAGCGCAATTACCGTCCTGTACGACGAAGCCGCAGTCGTTCAGCCAGCAGACCGCTGCGTGAAAGAGAAAGAGAGCGTGAATGGGATAGAGATCGCAGGCGATCAAGATCCCGCGATCACGACAGAGACTTTGATCGGCGGCGTCATGATCGTAGCCGCGGTAGAGACCGTCCTGGTGATGATGACTATCGTCCGCGGCGAACTCGATATACTCGTTCCCCATCTCGCCGAAGGTCACGTTCTCGCTCTCGTTTCCGGCGTCGTAGCCGAGAGCGCCACCGGTCAAGATCTCGCTCTGCTGTTCCCAGATGGCGCTCTCGATCACGATCAAACACCAGACGGAGGTCACGCTCTCGCCGCCGGTCGCCTCAACGGCGGACCTCTCCCGGCTCTCTAGACATTGACCGCTACGTACCGGTCACGAGTACTCGCAGTCGATCACCCCGACGTCGTGTTCGGTCTACCGAACGAGAGCGGGAGAGGGACCGCGAAATGGATCAAGAGAAGGATAGATCAATGGAAGATGCTGACCGTTACATCCCTGCTTTTGAACAAGCAAAAGGATCGCAGCGTGACACTGCCACGAATGGCGAATGTGAAGCAGCGGCCACGGATCCAACGGTGAAAAAGATGGATGATCGACGATCTCACCAACGTAACCGCAGTCGACGAAGAAGCCCCAGCAGGAGGAGAAGCCGGTCCCGACGAAGGAGCCGAAGCAGATAATCTTCTTCTCAATGCTAGTACGACTACATGATCCGGGATTTTCAACACTGCTGAGTCCATCAGCGCTGTATTAATGACTCTCGTGCTCAATCATACCGATAACCTAGTTTGTTGATGCTCAAAACAATATCCTGACCCTAAGCTAGCTTTGTACAGTAGTAGCTACTAGCTAGTAGCTAGTAGCTACAGTTTGTTGACTGATTAACGCAGAGTCCCATCAGTGCTTCGTTCATAGTCGTACTACCCTTTAGGCTCTTACCATGTGGAGCCAGTAGCCTACTAGCCACTGGCCAGTGAGCCACAGCCTCACATGAAAACCGATTCTTATCTTATCGGCCCCAGCTCCACCTTCCAAAAAGTTGCAGTGCAAATACCATGCGACTCGTTCGATTTTTTGAATTCTCTACAATAGGCAGTCTCAATTGACAGAGATTTAGTCACAACACTTGGAACCATTCACCAGCATACCGTCGCTTGGCAAGCTATCACCTTGTTCGTTCAGGACATCGGCGCCGACCGTCCTCCCACCCAACTGCTCTGCTCCCATCGGGTCCACTTTCTTCATTCACAAACGGTTTACTCGACTCTCAAAGCGACACATACCTTAACGGGCCGGTAGTCGTTGAGCGAGAATATCAAACCGACACAATGAGTGCTGTATCAGCCAAATCCACGCCACAACGCCGTGAGGACAAAGACCCTTTGGCCTCCGACGACGACCCGACCTCATCCTCCGGATCCTCGTCGTCAGAAAGTGAAAGCGAAAGCGAAAGTGATGAGGGAGATAGTTCCGATGAACGCGAAGACGCAGACATGCACGACGCAACCGGGCCCACGTCCACATCTGCCCCGTCAATACCCAGTCTGGCTGGACGCCCAAAGCCGAACATACACCGTGTAAATGGGGGGTCTGATTTGTTATCACGACTATCGGCTTTCTTGCCGAAGTTGAAGGATGCCAATGAGGATCTGGAGAAGGAGATTGCGGCCGGTAGGGGGCAGGAGATGGTGTTGGACTCTGTGGACGAAGATGGGAAGGATTATATTGAGATGGTAGGTGACTTTCTTTTATCCTCTTTTTTTTTTCCGGCTCATTGTCCGTAGTATTTTGAGTGAATCGCTTGTACTGACATTTCGCAGAACCTTGGCTTGGGTGTCCTGGAAGAGAAGCGCGATGGGGATCCAGACGTCCTTGGTGGCGAGGTTGACGACGATGAGAACGCAAAATCAGACGAGGATAAGCTCGATGCTGATGGAGATTCAGATCTTCTCGGACAGCTGATGGGCGGGATCACTTCGTCGAAGATCAAGCCGTCTATTGAGGAGATGATGGAATGACAATGCATCGGGATTTGAAATACGTGATGTTATGCCTCTGCATATGTGCCTTTGTTATCTAGCGATCCGGTTTCATGTCTTCTGTCTTCTCTTTTTCAAAGTCTTTTTCATTTTTTTTTTTTTTGCATTGGCGATGAGAATTCCTTATCGAAATGGAGGGCTTCAAAAAGTTTGTTACGAAGAGTCTTTAATTCATGCGCAGTGTATGTACCTCCAGGGCCTGTATCAAGTATAGGATCACCATTTCCTGCACATCTGATAATCTAGCCCCGGCTGTTGACCTCGGCAAAGGGGTTACACTTCCATGGAGTGACGAGAACGGATGTAAAAGTTGCAAGAGGCCTGCTTCCAGTCGTGCATGCTTGCAACAAGCCTGTATACACAGGTCGGACATGTGTACTACACGGATGGAGGAGACTCGGAATTTCGAGCAAGTTACAACGGTTGTGAGTGCTGAATCAATGACAAGATCATATATACATTTTGTATATCAGAGCCTCGGAGCTCTACGATATGTACAGACAGTCTTATAGACAGGGGAGATTCTTTAAAATGCAGACATGAAACTGACTGTGCTTACCTTATGCACGGCTCGGACTCGGCAGTGGTTCTTTTGCACTCAACATCGGCCTATGAGGCAAACTGCCGATAAGCCTGGATGAGACCCTCCCAGCTACCAGGATGATTATACTCGGTGGGGTTAGAATCGCCATCGAGAATCATGACATCAGTCTTTCTGGTACTGATGGAATACCAGACCAGATTCTCGGGACTGTTGGCGACGCGCATCATATTGGTCTGGCAAGAGCCAGAGCACTGCGTACTGTAGTCACCATACCATGGTCCGTTGAAGAACGCCCAAGCGGCACTGTTATAAAGCAACACATTCTTGCCTCCGTCAACGTTGGTAGCGAGTGAGGTTCGGCACTTTTGATCACCGCCACCGCACCAGGAGAAGTCAGGGTCACCATAGACAGCTTCGGCAGTCCAGGGCGCCGGAGCGGAGTGCGTCGCGCCTGAACCCTGCATGTAGGGACTTTCAGACTGCAATAAGCCGGCGAAAACGTTCTCGGCCGCGTGGAAGTTATAGTTGTACAGCCAGTTGTGTTCCGATCCAGTGCCGGTCAACCATGTGCCCCTGGTGGCTTCGACCAGAACACCACGGCCGGTGGAGATCACGGTGTAGGCAGAGCCGCCGTTGTCAAGGTTGTGGTCGGCGGTCCAGACCCAGAGATTTTCAATATAGGCAGATGAAGAAGATGTCAGGTGCAAAGCGAGGAAGGCCGCCATGCACTGCGAAGTGTCTTCATTCTGGCAGTTGGTCGAGATGCTGGTGTCGTAAGTACCGCCGATGAGCACCATGGTGTTCCACATGGCAACATCACCCGGGTTAGCCCCGGCAGCATTGACTTCAACAATGATCGCACCAGGAAGGATTTCACTGACACCGAAGCGCATATCCTGAATTTCAATAACACCAACATCACCAGGCTGTCCAAGTTGGACAACAGGCTTCGGGTTGGAGGAATCCTTGAAGGCATTGCCCTTGCCAGAGATGACAGCCCAGGCTTCACCGGCGATACGCGAACCCACGGGGATTTTGAGGGTATCGTCAACGATATAAACACCGTAAGGGAAGTAAGTGATCTTGCAGTTAGCCGCGTTATCGGCGAGAATGGCATTCAACGAAGCAACATCACTGGTCCTGCCATCTCCGTACACCTTGTGACCATCGACGCTCTTGACATTGACGACTTGGTCGGCCGCATATTCGGCGTAGGTGGGCTGAGTGCGCATGAAATACTTGCCGTTTGACAACAGGACATCTGGACGGGAGGTGGTAAACGTGGTACCGGTCTCGTACGTTCCAGGAGTGACGTTACCCCAAGCCCAAGTGTCGACATGGCTTGTGGCTGCAAGCTTCACATCACCATTGCTAGTCACAGCAATGGGGTGATCAGTGTCATGCTCGAGATTCTCAATTAGCAGCTGGCTGTTGCGATTGCCTCCATCGTTGGAGGAGTCATAGAACTTGACGGCGGTACCAGAGTTGGTCACCTTGGAATCCAAGAGAACCAAGCTGCCCAACTCGTTGGCGGTCATGTCAATGCCAACGCCGTTGGAATCAAAGGTAGCACCCTGGAGCAAAACGGTCCAGCCACCGCCACCGTTGTCCACAGCGCCCTTGAAGCCCAGTGTACAGCCCTGGAAGTAAATGTTCTTGAAGTTGACCTGCTGGTTGGAGTTTTCAATACCCACGGCACCACCGTGAATGTGGACATCAGTCACGGCGATCGTAGACCCGCCGGTGAGCTTAATACCCACCTGGCCATTGGAGTTGTAAGGCATGTTGATCTTGACGTTGGTCAAGCCGGAACCCTGAGCGACACCCCACTGTAAGGCCGTGATGGCCGCATCGGGGCTCAGTGCCGTAGTATCAATTACCACATTGCGCAGGAGAGTCATGAAACTCGTCTCCGGGGCACCGTGGGGGCTATCGTATCCGTTGACGATAGTGTCGCCATTAAAGTTGGCCGAGGCTTTGAGCACTGCGGGATTCAGAGGGTCACCCGTGATGACCGTACCCACGCGGAGATTCAATGTGCTTCCCAGTTGGTATGTACCACCGGGCAAGAACACTTCCGCAGGGAACTTGGTGACACCTTTGCCCTCTCGACTGCCATTGGATCCGTCATCGTCAATGGCGTTCTGGATACTGCCAGTCTGATCGCCAGAGCCGTCTGCCGAGGCGCCATACTGTTGAACATTGCGCCACACAGGGTACCTGGCGTTCTTGGTCACCCCCGGCGCATATCCGCGGGAGACACCAGTATGATCCTGGTCTGCCATCCAGTAAGAGGTCGGAGAAGAGGCAACGGGACCTGAGCAAGCTCTCTTTTCAAAGATGCTGGTGAGGGTCGCGTGTTAGCCATGCGGTCCATACAGCAAACGAGTCCCATAAAAGCAGTCTAACCTCTTGGGCTGTGAGACAGGCAGAGCCGCTGCCGAGGCTGTGGCTATGATGCCCGTCACGGCCGTCCATAAATGAATGCCACGCATGGTGTAGCGAAAAGTGATAGGCAAAGAAGTGAGTGACGAAGACACAGGTAGAAGAGACGGATGAAGGAAGGTAGTTTGGACTTTGTTCAACTGTGGTCAATTGGAAAAGAAGGACTGTCGATGAAAAGAGGGACGATATGCTCAGCAGAATGAATCTCAATATCTCATACAGTGACAGAGCCTGCTTTATAGCAGTAGCAGCTGCGACTGGGCTTCCCCGTATCCATGATCTGTCGCTTCGCCATCTCTACGTGTCGTGAGAACGAGGTACCTTGTTGCTGACGATGTCTCATAGCGTCGCATTCGACTTCAGCAAAAGAAGGCAGATTCCCGTTTGAGCGTAGATCGCAAAGTATTGAAGAAGATCGTCGTCCTCGTGGGGGAAAATGCATGTGGCCGGCAGTATACAAGATGGCACCTCATTGGATCGTTGGACGATGGCTCCGTTTCAGGGGCTCAGGTGTTTGTCCAAGTTAGGAAATTGGTATACTTCGCAGTTCACACAGTCCAGCACTTGACGTTAGTCGAAGTTTAGTCAAAGTCAAGCAGCTGGCTGATATGAGCAGTCGCCCTCGTACCCGAGGAAGCAGCCCAGATCAGTTGCTAGTGCTACTACTCCTTTCGTGATCGTTTCTTTCGGCGGGGTGGCAAGAGCCGGAGCGAGGCCGACCGTGAGGTCTAATTGGGATTGTTTTGGGCCACGAGGCCTGCCACATGTTTCTCTCAGGCCATGAATCGTCCCATCATTGACGAGGCAAACGGCTGTTGGTGGGTGTCATCTACCCGGCAACTTGAAGAAGCTAAAAGTCGGGTGCGATGCAGCTTCGACATGTTTCTCGATTTGGCAATTCCGCAATCAATGCATCCTGCATCTCTGTCTCGAGAACCCCTCGTTCCTATTCGGTGCACCCCTGCATGATCTAGCGTCTGCAGTAGACTGTATGCACGCATGCTCGATTTCCATACGACGCGTATAGTCATGTGAAATGATGATGTGCAGGTGATGCAGGATACATCAAGATTGTACGTGGGTCACAACCCCAACCGGTGCCTGACCAACCGATCAGTCGGAAGTAGCAAATCCCAGTGCAAACGTGCAGTCATTGATTAGGTAAGTTCCAGGTACGGATTAAGTTAGTGCCATGATCAGTGTCTCAGCCTGGCTCTGCATGGAGGTTACATCGATTCGAGACAGTCGACAGTTTGGTGCAAATAGTAGAGCGTGGCTTTGACCCGTGGGTAACAGAAGTAAGTAGTGCAGTGAGCAGTCTTTACGCGAGTGGTGTCACTCTCCTGTCACTCCGATGAGATGCTGTATGCCTGGTTTCTAGACAGGTACAGTGCGTGGGAGGTTTCAGGTACACAGAAGTCATAAGTTAGTGAAGATGGGTCGAGTAGTCAGTAGTCGCGCACTTCAAGACCTATACTGTCATTCAATTGACCTTTCAAGCCAGACTTCCATGATCCTTCATCCAAGCATTAGAAGGCTACTGCCTTTGCTACTTGGAATGTGTAACTACTGTCGTTGAAGAGAGACCGATCAAAAGTGGATGACACAGTCCATGTGCAATAGGAGATCAATTTGTGACTACCTAATGTATATATCCATTTTCTATTGAGGGGCGAAATAAGACTACCTACCTACCTACCTACCTACCAAGTTAAGGTGGTCTCCCTCCATTGTCACTTTTCGAAGGACCAACAATTTAGTGAGGCCTCATCCTCTCAGCCTCGGGCCACAATTGTTCTTCCACCTGACTGCACAGGCAGTGCCATGCTATCACATCAGTGAGCTGTAGACATGTGCCTGAACCCGAGCAAAAGGGCAGCAAATTGGAGCGGTCTTATCGCGCCAAGTTCTCAGCCCTGCTTTTGCGAGATTAGGCAAGTGTGCAGTGTTTGCGCCGATCAATCCACATGTTCCTATTTGGGGCCCTCGAACGGATTTAATACAAGCTTCGATCTAGCCAATAGATATCGATCTGTAGAAGACTGGAAAAGGTACAAGGTATATCCTCCAACTTGAGGGAGAAGATGCATCATTGAGGTATTTCCTCTTTGGGTACTATCCACGAGGGGCAGAGACTCCCGTCGGTTAGCGGTACCGCACAGGGTCTTCCTCAACTTTCGACAAAACATAGTAGGTTAGGTATGTAACTAACACCAGGGCTGACGCTTTATGCAGACTGCAGCCCGGCACGACTTACGTCACGTAGATTTCTGTCTTTCCGTCAGGCGTCGCCAAGGTTTCTATGGATGGAGAAGCAAGCACGCTCGGACCATTGGGGATATCTCTTATGAGACTGAATTCGCGACATATCGTAATTCCAATCAAAAGATCCTAGAACGATCAATGATCGAATGTGCACTCAACGTCTGGGAATGTTTTCTTTGCGGGCTTGTTTAACGCTATAACCTGCTACCTAGGATATCACTTCAGTGGCGGTCGCTTTCGCATAGCAGCCCGGAGGACAAGGTACAATCTCACAAACAAACAATCGTCACAGAGTCCTTGCATTTTTTTCCCCAGATGATACTCGAAGGGTAACGTCAGATCTAGGAGCCGGGATCAAGAAAAAAAGACATTGAGAAGAAGAGAAACAAGAAGGGACATGAGAAGGTTTCGAACGTCTATATATGTGCATGAGCCCATCGCGTTGAATAGAGCCATGAGGCTGGAATTAAAGGCGTGAATAGGAGTGAACGTTATGGCGTAAAGTGGGAAATTTATGAGACTTCCTTGATGCGACAGGTCCAGCCAGATTCTTGGCTGAGAAGCGGCAAACTGAAGAAGGTCTTAGTACGGATCATTCGAAAAATTGGAGTCATGAAAAGTGCAAACGCTTACCTGGCACCCAAGCACCAGCCCAGTTCATTATCTTTGATCTTCTTAGCGATCTTGACCTCACGAGATAGGGGCATTTCATAACCAGTGTGCAGAAGGCCCATCATGAAATTGAGATCCATACACCAGTCAGGACGATCACGAAGCTCAACGAGCGCGCCCTTGACACCCTCAAAGACACCCCAGGTCTCCTCGCCACCACAGACGCTTGCGGTGAGCTTGTGCAGCTCATCAAGAGTAAACGAAGAAGGCATGCCCAATGGCGCAGTGCGGTCAAAGAAGTAGGAGAAAATATACACGTCTTCGCGAGAGAAGGTTTTCGCAAGAGACGGCTGGTGGATGCCATTGAAAGAGCACGGGGCCAGCTTGCACTCGGCGTCCTTCTTCAGGATCTTCTCGGCAATAGCCCGACACTGCGCGGCGGGGGAGGCATCTTGGGGACCAGCCATCGTCACAGTCACCTTAGGCCCAAGGGGGTGATCATCGGGGAATGTCACGGTGACCTCTTTCTTCATGTTCGGTTGAATGCAGGGATTCGAAACAGGCTTCTTGGTCCAAGATAAGTCCTCCGGATTGTTGGCCAATGCGGCCTCGAGAACCACACGGTTCATAGCTTCGCGAGCGGACATCAGCCCGTATCCAAGATGAGAGTGCTGGTAGAGCTCAAACTCGCGTCCGCCAAATTTCAGCTCATACTTGTGGTCACCTTCGGCGAGGCGCTCGGGCATGCCGCCAGCCTTGCTCTTCTCGAATGTGGGCTGAAAGACGATCTGAGTCGAGCCACCTCCAAGATCAAAGATAGCAGCCGTTGGGGTCTCATCCGGACCGCCGATCTTACCCAAAAGGTAGTTGGTGGTAATCCAGGCATAGACTCCCTCGTCAGAGCCATCCATGATTTGAACACCACCCTTCTCGCGGGAGACAACGGGGAACGGGTAGACTGTCTCCAGGCGGGTTCGAACAGCCTCCAGAATGTTCTTGCTGAGTTCGGGGCCCAGAAGACGCAAACCTGCTGTAGCCTTGACCGCAACCGGAGTGCAGGATCTGTACTCCTCGGGTACGTTCTTCAGAGCTGTCTCCATGAGGGGATCCAGACTGCGAGCGGCCCCCTCCGCATCCTCACGGTAAGAACTGAGACCAGAACCGCCCTCCTTCTTCTTAGTCTGCTCGAAGACTTCATTCTCCAGTTCAGGGGTAGAGCCACAGTTGTTGAAGCGATAGACATGAATTCGAGAGCCGGTGCTGCCGGCGTCGATCATGAGAGCATATTGAATCAGCGGTTTCGAAGAGTCAAAGGGTTTGGTGCACTTGGTTGATACGCCACCTGAGGAGGGCGCTTTCTCTGAAAAAAAAAAAAAAACAAGACCAGTGTTAGTGGCGCACGGGCGACTGAAAACCTCCCGTTTCAATGGGATTGAGAAATGACGCCACATACCCTGTGTGAAGCTACTCGAGACAGTCGACTTTGACGGCGACAGCCACAGTAGGAGCATGAACACAAAGCCAACAATGGCACCCGTTTTGATCCAACGGGACTTCTGACTCTGGGACACCATGTTGCCTGATTTGAAAGGAGAGTTCACCGATTGTAAAGACTCAGTCGATGTTGTAACAGCGGAGCTGTGATTATAGGAAACCGAGCGACGGCGAGTGAAGGAATTGGGCCCGGTGGAGACTTCAGAATGCTCGAGGCTGTTGACACCAGTCGACATACGAGCAGCTGGTGGAGCACGAAGAGACCAAACGAGAGATAGGCTCGATTTACCACCGGTAGAGAGGAGCCAGGACCGGTAGGAATTCAAAAAGTCAGCAGAAGGCAAAAAACCTCAGTCTGCCGATGAAGTGCAATATACCCGGATCAAAATCAAACAAAAAAAATTGCACGGAGAAGAGATGAAAAGAAAAGATGGTGAACGACTAGACCCGGAGAGAAAGGAGATCCCCGATACCAGTGTCCCCAATCAGTTTCACGGTTTCGGGACTGTGGCGCAGATGTGGCAATGCCATTTCTGAATGCGGCTTTCCCCGGAGAAACCTCCCGCTGTCTGCCATCTCCGCTTGTACCTCCATAGACACGAGCTGCTTCACCACCAGAGCCATTCAACTCCTCACTGTTTGACCAGATTAGTCTGGTCTGATCGATTAATCTGCCTGTCACCTTTCTTGATAGCTGCAAGAGCCTTTTCTCCGACGTTCTGCTCTTCTTCGTTTTCTTTTGATCTATAGGCCATTTCGATTCTTCGTTGGTTAGCAATTAGCCTCACAAGACGGTCACCAATATGAGCCACATACGCGGTCTCGTCTCGCCGGCGCAGGCATTGCGTCGGATTTTCTTCACTCCCCTTCGCATCTCACGGCCAACTTTCATCCGCGCACCGAACGTCTCAAACGACCTCAAGTCACGCGGCTTCCACCAGTCCTCGGCCCTCGCCCGACCTGTTGTACGAACTCCAAACGCACCGACCGTCATCAAGGATGAAGCCATTGGCACCCGCCTTGTGCAACTGGTCGACGAAGATCAAAACTTGATGCCGCCCCAAAGACTTGCGGAGGTGCTTGAATCCTTTGATCGCAGTAAATTCTTCCTACTGCAAGTCTCGCCCGCCGACAGTGATCGACCTCCCGTGTGCAAAATTCTGAACAAAATGGAAGCGAAACAGCATGAAAAGGCCAAAGCGAAATCTGCAAAGGCTCCGAAGGTTCAGACGAAGCAGATCGAACTTAACTGGGCCATCGACGCCCATGATCTGTCGCACCGCCTGAAACAGCTGACCAATTTCCTGGAGAAGGGTCGAAAGGTTGAGGTCATCATGAAGCGCAAAAAGGCCAAGCGAGCACCTACTGTGGATGAAATCAAACATGTCATTCAAACTGTCCTAGATACGACAAGAGAGGCTGGTGCTACGCAGGTGAAAGCTATGGAAGGAGAACCCGGTAAACAGGTTATTATCACTGTCAAGAAGGATTCCTCCTGATGTCCAACCAGGGACGGGAGTAAGACTTTACGGGTTGGGGCAGCCAGGCTTAGGTATCCGTCTCTAAATAATGTTCTATTGCCCATATCTGTACATGAGATGGGATAGGGATACCATGTCACAAGCTGCGCATCATGGTAGCTTCTTTGAAGCTCACGTCCCTGCTGCCGCTTTCTCACTAAGTTTGCCTCGTAAAGTATAGCTTTTGCGTATACCACTCTTCTGAATACCGCGAGGTCAGTCTTGATATCATCTTTTTAGAACACAATTGCCCATCATAAACAACAAATCTCACAAGGCAAAGATAATGATCAGACCTTCTGCGTCATTTAGCCCGAGCTCCGCAAGTCTCGGCCGGTGATTGGTCTGTAGATGACTAAGCGCTCCTGGCCCCGAAAATTTGGCTCCATGTTGATGCCGAGACAATTCTCATCTACCCATCGACTGTCCTTTTCGTCCTTGTTGTTCATCGGTCTTTCTCTGGGGCTTTAGTCTACAAGATGTCGAGCATCACCCGTTCATTGAATCTGTTGGCGCGTACCGGTCGCTCATCTCTGCTGCGTCCGCGTGCCGTCAACCCCGTTCACCATGTCTTCGCCAGCGACAAGGTCGCTGCCCGTGGCCTGGCCACTGCCTTCGAGCGAACCAAGCCCCACGTCAACATTGGTACTATCGGTCACGTCGATCACGGCAAGGTGAGCGTCTGTTCTCTTGATAGACTCGACCTTTCATTTGTCTAATTGCCGCCGGTTCTCCCCAGACTACCTTGACTGCCGCTATCACCAAGCACCAGGCCTCCAAGGGACTGGCCAACTTCCTCGACTACGCCTCCATCGACAAGGCCCCTGAGGAGCGCAAGCGTGGTATCACAATCTCCACTGCCCACATCGAGTTCCAGACCGAGGATCGTCACTACGCCCACGTTGACTGCCCTGGTCACGCCGATTACATCAAAAACATGATCACCGGTGCTGCTAACATGGATGGCGCCATTGTTGTTGTTGCTGCCTCTGACGGTCAGATGTAGGTTATCAGTTGGTATCGACATATTCGGATTGACAGCTTACTGATATCATCCTCGTAACTATCAGGCCCCAGACACGTGAGCATTTGCTGCTCGCCCGTCAGGTCGGTGTTCAGAAGATCGTTGTCTTCGTGAACAAGGTTGATGCCGTGGAGGACGACGAGATGCTTGAGCTCGTTGAGCTCGAGATGCGTGAGCTCCTGTCCACCTACGGTTTCGAGGGTGAGGAGACTCCCATCATCTTCGGCTCTGCTCTTTGCGCCCTTGAGGATCGCCGTCCCGACATCGGTGCCGAGCGTATCGACCAGCTGATGAAGGCTGTCGACACTTGGATCCCCACCCCTGAGCGTGACCTCGACAAGCCCTTCCTCATGTCCATCGAGGAAGTCTTCTCCATTCCCGGTCGTGGTACCGTTGCCTCCGGTCGTGTTGAGCGTGGTCTCCTGAAGAAGGATACCGAGGTCGAGATCGTGGGTGGCTCAGAGGTCCCCATCAAGACCAAGGTCACCGATATCGAGACCTTCAAGAAGTCTTGCGATGAGTCTCGTGCCGGTGACAACTCCGGTCTGCTGCTCCGTGGTGTCAAGCGTGAGGACATCCGTCGCGGCATGGTCATTGCTCTGCCCGCTTCCACCAAGGCCGCCAAGAAGTTCTTGGTGTCCATGTACGTTCTGACCGAGGCCGAGGGTGGTCGCCGCACTGGTTTCGGCTCCAACTACCGCCCTCAGGTCTACCTCCGCACTGCCGGTAAGTCTCGATCATTCTGTGTTCTTTTGCTGCCCGATGGACTTCTAACGTTTCAATCACAGATGAGCCTGGCGACCTTACTTTCCCCGACGGCGATGAGTCTCGTCGCGTCCAGCCCGGTGACAACGTCGAGATGGTTCTCGAGACTCACCGCCCGGTTGCCGCCGAGGCGGGTCAGCGCTTCAACATCCGTGAGGGTGGCCGCACCGTGGCCACTGGCCTCATCACTCGCGTGATGGAGTAAAGAACCAGGAACGGACAGGTCCGATGACTTGACCAAGGCTCGATCACTCTCTTGCTGCAAAAGTGTGATTCGGGCTCTTGTATTATGACACCCCCTTGTACCTCTCTCTATCGTTTTATTGTCTACTCTACATTCACAGCGCGGGAACCGTTGATCAGTCACAGGGATCTAAGGAAAGCCGGAGTTTTCGCTTGAATCTTGTTCATGTACCTCTATAGTATTTGGAGATGTAGTTATTGCCAAATTTTCTCTCCTCTCTTCCTAGGAAGTCGACATTGAACATCCCCTCAGTCGCTTTAAAGCAGTACAGTTACAGTAGCTCTTGCAGTTCGGTTGTACCACGTAGTTTGCACGAGGTTAGATCACGTGGAAATCCATATGTGGCTGTGCGCTACTCTCGCTCGGCATCCGGATCCGAGGACACGAGTCTCGTATAAGCTCTCCATCCTTCATTCCAGGAACGTCGCCTGTCACCATTGACCAAGTGAGGTAGGTTGGATTTATAGCACGTGGTAGGGGGAGAGTTAGTGGTACGGCAACTAGTCGATCGAGCTGTACTGTAGAAGATCGACCGGCCCGAGTCCCACGCCGTGTGCAATGGAAGACCGCACCTACAATATCTCCAACGATTCACAACGGAATAGAATAAGAAGACAGCTAGGTGTAGATAAGCAGCACAGTGAGAATGATAGACAATCCACCCCGTGCAACAAGATAGGGCAACTGCAGTTGTCAGTCCACGCATTGATTCCTTACATGTATCATTGATGTTGCTCGCCAGATTTCCCGCACTTTCCAGCTGGACTCCAGATCTTTCGATCCTCCGAGTGCCGATAGATTGGAGAAAAGTGGTCGGTACGTGGATCACGGTTGGCACGGGACCGGGTGCATCGTACAGTCCACCAAGTCCAGTCTTCGACCTGATCAGTCGGGTCCACCTCAGTGATTAGTGATTACTAACAGTCGACATAGGAGGTTTCCCCCCGGACATAAACTCAATCATACTGCGGATGCTGACCTGATGAATGATAATCATAATGACTAGATGGACCCCCGACCCCAATTTGGCCCCCAACCTGGCCTAGCGTTGTATTTGACTGCCTGATAAGTTAGTCACTTGGACGAATTACTAAGTAAGACGAGACAGCTTGGGTCAGTTTGCCAGCTTACGTTGAGGACTTTCCCGTCTGCTTCACTTGCTGGAATGCATTTCCACAAAAGTACGGCCTCTTCTCAGAATTAACACAGTCTGCTTTCACCAAGCTGTCACTCTGGCAGGAGTGAGACAGCTCAACGACCGGTGTTGATCCCCTCGAATCAACCGAGTCGACGTTGAACGGTGAACCACGGCCGATCTGGGACGCGAGAAGATATGGATCTTTGGGCCGAATCCAACGGCCCTCCGCGTAAGAAAATACGCAAGGGAACTAAGAGCTGTATTGAATGTACGTCCTCCGCGGGTTCGTCAGAATCACATGGGTTTCCTGGACACCTAGAACTAATGCACGGTGTCAGGTCGCCGCCGAAAAATCCGGTGCACGTACGATCCAGGCCGCTCTGATGCCTGCCATGAATGTAGGCTGAGAGGTTCCTCTTGTATTGATCAAGCACAGGGTATGGAAGAGCCTGCCCCAGTAGCAGGGTACGGGCAGGCGGAACAACGCTACAGTCTCCGGGAAAGAGTTGCCCACCTGGAAAGCGTGGTACAAAAGCTGGCCAAACGAGTTGACCAGCAGAGTGCTGATGACACAGTTCGTACGTATCGGACGAGCCATGCGCCGGCCCAGGAGTGACCTGAGTTCGACGCTAACGAAGAATTTTTGCAATCAATAGCCAAGCCTATACCGAAGACCAGAGCACCTTCGCCAGTGCCAGATCCCGATTCGGATCAACTAGGCCCATCGAGCGACCAAATCCGAAATGCACCGGTGCTGCAGTTATTCGATAACTATGTTGTGAGTCGGCGCGAAGACACGGATAGCAACGATCGGTTCGCGGGTGCTCAAGATACATCGTCCAAAGCATGCACGGTACGCGCCGAGCTCCTGGCCTTGCTTCCACCTGCGGAGACGTTACGAAGAGTGATTGCGGAAGCATCGCATGCAGGCTGTCTGTGGGACGAATATTTCCCCAGTCGTCCAGAAACGTCGACCTTTTTGTCAGCAGTATATCAAAGTGCGATTGCCCCGGCCGAAATGGCCAAGGTTGTCCTTTGGCTGGCCATCAGTGTCGTTCACTTGCCGCCCGAGTTCGACTTGAGTGGTCTGCATGATCCTCTCGATCCTCAGAAGTTCTCCGCACGGTGCAACGAAGCAGTCGACCGCCTTGTAGTCCGTGACGATGAATATGCTGCCACTTTACCGGGCATCGAGGCGCAGACTCTACTCGCAAAATCTCACTTAAGCGAGGGTCGACTTCGTAAGGCCTGGCTAGTCAATCGTCGTGCGATCGAATTTGCCTATCTTGCGGGCATGCATTTCTCCACCCGTACGGCGCGACCTACCGACACACTCTTCGACCGACGATTGAAAATTTGGTGCTCCGTCACGGCGGCGGATCGGACATTGAGTATGATTCTTGGATTGCCCTATGGGGTGATGGAATCCTTCTTCAAGCCGCAGGTTGAACGTCGACTTCAAATGTCTGTCACGGACGCCGAGCAATATTTCCTGCGTATGAGCATGGTTGCGGGGCACATTGTCGACCGAAATCATGATTTCTCCGAGACTAGCCTCGAACAGACGTTAGCACTTGACCAAGAACTGATGGATGCTTGGAAGAATCTACCAGAGAGCTTCTTCGGCATCCTGCCAGGCCCAAAAGAAACTCGCGAAAGTTTCCATGCTAAACTTCCTCTCCAATTGATGCTCAACGTGGTGCGAGCTTTGCTGCATATGCCGTTCTTGCTGAAATTCCCTCAAGATCAACGCTTCAGTATTTGTCACCGTGAAGCCATCCAGTCGGCGCGAAATACATTGATGCTATATAAAGTTCTACGGTCCATGATGAAAACTTATTTGTGCAAAATGATCGACTTCTTCGCCCTTACTATGGGCATGATGGTTGTCGTGTACCTTCATGGACATTTCGATGAGTCACCTGCGCTTCACAAGCAACAAGATGATCAAGACTGGAGGCTTCTCGGAGAAGTGGCTGACATTCTCGGTCAAGCTGCTAACGAGGCGGGAGGGACTGTGGCTGCCCAATCCGCACTGATCCTTACCAGCATCGTCAACAGCAGGTCACATATTAAGGAATGGGCATCAGCGCCGTCGTGCAAGGTCACCATTCCTTACTTTGGGTCTATCGTTATTGGCGCCGGCCCCAAGGTATTGAGATACCACCAAGTTGGCGACAACGACGATGTTGGACCAAAGACATTACCCCCTGCTGTCAAAGATCTTCCTTCAGTCTACCCGCAGAGTCTTTATACGCTGCAGACGCCCCCGTTCAGTGACCCAGAACTGTCATCCGCGACATACGCCAGTGGCGCTTCAAACTCACAAAGTCCAGTGCCCCGACCCCCTGTGACTTCCAAGGATCTTGCTCAGCCGTTGCCTCCAGGTGAAGATCCTTCTATTACCGAATTTGCTGGTTTCGGATCGACATCCTTCACAGGGCTTTTCAATGACTTGGAAGAGTCGGCGTTGTTGAATCTTGCCGTTGATCATGGACTAGATTACGGCTGGAACGTGAACTGGTTCGACTGATGAGCTCCAGCAAGGCCTCGTAGCAGACCATTTACGGTGTTGGCTGGTTTCTTGAAAGCTAATGTTATCCAAATTGTGGCTCTCTCGCTCATGGTGGTAATTGCGCAATGTTTCGTTAATATGCCAAAAAAGTCGAGTACGCAGTTTGACAGGGTTCATAGGTGGTCGAACTACCATTGCCGGTTTCATGAGCAAATGCAGCCCGATCTCAAATTCTAGAAATCAAGGGCTGGCAGATTCATTGGGCATTATAACTGTCGTATATACCCCAGCCATGTACAATGGCAGCTACTGCAATTAGCGGACCCCTCCATCAGTTCCTCCAGTTTGACTGAAAACTTCCATGATTTTGCACATCTCGGCCCCCGCCGTTTATGAATTTGTCCTTCTTTAAGTGTGGAATTGCAGAGTAGATGAGTCGGCAACCTGATTGTGAGCAGGTATACCAGAGTACCTTGCATGCTAAGCTAAGGTACCATCCACCAGGCACCGTTGTGGTTCCAGATGCCTTTGCGGGTTTCATGTCGCGACCACCTGCAGCCGGGCCCCCTGGAGACCCAAAAAAGGGGGTTATGTAAGACCATATGATCTCCCGGGCAGCAGTGCCAAATTGACCTCGAGATCAATAAGACCCAAGCACTCGTGCAGCCGCCTTGTGACCACCTCGAAACTTGTCGGCTCCCGCTGATCGTGACAACTGACGTGGTGGCGCTGTTGAGAGAATCATCCTTTCCTGAACCTCTGATGTTTGTATGCGTTAACTCCAGTTAATCTCCCCAACCTCATCGCTCCCGTCCGGTCCACTTGCCCTCGCCACCACCTCTCAACCTCCGGGCCAGTTGTCCCCACACTATCGTTCTACAAAAGCGCGACAGATTGCCTGCGCAACCACACGAAGACGGCATCATGTCTGAACGACCGTCAAGCTTAGCTCGAACACCAACCGCGCCTCCAATCATGGCAAATGGTCATTTCGCGTCCGTCGGCGACAGCGATGATGTCACTCTCTACGAGCACGGAGTGCAGGTGATTGATGGTGATAAGGAGTTCAAGTAGGAGCTATACACCGTCTTCTGTTGATGTCCTCTGGGGTCTCCAGACTGGCAGGGGACATGCTTCAAGAGAGATCGATTGCTAACAGTCTTTGCGCAGTCCCAACTTATCAAAGTATCTGTCTCTCGAACATGTCACGAATGCCGGCTTCAACTACCACCTCATCTCCGTGTTTGGCTCACAGTCAACCGGAAAGTCCACCCTGCTCAACCACCTGTTTGGTACGCAATTCTCTGTGATGTCCGAATCGGAGCGCCGGCAAACAACCAAGGGTATCTGGCTGTCGAAGAATAAGAAGCAGAGCGATGCTTCGACAGAGGGGGTCCGGATGGCGGACAACATCTTGGTGATGGATGTGGAGGGAACCGACGGTCGTGAACGGGGCGAGGATCAGGACTTTGAGCGCAAGAGCGCTCTGTTTGCCCTCGCGACCAGCGAGGTGCTGATTGTGAATATCTGGGAGCACCAAGTCGGTCTGTATCAGGGCGCAAACATGGGCTTGCTCAAGACTGTGTTCGAGGTCAATCTACAATTGTTTTTGAAGGATAAGAGGTAAGGTTGAATCAGAAAATATGGCCCGTGTCTAGAAAGGTCCTAATATTTCCAACATAGCACAACACATCGGTCTTTGCTTTTTTTCGTCATTCGTGACTTCATCGGCACTACCCCGCTGAAGAATCTCCAAAAGACATTACTGGAAGATCTCGCCCGTCTTTGGTCAACAATATCCAAACCTGCTGGACTGGAAAATTCGACGATTCATGACTACTTTGATTTCCAGTTCTATGGCCTGCCGCACAAGGGTTACCAGCCAGAGCAGTTCGTGACCGAGACACACAAGCTTGGTTTGCGTTTCCGCGAGGGCCACCGTGATCCTAAGCGAGACCCGCTCCAAGGGGAGTTCTCTGACAGCGGCGTCTTCCTGCCTGAGTATCATCGTAGAATCCCGGCCGATGGGTTCTCCCATTACGCTGAGGGCATCTGGGATCAAATTGTCAACAATAAGGATCTGGACTTGCCAACGCAGCAGGAACTACTTGCTCAATTCCGCTGCGACGAGATTCTGCGTGAAGTCATGATTGGATTCGATGAAGCAATCACAGCATTTGAGGACAAACAAGCCGAGTCTGTGCGCCTGGGGTCTCCAGAGGTCATTGGCGGCCTCGGCGTGGCCATGCGTGGAGCACGCACTAAGACTTTGAAGGGCTTTGAAACCGAAGCTAGTCGTTACCACAAGGGTGTCTACCAGCGGAAGAAGGCCGAACTGGAAGGCAAGGTTGACACGCGTCTCAAGGCACTTCTTCATGGCCAAATCTCAGCTGCCCACAAGTCTGGCATCCAGGATTTCCGCGAAGCCGTGACTAGCGCGGTCAAGTCCGGCCAGAAGAAGGGCGGTAATTACGATTTTGCTGAGATCGTCAACAAGGAGACAAAAGCCTCCTTGGAGAAATTCGAGGAGGTCGCGCGGTCCACGGTAGTTGAGGGCACTGCGTGGAGCAACTACAAGCAGGAGCTCAACCTCTTTGAGAAGGAACTGGCTGAAGTGAGTGGTCGTCTTCGACGCGATGAGATGAGACGTCTAGCCACTCGTGTAGAACGTTGGGTTCAGTCTCGTCTTGGCGAGTCTGTTGGTCTCGAGTTCAACAGCTTGGGATCGGGACGTGCTGGCAACGGCGCTCCTGAGAATGGCGACAAACCTCTGGAGACGACTTTCTGGGATCGAGTCTGGAATGTCTTTGTGGAGACTGTCTTGGATGCCGAGCGACGATTCACGGATCGCGCCAGCAGCTTCGACGCCAGCTTGGAAGAGGTTGACGTTGGTTTGTGGCGCTTGCGCCGCAAGTCGTGGGGCGTGCTCCATGCTAAAATTGAGGAGGAAATGATCGAAGGCAACTTGCTTCTGAAGCTACGTGAAAACTTCGAAGATAAGTTCCGTTACGACGAGGCTGGTGTACCACGTATCTGGCGCCCAACAGACGATATTGAGGGCATTTACACACGTGCCCGAGAATCGACATTGACATTGATTCCTCTTCTGTCGCGATTCCGCCTTGCCGAGACAAATGCTCCTCCTCCGTTGGATCGCTGGATTGGACATACCCCCAGCTCTGCGACTCCCGCCGACGAAGAGGATCTTGCTCCTATTGGTGGCGTGGATGAGGATGAGGGCAAGACGCTCGACGAGGAAATGACGATCCTGAGCGAGTCGAAGCGTCAGGAGCTCACTGTTCGCTTCAAGAAGGCAGCCGACGGAGTTTATGTTGAGGCGAAGCGCAGTGCCATTGGTGGCATGACCCAAGTGCCATTGTACTTCTACGGTCTTTTGTTGGCATTGGGATGGAATGAAATCGTTGCAGGTACGTTTGCTCATTCATCCTACACTCCCATCGGTTGCGAAACTAATACCTCGACCATTTTTAGTCCTGCGCAATCCGGCCTACTTCTTACTGCTGTTTGTGTGCGCCGTCGGTGCCTATGTTACTTGGCAGCTCAATCTCTGGGGACCAATCATCAAAATGTCAGAAGCTGCTTCTCAGCAAGCTCTCGTAGAAGGGAAACGGCGCCTGCGTGACTTCCTTGAGCAGTCTGATACTGGCCGCCAGGCCATTGCGATGTCCACCTCGGACAAGACCTCCTCGTCAGGCAAGCAAGAAGAGTACGAGATGTCTGATTTGCCCAAGCGGAGCTCCGGCTCGAAGGCCGATGATCTGGATGACCTGTGAACGTTGTTTTTGATGCAGTTACCTTTTTAACTTTCTCCATTGTCTTTCGTATCTTACCCCTGTACTTCTTACTCTGGGTGGATTAGATCTGTGCTATATCGTTTCATTCGAAGTCTGTTGTGACCATACGTTCTCATTGCACTATCCCTCGTTTTCCTTGAACAATATTCTTCTCGTGAAATAAGCTTTCATCTCTTCCTTTCCGTATCTGGAAGTATTTTCAACCCCCAATCGCCTAGCCCGCCGATGTCTCTCAGATGCCAATTGATACCCCAGCAAGCATCGGATGCGTCACTATTGTCGCACTCTACGTTGGGCTGTGCCCAGCACAGTATTACCTACCATATACATGAGTGCCATCGCTGTCGCTGAAGTAGCAGATGGCTCTGTGCGACTGTCCCACTTGCCGATCTGTTCGCCCACCATACCGACTGCGGGGTTCATCATCCCCACGTCAATCCACCAGAGCTGCGGAGATGGCTGTCTCGCCGTGGGGGTGTTCGCTCAATAGCTCTTCCACCTATCTAGATTCTCTGCCCGGTCGGCCGTCAATTCTAGGATCCTCCAAGTTATTACCGCAGGTCAAAGCTGTGCCTGGTATTTCAGCTTCTTGAAGCTCAGATTACCTCACTCGTGTATATCATCAGTCGATCTTGTCATCAAGCGTTGACTTGGCAGGTTGCAGCGCTTTCCAATATTACGATCAGGGTCGATTTGAGAAGCGAGATTTCGAGCAAGAAAAATGTCTCAAAGCACCTCGTCCCTCCCGGAGACGTTCGATGATCTTCCCAACAAGCGGCAGTACTGGCCTGCACCTGCGGGATCCGAGGACGAGGGCTTAGGCATGCTGCGCCTTCTCACGCCCGATGTCGTCGCCAGTGCAGCGCAGACGCAGATCCGGACCGGCGAAAGAGTGTGTCTGAACTGGAACATGGAGAACCTGACGCCTCCTGGGTTCGGCCGCAGGCATTTTGAGCATCGCATCAAATGGGTCGCAGAAGGCGTTGCATTCGATGACGAGTACCACTTCAATCCTCAACAGGGATCCCAGTGGGACGGACTCCGACATCATGCGAACAAGGACGGCGTGTTTCACGGAGGCACCACGGCCGAAGAGATCAAAGATACCCAGTCTCCTCGGATAGGAATTGGATACTGGGCCAAAAAGGGCATCGCAGGCCGAGGGGTTTTGATCGATTATGTCTCCCACGCCAAGAAAAACAACATCCCCCTGAACGCCCTGTCACGACAGATGATCTCGCTCGACGAGGTTCAAGAAATCGCGCGGGAATGCAACATCACTTTTCAAAGGGGCGATATCTTCTTCTTGCGAGTGGGCTTGCCGGGAACATGGGCGAGTATGTCTGCCGAAGAGCGCCAGGTCTACAGCGAACAGTCCATGCCTCAGCACGCCGGTATCGAGCAGAGTGAGCGAGTTCTCCGCTTCATCTGGGATAATCATTTCGCAGCTGTTGCCTCGGATGCTGTGAGCTTTGAAGTGTATCCGGCCCTCAACCCGGAATATGATCTTCACCATCATCTCTTGGCTGGATGGGGCTTGCCGATCGGTGAGATGTTCGACCTGGACGAGTTGGCTGCAACTTGCGAGAGGTTGGGTCGCTGGACCTTTTTCATTTCGAGCAGTCCTTTGAACTGTGCCCGGGGCGTGTCAAGCCCTCCGAATTGTATGGCGCTTTTCTAAGGGCGTGGACCCTGCACTGAGTAGAAGTTGGGCGGCTGCTCTTGATGTAGATCTAGTCAAATGTGTACCAATGCAACTTCATCATTGCTCAGTGCATTCCGGATCTTGGAGGTATGACGTGGTTGAATTCTCCTGCGTCTCGAGATCACATTCATAATGAAACTCGACCTATCTCTGTTCTGAGCTTCCAGTATCTCCCTGTCCTGATCTCAGCACAATCCGATTGAGGTAAAGGCCTGCGTCACAGCTCAAGTGGAGCTCATGCAACCATTAGATATGGATGTTTGGGGAACCTTTTCCAGGTCATTACTGGAGAATAGCTTTAATCGCAGGCGTTGTTGCTGTTGGACCTTCGATCCTCCCTAGCAAGGGCCGAACCTAATCAGATCGATCGTCCTGCAAAGACGATCGATCTAATGCACAACCCTCGTTTTGTATCGGCGTTCAAGATCGGGACGTTGACTGCTAGCGGGGAGATCTTAGGGAGAAATTGTCGATAAAGTTTGGAGAGTTGTGCACTGCCCACTGTCCAGGGGTCCACTCCCCAGACAATCCAAGCTCACACTTGTCAGAGTCTTGTCGTTACCTCCACCGCCAAATTCAACGGGATGACAGCATCTCAGATCGAGATCTCGAAACACCAACTACTGGACATTACTAAGGGCTTGCCTGTGATGGTCTGGACTGCATGGAAGTAGTCAATCATCGGAAATCGGGTGAACCGTGGGACCGCAGCTGAATATTGCCACCCCCGGATCATGAAGCATAGATTTTAACCAATACTGACTCTCTCCTTCGACACAACACCCATGGAGGTCTATATTTCCGCAGCAGAAGTTGAAAATTTGATTGGGCACACCAGTATACAGTCACGATCATACGGTTGACATCATCGAGACTTGAAATGGTTCCGGGAGGGATACAAATGTCCCATGAACGGTCCCTATTGCCATATATCCATCAACTTAAGTTATATCTTTAATCACGTATACTTCTACTCGCCCTCAGTGCCCCGGTTTTCAATATCATATCTCACTGCCGAACATGTTCTACTCCTTGATGAAGCATCAATTGACAAGGCCTTCGGCTTTTTCCTTGACAAAGGTCGCTTCGGCCTCGCTGACTGGCAAAGTGCCACCCAATGTCCGCACTAGTGAAGAGTGTATGTCCAATGAAGCTATCAACACATTTGCGCGACATCACAACTTGTGCTCTTAGTTTGCTAACACGAACGGGTGGATCATATCAGTCTTTGTCACTGCTACTTGGCCAGATGACGACTCTTCTTTCAAATCGGACGTCTTCGATGGCCAAGCCCGCACTATAACAAGCCAGACCTCGCCTATGCAATTCTCTGCTGTAAGTCTATGCTCACCCTGAATGTCTAAACGAGGATGACCTCACTGACATGTATGGGGAATTGACAAGGCTGAAATTGAGCGACACAAGGCCGATATCTATGATAGCATTTTTCCTAAAGATCCATCGAGATTCTTGAAACGCCAGACTAGCAACAACTTGCCAGATCAAGAACCATCTTTGGACGAGCTTTAGAATGAGAGGTTGGACAGTGGACCAAATTGCCTGCTGACGGGCTAGTTGGGAACGAGATTATGTATTGAGTAAAGCTCAGATGGCAGACTACTCTTCAAGAACTATTCATAGCCCTAATGACAAGCTATTTGCATATCGAACCGGAAGCTGAAGCCCGTTGAGTACGTTGCACAGATCTTATCTCCTATTGAATCCGGGGGCATTGCTTGGAATTGTAAATACTATGTCAAGGTCAGGTTATTTTCAAAATGGGTACAGAATGGGCGTTCAAGGTTGGCTGCTGCCATTACGAATTATATCGGGAGTTCGGGGCCCTATATCCTAGAAATGCTTCCCGCAGTTCCAGTATGTTCTATCTGAGGGCGAAGGCTGTTTTCATTGATCACGGGAAAATACGATCGGCATGATAAATCGTCTATGGATTTTGAATATCTATTGATGCTTGAAAGGGTGAAGAATTCTATCCTGACCGCTTACATCCTAGGCTTCGAGCCTAGGCGGACGGTGCTGGAAAGATCAAATGCATATTGCATGCAACAAGCATCACGTGCTTCGTAGCACCCACTACGAGCACACAGTACCTTACTCGGCGTCGCTGAGTGGAAGCCTCGGCCCATACTTGTCTGTCCCAACAAAAACAACGGGTGATCAGGATCGACATGGACAAGGCAAGGAATGACCAACCCACTGTGATCACTTCCATTCATCGAAGCATCTGAATTATATTCTTATCAGTGCCTGTGATATCACGCCTCATTTCCATGAGGCTCGGAACGTCGGCCTAAAGTACTTGCTCGCCGACCGGACAACTTGAGCTCAGCATCTGACCTGAGCACAGCCATACAGGGCATTGAGGACCGTAGCTCCGACCAACAGGCTCGGCAGCTGAAGAACGACGTCTTCTAGCACCCCAGCTAGCGTGCTCTTGTTTGAACATTTCAAGACAGAGAAGTACGGTTCAAAGCCGTATCATCCAGGATGTCGGCGGTCTTTTCAACCCTTCAACCAGGGATCTTGGGCGACATTTTTTCCATGTTGGGGTCACACCTGACATGGACAAGAGCATTGGCCCTGCTTCTGATCATCACCAACATCAAGAACCTTCCCCTAATTTGGCACGTATGTCTCTTCACACAATGCGTACATGTACGCATTGTCCGATTACTCCCCATAGGCAGCTCCCGCCTCTGGGTTCGTGCGACGATGCTAATCAGCAAATTCTAGGTCCGTCTGTTGTACCACTTCTTAATCCAACTTCGCTGGAAACCCAGTGATCCCTACTTTCCAAAAGGGCATGCGCTCCTGGACGCGCAAGGAAAACCCACCCACCCAGTCTTTGTGTCATACAAGATCACATCACGGACTCCATTGCTGGAGACGGATTACAATTTGCACAAATCCAACAGCACCTACTTCTCTGATCTAGACGTTTCGCGAACAGCACTGGTCACGCGTCTGTATAGCCCCGGTGTTGGTCTCGTCAGCAAGGAGCTCGATCAAGAATTTCTGGAGGCCAGCAAGAAAGAGGGCAAGCGTGCGCCGAAGCGCAAGCCCATCATGATCGTCCTCGGGTCTGTATATTGCAGCTTCAAGCGCGAGATCAAGCCTTTCGAGCGTTATGAAGTTCATTCCAAGGTCATCTCGTGGGACAAGAAATGGCTGTATATTCTCTCGTCTTTCATGCGTCCAGCCAGCCGACGAGGTGGCGAGAGAACTCTGTTGGCCACGGCACTCAGCAAGTACGTCGTCAAGAAGGGTCGTTTGACGGTCGCACCAGCGCGCATTCTGTGCTTGAGCGGTTTCCTGCCGGCAATGCCCATCGGGGATTCGACAACCCAGGCGAATGACGAATCTCCAGCCGAGAATTCTGCAGTTGATACGCCTGCGAGCAATGAAGGAATCACTGCTGCGGAGGGCATTGATGGCTCCCTCGCCCGTGAGATCCTCAAGTTGACTGATGAGACGATCCCCGGCCGAGAAGCTCTTGAAGATCAGAAAGCTGCAAACGCAAAGTCATGGGATTCGGATGAGTGGACTGGGAAGCGCATTGAGCAGGAGAGGTTACGTGGACTAGGCGTGGTGGACGGATACGTCAATCTCGATGCTCAGCTACATGCGGAATGGGCCTAAGTTGCCTAGGTGGCATGCCCAAACTTGCAGGCTTTTGTACGATCAATGTCATAGAGATAGACTAGAATGTTCGTTGTGTTTTCAACCTTTTGAGACCTCATTCCTGGTGACCAATTACAGTCGATACTACTAGCCTATCATTCTAGACGAGACTTGACTCTATAATCTCCGGGGTGAGTCCGAATTGATCCTTCATGATGGCATTCTCAAATTCTCAATATCCAACCTGGTGGCTTTGATTGATTAAGCTCCCTGACTAGACTTCATGTGACAGGCTCTTATTGATGCATGGCCTGTCTTCCACTGGGCATTGATCATTGTAGTAGGACTTAGTTAGTGCCATAGGATGTATTGTGGACCCAAGTAGCAGTCACTATTGTATTAGTGGACTAGAAGTCCATCATTTTAGACTCCCTCAGAAGAACCCAGTGAGGTAGATTGTCCCGTTTCGGTTAGTCAGCGCAGGTTTGACGCACGGATCGTTGGATCTGGAGAGTCATGTGACCATGCCCGACGTCAACCGTCCACATGGAGCTCTCGTCTTCAGCGCAAACATTGTCGCGACCTTCCAAAAGAAAAATTCAACTCTTCGTTGTATTTTCGCCAACGACCGGTTTCGTATTCACAGCACTTTCATTCGATCAATCAAATAAGTGAGTTCCAAAGTGTTCCTGAGTTACATTGAAGTTCATCAAGCCCTCCCGGATGCCTTCCCTTCCACTTGGCCCCGAGTACCACATTTATCCGACCGAGACCCGAGACCGGCTGGAGCAGAGAGCGCCTTGGCCCTGTCCTATCATTCCTCACAGTCAGAGAGGCCCGCTTTGTGCTGCAAGTGAACTCACACTTGCCTTTCTTTCCCTTTACGTCTTGGGATTGGTCCAGCCCCTAATCCAAAGATTCCAAACCCTGTCCTGTCCCTTTGCAATAAACTGCGACCAGAAAGCGATCCACCAGTCCCTGCGATCTGCTTGATCTCGCACTTGGCTGCCTCGCTGTCTGAGAGAGTCAGAGGTGTCATTGTCAGGCCATCGTGCAGAAATCCCCAACTCCACTTCGCCCCCCAGCACCTGCATTGTCGGCCCACTCTGGATGGTCTAAGTGCGCTTCCAAAGTTCCTGCTAGTACCAACGCCGCTGGCGCCTAGCAAACCAACCTCTGACACCTTACGATCCTTATCGCTGTCCTGCTTAGGACGGCCATCAACTGCTGCATCCTGAGGGCTTTGAGGCTGCTTTATCCCAGTTTTGTCGTCTATGGTCACAGTGTCGAATCTTGTCGCATCTCGCATTTTCTGTCCTCTCTCCTTCGTGCTGTGCGCTAACAAAACAAGCTTCCTTCGATCTGCTTGCTTCAGGGATTTAGAACAGCCTCGGAACCGTACCCTTATCGTGTCACAGTGTCTGTCACACCTACGCCTTTCAGTCCCTGAGCGCACTCGGCAGCATCCTTTGCTCGATCTCGAGCTACTTCGAGCCCACTTGAACGGATCGCTCTCGTCACGCCGTTCCTTTGTTGCTGCGCTCTGAACTCTCGTCGTCTTCCCTTGACCGCTGGGAACGCCATCGCTTTGCCGTCGATCAGCGGTCGATCTTTTTCGGACGGCGGCATCCAACAAATCTCTCTTGTTTCAAACACACCCTTTCTCACATTCTGCGCGGTTTCGCGGGTCACTTATCACCATGGCTGCCACGGCGCAGACCCCCCATGGTGTCGTCGAGTTCGATTCCGTCTCCATCACACCCCCTCAAAGCGCCAATGGCAAGAAGGAGGCGCCTGAAGGTGTGCCCTCGGAATTTTCCGACCTCGAATTAGAATCTCGACTTGAACCGACACCAGGAGCACCACAGATCAAACGAGAGCCATCCGAGGACAAGGAGGCTGAGGCTCTGGAAGATATCGAGCCCGATCATTACTACGGTGGTGGGAAAATCCCTGTGTTCAAGCCGGTATGTTTTATCAGCTGTCAATCTTCGCCATCACTTTTGGGTACAACCTAGACTACACTTCTGGTAAAAGCAGCTGACATCTACTACCCCATGCAGACAATGGAACAGTTCCAAGACTTCCAACTTTTCATCAAGAAGATTGACAAATATGGCATGCAGGCCGGCATCGTGAAAGTAATTCCTCCAAAGGAATGGTAAGTTTCGTATTGGATCAAATCAACAATGAGTGCCTTTTGCTCACCATATTCGATTTCGGAAGGTCGGAAAAACTGCCTGCTCTCGATGATGCTGTCAAGACGATTCGTGTGAAGAACCCTATCGTCCAAGAGTTCCATGGATCGCATGGCACATACACCCAGGCCAACATAGAGCGACAGCGCACCTACAATCTCCCCCAGTGGAAAGCTCTTTGCGAGGAAAGCAGTCACCAGCCACCCGCCCGCCGTGGAGAGCGTCGCCGAAACCAGGAACGCGTCACTAGGGCAGCGCCAACACCACGGGCTCAAGCTTCTCGCTCGGAGGCTCAGAAACGCCCTCGACCGGATGGTCCTAAACGCCGCCCCGGTCGACCTCCCAAAAGAGTGAAAGTCAAGGAGGAGCCTGTGGAAGAGAACTCAGACAAAACCAGGCTTGAAGGACCGCCAACACCAGTCTCTCCCGAAGCGCTTCCTGTCGAGGCTAAAACCGAGGAGCTGAGCGATGGCGAGTCCCTTCCTGCGGCCAAGCCCAAGGGAAGGCAAGCAAAGTCTGTCTCGGCTCGGCGGAAGAACAACCGCGGTGACACTGTCGATCATCTGGACGAAGAAATTTTCAAGGGCTTCGACTATCGAATCCACGACAACGAAGACTACACTGCTGAGAGATGTGAAGAATTAGAGACGGCCTATTGGAAGTCTCTTATGTACAACAATCCTATGTACGGTGCCGATATGCCGGGCTCACTCTTTGACGATTCTACAACCTCCTGGAATGTTGCCAAATTACCCAACCTGCTGGATGTGATTGGACAGAAAGTTCCTGGCGTCAACACGGCATACTTGTACCTGGGCATGTGGAAGGCGACGTTTGCATGGCATCTCGAGGACGTGGACCTTTACAGTATCAATTACATTCACTTCGGCGCACCGAAGCAGTGGTACAGTATCTCACAAGAAGATGCACCAAAGTTCGAGGCAGCGATGCGTAGCATCTGGTCAAGCGATGCAAAGAACTGCGACCAGTTCCTGCGCCACAAGACCTATCTGGTCTCACCCAGCCTGCTTAAATCGCAGTATGGAATCACAGTGAATCGGCTTGTTCACTACGAAGGCGAATTCGTCATCACTTTCCCTTATGGGTATCACTCCGGTTACAACGTCGGATACAACTGTGCTGAATCTGTGAACTTTGCGACCGAGCGCTGGTTGGACTACGGCCGAATTGCCAAAAAGTGCAATTGCGAGGCTGACAGTGTGTGGATCGATGTGGATGACATTGAACGCAAACTTCGCGGAGAAGCGACTCCCGAATACTACGGCGGCTACGATAGTGAACTGGAGGGCATTGATGTGGGAGGCATGGATGGCGCATCTGACATGCTTACACCTCCGCATAGCGTTCCGGAGAAGGCATCTGCACGCGGGCGGAAACGTAAAAACGTGGGAGACGGCCCGCGTGCCAAAAGAGTCAAAGGCCAGTCAGAAGGCCCACACAAGACGCCCTGTCTACTGTGCCCCAACAACCTTGACTATGAGGACCTGTTGCCCACCGAAGATGGTAACGGTCATGCTCACCGCCGGTGCGCTCTGTTCATTGAAGAAACCTCCATTCTTCGCGACGCCGCCGGAAAGGAAGTTGTGTGCGACATTGACAAGATCCCCAAAGCTCGACTGGGTCTTAAATGTCTCTTCTGCCGCGAAGTCCGCGGTGCCTGCTTCCAGTGCAATTATGGTAAATGCACACGGGCGTACCATGCCACTTGTGCTCTTCTCGCCGGCGTACAGGTTGAGCAGGGCGCCCTTGGCGTCATTGCCGATGATGGACAGCAATACTCACTACCGAGTGTCGACCTCAAGTGCAAATTTCATCGCCAGAAACGACCCACGGGCTTGTTGGCTGAATCTTCTGACCTGGATCGTCGAGTCATTGAGGCGGCCGGGCGTCTCGTCCAAGGCGACCTCATCCAATTCCAGGCCGACAAGGAGATTAACGGAGCCATCGTGCTGGAGAATCGACCTCATGAGCGCAGTCTCCTCCTCAAGGTTTTGCCGCGAGGGTAAGTCCCTACCTTTCCCCTATCCACACTTCTCCCAATGCGTCTTCTATTCGTGTTCTACTTTTTGGGTTGCGGGGCTCCCCGTTCACTTGGTCTCCCCCACCACTGGACGTGTCCCAAGGGGAACTTGACTTTTGCTGGTCTCCTCCTCAACCCAGCCCAATGACCGTCTCACATTCTGCCCAACTCGCCACCTCGTGTCTCCCTCTCACCGGGGACCCTCCCGACTGCAGGTGGATTACTCAATACTGATAATTGTCAACAGAGATGTAATCGAAATGCCTTACCGTTGGATGCTGGTCGTCCGAAAGAGTAACTTCGTGCCCCTCGCACCGGGCATTCCCCCTCTCCCGATCCACTTGGCGCGGAAGCCCGATTCAAGAAAGGAATTGGAGGCTGCCATTCCCGTTGCAGGAAGCGCATTCGGTGATGGACGATCTCCCTATCAATGGGCCGAATTCGAGACGGTGGATAGCACTAAGATTCACGGTGCCCCACCCGTCCAGGTGAACTTGGACAGGACTGAGCAGGTGTGGCATTACTTGGGCGCGCAGTCCACCGAGAGTAGGGCTCATTATACACACAACCCTACCGTGCCTGTCCACAACCCGCGGGCCAATTTCCTCGACAGCATCAAGTCGCTTGGCGTGGCTGGTGGTGTCAATGCCCGTGCATCGAGGATCACCGACCCCCACCGCCGTTCATTCCAGCATGCTCCCACCGCTCCGACCGCTCCTGCCCCTCTCACCAAGCAAATTTCTCACGCCCAACATCATCCGTCACTGCAACACCATCAATATCTACGCCCGCCAACCGTGAATGCTGCCCCTCTTGCTGCCAAACTTGCAGCACCTCGCCTTGACTCTTGCTCTTCCACGACCTCCTCCGCCGCCGCCGCCGCCGCCGCCGCTGCTGCCGCCGGCTTCTCTCCGTCCGCCAATCTATCCCATTCCTCTGCGTCGCTGTCCCGACCGCCTCCGTCTGCGACCGCCTCCGTCTCTCCCGCATCTTCCTTGCAGCCACTTGCCCCTCCCCCTCCCCCTGCACCTACCGCTGCTACTGCTGCTCCTAACGGTGCTGCTGCTGCTGGACCTGCGATGCCGTCGGCCTTTCGAACTTTGCCGAACCAATCTGCCCGCCATGCCCCTTATCCCGCGGTCGCCAAATCGCATGGTCAGCAGCAGCACCACCACCTTACTTCCGCCAATACCTATGCCAATGTCCGTGACCTCATCGCACGCCGTCGCCTTGCCCAGATCACCGAACATATTAATGTGTTCGCCGGTTACACAATCGTCAGTCCGGAGTTAGTGGTGGAGACCCTGTTGGGCCCGATGGGATCGATCCCTCCGCTCAATGGACTCGAGAAACTCGAACTGGCGATGGCCCAGCAACGGGTGCAACCGCGAGCTGCCGACGGGACGTTGCTGCCGCCCCAGACTCTGAACATGGGTGCCGATGAAGTCATGCGTCTGCTTCAGATGCTCCGATTCTCCTTGGTGAGTCATCGTGAGCGTCTGGATGTCATCCAGAAAAAGGAGGCCGAGGGGGCCAAGCAAGAGATGGTTGATCAAGGGTGTGTGGCTGCGGCTCGCATGCCCGGGAAGTACGCCTTTTTGGACCAGCAACGGGCCAAGGCCCCCTCTGTCTATCAGTCGCCCTACGATATGCCTTCTGGACTCTCGCAGTATGCCAAGTCAACCTATGGGCTACTACCGGCACCCGATGAGCCCCCCAAGGGATCTTTGGCCAACGACTACTTTGCCAGTCTTCCACAGGCCGACCAAGAGAAGATTCTGAAGACCTGCGGTAGTTTCGTTCAACGGGCCATGGCGCGGTCGAACACCCATAGCAGACATAGCTCAACAGCTTCAAATCTACGATTGTCTACGGCCCTCGCACAGCAGACCGACAATCCGACCATCGACATCACCAGGGTGGACGATCCTCCACTCTCCGGGTTGGACATGCCCCTCCGAGCCGATTCCCCCGAATCCAGTTTCGGTCGGTCGCACATGCGCTTCCCTTCACCGAACGACTTCCCCGCGCACGGGCCTGAGCCACCCCCCGATCACCATGATCTCTTCGGAGACCAACAAGCCAACACTCGATTCTGGCAGAATGGCCCCTGGGTGGCCGGGGATGGCAACACCCCAAACGAGGAGAACCGGCCTTTCTTTGGTCCCCATCTCTTCGGGCCTCATGAGCGACTCAAGCACGACTATGCATCGTCTGATATCTCCCTCGGTAAAGGACCCGGCTCGCTTCACTCGGTGGATATGGCCGCATTTGGCCCTGATACCGCCGATGATCTTCTCAATGGAGCACTCAGTCCTTGACTTGCCCGATGAGTCTTCTGTCATGCTCGCCTCGCAATCATCTCTCGCGTGTTCGCACATCTCTACCACCCCCCCTCCCCCTTTTTGTCCGGGCACTTTGTCTTCTCTGCGACTGCATTACTGCATTTCTTTTTATCATGTAACGACTTCACTGGCCTGACGACTGCATGAATGGGCGTTTCCATTTGTTCTTCCCTCTCTGACTTCTCACCTCTTGGTTTACGATCGCGGTTTTTACGTGATATGAGCCAAGTTCACCAATTTCCCTCCCCCAAAATCCGTTGACTCGAGATTGACGCTAGCGGGCTAGTCTCAACTTCGGGTTGATTCATTACCATTTCCCTTATCTTCACCTCTATCCCCTCCCCCAACCTACCTCCCCTGGGCTTCTAATTCCTCTTAGGAGGTTTGTGAAAGCCACTCGCATCCACCAACTTCCGTCCCCATCACCATCTTCTCCCTGCCACCCCAAACTCCCTGCTTTGTCTTGGCCCATCCCAATCCAGTTTCCGTCTTGGGTGCCGATGTGTCACCCCCCACCCCCCTTTGCATATTTTCTCTTCATCTCCTTTTGCCGTCATACAACTGCTGCTTGGGCCTACTTTCGCCCGTCTTTTTGTGGTCTCTCGACCAGGACACCGCTTCGGGATCTGTCCATCATGTCCAGCTAGAGTCTTGAGATTTGAAAATTTTAAGCAAAAAACAAAGATCATAAAGATTATGATTCCCCCTGATATATGGACAGACATCTGATGCATTTCCGATTGACCATGTTTGATACCCCTTGTCCCTTGTGGCCTTGTCCGCCGCCAGCAAGGGCAACCTCCTGGACGTGTGCTCTGAGGTGATGCAAGCAACGGGGTCTCCGACCCGCCAATACTGTGCGGTGTGTTTCTACGCTCACTCACCATGACCACACGTCCTTTTTGTTCCCTCGGCACTCCTCCCCCTTTTTTCTTCCCCCTTTTTCCTCCCCCCTTTGTTCTGATTTAAAGCTGATTAGCTTGGCGCTCATCGATGGTCCCGTATGAGGTGCTCGGGGGACCATATTATTCCGGTGTGGCAGCCGTCATCTTGAGGATGACTTGTTCTGTGTTCTTTCTTCACTATCAATCCAAAATACAAAAATCCTCTCTATCATATTTTCCATGGTTGTAACTTGATTCTCTTCAATCTCTCATGTGGTTTGTCATCTTGGCTGACGGTCTCACTTTACTTTCAAGATGATAGCGGTCACGGATCACTATTCGTCATTCACTAAGATGTGAGTATGTGGTGAACGATCAACAAGGATCAGATGTCTACCGAATACCGGACTGTAGAGAAGGCTTATTGGTGTGTGTAGTGTGTCTGTGTAGTGTGTCTGTGTAGTGTGTCTATGTAGTGTGTAGTGTGTAGTGTGTAGTGTGTAGTGTGTAGTGTGTAGTGTGTCTGTGTAGTGTGTCTGTGTAGTGTGTCTATGTAGTGTGTAGTGTGTAGTGTGTAGTGTGTAGTGTGTAGTGTGTAGTGTGTCTGTGTAGTGTGTCTGTGTAGTGTGTCTGTGTAGTGTGTAGTGTGCACTATCTAGTAGATCTCTTATCTACTAGATAAGAGTACTTCGATCACATGTGCGAGAGAATTGAGCGAGCGTGATTCTTCTTTTCTTCGTCTTTGGGCGTACAGGTCACATGGTCCGGGTAAGTCTCTGCGATATCTGAATCAGTGACTTGTGTGCCGTGAAAAGGACAATCTATCAAAGATTGGAGGTGGGCCTCTTCGAAAGTACCTGGAACTCTACACTCGAGGGTTCTGTAGGCTGTAGAGTATAGACTCCGGTTGACTGATTAAGATCTAGCTACCTCGTACCACCCATTCCCCAGCCTTGTCTGCGATCAACGGAACTTGACTGCCGGCTCGTCATACTGTCTAGTCACTGGAGTGTCTACTGTCTCGTGTCTACTTCTATTCTTGAACCCTGACTGACAAGCTCTCGAGCTCTTCTTCACAGCTAACCTGGTCCAACTCTCGGAGTGTGCACGGGGAGGTCGGGCTCAGATTGCAAAGCTGCGAGATCCATACTCTATGACAGAGTGCCCGAGGTGGGCGCATGGATCTTTTTTTCGAGAGACCCTGGCAAGCTTCCAGGTTAGCATCGCTTCGATGATGGGGGCTCAACACCGGCCACGCCCGTTGAGGCGGTGCGACCATGCGACCGGGTGCATCACGTGCTTCGACTCGGGGACCGGCATCGGCATCTGCACGAGTTCTCCACCGTTTGCTTTGAGGCGGCAGTTCTGTAGAATCAATGTGCAAGCTGCAAGCAGGCTTGGTAGACTGTCCTGGTTGCGCCGTTGCAGTGCATGACTATGTGACTGTGCACAATTGTGTAGTTGTGTAGTTGTGTAGTTATGTACAACCTCAGTCAGTGATTCCATACTGATGTGGTTGAGCCGCCTGACTTTAGAGTTTTCTAAAGACTACCCCAGCCTTGGTGACTATGACCGTCCCAAGTCGATCAGATCACTGCCAAATGCCAATTACCCAGAACACTCGAATGACCTGGTTTTGAGATCGAGAGAAGCCCGAGTACCTGAGAGGTATACCATGTCATATCTCTACCTATCTGTTTTGAACTACCGTCTTCCATAGCAATGCTTTACGATAGTCGCATAAGTGAGGGATCATCCGAAGTCGCAGTGGATGAGTGGATGAGTAGATGCCAACCCTCGGACGCTCAGACCGACCGTGTCTCGGCCAGCCTGTCTCGTGTGTTCACTGTTCACTCTCTCAGTCTCACTCTCCAGTCTCCAGTCTCCAATCTCGTCTGTCTGCAGCGTGCCATGGGGAAGAGAGTCTCTCTCGCTCGGTCTTGGTCTTTGGGAGTCTGAGCGAGACACCGTCCCACTCTGCGAGAGGAGTTGTACCTTCCCAGCCCACATCACTTCCCACGGTATGAACATTGAATACTCCTATCAGTACCGACTACCGCCCAACGGCCCATCTTTCCCATCTTTCAGCCTTGAGTCCCCTTCTCCTCAGTCCTCAGTCCTTCCTCCTCACAGCCCAGTTGCGCCCGCGAGACGTGCGTTTAGAGCCTGGGTTCTCGTGTGGTTCGCTTTGAGTTTGTCCCATTGGTAACCCTCAATTCCAGGCGGTACGGGACATCTGGATCTTTCGCCTCTGAATGTTGTGTCGGGTTGTCGGTCATCTTCCTCGTCCACCGCGCTCTCGCGGTCCCGGACCGCGATGGCGTCCTGACTTTATCATCTCCATCCACAAGCTCTGATAGCTGTCATGCGGGGTTATGGTTTGTGCTATCTGATAACGGAAGCTCCAGGATACGAAGCATCCACCCTCGAGAGACTGGAGAGGCTGGAGACTGGAACGAGAGCCCCATCCGGAGAGGTCGATCTCCCCTAAACCGCGGGGGTTTATCATAGACTCCATACTTCCATAGTCCTGGTAGGAGTGGCCTCCGCCTTCATAAATAAGTCAAGCTACCTCCTGGTTCAGTTTCCCCGGATTTTCCAACCCTCGAAGTCAACAAAGATTCCCACCTCGACCCAAGACATCCTCTCCACGTCCTGCTCCTCCTGTTCATTCTGTTGTTCCTTTCGTGTCTCTTCGTTGTTTTCCACTGCCGGCCCAGTGAGCCACGGGTTCCGCAGCAGACTACGGTTCAAGAGAAAGCACTTCTTGACTGCCTCTCCCAACTACATCGGCACGGTGGTGCCTCTTCCTGACAAGTCTCGTATTCCATCCGCTACCACTCCACTCTTACACTACAGGAGCGGCTTGGGACGTTCTGAAACAGTTCCACCTCGCATACATCGAAGTGCCTACTTGACATACCCAAGTGCCCCGGTCTCTGCGTTCCCCTCGAAAAACAGAAAAAGGAAGACCTCGCCCCCCCCCCCCCCCCCCCCCCAAAAAAAAAAAAAAAAAAAAAACAAACCAAAGATCAAAGGGAGCGTCTCCACCAGCAAAAAAAAAGGCCGAGGATTGTATGGCCGCTTGCTGCTGGCTGGGTCAACCCAACATTCGCACGGTCTCTCTCACTGCCCGCCCCGGATCTCCACTGAGCTGATCACCCGCCTTTGCACCCTTCGTCCTTGATCTTTCCTCACGCGACCACTTTCAAAGGGTCTCCCTTCGCTCCCAAATCCAACCATGCGACAGTCTTCGGTCGATGCCTCCGCCGATGAGGCGTTGGCGCGCATGGGTTACAAGAGCGAGCTGCCGCGGAACTTGTCCATGCTCAGCATCCTCGGCCTGTCCTTTGCCATCATGGCGGCGCCATACGGTCTCAGCACCACCCTGTACATCACCCTGTACGACGGTCTCTCCGTGACCATCATCTGGGGTTGGATCTTCGTCACGCTGATCTCCATTGCCATCGCGGCCTCGCTCGCCGAAATCTGTGCGGTCTACCCGACCGCCGGCGGCGTCTATTACTGGAGCGCCATGCTCTCGACCCGCCGCTGGGCCCCGCTCATGTCCTTTATCGACGGATGGTTGACGCTGGTTGGAAATTGGACGGTCACTCTGAGCATCATCTTCGGCGGCGGGCAATTGATCCTCAGCGCCATCTCCCTGTGGAATCAGGACTTTGTCGCCAATGCGTGGCAGACGGTCCTGATGTTCTGGGCGGTCACCTTGGTCTGCACCCTCGTCAACATTTTCGGGTCGCGCTACCTGGATCTGATCAACAAGATCTGCATCTTTTGGACCGCGGCCAGTGTCCTGATCATTCTCATTGTCTTGTTCACCATGGCCGACCACCTCAACTCGGCCCAGTTTGTCTTTGCCGAATACGATGCGTCGCAAAGTGGATGGCCCGCCGGGTGGGCCTTCTTCGTGGGCTTGCTGCAGGCCGCGTATACCTTGACGGGATACGGCATGGTGGCCTCCATGTGCGAGGAGGTCCAGAACCCGCATCGGGAGGTCCCCAAGGCGATTGTCTTGTCCGTGGTCGCCGCTGGCTTCACGGGTCTCTTGTATCTGATCCCGGTCCTCTTCTCCATGCCGAGTGCGGCCGTGCTGCGCCAGGTGGCCAGTGGTCAGCCCATTGGGACCCTGTTCATGCAAGTCACCGGCTCCCCCGGCGGTGGCTTCGGCCTGCTCTTCCTGATTCTCGGGATCATGCTCTTTGCGGGGATTGGGTCGATGACTGCGGCCAGCCGTTGCACCTATGCCTTTGCCCGGGATGGTGCCATTCCGGGATTCCACCTGTGGCGCCGCGTCAACAAGAAGCTGGATGTGCCCGTCAATGCCATTCTTCTCTCTGCGGGAGTCATCAGCCTGCTAGGATTGATCTACTTTGGTTCAACCGCCGCGTTCAATTCCTTCACCGGGGTCGCCACCATTTGCCTGTCCACCTCGTACGGATTGCCCATCCTCATCTCCATGATCCGCGGTCGAACCGACGTCAAGCGATCCACCTTCTCCCTCGGTCCCTTTGGATGGGTCATCAACGCGATCACACTGCTATGGATCGTGCTGGCCGTGGTCCTCTTCTGTATGCCCTACATCTTACCGGTGACTCCGGCAAGCATGAACTACGCCAGCGTGGTCTTTGCTGGCTTCGCCGCCATCAGCATCGTATGGTACTTTGTATATGCGCGTAAGCATTTCACGGGGCCCCCCGTGTCCAAGGAGGAGGTCATGGTCACCGCGGGCGTCATGACCGGCTCTGCGGTGGATCCGGAGACTGCGACGGTTGAGCAGATGAAGAAAATGCCCAGCGACTGAGTGATCCCCCATCAATGGGGAGCCTACTGTTCATTAGTAGTCCGAGGGTTGGAATAAAGACGACCTCCCTTTGCCTCAACCGACCGGCCTGGAGCTGTCTCATTATCATGTATTGAAATTTGATGTTTGGCCATGTGTATAGTATACTAGCTTTTTCTTCACGTGCAACACCTAACTCGCTTATGAATACTTTATTTACGATCAACAAGCTTCCAAGTTGACCATTCTGCGATTCTGACCTCCATTTGCTCGACAGTTTCCGTTCGGGTGAGATGTTCCTCCCAATTCAAGCACTTCCTCCTCCCCCCCCCCCCCCCCCCCCCCCGTAAACAGCTTCCCCAGCTTTCCCGGCGAGTGGGCGGGAATCACAAGTGGGAATGGATCTTCCCGACAGCCGCGGTCCAAAAGCAACCTTTCCACTCTGTGCCCCAAACCTTGACACACGCCCCAAGTCGCTCGGTCTTCCTGCAAGGCACGACAACCACCTCCTGCATGCTTGAAACACTTCAAGGTGACGTTTCGCCCAACTCAAATCGCAACCCACACATCCCAAGTACAGACCATTGCTCACCCCAAATCTGCTCCACATCGTCTATCGCGCCTGCGTGACAGACGCCTTGTCTTATCTGCACCGGCGATTTGAAGCATCATCCGGGGAGATCTGCACCTCGTCGGAGTCTCGCGCACGCGGCACTCAGTACTTGTCGCTCGGTGGAACGGCATAACCCCCCGCCCAGTTCGGACATTTCAAATTACACGTGCTTGACCTTTGAGCCTCCGTCTCACTCTCTGGACGATCAACTCCTTTCCCCTTTCGCCAAGCGCTCTCCATGAAGTACGTCCACGCTAGCCGGTGCCCGACCTCGCTCCCATGAAGACAAGGCAGATGATTATCGGACCGATCGGTATCGCACCAGCATGTCAGACTCAGTGGGTAGGTCCATTCGTGTCCCAGTCATGATCGGGGGAAACTGATTTCGCGGTTGGCGCCCAACATGGACACAATGACTGACTTTTCTACCTCGTTCGTATCACGGGCTGTAGATCGCGTCTTCGTCCATGCCTTAAATACAGTGAAGAGGATTCCGCGGACGGGGACCGCGCGACCCCCGGCCGCGGAGCGCTTGAAGCTTTATGGATTGTATAAGCAGAGCATGGGTGAGTGGGACACAGTTCATGAAAATATGGTTGGAAGTTGGAAAAGGACACAAGGGCTGATGGTGCTTTCGTTTGTGGGTTGCAGAGGGTGATGTCGAAGGCGTCATGGCTCGCCCCGTGGGGAATACCCCGGAGGTACATGCCGAGTGCGAAAAGTGGTGAGTTGCCGTGTCGCAATGCTGAGTGAAGTGCCTGGATGGTGTACTCTAGATGATATACTCTATGGCCTTCACATCATCAGGAAGATCCATCGCTGATCTTCTTTCTTTGCCTCGCGCAGGGATGCTTGGTACGCTCAGCGCGGACTCACCCGCACCGAAGCCAAACGCCGCTATATCGGCACACTCATCGATACAATGCATTGCTATGCCTCGCAAACGCCCGAAGCGCGCGAGCTCGTCTCCGAACTGGAATTCGTCTGGGATCAAATCAAATACAACGCCTCTTCGTCCTCCTCGTCCTCTCCACTCAACGCCGTCGGAGTCCCGCCCTTATCGCATCATCAGGGTAGCGCATACGGTAGCATCGGTGGACGTCTTGCACAATCATCGTCATCGGACCGTTATGAGAGACCTGATCTCCGAGCCAACGATACCCGCGATTCAAGACTGCGCGTCTTGAGTCCTGTCAGCCAACCGGAGGAAGAAGCATATTACCGTCGGCGACGGTCCGCAGACGCACTTCGTCACGACAATGACAACGACGTTGACGAGGACGAGGAGGACGATGACGAAGATGAAGATGAAGAATATGAAGAGGCTCGTGATAGCTTATACGAACCAGAAGAAGACCACGACTCTTCCACCACCGACACCCACACCCACACCCACACCGACACAGAAAACCATTCCCACTCTCACAGCAACGCCGACCCTCAGACCGATTCACACTCTCACAACAATGACCAGAACCACAACCACAATCAGAACCCCGTCCGACGCAAATCCTCCTCTGGCGTCAGCGACGGCACAAGCCTGCACTCCCCCGACTCTCAAGACCCTTCACATCCCCGCAGCCGCCGATGGCGCCGTCGCGTAGAACAAGCCCTCACAAAAATGACGGCCGAAATTGCCGCCGTCCGAGAGCAAATGGAGGCCCGCACGCTCGTGCATCGTCGTCGCGCCGGGATCTGGGCCTGGCTCAAGTGGATGCTATGGGCGGTCATGCGCCAGATCATCTGGGATGTGGCGCTGCTGGGAGGCCTCTTGATCTGGATGCGGATGAGAGGTGATCGAAGGCTCGAGGAGCGATTGCGCGAGGGATGGTCTGCTGTGCGGGCCAAATTGGGGAAGTTGAGAGGGTTGAGAGGGGTACCCAGTGCACCATAGATTTCTTCTGTTGGGATATTACTCCTTCTTTTGGGCGGGTTTCGTTTCCCCCGTGGATGTGGGAAACGGATTGTGTCCCTTGGGTCTGTTCTTGAGGACTTGTATATAGTTTCTTTCTTGTTGGTTGTCCTCTTGCCCCTTTGTTCATGTATATACTTGTGGGCTGTTCTCATTTTCTCCTTCCCTCCCTCCCTCCCCCCTCTCTCTCTCTCTCTTTCTCTCTCTCTCTTTCTCTCTCTCTCTCCCTCTTACCTTTACTTTTCATTTGTTCTATCATACCTCCTTCTGTCCTTTTTCCTTATCGCATCGAGGTCCATGGTGTTCAACCTGGACCTTCCTTCGCTTCCTCTCTGCTCTGGCTGTATACTAGCACCATTACCTACCTCCGATGGAGACGCTCAAGCCACGAAATGTATAACACTGCCTGGAGTGAGTACCAAGATCACCTGCGTAGCGGCAATTGAAACCATTCAACTTGTCTACGATCTACATACACACCCTAGTCATAAGTATCCCGACAGTATACGGTCCACCGGCACAAGTGATGATGTTCGAGAAGTCTCAACTCGAGAAATATATACTGTGACCGGGTGTGAGCAAAAAGCCAGTCTGTTACGAAACGATTGGCTGAGCACCATGCTTAGAATGTTATATCCTGGTCCATGGGTTCGGTCGACTGGAAAATTGCATTGATCATAGGCTGAAATTTGCATGAAGTATCTTTTATAGTAGACACTGACACTAGAGACTGGACACTGCACACATACATAGGGCTGCCAAGACCTTCAAAAACTTGACCTCATCACCTCCGTCCCGATTTTCTTCACGCTCAAAAAGGCCCGAAGTAAGAAAAGCATCATTATCCTCCAATTTAATATTCGTGATTATATTTTCGCAGCCCTGGCTACGGCAGACTTTGTTGCTGTTGAGACAGTGGTCTGGAATATCCGGGATCTACTATTCAGTACATTCTTCATTCAGTACTGAGTATTGGGGGTATTGGCACTGTCCGGCGTCTCCGGGCGTGTCCGGCGTCTCCGGCAACTTATGGAAGGGCTGAGTATGTAAGATCTAAGGAAACCGCAGCGTCGCGGCCACATCGACAGTTGGAGACCTGGGAGCGTGTGATCGTCGGACCGTTTCGGTTTGTTCATTTCAGAGAGGTCGTCTCGGCAGAAATTCCACTTTTTTTTGGAGCGACGGGGCTATAGACTTCCAAGTTTGGGTTTAAGGATGTTTGTGCTTTTGCGTAGTTGTGGTATGGTTTTTTGTAGATATCGGCGCGTAGGTCTATAGATGGGTTGGCTATTCAGCGTCTTCCTGGGTCAGTATTGTGAAAAGCTTCGTGTATAACAGAAGGTCCCGTCTCTCGGCTGCAGGCTGTAGATGCCAAAGGGCTTCCAAGGTTTGGAAAAAATTGTGAGTTGCCTACGCATTCTCTCAAACTTGAAAGCTTTCAAGGAAGTTCGTAACCGTTTCTGATGCCCAAAGATATTTACACACGAGACATGCACCAGAGAAACAACACAAGAAAAAAGCAACACTATCACTGTAGAGGAGATACGCAATAAATCGCTTGCGCATCAAGTGTAAAAGAACACGACGGATGAGGGAGGTTATAGGAGAATTTAAAACACCCAGGCTTGCAGCAATAAGTCCAGCATATGGGGTCTTTGTGGCGGACCCGATTGCTCAAGAAGGGCGTGGCGCAAGGAAGAAAGATGTGAGCCGGAGGAGTAAGAAACATGGACCATCGTTTTATCGAACAGGGGTTGATCCAGTACTTAGTACTGAGGTCCAGGGTACTGGGCGTATTTCTGTTTGGGGCGCAGGTGGACGGGGACCTGGTTCTCAGGAGCACCGGGGATGGTCTTCTTCAGGCCCTGTTACAGAGTCAGCATCTCCCGTATGATAGAAAAGAAGCGAGAATTGCGCGTAACCCGTTCATGCTTGCGCGAGTGCAATTGAAAGCGTCATGGTGTATTCAAGGGAGGAAGTATGATAGCGTACCAGCTTGTCAAAGATGCAGCTGTTGAGAGAGACCTCGGCCTTGCGGCATTCAAACATGTAGTGGTTGTTGTTCTCAAGACAGTCGGCATGAGCCTTGAATTGGTCCAGGCAGTGGGTGTTGATGTCTTTGATCCTGTTTGCGTGAAGATAGCACACAATTAGTCAACCGTAGCTTCCTGTGTGCCGCATGTTGGGGGGTTTTCCTCCGCGAGCAGGCAATTCCAAAGATCTCATTATGAACCATTGCACCCATCCCCCCCCCCCTAGAGTTGCTCGGAGAGTAACGTACACGCTAGCAGCGCAGCGCGTCACCTTGCGCCCCTCCTTCAAACACTCAATCTCTCCGCGGCCATTGGCCTCGTCCTTGCACTTCATAAAATCGTCATTGAAGGCCTTGCATCGGTCCCCGATAAAGTATGCCGCGCTGGTCAGATAGGCCGAGGTCGCACCAATCTCTTCCACCTTGGGGATGTGGTCCGGCATGGGCGTGGTGTCCACGAGGACCTGCTGGTTGAATCTGGTTGCCGAGGGATAGCATGATTAGTTGGCAGCTGAGACGGAGTGAGGGAAGAGATGGGAGTATGGCTAGTCTTCCTTGAGTGCCAAGAAACATACTGGGGATCCCGCTGAGCCATTGTGACGGTGACTGCTATGTGAAGAAGAGACTGGTGAGGTAGATTGACGTGGACGATGACCTTCGCGAAGCTGCGGGTTGCGGTGGAATTGAAAGGTCGGTTTCTTTTGGGAGATGCTGATTGGTTGTAGAGGTATTGCTGAGATAATCACATTGCTTCAAGTTGGGAAGTTCTATTGCGTTCGGGAGTTGCTTGAGACTTTCAAAGCAGACACTAGATCTTGGATAATAGATAGAAGGTAGACAGACAGTCTGGTGCATAGCTTTAAATCAATTGATACAATCAGTATTATTCGAACCATTACTTTCTGCGTCGTGTCGTTATACACTGGTGGCTGGAAGCGCGGACTTGCTTGAGCGCAACGTATCACGTGACCCAAAACAAAGCCCAGCTCCGACTGGTTGAGGATCTGCTCTTCGCGAAGCTCAGCTCCAGCGGTCACCGTCTCGTCTGCCCAACTACCTTTTTTCCTTTCCAATCGCTCGAGGATGCAATCTTGAAGTCAACTGTACCTGCATCTGAACAGCTGGCCCTCTGACCGCGACGCGACTAAAACAGTGGACATCCGAACTCGTGTCAACGAATTGCCGATCAACACTTTTTTTTGGGGCACTTTTGCGACAGATCCTAGCATTCCCTTTAACAGACCTCCACCATGTCTCTATTCGGCAACACGGCCAGCGCGAGCCCATTCGGCAATACCGCCACCAAACCGACTGGCTTTGGTGGTCTTGGAGGAAATACCACAGGTGGTTCGGGCTCCAGCCTGTTCGGCAACACAAATTCGACTCAACAGCAAGGCATATCTGGGTCTGGCCTGTTTGGAAGCGCTGCAGCACCGACTCAGACCAACACGCAGACCGGTGGCTTGTTCGGCTCGACGACTGCGCAAAAGCCCGCTACCAGTGCTTTTGGTACAACGACCCAGCAGCAGACGCCTAGCCTCTTCGGTGCAACGGCGCAGAAGCCCACCACGAGTCTGTTTGGTGCCAATGCGCCGCAGCAACAAACGCAACAGCCCGCGGCTGGAGGGGGCCTGTTCGGGTCTACTCTAGGAGCCAATAATCAAGCACCACAACAGCAGCAGCAGCAGCAACAGCAATCGCAGTTCGGTCAAACAACAATGGTTCAACCACAAGGTCAACCTCAAGAACAGTCCTTGTCCTCAACTCTGTGGTCTCCCGGCCGTGCTATTACTGGAGGTAATAATTTCTCATACGGAGAGCATCTTCCCCATTGAGCTTTTGTCAAGGTCTAATTTGACTCGTCATGACTATAGTACATCGAACTGTACCCATGCAGATTGCTATCGTGCGGGACAAGTGGGATGCACAAATTCAATCTTCGCCTTTCCGTGCCTATCTCTACAATCACGTCGGCGACGACAATGCTCCTTTCTACCAGCCCAGCGCCGAAGACGATGCTACGAAATGGGAAGAGGCCTTGAAAAAGCGTCCGGGCTCAGGATACGTCCCCGTCTTGGTCAAGGGCTTCATCGACGTGGGCAAGCGGGCTCAACGCCAGAAAGACTTCCTTGCCATTATGCAGACACGCCTCCACGAAATTAACAATTGCCTGACAGACTTGCTCTCAAGACACGATTTGAAAATCTCCGTCAAGGTCGCGGATGCTCGCCGCAAGCATATTGTTCTCAGTAAACGGTGTCTGGCTCTGGCAGCCAAGACCCAGATGCTGCGTAACCGAGGCTATGCCATGGACGATGCTGAGGAGGAGCTAAAGAAGAAGCTGATTCAATTGGAGCGAGATGTATTTGATCCGTCATTGACGGGTCGTGGCGAGGAAATTTGGGCTCGTATGCTTGCCATTCACGAGCATTCGAAGCGGCTGCAGGCTGAGATGGATCGTGCCGGTGCCCATATGACGAATCGTGCAGAAGATGAGATCGACGAGCAGACCATGAGGACGGCGAAGAAGGTAGACTCCCCTCTCACCCCACAGGAACCTCTTTTTCCATACTCTTAACTGACAACTTCGCCAGATTCTCGACGACTACCATACTCAGATCCAGCACTTGCAGAAGGAGATGGAGGTCGTGAAGAAGGACTTTGAAGAGTCACAGAAATCGGGTGGAAACTAGATGACTTCCGTTCTACCCCGGGGCTTTAATTGCACGACTAGGATTGAACATCATCGGGAGCGGAGTATCGGCGTTCTGGATAACTACCTTTGATACATTCGGGATTAAAGCCTTATCAATCCGACATTCTTCAATCTTGTCTCAACAAGCGCTTGATTACTCGCTCTCGGCTCAAGCTTGTACCAACGAGCCTCGTATTCCGGACGTGATGACATCCGCCTGACTTGATCGATGGACTTTACTTGAAGACGCGAGACGGTTGGAAGCAGGAAAGTCACAATATTTGATTCATATGAGGATGGTGGTAATACAGTCTGGAAGCCAGGACACGAGTCGAGCCCTCATATCCAGTAAAATGTTATAGCTCGGCGAAAAAGATGCTTCCGTGCGATATTTCGTGTCGCCAGGAGAACCCATTTCCGTAGAAGAAGAATTATGCCATGCCTCTCCTGACAATGGTATAATCAATTTGCGGCGGCGTGATGGCCACTGGGAGACAATGGGGTCAGGGACTCGGAGAGGCGCGCTTAGAGGAACTTGCGGGCGAAGTCGATGGCGAAAGGAGCTACCATATCATCAGCGATCGTCTTCCTATGCATGCTGCGTACCTCCTGCATCGCGAGACACCAAACAGGACATCGGGATGATGCGGTTGCCACCGGACTTACACAGGTAGAGAAGAACACCACCGAGAACCGCCATCTGGACGGTCTGGCTAGCCTCGATCTCACCAGCCTATGAGTCTGTCAGAGATTGTCCAAACGAGAAGGAACCATATTCTGCGACTCGTATACGTACGCGGATCTCCTCCTTGGAAAGCTGTTCTTGGCCTGGATATTCAACATAGTCGCATGGTCAGTAAAATGGGCGATGAAGGCTTCATGATTCGCCAAGAGGATGATGTCAAGGGCCACGTAGAATCAACTGTTTTTTCGGTGTTTATCACACTTACCGGGAGCAAACATTTTGATTGGTATGTATAGAGATTGTAAATCAGTGGTGAGCAGTGACGAAGTTGAAATGAAACTTAGCAAAGATACAGCCCGCGGCGCGGAACTTGCCTTGACCAGGCAAAATAAATCACGGGAGCACAGACCCGCATCCTCGCCTTCGCCGATGTCCGGCTCCAAGCTCACATCAATCAACTCACCATTTCCATGAAAACAACTTCAACGTTTACACTTTCGCCAGAACCTCAAATTCCCTTTCCTGCACTCTGAAGGAGTTGCGCCCCCTCAATATTTGGTCTTGTTGATCGATCGCCACTTGCGGTTCGGCTTTCGCTGGGCCCTCAGAAGCTGCCGTTGGAAACCCACCGCGCTGTGGTCTTGTAACTCACTCGTCGATACGACCAAGTCGCTTTCTCTCACTTCGACACCCTCTCTTATCAGCAACATAAACCATCTTCCACTCTCCTACTTTCACAACCACCTCGATCCATCACACAAGAAATATGTCCGCCTCACCTGAGCACCAGGCTGGCCCAGGTGCCGCTTCACCCGAACCAGAGGAAGTGCCCCCTCCTGCCCTTGACACCAACGAGGCACCTGAGGATCAGGATAACGAAGATGAGGGTGGTGTCTCTGACGATGAGTCGATTCTTTCGGAGGTCGACGAGGCGCAGTTCGAAGACTTCAACCCTGAAACCGTGGACATCGAGGATCGTCCCCAGCTGGCTATTGACGAAGATAACCTGAAGCTTATCGGCCGTCACAAGCGCAAGCGTAGCGAAGAAGGCGAGGGCCGTTCCTCGCGCCGCAAGGAAGGCCGTCGCGAGAAGAAGAATCGCCGTGCGCAAGACGATGCGGAGGAGGGGCCGTCTCGTCGCAGGACTGCGAGGAAGGCATCTCCCTCTACAGATGAAGAGACTTTGGATCCTGAGACCCGTGAGTGACATTGTCCTCGTGCTGGAACTTATATTGTGATTGTACGCTGATGACATGATCATTAATAGGTCGCCGCCGAGCTATCGACCGTGCCATGGACGAGGCCATCAAGAAGCCTGGCAAGAAACGTTCCCGAAAGCAGGATGGAATTGTATGGGCTGTCCACAACACGCTGCTTCCTACTCAGCTCGAACTAATATGTCGTTTCACTAGGATCTCGAAGCCATAGCAGATGCTGAAATCGAAGAGATGCGCAAGCGCATGACCACCGCTGCACAACTCGACGCCATCAGTCGCCAAGAGGGCAAGCCAGCCATGCACAAGCTCAAGCTCCTCCCCGAAGTGGTCATTCTTCTCAGGCGAGAGAAGTACATGAACAGCTTGGTTGACCCTGAGATCAATCTTCTCGAGGCCGTTCGCTTCTTCCTCGAACCCCTCGATGACGGGTCCCTGCCCGCCTACAACATTCAATTCGAGCTGCTGACTTGCCTTGCTAAACTGCCAATCCAGAAAGACGCTCTGATTGCGAGCGGAATTGGAAAGGTCATGATCTTCTACACGAAGAGCAAGCGCACCGAGCGAAAGATTAAGATTATGGCAGAGAAGCTCCTTGCGGATTGGACGCGGCCAATTATTCAATGCAGTGACGACTACCACAAGCGCGTCTATGAGACGGCTGAGTACGATCCAACGTATGTATCCGACCCAGTTCAAACAAAGCTTTTTCGTATCATTTTCACTGACAATCATTCCAGCAAGGTGGTCAAGCGTAGTCAGCTTCCTCCCGAGGTCCTTGCGAAGGAGGCTCGTGAGCGCGCGAAGCTTCCTCCCCGTCTTGCTAATCGTGCGCGCAGAGAACGTGTCCACGTCAGTTACACTATTGCGCCTCGATCGGTCGCTGTGCAAGAGAGCAAGTTTGCGCGACCTTTGGGAAGCGGTGGCGAGGATCGATTCCGTAAAATGCAAGCCCGCCACGATGCGTCGCAAAAGGGAGCTCGCAGCAAATTTGGTCGGATTGACTAGGAAGTTTCCTACGATCGCGCTTCGGCCTTTATGGTCTTAGTCTAACCGTCGGGATTTGCATCTAATTGCCTGACTGATGGCTTCCGTTTTGGATCTCTATTTTCTTTTTTAACATGGTCCGGCGTTCGGGAGGGATCGGGGAGCTTTTCTTAATCCTGGGTTTCAAATGGTCTCGTCAGCATGAGAAAAATGAAAACCTCCAAATGTGTACATTTATGTGTTAGACACAATTCCGCCCAAGTGGGAGTCCAAAAAAAACATCTCATTACTAAAGCAATTCACACTGAATACCTCGGGCACCTCATCGCAAATCTATTCAGTGAACAGACGACGTCATTGCCCTGTTGGCGGTTTCGACGTTCTTCTGGGCTGTACAGTCTCTGACCCAGCGTGCATCCGAGCTTTGACCGAATCCGTACTGTTTCTCCGGCCGATCAATCGCCGTCTGCCGGAGGTGCCGTGGATGCCGGTGCCGTCACGCTGGAGCAGATCCCGCATGCTCACGTCATTTATTAAAGCCTCCAGCGCCCGCAGTCGTAACACATCTCCCAATCTTCATCGACTCCCTATATTCAATCAATCTCTCTCTCTCCCTTCTCATTGACTATCTCCTGCTTGGTATATATCATCTTCAAGCACGTCTACACATTCATCATCACACAATGAAGTTGCTCACCAAGGAAGAAGAAGATGCGCACTACCGGTACGACTCATCCCTATGAGCGTAAAGATCTCTGCTTGGCTCCAGACTGACTAGATTCCCGTTTTTTTTTAGCAATGTCGTCAAGGGCGGCACCATCGGTGGTATAGTCGGTCTCATGGCCGGCTCTGCAGGCGTCCTGCTCGCCTCTCGCCGATACCACACTATCCGCAATTTGACCATCCCTATGAAGGCCTTCCTAGTCACGTCCTCGGGAACCTTTGTCGGTATTATCGCTGCCGACCACGCCTCGCGAGAGTTTGAGAAATCACAGAACGCTGCCAAACAGTGGTACGAGAGCCGCGAGGATCGCCTACACGCCGAGGAGATGCGCGGATTGAGCTTCACCGACCGCGCTCTTGCTTTTGCTCGTCGTGAAAAGTACAAGATTGTCGGCGCCACGTGGGTGGCCTCCATGATCGGCTCTTTCGTTCTTGTCGGTCGCAACCCTTATCTTTCCGGTCAGCAGAAGATCGTCCAGGCTCGTGTGTACGCACAGGGTCTGACCTTGGCTGTGCTGTGCGCCTCGGCCGCCTTTGAGATCTCCGATCAACGTCGCGGCAAGGGTATCCTCGACTCGGCTAAAAAGAGCAAGAAGTCCCAGGTCGAGGATGCCGCTGAGCCTGCCCCGGTTCACTCTCAAAACAACGAGCAGGCCGACCTCTGGAAGGACATGGTTGCTGCTGAGGAGCAGCGCCTCAAGTCCAAGCACCAGTCATTGCACATTCACCACGATGATAACAAGGACGAGGCTGAGAACAAGGATGAATCCAGCGAAAAGTCAAAGGACGAGTCAGAGGGAGAAGCCAAGGAGAACAAGAAGGATGCCTCGTCTGGGAAGAAGAACGAGGGTGAGAAGAAGGCCTAAGACAGCTCTTTGCAAATGGAGGGCTGCCTCTCGCTCGGTTCTCACGACCGGTGATGTGCCTTGGCATATCGCCTGGTCTATGACAGTCATTTGATTCCTTACCGGGCGCGGGCCTTGTATAATCCTGAGAAACAACACGGGCACTACTTGCCATTCCCTGGGCTCCTCCTGGGGAGCTAGGGTCCGATTTTTCACTTTGATCGACCACGTTCCGACCGTCGGTATCACACCTCGCCAACATTCAATTCGCCGTCTCTTCTTTTCCTTGTCTGCTCTCTCACTCGGGCTTTTCAAAATCGCAGCTGGAGCTGGATGTTGACTCTAATCACTTTTGCTTCACATGTATGATATCTCACAAAGCAGAACTCGTGTTCTGGCTGTGTCATCAAGCGTTAATAATGAATGCATTACTTATGATCAGTGCTCGTTTGCATTATAGCTTTGCAGTTACCCACCTAAGCTCGGTAGATTATCTTAATATCAAGATCAAGTTGCATGTCCTTCGGTTCAGAGGGACGAAGAGTACGATGGGGCGGCTGGAGAGTATATTGATGATGGAACATAGCTCTTTGACTTGAAATAGCTCTTTGTATGGATTAGGTTATAATATCCAAAAGTCCAGGACTTTTCAACAAATGGGATAATAACTCAGCTGGGAGAGTGTACGACTGAAGAACAACTTCTGTCTCTGTTATCGTAAAGTCGCCAGTTCGAGCCTGGCTTGTCCCATTTCTTTTTCCCAGCCCCCACTTTGTATCGCCGCACTTGTTGCGGTCGGCTGTGGCATAGTACCTCATTTTTTTAGTTCACAAGAACCCTGCTATTTTCTAGTTTTCAATGGACAAATCAGTCTGAAAGCGCTTGAGATCAAATGGTTTCCTCTGATGCCTCAACACGGGTCTTTTTTTGTTCCTTCACGGAATAGTCTATTTTTGTCCAGCATACCTGCAGGAGCCGAAGCTTCCAAGTGATACCCTAGCTAAAGAGAAAATATATACACCCGGCCCGAGGCCGTCCAATTCGTTGTCACCGACTCATTGATGTGGACATCCATGGACATCCATTTCAGGGACAGAATCCATCCATCTCCACCCATACTACATATACGATCAACAAGGGAGGTAGGTACCTGTAGGCCGGGTAATACAGCCATCTATGTACTACGTACCGATAGTCCATACTCCAGCATGACCGCGACATGGATATCTATGGATTAGGATAAATCAGACATCCAACCTTGGAATCCACCTGATTCTAACACCTAGGTACCTGGGAGATCGGGCTGGCGCTGGTGTGTGCTCACTGCTCACTGCTCCAGTGCTCAATATATGCCGAACGGATGAAGTCTACATGGATGACGATAAGATTTCCGAAAAGACCTCGGACATTCCCGACAACCTAACAAATACGTAGTACATGAGTAGCTCATGCAAGTAAACGCATGCTGGGGCTTTGGTCTTCCAAAAAAAAAACTGGCCAATCTACTCATGAAAGGATAGCCGAGTCGCATAACCTGTAGCCGTGGCCGCGGTATTTAGCACCCGGTGGAAGTGAGCTGTTAATCACCAGGTGCCAACCAGAAGGAAGGGTACAGAAATGCTACCAGCCCCGGAGTGAACTACCTCACCACCAAGCGACGTGAGCTCGTCGCCGCAAAGCAGCAAGAGCTGTAGTTGGCACTTCTAGTAACTTTCAATTGTTTCCTAGAGGGACGAATGCGCTGGCAAAGCACGCATAGAATCCGCCCAGATGATCGGAGAGCACTCGGCTCACTGGTTGCCAGACACGGACCTACCATCCATACCAATGGACTACTTGATCTCGCCACGAGGATATGATCACAGCAGTGAATGCGTCCTAGTAATCTATTCTCAAGTAGCAGCCTGGATGTTCTGTCGTCAACGACAACTTCCCCGTATCGGCAATCAAATATGAAGGCCCTTGTCGCTCCCCTGGAATGACAGCGAGAGTCTAGAAAGTATCATCCTCAGGGCGCTCCGTCCGCCTGACAATGGCGGGGCTATCGTCGTCAAAGTCTTCGGTAAGATCCCCCGCTCCGGCAGTGGCGAGCAGATCTGTCACGATGCGCTTGGACGCTTCCTTCGCTTCAGACGACAGTCAGCACAGATAGACTCTAATTGGACCAGAATGATGCCTTCCAAAATAAAGCGGCAGTATTCCCTAACTTACCAGGTGTCTTCATTAGTCGACTCTGCGGAATATGAAACTGCATGGTTTTTGGAGGACTAGGGCCGAAATTATCGTCGTCCAAATCATCATCACTGTCCCATACGGGTCGTTGACCACCTTGTCTTTTCATTGGGGTCAAAACACTAATTCCAGGCTTTGGGGTCCCGCGGACAAGATTGCTGCTGGTTCGTCGCTTGCGGTTCGTTCCTGGAGTGGCATCGATGCCCTTAATGGGGGATGAGAAAATCTCCGAATGGAGGCGCGGCGCTTCAGGCTCGGGGCTGGAGATTGGCGAATCGTCTGGAGCGTGCCGAGAGCCTGACGTGATAGCCGCGGCCGCCTGTGGAGTGACTGTGTACTTGGATTGCGTAGTCGCACCGTAGCCAGTGTTGCGAAACCCCTTCCCAAGCGGAGTGGCCTGGACGCGGTATGTTCTGTCCAACACACGATGCAGCACAGGATCAGAAGTTTTCTGATATCGAGAGTCCCCACGAGATGCCGAGGCATACTTCGCCGAGGACACTGGCGGAACGAAGGGGGACGACATGGGAGTAACTGAGATCTCGGGAGGTAGGAAGGTCTGACGACCTGGTGTCGATGGTAGTGTAGATGAGTCGGGCATACCGAATGGCGCTTTATCTTCGTTGATCTGCCTTCGCAGGTCTTCGTAAGAGGAAGAACGCTCGAAGGAGGCAATGGTATCATCCTCTTCAGACGGCCGAGAGGCCACGCGCGGGGTACTGTGAGAGGAGATTCCATGCTCGGAAAAATCGGCATCCTCTTGCTGAGCCAGGTGCTGCATATGTGGGCGAGAAGAAGGTGTGCCGTAAGTGTGCTCGCTTTGGTCTGTGGACGTAGTCTGCGTTACGTCGATGGAGAGCTCTTCCTCAGTCGCCGTGCCTTCTTGGACTGTATCGTCGGTCTCGGGTTTCTCTTCGTACCCAGAAAGCGAGACATTGGCACTGGCCTCGAAGAATTGTTTCCAGAACTATGGCGCATGAATTCAGTACTGTTTGCGGAGGACCTGAAGTCTGAAGGTCTTTGATGGAGAAGGTATTGCGTACCTTGGCACCTTCCCAGACATCGCGAGAATGCTCTGTATACTGCTCTACCAGGGGTAATATGCTGGTTGTAACAATTCGGTGGGCTTGGCTGAAGTTGTGGTCGATCTCTATAACCATGAGCATGAGGCATAATGACTTGTTGACAGTGGACAGCCTACCCTGAAGTGTAAGAGTGATGGATTGTTCCAGTTTCTCCAACTCTTCCGTCAAAGTCAACGGCCTTTGGAATTGCGAAGACTGCTGAGACATTTTTCGAGTCTGTCCCACGGAATCACGAAATATGCTTTTAAGATCACGATCTCATGAATTTGTTCCAACGGCAGTTGAGAGACGCGGCGGAGCAATACAACCAAAAGCGGTGTACAATCCCTGGGGTGGTCATATGTACCCGTTCATCAGTCAGGCACGTCGACATCGGCACATCCCATTGACAACTTCATCATCTACATCTTATTTCATCGATGCGCCTAGAGTATGATGAAAATAAAATGACATGGCCTATCTGACTGCCAGCAGGAGTTGGAGATCTATATACTGTATCAAGCTCATGAGTACTCCTCTAACGCCGCCTCAAGAGTCAAAACACCCAAGAGCCCACCAACAAGGACACGCGATACTCAAGGTACTCTACTACTAAATGAACTATGACTAGTACCTACTCACTAACTTACTAACTAATACTTGACAAAGAGGCGGTCACTGGTTCCAAGGAGGGTTTGATGTACGATTTAATCTACATTAAATGGAAATGTCATGTTTTCCGGATTGCCGAGGATCAAGTCACCCATAGGCTCTGATATATAGAAGAGACTAGAGATTGTTCTACAGTAATTAGCATTTGACCCTTCTTAAAGACCCTTCAAACAGGTTCACAACCTCACAGGCGCTCAGCCTCAAAGTGGCGCAGCGGGCGGGTACCAAGTCCGCTGCTATTGCTAAGGTGCTCAGGTACTCCAGAGTCCAGACTATCGCCACTGCCAGGGATCAGAGGGTGTCATGTGCTGCGGGGGTTTATGTAAGAACCAGGATCCAGGCATCATCGATAATTCCTGGACGAAGGTTTCAACGAAAAGTGGTTGGAGCTTTTGAAGGAGTCTTTGCCCAAGGAGTGTCCCCATAGAAGAGGAAGAAGTTCCATGCAGTAGGCATAACTCATTCGACATGCCAGCTCCTCTTGCTAAAGGTATGTGAAATCCGTGATGCTTTGTTTAGCCCTCCGACGGCTTACCAGGGGCGTTCCGCGTTTGCACTCTCTGCCAAAAAAAAGCTACGTTCTGACCAATCCGGGTAATAGGGATCATCGTCACAGTCTCTGTTCTAGTAGCAGCCGGCGTGGCCGTCTACCAGTCGCCCCAATTTCAGCAGTGGGTGACCAACTCTCGACGAAAAATCGCCGTAGTCCTGCATAACCTCGGCGATGAGGTTCAACCACGCGGCTCAGTCTCTCCAGGCCGAGAAGACATTTCCATGAGCGAAGAGATCGGAGAAGCTGCGGAAGAACGTAGGCGCATCGCCAAGGCAGAGATCAGACGCCGGGCTACTCTTTTGGAAAGTCGGCGCAAAAGCAGGACGTCCTTGCAAAACCAAGGGAGCTTTGATACCCTCGTTGATGCGGATGGCAATCTCCGCGCATCAAGTAAGGATGCGAGCTCTGCGCACGAAGATCCTGCAGATGGTCACTCTACTGCCTTGGACCTGGGAGCCATGCAGCCGGCGGTGCGCCGAGGAGTACTGAATGACGACGCCATCAGCCCTAGTGCTGAACGGCCCGACCTCCACATCGACATTCTTTCGGAGACAACATCCAACCACCCGTCGGAGGCTATTCTGCAATTTACACCAACCTCGGAAGTGCCATCAGAGTTGCTGTTTGATCCATTCGCTGACTCTCCTCTTCGATCGCAGACACCCGTGTCTGCTGCGGCATCCAGCCACACCGAAGCCAACGAACAGGTCTACTATGCTCATCCAAGCTCTGAGCTTGACGAGGGCAGGCCTCAGGATCTGCTCACTGACTTGGATGACATCTCTCCAAATAATCAGCAACAGCAACCTGTGTCATCGACATCCTCAATCGCTGGTAGCTATAGCCACATCGGCGCTTCTAACGATACGTCTTCAGATGGAAGCTTGAGTGATCTAGGAGAGCATCTTGGAGACGGCATTGAAACTCCTGCCAGCTGGTCTGAAGTCGGGAGTGTCGTTAGCCAGGACGATGCTGGTCATCATTCGCTTGTTTGATCTGGTTGAACTGTCTTCACATAGGGGGATATTGCCTCGGGGAATTGCAGGGCGCGAACAGGCGTACACCGCGAGAGAAGTTTTTTTTCCCTTTTTTTTTTTTTTTTTTTTTTTTGGTTCGAGATGAGGATTTTTGATCATGGCGTGGTCTTTAAGCGATGTCTGAAGGCATCTTCTCCAGGAGACCGCGCTGCATACATTTTGGTCTCCTCCTGAAGCCAGCCGTGCTTCCTGAGGGCTGAGATACGCGACTCCAGCGCTACTTGTTGCTCGAGAACTTACCGATCTAGAAGGTGCCCAACAAACGCTAAAAGGTCATCAAACGTACAGGCTTGTAGTCGTAGCTTGCATAGTTGGACCACCGCCAAGGGAGAGACTGGCCAGTGGCTACCATTCGAATAGGTTGAACAAGTGCAGTCTTGGCCTCAGAACCGAGTAAAAGCCTAGGCACGTTTATTCTCCGGATTGTGGAGAAAATCCACAAAAGGCAGCCGGCAAGTACTGAGTACTCGGAAATAGCAGGGCTTAGTGTGTTGCTCTGAGTACTGAGTACCTAGTAGACTACTACTCCGCGGCCAGCCCCAGGTACCCCCCAAGTGCCTCGGCACTTTCGGTCGAAGCTCAGCGGGTCTCCGCCTTTCCACGTTCTACTATTTGACTCTACTTTCTCCTCAGTTGACCTCCCTCATTTCCTATTCTTCACCTGCGAGTTCGGCTCTTTACTAGTCAATAAGTGAGTACTCATCCTGGCAGGATTGTGGATTGCCTCAGCGTTTCCATGATGCACGACACTGCTTTCATCGATTCCAAGGCTTTTCCCCGCAAAAACCCAACAGTTTCATCGCATCCCCGTTCATCCTTTCCAGAAACCTTGCAGCAACATCACTGACCGTTCAAGTCCCTTTTAGAACACTTCATAATGGCCGCAGATCGCCTCAGCTCCATCCTGAGCCACCTCAAGGGCTCAGGAAGCGGACTCAACGCTATGTAAGAGAAACCATGCAAAAAATGTCAATTTCGAAGTGAACATGCTAACAATCTTCGCAGTACCCAGAAGAACCCCGACGATATCGTCATCACACTCTCTCTGCGGACACCCTTGACCAAGGCTCGTAAGGGTGGATTCAAGGACACTGAGTTGGACTACATGGTATATGCGCTCCTCAAGGAGACTCTTTCCCGGTCCAAGATCGACCCTGCTCTGATTGAGGACGTGTGCCTCGGCAATGTATGTTTGTTCCCTGACCACATGATCTCCTTCCGTGTGCTCTTAAGGATGCTCATAATTTTTCTTCTTCACTTGCAGGTCAACGAGGCCAAGGCCGCTTATATGGTCCGCGCTGCGTCGCTGGCTGCTGGTATCCCTCACACTGCCGGTGCCTCATCAGTGAACCGCTTCTGCTCTTCCGGTCTCAAGGCCGTACAGGATATCGCCAACCAGATTTCCATGGGCTCGATTGATATTGGTATCGCCATGGGTGCTGAGCTCATGTCCGGGGCTGGCGACCGTCTTGACGCGCCCTTCAATGAGGAAATTCTCCGCACCCAGGAGGCCGCCGACTGTATGCAGCCCATGGGTCAGACCTCTGAGAACGTTGGCAAGGATTTTGGCATCACTCGTGAGCAACAAGACAAGTACGCCGCGGAGTCCTTCCGTCGCGCCGAGGCCGCCCAAAAGGCTGGTTGGTTCGATGATGAGATCGCTCCCATCTCCACCAAGGTCAAAGACCCCAAGACCGGCGAGGTGCACCAGGTCACCTTGACTCGGGATGACGGTATCCGGCCCGGAACCACCTTTGAGTCTCTGTCCAAGATTCGCCCGGCTTTCCCTCAATTTGGTGATCGGTCTACGGGTGGAAACTCGAGTCAGGTTACCGATGGTGGTAAGTGATTTCTCTTTTCTCGGTGTTCTTCTCAGGATTACCACCGAGATATGTGAACACGGCGGGAGTTCTAACGATGTTTTTTTTATATATAGCCGCCGCTGTGCTCCTAATGAAACGCTCCAAGGCCATTGAGCTCAACCAGCCCATTCTGGCCAAATTCTGCGGTGCCACTGTCGCCGGTGTGCCTCCCCGCGTCATGGGTATCGGTCCAACTGCTGCCATCCCCAAGCTGTTGAGCAAGTTCAACCTCGATAAGAACGACATTGACATTTACGAGATCAACGAAGCCTTTGCCTCAATGGCCGTCTACTGTATCGAGAATCTGGGTCTGGATCATGCCAAGGTCAACCCGCGCGGTGGTGCTATTGCCTTGGGTCACCCGCTCGGTGCCACTGGTGCTCGTCAGATTGCTACTGTTTTGAGCGAGGCTCGCCGAACGAAGAAGAAGATTCTGGTGACTAGTATGTGCATTGGTACAGGCCAGGGTATGGCTGGTCTGTTTGTCAACGAGCAGGTCTGAAGGAGGTCAATTCGAAGTCTTTGAAATGTACTTTATAGGTTTTGATGGCCGTGAACAATGAAAATGCGAGTCACTCGATTTGATGATATGAATACATCTGCAACTGCAATCTGAAACGTACAGATTCATCTGATATCAATGTATGGACGAAGCCTGAATTCGTCATTCCCTCGAGCTGCGACCGTACAGATGGAAGAATGCTGGGGCACACATGGATACAGTTCACCTAATCACTCGACAGGAACGGGCCATTATGTAAGGCGGTAGGATTTCCTCACCCCGATACACACCCCCCGGGGAACTTCTTCGCTAGTCATGGCCATGTGGAAAGAGTATGTCCATGGCATCGCGAGCACAGTGTGGTTGGTAGTGTGTCCGAGGTCTCGCCTACTGAACGCTTGGTGGATGGACGTTGATGTTGACCCAACCAGGAAGAGTGTTCAACTCGAGTGGACGGGGTAAGATTGCGGAATAGGATCATGAACAGGGGGTTCCTTTTCAAGAACCGTGAGCTGTTTGCTGGTATTTGGTTCTAAAAGTTATTCTCCATGATACTCTGCGGTTCTCGAAAGTCGAAACCAAAACCGAGGCTACCAAAGTTCCTGGAACGACACAGGGTTGAAGCCAGACGACTACTACCGACGCATTGTAGGTATGTTTTCGGGGAAGAGCGTGACTTCAAGTTCTTTAAATTTCGTGACAACAGCATTGCTGGTATACATAGTTACTAGGTAAATAGGAGCAACGCCAAAAGTCACGGGGGGCAAAACACAGGAGAAGAAATCTCAACCGATATCTTAAATCCCAGCCCCTCAGGCATCCTCCCCCGTCTTATTCAAATCCGGCTTCCTCATCCTCTCCTCCGCGGCTTTCGCCATGACCTCCCTCCTCGTCAAAGAACGATCCCCATTATTCACCAGCCCGCCCAGGACAAACTCCCCTCCCGTCCACCCCTGCTCATCAATAACCTCCTCCCCACCTCTGACTCTCTCCCAATCCCCCGGATCATAAAAGTCCTCCTCTGTCAGCCTCCTACCTCCCATCTTCCAGTCCGCCTGCTCCACCTCCCGCTCAATTTGCGCCGTCAAGTCCCAGAAATCGCGATCATGCGGACCAAACACGCAGTGCGCCAGTTCATGACAGAGCGTCTTGCGGATGGTGCGGTAGTCGCGGTAGCCGTCGTAGGCGTCTGTGCGGAGACGCAGCTCGATGACCTCACCTTTGTTACGGTTTAGGCCGAGAGTGCGCGACTCGGAGGTGGTGTGTTCGGCGGGATTCATTTCTGTGAGGAGAGGGACGGAGAATTTGTGTTTGATCATGGCGGCGCGAATGCCTGGGTCGTCGCGGAGGCGGGTAAGGAATTGAAGAGAGCGTTCGGGACGGGGGAGGTAAGGGAGTGGGAGGAGGCGGTGGAAGGTGTAGGAGGAGTTGGAGGGGGAGGAGGAGAGGGTGTGAATCCCGCTGGGGCGAGAGGAAGCGGATGGCTTGTTGTTTGAACGTCGGGCAGCGGCGAGTGCAGAGGCTCGAGCCTCCTGTCGTTTGCGTATTGATTCGGATTGCGAGTGGAGGTCGGCGACGGCTTTGGCTGGAGATCCCAGCAGGGTGATTTTGAACTTTGGTGAATTCAGTGGTAGTAGAGAGGACAGCGGAGTTGAAGAGAACGGTGCCTTTTGCATGCCGGGCTTGGGAGCAATAAGGAGCTTTTGATTCTCTGATGGAATGTTGAGCGTTTCGTATATTTGGGTGGAAAGGTCTTGCAACGTCGCTGAGTCGGAAACTTGGAAGACATGCGGCGCGCCTTGATGATGCACTGTGATGTCCATGATGAGGTCTGTGGAGATGAAAGGATGCAGCAAGCCCGATGACCCTCGAGACGATGAATATAGTGACGAGTGATTCTCCAGGGGATTCGTGGTAAGGCTATAAGTAGGGTGGAGAGATGGTAGTAAGTTCAGATGATCGTCACAGTCTCTCGTGATCCTAATGGAAATGACATGTGCTGAGATAAGATTCGATAGACTTCCACGGCGATAGCTTTGTCAGCCCGGAGATAATAAGAAATACTGCCTGGTGATTTAGGCAACAAACAAACCAATGTAAGGAACGGCATCTGGACCTCGGCAGAACGTGATGACTTGACGAATAAGATGATCGTGGCGCTCGTACGGCAGGACACCAGATGTACACATCTGTTTTAGATCCCATGATATCATCCACTTACTGCTTGATACTAGTCCCACGTAGAAAAATTCTGTACTGTGTCCATAGGTCGAATTCCACGACAACAACAAGAAGAAAACGTGCGTATCCAACTCTGAAAGTGACAGAAATCCAGATAAAATCGACCAACCGGGATCGAAGACATGCGACGCGCCACGAAATGCTTTATATGTACAACATGCAAATTAAATAATGAGTCAATGACAAAGATCAGACTAAGACCCAAGAAAGGACCATCCTGATCCTCCTTGCTTTTGACGCTCGGTGGGGAGCCCGGTACTGCTGAACTCGGAAAAATCGGGTGGCTCGGGGTTGCGATTGCAGGCTATTAATCGTATTGCTCGGCTTCGTGCGAGTCTTGGTCGTATATACTCGAAACTGCCTCGTCATGCACCCACTCGGCCATGGCAGGGATCCACGTATGACTGGTAGTAGCAGAGTCAGCTTCATGGGTTCACATCGTCCGCCGCCAGTGGTACTCACTTGTGGAAACTCGTCGAGGTCAACGCCGCCTTGTCATATTCCTCGATCAGAAGCGCATCATATGCGAAAGGGATCCGAGCTGGAGCACCCTCGAATGTCGTTCGACGCAGAGGATAAATGTCTTGGAGGCGGTACTTGTGGAAGTTTTTGCACTGCCAGATATCGGGATGATCCACCTCCAACTGACTGATTCCAGTGATGTCGATGTAGAGTCCAGTACTGATGTCGATGAATCGAGCGTCGATAATATTGAGACCCTGGCCGCGTTCTCGCTGTCGCGACCATGGATTGATGTCTAGTAAAAAGTCTCGCTTGTCTTGCGCTCCGGGCGTCACATATTCGATAATGGTCTGATTGTAATGATCCGCGAGATAGGCAAGAGTGGTGTCGGGAACCTGGGTATCCATGTCCCAATCCCAAGGAAGAATCTGTGACCAGGCAACATCTTGTTAGCTCAAACGGCAAGAAGAAAAAATCAAGGTCGATGATTCCGGTCTGTATTCCTGGCTCGGGGAGGTATCCCCAATGAGAATCTGGGCGCGTGCTCACCTTCCCGTTCCACCACCATCCTAACAATGTCCCGTGCGCAATCCACGTCTCCAAATCATTATCGTCAAAGAAGTTCAGATACGCCCGAACCATCTGCGTCAGTGTATCTGCGCGCTGCGAATCGTTCACGGGCGCAGTGAAGTATCGACTATCGTAATGACCCAGAATATCATCACGACCGGGTTCGTGAAAGTACTTGTATTCGGCGGAAGCATTGAGCCCATACTTGAGCCATAATGGGTCATGAAGTGTAGGGTCGGTCCAAGGCCCGGTCGACTCGACGGGCCTGCTTGGTTCGCTGCGAGTGATCTCTGCCGTGACGGGCGCAGCAGATCCCGGTAGTGCTGTTGTCACTTCCGCGCACCAGAAAGGCGGGCTGAGTATGACCCACGTCCGCCACTGCATCTCTGGGAGTATATGTTTTGGCGGGATATGTATGCGCCGCGGGTATTGATATAGAGGCCGAGTGATTCACTAGTAAGCACAAACGGTCATGATGAGATGATCATCCTTCGCGGTTCAACTTTCGCAACTGCGGTCATTATCAACCATGCGACGACTGTCTGTGCCGGGCGGATGAACGTCCGAGGCTTTCTCCCAAGGTCGCGATGTTCTAGCGCCGGTTCCACTTGTCAGTCGCTTGTTTTTTTTTTTTTTCCTCCCTTCACAGAGGCAGCCGATGGGCAAGTGATATTTACACGTGAAGATCGAATAACGAGCACCCCGTCGAGGCGTAGGGGAAATTCTGGCGCCAAGAGAAGAAGCGAGGACTGCCAACGATTGATAATCGAAGAATGGCGTAGAAACCAGGAAAGCGGATACGACTGGGGCGATAGAGAGGTTCCTGTCGTCACAAGACAGAAGTGAACTCGGGCAGTCTCTTTCTGAGAGATGGAGATAATGGAAGCTAGAGGTAGACGAGGAGTCGAGGATTCATGAGGAGAGGGGGTCCATGATTGTGAGCATGGTCTTCCGAATGGAAGAAGATCGCATTGACCCAGAAACTCCTCCCAGCTGAAATCTCGACCAATCCGAATATATCCATGCTCCCTCATGTCGACTACTGTCGACTTTGTGCCAGAGAAGGCGCCATGTACGAGCGAGCGGGGCGGATTGAACCGGATCCAGTCCCACTCCGACCCAACCGAGGAAGCGTTGATCAGGGGGGAAGTCGGTTGACGCTTTTTTTTCCCTTTCTGCTGCACTGCATAAGTGCATAAGCATCTATCGGATGCCTTGCATATTGCCCATGACACAGGCACATGCGCCTGATATCTCCTTTTCATGGCTCAGAGGGTTGATTGCGACCTTGATGCGATGAGGTATCGACAGAGGACGTGCCACTGCTGTGGATCTTGTCCAGCATCAATCCGTCAAACACCGGGAACCAGGGGGCGCAAGTCTCCATTGCAGAGCAGAAGCGCATAACAAGTGGAGTCGGCATGATGCACGTCAATTGCTTTGTCATGTCAGAAGGATCCTTCGAATGGATCGTAGTTCCGAGTTCGAACTCTCCTGTCTGCGAGATCGTTGGTGATCCGATCTTCGAGTTGTCCCAGGCCACAGCATTTTTTCCATAAAAAGAAAGAAGAAAAAGGGGGAAATGCGAACATGATCGGGATATCCCCTGTACTCGAGAATCTCCTAGTGAGGATGCGTCTCTCGCATGCCCTATACCAGACACGCTCAGCCAAAAATAACTAATGAGAACGAAGAAGCCCACCGGGCAGTGCGCGTACATTATGGGATCCTTCCAATATTGCTTCGGTTTCCACAAGTATGCCTCCTGAAACTCTGCAACGCCGTTTCAGGTCACACAAGTCTGCAAAACTGCAATTCAAGACCATGAACGATGCTCTCACAGTTGGAAGTTCGTCGCGTGCTGACTTGCTTCAATGGGAGGATGTGGCTGGAAGAACGGAGATTCATTCGCAGTCTGCAGGTGGGGCCATAAGGCCACAGGGCCACACATTCAAGCTGTCACCGTCGTACTGTCAATAGATTCAATAGACGATTAGACTCAATACCCAATAGTGAATAGAGTCAATACTCAATAATACCCGAACCGACAAAAGTGGCATCCAAAACCGCCCAGACGTAAGGTAGACTCGGCCATGACTCGCTGACCAGTGGGGGAAGACGGAGGAGGTCGGTGCCAACTTGCTCAGACGAGTCACGACAGGGAGCAAAACAGTGTAAACTGTAGACTTGTAAAGAATAGAATCCTTTGGAGTGATATCATGCAGATCTGAGCACATCAGCTCAGGTTGTCCAGCCTTCTCTGTTCATGTGTTGACAATCGATACCACTACACAATGAGTAGTACTAGTCACATGTATGTAGGTAAATTCTTGCCAGCGGCGAAAGGACAAGGGGAAAAGTCACCAAGGCTCGATCCTTGGCATTCATCCCTGCCAAGCTCCGCTCCGGCAATCAGTTCTCAGTTCTCAGTTCTCGCGGCTTCCCAAAGTCAACTATAATGGTGTATCATCAGATAGGAAATACAACTGAAGGGTTTCCCGTCCGGCAAAAACATCAGGTCTTCTTATACCGTGGGCAAGGGGGGTGGTACACGAAAAGGGTAAGTAGTTAATTACCGGGCTCGTAGAGGAGCTTCCTCAAAAGAGACAGATCCCCTGTCTGAAATGGTGGTCCGATATGATTAACCACTATGAAAATCCATGACACAAAAAATTAAAACAGTGTTTACTATTTACTCCTTTGACGGCTTGACACGGAATGTCATCTATTTCATCATGAAAAGAAAATGATCTAAATTCATAAAGGTATCGCCAGAAAGAAGCACACCAAGTGGACAGGTATACCAAATCAACGTGCATGGTCCAACCAGCAACATCACTGGTCGGGTCTAGGGAAACATTCCGTCAAAGAAACAAGAAACATCTCTGGTGGTCTTTTCGTCATCATGGGAGGGAGTGCGCTCAAAGGAAGAGAGAAGAAAAAAAAGAACAAGGAGGGAGAGGGACCAGAAATAAATGGAGGCACCCGCGACGGAGCGCTGACATCCCCCCCTGAAAGGGCTTATGCCGTCATTTTTGAGACTGGCGTATGGAAAAGAAGTAAAAAGAGTGGTGATCATCATGACCAACTGTTTACTGCTTCTCCTCGGAAGGAGCGGCACCCTCAGCAGGAGCATCTTGCATCTCAGCATCGCCAGCCTCGGCAGCGAGCTTCTTCTTGTGCTCCTCCTCGGCCTTGCGGAGGTCCTCGGCGGCCTTCTTCATGGCCTCGAGCTCGGCGCGCTTCTTGGCAGCGGCCTCCTCCTCAGCCTTGAGGGCAGCGTTGCGCTCCTCCTCGAGCTTCTCCTTGTAGCGCTGGATGATGGGGCCGGAGATGAAGCTGATCTCCTCCATCTTGGAGACGTAGACGGACTTGGTGGTGTCATCACCCTCGTCGTACAGCCAGTCCTGAAAAAAAATTGAAGTTAGTCAGAGTTTCTTTTGACCGAAATGACACGTGCACATTGAACGACCTCTGCTGGGAATAAACATACCTCGACGTCCATCAGCTTGGAGCGCAGCTTGTCCTTCTCCTCCTCGTTGGCGAACTCGGAGTAGACACCATCGATCTTGTCACGGAGCTCATAGATGGTAGCCTCAAGCTCGTTCTTCTTCTCGTCGGTCTCGGCAACCAGCTTGTCCTCCATGTACATGGAGTTCTCCCGCTCAGTCCAGGTCTCCTTGGTGGCCTGGTCAACACCACCAGTGCCGGAGACGATGGGCAGGTCACCCTTGCGAACCTGCTTCTTGACCTTGCGGGTCTTCTTGGGCTGCTCCTCGCCGTTTGTATCCATGGCCTTTCGAAGAAAAAGAGAATTAGTGGGGGTGACATCACAGGGAGTATAGGTACTCGGCAAATCAAGCGAAAGACTTACATCCTTGTCGCCCTCTTCGGGGATGGGCTCCTCAACCTCCATATCTTCAACGTAGTAACCGGACTCAACATTGAGAACACCGTGCAGGTTCAGGCGGGCCTTGAGCTTGCAGATCATAAAGTCGTCGTTGGCGTCAGCCTGGACACCCTTCACGGAGAAGCGGCCAATCCAGGGGTTGATCTTGCCGGGCAGAGCCTCGGGCTTGGCGTAGCGAGCCTCCAAGTCGAAGGGCTGCTTGCGGTAGAAGGTAAGGATCTTGGTAGAAGGCATAACATTGCCGCGGCTGAAGACAGTCAGGCTGGTGTCCTCATCGGGGATTTCGGCAGACTGCTCCCAGGTAAACTCGATGGGGTAGTTGACAATGTCGTGGACGGCGAAGTCGCGGACACGGAAGACGGGGGAGAGGATGGCACAGCAGAAGGCGGCGCCACGGGCAATGGCCTCATCCTGGTTCAAGGTGAAAGAGAGAGTCTTGCCGAAGAACTTGCTGATGGTCTCCTTGATGGCGGGGACACGAGTGCATCCACCGACCATCTCGATGCTGTCGATGTCATCAACAGTGAGCTTGGCCTCAGCAAGAGCCTGCTCCAGAGGCACAGTGAGACGGTTGAGCAGAGGGCTGACCATCTCCTCGAGCTCCTCACGCTTGACCATGGCGCGAACATCGGTGTCCTCCATGAGAGACTCGATGCTCAATGGGGCCTGGGGGTTAGCGGACAGGACCTTCTTGAGCTTCTCGGCGGCGGCCAGAGTACGGGACCAGGCCTTGGGGTTGGTGCGGATGTCGATCTTGAACTTCTCCTTGAACTCATCGGCGAAACGCTCGGTCAGAGCCTGGTCGAAGTTACGACCACCAAAGTGACGATCACAGGCGGTGGCCTTGACGTTCAGCTCGCCCTTGCGGAACTCAACAACGGAGGCAGTGTAGTCACTGTAACCAATGTCGATGAAAACGACACGACGGGGCTTCTCCTCAGGGCCGGGCAAGTCGAGCTTGGTGATACCGTAACCCAGAGCGGTGGCGGTGGTGTCGTTGACCAGGCGGAGCACGTTCAGACCGGCAATCTCACCGGCATCAATCATGGCACGGCGCTGGACATCGCTGAACCAGGCGGGAACACTGACGGTCACATCGGAGACGGGGAGCTTCAGCTCCTTGGAGGCGATGTCCTTGATCTTTGTCAAGTACATAGCAACCAGCTGTGTCGCGGTGAACTTCTCCTTCTTGCCGAGGTAGTTGACCTCAACACCGGCCAGGCCATTGACCTCGCAGATGTTTGATGAGTTGAATTGCTTCTCAACCTCGACATCGGGGTCATCATAAGAACGGCCGATCAGGCGCTTCAGGGAGCCGATGGTGTTCTTCAAGTTGGAAGTCTCTTGTGTCTTGGCGGCCTCACCAATGGCTCTGCTGCGGGCATTGAATCCGACCAGGGAACTGCAAGACAGAAGGTTAAGGTCAGTTGTTGCTCACAAATGGGAAACCCAACGACCATGAAAAAAGGACTTGGGGTAGTAAGGAGGGATTTAGTGTCGACGGCCACTTACGGAGTCTGACGGTTGGAAACCTCGTTGGTGATCTGTAAAGTGAATTTTGTCAGTGACGGGATACATGATGCGCGTAAAGTCGAAATGACACAAGAGAGAGAGAGAGAGAGAGAGAGAGAGATATCGAATGAGGAGGGGTCTTCGAGCGAGGCTGGATTACGCGGGGCAAACACATACAATGTCAATGCCCTTGTTGCGGGCAACACCAATCTTGGTGCTCTGCGCACCGAAATCAATACCGACAACAGACATCTTAGGCGGAAAGAAGGCGTTGGAGGATATCGAAAAAATGAATGGAAGACAAGGGGGGATGGGGAATGAGAGGAGGAGAAATCAGAGACGGAGAGAAGTTTGGAGGGGAGAATAATTTGCGCGCCACTCCACTTTTATGATTGGGGGGGATTGATAACCACCTCAGCAGTGCTTTTTTTTTCCCAGCGGTCTGATGAGCCGGCAGTAGAACGCAACCACACAGAGTCTAGGATAGTTGAGAGACAAAAGGGGTAGCTCTCTGAATCAAGTTTTCTCCTTCTAGTTTTGTATTATTGAAGTGAATTTCTTTCTCTTCCAGCCCCGGCGAGACTAAATAGACGGGTTCATATTGCAGTCACCCTGTACCACAATCGAATGTTCTGGCGGCTACTGGATTGTTTCTCGGCCCTGACCGCCTACCTAACCAACATAACTGACTTGCCTTCGTCGACAGCAGAGTCTCAACGTGTGAATTGCACGCACTGCTAGCACGTGTTCAGCATCCCAGAAACTCACACCCCGTGGACTGGAGATGGATCATGAGCCCAAGCTGGCCATATAGTCACAGACTGCTAGGATTACGGAGAACACAGATGGAGCTGGATCGTCTTTGGACAAGACACTGAAGAATTTCAAGATACTGTGTTCGACTGCGGGGCCAAGTGATGCAATGGAGAAGATTTACACCGGCAGAAAACTCAATAGCGGCCAAGACCCGCGGGACACATGGAGTCCGCCACCAGGCGCAGCGCCGCCCAGTACTGAGTGTCCGAGTCCACCTCCGATCTTGCAAGATGGGTTCACGACTTCACTGAATGTTGGATTGGGCGCTTCCTAAAAAGCGGTCTGGCCACTACACCCAAGCCGTCGCCTCAAGGCCTGAATCAGGGACCGCCGTCCTCGCTGAGGCACGCTAGAGTCATTTAGAGCAACAGCCATAGTCCGACATGGCACTTCCAGCTAGGATGGGGTGGTTCAAGGTCTAATGGTCACGACTAGGTGACTACCCAATGCTCTTCAAAGCCTGGCATATCCTACCTCCATAGCGGCATGCACTGAGTCCCATTGTCCAGGGTCGACTAAAGGGTACCCCAACCGACAATCACGTAACATGAACCATTTCATGTAATGCCAAGCTACTGGGCGAACCGCCATGAGGAGACCAGATCCTTCCTCCGTGATCACCCAAGAGGTGCCGTGGAGATATGTATATTACGACCTTAATAAGTTCAAGGTTAGCACTCTCCGAGAGTGCTGGGCGCAAAGCTTACAAGGGCGACGTGAGTGTGGAAAGCCAACAGCGGCTCCCAACGGACTTGAAATGAGAAAGATGAACTTCTCTCAGACATTGGAGCTATGAAGATGGTGCGCCCGCACTCTAGTAATGCGACACTAGGAAAGAATGAGCTCAAAGGACTACAGAGAAGGGGCAACGGATATCCCGAAGAGTATTCTTCCGCTAACATTTCGTAAAGGGCAATGATGGAGGCGATAATAATGCATCTCAAGCCAATATGCAGCGCTGGACGATGGAATGAAAGACATCACGTGGGAACAGTCAGATTCTAGACCAGGCTGGGCGTTGCCGATAGACATGTAGGATAAGTATGTGATAGACCTCTTGCGGGACGGTGGTGCAGTTGATCAAATTCAATGGAACGACCGTTCAACGCGCAGCCACGCTACCCCCCGCGAGGACATCACACATGCGGTCCACATCCTAGGTGATCCGACTGGGCGAGGCAGATTCGGTATCCCAGGCTTCGGCGACAGTCCCTCGTGGCGGGCGTGCCACAGGGTTTGGAAGATGGCCCTCGGATCTGTTCCCCAAGCTCGCCATGCCGAGTGACCCTGCGGCCCGTTGAGCATAGTATAGCTTTCGATGGTCCTCTTCGCTCATTAAGGTCTCGACATGGTGCGGTAAAGACACGGTATGTGAACCACAATCAGAGCACCCACTGACGAGAGAATCGGACGAGTAGTGGAAGTGACCTGGGTAATGGATTCGGGGAACCTGAGGTAAGGGGCCGTCCGTCTGGATCGTACCCGGCATGTGCTGTTGAGTCTGCCCATAACCACCATCCGCCATGTGCTCCGCGGGAGCAAATCGACCCTCTACTTTCACAGAGGGCCGCACAGGAACCGATCGACGGCGGACGGTCCCTGCCCGGAAAGTGTCAACATCCACATTCAACTCATCACCTTGGGCTCGAGCCTTCTCTACCGCCTGAGCTGGGGTTGTATGGGTGTCTGCGGCGGCCGCATCAGCTCGGGGGCCACCCCAAGTCCGTTGACCAGCAGTGAAGATGCCGTACACCATATACAGCCAGTTGAAGAAAGGGTTCACAACAAACATTAGCGGATACAGCCAGGTCTTAAAGCGCTTCAGCTGCAGGCCAAAGTAAAACATCAGCAAGTAGTTCAGTCCCACCGACACCCCAATGAAACCGACTGGAAGATCGTCCACTTTCTTGGAAGTCGTGATGAGAGCAATCGCAATGATGAAGAACAAGAGCGCGGTGGTGCGGATTGTGTTTTGCATGAAGCGTACAATACACAATAATGGATATCGAGCCCAGAGTCGCACATCGGTCAGCATGCACGCTTCGTTGGTGATGAAGCCCAGGAACCATCGCCGACGTTGTTTCATCAGGCTTTTGAAAGTCTGGACCGCCTCGGTCTTGCAGAACGCTCCGGTACACATCTGGATCTGGTACGGCTTCTTGGCCCCGATCATGAAGAGATGAGTGAGCCAGCGATCCTCCCCGAGATGGCATTTACCGTAGTCGAACAGATCGTCACACTGTTCCGCCTTGTCCGCAAAGTAATATTTGGCCATCTTTCGAAAGGCCGAAAACCGGAGAATAGTCAGGGCCCCGGGCAGACAGGTCACTGCACCACATCCAGATTCCACCGATCTCTCAAAGAGTTGCCCGTGAATATATTCCATGTCCTGGAGAATCGTGAGAAGTGAATTTTTGGTCGTTGTAGAGGTTATGATGCCCGTCATTGCCAGCATGTTGTGAGGGCTGCCAGGTTTGAGCTCCATATCGTACATGAAGTTCTGCAAGCAATACTGATCGAGAATACAATCTGAATCGATGAACAGAACGAAAAGATCATCGTGCAGCTTCAGGTAGTCCATGTAGACTCGATCAATGAGCTTGAAAGTCTGCTTCTGGCAATGTCTCTTACCTCCATGTTTGAAACGTGACACCGTGATTCGGACCCCCTTGTAGACCACATCAATGCTTTGAGGGTAGCTCCGGAGTGAGATGGGAATCCCGAGGTGGTGTATCACGCGAAGGTAGGACTCGTCGATTGTGTCGCCATCCCAGGAAAGAAAGATATGAACACACGAGGCTGGGTAGTCGCTATCCACCACAGATTCGACAGCCTTGATCAGGGTCTCGGGGTCTTCTTTATACACGGGCATGACGACGACCGTCTTTGGAGCAGTCCGATCATCCAGAACTTGCTTGATCCGTTTATTCTTCCCGAGGTGATTCGTCACGAGCCCATATACGCAGAAGAGCCAGGGACCGATGAGCAGAACCGAGAATGCCCAGAAAGCAAACCATTGAAAAACCGTGGCAATATTGGCTGGGATGTATTGTGAGATCCCGAGGGGAAGAGGTAGTGTCACGATCATCACAGGAAGAAACGCCAGTCTGTCGGAGAGGTGTTCATTGTTAGAAGATCAAGATTGCTCTACTGAGCATAGGGGGAGAAATGACATACCTGAACGATGTGAACAATACAATCATCACAACAGCGAGGACCTTGATGCTCCAGTGATCAGCCTTGATGTACACTTTGATCAAACAATACAGGAATGCAGCGAGCCAAAGAACCCATTCGAAGGCAGCAGCGAGCATCAGAGGGCCTACGATGGCCATGTAAATTACCTGGTTCAATGTATTAGCAATCGAGAGCTCGAGATACAGATCCTGACCATACATCCTGTATCTGAAATTGAGCATGCGGAGTCTCTTGCTTGCCATCTGCCATCCTGCATGTTCAATCGACGATGAGCGATTCCCAAGAACACAGTCTTGACGTTTCGATTTCGTACACAAGTGGCTAATGCGAGAGCAAATCAAGGTCTCATCTGACTAGGTCCGGTGTCATCAGAAGGATGATAGATCGTCGTTCGTCGGCAAGAAGAAGATGGATAAGAGCCTTTTTTCCTGCTTGCTACTAGCACCCGGGAAGGTCGCCTGGACCTGGACGAGGGGGTTTGACTTGAAGGCCAGACTTTGCGTCAGAGTGAAGTCGAATCTTAAGAACATGAGCCAGAGGAAGTCAGAACATTTTGATGTACTCAGACTCGGTATGAGTCTATCGGTCACACGCTAGCAATGTTGCACAACGCTCTACGAGGCAAGGTCGATTGTGATGAGGCAGGCACGACCTCGGGCTTAGCCATCGGCTGCTGCATGATAAATTCTGTATTAGTTCATAGAATGCTTTATGCAAATCAAAAAAGACTGAGCTTCTCATAGTATTCGTTCTTCAACAAGCCTCTGTCTACTAGTCGAGACTTCTCTTAATGCCATGCTCATGTCAAATCTTCACGCTGCTGCACAAAGGTACACATGCCTATGGTTACTGAAAGTGGATGCTCTGTCTGCCTAGTGGAGCCTGCTAGGCTGCCTTGGGACTAGTGTTGACACCTCAGGCAATAACGCAGCTTCCGCGTCCCGAAAAAATCCCCCGCCGAGCTCACTCAATGCGACGACCTTCGCCAATCTTATTTTTTTTCTCTTACTCTCCACCATTCTTGTGAACCCATTTTTGACAACTCAAACGCGAATTGATATCCAGGTGAATCAAGTTATCACGGTCGGATTCACATCGCGCAAAACACATTGTCTGCGCATCTTCTCACATCCGCGCATCCCTCATCTAAAGTCACCTCTCACCTTCGCCTCTCACTACATTCGCCATGGCTGAGGAGCAGAAGCCCACCGCCAACATGGCTGCTGAGCAGGATGTGCAGAACGTCCTCGCTGAGCTGAAGGAGAATGGTGCCTCCACTGAGGTGGAGACGACTGACAAGACCGATGCGGATGAGGCTCGCATTGTCGCGGAAGCAGCCAAATTAGGTGAGAAGTCAGAGCAGGCTGAGGAGAAGTCGCAGCAGCAGCGTGACTCGCGCCCTCAGCAGGGTGGTCGTGGTGGTCGCTTCGCTCGCGCCAACAATGCCAAGTTCGACCCATCCTCCCAGAAGGAGACGGACGACCCTGTGGAGATCCGCAAGCAGGTAAGACTACGCATCACTTTCAGCTCATCTGCGAGTGAGTACTCTTGCTGATCTGATTTGTGATAGGTTGAATTTTACTTCTCCGATTCCAACCTGCCCATGGATAAGTTCCTGCTCTCCAAGGTTGGTGGGAGCACTAACAACGCTGTTCCTCTGGAACTCCTCCACTCCTTCAAGCGTATGCGACGCTTCCAACCCTTCGAGGCCATCGTCAAGGCTCTGAAGGATTCCGAGACCCTGGAATTGACCGAGAATGACACCGCCGTCAAGCGCAAGGTCCCTCTGCCCGAGTCCATCAATCTCAACAACAACGCCGAGGCCGTCAAGGTCTTTGAGGACAAGGCCATGGCCCGCAGCATCTACGCCAAGGGATTCGGCAAGTTTGGCGAGGAGGAGCCCACCACCCAGCTCGACATTGAGGCCTTCTTCGAGCCCTACGGACCTATCAAGGCCGTCCGCCTGCGCCGCACACAAGATAAGACCTTCAAGGCCAGCGTCTTCGTCGAGTTTGCCGATGAGGAGAAGCAGAAGGCCTTTTTGGAGCTTGCCGAGAAGCCCAAGTGGAAGGGCGAGGAGCTCGTCATCAAGAGCAAGAAGGAGTACTGCGACGAGAAGGTGGCTGACATCAAGGCCGGCAAGGTCTTTGCCAACACTGGTCGTGGAGGTCGCGGAGGTCGTGGTGGACGTGGCCGTGGGGGCCGTGGTGGCCGCGGTGGCCGTGGTGGTCGGGATCGCGAGGACAAGCGGGACTGGCGGGAACGCCGCAATGAAGACCAACAGGGCGGTCTCAAGAAGGACGCCCGGGGCATTCCCACCATCCAGGCGACTGGCGAGAAGCGCTCTCGCGAGGATGAGTCCAATGGGGATCACCCGGCCAAGAAGGTGGATGCTAAGGAGTAAAGAATAAGAAGCCTTGCATCCCCTTCTGTCTGCATATGTTTCCTTTTCTCTTCGGCTGTGTTCTATTGAGGTCTGGGCGGGATCCAAAAAAGTTGTCATGATATGAACCCAGGTACATCGGCGTTCTAAGTCTCTCTGGTTATTCTAATTGGATCATGATTCAAGATTCATCTCATATTCCCAAGTATCGTCGAATCTTTCATCCTTTGTGTGTACTGTGTACGCTTCTGGTGAGCATTATCCACGTAACTTACGATGAAAATCAAAGCTCTCCGTCTGACATGTTCGTTCCGGCCAGTGGACACTGATGATTCTTCCGAAAGACCGTCAACCGGTCTAGAACTCCAGATCATAGGCCAACGTATCGTCACAAAGCTCTTCTCTCAGCTTGTGCACTCTGAAAGGTCCCGTCAGTTTTCTTATCCAGTGCAGAACCATGCAGGATCGGCCACCTGCAAGTATGATGGGGCAAGGTTGTTGTTTTGACTATCAACTCACTCCAAGTGGGCTGGATGCACAGCATAAGTCGCAACGGTGTCTGCCTTTTCCAGGACCGCCACGAGTCCCATGTCGAACCCGTGTGCACGCGGTAGACAGATTGGAAGGGGTTTGTTGCATTCGAGAGAAATCAATCCTGCCAGTCATGTACCATGTCAGGATCATTTCATTACATTGCATGTGAGGCCCCACCACTTCTTCGCTCTCTCGCTCTCTCGCTCTCAAAGATACATACCTGGAATCTTGCCTACCATGCCCTTAGCTTTCTCATGAAAGGCATCAACTTGTGCTGGGGCCACACCTTCCTTCAGACGGAAGAGAACTGGGTCTGGTCAGTTTGTGTCGATGTTCATGGGGTGACTGACGTCGGTGCGCCTCCCCCGCATTCTTCGGAAAAAGGCCAACGGTGTGAAAAGAGGTGTTAGTCAGGGAGAAGAGTGCAGTGCTCACCAATGTGATAGACTGGCATGGCTCAGGCTGTATCATTGAGTTATAAGAATAGTAGCCTGTAGATTACGATATATATGAAGTATGCCAAAATGGTAGTTGAAGTAGTAAGTCACAAAAGCAAAGAGGCGCGAGATCGACGTCAGTCCAGGTGGACAGGATTCCGCAGGTGGCAGGACGAACTCGATCGGTTGATCGACATCCCGTCCAGTGGCACTGCATGGCTGCAAGCCTACTATGATACATGTAGTAAATGGTGAGTAAGGCAGTTTATACACACACTCAGGCCTGCTAACGAACCCGTCTTGTGATATCCTGTCATCACGTTGTGTAGTGATCCAAGATTCCCACTCTGGCGATGACTCTATAGTGCTGCGGTGGCGACCGTTCGAGAGTAGCGGATCTACTCGGATTGGGTCTTGTCATTGTCATCTCCTCGGAGCAAACTGATGATTTCAGTCCTACGAGAGACCAGGCGGACGTAGGAGTGTAAGGGCAAGAATCAGTACTAGAGTCCTAGACTATTCTTCAGCCTCTTGTTTTTTTTCTTGGGCGGAGTCTTGAAGCGGGGCGGCGGGGATTTTTCTTGCGTGCTCATGCATCCTCTGCCATGTCGGCGGCCATAGCTTTGTACCATTCCAACCGGAACTGATTCTTGGAGTCCTCCATTCGTTTTCCTTCATGAGTTAAGACCATATTCTCTCCTACCTCATCTTCACTTTCACAAATAACACCTTCTTTCTTCGTCATGTTCAAGAAGAAGCCTACTGTAGGACTACCCCTCTTCTCCCCGCAGCCCCTCCATCATCGGAAGCCTACAGAGGATAACAGACCAGCATGGATTCACTCTCGGGAGCGTGTATCGTTGAATAGAGAGTGTCAAGCTGACCTTTGAGCAGATCAAAAACATCTCCCCAATTAGGTCCTCAGACCGCAGGAAGATTGCCGATCAGATCATCAAAGACTACCAGATCACAATCCCCGAACCCACCGCCGACACGCCCACCGACGGAGCTACGGCGCCGACCTTGGCCTCAATACGCAATGCGCTTCTCCCAGAGAATACCGCCTCGGCCCGTTTCACAACCACTGCAGGCCCTGATCTCCGGGAGGTCTCCGGGACAGTCTACGTAGGCGCCCATCCCGATGGAGATGAGCGGGTATTGTGGTTCAAGGTAGAACATGGGCCGGGTTCAGACAAGCGCCTATATCCGACAGTCTACACCCTCTGGCAAAATCCGGGATTGGTGTCTCTGCTGTATACACCCGAAATGGTGATGCAGAAGCTGCGCGGTGGTGCGGACCTCATGACTCCCGGTCTGGCTAACGAGCCTCCCTTCCCTGAGCGCGCGGTCAAGGGAGCGGTCGTTGCGGTGGCAGGATTGGACAGTCACAGCGTACCTCGCTTTGTCGGTGTCTGCGAGATCGACGTGGCGGCCTTGAAGGAGGTCCAAGGTGCGAAGGGCCATGCGGTGCGAGGTCTCCACTGGGAAGGCGATGAGCTGTGGGCGTGGAGCCCATCATCTCGGCCTGGATGTCCAGCGCCGGAGTACTTGAAAGGATGGGATGAGGGGGCAAGTGACACGGAGGAGCTCAATGCTGCAGCCGAGGGACTGGGGCTTGACGAGACAGCCGAAGAGTCTGCGGAACTTTCCAACGAAACTCCCGACGGAGCCCCCGTGGCGGAAGACGAGGTGACTGCTGAACAGGAGCCGGAGCCTACAACCAAGGGTATGTGCAATGATGACAACTCTGCTACAAGCCTTGTTCCTGAAGACTGGAGACCAAAAAGACCCTAACTCATTCGTATTTATTCAGAAATTGATGACGCCTTCGTCAAAGCCTTCATCTATGCAATCTACAAGTTGAAACAGGACAATCCCTCTGCGGCCAACCACGGGTTGTCTTTACCTGTGTCGCCCTCGATGTTGATCGCAAATCTCATCACCCCATATCTACCCATCCGCTCTGCGCAGCAAGCACAGTACTACACCATCAAAAAGACGAGCTGGAAGAACGTGAAAAAGTTCATCAAACATCTGGACAAAATGCAACTGGTCAAGTCCAAAGATCGCAGCGGACAAGAAACATACATCATGGATGTGGATTTCAATGATCGCCGCGTGGAGCAATTTGTTCCATACAAAATCCCATCCAAGGCCTCACTCGAAGCTTCCCACAAAACCCCCTCGTCGAACGACAGCAAAAAGCCCGCTGCTACGGACGAGGCCGACCCCTCCGTTGGTCAAACACTCAATGTCCAAACCTTATACCGACCAACGCAAAAGCTCACCCCGGACATCTTCCCCGCCTCTTCCTCCAGCAACCCTAAGAATTTCTACAAATACTCCGACGTCTCCACCCATCTCGAGCAGTACACGCAATCCCAAAACCTCGTTTCCGCCGACAACCGCCGTGTTATCAACCTCAACCCTTTCCTAGCCAACAACGTCTTCACATCCAACTTCCCAGAGGACCAAGGAACCCTCAAACGCGGCAAAGTCACCCGCGACGGCCTACTCAGGCGACTCATCGAAGACCACGCCCTCCTGCAGCCCCACTATGCCATTCTCAAATCAGGCCAGACCCTGGCAGACGTGAAGCCCAAGGCCGGCGCAGCCCCCAAGGCCGTCGTCACGCTTGAAAAACGCACGGGCTCCAAGACTGTCACCAAGGTGACGAATCTGGAAATCTTCGGCATTATCCCCACTCTTCTGGCGGAGGAGTTGCAAAAGAAGTGCGCCAGTAGCACGAGCGTCACGCAGGCCGTTGGTGCGCCCAAGGGTATCATGGAGGTTCTGGTGCAGGGTGACCAGCGAAAAGTGGTGGACACTGCGCTTGCTCGTCGGGGCTTGAAGAGTCAGTGGGTTGAGGTGGTGGATAAGACTAAGAAGAAGAAATAGCGAGCTAGAAGATTTGCCCGGCACTCGTCCCTTGACAATCCGATGATCAATATTGAACAGGTAGCGAGTCAGTGGTCACGGCGCGTTTCATAAACTTTTAAACGAAACAGCGACTGTCGAATTCTATGAATACGGTACAAGTCTGGGTGGCTTTGCTCAACACCTGGGCAACCGATTCGGCCACCTGCTAGTATTCGCGATTGATCAATGTCGACATGGACAGAGAATCTAGCTAAGGCTTCCCGCTGAGCAATGTTTCGCAGACAGACGACATTATAGATCGTATCATGGGGACCCAGTGGCAAAAAGAAAAGGGAGACGCCTCGTCTTTACAAACAGACGACTGAAGTTCGACCAGCTGTCAATTATTCAAGACTACACTAGGAAGATCGAAGATTCAGAGCAGTCAAACAAGTCCATTCGAAAACCATGAGAAGTATGTCTAAGAAGTTGATCTGGAAGATCCCAAATCACCTGGCCTTCTCAATAAGATATTGAGGGAAAAACAAAAGGCCAAGTGGGGTAGAAGAAAAGAAAGAATGTGAACACTAGATGAGAAAGGGGGGGGGGGGGGACTACTTGTACAGTACACCCTTGCAGATCCGAAAAAATTGCCACGTACGTGCAGGGGATAAACCAGATCCTCAACAACACAGTACCAAATCAAAAATGTGGACCAGAGAATCAGACACGACCAATAAAACCAGAGATCAGTGCCTCATACAAGGGAAAAAGGAACCGTCAAAGACCAAAATCACTTTTGGAGGTGGTGACCGACTTGACAGTGGACATTTTGCACTTGGGCAGGAAGAAAAGGTGCAAAGATTTAGACGCGGAGGTCACGGGCGTGAATCTTCTGGTCGCTGACGAGCCACTTGATGGTGTCACGAACAACGCTCAGGGCCTGTTCGGCGCTGAGGGAGCTCAGGTAGGAGGACCAGTCCTGGGAGTTGTAAGAGCTGGCGCCGGAAGAAGAAGAGGCGGAGCCAGAGGAGGCGGAGCCAGAGGAGGCGGAGCCAGAGGAGGCGGAGCCAGAGGAGGCGGAGCCAGAGGAAGTGGAAGAACCAGAGGAGGCGGAGCCAGAGCTGCTGCCGGGGGCGGAGGTAGCCTGGGCGGACTGGCCTCCAGCGCTGGCGGTAACGGTGACGGAGTCAGCGGCGCTAGAAGTCTGTGCATGAATCGAGTCAGTAACGTTTGCTGTAATGGTAGCGGCGGCTTCTCCGGCAGTAGTAGCCGTGGTGGTAGTGGCAGTGGCAGCAGCAGTGGCAGCAGAAGTGGTCGTCTTCTTCTTGTTCTTGGGCTTGCAATGCTTCTTTGGGCGACCGCTGGGCGAGGGACGGGGCAGGCGAGTAGACTTGGGATGGTCTGGGGTGGAGGAGGCGCTCACAACGGAGCTGGATTTGGGGGAAGCACTAACGGAAGAAGCACCGGAGGAGGTACCAGTGGGAGTGGCGGCGGCAGTGGTGGCAGGGGCGGCGGCGTTGGAGCCAGAGGAAGAGGAATCACCGGCCGAGTAGACAGCGGGACCGGGGATAACGTAGCTCTTCAGGTTGTTGTAGATGTTGACGAGGATACCGGGGTCAGTGTCCTTGTAGAGGGAGGTGCCGACGACACCGGAGGGGGAGTCGCTGCCACCACCAGTGACCTTGAGGTTCAAGCACTGGGGGTAGTTCTGAGCACCATCCTTGTTCTCGGCAGAGTGCAGAGCGATGATCTCGTGACGGAGAACGTAGTTACCAGCGGCGAGGGAGCTGGGGATGGTGACGGAGCCAGTGTTGTTGTTGGCAATCAGGGCATCGGAGGCCCACGTGCCATCATTGAAGAGACCCTCAGCCTCGATCTTGAACCACTCGAGGCTGGTCTTGTCGGCGGTAGAGCAGTCACCGTCGCACTTGGCGAGGTAGTTCAGGACAGGACCCTTGTGGCTTTCGGGCCACTGGGTCCACTGGAGCTCGACCTTACCACCGGCCTTAATGGGGGCGGAAATAGCGCCGGGCTTAGCACCACGGTGGCAGATGATGTCGGGAGTCGCGTAGCCGGTGCCATCGACGAAGCCGTTGTCACGGACAGTGGTGGACCAGCCGATGACCTTGGGAGGATCGGCCATGTAGCCGTAGGAGTCGGCAAGGTAACCGCCATAGTACTGGCCATCAACGACAGCACCGGTAACGTAGCCGTGAGCGGAGACCATGGCGGCCGATCCGAGGAGGATACCAGCAATCTTAGGGACAGACATTTTTGATTTGAGGTTGAGAGGTAATGCACGCACAGCGTAGCAAGAAAATTGGGATCTGTTAGGATGAGGCGAATGAAGACGAGGTCGAAAGAATGCGATGAGGGACTTCAGTCAATGAAGTCAGCTCGTGGGAAAGTGAATGGATAGGTACTAGACCTGGAAAGAATGAAGAATGAATTGAAGGACTGATGATAGAAGAAAAAAGTAGAAGCCATGGTGGTGCTGTCGACCAGGTTTTATATGTCTCTTGCTGTCGGTCGATGGGACTAGCACTGCAGCTGTGAGATGGTGTCGGCCACGCAGGCGGCATCAGATTCCATCAAATCTGACAGATTCTCTGCAGTAATCGAGAGCCCCTTGGAAGCGAAGCTTGTACCTGGTATGGCGGGTCCTGGAGAGTGTAGACTGTTGTAGACTACTGTTCCACCAGTCGTGCCGTCGACTACAGGTGGAGTAAGCATATTGTTCCGAAAGGAGCAGCCCCGGGGTCCCAGATAGATGAAGCTATCCAGGTCTCCTGGAGGAAAGAGGGGAGTAGCGGCGTTCTGCAGGCCTGGGCGATTTGCTAGAAACCACAGGGCAGATCCACCGAGACATGCATAAATGGGTCCTGACTCCGTACTACTGTCTAGGAACGGATCCCCTCGACTAGTCTGGAGGCGATGGGGGAGTGTATGGCCGATAGAGCACTGACTCCTTCCAAGATTATTTCAGGGTTCAATCTGAGTCGGAGGGGCCCGGCTAGGGTTCGGTTCGTCCGACTCCCAAACCCCTTAGACCCGAGCTGGCCGATCTTGGGCGGCATTCTGCGACAGCTCGGGTTTCACAGTGACGGACTCACGCCTGGATGGGGCAGGTGGCCCCTGCTTGATCGGATCCGTGTCAACGGTCTGACATACCGCATTTGCGCTGTGTGGTTCCTCCGGCGGATACCAGGCCCAGGTGGTCCCTCTTGGGCGCTAGTAGTGCACACGCTGAGGTGAAGATGATTTCTTGGCGTTTGAGGTTGAAATGGCCAAGAGTGGGGAAAGCTAGATGCGTTTTAGGTTAAGACCCTCCAGCCGCTCCAGCCATCGCGGCTCGGGACAAGGCTAGACCGCCGACTATTGCTTCACTTTGATAGCAGACTGGCGGGCTCCATCCCTGTCTGTCGATATCATCATTGCAGTGCTGTTCAGTTTGTATATAGCTGGATGACATAATGATCCAATCTGTGACTGGACCGGAGAGGTGGCGGCATTAGAGGCTTGATCAGTCGGCTTGATGAAACATCGTGTCCTCTGATTCATTTAACTACCGGCGGGGTGGAAAGAGAAGGATCTTTCCTGACTTGGATGGATTGGCCATGTCGCTCCTCGGATGATTCATGCAGATCTGATTCGTGACTTGCAGTCTTGTTACTCGTTCATGGCCAGCTCAAAGGCGCCGAAGCACTGGAGGGAATTTAGTTGTGTGTTGCAACATTTGCGACCGAGGTACTGCATAAGGGCTCATCCAGTAGATACGGTATCAGAGAATAAGACCCTGAAATGGAACTCCGGGTACTATTCTGAGATAGACAACAAATCAGCAGTCTTAGTCGTGGTCAATGAAATCGGTTCAAATAGCCTAATCTCTGTCGCGAAGTGCTTTTGCCAGTATCGGCTTCCGGGAAGATGGTTCATGCTTTGGGTTTGTGCTGGACCCTCGACATTCCGACATAGTGACATACTAACATACTGTACTTACAGTACACTGAGTAGTACTAGTGAGTAGTGAGTACAGTCTCCGGTGATCCACATCAATTTATTCCTCGGGTAGCATCAGAAAGGATTACTTGGGGGTTTTCTCCGGTGGAACAATGTAAACCTGATAGAGCTTGTAGCACTCCGGGGCAGTGGTCCTTTGCACTAGTCGCTGGATTCTCACTTACAGTGTAATACTGTAATCACTTCCTCTTCGTACCTCAGCCCATACAGAGTCAACGCTCGCCTCGGCACGGCGGTACTGTACAATTCGTACAATATGTGCTACATCATGCATGGCCCATCTGATTATGTTGTGGAGCTACCTCTGCACTTTGACAGTCACTGCACTGCACTTCCATTCTAATCTGAAACCAACGTGCATGCTTGCAGTGCTTTCCAATTTCCGGAATTTCCATGTCAAACATCCATCTATCATAGAATAGATGATTGAAGGAAGTGGTGGAGCGCCGGTTGGAAACCGGAACTTGAAAACCGTCGCAGGGCTTGGCATGCGGAGCCTGACTCGCCTGTCTCCGCTCGTCGTTTTGGTGCCGGCAGACAAGCGCGCTATTTCTCTCCCCACAATCGTGCCATACTTGTGCTAATCGATAAGCCATAGCACTGCAGATGTTTTGACCTTTTCTCGAGCATGGAAACTTTCGCAAGTTATATGCAAAGTTATGGCACTTGTCGCACTGAAGACTCTTTTCAATTCTCGCACGTTGTGCTATTTATGACTTGGCTCATCAGGTGTCGATCGAGTCAGGCTGAATCCAGGTCGCTTGGTCTTAGTGAACTGGTTGTTCAGTCAGGCGACGTAACGACGGATGCCAGCTCCTACTACCTAGGTAGACATATGAGAATTGAAAGCTTGACGTGATTCCGTGGGTGTACCACTATATTCCTTTCTGGGAAATTGTAGCCCCGGGCTAGGTACCCCCCGTCAGCTTCTGCATACATACTGTAGTAGGGAATCCGGTTGCATGTACCTAGAGCAGATGGTTTGCAGAGGTGTGTGTGCCTGATGGTGGCCTTATAGTCGGGAGAGACTATTTGGGCATTACGAGAGGGGTCAATCAACTTGATCACCTAAGGAATCCAAGAAGGAATCCGAGGATCATCGAACGAGTTCATGGGATCCGGGAGATCCATCGGAGAAGGGAATCGAGAGTTCAGGACAGTCTTTACAGTCGGATTCTTTTGCATTGCAATGATACACTCCTTTTGATCTTCACTTGTGCCCTTTGACAACTGTTGTACGGTCGGGCTGGGAGATCTCTGGACGTGCGTGCTGGTGGTTGTGGTCTGGTTCCTCTATGACTCGACCTATCTGGTGAGATCAGACTGCCTTGAGCATTTGATCTACTGCCTTCAATGCTAAGTGACCAACCGACAGCGGTCATTTCCCCTGGTCAGATCATCGAAGAGTTGCGCGCACTGCCTGCGGACCAGGTCTATCAGACTGCCAAACTCTATCTGCGTGAGATCTGTAGGAAAGGACAAGAATTCCTGAGTCTCGTGTCCTCTCCAAAATTCGCCATCCTTGACAAAAGTGTAGAGATCGATCGCGACCGAGTCCAGGAATTCTTGTCCTTTCCCACAGATCTCATGCAGATAGAGTTTGGCAGTCTGATAGACCTGGTCCGCAGGTAATGCACGAAACTCTTCGATGATCTGTCCTGGGGAAATGACCGCTGTCGGTTGGTCACTCAGCATTAAAGGCATGAGAACAAGATGTTGTTTCGCGGCGGACATCGTGGTCTGCTGATCCATCTTGATGTCTTCTGCAGAATCAATCCGCAGAATTCAGCACAAATTCGCCCATACTTAAACTTCTTCTCCGGAGACTCCCTCCCCATCCCAAAAATCTTGCCGTCCCTGGCAATTCGCTGTTTTCCAGTCGTTTTCAAAGAAATTTCTCAAAATTCAAACAACAACAAAGCCGAAATTCAACAAATTCAGTCCCCTCAAAGGAGAAACCTTCAAAACGCAAAATCTGACACATTCGCATGAAACAATCCAATAAGCATTCAAAATTCAACAAAGGAAATCTGACTTAAAGGCAACTTAACCTTGTCCCTGCCGCGGCGGCCGTCCTCTTTTGCGTCCGCCCACACGGGCAGGGACGGGCTGCGGCATACGGCCCTTGGAAGGGGGGCCCGGCCCCCGCGAGACGCCGGCGAACGGCGTACGTATCTGCGCAGTAGGCAGGAATATATTCTTAGCTTCATCCATGTTTCTTTCATGCCAAAGGGTCTGGTAATGAAATATTTTCAGGCGGAATTCTTCTGCAGACGGCTTACCGCCGCGTTTGCCATCGTTGGTTTTTCAGGTGGTCTTCCTCTAGAATTCGAACTCGCGTAGACCTGAATTCCTTCCTTAGGCACGACGTAGCCCATCGCGAGATCGTAATCTCTCTGGTCTTGATTCAGATCCCTGGCTGCCTTTTCGATCCAATCGAAAGAGATCCGTCTTTTGCTCCTGGAAGGGTAGTTCCTATTGATCTTTTACTTCTTGATTAACTTCGATCTCAAATTTTCCGGTAGCCCTTCGATAAACCAAGTGCATCGCTCGAGATCGCTGATGTCCCCTCTCTTCACCAGATACGACGACACAGATGAAAATGTAGTCAAAGATATGTAGAAGTTGTCCCATTCGATGCGATTTCTGCAGAATCTCTACAGCCAGGCGCGAGTATAGGTAGCCTATAAGGGTGTCTGTATCCTGATACTAGTCCTTGAAATCCTTGAAGAATTTTCCCTTATTCTTCGCCTACTAGTTAAGATTCGCTTCCACCCACACCCGTTATAGCCAACCGCAGTAATCCGGAAGGATATCCAAAGTCCTTTATTAGAACTCTAACTCTCAGTCATGCTCGACCTCCATTCATGTTCCATCGGACTCCCGTCAAAGCATGGGCTGCATGGCTAAAGCTCGAAGTCAATTAAGAGGGAGGGAAACATTACAAAACGATACGGTTATTCAACAACCAGACTGTAGACAGACCCGGATATCAATGATCCGCTTCTGATTTCCGCTCCTGCATGTACCACTGACAGGATGAAAGAATCGAGTCTCAAGTGTTAAGCTGAGAGGTGATATTTGTATCTGTGACTGATCAGTGATCTATGCCTACATGTGCATCAACGTAGACGAATGTAACCACCTAGGTACTGGTGATTTGTGCGGGAGACAAGCCAGGTGCCCAGGTATACTTGAGAAAGGAAGCAAGGGAAGCAGAAGTGGGAAACGCTGTGAGCAGGTGGAAGAATAAGAACCTTTGAGACCAGAGGATTACGGCTGGGCTTCAGTTCCATAGGGGTGGCCAGCCTATAGAACTAATGTCATAGACATCTTGAAAGGCCCAACTGCGTACCTGAACTGGACAATGAGGACTACGAAGTTCCAGAAATAGTAGTGTTGAAAAAGCGGGTGATCGTCGAGAGGGCTATCGAGGCAGTGGTCTTGTAAGTGCTGAGCACAACGCCTTGAGGCCTCCAGTTGCTCGGCAAATAAGCAGGTCCTGACCATTCACATACACTATAATGAACGAAAAAGTGCGTTCCATAGTGAGTCTTCTGTGCAGTACGACGCTCTTGTTACTTCCTACAACTTTGTACTGTTTATAGTTTGTAGTTGTACTGCTGTTGCGAGCCTCGGCAGGAGTGGTTCAAATGTAATCAAGCCTTATCGCACCCTTCCAGTCTTATCGCTGGCCTGGTGATCTCTCTGCCCTGCCATTGGACGAGTCTAATCGTACCAATGGACATGCAATCACGATAGCAAAGCGAACGAGAGTACGCAATCTACACACTTGCATGGCCCGGAACCTCAAGACCTGACCTATGGAAATAGGCAAAGAGTGTGTGATATGTTTACGCCGGGGAATGCCGACCCTATCATTCTGAGATTGAGACCCTGGCACACTGCGCAAGGGTCTTGTCCTGGGGCCTGGCATCTGGATAATGGAGTCCGAGTGCGGTCGCTAAGTGCTCATCGAGGACGTGTATGACAAGATTGCTTGCAATGTATTATTAGGTACCTTAAAGGCTTTCTGTATACTTATTACTTGGGGCCATTTGTCATTTAGCTAACTCCTGTAACTACCTCGGTAGTTAGCTACTAACTAACTTACCTAACCTAACTAACCTTGACCGGCAATTTCATTCCATCTTCCCAGGAGAGGCAAATCGAGGCACTCCAGCATTGTTCACAAAGCCAAATTCAGGGTCATTGAAGAAGCTGGCTTGAGCTTCTGGGATGAATCATACTTTATGCAAGAATGTGCATTGTAAAATCCTATAATGTACATCGCCGTGACCGCACATCCATAGATCGCATACCCAAGGGAACCGGCGAAGTACCCGCGGGACCCTTTTTCGCGAGTGCTGGACTCCGTATCTTTTTTATCTCATACTAATAAGGCCCTAAGTTCCTAGTGCCAACTTGGGTGTGACTCGACGACCCAAGAGTGGTGAAAAGGCATCCAGCTTCATTGCAGATGAACCACGAAATACGAACCAAATCAGTTTCAGGTCAGGTAAGATCGCGCTATCATGACATACACGGAATGAATTCTAACCCAGAAGGACAAGAAGACAAGAATGAAGACTTCAGTCGTCACCGCTAGAGTGGTCGCCTGAGGTGTCAGTGGCGGATTTGTGGTGGGAAAATCGGTTGATTCTTCAAAGGTTAAATAGGCGATGGAGAAGGCAGAGAGAATACACAAGAGAAGCGCGGTATAACAACGGAGATTTAGACTACCATCCTGTAAAGAATCATAGTTTTTAACCTCATGTATGTTCATAGATCCCAGCCGGAAGCCTCAGTTTACAAAAGATCATTGTACCTTTTTCACGTGTCCAAGTGACCGGCTGGTCCGTCAAGTCCACGTTTCGTTGAGAGACTTTCTGCCGGTCGGGATCGGCGCTCACACTTTTCCCGCCCTCCTTTCTCGACTCCACAAGGCAATCACTTTCTGGTGACTCGAACAACCTCACCACTGGCTGTCAAGTAATTGTCGAGCCTTCTTCCATTGCAATTCAGCGAGTCATGGTCGTGGGAGGTTAGGCCTGGATCAAAGTGCGAATATCTCTGATCCTCAACGTCAAACTCGCTCTGATCTCCCTCCGCCCCTAATCTTCACCCGTCGACGTCGTTCCTCCGAGACTCCGCCGCCCGCCCGCCCCCTCAACAGTTCACACGCGACTCGCAACGAGAGTCGGAGATCGAGCGCAGCGAGTGTGAGACTAGTCCATCGATAACCCTGCCGTGAGGGCTTTGTGAATTGTGTGCGGAAAGAGTCAACAAAGTATGAGATCGGCAGAGACTCCGTCTTCGCCCGCCTTCCCTGCCTTGGACCCCATCATCATGGACGACGAGATGGAGTCGACTTTCCGCAACGTGAATATGGATTTCCTCGACCCCTCCAAATTGGACATGCCCTCCGACTCGGCTGGAGGCGACTTCGACGATCTCTTCTCCCATGTCACCCATCACTCCGGATCAAACGGTTCTCAAGAGTCGTTCAAACACTATCAGCATCAACACCCCCTGAGGAAGCAGCCGGTAGTGGCTGCGGACTCTCCCGCCGAATCTCCCGACGCTTCAAGCCGCAGCTCCTCTTCGGAATCACCGCGAAACCATTTGCGTCACGCTTCTATTGCGTCCTCCAACTCTGCGGCCCATAGCGAGAATCGAATGGTCTCAAATGGATTCACAACGGATGACTGGATGCGCCCCGACCTCTCATCGGTTAAAGAGGAATCGCCATTCACGATAGAACCTTCATACCCGGTAAATGGGGATATTTCCATGGATCACCCAGACTTGGAGTTCAGCAACAAGGCCATGGATGCGGCCTTTGACTTTGAAAGTGCCGCCAGCAGTCCCAGTCCGCTGAAGATGGAAACTTCAACCCAGATCAACGGACATAAGATGGCCAAGGCGGCGAAACCTTGGAAGAGTTCCGATGCATCATCCGTTCCCACGTCTGCATCGAAGGAAGCGCACTCGGCTCCCTCGGTGAGTCTCATGCCCTAAGGGTCCCCTCAAATCCCAAATATATCTGCAGCTTGATTTCAATATTAACAGATCCACGCCAGGTTCCTCGAGGTGATACACCCATGTACGCTTTCGGCTATGACTTGAGAGAGCATACACCCTTCGCAAATCAGTTCACAAATGGCCGAGATGAGCTGCCTGCGACTCAGTGGAATGGCCAGTCCCCGTCTTCTCTGTTGGAGGAAAGCTTCGGCGGCATCAACATGAATGGACAGTCTCCCATGAATACATCGATGTCTCCAAATGTGAACTTTGGCTCGCCGCATTCATTTCCATTCCCGGGAAATCTCGCCTCATCACAGGCCCCATCACAGGCCCAGCCTCAACAGGCGGACGTTCCGAAGAACAAGAAGCCTGTATTGACCGTACATCCTACGTCTCTCAAGTCCCGTGTGGAAACACAAATTCCGATCCGATTGACTCTTTCGCCGCTACCAACCGGCGTCAAGAAGTTGCGCCTGCCTTCATACACCATTTCCAAACTCAAATTTCTCGCCCCTCCTTCGACCGAAACCTCCGCAGACACGCTGCAACTCTACACCAGCTTGGTTTGCACTAGTGCCATGCAAGACCGAGAGAAGCTCAGGCGAGCTTTCGCACGCACCAGAGGTGAAAGAAAATTGAGCGGCGGCAGCGATCAAGATGAAGAGCGTCCCTTGGATGGCGGAGATGTCAAGATCTGCGCTGGCTGCATTCAAAGAGAGCGGAAACGAGCCTCACGAAAGAAGCAGCGAAAGCCAGAGGAGGATGAGCTGTTTCAAAAAGACGAAGAAAAACGAGTCATTGTTTTCAACACGAGCGAAATCAAGGAGTGGACCGAGCCACCAAAGCCATCTGCCACTGGTCATGGTGAAACGCCACCGACACCTCCGGGCGCGATGCAGGTTGAACTCCCAATGCGGATTGCCTGTTACTGTAGGCATCAGAACGAGAAACTCGGCTTTCAGGTCATATTCACCATCAAGGATCATCTGAACAACGTCGTGGCGCAGGCGATAACCAATTCAATCATGATTACTGATGATCACAAGACTCAGGCACCTTCAGCTCCTCCGATGACTGCACCCTCCTCAGTATCAGACGGGAATCAAATGCCTGGTGTCACTGTCTTTTCTTCGGGTGAGAATAGCAAACAGGGAATAGGCGCCTTTGGCTCTCCACAATCACCCACGGATCTACAGGGCCTCCAGCAGAGATTCAACTCCCAGTACCAGCTCACGCCAAGCTCATTTGCTGCCGCGCACAATATGTCCAATAGCGTTCAGTCCTCATCTCAGACTCCTCGGAGTCTATCCCGACAGACGTCCCCAACGGACTTCCAAGGCCCCTCAACAAAGCGACGAAAGCACAGCAACTCGGGTCGATTGCCCTCTGAGCTGACAATGACTCGCATGGAAGGCGGCCAGATATCAAGCGCGAGTATGGGCAATGTCGCACATCTCGCTGCTGGCCGGGGCTTCGCTTCGCCTACCGAGAGGCCATTCGTGGCGCCCTCGTCAATGGCTGGGCAATTAGGCAGTGGACTTCCTACGCCCACTCACAATACTGAAAACAACCCGTTCTTCAACCCCACGCCTGCACAGCGGCAAAGTCTAGACCATCTAGCGCAGCAAAATCTGGTCTCCGCACCCAACTCTGCCCAGCCCAGTCGTCCCGGGACCCCTGGTGGGTCTGGGCGCAACGCCTTCCAGGAACAGAATTTGGCGCTTGCGCTGGGTGCGACGTCTGCAAATCAAATCTGGCCTTCTCTCACAACCACTCCCGCACGTCTTCCTTCCGTGATCCACAAATTGGTGCCTGCCGAGGGTTCCATCACAGGAGGCACTGAGGTCACGTTGCTGGGAAGTGGCTTTTACCCTGGCATGGAAGTTGTGTTTGGAGATACTCTGGCAACTACCACCACCTTCTGGGGGGACAAGTGTCTCAATTGCCTTACGCCTCCAGCCCTCCAGCCCGGACTGGTCGCAGTGGTCTTCAAACACGAACATCCAACGTTTGGACAGGTCCAGCAACCTCAGCCGCTTATGCCTAAGCAGCAGCTGTTCTTCCGGTACGTGGACGATCGAGAGCTGCAGATGTACCGCTTGGCCCTCAACATCCTCGGGCAGAAATTGGGAAGCCAGGCGGATGCCTTCCAGACCGCTCAGCAAATCATGGGAGGCGATCCGAATGCTATCTTCAACATGCAGAAGGATATGTCAGGAGCTGGGAACCCTGGCGGTCACCAACGTCAGGTGCCCGGGCACGAGTCCCAAGGCAAGCTTAGCGATCTTGACTCGAAGATGCTTACTTACCTCGAGTACATCGATCTGGATGACAATCCTCGTCCGCCACGCTACAACTCCCGCAGCGCTACTGGGCAGACTCTTCTTCATCTCGCTGCTTCGCTCGGCTTGACTAGATTTGTTGCAGGTCTCTTGGCTCGTGGGGCCAATCCCGATATTCAGGACCAGACTGGCAACACACCCATGCATCTCGCTGCTCTGCACGGCCATGCTCACTTGATCAATCGACTTCGCCTGGCGGGGGCTAATGCCAATGCCCGTAGCGTGCGTGGGTTCACGCCTGCGGATCTGGCGACAAATCTTCCCGCGCACCAGGCTGCTCTACTACCTTCGCGTCATTACCGCTCCCGGAGCGTTGGTTCCATTACAACTCGACGCAGACAGAGCAGCTCCGCCTCGCTCAGCTCCCTCTGGGGAACCTCGTCGTCATCAGGATCATTGGACCACACTGTTGATGACTTTGACCAAACCGACGATAGTGAGGACGTCGATAGCGAAGACTCCGATACGCCTCTGTATCTCAGTCGCTCTCGTCGTTCAAGCGTGCACCAAGATGCTATGCCAGCTGATGTGGATGCTGCTGAGCAACCTGCTGCACCTGATGCCCGGGGTTTCTCAACAGCCGCAATCGTCGCCTGGAGAAACCATCTTGCGGCTCAAATCAATCAGTTCCAGCAGAGTGTCGCGAGTGCATTCCCCAATATCCCTGCTCTACCGCCTATGCCCGCTATGCCCACGATGCCGGCCATGCCAGCCATGCCAGACTACCAAGCCAATCAGGTGATGCGTCGAATCACTAACTTGGTACCCCACCGTCCTACTGCGCGAGACGGATGGTGGGATCTACTGAAGGGTAACACTGCTGTACAGTCTCAAAACCAGCCGCCTTCATACGATGAGTTGTATCCTCATCAACAGGATGTTGCCGAGGCGATTGACATGAAGAAATCATCGCTTTTGCATGCTGCTGCCGAGGCAGCCCTGGACCAACATTTCGAAGCCCAAGACAGGGTTCCCGTCGCCTCATCATCCACAGTTGCAGCCAGCACTGGGCAGAACTCTAACTCGACAAAGGATGATCTCAAGGACATCACCATTGGAAGCAAACTTCTTTCTCGAGAGCAGCAGAAGCATCTCAGAGAGCACCAGGCTCGCCGCATGAAGGGTCTCGGCAGTGATCGAAACCTCTACTTCATCTGGGTAAGTCTAGACCTTGCTTCATCTTTTCTGTCATATGTTCCCTCTCTCTCTCTCTCTCTCTCTCTCTCTCTCTCTCTCTCTCTCTCTCTCTCTCTCTCCCCCTCCCTCCCTCTGTCTTTATTTCAGCGGAATGTCTTATACTAACATCTTCCTAGATCCCTCTTCTACTTCTGGTCATGTGTGCTTGGATTCGTAATTACGTGCCCGGAATTTGGCAAGGCGTCACTGATGCCTATCACTTTGTGAAATCCCGCTACGCACAGCAGGCTGTGACAGCAGGCATCTAAGGCTGGAAACCTTGAGTTGAATTTCTGTGACTCGTTATCATTCACGATCTTCTGGCCTCTTCTATCTATCATTCCCCTTTCTCTTCCTATCATGTCTATCTCCTTTATCTTTCTAGGCCCTCGTTACTTTTTGGGATTCTCTGTGTTGCTTGAGCGTGTTATCGTGGACAGATATTTTACATGCTTGTTTTTGGAGGCCTTTCTGCACGGGCTCGTGAATTGAACATTTTCTGGCCTTTTTCTGGGGTGAAGACATGACCTTGCAGCACTTAAACACATCTTTTTGAGTATACGAGAATAATGCACCGTCGAAAGACTCTCTTACCTTCCATACTTTTCTAGCAGCCTGCCAATTCTCGGGATGTATAGACGATTCGTCCTTGCTTCCACCTTTGATCGGACGTGATCTTTCGGCTTGAATCTCAGGCGTCCGGCCTCCATAATCTAGGGCTGACGGGGTTGTGTAACAATGCAGTGCTGTGAAGGTGCGGGCATACCAGTCCAGCGTGTGGCTCTACCACTCTACCCACTCCACCCACTCCCGTCAGCCTCTATGCGAAGTCCGGGTTGCTGCCAGCAGCAGCAATCTGTAACTTCCAAGAGTTTTCTCCATAGTCGCATCCTCGATATATGTTCCAATCAATGTTCATTATCTTAATTAGATGCACCCTAGCATATTTGTGCAACAAGTCAATAAAAGTAGAAGGTAAGAAAGTTGAATGCAAAAACATGAGCTGGTCGTAGAAACATGCAGCTTCGATCGTTATGACATGAAGAAAAATATACATCTATTATATGTGCAGAATGAGAAATTCAGGGAAATGTACCATCGACAGCAACAACGCCTTGCTTGGATGATTGGAAAAGACACTTTGTTGGATGGGAAGGCCAGACGAGCTCATAACTACTCGTCGACACTCATTGGCCATCGAGCAGTTGGGCCAATGCCGAAGGAAAAGGATGTTTTGTGTCGAAAAGATCCAGCTCGCTTCCATCTCCACTGTATCCAATGTGCTCCCGGTTGTCATCAATGACCCGACCATACTCCAGGAGTAAAAGGTACATGTAGATGTACAGATCATCGTCCCGTAGAGCCAAGTTAGCCCACTCGCGGCCCTGAGTGGCAATCACTTCAGCCTCGAGATCGTGACGGGGAACAGTGGGTTGATGGCGGCGTAGATCTTCCGGAGAAGCGGATGGCTCAAGTCCAAGGAAGTAAGTCATCAAGGAGTAAAACTCGCCATATTTGTTGTCCATCGGGACAAAATGGCGCCAGGCGAAGAGTCGAGAATCATGCCATTCCCGGAAAATGGTAGCCTTAACACCAAGTGATTTGCTCTGGAGGAAGGCCCGCCATCGACCAGAGAAGCTGTGGCCGTCCAGGTCGACCAAATACTTGGATTTGAACTGTTCCGAGAATGGTTCGGGTTTCTTGTATGTCCACACGTCTTTGTAAAAGGGACAGTCGCCGGGAATACAGGCGATCGCCTCAGTGAAGCCGACGTCAAAGTTGGAGGCGGCAAAGTCGGAGGGATTGAAGTCCTCAATCAAGTGATAGTCTCCATGGTCATTTTTGGCGAGAATAGAAACCTTTTCCAGGTCCATCTCCGTGGCATTGGCCAGGCGCACAAAGCGTTGTCGATGCAGGCGATGCCAATTATCCTCGACCTGAATGCCACCAGATGTCACACCACGCCATATTAAGGAGTCGGTTTTATCTTCCCACTCGTAGTCATGTTGGGATTGGTAATGGTAGCGTTTGTCCTTCAGGAAGTACATGTTGGCAGGAAAGAGAATGTCGTTGTTCACGCTGACCTTGCATTCGCTGAACACAGGGAGAAGCTTCCTCGAGATGACGTTACTTGAAGCTGAGGAGAGGAAGCCATGTTGGTCACCGATGGCTGGGCCAACAGTGCAGAGATCCGACGCGGCGGTAAAGTTGGCCACGAAGCCACCCACAGAGGCTTTGAACGTAGCTTCCGCCTCGGCCCCCGAGATGCTATTGTTTCGCGCGGGCGATTCGGGCGGACAAGCATCTTTGGCAAATTCCATGTACGGCTTTCCCGCCGCAGAAAACCAAGCTGGGTCTAATGTCTCCTTGTGGCTGTTGGTATTGTGGTCTTCTGCTGCCCTTGCCCCTTTGCCGCCGTCCATCGAGTCGTCATAGAAATACTGCATCTGCGATGTGAAGCCGTCCGTTGCATTGGGCGGGAGGGATCTCGTGCTCTCTTCTACTGCGAGATAATTTTGCACGTCGTCAAAAGTGACCAAGATTCGAGGCTGGTCCATCACATTCATCGCAATATCCATGTCCGGCAGATACGGTGCTAGCTTGCGCACGATTTGGAAGAGACTTTCCACTCGCCATCCCTCCACTTTCAAGGGCACCGGTTTATGATCTCGGATGCTCACGCCGGCAATGCCATCACTGTGTTGTAGGTGCGCAGCCATCTTTCGAATATCCTTGGGCGGGATCGCCCAGAAGGGTCGTAGGTCCGCCATGATCTGCTGGAAGTCGTCGACATTGTACACGTTCCTCTCACGCGCGTACTGATACCATTCTTTGAACCCCGGAGGAGGATGACGCCCGTTAATTTGACGGTACTTGGCGACGGTCTGGCGGAAGCTTCGTGAGCGATCTTCCTGGTATCGCTGCCATTGTTCATTTGCATCTTGCATCAACCCCACGATCGGGTGTCCCTCGCGGGCGAGGCTACCTTGCAGGGTTTTTTGCTTGTGCCTAAATATTGCGGCCCCGGGAATGCGACTGACCGTGCCATCGAAGGCGCTGTCGAGAAAATATAAATTGGCGAGACATATGAGCGACGCAGCGGTTGCCAGGGCCAGAAAAATAGCCCTGCGCCGACCGGTGAAACTGCTGAGGCCTAACATGGGTGTCGGGCGACCGCAGCAGACTCGGGAAGGGGGCAGGGATCAGCGCCGAGGTCGAATCTACAAAGGGGCTGAAGAATGCTTAACTCTCGGCAGTTCACTGCCGAAGTCAATCCCAGCAATACCGACAATTCAATGAGTCGATTGCAGGATGGGCTACCTCAGGACGCTGTGAGGACAACTCCCAGCTCTTGCAGGACTGCCTAGGGATCAAGGAATTGAAGGGACGGGGGCGGGGAAGATAGAGAGAAAGACGTCCGCCGCTGGGGGAAACAGACGCAGGCAAACGGTCCATGATCAATTATCCTTTTTCGCGGGCTCACGACTCTTGGAAACTAGTCAGCCACCAAATAGACTCTCGCCCAAGACCAGGGAAAGAGAGGCTTCAGGAGCGAGTTTTCCGTCCTGCGAGGGATGTCGCCACTGCGGTGACGGCTATCATGGTTGATACTGGGGATGAATGCTGCTGCTGCTGTCCTTGAGCATTCAAAAGTTCAATCCAGGTGTGTGTTTTGTCGTGTGGCCTTTTTGGTCAGCCCTCCGACCGATTCTTGGTAACTAGAAGAGACCCTGGAATTGTTCTCGAATCCACGTGCGGACTCAGTGGAGCCTCGATTGACTGGAGCCTAGGTTGTTGCCGCCGGCCGGACAGTCGCATCGTTGAACGAGTCAAACGAGGCAGAAGAGTCTCCAATTCTCCACGGGTGCAGCCAAAGTATGGGCGTGCACGTGTGCTGCTTCAGTGCTCGGTACCTTCCCCAAGTGGCGGTTCGAAGGTCATCTGTGGCTCACCACTCGTGGATGTGCTCTGGTGCGGTCTCTCCAAAACATGTGCCTAGCGATTGAAGTTATGTTAATGGGCAAGCCAGGGCTGGAATTGACGGGTCAAACCCGATCAAGCTCCATTGGTGATGCTGCTGAACTGATGTTAGGCATCTGACAGGGACGGCAACCACTGCAGTTTTCTTAAGTTAGTTAGTGCTTGCTGCTTATTACTTAGTAGCACCAGTAACTAGGTAAGTTACCTATACTTACCTTGCAACTCTCCAGCCAAAGAGAGCATTCACCTTCCAAGAAACGATGTTCGGCGGCAGCACACACGGGTTGGGAAGATACGCTCTGACTGTGTCTTGCAGCGAAGAGATGAAGAGTGTTTTCTGAAATGCAGAGTTAAGTGCACCACTACATTCGCCCGGGCCGAGACCAACCTTCGAATCTTACATCACAAAGGTACCTCTATGGGCAGGGCGTTTTCGGATGTCTGACAAGAGAGAAACAATGAAGTTGACGGTCTTGCTTGCCATGCAATAGTAGTTATGTAGTAGGTTATGTACTGGTGAGTTGTAAACGTACAGAGTACAGCTCTTGCCAAGAACGCTGACCTCGTGCCCGGCGGACTCCACCCTCGTCCTGGAATCTTGGCAGGCGCGGCTCCTTCCAGCTTCTTTCCACGCTCAGCCGAGGGACCCTTCTTAACCTTCTGTCATGTCCCGCCCAGGACCATGACGGCAAAGCGCCCGCGTGCTGCCTTTGAGGCTGACAAGGCCTCACCCCCGGCAAAGGCTCCTTATGCCTTTTATGGTACACCCTTGCCGTCACTGGAAGACGGAGCTCGTGACGATGGCTCCTACATGCCCGTGTGGAAGCAAGAGGTAACGGATGAGCGGGGACGGAAGCGGCTCCATGGCGCCTTCACTGGTGGCTTCAGTGCAGGGTGCGTACCATCTCTCCACAGCTGGGAGGATCTTGAGTAGGTGTGCCAGTGCTAATCCCAGTGCGCGATCCATCACAGCTATTTCAATACGGTCGGCTCCAAGGAAGGATGGACTCTCCTCCACCTTTGTCTCATCTCGTCAGAATCGTGCCCGCGATGCAAAAGGGAAGCAGGCCGTATCGCAACGGCCAGAGGATTACATGGATGAAGAGGATTTGCGTGAGCAGGAGGAATCGCGCCAACCACAGACCACTGAAGGATTTGCGGGATTTGGTTTGACAGATACGACTCGCAGAGCAGGTCTCATGGACGTGCTCAAGATCGGAGGGGAGACTATGGGCGTCAAACTGCTCAAGCGCATGGGCTGGCGTGAGGGCCAAGGCATTGGTCCAAAGGTTCGGCGTCAAGCCAATCTGGGGCAAAAAGCAAGCTTGACGACGGACTCCCAAGAGGAAACCTACCTTTTTGCACCGGAGAACCCGCCCATGGTCTCTTTCACCCGGAAAACGGATCACAAGGGCCTAGGGTTTGAAGGTGAGGCCCGTCTAGATGATCCACGGATGACACGAGAGGAGAAGCCGGACGATTCGGATTCTTATTTTGGAGACAGGCTGGGTGTGGACAAGAAATCCAAAGCCAAGAAAAAGACAAAAGACGCAGCCCGGGGTGGCTTTGGGGTGGGTATTCTCAATGACACTGGATCAGACGACGAGGACCCATACGCACTGGGGCCGCAAATTGCTTATAACAAGACGATCGGGGCGGACAAGAAGAAGAAGAAAAAGGCGCCCGTGATCACCACAGCCAACCCGCTCCTGGACAGCAAACCGGTCTTCATATCGAAGAAGGTTGCTGCAGCCCGCACGACGGGTGGCTTTCGGAAATGCCGAGATGGACGATTACCGCTGGACGGGTTTGTCCTGGCTGATACTCTCTCGGGTCTTTCCGTTTCAGAGACGCGATACGATCCTCCTGCGATTCCAGAAGGATGGAAGTCGAGCAAAGGATCGAGCTCGAGCGAGCGAGACCCTTCGACCTACATCTCGACGGCGGAAGCCGCCAAGACATCCTCGATGGACCCGACGCAAAGAGCCGCTGCTCTGGGAGAAACTCAGCTTCCGGGCAAGTCCATTTTTGACTGGATGACCCCAGAAGCTCGAGAGCGAATCGCCAAACTAACAGGAAAGACCAATCTACCTCCCGCTCTGGGAGAAAAGGCCCCCAAGGGCTTCGAGACATCGGACACGCAACGACGAAAAGACTTGTGGGACCTAGTGCCCAGATTGGATAAACAAGTGGCCGTGCAGGCCTTGGCTCGCGCAGTCAGCGGTTGGATCCCCTACGCTGAAGATGAGAATAAACGTGCGCGCTATCGAACTTTTCTGGAAGTGCGAGCGGAGGTGCGCGACACCTTACCGGATCGCGCACCGGGATCCAGCACCGACGAATGGGTCAATGAAATGCAAGAATTCGCGCGCGCGGCTGAGATATTCAAACCCATGACCGGCATCATGGCCTCTCGCTTCACATCAGCCTCCTCGGGCCCGAAAGTGGCCTCCGATGCCCCCGAGCAATCCACCGACTCTCTCCTCAGTCGCCCAGCTGAAAGGCCTGATCCACCCGCCGTGGCCGCTGCCAAGATTGGCATGTTTGGGCAGATGACTCGCAGTTCCAGCACCTTCTTCCCAACGCGATTGTTGTGCAAGCGGTTCAATGTCAAGCCCCCGGACCATGTGCAGCTTGATCCTGGAGAAGTTGCAGGCAGCTCCTCCGAGACTGCATCTGGAGCCAGACCTCGCTTCCAATCTGGCGGATATCAGCATGATGCACCGACACGAAAGGACCTTGTCTCTCAGGATTTAATGGAGATGATCCTGTTGGAATCAGGTCGTAAATCGGAGGCATCAGAAGCGAATCCCAAGTCTGCGGAAATGCAAGCGCCGTCTGCTCCAACTGCGACGCCCATTCAAGCCGTCGAGCCCGAGCGTAATGAGGCCCTCGAGGCTGAACGACCAGGAGAAGCAATCTTTAAGGCTATTTTTGGCAGCGACGATGAGGAAGACGACGACGATGTGATTTGAACCACCCTAACCCCTAAGAACCGCTGCCCTCATGTAAATACACTGTACTCCTTTTAGAACTCAACCCATTTGCCTACTTAAAAGTACTGAAGGCTTATGCGCAGCATGTTTGCTTGTACACGGCCCTGATTGAGGCAGACAACTTCCCCCAAAAATCATTTTGTGGGGAAAAGGTACCTTTGAAGTGTCTGACCACATGCTGGTCTTCGTTGCCTGACATCATTGCGAGTGATCGTCCCAATCTACTTTGTCCATCTTTCAACCATCTGGAATGTTTGTCGGATCAAATCAAGCGCGCATCCTTCTTTTCTGAAACCTTGATTTAATCCCCGATCGAAGAATTTGAACCTGTCGCTTGACAAATCTTCTTGCAATTTCCAGATCGATCGAGTCCGGACGCGATACTCAAATAAGCTTTGTGGGTGCTGTATCCTCCGCCATCCACTCCAGGGCAGGTCAAAGGGACAGAGCTTCACCTTACACAGCGGTCCCGCGACCACTCGGAGAAAATCACTCGTTTCTTCTACAACTACCTTCATCTTGCCTCCCTCTTTATTCTCTCGTTCTGCACATTGGCACCCGCATCCTTGAGTCTTTTTCGGCCTATGCAGGGTGTCTATACGCCGCGCCGAAGATGGTAAGTCCTGTCTTTCTTTACCCTTTCGACCGTGGAACTACGTCCGCACATCGTACTCTCCTTGAGAATTGCGCCGCCGGCGGCCGTTTGAGATACGGAGCATGAACCCGATCACCTCGTCATCGGCCTTTGTCCCACACTCCCGCAGCTCCTTGTGTTTCCCCGCATCGCCTTGCGCGAACGTAAACATACTGGATCGAATCGGTCTCACCCAAAATGCGCGATAATTACATGATCGTCGCTTTCTGGGCCAGGATGACGACCCCACTGGAGTCTGTCTCGCACAGGAACCTACAACTAATGTCTCTCTTTTCACTTGGTCAAAAAAATAGGGTTGTTGCGCGTCTGTAATATCGCGTGAGGACGACCATCTACCTGAGAACCGAACTGTCTTCGATCAACGATCAACCCATACAGCCCGCAATGCCAGTGTGGCCACCGATACTTCCGCGACTACGCAGGCCACCCGTCAGCGCGGACGGCGCGGCCCAGCACTTCCGCTGGACCAGCAATACAATGATCCCTTGCGCGTACATGTTTGGTATAGTAAGCGCCGTATCTGGAGCCGCTCCGATCTCGAGCGTGAACGTCGCGAATTTTTCGAAACCAGAGTGACCGGGCGACCCGAAATATGGGCCGCCCTAGAAACAGCCCTCACGATCATGCGTGGCGGCGACCTAGCCACGGCGCAAAGTATCATTGATGCTGCAGGGGTGACAATTCCCACTGGGGATCTGTGCGAGGGCTGTTACGACGAACAGGGCGTCTTGTACCGCCTTCCACAATGCATTGTCAGCGATCCTGAGAACATGGCGCAGACGACTTCGTCCGGCGCAGACGATGCCATACGAGCCATCGAGACGACACAAGATGATGGCGATTTGGATGTCTTACCTGATGGGAAACCAGTGACGGAGGACGCTTCCGGTGACGAACTGATGGCCGACGACCTGGAACGACGAAGGGATGAAAAGGGCAAAACGAGCGAACGGGATCTTGTCCGTGTTCAAGCGCGACTGAGTGATCGTGGTGGACCCGACCTGACTCTGACAATTGGCAAGAGCCAGAGTGTGGGCTTCCTGATTCGGAAGATTCAGCAGGATGCAGGCGTAAGTTTAGCAAGGCAGACCCGGACTTTCCACCCTGGGATTTCACCCCGATGCTGAGTTGATATTGTCCAGGTCCCCGATGACAATCGTGTGCGTATCGTTCACTTAGGTCAAATACTTTCGGAGCACAAATCATTGATGGCGCAAGGCTGGCAGCAAGGCCACGTAATCAACGCGTTTATTGTCCCTCGCGGTCCTGACTCTTCCTAGTATTGGGTCTATCTGGTCGTTCTGTTGATCCTCTGGTATCTTCAATCTCCTTTGCTGAGAAGAACCATATCCCCGACTCTCACGTTTCCGCAGACTTGTCAACCTTATACTGTTTCGTATCTCACGTCATTTCGTCTCCCCTCAAGCGTTCGACGCTCCTCGGCTCCCTTGTCCCTGTTGATCTTTTGTCGCACAATACCCCTTGACATTCATGTTATTTACCTCGGATTCTATGACTGCTTGAATTGACCCAACTTTTGCTCGACTGCCATCCTGTATGTCCCAGGCCTCGCAGATCGAAAATTGTGCGCGTAGCTTTGGGTGTAAATTTTATTTTCATAGGTTCAATGTCGGTGATGCGGCTCGTCGAGTCTCACATCAATATATCTTTACTACTGTTCGCGTTTTCCACTAATTTCGCAGTCTACTTGAAAAGACATGGACGTCCAGCGTCAGCACAAACATGAAAAAACAAATAAACATAGCGGCACATCTAAATCCTAGTACATGGCTCTAAGAAATTAAAAAACAAGCCGTCTGTAAAGCGTGGACCAAAAATCAAAAAAAATAAACGTGCATCATCCGTGAATCGAACACGGGCCTCGTCGATGGCAACGACGAATTCTACCACTAGACCAATGATGCGAGTTCATGATGGCTGAAGTTGTTCTGCATATATGAAGCTTTTTCGCGATTGGCATCTCTTCGTTGAGAAAATTCGAAATCCAGCTCGGGCAGCGGGTCGGATGTCGTTGACGTTGTAGGCCGATTGCAACACAATTTGTGACTGAGAGATCTGTCGCCCGTAAGGGTTTGATGACACATATAACGCTCTGCGAAAATTTATAAACAGATACGATCCGAATTTGGGCCGACTAGGTCGTGGAATTCCGAGGAACAATGCCATAGTCAAGTCAGCATCAAGAAAGCTGGCGGGCAGGCTTACAATGAAAGAGAAAGGCATCCTCTAGCTCGAGACTCAGTAGAAGCGTATTGCCATGTACAATTTTTAAAATATAGAGCTTAGCGGTCGCCTATTTTTGAGAGAATGAAAAGAAGGAAAATGGAAGAGAAGTAGATTATTGAAAGCGAACCAACAGAATACATGTGCAAAGGCCGACGTTGAACGGAGTATCATTGCGTATATCAAACCAATCTACCATTCTTGTCCTCCCTACCCTTTGGTGTCGTACCCGAGCGTCTCTTGAACACACGACCAAGCAAGGAAGCGCCCTGGCACACGCCTCTCACCAGAGACGTAGGGTTGTAATGCTTCACGCGGAACATGTAGTACATCAGGACTGTTCCGAAGATATTGAAGCCGATGTACGCCCAGCCAATGCCGAAATTGCGCCAGCGTTGACCGTAGTCTATTGCGAGGTAATGAGTGAGCGAGAAGAAGAAATGACCAGTTGCGTAGACAAGGAGCCGACTCACAAATATTGCTCATCCCCAGATATTGGTCTGCGCTCGTTAGTTGACAGTACTGGCAGTTCTGGGTTGCCGAAGGATTGTACAGCTGGCCACCTGCAACGGCCGCATATTGCTGGAGATAGGTGCCACATGTTAGGCCCGATGGAGGATTGAAGACACTCAATTCCTCTGGAGCACATTGAATCCTGCGACCGTGTAGACCTGTCGCAGTAATGCCGGCAATGAGGTATGTTAATGGAGACACTCGATACATGAAAATCCAGAATCCTAGTGTCGGAGTTAGCAAGCTGAAAATGAACACAGACCACAGACCACCGAATGTGGTGAAGCTTCGGAGAAAATCGTCTCATGAACGTACCCGGTAAAGCGTTTGGTGGCTGCATGACTCCGTTAAAAGTCAAGGTCATGATAAACATCAGGGTCGCAAGTGTTCCGCCAGTCTCAGCGTCAGGAAGCGCCGCGATAACGAGAGAAGCAAAGGTGGATGTAAAAATGTAGAATTGTACCACAAAGAGAAGCATCAATCCCTGTCTTTCCGAGGACTGTTGTGCTCCATACACGGGGTAGTAGTAACAAGCCCAGGCAATGATACCTGCGAGAACCTGATATGGAATCTCAACGAGGACATTGGCGATGAGGAATGCCGCCCATGAATAGGCTTTTGACGGACGTTCTCGGACTTCATAAAGCGATCGTTGAACCACAAATTTGGGCATGATTCTGAGATACCTTGTTAATCAACCGAAGCATCTAAGACCTCTCCGTACGTACGGGTGACTTACTGTTGGACCAGCGTGGAGAAAATCGAGGTTAGCATAAATGCACTGAACAAGACATCTTGGAAGCCTTGAAGCGAAGCGTCTGGTTTGAAGAAGGTGAAGCCAATAAAGAGAGAAGACAGGGTGGCGAGCATGATCTTTGCCCACACATAGCTCGGTTCGCGCCAGAAGCTTTGGAACGAACGATATGTGACGCACTTCAGCTGTGCAAGGAAGGGCATAGCGAATTCACTATGCTGGGATGAATCCTTATCAGACGCTGCAGCAGATGGCCCCCCGGATTTTTCTTCGTGAATGCGGTCGATCTCGGCTTGCACTCCCTTTGACTCTTGACTCTCTTTCCAGACCACAGACCAGTCCTTGGAGGACGTACCGGAAGCGCCGGCGCCAATGATTTCAAGCATATATTCTGCGGGCTGTTCGGGTATGCTGAGTTAGCTTTATCGATTGGGATTCCGAAGCCCCGATCCAATCTTGAATCTTACATTCTCAGAGGAACCACATCTTCTCGCCCCGTTTCTCTCAAAGTAGTCTAACAGGGTGTGAGACTGGTCGCCGATTTCGCCAAAATAGACAGTTTTCCCTCCCTTAGCTAGGAAAAGTAGACGGTCAAACTGTTGGAACAGCAGTGCGGAAGGCTGGTGAATCGTAGAAAGCACGGCCTGGCCATGCTCCGCCAGCTTGCGCAGAAATGCACAAATAGCCCACGAGCTTTGAGAGTCCAAGCCACTTGTTGGCTCATCAAGGAAGATGAGAAGCGCAGGCTTAGCTGCAAGTTCAACCCCAATAGTCAAGAGTTTACGCTATACATCATGTTAGACAACTTTCTATTAAATGGGCCACTGACACTTTGAAGATCGAACACTTACTTGCTCTACGTTGAGTCCTTCGCCAGGAGTGCCGACTATTGCATCGGCAAAGTCTTGCATACCGAGCATGTCGATAACGTCTTCCACGTAGCTATACTTTTCCTTCATTGACACTGTCTTTGGTTGGCGAAGTGTTGCACTGAAGCGCAGAGCCTCACGAACCGTCGAAGTGGGAAGATGTAGGTCTTGTTGTTGAACATATCCTGTTTTTCGTTGGAAACTATTGTCCAGTGGCTGACCATTGACCAACATATCACCGGTCACAACACCAATGGAGACACGCTTTGCCAAGACATCAAGCAGAGTGGTCTTTCCGGCACCAGACACGCCCATCAGTGCTGTCAGGGTACCAGGCTTCACCCAGCCAGAGACATGGTCCAAGAGTCGTCGCTGACCACCCTTGACGGGGATATCGTAGCACACGTCTCGCCAAGTGAAGATGTCATGCCGCGAGGGAATGGCTACGTTGCTATCCTTGTGGGAGGATCTCTTTGTAGTCGGCGCAATCTCTGCGGCGCTCTCCTTTGCTCGTCCATTTTTCTCCAGGTGCCGTAGATGTGCAGGTACGTGGCCCCTTCGGAACACGAGGAACTCTGCGGTAGATGAAGTTGCGGAGTTGATCTCGGAAGCCAGCAGATAACAGGCCATGAAGAAGATCCAGAACCCAATCACGATACCGAGGTTTCTCCAAACATGAGCATAGGTATACTGATACTGACTTGCGATATAAGCGTCACCCGACACGGTTCTCTGCCCGGTGACGGCTCCTCGCACAGCACATATGAAGGTGTCTCCAGAAAGACTTGGATATGCCGGAATGAATTGAGAGCACGTGAACTGACGACCGTGGAATTCATTCGCGACAAGAGCCTCAAATGTGTAGAATACCGGGTTGATCCAGCGAATCCAGCTAAACCAGGGGATGTTCTGCATTTGAGGTGTGGGAATGACGAAGCCTGTATAGATGACGATTGCTAGCACCATCACCCCAGCCATTGACATGGCCTGGGCAAGGGTTTTGGTGGAAGCTGCCAAAGTTCGGAAAACGCCCGACATTGTAAGCGTACTGAGAAAAGTGAAGAGAAAGAATATAAAGAATTGGGATGGCTCGGCTCGCTGGTTTGCGAATAGTTAGAGTCAAAACTTCAGAACCATTCAATGAGAGAGGAGCATACCAGACTGGCGAGGAAGTAGAAAATGATATTGAAAACCACAGCGGACACAAATTTGACAGGTATGTCCGCCACGATTCCTCCTAATGCTTCTGCAAATGGATGTACAAATGCGTAGGAAGCTTGCTTTTCAATGATGGGCCGTTGGTCATAAAGCGAGTTGATTTCAGTGATACTGATCAGGGCATTCATTCTTTTGGGAAACGGTGAGAATCCATAGCCCGATCTGGCAGTTGAGCAGAGGTCTACTTACAAGACGGAGAAGAAAAGAGCAGCACCTTTGCTCTGAAACCCTGCTGTTGCATTCGGAGTTCTGGAGTATAAGTGTCAGCACGTGAGTGACAGGTATGGTATTCGTATGCGTAGCTTACCCATAGTAGATTGAACCGATGATTAGCGACATTACAATACGTCCAATCACAGTCGTCAGTGTAGATGGTTTGTCATTCCAGATTCTGTAAGCAGTTTGTCAGAGCCGCTGATGAAAGCAAATCACATCAGAGGACGACAGCAGCAATAGCACGTACCGCTGATACGCCCTTTTCACACAAAGCCGGACCTGCATTGGAAGGGAGATAAAGTAAGGACTCTTCGGCCGGACATGCTTCGCTTGGCGTGCACGTTTCGTCTGGTTAAAGTCCTGTTCGGCAGGGCCTCCTGGTGGGAACGACTCTCGATATCGAGCAATATCTCTCTGTAGGGATGCAAAATAGGAACTCTTCTTCCAGTATGCCTCGAACTCGTCTGGAGTACGAGGCACCTTGTGTTCCATACCGTCTCTCGCTTGTCGCTCTTGCGGGTTGGTGACTGACGTGAGGAAATCACCAGTTGTCTGACGAGGAGGACATTGCCAGCCCATGTCGATGAAATAGCCTCTGGCAGCTTGACAGGGTCCAAAGAAGATTTCTCTCCCCTCATAAAGTACTATCACTTTGTCAAAAACATCGTAGATTGCCTGAGAAGCCTGATAGATTGCGACGGCATGGCATGAGCCTGTCAAATTGGCGGAAACTCGCAAGGCCTTTGCAAACTCCAAGGCACTCGCAGAATCTAGCCCTCGAGTGCTATTATCCCAGGCACCGACAGGGGCACCAGACACTAGAAAGAAACGCGCTGTCAGAAGATCGTTCTTGTGTCGCTTTGCGATTAATGTGCGGCTTACAGGCCATTTCGGCAATGCTGAAGTCCTATTAGTGTTTGGTGATCACAGCAATCGAAGAAGGCACAACCTACCTAACTCTTTTTCGCTCGCCTCCCGAAACACCTCGAATGTAGTCATCGCCCACTGCGATCTCATGGTCAGCAAAGAAAATCTTCCAAAGGCCACGTTCCGTCAAAGACGAGAGCTGAAGCCTTGCCTACCCTTTGTGTTGTAGGTGTGGCTCAGGCCAAACACTGCCATAGCCACCTGGGTGATATGCTTGGCGTAAGTCGCTCGACTGACGCCTTCAAGCCGGTTCTCAGGCGTACGTGCTGTCGCTGCAAACTCGAGGGTTTGACCGACAGTCAAATGCGGAAAGTGTTTATCCACCTCCTGGTTGTATAAGACCTCGCCCTTGTACTCGCGGCGCATACGACTCATTGATATACCGTTGTATTGAATGTCCGATCCCTGAACCAGTTTCAAGCCATGCAATTCTCCAGTCAAAGACTTCAACAAGGTCGAGCATCCGCTACCAGGTCTTCCTAGAACAATGAGCAGTTCGCCGCTATTGAGTAGGCCATCGAAATTGCGAAGAATCTGCTTCTGGGAATGACCTTTCCCGAGAGAAATATACTCCTGGGGTCTAAATGGGGCGAGAACAACAGAGCCGACATTGTTTTGATATTGGAGAGCAGATCCCGAACCCGCAATATTCAAATTCTCCCATACGACTCCCGTGGACTTGCGCAAAGGAATGCCTGCCCGGTCCATCATCTTCAACATTGTTCGCGCCCACATGTAGTGATCGAACTTTTCGCTTGTTGGATCAATGACTGGGTCTCCAACGTCAATGTCTCCGACGGTTTCTTCCTTCTCCAGGCCGGCCAGGCGTCCAAGTCCAGAGCTCATCCTTCGCTGCCGGGGGAAATTTGAAGCAACACGGGTTAGTTCCTCGCGATCTCCAGGATGAATGTATTCAAAGCCGGCCGTCTTATTCTGAGGAGTAGCTTCGGAACTAGATCGGCCGTGGCAGGTTGAGCTTGCCGGAGAAATCTCCGACTCTCCAGCCTGGCCTTCCATATCGCGACAAGATCTGAAGGGTTCACGCGGCAGGCGTTGAGGCTGCAATTAGGCAAAATGGTCGAAAATGCAGCCCTCGAACAAGATTGATGTGATACTCGAATCGCTAGAGGCCAATAAACTCATTGCCCACAAAGACCAGAGAGCAGAATCAGCCATTCTTATACGACCAGCTCACAGGCACGCTGACCATAATTACCACGGTTCGAATGACTCCTGAATTCAACTCCACAGGGCCTATTCTTCTGGAGTCCATTTTGTGTCTACGCTTCATAGAATAATACGCCAGAGTGGAATGATCCCTCATCATTTGCTGTGAAGTCATGATGTCAACCACCTTTGCTTGGCGGGAATCGGTGGTTCATCGCGGGATTGTCAAGCTCCGAGGCGTCCAAAATGCGGTGACCCAACCAAATGATGGTCAACATTGCCTTCAGTCAAACGTTGAGACCTGTACGAAGTTGAGACAAGTAGCCTGCTCGACATCAAGCTGTAACAGCCTTGTGTGACCTTGTGTGATGGTGCTGCCAATACCTCAGAAAGGCAGATGCGTATAGTCTTTGCTTCCAAGCACATCTCGGGATGGGGGGGGGGCGAGGCTTTAATGAGCCCTTGATCTATGGAGTACCTCAGGCACCAAATATTCTGTCGCTCGCTGGGTGCAAACAGTGTAAACACAATATCAGGGCAGAAAAAAAAAGGTTTTATCGCCGAGTCGCAGAGATAACAGAGCAGCCCTTCTACCATCGTTTGAAGTGGTAAGCTCATAATCAACATGACGGACATCTCAAAGACGCCTTTCGTCAAGGAGCTCGCTTCAAGCGGTAAGGCTTACTTTTTACCAGATTCCACATGCCCACAGCCCTGAACTAACAATGTCTATCTCATGTTCCAGACCGCAAAGTCCGCGACAAGGCCGTGGAGTCTTTGACTCTCTTCTTGCGCTCGCGCAATGACCTCACATTGGTTGACCTGGTAAAGCTCTGGAAAGGTCTTTTCTTTTGTACGTCTTTCTTTTGACCGTTCTGTCTAGCTTGACAACATTCTTTAAAAGATGTGACGAGTGACTGATGTTATGCAAGGCTTCTACCACTCCGACCGACCTCTCACACAACAAGCACTCGCCCGCTCCCTTTCCTACTCTCTCGTGCCTTCTCTTCCCCACGCTACCCTCCACCGCTTCTTGCGCGCCTTCTGGATCACCATTGGCCGGGATTTTCACTCTCTCGACCGGTTACGACTGGACAAGTACTTGTTTTTGATCCGTTGCTATGTGGGCGTGGCATTCGAAATTTTCGTAAAGGGACCCAACAAGGCAGTGAACGGAGACGCCAAGAAGCGCAAGCGCCAGGACAATGGCAAGCAGGGCCGAGGCAAGAAGCAAAAAAAGCAAGAGGAAACCGAGATGACACCCACAGAGAACAGCACGGAAGAGGGAGATGGCAAATGGGCTGATCTCGAGGCTTATATCTCAATCATTGAGGAAGGGCCCCTCTGCCCCATCAACTTTCACCCCGATCATGCCTCGAAACCGGTCGTGGACGAGAAAGATCCAAATTTCATTCCCATGCCACATGGGCCAGATGGTCTGCGCTACCATCTGATTGATCTTTGGGTTGATGAGTTGGAAAAGGTGCTAGAATTTGAGGGAGGAGAGACAAATGAGGACGGTGAAATCAAGGGAAGGAAGATCAAGGGTGATGTGCCGATGGAGTTGCTTCTGCGACCTTTGGAAAAGTTGCGGTCCGAGAGTCCCTATAAGCCCGTTCGGACAAGATCCGCGGAAGCCCTTGACGACGATCGATTGATTGAGTGGGGTATCCGCACGAGGGCAGTAGAGGAAGAAGAAGAAGAGGACAGTGACGGCGAGTGGGGTGGATTCGACGATTAAGAGAAAAGTGACCTGCAGGAGCCTCCAGCGTTTCTGCCCGATAAAACTTTTGTACAGCATCATCCACATAGCGAGACATTATACACTTGACCAAGAATAAACAGATTGGACGCACATCCTTATGAACATAGACAATTAAAGATGCCATGAGTTTGCACATTCCCGCAATTCTCGACATAAAGACTGCGCCATGAGGTGGACAGTCTATTGCTTCCTTGTTTAGGCGAACAGATCGGTAATCAGATACATTACAAAGACACTCTGTTGCAATTCAATGTACCGGACGGAGCTGACGATGTGGGACAGGCAAATACAGAAATGAAGCTAAAGCTTATAAACAGATTCTCCGGTTGCTGGGGTATCAAGGGTAAAGAGGGGCGAATACAGCCCGGGAAACAATGCGCGTGTCTTTCCGATGTCAACGTCAGGGCAAGAAGCACAAGACAAGAAGGGAGTCCTGCTGCATGAGCTGCCAGGAGCAAGGTGCCATGAGTAAGCGTACAGCTCACCTTGGCCCTTCAGCTTCATATATCCGTTTCGACTTGGACAGAACGGTGCCCAAGCCTGGGTGTACCTCACACTGGAATGCTTCAAACGGTACCCGTTCACCATCGATGCTGATATATCCTTCTTTTTGGCGCGGGACGAGGCGGTATGCCATAGCTTTCCGAATCTTGACCTCGGGCATATCAAAGAACCCACCGGTTTCGATTTCGGTCATCATCTTCAACGAAGTAGATCGGCTGACGTTGCCGTCAATGGTGACAACGTCCATCAGACCATCATTGGGAAGTGACGCGGGGAAGAAATTGGTGTCCTTGGACATAATGGCCATGTTACCGGCATAAAAGTTACCCATAGTCTCTCCGGGCACCGTCTCCCAGTCGCCTGGGAGCTCATCTTGAACTGTCCCGAACTGAAGTTCTGGGAGTTCTGGTGATTTCCTAGCGGCATCGATTCGCTTTTGATCGCTCAATGAATCGGCGTCTTCATCGCCCTTGAGCCTGTAGGACCTATAATGTTCTTTGATGGCCTGTTTATCATCCAGAACAACCTTGATGGCCAAGTCACAGGGCCAAACGGTACGTCGGAGAAGTCGGACGAGGAAGCCGTATGTGAATCTTTGGGCCCCCATCCAGCGGATATGTTCAGTTGCTAGATCGGACTCGGCCACGATTCCAAAAGACTGAGATAGGAAGGATAAGGTGCGGCTGTCCTTCTGGGTCACGGAAACCAAGTCGAGCGGCGTTCTCAAACCTTTGACAATGCCCAACGCAGCGATAGAATTACTACCCGTGCCAAAACAATTCCACGTGAGGCCATTGCCAGAGCCGCATGGTAGTAAGGCGACAGCGACCCGAGCGAGTGCTTCGCGGCCGTTGGGGCGTTTACCCAACCCGTTGAACACTTCGTACGGCAAGCCGTCCCCAGAGCAACAGACTACCGTGTCGTAAGCGTCAATGTCAAGCTCTTCTGCGATCTTGATGGCATGGCCGTTGTATTCGGTGGCTTGAACATCTAATTGGCATCGTGCAGCAGCAAAGATCGGCGCGGCATATTTCTGGTAAAGCGACGCGGCGTTGCCCTTGCCTCCATGAGGATTGATCAAGACCTTCAATCTTTTGCGTCGCTCTGCGGCACCGTACGCCAAGTCTAACAGCCTGGCCATCCAAGCTTCAACAGCCGGCTTTTCTTTGTCGCCAATTTTATAACGGAGAGCCGTCACCGTCACATCATCCTTGTGCGAATGCTCAGCATAGGTGATCACGAGGCTCGTCGGATTGATTTCGGCGTCCAGGATATTGTACAACGAAATTGCAACGGTTTTCGGGCTATCGATGTCTGGATTCAGTGAAAGATAAAGATTAGTCCGCGGTCGTTCGAAGCGATAAATATTCTTCTCGAGTATTGTGAAGCTCCATATGCATCAGACGCAAGAGGCGGTGATATCACTTACTCGACTTGCACGGCGCACAGCAACCACGGTTCGATTTGTGATTGGATCGTTCATCTGGAAATAATTTCAGTTGGCGAAAGCTCTGACAACTTGAACATCCAAGTGGTGGAGGTTGCGCCTCACCAAGGACGAGGAGAGAATCGCTGCTCAATGTAAGGGAGACAGCTTTGTCCACAGTAATACTTGAGTCGTGTTGCAGCTGGGCGTCCGGCTGCTCCAGAGCCAGATCCGAGGTCGACATTCTGCAAAATATAGATAGAGGCGCGTCTACCACATAATCAATCGAAGCAGATATGTTTGATTAGTGCAGGACACGGATGTCTGACAATAGAAGATTCGAAACGAATGACAAGGTTGGGGCGGAGGCGATCAAAGAGCGCAGCCGCTAAAACTCGCGAATCCGTTTGTTCCGGTTCCTGACTCCTCCTGCTTACAGCCGGTGGCCCATGCGCGCCTTGGGACGAAGCTCGCAGACTGGCGTAAATTTGGCATGCATCCGCCTCCTGTTGGACCTGAAAGAAAAGGAGCGAGTATTATGATCCGATAATGTGTGAGATTTTCCGGGCTGACACATTTTTCGCCTTTGACGCATGACCGTTGTTGGGTGAATGGCTCTTTACACAAGTTGAAACACTCCGATTGCGCATACTGTAGCACTGTCCTCATGTCTTGTGTGTTCCGGTACAGCCATTGAAAAGCCACAACAATTATCTATTTGACTATGACCCCCCAAGTCTCTCAATACAGGATGAATATTGGTAAGTAAACAATGAGAAATGTTGGAAGAGAAGAACTTGTGGCGGGGGATTCAGAAGCAGGAAAGTAGAGGGCAAGGGAAAAGGACATCATTTCAAATGTATGGACCGCTGGGAAGTGAACAAATTACATCTACTCATGCTGCTGCTGCTTTCAAGCCTTTCAGTGACCCCAGACTCAGAGCCAGACCCTGGGAGCGGCTGCGAATTCGGACAAAACCGGTGATGGGCCCGTCATCACCTTCTTTCTCGATGCTGAGATTGGCCAAAGCGTCCTCGCCTGGAGAAGAGAATTAGAGTTAGCAAGGCAATGTTGGGCATAGTACTGCTCAAGATGGCTGGAAGAAGAACATACCAAACACGCTCCGAGCGTACAAGTTGGCGCTCAAGAAGCGGCAATCACCCTTCAGTGACGCCTCAGGTGTCAAGCAGGCCATATTGGTGCTCTCCATAAGCTGCTTCAGGAAGTCGCGCAGGCTCTTGGCCTTCGAGTTGATGTTAACCTTATTCTCCCACTCGAATTCAGTCCACATGGAGCGGAATTGCGTCTCAGTACAGTGGGCAGGTTGAATGTAGTCCATGATGTCAGCATGGATATCGTTGAGAATGACCACGTGGGTTTCCGTAGAGCTGGCGCCGTCGTAGACAATATTTCCGAAGATTACGCCAGTATCGGTCGAAGAAACCTTGACTGTGGCTTGCACGTTCAAGAAATCGCGAGGACCTAAGTTGTGGGTTGATGGTCGCTCAACAACCTTGAGGTCTCCAAGTGTGGCAAACTCGACCGAGAGATTTTGAAGGGTCTCTGCAGTTTGATTGACCAAGAGGACATCGAGAACGATGTCGAACTGATGAACAGTGACGTAAGCTTCGGCGTAAACAGAGTCAGAGAAACCAGTCAGCTGAACAACACGGCTGAGCTTTGATGACACGTTTTCCGTCACAGTATCACCTCCAGTGGCCTTTGCCAGGTCGAGTTCAACCTCCTCCGCGCCCTGCACGCTGTTCTTCTTAGTGAATTGACGAATTGGGATAACGTCGTCGACTTGCACAGCGCTCTTGGCCTTTTCAGAGGCTTCCTTTGCAGCACGCTTCTTGTCTTCAACTTGGACCATGGCTCGGAATGCCTTGCGTGTGTCCTCGAGGAAGGTCGTCTCGAGCTCCTTCTTCTCGGAGAACTCAGCGAGGGAGCGGACACAAGTCATGATACGGTCGACGGAATCCTCATCGATAGGTGCCTTGACAAATTGCGACTGACCAACACGCATGATCGAGATCATAATGAGCATAGCTTCGGCACGGAGGGCGTTTGTACGAGCGGTATCCTGAGAGACCTCGGAGTGGCGCATCACCAACTTTGTCAAGGTGGAGGAAAGAACAGTGGACAGGTAGTAATCGCCATCAAGAATGAGTTGGCGGAGAGGAGGCTTCTGTGCGGCTTTGACAGCCTCCAGACGGGCAGCAGCAGCAGATTGACTAGTGAGAGCACTCTCCGTGGCATAAGTCCCGTCGGCAAGGATTTTGCGGGACCCGGTGGGGGCGCTCTTGCCATGCCCGTTGGCCGCCTCTTGCAAGAGAAGTACATTGTCATCGGGAACTTCATCAAGGAGTCGTTGCTCTGAGGCCAAGATAGGAATTTCACCCAGACTGGCTCGAATCTTCTTCCAGGCTTCCCGAATGTCCTTTTCTTCAAGGGAGTACTCTCCGATCACCCACAGCACACCACGGTATACTTTACCAGCACGAACCTCGCTCAGGGTAGATACCAAGCGGTCGACGATGGCGCTGCGCAGATCTGGGAATTTCTCGACGACCTCCTTGACGAATTGAATCACATCAACCGCAGAGTTGTTGTTGAAGTCGGCAATGAAGTCCATGAGCAAGTCGACCACGCTGGCGGCAATCTCTGAGAACTTAATAGCGCAGTTGTGTATTGACTGCACGAGCAACTGGCGGTATTCGCTGTTTTGTTCGTATTGCTCATTGACTGTCTTGGCAAGCTCCTTCTTCAACAACATGATAATTTCTTCAACGTTCTTGCTGGAGACCATCTCCAAGGCAATACCGAGGGCCTTCCGTCGGACGTCGATATCGGGACTGGTAAGAACTCGTAGAATCTCCATGGTCAGATCATCTAGAACACCTTCATTGCGCTTCCTAAGCTGATCAACCCGGTCCAACACAATGAGTTTCACATTGTTGTCCGCCTCTCGGATGGCCAGCTCAATGAGTTTGCCAGCAGCGGCCTTCACGGCGACGGGGTTACTGGTGAGGGCAGTAAGAGATGTGGCAGCTTCGTAGACAACAGTACTTGTGGGGGCGTCGAGAAGTTCGAGCATAAGTTTCAGGTAACGAGACTGAGATTCCAGGTCAGTCTTGTATGTACAGGCCCAGTGCTGTCGGAGTGGACCGTCCAATTGCAACGTACCTTGTTTTGAGTGTTTTGAACAGCATCCTTCCGCAAGAACTCAAGCTCAGCCAGCTGAAGGAGCTCGTCGGTATTTGGAATGGTGTCGAATGTTGTGCCGAGATACTCAAGCGCCTTCTCGTGGCTAATCGACATGAGCGCCGCGAACGCATTGCGCTTGCAAGTGCCATCTGACTCTGCCTCCAAGAAGATCTGAAGCAGCTCCGGCGCATCTGGAATGAGGGATTCGGAATGTTGGAAGATTGAAGCCACGGCCCAGGCGGCGTTTTTGCGCACGTAGGCGTGACGATGCTCGAGGCAAGAGCGGGCTGAGGAAAGGAGGGGTTCGATGAGTTCTGGTTCGCGCAGCTTGCAAAGGAAGCGAAGGGTGTTTCCGCGGACGTATTCATTTGGGTGCTGCAGATCATTTCGGATGCCATTGCTGAAAGGGGTGAGAATTCGAGGTCAATGGAGCGTTCCAACGACGAGAGCAAGGAGTCGGGAGCATCGTACCAGACCAGAATCATCTCCTGCTTCAATTTACCACTCGCATCGAGCTTGGGACAAATTTCGTAGTAAAAATATAGCAGCTTCTTCAAGGACTTGCTCTTCGCAGGCATGACAAAGCGAATGATGTGCATGAGTAGCTGTGGCATCGGATCACCGTTGAGCATAATCGTAATGATTGTCCGCATTGTGTCCATCTTCGTCTCATCATTGCCCTTTTCCAGCTGGAGTTTCAACTCCTGCACGGTCGCCTGGTCGGCCGTGTTGTCCAGATGGACGAGGCTGTACGAGTTCTCGAGAAATGACGCCATGGTGGTGAGATCTAAAGCGACGGCCGTGGATTCAAAGGGGAGCTGCGAGGATTCAAAGGGGAGCTGCGAGTTGTTAGATCGGGGGAATGTTTTGAACAGCTCAGCGGGCCAGGCGTTCACTCTCCAAACCTACCGCAAGAGGATGTCTCCCGCAGACGGAAGCTTTAGACCAAATCTAAAGATGCGCGATCAATTCAATCCAGCACCCCTCGCCAACCTAAATTATCATGGGCGTGTTCGTTGGAGATGCGCAAATGGGAGGGGGAGGGAAACGGAAGTGGGAGCATCAACCTGTCCCTTTGGACCCCCAGGTCCGCTCCCGACTCTCTGTGTGGGTGACTAAGCCTGCCGCTTTTCTGGACCTCTGCTCAGCCTCCGCTACCTTAATTCACGTGGAGGGGAATCCGCCTCGAACTTGTTCTTGACGGCAGTTGTGAGAACCACGGCATAGCTCAGCTCGAGATGTCGACGAACGATACATTTTACCTTCGTTACTAGTAAGTGCGAGCTCAATGCCTATGTTTCCGGAGAAGAATCCTCTGCCACAACTACTAACCTCCCACCTTTAGCTCAGGTCACTCTGGGCGCTTCGGTCACGAGTTTCTTGGTTAGTTCTGACGCTCACACTGAGAAGCCAATCTCTCCTGGGAACGAGCTCTGACTTTTACCCGCAGAATTTGACTTCCGAACTATTGCCGACGGTACCAGTGCTGCAGTACGATATGCGAATAACTCCAACTACCGCAATGATTCCCTCATCCGCAAAGAGAGTGAGTTGGACACTTTCAGCTCCGGACAATCCATCAGCAATCTAATAAGCGGGGAACAGTGTGTGTGAGCTCGGCTATAATTGAGGAGATCAAGCACATCATCAAGCAAAGTGAAGTTCTCAAGTATGAGCCTCGCATAGTTACCGGTGTTGAGTATACCGTACTAACACTGGATCCTCAGGGAGGACGACTCTAAATGGCCTAAGAAGAACAAGGATGGCCGTCAAGAACTGGAAATTCGACTGGGTGGTGAACACATTTCCTTTGAGGTACGATTGAGAACAGGGACAAGAACCCTTGTGGCCGACTACGGACCGCTCATCCACCCATTTGCTTCTATAGACTGCGAAGATCGGCTCTTTGGTCGATGTAGCCGAATCGGACGACCCAGAGGGACTTCGGGTCTTCTATTATCTGGTGCAGGATCTGAAGGCACTTGTCTTCTCATTGATTTCTCTCCACTTTAAGGTACGGCTCAAAAGTCTTCAAAAAATTTTTTGGGTCTTGTGTCCGACGCGAAGCAAACTAACTCCATGGCTCTCGCTTGTCAGATCAAACCCATTTGAATCCGAAAACTTTCAAAATCCTTCGAAATGTCTGCTTTTTCATGATACCGGGCGTTAAATCAAGGATGCTTTAATCAGTTCCAATGCGAAACGACTTTCAGCATGGTCGGGACAGGCATGGCATTTATAACTCCAATCTGATCTTCATAGGCTCCTGCGATGTCAGTCTTGTGCCGTTTGGTTTGGTCCTCCTTCGCTAGCTCGGGTGGACTCATTCACGCATGGCGGACGGTGCCGGGCATGATAATAAAGTGATAGCAGGAGAATTATGGCGGTGAGATGCGACGTCGTCTCAGGATCCAAGTCAGCATGCCGGCGTTGACAGAGATGTTGATGCATTATGTACGTGCTGTGTACATGGAGCCGATAGTGATGGAAAAGGCTCTCGTGACGTGAGCGATTGTCTCAGGGTAAATGGACTATTTGGGCCGAGTCGGGTGCGAAGCATTGACTTGTGCTTTCAAGTGTAGAAAACTTGTTCCAAAGACGTGTAGGATAATACAACGGAGACAGGAGACTGCAGAGTGCAGAGTGCAGAGTGCATGTGAGGTATTTACATAGTAGTCTAGTAGTACTGTAGTACTGGCCTACTCACAGGTGCCTTAGGCTCTTCACGACTATCTCCCAGACTCACAGCAGCGCTGGTGCCTGAGGCCACCAGCGCCTCCCCCGCGCTCGCATGACCCCATGATGGGCCCGCAAGTGGGCGACGGACTGACGCTCTTACGCTCTTACTCTTTCTAGATTCCCGGCTCGATTCTGGACCATCTCATCCTCTACCACTGTCAGATCCCTCCCCTGCTTCCCTCACTACTCGTATTCCCCTTGGGAGTTGTCGACCCGTACTTGCTCTTTCGTTCCGTGTTCTCGATAACTTGGATTGGGGTGTCCAAAATACCCTCATCGTTTGGTTTTGTGTTTTCGGCGTTCTGGCTCGGTCCCAATGTCTACTTTCCTCCTTCCTTGATCCGCAATGCCAACACCGAGTGCCACTCGCCCCAACTCGATCACCGAGGTGATCTCCACCCGAACGTGTCCGCCAGAATTGGATCGTCTCTCGGACGGAAGAGGCACTCCAGATTCCCTGGTCTCCCAGGGCGAGACTGTTGACGATGCTCTTACGTCAATCGGTGCCTTAGCACCCTCCGCGCTGCGTCGCTCCGACGATGGCAGCGCGCTCTCGACATCTGACCCGCTGAGAGTGGAGAGCAAGACAAGCGGCGCTCCCGACGACGACACCGCATCACGCGAGCGATCGATTTCACCATGGGATCGCAATGCTGGCGACCAATCGTCAGTAACACCCTCCAACTCCTCGCTGCTGCGGTACGAATTCTCTAATGTTCGGGTAAGTTATGCCACCTTTGTTTTACTGTGCAATGTTTAGCACAAAATGTTCTGACTGGTGTCTGCAGCTCCTGCCGAACTACTCGTCGTCTTTCCTTCGCTCCGGTAGCAAATTTGTCGGCAAACAAATGTCCGATAAACAAGAATACAATGTGGATGTGGAAATCATCCACGTCGACATGGCTGAATCATATTTATGCGGTTATCTTCGCATTCAAGGTGCGTCTCACCGGTTCGAGATCCGTGCGGGCTGCTAGGACGTCAAACTAATATCCTGTTCTTTACTGGTTAGGTTTGACTGAGGATCACCCTACCTTAACCACCTTCTTTGAAGGGGAGATCATCGGAACCAAGCACACATTCCAGACCCGAAACGAGCAATGGGGCGCCAATGAGAAGATAGACATCCACCATTGGTCCCGGTTTCCCGCCTGGAAACCGCTAGCCAAACAGGCCAAGCGAACAGATTTCACATATCGCAACTTTGCTCAGCGTGAGCACGTGTTCATGAGATGGAAAGAATACTTCCTGGTTCCCGATCATCGCGTGCGAACGATCTCTGGAGCTAGCTTTGAAGGGTTCTATTACATATGCTTTAATCAGATCGAGGGATCTGTAAGCGGCGTTTACTTCCATGCGAAGAGCGAGCGGTACGTTTATCCGTTCTCAGTCACCTGTTTGTGTTGGAAGAAATTTCTCTCTAATGATTGTGATCGAGCAGATTTCAGCAACTTGAACTGAAACACGTTGAAGATCATGGATGCGCTCCAGCAGTGGAGTTCCGCTAGAACGTCCACAGTACTGGAAGTGTACAGCAGCTCGCATCATTAGTCCGCGGCTGTCGCATGTCTGTATCCCAGATACCAGTCCGCTATTCCGCCTGTGTCACATACCTTGCAAAATTCGCGCTGGTATTACAGGTCACTAGCCACCTCCATACTCAGCGCCGCGATATTGCCAGCTTCACATCAAATGAAGCTTGCATCAATCTCTGGCTCATGCTCAACCCTACCTGATTCTTCCTCGTTGTCACTCTGTGTCTTCCCGGTCTTTCACGTCTCTATTTTCATACATGGCCCTCTTTCGCCAGATGCATTACTACCTCGCAGCGCGGCTCATCACCCTTATATCATGTCTCACGAACCTTTGGTCTTGGAGTTGGCGACAATTTCTCACAGTGTTTGGCGTGCTGGATCTATTGTTTTTCCGTCATCAATTTCTCCTCTGTGACTTTGATCTTTCACTGCCTGATGGCCCATTGAATACATTATGATACGAGTTCTATTGAATTTACTGTGTGACATTCTTATGTCTTGATAACCGTTCCGACGTGTGCAAGTCATGAGAGCGTAGCAATCGGCATTATTCCTATTAACATGCACCCCTGCAGTAGTCCCTTGTTACATCTCGCTTTGCAACCCTTTTGTAAGCCATGGCAACTTTGCCACTCTAGTACTGGAGAGGTAAGTGGCTACATGCCGTGCCGTCAAAGGAGTGTACTCAAGCCTACGAGAAGGGGACAGCTGAATAGTATCAAATATAGAACATGAATGTAAATGGAAGCAGGCAACATTATCAAAAGTTGTTTTCATACACATGGAAGATCGTACATTAAATCCAATCTGCAGACGGAACCAGCGCCCGAACCAAGAAAAAGGAGAATAAAAGAAGAATAAAACTAATGCGATGACGGCTTGAACCTAGCCCGATTGCTTCCAGAGAAGCTGAAAGCTAAAGACGAGATCGAAACTGAATCGGGAAAAAGAGAAAGGCAGAAATATTGTGCGTGGGACGATTCAGTCGAGAAAAATGAAGTCAAAAATCAAAAGAGCACAAAAGGGGGTATCACATGCGATGCCATCTGAGGGGTGGGTGAGGGGGATGCGAAGCGAGAGACAATTTCAAAGTCATCTCCAGCGAGTGTGGGCGTTGAACTGAAAAGCACTTGGAACTTGAACTGAAAAGCACTTGGAACTTTTTTAGAATCAACAAGGGAAAACGAGGGAAAGAGTTAGGCTGCGGAAGCTGAATTTATAAAGGGAGCCGGGGGTGATCAGGGGCAGAAGCTGGGATGAAAAATCCATCCCATTCTCAATGGATTGAGTTTTTGTCAACTAGCCAGCTCAAGCATAAGTTGAGCTCTGACGACTCATGGAGCTTGTTGAGCTGCTGTATCCATTCTCACTGCCGGGAGTGGGAGGCTCGACGACCACCTGCTGACGAATGGAGACAATCCACTCATGTTGAAGCAACTCGGCAGCGGTGGGTCGTCGCAGAGGATCACACTCAAAGCAGCGGCGCACAAAGTCGATGCCGATGTCACTGAGCTGATCTTGGGTCGGTAGGGCCGGCGTATTACCCTGGGCAATATTGTACATGATTGCCCATTCATTGTCCAGGGTAGACCAAGGACGTCGGCCGGTGGCCATCTCAAGAATCACACAGCCCAAAGACCAGATATCAACGGCGCCCTGTCGGTTGACAAGGTCCGAGGTATCACCGCGAATGACTTCGGGGGACATGTACATTGGGGTTCCTGTGGTTGTCTTCTGATTCTTGCCTCGCTGATTGGCAATTTGACCATCCTTTGCGAGCATGTTGTTGCTTGGTCCATCCACCGGCGCCACGGTGCGGCCTGTGCGAGCAATGATCTTGGCGGCACCAAAGTCCACATACTTGATGATACCGTTGTGATCCAGCAGGATGTTTTCGGGCTTGATATCCCGATGCACAATACCCGCCTGGTGAAGGTATGCCAGACCCTCGAGAAGTTGTAGTGCGTAGACCATGATGACCGTTTCGTCTTCAATGCGGCCATGTTCCAATAAACTTGCGAGTGAACCACCTGAGCAGTACTCCATGAAGATGTAGACCTTGTCTCGATGCACCTCAATACCATGGTAAGAGACGATGTTTGGATGGTCCAAGACTTCCAATACGCCCATTTCATCGCGAATTTGTTGCGCAATCTTGGGAATCAGTTGAGGATCTTGCAGGCGAATTTCCTTGACGGCCATCAGGTAGTTACTGTCGAGGTTGATAGCCACATAAACGGAGCCAAATGTACCACCGCCGATAAATTGTCCCTGCTGCCAACGCAGAGTCACGTTGGTGGCAGAGGATGACAGCACTGTTAAAGAGCGGTCGGCTTCGTCGGAGCCCTCAAGGACTCGACCAAGCGCCTGGCGTTTGGTGTCCAGTCGTCGATCTTCAAGCTCCGTCAAACGAGCAAGCCATTGCTCGCGCACAAGCTTCGATGCCTCCTCGTCGCTCAGGATTCGTCCGGCTCCGACTTTTCGGTGGCCGGCACGCTCCTCCATACGTTGTTTCTCGGCCTGGGCCGCAAGGGAGGATCGAGCACCCATGATGTCGAAGTGGGAGATGAGCAGAGACATGCATCCGGCCACTTTGGAGCGCAGGCGGCTGAACTCTTCTTCATACATGGAAAGCAAGTGCCGACTTGTGGTAATGGCCATCGCGAACTCGAGCGCCGACACCGCCCATTTGAAAGTCTTACGGTCTGCAGCGTCGCACTCATCACAAATGAAGGAGACCCAATCGAGTGACAGCTCCACGAGGCGGGCGCTGTTCATCGCCCGTCGATTGGCATCCACGTAGTTGCTGGAACGCTTACCGAATTCCGTGGCAAATGCATAGCAGGCTTGAATGAGATCGTTGTTTTCCCAAGTCTTCTCCCGGAGCTGATCTTTGATCACAGCGACGCTATCCATGATAGCCATGGACAGCTTGAATGAGATCTTTTTGATTTTATTCAACTCCACGTTGACACGGCCTAGATTGGCACGCTGTCCGATGGCCATGTCCAGTTGAATGCCCGTCAGTTGGGCCAACTCCATTCTGGCATTCTGCAGGCGTTCCTGCATACCCTCGACAACTAGACGAAGCTTGCCAAGGCGGACGTCGGTGGGCTGCTCCAAGAAACCAACCTTCATCTCCTTTCCAGCCCATGCGATCGGCTTCTCAGGACGAATGACCAGAACATACGGAATATGCGGACCATCCTTGGTGGACTCGTCCTCTCGAAACGAGGTAGCCAGAATGGCTTGAATGTCCGCTGGTCGGTTCCACAAGGAGTGATGGGCAATCAGGTAGACGCCCTTCTGACCGACCGAGGTTGGTGAGGTGACAAGGAAGTGATCTGAAACAAGAAGCGCCTCGAAGAACTCGTAGGCAATATCTGTGGTGAGGTTGTACTCTGTGGCATTTTCGAACAATTGACACAGGAATTTTGAAAATCGATACAATTTGCGCTGGCGAATACGTGTCGAATCCAAAATGCTCTTGTAACGCTTGTCCATGTCCGCAACACTTTCATTAGGTCGAGGAACCAGCTCGCGTTCAAAGTGAATCATGAGTCGCTGGAGCGACTTGGCAGTCAAAGCACTACGCGAGAGCGAAAAGATAATGTCAGCCTCTGGTAGGGGATAGTAAGTTGATAGGAGATGTGCACATACCTGAACTGTTCAGCAACTTCAATGTCGCCATTTTCAATCTGGCGGCCAATCACATAGGAGAACTCCCATTCTTGTTCCAGAATCTCGGCCTCTTTGAAAGTATTCTTGTTCGCATTGAGTTTCCAATTCAGGATCTTGAAATAGTACTTCATGGCATCCAGCACCACAGAATCAAAGTTTTCATCCACACATGGTGGCAAGTCCCAGCCGGGTTCGGGACGTGAGATTTCCAGGTATCGTTGTTTGATCTGTGTGGCTACGCGCATCAGGATCTGGAACTGAGAGATCATCTGATCCACCAGAATTGGTGACTGCTGGGCCGGGTCCTTCATGTTTTTGGCGTACGACAAGCGCACACGAATGATCTCTTGAATCAAACGAGAGGGAAAATTGATCAATGTCAATAACTCTTCGATATATGGCGGTAGATGTCGGGCAGAAAAGGCTTCGGCGTTCTCGATCAGTGTGCCCTTGGCTTTTTGGATCACTCTGCCAAGGCTGTTCAGCATGCTGTGATCACCTTGTAGCGTCTTCAGACCATCCTCCTTCATAATGCGATCTAGGAACGATGAATCTTCCGATAGTTCGCTATGCTCATAGATTGTTCTCGGCTGACTGAAATCCAAAGCATCGTTGCCGACCCAGCTTTGCAGGACGGCCAATTCGGTGTTGATCAAGGCGGTGATGTTGTGCCAGGCGAAGATGGCCGCGCGACTGGAGTAGAACCCCTCCGAGGCCGTGCGGGGGTTTGCAATCTCCATTTCCTTAAGGGTTGAATAGAGCACTTCACATTTCTCGACTTTGGCGACTATATCCTCCACCTGCTTGCGGGGAGGCTTGCCAATTTCCGTCTCACCTTTGATCTGGAAGTTGATGATTTCTTCAATCAGAGGGCCGAGCTGGGCACGGGAATCGTCGATGAGTTTTCGCTGCAGGGCGATGCTTCGGCCACATGTCCTCGCACGCACACCGATCCAAAGGGCGTTTCCCAAGGCAGCCGATCGTTTGGATTCTGTTGAGTCGATCAACCGCTGTTTCTCCTGTCGGACGACGTCACCCTTGAGCACAGAGGCCAACATGGAATGCCATTCCAGGCGTTCCTGATTCTTGGGGTTCTTCAGCTCTTCGATGGTGGGCAGGTTGTCGTCCGGGAGGAACAGTTGGGTGTCCGGGTCGTAGGATTCATCGTCGAAGGGCACCTCGGAGGAGGGTGACGGATCCTCGAGATCTGCATCCCCGGACATTGTGTTTGCGGGCTGCATGTCATCGAAGTGGTGGTACCAAGCCTGAGGATTGGCCCGAATGCGTTGCACGTAAGCCTTCTCCTGGGCACGATACTGTGCATTGGGATCCCGCCGGGCTCCTCGTTTGGTGGAGGAGGAGCGTTGTCGATCGCCTTGCTGAAGACTGATATACTGTGGTGGACGGCGCTGGGGAGCATATGTGTTGGAAGGTGTTCGTGCGGGCGCCGACGGTCGTTGAGGCCGCAATTCTCCCGGCATGCCGAGGACATCAGCTTTCTCCAGGACGGCTGAGGCTGGACCAACGCTGGTTCCCCGGGGACGCGTTGTTGGAGTGCTGCACCACGATCCGCCCAAGCTGGTAGTCAACGACGGGGGTGATGATGTGATGGTGGTGGCCGGAGTCTGGACCTGAGACCCGTCGATGAAGGCCTCGCCAAAGGTTGAGTTTCCCCTCAGTGGGTATTGAGGAGGGAACTCGTCCGAGGAGCCCGAGCCATCTGAATCATGGCTCACGATATCAGGGATCTCCATGATGGACCGTGTGATGTGGGAAAAGCTCTGACGATGGAGGGTGGACGGAGCTTGCCAGACGCGATCTCCATATGATCCGAATGATAGGGGCCTTGTGGCGGTGCGGGATCGAGTGGCGTTGGAGAGGGGGGGAATGGACCCAATAATGGCAGGACTGTCCGCCCGTCCGCGTTCACGAGGACAGGCTCCAACTTGAAATCCTTGCTTTTGACGGTTGGTGCAGAAGTAGTGATCCCAATCCTGCTTGTGCTGTGCTGTGCTGTGCAGTGGCTGTGGCTGTTGTCCACTTGGTCTTGGAGGTGACAGCGATCGGCCTTTTGTCCGACCGTATTTGGTGGCCCCGCGTGTAACGGCTAGGAAGATCCATTTTAACCCTACTTTATTCTGCACAGATTTGATCTTGATCTATTTAATTTGCAGGATCGATCTAGAGACTACAGGTGTACAGGTGATAGAGAGATCCAAGGGACATCAAGCAATAGCACAATTATGAGCCTGGAGATTCATCTTTCTTGACTATCTACTACAATTCCTCCAGAGTGTTGGCAGGGTTTTCTTCCTTGTTCCAACTTGCCAGGAAAGACGGAAGCTGCCTGCACCCGACAGACTGGGAAGGGATCTCGTTCCACCAATGAGAACCTGTCCAGTTCCGTCTTCCATTTGATTGCGCTTCACGTGTGTTGAACAATCAAAATCATGTGAACTGTCGATTATGGAAGCATGTTTAGCATGTCGGGTGCCTCGCTGCACATTCTACAGTACTGGATATCAGTCGATAACAATTGCATAGTTCTTTCCTTAGCTGCTCGCTACCTGACTGATCCATGTTCACAATCCGTCATGACCCACGTGATTGATTGGAATACAGGGGAAAACACCCCTAGTTTTGTTTCCAGCAAATTCGAGGCTAAGGTTAAAAGACTCGATAATTGATGTTTCAGAGAATTTGGCCAAAAGACTAGTCTCTTACCTTGATCATGCTCGTCATGGGAATCGACTACTTACAATGACATCCCAGGTTGATCCATGATGGCTGTCCTCTAATTCCAATGCATTGCAGAGCAAACCGATTTGGGTACCCCGAAGTCCTTTTTATGTACCCAATTTGGTAAGTCACCAGTCGACTGCTGAGACGCAACTGCCCGGAAAAGAGTTTACCCACCAAGGTCAGCTTGCCAGACTTACCTGCCACCATCTATGCTACGCCTGACCAGGTGATTGCAGACGAATGGACTCAGGGACTGTAACAGGTACTTACTACAGGGTACGGTGTGCACTGTACAGTCGTACTACACTCAGGAGTCATATAGTCTGTACAGTCAGTAGTGTACTTGAACGGCCATTTGGAAAGGGAGAGGCGGAGCCCTCCCACTAAGGAATAGTAAAACCACGTCCACGGTGATACTGTTGATGATGATTCTTGGCAAGAGCCGTACTTATCATCATCTGGGATGTACAGATTACTCAATATATCTAGTGCGACATTACTTCACTCGCCATTCGGTGTACACCAGCGAATGCAGATGGGTATCAACATAGTTGGAGACGCCAGGAAGAGGTTCGATTGACCGCACGTCAGGGCCCGGTAATAGTCAAGCTAGGATCCACACTTAAGGTCGCGGCCACCTGAGCAACTGCCGGACAGATTGTGCAGTGCTGGAACTTCTTATCTCGGTTATGCCTAGATATTTATGATATGATAAAGACCGTCAAATTCTGTGTTATTGAAGCAAGACCGGTTGTGAAGCTATTATCTCCCTAGGCTTCCTTCACACAGGATGCTGATCCTGTACGGCTGGCTTCTACCGAGCTAGTAATTATATGTTAACAATGGGTTCCACCTGTACCCGAGTCCAATATTTGATGCTGGAGGTCCAGCGCAACGCCCTATGAAAATTCTTCTTAATTCAGCCCTGTACTATACATGATTCTCATGCACCACCTAGAGCCTAGGTCTCATTGATCGCCTCTCTTCACTATTGCACAGATCGAAGGATCGGCTAGTAGGTGGGGCGGTGGAACCCGTGAAGCCTTATGGATGGATCCTTGGCAGGATGATCAAATCCTCATTGAAGTGGCATCACGGAGTCCCGGACATAACACGGGCAATGCATAACGACGTGTAGTACTTACTCTGCGTGTGATATCGTAGAACTCACCATATATAGAGGGAGTATCACAGATCGGGCAGGAAACATTGAAAAACTACCTCTCAGCCTTCGCTTACTCGAGGTAGATCAAATTGTCAAAGAGAGAAGCGGTGACAGCGGATCTCAAAAATTTGGTTATAAGAAAAGTATTTGATGCGGATGTTGGAATTAACTTAGTCGGATAATGAGTTGTGTGGCAGGCTGGGCTTTACAATGTGGACTACACTTGGTGTTTGCATGGCATGTGACTCTGCCACTCACCGCAGTCCATAGCCTAGATACTAGGGGCTCTTCTCCATCGCAATCTCACCCTCATCCCTCTCTCATATTATATGACTGAACCTGTCACTTGAGCCGGGTACCATCGCTTATGGAGGTAATGCATGAAATACTGATTGCAATGTTGAAGCAAGAGGTGATGATCTTGTACCTGAACAACGAGGGATACCTAACCTAACTTAGTCAGAATCCATTGTACAATGTATGCATGTACACATCTTGCTGAAGCATCTGATCTCATTGAGAAACCGTTCATAGTAACACTACAGGGGTGACTAGGTCCTGAGAGCCCACATTATTACCAATTCCATCAGAAAGAGGGCCGAGATGAAAATTCAAGTTGACGTGAGCGTTCGAGCTAAGCCACATGCATTCACGATTGATGATGGATGATATCTTGGAAGCAGACTACTGCCGATAGATGATAGCCTGATGCCCGCCCTGCAGCGATTGATTCCTACGTCAAACACTTCAGACCGTCAAAGCGTAGACTGATTTGCAGAGAGGATAAAGATGATCCGCTTGACATCGAAGATGGACATGGACAAGAGGTCAGATTGGGTGTCAGGATGGTGAAGAAGTGGAACGTAGCTTCATGATCATCGGATAGAATCATGGCACTACCTCCTCTCTCAACTTCCATGGGAGGGGCCGAGGGCAACTATCTTTCCAAGCGAGCCGAAGTGACCAGGATGAGTGCGAGGGCACGTGGGATTTACATTGTTGCTCAGGTCGAGTCGGAACGGTGGTACTGCATGAGACCACTACCACTGCCACAATGCCACCAAGCTGGGGTAAATTCACCACTTTCTCGTGACATGTGGAGATGCCGTCAGAGGCTTCCTTTGGACTGTGAAGACCGAGACTGGAACGTGCGATTCGCAATGGAGACGAAGTCAATGTTGATGTTATCAGGACCCATCCGAGTCAGTCGGAACGTTTGCTCCGTCTGGCGAACGGGGCGGTTCGGGTGCTCCAAAAGGCTATTCTGGCGAAGCTGATAAGCAGCGCTGGCCTTGGATAGGAACACTCGGTGATTGGTCCAGGTCAACGTCTGATAAGAGCCCGACGAGCTTCCAGACGCACGGACCGAACCAGGTCCATCCCGGAACACATGCTATCTCGACTTGGATGAAGTTGTTTCTTTATTCTGGGGTGATGATGATGGTCCCATAAGGTTTCACCAGACCCGTGTGGATTCTCGTGATTCAAGAAGTATCTTTCAGTATGCCATTCATCGGTTGTGAGAAGATCTGATTTGACTCGATCTGGTTCCGTAGGACGCAAAGCCGGCTCAATGATAAGGCTTTGGTAAATACTATCAAACGCTGCCCGACCGCTTTCTGCAGAACCACTTGATACCCGCACGACGGTATGTGTTGTTCCTGGGCATCCGTCACCCGTGAAGCCAAACCGGCGTCGGAATGGGTGTACATATGCTGTATACTGTAGAAGATTGTCTTATCACACGCCCTGTGAGTCTCCGAAATCGTCAAGAATTGGTCCTGCTCATCCTGTGAGGCGCTATCGCCTGGTGTGATAGTCCCACTCGACGGGGGTACTTACTCGGCCGTACCTTTTTTTTAGGGTTTCGAGGATGCCGATGGAGATAAGCTTTGTATGCCGCTGATTGGCCCCGACCAGGATAGGCCTATCTACAGCCAGTTGGGGAAGACTGCGGCTCGAATCCTCGAGAGCTCTACTTGACGTGGACAACTCGCAGGAGATTAACGGAATGCCCGATCTTCGATCTTCGTGTGATGTATCAAATGAGTCCGAAACCAAAGGGCAATCGCGACTCAAGCGGTTCTCGAACTATGATTATGGATCGCATTCGCCTCCATCGACCCAATCGGGCTATCAACCGTCTCGGGACACCCAGGCCGGCTTATCACAGCATCTACATGCACCGCTTGCTTGACTAGTTCGGACGACACAGTAGAGGGTAGTGATTTGGTAGTGAGTCCTACTGAGGAGGAGGGTACACTACGATGAGACGAGTTCACGATCCTCATTGCTGGTCAGGCATTACTGCCGGTGCCAGAGGAGTGATGATCCTCAGATCTCCCACGAGGGCCCCCATCCCTGCAATGGGGAGCATATCATGAATCCACTGTTCGGTCACCCCCCCAAGCAGTCGTCTCAAGATCACCATGGTTCGAAACAACCTAAGAGCCGTACTCTCATACTCTGTGCCCACAGGATCTGTCAGAAGAAAGCCCCATAGCTGAGGCTTGACCCCGTATTCCGAGCCCCGAACGGTGTCTCCCAGCCCTCTGGCCCCCCGCTGGGCCCCGTTTACGCATTCCGTAACCTTCCGTGGAGACGCCGTCGACTCGTGGGCCACAGTCCTCTGGAGCTTGGGCATGGCTGACTTTAGGGCGTTCTTGGCTCCGGTTATCAGCAACAACTGAAACCAAATCCAGTGAATCATACCAACAATCAAGATGACCACACGTTCTCCTCCCCTATCAGAAGATCGCTATCTGGACCGATGCGTGCAGGTACTCGCAACTCTCCAGACGGCGGAGTCGTGCCTTTGTCCTGGCATGGACCCGGCTATAGTTCAGTAGTGTCTGTCGCTATTTAACAATGGGCCCCATGGCCTGCTGCAGGTACTAGATAGATCAGCATTCCCCTAACTTCTGCGTCCTAGTCTCATCCTTCGAGAGCTCTGGGGGTCAGTTGGTCTGAAAAGAGATTCTCGGAATCCTCCCTTTCGCCATTTCGTCTTCACTCGGCATTTCTTCAGTGCTGCCACACGCCATCCTTAAACACAGACTTTTCACTCCAGCGCAGTTGATTCCAAGGGAGTCATCTTGGTTGCGTGGACGATCACTCGTCGCTCTGCTCATTGCGCCTCTTCATTCGGCTCCTCTCCCTGAATCTTTCCAAGGTCCTCACAGCTGCCGTCAAAAGATGTCAGCCTATCCAGTAGCCTACAATGGCACCATTAGCACGGGTGGGGATTCCTTGACTGAAGATTTGAACATCTACTATAATGTAAGGTCATCGATTTGCCTGACAACGAGGTCGAGAGTCAGGATGGCTGATAACATTCTTCTGCAGGCGGGTGATATCGCATGGGTGGTGACTTCGTCGGCCCTGGTGTTGCTGATGATTCCCGGTGTTGGGTGAGTAATGCTGTCAGGGTTGTTCTGTTTCTTGCAATACCATCATGGGATTAACAGATCGCTCTCTCCATCAATAGCTTCTTCTACTCGGGTCTCGCTCGCCGGAAATCCGCCCTGTCGCTGATCTGGCTTTCGATCATGTCGGTGGGCGTGGTGACCTTCCAGTGGTTCTTCTGGGGATACTCCTTGGCCTTTTCCCATACAGCTGGAAGTTTCATCGGAGATCTGGCCAACTTTGGTATGAAGGATGTTCTGGCTGCGCCGTCGGTGGGTGGTACTAAAGTGCCGGATCTCCTCTTTGCCATCTTCCAGGGCATGTTCGCTGCCATTACGTGAGTGATGACGTCCGCACACTCTTGACAGTCCGCTGCCATGAATTTGGAAAGCTGATGTGATTCATGTATTAGTGTTGCTCTCGCTGTGGGCGCCGTCGCAGAGCGTGGCCGTATGCTGCCCTGCATCATCTTCATGTTCGTTTGGTCTACCGTCATCTACGACCCCATCGCCTGCTGGACATGGAATTCTTCTGGCTGGGTCTTTAAGTTGGGCGGTCTCGACTTTGCCGGCGGCACTCCCGTGCATATCTCTTCGGGCTCCGCTGCATTGGCTTACTCCTTGATGCTGGGGAAGCGCCGGGGCCACGGCACCCATGAGCTCAACTATCGTCCTCACAATGTGACTCACGTCGTCATCGGCACTGTCTTCCTCTGGGTCGGCTGGTTTGGCTTCAACGCTGGCTCGGCCTTGTCCGCAAACCTGCGGGCTGTCATGGCGGCCGTCGTGACCAATCTTGCCGCCTCGGTGGGCGGTGTCACTTGGTGTCTCCTCGATTACCGTCTGGAGCGCAAGTGGTCCACTGTCGGCTTCTGCTCTGGTGTTATTGCTGGTCTGGTCGCCATCACCCCGGGATCTGGCTTTGTCACTCCCTGGGCTGCGTTCGTGTTCGGAGTCGTTGGGGCGGTTGCTTGCAACTATGCCACCAAGTTGAAGTTCTTGCTTCGCGTTGATGACGCCTTGGATATCTTTGCCGTTCACGGTATCGGCGGCCTTGTCGGCAACCTTTTGACCGGAATCTTCGCCGCGTAAGTACCAACCAAGTGGAAAACTTCTGGGAATGATCAGTGCTGATCCATAGCCACAGCGATTATGTTGCGCATCTGGATGGTTCTACCTCCATTCCCGGTGGATGGATCAACCACAACTGGATCCAACTGGGTTACCAGCTTGCGGATTCAGTCACTGGATTTGCCTACTCCTTTGTCGGTACCTGCATCATTCTCTTCATCATGAACCTCATTCCTGGCTTGAGTCTGCGTGCGCGCGAGGAGGACGAGATCATGGGTATTGATGACGCCGAGATTGGCGAGTTTGCCGTAAGTCCAGCACCGCACCTGTCAAGGATGCAAACGAGAGAGAACCACAACTAATCATGTATCTTTCCTCACACAGTATGACTATGTCGAGGTGACCCGTGATATCATTAACGGAGTCGAGAGCAGCGATGCTGGTTCCAAGCGTACCATGACTCCTACTGAAGAGCATGGCGCGACCATTGACACCAAGGCTTGAGAAGCCTCGTCTACCAGACCCCTCTTTCATTGCTTAATATCCACTTTTTTTCTTCACTTCTCCGTACGTCGACTCGTGAAGAGCTTGGCGATATTGCCCACCAGCCTCGGATGTTCTGCCAATCCTTCGTGTAGAGTGTTCTTCACCTCTCATTGTTTGTATCCTTTTCTTCTTAACTACTTTTTGATACCCTACCAATTCTATAATTACAATTTGATCACATAGCAGAAGATATCCCTCGCGTGAGAATAGATCCAGTACTCACAGTGGTATGTTGACCGGGAAATGACCGGCCTAAAAGATTTATCGCTTTCACTCTCTGTAGTCTGTACTTGACGAGGCGACAGTGGTTAGTGGCTAAGTTACCCACGACCTTCCAAAGACGTGACGTAGATAAGATCGGCCCGCGGCCGAGCTCAGAACAACGGTCCTTCCAAAAGCTTCCCGCCCCCGCGACCGACACATGCGCTTTTCACTCGTTTATTCCGACAATCGTATCAATACAATTTACTCCCCAATAGCCGCATTCTAAATACACGGCGATTTACTCATCCCCATCCCCCGTCGACTCAGTCACAGTCACAGCAATTGCTCCATCTCCATCGTTTGACATGGCCTCGCCAAGTCTGGACAAGGACGCCGCGGACGCGCCCGCATTCCCGCAGGACCCGGCGGATTTTGACAGCGATCCTCGCATTTCTTTTTCGAAGCTCGACGACAAATTCATTCTGGAGACAGAAGACGGGCAAGAATATGAATACGACACCGGTATAAAGCGTTGGGTGCAGAAGGCGAGTCTCTTTGCTTCGCGAGGGAGGTTCATGCGCGCGGCACTCTTGCCTCTGCGCCTGTGACGTCGGGATGCTAGTTGCTCTTTGACAATGATTTACTGACGGTGTGGCAACGTCTAGGTCGATGAGGAACTGCTACGTAAGCAGCAGGAGGCCTACAAGGTGGAAGGCGTCGACGACGAGGAGAATGTTCATCCGCGCGATAAAAAACGAAAGCTACCGGACGGGCAGAACAGAGAAGGCAAGGTGAAAAAGCCGCGAGTCAACCATGCTGTCTGGATCACCGGTCTTCCTCTTGATGCGGAGCGTGATGAGATCGAGAAGAGTTTCTCTCGCTGGGGAGTGATCGCACGAGAGATCGACAGCGGCGCCCCGCGAGTCAAGATGTACTACGATGACGAAGGCAAATTCAAGGGCGAGGCTCTGGTGGTCTATTTTCGGCCGGAATCCGTCGCGTTGGCTATTCAAATGGCCGATGAGACGTCGCTACGAGGGCCGACGACTCTTTCTGGAGGTGCAGACTCCATGCGAGTCCAGGCGGCTGAATTGTCTTTTAAGAGTCAGACGGACAAGCCGGATAAGCCGAGTGGTCGCGATAGACGGAAGATTCAGGAGCGAACAAATCAATTGAACAGGTCTGTTGGCACTTTTAAACCTAGATGTGGGCTTTTTTTTTTGATCAGCGCTGACACAGGCGAGTTTAGCTTACTGACCGATTGGGATGACGACGATCCCGGTCTTCAAGTCCGTGCCGCCACCAACCAGGACAGAACGGTGGTGTTGAAACACTTGTTCACTTTAGAAGAGCTCAAGGTCAGTCAAGTTCTGCAACGATTGATCGAGAGGGAATTAAAAGTATCAACCATTCTAACAAACTGGTTGAAGAACGATGTCGAGGCGATTCTAGATATCAAAGAGGATGTACGGACAGAATGCACCAAGATCGGAGAAGTCACAAATGTTGTGCTCTATGACCAGGAGCCCGAAGGAGTGGTCACTGTGAAGTTTGCACAAGCCGAGGATGCCCAGGAATGTGTAACGGTGCGTTTCCTTTCCCTTTCGCCTCCCATTGCTCGACTACTGACGATGGTTCTTTTTTTCTTTGCTTTCAGCGACTGAACGGCCGGTTTTTTGGCGGTGACCGGATTGAGGCCTACGTCAACACTACGGGAGAAAAATTCAAGAAGATGAACGAACGACGGGCTGCGCTTGAGGACATGGCCGAGCGAGGAATTGACGCCGAGGACGACGAAGAAGATGAGCGACTTAAAGGATTTGGAGATTGGCTTGAAAACGACAAATAAAAGTATACCCACGGATAGTGATTCAGCGTCCATGGTTTGAATGAAGTGAGATACCAGCATTGAAATAGATGCAAGTTCGAAGAGGGTGTTGCAGCGCGTATCCAAGGGTCTACCTGTTTTTGCCATATAGGCCTCCTAAGCGTGAACGACACCCCCCGGCTTTTGACTCTTTTCTCGATGTCTTCACCCCCGCCAGCTTTCATCTGCCCCGTGGGCTTGATCTACTCACCAGCCTTTGCATGTTCTTCCTGAGCTCTCACCCTCGACCCAGCGACAAGAGGCTTTGACCATCTATGCCGCTCATGACGGATATGCGCCTCCTGGGTGGTCTTTATTTGGCCAGATGGCCAATCAGCAGTTGACCTTCCCCCTTTCCGACCTTCAACTTGGATACCGGTCCACGCTACACTGCTGCACTGCTGGTCTGTATGGGCGCCCCATGGTATTCTCGCGATGTGCTGGGGGCCTTTCTAAACTCCAGTTCCCTTGACAGGCGTACCTTGCGTCGTAGGTGCCGTTGTCAGGTAGGTATCAGGTAGGATTACTACTAGACAGTAGACCAGCAGATGGTCCACTACCCGACTTGCTTTGGAACCCCATTCTCTTCATCGAACGCTCATCCCGTCCACCTCCATTCGCTGACAGCAATCTACATACATGCCGAGCTACTGAATACATAAGCCCGAAGCATTGGATTGATGGCAAAGCGAAAGCGACAAGAGTCTTCTACTACTAATACTTTGCGTACCTGCTCGTCCCATCCGAAACGTCGCTGATCTGAAGCGTCCTCTCCATCTCTATCGGAAGGGGGCCGTAATGAGCTCGCTCATGATATGCCCTTGAAGGCGATGAGTGACGATCAAATGCTCTGTGGGGGTTTCGCTGATTTTCGGACTGCTGTCCTGGAGGTTGCTCAACTAATCGGCCCGGATCTCCAGAGTTGCTCGGACACTCCGGTTCGGGGACGTCGCGAGCGGGATAGCAATGACTGCCTTGTCTCACGGGAATTAGCCCTAAAATATCATCCCGAACTTGCCAAGGTAGAGCACACAAATCAGAACGGATGTCCGGAATATCTACACGTTCGGCATACCTTCCCATTGTCCTTGGAAGACTCTCAGAACAATGTACTCAGCCACCGACTATTCTGATGCATAAGTCTTCCAGTTTCACTACATCTCGCAGGAGAACATGGATGGTTCCGGGATCTGGTACAGGTCTTCAATTGACCTTGAATTTCCCGGAACTACCTAGAGCGATCGCAACCTTGAAGATTGATACCCTTGGAAACCGTCTGGCAATATCACCAGATCATCGGGGAGTTTTTCGTTGTTCCAATCTTGCGCTTCGACCGACGGTAAGATCCTGGATCTATTCACGGTCATCAATATTTGCGACTCAATATGATATATAGGAACTCGCAAATTGCTACGAAAAGGGAACGAAAGGCATGCACAGAGGTCAGCCTCGGGTTGAGATGCTTCTTTCATTTTGCGTGCTCGGATAGCGCGACTGTCACTCTCTATTATCTCCAATAGGCGACTGGGCACGAGGAGTTGCTCTAGGTAGCATTCTCTGGCCTTGTCCACCTCGTTCAATATGCTCGTAGCTCTCCTTGCAATGACACAGTCGTATCTGCTTCAAGACAGTACCGTACTATCGCCTACCAAGCTGCAGGATAAGGCTACCAACTACCAACTACCAACTACCAACGATAGGCGCACCGCTAGATTACCACCAAATAGGCCTTTTCATTCCCAGACACCAAAGAACCTCTTCTTCGTTTCCGGTCTACCCTAGCCTCATGAGCCTCAGCCAAAGCATGAACTTACGTTGATCTCGAGAGCTTGCTGCATCGCCATTACCGGTGAGACCTAGCAGGCTCGAAGATCAGTTTTCTACTCCTGCCGCCTAGACACATGACATGTGATCTGATGTACTCACTGAACCACTTTTCTGAATATCTTCAAGCGGCTCGGCTGCCCAATTACGTATTCCATGTGTAACAACCTCTTGGTAGTTAGCGAGATGGCTGATCTCACGTAGTCCGAGATGATCATCTCCATGTTGCTTGTTGACAATTAACTAAATCAGTAAACACGGACCCGTAAACAAACAGAGCAAACAGGCCCAAACTGTGGTTCGTGGCAGCCGCGCGCGCGGCCGGGGATCACCTGATTCCCAGCTGCTGAACGACCCAATTGTCATCGGGGGCGCTATTCCCAATTAGGAGGTCTCCCCTCCCCTGAACGGTGCTTTTGGCCTGAGGTGGTTTGTTGTTGATCTCCACGCCCACACACCGACCTTTTCCTCTCCTCCCCTTCTCCTCCTCCTGGGCTTTTGGTTATCCACCCTTCTCGATCTCTCCTCCAACACACTTTTCCTCCTCGACCTTTACCAATTCACATCCACAATGCGTGAGATTGTACGTCTTACCACCCCAACGTGACGCGTGTTGTGGATTTTGGGGGGATTGCTACCCCCTAAAAGACCACCGGTGTTCCAGAAGACCCCCACCCGTTCAGCTTGTGCTAATCTTCTCTTTTTTGTCGACTTTTGTATAGGTTCACCTCCAGACCGGTCAGTGCGTAAGTAAAATCCAAAAGAGGAACACGTGGGAAATGGGTCAGATACTGGAATGTGATGGTTCTGACTGAACGGAATTCCGGGGGTGTAGGGTAACCAAATTGGTGCCGCTTTCTGGTACGTGCCACGCTTGCCTGGGATATCCCGAATTCGATACAACGACCGTCAATTGGATTTGCCTTGCGGTTATCTCATGGAAATTCTGCTGACCTTCTCCACAGGCAAACCATTGCTGGTGAGCACGGCCTTGACGGCGATGGCCAGTAAGTCAACTATCTTGCCGTTCAAACGACCCCCTCAAACAACGCGGAACGGCGGTCTGATATTTTTCGATCCAGCTACAACGGTACCTCCGACCTCCAGTTGGAGCGCTTGAACGTCTACTTCACCCACGTAAGCCGCAATCCTCACCCCGCATCTTCAATCGTCACTTTGAATTCTAATCAATGAACGTTCGATCACTCAGGCCAGCGGTGACAAGTATGTTCCCCGTGCCGTTCTCGTCGATCTGGAGCCCGGTACCATGGACGCTGTCCGTGCCGGTCCCTTTGGAAAGCTCTTCCGCCCCGACAACTTCGTCTTCGGCCAGTCTGGTGCCGGTAACAACTGGGCCAAGGGTCACTACACCGAGGGTGCTGAGCTCGTTGACCAGGTCATCGATGTTGTCCGCCGCGAGGCTGAGGCTTGCGACTGCCTCCAAGGTTTCCAGATCACCCACTCCCTGGGTGGTGGTACCGGTGCCGGTATGGGTACACTCCTGATCTCCAAGATCCGTGAGGAGTTCCCCGACCGCATGATGGCCACCTTCTCCGTCGTTCCCTCCCCCAAGGTTTCTGACACCGTTGTTGAGCCCTACAACGCCACTCTCTCCGTTCACCAGCTTGTTGAGCACTCCGACGAGACTTTCTGTATCGACAACGAGGTATGAGAAGGCCCCTGGGAATCCGCCAATGGGCAGATGCGTGAGGGAGCTGACTTTACTGACCATGGGCATTTCCTCCCGATTAGGCTCTCTACGACATTTGCATGCGCACCTTGAAGTTGAGCTCCCCCTCCTACGGTGACCTGAACCACCTGGTCTCCGCCGTCATGTCTGGTGTCACCACCTCCCTCCGTTTCCCCGGTCAACTCAACTCCGATCTCCGCAAGTTGGCCGTCAACATGGTTCCCTTCCCTCGTCTGCACTTCTTCATGGTCGGCTTCGCTCCCCTGACCAGCCGCGGTGCCTACCAGTACCGCCAGGTCAGCGTTCCCGAGCTGACCCAGCAGATGTTCGACCCCAAGAACATGATGGCCGCCTCTGACTTCCGTAACGGTCGTTACCTTACTTGCTCTGCCCTGTTCCGCGGTCAGGTCTCCATGAAGGAGGTTGAGGATCAGATGCGCAACATCCAGAACAAGAACGCCAGCTACTTCGTCGAGTGGATCCCCAACAACGTCCAGACCGCTCTCTGCTCTGTTCCTCCCCGCGGCCTTCGCATGTCTTCGACCTTTGTCGGTAACTCCACTTCCATCCAGGAACTCTTCAAGCGTATTGGCGATCAGTTCTCTGCCATGTTCCGTCGCAAGGCTTTCTTGCATTGGTACACTGGTGAGGGTATGGACGAGATGGAGTTCACTGAGGCTGAGAGCAACATGAACGACCTTGTCTCTGAGTACCAGCAGTACCAGGAGGCCTCTATCTCCGAGGGCGAGGAGGAGTAGTAAGTCTTTTTTTCCCCTCTTCCTTCTTACCTGACATTTTAGCCGGCAGATATGCCTTGATTGATGCGATTTGATGCTAACTACGATACTTCTTGTTCAGTGCCGCCGAGGAGGGTCACGAGGAGGAGATGTAAACTTGTCCCACCACCGAATGGTTGGAGACTTGCGTGCAGTAATACCCTTGGATAAACCTACATTCTCTATGTGTACGGGATTAGGAAAGACCTCCCTGTCTGGGTCTGACTTTTACAGTCCCCTCCCAAGTATCTTGTTTGAGCGCCTAATGTAACCCACTTTTTATTCTGTCACTATTTTTTGTTTTCACCCTTATGCCTGTCGGTTGGCGGTGGTTGAGCCCATTGTCGGGTTCCAATTTCACATACTGAAAAGCAATTGATGAAATGACTTTTGTTATTTGACATGCTTCGCTGTAGGTTGAGGTAAGCCTGGAAGGGGTTTATGCCCCGGTGTCCTGAAGCACTGGAAGCTCAGAACAGAAAGTAGATTCGTCACTTCCAGACCGGATCTCAGTAAGAGAGATGAAAACTACCTTTTAGATTCCCTCCCCCCCCCCCCCCTGGTATATTTTATTCGATGCAGTCAAATGAAGTCCACCATGCATTCTCACCGGTTTGTGTGCAAGCATGTCCTGTGAAATCCACGGCTCAATGAAAAGGACATTTCCCAGTTCGATATCCCTTGTACTCCTCCATCGTCTTCTGCAGCGTCTTATGCCCTTTCCCCTCAAAATACGTGGGTCCTACATCTTCAATCTGATAGCCCTCAGGATAGTACTTGTCTCCCTCATCTCCAGGGACCGGGAGCCCCAGCACACGAGTGAACAGGGCCGTTGGGCCCCATCGATTCCAAAATGTGGGTTTGACGTAGTATGGGGCTGCGTCCCACTGCGTGACGAAGACCCGGCCGTTTTCATCGAGGTTCTCGGTGAAAGGGGCTTTGCGCAACGCGTATGGGCGAGGCAAACACAAGTGTCGGAGCACCCATTTGCGGAGGAAGAGGATGCTGGATATCGCGGTAGACACGAAGGGTGAAGGTGGATCGTATCTGAGAGCAAACATGTTAGCGGATGTTCTTTCTGTCTGGTTGCCTTGTGTTTTTGTCTTGGCAGGGGAATCGGTGAATGGGTCTGGTCTACGTACAGCATGGCCTTGCGCAATCGGTCATCCATCATGTACGAGACAGCTTGTAGCCCGATGGAGTGCAAGGGTTTGGGCAAGATGTACAGCAGAATGGCCGTTGTCTGATCCGCCGTTTCCCGATTCTTCACATCGGGCACCATCTTCTCGGCCTCGTACGCCTCACTCCACACCTCCAATTCTTCCAGCCACTGAATGCCGTCCTTGAATCCCGTAGCACCAGACGGTAACTTTGCATAGCTGACATCCAGCGCATCGCCGGCACTTTTCCAAAAGGTACCGATTGCGCAGCGTTCCAAGTCGCTCAGTTGCCGCCATTCAAATCGGTCGATGAACCGAATGGGCTGGAGCGCAAACAGGGCCAGGGTGTACAGCATGTCGTCGTCGAGAATCTTGCCCGAGGCCCTATAGCCCGAGTGCAAGAAGCGGGTGCGGGCAAGGGAGGCGTAGGCTCGGTGCGATGTTGGTCTGTTGCCTACCATTTCTGCCACGAGGGTGCTGGTGTCGGTGTAGCGCTTGAGAGAGGTTTCCGGGTTGGAGAATTGGCTGGTTTGGACGAGTAGGTGGGAGATTGTTGGAATCCCGTATGTCTGTATAGAGCCGTCGGAGAGAGAGATGGAGTAGGTTAGTCGATGGGGTTTCCCCTTCCCTCTTTGTTTTCCTCTCTCGACAGGGAAGTACGTACCCTGAACAAGGCAAATTGCAGTGCTTTGATGAAGATCATTGGAAATTCGAGCTGAGCGATCGCTTTTTGGATCTCGAATGCATCGTCGTCTGTCATTCGAGCCATGTCTTCTCGAGTGCGATATGGGAATTTGCTGTGTAACGCCTTCAATCGTCGGTACCGCAAGCTCCGAGTCAAGATCGGATAGCCCATCGCCAAAGCGACTGCGTAGGGGAGCCAGTGTCGCGGGCCAGCATCAAGCACAGCCTGCACGGCCTGACTCTGCCAGACCGAAGTCACGATAGATGTAGCCTTGTCCATCGTGGCGTCTAAAGTGACAGAAGTGATCGCACGATAGGGACTACCTAGCTGGAACCACAACTTTTGGTTTTTTTTTTTTTTTTTGCGAAGCTGATCAGGATAAGAGAGTCTAAAGTCGCGGTGCTGTCGTTCTGCAAATTTGAAGCTGAGGGCGTGGAGAGCACAATGCCCAAATCATCAATTCACAGGGAAAATTCCGCTGAGGGAAGCAATGTAAAGAGCTCTTTACATCAGTAGCTGAAGGAGGATCCACTCGGTGTCTGTGCGTCAATTCTGGGGCCAGTGATGATTTGCTTTTTAGGTTTGTTTTGGGTTTGTTTGTTTTTTTGGGGGGTCGGCAACTACAGCATTCGGGCGCATGTGAAAGGGAAAACGGAAGGAATTTATCACGAGAGAAGCCGCCAATGATGACTGATATCGGGGGTGGTCTATTGATAGATATTAGAAGAGTTGCAAGACAGGGATCAGCCACCACACTCCGTTGTATATGGATGATCGCTTGATGTCGTGGGTAACACGAGATAGGTAGGTAGTTGAAGTGCGAGACAGCGAGACTGAGCGGCCTTTCAAGTTTACATCAAGTGTCTCTCTCAACCGTAGCTCCATGCTTGGCACGGCCGCTAGTTCTCCAGTCCACGAGTACACTCACTTATTACGTGGAGCGCAGAATAATCAATGTACCTTGACAATGCAATAGTGCCAAGTACCAGATACTTGGGGATGGGACAATGGCATTGTACATACGAGCTCCAGATAGTAGAATGATGCTTGTCTGTAGTCCAGTCTAGGATCCCAGTACGTTCTCCGTGGCATATTGACGTATCCTTCCGCGTTGTTCAAATTACAATGGGGGAGCCCTAGACCGGTGACCAAAGTCCACAGGTAGTATGACGATGAGAAGCGAGAGTTTGATAATCTTTTCTGCGCTCATTGCCCCTGTCATTGTCCATTTTGACACTCAAAATCAATAAGCCCAAAAAACGATCCAGATACCAGAAACAGAAGACTCAAACGCTTGTTCACAGACGATGACCATTTCGACATTACCAAGTTGATTGTATGCAAAATGTGCAAAATGTCCCTATGAGTACTAACTGTACAAAGGCTCTAAATCCATGCGCTAGTAAAACAAAATTCAAATCATGTGCCCATTTCGTGGGCCCGATCAATGATCTGGGGTGGAATACGAGTCGAGTGTGTGGCTCTGTACTGCTGTAGAATGATGGTGAGGGCCCTCGGCCATGCGACTGTGCCTCAGCCCTGGAGACGATTGCAAGCTCTCTATGTCGTTTTTTTATCCAAGGACCGATCGTGTTCTGATGTACGGAGCCGTGGAAGAGACTTAACGTCCCAAGTAGGCACGTTCCAAAGCTCGAAGCGGCGGGAAAATGACCGCGGTAAATGCAGCCCCAGTCCAGAGACCCAGATCTGCCCCCGAGGCAATGTGAGCCAGAAGGCCACTATAGAAATTTTGATGCTGTCACACGACGTAAAAAATGTCAGCAAATCAATCGAAACCACAGACATAAGGGCAGTGCGTTCCATATGAACACTTTAGAACGCTTTCGGAGAGAGGATAATGGGGCAGATTCGAGAATGGGATACGAACCATGCCAAGGATCGCTCCAGACCATCCGACCAGGAACGCTGCACCTGCCGCGATGCCCAGAGGTAGACGCTGTGGCATATTCCAGCAAGACCAATCATACCCCTTTGCGCGTCGGAAGCACAGGTCCTCTTCAATGACGATGATCAACCAAATCATCACCCAGTAGCCAATCAGTGGGAGAAAGGAGTTGAAGACTGTATACAGTGAATTTCGCCCTCCCATCGCGCAGGCAGTGTAGACCACCGTGGCGAGAGTGGTGAAGATGGGCTGTGGAACTCGTCCAAAGAAGCCTCCCAGCATCTGAAGGTTCATACCCATCGAGTAAGCCCCCGGGGTGTTGTTCGCAACGAGGGATAGGACGTTGATCACAGCGCAGAATTTACCGAATCCTCCCAGCGCATCATAGGCCGCCATCAGCAGGCCTCCCGGAGTCCTTCCATACGTGTCGAGAAAGAAGGGCGAGCTTGCCATCATGGAACCCAATCCAACCCCCACAACCAAGGTGAGCATCATGGCTGCGGAGCTACCAAGCACAGTCACGGAATGTGTAGCCCAGCGCTTGATGTGCGGCGGATAGAAGACATAATAATCTGCAGCCAAAGGTGCCCACGCGAGGGCGACAGAGACACCGAGTGAGAAGAAAGTCACCCGCTTGGCATTGAGTCGGTCCAGTGATACAGGTGTATGGATCGAAAAGTCGAAATGAGGACCGGCGGAGCCAAGCATGATGCAGATCACCATCAACTGCGGAAGCCACGCAAAGCTATGGTGAAAAAAAAAACACAAGGATCAGTAAATGGGCGCTAGTCTGTCATTGAATACAGCCTTGGCCGAGCCGAAGTGAAAAGCACCCACTCACCGTTCATAGACTTGAAAGATGCGCATTCCAAACATGGCCATCACCCAGCTCGAGAGGGCCACGACAACAATACCAACTATGTCGGAGATATGTCCACCGGAGATTTGGGACAAGATTTGCCCTCCTGTCACCGAGCTGACCATGCTATAGCCAACGTTGGTGAGAATATTCAGTGCGACACAGAGTTTGCTGGGATAGTAGCCCATAAAGTATCGTGCCACGATCTATTTAATTGGTTCGAGATCAGCGTGGGTACAGACTAATAGCAGCCAGCGAGCATGAACGAACACGGACATGGCTGCTTGCACAGAGCCAGACATCGAGGATAGATGAACATACCAAAGTGCGATTCCCGCTTCTCGGACCCCAAGTACTCATGTACCCTACAGTCATCGTTCCGACCAAGTTTCCCAGCACTACGCAAATGGCGGCATCCTTGAAGCGTAGTCCGAGAACCAAAGTTCCCATTGATCCCACGATGATATTGTTCATGGACAAGCTCATACCAAACCAAAGCAGGATCATATGCAAATATGTCGAGGAGGTGACTGGCTCTCTTTCTTCGATCGGTACTGGTTTGATGCCCTGTGTCTCTACACCTTTCAATTTTCCGATCCATCGTTGCCGTCTCGTGGAAGGCTGAGGCTCCTTGAATTTCTCTTTGATAGGCTCATTTGAGGAGCTGTTGGTGAGCTCGAGTTGGCTCGTACTGCGGAGACAGGGGGATCCACCAATTTTTTCAATATCATCGGGTCTGAGCCGGGGTCGTGATTCGAAGATCTCGCTGGATGAGATGGTGATCATGTCTGCTTCTCACGGTTTTGGTCTCAATTGAAAAACAAAAGTCGTGCAGCTCAAGGGGACGAACAAGCAATGAAAAAAGAGCTTATCTTCATCGACAGCACCTCAATAGTGGGATATTACCCAGCCACGGGTGATTCGGATGGAAAAAAAAATTGTGCAGGGAAATGGTAAAATAACATGAAATAATTGTTGCAGATATGACGAGCGTGAGGTAGATCATAAGCTTCCACCTTGTCAGATATAGCTGGGGGAGAATCTCCGTTTCACCAAAACCCTAATTCTCAGGGTCTCCGTCACAGGGATAAGTCCGTTGGTCCAACTTGGTCTGTTTTCATACAAACCGAACAAAATCAGACTTGACATCACCAGGTCTCTAGAAGGGAGAATACGCGGCTTCCGAATGGCAGCGGGGCTTTCCAAGTGTAACCGCTTGAGGCAGGCATTCCTAAGCAATCAAGGACTCTGTGCTCCCAGTCCGGCAGCCGGGCCAATAATGCATCTGAGAGGACTCATGTCTGTTTCTCCGAGCTGCCGTAGCATCTCATTCTTTTATGATTGTTGGCGAAGAGATCATAGACGCGTACAAGTACCTCCAGGGAAGCGTGGAGGAGTAACGCAGATGCAGATCAAATGTGGTTGCACCGATCCTTGATCGAGGGTTGACTTCCTCGATAATAGCCATTCGGTGGACCCACGAGCAGAGTCATCATCCCAAGCTCTGTCATCGCAGGTAGAACCGAGGGGCACGCGGTGCTTCAAAGGCAGCATCCGGATCGCCTTGACACTTCCTTTCTCGTTGACCAAGCATACCCTAAAGCTCCGACAATGCTTTGGCAGGAATGCAAGCCCCTGCAAGGGGGAAGAGCTCTTTTCGGCTGCTTCGGTCCGTGTATGGAGTCACACGGATGAAAGATGTCTGGGGGAACAAGAACATTGTCGGTTGAAATCATGAAATCACGGGGGCTTGAAAGAATAGTCTGTTGAGTCTCCTGCTCGAATGGTGACGAAGCCGGCTAGGAGAAGATCAAATGCAATAGTTGCTTTGAACGTGAGAAAGGGGGTGATGTTTTGACACGTGATGATCGATTTACCGGGCAAGTTCATGTCGGACGAACTCAGTTCTATTTCGCTTCTCAAGCTTCTTCCATTAACGATGGCCGATTTGAGCGTGTCTCGGCTAATAAAGCTCAGTTCCGGCCGGTTGATTGCCTGCGGCTGTCTTCATCCAGACCCAGCCTTTTAAGCGCAGAGGTCGCTGCATTTGCAAGCTATCATGTGGCCTCGCGTGTGAGGCTTGAATCTGAAGCTCCATCCGGGACGAGGACGACAAGTCTATCTATGGGGAGACTGACCATATTGACAGCTTGCCCGAAAGCCAACAATTTCTTGGTCTGTACTCATTGCTTTTGGAAATAGCTATTTACCAGCTGTCTGGAGATCTTCCCAGACGATCTGTGGAAGAGATGAAGTCTATCTTCAAGCAAGATCCATGGTCAGGTAGGGGCTTTGCAAGCTATATACGGCACATGGTATCAGGACCACCAGGCGATGCGTCGAAGATGCCCACGAAGCCCAGCGAATGGAGCATTTTCTCTACAATTTAGGCTTTGAATGATTTTGTTGCAGACAATCATACTATTTGGTGGAACTGACCATCTTCATCACTGGAATCTGGTCATTAAGAAGGGGTCAGAAACACCCGATCCTCGCCCTCGCACCCAAATGTCTACCACACGCGATCCATCTTGATCCTCATCCGAGTCCACCACGAAATACCATCCAAAGAAGGCTGCCGCCACACACGCGTGATTTGGGAAGATTCTCACATTCTGTCCCAGATTGAGGGGAACAGACTTTCCCTCCATGCCAGAGCCCCAAGCTACAATGCCATGCTCTTGACTGATGCGGTCAACAACAATTCGTGTCGTCGTGCATTCAGCACCCACTCGCCATGAAGAGAGGACGCCCCAGCCTGAATGATTCGCGCAGGGTTCACGGCCCAGAGCCAGAGTGCCAGCGGCCACGAGAGCCTCGGACTTGTCCCGTTCGCCATCATTATACACACTGCACACTTCCGCGACGACGGATATGGCGATTTCGTCTTCAAACCTTCCCGCTCCTTCTCGTGCATTGGTCGATACTTGCTGCATGTCGAGGATGGGATAGTTGCCCGCATGGAGCTCGATCTTCACCTTGACATCATTGTTCTCCAGACAAGGATTGTCAAGCAGAGCTTTCAACTTCTGCGCTTCAGGATATTCGGTACCTTCTCCAACCAAATTATGCGAAGATGAGATTTGGGGCGTTGCGCCCACACTGATGACAAGCTCTCTGTCCGTTGGGAGCAACGACAACCAGCGACCCAGAGCATCCTTGCATCCCTGAATCTCGCCGATCAGATGAGACATTGCTTCTGCGGGCGACTTGGCGGTGTAGCTCAGACTGCTGTGAGAGTACAAGCCTAGAAAGCGAACCCAGCCATCTGCCTCTGCCTTGGCAAGCCTCTCCAAAAGCCCGTTCTTATTCAAAGAGATGGGTGGTAAACCGGCACGGTGGTACCCGGTATCTACTTTGACAAAGACACAGACCGGAAAGCGAGCCACTTCGAAGAAATGTTTCAGGTAGGGAACTTGATCGGGGTGATCGATCATCGCGGAGACACTGCCTTCCCCAATATCGGCAGCCAGCGTTGCAAGTCGCGAGATGTGTGACGGTACTAAAGGAATGCCATATAAGACATTCACAGATTTCTCTGCATCCTTGAGAGATTTGAGCAATGGATGCAGCATTTCGATCTCGAGCAAAGTGGATGCAATGAACTTGGCCTCTGGATCGCCGTTGTCCATTTGCATCTCTGCAATCTGGAGCGCCTGTCATCCACTCATGTCAATTGAGCCCGCAGGCGTGCGTTTTAAATTTCATTTAATCCGGGCAACCCCGGAAGAGGAAAAGAGTATATACACAACTGACCTTGTGTGTTTTGACATGAGCTCTAAAACCCACGCCCAGCGTTTCAACAGTCCTCTTCATTCGAGCACAATGCCGCCGAATAATCGCTCGGTCAAGCACCACAGCGGGCTTCGGGATCTCCTCAAGATCCTTTCCGACCCAATGCTCGCGAAGCTGTTGCTGCGAAGGTAGTACAAGGGGCTCCATTTCTGGCAAACGTCAAATGATTGAGGACGATCAAATTGACACACAGTAGTGACGGACCACTTGACTTGATATCAACTGCTCTGCAGACGCGGTGTTGGAGAGCTTCAAGAGCCCGGAGTCATTAGCCGGCAACTAGCATCGGCCAAGCGGCGTACGTTAGGGGGGAATGAATGCACTGGGGTACCCCGACGACGTTGGGGTAGGCCGTGTGGAGAGTTGGAGACAATTGAGTCACTTGGAACTTGCCTGAGTGTAGGTGGGTATGATGTTAGAGTGGGCGTAGATTTAAATTTCGATGATTGTGGGTATCGCTACACGTAGATCATGTGTCCTTTTACATAGTGGAAATTGGAAAGGTCTTAGATTGAATCCCGTCACACGTTTTGCTCATGCAAGAAGACTCGGCTGGAATAGTCTTGTAGGAGTCACTCATGAGTCAAGATGATAGCACACGGACCATGCCATTTTGTGTTTCAAGGTAAGAATAAGGAGGCGAAAGGTGCCATACAACCGCAACAGAACAATGAAGAAGCCTTTCACGCAGCGGAGCTTGAGAAACGCACGAAGCAACTCAGACCATGAAGTCTTCAGGTCACAGAGAGACGAGTAATTACACGTTGAGAGGACGAGAAATGTATGCCAAGCCCAGGATATCAGAACAAGGAGAACAGACAAAAGAAAACAAAAAAAGCCCCCAAACTCCACGCCATGAAGATGCTCCAGTTGAGTGGGACCGAAGAAAGAGAACCAGAAGCGCCAAACTTTTTTTTAGGGGTTCCTGCTCAGTATATGGTAGGCTCTCAGCCAAGTCTGCTGTTTGAACGATTTTATTTACACCTGAGAGTGGCTCTGACTCGAGTGCGACCGCTGGGAGAATGACAGTCGGCTGCGATGTGAGTGCGCTCGTTCTGCGACCGCCGGAGGCGCATGTTCAAAGACAGGGATGAGATCGGGGTTTTGACTGGGAGGGTGCTGCGAATTGGTGGAATAGTCGCTCACCACGCGATCGTCCGCGGCTGTGTCTGGGTGAACTTCGATGCCCGGTTGTCCATCTAAGCCTCCGTGAGCGGCACCGCTGGGAAATGTGATGGAGTCTGGCCCGTCATGGCTTCGTTCGATTGGCGACCAGCCGGCAATACTACCAGCCACAATCCCAGCCATGGCTGCCGCAGGTCCAAATGTGGAATTGGAGCGTGATCGAGTGTTGCGACGAGATCGATTCTCTGGCGTCGAGGCTCCAGGGGGCGAGCTTCCGTTGTCCATGCCATGGGGCGTGGAGGATTCTGACGAGTCCCGCGAGCGTGAGCCGCTTCGAGAGCGAGGCAGTAATTCTTGTGGATGTTGTAACTTGTGTTTGATATTGCGCAAGCGTCCACCGCGCACAGATTTGATGAACTGTAGCTGGTCCCGAATCTCTTCCAGGGCCGGGTTCCAGTCGAATTGACGGTCTTCATCCGAGATGACAACCTCCGGACCCTTCTTCAGATGCCGATCGTGCCAGAAAGCCGGAACAAGTTTGGTGATAAATTCGTCAGGGATCAATCGAATGACGATGGCGATAGGCAACGACAAAGCTCCTAGGACAAGACAGACCGCCCATTGCGAGCCTTGGTTAAGACGCGTGACAGAGAAGGCCGCCCCGCCAAAGAAGACAATAAGCACTTGACCTCCGATGATGATGACTTGAATGCCGATGAACCATCGATTGCGCCATATGCCCTCGAAAATGTTGAGTTGATTGTCAACCCGGCGAGAGTTGTACTGATTGAAGATTTGCATGAAGACGAAAGTGTTGAAGACAACGGTCTTCAACGCAAGTTCATCCCATGAAAATATTGACATGCCGGCGAAGTTGAGCACGAAAGTCACCACCAGTTGATAGATCGACTGTCCAGCTATCATCTTCCACATTGTGGCGGTAATGAGCGGGGATGCTTTGGACTCTGGCCGACGATTAAGGACATACGGCGAGGGGGGATCAGTCGCAAGCGCAAGCGCGGCAAATGTATCCATAATTAAGTTCACCCAGAGAAGCTGCACTGCACTGAGTACCGAAGTTTGCGAGTCACTAGCGACAGCTGAGACAAAGGTCAAGACCACGGCAGTAATATTCACCGTGATTTGGAACTGCAGGAACTTCTTCACAGCATCGCTGACGGTTCGACCCCAGGCCATGGCTTTCACGATAGATGCAAAGTTGTCATCCATCAGGATAATGTCCGAGGCTTCCTTTGCGACCTCGGTACCAGCGATGCCCATCGCAAAACCAACGTCGGCGGTTTTCAGAGCTTGGGCGTCGTTGGTACCATCACCGGTGACAGCAACAGTTTCACCGAGCTTCTTCAACGCATTGACGAGAATCTTCTTGTCATCGGGGCTCGATCGACCAATGACTTGTAGTCTCGGGAGAATCTGATTCCTCTGCCGTGTGCTCAGCTTGCGGAACTTGGGACCCTCAATGGCAATACCACCAGGAGTATAAATGCCACATTCCTTGGCAATGGCTTTCGCAGTCATAATGTTGTCACCGGTGACCATTCGCACGAAGACACCTGCGCGTTGACAGGCATGGACAGCGTCTGCAACACCGGGTCGCAGAGGATCTTGAATGCCCCACAAACCAATCATCGTCAGGTCTTTGAAAACCGGTTCAAACAGCGCTTCAGAGTGATTGGATTCGGCAGTAGGCACTCCGCGAGGGGGCCATTCGTCGAAATCCCGATAAGCGAGTGCGATACATCGAAGCGATCTATTCGCATAGCTTGACATGGTATCTTCGAGTTCGGACCGACTCTTATCTTCCAAATGGCTCTCGCGAAGTTCTTCCCTAGGGTCACTGACGATGTTCATCGTATGGGACATCAAGATTTCAGCGGCGCCCTTGATCAACATGCGGTACCTTCCATCGTCCATTTGCACGACGACTGCCATACATTTGCGAGAGGAATCAAACGGAAACATCTGTGCAATCTTCGCATTCGCACGACCTTCAGCGGGAGAGCCCATTCCCATATGATCACGCGCGAAAGCCAAGAGCGCGGTCTCGGTTTTCGATCCGATGAAAGTTTTAACACCATCCTGCTCTCCTTCAAACGCTGTAGAGTTGAGAACAATTGATTGCATCAAGAGATCTTTGGTGGACTTTGACAGAGCTTTGACAACTTCACTGGCAGACGTGTCGCCCTGCTCCTGAGGCTGATCCGAGGCGGGCTTGTCCCCAAAGCGCAATGTCGTCCCCAGAGTTGCGGAAACGATGCTCATTTTGTTGATGGTGAGGGTACCTGTCTTGTCGGAACAGATTGTTGTTGCGTTGCCCATCGTCTCGCATGCTTTCAGATATCGCACAAGGTTGTTGTCTTTGATCATCCTCGTTGTCGCAAAGGCGAGTGCCAGGGTGACAGCCAGCGGCAATCCCTCGGGCACGGCCACAACCACGATGGTGACAGCGACAATGAAAATCTGGAGGAAAGCCTGACCTTTGGCGTCGGCGCCGCCCTCGATGTTTTTGAGCTGAACCAGGAATTTGATGAACAAGACCACAAACAACAGTAGACCGGAGGCCAAGCCAAGCTTGGCAATATACTCGGCGAGTTTGTTCAGTTTTGTTTGTAAAGGTGTCGTTTCGCCTTCTTCCTGGAGCGACATCATTGTGCGGCCATGAGTGGAATGTGGACCGACCGCCGTGACGAGAAAAGTGCCGACTCCTTCGGAGACCTTGGCGCCAGAGATGATAAAAGGATCCAATTTTCGAATGTCTTCATGCTTTTCGATGGCTCGGTATACATCATCGCCCTGGGTTTTGCGCAACAGGTCAGATTCGCCGGTGGCCGAGGACTCATCACATTTGACATCGTGGCCTCCGATCAAGATACCGTCCACGGGGATAAGGTCACCCGCCTCCAGCCGCATGACATCGCCCACGACTACATCATAGACAGAGATCTCGATCGTTTTGCCGGATCGAATGACTTGAACCAGTCGGTTTTCCTTCTTTTTGTTCAACTTGGCGAATTGTCTTTCTTTCTGCCAGTCATTTGCCGCGCCAACAACGACGACGATGATGATGGCAATCAGAATAGCCAGTCCCTCCACCCATTCGACGCCAGGTTCGCCGTCCTTGGGGTGCAGTGACTGGGGGATACCGACCGCCAGCGAAACAATCGCCGCGATGGTCAGTAAAATGAGCACCTTGTCATTATAGGCAATCCACGCCAGCTCCCAGATGGTTTTGAGTTTTCTCTCCTGCAGCTTGTTCCTTCCATAGACTCGCTTTCGGTCGGCGTATGACTCGTCGGCGGAACTCGATACGGCGGCGGCAGAGGGTTGGCCCTCTGTGTCGTTTGAAGCTGACGAAGGCACCTCGGTTGGCGAGACCGTCTTGGGCGAGCCCTTTGCCGAGGTCACCTCGTCAAAGGTCACCGTTCCCTGCAAAGAGGTCTCATCCTGACTCAGTCCGCTGCGAAGGTCGGTCCGCAAGCCCTTCTCCAGTCCTTGAAGACCACCCAATCGTCGGAATGCACCGTAGTTTTTGGGGTTCAGGAGCTTGTTCAATTGGCCGGGAGAAAAGGCAAATTTGTTATTGATCACCTCGAATTCGTCTTCTCGGCCTTGATCGGGCAACAAAGCGTCTTCGTCGTCGACATTGGTGTGCTTTGTGGCATCCGAGGGCGACACTTGGGTTGAAGTCGACACATATGTCTCGCCACCGTATGTGCTCGAAGTTTGACTGGTGCCGTCCGACTCCAGGGAGTTGCCACGAGAGCGCGTGCCGGGAACAGAGAGATAGTGAGAATGTGCTTCGGCCAGCTTGGTTGCCGGGTTGGAGATGTTGTGAGGAGATGTCGGCCGGCTCTCACGATCTCGCGCCTCGGACGAAGCGACGGAGCCTAAGGAGGCGGGGGACCGCATCTCGGTGGGAGAACCCGATGCGTTGTAGGCGATGCCATTGTTGACCAGTTCGAATGGGTTGGTATTCAGGCGAAGCGAGGGCTGTTGGCTAGAGAAGCCTTGGGCAGGGGGTGCGTCTGTCGTTGCGGGGCTCACGGCCGATGTATCGATCGTGATCGTGGGTGCGCGTGCTCTCCGTGGAGGTGCTGGTGGAGAATCGGCCGACCCTTCATTGTCCCGACGTGGATTTGACATGATAACGAAATTGGAGGACGCGCCAGCCGGGCGTAAGACTCCGGCAGCACTTTCACTTTAGTATCCAGATTTGCATGGATGGGAGGACGAGAGATACGGCCGTGCAGTCCCAAATGCTAGGTAAGCAAGGCAAGGATATCGGACACTTTGGAAGATGTAAAAGACCGTAGGTAGGGAAGTCAAAAATCCCCAGATGTGGATTTCAGGGCATTTGACATGCAGAAGCTATCGTGAGCTTTCCGACGTCAAGTGAACGAGCGTCCACTGGGGACGAAGGGAGGGAAAATCGCGCCAGCAAGATGCCCGGTTCGGTGGCGTCAAGCCGCGGTGGATCGACGGAGGAGGTCCAACAGTGGCTGTGTATGACTGGATGTGACCACTGACTCGCTGGTTCACGCTGAACAATGCTCTAGACTGAGGAAGATCAGATCTGGGATCCAATGCTGGAGGCCGGGACAGGAAGTTGAAGGAGAGACGGTTGCTGTGATATTGGAGATGGGGGATCGGAGGGAGGCCGGATGCAGCTTGGCGTTGGCGTTGGCGTTGGCACAGCCCGGGGTATTGGACGTCACAAGTTTCACGGCCTTTTTTTTCCTGCTTTTCCTCTCGGGGGACGGTGCCATTCAAAGGCTGGCGATTCCAGACCTCTCGATTGGAACATTGGGGATTAGTTAATGGGGACTATGAGTCTTCCTCACAGGACCAGCTGTCCTTGAATTCGAGTCCACTAGTGAGTCGATTATCATGATTATTCAATATATTTAAACGGTTGTTTTCCTGTCTGGTTGCCAACCGATCGGCGTACTGCTTTTCGACCCAACTTCCATGTCCACCTCTCCTTCGGTCGGCATCTTTTGCCCCCCCCTTTGTGGATCAGCGCGGGTTTTTCATTGGGGAAGCACAGCAGAGGATCATTGACGACGAGACTTTTCTCTCTGTTGTACGTACGGTTCTGAGGCGGCTCGTCCCCACTTGAGTAATTTCCTAGGAACCTGATAGTTTTCTCTCTAATTCTTCTCTATTCACGGAGGACGGGCGCTCACGTACGACGAAGTCATCTCCACCCAGCCGTGGCTCAAATATGCGACAGTATTGCTACTACTACGGTACTACCAGCCCCGGGAGGTTCTTCACCCAATCCACCACCTGGTGAGTCTCGAGGATGTACTGTTCTATGAGGGTCAAGTACCGGTCCAGTTCCACCCCAGCGAGATCTCCACTTAGGCGATAGACAGGCTCTAGACGCCGCAACGAGGGTGAAATAATAAGTACTTCTGTACAACTGTGCTGTGATAGACAGTACTAGGTATCTGCAGTATCGAATACCTACTCAGTACTTAAATTGGCTGTCTATCTATCACTAGTATCACAGTATATACTATGTACTATGTACTATGTACATACACTAGATTTGCACAGCCCCGACAGTGGGTCTATCGATACGCCTCCGAGGGTCAATCGGATACGGATTGTTGATGCTCCTTTAATTCACTGGAGGTTTTAAGTTTCCTTGCCTTACCCCCGTTGTCCTCGGCTCTCATCACTGTCAGTACATTGGTGCAGAAGTGAGGCACTGGTGAATAGGTGATGCATAAAGAAGAGTTCTTACACACCATTTTCTGAGGCATGCAGAGATGAAACCCTAAATCTCCTGTCATTTTATATCGAAGGGCGGCAGCAAATGGAGTTCTAAGTTCTAACTCCATATTTTACCTTCTGCATACCTGCCAAGACTCATTCTTAGGAACTGGAGACTACAGAGCCACCAGACAACTTATCTGAGGTGTTATGAAGCTGACTAATTATACGCTTTCCAAGCCTCAGTGTGTCAATTGTCGCCGGGTCTTGGAACTAGGGAGTTGTAAAATACGTGCCTTGTTCTGAATGGTTCTGTGGTTTAAACCTTCAAGGGCGCGATCCCGCCTATTCGCAGTTCGCACTCTTACCCATTTCCGGCTAAAAGTCTTGGCAGTTGAGGCAGTGCAACACTACAGTACAATAGTACCTACCAAGGACAGCACAACTTGATATCACAGTAAAAAAATTTGGAAGTATGTTCCATTGGTACATTACCTACCGCTTCATTGAAGCCCCATGTAAGCGGGACATCAAGTTTCTCATCCAGCCCGCCATGGACGTCCTGCCCCCACCAGACTACCCCCGGTCCAGCCGAGCGAATATCCTCGAATTCCAACTCGAACGCCAGCAGCAACTCTTGAGAAATCGCAAGCTTCTTGCATCAGTGGTGATATCCTGAAATTTCGGGAGATTCTTGACTCGCAAAGTTCTTCAGCCGAGGACTTTGATACATGCGACTTCAATGCGTGTAAGACTAATTCCTAAAAGGGGATAGCCTGAAAGAAACTGGGTCGTATACAAGTTATGTGGAGAGACGGTAGTGACGAGATGTGGATACGAGACGCAAAAGTTATCTTAAGAGTTGCAGAGTGAAAGGACTTAGGTATGTGTGTATATTGTAACAAAACTCTGACTCTTGATTCCCTACAGACTGTCTTCCTCTGAGAATTTATCTTTGGGGAATCCGCGAGTCCTTCGTTCAGTCGTGACGTCCTTGACCTGCGGCTGGCTTCGGTCCACGTGACCCATCTTGGGTGTCCTCACGTTCGGTCTATCAAGTTGCCGACCGAGCTTACCCGAACCTCCAACACTTCGTGAGGCTGCACTGATGCCTCTTCTTACAATGCGATAATGATCGAAGCCATCAAGCTAGACGATGTAGAGTTCATTAAAGAGCTTCTTAGTCGCGGCTTACCTATGGATCCACTCTATGCATTAGAAGCCGTCAAAGTAAAGGGTAAAAAGGCTCTAGAAGTTTTTCTTCAAAAGAGATAGAGGATCAATAAGCCTATAAGCGAGCTCGAACCTCCCGTACTAGGGTAAGACGCGTCTCAATGTAACCTATATCCTCAGAGATACCGTTATAACATTTATTTAGCAATGCTATTGCAGATGAGGAGATGGCAGCTTAGCTCCTTAATCATAGAGCTGATCCCAATCGATAATGTGTTATTGATCTCACCTTACTTTCCCGTGCGGTCGAGAGCGCCCAAATATCAGTCATCCAACTTATGCTCAGTCGTGGCGGAGATACCCTAAAAAGCCAGCTTCTTCATTATGCAATTGAACGGCATTCGGATAACATTACGGTCTTAAGTCTTGTCGTCGAAAAGGGGGCAGCTATCAATTCAACTATGTACGAGGGCCATTATCCTTTTCGAGCACCACCATACCAACAACCTGAAGGAAACTGTTTGAAGTCCCTACTTGATTCACAGCATTAAACATAGAGTCAGTGCTTACAGACACCAGTTTCACGAAAACCCTGCATCAACTGATGGCGATCCTCCTCCCTTGGCTTGATTTCTCGCTGCTCCTTGACTCAGGTCATCTGCACCAAGATCGAGGGGCTTCCTTTGGGCACCCATCTCAATCACTCGATCCGTAGACGATGCCCATCTGTTCAGGGGCAGAGAGACACAAGTGATCATCTGACTCGGAATGAGGCGCCACCGAGGTGGTTGGAAGTGACTTGTTCCAAAAGATGGATGGCATTCTATACCGATCGTCTTTATAAGTGTCCATGTGAACTTCCTCCTCGAGCCCTTGGAATAAAAACTGTACTTCTTAGGAGACCGGCCTAGGACAGTGTTTCTGGTAAAATCGAGTCATGGTATTGAAACCTCACTCCTGGTCATTTGTGATAAGACATTCTTAAGATGAAACACATTCGAGAAAATACTAAGGGCCTAACAACTAATTTAGTGAGTAGAACCGAGTCCTACACCAAAGACCAAGCACTGGGACACAGCTACATGCAAAGAAGGGCCTTTTTCACCCATCCAACCGACTAGCCAAGCGAACCGGGTGGCTTGAGCAATCCAGTCGTGTGTTACCCTAATAGGTCACAAGACCGAGGAATAGAGCCTTGCGCGCCTCATCTCGACCAACCTTACTGAGGGTTGAAGCTCCGCGGTAATAGTCTGATACCAATCGTGACACGAGATGGCATTGGATGCAGGAAGTAAGCCTTGCCAGCAGAAAGCCCGCTGTTTATTCTTTTTCCAAGAAGAAATTACGACCTACTGAAACATGATCGAACTGACATTGTAAAATCAATTCTAATGCTGCTCATGCAATATTCCCCTCCAAGCATCAAATTCCAGCATGGCGAGGATAAGGACAGCACCCCAGCTCCTAGTTCGCACCGGTCTGCTCCCGTTGTTCCGCTAGACTGAGAGCATCATCATCTTCCGGGACACTCACCCGCCAGATGCCCAATGTCTGACCGTTGGGGAACGTGACATCATTCTTGGGATCGGTGAGAACCATGGCCTTGCTTGCGAGTGCCAGACAATCCACCAACTCAGACATGCGCTGAGCCTGAGTGAAGCTTCGCGTCAAGTGGCCATTGTTGGCTACCCAGATGGACACTGTCATACACTGCGAGAGCAGGTTTGGCTTTTCAAGAGCATGGCTGGCGTAGTACAAAGCGTTGTGGTAGTCGAGAACAAGCTCCGGTAAATAGGTTCGACGGATGTACTCAAAGTCGCGTTCCTCATCGACTACCGCAAGTTGCAAGTCAGCTTTCTAGTCGTGACCCATTCTTGGCGTTGTCGGACTTACCTTCATCTGACTTGCCCAGCCACTCGTCCACAATCAACCCCACACAATCTTCAATTTCCTGCAAAAGAGCCTCAAGCTCAGCCATAAAGTCCCTCACGGATCCGGAATCCCGCCTGCGTTTAGTCCTTGGCCAAAGTCAGTTCTGTGTGCCCATCAGTTTCGTTGTTTGTAGAACGGAAGGAGATACTAACTTTGAAGATTGATCGTACACAATGGCAAACTGCTCCAAGGCATCAAAGCCAAGTGCCATTGCTTCCAAGTTCCACATGTGAACCGCCTGCTGATACGCAGATTTGTGAACACCATTGGTGGTACCGTTGATGCTTGATACGCTTCGTCGATTGGCATGGTGCCGCTTAGATTTTATCGGGCTCAGGGGTGTTTCCTCCTCGAGGCTGGGAGCCAAATCCGGGAATTCAAACACGTCCATGTTGAAAGTTTCGTGGGAGACATCAGCCATACGAACACGATGACCAAGCTCTCGCGCAGCAGCCAGTTTCCCAGCGACTATTTCATATTCGTCAATACTCGCAGACATGTAGATTGAGAGATTTTCCTCTCAGATTGTTCACTTACCGAAGAACTTGCGGTACAGCAACAGTCCGCGGGCACAGATCTTGGACCATTGGCGACCCACACACCGCAGCCACTCCAGATTGCGTATCATTTTCTCATCCTCGATCGCGACACTGGTCCCAATGAGATCCTTCTTAGGAGGCATCAACACACGAGTTCCGTCTGGAAGCCTCCTGACGCGAGAGTAGCCAGTTAGACCTGCAGAATGCTCAATCGAGGAGACACCAGCATCGAGCCACGACCACTGCGCGTCAAGAACAGCATTGATATCAATACCATGTTTCTTGATCACACGAAGTTGGTAATGACGATCTTCATAATCTATGATATCAATCAAAATTCTCGCAAGAACGTCATTGCATATTTCGCCGGGTAGGAGGGCAGCATAGGATGGAATAAGATCGGGCATGCACTTCTCCTGCAAAGCAGCGATGTATCCAGTCACGACCACAGATGCTGTGTCCGTGAAACGAGTGTTTTCTGGGACGTAACCGAGGGAATCAACGATCACATAAAGGTGAGTCGCCATCTTCAAAGCATCTAGATCCTCGGCCATGATGATCATCGCATCATCCGACTGGGAGGTTGTTACACTTGGAATGTATGAGTTGCTTCCGTATTTCTTGATGCCAACCTGGGAAACGGCCTGTGATAGCTGGTCGAAAAAAGTGCCATAGCTCTTACTCAAGATGGCTGCTTGAATGTGACGGAATGGTTCACGCGCTTCGCCGCTCAATGCTTCGTTGCCCCGCATAAACTGAATATACTTCTGGAGGTCCGCATGCCCGGCGGGCTCTGGCTGGAAGACCATTGGCTCGTTGGGCGACTGGCTCAGCTTACGCTGTAACTGTCTGCAGAAACCCTGATAGCGCGAGAGCACGACGCGGTTGAAGTATACGTAAAGATAATCATCCCACGTTTGGCACGCTTTTGCGGTCGGTTCAATCTCACCACACAGAAGCGCATAGACTGCCTTTTCGTAATCCCCAGTGTTGGCATCCTTGGTCAGCGCCAGACAGGCAGCCCGCCAAGAGTCCTGAGAACGGCTGTTCATCAGACGGGTGATTCCATCATCCACTGGCGTCCGTGTGTTGGAAGAGCCCTTGTCCACACTTGATCCGCAAAGACTCACAGCTCTCCAGCTCTCGAGGCGGCTTTCGGCCCACTCTCGAATCTGTGTCCAGTTGCTGCCTTGGCGAAGCATTTTCCAGCATGCCATCCAGGTCGCTTGTTCATAGCAGGCATCTTGTTTTTGCAAGCTGTGATTCTGGCGAATAAGCGCATCGGGATCCAGCTGTGTGATCAAAGGTGTTTGCGTATCGTTGTTCAGGAGAGCTCGGGTCGTGGCAGGGTCATTCGGGTCGAGAGGCAGAGGCCAGACGCGCAATCGCTTGTGCCCCTTGATGGCCTCCTTTGTGAAGAGCCAACCATGTGCCCAAAGACCTTGGCCCCGCTCAGCCTGGTCTTCCAATTCTTTGATCATGTTGTCGATCTCCTGAGGCGCTGCCTTGGCCGTTTCCTCAAGCCAGCGCATGGCGATTGTGCACTCGCAAGCGAATTGATCGGCACCCAAGAACTCTTCCCAGATCTCGCGGTCCGACGAGTATCGATGCAAATTCTGGAATGCTTCGCGCTGACCTTCTCTGAAGCTGGCGCGGCTGGCGGGCTCGTCGACGCTGATAAGATTGAGGAGAAGTCGCCAGGTCTCAGCCTGTAGCTGCAGGCGACGAGATTCAGTGTTGACCGCAGTATCGTTGTCGACAATGCTGGTGCGCAAGCTCGTCTTGGCCTTCTTCAGAGTCTGTGGTCGGTCGAGCTCGTTGATAGCATTCTGGGTCAAGTCTCGGTAGCTTTCAACAAGCTTGTACGCGGCTTGCACGCTCTGGAAAGCATCGGTCGATTTCTTGCGTTTGAACTGATCCAGTTTCTCCGCAAAAGCTTCAATCTGGCGGGTGACTCGGTCTGCAGTCTTGCGAAGGGGACGCAACATCTCTTGGGCGCTCGCACCTGCGCCTGACTCGGTAAAAAGTTTGGGGGACTCTGTAATGTTATCAGCCAGTGGTTTCAATTGAATTTTCACGTCCATCACACAATAAATTTTACCTTGCGATCGATTGCGCAAACTCGTGGAAGACTTCAGGTCGCTATTCAAGGCAGGGATGTCTGAGCCGTTCGTGAAGACATCGTCATCCATGTCCTCTTCCAAATGATCTTTCATGTCTTCATCCCCTTGTGACCCTGATTGGTCCTCGTAAGACTCTTCATCCTCCATCATCTGGTCACCCTCGTCGTCCTCGTCGATGCTGATGACCTTGGGTTCCTTAGAGCGGCCCTGCCAGGACGAGGTAATGTTTAGCTCCGATATGAGAGTCAGATGATAATGAGACACACTCACCTGCGTTAGGTTTGATGGCGCTCCTGATGCTGCAGATCTTGCAGCCCTTGTCATGGGTGCCATGGTGGTTCAATGCGCCGAGCAAGCTCAATAACAAAGATGCGACGCCCGGGATGATGCACCCGTGATGGAAGGAAAGATGGCGCCGGGAATTCGTGTTTGTCTCTTTTGGTTTTCCTCGCGTTGGAGCCATCGCCCAAAAGAGCTTAGTGCATCGGCACGGGATTTTTTCTTATTTAATGGATCAGCCATTTTTGAACATTCCTTTTCCTTCCTTTTTTCTTCAACAAATGTCATTTAGGCAGTCATTAGAGTCTCGGAACGAAAGTTTTCAATGGTCGTTCAGGTCCCATCGCGGCCTCTCAGCGTGCTCAAGATTGTCTTAGAGCAATCTAGCAGTTCCTTCTAAACAGTCTGGTTCTCTCCAGATGGGAGTTCAGCTTATAGGGGATTGTTACATGCCGTTAACTGCAGGCAATTTGTTGGGGTTACAGTCTATCTAGAAGTCCAAATACACCACACTTTCCAACTCGCATATGATCGCTTCTTTTTCTATATACACATCTTTTCTGCTCTCTTGCCATCTAGTTCGTGCCTTGCGTTGCTTGGGCTCGTTGTTTCATTTTCAGACGCAGTAGACCTGCCTTGGGACAGCTCACAGTCGAGGCCTGGTCACCTTGTTGCTGGTAGAACGCGTTGCAGCACTCATAGAGAGCATCAATCTGCGCCTGGCACTTGTTCTCATCGTATGAGTTTTTCGTCAAGCAATCTTTTGAAGATTTCGTCAGTGGTCAGGGTCAAGCAAGGAATTAATCAAGTCACAGGCTGCATCAAGCACTGCTACTTACCTTGAATAGCGCACTGAGTGGTGTGTAGGCAGGCTTAGTTCAAAGATCGGGGTACGACATGTCCGGCCGATGGAAATGACTTGAGACCCAGATTGGGCGTGGAACTTACGGCTCGTGGATGACAAGGTTGCTCATGCGCCAGATCTTGCTTTAAATTCCCCTGTTGTGTTAAAACCGTACTCGAGTCAGTGAACTGAAAATTGAAGTTTGTTGGAGGCTTAGTGCACTCAATATATCTATTGCTTTGACGCGTCCTACCGACCAGCACACATTAATCGGAATCACTTACCATGATCTGCGAACAATGAAATGTAGACGTCAGTGAAACAAACCGTCAAGATTGCTGGATGTATGCCTGTCTCAGAAACTGAATGAATGGTAGATATATGAGAGCAATCCTGAATGCAGTGGAATTGAGGCTATGACCTGAGGCCATGGAGCTGTCGATCAATGAACCTCTAAACCGGGAACGCATAGTTCCGCACCTGCCCCAAGTAATCTGACCGCCCTGAGACCGCGATAATAGTTTGTCCGTCTTTCCGTGGGGCAACTCATCATTCTGCCGCCTTCAACACGCCCACGGTGACCTAATTTGCATCTCCGCCTTCTCCATCTTCTACGCGTTTTGCAAGCATTATTTACACCCCAAGGTAGGTCACAATTGGTATAAATGGCTCTTCTGGACGCTTGCTCACGAATGTATCACAGAGTAAACTTGGAAATTGCTCAATCGCCTCGCTGTCCTTCCTACCAGTGTTCGTACCCCACGTTCTTTGTCTTCTTTCGACTAGAATCCATCTGAGTAGAGTCCAGCAGACCACACATACGCCGCGACTCTCAATCATGTCTGCTGAGCAGGAAGCGGGCGCTGCTCCCAGTGAGCACTTGAACATCAAGGTCACCGACAACAACAATGAGGTCTTCTTCAAGATCAAGCGCTCAACACAGCTCAAGAAGCTTATGGATGCCTTCTGCGACCGTCAAGGAAAGCAAATCTCCACTGTTCGCTTCTTGTTCGACGGTACTCGAGTGCGCCCAGAAGATACTCCGGACACGGTGAGTCGCAGAGGGAAGACACGTTCTAGCCACCAAATACTGCCGTTCACGTGACTGACTTATCGAGTACAATCTAGCTTGACATGGCCGACGGTGATACTCTCGAGGTGCACCAGGAACAAATTGGTGGCGGTGACTTCTGAACTAGCCTGCGTCCACTATGCACACTCCCAATACTCATGAGAGTGTGATCTACACAGACACGAATTGATCCTGCTCTGTTAGAATTGGAGCCACTCTTATTGGGAGAAACGAATTGGACTGTTCTGAGGGGCTTGGGTGCCAAAGTTTTCTTTGATAACGAAGATATGAATTCCACAAATACCATCAGTTGATCTGAGTGCATAGAAATCCTACCTTAAGGCTAGATTACAGTAGTCATCAAACTCCGCATCATGTCAAGTACGTTCCCCCGGTCCTCGTCGAGGAGCGCGACCTTTAACGTGAAGCACTGGAAACCTCCGCAAATTGTCCTATCCTCTGGAAACACGAGAGGTGAGAGTACCAGCTGAGAAATCCCGAAAGAATACAAAGGTTGACTGCAACTGGAGGACGGGTGGGATCGGATTCACTTTCAATCTATCAATGAGATTGGCGAACTATCCAGTCGAAGAGAACTTGACTTTGATTTACAGCATTCACTTGGATTTGTTAAGAACCTGCTTCAAACGCGATAAGATAGTCGCATACAGTTCAAGCCTTACGCCAGCGGTTGTACAAGAACAACTGTCCAAATAAGAAGACGTGGAGGAGGCCAGAAGAAAAGTAAATCGCTCAGAACTCAATCAGTCCAAACGGATGCCTTGGCCTTCTCTTCCTCTTCCTTCGCCTTGGCCTGCTCTTCTCGCTCCCGATTCCTCCGCCTGATCTCTTGCTCCTTCACCGACCGGTCATATGCGCGCTGCTCTTCCGTACGTTTCGGTGCTCGAAGCCCCAATGCCCCAGCAATCAGACGTCCAGCCACGGCAGTCTGCTTTTCCGGTCGTCGATTCGGGTCCTTCTGGGTCGTGACGGTTGATGTGGGTGCTGCTGCCGCCCATGGGTTTGAAACCTGCGGCGAGATGGGGGTAGGCGGAGGATCTAGTGGGCCTTCGGCGCTGAGTGTGGGCGAAAGAGGTGAAGGAGATACAACATCTTTCACCGTCTTGGTAGCCGATTCCTCTTCCGAAGGCGCATCGGCCTCGTCTTCCCAGGAATCGGCCACTGGCTTTGGAGAAGGCTTTTTGGGCTTGGGAGTCCCTGACGCAAATTGCGAGGTCACATCACTGGTTGCGGAGATTCGTCGAGCATCTTCCACGGGGCCTCTTTCGCCAATGGCCAGATTGCGAAGTGTCGATTGCAATTCCACGCTTGGATCAGACATGGCACGTGAGAGACCGGAGAAGCCGTTGCTGGAATTGAAAAGGTGCTGGAAGGGAATGTGTAAACACCATTCAGTGAGATGCAAAGGAGGTGAAGTGCCGTATGGGCTTCAAATTGACAATCGGCAAGGTCGGTCCTGGGGCTTCCTGTGCAAAAAGTTGGCGCTGGATATAGAACCGACCAGATACTGCGGGGATGTCAATGTCGAAATAAGCCACCAGTCCGAAGATCGCGGGAGATGTCGTCAGGGCTTGAGGGGGATTAGCGTGTCCTTGGTCCGATCGTGGAGAAGGTGGACGTGGCCTAAACCCACTTGGGTTAAGAGCCGTCATCCTTCCGGTCGCGGGGTTTTGTTTGGGAAGACATGAGCGAGCTGGATTCTCCAGTCAGACCTCGGGCAAGCCAGGTTGGAGGTCAACTTTGTCGGTGACATGTACATTAACTCAATTTGCACGCAATCACATTCGTCCGGGCCGATCGAACCCTCTTCTATTTGTGAGACCATGACGTAGACAGGTATGCTTCAGAGGACGGGCATACGTGCTCCTCCTGTCGGACTCTACACTCGACTATACGGAGGGTCAGTCAGCATGTGCCGATAGACTTGAAGTTAGGTCACTACAAACAAAACATAATTTGGGAGCCAAATCCTGAAATCTTGAGACTGAATCTCCAAGGTAAGAAAAACCCAGCCGTGCAATGCTATGATGCGGACCACCTATGTGCAAGCTATCTAGTCTGTCTACGACCATGACTTTATTGAGGTCCCGCTAGAGATATTACTTTCTTTGCGGCATCCTCGAAACTGTCAAACGCATGAAGGGGTAGTCCGCTTTCAGCAATCTAATAAGACAGGTCAATTTTCATCTCTTTGAGGGCTCAGTTGAGGCTCTTCAATGGATATGGCCACTTACCATTTGTTGACCTAGTTCCTCGTTGGTGCCGCGCAACCGTACCACGACGGGGACTTGCATGTGGAGATCACGGAAGGCCAAGATGATTCCTTCAGCGATCATATCGCAGCGTGTCAGTCCCCCAAAGATATTGACAAAGATGGCCTTGACACGTGGGTCGGAACAAATGATTTGGAAAGATGCCTTGACGGTCTCCGAGGTGGCCTTACCACCTGTGTCGAGGAAGTTTGCGCAATGGCCGCCGTGAAAAGTCAGAGCATCGACTGTGTTCATAGCAAGTCCAGCACCATTCACTACCGTTCAATGTCAATACAACTTCTAACCGTCAAAAGCTCGAGTATGTTGGAGGAGGAACACAACGTTACCTAAAGTGCCAATGCTGCCTTGACCTTGCAATCTGTCCATCATTAGCATCCTGCTGGCTTGCCGAGGAATGTACTGGCAACAACATACTTGACATAGACAATGCCGTACTTTTCAGCCTCCACCTCTTCTGGAACCTCCTCTGATGTATTTCGCAGGCGATGGATCTCTTCCTGACGACCCGAGCTACGATATGCTGCATCGTCAAATCCAAATCGAGCTCCGTGAGCAGCAACGGTGCCATCGGCAGATACTCCGATTTGACATTCAAGAACAAAGGCCTCCTTCTCCTTGAATATCTCCCACAAAGCTTGCACTATGCTTCCCAGCTGATCTCGAGATGAGGAGGGAATGTTCAACTGGTCTGCGAGCTCGGCCACCATCGGGTGGTTCTCCACAGTAGCCTGCCCATAGCTAAATGGGATTCTCCGCAAGTGACGGGGATCTGACTCTGGATCAGAGGAGGCCACTATGCATGGAGACAAGGCCGAGCGATCGATGGATATGCAAATGAGTCCGTTCGAGCCACTGTCTTCCTCAGCCACTGGGACAGACTTTTGTTTCAAAATTTCGAGTGCCTGCGCTTGCTTCAGATAGAGGCTTCTCTTCTGCTGATAGCCAACGATCGAGGCTGGAGTCGTGCGTCTGGTCGCGTGATAGCCGCGCTTTTGCAGGCCTTTACCGGACAGTGTGTTCTTGGGTAAAGTCAGCCAAAGAGAAGTTTGAATTCCAAGGGGCTGAACTAACGCTCGTGCCGCTTTTTGAGAGACTTCTCGCCAGGAGGGTCTTCATCCCATGTCCAAACTTCTCAGGATGATTGACCATGACCACTCCCGCTTGTTCCAGAGCGCGGTACTTTGTCTGGGCATCAGGCTCACCGGGTGCAGTCCATGCACCTGCATGTCCCATGACTCGGCCCGCGGGTGCCTCGAGGCCCCCGATGAGAGCCATAATGGGCCTAGAGGGGAGTCAGCACAGTACTCCATCAAGCTTTACGAGGTCTGAAAGTGAGCAGACGTACTTGGGATCCGTGGTTCTGCATCGGTAATCTTTGATCCATTCGGCGGCGTCCATTTCTGCAGCGCCTCCAATTTCCCCAACAATTATAATGCCTTGGGTGTCGTCGTCGTGCTCAAAAACCTTCAAGGCATCGACAAAATTCGTTCCAGCCAAAACATCGCCTCCCATACTGATGCATAGGCTTTGCCCGAGACCAGCCCGGGTTGTCGATGCTACTGTCTCGTAGCTCAAGGTCCCTGATTTGGCCACGATCCCGACATGACCTGGCGCAAAGCACGGTAGTGGTTGAAAGCCGATACGACATTTCCCAATTGCGGAAATGATTCCAGGACAATTTGCACCCACAAGGCGGGTTTTGGACTGCGTCCGGAGCATCGAATGGATCTATGCGAAGGGTTTAGAGCTTCGCTGCACAACGGTCCAGGATCGACTACTTACTCGTAAGATGTCATGAATGGGTACATGCTCGGCCACAGCAACCACGAGCGGAATCTCTGCTTCAATCGCCTCTTCAATCGCAGCAGCAGTCTGGTTACCTGGTACATAGATAGCAGAGGCATCTGGCTTTGCCTTCTCTTGAGCCTATGAGTTCTCAATCTAACATTAGCATGAGGATATCATCAAAAACATCTCTGATCTTGGTGCACCTACCACTTTGACAGATGGAAAGATGGGTAGGCCAAGGTGCTCTCCCTCCACTCCAGGCTTGACACCTCCAACAATCTTGGTGCCCCATTCCAAGGATTCCTTTACGTTGGCAGTCGCCTGCCGTCCTACCCGTGCAATCGCTTAGCATCAATTGTCAGACTCTGACCCCAGCATTCCGTTCCACCTACCCGTGAAGCCTTGGAACAAAACACGCGTACGTGCTCCAATCTTCAAATTGGGAAGCGTGTCGGCGTAGCTGTATGCTCGTGGACAGCTCGAGAATCGTCTCATCAGCCGCGTGCCTACTTGAGGAGTGAGCCTTGGCACTGTTGGCACCGCCATGATGAGGATAGAGTGGTCGGGCCAAGAAACCCTCGGCGAAACTGGAGAGAAGCGGAAGAAGGAGATTTGAGAGAGATTCGATGACTCTGGTAGATAGTATCTATCAATCAATTGAATTGACTATCCAGACCATCACTTCCTCAGTGGGTAGTTCCTTGGACCGCGTCGCCAACCTTGAGCCACCCAGCCGATCTCGGCAACTTCCCCACACCAGATGCGGGCATCACCGAGGTGTTCGGGGGTGAGGGGCCTTGGAAACAAGGCATCAAGTAAGAGAGGCTTCGTTCCAATGTCAGGTATAGGTGACATTCGACCTCTTTTGATGTGTCAACGACGTGCTCAAGCTTGTAGCTAAGTCAGGGTATACTACCAAAAATTCTAGAGGGTCCATTAAACGCATGGAATCCGCTATGTCATCAAATGTGTGATTTGAAGCTGCGATATTCCGAACGACGGCTGCCAAATCAATGCCCGCTAACATTGCAAGCTTCCAGAATGTGACAAGATTCTTTCGTCTTCTGACATGTTTCTCGTGGAGTATCAATCTCCTCACAGATGGTGCGATTCATTCCATCTTGAAATCGAGCCCAAATCTCAAGAATTGGGTTCAGACATTGCAAGAAAGCTTATAGCTGCCATAAGCACCTTCCCCAGACACACATCCAGCAGAGCTGATATTGCGACCATTCAGGTTGCACTGCAGGTCACTATACAAATAGACTGCTAGAATATCAGTAGGTTAGTCCAGTAGAGCATCTTTGGAATTCTTTCTTTCTCATGACATGAAGTCAACGTCCATCTTTGTATAGGCGAGCCAACTTACGGACACATCCTGCATCGATTCTCTCAACCTTCACAGATTGAATAGTGCTGCTTGGATCCAACTCGTTGCACTTTTCGGTTTGATCCCCATATATGCCTTCCTCGCCGAAGTTCAGTATTTCACACTGAGGCTGACCCCAGAGACGCAGCTGAACGTAACGGTGAGATGGAACCGCAGCTGCGGAGACAGTGGCTGCCAGGGTGATTGCAGAGGTCAAGATGGCGTTGATGTGCATTTTGGCGGGCGATGAATGGAGGTTTCTGAAAGAGAGACTTAGTGTAAGGACTTGATGTATTGAGAAGGTCTGATGCCACACTTCAGGGTTGGTGAGAAGATTCTGAAGCCGTGGCTGGAAGTGGTACGTTTTTATACTCTCTTGAACATACAATATGCCAGTCCACGAGGTTTAAGCAGTCAGCGGCGTCCTGAGAAACTACACTCCGGCAGGTCAGACATTCGAATTTAGAAAGCTGAGGTACAACAGCTGGAAATTACCTCAGGTGGAACTTCCAATCGCGCGAGCAAAATCCTAAGGGGTAGGGTAGCCGAAGTCACCTGGACATTGATATTGGATGAGCAGTACCTCCTGGTAGGTAGGTAATGTACGTTTACATTGACGGGCGGAGTGCCCGTGAATGGCCTATAAGGTTACAAGTGTATGTAAAGTGTACAGCTGATGTTGAGGCCCCCAATGCAGGTCTCAGAATGCTTGATTTGTGCGTATATCCTCGAGGGGGCGTAGTGTTTCTTACTACCGCACCTTTATTGCTGTCCTTCTTAACCCAAGTTACGCCGGTCAACCTTAGCCCATCGACTTGCAACTGGTAATCGAACAATGATCTAGCACTGAGTTTGAGGCAATTGATATCTAGTCAAATCTTTAGGGTTTTAAACTGGCTGAGGATCGCGGAGACGCTGCTAAAACCACTTCGTCAAGTATGAGAAACGTAAGAGGCGAGTCACCAATCGAAGGAGATGGAATCTCCGTCATGAGGGATCACAATTGAATAGTGATAATGTCATGTATCTCTATCTAAGCACGCACGTTGTATCATCGTCTGCAAAACTTTGCGTCTTCCGAGACCTTCATCCACACAGCGTACAAGATTCATCACACTCTCGTGGAAAGAAACCGAGAGCACTGGAATTCTTCATGAAACTATTTTTAGATCCGAGATGTATGTATGTATGCACGAGATCGAGTCTTGCATAAACCGGCTTCCGGGCATGAGCCCGTGATCGAGGCTGACGATCTACAATCCGATGCACTGGCTGTACGTCAGATCTACAGTATCAGCTGACGAGGCCACCAATGCGGACCGATACAGTCATGCATGAGGTTCCGGGCTGAAGGGCCACGGAAGACCCGATGGAGGTGTAGATTGTCAGCTGTGCATCACTTGTCTTACGGTCTTGCAAATGATCTCACCTAAGCATTTTTCAGAGTCCTTTTCCCAAATCAATGATCATGAAATACTTTAGTTGCACTTGACAACGAAATGGCTAAGAACTTCCTGTTTGTGGAGAATATACAGATTTGGGTTGTTTCTTTATCGCCCAAGTATTTATTTCCTATTGCCCACTTGCTCATCAATTTAGCAAAAAGTATCTTCAAAGACTTCAGACACAGACCACGCAAGTATCTCCACCTATTTCATTCACACTGTTCAATATATCCATCCTGATCAAAGATGCATGCTCTCCTCAATATTCATTGAGGTGCAGTTTCTTTCCAACAAACTTTCGCCTTGCCGGCTTGTCATTACGCTCACGTTCCGCGTTCACTCCCTTAAGAGCATGCAAAAGCATACCAGCATCGAAGAAGCCGTCTGTTTGAGCCGTTAAGTTAGCATTGAAGTACAGCATTAGGCTACCTCGAGATCAGACGTGTTTCAGAGAGCAAAGACTTCACACTTACAACCACCCATTCCGTCATCTTCGATCTCCGCGCTATCCGTAGTAGTGGCCGGTGTCTCAAAGCCGCCGCGGCCGTCGCCTCGGACAACACGACCCCGTCGATTGGAATCAGGATGATGACGCTCTGTCATGCCTTCATTCTCCCTTGCCCGACTTGTTCGTGGACTTGTGGCCTTTCGATTGGTTGCGCGAAGCAGCTTTCTGATCTCAAAGAGATAGGACTCAAGTGTGTGCATGAGGCGTGCCGTTTGCCGATGCTTCGAAGAGGCGCAGAATGAAATGGAGTCGTCCTTAATGATGTATCCGATACCGAATCCGTCAGCAGATGTTGGACCGAACCCGAAATGACGCAAACATGGATTGCCACAGTTGGACGTTGACAACACAGTAGTGTTAATCTTGTCCCAACCTGGATCACTGAAGATTGCGGGAGTCTGAGGCACCATCGTGCGCATCCCGCGGTTACTACCACTATCTGGTGAGGTAGACAAGCCATCTTCCGATACTCCAGACAGCACCCCTTCGCTGGGGCTTGAGTAACCCTCAGCAGAGCTGCTGTCTAGGAAAAGACTCTCGTCAAAAGTTCGCTGCCAGAGGCAGTACAGAGCGTATAGGTGACGATCTGGGCCTTGTCCCTTGGAACACTCCTTGGTCATGGCGGAATGCTTCTGGGTCGCAGTGCGGAGAGCATCAATCTTGTGCTCGGCCGTATTATCGCCCCAGAAGGCCTTGACGAACTCGACAGCTTCGGGCGTCACGGTACGAATGGCCTCAGTCCGACCATGTAAAAAGAACTTTGTCATAGCCGGCTCATAGGTATTTTCAACCCGACCGTAGAGCCCATAATAGGCTGCCTGGAAAGCCATCTGCACAAATGCGTCGGGCGAGAATCCCATAGAGGTGATGAAGTTCTTGCCGAAGCCCTCAAAGTCAAGAACCTGGAATTCATGCTGGTGCAAGAGATCAGATAGATGGGATTCGGCAAATCTGAGGGCGATGTTCATTTCTGGAGTCATTTCCCACTCTAGCTTGCGAGGTGTCGTGCTCACATTGCCAAAGCTGCTCGGATCACGTTTGGCTGGATCGGGACTTGAAGTGGCCCAGAGACTTGGGGCCTGTCCATTGATGGTCTTTGCAAATCGAAGAATAGTGTCAGTGTAGACGTCACTAGCAAAGCGCAGAACCGTGTGGCCGTCCACACCAGTGTGTTCAAAGTTGATTCCAGCACTTCCATTTTTGCAGACAATGATTTGCAATTTGTCGTACCATCGATTAGTGCACGTTCCGACCTGCACTCCCTTGACAATCTCGCTCGTGCCGCACAGCATGTTAGCGCATAACTCTGCAGTACTTGTGGGCTCCGTGTCATCAAGGCAGAGCACGAACAGAGCGGTATCGACGATGTTCAAGCACTCGGCATTGTTCGAGGTTGCATCTTTTGTCATAATCTCGCGCAGACCTGACCACACTTTGCGATTCTCGGTGCTCAGGACCCCCAAGGCTCCCTTTGCAGCTTCATGTACAGGAGTTTGGGCTGCATCCTCGATGATCACGTGTAGATTCAGAGAAATATCTTTCTCCGTCATAATCAGGTCACTATTATCGTCAAGCACATCAAACCAGTAAAACTGGCCTCGGCACAGGACTACCATGTGTCTAGCAGAAGGATCTTGACTGATGACGCAACCGTTGTCGGTGGGGAGTCGAGCTGTTCCAAACATGCGAGAATATTGATACATGCACAATGGCGTTCCTCGTACAGTATCAGGTGGCAGCTCTTCGCGACGCACTGCTCGAACGAAGGAGAGAGCCGAGACAACCAAGGACGCTGCACGGGTTACCTGGTGATTCCGAGCTGGGGTCGGATCGTCCTCCAAGAGGAAGAATGGATTGAGATTCAGAACCACAGCTGATTATATGTTAGCGGCACAGAAAGATATACTCGCGTGAAAGAAGTCGAGACCCACGATTATCAAAGTTCAGATAAGAATCATACCCTGTATCCGGTCAGTGTTACTGCTGGTGGTGATGCACGTGTTACGGCGGTGGTGGTTACGTACAAAATTGCTCGATGTAGCTCGTCTTTGACGAAGCGTATGTTTTAAGCTTCTCTTGGAGTGTGGGACCCTCGGTCTTGAGGAATTCATTGACAGCCGCTTTGGTCTCTTCATGTTCACGAATAGTCTGCAAAGCGGACAGTGCTTCCAGATGCTTTCGGCAAGTGTCCTCCAGGCTCGGAATAGGAAGCTTGGGTAGCGAGTCCTGATTTGCAAATGTGAGGCCTTTCCTCATCGGTTGGTGATTCACCACTGCTTCTGATGAAGGATGGCTGGTTGAGATGCTTGGCCTGAGCACCGTTTGGCCCGGGGAGCTAGCCGCAGGCTGCGCAGCTGTGTTGGACTCCATGACATTTCCTAGAGATCTCGGGGCAGTGAAGAAACGAACTGCTGTGTTGGAGTAGGACATGGTGATTAGTAGGGATTGTGGCAGTTGGGAAATCCCGATCAATGGTAAGAGGAGGCGAGGCAGGTGGGTAGGGACAGGAGTCGCAAAGCAGTGCGGTAGAAGTAGTGACAATCTTGTAGGCAATAGGGTGGCATGAGGAGCTGACCAGTCGCGACGTGATTTGGGGAGTAGTTTGCACGTCGAAAATTTGCGAGTCGTCTGGGGGAAAGTCTTCAGACCACTGCGCTCGGTGGCTGAGAGACGAACCGGTCTTATATTATACAGCAAACAAGCACACCCCGCTTACTGCGTCTGCCTCGCAAAGCAACAGGAAAAGGTCGGGCCGAGTCGCCAACTCCGCTTCGAAAAACACACGGAAGAACCAGTAACAAATGGGAGACTCACGGGGAATTCACAAGCACCAGGGTGCCAGGTGGAGGATTACCGGACTGGGCTGTTGGAGCTTGGGTTTGCTCTGCAGTATAGCGCCGGAGGAACGGATGAGCCTATCTTGGACAGGTGCACGTCAAATCGATTTCAGTTCCCGCCTTGCAGTACAGCCTGCAGCCCAGCCTGTAAGTCTGATCTGGGTGGAAGAGGTCGACAATTTCTGACGCGCAAGATGTGTGCCGGTCGGAGAAGTTCGCAATTTCTTCAAAAAGGAAGAATCATCGTAGAGGCAGAAAGGAAATTATAATGTCTTCGACATATACCGCCACGAAGATGATCACGCTGGCTTTTTTCCAAGAGGCCCGCAATGATCAGCAGACTAGAGTTTGATCAGAGGGACTCGGCAATTTGGCCGGATAGTCCGTGTGGGAGAAGCAAGTGAGGATCGGCTCAGAGCTCTCTCAATCATTCCTCGGCCTAACGTGAAGTTAACCTTTTGTTCCGAATTATTGTCAAGGTCTTTGTGTGTGTTCGTGATTTTAGGCGCACAGACAGAACTGGCCTTGGCTAATCATTCAGGTGGGGGAATATCCGTGGAGAATGGGTGGTTCATGGCTCAAGCTGTTCATTTGCTGCGGGAGGACGGACGGGGGCTGGCGATGACGTCTCGGTCGAAAGGAGCGACGTGGGGAAGTGGGTAGCGTGGTAGTCACGTGAGAACTATACTTTTGTCGAACAAGTCACTAGTGACTACTACCTTGCTACTATGACTGCCAAGCATGAGCTGCGATCGCGGGCTTACTCACGTTAGCCACGACCTCTTTCAGGTTGGCCTGAGAGTACAGTGCCCAGGTACCCAAGATAGCGCTATCAACTTTCCGATGTAGCTCAAAGAGAAACGCCATGAGGAGCTGTCCAGATGCAGTCGATTCCTGGCACATCAACTATCGGGCGAGAATCCTTCACGCTTTTAGTACAAGCTATAACGTTGAAGCTGGTTATATTTTTAAGGGAATCATGGCATGCACTCTTGAATCATACTGATTCTTATATTCTCCACCGGCATCTACTTGCAACGTCGAAGTGACAACAGACTGGGCTCAACTCCCAGTCGACTCAGCCTCAGTTGCTGGTGCAGGCTGTTCCCCAGTCGGACGCGTTAGCTCTTGCTTCTCCTCTTCTCGAGTCTGCAGAGCCAGTGCTAAGAAAAGGTGTACAAGCACCCTCATGTCCGCCCGCTCCTGAAGATTCTTCTGAAGATTCCAGGGACCTCACTGTTACGTCGCATTGCTCGGAATTCCATCACCAGACAGAAAGGCCATATATTCATCGCCGGCCATAGCCTTTGCGATGTATAGCTTAGTGGAGTCCCGGGACCCAAAGAGATGGACCCGTTTTGGTTGACTTCTTGAATGAGACATCCTCTGCAGAGTACGGTCTAGTCATTGCGTGCGACGGAGTGACCCTCTTGAACCCGGGCTATAAGTATAGAATGCGCCGAGCGCGAGGACGTCTTTCAATTGATAACAACTATTTAGAAAAGTCTAGAGGTAGTGTCACATAAGATAGTGCTTCTTGAATTGAAGAACCGAATCGTGGTGCACGCTCCCATTCTTCAAAGCCGCCCGCGACGTACAAGCTCCCTCTGCCAACTCGGAGTCGTAGACATTGTCGACGACGCGGGGATTCTCAGAGGCCGTCAGCTGAAAGGTTCTTGTTCCTGCCAAGGTCAAGGTTCTCTTTTATTCTCTTTGTCTTCGAAGAGCCTGGAAGTCTTTTTGGGAACGTGTTTTGGTTCCCTGGCAGGCACACTGGAGCTCAGGCGGGACCCAGTGTCACTAGGGACATACCCGGACTCGTCTTTGTCCTCGAAAAATTCGGCGTCTTCGCCATAGTAGGGGCTGCACGCATAGTACCTCAGGAAGAGACGCCAGAGCAGATTATCTGTATCCTGAAAGGAGTAGATCGGCGAAGTCCTGACCCTCAAAACGCCGGACGTGTCGTATCTTGCCTGGATCACACGGCCGTTGCCAAGTCCGTGGAAGAAAATGCCGAGAACCTGCAGTGAGAGAACTGACAAGGTAACGAATTAGTATTGGTAGTATGTGTGTGGCTAAGGTGACCCGCGAGAAAGATTAGGTCTTAAAGGAACGTATTGAGAGGAGCGAGGTCTCAAGTTCCTGTTGTATCAGGCGATTATCGATGGCCTAAGCGACGCATGCTAGCTCGCAAAACAGCAACTCGCCTTCAAAGACAATTGCTCCGGTGCGCATAATGAGCATAACATGGGCGTAAACAATTTGTTTGTTTCGCCACTCGTATACGACCCGGACATTGAAGAATGGGGATTCGAAGGTCGGGCGAAACCGGCCAGAAAGCCTTCAGCAAGCTCTAGAAACGGGTTGTCGTATCTTGGATGCGTCCAGTCACAGATAGTAGCAAGTCTCTTGTAGTCCTGCGTGTCTTTCTTATCCTTTTGGTCCTCCTTGACCGTTATGGATGAGTTCTCGAATCGCTCTTGGTGGTAAAGAAGGGCAAGGTTTGCGTTTTGACTCATCATTTCCGCATCTTTCATACTAGAATGACGATGTTCTTCTGTATCGCCTAGAGAGACATCCTGCCAAAGCTCGTTATAAACATTCCGAATGTTGTCATCGCATTCGGGTGTATCAAGCGACCATCCAGCAAGCCTCTCTCATGAAATCGGGTTGAAGAGACAAGCGCTTGACGTAGCGAAGCCTGGATCTTCAGCGCTGAGATTTCCAGGGTGACTTGAAGCTTTGCGAGGTTCTAGCGTGTGTACGTGAGCTCTGGACTGGACACAAGGGACTCCAGCAGGTTGGTGACAGCGGCTGTATATCGAGCCCCGAGAGAAAAGCGGCTTCCAGCAAGATTCGAGTGCAAGGGTTCCATCGTTGTGCCACGAAGCGAGGGCGAAGAGAGAGAGAGAGACGATTTAATGGAACAATGGGAGAGAGGTTAATAGCGAAAGGGTCGACAATGAAGGGAGGGACGGAAAAGAAAATCAGAAGTGGGAGAGGGGAAGTAAGGGATTAATATTCCCAGGTGCTCCAGGGCATCATCATCATCATCATCGTCATCCATAGAAGTAAACACTACATCAGCCCACGGCGAACAACCTTACTACTGAGGAGCGACAAGCAACTTCCGAGATCTGGGCCTCCATTTCTATGTCACTGCCAGGCACAACGGCTTACGACGGCCACATGCTGTAGTAAAGATCAGCAGGTAGTTTGTCCTCAGCAATTCATTTGCAAGCTCAAGATTTGCTGGTGGACTAGCTCTCTGTATTCTAAGCAGATTTGCCCTTTGGGTCGTGAAGCGGTCATATCCCATCGCAGCGCCCAGCCTAGTCTTGTCTGCTAAGCTTTCAGTTGCTCATGAAATGAGGATTCTGGCCAGAGACAAGAAATATAGTTTAAACATGCATTCACTTGAGAGATTGGAAGGGGTATTCTGTTTACCGCCAACAAAGCGACCTAGATCATTTGACTGTATAGTGTCGACGACAATCCATTCGAAATTTCAAGCGTCATGTGTCCAGCAGTTCCTCGTGGACGCGTCACGGCCTCAGCAAACGTGTAGCTCCTTCAGTCGCAGCGTCTCCTCTTCGGAGTTTTTGAGATACCCATTCTTCATAAAGTAGCTTAGCAGCGGGGTGTTGTCAAAGATCCAATCCCGAACGTTGGCGAGTGGTCGAGGCACACTGTGGAACAACCGGCCAAGATGACGCGCAAACTCCATGTTGTGATTCACATAGTCGACTCGTTCCTGCTCATATAGCTCGAATCCCGCAGAAACGGCATGCTTGTCACGAAGGTCGACTCCATCCAGAGCTCTGGCCAAAAAGTATCCGTCCTCGATTGCCATGCCCATTCCATACGCTGCATAGGGCGAGACGGGATGCACTGCATCGCCCACACAGACAATTCGTCCCGACGACCATTTCTTCAAGGAAGGTCGATTGTAAATTTCCCATCGGTAGACCTGGGTGTCAAAGTCGGTGGCTTCCAAGAACCGAGGCATTGGCTCTGCCCAGTTCTTCAGAATACCCGCGACATGGGCTTTGACGTCTTTGGGGATGGGCTTTCCCTCATAGGAGGGCTCAACCACCCACCACTCGAACCCTGGCTTGCCGTCGTGCGTCATGGGGAAGAAACTCGCCTGGTTGAGTCGGTCGTGCGAGATAAAGCCCGTATTTGGCGGGATTCCGGGAATGTAGTCGCACCAAGCGAGCCAAAGGCGGATTCCGCAATGGAAGAGCTGTGGATCTCCAAATGCTTGTCGGGAGACTTGAGAGCGAATCCCGTCGGCACCGACGACAATATCGGCGGTGACGTGCTGCCCATTTTGGAAATGCAACTCGACTTCATTCTCTTTCTCGACATAGTGAGTGAATTCATGACCCGGGAAGATGACATGCTCAGGTACGAGCTCCAGCATCTTCTTGAAAATCGAAGAGCGCAGGACACCATAGTGCCATCCTTTGATTCCCATTTTCCGTTCAATCTCCGGATTGAAGGGTAGCTCTACTCGCGCCATGCCTACCTCGTTCTTGAAGTAGGTTACGGTGAAGGAGCCAAAGTGCTCGGCGCTGATGCCATAGTTACGGAGGATGGCCAGCACTGGGGTGGATAGCAACACCGCGCCGCCTATCGCTTTGCAAGATGACTGCCGCTCAAAGATGCGGACATCAAAACCTCGCTTCAGAAAGGCGATGCCGGTGGAGATTGCACCAGGCCCTCCTCCAACAATGGCCACACGTTTTCTGGGACGCCATGAGTCTTGTGACATTGAAGATGACTGGTGGTTTCTCTTTGGAGAAGCGGCCGAATCTGCGACGATGTGGGGTACGAGGTGTAGTTGAGCCTACGTCTCCCGGGAAGTGTGTTGACAGACTGTCATTTGTTCTGTCAAAGCTTGGAACCTGAGAGAAATAAAGACATGTTTAAATAGGGCCACGCCGTTCGAACCCACTGAATCTGTTGACTGTTTTATCCCTTTCTCTTGACCAGGATTGGAGACCAATCACCACCGCAGTAGAAGGTAGACCACAGACGAGATTATACACGTCGGGACCAAAAATGGCCCACATCCCGGTCGATCTGGGAGAACAGAGATTGGATTGATGACTTGCACGGCCGTTGATACGGGCGATTTTCTGCCCACGCGCGGGGAAAGTTCCTTAGGAGCATCAGTTGCGAATCCCACGAAATACCCCCATCTTCCCCAGATTCTCGCCTAAGACTGAGTAGGTAGTGGTACCTGTTGATTGAGTCGACATTAATGAGACAGACGTCTGGCTCACATTTCCTGCGAAGATCTGATCTGGATCGTAGGTATTGAGGCGAGACGACACTGGAAGCTTGCGTGTAGTAGAAGAGGCAAGTTGAAAGGAAGAAGAAGGGAGTCAGTACTGAGTAATTGGAAAGAGTAGGATAGACGGATATGAAGCGTGCGACTGTTGAATGATAGCCAGCGACACGATGGTGTTTCAGGGGTACCGGTGCTGGGCATGCTGGACCCATTGGGGTTGAGAGAAAAATCATCGAGGTGGGAAACAGGTGATGGGCTGCAATGTGGAGTTGCATACTTCTTTTCGCAAAATGAGAGTACTCCCTTACTGAGAGTAAGTCTCTTTCTTAGTACTGGGGTGGAATATAGGTACCTGAGTAACGAAAGACACAAAGGGCGTGGACTAGATCTTTCGAGTATCGCATCCTCCCATCAGCTCCATCTGGCAGCCTAGGTAGGCAAGGTGGCCGGTAAGTGGAGCCTATTGCATACTGATGTCTACCTGGCTACTTAAGGATGGAAGAAAACGGAAAAGAACACGAGTGCAATCAAGAGGCTTATTTGCATACTTTTTTTTTGTCATACATCACATGGCGGACGTGACATCCTTCTTTCGGTCTTTGTGCACGGAGACGGGAGGATATGCACTCGCTAGAAGAACACGGCAGCAGGCAAAAGCCAAAAGAAAAAAAAAAGTATTCACAGATTCAACGGGGTCACCATCTTGAATGTTCCCTTTGTGTTGTCCACGAAAGAGACCGGCTGAGAAACACAAAGAGTGAGGACATAATTTGAGATAGTTACAAGCCCTTTGTTCCCATTTGTGAATTGGTCATTTTTTCTCGAAGTCGAGACAGGCTTCCCGGGCCGAACCGAGGTAACGACCGTCCAAAAATTGCCAATGACTATCCTTGCCGACACTCCACCTGGGTTAGGAAGCAAAGCTATCGAGGATTTGGGGAAACATTCAAAGAGAGGCTGAGAGAAGAGAAGATAATATTGGCAAAGAAAACAGCGATGAAGGGTAATGTCGGATCGCACATGCAGATGGCGCTGGCGGTCGAGACTGTTCATCATGCGTCGGATTGGAACCCTCGGTCACCATCGCAAGAACAGCGGAGAGAAGACATCTCTGGGCCGATGCAGGACCTAAGCCACGTAAGAGGGTTGGCGAAGAGGAGCCAGGACGTTGTCACCGTACTCGGTGCCAACGTTGCCAGCTGGGTAGTAGTTGCAGACCGTAAAGGGGAGAGCCATGCTCGAGTCCACGTTGCCCAAGTTCGGGCAAGTGACCGTGGCGCAGCCGACGTGGGTGGTCCCCTTCCAGACGATCTGAGAGAAGTGACCCCACTTGTCGAAGAGGGTCATGTCGGGGTTGGGGGAACCGTAGGGTTGAGGGAAATAGTTGATCTCGTCGTTGTACATCAGGTTGGTGATCATGACACCAACATCGCTGGCCTCGACACCGTAGCCGATGTTTTGACCGTAGCTACCGGCCGCAATGCTACCACCAGGGATAGAGCTGTACCAAACGAAGGTTAGCGATGTTTCTCCCTCCACGTCACAGACCAGGCGCAAGAACGGGCAGGAGGATTCAACTTACACATCGTGTTCGTAGACGCAGCGGGAGGCCAGGACCTTGGCGCTCGACTCAAGATCCGCAGACCAGTCGAGAGAAGAGGCAGAGTGGTTGCTGCGGTGGACATTGTGGTTGTAGAGGACGGTCGACTGATACGAGTTACCAGCGGGAGCACTGGCAGGGGCGGCAGCCTGAGTAGTGGCAGCGGGGGCGACGGAGAGAGTAGAGGTCCAGGCAGTCGACCACGCGGAAGAGGAGACGACCGCAGTCTCGACGGGAGCCGGAGCCTGCGTGGTGACCACCGCGGGCTCCTGCACGGGGGCGGGAGAAGGTTCCTTGGCGGCTTGAGTCTCCACGGGGGCCGGGGCACTCGAGGTCACGGGCTTTTCAACGGCCGAGGTCGAGCTGGGAGCGACGACACTTTCCACCACGGGGACAGTGGTGGTGGGCGCAACATGTTGAAGCTGGACCTGAGGCGGCAGCACCGTCTCGGTGACGGCGGGGGCAGTGACCGTCTCGGTCACGGTCACCGTAGTCCAGTCGGTCACGTAGACATCCTTCTCGACGGCATTGACGCAGCCGGCGGCGAGAGCAGCTAGGAGGAGAGTGAAACGCATATTGTTCAGTCGATGTGTGATCGCAGATCAGTTCCCAAATGGAGTCAATCCGTGGATATCGCGAGCGAGGATTTGAGATTGGTCGAGCGAATGGACTTCTCCAGGAAGTGCTCACGAGTTGGATGTGCGAGATTGAGTATGTAAGTGTTGATGGTGTTGAGATGAGGCGTGAAGCGAATGTCAACAGAGCAGATCAACTGCGTGCAGTATTGGTTGGGCCTAAAAAGAGTGTAGGTGCGCGTGAAACAGGGGGTGTAAAAGAATGACAGGCCAGTCCACAATCAAGTGTGACACGGCGGGAAAGGAATGAATCAGCGTAGGGAGAGAAAGAGTGAAGAATCTCGAGAGCAACAGAGAGGGAATCGACGAGGTCAAGTAGTTCAAGTAGGGGAGGAATGAGGAGAGAAACAGAGCGAAGAGGGTCCGGCCGAGTGGGGCGATGTTTGAGTAAATTGAGGGTTTAATTAGGGGAGATGAGCTCAGGACTGGGCGTCTCGGTCTGGGTTCTCGAGGCCACGACAGCAGATCCGACACACACGGATGGCACGGATGGAGGAGGGTGAGCACGATGATGAGGCTAATCCGATGGAAAGGGCGAGATCGAGATGGAGGGATCCAGAATCAATGGGTGGTCGTAAGAAGGTCTTGACTTCGTTAAATTGCAGCGTTGCACTGTCGGTGAAATCGGTGATCAGCCGGAGCAGACGGTGATGGGCTTCCTCGCCGTCCTTCTTATTGTTGATTTCTGTCTGCTGCACCCTCTCCGCGACACATTCCAGACAACGTCCCCGCCACGAACGGGCGCGGAACATTCTACATTCCAACGCGTCCCTTCCAGCGACGAGACGATGATCTTCCACTCACAGTGTCCGATTCGATTGGGACTCTCTCTCGCGCGCAGACGACGGCGTGGCTGGAGGGCAGAGCCATCAATCTCAACCACCTCACCAGCCCGGCTGATCGTCGTGTCAGAGTTCCGATCTCTAATTCTTCGATGAGGGACCACAAAACAACACCAAGTAAGTACTACGGTCTTACTCATGGGCGTGATGCGGAATGGATCACATACTGCAGTGCTGGGGCCTGCTTGACCTGCTTCACCTGTCCAAACGAGGTTGGCCAGAGTTCCAGATTCCCACTGGGAGGAGTCGTCTCGTCCTAGAATGGCAGAGGGTCAGCGACTTTCTCTCTTTTCTCTCTCTCTCTCTCTCTCTTTGTCTCTCTCTCTCTCTCTCTCTCTCTCTCTCTCTCCCCCCCCCCCCCCCCCCCCCCAAGACGCCCAGCAGGACAGGACGGTGTAATTTGCAGGAATCTCCAATTAACCTACTGCGACCCCACCCTCTCCCAATGGCGAATCAGTCGTGATCTGATCGTACGGAGCACCCTCGATTGGTGTTTCATATCCGTCGTTACCCCTGGCCGATGCAGTGGATCCTCCAATGCGATCCCTCATCCGCGGGTTTCCCCTGCTCTCCCGCGGCTGCAGGGACGCCATCGCACGGTGGCTTGAGCGCCGCGCGTACGACAGGCCGGGCTCTCGATGAGGTCGTGACACACCCATAAGAGCCCAAGAGGTCTGAAGGTCCCACAGAGTCAGGCACCAGCCTGGTGACACCCGAACGCAACGGGGATCAGGTACCGGCGCCATGTGAAGCGACCGAGGAGAGAACTGACACCCAGACACAGGGTTCATGCTCACCAGTAACCCGGATCCCTACTTGCTCAGATCAAACAACCTGACTTTGGACCAGTCGGGCGCCTCGAGATCCAGATCCAGCTGAATATTGTCAACGTTCACAGCTCACATGATGTGAAATTCAAGTATTTCCTTCAGAAGATCGCAAGATCAAGACAATCGTGGCACAGGACGGTATGAGAATCGGTGCCCCAACCCTGGGGAACCCACCTTTCTGGGTCTGGCTTTCGCCTCCGGTGTCAGACCGCCGCATGCTTGAAAATTGCGTTTGTGTCATGTCCCACTTGAGCATGTCACTATGCACAATTGCACATCGTCCGGCATGTTTGACCCGGTCCCACGATGCTACGGCGATCTGTCTCTCCTCAAGCGTGGATCATGAGAACTCGGGTGCGGTCATGAGCACTGCAAGGCTTGCAGTGCAAGCCCCTGCCCTGTCATTCAGGGTGTGTCTGTCTGATGATCTGATCTCGTCTGCTTTTCTGGTCGAAGCCAGACTTGCCGCCCATGAAGAGTCGCGGGTTTCAGCATGCCGGGGCCCTCTCCCCGTCACCACACTGCCCCAATAACGAGTCCACCGACAGGGGGAAAGACTTCAGATCGGAAATGAGTCCGCAGAGACCCACTGCGACGGTGCCGCTAAAAAACTTGGCTTCGAGTCTGGACTCTCACAGTCGGACGTCCTCCAGGACTCGCTTTCCCCCGTGTTTCAGGGGGACCGGTCAAGTACCGAGTACAGGAACAACCCTTTCGGTTCTTCGACTGACGACTTGGAATTGATCAGATCTTTGTGACTTCTCAGCAAGTCGGACATACCTGATCAGTGAGAGGAGCGAAGAAGTACCAGTGTACAGTAGAAACCCACCACTTTCACATGTTCTCCCAGAACGCTGACCTCATTGATGAGGTCGGGGTCCCTCCCTACTAGGCTACTATTACACTTCTAGTCGTAGAGCTCAATAGCACATGACTCGAGTTGGTTAGAAGTGAGGAGTACGTACTTTGACATTTCTCCGTATTCCACAGTAGACTACCTTACTAGACTGAGACCTGAGTAGTAGTAGCATTCGTCCATCCAGTCATCCACTGTTCAAATCTGAGCCGTCCCAACTTCCAAGTAACTGCAGGACTGCACTCGCGCATGTACTGCCATGATTCATCTCTTTCTCGACCCCCCTCGATGAGACGTCAAATCTTCCTACCCATGACTTCATCCCGTCGCACATACGATCCGTCCAACAACAATGTTTCGGTCCGTTTGATCATCCACTCGGCGGATCCCTCGATCGACGCGCCCGACCTTGTACTGTACTTCTAGCTCCTCCGATGATCCGTTCCGTCGAATGTCACTTGGGTCCTGTGTAATGATTCAGTCCAGACTCTAGAGTGTCCAGCAAGTCTGAGTACCTGCTGTGTGATCCACCCTTGACTTTTGGGCTTCATCTCCCTTGGTCCAGTCCCTTGTGCGTTCCGACCCGTTCATGTGACTCGGACACGGTACATGCAATGGTGGCACTCCTCCAATTCGAGATCTACGCTGGACACTAGACACTGGACACTGGACACTGGACACTGGACACTGGACACTGGACACTGGACACTGGACACTGGACACTGGACACTGGACACTGGACACTGGACACTGGACACTGGACACTGGACACTGGACACTGGACACTGGACACTGGACACTGGACACTGGACACTGGAGACCATCACTTCCACTTCTCTAACATCCCTGTCTTTTACCAGCCCTGAACCAGACATCGTCACCGAAGAACTAAATCCCCCCAATGACCGGATGGCTCGTGCAAGCCCTGTACACCACGTACTGTGGTGAGCACACACATGGATGGATACAACCCCAGCGTCTTGGTAGTCTATAAGACTGTGCCTACTGCCTGGTGAATCGCGGACACCCTCAGGGGATCCAGGAAAGGAATTTGCCCCTGGATATTCTCCCCGGAAAAATGAAAAGCATCAGGAACTTGGAAGAATCTAGCAATATCAATTTCAACGAATTGAAACGTCGCTCATCCGCCACCGAGATTTACAGTAGTGACAGCGGGAAGAGAGGTGCGGAGCTAGCCTAGACTGATCACCATTGAAGTGACCGTCAAGCACTTACTAGTTAGTAGTTACTGGTTACTACTAGACTAGTAGACTGAGTCTACTAGACCCTACTAAGTTAACACTAACCACCTACCTCCAGGCTCCTCTACTCAAGTTAGTACACATCGTAGTATTGTAGTAGTGCAATTTCCGACAAATGCTCGCCACTGGTTCGGTGGAGTGCCGAAAACGCCACCGTGAAAGACGTTGAGTACCAACCGTGCATCGCAATTTAACCTTAGTACATTAAGTACCAACTAACTGGAACCAGTCAGATGTTGAAGGACCAAGGGCAGAGTAGGAGACAACCTCAGGGACTCGGGTCCGTCCTACAGACGACTAGGTGAATTACAGCGTGTACTGTGTAGTGATTGCACTAGATGGCGATGCAAATGTGAAAGTGCGCCCCGATCTAGCCTGCAGCTATCGGCTAGGCTACTGCTTTACTATCTACTACCTTAGTACCTACTCATCTACTGTGGTTGTGAAGGAGTGAATCCGCCGATGCATGGAAATGTACGTTTGCTCTGGACTTGATGGCCCTGGGTTGGAGGCCTCTACTTTATCTTCTGACGTTCAGCCCCTATACACTACGTCGGGCATCAAATGCGGGTAGGCCCTAATCGACACCATCCAAATAGATCGTTGACGGCAATAGTGAGGAGGAAATACTTTTGATAGTTGATCGGTATCTTTTCGAGACCGACTAGTATCGAACAAGTTGTCCCAAAGGGGGGGGAAAGAAAGAAAGAAAAACCAACAGAGGGACGCACTGTTTGAGAGCGTCCCATAAGAGAGAATCAGCAGAGACTCGCAAGTTGTAACAAATCAGTTACTCCCACTACAGCCACACCTCATCTATCAACCCAAAATTTGAATTGGAACATGTCCAAAGGAGGGGAAAAAAGAAAAAAGAAAAAGGCGTTAAAAAGAAAACGCCCACAGAAGACATGAAACAAGCAATCAGCAGTCAAATCAGACCAGTCACTCAAGATCAACAATGTTACACTGTCCAGAATGACAAATCATCATCTGGTTCTTTGCATGCTCTCCTGCCTTCAAATCCTTGAAAAGAGGATTACGAGACTTGAGCCAGAAGGACTGATTACCGACAAAGTCTTTGAGATGTGAAGGTCGAATGTCAACCATTGACGTGACTGCCAGAGTCGAACAAGGTCCCGCGCCGGCCTCTGCGCGTACTCGTCGCACTATCAAATCACGCGCGGCCACGGGCTGATCTTCTCGACCCTCGGAGCTCTCGCCCGAGCGCGACGACCCTTGACCGGTCTCGGTGGTACTGAAGACTCCGGTCACAGTCCGAGTCCCAATCTGGAGGCCCACAACCACGTCAAGCAGACCGACAAACAAGAAGGGATGTTGCAGAATCTCTACGGCAAACGAGTTGCAAGTCTGTCGAGCTAGAGTCCGGTATTGTTCCTCCTCGAGTAATGCTGCCAAGCGGAGCAGATTGCGGGCAATGACGGCGTTCACAGACGGCGTGGCAGACTCTGTGCCCGTCTTCAACCGAAACAGAGGGCCAGGCATGCCAGGAGTCAGCTCAGAAGAGGTGTTGAAGTAACCAGAGGATGAAGTCTCTGTCCGGGACAGGAAATGCTCGTTCAGATGTTCTGCAGTCACATACTGTTAGCCCTGTCACATTGTCTCTTCAGGCCCCTTACAAGACCGTTGGGGTCCATCCTTACTTTGGAGACGCTCAGCGAACTGTAAGTAGCTGTCGTCAAAGGTCGCTTCGTACATGTCCAGAAGACCACTGGTCAAAAAGGCGTAGTCATCGGCAAATCCAGGGGTGTCGCCACGACTGCCGTCACGCCAGATGCGCCATAATTTGCCCGTGGATCTTTCGAATAGATTTTCTTTAATGAAGCTCACAGCTCGCGCGGCAGTCTCGCGACAGGAAGTAGCTTTGGAGCTCTCAATGTCCTCAAATAGAACGCTGCATTTAGCCAGCGCACCGATCGCGAGACCATTCCAAGCCACCACAATTTTGTCGTCAAGGTCAGGGTGTCCCCTCGTCCTCTCACGGTGGTCGCGAAGCTTTTGCTTGCCATTCTTGATAATCCTGACTACCTCTTCTTCACTCAGACCGAACTCCTTGGCGAGCTTGCTTGGGGTGGTTTTGACGGAGAGCACATTTTGGTTCATGAATTCGTCATGCGGGTCGTACTCGGCCGCTACATTTCCATCCGGGAGCATGCCCCAATGACGAGCGCAGACTGGAGCATCTCGTGAGCCCAGAACCTGATTGAGTTCTTTGAGTGACCAAACGTAGAAGGCTCCCTCTCGCTTTTCTGTATCATTCGGACTGGGGTAGCTGTCAGCATCTTCCGAAGAGAAGAATCCGCCAGTCGGAGACTGCAGTGGCGCAGTTGTCAAATAGGCTGCCAAGTCGTAAACAGCACCCAAGAGCTCCGGGTCGTGGGTCAATCGGAAAGCATCCAGATAAACGTCCAGCAACTGAGCTTGATCATATAGCATCTTCTCGAAATGAGGCAGGCTCCAATCTGCCGTGACGCTATATCGGGAAAACCCGTGACCGATATGATCCCGGATACCACCGCGGGCCATATTTACCAACGTTGTGACTGCCATCGCTGTCGCCTTTTCGCATTCGTCTTTGCCAATCACATCTCGAACCTCTTCGGGATATGCACCCAGCCGGAGTAGGAAGGCGAGATTGGCAGGAGTAGGAAATTTGGGGGCTCGGCCAAATCCGCCGTTGATAGAATCATATCTCGACGCAAAATGTTGATAAGCCTCCTCGAGAAGCTCAACATCCAAATCTTCCTCGTCTTCCTCTTGACCCGTGGACTGTGAGTGTGTTCCCTCCTCTGCGAATTCTCGTAGTTGAGTCGTGATGTCCTTGGCACTCTCCAGACAGCGCTCCTGTTGTGTACTCCAAACATCTCTCAGTTTCTCCAGGATCTCCACAAAGCCGGTGGTCCCTGGACCGTGCAAAGTGCTCGAATTTGGCCCGGGCCAGTATGTTCCACCAAACACCGGCTCCAGCTCGGGGGTCAGAAAAACGTTCAACGGCCAACCACCCGAGCCTGTGGTTGCCTGCACGTAGTTCATGTAAATGTCATCAATGTCCGGACGTTCTTCCCGATCGACCTTGATCGGAATAAATGACTCGTTCAGGATTGCTGCGACTTCGGCGGACATGAATGATTCCTTTTCCATGACATGGCACCCTGGATCTCGTAAGCGAAGCGCTTTACTTTTACAAAGGCAACTGGCGCCTCTCCACCTCGTCACCTACAGTGGCAGGCTGAGTATCCGATACTCAGAAAAATCATCCGGTTATATTTCTTTGCATGGTTCACGGCTTCGGAATCCCAGAGCTGCCATGCGACAGGATTGTTCATATGCGCCCGTACCTATGAGAATGCCACGCTTTTCAGTGACAAGGCGCAATCGGAGAGATCAGACTGGCGGGTTTGCCAGCTACAAGACTCACATATGGTGATTTGCTCAGGTGCAAGCGATTGACCAGCTTCGGGCCGGCATCCGAGGTCTCATGCTGCGACTGCATAACGGGCATTAAAGGCTGTGAAACCAGCGCGTGCAGGTTTGCGGGGGAGAAATGCACCGCGTTATCAGCTCGGCCCAGGACGGAGGGGCTAACGCAATCCGGCAAGATGGAGTCCGCAGCAAAGGCACAGTACTTAGATCGGAGGTGGTAAGTTACTACTGAGCACTTGAGAAGTACCCCGCGATCGATATGAAAAGCCTTTGAACACGAACCTGGTACTAAGTTTGATGTCCTGAAGCCCGGACCAAGATCCGTGCACAATGTTTTTCTGTAATCCTCGATAGTTTGAAAGCTGCTTTGAAGGCTAATGTAGGGCGCTGTCGGTTGCAGGTCGAAGCAGTCGGACTTGAGGTGGTTGTGAAGGGTGGGGTGGGCCGAAGTTCCGTCTCGCCGTTTTGGGGGTTGACTTGTCTGGACTCTGGACTCTGGCGGCGCTACGAAAGATCCGAAGGGCGAAGAAAGTCCGGCAGATCGGCCCGTACGTCATCATGTTCCGGGTCACATGTGCTGGATTGCGCAATGTAGTGTTGTACCGTCTTAGTCAATCTACACGCCTCTTCAGGAAGAGAGATATTCTTGGTCGAACATACGCATATGTCGAATATGATATGCAGTGAGGCAAACAAAAGATTTTGTGATTGAAGCTCAGATTTGGTACATGATTCTGTCACTCGGTCCGTCGAGGGAAATGGCTGTGACCTTACGGGGCTCAAGTTGACGACTCATGCCGGTGATTCTTGTGGAGGGTATCGTAATTCAAGAAACAGCATCTCATTCCCTCATCAGTTCGGCCAGCTCTCGCTCCTCTTCTACTGTGAGTACGGGCTCGTTTTCTGGCTTCTTCTCGACAATTGGTCCGTTCCTGGAAAGGTCCACGGCCTTTTGTAGCTCATCGGGTCGGACGGACCATTGCCGAATAGTACCATCAATAGCGACACTAACAACGGTCGAACCAACCAAAGCGAGACCAGTCACTTCCTCGAAGTGGCCCGAGAAGGTGTGGTGCAGTTGACCGGTCTATCTTTGCTATTAGCACACGCCATCGCTGCGGGCATCGCTGCGGGCAATGGTTCTCAGAGAGACTTACAGATCGGTTCCAAACACGAACCTCCTCGTCTCGGCAAGCAGTGATGACCAAGCCTCCGTCTTCGTAAATGAGGACATCTCGCACGAAGTCAGGGTGCTCAAGAGACAGATTGTCCTTCCACCCGTCTGCTCTGACCAGACATTTGGCTGTTCTATCGGCGGACGCTGTCCACAAGTCTCCGTCTGCGTCAAAGAAGAGCTTGTTCACACTGGTCTTGTGAAGTAGAATTGGCTCAGATAGATCATCCCCACCAGTGAGCGTGAATTGGCGAATGGCACGATCACTTCCAGCGCTGAACACAACGACTTCGGGTGTCTCACTCCCGGGGTCGACCGCGAGATCGAGGATGCCCCGAAGATGGCCCTTGAAGGTTCTGGTTCGCTCCCCGGTCTCAATATCGAACACGAGAACTTTGGCGTCTGCACCGCCTGAGACGAGAAGGTCTTTCCCGTCTATCCTCATCGCAATGACAGATTTGACGAAGTCACTGTGTCCTTCATACTGTCTGCGCGGCTCTCGGGAAACCACGTCCCAGCTCCAAACAGTTTTATCCCAACAGCCAGCGAATAGTACTTTTCCATCCGGACTGACACAAAGACTGGTCAGGGGAGCTTCGGGCCCCTTATACAGTGCGTTGGTCTGACCAGTCTGGAAGGACAGGGCGAGATTGTATATCAATACTCGGCCAGTGGAAGAGACAATACGAGCAACAACTTACCTCGAGCACAACTCGCCGCACAATGCCGTTGCTCTGCGCTACATACACAGATCCTGGATTCCATTTGTCTGCAAAAATCGCGAGAATTTTACTCTCTAGTTTGATCGGATCGCCGTGGCTATTCTTAGACTTCGCCTCTTTCCGCTGCTGCTCATCAAGGGCAGCACTGATAATCAGTAGAACGTCGGAGGTCAGCGTAGATTCTCTTCCCGGTCACGCCACGATAGCTTCAATACTGACGTGGTTTGAAAAAAGTAGTCACGGTTTGATGAAGTCGTCATTTCGAGATCCAAGTGAGCGTTTTTCTTCCAAAATTCACTTCACTCCTTCTAGATTCTGCAACTCAACCAGATCGCTTTGAAGGTGGCTTTGGATCTGCCAGACGTGTTCACTGAGAACTGCACACTGAGCTTCTACGGCCTACTGTAGCACGAATCCACCGGACCACAGATCTCGCTTCTTCTCACTTCCCTTCCCTTCCCAGGTCGCCCACCTTTCCCTCACCTCATTCGATCACGTCGTTGACTTTTCGAACTTACGCTTTGAACAGCTTCGAATTTCAAACACCTTCCAAATCCAGTCCAAGTAGCGCGCGACCTGCGCAATCCGCCAGCATGGACATGAACCATTTGATTGGGTGAGCATACGGCGGCGGGACGAACCACTGGCAGGTGCCGCTGAACTGAAGCTAACATCTTACAGCCAGCGCTTCAACCTGATCTCCAAGAGTCAGATCCGGTATGCAGCTCTCAGACTACTGTGAAACGCAAAAACATGAGACTGACACATACAAGCTATGTCGGCACTCTTCACGAGATTAACCCAGAGGCGTCCACGATCGCTCTGGAGAACGTCAAGTCATTCGGTACTGAGGGCCGTCGCAAGAACCCAGCCGAAGAGGTCCCTCCTTCTGCGAATGTCTACGAGTACATCGTCTTCCGCGGCAGCGATGTGAACGACATCAGCATTGCCGATGAAGAGACAAACGACAGTGCTCAGCCAGAGCCTCCTCGCGTCCCGGATGACCCTGCGATTCTTGGTGTAAGTTGTGGATCTCTATCTTACCACCAATTTGTATTCTGACCCCAACACGTCCGTCAACTTGATTCTTCTTGCATCTTGTTCTGGCGGATTACTTGATCACATGACGAAACATACCCGGATGTAAACTCACAGACCTGTTCGGAATGCGCAAAACCATGTCGATATTTCCGTTGCCTTCCTTCTGACTGATCATTTGCATTTATCCATCGATGACCGTGCCTCGTCTTGGAATCACAAAGTGTGCCATTGACTAACTTCTGGATGTTCAGAATGCGTCACGATCCGGCCCCGTGCCAAGCGCTCCTATGGGCACTCCTGGTCAAGGTCATCCCTCTCAGCCCTCCACACAGCCTTCCCAGGGTGTTCAGCAGACCCCACCTGGCTATCCTCCTCAACAACCTTTCCAGCAAGGGTTCTATCCTCCCTACGGACAGGCCTTCAACGGACCACCGCCTCCTTTCCCTCCTGGCCCTGGGGGTCCCGGCGGCTTCCACGGCAATATGCCTTATGGCGGCCCTCCTCCTGGCTGGTTCCCCCCTCCTGGTCACGGCTTCCCTCCCGGTGGCGCCGGTCCATTCCCACCTCAGATGCCCCCAGGCGCACACAATCTTCCTCCTCAGCAGCGTCCTGGTCCTCCTGGCGGCCCTGTACCCCAGGTCACCTCTGAACTGCCCAGCGGTGATTCAAAATCCGCAAGCCGTCATGCCACACCATCCGCCCAAAAGGCACCGACTCCGCCTGTCGAGTCAAAGCCGTCGGTTGCGGAGGCTGTGCACGGTTCCACGCAGGCACAGGCGGCTGGTGCTGCTGCTGCACAGAAGAGTGGCCGTATCATGCCCGCTGTTCCCATGAATGCGCCTCGCCCCGTTGCCCCTGCTCAAGGTCCCGCTCCGATTGATGCAACCCAGGCGGCGACTCAAGCTGTCGCGGCGGCAATGGCCAAGCTGCCTCAGCCAGGTGCGCAGAAGAAGTCTGGTCCAGACGTTGGTGTTGATGCTCTCGCCCGCAAGATGGACAATATGCAACCTTTCAATGGCCCTCGTGCTCCCCGCGGTGGCCACCAGCACCAGCAATATCCTCATCAACATGCTCATCACCATCAGCAACAACAGCATCAACATCAGCCTCGTGGCGGCCGTGGTGGGGCGCGTGCTCCGCATAAGAAGATCGAGGTTCCCGAGTCCGACTACGACTTTGCCACTGCCAATGCGAAGTTCAACAAGCAGGATTTGATCAAGGAGGCTATTGCCACTGGATCGCCTACTGCGGAGGTTGAATCTCATGATCTGGCTCATCAACCTGAGGCCGAAACTAACGGTGCCACGGCTGCTTCCACCCACAGCCTCTACAATCGCTCTACCTCGTTCTTCGATAACATCTCCAGTGAGGCTCGCGACCGTGAAGAAAACACCACCCGAGTTGGTGGGCGTGAGTGGCGCGGCGAGGAGGAGAAGCGCAATATCGAGACGTTTGGACAAGGAAGCGTGGACGGCTATCGGGGTCGAGGCCGAGGCCGAGGCGGTCGTGGCCGTGGTCGGGGTGGCCGTGGTGGACGAGGTGGCCCGCGTGGTGCCGCCCGTGCTCCATTTCCTGCTCAGCAGGGGGCTTATGGAGGCCTGAACTAAGCTCGATTTACCCTTGAGGGCTTAGTCTCAATTGCCGAATGCTTCTTCTCCGTCTTGTGCTTTTACTTCCCTTTTTTTCTCAACCCGTGGGTCACCGAGCCCCTCTCGAAAACGAAGCGAACGATTTTACTGGAATGTTTCTCGTCCTTACGGCGCACTGGGAAATGATTCATGAAACTGGGCATTTTTGGGATGGCAATATGACAAATGTGTTTCTGCACTGCGCAACTGGCAACCGGTTTATCACGCTTTCTCCCGTTTGGTTTTGACGTTATCCGCATTCTTTTTCTGTGCTTCTTCAGGCACGAGCTCGCCATCAGCGTCATCTCTGGTTCTTCTCCAATATTTCTTTGATTTTATACTGGCGGGCCCCTTTGCCGCACGACGGTTGTGTTTCACATCCGTCATTCGAATGATGCAAAATTCGTGGTCATACACATATCTTAGCTAAAGGTCATGCGGCTTGTCTCTCCTCCTTGACAATGTATCATAACTCTTTTCATATTCAGAGGAGTGCACACTGCACAGTACTGCGCCACTCTAAAAAACTGCCAATTATCCTTTTTCATGAGTATTCTTACAGGAACCGAAAAGATCGTATGTCTCCCATCATTACAGATGACTTGCTGTTAGTTCTTGTGAACAGGTACATGGCATGTGCATATTCCCATCGAATCAGATGCCTAATTGCCCGAAACGATTGTCCAATGTTCTCGGGGTCGACAACTTGTCTTCAAAGGTGAGAAGAAAAAACAGCGATGAGCAAGATGTCATCCCACGAGTTTTTGGCCTCTTACCTCGGATTAGAGGGTTCTTTGTCACATTATTTTCAAAGGGACCTTGCCATGTCCCTTGGGCATCGTCGAGTCATTCTTGTGTGTAGTCAAAGCTCGAACAATCAAACGATATCACAATGTGCGACAAGCCACTTGTCTTGATTGCTGTTTTCACCTTCTACACGACCGTCTCTGGGTGTAGATTGGAAAGTACAGAACTTGTCTAGCGTTGAACATGGTGTGCCAAGCATTGGACATCACTGCATCGGTGCATCCATCTTCTGCACCACAAAAAGAGTGGAGAAGATGCTTCAGGCCTCTCAGTCCTCCCGTCCGTCCTCGACGCTCTGACCTGCTCCACAGTGACATCAGGCCAAGAACATTGGACATGCTGCACGATATATTATTGCATTCGCAGGAGGATGAGGAGATCGATCGCAGCTGCTCGCTTGTAGTCTACAGAACAAGACCCGAGATCTTCTTCTGGTGGGCTGGCACAGATGATCGTTCATGGGGCCTTTGGACCTCGGGCAGTGCGCGATTCGTTGGGATCGAGGGAACTGACTTCCGCGTCTTCCATTGTCCCTCGGTAGTCAGTGGAGATGGTCGGTTGAGCTCAATCTGGAGCTCTTCGTGCCCCGCACTCGATAGCCGATGAATCCAGTCCATTCTATTCAAAAGGATGAGGAATTTCCCAAGGCGCGTCATGTCATTCGAACTTCCCCTGGTCCCGACGAGCTCCAGTCAAATCTTCCCTTGTTGTTGAGAAGCTTCATTCTCCACACATTGTTCGCCATGTCTTCATCGCAAGAAAATGACATAGTCCAGGTTGCGGATCAGCTACCCTGGAACCCCAACTGCACTAAATTTCCCTCGCTGAAGGAGCTGCCGAAGCTCCCCGGAGCACCTGAGGGTGCGGCTTGGGTATGGGGTGAGAATGACCAGGTAGGACACTCGAGTCCTTCTAGCCTTCGAAACATGCTAACAAGCGTGTTACAGCTCGGACGATTGAACTTGCTCACCCCGCAACGTGTAAAGCAGTCTGCTCAAGAGATCGTCACGGGAGAAATGGTGCGATTGGAGTGAGTTGGACAATTGAATGGCCAGTTGTCGCTGGAGAACGAGTGTTGATCGTGGACCTAGTCTTCCAATGAACGTCCCCGAGCAACCGGCGTTTGACCGAGAGCCCTTCAAGCACACTCTGAAGACACTTGTGGATGGGATTGCCTATGACGACTGCTATTCACTTAACACCCAGAGTGGAACTCAGTGGGACGGGTTCCGTCATGTAAGACTTCCCGCAAGATCGTGTGGGAGGGCTTTGTCTGGACATGCTAACTGCGGTGGTGATGAGATGATAGTTCGCGCATTGTGAAACCAAGCTGTTCTATAACAAGGTAGGCCTTAACAAAGGCTGCAAAAGTCGGAATTGACTTACACCAGCATCAGTGAGAGGCTGATCTTTTTTTTTCCCCCGCAGGCAACGGGCGAAGATTTTGTAGGAGAGAATCCCAACATGCGCTGCAGTATCCACCACTGGGCTGAGCATTGCGTTGCTGGACGTGGAATCTTGCTCGATTACCGGTACTATGCTTTGAAGCACAACAAGCCCTATGATCCGTACACATCTCATGCCATCACTCTGGAGGAATTGAAAGCCTGCGCTGCATTCCAGGGAGTTGACATTCGCCCAGAGTCGCAGGGAGGCGACATCCGTCCCGGCGACTTCCTTCTTATCCGATCTGGCTTTGTGGAGAAGTACGACTCGCTGAGTCCAGAGGCACGATATGCCGCCGCCACTCGATCTCACGACAACCTGTGCTATGCAGGCGTTGCGCGGGATGAGAATATGCGGGAATGGCTCCATGACTGCTACTTTGCAGGTGTGGCTGGTGACTCGCCCACCTTTGAAGCCTGGCCTGTTCCTGCAATGGACTTTTTGCACCAGTATCTGTTGGCTCTCTGGGGCTGCCCGCTGGGTGAGATGTGGAATCTGGAGAAGTTGGCGGAGAAGTGTCGCGAGCGCGGAAAGTGGACGTTCTTCTTGACGAGCGCGCCGGCTTATGTGCCCGGTGGTGTTGGTTCTCATGCCAATGCAACTGCAATTTTGTAGGTAGATACCCTGAGGGGTGTGTCAAGTCGGACAGCAGTCAATTTCAGTGGATGAAGTCGCAGTGGATGAAGTTTCGGTGGAAGATCCCTGAACCGAGGTGGTGTGATCTCGTATTAGGGCATGTACAGCGGCAAGTTGAATAGCTGCTAGGCGGGCGTAGCTTGTGTTTCTAACATTGGGTTCTTCCATACCATTTTATTGATGAGAGTGCGCGCAATGGACTGGGGGAGGAACTACATGAAGAGACACACCCACGAGTGGGTTGTTCAACTGCTTCCCTTGTGTTGACCGAAGCCCTTCGCTCAAGGTGTCTGGAGACACCTTGAGCTCAGAGATGTGTAAAGGTAAGTTGATGTGGATCAATGTTATAGCTTATTGCAGTCCAGAGAACATCAATGTCATTGAAGAATCAGTAGTAAGATCCACCATCCTTGCTGCTCACAGTCCTGGTCCTAGCTATCTTGATTCACAACGCCCACTAGACGGGGATCAGTGAAATCAGAACTCTACTCCATGTTTGACGACATTGCAATGCTGCTATCGGAGCCCCTCCAGCTGTAGTTCTTGTGATACGTGGAAGATTGACATCGCATGCTGGCCAATGCTCGACTATCACAGTCTGAGCTAGCGTCCATTGGTAGTCCCGCGATCTTGAGGAGCCGGAGGGTACTAAGGTATTTTAGCTTGTGTACCACGTGGCATGTACCCATGAGGGTGTACCTGGCTGGGGACCTGTCACAGGTACTAACTTTAGAGGGCCGGTACCTGAGGACGATCACACGTTATTCAAAGACTGCTACTCTGAAGCATGGGAAAGGTAGGGTTCCGATAGGCCCCCGTTTAATGTTGCATGCAGCTGGATGTAGATCCGAATGCTCTTTCCTTCCATAGGCTCCAGCTTCCATCGGGTACCTCTATTGAAGACCAAAAAAAAAGGTAATATAAATTCAGCGCTACGACTTGCCGGATTCCATCTCGCTTCTTCTCGGATACTCGCATGTTCACGGATTTGGAGGGCATCCGGCGGAGAAATGCGTCTTTACTCTTGACGCAGAAATCCTGGAATTCGAATTAGCTGCAAATGAATGTTGGTCACATTGGTAGGTAGGGAGAGGAGACCGGTGGAACCCCTCACGAAAGGACTGACGAAAGGACTGACGAAAGGACTGACGAAAGGAATTGAATTTGAATATGGCTATGGCAGGAGCTCCTCAAATTCTTTCTTGGGTAGATTGATTTTCCGAATGTCCCCTCGTTGCATATTCCTACACGGTAGATATCTCGTGTTTCCTGTGTCAAAAATGACCAAAGACCTGTCGCGTGAGCATCCTTGAGCAAATTACCCTTTCGGGGGGAGGCTATCAGAAGCCAATCGCCATGTGAGCTCCATCACCACCATTGTAATACAGACCCTCGATTTATTTTTTTAGGTGGTACTTGGAGCTAGACTGTCTACCGTACAGGTGTGGCACGGCGCTACCTCACAACTCTGAAGATGGTAGTCAAACAAATATTCTCTCACATATGATCACCAGGACAGGTCTGGCAGGGCGGGGGAGAATCCTCGTCCTGACGTCTGGACCGGACATGTCGATCTCTCAAAGTCTCGTTGTCTCGTGATTCGTGAATGTCCAGGTCATTTACCCGGCTAGCCGTAGCTTGGTACGGGAGATTAATGCCTCAGGCACGTGGACTACCAGTCAGGCCAGAGCTCCACTCCACCCTTACTGACCCATCCCCAATCACATGAGGGGAATAAGTGTCTCCCTTCTTCTATCCTAAGGTACTCATGCTCCCAGTGCTGCACCCCGCACGACTTTGGGGGTGGGGAGTCTTGGCCAGGAACGGAAACGGCTCTCTTCAACGCTGCTTGTGCTTCCGCTTCGGAATTCATTTCCCTCTCATCAAAGGGATGAAAAGTGCAAAGTGGAGATCCGGCACTGACAAGCTGCCTATTCCAGCAGACCAGTGTCCATTTTGTCCATGGGCACTGGGCATGGGCAGTGGGGGCACACTTTCTAGGTGTGTGTCCAACGGTCCATATTTTCCATGAGCCTTTGGGGAAAAGTTGGTCAAAACAAAAAAAAAAACCTTAAACAAATCCGGGGCTCCATCTGGGGATTTGAACCCACTTCCAGAGTCGTAGTCGACCATTCGAGACCTCCTCTATACGGCTCGTATTCCGATGCCAAACTATCTCGATTCTCCCCAACTTTCGTCGCCCGTGTAAATCCGGAAAAATCCCGCGATACCCTCGAACAACCATGGGCTGTAGCATTTGGATATCCTGGGTGCTGCCCTCGGACCACGACACCTCCCTCGGACGAGAGAAGCTCATGTCCCCTAGTGATGGAGCTGTCAGCAACATTAAGTGGATCTGCAGGACCGCGCGAGCGAGAGAGGGAGAAACAGAGGCTGTTCAAGATGTACAGTATGTATATGCATTATGCATTATGCACTAGCATGGTAAATACTTAGAAGTACGACTGGTAGTCTGGTGCTGGTAGTCTGGTACTGGTAGTGCTATTAGCTGTAAGTTAGGGCAGACTACAAGTACATACAGTATGTAGTTCGGCATGTTAGTGCTGGTGGGGAAGTACCCACGCAAACTTTACTTTGGAGTGCTCAAGTAGGTGGTAGTAATCTATTACTACTGTAGCCTGTAGGAATAGTAGTAGGAGGCAATCGGTGTGCTCTCTTCGGCATCCCCGACCGCTGAGCCGTGGGGAAATTCCTCCCGTGGTAAAACCGGCTTCTTGGAAAGAAAAGTCTTTTCCCCCAATGCCTCCAACATCGAAGAACCACATGGCTCGGCCAATACCCATCACCGGGAATCGGATTTTCCCGCGCTACTCAGGCCTGCCTGGGGTCCCACCCCTTGCACAGAACGGAAGAAAAGTTGGCGCATGTGGAAAAAAAGACGTCAGTGGGACTAGGGTTACATTCCGAAATCAGGTATACATCCAGCAGATCACGGCGGCCTCTCAGCCTGCAGCTATGCAGCTGCAAGTGGCTCGGAGTCAGCCCATCAAGCAAGGGAGGATCACAGCAGAAGGTCAAGGAACAGATTCAGCAACCCAAAAGGGAAACATAAACCAGAAAAATCTCAGAAATAGAGCAATACGCGAAGGTTCGGCCACCAAGCCACTTTGAAACGCAAATCTGCCGGGACCAGCGATCCTCGTCCGAGGGCTTTGAAAGGCTTTCGGGTCACCAGACACCGATGGGGCTCAAGGCCCCAGGCGACAGTCTACACGGACTTGCACATGTTACAGAGTACAGGCTCCTGCACCCGAAACGCTCCTCGCCCGATTACCCGCCTCCCGTACCGATAGCACTGGCAGGTCATTTCACCTCTTGTGTTGCCGACCGTGGCCGCCAGCTTCGGGCACCCTACATGACCGCTGCAGGATTGCTGATATTCGGGGCAACGCACCATGACGCTTTCGCCAGGTATGTATGCAAAGTGCGCCCCGTGGGCGCACAATTAACAAATACTACCTCACCATTTATCATGGGCAAATTGATCCATGGGAAGAGTCTTGGAGATCACGCGATGTTCTCGCAAAGGAGGCAGACTTGGATAGCAAAGTCCATTACTCGGTTCAAAAAGGATGATTTCTTCCGTAGGCACTGGGCAGTACTTGCCCTTGGTACTTACTAACTTACTCAGTACTACGAAAAGTAACTACAAGGATTGGTAAGAGGGATGCACGGATCATCTAATCACCTGCTCATCTCGAGCGTGGGGCCAAGTGTGGTACAACCGCTCTGGGGAAGTGGTACCTCTGTTCATCCGTCGTAACTGAAGTACACGTGGTAGCCGTCTCTATCATTGTATACCGGAGTATACCAGTAGACTAGAGAGTCGGAGTACTAGATACCTACTACAGTAACTCTCATAGGAGCATCAAAGACTGCATCTGTGGCATCCAGCGGCCTCTATTCCCACGACAAGCAGGCAACGGACCGAGTCGGCCGACAGTCCCAGACGCGATCACAACCGTCCCAAACGCGACCATAACCGCCCAGCGAAGCTGTGCAGGACGGCGACAAATCCCGGCAGGGCTCCTGGGCCGATTCCTGATCGGCTTTTTTTTTTTTTTGCGTTTGGTCCATCTTCCACCATTCACCCTTTTGCCTTTGGTTGCTGCTCGTCATTGCTCCGGATGGGACCTGATCATCTCTTCTTCCCCACCCAGAGTCCTGAGCACCTTCACTCCGTAGAGTCAGCAGTCAGTACTCAGTAGTAGTAGTAGTAGTAGTAATACAGTCCTCCCGTACGACTGATGAGCGGAGAAGGACAACCCCTGTTCCCCTTCAACTCTCTCTCTGTCCGCATCTGGATTCGGCGCCCTCTGTCAGTGGGGGGCCATCGGCCATGCCACCCAATCCCAATCCCAGATGGTTTCTTGTGCGGGTGTTGGCCACGCTACCTTCGAGACCCCGGAGCTGTCCACGTTGTTTTTCTTTTTTTCTTTTTGATCCCCTTCCCGAAGAATGTGAGATTTCTTCGATGCGGAGGCGGAAGAATATGCCGATGGAAGACACGGAAGAAAGAAGACCACACCACCTGCATCCTGATCGGAATCTGAATCTGGGACCCTTGAAATCATCAATTTCCCACGAGGTCTCAAATGGCAGAAACTCCCGATAGGATGAACCTGCCATGTCCGTTTTGGGCTTCTCTAGCGTAACGAGGCGTTTGCATCATCATCCCCTTCCTTCTTGACTCACTTGGCTGATATCAGATTCTGCCGCACAGGCACCTGTCGATGAACGAAGAAAAGCGCCTCGTCAAGGGAGAGGCGTCCTTCCACTAGAGTCGAAGCGGGCGGTGGCTGATCTTGGCTGAACTTTTTTGGAGGTGTAAGATGCCGCTTCTGGATTAGCGAGAGATGCCTTTGCCTCTTTGGAGCGGGTGGAGTCTCGTTCGTCTGTTCGAGGTGTGATCTTGGCCAGTGGTCCTCTGACCGTCTCTCTCTCTCTCTCTCCCTCTCTCTCTTTACCCCGACAAAGTCCAGGTCCAAAGGAGCTCGTGCTGACTCCCCGCGCTGGGCCGTGCGGCAAACTGGGGCTAAGGCGGGCAACTCCACTCCACACAGTCCACCCGGCCACACGCGGTGGTGTCAATGGCGTAGCGTGACTCTGTTCCCGAGTGGGTCCGAGGAAAAAAGATCGTTAGACTCTGCGTTGAACCACGGTTGGCGGGCAAGGGACCAGGGACTGTAGCACCCAGATGGCCAGGTTAAAGTCGGGGTAGACTGGGACTCCTGGAGGATGGAAGATAGCGAGAAACCACAGTGAAGTGAAAGCCGGCAAACAAAAAGGTGACTTGAGTTCATTTCACTGAATCGGCTGAGCAGTGATCTTGAACCTCCTGGAGTAAGCTGGGGATCCTATGCCAGTGGACTCAGGCCCCGGGGCCACAGTCATGGTCAGTCTGGGGAGAGGTTCAAGGTGCAGTATGCTCCAAGTGATTAGAGCGTAGTTCTCACAGCGACAGATACCACCATCAGAGTATTGCATTGTCGTAGAGGTACTATTACATTTCCTAGTCTACCAGGTAACTCTGTTATACGATTAACCCGAGAGCGGAATGGTACCTGCTGCTCATCGAAATCGCTGTACTTTAAATGAGTGGGTAATTGACTGGTCAGTGACCCGTAACTGATCTGATTGGCACCGCATGTGAATTCCCTTGCGAATTTCGATGTAAATCTTTTTTTTGGGTGGATTATCCCAAAAAAAAAAAGAAAGAATAGAAAGATATATTAAAATTCAAATTACCTCCTCCCCAGAAACCAAATCCGGGCAAGCTGGGTCGCTCCTCACGGCAGCCCCGCGGCAGGTGCGATGGCGACAACAGTTCATGTCAATGGCCCACGCCCTACACAATACGATGCAACTCGTGGTCAGTCTGATTGTTTGCTCCTCAACAACGCGCGTACGTCGCTCGTCTCTGGCCCCGCGGAGCGCACACTTTAAATAAATTCCCTTTCGCCAGATCCCCGTCTCTGGATTTTCTTCCTTCTTCAAATCCCCTTCCACCACTTCTCTCACTTCACTTGACACTTTCACTTTCCCAACCCTCACACATCTCTCGCTTGTGAGCTTCACAGCTTCAAGCTAAGCTAGTTCGATCCTGCTCGGTGTCTCTTTTTCCAAGATCTGAGACTTTCCTCCTTTCGAGCCCGTTTCGTCTTCCTTTCTCTTCCTTCCCTCCGCGTTCACATCCTCTCAAAAAATGGCTGAGAATCCCCTTCCTCCCAAGGAGGGTCTGGCCCACGATGAGGATATCACTCAAAGCGTGGCCATGGCCCAGGTCGACGGTCCTAGCCAGGAGAAGCATGCTGCAGCGCTGAACATCGTCGAAAACCCGCTCAAGGTGAGATTCTATTCAAGTCTTTGGGATTCCCTTGATATCCTACAAAAGAAGCGCTGGTGCCCGTGATGCATAATGAAAAAGCTGACTCGTTCTTTTTTGTAGCGTTTCCCGCGTGAGCAAGTATACGAAGATGCCCGTGGCTTTGCCGAGATGCACGGCCTGGCTGAGCACGCCGAACTCTTCGGCCGCGCTGCTCTCGTGGCTCGCGAGCCTGCAGGCCTTGAGAGCGTGACCGAGCTGTCTCAGGACGAGGCAGCCGCTCTCCACTATGAACATGACCACAAGTGGCACGGACCATGGATGCTGTGGTACTCCATTGCACTCTGCGCCATCGGCGCCGCGACTCAGGGTTGGGACCAGACCGGTTCCAACGGGGCCAATCTCTCATTCCCTCAGGCCCTAGGCATCGACAGTGGCAGTTCCCGTGATGAGTGGATCAAAGGGCTCATCAACTCGATCATCTTCCTCACTGCCGGTCTTATGTAAGTACCCAAACAACGATTCGTCATGTTACATCTCGACCAAAGCTTGCTGTCGTGGTCTCGTCCTCTCTTGAAAAGTCACTGACATGGTTCCTCCTATCTAGTGGTGCCTTCATCGTCGATCCCCTCAACCATTACCTAGGTCGACGTGGAGAGATTTTCCTGACCGCGGCCTGCCTCACGGCTACCCCCATCGGATCCGGTTTTGCGCGCACCTGGCAGGAGCTGTTCGCCGCTCGCTTCGTCATGGGAATTGGAATTGGTGCAAAGAATGCCACCGTGCCGATCTACTCGGCTGAGATGGCTCCCCACCGCATCCGTGGTGCCCTGGTCATGTTCTGGCAGCTCTGGGTTGTCATTGGTATCTTCTTGGGCTTCTGCGCCAATGTCATTGTGAAGGATACCGGTGACCTCTCCTGGCGGTTGCAACTAGGCTCGGCCTTCATTCCCTCCTTTATTCTGATGATCGGCATCTTCTTCTGCCCCGAGTCCCCCCGTTGGTTGATGAAGAAGGGCAAGCACGTCCAGGGCTTCAACTCCATGTCTCGTCTTCGCGCCCATCCCATCATTGCTGCACGAGACTACTACTACTCCTACATTATCTACATGGAGGAGTTGAAGGAAGCTCGGGGTGCCGGTTACTTCTCTCGTATGCGTGACATTTTCGTGGTGCCCCGTATCCGACGAGCCAACTATGGTGCGTCGACTGTCATGATCGCGCAACAGATGTGCGGTATCAACAGTGAGTGATCCACAGCTTCCCCCGGTGACCCTGAAAAGACATCCAAGATCTAACTTCGCACAGTCATTTCCTTCTACAGTTCGACCATCTTCGAGAACGCCGGTTACAGCGCAGTTCAGGCTCTGTACGCCTCTCTGGGATATGGTGCCATTCAAGTGGTCTCCACCATTCCTACTCTCTTCCTCATTGACACCAAAGGACGACGCACCTTGACATTGGCTGTGAGTTGACTTTCGATCCATCTCCAGTGAGACTTGCTAACATATGGATTACCTGAAGACATTCCCATTGATGTGTATTTTCCTCTTGGCTGCCGGCCTTTCTCTTCTGAACTCAAATGATAACCGAAGCAAGGGAGCACACATTGGACCTGTCGCTCTGTAAGTTGGCTATCTTCTCATTCCCCTAGTCCTGCATCTTCGATACACCTCTTCACAGAGCCCCAGGCTACCGTTACCTGTTCTTTTTCACCATTCTCAAACATGACACAGCACTAACCAGTTTCTTCGAACAGGTTCGTCTACCTCTTCACAATCTGCTACTCGCTGGGTGAAGGTCCCGTGGCTTTCCAGTACTCTGCCGAGGTCTTCCCTACCGTTCAACGTGAGCAGGGTATGGCTTGGGCTGTGTGCATCAACAACACCTTTGGTAAGAGATGATGCGCTTGTCAGTAAAGCAAAGTCCACGAGTTTGCTAACATGTTGCTGCAGCTGGAATTCTTGGCTTGACATTCCCCCGTATGACCAGTGTCATGACGCCCACTGGAGCGTGTAAGTTTTCCTGGTTGCCGAACCCATTCACGTTCATACTCACTGACATGGCGATTGATACAGTTGGTTTCTACGCTGGTCTGAACCTGATTGCTTGGTTCATGATATTCTGCTTTGTCAGAGAGACCAAGCAGCTCACACTGGAGGAACTGGATCGTAAGTCTTTTGCTGCATCTTCTCTGAATCTTGAATTCAAGGGCTCTCTAACTGTTTGTCTCCAGAGGTCTTTTCTGTTCCAACCAAGAAGTTCATCGGCCACGAACTCACCGTCTGGCTTCCTTACTTTGTGAAGCGACACATCTTCCGCCAGCGGATTCCAAAGCCTCCATCCATTATCGCCACTGCGGATGAGGCCCGCAGGGTCGAAGAACACTAAGCGGCCAACACACGGAGAGGACGACAAACAAAAGCAGCCCTACCAAAAAAAATAAAGAAAACCCCCAGAAAAACGTCCCTCATTCTCATCGAGCTGCTTAGGGACATTGGACCCAAATCAGAAGCATCGATACGCCTTGCTTTTTCGATCCTCTCCGACATTTGGTCATGCTTGGTCAACAGACAGACAAGCTGTCTTGACGTTCACGGCTTATGTCTTACGATTAATCATTCCCAACGACTCTTCAATTGAAGAGCTAGCTAGATCATAGTGGCTTAGTTGACTAGCATAATACGAACATTTTTCTTAGTCATATCATCGTCCCCACTCTGCTGCAGCAAGGTAAATCACGTTCCCTCTGCCTTTGATATAGCCCAAACATACCGAGAATCAGATTTGGGGGGCAAAGGCAAAGTGCGTTGACAAGAACATCTGCAACATTCCGCGATATGCAGTTGCAACGACAAGGGACATACAGTGGAAATTGAAAGGTGTAAGTTGATCCAACATCAAACTCACGACAGGAACATTAATCACCAGCGACGAGAAGAACATTCTACAAGGGCACCTGCGAGGTATACACCATCAGAGTATGAGAAATCAACATTCCAACATGCAAGTCCAATTCCAATTCCAATCGGAAAAAAATGCCACTCAAACACTCGTTGATTTAACAAGTTCCAAGATACATGAGAAATGAGAAGAAGAAATTGAACCCACAAAAACACCAAGTACGTCAAGGGTATCAAGAAGAAGATATGAAGAGCAGAGAAATCCACTTGTTCCATCCACGGAAAGGCTCACACACCATGGCCACCCGTCAGATAAATTACTCCATTGCCAACACAATCAAAATATGGTCTCAGGCCATGGATAGTTCTCCAAGAATGACGGCCGAGGACTCTGCACCGACGCGACCTCGTCTTCATCCATGGCCTCGGCACCTGCGTCGCCTGCCCTGTCGACTGGCTGATCGGTCGAATTCATTCGCTTGATGGGGGATCGGTGAATTTGGACATTATTGTTCATCAGAAGCTCCTGGGGCAGAGGCGGGACGGGAGGAATGTCACTGCTGTCATGTCGGCTCCGCTTTCGGGTTGTTTGGGGCTTTGTGGGCGACGGAAGAGGCTTTCGATCAGGATCAAGCTGACAATGTGATTGCAGGTAGAATGCATGTGGCATTTCCAGGAACGCCGGGGAGGATGAAAACACATCGTCGCCTGGTCCTCCTACTCCTCCTCCGGTGCCAGCGGGAGACTCGGGAATGGTCTTGGTCGGACTCACGGCCGCGGGGGAGGTGAATCGCAGATTAGATTGGCTTCTGCTGCGCGGGAGACCGGCTTTGGATGAAGCGGGCGATAGAACGGATTGACACTGTGGTGACCGACTTGCTGCTGGAGAGGATCCACGAGCTTTCGGATGTGGTGATTTTTTATGTGCCGCATCGAGGGTCTTGTCGCGGTCTACGTCGCGCTTGCGACTTGCGGACCCGGGGCTATCACCAGCTTCTTGCTTCTGCCATTTCGCTGGACGTGGTGGGCTCAGCGTATCGAGATTGTTCGTTTTGTCGTTGATCAGCTCGGTGATTAGCGAAGAGCCGCGGTCGTGATCGTGATCGGCGGCTTTGCTATTGAGACGCTGCGGCGTGGGGGACTCAAGGGGCTTCGGATGCCGGCTATCGAGATGTTCAGGATCCGACTTCCTCTTGCGGGAGGAGGTAGTCTTACTCATTGACGGTTGCCGTGTCTCACCGTGCTGCTTACTCGGTGACCTGGACACGGGCCTGCTGAAACCACCCGTTGATGGGCCTGGCGAGAAGTTCTCTCTCTCCTCAACAGTCGGGAGGGCGGTGATCTCCGGGGTACACGATCCAGGCCGATCGACATCTGCGGCGTGCTGGTCGAGAAGTCGTTCGGATGGCAGGGTTGGCAGAGCCCCCGGCACAAATTTACGAGGATAACTGGCCGGGTCCATGTCTAGATTGGAGGGCTTCTGATCGACATCCGTGGAAGGCAGTCGTTCCTCATTGCCGGAAAGTTGACGAAGTTCTCGCCGGGCTCTTTCCAATTTATCTTCCAAGTTGCTGACTTTTTTGAGGAGCTTGGTCTGGCGAGAGATCTCCTTGCGTGATCTTTGTTTCCGCAGACCAGTGGTATTGTCAATTGACTCTTCCGACGTCCGTTCTTGGTAGACCGACGTGGCGGATGACAGATCATGGTATCTGACGAATGGGATACCAATGGACCGCAAGTCTTGGAACGAGGAACGCTTTGAGGACTTGGATGTTGATCGAGAGTGTCCATGGTATTCGCCTCGGTCGCTTGCTTGCGAGTTCATAGTCGAGGACCCTTCCGCGCCAGAATTGAATTTGCTTTGCAACGTGTGCCATGTCTGATCCGCGTGATGAGGATCAACCGCACCACGAGCCGTCGCGGAGGCAACGTTCTGCCTCTGCATGTAGGAGCCCTTGTTTGTGCCCTTGTACCTTGCTTTCTTGAGCTCAGCATATGCCTCCTCGGCCTGCGTCAGGGTATCTTTAGGAGGCGGCGGGCTCGGACGGCCCCACCCACCGAATGGGTTGAACGCGGAAGCAATTGCCTTGCCGAACCTGAAGATCCCCGAAGGACGATGTCGAGGACCGGGCGGCTTGGCATCTTGGACGAAGACGGTGGGAGGCTCTTCGCTGATGCTATCCGACATGTTCGCCTCGACAAATCGCGATCGTCGACCTAGTCGAGCCCGGGGACTACCGGTCAACGCGGCAGCCGTACGACCCCGGAGTGACGCGAGCGAGGTTCGAGGTGACGCCCGAGGAGACCCTCTGTAGCCTGGGCCAGGGACGGGGCCGGGACCAGCGCCAGCGCCAGCGCCGTCAGTGATGTATGCGTTGCGAGCGACTCGGCGATCCGGGTGTCCATAATCTGCAGCTTCTTCGGGGAGAGGCCAGTCATTTGAGCGCCGTCGTTTTGCCGGCTTTGCTTCACATGACTGGTACTCTTCTAATCCAGGCTCTTCGGCCGCGTCATCAAAGCGCCCAGAGACGTCGGAGCTCCAGTCAGACACGTCGTCTTCAAGATCACTGGTTCGCGAATGTTTTCGCGAGGATCGCGGCAGCGCAGGATCTGAGTCGAGGTTCATCGTGGGAGAATAGAGGATGATTCTATCTTGAGCCATCTAATCAACGAGTCAATCACCTTTTCTTTCCATCTGACATTCGTGGATCAGGATATTGAGTCTCAAGAAGCTCGTGGCCGGGACTCGCTAGCTCTCAAGAGGTATCTGACATTCGACACGACTTACCTCGGCGTTTGCGACCGGTGGTTCTGCACCTCTCTTCTACCAACAAACCACTGTAGGCGCGACAAACACGAGCTCGCGCGTCACAATTCTATATGTGAAGGATGATCAAGTGATGGGGGTACCGCATGAGCAAGACAAGAGCAAAGCCCGATTTCGAAAGAGAACAATTAAAGACAGAGAGCAAATGGAAAACCACAGAGACGGGGCAAAAGGCGCAGTTGACAAAGCCACGCCGGTAGTGACGGGGCCTGTCAAATTATTTACTCCCTGTGGAGTTCTCGATCGGATTGGAAATTATTCACTTGGTTCCTGGCTTCCTGCTTGTTGTGATCGGAGGGGGGTGGACTGGTGGAGTAAGAGAGGGTGGGGGGGGGGGTCACTCGATTGTCGCATACTCCACGCTTTCCCAGGGCGGAAGTTTGTTTTGATGGTGGGGACAAAAGCCTTTCGGCCAGACTATCCCGAAGTGGACGTGATGGAGGGATTGGCCATTAAACACCTGAGAAACAGGTACACAGAGAGAGCAGGGCAATTATAATCTGAATGTAAGATTGAATCTTGACTGTCACTTTTCGATTGAATGTTAAAGTAAAAGTACATGGCTGGGTTTTCGAAATATCAGCTCGACATTGAAACTGCGTGATTTTCTCCCTGCTATTGGGATCAGAAGGTAAGGGATATCACTGCACAAGTCTTAATCAAGCTGTAATGTAACAGGCCTTACACCTTATTACACAACCCCGCATAGACAGTCAATTCAAGATAGATCAAACCATGTAGGGAGAAAGCACGTTGACAGGGAAAAGGCATTCAGCCTAGGCAGGCCTTGCGGACCGCCCAATTTGCGTCGGTAGAAAACATGGGTCATTCAAAAGACGGTGGAGGAATGCAACAGGCAGCAGATATGGAATGCGATCTTTCCCAACAATGTCTACGTGGCAGGAGCACAGGCGCGATCCTTAAAAGGTCTACCTTTCTTCCTCCCCAGGAAAGGAGATGGATAGTCAGGGCTGGAAGTGCTTCGCGGCAATCTAGGCAAAATAAGATCCTGTAGGGATAAGTATGCCGTGGTACCTAGGGATATTGTACAAAGGCCTTTCCACCCTGGAGCCTGAGTCCTAGGGCATTCTCGTCTTTATATCGAATAGTATATTCCTTTGTTCATGACAATGAAAAAGACAATTTACCAACAAAAGGTCTCACAAACAGACGGTAAAATGCCCGACGCCGAATGTTTTCCCAATTCCTCCGGCAAATCTGAAAACGCCTCATCAACCACGTCAGCAGGACAAGGGAAAAATCCAAAACAACAAGAAAAACTTGACAATTTCCAAAAAAAAAAAAAAAAAAAAAGTGCAGAGGCCTATGACTAGAATGGAATGCCGTCCGTTCAGGTCAATTTTTGTCAAAAAACTGCAAGAAAACTTGAGTCAAGAAGCGAAAATAGATCCTCGTACCCTCCCAGCAAAAGAATGAGGCAACTTCGCAGTGAAAAACGCCGACAGATTATCCAGCACCCAAGAAAAGATAAGAGAGATGCAGGGTCATAACATTCAATATAAACCACAGTCCAACTTGGCCCGATATGAAGACGAGTCTCGGTCCAGCCAAAGAGTACCCAGTAAGGCAATCACTTGTTCAAGGACGTAGTCTCGTCAATTACGAGTCCTCAGTTGGCTGTCGAATCAAGGTGAGAAGCATGTACAAAGATAACTGGGCTTTCAGCCATCCGGTCGCAAACCAGGCATGTTTGAGAATTTAAAAAATAGACGTGAAAAAGTTGGAGGAGTCGAAAGTAAGACTATTGAGGCCAGCGCGGCTGGCCCAAGCAGCTGAGACTGTGACAAAGCATGCAGTAGAGAGACGTGTCGTGCTGGTGGCCGAGCCAGAAGCAGAGTGATCAGGCACATGGATGATGAGATAAAAGGACAATATTGCAACGACTATGAAGCCTGTCTTGCATCGGTGAAAGGACGGCGAGATGTGGCATGAGGGATGAAAGGAGCTGATACACAGAGGGTCACAGTGGAAAGGGGCGCCGACCCCCTTCAAATCTGTGCCAACCTTGGGTGAGGGCCAGCCTGCTCGAACTCCGAACCTTCGATGAAATATCACTGAACAGTCGGAGGAGCCTTCATGACCATGCGTCCATTAGCACGCTTGTAGGCCATGTCAGGGCCTAGCTCAGCCATCAGTGCAGCACGACTCTCGGCAGAAAAGTCACGGTATGCAGCAGGGTAAGGGTCCATGTCCGGGCGCATTCCATTTTGCATGGGCCGCTCATCAATCCCAAAGGAATCCTCGTGTGTGCGCTTGGCTCCAAGGGATCCAGAGTGATAAAGCATCCGCTTGCCTGACACGGAATCGTATCCCTGGCCAGGTGAGCCCACTTCAGTGACAGAGTCTAGGTTGACATATTCGGCGGGCATCTGCTTGTAGCTAGTCGGTGGATAGGACGAATGTCCCAGAGTCGGTGTTGATATCGTCGAGGCCATACTCTGCGATGCAGGCTGATATTGAGGAACCTCAGGCATCAGATATGGCTGCTGCATCTTCGGTGGCTCCACACGGTATAGGGTGGTAGTGTTCTTAGGATACCCATTGGGTTCAGGACATGGATTTGCCATGGGGTATGCTGCCGGCGTGCCGTCATAATCCGTGGCCACGGATGGATGGCGATTATTGGCATACACCGAGCGAGGGGAATAGTTGGCCGACGGCGCCACTGGCGGGGGCGTAGGCGGCATGTGCGGAGCTGGATATTGAGAGGGCGTAGAACCAAACGTGAGGTGAGACTGATAGCCGGAAGTCTGAGTGTGAGGCATTGGCGCAGGTGGCATTGGCCGGTGATAAGGCTGCGGTGGGCACTGGAAACCATATTCGGAACCAGAGGGCCGCCGCTTCACCTCGCCCCCGTAGCCGTAGGGGGATTCTACCACGCTGCCATTGCTGTTCGAGCGAGGCCGTTCCACTGTCTGTGCAACATACCGATCGGGCGAGGCGTATCGGTCGTTTCGGGGGTAGACTGCCGTACTGCCTTCGTCATATTCGTACTCCTCCTCTCGTTTGTCTCCGCGACGTCTCATGCGGACGTCGCGACGAATGCGTACACGACACCCTTGCTCCGCGATGATGCGGCTCAAAGAAGTGCTAGTGGCGAGACCAGGGAACTTCTTGGCGCTGTAGACGGTAAAGGAAGCGATTGCACTTCGAGGCGAAAGTGCAAGTAGCTCCGAGGAGATACGGGCTGACCCGAGGCCGAACGGGATGCTTGATTTGGGAGCGGCGTGGTCGCATCTTGGTCCGCATCCTTGACATCTTTGATCTCCTCGTACAGATGGAAGCTAAGACGAAATCGGCCCTCGTGGCGGACCGACAGGTCGGGGAAGATGAAATAGCCAGCTTGGGAAGGACGGTCCAGGTAGGCGACGCCGGCGACGGGCACTCCAGTCAGGACTGGAACAGAGGCGGATGGCGCTGCGCTTCCTCGCATCGCAGCGATGTGTCGCACCGAGTCCAGGGTGGCGTAGAGAAAGAAATTGGCATTATAGGCAAAGGTGATATCCGTCTTCTGCGCGTCGTTGACTGGGTCCGACTCGAAGATACGTAATTCGACCACAGGTGGAGGATCGACAGGGCGGCGGTCGGCTGAAGCTGTAGGTCCATTCCGAAGCGATCTTGTTAGCGACCCCCGTACGCAATCTGGCACACCCTTGGGAACGACTCAATGAGCTGAACATACACTTGGCACCTGCACCGCATGCTCTGGCGCGTTCAGGTTGTTGCATGACACTTAGCGTGTATGTGAGCTTCTTGCCCTCGCGAGTGATCCGGCTCACCGACTGGGTGGTCTCGTTCTTGGACGTCATCGGATTCGGTCGGGAAGCCATTGCTGGCAGCTAGAGTATTTGACGATGACGGAAGTTCTGTGGGGGGGGGGAATGAAAGTGTGTGATTAGCATCGCTGCGCCATCGGCCAGGGTATTCGGTGCGTAGCCAGACTAGCACTCGTTATTGCGAGGAGGGTATTCGCAGACACGTACATTGTGATGTATGACTCGTGTCTAATGGATAGGACGATCAACCCAATCGGTATGGTCGAGTCCTCGCTGCCAGCCGCACAAGATCCCACAATGCGCAGATTCCCGACGATTTCTAACAGACCCGACACTCCTGATTTCCCAATGGTCCCGAGATTCCGGCACGGCCCTTTCGTGTACTGGGTCGTGGGCGGTCAGTGTGCGACGGTCGGAGTCAGGCTGTGATCTGGATGAGATGAGCAACACCGAAGGTCGCTCGGAGTCGAGCTGAGGGATGACGGTTCTTCGCTCGTTGGGCCGGATTGCCCAGGTCAAAAGGCCACGGATAGGAAAAGCCCGACGTTCGAAAGCAACGGGGTCTCAAGGTCGACGAGAGATGAGAAAGACCAAGGATTGAGAGAGCGGGGGCTTAACGAAAAGCAGATGCGAGTTCGCCAGAAAGGCAAAGCCAAGTCGAAGAGTGCAGCAGCAGCACACATTGGACGGGCTGATCGCCAAACCAGGTACTTTTGGAGGAGAGGCGAACGGCCTGGTACTGTACCACGAAATACAAACTTACGGTGACTGTGAGACGGCGACTGACCACGGTCCATGCATCATACTGTACGCCGTACGGCTGTATTGGCTTTAATCTTTACTTTTAGTCTTGACTCTTTACAGTCCCTGTACTGTACCTGTGTAGCATACATCTCAGTCATACGGATTTCAGTATGGCCTCTTAAGAAGTTCCGATTTCAGAGAGCCCAACTGCTTGGATCAGGGCGGAAAGCAATCGAATACTGGTGGCTCAAGAGGCCATTGCGTAGGCTTTGGACGTACATAATAGTAATGTCCTAACTCCATAATGATGTCCATCATGGAGCCTGAAACTGGGCAATGAACCCCAGCGGGAGGGAGGCTCCATCATAGATTACCGAAATGCGGGTTACCAAGAGCGGAAAGTTATCACGGGCATATGCTTACTTTGATTGGTCATGAACGGGCGGGGCGGACGGGAAGAATGGAAACCACTCCGTCTGGCTGCGCAGGCCGCAGAGACACGCTAACCATGTATTATACTGTCTTGCCAGTATTCAGTATCAATGCCATACATTTACAGTACAGTGACCAGTGACCGTCACAGTTCCATAGAGCAGAAGACTGTCAGACATACATAAATCAAGCATAGACATACATACACAGGATCACATGAATCTTTCGCATCGTATGACGTGTATTATTTAGCTAAACGACGTAATAATCAAGAAATTTAATCCTGTAGCCATGGTGGTCTGACTCTGAATTGCACGATGCGACAGTCTATGGGCTCTGGAGTCATCCGCTGATAAATACCGCTACATTCTACATAGCCGACACTGATAGTTAGGCCTGATCCTGTCATCTTTCAACGATAGAATCCGGGCACTACATCTTTCACAGGCCAAGTCTGAGTTTCATCTCCAGGTTGGCTTCGATGCTTGTATGCTTTGCTGCTTGCCAAGCCCAGTGGGGGCCCCTGCCTTGGCTGTAGGCATACAGGAAGACTCGTCTCGCCCTAGTCCGGGCTACGACACATGCGACACGCAGGACATGCACTCGAGTTCCATGGTCGCGATGCGTTGATTGTGTAGAAACCGCCTTGGACCCAGCGGAGAATCGACGGCTCGCTAAGCAAATCTTTGCGCCTTACCGCTTTGCCACGAGCCTCTCTAAAGTTTGAAGGCGTAGCCGGCCGGGTCGGGGCTTGAGAGGCTCGAGAATTGACGCTGCCTCGACGAGTTGACAATCGACATTCGGTGACGACTGGGTTGACTCGAGGAACAGCCGCGTTCCAGCGAAGCTACAGAAACGGCTGTTCCGTCAAAAGTACGGTACGGAAACCTCCAATCGTTACATCGTACCGTTTTCAATTTTGACTGTCAGAGCGCTGGGTTCCTTTTTCACTTTCATCGCATACGCTAGTAGTGTGTTCGGTATGGAGCACCTGATGAGATTTGAGCGACAAAGGAGGTGATCTGTCGTTCTGTACTCGGCTTGGACTGTTGGATGACACGGGAGAAGACTAGCTACTTATTAGTACACTAGTAACTACGAAGTTAAATAGTAGACTACTGAACGAACTAATCTGGTAATGTTGCAAGGTCATCCTATAGCGGAGCTGACGGATTCCGAGGAGATCCTCTGGGAGCGCGTACGGTGAAGTTCTTTAGGAATAGGACCTCGCGGTTTAGGTGGGATGCATGAAAAGATAAGATGGACTGGCGCCCTCGCTTCATCGCTTACGCGTTCTGGGACAGTTCTTCACCGTATTTACAATTTTACATATTTATACTCACTTTTGTACTGTTCAAGTGCACAAATCGGCTACCATCATACCTTATGTTGTCATGACTAAACATGGAGTCATGGACAGCCACCTTGAGTCCAGGTCTTCCGAGGCTCCATGGCGCATCCACCCCTCGTTCTCCGTAGATAAGACGGCTTTCGACTGTACTTGACATTCATAATCACGAAACTGGAAACGAGAATGGACCAATATGACTATTTTTACTATTGTATGTAGATCTGACCATGATGGAAGGTGTTCCAAGACGCTGATCCTCTGACTTCATGATCATCGGGGGACTCATTGGATCGTCACCAAGTCTCGGGACTGGTTCGCAATGCACGCTAACACTGTAGCGCTGCCTTGCTCTTCTACTGAGTATTTTATTCAGTCGGTGCGTAGTCGAGTTACTGTACAATTGTGCAGTCGGCTATGTATGATTGTATCATGTATGCAGGGTGTAAAGTGTAAAGTGTAACCCGCTCAAGGAACCCTGCACTTGTAGTACAGTGGTACACCAGTACAGTACTACAATTCCATTCGGTACTGTTGAAACTTCGAGGGTAACTATGGTAGATCATCGATGTACAGTCGTGTAGAGAGTCAATGAGCTAATGCATAAGTGCGTGGACTGCATGGAATCCCACACGCGTGGTACCTAACTGCCTATTGGCTTCATGGTGGATGCAGACATAGCCCCCCTGATGAGGCGGATTCTTGTCTGAGCATGCAAATCTTGGGAATGCGAACCGACTCCACGTTCCGTGCCCCATTGACTGTGAGCTGGATGGCTGCCGCGATCCCAGTCCAACGGACCGGAGAGATCCCACTGATTTATTTTCAACGTCAAGCCTTTGGAGGGGCGATCAGATTTGATTATCTGATCTGAAGTTATCCAGAGGCACTTTCAAGATAATCGATAATCGGATCCCCTATTCTTCCAGTTTTCGCAGCAACATCTGATGAGAATTTACTTTTTCGACGCATGCCTAGACCGTCCAGGGCGGTGGAGAAGATCCGAACAGCCATGTAACATTTGTTACCGTACACGCCTGGTATTTTATGTACCCTCTGCTGACAAGGACAATGACATGGTTCAGCTCGTCCACGCCAAAGTTGGAAACAACATTCCGTGGTCTTGAGAAGGTTCGTCCAGTACTCCAGTGTCCAGTGTCCAGAATCCAGACGGGGTGAAATCTTCCTCTCAAGCCACTATTCGGTCACGGACTCGCTGTCGTTACTCTGGTGCGATCAAACACAATTTCTCGTCACATACCTTGGGCTGGGGTCTCATGCTTTGCTGTGGTGCTCGCAACAGAAATCAAGAGCAAGCAGTCCTGTCCACTTTCCAGTGTCCAGTACTACTGGATTGTCCACCAGGATAAACACTTCCTGGCGATGATAACCTGAATACGGGAATTCCACCTTGCTGGGGTTAGCCGAGCCGATGCAGGACCGGGCGTGGCTAGATCGGGGCTCGGCCGTGGTTGGCACCATGAGGATCTTCTGATGATCCTATCGAATCTCAACTTTGGCGAAGACCAATCCGAGCCGATCGCACACAGTATGGAGCCAAAGCTGTCGGCCTGCCCGGGCTTCAAGTGGCTCCTCTCGGTCCCCCACAGTTGAGTTACACTAGCGAAAGAAGTGGCTGATAGTAAAGTGTAAAAATGAGGTCATACAAGGTGAGCTTTGCAGGAGTACAATCATACAATGACTACAATCGCATCGATCTCATGCCCGAGCAGCGGAAATTCGGGTCGAGAGGGGCGAAAGGCCCAAGGGAAATCTCCCTCGCCGCGATTACTTGTATGATTGCCATCTGCTATCGTTCTTCTTCCCCAGATAAGATCTCTCTCAATTCGCAAGGAATTGTTGATGCCGACCAGGCCGATGCAGGTCCTTTACAGGTGGGATTCGCCTCTATAACCCAGCCTGCTACACAGCCACTTACAGAAGCCATGCGCCTTGTCCCTCTACACGATGGAGGAACATAGCAAACCCAAAGAGTCCAAAGCCAGACCGCAAGCTCTCCACAGAATGTAATTGCCTGACCCACCTCCAAGTGCCCGGCAAAATATCCAGAACTTAGACGTGTGAGTTGCGATTGCTTCATGATATGTTTTCCCTTCCAATGACACGCGAGAATCGAGCAGCCGTCAAAGGGGCTCAATTGGGTTGACACAGGCCATACCTAGTTACCAAGCCCAGCCTTGATTTAAATGGCCAAAGCCATGGCGAATACAAAATGATGTCGATTCAACCTTGGTTGCGTGATAGGTAGGGCTGACAGAGTATCTAAGCATCATTTACTCTATCATGTCTCCTAGTACGTAGGAACCCCTGTCCCCTTCTATCCCAAATAGCTCGGGAGACAGCAGACTGGACAGCGAATCTCACCTCCACTGATGCGAGACTTCAAATGGTAGGAGAGGAGTTGCTCCTCAATACGATGAGTCGCACTCTAGTACCTTGCAGTCGGGCCACTTAAGAGCTCACATGGCGTTGTTTGTCTCTTCCCACGGCGCAGTTCAATGTGCTCATGTGCTCGTGTGATCCAAAATGGTGAGACTGGTGATCCGGCCTTACACATCGCCCAAGACTGTGAAGGATTCCAGCCAAGGTCGTCAGATGACACTGCCCGAACAGCTTGAAGAGACCCTTCGCCTGAAACTGAGACTTCCGAGCCTTCGCGTACTCTATAGCTGCTAGTGTAGGTCGGGACCATATCCGATGCTCACGATGAAAAACTACATATTGGTCGAAATCGTCTACAAGGCCTCACACCACACGACCTATGTGGCCAATGCCTGCACAGTACATACTGTCTTGGAGTTGCCGGGGGGACAATCGTCAAAGGCCCGTCTTACGGTGGATTCTCATGTACTGATCCTTCGGGCCAACCGTGAGGTAATCATTCTGTCGATCAGTGGTGAACCCATCATACTGATACAACACAGCTGGTCTTCTGTAAGCTGCACTCCGATCAGTGCCGGCTCGTCAGCCCTTTGCACCAAATATCAAAGCTGGCAAAGGGACACCTATCTCCCAAACGGAAGGCGGATTTGCGCTGGAAAACATGATCTAATGAAGCCATACTTTGGACATATGCGGCTTTATGACCGAGACTAGGCACCGCTTCGAAGCTTCTTTCCAATCAGATTCGGTTCAAAAGCACAGAAGCGTTGGATGTGTCAAATACACCTGGACATTGAAAGAGAATTCTTGGAAAAATCAATTTATTTGTATTGTTCCTACGATTGAGCCAGCCCTTCCATTTTTCTCTTCTTCTCCTCGGCAGCTCTCCTCCATGCACCCGCGTACTTCACTTGAATAAGAGGTGCTGCCAGTGAAACAACCTGCACAGCCGCACAAATTGTAAAACAGACACCTGCTCCAACAGCATCAATTAGGGGCATCACAAAACTGGTGCCACCCGCTGCAAATAAGCATCGAGCCAAATTGATACTGGCACTTGCGGCCGCGCTCCTATCATGGAAGGTATCGACAAGATAGGTCATGATCACCGACTGCATCGATACAACCGTCCACCCGGTGATGAATGTGGAAATGATAGGGACCGAAATGTGGACAGTATACTGGATGCTCCAGCCGAAGAGGATCAGTGACAGGCATTGAACACCCGCAAATATCGGGATCAGCCGCAGGCGTGCCTTTTCCAAAGGAAAGCTCCTTTCATCCACCACTCTCTCAGGTCCTTCAGGGTCCTGTTGTGCCTCGAACTTGCTTTTGACTTTGCGGTAGTCAAGGTCCAGGATCTTGCCTGTGATCAACGTGCCAACCATAGAGCCAACCCCATTGGCGATGAAAGTCAGCCCGATGTGGATCTCGCTGAGTCCATATCTTTCCTTGAACAGCGAGGACATGGCAGTGATGCTCATCTGCCATACAGCGTAGTATATCGCAAGAAACACGATGATCGGTGCCGCATCTCTGCTCGTGAGAATACGAAAAGGACCCGTCAAATCGATGTGTTTTCGGGTAGTCTGCGGCGGCGTGTCGTTTGGGTCCCATTCCACTTTGGTGCGCCTCTGATAAATTACCAGGGGGTACTTGGTCAAGACGTTGGATGACTTTGTGTGGCTTCCATTTGCGACCAGCGAGCGCAGCGTCTCAGGTAACAGCACAAGCATCGCAAGCAGAAAAGCCCCGCTATAAGCAGTCAACACCCAGAAGATCGCCCGCCAGCCTAGTGTACCAGCAACAGCGCCCCCAATTACAGGACCAGCCGCCACCGGAACCAAGAGGCCTGCTTGGAAGATACCCATGAACCCGCCGCGCTCTTCGCGCGTGGTGATATCTCCAATGACACCGGACCCAATGGCGATGGTACTGGCGCTCCCGGTACTCTGGAGACATCGAAGAACGATGAGAGAAGCATAGTTCTTGGTCTGGGCTAGACCAATGCATGCACCCAGGAAGACCAAGAAGGTGAGGAGATATGCAATGCGCCGGCCCCTGACATCGGAGATTGGCCCCCAAAGGCTGGGCGCCAGGCCCTGGAAGATGAGATACGACGTCACGGTCAGATCGACGAGTTCGAGTGACACATTGAGATCAGATGCAATTGTGGGAAGAGCTGGAAAATAGATATTTGATGCGAAACCAGAGACTGTGATGACTTAGCGATTCGAGTTGGGCAAAGCGGATGAAAAGATGTAAGTGAGCTCGAACATACATGTTGCCGCGGTCGAGACTATGGTCACAATCAGCCATTTTTGCCGCCTGTCAAAGATGCTGTGTGGAGCCTCTGGAACGACATGTTTGTCTTGTTCTGAAGGGCTGTATATGTTGGATGGGGTTGATTGATTCGGCAGGGTACCAACAGGTGCAGCTGCTCGCTCTGTGTGTGTCCGGAGGTTCTCGGTCGTCGAGTCAATTGCCATTATGAATAAGGGAGAGGATATGAATGTCGACGGTGATCAAGATATTTGCGAATTCAGACTTGAATGCTAGGAGCTAACCATACGAGCTTGTTGCTAGCTCAAGCATTGCACTTAGACAGCCTTTTTTAAAGTTGACGCTGAGTAGTACCTTTCTATAGTTCGACAACTGAGACGCAGTTGCGCGGTTCGGACTTGAGTAATGGCCACCGGAGTTGAGAGTATCCACTTCCATCGTGGAAGCATGGACGGTCGAACAGAGAAACCCTGCAATGAACATCCCTCAAGATCTGTGACGATACCAGAATCTCCATGATCTTGACGTCTACATGTCCATTATGATATGATGATACTTGTCTGTACCAAAATCTCATCGTCAGAATTGAGAGACCGATCGAAATGGTCGATTCGACCAGTATCCTGAGAATCTACAATCAGCTTCGATGGAGTGCGCTGTACTCACTGTCTGTACTACTCTGTAGTACTTTCTCGACCCGATCGGATCTGACGCTCTCAAGTCCGCCCCAATGCTGTCTCAACTCCGGTCGCTCGACGAGCGAGTCATGCGCCTCCAAAATTGTCGCGGATCAACCCAGACGCCCCACACGATCGCGCGGAAACTCATCGACAACTGCGACGCGCCCACTCCATGGAGGCACTCGCCGGGTTTTGCCCTCTGCGATGCATTCTTATGGATCTTTTGTCTGTTCTGCCTGATTTCGCGGTGAAATCCTATGCGCATATTCTCCCACCCCTGGAGCGAAGCAGGATCACCACCGTCGATCTCATCACTCTCGAGACGCTTGAAATCGCCAAACGCGCTCATGTGCCTCCGGCGGATGTGCGGCGGCTCTCCGCCCAGATCGTCGAAGCCCTGCACACTGATCTTGGATTCGAGAAGGTACAATCTGACATAGAGACATCGTCAAGTGCTGAGCCTAGCTCGAGCTTCCTTTCGGAACCCGCCCTGTTGGCACCCGGGCCCTCCAACAAGCTCGATGGGTCGCGATGGAAGACCATCAGCACGCTCGATCCGGGGCTGGATGCAGTCCTCGGAGGGGGCATTCCCATGGGATATGTGACGGAGATTACCGGTGAAAGGTTTGCCCAGTCTCTTACCTCCAGTGGGCCCTGACGTTTGGAGATTTCGCTCTGTTCTGACATGCCTTGAGCGCTTGTTGTGTAGTGGTAGCGGCAAGACTCAATTCTTGTTGAGTCTCCTCCTTGCGACCCAGTTGGTCGAACGCAACGGTCTCCCCTCGCATGCCGTGTACATCTCAACAGAACATCCGCTGGTCACGAACCGTCTGTCACAGATGCTGGAATCTCATCCGACGCTGTCAACCCTACCTGCAGACCAGATGCCCTCACTCGAGAACATCTTGGCGATCAACGCCATGGACCTGGAGGCTCAGGACCACATCCTTCAGTACCAGCTTCCAGTGGCGATCGCGAATTACAACGTTGGTCTGGTGATAATAGATTCTGTCACCTCAAACTACCGTGCTGAACTCTCATCGAATAACATCCTGGCGATATCTACACGGTCGAGCGAGCTTGCACGGCTGGGGCAGATGCTACGCAATCTGGCTGCCCGAGAAAACATTGCTATCGTGGTAGCAAATCAGGTTTCCGATCGATTCGAGCCTGCAGATGGAATTGGTGCCGATCCAGCACAGCGACCAGGCTTGTTGTCGACCCTAAGCCAAAGCGCAGTGGCGCGCGAAGCTTGGGCGCCATCCCCCGTCAAGAGAACACGGTCCGACAATATCGAGCAATTGTCGCAAAGTAGCCAGGGCCCGCCGTCTTCAAGTCAAGCCATCTCATCATCCCCGTACCACGCTCCGGATGACGAGAAGTTCGATGGCTCTTATATCATCGAAAACCCGGCGCGCAATAGCATCTTGAGTCTGGTGCACCAAGAGCGCTTCTTTACTGGATGGGGCGATGGTGTCGCATATGAGACGAACCCCAAGACTCCCGCCTTGGGATATTTTTGGTCGACACAGATTGCTTGCCGTATCGCGCTCAAGAAAGAAGAGAGACGCTCGGCATTTGCATTCGGGTCGCATCATGGCTCTTCCAATCTGCCCTCTACGCCTGTAGAGAAAGACGTCATTCAGGGCTCTACTGGAAGAGAAAGCTTCACCGGCATGACATCAAATTCAATCACATCTGCATCCGCAGCACATGCTGATCGAGCCCAGTCTGCAACCTCTTCTCGAAGAGTGGCCGATCCCGATCGGCCCTCGCAGCCGTTCCCGTCTGCGTCCTCCCAACAAGCGCTGATGCCGCCGCCAGCGATAGAATATAGCACCCGAAGGACGATGAAACTCGTCTTTGCGCCTTGGACGTCAGGTACGGTACCGGTCAATTTGGATCGTGATTCTGATCAGGCACACAAAGAAGACAGCGAAAGAAGCGAGGTAGAATTCGAATTGTGGAGGGGTGGCCTGCGAAGTGTACGCCCTGAAAGATGACCTCGGAGAAGCGCTCATGGCAGTCTCTCATTCAAAGTAAATAGAATCCGGCATTTCGATTGACGTGACTGGCGAGGTCGACAGCAAATAGCTCGCCTCGTGCTTCCATCGTGTACACATGCCCCAATTAGTAAATGGAAAGTCTCGAATAGGCCAAGTCGTCTCCAATCGTCGTCCAATGACTTTTCTCGACTTTGCCTTACTGGTATCCGCAATCGATCGTGGCCGAATAACGAACTGCTCCGACCTCACTCCTTGCGATCCACTCGACCCGCCCGAGACAGCGACACCCCGCCCCACGCCTCCAGATCGGATACCAGTTACTATAAGTAGACTCGAGCTCCCAGCTGCGCAGCTCTCTCGGTCAAGTCCGGTAGTTCAACAATACTTCTGCTTGGTGTCACCTAAGTTGACCATGAGCTTTCTCGCCATTGAAGGGTATCATGTGTTGGTCACTGGCGCAGCCGGTGGCATTGGTCAAGAAGCCGTCAAGGAATTCCTAGGTATGCAAGCAGCTTGTGCTTTTCTTCAATAATGCAGTACTGATCTCAAGTACACGTCTAGGGCAAGGATGCAAAGTGACTGCGCATGATCTTCGCCAGATCCCTGCGCCTTCATCTGCCAATGAGTCCAACTTTTTCTCCGTCAATGGAGATATTTCATGCGAGTCATCGGTGGCTTCGTGCATTCAATCTGCCGTCGAGCACTTTGGCCCGATCAACATCTTGATTGCTAATGCCGGCATTACCGATGAATCGTCCGATTATAATATCTGGGAGATCCCAGTGGACGTCTGGGAGAAAACTTACAAGACCAACATCCGAGGCACATTCCTGGCCATCAAACACTTCCTGCGAAACGCGGTCGAGGCCCAGGCGGCCGCCGGTCACGCCGAGTTGGAGAACCTGGCTATCGTTGTCACTGGGTCCGAGACAGGCAAGTTTGGTCAAGCTGGACATGCTGAATATGCCTCTGGAAAGGCAGGTCTTCAGTATGGACTGGTACGCAGCGTGAAGAATGAGATTGTGAAGATCAATTCAAAGGCGCGCATCAATGCTGTCGCACCTGGATGGGTCGATACACCAATGATCACTGGGCGACTGAATGATCCGACGGAGTTATGGAACGAAGCTCAGGCTACCGTGCCTCTGAAGAAGATTGCACAGCCTCGGGATGTCGCGCGAACCATGGCATTCTTGGCCAGTCACCGAGCTGCGGGCCACATCACTGGGCAATGCCTCTCGGTGGACGGAGGTATGGAGGGTCGCGTGGTATGGAGAGCTGACGAGGTACTCGGGAAGGCGAAAGCGGCTTCCACGAACTTACCGACGACTGTGACAAGTCCTCCGACTATCAAGGCCAAGAAGCGTCGCATTCAGATCTTGCTCTCGGTCGACTTTGATGCAGTGTCGGGATTCCTCGGAACTGGAGCGTCAGAGACCAACAGCCTGTCTGATTACAGCAGTGGCTATTTTGCAGCTCAAGTGGGGGTCCCACGTCTCCTACGGCTATTCAAAAAGCACGACATCTCCTCGAAAGTGACCTGGTTCGTGCCCGGTCATTCACTCGAGTCATTCCCGAATGAGACCAAGGCAATCGTGGACTCAGGCGCCGAGGTCGGATGTCATGGATACTCTCATGAAGGCGCCAACCAGATGACCGAGGAACAAGAGCGGGATGTAATTGCCAAGTGCGTTCAGCTGGCGACGGAGTTGACTGGGAAGAAGCCCCGTGGGTGGAGAGCACCCCTGTATCTACTGAGGGAACATACCGTGAAGGTCTTGGAGGAACATGGATTCCTATACGGTATGTGTTTTTCTCGCATCAACCTTACCGTCTGGTGACACTCGGCGCTCACGTGGTTCTGACTACCCAGATACGTCCCTCACCCATCACGACTCAGCTTTATACTTCCTTCCTCAACTTCCACCCATCAAGCCCATCGACTTTTCCCCCTCCCAACCGGCAACCACATGGATGAAACCGCTGGCGTCTCCTGGTCCGCGGACGGAAAAGACGCTGGTGGAAATCCCCTGCAATTGGTACATGGAAGACATGACTCCCATGCAGTTTCTCCCCGCGGCGCCGAATTCCCACGGCTTCGTCAGCCCTACGGCCATCGAGGAGAACTGGAAGTCCCGCTTTGAATTCCTGTACAACGAAACCGACGACTTTGTCTTCCCACTCATTCTTCATCCGGACACGAGTGGCATGGCTCATGTCATTGGCATGATCGACCGGATGATCAGCTGGTTGAAGCAAAAGGGAGATGAGGTGGAGTTTGTCACCTTTGAGAATTGCGCCAAGGAGTGGAAAGCCCGACAGTCAGCAATTGAGGAGTAGAGGATGCATGTCTTGCCTATAGACCGTGAAGTTCAAGATCGTGACCTTGGTTTACCTATCAAGTTATCAACTTTGGAAGTCGTGTGTCATGAGTAGGCCCGGTAGGTAATGGTAGTGGCACGCCTTCAGGCAGCAAGACCAGTACTGGAATACGCGCCATACCCTTGATCTTCTCGATCTGTTTCCGTAAGCCCTTCAATGAAAGACGGTACCTGTGAGGAGGAGTGATTTCAGCAGCAAGTATGATTCGACATGCCCATCAGTTGGAAGTCCTATCGAGGCTCCAGGTATGATCGCTTATTGCCCGATCTTCAGGATCTCCAGGAGCAAGCGAAGACTCACGGCCCTCGCAGTGTCGACTCGTCATTGCAGATTCATTCTCAAGGGCGTCACTTCTTGAATCGGGTCCCCACAATCATTTCCAAAATCATCCAGCAATGGATGAAGCACCAAAGTGGCAGATTGATGGGTGGTTCCCAGTAAAGGTTCAGCCCAGCTTACTGATCACGGCCCTTTTGAAGGTGGTGAGCTGGGCTCTCCGGCTATTCTTAACCTTAGCGGATTCCCTACCCCCGCGTGGGCTGGGGATCCAATGTGAGGCAGCTCTCCGGCTGGACTTATACTTTAGCGAATATCGCGCATTCACTCTCATCGGCCGAGATGGAGATCTGAACCCTGCTACGAACTCAATCCGTTATCTGCGCTCGCGTCGACCTGACCTTTGGGGACTCGGCGATCAATGCGACATTCCTGCCGGAACTCGCCCGTGCTGGATGGCGCCAGCCGCGATCTCTATCTCATGGAAGTCTTGGGTGGTGGATTGGTCTGGATCTGCAGACTTGCTGTAGAGGCCAACAAGCTTGTGTTTCCCCGCTTTGGGGTTCTCTCGTATATAAAAACGGCCGGTTTCTGCTCTTAGGACTTTGAGTCTTGACTGGTACATGTCACTACTCAAGCGGTCGTACTCAGAGTCAGAAGAAATCGACTGTGAAATCTTTTTCCCGTCAAGATGATTAACCCTCATCCTTTCGACCCTCTCTCGCCTGGAGAAATCGCAAAGGTCTGATCCCCCGCAGTGTCAGTAGACTGGACTGAAATTGACGGACCGCTCTTGATGACTCTAGGCTGCGGCAATTGTTCGCAATGAGCTTCGAGGGCATGACCTCAATTTCCGTGTCATCACCCTCCAGGAACCACCGAAACATGTGATGGTCTCTTTCTTAGAGAACGCTCCTCATGGACATGAGCACGGGTCTCCTGTTCGAGCCGCACGCGTTCAAGTAACCGTGCATGAAGAATCAAAGCCGAACATGATGATTGAACTGACCATCGATCTTACTTCTGGGGTTGTCATGAAACGAGAGAACTTGCTCGGGAAGCATCCATTCATTGATTCTGCGTACATGCAAGCCGCGGAAAAGGCTTGCCGGGCCGATCCAAGGATTGAGCTTGAGATCCAGAAGCTCAAGCTGCCCAAGGGCGCTGAGGTTGTGATTGAACCGTGGGCGTATGCGACCGACGGAATGAGCGATATGTCGGAGCGAACGACAATGGTAAGCACTCCGCGTGTGAGGGGAAAAGGAAGACAAGGTCATACTGGGGTTGCTAATGCAGAAGGATACGCGGTAGTGTTGGTTCTATATGCGCCTTCTCAATCATGCAGATGCCAATTTCTATGCGTATCCGCTTGATCTGTGTGCCGAAGTCTCGGAGCAGTTGCAAGTCACCAAGATCTATCATCTACCTTCTTCAGAAAACGAGCGTATCCGTGAGAATGCACGCCCGTATGATCATGACAAGATTCATGCCTCGGGGCTCAGTGAGTATCATCCTCAGTTAAGACCTCCGCCCCGCAGCACGACAAGGCCGTATCAGGTTGTGCAGCCCGAAGGACCGTCTTTCCATGTGAACGGGAATTCCCTGAGCTGGGAGAAATGGACGATGCATGTGGGCTTCAACTATCGCGAAGGTCTTACCTTGCATGATATCCGATACGATGGGCGAAGCCTCTTCTACCGTCTGGCCTTGTCCGAGATGTTTGTCCCGTATGGGGATCCTCGTATGCCATTCCCACGCAAGGGAGCGTTCGACCTGGGAAACGATGGCGCAGGGATCAATGCCAACAACCTGCGTCTTGGCTGTGATTGCTTGGGAACGATCAAATACTTTGACGCATGGCACAACACCGCTTCAGGGGAGCCACTCAAGCTACCGAATGTCGTGTGCTGTCACGAACAGGATGATGGGATTCTGTGGAAGCACACCAATCACCGCACTCAGAATGCCGTGGTCACTCGGTCGAGAATTCTCGTACTGCAATCGATCATCACGGTGAGTAATTATGAGTACATCTTTGCCTTTCATTTTGGCCAAGACGCGTCGATCTATTACGAGGTGCGGGCCACTGGCATCCTGTCAACCTGCCCTATCAACACGGGAGACAAAGTCAGCTATGGGACAGTCGTCGCGCCAGGTGTACTGGCTCCGTACCATCAGCACCTCTTTTGTCTTCGAATTGATCCGGCAATCGATGGATATGCCAACTCGCTGCAGGTCGAAGAGTCGATCCCCTTGCCCATGGGTGATGAGAAAAGTCACAATCCTTTCGGAGTCGGTTACACTACCAAGTCACAGATAATTACTCACGAGGGTGGACACGATCTCGACTTTACCACCAATCGCACATTCAAGATCATCAATGAACACAAGATGAATCCTATCACCGGCACACCGGTGGGCTTCAAGCTGTTGCCGTGCTACAGTCAGATGCTCCTCGCCCACCCCCAGTCGTACCATGCCAGACGCTCCGAGTTTGGCAGTCACGCAGTATGGGTAACGCGCTATCAAGACGATGAGCTATATCCCTCGGGCCGCCATACGATGCAATCTCTTGGCGGAGACGGCATCAGCTCGGCCATTGCACGACGAAAAGGGGACCAAGCTGCCGCGAACGTCAGAAACGAAGATATTGTGGTATGGCATACATTTGGATCAACTCACAATCCACGGATTGAGGATTGGCCAGTGATGCCTTCCGAAAAGATGATTGTCGGTTTGAAGCCCATCAATTTCTTTACGGGTAACCCAGGATTGGATGTGGCCGTCTCAACGCAGGAACAGAATCAGAGTGTGTTGGTGGATGGCACACTGCGCTGTCGTGGTGACGCTTGCTCCCGCCTCTAACTGGGTGCAATAGTACTTTCCGGAAACATCGAGACGTGTGAAGGCATTGAGTTCTTATCATGATGCTCTAAAGGCCTGTGAGATAAGTAGTCGACTCAAATGTATGGTGTCACAAATTGCTCAACCAGTCTATTTGAGCTGACTACCACTAGAACTAGATTGTAGCTCTCCCAATTCACCGTCTAGTCATCTTGAGCTCACGGTTTCTCCCTCATATTGTACCTTGGCTACTGTATTGTTGATGGCGACAGTTTCCAGCCATGGCGAGCAAATGGGTCGTACCTCGATGGAGCACGGCGGACCCACTCCCGAGCTGTTGGCCGACTTTCTCGCAAGACCCCAAACATCTTTCTTCCCCGCGCGCAAGTACTGCCAATTGAAGCTTGTTCGATTGACCCCCTGAGGACATTTGCTACAGCAAACAACAACGGCATGCTTTGAATGTCATTGAGCGCTTTTCATGGTCCTCGGGAAAGCACGGAGAGCCTTGATCATGGATTCCTCGAAGGCTGCCTCGAGCAATGTCACCGGTAAGATGCTGCGCTGTCCGGAATGGGTGTCCGCGCTCTTGTGGCTAATAATGTGACAAAACGACTAGTTGAATACACGGACCCTTTTGGATTATTTCCTCTAGTACAGCCGATCATTGAATCAAAATTACCACTCAAGAACTTGCATTGGAAGTCACCGACTCGGCCCGTACGATCCATCGAGTCCCTCCGCATTGGCTTCTCGCGTGCCCAGACCGAATCTACCGAGCGACATCTTTCAAGCGATGACAAAGGGCCCGTATCGCATCGGCGACACCAAATCCCTGGCCTGCGTCAGACACCTTACCTCAAGATCTACCTTCTCCGCTGTGACGATAATGAGACGTACAAGGCCACGGCGCGAAAGACTCTCCGGGAATGGATCAAGGCTCATGGGTCGCCGAGCGGTACCCAACCGACGGGCGGTAGTAGCCAAGAGAAGCATGATGCTTTCGACTGGCTGATCTTGCATGTGGTCCAGGACAATGAAGGCGCAGAGAGGAACGCCTCGTCCACCTCGAAATGGGGCCGAGGGTCCACAACGGTTTTGGAGAAGATCAAAGCGGACTTTAATGGCACGTCAAAATCAGCGCCTGATCGAGTTGCGCAATTACGCGCCCCGAAGGAGGGCGTCTCCGCCAAATCTCCCGAGTTGGCAGATCAACTGGAGGATTTGATTGATAAGATCAAGAAGGGGATACTTGCGTCATTCGATCTGCGCGTGGCACAATACGAGGAAGATATAAAAGAAAAGGACTCGCAGAGGAGTCTTCCAGGTTGGAACTTTTGCACTTTCTTCATTCTGAAGGAGGGCCTGGCGCGAGGATTTGAGAACGTTGGTCTTTTCGAAGATGCTCTGCTCGGATACGACGAACTGTCTTTCGGTCTCGATGCGGCCATACGCGACCAATTATATGGGAGTGGTGAGCAGCACGGTACAACACTATCCAATTCCAGCAAAGAATGGACAGAGGCTGCTCGTGAACTACTCAGTTCCGATGTATTGATCAGCGATGGAGGAGAGAACCCCGAGGCTGCAAGCCTAGATATCAGTCCAGAGCAATTCCCTCTCAGTGCGTCAAAACTGCCGTACCGGGAAATGATTCTAGCGAGCGATATATCCTTGTTCGATTTCCGCACTTATGTCTTCGCTCGACAGCTTACTCTGCTGCTTCGAGCAGCCAGAGCTCCCTCAATTTTCACGGGCGAGATGGCCAAGCGCGAATGGAAGGCGGAAGATTTCATGCTGCTTGCAGAGATTTGCTCAAGGTCACTGGATTTCATCAGCCTTGCTGCCCGCAATCTTCGATACGTTCTGGAATGTGCTTTGGAGGATGTAACCAACCCTTCCAAGACTGGTGTTATCAATAATCTCGTGTCAACATGGGCGTATTCGGCAGCCCTACAAATTCTGAACCAAACTTTCACGCCTAACCTGGCTCTTCCCGAATCAACAATTCATGCCACATCTCAGGCAGGCAAAGCTGCTTCCCGCGCTGCCTCGATGAGTGAGAGTCGCAGCGAGATCCCACGCCGTTCCAGCTCCCTGATTGGGCCAGTCACGAACCTCGCACTTCGGCCAGTGACTCAGGACTTGTCTGACACACCGACTGGGCCTATGCAACGGCGTTCAACACTGGACCATTCCAAGCCTGCCCCAAAAATGCCGCCCAAAACTGGCTCAGAGCAGCTGGCTTCTGCAAGAGGAGAGCTTTGGCTTCTGGCTCGACGTTGTCTGACTGAAATTGCTCAACGTCGGGGTTGGTCTGAGAATTGGAGTGATCTGAACCTATTGTTTGGCGACAATCTTGGCTCTATCAGTGCCGTCACGAGCGGATTTGCGGAAGTCTCGCTCGGTGACAAGCCTGCCACTGAGCCGCGTGACTCGACTGAGCGTCAGGAAACAACCTTGGTTGGTGTCAATTTCCCTGCTTTGAAAGCAGGGTTACAGTCAAAGCAGCGCTTCCTCTCTCTCTATGAGGAGCTGACGGACGAAATGATACGCCACTTCGCAGTTGCCAATCGGGCCAATTCGACAGAAACCGCACTTGCCGACATCGCAATCTTGCGATACCGAGAAGGCGACTATGAGACTGCAGCTTCTTATTTCCATCGAATGGTCCCGTTCTTCGGTAGCAAATCATGGACAGTCTTGGAGGGCAGCATGCTAGAACTGTACGCCCGTTGTCTGAAACAACTTGGTCGTAATGAGGACTACGTGCATGTGATGCTGCGCTTGCTTGCCAAGTTCGCGACTTTTGCTCAGTCCAAGTTGACTGTGAGAGAACGGTCACTGGCCACTCCACCATCGATTTTGCAATTGGAACAACTCGCAGGATATGTAGCGGATCTCTTCAATGGAGCGTCGAATATGCAAAACGATATTACTGCACCATTGACGGATTACTTCGCGGACCTTCGCATTGATCCCGCTATCCAAATTTTCGGGGACAGGGATGGCTTCCAGATCTTAGTATCTCTGAGATTCCTCGTAGGACCTCAAGTCGGCATTGATTCTGTCAAGGTGCGACTGGTCAGCGAGAGCGGCGTTCAGCATTCAGAGCACTGGATCGAAAGCTCGAAGGCTTGCGTTGTGAAGTCGTCACGGACGGTATTGCGCGTTGATTCTACGGTAGGTCAATTGGCTTGCTTTGCTTGGGAACGAGCACGATTATTCAGGTACATTCACTAATGCTTTTGATTAGATCACGCTCCATGGAAAGTACTTTGTCGACCGCATTGAGCTCAAGTCTGGAAATATTACCTTCTCCTTCGACAGTGGAAGCCATTCTGCTCTTCCTGTTGGCTTTCGTGAGTCTGATGAAGGCGCCGAAGGTGATAAACGGCCCTATGTCTACTGTTATCCCGCTCCGGGTGGATTACAAGCAAAGGTGGTATCGCCGCGTCTGATCAACCTAGAAGCAATGCGTGCTTTGGAGTTGGAACTTCAGAGCGGACGGGACGAGATCAGCTCAGGGACAATCCGTGTTCGACCAGCCACTGCCGGCCTTCGCCTACGAATTGCGGAAGTTGAAGTCGTCGATGGAGGTGTCCAGGTGAAATCCGATCCAGACCTCGGTACGATAGGCTTCGCAAAGCTCTCGGCACAGAGCTCGGTGCGATTGCGTATTCCTTATACGGTCGAGGAGGCTTATACAACACTCTCTGCGCGCACCGAGATCAATTATAAAACCGATCACGGCGACTTTTCCTTTTCAACAACACACAATATCGTGGCTGCGTTGCCAATCTCTGTGAACGTACAGGACATCTTCAAGGAGACAATACTATTTTCCAGATTCACCATCAGTCCAGCGATGCTCGTCCCATTGCGTATCACCAATTGCAGCCTACCGAGCTCTGACGTCTATGAGGTCGAATCGAGTGTTACAGGTCCAGTGGCCATGGATGTATTTCCCAAGCAGCCTGGATCGCTGCTGTACAAGATCCGGCCCACGGAGTCGACGAGCATTTTCAACGGCAATGGCGCCGCAGCACCTCGCAGTCTTCGACTACGCGTAGACTTTACCTGCGTGGATGATGAATGTTTTGCTGCAGTTGAGAACCTATTTCTGTCTGCTATCCAGTCGAGCCCATTCGCCCAGTACGCAACACTGCTCGCACCGCATATTGTGAACAGTTTCCGTGCTCAACTCTCCACTGCTGATCTGGAAGCCATTGGTCTAGTTCGAGAGGTGGAGATGCTCTCTTATCAAAGCGTACGCTGGGAGCCTTTGTTGAGCGCTCTGAAGGAGCCGATTGAAAACATGCGACAGTGGCTTTCTGGCTGGCATCAGGTTCGTCTCGTCCCCTTCCCCCGTTTTTTAACCTTCCAGTGCCCTTTGATTCCTTCCGATCTGCGTTCAACTTGGCTTTGCGAGTCTCCCGGTTCGATTATCACCCGTCCACTCCCAGCTAACTACGGACTCTCTCTCTCTTTCCCTCTCTCCAGAGCAACCCGATCATTCGCCTTCCCGATCAGGCGTCGACACTCACTCGCAGTATCATCATACCCGTCGACATCCCCGAAATTCAAGTAGTGCATACAGCTGAGTTACGAGTGCGACCCGATGAAAGTGGTGCCCGCCACCCTCACGCTCCGATTCCTCACGTGGCTGTGGGTCAACTGATCGCGGCCGAGTTACGCATTCGCCATACCCGACGATGGTGCTCACCCACCAACCGAGTCCACGCCGACCAGCCCCTTGAGTGTTCATACGAAATCCACGCAAACCCGGACCAGTGGCTCCTGGGAGGTCGTCGACGTGGAAACCTCTTGGCCCGCGAGGGCGAAACTACCCACTTCACAATCTTGCTTCTTCCCCAAAAACCGGGCCACCTCCTTCTTCCTGGCTTGGAGATCCGGACCTTTGCACCTCCCACGCCGTCGACCAATCCCTCCGTGTCTTCTCCAACGGCGGATGTCATGGGTGGGGGCGCCACGGGTTCCGGTCAACGCCAGGCCATTGCCTGTGAGGTGGATTATCGAAATCACAGCGACAGTGTATTGGTGTTGCCGGATCTGCGCAAGACCACGGTCAGCCTCAGCGCCTCGGGCAGTCCCGGTGGATCATCGTGGCTGGTGGATTCGGAACGCCGTGTGGAGGCCTAAGAGAATCCGGCCTAGCAGGCTGATGATGAGTCCTTGCCCATGAGACTGACTCGTTCATCTACTGCATGCCGCACGGCCTACAGTCCTGTCTCTCTCGGGAGAGGGAGAGAGAGAGGGCGATCCTTTACCTGTTCTTCGGCCATTGCACAGATGGCCGGAGGCACATGTACATATAGAATGGATCGACGAGTCATGAACGCAATCTTCAATGTTAAGTTTATTGACGGGAGTGATGACTTGTCCGCGGCTACGTGAGATCTCGAGATCTCCCCGGCAGTGGAGATGATATGTAGTCATATCATCCAGCCCGGAAGACATCCTTAATTGGTTCTTTTCGTGTTGCGGTGGAGGGTGTAGTTCCTTATGGGCACTGGGCAGTGACTATCGGGCCACACACTGTTTGATTGTGAACGCCAAATACATAATCTTCAACCCCACCGCTCACACAGAAGCTTCCTACGGTCAAGCTCTTCAACCGCTGTATCTCGGGCCTGGACCCAGCCCAAGTCGCCCGATTCCGCAAAAAGACACAACATCCTAAATTACGGTACGAATACCCTTCAAAATGCAAAAAAAAAAAAAAGAAAGAAAGAAAGAAAGAAAGAAAGAAAGAAAGAAAGAAAAGAAAGACCTCCAACCCATCTTTGAAGGTGGAGACCGCCCCCCTTCAATGACAGGCGGTGGATGGTGGAGATTCACAGCGATTGGGTACGGGACCCTCCTCAACAAAAGAGATGCAAGTGGGACCGGCCCAACAAGATCGGAGGGCGTGGAACAAGTGGACCGATCCGCGGAAATTTCCTTTTTCGCTTGATGCTTCCATTTGAGTGATGGCACGGGTGGACAAGGGACTGCACTGCAGTGGTCTGGTAGGAATTGATATTGGATTGCCAGCTGAGGGTTTTGCGTTCAATCTTCGGATTCACATGCGACACGTGAGAGACTCGGTTATCAGCGCGGAGCTGGAGGGTCTGTAGATTGTACTGTAGTCTGAATCCCCAGTTGTCGTCACGCTTTGATTTGATATCGCTTCAAAGTCATACAATCATCCAATCATACATTTGATGGTAGTCCTTTCGTAGTACTGGTGTTTGGCCCTGTTTTATGGATTCTATAGTGTAGTGGTGTAGTTCATATAATTCATATCGTACGTTATACTGTCAGTTTTCTGTGACGAGATGATGGCCGAGAGTTGAAGTGTCGGCCGAGAATTTGCCGACGCTCTGCCACAGAGGGTGTTTGATCTCGCAAGATCCCTGGTCATTATCATGAGCTTCGCCGTCGTGATATTTTGATTCCTCAATTTGTCTTCTCTCTTCTGTCTGAATCAGATGCTCATGCCCCGGTACAATTCCCGTAATACAATCACATATCACAGGCCGATATTACACTTCCGATTTAATTACGACTCACATGCAAACCAAATCCTCTGCCATCCTCGTGGCTGGCCCTCGCCTCTCTTGAGATACAGTATCTTACTCTTACTTCAATACTTGTCATGGATGGTCGGCCGTGCTGAGGATCAACGACAAGCTCGAAATAAGTGTAGATAGTAGGTACATCCTTGGGCTGCCCAGCGTAGTTATACACGGTCGCAACATGTACAACTACTCTCCACGTCTCTTCTCTCTACAGCTTCGGTATTCAAGTTCAAGTATTGGTACAAAGTACAATGTACTGATGCCTAGTGCCCACTGCCTCCTACCCAGGTAGGTAGAAGGTACCTACTATAGTCCAACTACAATGCCACTGGTTGTACAATCCCAAAATGGCCCGCCGAGGCCCGGGTCGATCGCCAGCTCCAGCTGGCCATCCGCACATGCTTCCTGGGGCGAGACACATCGGCATGTGATAATCGCGGGAAAATGGGGTGGTCCATACTCTATCGTCCAGCCGAGTTGGAGTATCCTTACTGAGCGTATAGTGCCTATGACCTAGTCCTACTGCCCAGTGCGCACTGTCAGGCGCAGGCGCCCTCATCTCTGTCCGTCATCAGTACGACTATCTGCTCATTGATTGGGGTGACTAACTGCCACAACTGGTACTTGGCTCTACGTTCGACGTGAACACCACGGTGGCCAGGCAGAGGTTAATTACCGGACTGTGTAAAGGCGTACGTCAGAGGCTTTTCTTTCCCTGAACGTTATCTGGAACCGTGGATGAGGGATTCTTGTCAAGAGGAGGGACAGGAGAGCTACAAAGTGTGATACTGTACATATGTCAAATCGAGAGAAGCCCATTACCTGGTACCTACTAAGTAAGTAGTCGCATATAAAGAAGATATTGACTATCTCTAAGTACAGAAGTTGGAAGAGTTGAGATCGACGGGGTTCTTGGTGCAGACTCCAGCATTACTAGACGGACTAAAAGAGATCAGGGTAGTGATCTAAGGTTGGTCCTCGGTCAGTATCATACACGACCCACGAGACGTGTGTGACCTCTCCAATCATTATTATATCGTGTCTGTAGCCATTTACCTCGATTCTAGAGGGCAGACAGTGCTAGTCGTATGGTTGTCGATCAAGTGCTTAGGGTCTGCACTCTGTAGTAGTACAAGAATGCTACATGTGAAGGGCGTTCATACTACTGTTCGTATGTAGGTACCAATAAAGTTACTTGTAGGTGGTGAGCTTTGAGCACCGTAGTACCGCAGTCGCTTACTTTCGGAACTCGGACAATTTAAAGTAAATCACGCACTCCACTCCAGTCCACCCGAATCATCAGATTAGGAATGTTGGGGTTCCCAAATGGGACTAGGGCGCGGGACCGCCAAGTGGCGTCTCTTCTCGATTGCTGAAGATTTTCAGCTGGTGGAACAACAACAACAACAACACGTTTGGCCAAAGCTCAGCAGGTTGCATGTGCCTTGCCCAGAGCGGTGATGCATATGATCCAGGAAAGATATTTATATTCAACATTCATGAAAGAGAAGAGCGGACTGGGATCTGATCGAGATGAGCCACGAGACTACAGTACTGCGCCAGGGGAGGAATTTTGTATGCACAATGTACCAGTAGGGATGCGAGTTCATCTTGATTCTCTGCGACCGACAGTCTACACGCTTCACGCTACAGTCGCATCGTACTACTGTATTTTGAGCCTAAACTTCAAAGACTCATATATATATAACTTGTAAGGCAGTTAAAGGCACACTGCTCACATGGGAGAAAAGATTTGGCTTCTTGCACTGCGGTCTGCGCAAGCTGGCGCGGCGGGCAATGTCTTCCACGTGATTGGCCACCTCGGTGACCTTCTGCTGCATGACCGCACGATCGGCTGAAGCGTTCATGCAGCATGGACAGACCTCTCCGAAACAGTCCTCAAGGGTGTCTTGCAGACAACTCAGATCCCTCGGATGAGAGGCGAGATCCTGGGATCCGGGACCATCCTGGTTAGCGTTTTCTGTCCATTTCTGGAGAGCATCAGGACAGAGTTTCTCTTCCTTTATTATTTAGCCTGGAAGACCACGCAAAGAGTTTCTTTTTTTGGGCTTTTTTTGTTTTTTTACTTTAGGTACACCAGTCCAGTGGATGGAGTCCAGAAGGAAGTGGAGTCGGGAAATACACAAGTCAGGTAGGTGCCGTAGTCTTGCTGCTTAAAGTGTCTGCTAAATTTTGCAAAAAAAAAGTTTTCAAATCCCGCTACATACATATTACAACAATTGACAGTTTGACACAATACATGAATGCAGTACTGACAATCCCTACCATCACATGTTTGAAAAAGTCAATTTTGGCAGGGTCCAGGGACGAAATTCTTCTTAGGGTTAAAGATTGGCAGGGACTGGACCATTTTCATGGACTTGGGACTTGGAACTTGGGTGACAGCCAATTGCAAACTTACCAGATCTTATCAAGGCCCCACCGGAGGCGAGTATCCATACTGTAATGGAGAACTCAATTCTCAATGGCAAAAAATGTGAGCCCTCTGTTGCTTTCCCGTTTCAGCTTTCAGCCCTTTGAGCTTTTCCTTTTTTTCTCACATGACTTTTCTTGACTTTCGGCGGTCTGTCATCGCCTTCGTTGAGATGTTCTGACCTCCATAGGTATGTACTCAGGCGTCGTTCTTATTGGTATCATTTCACGCAAGACTACAGATTCAATCTGATTCCCAAAAAAAAAAAAAAAAAAAAAAAGAACGGTCAATATCAAAGAGGCGCCTACTTCGCAAGTTCATCGGGTAGCCTAATTCACCAGCTACATCTAAATCCCTACAGTATACGACAGTATTGACTCTATCGAGGATTATACTACCGTACAAGTCAACAAAGTCACAGGGGCAACCTGATGGTATGCTCCCTTGCACAAATTGGGAAGGGACGATCAATGGAACAAAAACTTTAAATCATTTTTCCCCTTTCGTCTTGGACCTTTGGATGGAGACTCTCAATGATTGTTCCCACAAACTCTGCCATCCGCCGAATCAGATTGGAGTCATTGAGAGGTTGCTGACTCTTTTGGGGGAGATCCCTTTTGCCCCCAATGTTTCTCTTTCGGTGCCAGCACCCTAAATCCCCTCCCCCCAAAAAAAAGAATTCCATAAAATCAATACATCCAGCTTGTCCCCCTTCTCTGCCCTTTTCGGGCTTTGCGTGTTCCAGTGGCTTGTGCTCATCCTTCTTTTGTCCGTCCCAACATCCTCCCCTGGTGTGGTTTCCATTGGCCCACGGTCTGCACAGAATTAAACAGCCGAGGAAAGGATCCGTACTGCCCTTTTTGCCATCCCGACTGAGTCTATTTCTATATAACGTTTCTCCTACCTCGCATTCTCTTCGTCCCCTTTCCCCTTCCCCCCCCGTCTTGGAATCCCTTCGATCTTGGTAGGACACCTCGTTCGTCTCCCAGTTCGTCGTCTCTTCACCATGTCGTCGACTGCCCTCCCCAAGCGCGTTGCGCTGCACCGCAACCCGGCCACCGACTCCTCAATGCCCTCATCGGTGTCGGCCTCTCCCTTTGACAGCCCGCGTCAGTCGCCCTCGTCGACTTCGCTGTCCTCCATGGGTTCAGAGCCGGAAGTCCAGACCAAGATGCTGGACACCTATGGCAATGAATTCAAGATCCCCGACTTCACCATCAAGCAGATCCGTGATGCCATCCCAGCTCACTGCTACCACCGCTCCGCCGTCACCAGCCTCTACTATGTCTTCCGGGATATGGCTATCCTGGCATCCGTCTTCTACCTCTTCCACAACTATGTCACCCCAGAGACCATTCCCTCAATGCCCCTCCGTGTGGCTCTCTGGACGGTCTATACCGTCATTCAGGGTCTCGTGGGTACCGGTGTCTGGGTGTTGGCCCACGAGTGTGGTCACCAGGCCTTCTCCCCCTCCAAGGTGCTCAACGACACTGTTGGTTGGATCTGCCACTCCCTGCTGTTGGTCCCTTACTTCTCCTGGAAGATCTCGCACGGCAAGCACCACAAGGCCACCGGCAATCTCGCCCGTGACATGGTCTTCGTTCCCAAGACTCGCAGCGACTATGCTACACGCATCGGCAAGACCATCTACGAGCTCAGCGAGCTGGTGGAGGAGACTCCCATTGCCACTGCCACTCACATGGTCGGCCAGCAGCTGTTTGGCTGGATCCTGTATCTTCTGACCAACGTCACCGGTCACAACAACCATGAGAAGCAGCCCGAAGGCCGTGGCAAGGGCAAGAAGAACGGCTGGGGTGGTGGTGTCAACCACTTCAACCCTTCCAGCCCTCTGTACGAGGCCAAGGACGCCAAGCTCATCGTTCTCAGCGACCTGGGTTTGCTCATGACCGGTTCCATTCTCTACTATGTCGGCTCCACCTATGGATGGATGAACCTCCTGGTGTGGTACGGCATTCCCTACCTCTGGGTCAACCACTGGCTGGGTAAGTCAACTGTTATACCCTCTCGACATTTCCCCCCCCCCCCCGCCCCCCCCAACTTTATCTTCTCGTACGAGTCCACGAGTCACACACGAGGCTGCTGGACTCGTACTGAAGTCTCATGTCTATCAATGAAGAGCTATCAACTGACATTTGCCCCCTCTTAGTTGCCATCACCTTCTTGCAGCACACCGACCCCACTCTCCCTCACTACGAGCCTGAGGTGTGGAGCTTTGCTCGTGGCGCTGCTGCCACTATCGACCGTGACTTTGGCTTCGTCGGTCGTCACATCTTCCACGGCATCATCGAGACCCATGTGCTGCACCACTACGTCAGCTCGATCCCCTTCTACAACGCCGACGAGGCCAGCGAGGCCATCAAGAAGGTCATGGGATCCCACTACCGCACTGAGGCTCACACCGGCTGGACTGGTTTCTTCAAGGCCATGTGGACCTCTGCTCGTGCCTGCCAGTGGGTTGAGCCCACCGAGGGTGCTCGCGGCGAAAGCAAGGGTGTCTTGTTCTTCCGCAACACCAACGGTATCGGTGTTCCCCCTACCAAGATCACTGCCCAATAGATGAGACTACGATATTAGATTTCTATTGTTTGCATTTCACTTGTTCTGACTTCGGAGTCCTTTTTTTTTTGTTTTCAAGCCGTTGCCTCCAATCGTGTGTGGATTGTGATAGGGTGTTAATTTCAAAGAGTGGTCCCAACATTTGGTGTTGAGGACGTTTCCTGCTTGACCTGATGACATTGTTTAGTCCAGTGCCCTGTTCATTCTCCTCTCAAAATATATAGACATCGCGGGCACCGCCAGGACAACTTCTCGACACTCACACGTAGCCTCCACACCCTCCCGATCAAGCTGAGACTCATGAGGAGGTTGATCTCTTCGTCAAATCAATCACTGGATCGACTATGAGTATGCATGACAATCGATGGGGTCGTAACTGTCCATGGTAGATCCCCATGTATCCACATATTTGTCGATTCAGACCGAAGTCGCCTGCAGTTGGGTGGGTGTCTATCTGAAGCTGCCGTCAAGAGTCACTCTCTACTTGGCCCTTGAGTACCTGTCACGGCTACAAGGCACCCTCGCGGTCGGTGCACTTTTGGTTTTGCCGCGGCCGATTGACGGGTATCCCCGCGCCCCCCCCGCGCGCACATGGACCCAGGAACACCCGTGATGTGGGCCACACGAGATGGTAAAAACCCTTGAGGAGATGCGGAGTCTCCAATCTCAGACTGTTCGATTTCATTTCAGTCGGAATCCAACTGCCTGCTTCTGTCCTGTCGTTCTTACATTGGTCTTTGACCCGTTCAGGGTACCCATTGACTAGTTCCAACTGATCGTCCTCGACTCCTCTCTTCCCATTGGAAATTGTTGACATTGATATATGGAATCGTCAACTGTCCAAATGCCAACATGACAACCGACGACCCAACCGTTTTCAATTCCATCCCCTGGGTCTCAGCCCTCCTACACGACAAATCCTTCGTGACATACACCATTCCCTCTCGAACCGTCAAACCCTCCACAGAGGATAACCTCTTCTCCAAGACCCTCAACACATCAACCACCTTTTCCGCATGTCTCAGCCAGTATCGGCGGCCCTCTGGCCTTGGAACCGAACCCTCCACGACTGACTTCGAACCTAACACCGATACCCATCCATCGTCATCGCCATCATCACCCATCACAGAACTCCGTATGTTCTTCATGCTTGGCTCCGATCTCAACGGGTACCCGGGCATTCTCCACGGCGGCATCGCCGCCACCCTGCTGGATGAATGTACCGGATTGTTACTGGCGCTGAACGGACAGGTCGGGGATGCGGTGACGCGGCAGGAGCCCGGGTCGAGACCGGGTCCTGTGACGGCGTACTTGAATACGAGGTTTCTGCGTCCGGTGCCGACGCCCGGTGTGGTCATGGTGCAGGCGAGGATGGTGGAGGGGGAGGGGGATCGGAAGTGGAGGATCGAGGGGCGTCTTGTGGATGGGGAAGGGTTGGCTTTGGTGGAGGCCGAGGCGTTGTATGTGAGGCCGAGGTCGAGGATTTGACAGGATTGGGGAGGGGGTTCGGTTTGATCGAGCAGGATCCAGGTTGCGGTGGTGGGGAGGGGTACGACGATGGAATTGAGGGCTCATTCATGTGGACATCTATGTATATAGAGGGTAGAGAAGATAGAGGTCCTTCTGTTGTACGTACACATTTGAGGGTTTTCTATGATTTCTTGAAGTTGCCTTTGGTATGAATTTACAGGGGGTGGTGGGTATCAATTCTCGCCCTTTGAAGTGATCATCACTGAGTAGACATGTATTAGTCTATCTATCTATGAAGGGCATGCAAGTAAGATGGAACAACTTAATTGACTCAGACTAAGGGAGTGTCCCAAAAAAACACCAGGCAAAAAGAAGAATGAGACGTCAGCTACAGGGTTCGAACCTGTGCATCCGAAGATACTAGATGCCCAAACATGGTACCCGAAGCGGGTTTCGTTCAAGTCTAGCGCCTTAGACCACTCGGCCAAACTGACGTTCATGTCTGATGTGGCAGAGCCGTGGTATATTACTCAACCAAGCAGCTACTGACCTTGGTAGTCTGACTCTGTCATCTATCTAGTCCGTATCGCATCCCTCGTGTCCGGGTTGGATATGCAATGACGAGTTGCATCACTTACTTTCGGTCGCGATTTTATCTCTTTTCTACTTGGTAACTCTGTGGCTAAGCCACTAGCTCTGTCGGTCCGAATGGAATTAGTAGATATCTCTCAAATCCTTCCAAGTTTTCATCATTTCTAGTGGCCCGGCTGGGCCTGCCTACCTGAGAGAGTCCTGCCGCCAGCGCTGTCGAGAAATACATGTATTCCGTGCATGAGAAAGCGCTCCATGTCACGGGATCAAGCACGTTACAGTCACCCGTCCACGCCTGGAGCTAGAGGACTTTCCTGTTTCCACCTCCTGCGATGCTCCAGCCCTTTAAGTCAGCAGTTCATATTTCAAAATACAAATACATCCATCTCGGCATGTACCTAATCATCACTCGGTAGCCTCGAAAAAGGAAGCTCGAGCCTGCTCAAACCAGGAGCTCAACCTTATACTATCACTGCCATTTCGGTCCTCAGTGAGAGTCCACGGTCCACCTACACGCCCTCCTTACGGCAGGTGTATGTTGATGCCCTGAATACACCTGGGCGGAATACGCATCTGCTGCATCGATGGGGTTCATCTGCTCAAAGTTCGAAAATTTGGAATTTGTTCCACATCACACGCCGAACGCTCGCAAGTCTACCCATTAGCGAGACGTGCATTCAAAGGGTACACATCTGCATCGCAGAGAATCCCATATTAGAGGCTCAGGAGAGTTTGCCTCGTCGTCCACGCACTGCCGGTGAAAGGCAAAGTTTGAGTCCCCGCCCGAGATGCGAAGACATCGCCGGTATGGAATTGACGTCGTCCCGATCAAGCCATGAAATCTGCACGGGAGAGATATTTCTCTTTGCCTCGACCCTTGGATGTGTAGTCTCTCACTACACTCCTGTCGAGTTCTGAGTTTACAAAATCTGTGCCCACTGAGAGTATCGGGCAGCGGCGCTGACTGAATCGAGGATGGATACCACCATCTCATGCAAAGGTAGCGATGACATAATTGCAATTCACGTGCATTTGTCTAAATATGGTTGCTCCAACTCCCTAAAGTCATGCTATAGGTACGAATTTCTCCGGAACCCACAAATTTGACAAAAGAGGACCGTATACTCAGATACTACTGTACTTCCACCTAATAGGAGACCCCGAAGAGCAGGAGCAATTATCTAGCCTCGGAGTGTCCAACCAAGGCAGAGATTGATCATCAATCTATTAATGAACAGACGAGTGTCAACACAGGCAGAGCCATTCCAGCTGTATCTACAGCGACCAGGACGCGCTAGCCAATCCTTCAACGGCGCCTATTTTTGGAACTCCTCGGCTTTGCCCGAGGCTGTTCCGATCGGCAATCACTTGTCCCACCGGTAGCAGTGTGATGTGCGTGGACCAGCGAAATTGGCATGATGCTCAAAATTTTTAGCTACGAATGGCAAATGCGAGATCGACTTGGTCTTGTTCCCCTGGCCAGAGGAACATCGATACCTAGTACTCCATGAAACATGAACACTGATTAGTAGCAAAGCACTCGGCAGTCCAATCAAGATAATCATGCGAGAAGCATCTGGGCCTTCAATGCGGAGACTGCGGAGAACCCGAGGCGACAACATAGACAAGCGGTCAAGAAGCAAGAATACGCGGAAGCAAACTATAACGGTCTCAACAACACACCTCCCTGTCAACACAGACTCTTCCAGCCTCTCGATGAAGCAAGTCGATCATCAACACAACGAGTCATATCCTGCCCACGGATAACTCACCGAGCGAATTGACCATCGAGCACTATGCCCGTCAAGCTCTCAACTTCATCTTTGACAGCTCGGGGCCAGCGGAAGAGCAGTTCTGGGCTCGATCCGACCCAGGACTCCACTCGTGGCGGCATAGCCGCAGTCTGAATGGCTCGAATGCCGAATGCCTCTTCATGTACAAGCGCACAAAAATTGCTACAAGAGCATTCCCCCTTTTAATATGCAGCGAGTGAGTCCTCCCTTGGACTTTGCTGAAGCGAAACTCTGTCCATGTCTTCCATCAACAAAGGCTTCGAACGCATTTCCAGTTGCAATCCTGCAAGTCACGCAGCATATCGCTGTATACAGACAGTGTGACAAGAGTGGAGCATACTATCTCCGAGAATGGCTGCAGATCTGATCTACGATATCCGGGAGCTACCCGATAGCTCGCAGGCTTCCCAGGGCCAGAGATATCGCGCTCACTTGTACCATGTCGCCCGTCTGGCGATCTGGACGAGCAATGTTTACTTGACTATCCGAGGTCTGGCAGTCCTACTGGGCCCGCAACAATGGCAGACATGGATGATGTTTCTGGTCGAGGCGATCTTTATTCGTGAGTTCAAACACTGGCCTGGCCTGGACGGTCCAATAGACCACTAATCATACAGAACCGCAGATCTCTCTCGCAAGGATCAAAATTTGGTGATTGCAGCCTTCCGTGTCAATCGAGAAGGACGGCGAAGACGACTACGCCTCCAGGGGAACGAAGCTCTGCCCCGAGTGGACGTGCTTCTACCTTGCTGTGGCGAGGATGTGAATGTCATTATGGCTACAGTCCGCGCTGCCTGCGCAATGGACTATCCGAGCTCGTGTTTCCGCGTCTTGGTCCTAGACGACGGAGGCTCAGCTACTTTGAAGGAAGCTGTGTCGCAAGTTCAAACGGAATGGAGCCATGTCTCATACCATTCACGAGGCCGGCAGTCGGGTATGGTCTTTGCTAAATCAGGGAATCTGAATTATGCGTTGACCGAACTGCAGAGACGGTCACCGCCGGAGTTTTGCGCCGTCCTTGATGCGGACTCTGTGCCAACGCCGGACTTCCTTCGCGCAACTCTGCCTCATCTGCTGCAATGTGACGAGGCGGCGTTGATCTCCACACGCCAGTATTTCTCCAATCTGCCTACCGGCGACCCGCTCTCTCAGACGAGAAGCCACTTCTACACCTGCCAGAACGCCGCATTAGATATGCTGGGTCGGGCTATTGATGCAGGTTCCGGAGCGGTGTTTCGCCGGAGCGCTGTTGTGCATGTGGGACTCTACCCGACATTCTCATTCTCGGAAGATTGGCAACTATCACAAATCTTGCATGGCATGGGCTGGCGGACCTTCCAGGTGCAGGAGCCTCTGCAGTTCGGCTTGATCCCCGATTCTCTAACAGGCCACTGCGCACAACGGAGTCGTTGGAATATCGGACACGCCCAGCAGATGCCTGCTATGCTCTCACCCGAGTATAAGCACTATCCAACCTCTCTTCGGTGGAGCATCGCTTTGAACGGATTGGGAATCATTGCCGGGGAAATTCTGTGTTTTTTGGGCTTCCTGGCGGTGCCGTTGCTCTTCGTCTCCGGGGACTTGGTTCCGACGAACTACCCCAGTCTGGCGCGGACTCAGATAGTCATGTCGGCGTTTCAAGTCCTGATGATGTGGATGTTTGAATATCTGCAGGCCTCACAAAACAATTTTCAAAGTGCCCCCTTTGCGCATTTGGAAAACAAATGGCTCGCTGGATGTAAGTCTCTCATACCCCTTTCATTTTGAGAAAGATTCGACTCGAATGCATTTTGATCTTCTCGATTCTAACCGAATATCAGCGACCATCCTTGCCGTCCTCAAATTCTATCTTGTATCTGCGAGACCCAAGGGATCTTCCTTTGTCACAGGAAGTGTCCTCAATTCATGGAACCGGCGTGCATCCTCCGCGTGGAAGAAGATGCAGGTCGATCTCTGGAAGAATGGCGTCTGGTATAACATCTGTCTGTTGTCAGCTACCATCTGGACCGTCTTGACAGCCATCAGACCCATCCTATCAGGGATCGGTGACATCAGCCCGACGGAATTGTTGACAAGCATCGCGTTTCCGCCCCTGCTTCATGTGTGCTATTTGACTTTGGCTGTCAACTGGGTTCCGGTGGCATATGTGTTCAATCCCCCTCGTTACCCCGTCGACGAAGCGGCAGTGAGCGAGAAGAGCGAAAAAGCCGCGCCACACCCACACGAAGCAGCTAAAGATGAAATATCCTCAGACGTCAAATGGCCCATGGTGGAAAAAGTTGGCAAGGAGATTCTGCAGCTGGGCACCCGATTGGAAATCCAAGAGCAACCCAAGCTTTGACCAGAGCGACTCAAAGTCTGAGAAAGCTAGCGTTCAGGAACGACAACACCAAATCGAAGGCGTAGACTATCGATGCTCTCCTGCCAAGTCCGTAGCCGATGCAGAGAAATCTGATTCAAATGCTTCCTTCCGTCTTCTCTTCATCCATCAGCCGTCCATATTCCCACCTACCTGCAACCCATAGAACAAATTGTCCTTCAGCCACCAGTCCTCCGAGAACAGCGCATCCAGCAAGACATTGCTTTGCGCAATCTGAGTGAAATCCCCTTCCTCAGCCACATTCGTACTCGCTCGAAGAGCTTCCGTCGTAGCCGGCAAATTCGGCAACGACCAAGACTTGAACTTTGCGAAAATATCCCTCGCGCGTTCCAGAGATCCACCAGCACACTGATCGCCCACTTCGGCCATGGCTTGCTCGATATTCCGAATCACTTGGTCGATCACTTGAACTACGTCGATGTTGGTACGGACCAGGTTCAGGTCCCAGACTGGATCGTTGAGAGTGGAGAGTTTGTAGAGAACTATGATGTACCGGACGATTTGGGTGAAGACGGGACACGAGATGCCGGGGTAATCTGAGACGGGGATGGCGAGGAAGTTGTTCGTTGCGGCTTGGACGGTGTTGAGACACGCGTAGAGGTATTCGAGGCGCTGGAATCCCGGTGGGGCTTTTCGAGAGAGGATGAGACCGAAGATTGATAGCTCGGTGTAGTATACTGTGGCGGAGAGGATACCTAAGATGAAGGACGGCCATAGCACGGTCGAAGTGAGTAATTGTACGTCTAGTCACAACGAGGAGAGAAATTCGGCGAAAGACCCAAAAAGGAAATGAATGCCCCAAAGATGCAGGATATAATGTTGATGTTTGATTGGAGTGAAGGGAACCAGTACGTACGATTCTGTTGCAGCTGCGCAGGCATGTTAACTTTGATCTCGTCAACTTTCTGCTGCAGAAACTTCAAATAAAAGTCCGGTGAAGCTGTTGAGGCCTCTCGAACATTTTCGACTTCGCCAACGATACGCTGCAGCCTCACTTGATGGACAAACATCTCGTCGTACGGAGACTCCTGAGTTCGCAGCAAAGCCACAGCGCATTCGTCCATATAAGGCGTCCACTGCAACGGATCAATATGTCCAAAGTAGACAGAGACACTAGTGAGCTCAAAGGTCAGACACAACATGTTTTTCATTACGGGAAACTTCCCGACCCTGTTACACTCACATTGAGCTCAGCACAAAACAACCAAGTACAGCACGTCGCTCCTCGAGCGAGTGTGGCTGTCCATTCGCCGCAAAGGGTCTCTGGCTGACCGGCAGCATATTAGATTCCTCTTGCGGAGGTTTATTCAGACGAAGATCAAACACCATAGTCGTCGCTAATTGCGTGAACCTGGCCAACTGCGCCGGATTCGAGTTGAGGATCTGATTATGACCCCAAGCCAAAAAGATCAACAAGCCCAGAAGAAGATCGATCTTGATCGACGGGTGGTTGTCAAGAAACATGCGCCTCGTCACTTCCTGCTTGATCTTTTCGCCCAGCGCCATCTTGTGATGTGAGGATTGAGATGCCGCGGCCACGATGCAGATCCATAAGAACGGCCGCGTCTGCCGCAGTTGCTGCGCATCTGTGTCCGGGGGAAGATGGATGATGGGGAAGTACTTCAAGCAATGGGTTGAAAAGTAGTTGAGATACTGTTCAGGAGCGAGCTCATACGCTGTCAAAGTACCGGTTGGATAAGGGACAGGAACCACGGATGCATCTCGAGAGCGAGACGTACCGAAGCTTGGGATCGGTGGTGATGGGGTTCCCACCGCAGGCGATTGAGCACCCAGAGATGCGTTTGAGCCCAAGATCGAGACGATACTGTCCAGTTTGCCTTCAAGCTGGTCGAGGCGAGCAATAGGATTATTGCGCTGAGCTTGTCGCGCCCGCGACGATTGCCCTGGGACGCAGACCTTCTTCAACCGATCACATCGTTCGCAAGCACCTCCGTCGGGCTTGGGCACACATTTACATTTTGATCTAGCGCACTCCGAGCATGCCTGATGTTGGTAGTGTCAGAATGTATCGCTATTTGCAGGGGCAATGGTAGCCTATGTCATGTTGTGAACAGGGGATGCGCGAACTTTTCCATATGAATTAGCCGTCGGGACGGATCTCCGATCGGGAGGCATTTCGTCAGGCAGAGAACGCGGTCTCTCAACTCTTACGATGGGCAAGTAGTTCACGAGACGGATTTCAATGCCCGTCGCCGATGTTGCAAGTGACAAAGAGAAGACGAAAAAAGGACCGTGATTAGTCTGGCGACACTGCTGGATGAAAGCCAAATCGGGATTGACAATCGTAGGATCCGGGTCAATTGTCGGGGTTCGGGAAACCGAACACCGACTGCATAGTCTAGGACTCCCGGCGGGTTGATGAAAGTTTAAGAGTCTGGAATGGTTGCGAGTGACGACTCTCCTTTTGTAAATTATCTTCTCCTTGACTCTTAGCGGGATCGAGCTGGATCACTTGTACGCAGGCTATCCTATTGAGACCGATTTCATAAAACGATTGCCAGTTGAGGTCGGCTGGCTACCTTACGTTTCGCGCGGGAGAAAAGACAGAGCAGCCTCGTTGCAACAATGAGATTCTTGTTGAAGACTCCATCGCGGACCTCCAATCCGTCATTAGAAGCTCATGATAGAACTAGATGTGTGCGAAAATGCAACCCTGGAAAATTACGCCTGAACACGTTTGCCAAATCACTAATTGGTCTTGGTCTCTTTCGAGTAAGGCCAGGTCCAGTTACGAATGTGCTCGGGGTCGAGGCCATTAGTGAAAGCGCTCTTCTTGCCATCCAATCGGAACTTGATGAACTTTTCACGAACGCTCGCCCCGGTATTGCCCAGTGAATCAATCAGGTCGATCGCGTCAATGGCGAGGCTGTAGCGGTCGGTGCCATTGCGCATGGCCAACTCGAAGGGAGTGTCAATGTTACCCTTCTCTCGGTATCCGCGAACGTGTAAGTTGTGCTGACCGGGACGCTTGTAAGTCAATCGGTGGATCAGCCAGGGATAGGAGTGGAAGTTGAACACGATCGGCTTGTTGTCGGTGAAAATGGCTCTCCACTGCTGGTCGGGCATGCCGTGAGGGTGATCCTTATCTGAAATCAAGCGGAACAGGTCGACCACATTCACAAAGCGAACTTTGAGCTCGGGAAGGAATTCACGCAGCAAGGCCGTTGCGGCGAGAGCCTCGTGGGTAGAGACATCACCGCAACAGGCCATCACCACGTCGGGCTCCGCACCCTGATCGTTGCTCGCCCAGTCCCAGATCCCAAGACCCTTGGTACAGTGCTCGATGGCGTCGTTCATACTGAGGAATTGGATGTGTTCCTGCTTGTCGGCCACAACAACATTGACATAGTTCACGCTGCGTAGACAGTGATCCATCACCGACAGGAGGGTGTTTCCGTCGGGAGGAAGATAAATGCGAACGACCTCGGGGGACTTGTTGGCGACAACGTCCAGGAAGCCGGGATCCTGGTGGGTGAAGCCGTTGTGGTCCTGTCGCCAAACCGTTGCGGTGATGAGGATGTTCAACGAGGCCACCTTGGCTCTCCATTCGACTTCGAGGCACTTCTCAATCCACTTGCAATGCTGGTTGACCATGGAGTCGATGACATGCACGAAGGGCTCATAGCTGTTGATGAGACCGTGGCGCCCGGAGAGAATGTAGCCTTCTAACCAGCCTTCACAGGTATGTTCGCTGAGCATCTCCATCACACGACCGGCGGGATCCAGGTTGCCGCCGTCCTTGTCCTCGTCGAAATAGTCTGCCAGCCAGACCTTCTTGCCGGCTTTGTAGACCTCAGCGAGCTTGTTCGATTCCGTTTCATCGGGACCGAACAGCCGGAAGTTGGTCATGTTCTTGCTGACCACGTCGCGAAGGAACTTGGCCATGTTCGCCATCCCTCCCGTGATTGTCTTTCCAGGCACAACGTCCTTGATCGCGTATTTGGTGAAGTCATTCAGATTCAGAGGCTTGCGGAGAAGACCTCCGTTGCCAACGGGGTTGGCCGACATGCGCGACTTGCCCGATGGCGCTAGAGAACGCAGCTCGGGGACGAGTTTGCCATTGCCATCGAAGAGCTCCTCGGGCTTGTAGCTCTTCATCCATGATTCCAACACCTTGAGGTGGTCGGGATTGGTGAGCACATCGGTGATTGGGATCTGGTGAGCACGCCAGAAGCCTTCGAGCAATTTGCCGTCAATCTCTCGGGGGCTGTCCAGCCCTTCGGTGTGCGCAAAACAATCATCGGCCAGCGTGGGCGGAAGGGCTTGCCAGAGGAGCGGGCCTGGTGCTGATACTCTCGAATTTCTTTCACGCACTGCTCGAGAGTGACCGCCATGGCTTGGTGCATGCTTTGCAAATGACTACCCTCGACAAAGTAGGGCTTCCAACCGTAACCCTCCAACAGAGAGGTCAGCTCCTGATGGCTGATGCGAGCGAGAATGGTAGGATTGTTAATCTTGTAGCCATTCAGGTGAAGAACCGGCAAGACAGCTCCATCTGTGATAGGGTTGAGGAACTTGTTGCTATGCCAGCTCGTTGCCAGAGGACCCGTCTCGGACTCTCCATCACCGACCATGGTCAGTGTGATCAGGTTGGGATGGTCGAAGACTGTGCCAAATGCATGGGAGATGGAGTAACCCAGCTCACCACCCTCGTGAATACTGCCGGGAGTCTGTAGAAAATCCAGGAGAAAACTGTCAGTAATTCAAGGCTGAATGTAATTTGCCGACCAGTTTTCGGTCTGTCATGGGACAAGTGCTCCTACCTCGGGGGTCGCGTGAGATCCGATACCTCCGGGGAAGCTGAACTGCTTGAAGAACTTCTGCATGCCTTCCACATCCTCCGTCTTGTCGGGATACACTTCCGAGTACACCCCTTCGAGGTACGAGTGAGAAAGGATACCCGGAGCACCATGACCAGGGCCCGACACGAAGAGCACATCCAGGTCGTATTTCTTGATCAGTCGGTTCATGTGCAGCCAGGTGAAAGATTGACCAGCATCGGAGCCCCAGTGACCGAGTAAGCGCTGCTTTAGATGCTCTTTCTTGAGGGGTTCTCGGAGGAGAGGATTCTCGCGCAGGTACAGCATGCCCAAGCACAAGTAGAGAGAGGCGCGGAAGTATGCAGTCATCTTCTGCACTTCGTCGGCGCTCAAGCATTCTCCTTGAACGGTGGAGCGAGCATCTCCATAGGCCGAGATACTCTTCTCGCCATCCTGCTTTGATGTTGACGCCATAACGGGTCACAGGTCTTGGGGTTGATGGGCGCCAAGTAGTCTGGGTGAATGAGAGGGGGATGAAGGAGGGAACGAACGAGAGAGAAAGTGCCGGATGGAGGGGTATAGATGTCCTGCCTGTGTCACCCGAACAAATGAATGGCTGTCAGGCGCGCTTATTATCTATGACGTTCAAACTGAGTCGCCCACCTGGGTCGTTCAACAAGGTGGTACAACCAAGGCCACAACCTCCCCCGTTCCGTTCCTGGCAGCACACACGCTTTCAGAGGCCGAGGAGAGGGAAGCGGTGGAACGATTGTCGAGCCATTCTGGCCACTCTCGCCAGGTCGTGGCCTGATCCCCCTCCGCTCGTGGTCTAGCCAGACGGCGTGGATACTGGTTGGCTCGTGAATCTTGTTGTCCAGTTGAGCGACCAGAGCTCAGTTGGAGCTGAGTTAGTCGATGACGTACCGGGTATACCGTACAGGGAAAGGTAACACACCACCTTCTGAAATCTGCGGAGAGCTCGGACCCGTACTTCCGCAAGGTACGTGCAGTAACTGAACTTAAGTTGACTAGTACTTTCTACTTAGTAAGTACTTAGATACTCCCAGTGCTTGGTGCTTACTCCTCGTACTTATTTGTACTTACAGTGCTTACCTGTTTGTACTGAGTACTTCCTACTTGGATACTATACTGTCTTGCGCAACCCTGCTGCGAGTGCAATCTATAATCCGCCCCCTCTCATCTGCGAATCGGGGAAGATGATTCATGACACGAGCTCCAGTAGCCCTCAAGGGGTCCCCATTCTATTATCAGTTCGTGAGCATCCCACACGCGTTCAATTGCGACCCACAGGCATTGAAAGTCAGGATCGGCTGATTCAAGGTGAGAATCCTGGTTTCGGATCCCGGCCAGCTCCGCCGTCATCCGTCGCCCGTCAAGTCCGCTGCAGTTAGGTATGGAGTCATGGATGCGCCGAACTAGCAGTTCTTTCTTGCAGGGTCCACGTTTCTCGTGCGCGGCATGTGTATTGGATGACACTATTGCCAGCTTCTTGACAAGTGTAATGTAGAAAATAGAGCAGAATCTTCAACATGACCCGCCCGCCCCTCCAGAAAAAGGGCACACGAAGAATTTGAGCAGGTCAAGGATACACCCAAAAGCTCGACAAGCTCCGGTCCCTCGTTCCATCAGCCAACTTTCAGCGGCCAACCTTAGATCTCCCGCTTGGCTGGACAAATCAATCCGTCTTGGCCTCTCGACCCGAGAGGTGCCTCTACGTGTGGGGAGGCAAACTCGGCCGAAACTCTAGTATGCTTGAGATCCTGAACTGAGTGGTGTTTCTGGCTCGGTCTGCATGGAGACCGAGTCATGGCAATGCAGTCCACGTCAGCTCTGAGCGGGAACTTGCCTTCCATTGACTATCTTTTCTGCCGAGGTTGCTCGTTGTGCAAAGCGATCCCAAGATACTGACGTGGTGACTGCCCAAGGAGTGTAAAGTAAGTGGTATAGGGGCTATTGTACTGTAGAGTGGGTAGAGTGTAGACTGGTCTGAGGAGAGATGATCATAGGGAGTATCAAGGGGTTGAAACTTGGAACGTGGGTGCAGAAAGATCCCGTGACGCTCATGCTCGAGAAGATGAATTTGCTGGCCACCTCGTCCGAGGTGTGCTACCATCTCTAACACTCCAGAACAGGCCGAGTGCACGGAGACAAAAAGTCCACAGTTCACACTAATTCCATTCCTCCTAGCTCACTCGCAAAACAATGGAATGGGACTCCAACTGCATGGGACCCAGCTCTGGAGGACGATCCGGCGCCATCCGTCAGACAGCCAGCGACGCCGAGGAACAGACCCCACTAACAGTACCTCACTCCACAGTCCATACTTTGCGCTTCTGGCGCCAAAGCGAAAGACTGCAAGATGAGGCCTGGAGACTACTTTCCCAATCACCCGACCGTACCCTGCAAGCATGGCACCGCCCACACTGAATAAAAAGGTTGAGTGCATCCAAGGCGTTCGACTGAGCAATTCTCCATCCGCGTTATCGGACATTCAAGTTCACTATCCCCTCAACTCTCCACATGGCGTCATCGGGTCTATCACCCCGCATCACTGTCCCACCGGGGTTGCAGTCGAGAGTGATGCCCTTCCACTAGCCTTGCCTGCTCTCACCCATCCGCATATTCATCTGGACAAGGCCTTTGTCAACAGTGCTCAGCAATATGCTCATCTACTTCCTCAACAAGGAGGATTTCAAGAGGCCCTGTCGAAAACGGCCGAGGCCAAGCAGCAATTCACCCGCGCGGACGTGATTCAACGGGGTGAGTGGCTGCTTGCCGAATCGGTGGCCGCGGGAGTGACAGCTATGAGAGCCTTTGTGGAAGTGGACCATACGGTCAGACATGTATGCCTTGAGGCGGCTGTTCGATTACAAGACCATTGGAAGGACGCCTGTGAAGTACAGATTGTTTGCTTCGCGCAAGACCCCATCTACTCCACAGACCATGGGCCACAAAATCGATCCTGGATGGAACAAGCGCTGAAGCAGTATCCACAGGTGGGTGTAATTGGATCAACGCCATACGTGGAAGCAACGATTGCGGCCGCAAAGCAAAACATCGATTGGGCGGTCGGCAGTGCCCTTGAGATGGGGAAACATCTCGATTTCCATCTGGATTACAATCTGGAATCGGGGAAGGAGGCGCTGGTCTGGTATGTCTTGGACACGCTACGTGAACGTGGCTGGACTTCGGCCACCGGCAAGCGCGTCATGCTCGGTCACTGTACGCGGCTTACGCTGTTCACCGATGAAGAATGGAGTCGAATGGCACAGATGATCCATAAGCATGATCTTCCAGTCAGCTTTGTTGGATTGCCTACAAGTGACCTCTACATGGCGGCGTCCTCCCCGGAGAAATGCCCCCACAATCGATCTCGGGGTACTCTGCAAGTGCCGGAGATGATCCGCAAACATGGTTTGGACGCCGTCATTGGCGTAAACAACGTCGGCAACGCATTCACCCCTTGGGGATCGCTCGATCCCCTAGCACTGGCTTGCCTAGGGGTGGGCATCTATCAGGCGGGCACTCAGGACGATGCCAGACTGCTCTATGAGTGCGTCTCAACTCGCGCGCGTGCAGCGATCGGGCTTGCGTCTTCACGTCAAGGGGTTGAGCTTCAAGAAAGAATGCAGGCCGATCTGCTTGTGTTTCACCAACTCGACCTGACTGGATGTGGTACCATCCGTCCTCGCCGAACCGTCGCCGAGATCGTGTGGGATCCGCCGGCCCCAGTGAGCCGAGATCTCGTGATTAGAGGCCATCTCAAGCGCTCCGAGCTTCTGGGTGAGCGAGGTGCATCTCTTTATGCGTGTGAAGAGTGACAGTCCCACAAAAAGTAGCATAGAGCAGGATTGAGCAGAAGAGTGGGCTTCGCTCCTCTCGACGATCACTCGGTGGAAGGTGCCTCAATCAGAACAACCCGACCGCAAGGGACTCCTGTTCTGTGAGACGATTGTAGCCTCTTTCTCGCTGGTCACGGTCGGTCTGGAGCCGAGCGTCAAGGGGTCATACACCTTGACGCCTGTCCGACTCTGTGTGCCTCAAAGCCTCCTTGGGCGACTCTTTTACCGTCCTAGATATAGTGATAGTCACGTGACATGATATTCCAGTGGACCTGTTGGTGCCTGAAACATTGCTTAATGCTTGTTACTCAACGCTGTGGTTGGGCCGTCGGCGACGGGACCCACTGGTAGCCCACACAGTTTGGACTTTGGAGCAGTGGGTGCCCGGAGTGGAGATCTTGACCGTCCTGTAATGCGCCCGTACGGTTCTAGAGTCTAGACGCTCATGATTCATGAATCATGATGCCAGTGGAGTATGGACTATGGAGTATCGACCATCTCAACGAGTTTCACGGAGCTCTATGGAGACAAACTGTGTCGGACAAATCTGATCCAGCTTAGCTGTTCAGTGCGACTTTGCAAGGACCGAGCTTGGTTCCTGAAGACTGTGTGCATATTCAAATATTCCATGGGTCTTTTACTTGTACAATACTGAATACTGTATGACTCAGACTGTTCACTGTACCACTGTACCACTGTATGTACCCCCGTACCACCGGGCAGTGGGCACGGGGTTGTGGATATGGGGGAGAAAGTTCGACAAGGGAAATTCAATTCTGTCAGTCTCATGGCAGCCGTTGGTCCGAGCCTATCCAGCCGCGAGCGAATGAAGGGTCATCGAACAACCTGCCAACAATAATGGGAGCCCCTGGCCGAAGATTTCCAGGACGGTGAAACCTACCACAACCGAGTCCAATGAACTCCGGGTGAGGCTCTGCCAGAATGCGATGACTCGATCAACGGTCGCAGGGTGTTCCGTCTGCGTGGTTTGCTTTGCTGCGCCATGTCTCTCAGGTCCATGCTTCAATGCACCAAGTGTGTGTGACCTGTGCCATAAACGTCACGTAGGTGATGTGGAATGATGAAGATGGCGTCGGATACCGCACTAGTAGTAGTATGAAGTTACTATGAACTACAGTATGAAAGTGAGAAGTCTATTGTGGATTCGTAGCATGTTACAGTAATACCTGAGCAAAGCAAAGGATATCAGGATCCGAGATTGGATAATCCGAGTCTCGTCGCGTGGAAGCTGCAGGGCGCTTCTGCAATGCTGGGTCGCGAACTTCCAAAGTCTCGTCCCTTGAACTTGACCTATGCTTGCAATGAGTCCTTTGGACCATTGGACGGTCATACCTGTACTGTACCCTGTCGCGACGAGAAACCTGCTCACGTGAAATCGAATGTAAGGACAATGACCCGAGTTCTGCCCGGTGCCCAGTTGCCCACTACTGCACTTTCCAACGGTGTTCCAAGTTGATAGTGCTGCCTCCAGCGAAAACGAGGTATTGGTCAGTCGGTCGGCACCTCTCTCCTAGGGACTCTCGATACTCGCTAGTGCTGGAGGGCTAGGATAGGGTACAGTACTGTCATTCACCAGGTATCAACTTATCAAGTTATCCACTGAGATTGGTAATGGGGCGCACTATTCCAGGCCAAGGCGAGAGACGGAAGTCCCAATCACCAAGGAGCAACAGCGGGATCCTGGACGAGAGAGACTTGAGCAAGCGGATTGGATTTGACGGATCCAAAATATCACGGACGCCCACAGACAGGCAGCTGGAGGTGTCGGAGCGGTGGATCGCGCAGCCAAGTCTCATCCTCAATTTGGCTCGACGACGGAGTTAGCTTGGACCAAGGACTGGGGCCCAGGTGTCGTGGTGGATGATCTGTAGTAGCTCCTTCAGGGTCAATAGAAGGTAACTTGGTAATTTTGGTAGTAGTAGTAGTAGTAGTAGTAGTAGTAGTAGTAGTAGTAGTAGTAGTAGTAGTAGTAGTAGTAGTAGTAGTAGTAGTAGTAGTAGTAGTAGTAGTAGTAGGACTAGGACGGGAGGAATAGTTGTACTGTATGTGAGGTCTCAGCAGCAGCAGGCCCGGGGTAGGTGCTACTGGTGACAAGTTGCGACTTGGTGGACCATCCACTTGTCAGGCACTTTGCCGGTCACCACTACGTACCGGTGCCAGCACTTGCGGTGCTCTGCTACGTTCTGTCTGCCTCCGCTATCCTCCCATCCCAGCCGCCCCTCCCCTCCCCCCGACTCTCCCTCCTCCATCTTACATCGCATCGTTTTTGAGTCCTTTATTCCTCCCCCAGTCCGCCTCCGTTCCCTTCGTCTCCCGTTTCTCTCAGTTCCTTTCCCTCTTTGCATCTTGCTTTCTTCGAGTTCTCGCCCTGTATTTGCATTTCCTCCCCCCCCCCCCTGCAACTCGTGAAAGACGAGAATCCCCAGGACAATTTCCAGTCCGCGGCGGTCGCAGGGACCGTTTCTACCGATCCTCCAAACACTCGATCGTCAGCGGCGCTTTGTCCCCCCTCCCCGCTTGCTCACCACCTGCAAGCCTTCCTCTTTGTCAACCTCCAGCAGTGTATCCAAAAATTCTGGCGACTCTGCGAGCATGTCTTCTGTCCCGAGGCGCACGGCGTCAACCTCGTCTAGACCGTCGCGAGCAGCCGCTCCATCGGAACTCCCCCACCGGACGAGAAGCGTGGCGGTTCGACCATCCAACACCTCCCAGCCCCCCTTCCCCCGAACCAGTATGCGCACTCCAAAACTGCCTCTCATGACCACCGGCCCCCAGTCAACTATGCCGCCTTTGACAGCGTAGGGCGATCGGATGGCGACACCAGCACTCGCCGCGACCGCGACCTCTCCGCCGAGAGACCGACCACTGCTCGGACCGAGTCCTCCCGCCGACATCACCAACGAACGCCGTCAACGCAGCCGCGTGAAAATGAGTTGGCTCCAGTTGATTCTGCGCCCGCGTCTGCGAGCGCACCCGGCCAGCCCAAGCGGCGAACCACCATCTCCACCCCCACGGGGAATTGGGCGTTGGGAAAGACGATCGGTGCAGGTAGTATGGGTAAAGTGAAATTGGCCAAGAACATCGAGACTGGAGAACAGGTGCCTACTCCCATCTACTCTGCTCTACTCTGACTCCTCCTCGTATCCGGTTGGGGGACCTCACAGTCAAAATATGACCCGACTTGGTACGCAGCTTTGGCTAACCCATCTTTCTCCTCGCATCGCAGGTTGCTGTCAAAATCGTTCCTCGTTTGTCGACCGAGGAGCACAAATCGCCCCGCGAAACGGAGCGAGCTGATCGCTCTAAAGAGATTCGAACGGCAAGAGAGGCGGCTATCGTCTCCCTCACGAACCACCCGTACATCTGCGGTATGCGGGACGTGGTCCGGACCACATATCACTGGTACATGCTGTTTGAGTATGTCAATGGTGGTCAGATGCTGGACTACATCATCTCTCATGGGAAGCTGAAGGAGAAACAAGCGCGGAAGTTTGCCCGCCAGATCGCCAGTGCGCTCGACTATTGTCATCGCAACAGTATCGTTCATCGCGACCTCAAAATTGAGAATATTCTCATCAGCAAAACTGGCGATATCAAAATCATCGATTTCGGATTAAGCAACCTCTTCTCGCCTCGGAGCCTGCTCAAAACTTTCTGTGGAAGTCTGTACTTTGCGGCCCCGGAACTGCTCCAGGCAAGACAGTACACCGGTCCGGAAGTTGATGTGTGGAGTTTCGGCATCGTGCTGTATGTGCTTGTGTGTGGCAAAGTCCCATTTGACGATCAAAGCATGCCTCAACTCCACGCGAAAATCAAAAAGGGTGTGGTGGAATATCCTCCTGGGTTAACCGCTGGTATGTTTTCCTGATCGAGTCTCTGCTGCTTGCCCCTTGACTGTCCTTCCTGGAAAGCCACCAACTAACACGTGATGTGGATCATAGAATGCCGACACATCATCTCTCGAATGCTGGTTACAGATCCGAAGCAGCGAGCCAGCTTGGCTGAGATTATGAATCATCCCTGGATGAACAAGGGCTTCAGCGCACCGCCCGAAAACTACCTTCCAGCTCGAGAACCCTTGCAGCTTCCTTTGGACCAGGAAGTCATCGAAAGAATGACAGGTTTTGACTTTGGGTCTCCGGAATACATCAATGCCCAATTGACCAAAACGCTCGAATCTGAGGAGTACCAGAATGCAGTGCGGCTGAATCTTCGCGACCACCCAGTGGCTACCCAGGCAGAGAAGAAACGCGGCGTTTTTGACTTCTATAAACGAAGAAACTCTGCTGCAAGTCGAGACACTTTGTCTGCTCCTTCTGCCGAAGCTATTCAATTGGGCAATGACCCAATCAACGCCTACAGCCCGTTGATATCAGTGTATTATTTGGTCAAGGAGAAGCTTGACAACGAACGAAGCGAGGCCCGACCGGGCGCTCTCGGTCTCCGTCAGCCCGCAGTTACCAACGATGTCAAAGTGCCCGAGCTGACTCAGCCTGCGGCAGCGTACACGAATCAGTATCAGCTGCCTGGCGAGAAAGACACTGGTCGTCGCTCTCGTCCACGAGCTAGAACTCATGGCGAAGATGAGGTGACTGAGACGCTCAAGAGTCACCACGTTTCTTCTCCTTCCACACATGCCGTTCCTACAGCCGCCCAGCTCGATGCACCATCCTCCAAGAAGGAAAGTACTGCCGCAGGTATTTTACGGCGCTTCAGCACGCGCCGGGTCAAAGATCGAAGCCGCGATACCGAACGTGATCGAGAGCGGGTGAGCACTCCCAACACGCCGACACTGAACGTGCAGCCTCCTGCAGACTCTGCATCTCCCATCCATCGCGGCTTCAGTGTGCGGCGCACTCGTCGGGCTGAGCCTTCGCCTGAATCCGTAACTCCGGTTAGTAGTTATGCTCAGCAGCAGGATCTGCTGGCTGCTCCGCAGCCTGGCGACCCCAATTCCCTGAGCAACAAGTCCCTTGGTCGGTCTACCAGCGTCAACTCGGCTGATTACCGCACACGACGTGCCGCTCGGAGGGCCGACGCTGATACGCTAGATGTTGATCGTCAGCCACCCTCCACAAGCGGCTCGGATCAGCCTCCACCCGAGAACCAGCGAGACCCAGGGGGTGCAAAGACCGCTGCACGAGGGCACACGGCACGTACCATGTCGCTTGGTCACGCCCGACGTGAAAGCATTCAGGCGCGGCGAGCTCGCCGTGAGGCCACGCGAGAAGCCAATGTCCCAGAGGAGACGGATGCGGATATTACGGGTGCTGGCACCGCGCTAGAAAGCGCCAATGAAGCAGAAGACTTGTCCAAGCCTGTCTATCTCAAGGGCCTGTTTAGCGTTTCGACCACTAGCAGCAAGCCCTTGCCTGTCATCCGTGCCGACATCATTCGCGTCCTCAAGCAGCTGGCTGTGGACTACGTGGAGATCAAGGGTGGGTTTAGCTGCCGCCACGCTCCTAGCATCGACCTCGACAAGGTGGTCGACGTTGGTCCGCCCAGCCCTGAGCGTCAAGGCCAAGTGTCTCACCGGCGTCGGATCAGCTTTGGTGGTCTCTTGAGTCATGATGACAGCCGTGACGATAGCCGAGCATCTCCTCACTCTAAAGTGCAGCGTCGAACTCACGGCCAACCAGATAACAGCTTCACGACCAACTCTGATGCCTCAGACGAGTATGTTGCACGGGAGCCGCCCACTAGCAATTCTGTTGGCGAGCGGGTAGTTGGAGAAACGACGACGCGTGTTCAAAGCGACACTGGAGAGAATCTGATCCTCCGTTTCGAGATCCTCATTGTCAAGGTACCTCTGTTCTCGCTTCACGGTATCCAATTCAAGAAGGTGTCTGGTGGCATGTGGCAGTACCGTGAGATGGCCAAGAAGATTCTTGATGCCTTGCGTCTGTAATCCGAGTGAGCCTCACCCGTCCGTCGTTGAGTCATGTGATGTCACACGCAGTGATTTGTGATGAACATAGGGAAGATCCAGTCATGGGGAGATTCCTTTATTGCCCCCGAACCCCTTCCAGTTTTCCTTTGTGTGTTTGGCCATTCTAAAGCTTTCTACTATTTCCTTCTTCCTCGAAACACCCACACGTGACTTATTTGCATTGCCAATCTGGTACATTCCGCAACGACTCCTGCCATACAGACACGCATTTATTCTTTGTGTGATGGCCGCCCTTCAAATACCTTCTTCATGTTCATGCTTTCTGTCTCTCGTACCCTCCGTGTCACCATCGATTAGCCCCCGTCATTTCATCTGCACATCCATTCATACCTAGGTAGATAATCCATGATTTCTGGCTTACTACTCTCAAGCTACTCTGCCGATTTGTAACCTCTGGGCCCACTCGTCTTGCAAATACAGGACCATGGGAGGAAGCTCACTAAATTCGTCAAGATATGGTCACACTAAACACGAAGGGCCACAGGAAGATGACCAGGAGTAAGGTATGAGAGCTCAGGTTTTCCTTACTGATGGAATGATCGGTAATTTCGCCTCTTGTGGGCTGGTAGTTCAGACACAAGCACAAGGACTGATGACCGCTCGGGCACTCGTGTTGCGCCGAGCAAAAAACGCTCGGGGTGAACAGAGAATGTTCGGGCGGCAGAACGGAACTGTACCAGGGCTCCCGGCACTCGGGCTGTAGGGCATCGGGCTGTAGGGCATCGGGATTGACCCCTCCAAAGTCAAGACTGTTGGAGCATTTCAGACTGTCAATGATGCTGTGTATTATTGATAGGATATAGTAATTTACATATTGAAGAGGGGAATGCTCAAGGCAGTCTGATCTCACCAGACAGGTCGAGTCATAGAGGAACCAGACCAAACCCACCAGCACGCACGTCCAAAGACCTCCCAGGCCGACCGTACAAGACCTATCCGTTCGTTGTCAAGGGGCGTAAGTGAAGATCAGAAAGAGTGTGTCATTGCAAGTGTTCAAGAATCAGACTGTAAGGACCGTCATTCATCCTCGATCCGTTGATCCCTTCGATTCCTTGGATCCTTGAATGATTTCTCGGATGATCAAGTTGATTGATCCCCTCTCGTAATGTCTGAATAGCCTCTCCCGACTATAAGGCCACCATCAGGCACCCGCACCTCTGCAAACCATCTGCTCTAGGTATATGTAACCGGATTCCCTACTATAATATGTGGTCAAACTGTACCTAATACGCTAATGTTGTTTTCATTATTGACGAACCACTTGAGAAAGATATGATTGTGCTCTAATTACGACCGCCTAATTCACCGCCTAATAAGACAGACGAATTATAGCTCAGGAGAGGAAGGCGCCGGCTTATCCAAGATGGCTACCGGCCGGTAGAATCAGGGTAAGGTAAGGGCGTTCCCATAATATCTTTAAACCCTTCTTATATATATAGTTTCGTCCTTCCTCTGGATATCATCAGATTCTCAATTATTTTCTTTAATATGATGATATTGTGATTACTGAGCTTGATATGTCGTAGAATATAGGAGTACTTTGAGAAATAGTCTATATCGAGTTCTTGGTTCTCCAAGGTGTGACGAATCGTGGTGATGCGCGAATAAGCCAGGAGAACATGAAGGGTGAGCGAAGTTCCGCCGGACATGGGAGAGCACTTCACACCGTCCACGTTACACCACCATAAGTTCACAACAAATATCATTCTAGCGGCTAGACCATAAGGGTCGGTGAAAAAGAATTGTGTAAGCAGGTCTTGTATATAACTACACTAAGATCGACCATAATCTCACCTGATATTACGGTCGGAAACAGCAGATTCAGTTAACAGCGCTAGCCGAGTGCCTACCTATTCGTCTTCCATGCATGAGATGTGAAACGGACTGACTCGCATACTATGACCGGTGACCAGTGACTGGCCAGTGGCCACTACTAAGTTGGAATATATATTACGTACTGCCTTGATCAATTGCTGTCTAGACTTCTCGCCTCGTATGATCAGATTGTTTAAGGCTGGAACCTGCGCCGTGCTTAGGGTGTTTTTCGACACTGCCTAATTACCCCTTTCTACAAGCAAGGCTATGCACTCGCTTTTTCACTACACGGACTTTGTAGTCTTCGTTCAAACCTCCGGGAACCATACTCTATAATTCTCAATTACTTTCTAGCTGTACGGGAGCAAAACATAGATCGTTAGAGATATCGTTTCTTATTAGGAAGGGAGGGAATATGATATGTCATGAGACTGATTACTTAATAATTACGTAATATGCTCGGCGAAGCTGATTGGAGGGGACTACGATTCTTTCAGATTGCGCGGGCGGTGGGCGCTGTGTTGGGCAGTTTGAATTTGAGAGGATTCTCCAGCAACAACACTGCCCATTAGTCTTCGGTCCTGAATTAATTTCGTGGTTAGCTGGCCTGCCTCTACACAATTTATTAACAACCCTCATGGCTTTGGGAGTTGGGTCCTTCGTCCTACACCTAACGTGTCAAGGGCTCTAGGCTTTTGACTCTTGAGACACCACCTTTTTTTGTTTCTTTTAGTGATCATCTCTCTTTGTCTCCCTAATTTTCGGAGCTACCATCAGATTCTCTTGAATAACCTGATGGTACAGAGTCCTCCTTCGCGCTTTGATCCCCAATTTTTTCAGCAATAAGCCGTGGCATAATTGTGCGCGTCTTTGAGGCCGCTTGCTCCCGATTGCTCCTTCTTGTTTCCCAATTAAAGAAGTCGCGACTGGCCCCGTCCTTCACGCGTCCAGTAGTCCAGTCTCCGCCTTGACATCTACTCACCCCAAGGATCCCGATTCCGAATCTCGATCTCGACGATTTACCTTTATTGTGCGCTAACATCTCCTATGTGGCCTCCCGCGGCTTTTTGAACCTATGCTACGCTCTAGCAAGATCTCTTGTGGCCTATTACATATGTCTATGCCCGTTTAGTCCTTGGGTGAACGTACTATCTCGCCGTCTGTGGTGTCTTTGCTACCCGGACGGACGGTACGCTAGACCTTGGACGGCTGCCGTCGCGGGAACCCGAACGTGACGATGCAGGGACTCGCAGCGCCTTGGATGGCCACGACTTCCACTTATCCCGACATTGTTGATCTGACGCGGGACGATGCACCCATGGATATTGACAATGCAAATCCACATTCGCAGTCGGTAAGTTGAGATCTTTGGAGACTTCTCGGTTTCAGACACACCCTTTTCTACGCCTTCCCTTTCCTCCCCTTTCCTTCCTCTCTGGCCTCTTGCATTTTGCCTCAGGGTCTCATGTGGCCCGACATGGTGAAAACCCAGAGGGTCGACCGCAGTCTTGACTCTTGCAAGAGTGTTTTCGTGGTTACCATGATGCTGGTAGAGAGCAGCTGGACAGCCGCCAACACCTTATAAACCTGGAGTATGGACGTGGTCTCGTGTGCTCTCTGCTGCCCGCCTATTTTCGGTTAGCCTGAAGAAACTTCCCAGAAAGGTCGATCTTTGGTGTCTTTTGGGGACGCCTGCCTCCGCGAGGTTCTCCATTACCGAGCCAAACAAATCCGCTCGCACACATATCTTTGCCTTTGCTATTGGGTTCGAGATGCTCCTTTTCATTCTTGCATCGCTCATTCCTTGTCCCCGCTCCTTCCATTCCCATCCGCCGAGTGCTCGTCCCCTACCTGTCTTGCTACACAATCGTATCCTATTCGGGGATTCGTCCACAATCTTTTTGTGATGGTACTGTAAAGGTGCATCAAAGTATTCAACTACGCGTGGTCTATCCCCGTGTCTCTATGGCAGCACAAGCGAACGATACATGCAACTGCCGGCTGTCATGCGGCTGCCTTGTTGCTAGCTCACCGCTAACATCGCTATACAGACAAACGGACTCTCACAGAACGTGAAGCCAGAGCCATCAAATGAGTCGATCACTTTCGTCTCCAAGTTAGCTCACAGGGCACCATCCTCAAGTCCTCAAAACCCCAACGCCAGCCAGATTGGACATGCGGGAATAGAACCTCCACGTCTGTCTGCTGGATCTGGGCCTACAGCTCAACCGCATCTTCGCCACCAGCATGAAAAAGCCACAGACGAGCGCACTCCTGCCTCCGTATCTACGACTTTCATTCCTTTCGTTTTAGGGAAACGAAAGAGTCCTGAAATCGAGAGTTCGGACCAGGGGTCATCGATCATCAAGGCCGTCCTCCCTACCGGGAACCAGAACGGCCCAGAAGCCTCGGTGCCACCTCTTAGCGCAAAAGCATTGGGCAAAAGACCCATGCATAGCCTCAGAACGCCAAGTCCGCGAAGAGATGAGGCTGCTGTAAGTGCAGTGAGCGTGGTGATACCATCTCCCTCAACTGGGCAAAAGGATCAACTTCTCGCTGCTGCCAAAGTGGAATTCACGGGGCTTAGCGAAGAGTATTTCCCAACGGGACGAGAGGAGCAGGCCAAGAGCAGACTTCGGGCGTATCCCAGTCTCAGTCGGTCTACCCCGAACAAAAGGATGGTTCCTCTCACGATGACTGCACCCGCCCAACTGGGGCCTTTGAAGAGAGTTCATACTTTCTCCATCCAGAAGAATGTCCCACCACCCCCATCACAGCTCCCTCGATCTACGCGGAGTCCGACTCCATACTCGCTGAGTCAAGAGCCGATGAGTCGGGCTTCCATTGCCAACTTTTTGCGCAGGAAACACCGCAAGAAGCTCAAGCGAATTAGCGGTGGGCCCGATACTAGGTTTGATGTCGACGATGAGCGACTGGCTACTCTATCCGCCAACTTCTTCTTCATCGGAGATTATCGCCTAGGGCCTGGCGTGAACCCCGTCGCCGACGACTTTCTCACAGGCTGTGATTGTGGGACCAAGTGCGACCCCCAGACATGTAGCTGTTTGGTCGAGGAACTCGATTCCGACGAGCTGATTGTTGCCTATGAGCGACGGCCTTCGGGGACGATCGTGTTACGTGAGGACTTTATGGATCGAAAAGCAATGATCTCTGAATGCAGTTCCCGATGCCACTGCGCCGGCCATGATTGCTGGAATCATGTCGTACAACGCGGCCGCCAAGTTCGCCTCGAGGTCTTCGATACAGGCAAGCGCGGACTGGGCTTGCGAAGCCTAGAGCCCCTGGTCGCGGGCCAGTTCATTGATTGTTACTGGGGGGAGGTGTTGACCAAGGAAGCTGCTGATGCCCGAGAGGCCGCCCGTGAGGGTCAACCGTCCTATTTGTTCAGTTTAGATTGGCTCATCGCAGAGGGAGAGAGCCATCTCTCACACGATGACTGCTATGTAGTCGACAGTCTTAGGTTTGGAGGCGCATCGAGATTTATCAACCACTCCTGCAACCCGAATTGCAAAATCATTCCCGTCTCGGTGAACCGCTTGGCCGACCACCGGCTGTATTATCTCGGTTTCTTTGCGATTCGGGACATTCCCGCCAAAGAAGAATTGACCTTCGATTACCATCCTAATTGGGATGGTTCCAAGCAAATCGATCCCAGCGCGGTCAAATGTCTCTGCGGCGAACCGAACTGCCGAGGTCAACTATGGCCCAACAGCCGAAAGAAGGGCAATTAAATCATGACGGCTGGACGGAAATGAGCAAGCATTCTTTGCACTGATTCGATGCAGAAAAATGTCCCTGGATGACTTGCATTCTGCGTCTTTCGACGTCAACCCGTTGAATGATTCTCCGAGCCAGCCTTTCACTCAAACCGACAATTGGAGCTATCACTATGCTTCGAGCTGGATGATGGCTTCCACTGATTTCTATCTACCATTTGCGAGCGCACATCCTTAGAGAAACCTTCATTCCCCATTTCTGATTTGTTCTTATCTTATCTTTCCTTTTATAAGCCACAAGCAAAGCACACCCGCATGTCTACATTTGCATTCCAATTCTCAGACTATTCTTGCATCTTATCGCTCAAGAGGCTTTATGATACCCGTTGTTGAATATGATTGTTCAGCCAGTGTAACATGTTTCCCCCTGTTGATCTTGAAACACCGGGGTTTCTAAAGAGAAGGTTTCGCACGCTTGTTGACTTATGTTAGGCGTCTATCGATGAGTCTACTGACCTGCCCGTCCTGTCGAGCCAAGGAAGTCGAAATTCATATCTATCCAAACAATTAGGGGAAAAGGGACCTCCATCCAGTGGTATATATATAGATCTAGCGATATTATACCATATTTCAGGGTATTCATATAAGAAAGGAAATCAGTGCAGTCTTATTGAGTATTAGAAGTTCGGGTAAGCTCGGTCGGAGTGTTAGGGCCAGGATTGCAGGGTTACTAGGACTGTTAACTAGGTAAAGGATTAAAGTCTAGGGGGGTTGATATTTAAAGACTGAACCTTAAGGGTTCGGACTCTTCCTCCCTTCTACGTGGAATCACCCGTGCCGTTGCTCATTTGGTTTTAGACCAAAAGGTCTATGCCAGACTATTCGATACGAATAGTCCGCATGCAACGGTATATATAGTCAGTTGATCCGCACCCGCCTTGCGGTATGTCTATGGGATCACATTCGATTATTATATATAGGGCTTCTGCGTATAGGACCCACACTCTTACGGCCTTAGAGCTATGACCCTAGAGGGATTCGGTAGCGTCCCGCACGTAACTTATCCGTGGCCGCGCCGTGACACGTAAACTCGCGAGCTTTGGCAAGGTCTAATCATACTACATTCTGTGGTAGCTAAGTCCTACGGTACGGTAGACGTCTGCTACTACCTACGTAGTATCCGTCCGGCTACCCAGGGTGGCTATATGCGTAGTGCGGTCTGAGTCGTAAGTTATAACAGGTTATTACGCGTCGCTCGTAGTACCTCACTACCTATACTTAGAAAGAGGGATTTGTTGGCGCCGTCTAAGCTTGTCGATAAATATAAATGTGCTAGTTACCGATATCTGGAAATACTGGAGTTGAAACGAGAGAAGAGAGAGCTTATGAAGTTATGGCGGAGATGCGGTCTCTGGCCGGCACTGTCAAGAATGCCCGAAAGCTGGTGCGGAAAACATATTAATCGCAGACCCTCGAGTCATTTCACATCCACCATGTAAGCATTACGAGTTGAGTTCACAGAACGGAAAGCTTGGTAAGGATATCCGGATGAGACCGTTCGCTGCTGAAGTACCTCCTTAAAGCGTGCTCAGCTGACTTCCTCACAAAGCCATCAGTCTCATCTATGCGTTTACGAAAGCCGTCAAAAACAATGCGGAGAGCACCAAGTGAGACAATTTCCAGTGAAGCTGACATTTGGTCAGTCAAGATATTAGTTGTTGAAAACCCTTGGTCTGACTCACCTGGGGAGATGCCGCTGATGTCTTCTGTGTAGGGGTTAGCAACCATTGATCCCATAGAATGATAGGGATCGGTCGAAGAAGAAGATACAGAGTGGACAGAACACACCAATTGGCTTGATGATGCGGCGCTTGAAGTAGGCCCGACTCCCGAAGTATCAGTTGCAGGTCTCATTGTCGCATTCCCGGCCGTGGGGTTGGGGGTGGCATTTGCGGGGGATCCGGTCTGTCCGTCCGTCATGGTCATTGTTGCTGGAGTGCTAGCAGGCCCTGCGACATTGGAACAGAACCCACTCATTACACTGGCGTAGGGATAGTAGGTCGGGTGAGCGGCACTACCGGATGCGACACATTCACTCGCATTGTCATCGAGCACAGACGGGTCATAGGTTCCACTAGAATCGTAGCACAAGCAGCTTGCAGCTGCAGTTGCGTAGGGCCCAGCAGTGTAAATCGTCCCGGAAGGAAATAAGCTCGGGGTGGCTGACGAACATCCAAACAAGACTTCAACTACACTTGCACAAGGTCCACTGCTGCCACTGCTGCCACTGCTACCACTGCTGCCACTGCTGCCACTGCCGCCACTGCCGCCACTGCTGCCACTGCCGCCACTGCCGCCACTGCTGCCACTGCTGCCACTGCCGGTTCCTCCATGGAGCCAGTTATTCAAACATGTGGCCGGGTCGGAAGAGCCACAACAATTTTTCGGATCAAGCCCAATTCTCGGACAAGTGCCAGAGGTAGACGGGTACCCAAAACAAAACTTCTGGGCACAGTTTCCTACAACAGTTTTAGTTTATTGCAAGCAGAAAGACGTCAGCAGGACCTACCTCCTTCCACGCCAAGCCAGTTGCAATGCTTGAGTGAATAATCACAGTTTTGCTGCAGGAACAATGAGTTCATGCTCATCTTGGCGACAATTTGGGAACTTGTGTTCTGCCGTGGAGGGATATCAAAAATAGGGGACGAGAAATGCGAGGATTGATTTCTTTGCACCGCCGTGGGTTAGTCTCAAGGCGGAGGACATTTATAGTGATGATTTGAGTAGCCTCATTCAAGCTCAAGCTCTTCAGTTTGATCCTTCGGCTAAAATATACAATGTTCAGTGAATAGTATGGAGCACCCCCGCCAGAATGTGGCACGTCTCAAGAGTGACCAACAAAGTTCGACGCTAGGGTCTGCGAGGGTCCATCAAAAGACCGTGGCAGTGATAAGCACCACGATTTGGTTCGGGCAGCCGACGAGCTGGGATTGAGGCTGATGCGTGACTTCACTTTCAGCCACGGTCAGAAAACCATGCCGAGATTAATATAGTAATTAGAGACGCATTCGTTCAATTGCTACAGCGTACAGAGTAGCTGATACTAATTCACCATTCTTTACCAGAATCAACAACAGCCCTTCGACCAACGCAAAAAAAAGGACCCCATTAGTAGCGATACCGATCGCTCTGGATCCAAGATTCACACCAAAAGAAACTGCTAGTTCCTCCCTTTCGCTCCTGTCCCGATAAAGAGTTCTGTAATATAACAGCCAGGAACCTTAAAAGGGTGGGGCATCTTCTCACTTTTGTTAGACATCCTTGCATCACCGCGCTTGCCCGTCAGTATACTCAATACTGTAGTAGGCCCGGCGATATATCCATAATTCTCTGAACATCTGGACCTACTTATCAAAAGGCGAATGTAGTAGTCATCTACCGCTACAGAACTTATTCTAGCATCTGAGGACTGCTTTCATCGCAGGGTGTAGATTGCAGGACGACGCCCCTTAAGGCTTCTTTTGTCGCTCCCTACCTTGAAATGCTCGTGAATCAAGTTGATCGTGATGAACCTGGACCGATTTGCATGAGGTTCGGCTTCACAACCTTCGCTATTTTCATCTCGATAAGCTGCGAACCCTGTCCACTACACGATCACACTGTGGTGATAGGTGGCGCACGAAGGGCACGTCGGCTCGTCAGATACGACGCAAGAGCCCCAAAATCTTCTGGCCAGTGCCCACTGCCTACTATAGTTCAAAGATAAAGCTAGCTAGCGGCGGTGGGTCGCACTGTTGGTTGCCCTACTTCAGCCTCGATAAAAATATGTGGCCGTCATCACCAAAACTCAATCACTTTAGATCAATCACTTTGGATCTACTTAAAGGCTCTATGCTCACGTTACGACCTGGTAATTTCACGTGGCGTCCGAGGCGGCCGAAGCGCACCTGGCGTCCTGGGAGGCTGAGCATACCTGTCAGGTGCTGACTGGCACATGACAATCGGGCCGAGTCTAAACGATCTCCGTTGTCCCAATAGTGATATCGAGGAGGAACATTTCCAGCGCCTCAATTTCTCGTTCAAGATACTCAGGCTGTTGGCGGTCTACGGGTCTTGGCTAACCGAACCCAAAATTGACCTGGTGACTCGCTACTTACTGCCCGACCGAGACTAGTCAGACCAGTTAGACCAGTAAGACCAGTGAGATGCTCGCTCATAAGGGTGTCCCATGAATGCCTGGCTACTCAAATTAAAAAATCCTTCGGAAATAAGGTCCTCGCTAGTATCGAAATAGTAAGGTCAATTATTGGATTTATTACGGTCGTCGTTTCGAAAGTGTGCAACTATCAAAATAAAATACGATTCTGCCTTTACTTTCCGACTCATTACTTCGAATTCTCGAAGTCCGCGGTCTAGCACCTACCCATCCTCTATAACCATATCACCAACCCTATAAAATTACTTTTGAAACTTATCTTCTAGTAATCTTATAATATCTCAATCCAGTATGATATATTATTATAAAAATAATAGTATTGTGGTATAGAGAACTTCTTGATGAGTTTTTGGTGTTCACGGTCCGGGAATTAGTGGGCGGTAAGGAGTAGCAAAAAAGAGTCTAGTCTCTTGGTAAGTACAGCATCAAAACAAGATGACAGAACAGTTACGTGAAAATTAGAGTTCGGCCTTTCCGCTCTGGTCCTAGCAAGGTGGACAGTCTGAGGATGCCCCAGGGAATGTGCTTTGTATGAGCGAAAAAACCGATGAGTATGACTGTCATTTAACAGTCTTACGCTCTACCGTGGAGCTCAAGAGGCTCATTAATGAGAACACTTAATTTTTATCTAAGTTCTTAGCTAAGAATCGAACTCGTATCCCAATATGAGAAGTATTCTGCTCTACCAACGTCAGATCACGATCCACGAGCTGAAGCCCTGCTGGTGGTAAGGTGATGCGAGTTCTCGCTTCCAGCTTCACAACCTGACGTCGAAGGCTGATTCTAGACTGCGCCTCTCAATTCGACATTCACGTGGCGTACAAACTGGCCCGAGCATACGACCACTCTAACCCACTAGTGAACATAAGACTCGGCCACTGTTGTCCACGACTCCGCCAAGCGCGGCTGGCATCTCAACTCTCGACTTGCACGACGATTCAAGGCTGCAAGACCCGCCAGAGTCTCTCTGAGGAGAACTCACCGACCTAGAAAACGTCCAAACCCGTGAAAACGACTAATATCAGGCCGACCCGACAGTAGAGAAAGGTTGGCGAATCGCGCACCGATGATGGAGTTTAATGGTCCCGACGCCGTGCCACCTTTCAAGACCGAAGCGGCCAGAGTACGTTCAATGCGCTGCGCGTTGGGACTCGTACCCATCCGCGGGCTAATGATTGAAATCAGGACCACCTGCTGCTCCTACGACATTTCACCGAGATTCTGAACTATGCCGAGCACTCTACACAAGGGATCGACGCCTTCCTGGCCAGCGCCGAGGCTCGATATGTCCAGTATCTGGACCTTTTGCTGTCAAATACAGGGGACAACGTTGACGTGGAAATTCTGCCTCCCTGGTAAGTGAAAGTGTCAGAGGATGAGACTAGCTCGTCCTAGCCGTCACCCACTGCTAAGTTTGGGTCGTATATAGGGATGTTGCTATTGTCTTCCATGCCCACCACCTCGCCCCCTTCACATTCATGGCAGACCTCCACTACCGGAAGCGGTACGCACCACTGAAACGTGCGCAGCGAGATTTCCCTCTGGCTGGCCTCGTCAGCCTGATTAATGACAATGAATGGTCCCACGACCTGTCTGAAGCGATTTGGGTATCTGTATATCCAAATACTCCCTACCAGGTTTGGAACAACCACCCGCAAGATGATGGTCTGCTTGCCCTACCGGAAGTGGAACATTTCCTGTGCCCCCGTCAACAATGTGAGCGCCGGATTACTGTCGACTGGGACGAGTGGGCGCAAATGCGCATCGGGGCCGGTGAAATTCAATGCCATGGCTGCAACAGCACATTCACTCGCGACGAAATCTGCCGTATATCACTCAGGTCTGACGTTGTGCGATTCATCCGTGACAAGCCTTCAGATCTGGCTTCGCAGCATTTCCGTGGTGCAGTCGTCAACTCGATGGGTGTCGAGCGCACATGCAATTCCACCCGAGATCTGCGTCAGGTAGGAGGATTCGCGAGCATTGCCCGACATCGTGGTATGAACTGGAACTCATGGGATGGCCTGGTATCCTCATTGCCCTCTGGCTGTGCTGCAAAGCCGCGCGTCGAGCGTCTTCTGGCCTCCATTCGCCGGGCCTACTCGAATAATGTGTGGCCCGACTTTAGTATTGATCTTATCGAGGCGGCGAAGCGCCAACGCTCTTTTTCCCATCGTGTCACGCTTCAGACCCAAGGATTCAATCTTGCTGCGGCTTCGACACGATACTACCAATTCATGAAGCTGCTTGCTGTCGAAAGTCCAACCAAGGAATTGCCTTCTTTGGTGCCCACTCTTGACATTGACCTTTTCTGGCACACGCATCAGATGTTTCCAACTTTTTATCACTCATGGTGTGATGAGCATGTCCAGCGACGTATCAACCATGATGATACTGTGAATGAGTCGGCTCTGGCGAGAAGCCTGCAAGAAACCCAAACAGCCTGGAAAGACCGTTTCGGTGAGTCATATATCGCACCCAAAGAAAGCCATGGGAAAAAGGATGGTTCACCATGCGCTACTGCTGCCATGCCAACGAACGACGTAAAGAAGAAGGAGGACCCAGATGCGAATTCGAAGAATGTGGGTGAAACCGCTCGAGATACCTTGATTGCTGCAGATCCTGATAAGAGCGCTGATCACGATGGTGCTCGCTCGAGCAACCGGGACTCGAGCTTATTTGGGCGTTTGATGCGTCTCATGCGGCCGCTTCCTCTTGATTGGGAATGGGAATTGTTAAACTCAAACACCATTCAGTATATTAACACACAAACCGACAAAACCTTTTTCGTGCACCCGTACAAACTTGATCAAACGCATGATTTGGGACCCCTCCCCTCTGGATGGGAGATGCGTTTGACAAATCTGTCTCAAGTGTACTTTGTGGATCACAACACCCAGTCAACTTCATGGCACGATCCCCGTCTTCCAAAACCTGAAGAAGAGGACAATGATATCGAGGAAGAGACTGAAGATCTGGTCGAGAATTATGCAAGCTCGGCTTCCGTTCAGGAGCTTCTCATCGACATGGACTGTGGGTGGGATACTGTGATGCTTGAAAAATTCCATGGAGCTGTACCCACGCATCTGCAATGTCGTGTCATCCGCACTCTACTTCGAAACCTGTCCAACGAGTTTGTTGATGGCCTGAAAGACACAGATCAGCCACTATTGCAGGAGCGACTGCGGAGAGCGCAAGTACTCATCGGCACTTACATTGATGAAGATGATACCGAGGAGGGAGAGGCAGTCTCTAAGCTGCTCAAAGATTTGCCTACCGTCCAGCCGGAGGTGTGGGCGCAGCTAACCGAAGAAACTATTCCGAGAATGTGTAACCAGCAGGTCGGCATGTTCAGCGACGACGAACCAGCCACCATTCTGAGTGACATTGTCCGTGCTGAGATCTATCCCGTGGTCCTGTTGCATTATTTTCAATTGGTGGTACAAGCATCTCTGATCACTTTTGACGCCGACGAAGATAAGAATGACACCAATGAGAAGGACAAGGGAATCTTGTCCATGCAAGACTGGGCACAGGCGTGCATTTGCCATTTCCGGGCAAATTCGGCTGTGGCGTCGGATGAATTACCTGGCCCCTTGTTTTACGAGCAGATGGAAATGATGTTCCCTAAACTCGTGCGGCAGCTGTGGACCGATTTGGCCGAGTCCTTGAAAGAACTTATAACGGTGTGGCAAGAGAGCTGCGCTTTGAAGGAAGCTATACGAATTGGTAAGTTCCCTCACCACTCCTTATTTGGGTTTGGTGGCCTTTCGCGACCTCTACTACTATCGCGCTCCCTGATTCCCCCTTTTAGATCTCGTTTTGGGTTACTCATACAGTATCTGATATTCATACAGAGCGCATCGAGGCACAAGATGCCGAAGCTCGTCGAATTCGTGAGGAAGAGGAGGAACGAAAGATTGCCCAGCAACGACAGGACGAACTTGTCGAGAAAATGAATGCTATGCGCCTAGAAATCCAACAAATTGAGCAAGAAACTCGCGAGTTGGAAGAACGGCGGGCAGCAGAGGCCTTTCAGCGCCTCGAGGCAGCTCGTCGAGCTCAGGAGCATCGATTGCAGGCACAGAGGCGCCAGTTCCAAGCTTTGCGGGCAGTCCATTTACGCAACACGCAGGCTATGAATGCAATGTTGCTAGGCTCACTAGGCATGTCCGCCGCCCTCCCCTTCTCATCAATTTCAAGCGGGTTGAGCTGCACAAGTTCGCAATGTACGACGACGTCAAATTGCACGACTTCAAATTGCACGACTTCAAATTGCACGGCGTCAAATTGTGGGACCTCAAATTGCACGACCTCAAATTGCACGACCTCAAATTGCACGACCTCGAAATGTACCAGCTCAAATTGTGGTACAACAAACTGTAATCCGTCGGTCTGCTCTAGCTTCTGCGCGACCTGAGCCTGCAAAGTTGTCCGTTTTCTGCGTTCACTCAAGACTTTAACAGATCCAGGTTGCCCTCATATTGAGAGAACTCATTTGATTCTTTGTCAGTCCGGTATCTGTAAGAAGAGAAATCAGCTGGATACTGATGGGTGTTAGAGACTGGGTAGAGCTTAGTCGGGCACTTGGCAAGCCGCAACAAGACCAATACGGAAAGGAATCACGTGGGCCGAGGCCAGCCGCGGGTCAGGGACGTCACGAGTTAACGAAGGACTCGCAGATTCCCCAGAGATAAATTTGCCAAATGAAGCCAGCCTAGAAGGTCACAAGAGTCACAGTTGTCACTCACCCATGCAAGTTCGAGTACTCTGTAGCTCGTAGATATGGTTTCCATACTCGTCGTTGTGTTATTATCACCGTCTCCTCTTCAGTGACCACTGACTTGCATTATGCATACGACACAGTCCCCCTTCAGGCTAATCCCCCTTTGCGAATTGCCCTTACAGCATCCTAGTATAAGATCCTAGCTCCTGGACAGATCGTCTACTCTCTATGGGTCTGCAACGATGTGTTTTATGTGCATTGCGATATCAGTGTAACCCGGCATGAGTCTCCTATGTCACGAGGGTAAGCTGAGGACCTAACGAAAGAAGGTTAGGTGTTTGCCTGAAGGGGTGCTGCTGCTGTATCCATAGTTACAGTGGAGCCAAGGCGTTCGAGAAATGGGTTTAATGCAGTTCGATTGATACTGTATCACGTGCGAAGAGAGTCATAAAAATGTTGGACTATTCATGATCACGGATCACTTGTTGGAAACAAACAATTTCGGGTGGAAAAGAGAACCAAACAACACTTGACCCACTCGAGCTGAAGGGACGGAGGCTGGGCGAAAGGGGGAAGGCGGTTGGACTTGGCCAGGCAAAGGAACTACCACCAGATCGGGAGATGTCCATTGGAACATAATATATATATATATATATATATTCAACCCACAGTGAGAAGACGGCAATCAACCCTCACAAGGATGGGTGGCAGAGATTTCCAAATTAATATCAGCAAGAAAAGCGAAGAGTGGTAGTCTCTGCTTGTTGATCCTGGGGTGTTCGGTAAAGATACTGGATTGTCTCATGTACATAAGATTTGGAAGCTTCTGAAAGATTCCCCGGATTTGCCAGCCAGGTCTCCGGCGGCGGCCGCCACCACGCAGTCTGGAGGGCTGATGCCGCCGAGCTTTCGGGAGGTACCGTTGCAGTTCTCCTGTGCGTAGGCATATGGCACACAATTGTGAGCCAACCTGGTCACCCACATTGAGTAGCTATCGGCCACGCTAACACACTGGCCCGGGATAGATGTCTGACCAGTCACTACTTCGGCGCTGAAGTGGTCGCATGCTGGTGCGTTGGGCCCGCCATACGCGATTGCATACACCGTGCTGTTGAAAGTGCGCTCCATGTCGGTCGTGAATAGCGAGGACCTAAAGGCAGTGCCATCATTTGCCCTATGGAGCGAGAGCGCAGCAATCACCAGCGCGGCAATTGCACACAGGGATGTTAAAAACAGGTATACGTTGAAGATGGAGCTTCTCATGGTGGACTGTTTAGTCTTTTCCGGAAATGTGTCGCTATCGTCGACCGAGAGTGGCTGCACCATGATGTTATATGCGGCGTGTCGACCTTCGGAGCACCGAGTCAGCAAACCTTGCACGCAACGAAAAAGATGGAATCATCATTGGCAAGAGAGCGGACGTCAGTACCGTTTGGTCCACTCACTAGAAATTCGTGGTCTGCTTGTAAGTCCAGGTGCTTGGCTGAGACCGAGACTGCAAGTCGGGTGGCAGGATACTTGGCCGGCGATGGCAGGAGGAGGATTGTGCCAGAAGGTAGCTCGATCAAAACGGAACAGGAAGAACCAAATGAACAGAGGTGAATGTCCTCCTGACTTATAAGTTTGATTGACCGCTCACATCGGGCAGGTGTTATCTGGTGGCGTCGTACTATTCCCCAGTGGAGGGGTTGTGGCCTACCAAAAGGGGTTGATTTGTAGAGTACAAAATGGTACTACAGTGATAGGATGTACAGTACCATAACCTACTGGTAGCCACTCCTGAGTACCTACTCCGTAGTATTCTTATTATTCGACCAAGTACAGTAGCGTCACTGCGACTTCACCCGCTAGCGGACCCTACGACATCCCATCCCCAATCATCGCGCACGGGGCTGATATTAGGCCCCCAGGAGGCGTTCAGGCGAACCGTTCCCGGGAAGCCCCCCGAGAAGCCACCGGGAAGCCAACGTGGGGCCGTTCCACATGCCATGATTAGGTTGCCAGCCCGAGGCCCTACTCTTTGCGGGTGCGGGCGTAATCAGCTCAGTGTCAGCTACGCGCTGACTCCGATTTGGACAGTTCATGCGAGCAAAGCGGTCGAATTCATGCGGAGAACGAAGCGCCTGGGGCAATTGGGGAGCCTCAAGGACGCCCCTCTGGTCATACTGACCCGACGGAACCTGGCTTGTGACCTTGGCCCCAACTATGTGATACGGAATTGGACAGAAAATGAGGTCATGCATGATTTAGTCTGGGGGAAGGGTGCATGGGATGCATCTTTCCGGCCCTTGAGAGGTAAAGGTAAGTCCCGGCTCTAGGCGGACTTCGCTGCCAAATCGGGCCCGAGGCCGGACAGATTCGGAAATGAGAAATAACAACAACAACAACAACAACAACAATAATAATGATGATTGGGTCGATCCCGATGAGACTGCCTCATTCGCAAATGGCGCACTCTCCCCTGTCAAAATCTATGGAGTACGGAGTTCTTTGTACAGACTACCCCATACAGAGTATGAAGAGTTCCTCCAACTTCCTGCCCAACTCCCCCTTTCCCTAGTAATGGGGAGAGATGTACACAGTATCTGAGTATACACCCAACATGTTCTGTTCTAGCGAGTCACACTCGTGCGTACGGACATTGCTCGCACCCGCGCTAGTCCTCGGCCGTCCTAAATCCCCAGCATCCATGCGCTCGTGATCCAAGCCGCTCAATCTGATCTGCACCTGTTGGTAATCTTCTGAAATGGCACAAGAGCAAAGCACTATTCAACGGCTGCAGTATGCGGACGTGACATGCAATGACCTCCGTACGGGACTCTGGTGGGGGAGCATTCCAGGACGGGAATGGTTGGGACCTTACGCCACAGTGCCACACTATCCTCTTCAAGTACAGAGTATCCGAGCCCTTCGCTACGCTGCGACCCGCCCATCCGCTAACGTACCTTCCAAGACAACAAGAAAAGCTTAGTTGGTTCAAGCAATTTCCTGGCCAGCGAATCAATCGATTATCTAGCCCCACCAGCGAAGGGACGTGGACGCGAGGAGATCCATGGAATAGACTATTCCTCCGTCTGCCGATCTACCAGATGACAGTTCAGCCAGGGTAGGATGACTCTCGTCAGGGTACGGTCCGCCCTACTATTCCGGTACCGAAGTGCGACCGTAAGCTTTGCATACATTTGAAGTATGGAAGACGTTTTGCTTTGATCACGGGATCTAGGGTACATGGGAAAAATAAAAGTATTTTTACCCTGCCCCTACCCTGACGAGAGTCATCCTACCCCGGCTGAACTGGGGTCACCCGATCCACCGCCATGACTCATGTCGTGAAGTATAAGTTAGTAGTATATATATACTTAACCGAGGAAGTAAAAGTATCAAAAACGAGAGGGTACGTTACTACACAGATCCTTATTTCCTGGGCACGAGCCGAGGCTAACACAGGGAAAGGAAGCTAGAACTGTCCTATTGAGCGCGTACCTTGACGGGAGTTCTTCCCCGTACGGTTGCAACTTGCAAGGTAGCTTTCTCTCACGATCCGCGTGAAGCTTCTGACCCTGTTTCAGTCCAGTATATACACGATAGGGATGTATTCTTGCAGTAAGTATGTTGAGCTACGAGTAGTATACTCCGTATAGCCCCATTGATTAAGGAACTCGGGCAATTCGAATTTCGAGCTTACATCCGAGGAGAGAAGCCTCCATGCAACATCCAAATCACCCACACTAACTGTTTCCCCCTCGATAGACGCTATGACATAGGCATCTGTAGACTGTCCCTTGGAAATGTCACCGCCACTGTCTCTATACAGTCACGTTCTGTTCGACACAGCAGGGCTCTTCAACTCTTGAGCTCAACAGAGAGTGTCAAATTGTTTTCACCCGGTTACAGAGGCGAGTATTTGCAAAAAAAAAAAAAAAGAAAGAAAGACACGCTACGATCTATTCCTGCATTGACCTCAGGCTCCCCATATGCGGCATTTTATTCAGTAGCTCCAAAGTCCCAAATTCTCATCGGCAGCCACTCTCCGCCTCGAAGGCAGTTAACAGGAGGAAGAGGCCATTCGACAGTAGAACGTGTTACGTCAGAGCGCAGATGCGCTTGTTATGTCGTTTTAATAAAGAGGCTCAGGCATGGGATTCATATGTCGGATTTGGAACACATGTGCGATATAGAGTCCGAATACATATTTGACTACCAGTCGATGATGTCGTGTTGGCTTCTTTGCGCAGACAAGAGCAGTTCTAGTCGAGGAAAAGTATGAAGGTGAAACCAACTACCCTTGGATGTCTTTCTCAATACTGTTGGCGGGGATTAAGCCGATGACTTGTACATCTAGTGTTAGGGTGCTAAATGACGTTCTATCCACATCCATCGAGCTTGTTATACCTGATTATCTGGAGGGGCCCCGAATGCCTTTCCCAAATCATCAGCTAGCTAGCTTCGCGCCATGCAACTAGCATACTATTTGCATTGCCAACATCGGGCGCCTGAAGACCTAGCGTAAACCTATTGTTGCGTTACAAATGAGGCAGGTCAAAGCAACTAGTCCTATCTTGCAATTGCATCTTTCGGCCCTTCTTTCGGCCCCCAGGCCATGGGTAATAGAGTGCCCACCTCAGAGCTCTCCGAATCCTTGGGTTTAAAAAGCAACTCTTATCCTCCTCTTGTTGCCATGGAATTGTCCAAAATCCCCAGTCCCGAAGTGAGCTCCTCTGCTGTGTCTGATTACCTGGAACCAGCCCTGGTCCATCGCTTCCTGCTTGTCGGCACAAAACTATCGGTTTCGAGGGTAAATCTGCCTCTCTGCTCGGAGCTGTCAATGTTCAATCAGCTAATTCTCTTTAGACTCTTCGTGCTCCCAGTTTCTGCGCATCTCACTCAACATGAGGTACCTTGCACAGAATATCGTGCGATTTGGCACCATTCTGGCCTTGGTGGCTTTAGTGTCATCGTTTCCGGCTTCGATCCATATGTCTGCCGAGGAGTTTATGAATCGTGATGATATCAAAGTGCGACGAGACGGCTCTGTGCTCAATCAGACCGAATCCCCCAATATCGTTTGTGGTGGTTGTACACCCTATTACCATTATACCAAAGTCGGTAATGGTAACCCACACCAGAACTTTGTTATCACTCAAAAGGGCGGGACTCTCGTGGCTTGCGATACCTCCTTGGTTTCGACCGGTACTGGGTATGCAACTACTCTTGGATGGAGTTTAAGCTTGGGCGTCAACTCCGCTTTCTCGTCTGCTGGGTTCAGTGTCTCTGAGTCGGAAACATACTCGGTGTCGAACAGTTTCGAATGTAACGGGGTCGCTGGCGAGAACGGAGATATTTGTGTCCTCTTCTACCAAGCCGTCACAGCATTCACGGTGGATGTTACAGAAGTGCTGGAGTGCCCTTGTGGAGGTGGCGGAACCAGTAACAGAGGGACTGCGGTTGTTTATGCACCTAACGCAAACCAGATTGGTTCTATCGCAGGTCGAGGCATCAGCGTGCCTCAGCACGGTGTCAACCAGTGTGTGGGGGACTCTGACAGGAGAGTCAATTATTATTGCGGACCACCTGGGGGTCCTGAATGGTGGACCGGCCGAGGTGCAGGTCCCTGGATTGCGGACTACGTGAATCAGCGTCAACCTGCCGGGTGTGCTATCCCCATTGAAGCCAACAGGTACACCGACTAGGATGGTCTATACATGTATCATGATACTCACCTCGGTCCTACCTTTGTCGTGTCTCCACTGGTCTAGGACGGCTTCGTCTACTTTTGGGTATTCAACATGCCCCCACAAGGTCATTGGCGTCACCCGCTCATCATGTTTCCAAGATTCGTTCCCCCGTTGTCTTTTGCTATCCTGAATGTTATAAATTCTATCCCATGGGGATAAATCGCAATGCGACGTATTGTATCTAGATTGACCACTCGAATGAGTCCGAATTAGGGATATGACTGTATTCATTAGTCTCATCAAAACACTATCAAAGGCAATGATCAAAGTCCCCAAGTTACCAGGGTTCACTGGAGAGCGGTATCATAGCTCCAATGGATCCACTCCTCCTCCAAGGCGCCAACCATTTCAGGGAGAAATTTCAGGCGATTTTCATGTCAAAGCCTTGCACTTGTCCAGCAGCAGTCTGGCATCCTCATTAAGATCTTTCGGGGGATCCCTAGCCCAGAAACATGGAGGGTGAATTCTTGAATAAACCAGTTCCTCCAAGGCCAGCCTGGGAATTGGAGAAGACCTTAAAGGTCAGTACACTTTGTCGCTTGTAGAGCGTACTTACTTACCATAGCTTTACTGATTCTCAGAACCAAATCACGTGGATATTCAGAACGAGTTTGAAAGAAGAAGGCATCTATTTGTGCGTCTAAATGAAAGCTTGGCCATTTCATCATCTTCTCATCTTCTTCGCAATCTGCCAGCTGCCTCTTCCTGCCGCTGTTATGGACTGGCTTTCCGCTCTCTCATTCCGTACGTCATTTTCTACGTGCATACAGTCTTTAGTTTTCTCTCACGAAGATGACGATGCTTCTTTTGGTGGAGGCGAAGAGCCAGAGCCCAGTCTGTTTATCGAACGGGCGACACCGTTCCTTTCAATACAGTCAAGATATACACAGTCATGTATGTACATAGGTACTACATAGCTTGGCCTTCCTGTCTAAAGCATTCGGACATCAATACTGCTAGTCTGAAAGACTTCTATTTTCTCTAAGTTCGGGCTCAAAATCATACACGTATACTGCCGAGTGCCGAGTCTGTCCATGAAACAGTGTCATGCTGATGCTGACGATTCCATTGTAGCATTCGATATGAACGGTAGCGTTCATTGTGGAATCGATCCTCATGGATCCTGGGAGGAGATCCCGTGTTTCCGAGTCTTTTACGATTTTTCTATAGCTACGATGTTGCCTTGCAACATATGACAGCCTTCAGCTTCAGGCGTGGCCGCGTGGCTGGGGGGGGGGGGGGGGGGCCGTGTGAGAATGTATACATCATATATGGAGCCACCGATGGCGGGCGATCGTAAACCGGGCCTACAGGCATAGAGTCCAGTATTACAGCTAATGGGTGGAGAAGCTTAAGTCAACTGGAATAGGTGCTTGGTAAATTTCCATGTGTATGTTTTGATATATCCATCTGTTTATGTGTTCAATCCGTGCACGATCAACAAATCTCTCTCCAACACAGTTTGTGCCTGCTACCGGGGTTTCTTCTTGTTTGTACAACACGATCAGTCCATCGTGTGACCTGATCCCCATCTATATGGTATTCAATCACTTGACACATTCTCCTCGGAGCGTCCTGGTCCCATTTGAACGCCGTTGAAGACAAGCTGGCGGCCCGAAGCCCCAGATCCTGCTTGCAGTCAAATACAGGTCTTTCCAATGGTGTGTTTTAGTATCGCAACAAAAACGACGCACGAAACATGAAACAAGAAGAAGAAGAAGAAGAAGAAGAAGTGCTCCGATCTCATCGAGAAGAGCGCGGTCAAGGTGGAATCATACTCGACCCTCCATGACTTCAAAGATACCACCCATGACAAAGCAAGGGTGATGAGCTGCAGTCGATCGGCTATCTGGATCTGAGCGGCCGCTCGATGTGGACGGAGACCGACGATGAATTGCAGCCGGCTCTTCCATCAGCATGGTGATGGGTAATTGCATGTCCACCGGTCGAGGCTCCATGAGATCCAGGCCTTGTCTCTCAATCGCATCTTCATCACAACGACTCCGTTCCTCGCTCAGGGCCCGGTCCACAGCGGACGGACGTCGCCGGAGAACCATTAGAGAGGACCGACCGCGAAGAACGGAGCCTTTGAGAATGTCGACGCCCCAGCGCGAGGTGCGTGGGGGGGAGTACGATTCACGAGCACGACCCTGGCGGACAGTAGGGTTTCTGTCGGCACCAAACTCCTCCTTTGCATGGACAGTGCTCGGGTGGAAGGAGAGGTTGAAAAGATGGTGTGGAGAAGTCTGGTCTTTCAACTGGTGATGATGATGATGATGATGTCGACGAAGAGTTGTGGTCGGTGAGGCGGGCGGCGAAGTGGCTCGCGAACTTGACGAGCTGGAGGTTTCACTGGACGGACGTCGATGGAATGACGACGGGGTATAAGTGTCCGTGGTGATATGGAGAGGTGGGAATGGCGGAGGAGGAAATTGTTGCAATGTGGAATCCATGGTCACTTGGAAAACTTTTGATGTTCCAGGTATCGGTGATCTCTTCGTCAAATGTCCCTGAAGCAGTTGTAGATCGATGGCTGAAAGTCGTACTGGCAGTGTTGATGATCCGAAAGTCTAGTAGGCCGATAGGGTGGTGGCTCTTCCTTCTTCGTCTCTGTTTGGCTGTTGCAGTATGCGACCGAGACTGTAAATGCAAAGACCAGGCAGAGTACAAGGCGACAGTCACAGTCTCTCCTTCTTCAACAAGTAGTGGGAGTCGACTAATTCAACCTGAGGACCAGCGTAAATGTCCGAAGCATAAATGGTCCACCAAAGGGAGACATTCAAGACATTATGAAGTACGCGCGACCCTAACGAGTTCTGGCCCAGGAACACGCTGCCGGCCCGACCAAACAGGCAATTGACTGCAAGGACGGCTGCAGGGAGTGCGTTTGAGACATGGAGATCATCAGAATCATCAGGTCATCAAATCATCAAAGAACGGTTGGAACCCCAATGCGGAAGGGGGAGAGAGAGAGAGAGAGAGAGAGAGAGAGAGAGAGCAGTCCGCATGCGGTCGAAGGGGAGAGGAGAATCTGCGTGGCGTGTGAACGTTAAACAATGCCCTTGACGGAGGGCGAGAGCCGACCCGCAAGCAGAACCATTCTCGGTCGCATAGAATGGTTGATGCTCTCCAAAAAGTGAAGAGACCCGAGCATTCAGATCGTTTCATTGCTCATCAATGCATGATTCATCATTTTCGGCCGACCCGCCCTAAACCGAAGGAATCCAGGGGAACACAGTCGAGATCGACAATGTTCCTAACTTTAAGTGAGTTCTAGTACCCATACACAATACACAATAGGTGAAAATGGTACCTTACTTATGTACTGGTACTTGGTACGAAAAACTTGAAGAAAAGGGAGTACTTGTGCCTGGGTACGAATTGTACCATGGAAGGAGTCACCAAGTTGCTGTCGACTCGTGTTGTGCCTGAACTGTACCTGAACTGTACCTGATCACCACTACCTACGACTATACTGTCTCCTGGGGGGATTCTGTGGATCTTGGCTTGTTTTCAGTGCAGGGGCTCTCGAAATTCGCCAGATTCAGAACGAGTATTGCTGCATGTCAGAACCTTTGACTGGACCAGGAACAGGGGCACAAGTAGCTCCGCCTCGGGGAAGGATGCAGGGTGCAGGATGCACATGCACGGGACTTTGTCAATAGCACGATGGGCAGCACCACTTGAAGTCGAGAGCAAGCCGCCTGTAGTCATCTTGTGTAGAGTCGCTGGATCATCCTCCCTCCAATACATTGACTAGCAGCGTTATAGCATGCACTCAGTAGGGTTCTGATCAGCATGAGTCTCGTTAAGTGGTCGACTGGGAACCGCTGCCCAAGCAAAGTGAACCAGTCACTCCTCGACTAGTACCATGAACTATTATTCCTGCAATAGATGCACGACAGTGGGGATCAGTGGTACATCCGAACCACTAGCGGTCTCGTATGTACTTGCCTGTCAATGCAAACGTAGTCGTACGGGTCGGGAATAGGGTTTGAGCACGAGGTGATCGAGCCAGGTGCTATAACTACGAGGACCATCACCACAGTACTACAGTACTATTGATCAATGCAGGGTCCACTCCTGCACTCCTTCAAGGAAGGGTCTCTCGTTCGCTAAGGAACCAGGACAATGAATGACTCTCACAGATGCCGTCTCCTTGCCACTCGGGGAATCCCAGGCGATCGCCATTGTAATAGCCCTCTCCCACTACCACTTGTCCGGGACCGACCAAAGATAGGCCGACGAACCCATAGAAGGCAAGAGAGTGAGTGATACTTTTCTATTGAACAGACGGTCAGACTCGACCTCCAGACAAATCGATGGCCCAGACCTTTGCGAAAGGGGAACAAAGTGGGCTTGAACTGACTCTAGGCCCACGTCTACCTTTTGAAATACAACTCTACAAAAGGCTCCACTTGAGCGATGGGGCAAATTTACACTCATTCCAAAAGGAACGTGGAGAAACCAAAAACAGACGTCAGGATAAGCATGCGTACATTGACAGAGCGATCGCCATGCAAAAATGCAGGAGAGAATCCACAGTCAGGCCCGTTGAAGAGTCAACGGTTCGAGTCTTAGATTTGTACAATAATATGAAGTCGAAGATAAGCGAGAAAGAAAAGAAACAGAATAAAAATGGGTAAAGTGCACAAAAAAAATAAGAAACAAAACAAAAAAACAGAGAGCGCTCTAACAAGCCAGGCAGTTCTGGCCACAATGTCGACCTGGTGATCCTGCAGCCGGTCACAGGCTCTATCGGCGTTTCTCGTGGGCGGGGTATACAATGAAGAGGAAGTCGTTGGAAATGCAGCGGGATCTAACGCTGCAAATGATAGAAGAGAAAAGATGAAAAAAAAAAGGGGAGGGCTATTGTTCGCCCGATCGATCACCCGATCGTCGTTGTGTAAAGCTGCGCCGAATACTTTCGCCCCACGCCGAGTTGTCGAGCGATTGCATCACATCATTGACGCTGATGCCACTGTTTTGACGTGAGTGGTCAGTCCCGGGCACGGATTCATCCCGTTGGCTCGTATCAAACGAATCCCGCTCGTCATACAACCGACGAGGGGTGCGCGACGGACTGATACTGGACCATTCCGTCGGAGTATTTCCCCCTGAGCTGCGCCCTCCAAAGCTGGTGTCCAATCGTGGAAGATTCACACCGCGTCCAGTGGGACTCGACTCGGCACGTCCACGCGACGTGGAGGTCGGCGACAGCATGGGTGAGAACGACGAGTCAGCATCGACTGGGTTCTGAGGGGTCATTGCGCCTGGAGCGTGCTCGTCGCGGTCTTCCTCCATTGGGTCCTCGACATAAATCTCGGGAACTGTGAACTGCGGGACGGCCGTCATACGACTGGACTTCTTGCGCTCAACAGCACGACGGAATTGACGAGACCAATAGAGGGTGTCGAAGAACCCGATCACTGTATTGCGGCGAACAGCTTCCTCGACTCGCTGCAGACGTGCCCGACGGCGCAGGAATTCCTCAAGACGCAAACTCTTACTATCGCTGATGATATTGTAATGGGCCAGAATCATGAGACATTGATGGAAGGATATTCCACGTTCAAGGTCTGCCGAGACAAGAACCTCTTCGTAAAAACTGTTCAGACGTTGACGGCGTTCTCGAATGGTTTGCACGGGAATGCGAGCAATAACTTGAGATAACTTTCTCAGATCGACGCCAGTCGGAAAAGTGTTTTCACCTTTCAGGCGCAGAGACTGAAGAGAATCTCGTGATCGCAGCGGCATGGCATCATGCGTTGACGGAAGCGAATGCACTGAGTCGCGAGGCGATTGCCGACACTGTTCCAGAATCCTTGAGACAGTAAATTCTTCGTCGTAGATTCGCATGGCAAAGACACCGGACAGTTCCTAAAAAGAGATTCGATGTCAGCCTTCGCCCCTCCCGCCGAAGGAATCACAGGCCATAGAGAGCAGTTCAAATACTTACCCCGAGTAAGCGCGGGAATTGCTCCTTGGAGATATAGCCGGTTCCGTTCGGATCAAATGTCGCCCACGCCTGTTTGAAACGGCGAATCTCTTCGCGGTTGACCACATACAAGCCACTGCTGCGTTGGTAGACGTATGAGAAGCTCTCGAAAATGAGTGAGACAAAAAGCGAAACGAAAATGTACATGCTGATGATGTTCCACATGATAAACAGAGTCCGAGCCCAGGCGGCACTGCCGCAATCATCGTCGAGGAAATTGGCATCGAAAGTACAAAACGGCGGTACCATGGTGGCATAGTCTTCCATGATTTCATTCCACCCTTCACCGCAGCTCGCACGAAACAGCAAGACCAGCGCTTTCGGTACATCGCGGAAATTGATGTTGTGATTTTCTTTTTGACCAAACTTGGTAAGGCCGAACGCTTGGTTCAAGGCTATTCCGAATACCAAAAAGAGGACGAACCAGGTAGCCAAGAGGTTACCAATCACGGGAAGACTAGCTGCGGCAGTCTTGAAAAGTTGATCAAGCTGATTGTTTCGCGGGATCAGCAATAGCGTGATTGAAACAAGGAACAATTTGTTCAGTTCGAGGACAGCCTGACTTCGTATCGCAAAGTTGAGGACGATTGTAATGAATGCCCCTGGGACTGCAAGTAGCGAATACAGGTCCCATGAGCTCCGACTGAATCGATGCCATCCAAGGCCGATCAAACGGATGAGTGTGTTGCTTATATAGACTAGGACAAAGATGAAGAATAAGCCGCTTCGAGTGGTGACCCACCAGTCTGGTTCAGGATAATATTCGAGGATCAGAAGCGCAAGGTGCACAAGAAGCGTGCATGTCACAAGACGTGCCCATCGTCCGTGTTTTTTCACAGCGATTCGATAGCACCATAAGCGCCATTTGTGACTTTTGTCGTGGAAAGATCTTTTTGACGGTGAAATCTGTCGCAACAGCTTCCGTAATTCCAGCCACGATCGCTGTTCGGCAGTGAGAAATGCAACTCCAGTTTGTTCCGTGTAGTTGCGCATGAACACAGACACAAACAACGTCAGCACGAACACAGCACCGAGCAAATTGAATATGACGAGGAAAAGACCGTTCCCTGGTGCGCTCCCATCCTGGGGTTGAAGCCCTTTACCAGTGATCTTCATTGCTAGATCCTGCACATTGATCCAGCCTTCTTGAGAAACGATTTGGAACAGGATAAACAAAGCATCGCCAAAGTTGTCAAAGTCGTAGAAAGTGTTCTCGGCTACTCGCGGCGCCAAAATTTCCCAATTGTAGGGCTGGCTTGCATACTCGTCTACACAAGCCGTCAAGTTACCCACAAAGTCACCGTCGTTGCATGAGACCATCTGCCCGTTGAACAGATTCACAGTGTAGATGGCAAACGGAATCAAAAAGCTCATCGAAACGGCTGCCGCGGCAATGACCTTCCATCCACCGACAATAATAACCGAGTGGAAAGTATCCTTAGCACTGTCAGAGACGTTCAACAGCCGGAGCGCCCTTAGCGCTTTGAAGGCTCCAATCGCGCGGGAGACATTCCAGTCCTTTTTGAGAGAGCTGCCAACGTTGATCCAAAGGGTCAACAAGACAACACCGTCGATGAAGCCCCACGAGCTGCGGAGAAACGCATTGGGAGTCCAGAAGCAACCGTCTGCGATAATCTTGATCAGGGCCTCCACCGTAAAGACCATAGCAAAGCTAAGGTCGGTGTACACGAACCAATTGCGGTTGGTACGGAAGTACTGCCGTTGATAAAGAGGTGTTGTGATACAGGCAAGCACAACCATTGCCACAATTGCAGCGTAAATGAATGCCGAGAACGCATACCATGCAGGCTTGTATGGATCGACGCCTTCAACCCTCTGATGGCCCCGTCCAGGACCGACGACTCGCTGGCAAATCCTGCGTACTGGATTCTGGGGTGAAAAAATGAACAGCGACTTGTTGTAGTTGGGATGTCTGATGAGATACTCTCGCTGTGCACGCTTCCTAGCTTCGGCTGCAGATGCGACCTCCTTTGCCATCGTGCGGGGGTCTAGTTCTTCATAAGCGCGAGAGAACTGCAGCCGCGAATAGAAGGGATTAGGTTCCCGCCCGAGGACGAAAGATGTCGTCTTGGTCCACAATCGGGACAGCATGCCCGGCTCGACAGCTTCCTGGTTTGCAGTTCCAGCGAACATGGTGTTCTCTCGTCGGTGGTGGCTTTGAGCCGTTTTAGTCTGCTCCTCATCAAGAAAGTCGCGCACCACTGCATCTTTCAATAGCATCTCCATTGCCGCAGGACCATGGTCCAGCGGATCTTTATAGCGGTCCGAACCTCTTCCGAGACGAAGGATTTTCGACAGAGCAGGGTTGCCCTTCGTACTGCCACCGACATGCTTTTGTTCAAGGAATGCGCGAACCTGTTGCATTCGCTTTTCATCTTCGGTAACATCGAAACTCTCTTGAATTACAGCAATGAACATGTTCAAGATGATGAAATTGCCAACAATAAACCACATGATCAAGAATGCGGCCGAGATCCAAGCGGTTCTGAACTCCACAGTTTCGCCGGTGACGCTGTACAAGATATCAGTCCAGTTCTCGCTGGACAAAATCTGATACATTCCCAGAAAAGAATTGTAGATATCAGAAAAAGTGATAGCTTCACCGGCCGCAATCTGACCCCGGAAGAGCTGGGTTGCGAATATGGAAGCGAGAAAGGTCATCAGGAAAAGAAAGAATATCAGGTTGAGCAGACCGGAGGCGTTGCTGAAAACGACCATGATCAACTTTCTGGTCACGGAGAATGCCAGCACAAATCGATAAACTCGGAGAATTTGGAACACGCTGAGAATGGCATAGGCGCGACCTGACATACGTATCGGCGGGATCTGGATAATGCAGGTCACAATGACCAGAAATAGATCAAACCAATTGCGACGTCTGTGGAAGAAAGTGCGCCATTCCGCGGCAAAACGCACAATGATCTCGACCAACAGCATGAGAGTCACCACCGTTTCTGTAGTATCAATAAAATAGGCACGGTCATCTGACATGGACGCACTCCTTAGGGCTTGGACAACGAGGTCGAAGAAGATGAGGCCCACCCAAAACCATCTCGTTTTGTCATATATCCGCTTGACAGGATTCACCTTTTTCGACTGGGTTTCATTGAAATCTATCCCGTCGATGTCTTGAATCGCAAACGCACTACGTTTGCTTTCCTCGCGAATCACCTGGAAAGAATGGGTGATGACCGCGACAAGGAGGTTGACCAACCACAAGCTGAGAATGACCAAGGCTGCCACGAAGTACAAGGACCCAGCAAGATAGTCACTATCGGTTGTGTAATACATCAGGTCGGTGAAGGTGTTCGAACTCATTATAACAAACACCAGCTCCAAGGACTGTAGGATATTGTCGAAGCTCTGAGTGTTGTTATGGGGGTTCTGTCCCTCGACGCAGAGAGAGCCTTGCGGACAAAGGTATCCTTTCGGTAGAGCCGGGGAGTGATTGCCGGCAGAGTCCACCCATGATCTCGCGATGCCATTCTCCATATAACCACCACAGAATTGAGAGTCGGAGGTGTAATTGTTCTGACCATTGGGGTCTACCCACACACAAGTTCGTCGAAAACTTGACTTGAAGCTCTGGATGCCGATAATGGCAAAAAGGAGCCAAAAGAATCCGATGAGAAATGCAACATGGACGAGCAAAGGCGCCGCACGCTTGAGACTTCTCAGGATCACCTGTTGTTTTTGGAATGATCAGCACCGCATGAGCGTGTTTGGCGTGAAAGACGACAAGCGAAGGAAAACATCAAAGAACTCACTGAGGTGCCGTTTGTCAGAGCGAGTAGACGCAGAATCCGGAGGCAACTGAGCATCCGAAAAATGTACAGATGATGAGCTGATTCCATTCCAATTACGGAGAGAAAGAAAGACACCCAGAACGCCACGACTGCGACGAAGTCCAATCGATTGAAAGAATGACGAAGGAAGGCTCGATGGGCAAGTCTCTCACGGTTCTTGTGAAGAGGGTCTTTGTAGGCACCGGGATTTGAGTCCAACCCATTCATTCCAGTAAATGAGCGAAGAATGGAATGTTGCGGCTCTGGCTGCGCGAATGATACTTTTCTTACTGTTCCTTGCCGATGAGGCGTGATGAGGTTCTTGCCCTTTTCCGCAATGGCTTTTCGGATACCCAAAGACCGGTCCAGAGTACTGTATTCAGTGGGGTTGAAAATGAAGCCTGACACCAGGATCTTAGCGGCAAGCTCCAAGGTGTAAATAGCAAAGATGACGAAGAACACATAATCGAACGAGCTTCTGCCCCAGCGGACTCCCCGAGGATCATCGAAGACGGATTTCGATGATTCAACGATGAGAAGGACGGCTTGAACGATGATAATGACTAAGATAAGGGGCTCCATAATTGGATGCACAAGCAAATCACAAAGCCATAGTCGCAGCGGATGATCTGGGCCTAGTATACCAAGTGACCTGCCACGGAAAGGGTTGTTATGTTGCCGCCATGCCTTGCGCAAGACACGCTTTTCCTCTTCAGTACCCGGAGACGAGTCATGGGCATATTCTGACATTGCCGGAAGCATAGGGGGCGCTTCCATTCGAGCATCTCGATGAGACTCCTCTCTCTCGAGCGTCTGCCCGATCACCTCGGGTTCATTACTCAAATTGACCACTCGTTGAGACATGGACTTCACCATGGAGCTCGCTCGCTGAAGGGCACCGCCAGATGCCGACGGCGATCGCGATCGCGAACGAGAGCGAGCGCTGCTTCCCCGGCTTCGCGACAGACCCTCCTCCAGATGGGGCAGGTCGTCTCCTAATCGCGCACCAGGCCCTGAGGAGATCGAATGTATGCCAGTGTCGCTACTCCGCCGGCTGTCTTCCCCACGAGCGCCGCTGATGGGCTGCAGGTAACGAGGGTCTGTCAACCTTGCTGTATCGTCCTCGTCCTCCACGTGAGGTGGTGCGTAGCCGGCATTTTGATCGTGGCTCGGCCATGGATCGAGCGGTACGTTATCGAGGTCCGAAGCAGCGTCGTCGAAGTGATGTGTCGAGGAAGGTCCGACCAAGCTTATCGACGGATGCGAACTGTCGAAAGTGGCACCGAAGGACATGGCTTGGGCCAGCGCCGCGGGAGCAACTTCGTCAGATTGTCGTAGGGTGTCATACCGGTCACTTTTTGGCTGGGGTCCCCGTCTGATCGCGCCTGGCGCTTCGACAGGCGAATCTTCCGCGACACTTTCATATTGCCTTCGCGGGCCGCCTCTCAGCAATGACCCGCGTGAAAATATACCACCCCCCGCGTTGTCAGCATGGGCTCTCCCGCGATCTGTCGGGAGACTCTCATATCCCGAGAGATCCTGCAAGGGAATCTGATGGGGGGTTGTATCATCTTCATTCCCAGGCGTACGAGTTGTTGGCGCCATTGTCAGGCAAGGTTTAAGCAGACTCGGACGAAGACATCGTAGTTTGGATTGTTCACAAGGGCTGGACCAGGCAGCGAGTTTCCGCGAAATCCGCTCGAATGCACGAGCTGGGGCGGGAGAAGGGACGACGTCCTGGAAAAAAGGTGGGATTGTTGACAAATTATTCGAGCGGGATAAGCGGGCACTGGCTCTCAAAAGCGGACGAATGCCGACCAGGACCGATCGAACGCGTGTGAGGAAGGATGAGCGAGAGGAAGTATCGTCGGCAAGTGTCGCGCAGCGAACCGGGACCGGAGTCGACAAACCACTACTGGAGGATCTTTTCGTATGCGCAGACTGAGACCCGCCAGACGACACACTGGGGCAGGACTAGTATGGAACGGGCTTGGCGGGCTGATGATGGCTCGGGCGGTTAGTCCCTCGGAGTTACCGTCGACTCTCGAGTCTCGAGTCTCCCGACAGTCTTCCATTTGAGGCCCACCTACGCTTACCAGACGTACCACTGTACACTGTACAGTGCTTCCTTCGAGACATTGGCCAATTCATGTGGGGGAACTGGCTAGGTGCCTCAGATCATAGGTGATTGACAGTGGCTACTAGGTAGCCAGCTTACCTTCGAAGTCAACTTTGTGTCACGTTTATCAGTTGACTTGTACTTAGGCTCAAGTAACTCAACTGATCTTCCACTACATATTGTTGTGGGGTTATTGTCCCCAAGTGAAAACGACCAAGAAATTGCCCCGAGGATCCCACAAGTGTAATATGTCTTGACTGACGACTCACAGCTGTCGGATCCACTACGCCCTACCGATAGCTCCAGAACTATACTGATATTTTGTCTATATCGGGGGAAGAAAGCTCAGTCCATTGCTGACGTGGAATAGAATGCAAAAACAGTGTTGCCTGCGGGCCGCGTCCTCATCACTAACTGTAGTCAGTAGTGGTCACAACTAGACTCACTGCTAGTCACCATGTGGGGCCGTAAATTGTATGAATACCAAAAATAGTTGTTTTTTTTGAGTCTATACCTACATAGGCAATTCTATCATCAGTGCAAGTGTAAGCTCAATGCCTACTAGATGAGTACATCGTAGCTAGTCAATGCCTATCAAAAGAAGGTCCCTACTACAGGAGCGTGCTGGTGTAATACGGCGCTGGGGTGAATGCGGCTAATGCAATTTGGTCAAGCGTCTCGATCAATGGGTTCAGAAAATTCGTGCTTGTATATGATGTGTAGTATAGGAAACTCGCCTGGGGCAAGTGTATATAAAAGCTTGCCTCGGCTGCTTACAAAACATATAAAGAATGCTCGGTTCGAGATCTCTATCATTCCTTACTTCACGGGCAGGCAGGTCCCGTTCGGAAATATTCATGAATAAGACTATTAGGACCCATCAATCCGTTTCCATCTGGCCCGACTGATCTTTCTCCTTCACCTGCTGCCGAACACCATCCACGAACGCTTCCACTGCATCACCCCCACCAAGGGGCACACCGCCACGCCGCATGAAGCCACCGTTCGCCACGGGAATTTCTAGAGCCTCGCTGATACTGGGCAGCCCACCGTCTCGGAGGGCCACAGTAAGACTGGCTAAACTCTGCATGAATTGAGGAGACCGGAGCACACGACGAAGGATATCCTTTTTTTGGGAATGATCGAGGGATAGGAGCGCCGCCTGGGCGAGATCAGGGTCGGTCTCGGCCTCGACTGCCTCGGCGTTCCCTTGTGCCAACAGGAGTAATGCCGGGGGAAGAAAACTCAGGAGGTGGTCGACAGTGCTGTCATTGGCGGTCTCGATGAATGGCAGGGTGCTCGATGGTGTCAAAAGATCTTGAAGTGTTGTAGATGGTCTCTCGGGATCCTGAGAGTGAGCTTGACCCTGCTGCCCACCGCCCAAGGAACGTAGGAAGTCTTGAACGACGGATGACGGGTTACCGGAGGGGGCACTATGAGATCCATACCATAAACAAAAATCAGACGCGACTCTTCCAGCGTGACGAGATTTCCCAGGCACAGGTAACGATGTTCGTGGAGATATGTACCTACGCTCGTCCTCCGTCGGCTCCGCCCTCACGGGATTCTTCTCCTTCCTCGCGGATATCGCCTCCAGTAGCGTCGGGACCAGCTCCACCGCTACCTCCGCCGTGGTTGTGGTTGGGGTCATGGTCAGTGCCTTCGACATCCTCCATAGTCTCGTCATCATCGCCGTGCGGGAGGTTGATAATCTCGTGTTGGACGTCCACGTCTTCACCTTGCAACAGGGCATCCACGATCTCACCCACCCTCAGGTCGCGCGGGCTGAACCAGCTGGGATCGCCATTCTCGTGTTGTGGGTGAGATTGCATCCAGAAGAGGTATCGCTGGGAGCTCGAAGAGAACTTCAAAACAAACACCCGACCGTTGATTGTATTCTTCCCGACCGGTGGATAAGGGGTGAAGGTGCCATCGGAAGGAATCATGACCAGGTCCAGCTCGGGCTCGTCGAGGGGGGCACTGCGGGGACGCCAGCAGAAGTGCAACAGATCATCTTCAGAGTACAGATAAATGTAGCCAGGTGTGGGTTTCGGCTTGACGGTGGCAGGGTTGGAGGAGCTCTGGAAATACATGATTTAGTTCTCTCTTCGAAGAGGTGGCCGCAAAAGCTCTCGACCGAAGCTTGGTGTAGATCCAATCTGGGCGCTGCAATGGAACGCAGCATTAGACTCACATCAAAATCGCAAATGCCTGCTTTGAAGGTGATGAGTGGAGCTATCGACATGGCGAAAGCGAGGTGATTAAAACAGGCGCTGGCGTTTTTTTAACGGGGGCTGGCGGCTTTGGTTGACCGAGGCAGATTGATTGATTGTGGAATGAAAGGAAGGAAGGTGAACTGGTGGCCAAAGACCGTGTGTACGTCAGTAGCTGATGTTGGTGCTAGACAGCTGACTTGCATGTAAGGTCTTTGCAGATGACCGTTGTTGAAGGCCTGACCCGTAAGGCATCAACGAAATGGATGACCTGATCATATGGAATGACACAGGTCCCCGCACGAAGATCAGTTATGTGGAGCAACTGCAGACTACGAGCACGGCTAAAACTGCACTCATCACAAGTGTCTTGGAATCTGTACGTTGCAATGTAATTGTGAAACGTTCTTCTCCTGTAGGTGAAGCGGTTGTCGAGTTTTTGCTTCCGTCGAGGACGTTCATGTAGAAGGCCTGACCGATAATGTTGAGGTCTCCAGCAAGACCGGACGTAGTACCTATAGATAGAAGTTGTACGAGGTACCGACCAACTTGTGGGGACAGAAGCAGGCTAGTGGACGACGAGAATTATATATGAGGACACTTTGGTAGTTATTTTTCTTGCTCGTTGTGCTCATGAGAAAACACAATGATGAAGACTTGAAGACCTGAAGACGTTTGTGGACGCTTGTGGCTGATAGGGGCATGCACAGCTTCAGGTTACACGCATGTACGAAACTTGAATACCTTGGGTAGATAGCTCTCTATAAGATGCCGTTGCTTGGACCGGGTGACTTTGTAGTAGTCATTACCTATGAGAATACTCCTGCTGCTGTTGGTGCCATCAGTGCAAGTTCTATCCGTAGAGGAAAGCGACTTTCCCGGAGGTCATCAATCGGTATTATTGCTCGACACCTGCTACATATCGACTGACTAGTTACATCAGAATACATGGATGTCACTGAGATAGCCTACGACGAGGGATGCAAGGGTTACTGGTTTTGCCTGGGACAAGTCAGGAAACATGATATGAAGTCATCCAAGGATATCTCACAGGCCTTAGGTACCTACGGTCAACGTGAGATACAAGGTCGTAGCTCCATCAATTTCGTGATCTTGGATGGTTTGAATATTGGCTTCAACATTTCGCATTGGAGTAACAAGCTTCATTGCATTTCTCTCAGTAAAGAAAGCCGGAAAATAATTGGCCAAGAGAGAAGCTGTGTTAGACTCTCGCTCAAGGGGGGCACTTGCAGGTAATTCCTCGAGTGAAACCTCAAGCTCAAGTCATCTTCGAAGCTGACCAGAATCCTATATTGTTCATGTCGTTTTCATGAGCTGTAACAGCCTTTCTTGCGCGCTGGTCATGTCACATCATTCATTTCGAAGATCGTTGAGTTTGAATGAGCGTGGGTATATTAGACAGGAGGCTCGACAACGTGGACAAGCAAAAGCTCTATACTGAACTACAAATGCGATTTGCTGAAACGGGTAGAGAGCCGAGGGGTGATGGACATCGTCATGTTAAACAACGGCCCCACTTGAACTGGAATTGAAGGCTTCAGATTGTGCCGTGGGGGGGGCGGACGTGGTTGTCTGGTAGGATACCCTGGCAGGATTGTTGAGATTCCGCGCGAACGTCATGAACTCAGCCTCGCAAAAGATCCCATCACAAAACTCAACAGGGAGAAAGATGGAACTATTTTGAATCTGCAATGGGGTTTGGGAAAATGAGGAATCGACCTACATTCGGTATACTCCAGCGTGGACCAAATGACTTCCCAAGCGGCCTGGACCCACCGACCGGCCCCGTCGCCCGGCGATGCTGGGATGAGTCAGCCTAGTCGGTTCGGCTAACCACTATCACGTGAGATAGGGCTTCCCCTTCCCACAAACCCTCTATCTGGACTCCACTGGCAAGTCCGCACATCAACCTCCAACACCAACACCAACCCGACAACCACCTACACCATCTTCGTCACCATGTCGGACGGCCAGACGAAGCAGTTTGGAAAGGGCCAGCGGCTCGTGCCCGCCCAGAAGGCTCAGAAGTGGTACCCCGTGGACGACGAGTCGCAACCTAAGAAGGTCAGTGAAGACCCGGGCGGAATCAAGACAGCAGACGCTCGAGCGACGGACTTGGAATGTGTGAGATTCGCTCGGATCAATGCAATCGCAAATGCGCCGAGAATATGCAGCGCAACAGAGTCAACACGAAAGCGACGAAGCAAGCCGAACTCGATATCGAAACCGCTTCATCAAGAAACAGAAATCGACACTCGCTTTGTCTGATGAGGGACCCTTCACGATCTGACTATTACGTCGAGAATCGCGTTGTATCCGAGCGCATCCATCACGACCTCCAAGTCCTCCCCGATAGTCGATTCAATATCCAATCGCGCCCTTGAGAATTTCAGCGCACTTGATACTAATTAGAGCTTCTTTCGGTTCTCCAGGTTCGCAAGAGTATCCGTCCCGCCAAGGTTCGCGAGGCGCTCCAGCCCGGTACCATCCTGATCCTCCTCGCTGGCCGCTTCCGTGGCAAGCGTGTTGTCCTCCTCAAGCACCTTGACCAGGGTGTCCTCCTCGTTACCGGTCCCTTCAAGATCAACGGTGTTCCCCTCCGCCGTGTCAACGCCCGCTACGTGATCGCCACCTCCAAGCGCATTGACATTGCCGGTGTTGACTCCAAGACCCTCGAGAAGGTTTCTACTCCTGACTACTTCACCAAGGAGAAGAAGGCCGAGAAGAAGACCGAGGAGGCTTTCTTCAAGCAGGGCGAGAAGCCCGAGGTACGTTCTACATGCCCGCTGGGGTATTCTTTGGGTTCCCAGGATTTTGAACCTAGTTTGGATGCTAACTGCAATCATCTTTATAGAAGAAGAAGGTTGCCTCCGCTCGTGCCGCTGACCAGAAGGCCGTCGACCAGTCCATCCTCAGCAGCATCAAGAAAGAGGACTTCCTCGGCAGCTACCTCGCCACCACCTTCAGCCTCCGAAACGGTGACAAGCCCCACGAGATGAAGTGGTAAAAAAGTGCGAAGTGGCGGCCGCGGGTTCGGTAGATAGTTGGGGTGGACTCATCTTTCAACGAGGGGCGGCTCGATTACATGCCGGCAACCCTTTTCGCGTGGCGTGAGGGAGAAGGTTTCATGAATCATGTAAATCCTACAAAAACGGATTCTGTTCACACGTGCTTTTTTCGCCATTGACTTAGGGATTTGCGTGTCTAGTACGGATTTCCCTCGGTGGTTCTTTTTTTATGATCTCAAGATACCTCTTTCCTCCTTCGCGCCGCATGACCGGTCCTGTCTGCATACTCCCACTTTTTCACGGTACACATCTCCCTACTTGTGAGGGTGGGAGGATCGGCCGTGATGTGAAGAAAGACCTCCAAACAAAAAAAGATTAAAAAATACCTCGCTCCAGCCACCCGGCTGGGTTTCTCTTTCATGTTCAGTATGACATACACAGTTCCCATGTTCAGGTTCAGCGGCAATCCAAAAAAAGCAATAATTGGGTCTCAAGTCTCTCATCCATCGATATCGTATGTACATTAGATCGTTGAAGGCCTCTGTGGCTTGGCTCAATTGATCAGGCTCGCTATGTTCCCGAAGAACGTCTTGAGCTTCTTCAACACAGTTAGAACGTTGATTCCATAGACGTTTAAATGAACTGCATTTAAATATCACTAGGTATCTCATAAGAAAGGCTTCCCGTCGCACAATGGTCTACTTCCTGGACCCACCGCCCTCTGGTCTGCTCTCGTTACTTTATTCGCGTCTGAGGGGAGTACAATCATCTGCTGTCACGTGAAGGTCACTGCTGAACAATATGCAGTTATCTGCTATCCATCAATGGTAACTACCTAGTATATAGCTCGGGTGAATCTGGCTAAACCTACGGAAGAAGTCAAACCGGTTCGGTCGACACATGATTGAGCCTTTACCTCCTCCGGCCATTGCCGTTGCGACGCAACGTATCCACGCGCACCTTGCGATTATTGGCCTCCATTGCGTCTCGCACCCTCTGCTCAAGATGTTTTTCGCGGACTTCATTTCGGACATCGTCCTCAATGTCAGTCTCGCCAATAGTCGTCCCAGAGATCCAATCTATAACCCCCCAGGGACCATAGTTCCCTTCTCCGGCCTCGAGCAGATGAACTTCTTTGCGACGAGCGATTCCTGCGAGAAAGAAGCTCGTCGGCATGAAGGTATATCCCGAGTAAGCAAAAGTTTCCTCGATGGAAATGGCCGCGACGAAGGCGAGATATGTGAGCAAGTGAAAGCGGAAGAACATTGCCGGGAGGTAGATAGGGAGGAACTTGTGCAACAGGTAGACTAATGGATGGTCGTACTGTGCAGTGAGAGGAAAAGGGAGGCTCAATTCATGGTACCATGCCCAATGCAGCTTTGTAAGGGGTGACTTCGCATGATGAAGGGCGTAGCGATGAACAACATAGGTAAGAGTCTGATATAGAGATGGAAGTTAGCGATTATGTGTGTCAGAAAATGGTGGACTGATCGATATGCGCAGAGAATCAGACCTACCTCCCGTAGAAGAAGACCCAACAATATATCCTGGAAGATGGTCCATGGAGAGGGAATCCGAGTAGTCACCCGAATCGCGCTGCGAACACGCAAGAACCGAGTCAAGAACCACTCGATGGCCGCCTGCATAAGCACAGCCAAGCAAATGTTGAAGATTGACCATCCTGCAATCTTGAAGTCCTTGATACGCAATTTCAAGCGCTTTCGACCTCCAGGAAGCCCGGCTTCACCATGTGCTTTGATGATCACGGCAGCGGAAGGGGTGAGAACATCAAAGAGAAAGAAGAGCACTGAGGGACACACAAAGAAAAATATCCGAAAGGCAGCTGTACTGAAGATTTCGACCCGTAGAGGAGGATGCGACCACACTAGCGCGGTCCAGGTCATGTAGAAGAAGAGGATGTTGAAGGTGGTGGCCCAGGAGGACATCGCCGGAAGAAGGATGAATGACAGAAACGGGACTGAGAGAAATGCACCCATGTTGTGGATTGCCCTGCAAAGGCTGCCTGGGGTCTATTATGTATCTGAGGCGCACAGGTCTATGGTCTATCCGGAGGAGTGTCGCAATTGACAGGATGCAGAACAGCCTTTGTACCACCGAGGGCTTCTCAATCCTAAAATTGGGCTCGAGGTACGTTCATTCAGTGAGTCGCGTCCAGATGATGCATTGACGGCTGACGCCTCAATGTCTCAAAGAAATGTTGGGATATCTAAGAATATTGCGGCGTTTCAAGTGTTTAACACGAACGTTTTTCGCCTAGCAAAATTAGGACAATGATCTTTATCGAGGAGGCTGGATGCGGCTGTCCTGCCCCCACATGGGAACGCTACGTCACCGCCCGCGTTCTTTTACGATGCTGCCATGCGGGCCGAGCCTCAACATCTTTCATCCCCAGCCGAAGTCGCATGATTGATCGTGTCGAGTCTCTACAAACATATCAAGCTAGGGTCTCGACAAGTCAATAATTTGACACTGATCCATTCATGAATTGATCCATGGAGGTAATAATATAATGTCACAGACCACGCTCAGACAAAAGGAGTGACGGCCTCCAGTAGGGTCGAGAAAGAGCGAAGAAAGCCACACGGGCAACAGACAGGGTATAGTACGAGTACCAATCTGACTCCTCAAAGCAGCAAAAAAGGAGTCCATGTGCATCAGGAGGATGCAGAAGCCTGACTCACAGGCTTGGGGAGTCCCTGGCTCTGACCCCAATTGAACGCCTTTTTGCGAAGGTCGGGAATCACTTGCAGAGCGACCAGATTGCTAAGCCAGCCGATCAGTGTGTCACCAATGAGGCCGTTGCGAGGGCTCAAGCCAAGTGAAAAGCCTTTCAAGATGTTCCCCATGAGCATGGTCGTGATCAGATATTCTCCCCTCTCCAGGGCAGCAATGGTGATGCGTGCGACCTCCTCCGGTGTCTGAGGTCGATCTGACTCCTCCAGCTTCTTGGTCAGCGCAGGTTTCAGTTGTTGTTCATTATCATAGCCCGGGGTGAGGATGCCCATGGGAAAGAGAGTGTGGATTTTCACATCAGCAGCAGGGGCTACTTCACGGTGTCGCTGAGAGTATGCTCCGTTGTACATCTCAACTTCCTGGCTGAGAGTGTCGGATAAGGAACGGAGAGCAGCCTTTGCAGCAGAGTATGGACCGTAGCCAGCGATTGGAGCGAAAGCAACAACGGAAGCGCAGAAAATCAGATGCCGACGAGGAGTTTTGGTCTGATTGCTTGGTTGGATAGGAGTGAGCCACTTGCGCAGAGTGGCATGAGCCATGTTCGCGGCTGTCCAGTAGACTGTGTCCATCTGTTGCCGCTGAGTTGCGATGGGCACGTCTGCGAAGAAACCAGGAAGACAAAACCCAGCACAGCAGAAGACAATATCTGGAGGAGAGCCATCATTCCACTCAGTGACTTCAGCCATGACCCGCTCGCACTCATTGTTGTCAATGAGGTCTGCGCTGATATAGTGGAAGCGCTGCTGCACAGGATGCAAGGCTTCGGTCTGAACCAGCGTCTTAGCACATCAGACACGGGAAAATAAGTCGAATTCCAGAGGATAGACTTACCTGCAACTCTTGCACAGTGCTTTGCAGCTTAGAGACTGTCCGAGCCACAATCGCGACATGAGCACCCTTGGCGGCGAGCTGGATGGCAAGGGCACGACCAGTGCCATCGGAGCCACCGGTGATTAAAATGGTCTGCAAAGTGTGTTAGCTGTTGTCTGTACAGCCCGAGCGACTGTCGCGACTACTTACTCGACCTTCCACGGGAAACTCATTCTTGCGACCAAAGCCGAGCATTTTGGTAATCGTATATGCAATTGCAACGCAGGCTAATAGTGAGACTCCCAACAAAGAGGGGGGTATGTCGTGAAGTGTGGATAAACGGGTAGAGAGAGACATTGGAAGAAGAAGGAAAGAAAGTTGCCGTATCTTGCAAAGTAATTGAAGCGCGAGTTCCTCGTGACAGAAACAAGCCTCCGTCGTCCCTTCCCTTCGTGATGGACGCCGAGGAGAAGGATCGAACGAATGTTCCGCAGCTCGAGTGGAGTCAGCGGACAGCCAAAAGTCGGATTGCACCTGTTACGGTAACAATACCGCGTTACTGACTTTCAGCCAGCATGTGGTCACTGGCCACGGCTTTAGTACTAGCCAGTTGCAAGGGTGCTATACACTAATATATAGTGACTTTGGAGCAGTTTCATGCAGTTTAGGGTAAGCTACAACCATACTACAGAGTACAGAGTACAGGCTCTTTCAATCCTTCCATAATCCGACCTCCCCTCATTATGGGTGGCCAGCGTCAGGAAAGGTACTGAAAGTCTGGAACAACCCAATCTCCGCTCGTCAGGTGGAGCCGGAGACCTTTCGAATGCAAACGAGACAAACATGGATCCACGCCGCAACCTCTGCGCAGGCGGGCGGTGAACTCCCATCCAAAAAATTATTTTGTCGCTGATGAACTCAACCAGTCGAGTTGAAGTGTATACCACATCACATCATGGCCAAGAAAAGAAAAGCGGGCGGTCGCCCCGCACAGAAGAACGAACCGTCTATGCGCTCCAAGTTCGACGCGAACGAGCGGTTCGAGGATTCCGAGGACGAGTTTCAGTCGAACCGTGATCAAATTCTACTAGAGGAGGCTCCGGAGGCCAAGCGTCGCCGTAAGGTCGCAGAAGATGGTACGTGGAACTCTTTTAAGCGGAGGGTTGATCTCGCCCTTACTGATTACTTTTGCAACAGAGGAGCTTTTACAGTCCTCAGACGAGGAAATTCTGGGATACGAGTCCGTGGACGAGGACGGAGATGATCTCGAAGATGAAGAAGACTCCGACGACGATGCCGAAATCATGGGATTGTCTAAAAAGTCTGGTGATGCTGCATCTGATGAGGAGGAAGAGGGCATTGCTGCGTGGGGTTCTTCCCGCAAGGACCTCTATAATGCGGACCAGATCGAAACGGAAGCAGATGCGTTAGAAGAAGAGCAGGAAGCCAAAAGACTCCAACAGAAGCAACTACAGGCTATGGACGAGGCAGACTTCGGCTTCGATGAGTCTGAGTGGATCGAATCTGGCAAAGATGCACAGGATGAGAAGGATAGCGGAGTCATCACGGAAGTTCTTCCTCAGGTAGAGATCACGGAGGATATGGACGATGACCAGAAGCGCAAAATCTTGAGTGCCCGATACCCTGAATTCGAGCCCCTCGCCAAAGAGTTCGCCAGACTTCAACCGATTCACAAAGATCTGCAGAGCGCCGCAGCCAAGGCCTCTTTAGGGTCTCTCGACGACTCCGACGAACCCCGTCCCGCACCTGTGGCTATCGTCAAGTTCCGTGCCTTGTCCACATACCTGGGCACGATAAGTTTGTACTTCATGCTGCTCGCATCTTCACCCGAAAGCTCCGAAACCCGCATTCCGTTGTCTCCCGCTGAACTTCGCCAGCACCCCGTAATGGGCTCCTTGGTCAAATTTCGGAAATTGTGGGAGGCAGTCCAGGATCTTGACGACTCAGACACCCCCGAGGCTGTTCAGCGGCCCGAAAAGGTGCCATCATCTGAAGTCGCATCTATCGAGAAGAAGGTGAAAGCACCCAAGAAGGCTAAAGAGGTCGAGCAGAAGAAACTTACAAAGGCGGAGCGCGCAGCTGAAACTGCACGGGCTGAAGCCGAGGCTCGCCGTGCGGAGCGTGTGCGACAGACCGAGGCCGGACTCGCTGAGCTTGACGACCTGGTCACGGCGCCCACCCAGAAGCGGAAGACAACGAAATCCAAATCTTCCAAGCATGATGACGAATCTGACTTTGGTGATGAGAATTCTCTCACAGCGCGCGAGGCCGACGAGAAGGCCAAACAGAAACGCTCGCTCCGATTCTACACCTCTCAATTGGCTCAGAAGGCGAACAAGCGTCAAAGCGCTGGTCAAAATGCTGGTGGCGACGCCGACATCCCTTACAGAGAGCGTCTCAAGGATCGACAAGCTCGCCTCAATGCTGAAGCTGAAAAGCGTGGTCGTCAACGACCAGATATTGGTGAAGAATTGGGTGGCGACAGTGATGAGGAGGATCATCGCGTCCGCAAGGAGTTGCGCAAAGGAGATAACCAATCCGGCACTGACGAGGACGAGTACTACGATATGGTTGCTGCGCGCTCCAAGCAACGCAAGGACGAGAAGAAAGCTCGAGCAGATGCATACGCCGCCGCTGCTCGGGAGGGCGGACAAGTGCAGATTCAAGAAGAAATCGGGCCTGACGGCAAGCGCGCTATCACATACCAGATTGAAAAGAACAAGGGTCTCACACCAAAGCGCAGCAAGGATGCGCGAAACCCCCGTGTCAAGAAGCGCAAGAAGTACGAGGAGAAGAAGAAGAAGCTCGGCAGTATTCGCCAGATCTACAAGGGTGGCGAAGGCCGTGGTGGCTACGGTGGTGAACTCACAGGTATCAAGAAGAACTTGGTCAAGAGTGTCAAGTTCTAAGACAAGGACTGTTTTGCTTAATGTTCACGTCGTCGCTTGCAAAATTTCTTTCTCATTCTCTGTAACGGCGTTCAAACTCATGGATGGCAGGATCTCAGGCATTCGGGTTGTATATAAGTTCCAAATACACATTTTCATCCAACACCACGGTACTCGAGGCGCCATTCACTTTCCTTGGAGTATACGGGACAAGGCTCTTGTAGCATGTTGTGCAAAAGCAGTCATTGTTGTCTCCTCTTGGATGATCTTGTACTGAGTTATTTCCGATGAAAAGCTGATGTGTCTAACGTTCAGAATTACTTGGAGATGTTGACAGCGAGGGTCGCAACGTGACCTGGGCTAGGAAGCAAAGGATTCTCATTCCACTCTTGATACGATTTAACTTTTCATCTACTGTTTGACACGACGTGGACCTAGACATTGGGTCTCTTGTCTTCAGGGGTAATAATATAGTGCTCAGAATTTACTCGCGACGTCTTCACTGGTTCAGATGGGCATAGAACAACAGGAACTGCAGGTAAATAATGGACGATGCAGCTTGATTGAAGCTTTGCTTGCGTAATCAAATCATCATTTGGCATTGGTAATTCTATCCGTAGTCTCTCAAGACGCTGCTGAATGATGGGAAAGAAGCAAAGTACTTAGGCAAGGTATTCGGACGTGTCCGTCTGAGATTCAGTACGAAGATAAGACACTAGTGTGCGATAATGAGGTGTCTTGACCCGAACAAGAACTACCTTCGAGGTGCCTTGAATGACCTGGGCAGGCCTTTGATGGGGCTAGTCTTGGTCGAAATTCAATCATTTCGCAAATCCAAGCAGTTCTTGCAGCTTTCTTCTGGTCTCGTTCACAGATGCATCGTCATCTGCAGTGAGATCGAGCTCGACAAATTTGCGCGCCACGGCATTCTGCATTATCATGTCAAATTGGCTCAATGTCTTAGGCCTCTTGATGTGGGCTCACCGCTTCATGAAGAGTTTGAACCTCTTGTGCAGACAAAACCGCACACGCCGCGATCAGATTTTCGCCACGGGCAGCCAGTAATGCGATCTCGTTGGCTCGTTCAACGATAGCAGCGTCAACGCCATTTATCGCCGCACATCTGGCTCAGGGTTAGTTTTGAAACAGCCTAATTCAGAAGCGAATGACGCAGAGCAGTCATACATGGTGCCAAAGCTTTTGTTACTTCGACCAAGACGAAAGCTGTGAGACTCTTGTCAGCGCTGCTATGCAACTGCCAGGGCTGAAATACAGACTTGTATAGATAGGTGACTTGATCCTTGACGTTACGAGATTCCTCGCTCACTTTCACCTCCATATGGCCCAATTGAAGCCCGGGCCGTAGAGACAAAAAGTCATTCTCAAATATCTCGTGGAAATGAGTTGCTGCAATGACCTTTGGCCGGCTCTCAAGTTCGAGCAGATGCTCAAGAACTCCACAAACCAGACCAATGCCATCTGCATTTGGTCAGCGGTTATCACTGGGCCAATGTCCATTCACTTCTCAAGTGTGTCACAAACCAGCTTCATTCGTTCCTTTTCCGAACTCATCAATTAGAACAAGACTCTGACCGGTAGCTTGCTTCAGGCAGAGTGAGATCTCCTGTAGGTCGCCCATAAAGGTGCTTTGAACCTGGGACGAGTAAGTCGTAGTTGGCGTCTCTTGGATGCCTCGAACACGGTGCTCACGTTTGACACGCTTTCTTGTCTGTTCACCCTCGTCAAAATCTTGTCTGTGATGCCCAACTCTGCCTTTTCTGCCGGGACAAAGCTGCAAAGTGTCAGCTTGTCTTTGTGTCTCCGAAGTGACAATTACTCGACAAACCTTCCGATTTGGGCAAGGAAGACAATAAGCGCAACCTGAAGAGATGTTAAGATCGTAACTCTGCAATACTGTAGAACAGTCTCACTGACTTGTTTCATGTAAACGCTTTTTCCAGAATAGTTTGGGCCTGTTAATATGAGCATGCTAGGTGCTTGGATTGGTTGCAGCGACGGATCTCCATTTTCGCTTTGAGATTGGCCTCCACCCTCCAGTAAAGTACTGTTTGGGACGTACGAAGGCACGGCCAGTTCTTGGAGTAGATGCCTGAAGAACTTAGCGTTATTTGAGCGGGAAAGAGATTGGCGAGTTGCTCACCGGCCTCCTCGTATATCAATAACGTTTTCAGTAACGATACTTGGCCGACTCAATTTGTAAAAATTTGCTGCCTGTGTCATGGCAAGCAGGCTATCAGCTGGTCAGTATAAGCGTTATCACTCAGAATTCATAACCTGCCTATCGAGCTCTCCACAGACGTCAGAAGCCTTTACAAGGTCCTCCTCGTAGTGAAGTATTCTTTGAGCCATGTCGTAAGCAATTTCAATTTCTTTCTCTGACCAACAATTAGTATAAGTACTTGAGTACCTGGGGCTCAATGATCTGAAAGGTCGTACCGCAAATTAGCCCGTAAATGTCTCCAAGCTTATCATCCAGCTCCTTCATCCGAAAGTCCTTGAAGTAAGCTCGAGTCTCCGTGAGAAAGACAAGCTCCCATGCGCCGTCCGCGCCGGAATATGCAGCGTGTCCACTATCGTTGAGTGGAATGGCGATGTTGAATCCGAGCTGTGGAAAGTAAATGACATTCACGTCGATCTCAAGTTGCTCTGGGATGATTGACGCGATTTCAATTGCGACGTTCTTGAGCAAACTATTAAGGCCGTCATATCTGTCTTTCATTTTGTCAAGTTCCCGATCAAGACCCTGCTTAACCACGGTACGACCTTGCTCCTCAGAGTTGTCGATATCAACCTGGCAAGGTCAGTTTGTTGTGCGGAAGAATTATAGGTTTGAGTCATACAATTTCTTGTATAATGCGTCCTACTCTGTAGAGTTGGGCCGCCTCGAAGGTCTTCATGGCCTAGGTCATGTTAGAGCTGATCGTAATGACTGAACAGAATCACAGACTTTGGTTCGCAGAGACACATCCTGCGCAATCGACATCTCTCGAAGAGCGTCATGGATGTCAATTGAATGAAACGCAAACTGCATTAACACTGTCAGACTGCGTCATCAAGAAGGATTGTGAGATTGAGACATACGGCTAGTAGGCTTGCCCACACTGTGGCTTTGAACCCGATCATTTTCGCACTCCCAGTACTTATACCTTTTTGTAAATCCATGATCACGGGACGAAGATTTTTGATGTGCTTCAGGCTTTTAATGATTCTTTCCGTCGTGGCCATGTTGTCGGGTCGAGAAAAAACTCCAATGAACTTTTGTCGGTCACGAATCAGAGCGACATCGAGGGTCGGGCGGAGAAAGATATGCTTGAGATTTGCCTTGCCTTGAGAAGTGTATGCAAATCGATTGAAAAGACCGTATACCGAGAAACCCTCCTTGCCAGCAGCTGACTTGGCCCCCATAACCTGGCTCGACAGGTTTGGGTGTAATTCTGATTGCATGACTTGAAGAGACAGAAACGCATTCCTGCTCATCCACCTAGTAATTCAAGACGCCCTGAGCTCATGCTGTGGAGCGTTCAGTCAGGAAATCCACTCACATTGTATCACGAAGGCTGAACATTTCTAAATGTCTGATTTTGAATGTGTTGTCGTCGATGACTCCTACGCTTCCTGTCAAGGCTCGCCGTCTCTGTAGATCGGCCAAAACGGCACCGGCGCATCCAACGGAGACAATGTTTTCCAGATCGACTGAACTGGACACGTGCAACAATCTTCCTTCTTGCGCGGAAAACCCAATGTCCTCAGGATCGACCTCATCATAATCGCCAAGACCCCCATCCGGAACTAAAAATCGTGAACGATTTTCGAAAGAGCGCAGAGACTTCAGAGAAATTAAACTGGCCTGCGCGCTTGAGGGATCGAATTCCTGTCCGGGACGAGTCTCAACTTTATAGGGTAAAAACACCGTTGATTCTGGGAAGCTGTTTTAGTACGGTCTTTTCAAAAAAGGCTGACAGCATGAAGGCAGCTACCATTGTCTTGCGCCAAACTCTGCTCTCGACCTTGAGCCGAGAGAATCTCAACACGAGCTGTCTTGAGAACAATTGTAGGTTTAATCTGGTGAAGTACTGTGGAAATCGTCAACCAAATACCGTCACAGAAGCGGTGTTAGTGGAATCAACCCACGGGCATCGACAACCTCCATCCCACCGTATCGACCATCACTAAGCAAGAAAAGTGTCTCTTTCTCTGCCACGTAATACGCGCATCCGACGGTCCCTTGATCTTTGGTATCAACAGCAGCGATGACATGTCCCATATCGTCTTCGGCGGAGGCAGATCGATCTTCTTCACCGAGTGTACTTGTCATTGAACGCGCTGGCTGAGGCTCTGTTCGGCCGGGCTGCCATCGGGAATCGATGGAATTTCCTTGACTCGGCTGTGTGTGTCTTGTTCGGTGATTTCTCCTGCGACATCTCAATGTTGAATCTTCCGAAGCAGGTGGAGACCCTTGAAAGGCACTCGAAATCTGACGTCCATTATTATAAGAGCGCATTGTGTCCGGGAGGCTTGTATGCAGCAAGGGGGTATATGATTCGAATCCATGAAAGCCTCGAGAAGTCACACGAGAGCTGGTCACGTTCCCAAAATTTCCATTGCACGTGAGTCAGGAGGGGAATTTCGGACATTGTGCGAGGAAAAGAACAAGTCGGATTCTTCGTTTATGATATTGGTTCTTCACTTCCATGTGGTCACATAAGCTTGCCCTAGGATTTGCATATTTTGCAGCTCTCTCGTTGTCTTCCGTGACATGGATCTGTGTCCCAGTCATCGGTGATTTCACCCTCCATGAGACCTCAAGATAGAGATGGCAAGTTGACAAGTGAAAGATGAACCTAAATTTGCGGTTTACAAATACAGAGTATAGATGACTACACTGAGCTTGCTGCTACATAGCCATTTACGATCAGACAATGAATGCGTTCCTCACACGATCGAAATGTATTATCGAAGTATCTAGAGTACGTAAAGAAGACAGCGAACGGTAATTCACGCGGCGATAGAAAAGGCGCGCCGTCTATGAGCTGACTTGACAGCAGCTCTGTGAAAGTAGGTAGCATATGACGCATATAAGCTGATAATACTGCATGTTCGAAGACCTTCAATTTTTGCATTGTTGTACATGGGAAAAGAAAATCATATAGTACAAAGTCGTCAATGTTCTCACAGCATGGAGCACCAGTCCCATCGGAAGCGAACGCCACCTAAACTCCCAATCATTATGCAAAACCAAACGCCAAAATAGCAAATGCGTGATCGTTATTCTTCTTGCTTTCCCTCGGCAGTGACAACCAGGCCGGATTTATCTTCGTTCAAAGAGACTCGGGCAACTTGAGCAGATGTGACCTCTCCACGAATGATCTTGTCGGCAAGTCGGTTGCCAATTTCTTTGGCAATCAGCCGATTGAGAGGTCGGGCACCGAATTTGGGATCATACCCCCTCTCACACAGCCAGTCCTTAATCTCATCGTCAACACGCAAGGTCAGGCGGCGGCTATCGAGACGGGCTTGGAGTTCCTTGAGTCTGATATCCACAATGTCTCTGAGAGCGTCCTTTGAAAGGCGCTTGAAGATGATGAACTCGTCGATCCGGTTCAAGAATTCTGGCGGATAAGCTCCCTGGACAACATCCATCACCGCTGACTTGATCTCTGACGGCACTTCGGCACTATTAGTGTCCTTGTAGGCGTGTAATGGATCCGCACCAACCAAAATATCTGCACCAAGATTGGACGTCAAAACAATGAGAGTGTTTCTGAAATCGACCTTGTGACCCTGTGCATCAGTAAGATAGCCTTCGTCGAGCACCTGCAATAAAAGGGCTGAAATATCACGATGCGCTTTCTCGAATTCATCGAAGAGAAGGACAGCGTAAGGCTTGCGCCTTACTGCCTCGGTCAGTTGACCAGCATCGTCGTACCCGACATAGCCAGCTGGTGAGCCAATGAGACGACTGACGGTGTGCTTCTCCTGGAATTCGCTCATGTCGAATCTGACAACTGCAGTCTCAGTGGAAAAGAGGAACTCTGCCATCTTTTTGCACAACTCTGTCTTGCCAACACCCGTGGGCCCGAGGAACATGAACGAAGCAAGCGGTCGATTTTCGCCACTAAGACCAGCCCTCTGCATGCGAACTGCATTCGCGACTGCAGCAAGCGCTTCGTCCTGGCCACGGACCGATTGGCGCAGGGTGTCCTCCATGTGGATAAGTTTCTCAACCTCTCCAGCCATCAACCGGTTAACCGGAATGCCGGTAGTGCGTGATACAACATTGGCAATATCGTCAGCAGTCACGGAGTCATGGATCAGACTTTGCTTTTCAGCCTCCTGCTCCGAGCCTTCCTTTGGCAATTTAGCTTCCAAACCGGGAATAGTCGAATAGCGAAGTTCTCCAGCCTTGGCAAAGTTTCCTTCGCGCTGAGCTTGCTCAAGCTCAAATCTCGCACGCTCCAAATCCTCTTTCGTTTGTTTGAGGGTATCAATCTCGGCCTTTTCTTTTTCCCAGACCTCGTTCAATTTGCCGACTTGTTCCTGCTTCAACTTCAAATCCTCCTGCAGCTTGTCTCTGCGCTCACGACTGCTCACATCGGTTTCTTTTCGAAGAGACTCAAGCTCAATCTGGATCGTGGTGATGTCGCGTTCGAGCTCTCGGATTGCGTCAGGCTTGGATTCTTGCTGCAGGCGAAGCGCCGATGCTGCCTCGTCAACCAGATCAATTGCTTTGTCGGGAAGCTGGCGAGATTGGATGTATCGGTTGCTGTACGTTGCGGCGGCAACTAGGGCACCGTCTGTGATTCTAACACCATGGTGTACCTCATACTTGTTTTTTATGCCCCGAAGAATGGAGATTGTGGACGCCACAGACGGCTCTTCCACAAGGATAGGCTGGAATCGGCGAGCAAGTGCGACGTCCTTTTCAATCAATCGGTATTCGTTTAGGGTTGTTGCACCACAGCATTGTAATTGACCCCGAGACAGAGCAGGCTTCAACAAATTGCTGGCATCAATGCTTCCCTCGGCTTTGCCCAGTCCGAGCAAAGTATGAAGCTCATCGATGAAGAGGATCACCTTGCCTTCCGCGTCTTCGACTTCTTTCAGCACAGACTTCAAGCGCTCCTCAAAATCGCCACGAAACTTGGCACCGGCGATCAACGACCCTAAGTCGAGACTGACGACGCGCTTGTTCTTGATACTTTCAGGGACGTCTCCTTGTACAATGCGCTGAGCAAGACCCTCTAACACGGCTGTCTTGCCGGTACCGGCTGCACCAATCAAGACGGGGTTATTTTTGGTCCTTCGAGATAGCACTTGAATTGTACGATGAATTTCGGAGTCTCTGCCGATGACGGGATCCAACTTTCCAGCCTTGGCCTTTTCGGTCAGGTCTACGCCGTATTGCTCCAGTGCAGGTTTCTCTGCCTCTGGGCTCATATTCATACGGTGAGTCCCGCCCGGAGGGTGTGCACGGCCGCTGGCATAGCTGCGAACTAGAACAGTCGGAGCTACTCGGAAGGCTGGCTTTAGGCGTGATGGTAGAGCTCGAGACAGCGACGTCAGACGAAGGATCGGACGTGGTTGTTTCAGAGGTGTGGACAAAGTTGATGTGGGTAGCAATCGCGCTTGCGACCTGAGAGCGATTCTAGTCGCCATATTCAAAGCATGCAAGTTTGCGGATGTTGGCTTGCTGTAACCAGTGAGGGTCGCTCTGGTTTATATAGCTGCGAGGACGGGTTGGTCGCGATGCTTCTCGAAAGCTCCACCGCCGTGACGCTCAGTGGCTCTTCGGCGGTAGCTCCCCAGCGACTGGACCAAGCTCCGTCACCACTCGAGTCACGTGGGAAGCTGGCGCCCAATCCAGACGGGAAAAAAAAATTCCCTTTTACCCCTCGCTCTCCCACTTTAAAATCTTCTCTTTTCCCCTTTTCTTCTCTTCAGCACTCATCTCAACCTCTTTCTCCTCCCCCAAAATATACCTTTACCACATTCACAATGGGTTTCACTGACTTCGTCTCTGATGCTGGCCTGACTCGTAGGCGCTCCCTCGCCATAACTTCCTGAGCTCGTGGACTGACTGTTGCCTCAGTGGCCAACAACTACCTGGCCACCCGCAGCTACATCGTTGGGTAAGCTCTCCTACATGCCATTCACAATCTTTGGTGGCATCTCCCCCGTTGCACCTTGTTCACTGTGTGCCCACCGCCGCGTGTAATGAGTATCCCCTGCGCTTTCTATGATGAGAAAAAATTGGTCCGTGTTTAAGAGGCGGATTAAGACCCCGCTGCATGACTCAACCCAATTGCGAGCAATCGCGTCTCTGATTTCGATCGTGTCTGATGCAAATATTTGTGTGGAATGCTTTCTCTGTGGCAACATTCAATCTGACTGTTTCCAATAGTGACGCCCCCAGCCAGGCTGATGTTGTGACCTTCAAGGCCTTCACCGCTGCCCCCGACGCTGAGAAGTACCCCCACGTTGCTCGCTGGTACAAGCACATCGCCTCTTACGAGAGCGAGTTCACCACCCTCCCCGGTGACTCCTCCAAGGCCTTCACTGCCTACGGACCCGAGTCCACCGAGATGCCCGTCAACCCCAAGGACAAGCCCGAGGAGGATGATGAGGAGGACCTCTTCGGTTCCGACTCTGAGGAGGAGGATGCCGCCGTTGTTGCTGAGCGCAACAAGCGTCTCGAGGAGTACAAGGCCAAGAAGGCTGCCAAGGGCCCCAAGCCCGCTGCCAAGTCCCTGGTGACCCTGGAGGTCAAGCCCTGGGGTGAGTTTTTCGTGCCATCGCAATTGTCTGTGTATGTTTCGTTTGCTGACTTTTTGTTATAGATGATGAGACCGACCTCAAGCAGATGGAGGAGAATGTCCGTGCCATCGAGATGGACGGTCTCGTCTGGGGTGCCTCCAAGCTGGTCGCTGTCGGCTTCGGTATCAAGAAGCTGCAGATCAACCTGGTCGTCGAGGACGAGAAGGTCTCCACCGATGCTCTCCAGGCCCAGATTGAGGAGGATGAGGACCACGTCCAGTCCACTGACATCGCTGCCATGCAGAAGCTGTAAATGACGTCCATTTTGCAAACGTGGCAAATGGTGTGATGAAGGAATACATGATGTCTTAGGATCCCCCAAATAGTAACGAACCTAGAATCCAGTCCTATTGAACGACTGGCCTGATGAAAAAAATCCAAAAATTTTCATGACCCACTCATCTCATGTTTTGTAGATCTACAAAGGCCTTTGTGATATGATGGGCATGACCGACCGCAGAAACTGTCAACTTGCCCATCTGGTGTATCCCACCTGCTCCGACAAGCCCAATCTCAACGTGGACAACCTTGATGTTTAGAAGCGTGGCGACAGCGGGGTAAGTCGATATGAAAGCTTGAACGCGGGGTACGCTGAAAGTCGCGCGGTTCAATGGATTTTTCTGACCTCGAACGGGTAGCGTCTGCTAGCAATTGATCTCCCGTTTCAGTCAATCTTGAAGGTCTGCTGGCTCGTCCGGCGTTCGGCAGGAGTATTTATCTTAAAAAAGCAATGGAATCCATGGAAGACATAGGTATCCTTCCGACTACTTCCATCAGCACTTTTCGCAGCTGAGCTAGTACATCCATCATGCTCGGCATACCTTCGCTTCCTCTGAACAACCCCTTAGAAGATAAAGATCGGGGGTAAAAATGTTTTGAGATCCATGAAAGCACAGCTACTACCTACCTCCAGAAGCATCCATAGATAGAGCTCACGCGCATTGATCGCAGCTGATGCGGTGGCGGATGGACAAATTACCCTGGATTGTTCGGTCGAGGTATATTTGGTAGGCTACAACAGCCGTCAAAAGTTCATCTTCTACCCGACTTGCTCTCATGTCTTTGAAGACTGACCTGAGAACCCGATCCAACAGAAGGTATCTCCTGTCAGAAGCGCATCATACCGGGGCAATTGAAGAATCAAGTTCAAGTTCTATCGAACATATAAGACGTCAACTTCTACCTATATGGATGTCTATTGTCTAGACCGCACAGGCCGGTGGTTACCGTGCAGCGCGGGCGCCGGGCGGGATGAAGATGGTTAGGTAATCATGGAGCTGCGGGCCCGCGGTCCTCAATCCAGTCCTCAACCCGACTTGGAAGCACATGTTCTGAAATTCAGAGAGATAAGCTGAAGCTACCATCTCACAGTCTTCTTACTGGTGCATTGTACCTACAATAATCTTGCTTCTTACATTGTCGACTCAATTTCAGAGCCGCAATTTTGCTCCGGTGCTACGATCTGGAACCCATCTACGGCCCCCCTAAATCCGCGCCACGAAGCGACCACATTGCCATTATGAGCTTCCTTTCACGCCTGGTTACATTATTCGGGCTCGTCCTGCTTGTCCATGCGTACGTCGAAAATTTCCCTCATGCCTGGAATGCTTGGAAACATTTGAAGATCATCTATTGACAACCTCGTGTCTCTACAGGGGATACTCCGCCCACGAACATACAGTCCTCTTCAGCAACACGAGGCTGACATCCGCAAGTGCCCTCCCACAAGACATTATCGCAGAAGTGCTGGTCTCCGTTGCAATCGTGTCCATGGGACTCGTCCTGGGCGCAGAGAAATTGAAGCCTATTAGCTGGCGCGACTGGGCTGGTGAAATTGAGAAAGAGGGTGGTGCCCGCAACCCTTACCTTGGTCTCGAGCAACGCCATGGTTTCTGGGATATTCGGGTAAGTCAATTGCTGCGACTACATTAATCTGGTGATTCCAGTCCGGACTTTCCTACAAGACTAGAAAGAGGACGGGCCTTGTCAACTACGGGTGAATTGACAGGCAGTGGGGATGATGCTTCGCTCGTATCTCAGTTGAAGACGTTGTCCGAATCCATGCTAAGACAGTACTGCGACAGGCTAAACGAAAAGAATTTGCGGACTGGGTTCGGGGCGATGACATGGTGACCCAAAAGTGATGTGCCTTCCATTGAGGAAAGCCACCTAGTTTAAAAGAGCCGAGAAGCTGTTCAGTTCAGACGTCCCGAGTTTGTGCCTAGGGAGCGGTTCCTGCTCGAGGGCAAGTACGACCATGTTTGATCCGTGCCTGGCCTACAGAAGACGAGACCTGTCCTGTATTCGCTTAAATAAGGAATCAGTCGCCCCTTTGTCAGGTGCCATCGAGGAAGGGCATCGCCTGATCTCTGTCCTCAGCAGTCATGTTGTATCTTAGTCGGCCTCGTTGTCGGGATCAGACTCTAAAGCCACGAGTTGAACGAGATTCGGTGTAGACCCGGACCTCGGTTCAAATTCCTCTGACCTGATCGGTTCACTTGAGACGTCGTCCACCTTTTCCAAACCACTAGTTGTGCATCTAGGCCTCCAAACGGGCCTGAGATAGGTCCTCACAGAATGTGATAGTAACGGCTATCCTTGCCGACGCTTACATTCAAGGTATGCGTAGAGTGCAAATCACCGACCTGTCAATACTCAATGAGGCATGTACCGTAGATCTGCTAGACAAGTTCCACGTCCCAACTGTTAGTCACAATTTTTCTGTACCTGGAAACTTAAGGAGCTGACTGTATAACGCAGTGCGCAGACTGCAGACTGCTTATTAGATTTTCCACCGCTCCCGTCGATCATCAGGTACGGGACTATTAGCCAGACTCGGGGACCATGAACGTTGTACAGGTACCACATGTAGGCGAAAAGGGGTACAGGCGGCTTCAGCGTGCAAGGACGCCTGCTGTAAGAGATACGTCTTTTGCATGAAAGTTTGCGAGCCCTCCAGCTGCAGGGCAGAAACTGCTCAACAGCCAGCTCCATCCGGGGGAGAACCCACTCCCAGACATGAGTAAACCGGGGCTCGACGGGTGGCTTCATTGGATGTATCCTGCTTGTCAGGGGGCGTTTTCACTAATGACATAAACGAAGATGATGTTGCCAGGTACCAAGTGGAAATGGCACTCATTACACAAAACGACTATTCAAACCCCCGGCTTGTGCTATATAACCCGACGCGATTCGACCCTAACGGGTGCGGGAGTCAAATAGCCGGTCACGATGTGTATGGCTGACCAGATACGAGAAGCAGACTGCAGTCTGTACTTCATCGCTTCCGGTGCTTGACCTCGCGAGTCTAGATTCCATGACCACTGGAACAGAGATTTTTGGTTTGAGAATCGAAACAGAATGGCAATCAGGTACATATGGGGGTTTTAGCAATTCTTGTCTTATTCGTCGCTAAAAGAATAGTGATGCACCACGCTGGACTAATTATGGGATCGCAGGTCTTTTCAAAGATGATCCGAGGACGAAGTCGGTATTTTATGTGACAAGTAATGGAAATAGACCCAAAAGTGTAAATAGAGCACCACGCCTAGTCAGTAGTTAGTATCTACCCGTAAGTTATGTAGTAGCAACTGACTATGTAGTTGACTACTAGGTAGAGAACCTACCGATGTACTGCTGTACTGTCCACCACCAACATTAGCCGTTCAACATACCAACAGTACTGTACTTCAAGTGCCCTCATGCAAGATCACGGGACTCTTCTACAGTAGGTACACTGCTGACCTACGACGCGTTGCTTCTCGGTTTAAAAGGACCAGACCAGCTCTTTGGATTCTATTTTTGTGCCCCTGCTTTGGGCGCGATGTGTATTCTGACTGGATCCGTGGACGCAGGAAAAGTGTATCTGGGAGGTACCCGAGGTCGCGGGAGACCTTGCATCGATCAATTGCCCAGGAAGATGCACTTCACTGCACAGTGGCGAGTTCGAGGCTGGACGGGCACCGATGTGGTCGGGGTGGATACCGTACTCTTACAGTGCAAAGGGCCATTGAACACTGAACAGAGGCAAAACCCGTCCAGGGCCCTTGGCCTTCAGTAACAATCTAGACCGACGGCGGCTTTTATCGGTGCCAACGTTTTGCCCCTACTGTTGTAGTATTGTGGTATTCCTGAGTGAGTCGTGATAACATGCGTAAATTCTCAAAAGGTGACTAAGTAAGGTAGTGGTCTTAGTCCGTGATCGGGCGTACGATAGGGCTATCTGTGAGCCTCGACAAGACGATCCACTAAAGAGTGCACCTCATGTGTACAGCCCAATATAGTAGGCAAGTATTAAATGCTTGAGAGTGTGGAGAGAAGCAAGTCAATCCACCTGATCCTACGATTACCACTTTCCAGTATCACGCAATAAGTGACTATGTGACATGTCTTGATGTACAGTACATACCTCCAGTACTCTCGGACTCTGTGGTCTGTGCTAGGTGCTATAGAGTATGTGCCAGATACTACTACGACTACTACAATTACTACTATGTAACTACATAGGTAACATCACCACCGCAAGTCTGACTCGATTTGTATCACAAATCCCAAATCTCAAAGGCAGATCCCGCCATTCGAGCCCAGACGAGCCCATGTCTCACTCTCCGTCGAGGGTCGGGGGATCCACCCGACTTGCCCCAATTGGAACCTGCTCAGATCTGATTGATCTCGTCCGCGCGTCAGTCTCAGCCGACGAGCCCACCTTGGCACCTACACTCCGAAACATCCACACATACTCTCTCTCTCTGCCTTGGAAGCGAACAAAGTTTGGCGGAGTCTCCAATTTTTCCACCGTCTCGACGTGTCATCGACCCTGGTCCATGTGAAAGGGTAGCAGGGATAAGTAATCCAGAACCTGTCAATCTGGTTAGGTGCGACGGTAGTGACTCGTGAGACCCATTCCCATTTTCCTGTATGGGTAGCGTGATGTGGAATGTGTAAAGTCTGCGGATGAAGAGGTTCAAGTCTAAGGTCTGTATATGCTCGACAGATAATAGTAGTAGGCTAGTAGCGAGTCGGGACTAGGGAGCACCGAGCATAGAGCAATAATACCGAGTTGTAGTGAGTCACTGAGCAGTGAGTAGTGGGTTACTAATGGTGACTATTAAGTCGTGACTAGAGAATCCTATTCAGGTAGGTCACTCAGTTTGACGCCTGCTCAGGCACAAGACTCATGCGGGCAATAGGAGATGAGCGGCACCCAAGATTTACAACCATCGCCACATTTACAGTAGGTGTGAGGCCATTGAGGCGAAGCCTGTCACAAGGAGATCAAAGGGTGGTGTAGGACTGCAGGTCGCCACACGGTCGCGCAAGGGATAGGCCCAAAAACAAAAGAGAGCATAAATTCGTAAACAGACGAATCACGATGTACATTCAGACACTCGTGTTGTAGGTCACTACCTGCCTATCTTATCATAGGTAAGGTACCCATTCTAGTAGTATCCATCAAATCAACGCGTAGGGTTGAATCGACTTGAAAATCCCTTCTCGGCTCCTGGCACCAAGAGGACAAATGACCTCCCTACCAGACTTACTAACTCAGTACTCAGGTAACTTAGGTAGTTAGTTCTTAGTCTTACTAACTACTTAATCTTACTTGCTACTACTACTATTACTACTACTACTACTACTACTACTACTACTACTACTACTACTACTACTACTACTACTACTACTACTACTACTACTACTACTACTACTACTACTACTACTACTACTACTACTACTACTACTACTACTACTACTACTACTACTACTACTACTACTACTACTACTACTACTACTACTACTACTACTACTACTACTACTACTACTACTTTGGATTTCAGAGTATGTACATTGCATGATTGTATATCATTATTGTACAGTATTACTTCCATTTGAGGCCTGTTGGACAACCAATTCCCCATTTGGTACTTTGGAACCCTCCCAGAGTTCCCTTACCTGTTTGCAACAAGCTTTTCCTCTGCAGGACCATAGCATCCGACCACTGACCAGTGATCACCACGGCCGAGTCCAATGGTTGGTTCTGAGAAAGCCAGTGTCCTGTTCTACCGTACCATCCACCCTATAAAGCAATACCATAATATGAGGATATCAATAATGTGCAAGGTTTAGTTAGCACCACTGTACCTGAACCTAAAACTTACTGTTTTTCAGGTTGTCGCGAAACCTTGGTCAGAATTGGAGTCTCTTTCAGGAGAGCTCGACCAGAAAGAGGCTGAACGTTGAGAGGAGATATAATCCATTCCAGGTGGCAATATCAGTGTACTACCGTACCCAAGTACAAATCCTGCTCCTCTTGTACCTCCCTAGCCTACTTAGCTAGGTGTAGTCTGTGACCATGCTAGCAGTGCAACCCGCCTTATACGTAAGAGGCTCTCACTTTTGATACCCTTCTCAGGTCTTGTGCACTCAAGTAGCGGGATGAGTGGATCCCCCCAGAGTACTGACTCCAAGTCGAGAGATGCGATGGGAGGATAATGGCGGGTCATTTACAATCCATTTCAAAGTTTGGCCTAATGTTCAGTCCATGGATCCGAAAAGGGCGGACTTGGCAACTTGAATCCAATTCCGTACTCATAAGAAATGTTCCTGTGTCTCATCCAAGTTACTGACGCGTTTCTTTTGCTCTCTATGCAAACGGTGGCTGTGATTGTACTGTAGTCACTCTAATCGAAACCTGGTGTCGTGTACAGGGCTATTCTTATCCAGTCCCTGCATACTTAAATCGCTAGCCTGTATCTCATTTGGATGGAAGCACAGTTCAAAATTGGCAAGATCGATATACATTGTACAGTATACAGTATACAGTATACAAGATACAGTACTCGTCTACTCGATAATATCGAGCACGCATCGTATGTCCTATACTCGTTTATGATCACATCTGCATATAGATGTATGTATGTACTTTAATTTCAATTATTGGATTATCTATTTTGAACATGGACCGCCAGAGCAGACGGATGCACTCTCCTGCATGTAGCCATGGCAGCCTCGTCATATGCATATGCAACTGTGTTCGGTCGCGAGGGCAACAGACTTCAACGGAGCCGACGCCCGTCAACAGTGTTGGCCCTGTTGGGTACACGACAGCTGCCCTCCCGGGTTGCATTGTTGTGTCACTCGGCTACCGGAGAATCAGATCGAACGACACGACACGGCTTACCAGTAGTTTGTAGATGCATCTACAAAAATATCCATCCTCAGTGAGAAACTGGTGAAAGGTGTGCGCTCAGCGCTGACATTAGGCCCTGCGCCTCAGTGACTGAGACGGTGGTGCACTGGGGGTACTGTACCTGTTAGTACTGCCAGTGGACATTGGATCCGTGGAGTACATGAGTACATCAGACCTCGCGCCAGACATACGTAGGTGTAGGTACCGCGATTCTAAAAAAAGAGATCATGGACCTTATTGCCGAGATCCAACGCTCTGCGCACCGCCCCACTCTTGTCTTGATTTTACCTTTTCGGCGATGTTCTGTTTGATCTGTTTCCGAGTTTTCGAGGATCTTCTCCTCTTTTCTGCTCAGTTCCACTTTTTTTGGCGATCGACTCGTCTGAGAAGCGCACCCTCTCATTGGGTGTACGTCCCCATCTGGATGGCCGAAGGAGTGGCCACTGGCCAGGAGTCGATGAGTCCATAGTGGAGCCGGGGGAGGAATGGAGACTCTGGAGGGCTGCGATGGCGTTGTCTGTGCTGCGCGGTCCTTTTGAACGCCCTGGAGTAAGACAAAAATATACGGGGCATAAGCCATGAGAGCCAGGAATTGCTCTGCAGGTCGTGGTCTCGCCTCTGCACCCCCCACCCCTCTTGTACAGATGGGCAGATGGGCAGATGGGCAGATGGGCAGATGGGCAGATATAAGACGGCTGGGACCACCGCAGATTTCACTCTTTTCTCTCCCTTCCCAACCAAATCGGCCATTGTTTGTTTGTTGTCATAGACCATCACTCACCACTCTAATCCCTCTAATCCGCCTCGACACTCGCTTGGAACTGTGTGCTTCTTCCACAACGTCTCTCACCCACAACACCGTCGTTACTTCAAACCACCCCACCACATACCTCCATAATGCGTGCCTCTATCATCGTCGCTTCTCTCTCCACCCTGGCCATCGGCGCCTTGGCTGCTGACTCGTCCAGCTCCAGTGAGGTATGTCTCTCTCGCTCTCCCGTCTCATTGTGCAGCCAATGCTGCCCTCTTTGACTAAGAAAAATGAATGACTGACCTCTCTTCCAGCAGGGCAACCCCGCTACCCAGTACCTCACTCAGACCAACTCTCTGGGTGTCGTAACCGGCCAGCCGCTCCCTGTGACCACCCAGCCTGCCGCTGTTACCTCCCAGGAACCCGCTGCCTCGATCCCTGCGGGCCTCACTTCCCCTGTGGTGACTCCTGCCACCAACACCGGCTCCTGGAGCAGCAGCAGCACTGGCTCCGCTGCTTCAAGCAGTGGCGGCGCTGCCTCCCCCATGGGCAGTGCCTCTGCCTCCAAGAGTGGCTTCGCCTCCTCATTCAAGCTCACTACCACCGCCTCCACCGCCATGACCACTGGCACTGGGACTGCTACCTCCGCCGGAACTGGCTCCTCCGGGTCGTCTTCCGCCTCGTCTGGCGCGTCGCCCACTTCCACCAACGGAGCTGCCATGGCCACTGCCGCCCCCATGGGCCTGGCCGGTCTGGCTGCCCTGGCTGCTTTTGCTCTGTAGAAAACCAGCAGGAATGGTAGTCCCGTGATCTCCTTCTCGCTCTCAATCCCAACATGCGCCATTCTTCCACCTGTGAAACAAGAGCACAGTCTGCAGCGGATGTCAGCTCCTGGGACGGGTATCAGTGGATCATGGGCATCACGCGAACAGGCCCGTTCTCAAACTGCGTGGTCTTTCTATGGTACGACTTACACGACATCCTGCAGGCTTACGCCTCTCCACATCGGATTTTTCTTTCGCGTTTTAGTTACATTCTACGCTTAATCTTGGGGCTCTGGTCTTCTTGATCTCTCATCTGGGGAGATTCATTGCATCTGTTCTCTATTCATCCCCTTTGCTATGGAACGCATATTCTAGGCGCTTATTTCTTCCAAGTTACAAATACATGCCATTCCTTGTATTTATAAGATCTCTGCGCACCTGTAGCTCCTTCCAAACTGAATCTGGGTCTTCCTCAAGAGTCATAGTGCCGTAAGAACCCTGAGGTAGTCCCAGGTTCCCTGAACATGTCTCTTCTGATTACCTAGGTAGTTGCACACCAGTGGGGCAAGAAGTGTAGTATACCTGTCAGGATAGGTTAAGAGGCGGCTAGCGGTGGGTACTGGGTACATTTGCATAGATTTGTCAATTAGGTGGCTTGGATTTATCGACGAGCCGCCTTGACACTACCGATCTTGCCATGACAAGTTTTCCTAGCTGATACTGTTGTTGTTTCAAGAGGTCAATTACTGTCTGCCTAGCAGTATTGACCATCATGATTTCCGTGACCCAACCTGAAAAGCAGTGCATTGAAGATTGATGGTCGAACGCGGAATCCCCGAAACGGAAGTCCAATAGGTCGAATAGTCCACATGATCGCGTCGGACCGCGTCACCGCCTTGGTTGCTTCGGAACCAGTAGATCTAAACAAGCCGTCAATGAAGTAATCACAGAGCTGTACCACCAAGGCATCTTCAATCGCCGTCGCCGCAGGAACAACCATAATGGTAAGTTCAGATCTTGGTATCAGCTCAAGGATGCCATAATCAGCTCAAGCATGCCATGACTATGGAGATATGCTTTGGACAGTATACCCGATGATATGAATAGCTCTCATGACTGACGGTACCACTCAGGTGTCCAACTTGCGCCGCTTGGCTGCAGACCATGCCGCTCTTCATGGAGATCGACTGCCACCGTACTATCTTCTGCCTTCTGACGATGGCCGCTTTGAATCAGCCGATGATCTTTCGCAATTGAATGTCCTCATCACAGGACCCCCCGGAACACCCTATGCGGGAGGTCTGTGGCGCCTTCACCTGAATATCCCTAGAGATTATCCCAAAAGTCCGCCCACAGCCGTCTTTCGCACCAAGATCTGGCATCCCAACGTGGAGGAGCTCACGGGGGCAGTCTGCGTTGATACGCTCAAAAGGGACTGGCAGTCTACCTTGACACTACGTGATGTCCTTGTCGTAAGTTACCCTGTCCTCAAAAGAGGGCCATCGGTCTCGCCAGGACAGTACCTGATGACCGTCCTGGTTACTCGGCGGCAAAAATCCCACGCCGAGACTCAAGAATCAAAATATTCATCCCCCACCCCCTAGCCGATGGTTCTACTGCTGATTGCATCCTCTCTCACCTCCCCTTCAGACTATCAGCTGTCTTCTGATCCATCCCAACCCTGACTCTGCTCTCAACTCAACTGCTGGCACGCTGCTTCGAGAAGACTTTGCCGCCTTTTCACATCGAGCCAAACTTCTCACTTCCATTCACGCACCCATTCCACCGGCCATGGAAGCCGCCGTGAAGCGAGCCCGTGACCGTGGCGAGGAGCCTGCCCCCTACAAATCTGACGGGGAGGATGGTCAAGATACTCGGCCAAGAAAACAACCACGCTTGGCATCAAGTGACGCAAACCACACCAGAGATAGTTCGGCCAAACCAGAGAAACCTCTGCGTCGGGATGTGGACTTAATCAATCAAGCCACCCCGTCCGCCACATCCGAGATTGGTACCGAAGATGCCGTCATGGCCGACGTCGAGAATAACTCAACGCAGTCCCGTTCATTTCAGGAGATGAGATTTCCCTCTGGTGTTGATCTTGCCGACCTCGTTACCGATCCGCCCATGACTCCCGTGGCATCCAGCCCACGTAATCCACTTTCAGTCATCACATCCTCAGATCCTGATGCATCCGATGTAGACAGGGTGCTCGTGGTTGAATCAACTGAACCTCACGAAGACGCAAATTACTCGTCTCTCACGGCACGCAACGTGCATGCCAATATGAGATCCGCGCGTCACTCTCCCTCGCCCCGCGCCCCCAGGCGTCTCAATCGCCCTCTTGGTCTCGGCGACGGCCGTCAACAAGAGGTCCCTGACCGCACCCGCTCCTCCGCCGGCGGCCAGGAGAACCGTGCTGCTGCCGGCTCCGGCTCGAAGATGCCCTTCAGTGCACGCACCACTGCGTCGTCATCAGGAGATAGTGCCTTCGCTGCACACTCCCATTCGGGCGCCGGGACCGCCAGAAACCCTTGCGGCGCCGGGGCCATTCAACGAGAAGGGGTCGAGTCACGAAATGCCCCCAGACCCAAGACCAAGGGCCGCGTGGGTATTCGCCGCCTGTGAGATCCTGTCTTTGTCTCATCTTTGTGATTCGGTCCTCAAGTTCCATCGCTATGACCTTTCCATCCTTACCTTCCGTTGCCGTATCGCTCCTCTTTTTTTTCTTTCCCCTTCTCTGATACCCCCTTTCATTTTTAGCGGTTCATGGGGGGAGTTTTTCTACTGTCATGAAAATGTTGACCGTCTCGTGTTGGATTCGGATAGTGCATTCTGTCTTCTACTCCATTCTTCGCGCTCTAACGTCAATCCATCTGCCCTTACGTTGCTCAAAGTCCAATCGGGCCGTTAATCACAGCAGCCTCACTGCCCGGTCCATAAAACTCTCGACGGCACCAGTCCACCGTTCAAAGACTCAGGTCCAGGTCCTTGTCTCCCAGCCCTCGATACGTAAAAGCGCACTGGAATCCATCTTCCGCGATCCCACACATGCATATCACCCAGCGATCCGATCGATGATCAGAAACCCACTTCAAAATAACAAAGTAAAAGCGGAGTACCCCAGACCAAGCCAACAGAGGATGTCCTATTTCCCAACATTCCCCCCCAGGACTCGCGAAGCAAAGACCGAAAGCAGAATGTCTTCAAGACGAACAGAAGGTCCCTGCCCACCGGGTATTTCTCCGACAGCGCAAGACAGTCCTCACCGCGACGACATGACATTGCCGGGCTGGTCCTGATCGTGAGAACAAGAACGCACTGGGATTACGTCGTGGATTCATTTGTCAAATTGCTGGGCAGGAGTCACGTCGCGTTCGTGATCAAAGGTAGACTAGTCGTATCTCCTCGTGTCCCACGCTGGTAGTGGCTTTCCTATCTACCTACCTACTGTCTGTATACATCCCTTACCTCACTCGAGGATCGGAATTGACCTCGAATCTTGCGCGTCGGAGTGAGGAATTGTCCTTGTTACTAGTAATGCGAGTGCTTACACGCAACTGGAACGAGCAATGCTCAAATGAAGATGCTCGTAGTCGTGGTCTTGAATTGGTGGAGACCCTCCTATGTTATATGAATGATGACCAGGTGGTCGGTTGTGTTGATGCCCGTAGGTATCACTTCTTCGCTGCCTGCAAGTCAGACCACTTGGAGAGCTGAAGGGTCACATGTACCATTACCGACTCTGGGGTAAGTGTTGAGAGGGCCCAGGTGTAAAGGCGGGCGTTGCCGCAAAGAAGGCTATTGTGGTCCAGGATGCTGTTGTAATCATGAGTCTATCGGGTCGGAGTACTCTACGATACTGACAGAATTACCGAAAGATCAGAGACGAGGTAAAAATGATAATAAAAAACCTGAAATTAATCAAAAACTCCATGGACCTTCGAGCATCGGGCCGATCTCAATCTCAAGCTTGCCAAGCTAAGCTTCGTAGAAGTGCCTCAGGTAGCCAACAAATTGGTGGCTACCTGCAAAGCTGCAGCAGAGGGTTGAAGTCAAAGAAAGAACATGTCAAGGGCTCTTCTTCGGATTCACAAGCAGAAAGAGAGAGAGAGCTCAGACACTCGTGCAAGAGGACATAAAAAAAAGATGGAAAATAAGCAAAATGATCCGCCGCTTGACAAAAAGCTTAATAGTTGTTAAGTATACGGAAGCCCCAAAAACAAGGTGGAAATATGAGGAGGAGGTGAAAGATGATGTAAGAGGAGGTTTTATAACGCGTTGCAAGTGTTGATGGGGCGAAATTATGTCCGTGCATGTGGAGTTGAGCATGGGACAGATACCATCTCCCCCAACGCTGGATGGATCTGTGTGATAAACATGCGGTAATATTTCTCAGGGAGAAAATCGAATGCTTGTGATAATAGCATCACAGAGCGTAGGGGTTGACAGAGCGAACAGTCAGACAGCTAAACGAGGAAGTTAGTTAGTTGGCAGTCCCAGTTGATACACCAGCATTCGGGATGACGTTAACAGATGCAAAACTTACGGTGGGCTCTTGGAAAGATCTGTCTTCAAAATGATGGGGAGACGAGTCATTTCAGTAACATCCTGAATGAATTCACCATCCTCCTCTCTCAGCTTGAAAAGCTTCATGTACTTCTCCTTATTGGTCATCTTGTTCTCGGGAGCGTCGCCAGCACCAGTGGCAATCTTGGGATCAGATCGTGTTCGGTGAGGACCTTGCTGGTGCTGACCATTGCGAGTAGGGGAAGGAGGCATGCTTTGGGTGGAGCGGTCATTGGAGTTGAGAGAAACACCGGCTGCCATTTCAGTGACCTCGTCAACATCCTCATCGTCATCGAAAAGAGCGTCAACGTCGTCAGCAGACATAGTGCCGGTCTCAGTCTGTTTGCGCATGGCCTCATCACGCTCACGGGCACGTTCCTTCGCAGCCTCGGCTTCACGAGCAGCGGCAGCTGCTTGAGCGGCACGAGAACTGCCAGGCTTGGGGCGCTCATCTTCAGGAATATATGCGGAGGAAGGGACTCCCTTCTCCCAGTATAGCTCGAGTACGCGACGGTCCTTACGATACTCGGCTTTCTTGAGCGGCAATTGGTCACAGTGAACACGCTTCTCAAAGCCAAATTCGGGGATCAAAACATCGAAGGCCGACTCATAGACACAAAGGACGATGCCTTCACTGATCAGATCGCCACCGACTTCGTGAACCTTGCGGTCCATGTTGCGACAGGCCTCGATATGGACGCTCTGCTCCTGGGCGTTGAGGGCAGAGTCCTTCTTGTTGTTACAAAGATCCGCTGTCTTGGTGAGGGATTCGACGTCATCAGTGAACTCAATAGCCCCTTCAGATAGAATGGCTTCGAGTTGACGGTGCACGATAATGTCAGCATAGCGACGCGAAGGGTTGGTAAAGTGCGTGTAAACAGGCACATTGAAGGTGTAGTGCTGACGCTGCTCGTCAGGCGCTCCACTGCTGACAAAGTACTTGGCGCGCTGCATTGCCTTTGAAAGCAAGGTCTCCATGCCCTTGCGAATGTCAACGTCGTCCACTTGGCAGAGAGAGCTCTGTAGGCTGCCGCTGCTAGAGGAATCGATGTTGTATCCCAGACGATTCATCCGGTCGACGAACTGGGTCAGACGTCGGGAGTTCGGAGAGGGCTGACGGCGCAAGAAAGCCTTGCCGGGCAAAGCGCTAGCCAACTTTCGAGCAACATAGAAGTTGGCCTGGCGACTCAGTTCTTCCACAAGCTCATGTGCTGGGGTGGACTCGAAAATGTTATACTCCACCGGTACGTTCTCGTCATCGAGCTGCTGCAGAAGACGCAGGCTTGGAACATTGGCAGAGCGGTTGCCGAAGCGGGAATCCCGGAATTTCTTCGCGGTAGCCTGAGGAAATTGTCAGAGTTGGGGTCAGATACTGGTTGATCCACAAAGTCGTCGACTGTTCTAGATCACTTACGTTCAGCAGTTGCAGGCTGTCAGCGCCGATACCCGCGGTGGTCGATGTTGACTTTCCGGTCAAGATCGAGTTCACCTCGTCATAGCTGAGACGACCAGCGCTTCGGATAATGCCCTTTCCAATCCAGACGTCTTCGTCGACCGAACCAGTGCTAGGATCGGCTTTGAAGACAACGCTGACTGTCAGTCGGTCTTCGCCTGGAATGAGGGAACACAATTCATTGGAAACGCGAGGCGGAAGCATATTCATAACGCGATAAACCAGGTAGACAGCAGTGCCTCGCTTCTTGGCCTCACGGTCAACGAGAGAGTTTCCTTTGACAAAGTGAGCAATATCGGCAACGTGAACACCGATCTCAACCCGGCCATCGGCAAGCTTCTTCATGTGAAAGGCGTCTTCAAGTGACTGCGAGTCATGAGGATCGATGGTGAAGGAGGCCTCATCACGGAAGTCGCGACGAGCACCGAGGGCATCGCCCTCTTTGGTAATAGACCAATCTTCCCAGCCAATGCTCTTGATCACGGCATCCGAGAATTCGTCGGATCCAAAGTTGTTGTCACGCAGAAGGGCGTCGGTCTCAACGCGCAGGTCGCCCATCTCGCCAAGCTGTTCAACCAATGTTCCAAAAGGATGAAGCGAGGTGATAGGCCAGCGCTTAATCGACGCGACAAAGATTCGATTAGCGTAGTCCTGGTGCTTCTCGACAAAGTCGCGAGGAGCCTGCTCAGTGGGAATCGCAATCAGGGGAACACGCTTGTCGGTAGGCTTGAACCAAACAATCTTGGGCTTCTCTTGATGACGATCCTGGTGACGACCGTGATTGCCATCTCTAGCCTGACGCTCTGCCTCTTGCTTCTCCTTTGTTGCCTGGCTACTGGGCCGAAGAAGTCCTAGGGTTCCCGAGAACATCTGGCCGGCGATACGCTCGACGACAGCAACAACGTGACCTGCGTACAGCGGCTTCTGCTCGTCGCTGATCTCATCTTCCTCAACAAGCAAAAGGCTCTGTCCCTCGACCTCAACGTCATCATTCTTCTTCTGAGTCGGACGCTGACGGAGACTACCCCGACGGCGGATGCTTCCATCCGGAGCCACTTCTTGCCTTTCTCCAGTCGAGTCAGATCGGCCAAGCTTGTCAATTCCAGCATTGCTGCCCGAGCGAGCATCAGTAATATCCTTGCGCTTCTTCTTTTCTTCTTTCTCCTTTTTCTGGTTCCACACTTCGTCAACATCAAGCAGCTCGACAGCGACGTAGTCTCCCTCAAGAGCACGATTGCGGTCCTTGCTGCCACAAATGAAGATGTCCGCGTCCAGATCAGGTGTGGTCACGTAAGCATCGGATCGGTTCTTCTTGTTGACACGCAGTATACCCGCAACTAACTGGCCATTGCTGATCAGAGCAGGCAGATTTGCCTGAGGCAAGTAAGGGGTGAACAACGTCTTCCGCTGTTGCTGTTGCTGCTGTTGCTGCTGCTGGACTGAAAGCTGGGGAGGCGCGTGCTGGCTTGCTTGAAGGCCACCCAGACCTTGGCCGTTCTGCTGCTGAAGGGCTTGAAGCTGGGCAAGTTGAAGCGGGTTGAGCTGTGCCTGGCCCCCAGCAAACATCTGCGGAGTGGCCATCATGACCTGACCCTGGGGAAGCTGAATGAGCTGGGGCTGGCCTGGATACTGGAACTGGCCAATGGAACCCATTGACTGGTTGATGGAGCCGCGCGAGCGGTGACCGGGCTGGAAGCCACCGGTCTGCTGCTGCTGTTGCTGCTGCTGACCACCGAAGGGTTTCTGCTGATCTTGGCCTTGAGCCTGGTTGTTGGGTTGGCGCCAATTTCCATCGAAGTTGCGCGAGCCAGTGCGCGCATGACCACCATTCTGGCTGGCGCGACGTTGATTCTCAGGCTGAGCATCGCTTGGAGCCGGGAATTGGAACCCTCCAGCACCCCGTCCAGAGATAGCGCCACGATTACCACCAATCGCCATCGATTGGCTACGACCGTGACCACTGGAGCGCATGTTGCCAGCGCGTTGAAGGCCAAGACCCTGCGGGGCTGGAGAGGTGCTTGGCCCAGGCTTGTCATCAGAGCCGGACTGAGCCTCAGAACCCGCGACGGGCGCGGGGAACTGGAATCCAGAAGCTGTTCGCTTCTGCTGAGCCAACTCAGCGGCCTTTTTGGCTTCAGGAAGCGCAAGCGAGTGACGGCGCTGGTGACCGCCACCGCCGGGAGGACCACCACGGCCACGACCGTGGTTGGTGTTCTCGGACTTTTGGTGGTTGTTCGAGCCTTGCTGATTGTAATCAGCGTAGCCGGATGCACCAGAGGAAGGAGCGGGAGGTGGGCCCATTGCAAGACCAGGGAGAGCAGACTGGTTGCGACGATGAGAGTGTTGGTTTGGGGCATTCATGGGCAATCCGAGCTGTTGCTGCTGAGGGAATTGGAAAGCATTGATCTGAGGGGAAACCCCTCCGATCGAGCCACCAGGGGAGAACGCGTTGACCTGACCAAGCTGCTGTGGTTGCAAGAGGCCCATGTTCACATACTGCTGGTGAGTCGCGGCGATCTGTTGTTGTTGCTGCTGAAGCAGCTCAATTTGTTGCTGAATAGCCAATTGTTCCACTATATCAATGCTTGTCAGTCGGAATATCTCGGTGTAACTCGGAAGAGTGTGTGCATACTCATCAAGGGAGTCAGCTCAGACGGGCTTCTTCGGTGGGCAATGTGAAGCTTCCGCCCACCGGGGCCGGGCACACCTGACTGGCCTGACTGATCCATGGTCTTGGGTTGAAGAAGCAAGTCAACGTTGGACACTCTTCAGAAAGACACGAGCAAGGGAGAAAAAGGACTGGCGCTGCCTTAAAAAGTCAGTTGAACCCAGCGAAGTCGGGGTAAACTCCGACGGCAGTTGAGTGGAAAGTTGTTTTCGAAAACGGTTCTCGGAACAACACAATGAAGCTCGAAGTATACTACACAATTGGGAACGAACGGAGTTAGCACCAAGAAGTGATGATCACCCAGGTCAAGGACGTAACCAGAACAAATTTGAGAAGACCAAAGGAAAAGAAACTTGACAGAGCGAGTTGAGAAGAAGATTGAAGCAAGATTGACGAGCCCAAAGCAGGCACAATGGCAAATTAGATTGGAACGGACAGGGAAGCTGCGGCTTGTGGAAAGAGGCCTCGGGCCAGGACAGCAGGAACAGTGCGTCACAACCGGCGGTCTCGATGGAAATGTACCCGACAGAACTTGTGGAGAAAGGTACATGTGCGGGATTCTGATTGAACATTTTTGGACGATGGAGGCTCATTTCTCCTCCGAGATCGCCCACATGTCCTCGTACTTTGCCACAATGTGGACTGAGACTGATTTTCCTCTCAATTCTTACCTGCAGAAAGTATGAAAGTTTTTCAATGACCACGCATTCCAGAATGACGGCGGTATGGGTGCAATGTAGAAAGAAATTTGCTGATACCGTCGAAGAAGCGATCGATAGCACGGATCAAAGAAGGTTGCGGTATTGAGATGAAACGGCAGTCGAACCTCAACCGTATGCACAAGGTAGTCGAACTTGGGTTCGGGGTTGGCGAGAACAAGGCCGACGCTTGATTCGAGGAGTGTGGTAGGAAGGATCGAGTCGGCGGATTGCAGCTGCAAGTGCAGAGGCGCACAAGAAGAAGCAACCGGCTCAAGAAAGGTGACTTGGTGGGACAGGGGGAGGCCGATGAAGCTCTGACTGCAAGCTAGTGACCGATTCGACGGAGGTGTCAAGCTGCGGTGAGAGCTTCTTCGATTTCGATAGCAATTCCGGCCACTCCAGAAAAATGGGTAAACCGAGAAAGTTGCACGTCCCTCGAAAGGAATGACAACAGGAGTAATCAGTAGAGATTCAGAGAAGACGATGCGAGCATCGACCAATCTGGCCTGAAGGAGCGATGAAGAGGGGGGGAGAGAGAAAGAGAGATGGGTAGCAGGGGAAGGAGAAGGAGGGGGGGGGAAAGGAGAAGAAAGAGGTGGTGATGGATCCATACAAAGCGGGTGTGGGGAGAGAGTCGAATACGGAAAGGAGTATCAGTAGGTATCGTTTGGGTATAACGTCCTCAAATGGGATTGAGGTCTGTGGATATCGCCCTGTCAAGTGGCCACAGCGCTGTCAACCTGTGTGTAATTACATTTCCGTACTTTGAGCGAACCCAGAGCTTCCAGGCGGCGGATGGTGTCGATGATCTTCATGGCTCCCGGCGACCTCATCTTATCTGGAACTCGGGATGTACAGTACTACCGTGCACCATGATTCATCAGAACACTTTTTCGGCGGTCTCTGACCTTAACCAACATCCGGCATCTTCACGCTCGATTGGGAGCTGCCCTCAAGCTCCTAGTACATGGAGTTGAATGGGCTTACGGGTTTCTTGCAGGATGGTGGTTTCACCTAAAGGCGCAGCTCCACGGTGTTTTCCTTTGGGGGGTGTGAGTATTGTCGATTTCGCCGCCTGAGTGGTTCGGTGGCCGTTAAGCTGGAGCATCGGCCTCGAACTAGCGCTAAGACAAACGGGGCACTAGTACTCTCGAAATTGACCCTCTCATTGGATTGTACAAATGTATTTTGGGGCCACTTGATAAGTAGGACTAGGAAATTAGGAGTAGAGACTCAGGGAGAGTATCAAAACCGGGACAGAGTGATTCAGCATTCTCAGCTTTTCGAGCTCTGAAGCTGCTGAACAGAACAATTGAGGTCCCTTCCAAAAAGAGATGATGTTCATGATGATGCAAGCGAACCAGATTTTGACGAGCTCAAGGTCCACTACCAACACAGAGCTCGGTAACCTTCGTCCAAGTCAACCGGGGGACAGTCGAATTTTGTCCACTTCAGCTTGGAGGAGCGGATAACGCTGACTCAGCCGGTATTTTTGAATCCGACGTGCTGTGAATGGGCGAGAGCCGGACAAGCGGAGTGGAGCAGCTGGTATTTTGCGCTTGGTGTAGTTGACCGCGAACACAAGACTGGGACATTCAAGCACGTTCAGACTGTGGAAGGCGTGAACACTCGCTCTCTGGTATACTGAATCCACTTGACAGTTCGAGAGTCGTACCCGAGTACCATGGTGAGTGTCTGGCGACATTCGTCTCGAGTGATGCGACAAGAACTGTGTCCATTGAAAGATGTGTTTGGCTAAGATGGAGTCCGCGGCAGCTTGCAGTTTGACGATATCACGGCCCTCAGAAAGCTCGAGACTTGCTCGCGCCGCAGAGCCCCCAGCGGGTGGTCGCTGAAAGCGCGCGCAGGAATCAACGTTGACGAATGGGTGACATTGGACGATCTCATGTGACACCCTCGACTCGAGCACGAGATCGACCCAGCGCAGCAAACAATCCTCCGTCGACCCTTCCCCAGGCCATGCGTGCCTTCCCTTGGTGTCTCTTGCTCACTTGAGGAATAGCTTCTCAGAGTCACAGTGTTGACGCCCAAACACAAACATAAACATACACCCTCTCCCACCAAGACGGCGTCGCACCTGGCAGTATCTTTGCAGTCCTTCCCTCACTTCAATCTCTCCCTCTTTCACCTCATCGTCTGCCGACAACCCGCACTTCCAACAACATTTTACAACCTTTTTGAACCACGTTCGACTCGAAAGTTGGCACTGATTTTTTTTTCATCTGCCATTGCCAATTTCAACACCTCTTATTTACAAGAAACGACTCAACTTTTCTGTCTTGCGTGAGGTTTCGACGCAGCTTGGTCTTACTGCATCAAGCACGGCCACCTCCGCGCACATTTGGTTCCGGATCTCGACCTGTTTCGCACCCTTGCCAGCGCTCCGTTAAAGATCACTCGTTTCTGCCGTCCTTTTCATTTCTTCGTCTCACCTCAGGTAAGTGATCACATTTGATACACAAATCACTCTCGTGCATGACAGTCTCTGACTGCAGGCCGTCTCATATCAGCAGCCGGTCTCCCTTACACGCGAGCATCCTCCGTCGTCGACATGACTCGCCGTCAGACTATCTCTGCGCCCCTCGACAGCCCCACGCGCCAACTGATCCTCGAACTTGCGCAGGATCTCGCCCAAGTCAGTCTCTTCAATGACGACTTGCGCCGAGTTCACGAATATGAGCGTAAGACCTACTATGAGGAGCTCGATCGGATCGATCGAGAACGCGAGGCTATCCACACCGCCGCCCTCGACAAGGTGGCCGCGTTCCACGACGGGGTGCGACAACAGGCGGAGGCGACCTTGGCGGCGCATCTTCGCGCCGAGGAAGAAGCTCGCCGCCGTGCAGAGGATGCTGCTCGGGAGGAGAAGGAGCGCCTGGAGCGCATCGAGCGGGAGAAGGCCGAGAAGCTCCGTCATCAGCAAGAGGAGGCTGCCCGGCTAGCGGCGGAGAAGAAGGCCAAGGAAGAAGCTGCGAAAAGGGCAGCGGATGAGGCAGAGCGAGCTCGCAAGGCTGCTCAAGAGGAGAAGGCGCGCCGCCAACGTGAAGAGTCGGAACGTGCAGAGGCCAGAAAACGCCAGCAGGATGAGGCAGACAAGAGAGCCCAGCAGGAAGCTGAGCAACAGGCGATTGTTCTGGCCCAAGGCAGGATCGGCCCGCGTGGTCTCACTGCGGAAGAGACACGCATCCAAGATCGGTACGTGGAGGTCCATCGAACTCTCAAGCAAATGCGAGAGTGGCTTCGCGGACTAGGCACAGAGAACCCGCCATTGAAGCAGGCCATGGGTGATATCCGCCGGTCGATCAAGAAATGTGTCGGGCAGCTGCGGGATGGGAAGGGCACCAATAAAGCCCAAACTGCCCAGATCAAGGCTGAGCTCGACAAAGCCTGCCAGATGGCCGAGCCGACAATCGACATTCGGGGTTTCATGGCCTTCCCACCTCCCGAAGTGGCACAAACCGAACACAAGGTGCCGGCCATGATGATCTACGGTCTCAACATTTTCGCCAAGGCTCTTATCTCAGCCTTGATCACCGAGGCGTCGATCAACCCCGATCATGCTGAGCCCATTGGCATTCTCGCTGCCCAAATCTTCTCCATGGACACCTTCATGTTCCAGGGCATCCCTATGAGTGACATCCTACTCGCCAAGTACCGAGTGGTATGTCCTTCGCTCTGGGGATCCACCGGCAACGACAAGACGGACTCTGGGCGCCAGGCTCTTGGCTGGTGGCGTGAAGAAGCGGGAGGTCCATTCGTGAGCGAGCAGACCCACATGGATCGCATGACGGCCTTGGGTGCAGGATTTGCAGCTCTCACATTGCGCAACTTCGGCAAGACCCAGCGGCGCAATCCCTTCCCCAACACCCTGTTCTGGTCGTCACTGCAAAAGATCCTATCGATCCCAACGGCGGAACTGCAAGACACTCAGATTGCGCTTCTCTTTGCCATGCTACGGGGTTCTAGCGAACGCATCCTTGGCTTCTTTGGCCACTTCGGGCTGTTCTTGATGCGCCGAGCAATTGTCCAGCTTCCTGCTGCTCTACCACGACAGACCATGATCGTCAATCAGCTCAAGCTCTTGCAGGAAACGTATGCGCGAGACAGAAATCTTGTTCTTTGAGCTTCTCCCATCCAAAGTCGAACAAGCTCGCGCTTGGGTAAGGCTGTAACGGAACCAGCCCTGGTCTGAGACGCAGACATTCTTAGTGAATGCCCATGGATCCTGCCTCCCGCCTGCACTGAAGGCTCGAAGACCTCTTCTTGAAAGCTGTTGAATACAGAAGTGCGAGGTCTAACATGGCGATAATAGACTGGTGACACTCGAAAATCAGATGCATTGCGAACATAGAATATTTGAGTTGTTCCACGAAATATCCTCCAACATTTCACATCGCTCACAAGCACGCAATTCACGTAAAAGGAGCAAGAAAGTACAAGAATTTTATTAATAAGCAGGCCTCTATAAGAGGGAGCATGTGTATTTGTATGAGCCCTCTATGGTGTGTAGTAGTTTTATCGTGCCTAGATATGATCTATAACTCCAGCAGCCAGACCTGGGCAGCTTACTTGAGTGTACTGTGTAGTGAGGTTAGTGTACAGCAAACTTATCAGGATTCTTTAGGTTCATGGGCACGAAACTAGCACTGGCCATTCGTGAAGTAATGATCGGTAGATCTGGGTAGGTACTTCCTACATACCTGGCAGTGTCGCAATAAGAAACACAGACGCATCAGGTGGGTGGTCAAGTTCGATCTTGGACGGTATCTATAACCAGTTAACCACCCCTCTAATATTTAGCTCGCACGGTCTGAGCCTCTGAGGAAGCCCTTACTGTCATCTCCAAAACTTCTCTACACTAGAACGAATGGGTATCGGATGTTTTTGTTGATCCAGAGTCTAATTTTAGGGGTGGGGAAGTCTCTAGGGGGAGATTTGGCATGTCCAGGACGTCCTAAGAAGCTGGAGTCTAAGCATTAAATCTACGTATTTTGGTACACTGCTACCGCCCGGAGTAGACCGACGGTCGCTTTCAGACGGGCTTGACGGTCTTTCATCTGGCAGGACCCTGTGGGCAGGTGAATGACCCAAAGTGGTCAAGTCAGGGTCGCAGACAGACGGGACAGGGTCCCTGACCCCGAGGAACCAGTTGTGGTGGCCAAGCGGGTTTTATTATGATGATCCACCGACCCCCGTTTGGCAGCCACTTTGGGAATAGACCAGGAGGTCACCCAAGCCTGTCCAACCTGCTACCCAAACTTCGGAGCTTCGACTTCTGTTTTCTCCTCCCAACTACTGCTCTATCTACTTCTGACGTTCTTTACAGTTCATTCTCTACAAAGTTCTTTCGAAGAACCATTCATTCTTTCTTACAGCAACTCCTTGGAACCCCGAGGCTGATCCGTCACATTCTTTCCTGCCTTTTTTTGTTTCAACGACCGCCTTCATCCCCTGCCCCGATCATCGCGTTCCAAGCAACAACACATCATGCGTGTCTCCAGCATTCTTCCTATTGTTCTGGCCGCTGCGCCCGCAGTGGTCTCTGCCCGTGGTACCTTGGGCTTTTCGCTGGGCGACAAGCTTCCCAATGGGGACTGCAAGACCACCAAGGACTACGAGCTTGACTTTGACAACCTGAAGGACCTTTCCACCCTTGTGCGCACTTACTCCGGCAGCGAGTGTAAAACCCCCGAGAACATTATTCCCGCGGCCAAGAACAAGGGCTTCAAGGTTGTGTTGGGTATCTGGTAAGTCCAATGGAGAACTTTGCTTTTTCTGCCACCGTCATCGCTACGCTCGTGGGGTTGTGAGATGCGCAGAGCCATCCCCACAACATTGTGTTAATTCCACGCTGTGAGTTGCAGGGTCGGACCTCAGAAAAAGGATGACATGAGCACCAACGATGCCTCCTTCCAGAAGGACTTTGCCGCTCTCAAGAAGACTGTCCCTGGTAACGAGGACGTGATTGAGGCCATCACCGTCGGTTCCGAGACGCTCTACCGTGGCGACCTGACTGGTCCCCAACTGCACAAGTACATCTCGACCGTTGCGAAAGAATTCCCCAAGGTGACTGTCGGTACCGCCGACAGCTGGAACAAATTCGCCGACGGTACTGCCGATGACCTGTTCACTACCAGCCCCGTGGTCACCTACGTTCTGGCCAACGCCTTTGCCTACTGGCAAGGCACTGTGGCCGACAAGGCCTACCAGACCTACTTTGACGACATGTCCGGTGCCATGTCCCACATCCAGAAGATCGCTGGTTCCAATGCGGACAAGATCCGTGTGATTACCGGCGAGACTGGCTGGCCCACTGGTAAGTACACTTTGACTTTACTTCTGGGGAACTCCATACAATGACATAGATCCCATTTGCTGATCCTGTGTCAAACTACTCTAGACGGTGGTTCAGACTATGAGAACGCTCTGGCCGGAACCAAGAATGCCGAGACCTACTGGAAGACCGGTGTCTGCGGCATGCTCGACTGGGGTGTCGATCTGTTCTACTTTGAGGCCTACGACGAGGCCTGGAAGCCCACTAGCATTGGTGACAACGGCAAGGCCATGAACGAGAACCACTGGGGTCTGTTCACCGCCGACCGCAAGCTCAAGTTCGACACCACCTGCCCCAAATAGATCAAGCTGCAATCTCATCCGTGAAGAAGAAGCGCGTGGTGAAGCCAAGAGTGTCATCTGGGATCTGTCCCCGGCTTCTTGAACGAAAGGAGATAAGTCGAGGACTATAGCACATTGTTATTTGATATTTCTTGTGTAAAATTGGGACCTGTGAATTACTACATCGGGTTAGTTTTGTCGTCCTTGTACTGGCGCCCTAATCCACTGTCTTCAGTCTTGTCACCTCTCCCTCCGTGGCCGCGTGGCGTCGTGTCGATATACATGCATAAACCAGCAAGCTTCCCGCAGAACTGAAAATGAAAATCCACGTCTTTCTCCATCGTGCACCGTGACTGATTCATCCGAAATGATGTTAGACCCCTGCGCAGCGTGTAGCTGGACCGCTGAACGCCAAAATCATGGCAACTACCAAAACCACCTCGACCTGTTCTATGAAGCAGACGACCGAGGCGTCTGGTCGTTGGGCTCAACATTGATATTGAGAGATCGAGGTGCTAGCCTTCCGACCTCCGAGGTACCAAAATTTCAAGTTGTGCAGGAACAGACATATATTCCTGTTCACGCTGTTATGCAGTCTTTCAGAGGAAGACAAACATATCCCTCGTCTTGTACCCTTACGCACGGAGACCTTACTAATTTGAACATCATTGTTGAGGATGGGTCCCTTACCGGCATCGTTGATTGGGATGTGTCTAGATACTTCCCTGTGTGGTGAGTTTATGTGTATTGTGTGTACCTTGGTTCCTGATCGCGAGGATAACACGGAATGGAAGGCATTGTTACGGAAATTCATGCCTGATCGTAACGCCGCCCGTGTATTCTGGCTGGACAGGGCTATGATCATCTTTGCTGGGATCCCAGCAGTGAACGAGCTACCAAGTCCGTGGAGAAAGCAAGACGTGAGGCCTGTTAGGAGGTATGTAGCCTTAGGTTGCTTCTTCAAATGAGTGGGATTTGAAGGTTCGTTTTGGTATATCACACCGAACGCAGAGGAACGCGGAAACCCGAGATGAGAGTAAGACGGCCCGACTTTATCGAAGTACTTTTTGACCACGGCACAGCTGTTACTGGTGCGTGTGACTGAGAGACTGAGAGTAGGTACTAGGTAGAGAGTAACTCTGTTTTTCGACCAGGGACACATCATCCCTTCATGTACGATTCTCCATTTCTATATAGAACAATAGACAGACTGTTACTACTCTTGATACACACTACGACTACATACTACCACATTGGCACATTGGCACATGGCACATAGTACATAGTACATAGTACATAGTACCATCTTCAAGACCTGCAACAATGACCCCCAACAAGCGCCCGTTTGGTCATCTTTGAGATTAAAATATTGAAGTGATGACGACCCGAAGGATCGACAGGGTCACACCTAGGGTTGCTGGAAGGCAATAAGAGAGAGAAGCTGCAATTAGCGAGGCTTTTCAAACGTGTAGGTTCTGATTGCGAGTGCTCTAGGGACGTCGAGATCAAAAGGCGACTCACTTTCTCGGTATTCATTATCAGCACGATTGCCAGAAAACAACCTGGTCTGAGCAGATTGCTATTTCTTTGGTATCAAGGCCTTGAAGGATGGCCCAGTGCCGACCGGACCCTCTATGCATATAAACATATCGAATATACCACCCAGATTAGGCCACTTCTCGAGATACACTGGAAAGCGCAAATCGAGGTGTGTTCCAGATGCATGAAACCAGAGATAGACAGTAATTTAGTACAATTGTACCTTATCATGATTGTACCAAAGTCGAGGATCCGGGAAAGAACCTAAGAACCACGGTTCGGTTCTACCCCTGAACCCATCTTGGGTGACTTCGTGGGGCAATGTTTACCTTTCACAAGACAAATTGATCCGGAGTCAAGAGCGTGCTATAACATCAAGCAACGGCAAGGGGGACTATCTACAAGAGGCAGCTTCTCACATAGTCAAGTCATACTGGTCGTCTGTCCAGCGCACTCGACAGAGTCGATATAGCATGCGTTACACCTGGCGTGACAAGGTTGAACTGACGATCCACTATCCAGTAGCGGTCAACCTTGGCGGGCGGATTCTCTCTGCTTTTCCATATCACTCCAGCCTAAGATTTTGGGCTCTCTGGGGTACCCGCGACTGGACAAATAAGAATGAACCTCCCAGATTGGGAGTCCAAGCGGGCACTTCAATGTGGGAAGATGGGCGATCCGTCGTACCCATTCAGCGGTGCTGCTCCGTTGCATGTGCGCGCCGCTCAATGGTCACTTGCATGCTCTGCTTCGCGGCCTAGGTGGCCGACTGAGCTAATTGTAACTCACATTAGTGGCTGCTTTGCGATCTTCTGCATCTCAACGGCCTTGCCCTGGGTCGAGAACTCTCCTGAGAGCGCTACGGCCCTTTCGGACCAACTGTCACTCGATCGGAGTGCATGTACCTATGTACTATGTACTATGTACTATGTATGTAGTACATTGGTATACCTTTGGTTTGACCGATCTGTTACTAGTGGTAGTCGAGACTAGCATCGTTCACCCCAGTCGTCGTCAAATCTAGTAGATAGTCCGAAAATTGCATGTTCACTCCGAGAGGGCAAAAAAACAAAACAAAACAAAAAAAGCAAGATCGGCCTCCGTTTGTGACTACCCAGCACGGCTTTGCAGTGGGAACCACGGTGCGCTCCTCAGGGGAGGTTTTACCCCTGAAGACTCGTGGTGCTTTGAAGTACCGGGTACCTCCACCCAAAGCCCATCCGCGCCGGCGGAGAACGCCCAGTGGTAACATGACATAACCAGCGATTTTTCCAACAGACAGTGTGATCTTCCTCCCCTTTCCCCTGTCCTTGCGTGGTCAGCCTTCCTACTATCGCACTTGTGATCCTCTCTGTCACCCACAATTCGAGGCCTCGAGTCCTCAACCCACGCCCCTCCTCCCCCTTCCTCTTGGTTTCCACCCTCCCGCCTCCCGGAAAGAAGAACATTCCTCGGTCGACTGGAATTGGCATCATCCGAGGACCCCGACCTGTCCTGTCTTGTCGCGGTCAATCACCAATCAGAGGTCGGTCCTGCCAAATATACTGAACTCGTGGGTCTTCCATGCGTCAACATTCTGGACAATAAGCGGAGCGGCAAGCAAGTGCTTGCTGCAGGAGTCGACACGGAAGGTGGGTTTCTCCAATCTGCCTCACGTCCTTCAACAATTGTTCTATACCTCTGGCACCGTCGGACCGTGTGCATGCGCTGCTTGATGGACTCCGTCGTGGCCGCTTTTTATTCGCTCAAATTCCTCGATTGATCGTTGCAACGTCTCGCAATCGTCACGTCGCAATTCTTTGCTTCCCGCCTCAATTGCTCAATTGGTCTTGTCTAATGACAGACCGGACTGGCAGCACAACCGAGGGAGCCTTGTCGCTGACTTTCTCTGCTTGGATGGGATGATAGATCTAGATCACGCCGTCTCCCCCGCCAGCACGGCGTCGCGTGCATTCAATTCGCTCGACGCGCGCAGTCAACGTGACGAATTGCAACTAGGGCCCTCTGTGCTCTTGTCCTCTCCTTCATCCAGAGAGTCAAGCCCGTGCAGCGCCGGATCGCCCTCCCAGCGGCGTTCACCACGAAGTATCACCCTTGAGCCGCCGCAACTGCCATTCTTGTCGGCCCATCACCTCTCGCGTCGGCCACAGGAGTCCCTTGTATCGTCCCCAGAGACACGTCGGGCAGAAAGTAGTATTTACTACACCACAGCCTGGGGCTCCCCGTATGCTGCACCCAGCACTCGAAGACTCTCGCTGACTCTCAGCCAATTTGCCGGTATCGATTCCGTCTCTCGTGAGAGCTCTCCGCCCGCGTCTATCAGGATCAATCCGCCCGAGCTTCGACGAGCAAGCGTTGCGGAAGGATTCACGGGTCCATCCAATTATAACGAAAGGACCATCCGGGACTTTACGCAAGACTGGATAAACCAATACCTATCTGGTCAGCAAAGGACGGAGAAAAGCAACTGGCTGAGCGACGATTCCGGAAGTGAAGCCCCTTCCTATTTCACCGCGAAGAACCACCTGGCAGACGATCTCTCGGACGACTGGCTTGGTCTTGAAGAGGAGAAGCGCGAAAGCGATCTGCTGAAGACTCCAACCCTTTCGGACTTTGTTGGTCGAAGGGCTGCCTTGAGAGGGAAAGCCAAACAGAACAAGCACAAGCGTACTGATACTCTGCGCCAGGAAGACTTTTGGGGGTTTGCATACGACAAAGACCAGCCGACGGATACGATGGCTGCTTCATTGGATCTTCACCAGGTAGCGGAGGCCGTCTCGTCGACAGAGAAGCCACTGCCACCGCCGCCTCCCGCTAATTTAGCAGACGACCAGGCAGAGGCAGAGGTAGCCGCAGCGATACAGCCAGGCTCGCAGCCGGAACTCGTGAGCAGGCAGACTTCGAATCCGGCGGTCTCGTCAGCCTCACTTGCACGACCACGGAAGAAGCTTGTGTGGCGCGGGAAGGCCTGTGTAATATATCTCCCTCAAGACGACCAACGAGGGTCTGAACAAGCCGGACGTAGTCTGATGAAACGGACAGATGTCGAAGAGAAATTGAGGCAATGGGAGGAGCAAGGATGGGACGTGCGTGGATTCTCTGTTGGAGACGAAAACGACCCTTCAGCAACGACTGATCTTGGAGGATTGAGCCGTCCGCTATACCCTGATCCATACGAGGTATATGAAGAGTCAAAAGGGCAAAGGCCATATATTCAGTTCCCCAACAAGGCTGTCTGGGATGCCTATGTCGCCGAGTTGCAGGAGGCAAAGCTACGGGCTCTGGGAGTTTCCTTTGGCGACCCTGAGCCTCAACCGTCGATTTCCCCGGCGTCTGCCGCGCAAACACCTTTCGCTGGCCTCGTGGCCTCGCCGCCGATTCCCACTGCGTCAGCCGCCAGCAATCCGATGGGACAGATGCATCCATTCTCGCCGCACTTTGGCCAGCCTGTGGGCTCGAGTGCTGGCCTGGGTTCCTTGGCTTCACCTGCATCGCAGTTCAGTGTACAGACTCCATTTATGGGTATTGAGCAGAATATGATGCCAGGATACCCATTCCAGTTCCAGCCAACGCCGCCGGCGCAAGGTGCGATGACACCTCAGAGCTTGGTTAATCTTCGTCATGCCAGTGCCTCTGGCGGTCCCACTGCACTTTCCAGCCTCAATTCGATGCTTTCACCTGTATCGCCTCTCCACGATCAAAGTCATCTCCATGGCTTCAACGAAAAGGCTGTGTGGGACAATCAGCACAGGTTCGACAGCCGAGAAGACACACAGCCTTACCCTGCACCTCAAACTCCCGTCAATGCTCCAGACCATTTCCACGCCTCCAACGTGGAAATTGCTCACCCAACACCTCGCGGGCACGGTCACAACCTGAGTGAGACACTTCAACGGGGACTTGACCAGATGAACCACTCCGAATACCGTACGGACGATCGACCTGAGCATCTTGCAACTAGTGAACGCCGTGACCACCAGCATGGTTTCAATAATGGGGTCTTCCCGTCTCACTGGCCCATGCATGAACTCGATCAGCAACACCACATCCACGGCAATGTCCAACAGGCCCCACACTCCTTCACAACACAACCGCAGCCCCACGGCTTCTACAACACACATTACGGGCAAACAGATGGTCACGACGGCTCGGACCTGGAAACTAATCCTAGTCTCAGCGGTACGCCTCAAATTCGCAGTGCTCTTCCTCACCAGGGACCATGGCACGAGTCCAAAGCTAGCCACCACTCAAAACATTCACTCTCATCGCTTAACGTTGAAGCTAAGCCATTTGACCCAAGTGCTTCATTTGCGTCACCCCCGTCAACTTTTGGTCACAACGCTTATCAATTTGGAGCGATGGACGAAATGGGCCAGCCCGGACTTGGGTTCACTGCTCTCCCGCCTTTTGCACCTGCCAACCCTTTGAGTACATCGCTGCAGCAGAGCACGGTACCCAAGCTCGAGCAGAAGCCCAGCATGTTCAAATTCTCTGCTGCATCGTTTAATGTTGAAGCACCCGAGTTCAATCCCTCGGCAAGCATCACTTCAAATGCAAGCGCCGAGCAGCCATCTGGCAGTCGCACCAAAATATTCGGCGATATTGACTTTGCGGGGCATGCGATCCCTTCGAAAGAATCAAAGGCCATCCCTATTGTTCGACCGGATAGGAATGACTCTGTCCAGGATAGCTATCACGAGCAGGAGACTATGGATGATGCCAGCGGACGCCCGGTTCCTACGGACCGTCATAAGCGTGCTCGTCGGGGGATTGGTCATGCTCAGGGGGAAAGTCGCTACAGTCTTTCCTCGCAGCCCTTGGGCGAGCTGAGCAACGTCCAGTCGACGGGTGCTATTCAAGGCTTCGCCGAAGGCAAGGAAAACGCCGTGCCTGAAAACAGTAAGGTTACCGAGAGACGAGGTACTCCTGTGAGTGAGGCCACCACTTGGACTTTGTTCGATGCCAAGAATGAGGATAGCCCAATTCGCTCAGGCGAAAACACGGAGGAACGTCAGGAGGAGGCTCATCCTCACATGAAGAGGACTCCTGGTACCGCCCAGAAGTCCACGAAGCATGCACGCCACGAATCTCACATTTCAATCAAGAGCGACAAGCTGTCTGCTAACACTCGGCCATTTGAGATTGAGCCTGTTGCTTCTTCTGACATGCCCCTGGGCACGACTTCTGCGCGTGAGGAAGAAGGCAGAGTGGCATCAACGGAGTTCGATTATGACGAGTCTCAAAAGGTCAACAGCGAGTCCGTGAGGAATGGCCTCATGGCATCGCGGTTCGCTACTGCAAGCCCTCCTTCTACGCAGAATCTCGCGAAAAGCGCAAGTGAAATCATCAGAGAAACGCCACGCCCGAAGCCGGACCTGTCTCGATGGCAGGAATCAGCGGAGGAATCGCCAGACGAGGACGAGCTCAACGCTATCATGGACCAACTCAATGATGACTCTGACGTTGGCATTGAGCGCCAGCATACGCCGTTACCTCCTCAGTATGCCCCTGAATCTGCCCCAACCAAGGAGCATCGCTTTGGACCAGCCGAAGGCCGCAGCGAGGCCCCAAGCCCTAGTCCAGGCGGAGGCCAAAGATCATACAAACTTGCTATTCCGCGATTGGGCTCTGATATTGATGTCAACAGCAATGGGACGTTCTCACCTCACAAAAGCCTTATTTCGCGACTTCATTCCCCCGTGCGACAGCTGGTCACTGAGAACGATCACGTCAGCGACTGGGATGACATGATCTCCTCCGGTGAGGATGAGAAGTTTTTCAACCGCAATCGCTTCTTTGATCGGCGTATCAATGATCTGGTTGGCTCAGCCATCGATGAGCGTTTGACCCCAATGGAGCGAGCACTGGCCGTAATCCAGCAGTCTGTGGCTACCATTGCGTCTGGGACTGCAAGTCGTAGAGTTTTCCGCAGCACATCTGCCGAAATGGAGGACAGCGATGCCGATGACGAGGACGACGAGGAAGAGCAATTGAACTCTGTTCGTGAACGCTCACCGCATTATCTGCGCGACCGTAAGCTGGAGATGTTGAAGAGCGTCGTGATGGAAGCGCTGGTTACGCACGACATGCCTAATCGCGGAACTCAACATTCGAGTCGGAGTGAGATGGCTCAGCTCAAGGAGAGCATCGCTGAACTTCAGGCTTTGACCATCAAGAAACTGGCTCAAGACCCGGTAGGCGATATGCGTGAGATCCTAGAGGAATCTCTTGCTCGCCATGCCGCGCAGCAGACTCCGCGACTCTCAGAGGCAGAAGAGATTGGGGCCGACAGCCTTATGCTTCAGATTGACGGCCTCAAACAGATGTTGAGACTCGCTGACGACCGTGCCGAGACTGAATACCGGCTGCGTCGGGAAGCGAACGACTCCGTTGCTGAGCTGCAACACTTGTTGAAGGTCGCCGAGGAGGATGCTGCTCGTCACAGCGCTGCGGCAGAAGACGCAGAGGCACGTCTTCTGCAGTTCAAGGAAGAGAAGATTCCTCATCTCGAGAAGATGCAATTCCGCTCAGAGGCCTTGGCCGACGAGAGTGAAACGCTCAAGGTCACTATTGCGGAATTGTCGACTAAGAATATTGCTCTTGAAGGCACGCTAGATGAGTACCGTGTCTCTGCGGATAGTTTCCGTCGCCAGCTGGAGAGCACAAAGACAGAGAATGCGTCTTTGCGGGAGACGGTCGACGCTTTGCGCACACGCATTGAGGACAGTATGGCTGCTCGACAGAACTTGACTGAGAAGTTTGACAAGCTGCAAGCTGACATGATTAATGTCACCTCTGACGTTGTGCGCGAGCAAGCTACTTTCAGGCGGAAAGAGGAAGAGTACCTTGCCAAGCAGAACATGCTGCAGGCATCGTATGACCGCGAGGTCAAGTTGCGCGAGAAGTTGGAGGAGGAGATCTACCACTTGGAGAAGCAGGAGAAAGAATCAGCAAAGACCAAGTTCCTGTATGAGCAATCACGGCAAGAAAACTTTAAGATGGAGGAGACTGTTTCCCTCCTCCGAGCAGAGAACCATAACCTTCAGCTCACTGCTGCCCGTTTCGAGCGTGAGTCCAACGAGGCACGTGAGACCAGTCGTGTGGAGATTCAGCGGATGCGCTCATCGTTGGAAGCCGACCTCGAAGCTTCTAACAGCCAGGTGAATATTGTTCGTGCCGAGCTTGAAACTCAAATCCTTCGCCTCGAAACCCAGTTGGACAATGTCCGGTTGGATAACGACACCTCTCGCGAGCGCTACGAAATGCTCCTGGAAGAAGCTAAGGAATCGCGTCTAAATGCTGTTGCGACTGCAAACCAGGCGCGGGAGATGGCTCTTGAGGACCAGCGTAAGACGCATGAACGAGTGCTCAATGATCTTCGGGAACGCCATGCCCGGGCTTTGCACAACTCTTCAGAGGATCGTCAGCGGGGCGAGGCTCACATGAACGACCGATTGGCCTTGGCAGACGACCGCGCTAAGCACCTTGAAGATCGCGTAAAACACCTTGAGGAGAAGCTGGAAATTGCGCAATCCGCTGCCCGAGCTGCCGCTGAGGCTGCGCAAAACGCCAAATCTAGCTCTTCCACTCACCAGGTTTCGACCTCGGCAGCACCTGTACACTCGTCTTCGCCGTCGATGTCCTACAAGGCGGCGTCCCAGGAGCCCGAGAAGATTTCACCTCAAGCCCTGCGCGAGTCAATCTTCGTCTTGCAGGATCAGCTCCAACAACGTGAGACTCGCATTGAGGAGCTTGAGCAGGAGGTTGCTTCAGTGGACAAGAATGCCCCCAACAAGATCAAGGAGAGGGATAGTGAGATCACATGGCTTCGTGAACTTCTTGGAGTTCGCATCGATGATCTGCAGGATATCATCAAGACCCTCTCCCAGCCCTCTTTCAACAAGCATGCTGTCCGTGATGCGGCTATTCGTCTAAAGGCCAACCTGCAAATGCAGCAACAGGAGCGCGAACGAATCTCAAATGGGTCAGGTCTGCCGTCCTTGCAATCACTCTCTGAGCTTGCTGCCTCGCCAAGATCATTGCCTTTAGCTGCTGCCGCCGCCTGGGGTAACTGGCGAAAGGCTCGCGATGGGGGCAATGGAGGCTCAACGCCTTCTGAGCAAACACCGTCCAAGCCCAGCAATGCCGGGACCTTCCTGTCGGGCCTTTTGACGCCTCCGAGCTCTCATGCTCGCGCGAATCCTCCGAGGGGGGCCCCAAATCGACCCCTGTATGGCGAGGCGAGGCCCTTGAGAGGTCATGCCTCCACTGCTCGTCAGGAGCCAAGTCGCGTAGAGCCCACGGTCCGCCAGGACAGCCCAATTTCCGAGACGCCGAGAACTCCTCCTTTGCTCCACCGCTCAAGCTACGACCATGACGCGGAGCCAGCAAATTACGAAGAAGCTCAATTCGCCTCGGATGACATTGAGTCCACCGTTGATGGTATGGTCTCGGCGTCGCCAAAAGATTCCGATGAGGGGCCCTTTGGACCTTCCATTCCCTCTGAGCCCGTCCTCGAGGAGTAAGCAAGCTTCCAGCTGAGCTGCACTAGACGGCCTTTTGCAATAAGAAACACTTTTCAACACAATCCGAGACTTCCTGAAGGCGAATCTTCCGGCCTTTCTTTTCCATTGGACGTTGGCTATCAATGTCCCCATCACCTCTCCGAAATTGCACATTCCTTTCTTGCCATCTGCAATATGCGCACCAGTCACCCTCCCGCCCTCTTTACTGTAAATTCTTTATTTCCTAGTCAACTTTGCCACTCGTTGCCCACCAATAATCCAGCCCCAATCCATTTCTATTTGATGAAGGCTGGATCCGTCATTTCCAAATTTTCACCCGGGTTTGATACCATCTTGTTCTGATTGTCCCGTCGTGCTCATAGACCGGTGAATGCGCACTTTCATCTCTTTCCTCTGAGAGAATTTCACATCTCTTCTCGTTCGCGCTTCACACGTGACACCTTACTCAGGAAGCTTGTCATTTTGTACTCATATCTCTTACTCTACATATTAATTTGCGAGGCATTATCTTTGTCACTCAGCTGGGTTCAAGCAGTGGTTGTATATAAGAGAAACCTCTATATCCGTTCAATCTTCCCTATTTCTTCATTCAACCCCATAACTCTCTGCTTTACGGAGGGATATATAGCCTCTGAGCAGCACGTGAAAGCGGCGCAAGTTACGAATTCAGCTCGCTGAAAAGTCATGAACCTCATTAGAGAGCCTGCTCCCCATGCTCTTCGTATCGGTTGACTACTCAGTCTGTGACCACAGACTAATCGAAGTACTTTGATCGGATTTAAAAGAGGTTAATGACCGTCAATTCTATCGGCGAGGATACCCACTGCAGTAGATGTTAAAGCACCACCTCGCTGGAAGCCAATTACCCTTAGCGATTGACGAGGTTAGTCAGAACGTAAGAATTCCAGTCTAAAGTAGTTGCGGCTGCCTGAATGAATGGGGAACAAAATTGAACTGTTTCATCGTTGTGTGGACTCCAAAGAACTTTTTCCAATGCCCGGGAAATATGATGTTTCCTTCACTTGGGCGGTTATCTTTGCTCGGCGAACTGCAAAACGGGCTCTCTGTTTACCAGGGTGGTCCGAGCGTCTCGAATTGACACCTTGCGCCTTGTTCAACTCCGCGGCAGCTCCCTCAGCGCCTGGATCCGCAAACCGAATATCAGCACTCGCGGCCAGATACTTCTTCTCATACCCGGAATATCACAGGAAGTTCCCGATCATTGCCAAGATGCGATTCTCTACCGCGTCGCTCCTGGTCACTGCGCTGGGATGGGTTTCCGCCGTCACCGCACACAACATTCAGCTCAAGGCTCACTCGCGGGAATGCTTCCACGAGACTCTGCATAAGGATGACTTGATGACGGTGACTTTCCAAGTTGGAGATCGGGAGTTTGGGGGTAGTGGAAACCTTGAGATTGACTTTTGGGTAAGTTGCATTGGGAATCGTCAGGCGATTCGTTTCGCCCCCGGTCGTGTTTCCCCCTGTTATGCTGCTCCGCGACTGGGCGCTTGTAAAGGTTCCAGACAGAGGTCACGGTGGCAGATGTGCGGTATCTTTTTTTCTCGGGAGCTATGTTGACTGATTCTTTTCGTTCATCATTATAGGTTGAGGACCCTCTCCGCAATCGCCAATACTATAAGCAGGCCATCTCCAACGAAGATTACTCCTTTACCGCACACGCCGACGGCAAATACACTTACTGCTTCAGCAACGAAGGCTGGACCTCCAACTCCAAGGAAGTCTCTTTCAACGTGCACGGAATTGTCTATGTGCCTGAACACGAGATGTCGGCAGACCCCCTCGAGGCGGAAGGTAAGCCCCCATCCGGGAACTCAGGTCGTAAACGACGCAAATGACGCTACAAGAAGAAGGCTGACGCTTGATGTATCATCCGCAGTCCGCAAGCTTTCCGACTCTCTCGCGCAGGTCAAGGACGAGCAATCATATATCGTGGTCCGTGAGCGAGTGCACCGGAATACTGCCGAGAGCACAAACGGTCGTGTCAAGTGGTGGAGTCTTTTCCAGCTTGGAGTTGTAATTGGCGAGGGTATCTTCCAAGTCTGGTGGCTTAAGCGCTTCTTCGAGGTGAGTTTATATCATTTTGTTATGGAATGACCGGTGTCGAAACATATATGCTGATCCGCTTTTTCTACGCTCAGGTCAAGCGTGTGGTTTAGACAAGCCTTGTACCGTCCACTATTTCTGTCCCAATCCCCCACCACGAAAAAAGCAACGAGGTGCAATCCTGTCGAGTCTCTTAGGATTCTGGTTTGCATCTTCGGCCCATTTCGCCGCCATCTCCTGCTGTACTGGGCACGCAAGCGTGGTCCAGGTCTTGTCGGTTTGCGTTTTATATCACGTCACGGTTTCATGCATACATTTTTGGTAGCCTTTAATATAAGTGTACGAACATTTGCGTGCGATGTAGCTTGTCATGAGGGTCATTGTCGACATGGGTGGCAAAGATTATTTTGGTTCTGACTTGCGGTCCCTAGTCGCTGGTTCATTGACAGTACGCTATGTTCCAAGGTTGCGGGATCAGATCTGCTCGCCAACATTGACAGGTCCAGATATGGATGAGTATTTCAACCACGAAAATTGTAGGTCCTTAGTGCGGCATGACCTACTGGACACCCAGTGTATAGTGCGTACTAGTAGCTACTAGCTACTTGCCACTACCGAGATCGATTTTCGCCTGCACTAGCCAATGGTGATGGCGATGGGCCCTAGATGGCTTATCAATCTCTGCACCGTTTACGCAGGTCAGCGGATTGCAAGAACATTTTGAGGCCTTTTCAGATTCAACCTTGTCATCAGCCTTCAACACAGCTTTTCTTATTGATATTTTGACTGTTGGTATGAAAAGACGTTTCATCGTTCTACCTGCATTCGTCGAGAACCTCCCAATTGATGGTGCGGCTTCTCGAGCGATGGACATCATCAGGGCCGGTTTCGACCTTCTGAAAGAGCCATTGGAAGAGCCTCTCTCTCAACGGCCATCTGAAGGGACAGAGGAAATCAACTTGTATTCTCATGCTAGTATTTCACAGTCAGTACATCCCAATAGACAAGAAACACCAAGGCTACACTCACAAGTCGCGTGTTCCCAAACCGACTGATCATCCGGTGAAGTGCGCTGAGCACAATTAAAAGGCTCATCAATCCACCAAGTGCTATGCTGCGAGTCAAAGACCAAAGGAAACTCCGTGGCAGGATCACACAGGCGATCAATCTGTGGCGCGTCGCCGGAGCTAATCGTAAACCAATAGAGATTGGTATCTTCGCGGATCTTCTCGCATTTGTAGAAATATCCAATCAGACCCGGTCCAAAGACATCGCTGCGGAAATCAACTGAGATTTTCTTGTTTAGATTGATATTGTCACAGTCGGCTTTCATGCCCTCTTGGCTCGTTTCGTCGGCCGCCTGGGTGGTATAGCCCTTGGCGGTATGGGTTCCGTTGGCTGACCACGTCCATTGTGGCAGTGCGACCGTTTCTGCGATGGATTGGAGGAGGAGGCTGTTGGGCATAGTTCTGGCGTTTGTGGAGCAGCTTGCCTGGATAGCAAGAAGACTCATTGCGCCGAACAAGACGGAATGCTTCATTTTCTTGGAATGCGGCGTACAAGGTAGAGTAAGATTGGCAAAGTAAGTCAGTCTGTGGGGTTGTCCAGTGGGATTCCCAGAGATCACGGTGATACTTATATTCGAGTTGCACGATCAGATCTGCGTTCGATATCCACTTGTACTGGACTGACCTGGAACAGGAACAAGACTGGGCTACGCAGTATGAGTTGATATTAAGACGCACTTAAAGCTAATCTCGAAACTCGGGTGTCCAAAAGTGGTTTGCGTACCCGCGGCTAAGACACCTAAAAACGGAAGAAGTGTCAGGATGATGTATGTACATAACATACTACATACTACATCCTCTTTTGCACGATCGGCGACGGCTCCAATCACAAGTTGGACGGTATGAATATCGTGGAAATACCGAAAGCTTGCTCACCGTGCTTTATCACTCAGAAAGGAGAAAAGTCTCAGCAGGTCAGAATGCAGCTGAGTATTCATTACAGTCACTGGATCATCCGACAGAGACGGGTTGCCCTCGGGAAGCGAGATTCACTCGCGACACAACAATCTACCTCAGATCCTAGCATCAACAAGGCGTGCAGCTCATCAGATTGATGACTTCACGCCGGTCCAGGTTCCTGAAAAAATGCCTTGGAATCACCAGCCCAGCTTCAAGTTGAGTCAAGACCATTCATTGACAGGATCGGGGATCTAGCAGACAAAAGGAAGTCTGTTGCTTGGGGGTAATTACAAATGAACGAACGGGCGGATTAATAGGAGCTTGCGAGAATGAATATTTGTACATGCTGAGGGATGGTCAGATTGAATCAATGCTTGACTGTCCCAAACTTGTCTAGAAGAATGACAGGAGGCGTCCCCTAAGGTGAATGTGAACATGCTCGAGGTTGTGAAGGAGTTTGTGTTTGATTGTTACTCAGAAATCCCCTCTGTGGCCTATTCAAATGACGCAGTAACAATCCCCTCTGTGGCCTATTCAAATGACGCTTTTCATGACAAGTAAACAGACCGAATGCAAATGGATAGTCAAAGAGATGTCATGATTATAGATATAGATGCCTTGGCATTCGTATCTATTGTCACGATCGTACAACATGGGCACCCACCCATCTAATTCATCCACCTTCGCTTGCCAACCTAGGGTATACGGGTCTGGACCCTAAGCAATAAAATAAGCCTTGTCTCAATCTCCTGGCGCTACAGTTCCACCATTATTCGAGTTTCAAGAGATGAAGACTCTCCTTCCCTACCTCATACACATCCACGTCAGCTTGACCAGACCCGAAGAACCACTCGTCGATCTTGATTCAGTAGATGACATCAAACGCCAAGCTACCTATTATTTGCAGCATACATAATCCAGAAGTCCTCATATTTCCAGCCGAGTCACATCTAGAAAGTCACAACCTTAGCTCTCTTCGACTCGCCTGTTTCCGACCCGGTAAGTGTTCGTATGGCATGTGATACTACTGTCTCATCGCAGTCTATAGCCTAGATAGAATCTCTCCTAGCCAGTCAATCTGACGCTTATCCCTCTCTCATATAGTGATGCTGCACCTAGTGTAGCCACCTCTCAACAGTAAGAATCCTCCAATCTTCGCACTCTCTCATTGCCTCAAGGAAGACTGGGAGCCGTCTTTCGTACTGAACACGCCATTCATCCATGTCGTTCTTCCAATATTTCGGCTTTTTCAGAAGAAGCTCCCAGGGAAAGTATGAGTGAATTCCACCGGCGCGGTATAAGCAATTTCCCAATCGACCACACCGCCACCTTTCCACTTCGTTCATTATCACGTTCTGTAGTCGAAAGTCGTCGCTGAGAATAGGTCATCGTCGTGGGATCAATACAGCAAGAACTCTTGGACCTGCCATACATAGACCGTCAATGAAATTGGTTCCTTGAAATTGCTTCCATTCTCGAACATTTTGTAAAGATAACCACCTCTCGGGTCTCAATCACTGCTAATCTAGAGCTGAGGCAGGCTCACACTCGCGTTATCATCATACCAGATAAAGAAGGAGTCTTTCTCTGGGCCGGCCAGAAAGTACGGTATTATTCCCCGGGCGTAGTTTAGCTATATTATATATAGTCGTAGATAGATAGAATAGATAGTCTACCGGGATTAGTAGACGGGCGGCAGAAGTGTCGAAAAGTACTGATTGGCTGAAAAACGGAATATCGCACAACGATTGGCCGAAACGTACAGGACTTTGCAACTTAGAGGTTTGATATGTTTCGCCTAGATCTGATATGAGAGGATCCGCGAAAGCTGCAGGTTTATGACATCTCTAAAAGTCATTGAATATCTTGCAGGCTATGGTTCTTTGTTAGTCAACAAAAATGATGACTTATAAGCTAGATCACGGCGGAAACCTTATTGCACCGGGCCTTGAGGGCCAATGAAAGCGAACTGATGGCTGCGAGAAGACAGGACGAAGGGGTAGGGAGTGTGACTCGGCCTTGCACAAATGCGTTGAGTTATGCACGGTTCCGGCCCTGTAAGTAGTCGAGGTGGGAATCCCACCTCGATTCCTATCTTTATGTATGCTGTAAAAGATAGAAAAGTACCTTGGATTCAAGATCTGCCTAACCTCTGGATATAATAAAACGTCGGAAGGATTAGCTGTCTGCTTCCTACCTCGGACGTTCTTGGCCTAATGGGATGATCTGTGTATGATGAGGATGCGGCTCCAATGAATTATAAGAGAATCTTGACACAGCCTCGCGCAAATACATGGGATTTCACATCCGTTCTATGCTATAGTCCAATGATAAACGACAGCTTTGGCCCTAGTCATGCAGGAGACATGTAGTTCTGAAACTCTTTTTTTGGCTAAAGAAATCAGCTACTAACCCTGAACATGATCCAGCAGACTTTTGGATTTCAGCATGACGAGGTAGCTGCAGATGGCGTGACTGGCGAGCACTGAACGAATATTTAAAGACCACACGGCGCTCGTTCAGCCAAAGCATTTCATTCTCTTTTCATCAACGCGCATCCGCAACCACAATCAACACCTTTTTCTAAGTTCATTTCCATCATGGCAGTCGCTGTAACTTCTCCGATCGTTATCCCTGGCCTTAATGCTCCTCCTACTATTTGAGGACCTCCAGCAGTCATCGTAAGTGTAGGAGAACCTTAGTGACTTGTGGTTAGACTGGCAGCGTGCTAATAAAATTTGAAATAGTTACAATCTTCTACCGGACGATGCAGACCAACCACAAGTGCAGAAAATTCACCTTCAGGAGCTTGCTAGCCTCGTTTCACGTTTCAACGTCCAGAAAATATTTAGACTGCATCTCATCTACGGTCACCTCTAACTCGAGGAAGACAAAATCATGCTTGGCACGTCCCTAAAATCTGTTCGGGGATACTGGACCCAGCCCACTTCTATTGCAGACATCAACCCGGCAGAGATCCATAGTCATATCTTCAAGCTAACAGCCGGCGGCGAGATACAAGCCTACGAGTATCGCCAAGGACCAACGGCCAGTCTAGATGATGTCGACCCCGTGTTCTTCCAGGAACTGGTTAGATACCTTCAAACCTATCATCTAATTAAACTCCTCGGGCTTTAAGTCCTTACTAATAATGCCCCGGCAATAATAATTGAGTTTGTCCTCGCGAATAACGGTACCGTTATATTAGATAAAAGGGATACGAAAGAACGTGGAGTACCTTTCCGCATCACTAGGTTCTTTCTTGAAGAACCAGGCATGACTGAGTTCAAGGACGGAGAGACCTATGCACCAACTATTAGAGGCACCCACCAGGTTTTTACTAACGACAAGATCGAAACGGAGAACCAGCTTATAGCCATCCTCCGGAGTAAGGATATCGTCTTTTAAGTGTATCTTTTACCTAGGAGGATAGTATCGGGATAGTTCAATAGCTGAGGTATTAGTAACGTTTTTTGCTAAAGTAGTTTCCTCTCGCCTACTAGATTTTCAAGTATAATATATATAGAGGCATATAACGTCCCCGCGGCCTACCTTCTAGCATATCATACGCAGGATCAGAAAAGAGGAGCCAACTTACTAACAGCATAGAAAGTATCGAGATATACGAGTGAACTATCCGGCTGGTCCATCCGGATACTTTATACTACGCCTTACGTGTCAAAATTAAACCCGTAATAGTAGAAGAATCCGGCCATCCTCGCAGCGCGAACCAAATATAAGTCAGCGTCAGAGAAATTATAGGCCTCCTCCCGAAAGGTTTACCAGAACAGGCTCTCGAGTTCACGGTAGCCATCGTAGTAGCGCCACCCTTCTGAATCCATCCGACCCAAAAGATTCTCAAGCCCGTAAAGCGCGAAGCCGAAAGGCAGAATCCTTAATTCAGCCCAGTCGACAATTCCTATGATATTTCCAGTTTTGGGATTGACGAGGAGATTCATCATATTAAGGTCACCGTAGCTAAGAACGCAGGGAAGGGCTTTGGAAAAGAGAGCCGGGAGCTCCTTGCGGACCATGTCTAAGTTCGGTGCAAAGCGAGATAGCAGGTTTCGAGCAAGAAGATCAAAAATTTGATTGAAACTCCATAAGCATGTCCGCAGTTATATCTAAGTATGGCCGTAGGTCGTTGTTCCACGACTGCGCAAAGAGCCTGTTCTTAAATGTAAGTTCATGCAAATGAAATCAAAACATTGCTAGGAGTACCTTGCAAAGTCCTTGATAGTGTTACGCTGTCGGAGCATGTCCTCTGGAGGAATACGCGCTATTATGTGAGCAGTTCCAGTAAGATGCTCCATCTCGTAAACATAGACTGGCCGTGAGTCGCCCATGGTACCAAGATACTTGCAGCTAGCCACAAAGTCGGGATGGACTGTTTTAGCGAGAGAAATGTTACCCATGTCAATGACAGAGTTCTCATCTCTGAACTGGAAGAGCTTCGAGTTGTTGGGCCCCGCTGTCACGGTATAGCTACACACTCCTTGCATCTGTAAAGCAGTGGACACACCACCAGCGCGAGAAATGGCAAATTCATCACATTGTTTTCTGGTGACAGTAGTGTTCGAGTTAAAGAATTCATTAATTGCACCGTCAGGGCTGTAAAGAACATAGGTCGTCATTGTGGTGAAGTGGAACGGCGGAGGGAGCTGTGAGGTAATGTAAAGAGAAGAACCGAGTGGACTGGGCCAGATAACCTCAAGGCTCACCGCCATTTAATATTGTCAGCGGTCTTACCACGAAAAAATTCCCCGGGGCGCTGTCCTATCATTAGCCGCGGACCATTCCTCTCATCTCATTAGGGTTAAGATATTAATGCGAAATGAGATCGTTTGGTTTATTTGTTTCAGTGCGTACGCGTCTGTTTGGTTTCCGTCAAAGCTATAAACGTACGACACTCTGCTTCCTGGCTCCACCAAGAATGGTCGCATTTTCCATATCCTTCACTACGATAGCCGCATTTACTGGAGACTTAGGCTCCGGTACACCTATGCCTGTAGTAATCGCTTGCTTTTCTGGGGGATTTTGTGTAGCTTGTCTCGTAATCTCCCAACAAAGAAAATCCTGTTCTTTTTGAGCTTCACCAATGAACAACTTTGATTTATATACCACAGCCGTTTCTTGTACTTCTGCGAGGCGTCTGGGCGATCATAGTCAGAATTGGGTAGTCTAGAGTCGCCTGTGAGCGGAATCCTCCTTCAACACAACGCAGACGATCCCGACAAGCCCTTGCAATCCAGACCATTGCATCCAGGAACGGGAGGCCACGCAGGTTTCACATCCCGCATAACCACGGGCTGTAGTCCATCTGCACTCACGCTACGCTCCTTGTTGAGCCATATGATGCATGCCCTCTCATCAGCCCGTTATTAGCCCGTTCGGTAGGTGACGGCGGGATCGTGGCATGGTTTCGTAGCCGCAGTACCGGCATTGGGGAAGATGCAGCATCGACCGAGTTCAGGGTGCAGTATTTTTGCTATTGGCCCACATAACTGGGCTGGAATTTCGAAGATTCTTCGACTGGATGTAGAGAAACCAGAGAAACCGACGATGACGACAACCGGGCACCGTGGTATTTGCGACCAGCAAACCGCGAGCCATTCTGTGACACCGGGGCTATGCAAAGTAACCTCGGACGGGGCGGACAGAGCGGGGCATGCTGCATCAAATGCATATTGGCATTTTGCAGATACGAAAGAGGGCAGCGGGCTCAGAGATGAGCAAGGCGCACTATTAGAGGTAGACCTCGATAGCTCGTAGCGTGATGATTTGGGAAGTAGTAGAAGCATCGACACGAAATCACACCAATACAGCTACGAGCTAGATCATCCCAGCGATTCTGTTCCAGGGCGACTGCTCCATTTCATGGGAGAGAACGAGGTGGGCGTCGTATCGAGCGGCATCTCCGGTAAAGTGAAAGGGGTAGTGCGTCGGGCTGAAAGCCAAGGCGCAATGGTCGGTGGGGGCCGGAATGGAAGAAAGGGGGCGGCGATGAGTGTAAGATAGAGGAGTTAAGGGGAGGGAGAGGAAGGGCAAAGGAGGTCGAGAGGGCAGGCGTTGTCTTTTATATCGGAGCGATGGGGGGAAAGATGACAAGACGGTGTATTAGGGCGCAAGTCCGGGAACGGCAAAACTAACCAGATCTAGTAATTCACAGGTCCCAATACTAGCTGTCCTAGGACCAAAGTGGTCTTAGGACTGAAAATGTGCCTCGTCAGAGGCCACGACAACATTCTAAATCCTATACGCCGAGCTCGCATCGTAGCCAGCATCGTAGCCAGATCCGCACCAGCATCGCAGCTAGGAACGCAGCTAGGAACGCAGCCAGCATCGCAGCCAGGAACGCAGCCAGTATCGCAGCCAGATCCGCAGCCAGATCCGATCCGCAGCCAGTATCTAAGCTAGATCCGTAGCCAGCAACGCAGCTAGGAACGCAGCCAGATCCGCAGCTAGGAACGCAGCCAGGAACGCAGCCAGGAACGTAGCCAGGAACGCAGCCAGGAACGCAGCCAGGAACGCAGCCAGGAACGCAGCCAGGAACGCAGCCAGGAACGCAGCCAGCATCGTAGGCTGTAGCTAGTAGTATCGTCGCTAGTAGTATCAACTGGCAGCTAGATCCGTCGAGTCTAGCCAATTATGGGCTAGCGTTGCGACCGTAAAAGCCAGGTTGATGGATCGTAAGTCACATGATTTGTACTTCGCAGACCGCTATGGCAGAACGCCTCTTCCCCTAGGGAAAAAAAGAATACTATTATATGGCCCCCCCCCCCCCCCTAAGCGTATATCCCAAAGAAGTTAGCCTAAAATACTGTTGTAGTGTCTCTGACGAGACACAATTACATGATAAACATGACGGATATTACCCCAGTGTGTAGCTGAGCAGTGTGTTCAGTGTTGTACTAGTGTGTAGTTGAGTACTGTGTAAGTGTGTAGTATATAGAGTTACACGCCTGACGGCATCACAACCCCAGAAACCCACTTCGGCAGACTCTCTGACGAACTCAGCCACAAGACTGGAGGAGAATCCCCGGGCGCAATTCTTCCGTGAATCAGAGCCCTTATATTGCGTGGTCGTGACATGCCAAGCCCAGCCAGCCCACAAACCCAGCCTTCCGCTCGTAGTCAACACCCAACCTTCCAAGACTTTTGACCCGACCACAATAACTTGACTGGATGGAAAATTTGCATCGAGGATACACCAGCAAGACCAATCTCCAATGCGATTCCCGCGGAGTCCCCGCATGAATTTCACCCATTCGACCCTTCCCCGCGAGTCCTGCAACTGGGGTCTTGTCAAGAGTCCGTGCTGACGGCGGAGTAAACGTACTCTCCCTCTCCACCCGTGGCACAAGATCCAGCCCCACGCTGGCATAGAACTCCATCATTTGCCGGGGAAAAGAGAATCCATGCAAGAAGCCGATGGCGTAAAAGAGACCGGATCACACTCTTGTCAAGAGAAGCTGAAGCTTTTCTGGTCGGGAGGTGGCACAGTTACCGATACAGCCCATGGACCAGCAGACCAAGTGCCGTGGAGCTGCTCCGGATGCTCAGTACTACTGGGTGCAGGGCAAGAGAAGTCGACCCGCTTGAACCCCGGCTTTCGGCTTGAATGGTGGCTTACAAGCAGTTGCCGATACGGCTAATGATCTAGGATGCTGGGCTGGAAATCGAACGGACACAGACCAGTTGCGACTGTTCTTGGTCCGAGGGCCACCTTCAAGGCATAAAAGAGGGCCCCATCTCCCTCATCCCCCGACCGTTTGGATATTTCGCCTTTGCCAGCGTTCTCAATCCATATACAGGAGAACTTGTGACCGGTATCGTTGGTCATCTGTCGCAGACCAGGCCTTGAGTTGTCGAGTCTCCCGTCATCAGAAAGGAAATCTGAAGCCATATTATACCCTCACATCCCTGCCACAACTGCCATCATGGAGAAGGAAAGCTTCCTAAAGAACTCAAGGGTCTATATCCTCACCTCCGTGGCCTATCTAGGCTCGTTGCTCTTTGGTTGGTCCCTCTTTACATGTTGGCTTGCAGTCACGCAACGAAAGACTAATCTCTTGGGGTTTCTCTGATTCTAGGATATGACACTGGAGTGATGGGATCGGTCTTGGCCCTGGATAGCTTCAAACGAGACTTTGGCCTTCCCCTCGGTAAAGGCGGATTCGCCTCCGACAAAAATGCTCAGGTATCATCCAACGTCGTCAGTCTTTTGACCGCAGGATGTTTCTTCGGTGCCATTGCAGCTGCTTATATCAATGACCGTCTCGGTCGGAGATACTCTCTGATGATCTTCACCGTGGTCTTTCTGGTGGGAGCCGCTATTCAAGTCGGTGCTCACCACGAGATCGGGATGATCTACGGTGGACGTGTGATTGCCGGTCTGGGTATTGGTGGTATGTCGAGTATCACTCCCGTTTTTGTCAGTGAAAACGCCCCTGCCAAGTACCGTGGTCGTATTGCCGGCCTGTTCCAAGAGTTCCTCGTCATTGGAAGTACCTTCGCCTACTGGCTGGGTTACGGGGTCGCCCTGCGTATGCCCTCCAACACGAAACAATGGCGCGTGCCAGTCTCGATCCAGCTGATTCCCGGTGGTCTCATGTTGATCGGTCTGGTATTCCTCAAGGAATCTGCCCGTTGGCTGATGAAGCAAGACCGCCGGGAGGAGGCAATTCGATCCTTGGCTTACATTCGAAATGCGGCCCCGGACAGCGAGGAGGTTCAGGCCGAGATTGCCGAAATCCATGCTGCCATTGAAGAAGAGACTGCCATGACTGAGGGGGTTACCTGGAAGGAATGTCTGCAGAAGAGCAACCGATACCGGTTCTTGGTCGCCTTCTGCCTCATGTTCTGCCAGCAATTCTCCGGAACCAACAGTATTGGCTATTACGCCCCGCAAATCTTCCAGTCCATCGGCATCAGCAGCTCCAACTCCTCGCTGTTTGCAACCGGTATCTATGGAACGGTGAAGGTCGTGGCCACCGGCATCTTCTTGATTATCGGTATTGATCGCTGGGGCCGTAAGAATAGTCTGATGGGAGGAGCCGCATGGATGGCTGCCATGATGTTTATCATCGGCGCCGTCTTGGCTACCCATCCTCCTGACCCCAAGGCAACGGCGGTGTCTAAAGCATCGACCGCCATGGTTGCCATGATCTACCTTTACGTGATTGGCTATTCATTCTCCTGGGGACCAACTCCCTGGGTGTATCTTGGCGAGGTACGTTTGAGTGTCCTTCTTCCCTCTCCCTCTCTTGTTCGTCCCCTGGCCGCAGGATTGTCGTCCCCTAAGCCCTGCTAATGACTTTTCAACTCTGTCAGATTTTCCCTACCCGACTTCGCTCCTACGGTGTCGGTCTCGGCGCTGCAACACAGTGGCTGTTCAACTTTGTGATTACCGAAATCACCCCCCGTGCCATCAACAGCATCGGCTGGAAGACCTTCATCATGTTCGGTGTCTTCTGCACTGCCAACGGAGTGTTCGTCACAATCTTCTTGAAGGAAACTAAGGGCAAGACCTTGGAGGAGATGGACCTGATCTTTGGCTCTATCACGGAGGAGCAGCGACGCGCTGATGTGGAGCATACCTTGCATAAAAACGATGTTCACCACCTGGAGCATGAAGAACAGGTTCCGGGATCGCGTGTTTGAGACTTCTTTATAATAAGTTTTATGTATGCCTCTTGCTTGGACATGATGATTATCAACGAATATATGGACATGTTCAATAATATACCGCTGTGAAAATCACATGTAAAGCTTGCTGTATCAATGTCTCCCGGGAACCTAATCCATCAGCTTCATACTTCATTCACTCTCTCAACTACCACTCCTGAGTCACCGACAGTGAGATTTTTTTGGGATCAAAAATGAGACACGGAATCTACTTCTCCCAATATTGTAGGTAGGTGGATTGAGCTTGCAACTATTCAAGGTCATAGGTAGGTACCTCCAATTTGTAGCTTAGAGGGCATCAACAATCAGATTTACTACAATGAACGCAACCACCACATCAGGCAGGAAATCTCAGATTTCTTAGAGGCTTCCGTCTGTCCGGCGGTGTGGTCAAGTGAGTCTGCCTGACTTGAAGTTACAGATCTTTGATATTCATCTACAGAGGACGGGAGGTAGTGGAAAGAGAGCATCAAAGTGAAGGCGGGTGTCCGAAACAAAAAGTTGGGTGTTATAACATGACTGTCGACGGCTCTTCTCTCTGAGCACGCATCGCAAGTTCTCGGCGTCTCTCGCCGGTTGTATTCTCTTTCATTTCTCGTCAGTCTCAGGGTGACCCATACAGTGCCGGTAGCCGCTGCACCGGAGATGACCGCGACGTGTTCTATCGACTCGAGGGACGTTTCTGCTCTTCTGCCTGGTGCGGATCATACACACTAATTTTCGCACTCTTTTTTTCCACCAATCTCTCTGGGATGGAATTATCGCAGCTTTGGTGATGTCCGGTGACGGTCACAAAATGGTTACCGGAGTATGTCTTGCAATTCCAAACACGACTGACATAAGGCAGCGTATTCGTGAAGCCCCCCCCCCCCTCTCTTTCGGCCAAACTGTATTGTGTCGATTGCACAAGGTCTATCGAGGTATCGCCGTGCGACAGCAGGAAAAATAGCCATGGCCTCAGATTCATCAATCTGTCTGCGGCGTCGCGTGCGACTTCATCTTTTCAGACATCTTTTCAGCGTGCTTGTGGGATTGCTAGTGTGCAACACCATCTCACACGATTCAAGGAACAGAAACAGGCGGCGTCTCAAGCCAAGACCACTCCACCTTGACTCGACCCTGGTCTATATCGGCTACCTTCTTGAAGACTGCTTCCGTCACATCCAAGTCAGTCGCTGCGCAGCCTACGCACCGATCAACAATGGTCACGTCCACACTTTCACCATTGCGACGCAGTCTCAATTTCATTCCACACAGAGGATTCGTGTTTGGATTTGGTCCGTTGGAAGCGGCATCATACAAAAGATGTGAGACGGCGCAAATCATATCGGAGTCGGTATTGGTGAGCCCACATGACCCCAATGCTGGATTGTAGTACGTGAGATCACCAGAGTAGGGACCCCCATGGCTCGTGGGGAGTGGCAGATTTGAATGACTGCTTCAGATTTTGGTCAACAATCAACCATCCAGGTGTTCCCATTTCAACCGGCCATGACATAGCTTCGCATTGGCACCACTCACTTTTTCCCTCTTGTCAAGCCCACCGAAAGCCCAATGACCAGAGCAATCACTAGGAGACCCGCGCCTATACCAGCGAGGAGGACTTTGCGCGATCGTCGTTGTGACGCCCACCAGATCGCCATGCCACCAGCAGAGAATCTTGGTTTGTTCGTCTGGACCGTGTTCAATTCCACTTTTGGCTCCGGCTGCCTTTCTTGATCGCTCACTGTTTGGGGCGGTTCCACCGCAGCGGCAGCCGCCGGTATTGGTTTGCGCTTGGGCATGGAAGCCCAAGAGTCCTGGGTCGACTGCGCGACGGGCTCACCGTGAGCGAGGTCCATTCTCTGTAAACAGGTGATCCTGACGACTCAGAATCCTTATGAGTGGGGAGTTTGGAGCAGAGGAGTGCGGGGGAGAGAAGCTTTTTTAGAGTTGTTGATGAGCTTTTTCCGCTCGTTCAGGGGCTACGGCATGGTAGTCTCTTTAGGTCTTTTTTAGCGCCGGACCCATGCCCAATTATTAGAAAAGGAATGGATGGCGAGGAATGAAGGTTTGTGAGAACGGCTAGCAAAATCCCCAATCTGATCGCGTGGAAATACAAGTACATGTTCGCGATGAGTGAGTCCGAAACATTTCACTCTCTGAACGCTTCGTCGTCTGTAGCTATTATTATACGGACGACGAAATTGGTTACTGCATCTACCCGAGTACTCTCCAATCTCCAGTCTCCACTGCCGCAATACTTACTGTCGTGAAATGACAAGCTATCAGATGGGCCACCGGATGGGATCAACTGGCGGGTGGATTCTCGATCAATGGAAAAATGCAGTAAAAACAGGTACTTCGCTGATATACTACTACTACTACTACTACTACTACTACTACTACTACTACTACTACTACTACTACTACTACTACTACTACTACTACTACTACTACTACTACTACTACTACTACTACTACTACTACTACAATACTTCCGTACTACCGTAGACTGTACTGTGTAGATTTTACTGGTAGTCTACCAAAAGCGGAAAGAAATTGGGACTGGTGCTTGGGGCCTCGCCTTTTTGGGATTACTCGTGGTCATCTGACCCTCTTCAGCATCCCCGCCTTTTGTTCTGCTTCAAGATTGCTCCACAGCAGTCATCCTTCAACCAGAACTACTGACAATTATGAATGACAGCCCCTGCGCGGCCCATCTTTATTCGACTCAAGGATCAAGGGGCATACTAATCGGCAAGGCGCCCCACTACTTTCCAGTTCAATAGCCGCGAGCTCCACATGAAGATACCAGCGGTCGCCAGTGAAAAGCTAAAACTTCTCGAGTCCTCGGGCGTTGACGTTGTTCCCCTCAGTTCCTTCCCGCTCGGCGCTCGGCGGAATCCTCCCGCCTCGTCATGGATGCGCTGCTCTCGTCTAGGTTGCTATCGTTGATCGAGCGTGAACACCCTGATTGATCTTTGCATTGATTTCATTGCCACAAGATTCTGCCATCAAAAGCCCGAGACAATCCTCGCCTGCCCATCCTCACGCCGGTGTCGTGGACGGATTCTCAGTCGCATCGCGGGAGAAACGTGCATGCCCGCATCGGGCGGGAAGAAGCCGCACGCGCAGGCTCAATCGTCGTGCGCCAGTCGCCCAACATGACCGCTCGTACGAGCTCGTCCCAGCTCGGGTCGTCGTCGTCGGAGAGCTCGTCGGCGCGACCGTCGCTATCGAGACGTGACACTTCTGCGTCGAAGCGCACCACTCAGGCCGATGAGAAGCAGACCGTGTGGGGCTGGATTTTAAAACAATGGCAAAAGACGGGGCTCGACCAACCGACGATTTTGTTGATGATGAAGTCAGTCATAGCAGAAGAAGGATTGATAAAATTAGCAAGTTACATGTGATGGCTAACATGAACGATAGAGGTGGATTGGCCCCTGCAATTGCGATATCCATGTAAGCTCTCCACGTCCGGCTATTTCCTCATCCCCTCGCGCCGCTCGGATTTGGTTGACTCGCATACTGACATTCTTTGGAACAGCTATCAGGCTACTGATGTCGCTGAGGAGTACACGACGCTCGGGTATCTGATGGCCATTGTCTCAATCCTGGGATTCGCCATCATGCCTAGGGCAAAATTCGTTCAGATGATGATCTTCGATGTCCTGGCAGTGTGTCTGGGGGCCTGCTTTGCGTTGCTCACAATGTACTCCAGCGTGAAGGCGCGCGAACATACTCAGTCCCCAACGGATCCTCAAGCTTACAACTCGTCCGCGTCCGCCGTGAGTGGAATTTGGTTGTTCTTCCAGATTTGGCTTGTGCATACTTTTCGTGCCAAATATCCTCAATTTCAGTTCCCCGTCATTATATACGCTATCTTCGCCAACGTTGCATCGGTCTATGCCCCGCAGATGGCGAGCATGACCGCGGCCATTGCTCTGGTGACGCGAATGCTGAAAACTTTTCTCACCGGCCTGGCAATTTCGACGGCAGTCTCATTCTTCGTCTTGCCAATGACGTCGCGCAAGGTCGTCTTTAAACAAATGGCAGGCTACATTGGCGCACTTCGCTCAGCCCTAGATGCACATGCGGAGTATTTTGAGACGTTGGAGAAAGACGACATGTTCGGCCGGGCTGATACATTCGATGATGCGCACGAGAAAATTGACAAGACGGGCAAAGTCTACAGTCCCGAGGCGGAGAAGATTCGCCGTGCCGTTCGGCAAATTACTGACTTGCACGCAAAATTGCACGGAGACATCTCCTTTGCGAAGAGGGAGTTCGCACTCGGTCGATTGGGTCCGGACGACCTACAGCTGGTCTTTCGACACTTGCGTCGAATCATGATCCCTGTTGTTGGCCTGAGCTTTGTTGTCGATATCTTCCAGAGGCTATCGGACTACAATAAATGGAATTTACCAATCGATCCCAGTATCGATGCCCTTCCAGAGGAAGCTCGGTCCCGCGCTGTTCGCGACTGGAATGATATGATGCGAGCAGTGCACGACCCATTCGCCGAAATGATCCAGACCATCGATGAAGCTCTTCTTCACACATCATATGTCCTTCGTCTGGCAAAACCCCCTAAAAAGAGGGCAGTATCATCATCATCATCACCACCACCACCGTCGACTCCCGGTGCGATCCAAGCAGATATCGAAGATGTAGAGGCCTCAGCTCAAAACACAGCCCCTGGCGAAACAGGATTCACGGCGCATTTTGAGGAGAAGTTGGGCGCTTTTCGAGGAGTCAAGCGCATCGCATTGCAAGCTTGGGCTCAAGAGAAGGGTATTAAATTGCCACCTGATTTCTTTGACCATGCTTGTACTATGGACAGCTTGAAAGGTGATTTCTTCTCGGCATCTACTTCGTTTCAGGATCGAAGCCGCCGCCAATTGTACCTTTTTCTTTACGTAAGCTCATCATGCTTTTCTGGTCCTACTACTTGATTGCATTTTGAATCTGCTTTGGGAAATCACTGACTTGGTTCGGATATCAGATGCAACAACTTCTCTACTCAACGGGTCAAACAGTGCTAGAGTTCGTCAAATATGCGGACGATCTTGCTGCCAAGGGGAAGTTGTCACGAACTCGACTAATCATCCCTGGCTCCAAGCGAATGATCAAATGGGTAAAGAGCTGGCTCGTGACCGAGGACAGCCATGAGGAAGACAACATGGGTGATGTGCATGCGCAAAATAGTATGCTTGAGCTTGGTGAAGCCTACAGGCATCGCAAAGATCCCGAACACCTTCCTCCTGAAACTCTTTTTCAAAAATTTGGAGACAAAATTCGAGTGATTCCCTGGTTTTTTCGGTCCTTCGAGTCGAATTATGGATTCAGGGTAGCGTGTGCAACCATGACCATCGCCATCGTTGCCTACTTGCGTGATACACAGTCCTTCTTCATCAAACAGAGGCTTGTATGGGCTATGATCATGGTCAACCTCAGCATGTCTCCGACTTCTGGTCAGAGTATTTTCAGCTTTGTCTTGCGTATCGCTGGCACGACCATTGCCATGGTGGCCAGCTTGTTGATTTGGTACATACCAGGTCAGAATACCGCCGGTGTCGTCGTCTTTCTTTTCATCTTTGTCTCCTGTGGTTTCTGGATCCCCATCAAGATGTTCCGGTTCCGCGTCATTGGAATGATCAGTATTGTGACCACCACAATGATTATCGGATATGAACTGCAAGTTCGCAAAGTGGGGAAACAGGTTGCCACGTCAAATGGGCAGCCATACTATCCGATCTACCTACTTGCGCCCTATCGGCTGGCTGCTGTGACAGGAGGCATTGCAGTCGCATTCATCTGGACATTTTTTCCATATCCCATCTCAGAGCACTCCATTCTTCGTCAGAGTCTTGGCGCTTCGCTATACTTGCTAGCCAACTACTACTCCATCATTCATGAGACAGTCTCAGCCCGTATGCGAGGAGACGAGGGGGACATGACTTTGAAGAGTTCTGCCGGCCGAAAACTGGAAAAGGCCCGACACAAAGTTTTCTCGAAACAAATGTTAATGCTGAGTGGGCTCAGAACGTATTCTGAGTTCCTCAAGTGGGAGGTGCCCATAGGCGGTCGTTTCCCAAAGCAGCAATATGATGCCATCATTGTCTGCGTTGAAAAGTTTGTGGCCCTTCCGCATGTTTATGCCAATACTCCATGTTCCAATCTTCTGTCACGAGCTAACTCTCCATTTGCAGTATCGTGAGCTATCTGAGCTTGCTGGGATATGCATCCGACACCTTGATGCGACTCAGCGACGACGATGAGGACGAGTCAGGATCTGTCTGGATGCACGACTTTCGCAAACTGGTTGGGACTGCGAATGTCACAACCCATGAGGTGACATCTCTACTGTGTCTGTTGTCGGCCAGTATCACCAATCGGCAGCCTCTGCCTCCATACCTCAAAGCGCCACGACCTTATAGCTTCTCCAAGCGACTGGAAGCGCTCGACAAAGACATTCTTAGCATTAACCATATTGCAGAGCCGGGCTTCGCAGCATTTGCAGTCCTACAAATTTCGACTCGCTGCATTGTTGGTGACGTCGAAAGACTGATGCGGCACGTGAAAGGCTTGGTTGGAGAGCTAGACTTTTCATTTCATGCCGTGAGTACGATGGATGCGAGAATCGCAGACTCAAGATATACATCGCGAGCACCGTCACGGGTCAGCGTCAATGAGAGCCATACTGTTGATCGTGAGAAAAGCGATTAACCCAGAGTATGAAAAGATTACCAAGAATTCAACCGAAGAGGCGGTCTTTTTCCACACAGATACGGCACTATACTTACTACGAAGCAGTTTGTTTCGGTATTCCCTCGGCGAGTTTACGAGCTTGTATACAAAGCAAATCGAGGAAACAACAATTGAATGAGAAATTTGGTGTTTGCATTCCGAGCACAGGCCGTGTTCCAGCAGAAGAGCTAGACGTGGAATGTGTTTCTAGATGCTTTGGTAAGACTCCTGGTATAGACATAAAGCCAAAATTTTTGCAGTAGGTATGATTCAAGTTCATGGAAGAAAAAAAACACAGTTGATAGATACGCTCATAGGAGTAGGTAGGCTGTACATGGTCGAAGGTCATGCGCGAACAGAACAACCACCCGTGCAGAGGAGAGGCAGAAAGCAGCAAACGGAACAGAAGTAGCAGCGACACAGACGGAAGAAAGGGCAAAAGAACAAGTAGACACGCTTCGTTCAACGTGAGAAAGATCTATATCATAAATTCTTGGGGAAGCATCAAATTGGATTCATCATATTCGTACTTGGCACCGCAGGTTCCGGTGTCGCAACAGCAGCGCGAGACGGATTAGGAGAAGGCTTTGTGACAGGCCCAGGAGAAACAGTAGTCGGTGCACTGATGTCGAAATGCGAAGGACACTGACTGCTTCGACTTCGAGAATGCTCGCCTCGGGAGACGCTGCTGGCAGCCGTGCTGCTGCCAGGTTTGCCTCCCCGTTTGACCATCTTGCCCAAAATGCCGACGATCTCGGCGGCATCTTCGAAACTTTCGTCGTCCATGCCTTCTTGGGCATTGTAGACGTCCGCAATGGCTCGCTTGGCAAGACGTCGGGAGGAAACTGGGTCTTGGAGGCAGTCGTAGAGATAGGCCGCGTACTCTAATTTCACGGAGAGGCGTAAAGGGTGTGAGCCTGGGAGGAGCTTGTCTGCTAGCATCGAGGCGTAGTTGAAACAGGCGGTTGCGGTGCTGGTGTAGTCCAATGGCGGCAGAAGAAAGGAGGAAGCGTTCTGTGGGGGCTGGACAGGCGCAAGGCCCGGTGGTCGAGATGTTCTCCCATGGGACTTGATCGCCGATGCTTCCAGGGCAGTGAGTAGATCTGGGTTGTAGATCGAATCACGCTTCAGCTCGGCCGGCGGGTCGGCATCGGGGGGTATAATGACGGGACGATTGTAGAACAGCACGAAGATGTGGTAAAAGGAGGCGCGGAGTTTATATGTGAGCACCTTCAACTCGACAAACGCGGCGACCAAAGGCAAGACGTAATGCTCCAGGATAATTAGACCCTCCCGCGATAGCCAGATGAGGTGGTGGTACAATTGCAGTGACTTCGTTTCACGCGTAGTGTCCAGTCGTCTTAAACGTCGGGCCCGTATCAGCTTCTTGGACAACATTACCGACACCCCGAGCACTCGATAGAGCATTGCAGACAAGTAAGGATTTTCGAGGGCCGTCCCGGCCGCGAAGTTGCCTAGGGCCTTCTGATCCACCTCGGAGGAGGCCATCCACTTTTCGATAGCGGCGCCTTCACACTGGGCATCGTCCTGCAAATTAGCCATCGGGTCGAATGATTCATCAAATTGAGTTTTGTCATGCATGTCTCTGTGGGTGAAACCCAAGACACCGAATGAGACTTGAATGCGACCTTTCTCCAAGGTTGAGCAGGAAAAGTGTGCAGGTCTCATATGAAGGGGGATGCTTTCCCCAGATACTTCAAGATCGACCAGAGTAGGCGGCACGACAAAGAAAAAAAAAACAAGGAGGAAAAGGAAAGGGTACAAACAAAGGACTTACACAGAATAGCGCGCGTAGATAATTAAATTTGAGAGAGAGATGTCCCTAATTGACCCTCAAACGCAGACGCCTGCAGCATGCTCCGCGGCATGTACAGTTCGTACCTGGAGTCCTTCTTGGGAACCAATCGACTTGAGTCGAACAAGGGCGCTGCGGTCAAACCGGAGGTCAATCTGACTGATCTCAGAGTGGTAGCTCCAACTTCTTGCACTCCTTAACCTCCCCACGCAGTTCTGGAGCCGGTGATGCTTCCAGATGGAGACCAAGTCAAGCTTGAATCACCCCGAGTCACAACACCACACACACGACGTTTTTTTTGTTCTTTTCTTTTCTTCCCTTGGAATCCTCTCTGAATCTGTTTGCGGCACTCCCGCCGGATCGCTGGACAAAACGAATCCGCCTTACAGCAGTAAGGAGCTTCCTATCCGCCACGATCGCTTCCTCGAGCGCGGTCCACTTGTGCAAAGGAGCCTGATGGTACTCAGTTTGGCGACGACTGCAAAGAGTGACACATGCGTCTCTTGCATCGAGTATTGTGGCGAAGGTGGGACGTCGTGCAGCTGCCAGGGAGATCGCTAAGCACGCAAGGCACGGTCGGAGGCAGGCAAAGGCAAAAGGAAACACTTGTGAGTGATAGAGACCGATACTGGATACATCATGTACGGAACCTGGCGATGGTGGAAATTAGTATGAAGGCACAATGCCCGCCATGTGCAACTCTGGGCGCACACTGCGTTTCTGTGAGGAATTGGGATTGCGGGTGTAGCTCGAGAAGCTTCGCGGGGGGGATGACGATCGTTGGCGGTGGGTTTGGGATGCAGAGGCAGAGAGGCCAAGGAAAGGGCGAGACAATGGCTTCACCCGTAAAAGTGGGGGATGGCCGTGAGGTGAAAGGCAGATTTGTGGGTTTCTTCTTGGTGAGGAGGATCAATTGCAAAAGGCAAAGCCTCAAGATGAGTTGCGCCCCCAACTAGGATGGGTTTTACGACTACGAACACGGAGTAGTCGAGTAAGTTGGGCGAGTGACCAGGATGGTACCGACGAGGCAGTCAGGATGACGCAGGGCGGCGAGGTACTGGTGGGTCACCGTAGAGCTTCGGGCAGCGAAGTATATCGGGAATCGTGGCATGTCGTAAGATCATGGCCCAAATGGGACAAGAGGATCTTGTTCTCTCGAATTGATGCCTTTGTGTGTTTGCCACGTCAGTGTCGTCGATGTACCAGCAGATTTGGGCAACACCTACTTCATTGAGTTTTCGGAGACCACAAGCATGGTAGGATACCATGCACTTGTGTGTCTTCCGGTCGACTACATGTCAGTGTTGAGAGTGTTTCGTTGTTACAGCACCCTGAATTTCCTACTCCGATCTCCATGTAGACAACTAGACATGGCAGTCGAAACGACACTGGATGGGCTCAGAATATAAAAGCTCTTGAGCGACATGCACCCATCTCATTAATGGCGAGATGCCTACGACCAATGTAAGGCATGACTTTTGACTTCATCATGTCGCCTCAAGGGTCCCTTCCCACGTAGACCCGGAGAGCAGTTTATGCCCTTTTTTCAAGTCATACTTTGAATGCCTCACCCACCTCGAGTGGCAATGACACGCAGTACCCACGATCTCCACAGTTTTCCACATCGCGAGAGTTATCGATGGCCTCTAGCAGGAGTGATTGTACATCGACTTGCCGTCGCTTAGACGGTCCAGGCTGGCTGTCAGCGTGAAGCCATTGTTGCGTTGTCCCGCAGAATGCCATGCGCACATCATCTTTCGACCAACCCTTTTGAAGAGAAATCATCCGGGGGCAAGCAGAAAAAAACCGGGGCCAACCCAAACCCACGATAGCGCGCTACGTGGCAGCGGCTCACGACCAGCACCCTGGTTCTCGCCTCGTTTGACGGTCCAATTGGCACTGGATGCTCAATGTTTGACCTCGCCAAAGTGAAGTGCAGATCAAGGTGTATTGTTCCACACAGAGTTGAGTTTGATTTGTGAGCGCAAAGAGCCCAAGAAAGACCATCTGAAGGAAATCATCCGCAAAGACTGGCAATGCTAACAAGTTGAAAGAAAAAAGGAAAGTGTAACTGAGGCGATGCACAGACGACAGACTGCCAGCGTGGCAGGTGGCTGGTCGCGCCCACGGGAACAGTAGAGTACTCCATATCGCGGTAGTGGGTACTTGGGTTTTGGGTATCGGGCCGTCACTTGGCCCACGACTGGAATTATGAATATGGTTGACTCGGTCCTGTCATATCCGAGCAACCTTCCGAGGTACTGCGGACTTGATGAGGCGGTAGCTCACCGCCAGAATGATGTCGAAGCCATGAGATCGCGATCATCGTGGCGTAGCATTGGAGGAGTCAAAAACTCCGCCTGGAAGGGGCTAGTGATGAGGAAAGCCATCTGAAACATGAATTGAAAGACCTGCCCAGGCAGGCATTCAGTTTTCTCGAGGGGAGCTCAAGCGCATCCCGCCACCGTTGAAACAGGCTTGGATTGAGGCGTAGGAAATGGGGCCCGTTCCTGGGCGATGTGAGCCCCGAATGTGAACAAGAACGAATGCAAAAGCCGAGTATAGGGTTTGAGGTCTTCATTGCGGTGAGACACCAATATTGTAGAGTCTTGCTCGTAGCCTCCTCGTACTATCATGATGTGGTTAGAACTGGGAACGAGAAGATTTGATTTCCAATGTCAAGCTGACCTCAGATCGCATACGTCACATGATCCTTCAAGCCTGTGGACTGGCGATGTGCTCTGGGATGCACAGTTTCTTGAAGACACGGCTGCATCGGTACTCCCAAGCTATTCGCTGGATAGCCTGTGAGTTAAATGAGAGTCGCGCATCTGAAGAGGCCAGAAATTACAAGGCTAGCCCAACAGCCACTCCATGCATCTAGAGTACTTCATAGGGCAATCACGTTCGTCCAAGCCGTAGTTAATACATGCATTTATGTACCAGGAACGAATCCTGCCTGGAACTGACATTCGCCCGTCAGATGAGGCTCATTGCTACCTGATTTGGTGGGCGCCAGTTAACCACTTATGTGAATAGGTTACCGCATACCGCAGCTTTTTCATCTGACTATCTTCGTGTCTCAGGATAGACAGCCCATAGTTCCATTTCCTGTAGATTGGCAGCACGAACCCTCTCCACTCAATCCGGAAACGCTTCGACACTGATACCGATTCCTCGCGCTAAAAGATTTACCGCCCAGGTTCATTAGGAACCTCGGGCTCAAGACCCAGAAGTACGATGGAACAAGAGAGTTGTGTTGGGGGGGGGGGAGGAATGAGACCTATGAAGAAGGCAAACACCCTACAATCCAGCCAACATACCCCTGCCTGCTCGGACAGGGAAAGCCACCGGCATAGCTATCCGCGTCCCTTTTGCACTGGCGGCGAGCTTGGTGCTTCCATCCCTCCCGTCTCCAGATCATGACAGAATCATAAGCCAAAAGTAAGGAGCACCCAAGCTCGTGGGAAGGAATGATGCTGTTTGGGCAACCAATTAAAAATAACATTTGAGGAACAAGAGTTGAAAGACATTGAACTAGTCAGAAATCGACCTGGATGAATATAATGAAATGGAGCTTTCCCTCGGTGGTATAATGTGAAATTATCGCAGGGAAGCGAAGAAACTAAATTAAGGCATATTTGACAAAAGTAACCTTTCGACCACATCAACTTGCAGTCTCCCTCGGAGCAGGGAGCACAATCATTCCACATCTAGTGATTGATGCTTCAAGCTTGGACTCGGCCTGAGACACCGAAGTGCGAGATATACGGCATCTAAGCTTCGTGGTCAATCTTCTCGGTAACGGTACCATCCTCCTGAACAACGATCTTGTCCACCTGGAGAGAAGCCTTGACAGGGTTGGGCTGCTGGTAGACCCATTCAAGCTCCTCGAGAGTTCGGCCCTGAGACTCGACACTAAAAGTTGCGCGTTAGTTTGGGTGTTGATCAAAGTCGTTGCCATGGGGTGGCGCCAGTGGCGCAATCAAGAGACACATACCAGAAGAAGTACCAGAAGACGACCTCCAAAAGGTCCCAGCCGACAAAGATCCAGAAGTAGTTGGTGGAAATGTTGCCGAGACCGATGGGAGAGGCAAATTGAGAGATGAAACTGATGCAGCTGACCATGAAACCGGACAGGGCGAGACCCTTGGCACGAGTGGTAGTCTCCAGGGCTTCGGCGGGAACGACACCCTGCAAGGGAGTGTAGGTGAAGGAGAAGACCACGTTAAAGAGGTAGTAGAAAGCCAGGGCGGCCCGACCCTTGTCGGGGCTGATAGTGCCAGTCTGGGCGATGGGAATCGAGATGCCGGCGTTGACTGCCATGGTGATTGCGCAAGCTATATTCGGATGTTTAGTCGACGGACTTGGCTAGAGGAGAGTATTAATGACAGAAGCTTACCCAGAGTGCCGAAGATCAAGACAGGACGACGGGGCATCTTATCGGTCAACATGACAGCGATACCGGCACCGACAGCAGAGACAAGCGAGTTGACAATGTTGAGAAGCAGCTGCATGGAGCTAGACTTGTAACCCAAGATCTCAAAGATGGTCGAGTTGAAGTAACCAAGACCGTTACCAGACCACTGGCCGAAGACAGAGATCATGATAACTTGAGAGAAACGCCAGCGGCCACTGTGAGTGAACAGGAATGGTCGGTCTGCAAATGAAGGTTAATTAAATCAGCATTCGAAAAACAGGCGTTGACGACGGGTGATTGGGGTAATTTTGACTTACAGTCCCACCATCTCTTGTCGATACCGTCGATGCGGATACCATCCCTCATCTCCTCGATTTCCAGACGCACAAGACGAGCGTTGGGGTCGCCGTTTCCGTGGTACTTGACCAAGAAAGCAAGAGCCTCCTCATCACGGCCCTGAGCAAGCAGCCAACGGGGCGACTCGGGGATGAACCAGACAGCCACAATGACCACGATACAGGCAAAGCACTGGCAGACAAAGGGAATGCGCCACTGCCAGTTATTGCCCATGAAGTTGGTACCGTAGGTGATGATGGCCGCGGGAATACTACCACCGAACCAACCGCAGTTGTAGAAGCCTATCACGTGTGAGTTTGCGAAATTCAGGTTGAGGTCTTGATCGAGTGACCCGCGAGCAGGGATGAGACTGACCGACAGCACGTCCACGCCAGTGAGGAGGAGAGACTTCAACGGCATAGGCAGGCGCAGACACGACCATAACCTGGATACCAACACCGAGAATGAAACGTCCCACGACGAACTGAGCCAGAGTGCTTCCACTGGCGATGATGACGGAACCGATGATGATAATCCAACCTCCGGTGAACATACACTTTCGGCGACCAAGTTTGTCGGCGAGGATGGCACTGACTGGAGTCGCGCAAATGGAACCACTGCGGGCAAGTACAAAGAAAGCATCAGTCTCGATTGAGTTTTTCTGGAAAAGCGGCTGTGGCGAGCCAGACTTACACTGTGTAAAGCGAGGTGACGACCGAAACCTTCTGACCGGTCATACCGACATGGAACACGTTTTGATATTGGTCCATAGCCAGGACAGATCCCATAAGAGAACCTTATCTGAGGTTAGCTGATCCATTCTCCACCGTCTCCCAACCTCAGGAAGTTCCACCCATCACAATTCAGAACATACCATCGTAACCGTTGGCGCATGCGCAGAGGAATGCAACGAAGATACAGACTGTGTCAAGGGTTTGTAGGTCAGTAAATCGCCTTTCATGGCTGCCCAGTATGCAGACTCCTGTTATCATGCCACGTACAGTAGAGGTGGATCGACTCCTTGCTCCAGCGGCGGATGTTGGTCTCTTCAATAGCTGCGAAGAGCTCGGCCTAATACCCGTTAAATGGTGACCTCTCTCGGAGTGGTTCTTTGAGTCTGCTCTCCGCCTTACATTGTACACAGCCTTGGTCTTTGCACCGGCAATTTTTGCGGTCTCGCCGTGGCCCTGAATGACATGAGGAGTGTCCTCGGTGGCGGTAGAGATGCCGTGCACCTCCTCAGGGACGTGTTTCTCCGACAAGACGTGTTGCTCCGACATGTTGATGAAGTCGCAAGTGGAAACCCTAGACCGGACTGACCAATGCTTTAATCCGGGGAGAAGGGACTCTGCTGAGGTGATACCAGGTATGAGCCTACATTATGGAGCGAGGGAGCTCCACGACTTATATACCACGCGATCGGTTCGGATTGTCCTTGCAGAGGTCTCATCTCCTCGATGTAAGCTAGTCAAATTTGGGACTCTGCGGAGACCTGACAACCTTGTGACCCCAAGTTCCCCCCGGATCTCTCTCAGCATCTGGCCGCGGGATAGAGTCTGGGGGTGTGGCGTGCATGAGCAGCTCCGTATCCTGATTGGAATCGGGCCACTCCCCAGTCGGACCAGAGCTCGAGGGACCGCATTCAAGAGTCCAGGTCTCGTCCTAAAAGAATCAGGACACATTCTCTGGGGTATCGGCCCTATGTCCCGTAGGGGCATTGTGTTCAGCGAATGATTGGTTCGGCAGTGCAGGAACAGTAGTGGACGCCTCTCGACTCTTCTCGCCTCTTTGCTCTGCCAACTTCAGACTCTTTGGGAAACGTCTCTGCTGCGTTTCAAATCAGATCATCAATCTGATCCGCGTCCCCATGATTGGGCGGGTGGTGCACGCTCACGACCCTAATCCGCTATTCCTCGGGCCCGCGCCAATATTGCATCCCTCGGCAACGGTCCTCATGGATCCGTGGAAATTCTTTCTGTGGGGTGTTTCTTCGCCCAGTTCGACCCTTGGCCTGCACGCACATCCTGAATCATGGTCAGTGTGAGCATTGGAATCGAACGTGACTCATGAAGCAAAACAAGAAAAAAGAAAATTCAGCTATGGACCCTCCTTCAGAAAGCGCGTGGTTCAATTTTCCGTGTGGTGAGTCCGTAAGGTAAGACTGCATTCTGCTTGAGCGGAGGATCTCTCCGTTCTTAATTCTACACGGGTCCGCCCCCACAGCCCGCTAAACCTGTTTGGAACTGTCATCCCCAGTCACTACAGCCATTCCACAACTTCTCTGCTGCACTGAGCCTGGACATGTCCCATGCTTTTTGACTTTTTGATTTTTTGACTTTGGACCTTCGCATGTTGACTAGCTCGGACAAGGGAGCTCTCTCGGAGTGCATTCGCTTGTTGGATATCGGCCCGACTGGAATTCGTTCGCGGGCTCGTTCACTGTATGGCCTTGCCCGTAGTCGGAGTCGCTTGGCTTGGAGTGCATGCTCGGATCCTTTGGTCGCCCACACATCCAATTGAGTCGCTGCTGGAAAAGATGCCTTTTTCTGCTTTGGAAGATCGTCTTTCAATGCGATCAACATGAACCATGCCATCATTTCCTGGGGTAGGCGTGCGGAGCGATCCCGACAGCTCAGCCCTACTTCGAGTCGCACGATAATCAACTGTTGGCTATTCTGTAAACCTCTAGAATACGATGCCGATTGTCATGCAGTCGCCCTGTGTTACACTTACTGTTGGTCGAATGATCCCAACGCTCGCCAAATTAGGGACAAGAAAACGGCACCCTACGTGTGAACAGTCGGACCATGTTGGCCGATTCGGATGCTGTGGGAGTACCTCCGCATTCTGAGCGCTCGTCGCGTGCAGAAAAAAAGGGCTAATTTTAAGTCACAACAGGTGATTGGGTGCTCCCTGGCGAGAGCACAAGCCTGCCTGGGATCAAAGCTCGTGCCAACATCTCACCATCGTCCGAATCAAGCTAACTGCCAAATCATGTAGAGGCTCGGTCCTTCCTCCCTTTTCTTCCCAAAGGGTCGCCGCATTAACCTCGTCTCCGCTCGGATACGCGGTTAACGCTTCGCTTCTTGACCTCTCATCTCGGAGGGCTCGGCTTGATGATTGAGCATGATTCAGCGTGAACCTCCCCGTTCAGGGTCGTTCTCCAGTCAGGGTCCTAGTGCATGTGAGCCTAAAAGGAACCATCTGCATGGGCTGAAGGCTAGGAGCCGGATCTCATGGACATGGTCCGGTCCCACCGTAAGATGCTTTGACTCGGCGGCATCAGGAGGTCCAGTGAGCTGAGACCCTATCAGGTCAAATCGATGTCAATCTCGAGCCCCTAGTCAACTTGCAAGACTTTGTGATCACTATGCGGAGGCGAAACAACTAAAGGCCTTGCCGCTTCACGTGCACTTTTACTTGTGACTTCGAGTGGGGGTCTATTACTATTTTTCTTATAGGACAAAGTCTCGTATGTCAAATGGAGGCTCTTCAATCTTTGGGATACTTTTCCAGCACTTGACGATCACGAGATCTCAGAGTTTTCTGGATTGCCACCTGGTGTCCGAACTGCACATATCAGAGGACCGCTAGGCTAGGCTTAGCGAGATCGGGGCTTTCGAGTATCTGCAGCTGACCATGTTCAATCTCCTTTTGGTCGCCTTCCTTGGGCCCAAAAGCTCTGAACTCGGCTCCATCGGTCTCGGAATGGCTAGACCAGATCAATGCCCGATCAAGGCTCTTGCTCGTGTTGCCACCGTTTGTGGAGATTACTCCCTAAACTGGCTGTTGACTTTGCTTAGTGGCGTGCTCGCCCGTAGCCAGATCAGACAACTCATCTGCCAAGCATTGAAGGAAGACAAGGGGCGTCTCGGGGTGCATTCAGGTGGAGGCCGTGGTCCTCCGCAGCGAAGAGTCTCACTGGGGCTTTGCTTCTTCCCAGGAGCTTGGTGCGATATGTGGGCGCCCTTCCGAAGAGAAGCTGTCACGGTGTGTACGGCGTGCCGACCGCGCGCTGGCTTTTTTGGATCCAACGCTTGCTATTTTTGAATTTGACCAGACGAGCAACCCCCGGCGTTCCCCAAAGAGCGTGTTCCCGGCCGGACAACGGACGCCAGCATGGGTGAACAGGGGGGGGGGGGGGGGGGGGGGGGGGTAAGCACTCACTTGTCTCACGGAACATTGTAGACACTAGACACTCTGAGCAGGCAGGTGTTCCGTGATATGATTGCAATGCCATGATTAATCCACCACGCAAAATTCGGGCCGTGGCCCAGCTGATGGGTTGCTGGGTCCACTTCTGAAACGAGGCTAGCTTGCTTGGTTATTCGATGAAAGGAGAGCCAGCGTTTCTTCGCGCAAGTTGCATCCCTGTTCATGATATATCATGTGATCACATGTCAGCTCCTGTGCTGAGACGAGTCTGAACAATCTTCGTCCTCACTACTACGTGAAGGGTTCTACGAGACGTTGTTGTGAAGGTCAACCGGATCTTGGTCCATATCGCAGTCAAAGAGCTCAGAATTCCACTATCGCATGCCCCCAAGCGGGAGTAAATAATGTGCGACACTAGTTCTCTGTTTGGTTAGGCTACTGAAATCTTCTATTCTAAAGTCTATACTGACATATTCCTCATTGACTCATGATTCTGTACTATTTGAACCACCACGACTGACGGAAACCGGATCTATCAGTCTCTCTTTACGACTGCACTCCAGGGCTTGTACGTAGCGCAAAACAACCACACAGACGTAAGCATAGATCACAGCCCGCTACCTACTGGACCAGGCTACCCACCTAAGATATGAGTTAGGAAGTTTGACCACAGATCACCCCAGCGACACCAAGCAAGCATATTCCAGCACGTAGTCAAACTTGATTCTGAAGTACGGCAATGACTGACACGTAAGGGTTGTCGGCAACTTTGTGGACGTCGACTTACAGAATTCTCTATGTACTACTACGAACTATCCTTTACCAATCGAGAAAGTCTTCAAGGATGATTTCCGAATTTAGTTGTCCCATTCATGTGTAATCCAAGGGTGCTGGAGGGTTTATTCATTAAAAGATTGGAGAAGCATCGTCAAAATGCTCTGAAAATGGTGGGATTACCCAGCGATCTAGGTACCAAGGTCTAGCGTGTCAGTAGTGGAGAGACCCTAATCCGCCTCCAGCTGAATTTGCGAGGGAGGCCTCGTGAATAATTGAGTGCAAAAGCCCTCGATGCTCTTGAAGGACTATACTGTTGCTTCTCTCGATTAGCAACGGTCTGTACGGAGAACAAGCGAAAACTACCAACTAGTATTCCCGATGCCATTGTCATTTGGAACGTTCCCGGGAGTTCTCCCTGCAGATAGGTATGCGAGTGACGTATTCGAGGCGTTTGACAGGAGCAGTGATGTAAGAACCAGATTCGGCAAATCTTCGACGGGAATATGCGTAGTCATTCAGGTTGAGCAAGGTAGAGGAACGAAGAGTGCTTGGTGCCAGATGGAGAAATCACAATTTTCCCTACTCGAAGCTGTGAATGCATTCCAGCAACCTCGAGTCCGTTGATATATTCACTGGGCAACTCCCGCCCTCGGATTATCTTGGCATAGGTAGGTTTGACTTTCGTCTTTGTCATTTCTTGAGCAGAACCCCATTTTTTTCAGTTGACGTATATGTTTTCGGGGATATCGAAAGCACGGACATGTGTCTTTGACTGCAAATTATACAACCTTGGTGAATTTTTAGACGTAAACTGCCTAGTACCTACCTAGTCAAGATAATAACGTACTAAACTTGAAGCCGATCTACACCTACGCGCCATACCAGGTAGGTGCTGGACCTGGGAGCCAACGACGGGCACTCTTACAATTATATGCTCGACAGATCGATTGGTATAAGACGCTAATGGATCTGAATTTAAACACTCTATTAGTGTGATCATATCATCAGGCAGCCGGGAGAATGAGTAGGATGAGCTAGAAAGCCCATCGAATGAGTCCATGTACGCTATGTTCGTTCTCGGGTGCTCTTTCTTATCAGCCGACTTGGCTGACCTTCCGTCTTCACTCAACACGCGAATGCCACTCAATGTGTGGACACTGGACAGTACAAGAGGCATTGAACGGGCCTAGAAGTTTCAAAAATATACACTGGTACGGTTGGTCGAATAAGTGAAAACATGTCATGGGCAGGGCTCAAGGCACCAGATATTAGACAGTTGACGTTTGATACTTCACATGTTATGAACCGTCCGCACCACAGCTGAACGAGGAGCAAATAAAGTCGTGAGAGAGATGCGAGCAATGCTGCTTGACTGAGCGGCTGTAAGCTATTATTTGGGGCATTTAAGATAAGATGTCTATAGAGATTCGTGAAAATTTGTATATTAAGTGCCAGTCCAGGTCATTTTCCCTGTCTCAAGCTTCTTCTTCCGTATTGAACAATAATGCCCATTCTCCGCAATGCCACATGAGTATCACAAAGCTTTTGTCGTAGGCTCTCAAGCGTTATGCGGTGTCTTTTCGATAGCCACACGCTCATGAGAGGATTCCATAGAGCCCAAGTCATCATGAACAGCCTGCTCCTCATCTTGACGCCAAAAGTCCTTCTTGCCGTGAGCAGCGCGCTTCACCCACGGAGGCAAAACACCACCGGGAACCTTCCAGGACCATGGGTCAGATTCGTCCTTGTTCGGGGGCACAATTCGACCACCACTGGCCTTTTCCAAGAGCCAGGCTGTACCGTTGAGGATGACGTAGCTCAAGATGCCGGCAATGAGACCGTAGGCGATACTGTAGGTGAAGGGCATGATGGCAATGGTCAAGAATGCTGGGACCGCGTCGCCAAAGTATCGCCAGTTGATGTTCGCTGCGGATTTGGCCATCATAGTGCCCACGATCACGAGAGTGCATCCGGTGGCCCAGGGTGGAATGGATGCGAAGATGGGGGCGAAGAAGACCGAAATGAAGAAGGCCAGTCCCGTCACGCAGGAAGTTAAGCCTGTCTTGCCGCCCTCGGAAATGCCGGCGCCAGACTCGACAAAGGCCGTGACAGGGGGACTGCCGAAGAGAGAACCGATCGAGATGGAAATGGCGTCAACCATCTAGAGTATTTGGTCAATTGCCATGCCTCTTCAAGTTGGAGATGACGAGAAGGGGAACACTCACGTAGGCGATGGCGCTGCCTTCAAAGTCCTGCGTGCGTTCGTCGATGACACCAGCGAATCGGGCCATCGAGTACATAGTACCCGTTGTATCGAGAATATCAACGTACTGCGGATGCCACGGTCAGTCACCGATGCAATTTCGTGCCAAGCCAAGATATCAACTTGAGAACATACCAGGAAAGTGATAAAGGCCAAGCCGAATTGGCCACCGTGGTCGGAAATATTCCAATCCTGTGCGACGAGGGTCTTGGTGATTGGGTGGAACGTCACCACTTTCTTGAAGAAATCAAACATACTGTCGCCGAGTGCAGTGTGAGGAAAGTAGGTCACGGGAGTCGAACGCGGCCATGAGATGATCGACACAAGCAGAATTCCCATGATGATCGCACCCTTGACCCGATACATCATCAAGAGCACGGTGAGAAAGCCACCACAGAAAATCCCGATCCACATGGTAGGATTGCGCATCTTCTCGCTGCTGATACACAAGCCAGTTTCCTTGTCAAAGTGCTCGGCCGCACATCCAGCCAACTCGATCGGCGTAGATGTGGCGCCTTGAACCAGTCCAATGCCAGCACTGTAGGTCAACCCGATCAAGGCAAGGTAAAGACCGATGCCAACACCAGTGGCGAGCTTGATCGAGATGGGAATTGCACGTGCTAGCCATTGTCGCATGCCGAGAAGGGTGAGGCCCAGGAACACCCAACCCTCGACAAAGACGGCGGTCAGAGCGACTGAATACGGGATCAACCCATTGCCATGGTATCCGACCACGGTGTAGGCGAAATAAGCATTGAGACCCATGCCGGGGGCCAGCGCGATGGGCAAATTGGCAAAGAGACCCATGCAGAAAGTTGACAGGGCAGCAATGGCGGCAGTGGCAGTCACGATGTCGCGCTTCACCTCCTGCACACAAATCAGGTATTCCTGGTTGGTAGCGCAGAAGTCGGCGATGCTGTCGGCCGGGCAGACACAAGTACCACCGGACTCGGAGGTGATGGTACTATTCACCGAGATGATGTAGGCCATGGCGAAGAAGGTGGCAAGACCGGCGCGAAGCTCGGTGAAGAAGAAGCTGCCCTTGCGTTCCCTTGGCTTTTGTATCACATTACTCCACTGTTCGTTTTGCGTATATCGCAGCGATCACTCACGTGGCCGGAGTTCTCCAGACGAAACCATCTTCCCACCGGGCTGCGCGCGATGCGCAGGTTTGTGTCATGAATCCAACCCTTGAGCCCCATTTTGGTCGCCGTGATGGTCCTCCAAATGTCTCTTCTCGAGTGTAGCGTGAGCGCTGGCAAGTCAGGAGCCGCAGATACGGCTCAACGGCCTATTCAGTCAAGTCACGAAACAACGAGTTCTTGATGACAAGAGAGAAGAAAGGACCAGGTCTGGAAAAAAAACCGCCGCCCTATTTCCCTTTAAGAGGGCTGCAGGAAGCCCAGATTTGCCCGATTTCCTCCGCCCACCAGGCCCTGTAGATAAGCTGCAGCCTCGAAATTTCTGAGCTGACCAGTGGAATAGACTGAATGGTTATCTACGAAATCTCCAGAATCCACCGCATGGGGGCCTTGGCGGGCTTGGCATACCCTCGACCCCCCGCCCCGATGGCCCTGGCAATTGGTCCCCGAGGCCTCTGGGGTGCCGACAGCAGATCGTTCCATGGGTTCGAGGCTGCTCTACCCGTCGGCCGATAGAGTAGTCAGTAGACAGACAATTGCTTCTTCCGGCAGGCGATCACATGCAATAGAGATACAAGCCTCGTGCGGAGAATGAAGCAACTGGTCTTGCCAAGAGGCTGTCAGACACCGATGTACTCTCTTGTGAGCTGGTATATCTGGTCAGGGCACTTTTCAGACCATCAGCCCTTCTGGCGGGCAGATTTAAGGTTCGATGGCAGCGGGGCTGGTGCATGCGTACGAGGGTTCGGGCCAAAGAAAAACAAAAGAAGATGATAGCTGACGGACCAAAAAAAAATGTAACGAATCACCGTATCGAAAGGCGCGCTCTCGGCACCCTCCTTGGCAAGAAGCCTAGCTTGCCTCAAGGGCTTTCTTGTCGCAAGTCACGAGTCTCGATAGGCCGCATTACACCACATTTTAGGTATGTCACCTCCGTCTTGATAGGGCACCACGTGCCGAACATACACAAACTAGAACATGCTGGTCCAGAGAAGATGAGTCAACCTGAGGCTCTGAAGTGAATTGCCGACAATGCAATGCTCCACCATTGCTGTGGAGCCGAGTCCACCCTGCAAAGTGAAGTCGGATTTCCGTTTTGATATACTCGAACCCTGCCGTGCAGAACTCCTCACGTAACAGCATCCAACACAACAATGAGGCTGAGCTCATCATCATATCGATGCCTCATTCTATCGTGACATGTTCATAGGCGACGGCGAGGGGGAAATCTCACCCACCGAACCGACTTTGATTTGCCCACACTTCGACTCTTCGGAGATTCGACACGTGTGTACTCGTATAGTACCAGCTTGCAAGTCACTGATTCGCATCACACGCATCAAAGAAGTACAGATCTTTCAATCTGCCGAGTCACCTATTGCCAGGCTGCACTGTACATGATACATTATATGGACTATACAGTGTTGAGTGTTGACTGCCGAGTGCATACAGCAAGTAACTAAGTATGTACTTCAGCTCGCCATGTCTCCACCGTCTTGTGGAGAAGATTTTGAGGACAAAAACTTCCCGCGGGAAACACTAGATAAGGATCTCATCTCTCACGTGATGTTTGTCATATACCCACCACAGCACCTTGCCACCTAGTACTGGAGCTCTTCCATGGCTTGCTGAGCGTCTCGACGAAGATCGGAGACTCGTCAAGTTCCTCGGCTGCATATGGACCGTCATGTCAAGATTGTCAAGATGACGTTGATCTGTGCCTGTACAGACTGAGATGCAAGCAGTGAAGTCCTCATTCAGAAATCATGAGTGCCGACTGGAAACGGCCAATAGCTTCGAATAGACTCGGCCCGATGGCCGGTGCACCTGAGGGTCATTCTTGACCCGCACAACAGGCCGAGGCGGTGGCCGTAGCAGCGACGCCTTGACCGGAGTCACCTGACAATGGATCACGTGACTGCAAGGGGCTCAGTCCGGAGTCGAGTAGGTGAGCACTTCGGCGGGCTTCCTCATTCAGAAGCTGAGATCCCGACAGGACTAGACTAGACTGGAATGAACCGCCTCGGATGAAACCCCCACCAAATTCAACTCCGAAAAGCTAGGCTCGAAGCATGAGGTTCGACCGTGAGCACTATCTCCTCACCCCACAAACATGGACTGCCTTGGCAAGGAGCAGTACTGTACCGGTTTGAAGCTGAAGCAACCTTCCGACAGCAACCATGATTGCGTATGTCCGCTGAATTGCATTTCGTTTGCGGGCGGAGTGCACTGAATGAGGCTGACGGGAGCTGTCGCAATACCTGATCATTCGCAATGGTGAAGACAATCTTGACATACAATTCTGTTGTTCCTGCCTCGGCTGGTCAGCGGGGATGTCTTGCCCCCGCTGGGCAGTCCGCCGATCATTTGTCAGTCTTGTTGAGGGGAACAAGATAATCTTAATAAGCAAATTTGGCGTGGGCACGCCGGCCCATCCAGAGGCCATATGTTATAATCTGTGGTGGACCAGTCTGCTGCAACGACAGTGAAAGCCATCCCATCGATTCTTCGGTTCCTGAGCTACTGTTCACCCACGGCCACTTCCTTCCACCCACTGCAACTTGCATCCTCCGAGCCACAGGCATGATGACTGAACTTCATGGACATTGCGACTCCGCATTCAACGCGGTGCGTGCGTTGTTTCGTGAACGACTCGAGAGCGGGGCAGAGATCGGTGCATCACTGTGCATCAACATTGACGGGAAGAATGTACTTGATCTATGGGGCGGCTTCGCAAACGAGGCCCGCACACGACCGTGGGAACGAGACACCGTAACCGGTGTGTGGTCCTCTTCAAAGGTCGTTACGTGTCTGGCCGTCAATATACTCGCGGATCGAGGGCTTCTTGATGTCAATGAGAAAGTGTCTACTTATTGGCCCGAGTTCGCTGCGAATGGCAAGGAGAATGTCAAAGTGTCTCATATCCTCAGCCACACGGCCGGTGTTCCCGCATGGGCTCCCGGAATCACGCTCGAGGAGATCCTGGATGTCGAGGGAGCCACCAAGAAGCTGGCCGAATTGGCCCCGATGTGGACTCCGGGAGAGTTCAGTGGCTATCACCTCGTCTCGCAGGGTCACCTGTTGGGTGAGATTGTGAGACGAGTGAGCGGCAAGTCGCTCACGCAGTTCATCGCCGACGAGATCGCCGGTCCCTTGGGTGCAGACTATCATCTCGGGTTGCCCGAAGCTGATTGGCCTCGGGCTGCGGACTTGATCCCTCCCACTGAAAGCCGGATGCCCCAAATTGATCCCGCCAGTATCGCTGCCAGGGCGTTCGCAGGCACACCCATGGGTGCGGCCTTTGCCAACTCACCCAATACTCCCGAATTTAGGAAACAGGAACTTGGGGCCATTGGTGGATTCACCAATGGTCGCGCTTTGGCCCGCATCGGAGCAATGGTGTCGTGCAAAGGTACCGTGGATGGGAAACAGATCTTGTCCCCTGGGGCGATTTCAAGTATGCTACAGGAGCAGGCTGCTGGTACCGATGCTGTTTTGATGACTTATCTGCGCTTTGGTCTCGGGGTTGGCCTGCCAGTTCCCCAGAGCTTACCTGTCATCCCAGAAGGAAACATTTGCTTCTGGGGAGGCTGGGGTGGTTCATTGATTTTGATGGATCTCGACCGTCGGATGACCATTGGGTACGCGATGAATAAGATGTATCCAACTGTGGTGGGATCGGAGGAGACGACCCATCGATACATCAAGGCAATTTACGAAGCTGTGAATCAAGCCAAGTTGTAGGAGACCGGATGAGAATGTATCAGGCTTCAAGGGCAGAGCTCGTCTTCGATGTCCCAGGGTTGACTGGGTAGAGTTCCAAATATCGAGCATTCAAGATCTATGGAAATTTGCACGCTGGGATTTCCTGCCGCCAATTATCAGCAACCTACTGTCTGGCTCCGTATGTGTGTACATCCAGTCTCTAAATATACTTCTTGGTTGCCACATTACGCAAACCAGTACCCGCGCTGCTAGTCTCTTTGAAGACCAGCTCGTCTCGCTCCCACATCAATTCCACAGCAGCCCCGACAGGGCCTGACACCACAGTCAAGAGCGCCACCTTCACCAGGAGACCTGTCACGGAAACAGTGCTCAGAATCTGCTTGTGCGCAACAGTATAGAGCTTGCAGGCCCAGAGTAAGACGCCCACAGAGCCAATCAGGTAGTCCCATCGCAGGAAGTAATGCACGCCCTCGGCGACCGTCTGGACTTTGACCCCCGACCACGGAAAAGCAATGACGAAGACTTTCGACGGGTGAAACTGGTTGACATGTTGCGGGTTGAAGATTGCCGGTGCAACAAGCGATGCGACAGATACGACCAGGGTGATCAGATGGGCAACAGTTGCATTCGCAAAGGCCGATGCGTAGACCCAACGTAAGCTGGACATGGATGCGCGGTGGCTCTTGTGGAAGAAAGGCGAAAGCGCATAATAGGCCGCCGTGGTCAAAATCGAGACATAGGCGGGCCATGGCTGCCAGAAGGCAATTGCGAGCTGTTTCATGTCGATGGATATGGTGGATGGGGCCGGAAGAACCATGGTCTGTGTGGGCACCATGTATCCGATCAAGAAGACAAAAGGCAGCACGGCCAAGACAACCCGGGGAACCTGGATATTATCGGCAGTGGGACGACGTGCCGTGACCGAACAACCCAAGTGCAGGCCGAGGAGAAGAGGGGTGGCGAAGGCGAAGGTCATCAGCTGTGCGACCAGACCGAAGATGGCAGGACTATTCGAGATCATTAGTACTGTCAACAGCACATTTGCTTGTCGTATTGAGAGTGACCCACTACGCAGCTACTGTTCCTGCATTACCTCTCCGCCATGATTCCAAGACCACGAGTGTCCAGGCCGCCCCAAATGCGCCCGAGAAACCGACGCCGTGAAGCAAAAGCGCGGGGCTTTGCCCATCGAGGAATGGGTAGAAGAACGCCGTCAGCACCGTCAACACATGGTCGACAGACTTGACCCCAGTGAAGTGAGTACGAATCGGTGCATTCACGCCCGGAAGCTTCCCAGATGCGACAGCCTCGCCTGCGAGCTCATCCAAGCCATTGATATGGGCAAAGTAGAAGATCGCATACAGCGCAAATGCACTGAGTGAGAAAAGCACGTATCGCATGATCGCTCAGTTTGGGTCCGATGTACTATGGCAAACGGCCAGACGAGCAGTAGAGCAAAGCAAGGGAACGTTTTCTCAGCACGAGTTGCGGCGCAAGGCTGGAGATGGATCTCTTTATAGACATCACTATGAACTGAGGCCTGGCATTTTCCAATGAAATCTTGTTCGGTGACGGGCTCATGTCTGGTTCCGACACATGAGAAAGAGCCAAGGCCGTTTGCTGCAGCCTCGAGCCTTTTCCGCAATGCGGGCTACTGCAGTTAGTCACACAGCTCTGCTGGATCATGCAGAGCTCTCCAGTTCTCTGCCTGAACCATGGTTGTTCCCTGACTTGCACGCATCACCAGCCGCTGGTCGGAGTTCGGTGGAAGCGATGTAAGGTTCATTGTGGATCTCCGTGGACCCCCTGGGAATGTTCTGAAATCTGAACGAGCTTTCGGCGAGAAGTCTCCACTGAGATGGTCTCACCCTACACCGCAGAAGGGTCAGCACCGGTGATCCTGCGATCCTGTCGTAGTCTGAGCAGCAGATTTATGATAGCATAAGTCACTAATTTCATGCATAGTTCTTATGGAAATCAGCCACGGAGCAATGCCCAGCCAGGTCTGAAAGGACGATAGCGCTACACTGTCCAGACGATGTAGATCACACAGCACGTGTTCTATCACGTGAGAAATGGCGTGGAATTATTGCCGACTAGCGAGTGTACGAGTAGAACCATCACTTGGTGTCAGTGATACTTCAGTTACTGTGTAATCACTGTAATGTGTATAATGACCCCTCTTGAGGTAGCCGACGGAATCGAAATGACCAGATCTGGCTTCAATTTCACTCGGTTCTGGTAGACTCAGCCCCAACTTATGCAACATCTAGTTACAGGCCTTGTGTTCATTGTTCAAAGGGTGTTTCACTTAATGACAAAATTGCAGTATTCTTTAGTAATTTCATGAAGCAGAGTAACTTGATCGTCGAAGATTAGGTAGACTCTGTACCGACTAGTAAGCGCCGTATTAGGCTGATACTGTAACTTCCTTCAACGTTTGTGAAGAACCTGCACCTGTTCAGAGGATGCTGTTACTTGACGTATTCATAGTTTTTTGAACAGAATAGTATAGATCACTGACTTCTCCCCCATCTACAGGTAACCTATGCTTTTGAAGCATTCTGAATCTTGATATAAGCTTCCTGCACCTCCTCACGGGTACGCATCAAGCTCAACCACTTGTGAATCATGGGATACTTTTCCAAGGACAGCCCAGCAAATTCATGCTGTCGCAGCCATGGCTCATAGTGATAATCCACGGCAGTGATTCGGCCAGGCAAAATACTCATTCCATCCGACTTTTGCAACTGTCCTTCGAGAACATCGTAGCATCGGTAAGCTTGAGCAACGTATCGTTCCAGTGCATCTTTGTTCTCTTGCTTGTGATAGTGTCTAGGGAAGTTGGACGATCAGCATTCCTTCCATCACACAGTATTCCCCCTGCAAGTCGGGAAGACAGTGACCTACCTGAACCAATTGACCTGTCCCATCATCGGTCCCAATGTCGTGAGCAGGAGATATTCCCACTTTTCGAAATCCACCAAGTCCTGAGCCGTTCCTCCAGAGGGACCAATCTTGTTTCCGTTGTCATAGACCCGACGCACATAGTTCATGCATGCTCCGGATTCCCATGAGACCACGCCCGTGTTGGGGTCCTCCAGAGCAGGCACTCGCCCATTCTCATTGATCTTGAGGAAAGCCTCCCCCTTGACACCCTTTTTGGGATCGTCGCCAAAGTCCCAGTTCTTCACGGTGAAGGGTATGTTGAGGGCTTCGAGCGCCATGGCAATTTTGACGGGGTTGGGTCCCGTGGCGTGGGCGTGCAAGATCAGAGGTTTAATATGACCACCCATTTTGCAGGTCGGATCAACTATGACGGGAGATTGGTGACAGTGTCAGGGTTTTGAATAAGTCACTGGCTGTGAAACTGTGTGCTTGAGTGTCGAGAAGAATAGAATGGGCAGATTGGAATGTCGAAGGTGTGAGGGGGTTGGATCTTTGAGTGATGTCACTGTCGGGTATTGTAGTGGCAAATCGAGCTGTTGCATTAAGTTGCACATTTGCTGGAACCTTACGGGTCTTTCGGAATCTGCGGGGACAATCCACTAGGTCATTCATGGTTCATGTGGGGTTTGACTATGCTGGACTAAACGGACAAAGCGCTTCATAAAGCTTCAAGGAGCTTAATGCAGGTGGTGGCTCGGATCGAACCTGGCTATCTTGGTAGCTCCCAAGGTCAACGGGCAAGCGAAGTACCGATCACGTTGCTTGATTCTGAAGCATTCCTCTCGGCGACACCATCAGACAAGCAGCTCCCTTTCCCATCTCAGAAACTACACCCCAATCGCAGCAACAAGCGCGTCCAACGCGGAACTGTGTGTCGAAGCATCCACAGAGGCAACTGGCCCTGCCCAGTTGACACCCAGTTCATTGTCCGGATTGCGATCATTGGTCCAGATACTGTCCGCGCAAGAAGTAATGACTCGTTGATACACCGCGTTTGGAGACGCCATCTGCAGGGACTTTAGGTTGCGGATGAAAATGCCCTTGAACTGAGTCCCGTCGGGGGCACAGTTGGGCTCGCAGACGTCGTGAATCACCGAATTTGCATCTGCGAGCTTGTTTATTGCCGCTTGGGCAATTCTGTTTGCCCAGTCCAGATATGTCTGGTTTGGTGCCGCTCTATTCAGTTCAACCAAGCCACCCAATATGACGCCTTGGTTGTAGGACCAGCTGTGTCTTGTTGTCAGAATTGAGGAGACTTTTCTTCCATGGACCAACAATAACGAATGACGCACTGTGAGCATGCTGGGTGACTTACACAGTCTGCTTATTATTCTGACAATTTCCCAGAAGACCATCGTTGATCGTGTAATCAGGGCCAAAAAAGTCCTGGGTCGAGAACCAGGTCCACTGTTTCTGCGCCCATTGCACATAATTCTCTTTCTCGACATCTGATGACGCTCGATTCGCAAGGTGCGCAGCCACCGAGAGGAACAGCTCGTTAGTGATTGCATTCACATATGAACTGGTCGTGCTCCAGTATATGCCACCGTTTCCGCAACGGGTGCCCCAGACCTTGGCCTGTAAGGCATCCGGAGTCAGCGAATCTGTCCGAAGAAGCCTCAAGTCAACCGGATAGCCCTCTTCACGTACCAGATTTGCGAAAATTCCCTGGGCCAGAGTCAGATATGTCGAGTCCTTGGTAACGTCGTATGCTGCAACCCAAGCCAGTGCCCACCAGCCGTCATCATCGTACGCCGAGTCCAGCCAATTGACCGCATTCACACCATCTGTGACTCGAGCTTGGGTTCTGTTCTCGGGGCCGGGATTGGGATTATAGACTGGGGCCTGGGCGAGAGTATTTTGAAACACACCGGTTGCGAGATCTCCCACTGAGGAGTCGACTTGAGCCATATCTGCAATCACAGTCATGCAATTGGCGCCATTCCACCATCCGCATGTGTCCCAAAGACCGCTGGTTGTATTATACCAGGTCTGTAAGGTGTTGAGCGCTATTTGCGCCCGTGCCAGCTCGTCGCTGGCAATCGCACTTTTAAAGTGAAGACACCCAAGAAAGACGATTCCCAGTCTGATCCAAGGCAATGAGTACATGCTTGTGACTCGCTCTCTCACTCTCTCTCTCATACACACACAGACACAAACGTACACCAAAACCAAATCCGTTCAAGCTGTTACGTTCGAGCTGTTACGTTCGAGTGTTCAATTATTCTTCTTCTCCTCCTCATTCAATAAGCAGCAGAACGCTCCCTGATATATGCTCACTGCGGATCTGACAGCAGCAAGGCAGTGCGACGGTGAAACGTAGCAAAGCGTGTTTTGAACACCACCCCCGTCAAACTGAACAGCGGTCTATCCACCTTTACATTCTCGCGCAGGAAAAACAATGCCTCGGTGCGACTGGGAAACTCTCCACAACTAGACCCCGCAAAATCAAGATGGAATCAGCAGCTATGCACGACGCGCCCGAGCCAGGAGGCACGATAAGGTTGTGAGCTCAACAAAAAGGGCCATTGCGGTATTTACCCCCGAAGCTTTCATGCATGCGAGGAGCCAAGGGAAGGCCAAATCACGGGCTCCGATGTTCAGCCCTAGAGGGAGCAATTTGGGCATGTTCTCAGGTTGAAAGAGGGGCGGTGGGTATAGAATCATCGCGTGGAGAAGTTGTTATTATGACTCGTTCCGTCCGATGAATGCATTATTTCCTGCCATAGGAAGGGATGAGCGACAACCTCGTGCTCGGCTCCATCCTGGAAAAAAGCGCGCCCCCCTGCAGAATGTGGATCTATTCACCCCTCGGCCCTTGGGGAAACATTGGCGTCCGTGTCTTGATCGTCATGGATGGCCCGGATGATCTGCCGAGTGTGGTGTCACATCGAGGTTTCCTGGAGGTCCGGATAACACGGGCCCAGTTGCACTTTTATAGCCCATCGTTGTTGGGAATCATTCCGCCTGTGTGTACAGGCCATTCAAGGGCTTCGGGTCGTTATGCAAAACGTGCCCTTGGGAGGAACTCTGACCAGCATGTAAGATGAGAATTACACAAGACAGCAAGAATTCCATTGCAGTCAGACATCCAGTTTTCAATCTCGCTGGGCCATTTTTCAACGTTCTTTCAATATCAAAGCCCGTGTTGTGTGCGCGGAAAGTAAGAATGGAACATCCACTAGACGCAGACGGGGTAAAATCAACATCAATGAGTCGCCCCCAAAGATGACATATGTACCAAATCTCTGTCCGTAGGCCAGCATGTGAGGAAACTCAGATCGTATACAACCTTAGATGTGCACCACCCGCCAAGCATGAATTTTACTCTATCGTCTCAAAAATCAGTAGGAGCTCCCTACCGAGTCATTTCAATTGTGATATGTCAACATTTCACGTGTCAGATACCGAACTAATCGGACCGAGCAAGTCCTTCGTCTTCATTCGGACTGATCACCAAGTGGTCCATTTGCCAATTGTGCACAACCATCCACCTCACTAGAGAATCTCGAGAATATCGCGGACCTCATCGCTAGATCATGCATCCGCATCCGGAGAACATCGCAACATTGTCCGACCCATCACTCATTCTGGTGTCGAGTGAATCGATAAGTAAAGCATTCTCTGGACGATCCATCCTATCCACGCCTGCTATACCTTCTCAGGTAGAGGACGCTTCTGAGTCTGACTATTCCATAGGGTTAACTAGTCGCTTCTCTCGAATGCTGAGTCAGCTTCAGCTGATACCTGACCACGGTAAAGGTTCGATTACTACTCTACTAACGGTCATCACTGCATCGTCATACTCACCTTATATTCCTTTTATCACATCCTCCACCGCAACGTGCATACACGTCAAAAAGCTTAAAAGGCGTGGTGATGAGGCTGGTGTACAGCAAAGGCGCGAAAATACATGGTTTCTTTGACGAATAGACAGATAAAGAGCCTGTGGTTGCCAGATCCAGGCTTCAGTGGTTTATAACTCATGATCGGTCATCTGATAAATCAGGTGAATTTCGGGTATCTTGCATAAACTGTGGGGGTAGAGATCTGTAGTATACAGGAGGGGATCCTCGGGTCTCACGGTTTGTCCAACTTCAGGCAGATATTATGCATGACTGCCACCTGCTGCTGGATAACAAGGGCTGGAGAGCCAATATGTACAAGGAATGAGTGGGCGGAAAGAGGCAAAAACCACGATTTGGATCCATGACTGGAGGGGGAAACGATGGACATGAGCCATTAGATTTTGTTTTTTTGCAAAAGCAGTCATGAAATGCAACGTTGATGAGTGTGCAGTGGACTCAAGACGGACATGTTTCCCCTGCATATGAGAAGGAGAAAATGGGGGGGGGGGGGGGGGGAATCAATTGGAGAAAGTCGAAGAAGAGAAGAAAAAAGAATGGAAAAGAAAAGAGTCTCATCGCCTCCATCGGCGAGACGGGTTATCTTTAAAATCGTCTTTGCTAGAACGCTCACTCTCAACCTCCGGCGGATAAGCTGGCTCGGTAGTGATTTCGATGGTAGTTTCTTGGTATACCTTGCCGATGTTGTCCATCTCAATGCCGGGTTGCACAATATTATCTGTGGACCCGTCTCGGTCGTGGTTGGTGCCCCCCACAACCGTTCGGGTCTTGGGATCAGCAGCAGTAATAGTGGTGAGATGATTCTCTCCGTATCGCCCGCGGCTGCTGGCGAACTTGTTGTAGGAGCGGTCTTGGCTGGGTTCGGAGTCAATGATAAGGTTGCGACGGGTCAGAGTGTAAAGAATGACATCGACTAGCCCGGAGCTGGTGATAATGGCGCCTAGGAGATAACATGTGTCAGTGGGGGTTGTGTGAAATAGAGAGAAGCGATCAGAAAATAGTCTCGATCTTACCCGCGCAGCAGAAGAACGTAATGGATGGAGCATAGCCGTTGGCCGTGGACATGCGGCCTGCCGCGAGAGGCAGAGAAAGAATGATGTAGACAATGGGGTAGATAGTCATGTAGCCCACCACCCGACGTAGGCGCTTCAAACTCTCGAGTTGACTGTTGCCCAGAATGGCCGACGCTGCAATTTGCCGTCTAAGCTGCATGTACATGATCGCGTACAGCATAACAGTGCCGAATTCGGCCAGGAAAATCCAGATATAATGGGTCCACAGGCGAACGGGCTCATACTCTTCGCTGATCCAGCACCACGCGCCAGAAGGAATAAAGACACGATATCCGTGAAGGGCGATAGGAATGACGGAGATGATGCCGATGAAGACCCAGACTCCAATGACAAAGCATACAAACATCTTGTGGGACATTTTGTAGCCCCAGACGACCAACAGGAAAGTATGGAACGCAATGGCCAAGACGAACAAGCCACTTCCAGGATCTCCGATTTGAAGCCAAAGTCCCTGCAGGAAACATGCAACGGTTCCGGCTTCGATCTTGTTGGTGGCGATCCATTTCAGACATACCAAGAAAGCGAGCGATTGCTGGAAATCGGCCAGGACGAGGTTGTAAATAAGAATGACATACTGATTGTAACCGATGTATCTCTGGTAGTTTCTTCTCCAGAAGATCAGTCGAAAGGTAATGAATGCGAGTAGCGTCAGAGTGGCAATGAGTGAGAGACAAGCCATGATGGAGACGGCAATGAGGCCGCGGTGTTGAGCGATGGGCAATGGATCAATGTCTAACGTCAAGGCAGCGCCCGATCTCGACGATATATCATCCTGAATGGCTCGCGCGAGCAGACTTCGCAGAAACATTCCCGACATGATGAAGGCGAGTCAAGACAGAGAGCCTCAAAGAGCGGGTTGGCAATGCCTTCGAACCACCACAACCACCACCGAGGATGCGTCCGGAGACGGCGAACGAGTTTCGCCCCGGTAGTCAAAGACTCTCTGACAACCAAGAGAGTTCAGGAACGGCCTTGGTCAATTTCACTCCGCAAAACGTGGGGAAAAAAAAGAAAAGAAAAGATCAACCCTAAAATAGCCTATACAGCTGCAGCCACCTGATTAAGTACGATGACCCGACTGATCTTGAGTCCCCCCGCACACTTTTAACCGGCGGACAAGGATCATACAGTCAAAAAGGAAAGGCAAGCAGACCGAGCCGAACGCGGGAGACAAAAGGGCAGGTGCAGTGCAAAGTCAAGAGTCGTCTTTACTTTGTGCGCGCCATGCAGTTGTTAAAGTCTTCTGGCACCCGATCCGAGACGTCGGGACAAGGCCCAGAAGCAGCAGTCCGAGGTAGTGTGGTAGAGGATGTTGATGAACTCTAAAATTCTGATCATAATCAGGGGCCCCCCGATCAGGAAATCATGGATCCGACAATCATCGTCTTGCCCTGGCCAGGACCAGGTTCGGCCATCATGCTTTTCATGTTCTCCATGCAAGTCCGGTGGAGGGGGGGGAGGGGGGGCGCCCGCTGGTCCACCGGCGTGGGAGTGTCGAGAAAACTTTACTTTGGGCGATCGCCACTGGTCTAATCGGTTTGACATTTTGAATGGAGTGTTCCCTTTTCTCCCGCATATGAATATGCATTTTCAGAATTTGGATTTGACAGCACCCAAAGACAGCCTCGTGCACGGGGATCGGGGATGACCGAGTCGGGAGTCAAGACGGAAATCGTGACATTGAGGTCGGACCTCCAATTGCAATTAACACACTAACATTAGCCACTTTTGTCGTATGTGTGTGTGTGTGTGTGTGTGTGTGTGTGTGTGTGTGTTTTGTTTTGTTTTGTTTTTTCTCATTTCCTTTTATTCATTTTGGCTCTTGCTCCGTCGATATCAGGAATGACTAATGGATGGACATCCGCCAGATCAGAGTCCCTTCCATCCCCGCTCGATGACCAGGGGTGAGCTTGGTGGAGATGATGTACAATCGGGATGTTATGCGTAGTGGGTTGAATCTCTGCGAGCACTTGCTTTCAGGATGGATGATCTGGGCATCACTGGAAGGAGAAGCACAAAGTGATCATTCATCCTCCCACGTCTCTCTGCACTGGCCCATACTTGATCAGCACCCTCGTCGGGTCGGCTTTCCTTGCCATGGTGCCAATCGTCATCAGCGGCCACTGCGAGGGCGCGGGATGAGAATTGCTCTCTACGAAGTTTCAATTCGCCTCCTCCAGGAATGCAAACGGAGATAAAGAGGAACAGAGAGCACCTGAGCATGATACAGTAGCGGCAATGACTCGTCAACTGGAAATGGTCAAGGGTGTTTCACACCTGTCATCAAGACGGGGCAAGAGTAGGAGTAGTAGTATGTGCGACCAGGCGAATCCTAATCCTTCCCAAGTGTCTTTGTGCCGAGGATATGCCGACAATCAAGTCATTTGCGTGTGTGTGTGTAAGCCACAGAAGCAGTCATCGAGTCTGCAGTCTGCACCAGTGCACAAACTGCACACGGATCCTTTTCATGCTTCCAGCTTCCTAGCAAGCAGGGGCAAGCCTTCTGGAACACCAGGCAAAGACACTCGACGAAACGTGCGCTTGCCGCTGTCTTCCGGGATGGGCAGTACAAAATGATGACCGCTCGAGAAATCCACTATTCCCCCGTCGAGAACCTTGGCAAAAACGCTTTTCTCTACCTGTTCCTGTGGTTGAAACTCCCCAGACGGCGGTGGACTCGTCTTGGAGGAGGCTTTCCACCGTCATGGGGGTTTTGTATGGTCTAGTTCGATGACCATGTTTGGAATATATCGATCTCACACATGGCCCACGACGACCGATCTGTCTTTTCTTTGCTGACCAGAGTGATTCAGTGTCAACTTGGGGCCAGTCAATGGAGCGGAGGTTGACCGGGCCCTCGTCTGCCCGCCCGCGCATTACCGGGCTGCGACGCCTGAAGGGATGTATGTAGGAATGCACTATGTAAGTCCAATCCCATAGGTCGATAGGTCGCAGTATCACCATTCAGTGTTCAGTAGTATTCCCCTTAGCCACGGCAGTGGTGGGTCAACCCTTTGATCACAGTGGGGGGATAGTGTGGTGGAATTGTACAGTGTACTACTGTCACTCTGTCAAACCCAACGATACTCGGCACTGGGTAGTGTGGCAGATCAGTCGAACCCGTGGCAGAAATTTGCATGTAGTATGTTCATCTACACACGGCAATCTGCAGCCACCGTTGCCATGGATCGCTCAAATTTCATGAGACCGTCCGTGCTGGGTATGATTGTGCCCCCGGCAGTCATCAGGTCGGGGCACGGGTACCCTACATTGCACCCACGGGTCAGTCCAAAGTCCAAAGATCCAAAGGGCATCATAGCAATTGTGTCCATGGCTGTTCCAAGGCGGAGTCGCCCTTTGATCATCCGCAATAACGCCCGAAACACAATAGGGCTGTTTGACGTTGGGTCCAATGAGTGATCAAACGGGTCGGTTACGGTGGAGGTCCACCTCGTTTTAGGGGCTGTCTGTCTCTTCCCACAGCCTCCAAGGACAACTGATCCCCGCAAGCAAGCCCCGATGAACAGTGGAACGCTACAGTCATGATGGCGGTGGATTAGGGAGTGACAGTCATTGCTACTCGCGCTAGACGAAGGAATAGCCCCCTTGAACAGCCGGAGAGCTCCCGTCCTCCTCTCAGACAAGAAGAAGCAGCTGAGCACCAGGGCCCGCTCCTCGGGCGCCCCTCAAGAGGCACATTGTTCTGATTCTTCTGAACATCTGTGTGGATCACGGCGAGATCCCGTCTCACCAGCCGTCCCTGAGTCCCCCCTGCGGGCGTCGGTTCAAGTAGTCAGCCATTCAGGGGTAGAGATCTCGTTCCATAGAACAGATCCTGGACAGATGGGGAAGACATCGCCAGTTGGCAGAATCATGACTAAAAAGGTGCATAAGGTTCTTGAGGCTAGCCCTGGCCATCCTTCCTCGGTTCATAGCCGGGCCTTGGTCGACGAGCTCAATGTACTAGACAGTGGACAGTAGACATACTTCCTGTGCCACTGTCTACAGTCTAGTATATGCTTCCAGGTCCCCATCATCAGCCTCACGTGCACAGTCGCATCTGTGAATCCGCTGCATCAGGGTCATAGGGGTTGAGACCTGGAGTATGTGATTTTACAGTACCTGTTCAAGTCGCCAAGCTCTTTGGGTGTAGAAGAGGACCTCATACGCCCACAACGGAAAGCTCCAGGGCCATACGGCATACGGTATCGGGGGCCCCAAGACTCAAAGACAAGACTTCCTGTCACTTGCGCCGTCAGCCTTTGAGGCGTGGATCTTGCCTTGTTGGTCCGCTGGTCCAGTGCGCGTTAGTGGGGGACTTGGGACTTGGGACTGGGGACTGGGGACTGGAGCAGTGGAGACGGAGACGGAGACTGGGACTGGGGCACACGGGTTGCGATCCACCTCAGGCTTTTCCCATGGAAGGTGGTCGGAGCCTCTGGGCTGGACCAGGTGTTCTGAATCTGGCTCTGGTCATCTCACACTCGTTGGAACGAGCATTGATGGTCGTCATCCCACGCATATCTGAAGCAGAATGGTCACCATAATGACGGTCAAGTTGGGCGGTGAAGAAGAAGAGGCACGACAAGTCTCCCCGTAGAAAGACCCGCCACGGATCACGGGGCACACCACTTGCCGGCGGCCCGGGGCAAGCTCACGGAGTTGATGCCAAGATGGGCACTAGACTGTCTCAAAAGCGCCGGGTTTTCCTTTGAAAAAAGAGGGAAAATACTCGACCGGACCATCGTGAGTCATGCACAGACCCTCTGCTTCCAGTGATCCAGGAGGACTGGGCCGTCTCTAGGGCCATTGTTTGCTGAGACGGGTCTGATCGGCGGATGTTTGGACCGGTTAGTGCAATGGTGGCTGCGACGAACTGGAAAAGAGATCCACGAAAGGATGAACACCCTTTGGCGCCGTCGCAAACCTAAGCGTTGTTAAATCAGCGATCTCCGACTAGAATTCAGCGTTCTGTGCTCATATTATTGGTGGAATTGACAGCACATGTTGACCATGACATTCTCGCGTCAGAGTCGCAAAAATCATCCTCCATCGAAGCGTGCACTGTACAATCTTACATTGTACTTGGTAGTAATGTTCATCATATCTGGGTCAGGTGACGAGCGCATGTGCCTCGGTATAGAATCGCCGGCATTGGTGGTCCTCAGGGACAGGGCAGGCTGATCAGGCTGCATCTTGACATCATCGACTGAGTAGACTTGGTGATACAGAAATCGGTGGCAATACTTCTTGAGCTCAGGGTTTACCTCAGGGGGTGGCGATACCTGAGGTTCGACATCCATCCAACTTGAGCTGCAGCTGGCCATCAAGTTCTCGACGCCTTCAGTAGTGTCTTCCGCTGTCAATAACCGGGCCGTTTCCATGAGAGTTCAATGAAATGATCTGCATACACCAGGCTGAGATGGACCGAGGCAGGCCGCAATGGTCGACGACTGACTCGCTGCTGTGGGATACTGAAAAACAACTAGAACTATGCAAAAGACTATATCAAACTCAATTATCGATCTGCACTCGAACCAATAGAATATCGGAGACGCTGAAGCCACACCCTCAATCTAGCGATGTTGAATTGATGTTCACATGGATGCATCAAACCCAAGTCCTTGCGAATAAGCTTCCATTGTCCAACCTTGGGGGGAAAAAAACAAGCCAGAAATGGTCTGCCGAATCGAACTTGCGTTTTCGGCAATAGACGTGCCCCACCACGGTTTTCTCAACAAAGATCCCTCTCCTTCGTCCGGTCAGTCTCAAATTCAGGTCAGCCCTTAGATATCTACACATGTCCCAAAGCAACGGTTCCAGCTGGAGCCTCTAGTGCGAATTGGTGTGACAATGGGAACCCTGAGGGCGATCCCATAAGGCAAGTGAGCCTCGGATCATTGGATATCATACCGAGGTTCTCCCCGTGGCTCAATGAGTTGACGACCTGTCAAGGCCCCCAAGGGATATCAAAGGTAGGAAGCCATTCTCAAAATTGGTCCTGACATCTCTTCTGTCGCAATGGGAGATCACAATGACCGATTTACGACCGTGAAATTCCCCGTGGATGGAAGGCCGACCCTAGTCAAGAAAGAGGTGGTCATTGCAGATCACTTGGATGATAAAGTTCCTCTCAATTTTTTGCTCCTTGAGGAACATGGCCTAATGCCCTAATGAGGCAAGAGGTGCTGAGAAACCGGCATTCTGTGACTGATCGACCGTTATTCCAACAGCATGTGAGATGCGGCCGCCACTTGTACCTGTAGACTCCATGGAATTGCCAAAAAATGAAAGGAAAGAAAAAAACAAAAAAAAAAAAAAACAAAAAACAAAAAACTTGCATACAAGCTGAGGAATAATGTCTCCGGAAAGACTGTAGTTCTAATCAGACCGTTTGGGAGGCTGTCTCCAACAGAGCCTGGATCTCCAGTGGTGACAGACACAGCTAGGGGCAAGCAGAAATCACTCACCAACGGTGAAGTAAAAGTAGAGGAGCCCGCTGGAAAATGAATCGCCATTGTATTGCAAGGGTAGCAATTCGATCACCTTGAGTGTGATGCTGAGATCGCATTCAGCCCGCAAAGAGTAGCGAGGTCCCACTGACGCATAGCTCACAACTTGCAACAAGCTACTAATCTATCTACATTCCCATCATTGAGGAGCCACCAGAACACCACGATATCTCATCTTCCCATCCCGCAGCTTCTGCATAGCATCATTGATGCCAGTGACAGTCATCGGGAACTTTTCAATTTGCGGACGGACCTTGTGTCTGGCAGCAAATTCCAGCATGACTCTGATGCTTGCAGTTGCGGCGACGCCTGAGTCAACAATGACAAAGCTGTCGTTGATCAAGTTCATGGGCGAGACTCCGTCTCGGTTCTCCATGCTCACGGTAAGAGGGTAGACTTTGGCTGCGTGTACCAGGATGGGGTAGTACCTAACTACCTATAATCGTAGGGTGAGTGGTGAGATACAGCAAGAGTACGTGAGTGAAGAGTGGAAACTTTGAACTTACAGGGACATCTTAGGATTGACGCTAGTCGTGATCATGAAAATGTCAATGGGTTTGACACCCTTGAGAGATTCGCGACTCTGGGTAGCGTGGAGCTCTGACGCCCCAAAGCCCAGTGCCTCCTGCTTCTTGGACTCTGTGTTAGAAAAGACCACGACCTCGAGTCCCATCTTGGATGCAAACTGGATCGCCATGTGGCCTAGGCCGCCGATGCCAATAACGCCAACGCGAGCACCAGGTTTCACTCCAGAGTCGTACAGGGGCGTCCACACAGTGGCACCTCCGCACACCAAAGGACCGGCGTCCTCCGAAGCGATTGATTCGGGGATCTTGTAAAGGGCCGAGATATCCCAAGCCAGTGCGGAGCCAAAACATCCCTGGTCTTGGTCTGCACTACCGTAAGACGAGCGGTTGACACAGAGTGTCTGGCGACCAGTTTGTCTTATCAGAGAAAACATATCATCTTCTGCTGGAAAGCAAGTTTCTTCAACATAACTGACCCGCAAAAGTTGCAATAGCCGCAGAACCTGTGGAACCAGCCCATGCCAACTCGATCCCCGACTTGGAAATCGGATATGACGTGGACAGATGAGCCCAGCTCCACGATTGTTCCAGTGCCTTCATGGGACAGGCCCTGGTCAACACGACGAAAGTGTTCATCAGTGCCGCAGACACCACAGTGCGTGATCGTCACGCTGACTTGAGTCGGACCCAGATCCAAATGCCCAGTTGCTTCAACGAGCCCCCCGTTCTTGGAGCCCTTGAAAAAGGGAAATTCGATGCCCACCGTGGAAATTGCTGTTAGAGTATCTCAGGAGACTGTAGAACGTCGATGCTTTCTTCGAAGGCGGGAATGTTCCTGTTGCTGAGAGGTAACTCACGACTTCGGTCGTCCCTTTTACATTCCATTCACAGGATGAATCCAGTCCTTCGCCATCTCGACATCCGCCATACTCTTTGTCCGATTGAAATTCCGCTGGATTGTAATATGCAGAGTGATGAATAAACACGCGGCGCGATGAATAATCCAAAATCTGCCTGACACCAGGCGCTAGTAGATCTATCGGATCTCGATCACGGCCGCGTTGGATAACCTTTTGAGATCTATGTTCGCTTAGCCAGCCTCATCAATCCTGTCACTCTCTGCGTGTGCTCATGGCAGATGTCAACTCGGTGCACCAGTGAAACATGACGTGCATATGGTTTGTCTGCGACGGTGAGAGTGGCGCTTGTCGGGATAGAGTCAGGCCACAGGTTGAATGATCCCAGGATCGTGGTTGGTACTAAGTTTCGTTGTGGTTGATGTAATTCCGTACTAACGCCGACTTACCTAGGGACCTATGCTTAACAGATGATTTGCTAAGAATTGAATAAGCCTACTGAGGCTATATCTCATGACGAGTCCCGCGGCAGTCATCATTCAGATGGTTCTATTGACACGTCCGCCGAGGGCTACAGTTTGGTGCGTATACATTATTGCTCGTTCCAGAGAGTGATCTAACGATGAAGAAGCTGGAGAATAGCAGATGCCTCAAGTAGAAAGCATGAGTGCCTAGCGAATTGAATACTGAGCAGCTAGTGTAGGTATCATGTTCATCATTATCATTTGCTACATATACAGCAGAGAATGCAGTGACTCGACCAATTGCATCCTATAAATTCAACATGAGAGAGAGAGCCTATTAAGAATACGAGCCATTGCACTGATTCTAGCGGCGACGCGAGTTCCGACTTTCGCGACGGTGAACCTGCGCCAGGTCCTCATCTTCCTCTTCCTCTTCCACCGGCGCTGGAGTTCGACGTTCGGTGCGTCGTTTGGGCCGGCGGCGACGGTTCGAGCTAATGTTGCTGGCAGAGTCATCCGGGGCCAGAGAGCGATCGTCGTCTAAAAAGTCATCTTCCGTGCCGCTCTCCCAGGCATGAACACCCGACGCTGGGGTCCCAAGTCGGGCCTCGACGTAGGAACCGCGACGATTCTGGTTGGCAACAGATAGACCGGCGCCTCGTTCCCGTAGTGCCAGACGAACAACTTCCGCCTTAAGGTGGAGCGCTTCAAACGCATCTTCAAGTGCTTCCATGCCGCGGAATATATCTCTTTCAATCTCAGCAAGAGCGGCAATCTCCGTCTCTTCATCCAATGCGATCGGGCCTCCGAATGAAGCTGGAGATGAAGGCCCTCCGGTCGCCTGACTTGCTGGTCGGAAGCTGCCATCCATATAATTAGGTGTGGGGCCTCGTGAGACCCCAGCACCGCTGAAGGGGGTGTTTGAGCGACTGCCACTCCAGCGCGGATTGGGAGAAGAAACGGGGTCCTCTATACCGCTGCGCAAAAACCCATCGAATCGACCAGAGATCAGTATTTCCCACTCATCATCCGTGATAGCTGCAAGAGTTGCCAACACATGGTGTAAATCTGGATGATTCAGCATGAACATGGCCGTCTCTGGATCACGGGGCAGAGTGCGGAGGCGGTAGAGGCGTTGTATAGCCTGGGACGAAGAGACTAAGGGAGACGGTCGATGTCGCGGCTTCTCATCGTCGGATCGTGGCACGGGAGTCGAGGAATTGATACCTAGTAGCGCGCAAAATACCGAGCGCTGATGAGGCTCAAGGTAAGTCAGCATTGCGAAAGTCAAAGTCTCGTCGTCTACTTCCTCGGGGGCACTGCTCGCAGAATCTGTCTGCTCGGATAACCATTTATCTACTGCGACTTTGGTTTTGCGAGACTGGCGAATGAAATGATCGCGATACTCTTCGGGAACATCGACGTCGAGTTTTTGCATAGGAATATGCTCTTCGTCGGGAATTTCAGCGTCCACATTTGAAGCAGCCATCGTGAATGGAGGCCACATGGGCAGTTCGCGACGACCGGATACTAATTCGAGCACTTCTCCCCAACTGACACCCTCAGGACGTTCTTCAGTGTCGTTGTGGTCGCACATTGTGCAATTACAAGGCTCTGAGGAAATATCACGCGCAAAAACAGCCTCAAGACGGTCGAGCAATCGACGTGCAACAGAGCGATATCCGGTAGCCACCGCGAGTGAGCCGTTCTTGCTCATCACTTTCTGGTAGTCATCAAGTAACCGGCTGAAAGGCTCGAAGACATCGGCAGCTGCTCGCTGAGGCTGTGCAGCTGAATGAGCGAATGGATCCGAAGCAGCTGGCACAGGAAGCAATGTCCGTGGGACTCGATGATCTAAGCCACCGTGTTGGAGGAGATAATCAACTCTTGGAACGGTAATGGGCATTTGCGGGGGCGGCGGCGGCGGAGGAGGCGCACCGTAACCGGGGCCCGGCATCATAGGCCTTCCGTAGTCGATTGAATCGTCACTCGGTGTATGGCGGTGCGATGCGGCCGACCGAGTCTGATTGCGAGAGGGGGGCTTTGCAGGCGGAGACGTGAGTTTGCGCGGGGGGTTATATTGTTGATTAGGAGCGATTGAGGTGGCATCTGAGCCGTTCATGGATTCTGTGCCGGCATCACGAACCGTCGACTGCGAAGGTGACATTGTTGAGCGACTCGATCTCTTTGGCAGCTTCCGTTCATCAGAAAGCTTGGACTTCGAGGGCTGATGGGTCATACGAGGCGACAAATTTTCCTTATCGGACCGCGATGCCTTCGATCTGGGTGTGTCCGACCGAGTTGTGGTCTTGCTTGACCTCGTGGAGTCGGCTCTCTTTGTGGAGTCATCTTTCTTCGATCGCAGACTCGAGGACGACCTGTTGACCTCGGTCGTCCTGATTCTGATGCTCCCTCTCTTTACTTTTGGCTTTTCTCCCTCTTTTTCATCTTGCTTGCTAGTGGCACTACCTCTCTGCGAGGACTCTTGGTCGAGACCAGTCAAGGGTGGACTGGGAGGAGCATGATGGTGCTCTGCGCGGTCCTGGCTTCGGCCATTCTCCTTTTGGGCGGTCAAGTCAGTCGGGTCGGGAGTAGGAATATCGCGGTGGCGGACATCTTCTTTGCTGTGTGCTTTTGAGAAGGTAGGGTATGGTAGACTGGTCCTTGACTCCAGGAACGAAGCTGTATCCGCCTGACTCGCGGTATCTGGAAGCCCAGGCATCGAGGAGCGCCGAAGAGGGGCACGATGAGGAAGCGAGGATGTGGAGGAGTGAGCCGTGCGTTCGGAGGACTTGGTTTCCTTGGTTGACGTGCGGGAGGTCCGTCCTTGCTGTCCCTGGGACGCACGCTTTGCTGATGATGGAGACTGACTTTCAGATGTTGACGGGGATTTGGTCTTCCGATTTTTAATAGCGTTAGGTCTCACCGGGAAAAACATGGCGAGCTCGTGAGGAATTGTAGCGGTCGCGTTAGCCGCACGAGGTGGATCCCCTTTAGGAAACCCTGGGCCCGCAACTAAGAGTTACAGCCTTGTCCCATCCAGTGAGTTGCAGTAAAATGTGGATTGGGTTGTATGTATTGGTCCTCACTCCACCTTTTCTGGGAGTCTCGTGGGTCAAGATCGGTGAATCAAGATAGCATCAGCCTTGCGCGCGCAGAAATGCGATGCTGCTATCTTGGTCTTCGGCATGCGCTGCCTGGCGCTTAAGTTGGGCAGGTATGTGCTGTGCTCAACGGTAGCTCAAGCTTGAAGTGGCACAGCGCTTGCGTCAATTGCACCTGTGCTATGAGAGGGATCCCCGCACGTCATGGGTGTTTTGTCGCGTCTGCAACGTCCAAATCACATGTCAATCTGAGTCTAAGGATTGAAGGACGAGATGAATCAAGCGAGACACATCCAGGCCCCGGGTACGATGCATGAAAAGGCCCTTTGGACCAGGGCTAAGGGATGAATCAGACTGGTAACCATGCGGCGAGTGAAGCCTGGAGGCCTGAGGATCAAACATTGACCCCCGCTCACATGACTCGGGAGGCTGCTGCATGAGCGCCTAATGTGTGCGGAGTGCCAGTTGTCATTCCATGGAGAATATTTCCAGATAAATAAGTTGAATGTGACAAATATGAGTCTATGTGTTTGATCTGATTATAAGTTATGTGTTTTCCATGCAAATTTGTATCGCAATATACATACTGCTCCAGGCTTCGACCTAGAATTGGGCCCACTGAGAGCTTCAACATTATCTGGAACAATCTACAGATTGACTGAATTCACAGCTCAGGAGTATTCAGATGATTTGCAGTCACAGATATCAGGAATATGGAGGTTCAACATGCCGGAATTGTTACCTCTCTAGCTCAGTTAACGACCTGATAAACTCAGGGGGGTAATCCCGTGACATAGTAAAGCTCCGAACCCCAAATGTTGATTTTACTGGTGGTCATGTACAATGATTCGAGCAAACGTGAGGTAAACAAATGGGTATCATTGACAGAGATGCAAAACAGTCGCTGTTAACGCAAACAAAGCAATGGCATAATAAAGATCACACATTTGTTTGAACATTGACTACTCTGCACGTAATCCATTCAAAGACTTCTTAACCGGCGATGTCTGAAGTACCCAGTTGCCCCCATCTTCATGCGCCACTCCCTCTCGATGGGCTGCCCTAAGCGTCTTGTCCCCAGCTGCTGAAAGATCACCCGTATGGCAATCCCAGACCCAGCCTTCCTTCAACCACATCCATGTCAGGTAAGCACGCAACTCCTTATCCTGCGGCAAGACAGACTTCCACTCGGGTACGAAGCCAGGCTCGGTTGCACCTGTGCCTTTCCAGTCCTGGGCTAGGCCGCGAAGTTCGTCTCGGCAAAAAATGCGCCAGCTGTCCAAGGAATATGCGCCGACTCCAGGTAGATGTGCAATTTCCCAAGCGACGCGATGATCTTCATCATCGAGACATTGCTCCAGAGCCACATCTCGACCATCGTATTTCTTGGGGTAATGAAGCTTGCGATATCGCTTGTTCTTCACAGGAGGGTCACGCTGCCAGATCTGAGCAATAGAAATACACTTGCGCGCTCGCTGATTCTGGAAGCCGAGGCAGTGAATCATGGACACAAATTCCGTGGGATCCGCAGATGCCATGGCCTCAACGGTCGGATAACGTTCAAAGACCCCAAATAGAACAGGCATTGCAACAGCGCCTCGAGTTCTGTTTAAAAAAATTGTAGCGATAATCAATCTGAAGGGATCATGGGCAAGTTGCTCCTGGATGAGCCCAAATGACGGAGCGCCGACAGGAGGGGAAAGGGAGGCAGGACGGAACGATCTCTGCCGTCTGAGGAAAATATGGGGATATTTTTGGTCTCTTGACACGAGCTGTCTTGAAGGAATTATCCGTAGACAAGCTTTGACACTCTGCTGGCGTTGAACTCGTCGGCGCGGTGTCATCAATCGTCGCAAAGTGCGGACTCTTGGTTGGTGAGTCGCTGAGCGTCGGATACAGATAGTCATCGTCGTCGTCAGACCTCCGTGCTTTAAGGACATCATTTTCACTATCCGAGTCATTCAGATCGACATCACTATCCAGATCGGTCAAGGAGAAGTCTGATGATAATTCATCGATGAGTTTGTTGAGCCGTGCCTGGGTACTCAATGGATCTTCAAGCGATAACGACATAGGTAGAATATCAGGGTGGGGCAGATTCTTCTCTGAATCTGTCACCGCATCATCAATAAGGCCTGTTGATACTGTACAAAAATATTTTGAAGTCACCTCATCGCAGAGTATCAACCCTGGCAAATCACCGGAATTCAAAAAGCCGTGTCCCACGGCTCCTCCGCGTCAGGTGACAGGTCCGAGGTATGCGATCGGAGACAGCCGGCCGATCGCGAGATCGGCGTCAACATTGAAGCCGCAGAGCTACGCCTCGCCGCGTTCGAATTGGGGACTTCCTTCGGGCGTGAAGCCATATGAATTTGTGAGATAGATTTTCTTGGTGAATTGCACAGATTATCTGTCTTGAGATGGTAGTTTTGTAGAACTGATAACTCTCGATGACTTCTCCCTTGCTTCCTGAAATGTTTCGAACTCCGTTCAAGATCAAGGCGGCCAGCGGATGAGTAAGTGGAACCTTTCGAGGCAAACAAAGCATTGTCGGCAAGACTCGACAAACTCTTTCGGCGACTGTCCAGCTTTTGTTTTTTACCTCTGGAGGTTGTGAGCATGCCGGAGTGCGCCTCAACGTCAGGCTCCTCCCGGTTTGAGAGTGGATCGCCGTGCTCTCGATCGCTGTGATGATGGTTACTCGATAGCTCGACCTTCAATGATTCCCTTTTTCGTTTGCGCTCTCTCTTCTGCTCACGCTTCTGCTCGCGGTCTTTTCGTTTCTTTTCTTTCCTCGGCTCGGGGTTCATTGCGAGGCGTTGAGAGGGAAATATGGGCGTCCGTTCCGTACATGCTGACTTGTCGTGTAAGACGGCCTGAGAGCCTTGCCGTTGCGATTCCGAATCTCTGGCTTTCTTTTGCTGATATTTCAGCTGTTTTTTTTCTCGCATGACTCTTTTCCTCTCCTTCCTCTTCTGGTTTTTAGACATGCTTTGAGCAGCAATGGCAGCAGTTTGGTCTGTCTCAATAGTTGAATTATCATTTCCCTCATCTGCAGGCCCCAGAGCTGAACAGCTGAAAACCCCACTTAATGGCTCATGGCCTCCGTCTTGATGAGGGTCTGTCGCATGTGTCGAGTTGTTTCGTGACTCAATTGGACTCTGGCCTGCAGCTTTGGACGAACATGAGGCCTGCATTCCATCAACCGTGCTCTGGGCCTTCTTGAGTGTTAGTCTTCTGGCTTTCCGCTTCTGGGTTTTAGACATCTTCGAGGAAAGAGAATTTTCATCTTCCATGGGTCTCTGAGTGCTTAGTCGATTAGGTGAAGTTGAATCTGGAATCTGAGATGACCCCAGCTGCGGCGGCAGCAGTGGCGATGGCTCAAGTGCACCAATGTCCGAGCCACTGATCGCGACATCCTTGCGAGCTTTCGGTGAGGCCTGGGTATTTTCTGCTTGCACGTATATCACTGCCGCGTCTTCCAGTGAATTCGAGAGCATGTCAGCCTGTCCATCTGTGCCCACTGTACCGACATCATGGACTTCACCTGAATCAGCAACACGAGCATTCTCAAAGCTCTGGTGTGACCGAGTCAATATAGGTGAAGGTGACGATGTGGGTGCTTTTGCGGTCGACTCCGGGGTCGTGTACTTTCCCTGAGCTCGTGCATCTTCGGTGCTGGCGCGAACAGAGGGCGTGGTAGGCTGTGAACAATCGAGTTCTCCGGCCGGCTGATCAGGACACTCGGTGAAGGTGAGAGTGGAACGCGCAGAGTGGAACTGCGCTGGGCTGTCATCGGCTGTAGAGATGGCTTCTTGCATCTCCGAGGATTCCCGATCCGCACATACAGCAGCATTATCCTTCTTGTGCTGTTGACGCGCTGACCCGCCGTCATAACTCCCTGGCTGGGCTTTTCGAGGGGTGGAGGGCTCTCGAGCAAGGTCATCGACCTCCTGTCCAAAGCAGGGATCATTTGTGCCGTCTGCAATTGGCACCGCTTCAACTCCGACTCTTTGAAGATACAGCCGGCGCACATACATGATCAAATCCCACAGCAAAGACGGATCAAGACCCAACGTCACTGACTCGGTCACCATGTCTTTGATGAATTGTTGCCGCTCGGATCGCCTCACCGGCTGAATAGACTGAGACATGAATGGATGAGCCGCAATGTAACGCAGTATTCGACGTTTTGTTGATCTTTTAACGGTCCGGAAGATACTCCATTCCTCTTCGTCGTCTTGCGGCGTACTGTCCGATGGCTTGACAGAAGGGTTCGTTGATGTACACGCTGAAGCATCAACATCGCCACCTCCTTGTCCATCGCCATCGCCATTTATGAGCCCGTTGGCAGACTCTACAGCTGCTCCATTGTGTTTCCCGACAGGGTCATATCTGCCATTAACTGCACATGAGGGCCCCGCCGAATCGGTGTGGACGTTATCAGGCGGGCTTTCCCCGACTGCGGTGTTTGCCCGGCTGGTGTCCGCAGCCTGACGCTCCAATTGCCCGTGACAATCGCTATCACTAAGCATCGGCCCGTCCAATTCCTCCTGTTCATCTTCACTGCAGAGATCAACAATAGTGATTTTTCTCGTAGCGATTGACCTTTTCTTCACCACTTGTACTGCTTTCCGCTGCTTTGCTGCCTCGTCGTAAATGTTCGACCTCGTAGAGACTGGTGACCTGCTCGTTCCGTTGATATCTTGCTCGTACGAGACACCAGAGCGCGGTGTCTCGGCATCTTGCTCGGCACCTAAATAAAAGGGCCAGTCACTGGCTCGGGAGTCCTCGAGACTTTGCTCTTCGGCGAGAATGTGATCAAGCGTTTTTTCAAAGTCGTCGTCAAAAGGCTTGTAATTTTTGTATGTGTCTGTTGGGAAAGATGGGTCGGGTGGCACGACGGCGATCTCGTGCGCGGCTGCCATCTCTCGCCGAGATGGCGCGACTCGACAAGGTCTCGGTTGGGCTTCCAGGTGGACAGGTCACCGGAGTGGACGAGTAACCTTAATTCAGAGATGTGAAGTTGTACTGCGGATCATACAATTGGTACAAATTCGGTGTTAGCTTCTCCGAGCAACGAAGAGCTTTGGCGTACCACCCCTTTCTAACTTACCTCTTTGTGACCCGTGTCTGGGGAAGCTTGAGGGGCTTCAACATCATCAGGAGTGGAAGTGTGGCATGATGGCCTTTCGATCAGAACATATCCGATAAGTCCCCTCGGCAATTATTTCAAGTCCACACAAGGTCAGGCATATGCTTTGGTCAAGGGAGCACAGCGAAGAAGTCGAGGAAACTCAGGAAAGAACCAACAAAAGCAGAATAGGGGCAGGAAACGTGTCATGGGGATTTTACCCAACTTCCCAAAAAAAAAAAAAAAGAAAGCAAACGCGGCGTGCCAACGGAACCTGTCATTTCTCACAAACCGCGTCACAATAGGCTTATCTGTTGATGCCTCGAAGAAGTGGCCGCCATCGACCGGTAGATCTAGTAGTGGAGTCTATTTGCGAGCTAAGGTAACTTGGGACAGGAGATTCAGGAGAAAGTGATATATCCGTCTTTGAAGAGTATTCATGTTCATTTGTATATCTTTATTCATCAAGATATCCTCGTGCTGTGCTCCAATTTCCAAGGCAGGGTATGCCCGCCCGTGAAGATCGGTTCACATGCGCCAGATATACAAGCTATCTACTTCTAAACAGAGTAACCAGCCGAGGCCAGCTGTCGAGGCTCACCCGCGGCATCAAATGTTCCGTTAGGCAAAACATGAATCAACTGAGCCGTGCTTTGTCCAGGAGCGACCCATGTCACATTGTGACCGAGGGACTTCATGAAATTAACGGTGGTGTTGTCGTAGGAATACTCGAAGCTAACTTGGTTAGGGATGAGCTGGTCGTGAAGTCGAGGCTTAGCGAGCGCCTCTGCTGCACTCAACTTCTGGTCGATCGAATGGATGATGTTTTGGACCGTGGCGGTGATGATACGACTACCACCTGCTGAGCCCGCGACCAAGAAAAGATTTCCGTCAGGACGTGTGACAATTGCAGGGGTAATTGAGGACAACGGGCGTTTTCCAGGTCGAATGTAGTTGGCTTCGGAAGGAATGTAGCCAAACTCGTTGGAAGACCCGGGAATGGAGAAATCTGCTGCAGTGTTCAGTTGTGTGCGCTGTGCAGAAGCTGGCCAGATATTGGAACCACGCGTTTGACGTACCGTTCATTTCATTGTTCATGATGATTCCCGTCTCCGGGACCAACACGTGGCTTCCGAAATAAAGATTGATTGTCGTAATCACAGAGATAGCAAGACCGTTGTGGTCTGCCGTTGCAAGATGAGATGTGCCCGGGCTAAAAGCCGGTCAATTGTTGTTCTTTTTTAAAGCAGGATCTGATGCGAGCTTACGTGTCCAAGCTCTCGAGGCCCTCCGGGTCGTAGGCAGAGACATTCAGTGTTTTCTTGTCAGAAATTTTCGATCTGATTTCATCAATGGTAGACTGCTCTAGCATGGCATGCTGGTATTTGTCCATTCCTTCAACATACATTGGATCGCCAAGCAGGGTGCGCTGATGGTAACGATGTGAGTAAAAGAAGACGACACGTATTGGAGGCATCACAGATCTTACCTCGCCATAGGCAAACCGCATCGCTTCGTCCATGCGATGTGTGCTCAAATTCAACGAGCTTTCACACGTGAAGAAATCATTATAAGTGCTCAAAATCTTCAAGATACTGAGAGCGACGATTCCACTGGAAGGTGCAGTAGTACTCGTGATAGTGTACCCTCGGTAGTCGATTTGAGAAGTATTGCGAATCGCGACGGTGTAGTTCTTCAGGTCCTCGACAGTCATGGTACCATTCGCCGCTTGGACCGCGTTGATCATCGTCTCGGCGATTGCGCCTGTGTAGAAAGCGTCTGGTCCATGCTGTGCAATGGTCTCCAAAGTATCAGCATACCGTTTGCGTGTGATGATGTCTCCCAGGCCTAGTCGTGTTCCGTTGGGGGCAAAATCCAAGGCCCAATTTGGGTCTTTTGTCAAGAAATCCTCGCCATTCCCAACGGCGAGCTTCATATATTTGACCAGATCGGTCGACACAGGGAAACCTTTGCGTGCTGTCTGAAGTGCCGGTTGCAATAACGTTGCCCAAGGCAGCGATCCGTACTTCTTGTGAAGATGCTCGAGACCTCTGATCTCTCCTGGTACACCACTTTGCCAAAGCCGTCAGCACCTTTCCGTCAACTAGTGAACTTGCATTCTTCTCACCTTGCCAATCCTCCATATATAGACGCATCCGTGTTGTTATTGTACATGTCTTGAAAAGCGGCAGCGGGTGCCGACTCGCGGAAGTCGATGAATTCGTAGGAGTTGTTGGGTGACCGAACAAGCATGAATCCACCTCCACCGATGCCGCTGTGGTACATGGCTTTGTGTCATGTCAGTATCAGGTGCCCTCTACTGATGCTATTCCAAGAATTGAAACTTACATGTGACTCCGATGCAGAATTGTGCGGCGATGAGCTATTTTCATCGGGTCAACCAACGAGCCCTAGTACTCTAGGTGAATGTGATGGTTCGAGGTGCAATGATCACGCTTACAGCATCAGCAGCGTTACCGCCCATTTCGAACATCTCAATGCCATGTCGCGAGCAGATCGCATTCTCCGTTGCCACAGCGCCTAGCTTTCCTGGTGCTATCTTTTCATGTCTATTGACGGTGTGACCAGGCCCTGTTGGTAGAAAGTCCAGCGGAGAGGTGGAAACGCTCGGGATATACAACCCCAGGATAAGCAGCGAGATCACGGCCACGAGGCCGCAATTCCTGGATCGAGCCATTGTCCAGTAGCTGGTGCGCCGGTCTATGGATGTCTGCCAGAGTCGACAAGGTGGGGATTTTGTGACGTGAGAGGACGAGCACTGAACAAGGGGCTATGGAAATTGTCGCTGTTATTTGTACTGAGCTCCATGGGCCTTTGATAAGAGGGGTCGCAGAACTGTGACCGGGGTTGATCTCGAGCTCTTACCGTTTTCTCCACATCTTGCGCGCAGATCATGTTGAAGTTGGAGGTGGCCTCACGCTTGTCGAGGGTGAAAGTGATCTCCCCTTCGATGATCAGATCCTGTTGCTATCTGATCTGGCTATCTGATCTGGCTATCTGATCTGGCTATCTGTTGTGGCTATCATGTATGGGCAAGGCTCACCGCCAAAACACAAGATTCCTTGCGGCGAGACGATAGAGAGCCGCGCCGGTTGGACGCTATGCGAGCAATACCCACCTTCCAGCGGGCTGTTCTATGCTAGATTAGTAGATATACCAGATGAGTAGATTGTCATTCTCCCACTATCGCTGGGGGATGCTGACCTTGAGAACGTGACCCCGCAGATAAGCCTCGGGCTTTCTCCAAATCTCCACAAACTAAAGTTTCCAGCTCTCGTGCATGCTACGTAGTAACTTGAGTGGAAATGTACCTATTCTCCGCCCGTTATAATACCGCTTGAAGAACCAGCCTCCGAAAATTGACCGGACTAGGCCCAGGATTCTAATTGCAGTTTTCAAGTCTCGCGGAAACTGTCCGGTGACCTCGATTTTGGAGTCATTTACATACTGCGTGAGGGGGTGTTGGGGTGGTCAATCTCGCCCGCGCGGCATTGCACGGGCCATGGTCGCTATCACTGATGGGCCTCGCAAATGAGGCGGCCCATAACAGGTGAGATCTGCTCAAATAGCTCTGGCTGGCGACCAAGTGGCACCTGCAAGGTTCCAGCTGGCGCGATTTGCACCCCCATCACCAGCCCCGTGGCAGCAAGTCCATATCCCATGGCATCTTGGGGTAGAGACAGCTTAATCGCGAGATGATTGATCAATGGTCTTCGGTAGCAGCAACTGACCCCTGAGAGTGTCGCACCAGACAGTTCATCCCATGAAACTACAATTTACGAAGACTTCTCACCGTCACGACGACTTCATAAAAGTCTAATGGCAGAATGCTAGGTATCCTGTATGCGATGGTGAGTATGGTATGCGTGGGAACAAAAATGTGTGAAGACAAAAAAGACATGGTGGCGCTGCCCGGAATCGAACCGGGGCTGGCACGGCCACAACGTGACGTCATACCACTAGACCACAGCACCTGATAGCTGATAAGAAGGTGGAACTTTGTCAATATCAGCCAAAAATCATCATCAGCCCTCGATTCTGTAATTGATGAGATGGTTCAATCGCTCACAGATCAGGTACTCATCCGTGCTCAGTCCAGCCTACCAAATTCCAAAAACCTAGTCTGCAAAGGCAACGCAGTCTTTCAAAGGTCATCAATATCATAAACACCATCTTTCAGAAACGTAGGACCGCAAAGCCGTGGTGGAATTTCGAAATAAGTCCCGTTTTCCTTTCGATCTTTCGGGTCGATCTTGACATCCATGAATTATGGTCACTGCTTCAGTGGGTGCGCTAATTGATACTTTCCAGGATATTATGACAGCTAGCGCCAACGAGGTGAACTCTTGGAGTGAGAAGACGTTTTTGATCGGGGCCTCTCCAGATCTTGTATGACTTCGAGATTGTTCAAAATCAGGTACGCACCAAATGTCTATGTCTTGTCGGCGCCGCACACAAGGGCCGAGACACTTGGTACGGGTATGTAGTACTCACACTTAACTTAGTACATGTTTGTAGTTGGGTTACTGAGGCGTTCGGATGGTACCTACTGAGAGGACGTTAGGTATTTGATTCTCGTGATAGTAAGTAGTTGCATGCACACCGCGCTGCGGCTGTGCAGTGCGACCTTGATCACCTGGAACTTGCAGGGCATCCACTGTCTCGTGTTGAGATGTGAGATTCTTGCAGTTTCCATTGACCTTGACTGGACTAGTAGTGCTCGGTGACAGTGTGTGTCAACTTATCTAGCATAGGAAAATCATGTTGATCAACTTAACCGGTCCTTTGAGTATACACGCTCGCTCCGATCCCCTGCTCACCGAGGGAACAATTCAAGACCATTGCCCGAACACCGTGCTCTACCGATCATAGATCTCGAGACCACACGGATCTCGCCTGGGGATTCGTGAACCAGACTCTCCCCACTGCTGTCTTCTACCTAGGGTTTGGACTTCCCAACTAGGTAGCCTATGGGCATGCAATATGCAGGAACCACCTAAGGTGACCTTTGGGTTGAAGGTCGAGACCTACGTTCCTACATATTGACTACCAGTTGTACTAAGTGACCAACTAGACTGTGTTCGTGAAGGACCACTGTGGGTCCGATGGAAAATACGGGAGCACCGTTATAGTACAACTACAAAGTTGAATTGCATGCCCGAGCATGGCTTAGAGGTACCTAAAGTCTGAGGCGCCTTGTCCGAATTCACCAAGGGAAAAGGGGTTTCATAGGTAGTGGCCTCCGGTGGAGATATGTGACGGATCATGGACCACCCCCGCCTCGACCTGCCCAGTCCATCTCCGCCGACTACCTAAACATCTCACTCACTCAATATCGGACCAGGTCGTTGCAACATACGAAAGTGTTCGCCCAGTATGACACCCTGTTTGGAATGTTGTACCCAAGTCTCATATATAGGCATCAGGCAATAAGCGACTGTAGGGGGTCAACCTCATCCGTCATTAAATGAAATCGTCCCCGAGGATAATAAAAGGGTTGAACTCGAAATGAATGATCAAGATCTAGAACGATGATGCTAGTTGCCAGATCTCTGCAGCTACCATAATATTGGACCCTCTGAGACTCGAACGAAGATTCCATTAAGGGGGGAGCAAATGTGTTGTGCTTCGATTACCAACGTTACCGAGAGGCAGTCACTCAGTAGGTAGCCGTGCTGCCTCAAGCTCACGATTTGATTATCTGTTGATAAAGAAAAAATTCAGCAATCCACCAGCAAGCGGGTGCTGTGGTCTAGTGGTATGACGTCACGTTGTGGCCGTGCCAGCCCCGGTTCGATTCCGGGCAGCGCCAAAGACTTTTTGTCGGGTTGAGACCATCAGCCTACGTTGCCGGGGCTCTCCTAAGAATGGAATACCACCATACGCATTGTCAGTCGGGCTTGCTCTTTTAAATACCCCTCCATTGTAATTGTGCCAGCTGATAATTATTTTTGGTATAGGAGGCCCCCTCGCATACTTCTTCGGCTCGAATCGTCGGGCGTATGCAGTACAACTTATAAATAATAAAACCGATCTAATGGCTGACAGTTATTAACAAGGGAGACTTGGGTTTACGATAGCTTAACTGTTGTTATTCGAACCACTTGAACATGGGGTATAGTTTTATGCGTAAGGACAGAAACATGGGAGCGACCACGATAGGTGCTGTGGAAATTGCCACGTGGGCTCGGAAAGACCGTGCTTTCCGTTCTGACAGGCCCGGATCTACATGAGCCTCAGTCAAGTTCATTCAGGTCAAGTATGCGGATCGAAACGCCAAAAATTCATCGTCAGAGAGAGCATCAGTTTTGAATAAATGGTCTATCAAACAGCAAAAAGACTATTGGCGCTGCCCGGAATCGAACCGGGGCTGGCACGGCCACAACGTGACGTCATACCACTAGACCACAGCACCTGGTACCTGTGGGTGGGTTAAATTTTGCTTACCTGAACTTTTACTATTTCGTTCAATCTTGTCTTGGCCAAACTACATACTAGCCTCTTGATCACTAGCAGTACTGACGGCGGGCTGGTAGCTTGGTAGATGAACGGTAAAAGAGGAGAAAGTAGTTGTTTGAGTTGATAATAAAGGAGGCGACGAGACAAACACGGAGAGAGGAAGATGGAGAAAGATTCATGCAAAAAGTCGCAGAGGGAAACCCATCTACTCTGTTGTCTATACTCTACACCCACTGCTGGGCCTACAGCAAACGGAAGGAGGCAATCTCCGTTAACAATGGGTAAGCCGTCCAAGCACTATAGATCAGGTGACATGACAATCTGGCTCGATCTAAGTGTACCCGTGTCATAAAGAGGGCTTCCGCTGGGGTATATCATGTGAATTGTCTCTTCATTGGAAGCTGACGGCGCTCCAAGTCAATTGGTAGGTGAGGTGCTATATTCGGTGACTGACATCAAAACTCCTTTTTGGAATTCAATGTAGAAAGCGACCCTCGCCATGGCTCGCAAAACTACCTAGAACTCCATAGGCTGTTGACACAATAATTAATCGAACGCTGCGCGGAACGTGGATGTTTCTCCGTTGCATACACATATGGCACTGGACATTGTGGGCAATGGTATGAATTGTCACATACGATAGTTACAGCCATGTAACAGGTGTGGAACACTGATAGTCATTATTCAGATTTTCCTACTCAGGTAGTAGCTGTGGGATGATGTTCTATCTGGTGTCCAGGTGAAACCAGAGCGAGTCGCCGTCGAAATGTTGAGGAGGGAGACTTACGTACCTCGCCCTGCCGACTACAGCTCAGACGGTGGGACTTGAATTTTGTATGTCGTGACTGCTGGATCGATAGTTTTTGTATTGCTTCAGGTTAGCAATCTAGCTCCGAACTTTCAGCAAATCAGGTGCTGTGGTCTAGTGGTATGACGTCACGTTGTGGCCGTGCCAGCCCCGGTTCGATTCCGGGCAGCGCCATTATCTCTTTTGTCTTTTTGATATCCTCAACCCGCATATGTAGGGACCCAAACTTTTCTTGCACAATTAGTCAAGGTAAGGAGTAGAACTCGTTCAAAGTCCAAAGTAGATGTGGCCCAATTCATGCTTGTGCAGAGCAAATGGACGAGTCCTGCCCCATGACGAACGCACCACTTTCACATGTTTTCGCGCTCGTGGAGCCTATAATCAGCGTTGTAATTTTTTTTTTGCAAGGCAAGAGCCGGAAATACATTCTGGGTAGTTCCTTGTGGTGGTTTTTCATTATATGTTCTTTCGTAGTATACTGCTCAGGGACTCGGAGGGTATCGCTCGTTGAAACCAGCAACGCCAAGCCCTCAATGCTCAAAAGTCTACCTGGAAACGCTTACTCGTTCGTATGCGCTCACCGTACAGATAGAAAAGCACTGGTAGCGGACACATAGCCAAGGCGATAAAGCCAAGTAAGGAATTTCCCCAACCAAGCCCGAGACGCTCATACATCTTGGGACCGGCAAGAGGGAGCAATGCACCCGCCAAAGATCGGAAAACAGTGTTGGCAGCCATAGCGGATGCAGCGTAGGTGGTGAAAGCGTCGACGAGATATGTGCTCACGGTCATCTAGATGGACATACGGAGATGTGTAAGCAGAAGGAAATATGCCAATGAGGGAGGGCGACCTTGGCATCCGTGACTTACAAAGCTGATGAGCATGCCTATTCCAAGGAAGGAGGTTCCGATGATCGGTACAATCCAGTGGGTCTTATAGTACGCACTCCATCCATAGAAGAACAAAGAGATGGGCACGAAGAACGAGCCCGGAATCATCGGTGGCAGTCGGTACTCGGGCTTCATCCCGCCTTTCTTCTCGGCGAGATAATGGAGCAACCGATCGGATGTTGCACCAAGAATGAACAGGCCGATGAAGGAACCAATGCCGATGCCGAGGTAGGACAGACCGACTGAGCCCTGGGACCATCCGTATTGGCCCTCGAAGACGGCACTGATGGTGGTGAAGAGGAGGTACAAGTATCCGTAGATGATACCCACGTAGAGCGAGAGCAGGAACACGATCGGCGACATGAAAAGCATCTTCGTAGGTCGCACGATTGAAAACATGAATAGATCCATGGGCTTACGGCCCGTGTCGTAGACGGAGCGGAGATTTTCGTTCCCCGTCTCTTTTCTGAGCTTCTTGGTTTTGGCGGCCAGAAGCGTAGGCGCATAAGACTCGCGGATGGTGAACAGCGAAAGCACAAAGATGAAGCCACTGGCCATGGCCAAAACCCAAAAGGTCCATCGCCACCCCTTCGCCTGGGAAAGATAACCACCAGCAACCGGTCCGACGACGGGGCCGACCAGGGGACCCAACGCCCATGCAGCCATGGCCCCGCCTCGATGTTCCTGGACGAACATGTCTGCGATGGAGCCAGCGCCGATCGTGAGTGGACAGCTTCCGGCAAATCCTGCTAGGAATCGGAAAAAGGTCAGGCTACCAATATCGGGCGCCACGGCACATGTAATGGTGAAGACGACATAAAGGAAGTTGCAACAGTTGTAGACGATCCGGCGCCCCAAGATCTCAGACACCGGCGCGATCAGCAGTGGACCAAAGCAGTAGCCAACGAGATATACGGAAACAACAAATGAGGAGAGCTCAACGCTCTTGACATTGAAATCATGAACTACTTCCGAGACACCAGGCGCAAACATTGATGAACCGAGAGGTCTGTCACCCACAATTTGGGTTAGTCCGAAAGCCCATCAGAAAGAAGAAGAGAGGGACTGAGAGGTAAAGGAGAGGTCATCGTACGTGAGCAATGTAATCAAAGCAATTGAGACCGTGGCGACCACCTTCCTCTTTGTCGTCCAATTCAATGGATTTTCAGGGTCATCGGGCCCGTCCCAGTCAACAATATTAGGGTCGACAGCTTCTTCGTCTGCTTTTTCGATGGTTTTTCTTTCTTCGTCCGGAGTCACACCGCGTTCCAAGTCACTCGCTGTTTGGTGGAATGACTGTTTATCGCCAGCGACAACATCATACACCTCCCGATTACTCGTTGCGGGCGTTGAGCCATCGATGGAGGAGGCTGTGTCGGCTAGATGAAATTCAGTATTCTTCTTAGTGTTATTTTTTTTCCTTTTCCAACACTCGCAAGTTTTGGCCTTGGCAATAACAATAGAGTAAGGAAGCTAGGTAGCGAGCAAAAGCTCCGATCCACGATAGGTAGGATATGGTGTGATGACATACCTCTGTTTTCCTTCATCCTGCCTTGCTTAGATGATCAGACAAAAACGAAGTTTGGGAAGCTTGCGTGAGGCTCTCAACCCTGATCCGATCAGAGACAGGCCACTGGACTTTTAGATGAGGACAAGGTTAGGCCCAGGGTTAGTTAGATCGCCGATACGCGACCGAGCCAAACAAGTCGAAATCAATCGGATGCAGGATCTTGGTAACTGCCAAAGAGAAATCCACTGGTGATCTCGTCGTATTGAGGCCGCCCCGATACGCGGGGACCTTAAAAGTTGAATGACAGCTAGCTGTAGCGTATTCAGATGGGAAGCTTTATTTGCGACGGAAATGAGAAAGGAGTCATTATTAACAACGATCGAAGGGGGGCAGATGGACGACTAGATGGCGAGAAAGAAAAGGTGCCAAAAGATCACCACAGAACACTACAGTACGGATCGGATGGGCAAGATTTCTTATGTCCGAGATTAATGAAACATTATCCACGAGTCTTATGCATCCGTCGACCTGAATATCGAGGGTTGACCCCTCATTCGGGTATAGCCTAGACTTTCGAGCCAGCCACTCCCAACGAAACAAAGATCAGATCAAGCCAACGAGACTCGAGATCCCCGGCGCATCCACTTTGATCCTAGACGAAAACCTTGTCAATACCTCCAGTGCACGCGTGTGCGTGTGCCCGCCTAAGCATTCAGGGTGCAACGGGCCCGTTCAGCCGTCCACGGTACATTTCAATTCGAGCTCCGGTGTGGGCATTGGCCGGGGTCATGAGTGAAAGGGGTTCGACCGAATGAATTGGGGTCCCAATATATAGAAGAAAAAGGAAAGATCTATACGGTGCGGCTCTGGCGGCTTCTTCTAGACGAGCGCGGCGAAGAAAGAAACATTTCTTCAACGACGTCGTCCTCCCAAGAGGTTGCTATCGGAGCTGTCTTTATCGAACCCATTCGAGGAGGCTCTGGTCGTAGGACCTAATATAGCCATAGTACATAATGCATTACTACACACTATGTGGTTATGATATAGTATAATATAGTATATACCTTACTGTTCCTCTCAGGCCCACAGATTGATCGCAATGGACAACCAAAATATCCATCCAACTCATCATGGGTCCAGCAGGCGTAATGCGGGTGCTCTCCCGCGTAAGTCCATACTAGACTTCGCCTATTTGAACTGGACAAGAACACCGAGCCAGGTGAAGCTGATGGATTGTGAGATATGAGCCGCTGCCCGGCATTTGCATCTAGCGGTAATTAAGTCCAGGACTCCACAGTCCACACACACACATTTCCTCAGCCCAGGACCAACCTAGTCGTTGTGGCTGTCATCTTGACATGATGGGATAACCTTCATCGATCCATCCTGCACTGGGCTGCAGTACTCGACATCCACAAAAGGGGGTCAGCTGGGGAGGACCCGCTTTGATGCAAATGGAATTCTTGGGGTTGGGGTTGGGGTTGAGGGGAGAGCGCATTCAGTGGGGACTTGGGGAGAGTGCGGGGACCCCGTGGCCGAGACCAAAATGGCCCCATCCGACATCCGAGGGAATGGTCGGGCGCGCAGTGGGATTGACTCTGTTCAACTGTGAAGGACTAATTGAAGGGAGGATACTACTATACTGTAAATGTGTAAAGTACATCCAACCGTAGAGAGTCTAAGTACCCGTGCTCAGTTCGCTCAAAGGCTGATACTGAGATGCAGGGCCTCGCCGTCGCCTTGATCTGTGCTGACTCTGGTACTGCAAGACTCAAGTTCGTAAGTACTAAAGGAGTGGACAAACAAATCACAATCCTCGACTCATGTCCACCAAAGTCCTTCCAGAAGAAGCCTGGTTCGCTTAAGCACCTCCCCAAGTATGCATAAAGATAAACACTAATCAGGTTCCACTTGTGCAGCATGGAAGGTCAGTATTATGCCCTTATGAAGCTCCTTCATGCGAGTGCTGCCAGTGCCCCCTCGGCATCTTTTTGCCGATTACACCCAAGATCAGAGGCAAGCCCAACAGCGGGTAGTCTTTTGGAAGCGCATCGTCGCCTGTTTGTGCAGCTGAGGAGCAAAGAGGGGCCTGCTCAGCCGCTGATCGGTCTTACCGTCAACCCAGCCACGCGGAATCCATCCATCAATCAAAATGGCGGGAAACTCAGCTCATTCGTGAGAAGCACACATCCCGGTCTTCAAGATTGTGCGCCAAGTGCTCCACGCAGGAAGGAGAATTGTGTACAAAGCGTTGAGCGCGAGTCGTTTTCGTGATGACGTTCTGATTTTGAGAAAGGGTGTGTCCAAAATATTCACTAGTAAACAACATGCAAGACCCAGACCTACGATGGGGCACTGAACAGTGGGCACATCATCCAGGGAACAGGGAAGTGTCACGCCGTGCTCTAAGCGAATTCCCGAAAAGAAAAGAACCTGTGCAGCGAGCACCATCCAAAGCTGACAATATCCAATCTGGGTTGGGACGAACCCAGCACCAATTATCCGCTGATTCATGTCGCCGAGTATTGAAAGAAACAGTCCAGTCGCCTTCATATAAATTTGCGAGGGTACTCATGCCTGTCTTTACGAAATCCTGGGGTAAATCGAGATACTGACGGCCCACGGGAGGTACGAGCTCGGGCCACTACGCCCGAGCATCACTTAGTAAAATCAGTGAATGTTCAAGTTGCCAAGCAGGCTTTGCCTCGTACCCAATATCTAAAGGCTCAATAGACCCTAAGCAGAAAACTCAAAACAACTGACAATCTGAATTCAAGTAGTGATCTTGGATTGACGTCAAACAATCACCTTCTGAGCACACAGTTCTCATCTGTCAGTAATAGCAGGCTACCCCTTCCCCTCGTAGTATCCAAGCCAACACGTTAATGGGTCAACGAACTCGAGCTTCTTTTCTTTTGAGCTGTTGCTCGATTTAGGGAATTTGACGGAGGACCAGTCCCGATCCTAGATCGGGAGCCCACTATGTTAAATACCAACGATTCTTTCCATGCAGGTTTCATTTGCTATGTTGATGACGTCGCATAGCGCTAGTGTTTTCTAGAAGCGGCTACGACTGCGAGCATTATTGAGGCTTTTTTATATTCTAGTATCCACATCAGACTCTCATGACCTGCGCGAGTCTGGATACTGACCAAAGTCAGATCGATCCATCTTCGCTGAACGCTTCGAGAGGTCTGTAGTACATTGGCACCGATGCTTGGCAAAATTTGTTGATTCAGGGCACTTGGATGATTTTCGGTGACTTAGTACTGGTCTGACGGCAGAGACTGGGTTAGACGGAGCTGCTTCATGTGACACACTTTCTCGTTGAGTGACAGATTTGGACGGGGATATCCGTCCCATTTTTTCCTTGAGAAATACTGACTTTTATGTCGATGAAGTGTTATTCTGAAAGTTCTCCATGTGCCAGGCATCCATAAAGTATGAACATGTCACACGACGTCCAAAGAAGCAATCATTCAGACACTTGACACGCCTCGTGAGACTCGATACCGATTGAATGACACGTACTCACGTACTAACAAGTCAAACTGTGCACCTGTATTCTGGATTGTGAGTGGTCACGAGGCAATCACAAACGGTGCATTGGGCTTGTCTCCTTTTGACTCAACCATGATCGCCGAGTTCTTTGGAGGTGTTCGAAAGTTGATTAGCCTATCTCATTCTACTACTGGCTATTAAAGCTCAGATTCCCGGCGGAGACCTTGATATTTATCTTGTCTGCTTCCTGTGTGTGGTCTGGCTCTGGAGCGATATTATTGTTGGGTTATCTTGCCTCACTCAGCTCGTGGTCGGCTGTATCGCTCAGACCATATGTAAAGCGTGGCAGTTATTGTAATTGTGTGAGGGTTGACAGAGCTACAACATTTTCAGTCCGCGGCATCAAAACGGCTGGACCCTTGGGAAAACCGTCCTGAGGCAAATTGCTTGGAAACCAAGTTCCTTGGCAAACAAGCAATTGCGAGCCGGGACGGGGCATGATTGCGTTTCATTCGATAAGACTTGCCAACCTGTGGGTGTTTTTCCTGCCAAGAAGAAGTGGCTTCAAGGCTTGCTGACGGCCGCCCCTCACCCGTTGGAGGATAATGGAAGACGATCGAGTGGGAATGTTGGGCAATGAAGAATGGACTTGCCTCTGACATCGGGCTCTTCCAGCATGACGTGATTGCCTTCATCTGATAAGAAGCCAGTGGCGTCTGTGCGGGTCCCTTTGGTCCCTTTAGGGAGCAGCGCGGGACGCGCGACCCGCTCAATTGGTCTTCACTTTGAGACCGAGGCGCGATCGTCGTCTGAGGTCTCTTATGGTCGCACATTCATGATTTTGGTTTGGTGTGTATCATGGCACAGCTGTAGCTTTCGCTGTTTTGAGACACCAGCAGTAGTTGAATCAGGCGTGGTGTGTTGCCCTCATCTCGCTTGTCATTTTTGCTTCCATGGCTCTCGGGATGGAGCTTCGGCAACGCAGAGGCCGTGAGGCTCATCAGACCTGCGCGAGAGAATTTCTCGCACATCATGTGGGGCGGAGGGATCGCTAAATCCACCATAACAAGAAGAGTTCGTGGTCGACTTGTATCATCCAGTCCCCTCTGTCAGTGTGTCTCGAGCGATTTGACGTGGCGGGATTTTCTTGTCCAACATCACTGACCGTCGCAGCTTCCAGAGCCGCAGCGATTGGGGAGGCAGCCTGTGGTTGTGGCCTGAGCGAAGGCTGGACGGACGAGAGTCGATTGATACCGAGATAAGAGGTACTACAAGTAGTAGCGGGGATAAATACTTTTGCAGTACCTCTCTGCTGAAGTGCTGATGATCTTGAACCTGCCAAATCCTCGATCGCAAGGTACTGTCTCGTAGCAGTGGGCTGCCGTGGTACCAGCCGGATATCCGTTTGCGGGCTTACTTGGCTGGTTCTACGGACCAGACAGCCGCTAGTCCAGAGAGGAAATCTGCTGGATCGGAAGCCAATCAGCAGAATGGACCTTTCCCGTGAGTGGGTTAGTGGAGCTGGCTACCCCGGTATATGATTGGCTGTGACTATCAAAGGTGGGGGCGCGTTATCAGATTGGCTGAAAATGGCTCGGCGCAAGAAAATTATCTGATCGAGCAGCTCCGCACCTGAAATCGCATTGAGCACAGAACAAGCCGAGTACCCACCGAGAAAACCCGCCGACGACACCAAAACTCGTGTTTCGTGGGACCACGAGGTGATTTTGAAAAGTCGGCCCATTGCGGCCCTTACCCGAGCGATTCCGTGACCTTGGAACTTTTCATCTCTTCCCAATCTCATCTCTCATCCGATATCCAACAACTCCTCATCTCCATCGTCTTCTCTTCCTATTCCGGTCACGGAGCAACTCGATTCAGCTCTGAGGGATACCACAGCACTCGTCTGCCGATCTCTCACCCGGTGCTGTGTAACCTCCCCTCATCCTTTCCATCCTCCCAGGAATTCAACCTCATCATGGGTGTATTCGATGGCCATGGCGGCCGCGACGACACTGGGCGTCTGACCAAGTCGGTAGTCGACGCGTCTGATCTCCACAGCTCAAAGCATGCGCAGTCTAGGACCGCAGATACGGCGCTGGAGATGTCTCCCGAGCAGGAGACTCCTACCACTAGCGACACAGATTCATCGTTCGGTGTAAACGGCGTCGATGACGACGAGAAGGAGGTGCAGCACAACCCCGAGCACGTCACTGTGCAGGCGGGCTTGGGACAACAGAAAGCTGAAGCAGCAGCTCTGGTGTGGAGCCGCAACACGGTCTTTGCCGTCTACGCATGGTAAGTCTCGAATGACTCCGCCTGGACTCGTGCGCGAATTGGTTTAGGCAACAAAGGCGCACGAAATGCTGATCTGGACTCACGCAGGATTTGGGTCGGCTTTTTCATGCTGGCCTTCCACTCCGCTATGAGCTCCACGCTCATGAATTGGGTCTACAGTGACTTTCAATCCGCTCCCCAGGTGTCAACCTCGTACATCTTGGCTAGCATCATCGGTGGAACGCTGAAGCTCCCGCTGGCAAAGACCTTGCAGCTATGGGGTCGTGGCGAGGCTTTGCTTTTTTCCACGGCTGTCTACATTCTAGGCATGATCATCTTGGCAGCTTGCAACGGACCCAACGCATTTGCCGCAGGATACGTCTTCTACTGGATTGGATACTATTGTATCTATCTCATTCTCGACATCTTCGTTGCCGACACCACAGGACTGCGGTCGCGAGCATTTGCCTTCGCCTTTGCCAGTACCCCCTTCATTTGTACCGCGTTCACCGGTTCTTTGGCAGCGCAGTCAGTTTTCCAAACTGCTGGCTGGCGCTGGGGATACGGCATCTTCTGCATCATCCAGCCCTTCGTGTTCATTCCTCTGGCGGTGGTGTTCAAGTTTTATGAACGAAAGGCTATTCGTCTCGGAGTGTGGCAGCCAAGAAACTCTGGACGCACAATGTTCCAGTCGGTCGTTCATTATTTCCATGAATTTGATGGTAAGTCAAACCTATGAAACACAGATACCTTCTGTCAAGTCGAGCCAGTGCTAACTTCCTTTATTGTAGTGGTGGGCGCACTCCTGCTGATGGCCGCATGGGTCATCTTCCTGCTCCCCTTCAGTCTAGCTCAATATGGTCGCTCTCAATACGACTCAGCCACCTTCATTGCCATGATCGTTGTTGGATTCTGCATGCTCTTTGTGTTCGCTGCATGGGAGAAGTGGTTTGCCCGCCACCATTTCATCCGCTATGAAATGCTCAAGAAACCTACCATCCTTGGTGCCTGCATCTGCTCGGCTGTCGCTTTCTTCAGTTTCTATCTCTGGGATCAGTACTTTTACAACTTCGTTCTGATCACATATAATCTGAACGCCAGTATGGCCGGCTATATGATCCAGATCTACAATGTGGGATCAACCTTCTGGTCGCCTATTCTGGGACTGATCATCTGGTGGACCAAGCGCTTCAAGTACATTGTCCTCTTCTTCGGTGTACCTTTGATGCTTCTTGGTTCTGGCTTGATGATCTACTTCCGTGGCTCTGAGCACGGTATCGGCTACATCATCATGTGCCAGATCTTTATTGCCTTTGCGGGTGGCACGATCGTTATCGGCGAGGACATGGCCGTGATGGCAGCTGGTGGCCGCGAAAATACCCCCATGATGCTTGCTTTGATTGGTCTCTTCTCCAGTATCGGCGGCGGCATCGGGTATGCAGTGTCTGCTGCTATCTACAACAATGTGTTTGTGGATGCGTTGACGAGCCATCTACCCGACGACCTCAAAGCCAACGCAACCCAGATCTATCTTGGAGGCATCGGCGTGCAAAGCACCTACCCTGTGGGTTCTCCTCTTCGCGATGCTTGTGTCTATGCATGGGGTTATGCCCAACGCATGAACTGTATTGCCTCGACTTGCGTTCTTGTGCTGCTTATCCCTGCCGTCGCTGTGTGGAAGAACTACGATGTTGGCAAGAAGCAAAATAAGGGTACCATGCTCTTCGATTAAGCCTTCCTACTTACCGTTGTCTCTCTCGATGAGACGACATTCTTTTCATGATTGATGTTTTGATGAGAGGAAGCATTTCATCTCCGTCTCGCTCTCCTGTTCTGCTTGATAGGAAGGCTGTGGCTTGAGCTCTGCGTCACTGACAATCTTCGCGTGTACCATATTGCCTCTGTACATATTAGCATTTGCCAACATAGAATTTTACATATCTTTGACACGAACTCTTCTTCATATGCCTTGACCTTGCACACACAATTCTACAACTTATTGGCTATCTTTCCACCTCTGTTGATCTTCAAGTCATGGATGCGTTCGACCCCGCACTTGATGCATTCTCGTGGCTGTTGCCCCTTTGACTTAACGGTCAACAAATGAAAAAGGGTGCTGATAACGCCGGAATTTCAGGCAATGCTCCTCGGTCTAGCGAAGCCAGTTGCCGACGTCGATGGACAAAACACACGGGGGTTCTCCACAGATGGGAGCAACGTTACTGGCTTCTCTCACATGTGAGCTCTCAGCAGGCATGTACTAATGCCGAAGCGGAGGTACCAGCTCCCGGCAAGGACTTTGCTCGACTTGAGCAAGAGGCTGTTGATTCCTGGTCTGAGAAGTTAAGACCTATCAAGATCAGGGCAGGAGGAGTGCGTGATGCCATGATCGGCGCCTTCTGGAGTGGTATCTACCGAACTATGCTCTCGCCTCAAAACATGACCGGAGAAAATCCTGTGTGGAAGAGTGATGAGCCGTACTTTGATTCATTCTATTGTATCTGGGATCAATTCCGTGCCCAATTGCCTCTTTTGAGTTTGATTGATCCAAAGACTCAGACTAACCTGATCTGCAGTCTGCTTCACACCTACAAGACTGAAGGCTGGCTACCTGATTGTCGCATGTCTTTGTGTAAGGACTGGAATCAAGGTAGTTCAAATGCAGATGTGGTCCTGACCGACGTCTTTGTGAAGAACCTTACCGGCATTGATTGGGAGCTTGCGTACAACGACGCCGAGAACGAGCCCCTCGAATGGTCCTACGAGGGCCGTGGAGGTTTACAGAGTTGGAAACGACTCAACTACATTCCATACCTAGATTTTGACTACCCTGGATTTGGAACCAACTCACGCAGCATATCTCGAACTGTGGAATACGCGTACAATGACTACAGTCTCGCAGTCGTCGGGAAGGGACTCGGCAAGAGCGAAAATACTAAATACCTCTCGCGTGCGAACAATTGGCGAAACTCGTTCAAAGCCGACCAAAAGTCGGTCTCGGAGAATGGGACAGATACTGGCTTCACGGGGATTTTTCAGCCGAAATATGTGAATGGTACTTGGGGATTCCAGGATCCAATTGCGCGCCATTCTTCGAGGCGGTTGAAGTAACCCATCCCATAACTAATCGCACTGCGACAAATCAGAACTCAAACTTCGATCCGACCTACCGAAAAGTCTACATACAGATTGCCCTGCTCAACGGAAGGCTGTACACCAGGAACTGGATTGGGCATGAGTTCTTCACACAGGGAATGACGCTTGAGCTGATGCTCGGGGAGCATGAAAGCGATTGGGGTACAAGGGTGGAAGATCTGCCGCCAAGTCTAAGCGATAATCAAGCTCGTGACGAAGCCACGGATGCATGGGGTTGGAATGATGGGGTCTTGATTCTTGGTAGTCAGGATCTGGAGAGAGCTTTTCAATTATCTTGACATGCGCATCCATCGCTGCCAGGCCCGAGCAATTCGCATAGTGCAAGGTCCAGGGAAGTTTCTTCAGAAGCTGGGACAAAGAGACAATCGTCACCGAGCTGGGAGCTTGTCACGAGATTCAAGTCACCTCGAAATTCAATTCTTATGATTTCCCGCAAATGAGCACGACCGCCGAGCGACGACTGAGATGTCTTAATTTGAACCAGGAAGACTCATTCGCTTGGGTTGGGAGTGGAACTGATTCTCTGTAAGCCTCGGCACAATGTTCGAAGTAAAGCCGGAAGGGCATTCGAGTGTAATCGTCGGAGGTGCATGTCATTTTCTTGTTTGACAACCTGCGGAGAGCAGATACCTAAATCTATCGATTGACTGATCGTCATACTAGCGAGGCCATCGACTTATGCCTCGGTCGGCATTTCTTCCGACGGTTGAGTGGGAACATGAAACTCAGTTAAGGTTGGAGACACCACGATGCGAAACGCATGATCTCTGACTAAGCTTTCTTTGTTGCGCCTGCTGCGGTCTGGCCACTCGTCCTACAGATCCACGTCCTTCGTCAATTCCAAACCTCCCCTTCGAGGAAAAGAAAAGAAGGGGAACTATCCTCAGCGCCGGAGCTTGACAAAAACTCAAGATCGAACTAATCCGTCCCACCTTCCATCGTTCAATTTCCTGCCTCCCAGAACTCCCCGCCCCGGCGACTCCGTTCCCCGGCGCCCGTCGACATGGCCAACCGACAAATGACACGGCGCATCGGCATCAGCGCTGTAATTTCCATATGTCTGATATTTTTCCTCTTTCTCCGTCCACAAGGACCACTCAGCCCTGCGGTCCGGGCACCAGGACACATCAACCACGGTGGGAATGCGGCATCCGGGGTCGTCATTCAACCAGACACGTTAAAGGGGGCTGTGATAATGCCCAAGCTAGGCAATGCGACAGCCAAGTAAGCGGCCCTTGACTACAAATGACTACGAATGACTATGAAAACATACCAGTTTGAGACATTTCGGAGTCGAAGATTACTAGGAGTTAGGAGTCGTGTCGGCTGATTATGGACACCATGTTCTTTTGACTTGACAGAGCGGAGTTAGGTCGTGCGACTTGGAAATACTTCCACACTGTTATGGCGCGATTTCCTGAAAAGCCTACCGAAGACCAGCAGGATGCATTACGCTCGTACATTCACCTTTTTGCACGATTATATCCATGGTACGACATCCATGATCGCTCTCTGTCTTCCTCCCCGTGGACCGAATACGGGGCTTCTTCACCTCGATCTCGTGGTGGAGTAGACTCCACAACATACAAGAAGACTGACAATGTCATAGCGGTGAATGTGCGGAACATTTCCAGCAACACTTGAACAAGTACCCCCCACAGGTCTCCTCGCGCAATGCTGCCGCTGGGTGGGCATGTTTCATTCACAACGAGGTCAATGCGATGCTTGAAAAGCCGGAATTTGACTGCACCAACCTCGGTGCATTCTACGACTGTGGCTGCGCCGAAGACGAAGCCAAGGGTGACGATGGAAAAGATAAGGAGAAGAGCAAGGAGGCAGGTCATTCGGCGACGACCCGTGGCGACGGCAAGCAGGATGCGGGCGACGCACACGATCACCTGGCCGTGGAGATCTCCAAAGAAGCGTAAGTTACCGGACCAAGAGACCTAGAATCTGCACGACATCGCTAGTCTTTGTCGAAGCTCCTTTTTTTCCCTGTTGTCGGAGTGGTCTTGCGAGGATTCGGACTGACTTTCTGACGGCTTGCTCCTCGTCTAGAACGACGCGTGGTTAATGTTTCTTCAAATCCCAAGCCTTGGCTCTTTGTGTGGGATTCCTTTGACCTACTTTGGGTGCTTCTACCGCATGCCCACGGCGTTTGATTCACTTTCTCTGCTTTTCTTCGTTTCTACATACTTTCAGACCTTACCGGAGCGGGTCTCTGTGTATATTATCTACGTGATTGCCATATTGTCTTATCGATACCCAGTCTTCGCATCGCCCACGTCTCTCGTCCGACATTTTCCAGGTCCGAGCTTGAAAGTAGTGGATTTCTCTATTGACTTGTATTGGCCATTCAAGCTTTATACTGCCAGGGTATATCATTAGCAACGACGGATGATACGCCTGCAGCGGCAGGGGTCGCGGCAGGCGATCCGTACGGAACTCTCCGATGGAGGCGAGGGTGAGGACAGATGGTCTCGTGGACTTTGTAGCTTCAGCGCCTCCATCGAATCGGAGCCTCGCTGCTGGTCGGTGTGTGGCGCGTGATCGGACCAAATGAGAGGCTTGCCTTTTGCTACGTTGCGGCATAGCACAGCCTTTCCGTCTCCCGCATGCAGAACATAACGCGACGTCGCAGTTTCTGGAGAGATGACAAGGTCACTTTTCGTCATTTAGTGAAGGTTGGTTTCTGTTCGAGTCGTTTGGCGGATGTGAAATCAAATTGGCGACTAGGGAGGTACTGGCTTGGATAAGATTGGATACTGGTAAAAGTCACACTGAGACCGGCTTCAACTCTCGACAATCGTGGCCGTTCAAGGTTGTAGTCTGTACTTTTATCACGCGCGTGCAGACGCAGTGTCATTATTGAATCCAGCCTCAGCAGGCAGAGGACGTGATAAGAGAGAGCTTTATAGATTATCATCATGACCAGATCGATGACCTCACCCCAAACCAGTATACTTGGCACACGAGTCTCACCTCACCTTGGGTAGGACATATCGAACGCTCAGTATTAAATATGCTGTGCAATCCTACCAGCGCAACTTCCATCTCACGGTCTCACCAAGCCATCAGACATGAAATGACCCGAGGACCTTTCATTCGAGGTCAGTCCCGTCCGTTTGACTTTCTGACCAAGGATTGTGCATGCGGGGGAGAAGGCAACCTAGTAGCTTTGACTTCAGCTGATCTGAAGATCGCAACGGAGAAGATCGCAACGGAGAGAGAGAGAGCACTGTCTCCTGACTCGTCTGAAACGGGTCGAAAGGCGAGTCATCCTGTACCAACAAGCGGCACGGGTCGCGATCGTCGGCGGGGTGGGGAATTCTCCTATGCTTGGAAACCGGCGAGGCCTCATCAAGATCCGATGCTGGGGAAAATGTCCGAGTGACACGCACAGATGGTGAGGGTGAATTTGGGCGAGTAACTCATGCGTCAGAATCGTTTCCCTCCAATGTGACTCGGTAGGTCGGTGTGATGAATGTGTTCAGGCGCCGCTTTGAAACACTGCGAGCGCAAGAGGGGGAGAGGATCCAAGTCAGAGGTGGTTGCACTCAGTAACTATTGATACTTTGTGTTCCTTAAGGAGCTCGTATCATTGATCATCGGCCTTCATGAATGCAATACAAACCTCCTTAGCACAATTTCGTGTGACCATTAGCTCGTTGATACGGGTCTCGTTGCTTCTGTATAGTGTATAGTGTGTACTGTCTCGGGTTTTCTCCATCCAGACAACCAACAACCGTGCCTACTTTTGGCAGCAAGCAAACTAAGGTACCCACTTTGAAACTCCCCCGAAATAGCATTGCCTATCCGAGACTAGCCCTCACTGTATTGGGTATAGCGCACCATCACGCGGCTGTTCCGACTGTCGACGCGCCGAAAAAAAAAGGATTTCCTGGAAAGTCAGAAAAAGAAGAGATCAAAGACCCAAGAAGAACAGAAAGAGAGAGAGAGGGGGAGAAAAAAAGCAAACCCGCGCAAAACAGACTGATTTGACTTTTGAGAATCTCCTGCCGCGCAACAGATCCGCGCAGACGAACACACTCGGACAGAAGAACACGAGCTCTTCTTAAAGAGGCGCCCGCCCATCAGCCTCGCTCTTCGTCTTTCGCGCCGCAAGGGATAACTTTGCTGTTGTGCTCCGCGCGCGACACCTTCTCTTGCTCTCACGTCTTTGAATTGGCGGTCCGCGCATTCTCTGCCAAATCCCCCGCCTGCGCCGACACCACTCTTTGGCGCTTTGCAATCCGTCATCACATTAGCGCTGCGTGAACGACCGAGGCTCGCGGTGTTCTAGATCAACAAACACTCTCGTCGTATACGTCTCATTACTCTACTTGCGACTCTTCCGGACACCGTCAAGATGGTCTCTTTTCAGTGTGAGGTACGTCGCAAAGATTGCTCTGTAGTCGAAGGCTTGCCGGAACCCTTGGACTTTCCCATATGATACTGCCTCTGAATGCTAATCTTGCGACAATGGCAAATACAGGCATGCGGTGACATTTTCACCAAGAAAAAGCTCGATCCCCATCGTAACCAGTGCCGAGGCGCCTCTTTCACTTGCATCGACTGCATGGTTCATTTCCAAGGCACTGCGTACAGAGCGCATACGGTACGTTTCCTTTGAACCGCACACCGGCGTTGACTGCGGACACATTGATTGCGCAGCCAAGCCGAGTCCTCTTTGTCCTGCGGCTCGGAAGACTCTACCGGGATAGATTCGGTTGTCTGGCAGGCCGCTCAGAGAAAGTCGACTTGGTCATAAAATGGAAACCGCTAACAACGATGTCGTCGATCCTAGTCTTGTATGAGCGAGGCCCAGAAGTACCAGGGCGCCCTATACCGTGAAAAGCCCGCCAAGGGGGCCCAGAAGAAGGGTCAAAATGGCGCAAACAACGCCAATCAGCAAAAGGGCAAGGGCAGCAACAACGCCTCCAAGCAGCCTCGTGTTGAAGATGGTTCAGACAGGGAGGCCCTCAAGGCCGAAGTGGCCCCGCCTCCAGCGCCTTCGCCTCCTCCTGTCGGCGAGGGCAAAGCCACGTCTGAAGCCTTGGCCAAATCGGACAAGCCTGTCAACGTCTTCGACTACCTGGTCACCGATGGCACCCCCAACGCCTCCAAGGTGTCGCTGGCCCCTCAGGCTACCCCCAAGGAACAGATGCGCATGGTGGCCAACGCCAAGTCCGTGTTCGAGCCCGGCGAGGCACTGGCTAAGGTTGACACCAAGACCGATGATGAAGGTCACTACGACGTCGCGTACGAGGAGAATGGCTACTCTTACGGCGCGGAACCCATCTCTCCTTCCATGTTTCCCAAGGACGTCCCCAATGTCTCGACCGAGTTTGTAACGCCTGCTCCCAAAAAGAGCAAGAAAGAGCGACGCAAAGAAGAGAAGCGTGGTGGTGAGGCTGTGAGCGAAAAGAAGCGCAAGCGTGGACAGGACAACTCTTTCAGCCCGCAGAACATGGAAGATACCCCAATGATGGATGCGCCATCCAGTGTGATCAACAATGCCGGCACCCCCCACTTGGCTCATTCTGGACTGACTGGCGGGCTGAACCGTATGATGCGCTCTGAATCCCCCGAGGACTCTACCGATCATCACCGCCAGCCTTACAATGACACCTCTTCCCCCATCAAACGCACCCGTCGCAATGGCAAGGAGAGCAAGCAGAGCAATGGCCACGGCGATCAGGGACTCGGTATCTCCATGAAGAACCGTGCTGAACGTCTGGTCTCCTCCATGTTCGGTGGCTCGGTCGTCTCAGCCAGCAGTGCTGGGAACGACGGGAACACTCGGGCATCCGCTCGCACCCGACGCGGCTCCTCATCCGACGCCGAGGGTGATCTCGAGGTCCGCAAGAAGAAGTCCCACCGAACCCGCCATGTCTCCGATTCGCACGCGGAGCGCAAGACCAAGCGCAAGAGCAGCAACCCCACCGACGGGGACCGGCCCAGCCGTCGCCAAAAGCAGAGCGATGAGCGTCGTCGATCAGACTCGCGCTCTCCACATCGCGAACACCAGGTGACGGTCTATCGCGCGTCCAAACCCCCGGCGCGCGGCGAGGAGCTGCAGCGTGAACTGGCCATTCAGTTCCTCAACATTGCCGCGTCCAGAGATAGCGAGCGCGGCTGCTCAATCAACAAGGCTCTGAAGCGGTTCCATCGTCAATTCGATGATGACCGTTACTCCGATCTGGGCCAGGATGACCTGGACCGAAGAGCGATTGATGAAAAGGATCTTTGGCGAGCATTGCGATTGAGGAGAAACGAGCGGGGTGAAATCGTGGTCTTTATCTGAACTTTCATAACAATCACGGCGAAAATTATGGCGAAAATAATGTATTTATATGCGGATATGCCTTGTTCCTTTCCGCATTTTCTCTTTCGATAAAAAGATTCCTGGATTCGAGTTTAAGCTTGATATTCAAATAGCATAAGTGGTTGCGTGGGCACTATCATTTGTCTCCGATGCTCTGTCGGGCCAAAGTAGACTAAGACTTTGGCTGAGTCCCACTTTGGTGGTTATCAAGTGTCAAGAGCTGCAGTAGTAGTACTTTTGATCTTCGATTGACGTGGACCGATAATCCTCAAAGCCTTTCCACGCAAGGCATGAAATTGCAGGTCTTGTGGGTCTCGCCAGGCATTGTATGCAAGTGGATCTCGAGCCCATGAGTCATCTGGTAGGTGGGTTGACTCACTCGCAGCACGGAGCTGCAGACCCGATCGGAAATATCGCGGAGTCTCTGAGATTTGGCTGTCATCGACCTCGGCCTGATTGGCGTGAAGTTTGTACGCCACATTCCACCGCCTCGGTCTCCGCCTGGATATTGCCCCCATGTTGGAGGATTTTATCAACCAGCCTTCGACCGATTCGAGCTTCATTTAAAGTCCATATCGCCCCTTCGGGCTCTATCTGCAATAAAATTTCCTCCTTCTGCTTTCTTTGAGCTAGGGACTCAGTACTGTGCTTTACTGCGGAGACTCTGCGACAGCCAAAACGAACGTCACTGGCGAACCTCACGCATTTCATTTCATTGATTGATACGTCACTGCAAAAGCTGCTGGGTCGGCAAGGCATTTTGCTGATCCACGATTTTTCATTGCTGCAAATTCTTGGACACTAAATGGGGGGACCTGGAAACGCTTGTACTGAGATATTCGATTCAAGCATGCAAGCTCCAGAAGCACCTGTGGCGGCTCCGAGTGCCCCGCGTTCGAGACAACGACGCCGGAGACCTGGCCCTGCCGCCTCCCGCGATACTCAACAAAGTGGCACACCACAGGCCCCAAACGGCCAAAATGCGAGCACTTTGCAGCAACCTGGCACAGGCCCAGCACCAACCTCTGACCGGACCCAAAACCCCGACCAGACGAGGCAGCGAAGACCAAACAAGGAAGGGCGAGGATCAGGGCCTCGCCGAGGGCGTGGCGGTGCGCCTAGGAGAGGTGGGCAAGGAACGACTGCAGAACAAACAGAACAAATACCTCCGATGCAGTCGCGGGGTATGAGAGCTCGAGGCTTTGCGGCGCGTTTGACCAGACCCGGTCAAGAACCCGATGACCGCTGTACTGGAATCTCGGCCAACGGTGATGTCGACCCGAATCTTCGCGCTGATGCTCCCGACTTTGTACCCGGACCTGCGGGCACTATCCCGCCTTCCTCGCTCCCACTTTCTACACCTACGAAGGGTAAAGGAAAAGCCAATTCAAAGGCCCCACAGAGACCACCGAGGGTCACGACCAAATCAACCGCCGATGACATCGCGACTCGGATCCACGAAGACATTGCTCATAACCTCTACGAGTGCCCGATCTGCACTAGTGAATTAGGTCGGCGGTCTAAGGTCTGGGCCTGTGAACTCTGTTGGACAGTGTTTCACCTCAGTTGCGTCAAGAAATGGTCGACAAATGAGGGCTCAGCTGCTGCCCATAGTCGCCAGAACGAGGATGGTCAAATGCCGCCCGTACCCAAGGCGTGGCGATGTCCCGGTTGTAATCTTTCGCATGAAAGATTCCCGTCTGCCTATACTTGTTGGTGTGAGAAGGAGACCGATCCGAGACCTCTGCCAGGCCTGCCGCCGCACTCCTGTGGGCAGACCTGTTCAAGGCCTCGCAAGGGCTGTCCTCACCCCTGCGACGCAACCTGCCACGCTGGCCCATGTGCGCCGTGCACTGCCATGGGACCGACCCAAGACTGTTTCTGTGGTCGCAATTCATCGACAAAGCGCTGTCAAGACACTGATTACGATCGTGGATGGAGCTGTGGCGAGATCTGTGGTGATCTGCTACCTTGCGGAGAACACACATGTCCTGTGCCGTGTCATGAAGGACTATGTGGTGCATGCGAAGTTCGGATTGAGGGTCGTTGCTACTGCGGCAAGGTTCAAACCGATATGCTTTGCAGTTCAAAGGAGGATGAAATGGAGAGCCAAGTCATTCGCGATGATGGTTCCAAGGAGGAGTGGACAGGCTGCTTTGCCTGCCCCGACACGTGCGAACGCCAGTTTGACTGTGGTCTACATTCGTGCCAAAAGCCGTGCCATCCTCAGGACGCCCTTCCTGCACATTGTCCCAAGTCGCCGGAGTCTGTGTCCCGCTGCCCCTGTGGGAAAACAAAATTGAGCGATATTTCCGGCTTCACACCTCGCACCTCTTGTGAGGACCCTGTGCCAAATTGCCGAGAACCCTGCGGTAAGATGCTCGCCTGTGGCCACTCGTGCGACCAGATCTGCCACACGGGTCCTTGTGGGATGTGCAAGCGCCGCGTCCCCATTGCATGCCAATGCGGACGTACCAGCGCAATGAGTGTCTGTCATCAAGGGAACGTTTGCCCCCCGCAATGCTTCCGTCAGTGTAAGACCACCCTGCACTGTGGCCGTCACGCCTGCACTGAGCGTTGCTGTCCTGGAGAGCAGAAGGCCATTGAACGACAAGCCTTACGCCGAAAGTTGAAGTCGCATCTTCGTCCGACGGACGAAGACATTGAGGCAGAGCATATATGTACTCGGATCTGTGGTCGATTGCTGAAATGCGGAAGACACACTTGTCCAGAGCTTTGTCACAAGGGAGCCTGCAATACTTGCCGAGAAGCGATCTTTGAGGAGATCCCTTGTAATTGTGGAAGGTCTATTCTGTATCCACCGCAGCCATGTGGTACCAAGCCGCCTGCATGTCCATTCCCTTGTTCTCGTCCAAAGCGGTGTGGTCATCCGCAAACTGCACATAACTGTCATCTGGACGAGGAAAGCTGTCCGAACTGTCCCTTCTTGACGGAGAAGGAGTGTCTTTGTGGCAAGAAGGTGATGAAGAACGTTCCGTGTTGGCTCACTGACGCTCGTTGCGGTCAGGTCTGTGGTGCACTTCTGAAGTGTGGCTCTCACTACTGTAAGAAGGATTGCCACCGACCTGGAGAGTGCGAAGATGCGGATAAGCCTTGTGAACAGGCTTGCGGAAAGAATAAGTCTCTGTGTGGTCATCCCTGTGAGGAGCAATGCCACGCTCCATACCCATGTCCAGAGAAGACGCCGTGCACGTCCACACTTACTGTCACTTGTAACTGTGGCCGCCTACGCCAGGAGCGACGTTGTGGCGCTGCGAAAGCTATCGCCTCTAAGGGTCAGCTTCAGCAAGCAGAGCGATTACCTTCATTGACCCTATTGACTTGCGACGACGAGTGCTCCCGTTTGGAGCGAAATCGTGGCCTCGCCTCTGCGCTTGGCGTCGATATAAACCCAACAACTACTGTTCAGGCATATACGTCCACCAATCTTCCGTATTCAGCCGAGACACTTGACCAGTACGTCAAACTTGCCTCGACCGTTCCACTCTCCACTCTGCAGACGTACGAGTCCAGCATGCATGCCCTTGCAACCGACAATACCAGTCGGTCATTCCGGTTCCAGCCTGCCAAGTCGACTTTGAGGGCTTATGCCCACTCCTTGGCAACAGACTGGGGTTTCGTGACAGAAAGCCACGACCCGGAACCTCACCGACACGTCTTCGTCCTCAAGCCTCTTACCTGGACCCCTCCCGTCTTCGGCGTGGGCACCGGGTCATCCGTCGGTATTGGCGGTCTCAGCGTCCGCGAGTGTGTCAAGCTCCGAGAACGCGAGCGAACCAAAGAGCGAGACGCTCAACGCGCAGCAGCACTCGAGGCCAAGGCCGCTCGAGAAGCCTCCAAGACTCAGACTGGGGCCGACGGGTGGGCGCAGGTTGCCTCGCGCGCCAAGAAGCCTGGTGCGGAAAACAGCGCGCTCAGCACTCGAAGTACCACTCCGGTGCAGAACATCTTCGAAAGCCGGTCCATATATTCTGCTTTGGCGGGTGGCAGTATGCCCGAAACGTCTAGCCAGTCTTCCAAGAAGGAACGACTAGTACTTCGGTCTGGCGTGGGCGCTAGTAAGGCTATGCGCTCGCAAGCCCCTGCTGAAGTGGTCGATAGCTGGGAGGAAGCCGAAGAGAAGGAGGAGTTGGCGGAAAAGGCCGAACAAGACCAGGAACATGAACAGCCACAGCCACAGCCACAAGACCGGGATCATGGACAAGAAGCGTCTTTGATTGAGGCCCAACAGTCGGAGAATTCGGACATTGTACATGAGGCTTCTCAGGTCCCTGAGCAGCTCACGGCTGTCGACGCCGAAACTTCATCCACAAAGTGAAGCAAGCCTCGGGAACTCCACGAAAAAAAAAACGCATTTGATGGCGTTTGACTTGCATACATTGTCACGACTCATGATTCCAATGAGAAGCCAAAAGTGATGTACAACATACTTGATTGTTTCGCATGATACGTTTGATTTGGCATATGCATACATTTCTTATCTTTCTCATATCTAAAAATCCTTCATGTTATAATTTTTGCAATATCAATATTGTTGAATTGCATGGTTGGCATGCTAAGCATGTCTCAGATCTTTCACTATCACCTACAGCACGTATATCAATTACCTCAAGCTCGTCCATAGCAGATACTACCTACCCAAATACTATATGCCCTAGCTTGATTCCTAGAAAAGCTTGTGAATAGGATAGGACTTTCGCTGGGAGGTCCTCTGTGTGGCTCCTTAGGAGGCTCCGTTGGGTACTCAATTGCACATCGTGGTAGATTGATCAATCTTTAAAATCATGTCCTTAATTAAAATCATTGAATCGGAAGTAAACATTGCAAAATTTACATAGTACAAGAAGGTCATCGCCACTGCAAGACGTCGCATGGGAGACCGCATACCATGTTCACTCTGATGTGCCAGAGAAAGGGGCGGTCTTCAACGTCCTCCCTCATGAGCTGCAGCTAGAAAGTAAGATAACACACGACGAGAGACAATTTTCTTTTCGCCAGCGAAGACTAGACCATCGGAAATGTGGGCGCCAATTGAATGTACCTGGCGGACAGGATGGGAAAGTTAATGATTAGTAGAATCGCACTGTTGAGGAGCATGGGTCCCCATAATAAAGATAAAGATGTTCAGCTAAAGTGGGCGTCCGAGGGTTTGGGGGAAAATCGACCAGCATGACCGTGCAGAATTGTGGCGCTGTGTTGTGTCTCGCTGGCGCTGAGGGTCTTGTACAACAAGTGAAAACCCACGGAAAGTTCGAAGAAGAAGATTTGTTGGGTATCGTTAATGAAGCGGAGGGCACTCTGTCCCGCCAAAGTAAAAAACTTAGTATGGATACTTGGTACTGCCTGCTGCCGAATCTCTCTCAACCTCCTCCGTGATGAAGGCATGGATATGTTCGAAGTAGCTGGGCTCGGCGACCGAGTCATTGTGACCACCGTTCGGTAATGTGCGCCAGATTTTTGTCTCTGATTTGCACACGGCGAACAATTGGGTCATGTGGGATGGACTTGAAAGACATCAGTCGTGGATCTCAGGGCAGCTCGAACCATGTCTGGGACTTGACTTACGGTACTAGCTCGTCTTTCAGTCCGCTGAGGAAGAGGATAGGAATTTTGCTGATGCTCGGAAGCACATCTTCGCTCATCCAGTACTGGTGACACAGACGAGCCAAGTATCGAGCAGGTGGAAAGACACTGTACTAGGACGTCAGCCGCGAACAAGGACCACTTGGATGGGGAGGGAACTCACGAGGGAATTAACTTGCGAATGCTTACGAAAGTGTTTTCGAGAATCAATCCGGCTACATCGCCTTGTTCTTGATTTGTCGCAACAAGGTTGATGGCCACCGCACCACCCAAGCTCTGGCCATAGACCACAAATTTGGAATCTCTCGTCTCTGCCCGTTGTCTGAGATAGTCCAGGCCGGTCTGTGCATCAGTCTTCAACCCCGTCTCATCAGGTGTGCCGGTGGACTTTCCGTAACCTCGATATTCTAGCAACAGTACATGGCAATTCAGTGTGTCCTGCAGCGCCTTGGCAATTGGTACTCGGTGCCCGATGTTGCCGGCGTTGCCATGGAACATGATGACTGTCAAGTTGCGCCGATATTGACTAGGGGACGAGCGTAAGAAGAGTGCATTGAGTGACTCTCCGTCGGGTGTAGGAATTTGAAGATCTTCAAAGTCGGTGATGCCAAATTGTCTTGGACTTGGAACGTTGGTACGCGCATCCGCTGGGATATTGCGGGGATAAATCAATTCGCTGAGCGGGCGCATTAGTGATGAGGTACGGGGCTAAAGAAAGAATAATTGCACTCCGAGCGGCCTGGCCTTACTTTTGTTTGAAGTACAGGAGACTACTTGCAACCACTGCAAGCCCTGACGACGCCAAGACTGGCAGGCGCAGGAACTGAACGGCGCTGTTCGCCATGCCTCCAAAGCTCCATGATGCAGGCGGAGGAGGAGACTCGGACATGATGAAGAAGTATCTCCGACGGACGATTAAAACAACAATAGTGATCGCACAACGAGCGCACCGAAATTGATAGATTATCAGGGGGCTCGGCAAGTCTCTCGGCCCCGACTGATTCAAAAGAATGAATGTCAAGGGATGTTCTGATGAAGTTGTTTCAGGAGTTCTTGCGGGGAGGGCTTGTCTGGCGATAAGGCAATACACACCCCATCGATCGCCCTATCAGCCCGTCACTTGGCTCTCACCGCCCGAGCTGGGGGACGCGTTCATGAGCTTCTGCCTTCCGGACAGCTTCTTGAGAACCACCCTGTCGTCATCTTGTGCAATCTTTGTGGTTCTGTTCGAAACCTCGCTCGCAGTCAAGTCTTCTACACTTCTTTTCAATCTCCATTTTGCTTCGCATCGCTGAGAACCATGGTCAGCCAACACGGTGTGCAGGGAGTGCTGGGGGAAGGTAAGATCGAGCTATTCGTCACACCGTCATTCAACCAGCGTAGGAAGCTTAAGGTCATCAACCAGATGGGATTCATGTTGATATGCAGCACCTCAAGAGTGGAGAAGTCAAGTATGTCACATTCAGCGCGAAACTTGTACTTGTTGGAGAAAATTTTCGATTGCTAATCAATGGCTTGTTCCACTACCTCTAGCTTGGGAACATCAATGTCAGTACATTCGAGCTTGACATATTTAGTTGCATGACCTCCGCATTGTTGGTTTCTAACGCCATCTTTCAGCATGGCAATCAACTTCAAGGACGGCGTCATTCTCGGCGCAGACAGCCGAACCACAACCGGAGCATACATTGCCAACCGAGTGACGGACAAATTGACACAAGTGCACGATACCATCTGGTGCTGTCGATCCGGGTCAGCAGCGGACACCCAGGCCGTGGCTGATATCGTTTCCTATCATCTCAATATGTATGGCGTGGTCAACGATGAAGCTCCCAGCACACAAGTGGCCGCCTCTCTTTTCCAGGAGCTGTGCTATGAGAACAAGGACGCTCTGAGGTTTGTCTTTCTCTCCCCCTGACCCTCGTTTCCTAGAGTGTTACTCAGTCGGATGGGTGTCGTTCGGTGCCTGTGTCCCATGCTCGCACGCTGACTCGAATGTACAACTCTAGCGCGGGCATCATCATCGCGGGATACGATCCTCGTCACGGCGGTCAGGTATACTCGATTCCCCTCGGTGGATCTCTGCACAAACAGTCCTTTGCCATTGGCGGCTCTGGGTCGACTTACATCTACGGTTATACGGATGCCCACTGGAAAGAAAACATGACGGAGGAAGAAGGCATTGACTTTGTGCGGAGTGCTTTGCAAGAGGCCATCAAATGGGACGGCAGCTCAGGCGGTGTCATTCGCATGGTCGTGCTGACCAACCGAGGCGCTGTGCGGCACCTTTACCTGCCAGACACCAACTACACCGGGCCTGGTGTGACAAATTAGGGACTCGTGTCTTTATGTGTGTGTACTGAATTCATAGCGTGGTGTTCAGCCCTGTCTCAAGGAACAGTCGGGGTTGAGCGGGCCATTCTTTCTGCCTTTTCGCTTCCAAGACGAAAAAGCGACCCAGCTACTCAGAAATGAAACGTCTTTGATGATTATCTCTTTCCATTGTGAGTATGATTGCAGACATGCCAGTCTCGTGGTGCGGGCGGAGTTTGGTCGCCTGGATGACCTTCAGCTTCATTCACAGACCAGGCACACGAGGGTGTTGCTACATGACCAGGACGACTGATTCTAGCTCGAGGTGAAGCTCTTGCCTGACAATCGACCAGAGAGTATGGAGGCAACAGAATCAATCGACACAGGCTTGTAGATACTGGGTACTTAGGTCCTGGTAGTAATTTTGAGAGATATGACAGCTTCGGAAGGCTAAGAAGATTCTTCACAGGCAAAGGAACCTGAAGCAATGGAACTGATATGCCAATGAGTAAACGCTGTAGTCGCACCGAATATCCGACAATCTCACTTGACCTCCAGCACCGGATGATTCATCCAGACTGAACGTATCGGAGGCAGACAAAGAATGCCTTGATTCATTCTCACGTCGCATAAAGTCAGGGTTCATGCTCCAAAACAGGGAGATTGTTCAGAGGTCAAGATACGAGAAACGAACAATGAAGAGAGCAGTCCCCCTCCCCCTCTTCCGCTGTCTCCATCCCATTGGATTCTGACTAGATCAATGGAACTTCTTCCATGGGATCAGGGACGACTTCCCGCTCTGGGGCCCGGCTGCGAACGAGCTCCTGGCCGCGGACAAGATGTCGTTCACGGAGAAGAAGGCGATCAACCGCAGCATCGGACGTCGACTCGTGATCTACAACCTGAGGAAGTACCTGGGCAAGGAGAAGGGGCTGGACGAGCACGACATCACGAACAAGGTCAGGTTGAAATTCGTCTCCCTGTGTCTCGCCGTGGCCGAAGCGTACGAGCATCCACCCACGGACATCAGGACGGCCATCTACACGTTCTACCGCAACAACGTCAACAAGGTCACGGCCGGGTCGATCCACGATCCCGCGTGCTCGGAGTTGCAGGCGTTAGCGGCCACGTCCGTGATGGCGATCAGATGCGGCGTCGCGATGAAGGACCTGTGCTCGGCCTTCTCCTCGATGTCCCCCAGGCTCGTGGGCTACACCGAGGCCAGAACCCCGTCCGTGAAGAACTTCAGGGCCATACAGCCGAAGCTGACCGAGCACGGCAGGGAGTACGTCTACGCGAACAGAGGCAGAGCCACGTACGACCTCGAGACCTTGAAGGAGATCGTGAGGCTGATCGAGAACATGTACGTGAACTTGTACGCGCACAAAATGCGGATCACGAAGTTGGTCGTGTAGGAGAATACGTACGAGAACGCGAACATGTGACCACGACTGGATGCTCAAGCACGTGCACTCGGGACAGAAGAGGAAGCTGAAGTCGATCGTAACTGCGTGAGAATGGTGCCTACCTCACACTCACAGTGCACTGTGCAGTCAACACAGTACATAACTGCTTGGTCTTACTGGAATACGTTGCGAAGGTCCAATGTGCACGAACCTGATATGGACCGGTGCTTGCGATCCACCCATCCGGTCGATTACATCATGGGATGGGGCATGCAACGGGTCTATTGAACTAAGTCCCGTATTCGAGGAGCGCCTTGGCGTTTTGAGGACCGGAAAGTGGAAGTCATGGCTGATGCTCTGTGGATGTTGATCTGGATCATGGACGGATGTTGATGTTGATTTGAATGGTGCTTGATTCGTAGGCCAAGCTCGAGCAGAGATGGAGGTCTTTTTTTTTTGAAGATTCGAATGCTTACTTGTTCATATACTGTACTACGGGCTATTTTGGTACCCGTTACTCGCTGGACGTGCATACTTGGGTACTACACGAATCATGATACGACAGGTTCAGTGCCCGAGAATATGGTAGAGTAAGTAGGTAGGTACTCAGTATCAGCCTAGCAGATAAGTACTGACTATGGGGGTAGTAAGGTACCAGACAGGCACTGGGCACTGGGCACAGAGATGTTTGTCATGTTCATAACTTATAAGACGGCCATCACAAAGCTGCATGTATTGGGGATCACTTGGCAGGCGCCGGGCAGTACGGTGCTTTTTTCCTCGTGTATCCACCAAGTGCCAAGTAGTTCAAGTCGAATGTCGCGAGAGAGACAAGAGCATTTTCTGGATTAAAACCGGACCCGAATCTCTGTCGTGCACGGATGAACTTCGTACTCATCCTTGATTTGTTCCGCTACACGAGATCGACCGTTGAGTCTGGTCTCATTCAAGGTTCTGGAAACTCTGTTTTGCTCTATCTGCGAAGCGTCTGATCGGAGATTCGGTGATAGAGTTTGGGTCGGGTCCGATTAGCGTTCCAGTGTGACCGTGACTTTTTGCTCTTCGAACATAGATGTGGAATGAGGAGTTCCTCTCGTGGCGGGGTCAGACTATCAATATCTACTCATACCTGCCACCTCCAGGAAATCGGGCTTCCGGACATCTTTCATAGTCAAAGACCCGGGCCTGGCTGACTGATGTTCCATATATCACGACCTCCAGGGTTGCTCGTAGGTAGTGCCCGCAGGTTGAAGTCTCCCTACCTAGCTTTAGTACTGATTTAGTGGCAATGTTGTTAGAAGGAGCTAGACATAGGTAACTATAAGAGCACTGCGCTGGTATACTCACCCTAGTACTAGGCTTCTCAAGGATCCAACTCCCCCTTGGCAGATTTCATCTTCATGCGATACAGTGGACGTGGCTCTCCTACGTGTTACAGCCCAGCACTTCCCGACCCAACCCCGTAAGGTGTGACCTGTGGAATATAAACTCCACACAAACAACTGGTGAGTGCTGGTTGAGATCGATCTATACCTACTTTCTCGCAGCATGATCGAGGATTCCAGATTGATCAGATTCAAATCATTCCAGTTCTCTCTGAGTCTAGGCATGCTTCCTGGCCCATTGAATCAGGGAGAAGTCAATCTTCTCATGCGGTGGGACGAGAATAGAAAGGAGGAGTTGGCCCAGAACGTCCTACTGAAGTAGTGCTGAACTACAGCCGGGTTGGTTTAACCCACGCGGATGCTTTACGGACGGTCATTCGCCCGACGAAGCCTTCCGCCCTCTCCTCACTCCCTGCACCCTCTTCTTCTTGCTCCTTCTTCTTCTATTGTCTGTCCCGTCAAGACTCTTGTTGATTAAAGTCTGCCTCAAAAAGGACTGACGGAAGTCAGAAGACGGACCCTAAAATTAGGACATGATCACAGTCATGGTATCGATCGGCAGTCTGATCGCTGGATCTTGGACGGTCTGAAGGGTTGATGATGAGGACTGATTCGGGAGCTGTGGCTCATCGAGTCTTTCTTATCAGCACGTGTTCGAGCTTGGCAAGTTGGAGTGCATTAGATGGGGACATTAGGTAGTCTTACCGGCTCAGTCCAGTGCAATGAGTTCCTCATTTCATGGGTCCCAACCGCTTGGAACTGGAAAGTGAGCATAAGCCGATGTACAGCCGCACATACCGTGAGGCAGTACTCCTGCTATGGACCTTGAACAATATTCGTCGCTGTCAGGTACTAGGCATCCACCAGAGATAAGCCGCAGCTCGGACTAGATTCAACAGTCCGGAACAAGCCATCAATGTAGGAAGTAGTGTTAACTGTTGACTAAGTACTAAAGTAGTACAGGTAACTTAGTTAACTACAGTAGTACTCAGTCCCTAGTTAGTCAGCAGAGTGTAGAGTGTATGTAGACTCAGTATTGTACTCATACTCTAACTCATCATATTTTCGACATGTATGTACCTACCTAGCTACACCATGTTAGGTACACTGAGTACATACTGTAGACATCCGTACTCTAGTGTATCTGACCACTTGAATATTATCGTCTCCGACCCCGTGATTCGAGGTGTACAACTGTACACCACCCCATCCACATGGAGCGGTCAGACAAGGAGAACACGTGCTTGTTTGGCTCATCTGAAGCCAAGGAAGGAGCTGGATCGTAGTAGTAGTAGTAGTAGTAGTAGTAGTAGTAGTAGTAGTAGTAGTAGTAGTAGTAGTAGTAGTAGTAGTAGTAGTAGTAGTAGTAGTAGTAGTAGTAGTAGTAGTAGTAGTAGTAGTAGTAGTAGTAGTAGTAGTAGTAGTAGTAGTAGTAGTAGTAGTAGCTTAGGAGGTACAATGATAATAAGGTACGTGGCCGACATACCTAGTCATCCACCCGACCACCAAAACAGATCCAAGATCCCTGCCATGACGGGCGTGGATTCGATGCCGCAATCCCTCGGGAGTGCTGGCGGTCCTCCACCCGGGAGGAAGGATCCTGGGTGACCGCATCTGAATGATCCTGGCGATGTTGACTATCGACGCAGTCATCGCACTTGTCATGCGATTCACCGTTTCTTTTGATTCGACCTGTCCACTCACACTGGATCGTTTCGATCCGGACCAATGTCAGGATCGAATAGCTATCAGTAGTTCAGTACGGTTTTACACTACCGCTCGACCACTGACTGTGACTACTAGTACCTCTTTTCTTCTCCCTTGCCTCGTACGTGCCACGAGACCTGGTATGACAGCACATCTCGAGAGACAACCGAGTGAAAAGCAAAGACCTATCCCAGAGAGCAAACGAGGCACAAGTCGTGATTCTTAGTGAACTATCATTCTGTCACGTTTCAAGTCTCCTCGAACACAGGAGCTTTCCACTGGTTTACACCGTGATACCTCCTCCAGTATCTGCCCAGTGCCCACCCTGCCACGCTTTACTTTTCGTAGTACCTACTACCTACTAAGTGCAGGGCTACAGGCAGGAGTACTGTCGATTTAGACTATCGGCAGGTACTAGTGACCCGTCAGTCATGTACCTCGACTTATGCAACACGATGTACGAGGGCCCATCATGCCCTCGGCCCACTACCAGCAGCTACCTGACAGACCGGTACCCAAGGACTGGATGGATCAGTCCCTTGAAGTTCCCACCAGTTCCGCTGACCTCACCGTGGAACCGTCGCTCTCTGCTCCGACGGTCTCGCCATCTCTCAGCCTCTCGTTTGAGAACCTTCCTTCATCCTCGATCGCTCGTTCGCTCTCTCTCTCTTCCACCAGTCCATCCCAATTGCACTCTCAACCCAACAGGAATTACACCGGGTCCATCGATGCATTGGATGTAGAGTCGCCTGCGTCGCACGTTCTTGGCTCCCCCGGTCGCTTCAAGCTGTCCTGTACAGCGCCTTCTTGGTTCTTCCCTGTTGGCTTCTAGACCCATTCTTGTAAGCACCCAGTGTCCAGTGGTCCACTGCCCACTGCCCGGTGCTCTCGTCATCGAAGGACCACAATCACACCAAACTCTCTTCGCCGGCCCTTCCTCTCTCCTCTGTACCTCCTTTACCCGCCGTCAGAAGTGCGCGTCTACCGTGTCCTGGTATGTCGGCGTGCGCAGCTTGCTACACCTCCCTCCGTTTCCATTTCCGTTCCCTGTTCCCTTCCCTCTGCTCTCTTCCTCTCTCATACCGCGTGTCCTCCGCTCGTTTCCCGGCACATTTGCTGCAACTTCCTCATTGAATCCTTCCATCCTCGTCGTGCTCTTCAAATCCTCGCTGGTCCCATGCGCTCGCACCCACTAACCCGTGGTTCCATCAACAAAAGCAGAAGGTCTCTCGTCCGCTCCCCGCGCGTCTCAGTGGCTTGATATGGGCTCCGTGATCGTGAATCCTCTTCCGTCGAACCAGGTCGACTGTACATATACGACCATGTTAGGAGGTGCGCGCAGCGCCAACTCGGTCTACTCACGCCCATCGCACCCGAGTGCAGCTGCTCCATCCGCGTCCGCCGTGGACGTCCACGCCAGATCGAGATCCTCCTCCGTCAATACCACCCCCACCTCAACCGCCGCCCCGCCGACCACTGGCTCGGACTCTGCTCGGCTTCCCGCGTCTGCAAGCGATATCCCCGCCTACATCAACTCCCAGACTCCTGTCATCGTCTCCTCCCACCCCTCTTCCTCCTTCTCCTCCTCCTCCTCTTCTTCTTCTTCCGCTGCTGCCGTTGTCGCCGCCTCGTCTCACCTGCCCGCCGAAACGCCGGCTCACCATCAGCCTCCACCATCGATGACCTCACATTCACACTATGGCATTCCGCCCGATCATCCATCCCATTCCAATGCGCACACCCCTCAGTATTCTCAGCCGACCCCGACGACAACGGGCCACCCAGCCGCATCGGCCGACGCCATGACTGCGACATCACACTCTTCGTCCCATCCATCGCCCGATTCACCGCGCTTGCGACCGACCATTCGTTCCATGCAATCCCTCGGAGGATCCGAAGCCACCTCCCCCAGCCGGATCCGCGTGCACAGTCTGTCACATATTCAGAGCCTCGCCAGTGAAGAGTTTCTGCACCAGAACCATCGGTCGCACCTCTCAAGTCATTCATCGCACCCTCGTCAGTTCGAGATCAGCTCCATGCCCGTCACCGATATTATCGAGATGGTCGCCGGCCTTCTGACCAAGATTACCACCACGAATGACGAGCACCATGAGCATGTGCATCGCCACATTCCCCCTCCCGATGGAACGAGTAACCTGAGTCCTCAAGCGACCAGCGTGCTCGCCTTTCACGGCAAGAATGTCCCGAGCATCACCATCCTGAGCTACTTGACTCGCATCCACAAGTACTGTCCCACTACCTACGAGGTCTTCCTCAGCTTGTTGGTCTACTTCGACCGCATGACGGAATTGGTGAACCAATGCCAGCACGGCCTAGACCGGCAACAGCATTATGATCATACCCCGGAACACCTGTCACGGACTGCGTCGACCAACTCAGTCGGTGCGCATACGCCGCAACACCACCAGGACTCCTCCATAGTGACTCCACCATCCTCCGCACGCATGGCCGGGCAAGATCCCAATCCCGACTCCACCATCTCGCCCGCGCTCCATCCCCAGAATGAAGACGATCCGTTCTCCCATTTCTTCGTCGTTGACAGCTTCAACATTCACCGCCTGGTCATCGCTGGAGTGACATGTGCCAGTAAATTCTTTTCCGATGTCTTCTACACCAACTCGCGATACGCAAAGGTCTGTGATGCCCCTCCCCCCCCTCCCTCCCTCCCTCCCCGAGGACCGGTGGCTCGGAACTTCGCCCGGTAAAGCCATCTTTTCAATGGACAGACTGGCTTATATATTTGTGGCTTTTTTTTACTCTGCAGGTTGGAGGACTACCTCTGGTGGAACTCAACCACCTCGAGCTTCAATTTCTCATGCTGAATGACTTCCGACTGGCCATCTCGGTTGAAGAGCTTGAGTCCTACGGGACCATGTTGGTTGAATTCTATGCTCGCGAGGTCATTGCGCAACAGCAGGCCCATCATCAGCAATCTGTGCCTCGTCCCATCAATTCTCGCTCGGATTCTGCCTCCGAGGCGATGTACATGCGATCTCGTGACAAGCGCCGAGATCCAGATAACTTTGGCCAGACACCTACTCCGCCCTAATTCTGGTCGCATATCCGGCTCAACATCCCTCAACTCGCCAAGACCTCTATTTAGTACATCCTCGCATCAGTCCCGCCCTTGATGCTGGGTTCCCAGCCTTTTGACAAAGTTCAATTCAATACCCTTTGACCACATGAACGCTGTGCGTTCCTCTTCTCATTCTGCCCCCCAGATCTTTTTCGTCATATTCTTACAGTGTCGTCTCTACCTTCATTCGACACCCTTCTTGTGATGACTTGGACCCACCCTTTGTATCGTGCATTGATACGTCACGGCCTGAAATAGATTTCGTTGTGTTGATATAATACTCGTGTATTCGGAAACACTATCCTTGTCTCCCTCGATTCCATGCTTCATGTCCTTCTTCCTGCCTTGGAAGAGTTTCGGCTGTTCTCCATCCTCAGACCATTGACGCACCTTGTTCTGCTAGCCTTTGGTCCGGATTTTAATTGCCTGGACAAATTTTGAGCTTTCCCTCCGGTTTGATTCTGCCTCTTCTTCTTCTTCTTCTTCTTCTTCTTCTTCTTCCTCGGTCCTTGTCTGGTTCGTACGATATGGCGATCCTCACTCTTCTTTTTCTCAATCTGTTACCCCTTATCTTTCTATTTAGTTTCCCCCTCTTCGATCCTCTGTCCAGCGATCGACATGGTCTGGTGTTGTGGGCGTTTCTCGTCCGACTTTACGCTTGTTTCTCTCTTTGTCTTTTTGAGCGATATTATTGGTACATCTTGCGTTGGGTTCCGTTGAATCGTGGTGCTAGTGAGGCTGATTTGTTTTTCGGTAGAGTTGATCTTCTGCTTGACTAATCCTACCTTTTTCCATTGTTACAATGTCCCTTGAGTGTGTCGGGTTACCGTATTACAATTGGAGACGAGTAGACTGGTGGAGCTTGCCTATTAATATTCTCTCAGCCCGTCTTTGGTGGGAACTATGTCAGGCATGGTCCGTGTGTCGGAGCTGGAGGTCACGCATCCAAACTCCCACGGAATCGCCAAGATTTCTGAATGAAGTTGCCGTAGCAGATGGAGTTTCAATGTCACGACTCGAGAAGACACCTACAAAGAAATCGTTCACTCGCGTACTAGTTTTCCACTTGCTTTTTTGTTCGCTCCAGACGACCATATCATGCCTGATTTAGGGTGACTTCTGTCGTTTGTAATGACAGACACCATCCATTGACGTCAATCTTCTAGACATCACCCATGCGAGGACGTTTCCCATCCAAAGTGAGCCAATTGACATGGTGTCTTGCTTGTCAAACGCCCAGGTACTGGAGGAGGACGTGCGCGCATCGACGACGCCTGACTTGTTGCCACTCGGGAACCTCAAAGTGTTCTGTCACCGGGAGTCGCAGTTTGATGAAGTCCCGTCCTGGCAAGTATATGCGCAGCCTTTAGAGACGGGTGAATGAACGATCGCTATTCTGCGCAGTGTCCATTACACAGTAACTTATGACAAGACTAGGATGAGTTCTACTGGTGATGGATGCCGCGCTGGAAGATGACAGGTCAGTCGAGTGCGAGGGATCATTTGATATACTTCCTAGGGTGTGAATTGATGCGATCAAGGTTGGCAAGATCGTGGATGGCAAATCACTAGCGTTGGAAAGTCCATCCTGGTTGGGTAGTTAATACGGCTTTGTGGTTGGGGGTGCGAGGTACGATGGTGTTATAAAATGATGAGAGTGGAGAGGGTCTCATCCAGGCGACAGTCAGGATATGTCTGTCGTGGTTGTATGTGCTCCTTCGACCAGGTATTCTCATGGATCTAGACGGGGCTGCAGCATACGTTGCAAATATAGCAGATGAAATGAATATCATCTTAGTGCTAGTGCCCAAGGTGTCTCTATGGGTAGTGAAGAAGTAACATCCGCGCCATCATTGTGAATCTTGTAGGATGGGGAGAAAAGAAGTTCCGATATAATTTGCACACCCCTTGAATGCCGACGAAATCCATTCTTCTTAGACATCCCCTCGCAAACTGGTATGCCAACATGTCGCGTGGAACGTGATACGAGGAGTCTTGTAGATAAACATCGATCTTCCGATTTGCCTCGAATTTCTCTGGAAGTGTGTAAGTTCCATCGAGACTTGCCTCTCCTGTTTTGGAAGCAGTAAGGCCCTGATCAATAGATAAGATACCTCCAGCAAAATCGAGACCAAGTACCATATCTGAGCTTTCATATGCCTACCTTCAAAGTACCTAGTACATGACTCGAAGGAAGTAAGTGACATGACTCAGATGGTGATTGACACATGCCACAAAGACACTGGATGAATGGCTCCACTTCCCCGCTTTCCGCAAGTCTAAAAAGACGGCTATCCCGTTCCCGGCCCGAAGCTTAATTCATTTTCTGATGAATGGGAATGTTAATCTTTGGTCCGGTCATCATATCAGGACCGTCAGTTCAGAAAAGAAGACAAGAGTGGTGGCTAAATGAACCCCCCCTTTCTACCTTTTTTTTTTTTTTTTTTTGGTTCTGACGTATTTCAATCTGAGTTAGACATAGCGGGATTGTTCTCATCGATAGAGAGCAGAGATTTTTCATATTGAATTGATCAGACTTCTTCCTGGAGTCACCCGCTCATGTAGGATTGTCTTAGTTCACTGTGAACTCTTCCTGTTCCTGCAATGACATATATGTCATAGCCCGAGAAAGGTGTCGACTCATAACCCCTATTACCCTCGTAAAGGTCCATAGCCCTTGCACGTTGAGTCTGCACGGCTGAGCGGTAGTGTCCTTGATCGAGAGTTGAATCAAGGATTTTGGTGGCTCAAATATGGTCGAGTATTATTGTCGCATGCGAGGCCATCCGCAACATCCGAGAATGATACCTAAGCGGAGGTCCGGTGATATCAGCGCAGTGTGAATGCTGACATGTTGCCGTCTTGCATGCAAGCCGTGTTACGGACAGCCTGGCGGGCTCAGGCAGATAGCTCATGTGTGGGCTTCGTCGATTAAATGTGTTTTCATATCAGTGTATCTCTGTGGCTGGTGGGCTCAAAATCTCACAGTAGAACTTGGCTGTAGTCTGTACTGGGCTCATAGTCTTCCGGTTGCCGTACATGTGCATGCTCCGATACCCGTGCACGCCTGTGAAGATGATTGGTGTAGTTATTTGGGGATACAGATAGGTGGTGATTTGGCAGGCAAAAGCGCTGGAAACCATGAATCTGGATCTTTGAAACAAATGAGATATCATGGTAACTGACTGTGACAGTGAGGGGGGTCGGGAAATCCCTGAAACACTTCCACTACTAGACTACCTACGATATTCGCTTTCCGGACGTTGATCATGTCCGTGATATAACCTCAATGACACTTAAATCATTACCGACAGCCCGAGTGGTCTAGTGGTAGAATACGCCCTTCGGGTCACCAAGATCCAGTCGGAGAAAATCCGATTACGTTTGGGCGTGACCCGCGTTCGATTCGCGGCTCGGGCCGCTTATTTTTTGTTCTCATTTCTCATCCAATCCCCTGATCTCAAGCAAGGATCAAATAGCCTGGATCACTTAAGTTTATCAATTTTCGAGTCCCCAAATTCAACTTCCCAGGCTTGGGGTTGCTTGCCTGTCTCAATTGTATTTTTCTTACTGATTTTCTCATTGGTTGCGACACTGTGGTGTGGTCGATTCTGGCTGAGTCATCACGTCAATACTGGGTTGAAGTTGACTACACAGCTTCAGACCATGGGAGACAATGCGAGGCCGATGCCCACTGCTTCCAGCACGCAAACGGTATTCGATCTGGTCTTAGTTGATAAGACAGAGGGAATCCTGTTGGACCAGTCCTGCCATGACAAACACAATCAGTCTGATCGACCCCTCAGCCTAAGCATCTCGGGCCGGTCCGATGATCACACACGCACATGGCGTCTTAATGACCAAGGTGAATCTATCGCTGTCATCAACGGATGTCAACAGCTCGAATGAACGGCAATGCTACGAAATCGGGTAGTGCTGTCAGTTTCAGCAGGTGGAGGAATAGCACAGCACCAAAGCAGTGGTCCTTTGCTGACATTAATCTCCGTGAATATAGCAAATTTCACCCCAACAAGGGAGACACTAGGGTATTATCTCATACACAGCAAAAAGGGTCAAAGAGAAGGGAAAAATAGAGAAGGGAAGTCGTTGAGAAAGGAAAAATTGAAGATGAAGTGACATGACATGGGCAAATTGGCAATGTCAATAATCAGTCTCCAAACGCCGAGCCATGCTCATCCCTCATATGCATTGAGAATTGAAAAAAGAAGGGCCAAAGAACCAAAACAGGTCATCATCGGAAGCTCAGAACTCAGCATCAACCCACATCGCATCGTCGCAAGATCGATTTAGAGGGCAGGCAAAATATTTGCGGAAGAAAGAAAGGAAAAAAGAAACATATCATAGCTAGGCAGCCGTTGGCTTGCGAGCCTGATAGATATGCAGAATGTTGTAACAGTGCAAGTCCTTGTTGAATGCCTCTGTCTTGACGTCCGTTGCAAGACGCTTGATTTTGTCCAAGGGCCAGCCGTATACCCGGCTGAAAGGCGCGAGACTGAGTGTTTCCACGCTTTCTGAAATGGCTAGATTATACCAGCTGGCCACTTTGCGCTCGTGCTCATCGCTATGCCAGGGATTCAGTGGCAGCCCGACCATCTGGTGGTCAATCTCGGTAAACCCCGCTTCTTGCAGATTTCGTATGGTTTCCCGTGAGCTATGAGCCAGAGGACGCATTGTGGACTCTGTGGCGCGCTTCAATGCGGTGTACCAATGTCGAAGGGCGAGGTTACTCAGCGATCGATCATCGCAACGCGGCTCAAAGTCGATTTCCACCTGTTCGAACCAGGCACCAGGCCGCAGGTGGGAGAAGATGCGACGGTAAAGGCTGGGCCAGCTAGCCACACTACCACACCCCATCTGCATATGAATCAGATCCCAGGAATCTTCCCCGAGAGCCCAGGGACTTTCAAAGTCGAAGGGCGCGTAAAAGTCGCAATTGGAAGGATAATTTTGCGGCTGAATCGGTGCTAGATCGACACCCACTACGAAAGAATCCGGGTATTTGTTGGCCACCTCGATACTCCATATCCCCGTTCCGCAACCCAGATCAAGGATACGCGATCCTCTCGGACGAGGTGCGTACATGAGACCGTCTGACACACGAGCGACGGTGAACAACTTGTGGAAAATGTCAAGACGGTCTTGTTCCTCGTCATCACAGGGGTAACATGTAGGTGCCTTTGCGGTAGGAGTGATAGAGACGATTGTTTTCCTTGTACGGTGGGTACTTTTCTGGAATTCTACAACGTCCATGTCAGCCAATTAGGATCATAATGCTAGGAGTATATCGAAGCAGTGAAAAGCGGTCCAGATACTTGAATTGGAGACGCATTTGTTTGGGAGCTGGGGAAGGAAGGCAAAACGACGTACTTGCGATTCGTGATAATGACAGGCGGTGATGACCCCGAAGCACGAGAGGCTTGTGATCTTTGGGAGGCGACAGACCCATTGCTGAGGAATCGCCCTGTTCTCCGATCGCCATCTTTATCAGCTGGGTTCCGATCGGTGATGGTATAGATGTCCATGGCGGTTGAGGTCTGGCGCGACCGTTCCCCCGCTGGCACTGGGGAGCATTGGTAGCGGTCCGTAGCCGGTATTGACGCAGATGGGTGGCGGTCATGTGGAGGAATGGAGGATGGCTGGAAGCGATCGGTCGCGGGAATGGAAGATGAATAGTATCGTTCGCTCGACGGGACCGAGCCGGCATGGTAGTATCGTGATGCGCGACCAGCATCACTAGCCGACGTCGATTCGGACTTGTGTCGCTTTGGTGGTGGAGGGGACGTCAACATCGGCGGCAGCCGATTTCGACCGGATTGTTCATCGGTCAACATTACCACACGAGCGAGTCGTGCCGACTGTCGTCGGGTCCGACTTGAGAAGTTGGACTTGATTACAGATTCGAGTGACTCTTCGAAATACTGGTCGAGACGGCAATCGCGGTCGCTGTGGGCAGCGGCCGTACGAGTGCAGCGCGATCGGGAAGCAAATTACCAACCGAGCAATGTCACTTCAGCCACATGCTATCTCGAGGCAATCGGCGCGGCGAGGCAACGGACAATGCGAGCAGCACAGGCGGCACGCAAGGAGGGAGCTTGTGATGGTCTAAGCACGACTTTGCTCCGAAATGCGGGCGGCCGATACGGAACGAGACAGAGCAATTGACAAGGCGTGGATTGTTGAGAGGCGGACGCAGATCGATGGTCGACTCACAATAGACAGTTCACTCGCCGTTTCCGCCGGGAGATCGGGTGAAGGTCAACAGTTCCGAGACGCTGTTGGCGGGCGCGAGAGCCACCGGGTATTTGATGCACAGTCTCGTACAGATCACTGTGGTTGTGAACCTGGCTCTATCCCGTGAGCACCTGAGCACCCTGTCAAGAATAGCTCTCGAGCAATTCGGCGAGATGGATGACCGGCCGAAATAAAGCAGAGGAGACAGAGGGTAGGAAAAGGGACCACGAGGGGGGGAAGAGCGGCGGCAATGCGACCTGGGCTAGGTTAAGGTTGTGTAGCCACTGACTCTGGTCGGGGCCCGGGGCCCACGGGTGGATGACGAGGGAGAACGGTGGACCACTGAGGGACCTGGGACGGTCAGAATGGTCAAGATGGTGAGGATGGTCGAGGGTGAGAGGGCGGACAGCAGCGTCACCGAACACGATCCGAACCGTACATGTGGAGGAGAGGGTGTAAGTGAGAAGAGGAGCGTTTCCCTTGCGAAGAGAAAATCCCAGAGTATCCCGATCGGGGACAGGCTCTTCACGAGAAATCAGCGCGGGGGAGGGGGGGGAAGGGTCTTGTGAAGAAGAGACGAGACGACAATTGGAAAAGAAGCGCATTCCCCGAAAGACTGGACGCTAACGCACCGATGGCTGATCGGGGGGTGAAGTGCCTCTCCGTCGGGACCGACGACGGACGAAGGTGTGTATGCCAGAGTGGACCATCACGGGAGTGGAGTTCTCTGCCGAATACGGTAAGTATAGACCTCGCTGGAAATTGGGAAAATAAAAATGGAAATTGCGAAAAAAAAAAAAAAATAAGAACAACCCAAAATAAAATAAGAAAGTAAAATGATCTCAAACAGCGCTCTCAAAAAACACGCAAGAGACATTCAGATTGAGAAGTCAAAATAATGAAGAGCTAAAGACATAGAGCACACTCAGTGAGAACGAGCAAACTACTCGCTCACCACCAGTATTGCAGAAACAGAGAGCACGCAGGTTCGGTATCTGGAAGAGCAGTTCGACGAACTTGGTAGACTCGGTAACTGTTCAATGCTGCCAACTTCCTACCGCAGCCTTACCGAGTCAACACAAGGGTGCCTGGCGGTCTAGCCTCGTGAACCCGATGGTTGTTGGTCCACTGGATGATCCTCGAAGCAACAGGACCATAGATCCCTAGAGGGATACCCTACTAGTTGAACTGAGAGACTACCTCAGCTATCTAGAGAGCTCAATGTCGTCGCACTGATGTTGAGAAGAGAGTCAGAGCCTAAAACAATTCTCAGAGACAAATCTGCTCGAGAATAGCATTTAGAGGCTCAGATCTTCCGGTGCTACACTCCAGTAGGAGAGTACCACCCAGGCTGCGCCCGTACGTGGGTAGTGGTACTAACTTACCAAGGACAGTCAAGTACAAGACAGCGAGTGTAGCAGGTCACAGTACTTCCAGCTCGGCGTCTCTAGACTCACAAAGGTACTGGATAATGAGCCTCTCGAGCAATCACGGGTCCCTCCAATTTGAGCCGTGATGGAGAGGACAACGGAGTCGTCCACTCCTTTTGCTGTCTGGGTCTTCAACATCACTGTTGGACTGTATCGACACCATCACTCTCCTTCGCCCTTCCAACTGAGTTGACCCTTCAATATGGGCGGTGACAAAGGTCAGCTCTGTGGATTGTGTACTTGTGCCACTTTTGTCCATGGCTCCACACACAAGCACACGTGCCCAATCCAAAGCTGATCGAAGTACATCTGACTATGTATGTACATTGTACTTTGCCCGCATTTCCACTCAAATGGAATGCCATTGGCCTTTGTCCAGTCTGTTACCGGATCTCGCGCAGGTATGACCACCTGAAATAGTCATGAGACTATCTACAAAGGCGTGAGAATGCAAGTACTATGAGGTTGAGAAAAGGCCTGCAGCGCGGACAGAAACGGAAGTGAGCCGATGAGGACTTGCCTTGTATCCTCGCTAAGAACCTCCTCCTCCTCCTCCTCCTCCTCCTCCTCCTCCTCCTTCACCTCCTTCACCTCCTTCTCTCTCTGCCCCCTGAATACTGATGACGAAATGCGTCATTTGCTCTCCACTATGTGCATGATGATTGCTATTCGGTTGACCGTTAACGTGGTCTTCCCTTGATTCTGACCAAATATCCTCGAGATCATCTCCTGCTTGGGTTCGGGAGTGGGATCGACCTTGGGTCCACTAACGCCCGCGCGGGATGCGGTCCGTCTGGGCCTTTTGGTTTGCGTACTCAGAGTACGATCCTCGCGTTGTAGGCCGAGACTGATCTGATCGTCTCCTTTCTCTTTTCCAGGCTTTTATTTTTCTTCGCAAATGAGAGCTGCCCAGCAGAAGATCCGCTCCGTCTCGACCCATGAGTCAGAAATGGCACGCCGTTGTAAAGAACTACCTTCTGGGTACCTGAACGCAACCAACACGCCGAACGGCCTTGCATCTGTCATCGCAATAGACAGACCAAGCAATACACCGATCATGCAGCAACACAGCAGCAGCGTAGGCATTATTAGGCTGTCTACCGAGGCGCTGGGTTTGCCGGGAAGTCTCCCAAGTGTGGCGCCCAGTCAGCTCCCATTGATCGCGTCACGCCTCTGATTACCACTCTCCTGAGCCCCTCTGGTTTTTCCTGGGTTATTGTCATTGAATCCTTTGGGTCTCCCCGGGCGCTGAAGGTGATGGTAGCCTGTATCCTCGCGCCACGGGTCGCCTGGTCGTGATCTGAACCGATCCATCGGGGGCACCGAAAGCCAAAATTTGCGCCCTTCGTCACTGGTTCGAGTGCTGCTGCGCCAGAGAATGATGTATGATGAACGATGATGATAACAATTTGCGTTCCCGAGTCTGCCCAAGTGACTGCGCTATTCGCGACGCTCATACAGCACCTAAGTACAGGGCACGCTCTGGGGTTGGACAAAGCCCTGTAGCGCCTGTGACGGACTGGATCAGCCGATCCATCTTTACAACTCCTAAGCACTCTGCAACCTAGTCTCTCTCTGGTCCATCTGGTCTAACGCTCTACAGAGTGCAGCCTGCACTGACCCTCTCTCAGTTGCTGCTCCCACCGTCTCGGGATCGGTCGATGCGACGCTGCACGAAACTAGTGAGCGCCCGGGGTCTGGTCTCGGCCGCAAATCCTGGTTCGTCTGTACAATGGATTACACTACTACCATAGTGTACCACTACTATTACTACTACCGTATTAGGGGAAATCTTTTCTTTTCGTTGAAGTTTCTTCTTTGGGTGGATGCTGTATTTGTGGTCCATGACTCGCCGGAGTCGCCTCTTTTACTTCTACCGGCTCACCGGTACGCGCTACGCAGCAGCGCACGGTCCATTTGCATGTCGCAACCCTGACTCGCGCATGTCCCAATTTCCCGACCTCCCGGGTCTTGTCCGTTGCCATTTGCAATTTGCACCGACGAGCGGTCTACTACTTATGGGACCACCCATTGTACTATGATTGTACATGTAGTATTCTGACGAGTCTCTGGGCTCTCTGGTCGAGGCGGCATTTTCCGCTTGCTGGACATCCTCTGGCTATCGACACCCCTGCGATGATGAAGATGCGCTCAACGAGCAGCCGCCTTTCAGCCTTGCTGTTTTCCATACACCATTTCTCTTGATACATGGTCGCAGCTTGGCCAACAATAGAACACTATACTGCAGTACTGCACAGTGCACAGCGCACACCTCTTTCTCTCGACTTTCGAGTGTCATTATTGGCACGAAACCTTCGATGATTGTTCGTCTGCGTCGCCCGACGTCTCGGCATACAGTGGCTTGCCTCCACTGGGCCATTAACCCGCCATTGCGATCATCTTGTGATCGTGGCAACGGCGACCACCCCTGTGGGCTGCGTTCTAAAAGTCGTGACTTCGCGAGCTCAATTTAATGCTGATCACCAGAACACTTTGCGCCTCCTACAACGTCTTCTTGTCATTCCAAGTTTGGACATATGCGTCTTTGCGAGAAAAGGCACTTCCCGATTAAAACGGCTCAACGGCTGGCTGCCAGCTGGTGTGCCGTTGCAAATACATACAGGATATCAATACCGACCCCAAACGGACCACACTAGGCCTGGTCATTCGCACGGAGATATCAAAGATCGGCTCCCCATTCCTCGCCGACCCCTGCTGCCTTGGGACGAAGCTACCCTTAGCACCGCAGCCTTGTGGAGTGTAGCTCACGCCACGTCCACTGGTGCCACTGACACCTGGCTGGTGCTTCAATTGATCTTCATCTCGAGAGCCTGCTGCGCTCTTTTTGCCTCCATCTGTGATCCGATAGGGTTAGATGTGGGCACCATTCTTGAATCGTGTTGTCTAGGAATACAATATCCTTGCCCGTCAGGACTCATACTGTAGACTCTTCGGTTCTAGGTCCGTCACGAATTTATTAGAAGCATGGGAGGCACTACCCAAGATCGTCCCGACGAAGCCAAGGGAGTAGTCCTCAAACACAAAGAATGTCTAACCGCCCCCTGATATTACCGGTGTAGCACAACACTGTCTCAGCTGTCAACGTCCTCCGCACTCTGTGGTCTGCAACAATGTCAAAAATAATAATGTATGAGCATGTGCAGTGAGGAATATGATTTAGGGAACCATTGGATTTTGAGGGAGAAAAAGAACGGAAAATGCACGGCAAGCCCCACAGGTCTGCCCAAAAAGGGCAATCCCCCTCTTGGCTTCGAATTCCTCTCTAGTTTCCGACTATTGTGTAACATACACACACTCGCTCACACGCACACCACAACGCAGTGTCTTCTGTCCGACAACCCACACGCTGCAGGAAGCAAGGAGAGCCACCTGTCTCGCTAACCAGACCGATTGACCAATAATACTTGGTCCCATCCGAGATCGTAAATTCTCAACCCCATTTCTGGCACTCGCTGCAAGTTCCCGCCCCCGGAAGTTTTACCTATACTCCAAGAGGAGAGAAATTGAAAAAAAAAAGATTTCAAAGAAAGTCCAAGCTTCGAAAGGGTTCGGAACGCAAAAAAAGAAGCGTTCATTCGGCCCGCGACCCACGAGCAAGACTTGCAAGGGGGTCTGCTGATCGGGAATCTCCCTTCAGTCGCACTCGCAGTCGCAGTCGCCGACGCACAGCGGCAACTCCATCGATTCCCCAGTACTGGGTGAATTTCTCTGTTCACGCCCGCATCAGCTGGACGAGCAAGGGTCAGCAAGGAGTACCCGCTGTAACCGCCAGGCGATTTGATACAGCAGGTGCCAGGATGCATACCTTGCAAGCCACTGCCGCGTCGTCATTGTCGCTCCCGGCGGAGAGCTATATCTATTCAATTGCAAAGTCTGGGCCAGGCAGCTTTGCAGCAATCAGCTCGGATGACTCCCTGAGAGTCTTTGATGCTGCGAACCTGGACCAGGTCACAGTGGTTTCTGCCAAGACTCACGAAGCGGGCGTGACATCGCTTCGAAGCTATGCGACTGGGGACTCGCAGCTGCTGGTGACGGGTGGGCGCGAGGGAAAGGTGAAGCTGTGGGATGTCCGGGCGAAGAAGGCGATTATGGAAATGGAAACGGGTAAGTAGGGTGACTTCAAGTCTGAGCTGCCAATCCATGTGCTTCAATGGGTCCAAGCACAAGGTCCGTTTGATGATATGGGACGGAACAAATGGCTGTGCGGTTTCGGCGGATGAGCTTGCGACCAAGAAAGCAATGATGTATATGATCTGGCACATCTTAGTTATAGCAGGTCTTGTGTGCTATGTTACACACCCACTAAAGGAACAAACTCGCTGACCACTGCATGTCTGTATCCAGCGAGACACGCCCCAGTCCTTTCTGTGGCCTGCAACCCCGAGAACAATATCATTGTCTCAGGAACTGAATTGCTGTCATCACAAGCGGTGGTCGCTTTCTGGTAAGTACTGCACTATGCTCAATTCATGGGTCACTTAACTCTGCCCTTGACTCGGCAGACGGCGAGGATTTTCCATATGCACCTCGAATGCTTGCTTACTGTATGATTTCAGGGATATTAGATCACCACAGACACCAAGGCTTCAATACGTAGAAAGTCACAACGACGACATCACAGAGGTAAGATTCCTAGCTGCCTGATTGAAAGCCCAGATATGAGATGGCTGCCAAGTTACAAGGCTCAATTTCAGATCATATGATGGCCTTGTGTTCAAATCTGGAGACTTACTTTTCTGTAGCTCCAGTACCACCCAACACGCAGCAACATTCTACTATCCGGCAGCACGGATGGGCTGGTTAATGTCTATGACACCACCATCGCCGACGAAGACGATGCTCTTGTGCAGGTCATCAACCACGGGTCCGTCCATCACGCAGGGTTCGTCTCAGAGCGAACCATCTATGCTCTCAGCCATGACGAGCAGTTCTCGATACACCCAGCCACGGACCCAGACGATGCCGCTCAGGACCCTGAGCCTGTTCATTTCGATGATGTTCGGGAGCCTCTGGGCTGTGAATACGTCGTTCAGCTCTGCGTTGGCACACAGGGCCCTTATCTTGCTGCTGGAAACAAGGCGTACGTGTAAATCCTGAAATTCCTCCATATTTCTGATCCTCAAGATGCTGAGCTTTTCCCCTCCGCGGGAGCTTCGATATAGGAACAGACAATTGGAACTTGTTCCTCTTGTGTCCACTCCGAATTGGCGCTTCGACATGGACAATCTGTGGCGTCTTCCCGGTGCTCACGGCGAAGAAGTTGTGCGATCAGTCTATCTGGACGAACAGGTTTGTTGTTTCGGAGGACATGGATCTATCTTACTTTAGAAGGCTAATCATCATTGACAGAGCCAAGCGGTCTTCACTTGTGGCGAGGACGGCTTTGTGCGCGCTTGGAGACCCGTCGATGGAGCTAGCCAGGATGTGCAGGGCCCGGCGTCTTCAGCAAAGGTACAGCGACCCAAAGAGAAGAAGCAGAAGGATCGCTTCAAGCCTTATTAGTGTTCTTAGAATGAATTCCATCTCACTGATTACTTCTCGATCCTATATTTCTCATGAAGAGCCTCCTCGTTAAAAGTATAAAGCTTGTCCATCTACAGTCGATTCAAACTTGGTAGATTGTGTCAAATCAAGGTCCTACTCAGACACTCAGCCTTGTGCTCTCTCGGCGGATTGGATCAGGGACTTGCCGTCTGATGAACCGATGATCTCTCGCCCTTTCAATGAAATAAATGGTGATCTTTTAATAAAGTTGGGCCTCCCAGTCCAGCTGATACTTATCGAATAGATCCAGTTCACTTCGAACACCTCCAGCTGTAACGGTGGATTGTGCACTACTTCCTTGAAGAACTACCCATGGCCTGTCGGCTCTACCTTAATAGAGCAGAATGATCCACAAAAATCTCATGTTCTTTCTTTAATCAGTCGTTCATGAATACACGTAGCAGGTGTAACGCCGGTCTGGAACTTTCAGTTATTTCGATCCTCGCCATCCACGTGGCTCCTACCTGGTAGAGGAGCGTGTACTTTGCCTGGAATCCAGGCAGGTTCCAAATTTTCGACGAATATCGCGGATGGGGTCGAGATCCACGCGCGGAAGTACGTGTTGATAACAGGTAGGTAGTTATATATCTCTTATGGTGCTGAACCTACGGGCTACCTACCTAGGTAGAACATCCACCTGCACATGCATGCAGACCTAGGTAGGGTACCCTCGGTGCGACTAACGGGCTCCAGCTCGAGACATAACGACCAGATTCCACTAGGCTTCCAGTTGGGACAGTCGTACATGATGTTCAGGTCCTACCTACCGGTGCCTACCTCCTACCTACCTTATAATATGGAAATCCTGCAAAAGACCACAACGATACCCGCGTGCTACGTAGATTGAGTTCGGACTTACAATCTTCTAGGGTATGCTCGGATCAGAAATTTTCCCCGTGTGTTCTCACCTCACGTCAAAGGATTCATTGACCCAGACACTCTGGTGTCACTCACGGATATTCATATACGGAGAAGATTGATCAAACGGACTACCCATGCGGAGAGCAAACATGAAGAAGGTACAATATGAGGCGACTGGACGGGCATTGCCGATATACCTGCGCTATGCTGAATCGAATGAATGTTCCCACTTGTCGCCCAGTGACTCTATGCTTGAGTCAAGACTCTCTATGAAAAGAAGGACCTCAGTTAGGTTGACGCTACAAGGATAGGAAGGATTTAGAAGTGATCATTAAAAGTTCTCGATTCAACTCTGGGAGGACTGTGTACAGCATGGTGGAATCGAAAGGAATACAGAACCCCCAGTGCGCTCTTCATGCAAAAGTAAAATAGAAAATAAAAAATGGAAGCCAGGCGTGTGTCATGACAATACATCTTGCGTTTGGGCTCGAAGCTCGGAGTGACTAGAGCCTAGCCTGCAATAGGAGATGACACCCGAAAAGATACTAGTCAACCACGCCTCCAGCCAAAAACTTGAAGATCGAATGTCGTTTTCAATTTCGGTGTCGGCGTTGACAACTTGACCTGACGCCGCACGAAGAGAGACGTATGAGATTGCGAAAGTCAGGAGGCCATACGACCTTATCGTTTTGCACAGGGTGTGGAAAGGTGAACAGAAACAAGATACTGGTGGCAAAGCGATACAAAGTTTCGCAGAGCGCGACGAAAAATGTCAAAATGTCCGTCGTCATTTGTGGGGGAGTGTTTTTGATTGCTTTGTAAAATCTTTTATTGGTGGTACAGTAGAGTGGCACGATCTCGGGAATCGACGAGACGTGTTGCCCTTTATTTTTGGCGCGGAGACCTAGGGTTCGCAGTCAGCTTTGCTCATGTCAGAGAAGGTTTGGAGCCGTTTTATAGCAGACTTACGTCGGACTGTGGAATTCAGGCGAGCTAGGACTGTATGCAGCCGCAGGAGACGTCGGGGAGCCAGAAAACTTGGGAGAAGTGGGGGAGTACGCCTCTTGCTGCGCAGGTGACCAAGAGGGAGAAGTGGGACTCCACTTGGGAGACGTTGGCGAAGCAGGCGAGGTAGGTGACAAATGACGACCACCACCGAGAGCAGGGCTAGTTGGACTGTATTCGGGGGAAGTCAAACTAAACGCCGGTGAAGCCGGGCTGAAATTTGGCGAGGTTGGGCTGTACGTCGGCGAAGTTGGCGAGTAAGAAGGAGAGGCTCCTGCCGGAGACGATGGCGAGTACGCTGGAGACGTGATCACGTATTGAGGGCTCGATGGCGACGTTGGCGACATGCGAGGAGATGTGAATCCTGGACTGCTAATACCAGGAGACGTGGCAGAGTACGCTGTGGAGGCTGGCGACCAGCTAGGAGAGGCCATGCTGGTATTGAAGGGGCTGGTTGGAGCGAAGCCAGGGCTTCGCGCGGCAGGACTGAGACCACCACCATAAACGTCGGCAGGCTGGTAGCTGGAGAAGCCACCACGAGAATCAGCGCTACTCTGGTTAATTGGCGAGAATGTCGAGGCAGGGTCGAACTCGAGGCCGACGGGTGAGCTGGCCATTGGCGACCCGGTATCGTACTGAGTGGCTGCACCATCGGAAATGATAGCATCCTTTGCTCCCACGCCACCCATGAGAGCGAAGCGCGCATTGTTGGAAACAACAGTGTTGAGCAAGTTTTGGTCCAGATACACATCAAACTCTCCCGTGCCAGCCGGCGCCATTTGTCCAAGAATCAGGTTCTCGGAAACGCCGCGACAGTCGTCAAGCTCACCAAAGGCAGCTGCTTCGAGAAGAATTTCGACAGTCTCTTCAAACGAGCAACGCATCAAAGCACCGTTATCTGCGCGATTGATACCGTGACGCGTGACAGGAGTCAAGTAGCCGCGGACAGTCATAACGTCTACCAAAAGAGCCAAGTGACGGTGGTTAACGTAAGATCCATCGAAAGCCAGAACCTGGGTCAGTTCGCGCAACACAGCGGTTCTGGCAGCCTCGATACCAAATACTTCGAAAATCTCGATGAACTGGTTAGAGTATGTGCGGGTGGCATCAACGCCAGGAATGGCGAGAACAGGGGCAAGGGAAGAGCCGCTGGTCTCAAGCACCCAGTCCTTGCAAAGAGGATCCGTCTTGCTCATCAGAAGAGCACCGTCCTCGGTGACCCGAACCTTACCCCTCTCGTTGATGAATGCACGGTCGACGCCCGGTACACCACGTAGCGTAAGAGTATCAAGAAGATGCTGTTCCAGCTTCTTCAAGGTCACGTCATATTCCACATCTTCATCATCCTCTTCATCTTTGTGATGTTGAACTTGACGGATACGGATGACCTGCTCGTCAGCGTTGTTGTCACTGAAGATGATATGGATGTCATCTTTGTAGGCTTTTCTAATTCGCATCGCAACGTCACGAACAGTAAGACCTTTGTCAAGCAACTTGGCTCTGCTGAGGATGATACGAAGCAACCACTTAGACTGGTTGGCCGCACTAGCCTCCACATCCTCGATGATGAAGAAGGATTCGACCATATCTCGGTCATTCTCGATGACGGTGGTCTGAATATCCGGATCGTAATAGATTTCAGTTGACTCAGTGACAGACCGCAAGCTCGTATGCTCAACAAGACTTCGCAGCTGCTTAGCGCCCTCTTTAGAGTACGTGCTGTCACCCTCCTGATAAACGGTCATCGAAGGCGTCTTGATATTGGTAGCCACGTTCAGAATCTCCTTCAAACGAGGCACACCCAAAGTGACGTTCTTAGATGAGACACCGGCGAAGTGGAATGTGTTCAAGGTCATTTGTGTTGCAGGCTCTCCAATACTCTGAGCCGCCAACACACCGACCATCTCTCCAGGATTGGCCGCGGCTCTGGCGAAACGGTTCTCAATGGCGCCAATGACGTGTTGGAATGCGAGCTTGTTCAGTGAGTACTCTGTCACCAACCTTTTAAAGGCGAGGCGAGATCGAAGCTGTGCTTTGAACAGCAAAGTTGAATTGTAGTCAGCTTCTTTCGAGATTGGATCGTCACCACGCACAACAATTAGTCGATCAAGCAGAGCCTGGACCTCGGGTATCACCTCGGCAGGGTGCAGGTCGCTAATGGTGCCTTCGCGAATGCGGAATGTTGACCGAGCCATCTCCAGAATTCTCCGAACATTGATTGGGAGCTGCATCATCTCTTCGTCTTCCTTGGCCACAGTACGCAAGAAAGCACGAGATTCGAGCAAAGCCTCCCATTCCTCGTCGAAGTAACGCTGCACTTCAACGTCACCGGCGATCTCGTTCGCTTGCTCCAATACCTCAGGGCCAAGGGACATCTCGGGATCCATGACATCGACACGGAAGCGCTGGCGCATCTTTTCATCGGAGCAGCGAATAATATCGACAGGCTGATTTTCAATATGAACTCCATCAAGACCATCCTCTCCATAGATAAACTGGATAATGTCGCCCAAGGAGTTACGGACAGTGCCATCATACTTGACCATAACCTCTTCCAATGCCTTGACAAGCTTTCGCTGGATGTAACCAGTTTCAGCAGTCTTGACTGCGGTATCAATCAAACCTTCACGACCGGCCATGGCATGAAAGAAGAATTCAGTCGCAGTAAGACCACGCAGGTAAGAGTTCTCAACAAAGCCACGAGACTCAGGAGAGTAGTCATCCTTGGTGAAGTGAGGCAAGGTACGGTAGGCGAAACCGAAGGGAATACGCTTGCCCTCGACGGATTGCTGACCCACGACTGCAGTCATTTGAGAAATATTGATAGTCGAACCCTTGGAGCCCGAACGAGCCATCTGGATAGCGTTGTTCAAATCCTTCAGACCTCGCTCTGTGGCAGAACCAGCCTCGTCACGAGCGTTGTTGAGGGCACGCGAGACTTTACTTTCGAAGGTCTCACGGACATTCATACCAGGGAGCGCTTCCAAAGTATTGTTGGTTGCACTGGCAGTAATTTCTTGAACCTCTTGCTTCCGCTCTCTGACAGCCTCCTCAATCTTCTCAATGGTCTTGCGGTCGGGAATCGTATCACCGATGCCGATACTGAAACCATTGTGCAGTAGCCAATAATTGACGATGGTTTGGGCTCCATTGAAGAAGAGAACACAAGCTTGTTCGCCGTACTCGTTGAAGATGATGTGAATAACACCACCACCACTCGCACCAACTGTCTTCTTTGACAGCATTCCATACATCAGTTGACCATTTTGAATTAGAATGCCACCGTCGTTGAGAGGACTGAATTTTTCCGATGCCGGTGCGCTGTCCTTGTCAACACGGACGAGATTGAGCCCGGAGGGAAACGCCATGCTGATGATCTGCTTGCCTGTCCAACGAGGTCTCGGCTTGAAAATAGCTGGAGGCGGAATAACTCCGTCCCAGTTTGGAACCCACAGCATAATGTTCATAACTTGCTCCTTGGTGAGGAAGACATCACGACGGCAAATCTTGTAGATACCGCACAGGGTGTCCTGGACAATTCCCATGAGGGGTCCGTTACGTTGAGGAGAAACAATGTTCTTCGGAACTAGGGCAAGCTCTGCCAACTCGGCGCGGGATTCTTCACTCTGAGGAACGTGCAAGTTCATCTCGTCACCGTCGAAATCAGCGTTGTATGGTGTTGTGACTGACAAGTTCAGCCGGAAAGTTGAGTAAGGCATGACGCGAACACGATGACCCATCATACTTTCCTTGTGCAAAGAAGGCTGTCGGTTGAACAGAATGACATCTCCGTTGTCAAGATGTCGTTCAACTTTCCAGCCGTACAGAAGTTGCTGATTTCCAGTTCGTTTGGCAAGACGAAGATCGATGCGCTCACCAGTATCACGAACAATGTATCGAGCGCCAGGGTGTACCGATGGTCCATTTTGTACCAATCTTTGCAGCTTCTCAATATTGTAGGGTGTCACAACCTCGGGATAAGTCAAGATCTTCGCTGTCGAGTACGGCACACCAACTTCATCAAGGGACAAGTTGGGATCACCAGTGATGACAGTACGTGCCGAGAAGTCGACACGCTTGCCCATCAGATTCTGGCGCAACCGACCCTCCTTCCCCTTCAAACGGCTACGCAGAGCCTTGACTGGACGGTTGCCTTTCTGCATAGCCTTTGGCTGTCCAGCAATATCATTGTCCATGTACGTAGCAATGTGGTACTGCAGCAAGGACTCGAACTCACGAGTAACGTGCTCTGGCGCGCCTTCTTGCTCGCAGCGCTGGACGCTCTGGTTGGCTCGAACAATTTCTGCCAATTTGTACGTCAAGTCGTCCTCACCACGTGAGCCAGCGGATGCCCCCATCACAACACTTGGCCGAACAGTGGGAGGCGGCACAGGGAGTACCGTAATAATCATCCATTCAGGGCGAGCATAATCATTGCTCAGTCCCATGATCCGAACATCTTCATGTGAGATGTTTCGGAAGATGTTCAGAGCCATGGCGGGGGTGATGACTTTCTTTTCTGGTTGTGCAGTCACGTCGTCCTCCATCATACTCTTGCTTGGCTTCCAAGTACCAACAAGAGTGATGCCCTCCTTTCGCACCGTAGGCTGGGCGTTGCCACATCCACCGTGGAAGTAGCGCTTCTTGCCATCCTTCAAAGCTTCCTCTTCCTCATCAGGGGAAGGGTCGGTCTCGCAAATATTGATATCCTTCGAAGCTCTCCAAATAGCGTCGAAACGTCGCTTTGGGTCTCGTATGCGGATAGCTTCCAAGAACTTGGCGTTATCCTGAATGAAAGAATGTCAGCGCAAAAGGTCAGAAGATTTGCCATCCCATGAGGGATGACTAACCGCTCCAACTTTGATTTTCCCACAATTGTGGCAAACTGTTTCCAAGAGCTTCTTAATCTTTGTCACGAAACCTTTTCAAAGACGATACGTTAGTCGGACTGGCAATTTTCCAAGTGGACCGGTTGCGAAACTCGCGACGTACCAATGTGGAAGACTGGAGATGCCAATTCAATGTGACCAAAGTGACCGGGACATTCCTTTGGTCCCTCCTCACAAGTCTCACAGTTGAACTGACGATCGATTGTTCCTAGACGCGAGTCGTTCACACCCTTGGTTCTCGGCCGTTGTCGTGTCTCGTCCTGTAATGAGTCACGTTAGGTTGAGTCTGTTTGCCATCAAACACCCATCTTGTATTGTGATGGCACATACCACAGTCTCTGGGTATTCGATGTGAACCACACTCATGCGCTTGACCTCTTCTGGAGAGAAAAGACCGAACTGAATCTCCTTGATGGTGCGCAGAGGCGCCTTGGAGTAGGGAAAGTGAACGTTCGACATGATTGCGGTGAGCCCAGCGCGCGGAAGACTTGTCAGACCGCAATTATGAAGACGGAGCTGGAGAACGAGAAGGGCCGATGGTGCAGTCGGGGAGACAAGGGAAGCACAGGATTGTTGGAGAGGTTTGAGTTGCTTTGATTCTCCAAATCGAAGGCTTGAATCAAGTTACAGTGAGCGACGATGAAACGAAGGTGTTGTGGAAGCAGCTGGGCCGGCTGAGGCCTTTGGCTGCCCTTGCCACGAGGGCGCCGGCGACCTGGAATCCCCGGAAGTCGCGAAGCCCCTAAATGAAAGGGTAAGGCTGCAAATCACGATGGATCGCGTATGTGTAGATGCAGCAAGAATTATCACGATGGATAACGCGATATTCTTGGGTGCAAAGGCGATGGTGATGGCGTGTCGGATAGGTGGAAAGGTGATGAACAAGGTTCCCTCACCCGCCGCTGGAACATGAGTTTTCCCAGTGTTCCCCTAGCGCGTGGAGGCTGCCTGTGGTGCACCGAATGGTTAGGCGGTAGAAGTGAGCAGAACACTCACAACACAATTCACCGCGGCCACCGCTGCAAGTTCGGGCGGATCAAGACCGCCTTCTTCACCGCCTAATATACAATCTCCGGATGTGAACCGAAATAGGCGGCAGAAGTAAGAATCATCTGTTGTCTGACAGACACCATGATAGCGTTGGTGTCAGTCGAATTTTGCTGGAATTTAAAAGGCTCCAGAAGCTCTTGATGGTGGTTCTGCCGAGCCATTGGCCTTTGCTCTAGGCCTAAACGAGAAAAAGCGAGAAAAAGCGACGTTGGTGATTTGAAACTCCCAACCGAATTTGGTAGTCATGAATTTGTCGCTTGTCGATCCGTTCGTCCTCGCGCAGGATTATCCGGACATATTGACCGAGAAATTGCGTATGTGCTTTCTGCGCATCTTGACGAGAAGAGAGCGTCCACTGACCTTTGATATTCAGGAAGTGGTCACGCGACATGTCTGCGTTTTAATCATACTGGAGACTACCTAGCATCTGGGCGAGTCAGTAGGCACTCTCTCAAGCTGAACTCATCATCGCGACGAACTTCCCAATTAACGAGCATATTAGGTGGATGGGACTGTTGTTATCTTCGACATTGAGACAAACGGTGTCGCTCGCAAGCTCCAGGGCCACACTCGACAAATTCAGTCTCTCAGGTAAGATACTGCTCATGTCAAAACGCCAGCCCGTATATTGCTGATTCTGCCCTCTTGAACAGCTGGTCTCGAGATGGGCGCTATCTCTTGACTTCATCGCAAGACTGGAAGTGTATCCTATGGGATCTGAGCGACGGTTCACGAGTGCGAACCGTGCGGTTTGAAGCGCCCGTCTACATCGCAGAGCTCCATCCTTTCAACCAGTAAGACCTCTTATTTCCACACTTGCGCCTACGTGGTCTTCTGCACTGTAAAGGCTTATAATACTGACAATCGTTTGAATTCTAACAGTCTGCTGTTCGTGGCCTCATTGTTCGAAGATCAGCCCGTGCTTGTTGACATATCTACCTCCAAGACCGTAAAGCGAATAATACCCTCTGCGCCCTTACGCGCTCATTCAGCAAATGGTAATGAGATTGATCCGGCCACCGCCGCTAAACAAGCCGCCCAGGACGCCAAACACTCGACTTGCGTCACGATATTTACAGCATTTGGCAACCATATTATTGCGGGCACCTCCAAGGGTTGGATAAATATCATTGAGACGGAAACATGCAAGACCATTCATTCTACGCGCCTCTGCAATGGTGTTGTCATTCTCGCCCGCCTCGCCAAAAATGGACGAGATCTCCTCATTAACAGCTCGGATCGGGTCATTCGCACGGTTGTCATGCCTGATTTGTCTCAACTAGGAGTCGCCTTCGAGTGCTCTGCCATAAAACTACAAGTGGAACATAAGTTCCAAGACGTTGTGAACAGGCTTAGCTGGAATCATGTCACTTTCTCTTCCACTGGCGAGTTCGTTACGGCGACGACCTTCATGAACCCAGATATCTATGTCTGGGAACGCAGCCATGGCTCTCTTGTGAAGATTCTTGAGGGCCCAAAGGAGGAACTCGGTGTTGTGGAATGGCATCCCTCTCGACCTATGGTAGTCGCTTGTGGTCTCGAGTCTGGCTGCATATACATTTGGTCGATTATCAGCCCGCAAAAGTGGTCTGCGCTGGCACCAGACTTTGGCGAGGTGGAGGAGAATGTGGAGTATGTGGAGAGAGAGGATGAGTTTGACGTCCACCCCGCCGATCAAGTGCATCAACGCCGCTTGGATTTAGAAGACGAAGAACCGGATGTTGTCACCTTGGACCGGGTTGAAGATATTATTGACGTGAACCAATCTGGTGCCTTTGGGGTGCCAGTCCTCCTCGACATCTCTGATAGCGAGAGTGAAGAGGACATTATTGCTGTCGGCCCTGGTACAATGCGTCGCCGGGGATCTGGTGATGGCGACACCGACAGAGACATCAAAGCCGGAGCGACTGGCGCAACACGTGGCTCGGGACGGAGCCGTCGTCGATGAAAAGGTCGGCAAACATTCGAGCTCACCCAAGCCCAAGGAGCCTGGCACACCAGAAACGAGTGTCAGTGCCCAGGGCGGACAAATGGGATATGCAGGTTGTAGGCGCCTAGACCTTGCATCAGGTAGTCCCTATGGATGTTTCGAATCTCCGGTCTTATTTTCAGCGATAGTCATTCTGCGAATCTCAACGCTCACTTGAGCTTCGTGCAATGAAATTCAAACATGTGCCTCGCAAAAGTAAGCTTAGTGGATCTAAAAGTGGATCAGATTCCAGTTATCCGCGAACCCGCCAGGCATTGACTTGAGCAATGATCGTCTGGGCGGTGATTGGCCGCTGGCAGAATGGACCTCCGCGGATTAGCCAAGTGGCCCGTTGACACTACATCATGCGCGCCAGCTGTCTTCGCTCTTTCGTGACGAAGCACAAGATATAGTCGCAATGCGATTCTTGTATTTACGACGGATATCTGAGGTATTATGAGAGTGCCTTGGAACTCAGTTTTTCCGGCCCTGCGTGAGTATCGCACAGTGACTCCCTCCTTATCGCCTTCCGAGTGGTTCTAACTTGGCCTCATAGTGCTCGTGCAGACATGTGCAGCTGGGCCATCCCAAGCACCATTGGCAGACAGCGTATCAACTGAAGCCTCGGGGAAACTGGAAGAGAAAGATGGATTACTGAACGACTCGGAAGACGGGTTGAACCCGGTTAGCTGTGAGACAGAATCCATCATGTCATGGCAAGTGTTTGTTTACCAATCCCAGGCAAGCTAATGAAGTTCAACCTCTGGTTATAGTGCGGGTTCAAGATGCCTGGAACCAACTGCGACAAATGAAACCAGTGATTGTTGACGCGGAAAAGCCTACTGGTATCATCGGGTATACACTATACTACGGTCGGCGGACTTTCCGGTTGCTTTTCCTGAACGGCCCAACCTCTACCGACGAAGGACCGAAGATCAGCCGCCCTGTCGCGCTGGCCGTCGACGAGCTTGAGAAAGCAGCCGAAGAAGATCATGATCCGGATGCAATGTACCTCTTGGCGGACATGAACTTCTATGGCAATTTCACCCATCCACGAAACATCAGCGCCGCGTTCCATTGGTACAATGAGCTAGCCGCTCTGACAGGCAACAGTACTGCTCAGTCAATGGTCGGGTTCATGTATGCGACAGGGCTTGGAGGCGCCGTCGAGCGCGACCAAGCCAGGGCCCTCGTGTATCATGAGTTTGCCGCTGAGGGAGGTAACACTCGATCTGAGATGACTTTGGCATACCGCTATCACACCGGAATTGGCACCCCCAAGAATTGCGAGGAGGCGGTCAAGTACTACAAGAGGGTCGCTGACAAGGCTATCCAATACTATCGTTCAGGGCCCCCTGGTGGACATGCGATGACGAAAGAGTCTTATCGCTGGGCCGACGAAGAAGGCGGCGTATATGGCGAAGGTGCCAGTGTTTCAAGTGCCGGGCACAATGCTCGCGATCCGAGTCATACAGCTACCGTTTCGAGCATCGAAGATGTCATCGAATATTTGGATCTCATGGTTCGGAAAGGCGATCTCAAGGCTACTTTCACCTTAGGCAAGATGAATTATGAAGGTGCGCGCGGGTTGCCTCGAAATTTCAAGAAGGCCATGAAGTACTTCAGAGCCGTCACAAAGCGCTACTGGAATTCAGACGGCTCGTTTGTTGCAAACCCCTCTTCTGGACTTGACAAGCTGGCTGCCAAGGCGGCTGGACATATTGGCTTGATGTACCTGCGCGGTGAAGGCGTTGATCAGCACATGGGTCATGCCCTGACGTGGTTCCGCCGCGGGGTCAAAAATGGGGACGGTCTCTGTCAATATGAGATGGGCTTGATGTACCTGCATGGATATGGTGTACCGAAGGATGCCTACAAGGCGGCCTCATACTTCAAATCTGCTGCCGAACAAGACAATCCAGCTGCGGAGACACGACTTGGGGCGCTCTTCCTGGACCAAGGAGATGTCGCCGCCGCATCCCGTTATTTTGAGCTCGCAGCTCGTTGGGGATGGATGGAAGCTTACTATTATCTCGCCGAGATGGCGAACTTCGGTGTCGGAAGACAGCCTCACTGTGGCGTTGCTGCGGCCTACTATAAGATGGTCGCTGAAAAGGCAGAAGTCATCCATTCTGCCTTTGCTGAATCGAATGAAGCCTATGAAAATGGGGATAAAGAAGGTGCTCTCATACCAGCTATGCTAGCCGCTGAGCAAGGATATGAGCATGCACAGGCAAACGTAGCATATCTGCTTGACGAACAGCGTTCGCTATTCTCATTGAGCCGCTTTTGGCCGTGGGCGCAGACGACTCGCGCCAATCTCATGAGGAACACTGCATTGGCCTTGATATATTGGACAAGATCAGCTAAACAGTCCAATATCGATTCCTTGATTAAGATGGGTGACTACTACCTACGCGGCACTGGCGTGCTGGCCGATCCAGAGAAAGCCTCGACTTGCTACCATAACGCAGCCGAAGCCCACCATAGTGCCCAGGCTTACTGGAATCTCGGATGGATGCATGAGAATGGTGTCGCCGTTGCACAAGATTTCCATATGGCCAAGAGGTACTACGATCTTGCGCTCGTCACCAACCGCGAAGCGTACCTGCCTGTCAAGCTAAGTCTTCTAAAACTCCGGGCACGAGGCTTCTGGAACCGCATAACGAACGGGAATATTAATCCTATTCGCGACGAGGGTAAGTTGGTGCAATCATCAGGGCAATCGAATTTATTCCCCCAGAGGCTTTCCAGGTCTTTCATTTCACTGACGTCTTCCTTTTAGAATCGAGGCCAAGTCGTACTTTGAAGGAATGGATCGCCGCTTTCATTGAAAATGACGTTGCCGACTATTACAACGATCTTTACGAAGGTCGCGAAGACGACGACGACTTCATGGCGCCTGTCCAGTCAGATCAGGGGGATGGCTACTACGATGATCTAGATCTCGACATCGACGACGCTGTTCTTGAGGGACTGCTGATCGTCGGACTGGCTGCAACGCTACTTGTGCTCGTTTACGTTCGCCAGCAACAGCAACGCAACCGCGAGAACGCGAATGCAGCTAATCAGGCAGCGAACGCCAATGGCGGTGGCAACGAAATGGAGAACAACAACAACGACCGCGGGCTTTTCCCGCAGCCGGGTGAGCCAGAATTTGCACAGTGGGTGGCCGGTGGGGTAGGCCATTGATGGTTTAGAGCTCCTGTCTCGTGATGTACGTGAAATTTTGAGGTGTAGATACGTAGACGTCAGCTGCATCGTCATGTCTTATCGATAAGCAGTACCCCGTACCTTGTCCTGCCAGCTCGACAGTCCATTCAATACTACATTTTCCATCTTCTCAATGCTACTTCAATGCCGGTACCACAATCGAATAGGATATTTTCAATATGGCGAATCACCATACTCCAAGCAAGCATCGTCGCTTGAACGCAGCAGCAGCTCTGTCCAAGCCCTTCAAGTCTCCACTGCGAAGGCTCGATCCCCCCACCGATGCCAGTGGACCATCTCACAAAGTAACAGAGGCAGCCCACACATCACCTGAAACGAATCTCCGATCCGAGGAGTCAGCGCCAGTTCCTGACCTGCAATCGCGCAAAAGGTCCCCGGAAATTGCAGCACGGCCAATGAGAGTAGCGAAACGCTCTGCATTTGCTAGTCCACTGCAGTCACCTTGCGCAGATCCCGAACTTTTGCGACTGCAGAAGGAAGAACGTACTATGCTGGCCCGCGTTGCGGCTCTCAAGGAGGAACTCAATCTTGTGAAAGAAGCAATCCGTATCGAGTCATCTAACAGAGACCATGAGCTCGAGGCCTTGATCTTGAAATGGCGCAACGCCAGTCAAGAGGCAGCTAACGAAGTATTTGAACACGCTCAAGAGCGTATCGCCCGGATGGGTGGGCTGCAAGCTTGGAGAGAGCGCAGTCAACAGGATGCCGTGCGCTGGAACAACGACATCGATGAAACACAAGCGCATGGAAACGATGACGATAATCAGACTTATGATCTGGAAGAAGGGTTGGTTCATGGCAAAGATAGTCCCCAGAACACTTCGCAAGATTTGTCCAGTGAAGTAATATTGTACCCCAACTCTTTTCGATCAAAAATCGAGTTGGATCTAATACCTCAGTCACAGGATTTTACCATGGGTTTCATGCTCAGAACAATGAAGATCGACGAACGTCTGATTGGCTTCGACTCGGTGTCAGACAAATGGTCGCAGCCATCGGACGAGACTGGCAGCAACAGGTGAAAGCCACTTTCAATCTCTTCATAATCCAACGAATATCCAATAGCTTATTTTATCATGGTCCTTGGACTCGGACTGGGCCGAGACAGCCTCTCCTTCACTCGCGAGCTTGCGATCAGCCTGGGCGATACAGCCGATCTGCTTGCGACGCGAGGAGGCATTACCACTTCATTATGACCGATCAGTTCTGGTCTAAGTGCTATGATTCTATTTTTATGATACACATTCCCACGATTACTTTGAATCAATACTCGGAACATTCTATTCTGCCTATCATTTTCACGTTATCGATCAGCGCCGAAATCGCAGCCCTTCCCACGGATAAGCCGATTTCCAAATCAGGACGGCATGTATCCACCGTTTCCCCGCATTCTCAAGCACTTCCCTTCCGCGCAACGGCATGACTATGTCGCCAACATTGAAACAACGACAGGTTGCTTGCGCACGTTGTTTTCGTTTGAAGCGAAAATGTGACCACGTCAAGCCTGAGTGTGGCGAGTGTCGCCGTAAAGGTGCAGAGTGCTTGCCTGCTAAATCTCGAAAGTCGGGTGAAAACGTCACTATCCCAGTCGCATACCTAAAGGACCTCGAAAAGCAGGTAGTTGAACTAGCGCATCGTCTGTCAGCGGTATCACAGACATCTGGCTTTTGTGATCTGAACGTACAAACTGAACCCATCGAGTCTGACGGCGAAGCGTTGGCTGCGGTTTCACCCGACAATTCGTCATTTCATACGAGTGCCTTGAATCGAAGCATATCACCGTTGCTCTGCTCTGGCACGAACATGCCATATGCGGAAGACCAACTTTCATCTTCCGTTTTATCGTCATATCCGCTTGGCCAAAGCTCTCATTTCCTGAAGACCGCGGTGGGTGGATTTCTTTGCCATGATGGTCTGAAGCCTTCAAATCTCGGGCTGGATTCTGTGTGGCTGAGAGACTTATATGCCAACCTGTTCTTCGCAATATCCAACTGGGAGTGGCCAATCTTGGACGAAGTCATCTGGAAGGAATGGTGTAGCGAGCAAGGCGCGAGTGGACAAGAATGGCAGTCCTTTTTTCTCCACATGGTATATGCAATCGGCGCCTCTCTGTGCTGCACCATGCACAAAGATTCTACCCACTTGGAGCGATCGGAAGAGCTCTTCAAAAATGCCAAGACCAAGTATCACTTGGTGATGAGCCAGCCCTCGATGACCTTGCATGTACAAGCATCGCTTCTGCTGGTCGTCTATGCATTGCATTCACCGTCTTCGGAAGAAATTTCATTTATCATAACCTCCATATTGCCGTTCTGCACGAACACAATGGCTCGTGCTCGAACGACCGAGCGGAATGAACGCGGTGAGCACCGGGGTTCAAGATTCGGATCGACGACATCGGAAAGCTTATTCATATCTTGCTATATGCTGAATGAGATCATCTCTTCCGGATGGTGCAGGCCTGAACTAGCATCACACCAGATAGCGGAGAACGATGTACGTATTACGTATTTCGGGACAAGGAAGACCCAAAATATTCCAAAGACTTTGCTGACACTTCCTTAGCTCTGCGCTCTAGGCGACATCATCCAGCACGCAGACAACGCAGATCCCGCGCGGAACCACCTGTTCCGCTTACGCAAGATTCAAAACAAAATCAGGAAGCTTTCAGAGCAATCGAGGTGGCAGATTTTCGAAGAAAAGAATATTCTGAGCTCATCTCTCAAATCCGCTCTCTTCATCTGGAAGCAGGATATACCACACTACGGGACACCGAGCATTTCGGGTGGATTCCGTCATCCAGATTGGATGAGAAATCTATACGACTATAGCATTCTCCTGTTGATGGAAGAAAGAGAGAACTTCTTCAATCTGGAAGGGACCGGAGATATCTTTGCAGCGGTTGTGGAAGTTTGCGTGCAGTTTCGTCGATTGCAGGGACAGGGACATGTGATGTGTTTTACGTGGTCTGCGGTACGTCAGCGATTCTTCGTCTGTCGAATTGTGGAAAGTCATTGACAGTCATATAGCTCGTTTTTCAGTTTCGAACAGCCATCACGCTGCTCTACCTGATATGGGCCGCACCACCTGTGATACAGATAATGAGTGGCCCTGTTCATCATTCTTCAGAAGCGATGGACGCCTGTTCGACGACGCTTGCTTGTTTTGCAAGTCGATGGAAAGATGCGATTCCTTATTACGAATTATTTCAAGTCCTACGTCATGGTGTCTTTCCAGAAGATGCAGCGGCTTCGTCAGTAGTAAGCTCTGTCCAAGTCGGGTTCACTGAAGTGAAAGCATACTTGGATTTGCTGGTCAACAGACATCTTCATCGAGCCGTACAAGCTATGATAGAGGATATCATGATCTCAAAATTCGGACAGGTCGAGGAATTCATGCCTAGGGGCATGGCGGTCTTTCAGAACTCAGTTGAAATTCCAAATTGATCAAATCTCAGTGGGCAAATGGAATAGATCTTGCTAAATGACCTCAGCTTAGAGTAGAATCAACTTTCCGGCTACAGCACACTGACCAATGTCAGCGATTATCGTGATTATTGTCTGGCTGCACGCCGGGCTCTGCCACTTGACCCATGGTTTGTCTCTTTCCGAGGCTGTCCAAGATAGCTCAAGAGACCATATATCATTGTCGCGATGGACCTCACGAAATTCTCCGTTCACGTATGCTCTCAGTCGCGTGCGGCCAATTTGAACGCCGTGCAAAGACCCGGTAACTCGCACGGTAACCAGCGAGTTTTGCTGTTGCTTTGTTTGACTAATCACTGATATATCCAAGAATGACTCTACATTGCCACTCAGAGTGAATCCAGTCGACGGGATGATATCAGAAGGCAGAGGTGGAACATCAGGGGGCACGACACGATTCGTCGTGGCCAACTCGAAAGCATGTCCCAATTGCAAGAGTTCAACGTCGTTGTATGCCTTTGCCGCAAAGGTGAGATTGACTGGCATCTTTGTGTCGCTCATTATGCCCATGGGAACCGAGATCGTGGGGACGCCCAGATGACGTATGGGTCTGTTGCCATTTGAGTATTTGACCCCATTACTCCACGCAAAAAGAGATGAATTCGCATCGCAATCTGCGTCAGCGGATCCGACGTCACTATTTGCAGGGAAGACAACAGCGTCAAGTTTCAGGTCATCCATCCATTGCTCGAATGTTTTCTTTCGAGCGTCCTCCAGAGCGTGAAGTGCCTGTTCTATTCCTGGTGTTTCGAAAATGGTGCTGGGCTTTCTGTGGGGATATGCCACAATCTCGTCCCATCGCGGCTTGTTCGCTTGATCTGGATGACCGAGAAGAGAGTTTGGGGCGAGTGGAAAGATCGTGGCTGGATCGACTACCGTGAGGGTCGCCAAATCCTCTTGACCATTCGACGTGAGAAAATCATCCCAGGCGTGTGAAACAAGCTCACATCTTTCCTTAGCCGGCCATCCTTCAGGCAGATTCGCAACTGTGACCAGTTGCCCTCTGTCCGCATTTGATTCGTAAATTGTGACTAGCGGGAAGTCGGTCTCAACCACTTCGGCACCACATTCCTCCAAGGCCTTCTTGGCCTCAAGCCAAAGCTCTATGATCGAAGACCGAGTCTTGACTCTGCTTTGAGGCGGAATGTCGGAGTCAACACCCCCAATATACATGGCAGGTACCCCTATTCGCAGACCATTTAGACAGGACTTGTCTTTGAGATCATGAAAAGACGTTGGCCGAATACTCTGAACCGAAGGAAGATTCAGGAAGGGCTGTTCATTGTAAAAGTCCCCAATCGGCGTTGGATCGGAGACAGCCAGCACGTCGAGAACGTAGAGTAGATCGTCGACAGTCCGGGTATGAGGCACCAACACGTCACATGTTGGATAGAGAGGGAAAACGCCGCGCAGCGGAAGAAGCCCCTTGGACGGTGTATAAGCAACGATGGCGTTGTTCGACGCCGGAGATCGACCTGATGACACGGTTTCCGTCCCTAGCGAAAATGCGCAGAAGCTGGCCGTCGTGGCAACGGCAGACCCATTGGACGAGCCTGAGGCGTATGCTGCCGCTAGATATTCCCGATTGTAAGGGCTCTCGGCTCGTCCCCAAATACCACGCTGCATACCTCCATAGGCCATGGCAGGCATGTTGGTTCGCCCCAAAAGCACAGCGCCTGCGTCTCGAAGGAGCTTCACGCATGTCGCATCTTCATTCGCGATCAGCTTCTCAAAGGCCGGCGAGCCATTGGCGACCGCCATGCCTTTGACTTTGATGTTGTCCTTGACTAGGAAGGGAATGCCTTCCAAAGCTCTGACTGGCAGACCCTTGGCCCGTCTGGCATCGGATGCAGTGGCTTCCTCAAACGTGGATGCATTGAGGATGGGGATCGCGCTAAGCTGGGGTCCATTGGCATCGTAAACGCTGATGCGCTGCAAGTAGCGAGCCACCAGATCTACGCTGGTGGTATAGCCCGATGCGAGTGCATGAAGTAAGTCAGAAATGCTTGCATCCAGGAGATTTAGTTCGTTAGTGGCTTTCATTCGGTCCATGATGGCTTAGATTCTGACGGGTGGTCAACAACCGCAAGAAGCTGAAAAGAACCCAAATTTGTCTGTTGTATGGGTGACGATATGGACCTTTCCAGTGACGAAGCTAAGTGAGTGCTGTTCAGCTTATATAGGCATAGGAGATGTGTAGACAGACAACCGAAGATCGTGTGGGGGGAGCGGACTCTTGTCCGCTACCCCATTACGCGGAAAGTCAGTCCCTACTGATGAGGGAATGATGGGATTTGAGGTCATCAATCTTGTTGGTAGTGGTCTCACATGATATTTGAGGCTCTGTATGTTGATTGAGGGCTGAGGACGAAATCAGCAGGAAGGGCCACTGAGAGATGAGCACTATCAATCAAGGACTATGTTGTAATATATTGCCTCGAGAAACGGAGCACCAGTTCGTGACAGCTCGTTTTGATGCCGGGCCGACTCCTCACCTGACCATTCGACCACCTGACCACCTGCCCAGTCCGCAGCCTCTTTACCCAATTAGGTAGGTGGTCGCTGCTGCTCCCCAATTGGGAGTTCCAACTTCCGGGAGACTTGAACGTCGGGACTGAAGCCCGGGCCCCCGTGAAGCTGACTCAGCTGCTTGGTCGGGACGGTCAATCCAACTTGAACACCTGGGCTCCTGCTCTACATCACTACATCCTTAATGTATAAGTTACTTGTAAGTACATATACATGTAGTACATTAGGAGCTGAAGCGTCGAGAGGTTATCGATATTGGGTAGACGTTAACAACACACATCTGGCAGCACCAAGTGAGGAACGCTTCCGTCCATACTACCAGCACCAGGTCATGGTCTTTGCTCATCTATGAAGGTATTCAGCGCTGTTCTCACGGCTCTTACCTGGCGGGGAGAACGAAGTAAAGAAACCCTTCAAACTTCGCCCTTGATCGGCAAATCATACCAAGTCACTACTACGTTGAGAGGGGAGACCGTATTGAACACTCACGCAGCATCGCCCGACGCCAGCTCTCTGCGATTGAACTACCACGAAAATAATTATCCAATTATCCAATTATCTAAGCAACAACTATCGTGCGTTGGCAGAGCGACGTATAGCCATATCTAACAGCGTACCTAAAGTGGCTTTGAGTGAACGGATGGTGAAGTGATGAGGTGGGGCTGAACTTCAACAGTACGTGATCGATCTGTTAGGTCTAGGTAGACTTAGGGCGACAACTTCAACCAACTTTCATCTAGGCTGCTTCGGTGCCCATGAGTTTATGATATATATGATGCTAGCACGATACTCATAGTACAGCCATATACTGTGCTTGTTCGTTTCCTTGTCCTCGATTGCGTGCATATGAATTCGCTTTCGCGTTTACTTGATAGATACAGTAGCTTTCAGAGTTGAGACCAGACGAGATTACGCAACAAGCAAAGTGCCCAGGTAATATCGTGAGACATCCGACTGGTATCAGGAGAGGCGACTGACTTGCCGCACTTGCGTGACTGGAGGCAATATTGAACTTGGAAAAAACCATGTAACATCTTTGAAGATTCATTCCTGTCCCCCGGCAGCTGGTGGCAAGTAGTCCACATGGAGAATTACCAGACTCGAATGACAGCACACACACTACCTCTACTAGAATAATGGTCTGCTCAGGTGCTAGATCGGGGGCTCTGCCCAACGGTCTGACGCCCTTGGGAGGCGGCTATTGCGGGGAGCTCATCGTTCTTAACCCTCGACCAGACAACTTCTCTTCCGAATGGTCGCCATTGATCACGAGATGAGCATGTCTTGGGATTGAACCGCTGCGGGTCAGCCTATCAGGGATCTGATGCTGACACAGGCTACTGCAGGTATCTATCCGCCTGGGTGCTTTCAATGGCCTCGGAGTAATTCAAGCTTTGACCTTCTGTGATGGTCAAATTAGGCTGAATGCCCAGGTTTGTGGTACAGAAGATATTATTGGATTAGTAGTGGATTACTCAATGGTCGATTTTACTGCTTCAAAAGGAGAAAATTCAATACGGACTCCCAGCATGAGGTAGGTAGTGCTGAAGCTAGGAGCCTAGGACTGTAGCTAATTTGCAGGTTCCAGTATACGTTCGAATCGCTTCATCCAGAAACCTAACTGGAACCACTTTTCAGATCACTACTCAAAATTGGAAGGTCTCTCAACACAGTGTAGTGCACCAGGGGCAGATATCATTCGAAAATCGAAAATATACAATCGTCCACATTGAGCCTGCTATGGCACCTCGCTTTTCGGCATAGTTACTTGCGAGGCTGAAAGTTTAAAACAATTTCCCGTTTATTATCGATGGAAGGGATTATGCATTCGGTTTTTGCTTGAGAACTTGGTTTCTATCACGACCGGAGCTACAATCGATCAAGTATAAGCAATCAGATCAGCGTCAGAACTAAGAAAGCTGGACCTAGATACTACCCATATTGAACCCACTCTGCGGTTTGTTGACTCTGTTCTCACAATACCCCCGGATGATCCATGTCGCAGTCGGTACTAAACTTCCTAACCCGCCCCACCTCGAGTCCGAGTCCAGTCTTTACAGGACACTAGCTGGGCTTCAGGCGATTCATTGCAGTCTCGTTGGCTGTCAAACCATCGCATTCCCGCCCTTTACATTTCAGCCAATCGAGCCGGACGAGATGCATTTTCCGGGGAGCAAAACGGAGATGCCGTGTAGAGAAAAGGAGGAGGGAGAGTTGGAGACGCACTAATGCACGACGGGTACTGAAGTTACCCCAGGTTGCTTAAGGTTTGCGGTTAGACTGCAACGAGGTCCACTCCACAGAACGCTAAATGGGAGGTTGTCACTGGGGTGAAGAAATAAATCGGGTGGTGTTTGGGGCATCTTGGCCAGCGTTAAGTTACTGAAATCCAAAGGTTGTAGACAGGAGGGAAGACTTCCCCGCCATTGAATTGTCTAGAATGAGACAGAGTCCTGCATCGCGCATTTGGACCAGAGAATCTAGATCAGGAGCGGAGTTCTATCATGGGGCAAGACTGACCCCCTTTCCGAGATCCTGCAGATCTTCGAGTCGTGGATAATTCTTGTCCCGGCCATGGCCATCTTGTGGGAGAGGTCCGTAAGCCGAAGCCGGTAGCGACAGTTGAACGAGTTTTTTGCTTTGACAGACGAGCGTCTGTACTCGAAAAGAAGCGTTCCACAAATGGGACCTGGATTTGGACCACATGCAAGGCTGGCCACGGGAGGACTGGGGATGTTGGAATGACCTTGTGCGTGTGCAGGAGAATCTTTGTGTTGCGAGCGAGTCAAGAAAGGAGCATTCTACCTGTTGCTTTGATTTGAATCACACGTACGATGGGTTTGAAGGCCAGTTGAAATGTGCCAACGGTATCGTGGACCACAAAGTCAAGCGTGAGTCCAATCCCAATCCATTGAGTGAGTAGTCTGGTGCAGTTTAAGGCCATTGCGGAGGGGAGATAGCAGTAAAGATGGAAAACGAAGGAGACGGACCCATTGGGGACCCACTCCGTCTTGCTGAGAACGCGGATCGGCTGGTCATTTTCGAGATGGTTCCTCCAGGGAGACTTCCACGATTCGGGCTGAATGGATGGAGCATGGTACTGTATACGATCGTCGGACAAGGAAGACTTCCTAGAGTCCCTGCTGCCTGGTGTGGCCTTTATCGTTCACTGTACATCGACAGAGATTCCGATTCGATCCAAGTCATACTGGAAACGGAGGAGTTGTTGAAAATTCAAGTTCAGAGCGGTCAACGCCGGATTTAGTATTGTGATATATAGCCCCATGTCCAGCGTGGTAAGTAAGCCAGCACAATCCAAACCAACAAAGAATCAACAATATAAGAAAAGCAAATTGCCAAGCTTTCTTAATAGCCTGTATTTATGCCTTCTGGATCAAGCGATCAAAGATCTGACCAATGCTCTTGGCGCTCTTCTTGGGAATTCGCTTTTGGTCATTCTCGTAGTCGACATAAGTCACACCGAAGCGGGTCTCGTAACCTTCAGCCCACTCGAAGTTGCTGCAGGGTGAGCAGGTCAGCAACAGAACATATCTTTCTTGAATCTACAATCAGAAACGGTTCACATACTCCATGAGACTCCACGCCATGTAGGCGCGAACATTGACTCCATCCAAGGTATAGGCATCTGCCATCGCATTGATGTAGTCGGTGAAGTATTGGACTCGGAACTCATCGTTTAAGAGCTCGTTAACAGGCATGTCGCTCTCTCCCAGCACACTGGTTCCGTTCTCCGTCACGTAGATCTTGGGGTAACCGTAACGATCACTGAGCCACTTCAACAGCTTGCGGAAGCCAATGGCAGAAGGTCGCAACCAGGGCGATTGAGTGATAGGACCGACGCTGACGCCGTTCTTGTCCTCGAGAAGCAACTCGAGGTTTCCGGCAATGTCGTCGAGCTCGGGCTCTCCCGTCTTGGCTCGAATGAAGTTGGCGCAGTAGTGGTTCATGCCATAGAAATCATTGCTGCCTTGCACGAGGGCGATGTCCTCGGCGGTCCAGGTGGGCAGACGGTTACCGAGCTGTTTGATCATGCTGTCTGGGTATCTCCCATGATAGATGGGGTCGGCAAACCATGAGATGGCGAACTCAATCTTGCGGTCACAAGCTTCGACGTCGGCAGGGTTCTCGGGATCCCAAGGCTCAGCCCAGTCACCTAGGCGGGTCTTCAAGTCAGTATTGACATGACCTTATGTTTGATTGCTTGTCCTGCTTTTGAGCCTTCTCTTCCTACGAAGAACGAGGACAGGAAGGAGCCAGAGTGGTTCGCTCCACAATAGCCTGACTTACCGTTCAACGTGATGCCAATCTCACCACCATCTCGCTCCTTGAATTCCTCACGATAGATTTTCACTGCGGCACCGTGGGCAACAAGGATGCTGTGGCCGACAATCCACGGCTCGGTCGAGCTGTCACCCACAGGGCTCTTCGTGCGATCACTGGTGTGACCAGGCGCAAAGGAGCCGTTGTTGTATCCAAGCACGGAGCTGCACCAGGGCTCGTTGAAGGTAACCCAGTACTTGACCTTGGGGCTCAATGCTTGAAAGACGATGCGAGCGTAGTTTGCGTAGTCGGCCACAAACTCCTCCTTGTTCAGGAATCCGCCGTACCGCTTGTCCAGCTCGTCGGGAAGATCCCAGTGGAAGAGAGTCACCATGGGAATGATGCCAGCCGCAAGGAGGTCGTCCACGAATTTCACGTAGAACTGGAGACCCTTTTTGTTGACAGGGTCATTGCGGCCGCCGAGCGGGATGATTCGAGACCTGGAAAGCACGCGGATCACAAAGGTTAGCTCCCACTGTAAACCACCATCTCGCACGCCACGATCTGACAGCACCGGTAGAACTGGAGTACCACCCTACCATGACAGCGAGAACCGGTAAGCTTTAGCGCCGCACGTCTTCAACAGCTCAATGTCCTCGTGGGTACGATGATATGAGTCGCACGCGATCTCGCCTGATCCTCCGCCGGCGATTTTGCCCGGGATCTTGCAGAAAGTGTCCCAGATCGAAGGACCTCGCCCGTCTTCGTCCACTGCACCCTCAATTTGATAAGAGGCTGTGGCGAAACCCCACAGGAAGTCGGCCGGCAGGTGCGAATGCTCTATCGATCCCATGGCTAAGTTGATGTGACGAGACAGCAGGGGGAGATGGAAAAGCCTCAAGGAACAGGAGGAAGGAGACTCGGGTCAAATTGAACGGAGTCGGAAGCACACAGTTGCGACGCAGACTGACACCAAGCCACGGTTGGAAAGTACTCCATTGATATTTATGTTTTCCGATGAGGCTTTTAGCCCTGGATGGCAGGCCCTGGAGCCGACGGAAGGAAAGGCGAGACCAGCAGCCGAGAGCTTCCTTATCGTGATAGGAACTATCTCCGCCCGCCGGAGGAGATCCCGCTCCCAGAGCGTGGGTGAGTGGAACCGGGATCCCGGGGCTCTTGAAACGGTCTTAGTGTGAGATGCCCCGTACCCGAGCGAGACTTTCGAGTCATGTGAGAAGAGACAGAGAGAAAGGGAGACACAGAGGGAGCCCGACAACAAATGGTCGTTTTTAATTACAAATGCACCCAGAACAAAACAACCCAATGGAGAAAGTACAAAATTGTCTTTTTACCGTGCGGGACAATCTGAGTAACCCTGGGTTTCAAACAGATTGGGGGATGTTTACCGAGTGATTATCAAGAATGGCTTGTTGGCCAGTTGACTAATAGAAAGAACACCTATACGCTGTCACTGACTCTGCTTGAGGTGACCTAACTTACTCACCAAATTTAAACAGCAATGGGCCGCTAGACAGCTTCTTTGAACGTTGTCCACTTCGGAGAGAGTCCCGGTTGGCTTAGGAGACCAACAGCTGCATCCGTCGCAACCAACGGCTGCGTTAATCCAGGCCTGTCCGACCCTGTTCAAAGAGAGACCGAGTGGAACAAGGTATTGCTGGAAATTAGAGAGTCTTTAATTGATTGATAGCGTGAGGTGAGAAGCCAGCACCTTAGTCAATGGGAAAAGCACCGCACGTCAGACCCACTAGAAAGGTCGAAAGTAAAAGATCGAGACGACACATCTTGACCGGTTAGGCGGGCCGCAGGCCAACAGGTATACCGTGGAGCTACCACTGATGCTGAGGAAGTGATGGGATCCCTGTCGAGACGCAGACCAGAAGCCATCGTTTGAGGCTACCTGGCACCTGCACAGTGCTGGGGACATGGACAGGCATGCTGTCATGCCGAAGTTGGATCAAGTCAACACAGACGATGCCCGTTCGTTCAAGATGCTCAGGGCAGTTCCAGGTGGGGCGCTGATGGAGAAAAGCTCACGGAGCTAAGAGAGATCCTTCTGCACGTCAACCATACACGATTTCTCCGTGGTGTATGTAATAAATTGTTTGCATGGATTTTGGACAGTCGTGAAGATAGGCTGACGCCACATGATGAAATACCCACTGTTTGCTGAACAGAACAGAATTTACAACCAAGAACAAGACCGAATTAGTAAATCAGAATCATAGTGAGCGCTGTCAAAAGCGGAAACTCCTGTACAAATATGCTTTGGGTGTTTCCCCCTTCCACAAGAGGAGAGAAGAAAAAGTGGGAAAAGAACGATGGATGAAAATGAGTAAACATCTGCGCCAAGTCCATCGAATGCCACCTTCACCCCCACCCTACCAGGAAAAGGGGGTCTTTTGTCTCTAGAACATCGGAAGACGATGCGTGTCGGATTCGTTTTCTTTCATGTGAGGACCATATCTTCATCCTCGGATTCCTCATCTAAGCTCACTCCGGAAGCTAACCGGTTGTGGGCAGGCCTGGAGTCCCGATCACAGTGGGTATCCGCCCCAAACGCGCTGACCATCTCCAGATCAGGTCCCGCAATAATGCGACCCTCGGTATCAACCACTTCACAGAGCTTGATCAAGCTCTCATGGCTGAGGGATTTGAAGCCATCGGTGCGAACAATTCGGCCCCAGTGAGTCAAGCAAAACTGTGCCGCGCGGCGCATCAACCAATGCTCATTAGTACGGCCCGCGCGCTCCCAAACAATGGCTGCATTCTCCACGTCAAGTTCAGAGCTCAGCCGATTTACGCACAACAGGCGAAGCTTGGGCATGTCATAGAGATTGGCCATCACCAGCATACCCGCTACGTCGACCACACTCGAGCAGAATTCTGGGTGACCAGCGATGCTGTCTGTGTAAAGGTAGTACAAGAAAGCGCGCACTGCAGAGTAGGGCTCAGGGATGTGCATCCGGTTGGCATGGTACTCGGCCATTTGAGCGGCATAGAGGCGCTTAAAGTGCGGCCACCGCAACTGCAGGATGATCTTGTGCACGTGTATTGGATCCGATGTAGCAGCCGTGGGCTCCACAAAGGTGCACTGAGCGTGAGCGGGGGAACCGGCTGAGCTGTTCCCCAGGTCATCTGAGACAGAGGTGTCATGATCGTCACGTATGGCGGTAACAACAAAGTCTGCGCCACTCCCGGATTCAGGAGATTGGTCGAAGACCGCTGCAAGGTCCGCCCCGAGGCCCGAGACAGGTGACTGCCCTGGTCGGTCATCTGGCCATGAGACACCCTGCAGGGGAGCGTCGTTGGAAAGATTGTTGCCGAGGACCCCATACTTTTCAAGGTCAATGGCCAGTACTTGACTCATGTGGTTTTCGTCACTAGCCCCTGGTACATTAGCCAAGTCGAGGCTACATCCCAGCAGCCAGGCCTTGGTCCCTGTTTCATTGAAAATACAGTAATGCCAGCGGAACCCGGGCCGGAAGATTTCTGACCCATCAGCCAGCCGCTGCCATCGTAACGCATTCAGATCAAGCGCCGAGAGGCTACAGTCCTGCGGACGCACAGTCTCCGACGGAGTAATAAAATTCAGCAAAGCCCCGGAAGTGAATGATTGAAAGTGTGTTCCGGATAATTGTTGGGGAACGTTTGGTCCAGACACAAATCGCATGGAGGAAATTGCACCCGGGGCAAGAGGCTTTCGACGACTGAGGTTGCGCACTTGAACACTGGCCGAATTTGCAGGATACACCCCCGAGCGAGGCGAAAGCTGTTGGGAGGTGGGACTGGAAGTAGGTTCTGAGAAATGAGTGGATGGCGTATACAGCCGCGAGAGACGGTCGGTACCAGGAGTTGATTTCATGCCGGTCAGAGAAGGCGAACCCTTAAGATCTAGCCACCAAATGTCCGAAGTTCGTTCCATGTTTGGATCGAGTCCTCCGAAGATCCAAAGACGGTTGCCCCAGATCCAAGCGGTGTGATCGTACCGAGCGTTGAAACTCCATGTTCGGGACCACGTCCAAGTTTGCAAGTCCAGATAGCTCAGGTCATCCAGAATCACGCCATTCTCACCAGTCACACCTCCCGAAATGAATAATTTGTGGTCGTGGATGACAGCAGCATGGCGCGCTCGACCACGAGGAATTGTGCCCGAAATCTGAGGCAGGGTCCAGTGGAAGGTGTCGAGGTCAAGAATTATAACATCAGATAGATATTCTCGGTGCTCGTTCTCTCCTCCGAAAATAATCAACTTGTTCCCTTGATATAAGCTAGCCGTATGCCCTGGTAAAGTCGACAGAAACAACGATGTTAGTGACGAAACGGTTCAATGAGAAAGAAACGTCGAAACAAAAAGATGAGAGTTTACCCATCCGAACGCCCGGTATGTCCCCAAAGTTGTCCACCAGCTCCCATCTTAGTGTATTCAAGTCCAGACGAAGCACGTGGTTGTACACTAGAATGCGACAGTCGAGTTAGTCTCTCGAAATCGAGTTGTAAAATTCTCACTCGGACTTATCACAAGATCAATGCCCACGGTCTTGCTGCAAGTTTCTCACCTTCGTCGGTGTATTGGTCAAAGCCGCCGAAGGCATAGATAGTGTCATTGCCGCAGTACGTTATTGAGGCGTTTACCAAGCATGCCGGTACATGACCTTGAGCCTTGTTCACTGCAGGGACAGAGTCCACCGCCGCCGCCGCCGCCTGCGGTCCACTTGCAGGACTGACTGGCATCACATACGTGTCCAGCGATTGCATTGAGGAGGTAGTCTTGGTGACGGCGGAAGGCGACTGTTGAATTCGAAGAGTCGCGGAGTTCCAGCCTACGATGACGGAAGTCAAGGGAGAGAGTGGGCCCAGAGGTGGAACGGAACAGTGGATGATGTGGGGGAAAACAGAATCAACTCTCCATCAGACAAGAGAATTGAAAGGGTGAGCAAGACCAGGAGCGGCTGGATTGGTACTATGTCGAGCCTCGAGCCGCAACCACAGAGATACTGACTCCAGCCAGGTTTCCATCTAGCTGAGATGACCTGTAATTTCAGGCTTCACTGCCGATCGTGGTAGTCATATTCCAGTCCACCGTTCGGGACGCCGAGCTTTGGTAGGTGCCCTCCGAGGGGCGATGTTTCGGAGGTTGCCAGTTGCCGTCAGGTCATGTGCAAGAACAGGCTAGTCCCGAAGAAGACTAGCACTTTCCTTGTACCTTGGACAACGGTTGCCCCAGCAAGGGCCTGCGTAGTCCGCATGGGGAATATTATTTATTCCATTCTGCTCGGCGAGCAACGTGCAGTCACTCTTCCTCTCCCACCCATACCCTATCTGCAAAAATTACCCATAACTCTATTTCCAACCCATATTCTCATCCTGCACTGTTTTTCAACACTTTGCATTCACTTTTCATCGATAGCAAGTTACACAGAGACCGAGTTTACCTTTCAGCATTCCCAGTGCAAGTCTGAACACTCTGAGCCATGGCCACTGCTTCGGTCTCAACGCCTGTGAAGACCCATACAGGGATCTTCTCCTCCAAGACCGCTGGCGGACGTATGCCACTGACGCCCTCGCCCAATACACGAGTCACGCCCCGGGCATCCGACGAATCGTCCCCATTCACTCCACAAAAAGGTGACGTGGGTTGTGAGAAGCCCAAGTCAGTTTACAGTGGTAACCTCACATCATACTTCGCCAAGTCGTCGAGCAACAAAACCACTTCCTCGAAGTCCACAGTCACCAAGTCTTCCTCTCTTGCTAAGCCGTCCATCCCAAAGCCGTCCTTTGCGAAGGCTTCATCGACAAAGCCTACAGCTACGAAATCCACCGTCGCCAAGGCATCTGTAGTCAAGTCTTCACGCAGTCATCGGGATTCTCCCAAGTCAAATATCGCGCGCACTCGTGTTTCTCCGAAGCATCTGCAGCTGGGCGTCTCCGATTGGTCTTTGACCGGTACCGGCCCTGCGTCATCGACTGGACAAACGCCCGTCAAAGAGCGTCCGCGCCGAGAGGTGCCGACTCGAACCCGCCCAACCAAGACAACTGTTCGAATTCCGCACAATGCGGGCGATCGTTTCATCCCCAACCGTTCAGCAAGTGAAGGTCTGGTGACCAGCGGGACTGCCAAACCAGACGATTCTCATCGTCCTAAAACAAGTGGAAGCGAGGGCTCAACTGTTCTTGCCTCTGCAGCAAGCGCATTTGATATCAGCGGGCGTGGAGTTGACGATGAATTGACAGCGGCGCTGGACAACCTGGGTCTCGATGACAGCGAGCCAACAAACTACACCCGACCCGCACCCGATGCCGTTGCCTACGAGTCATCCTTGGCGGATGCCTGCGGTGTCAGCCTGAATACCCGCATTCTTGCATTCAAGCCCGCCCCCCCAGAATCATCTAAGCCTATCGACCTTCGTGCTCAGTACAATCGACCTCTACGGTCGGCCAAGTCGCAAGGTGCCCAATTCCGACGACGAGTCCAGACCGCGCCCGAGCGTGTGTTGGATGCTCCCGGTCTTTTGGATGACTACTACCTGAATTTGCTCGACTGGAGCTCGGGCAACCAGGTTGCCATTGGCCTCGAGCGCAATGTTTATGTCTGGTCGGCTGAATCTGGTACCGTCAGCTGCCTTCTAGAGTCTGCACCTGATACTTACATCAGCAGTGTCAAGTGGAGTGGTGACGGCGCCTACGTGGGAGTTGGACTGGGAACTGGCGAGGTCCAGATCTGGGATGTTGAAGAGGGCACCAAACTGCGCAGCATGTACGGCCATGATTCGCGCGTGGGTGTGATGGGCTGGTCCAAGCATCTGCTGTCTACCGGTGCACGAAGTGGTCTCGTGTTCAACCATGATGTTCGTATTGCCGAGCACAAGGTCGCCGAATTGGTTTCTCATACTTCTGAAGTCTGTGGTTTGGAGTGGCGCTCCGATGGCGCTCAGCTTGCGACAGGCGGCAACGACAACTTGGTCAACATTTGGGATGCGCGCTCTCTCAGTGCTCCCAAGTTCACCAAGACCAACCACCGCGCTGCTGTCAAGGCGTTGAGTTGGTGCCCATGGCAGTTGAACCTGCTCGCCACTGGCGGTGGCTCTTATGACCGTCACATCCACTTCTGGAACACCACCACCGGTGCTCGCACAAACAGCATTGATACAGGATCTCAGGTCACCAGTTTGCGCTGGAGCAACCACTATCGTGAGATTGTTAGCTCCAGTGGATTCCCCGACAACTCCCTCAGCATCTGGAGCTATCCTACCCTGGTGCGGAATGTCGAGATCCCCGCTCACGAGACTCGTGTCCTTCACAGCAGCCTCAGCCCGGACGGCCAGATGCTGGCTACCGCAGCTGCCGACGAGAGCCTGAAGTTCTGGAAGGTCTTTGAGCGCAAGCCCGGTAGCAGCGCGTCGGCGTCTCGTGAGGGTGGTGTCGGTGGCAAGGCCCAGTTGACCAAATCAATGACTATCCGTTGAGCAGTATGCCGTTGTACTGCAGTCGAAGTCTCTTCAGTTTTCTTGTTTGCCTTTCTTGTCCATTTCTTCTCGTGCATATCTGTTCATACCCTTCTTCCTTGGTCTGACTTATGGTTTATTTTTGGATACGTGCGCTCTATTGGATATGACTTTGCCTTGCGCCGGACCGGGGAGTTCTTTTGTGTCGAGTCTAGCATGTTTGGCGTACCATCAGACTGTAAATCATTGTTGCAATTGCATTCACCTATTTGATCCGAGTTCAGAGTAATGCTTGGGACTTTGGAGTGGTCCCCAAATCAATTGTCCCGTTGAGAAGCATTGAGATGTTTGATATTTAGTGCGTGGTCGGAGGTCAAAGGTCTCTCGAGAAGTGATACAGAAAGCCCTTAATGATTTCAAAGAGCCGTCAGAATTGGAGCGTAGAACTAGAACTACACCTAGTACCAGTCCACTTTTGTCAGCCTTCAAGAGCTAGACAGAACAGCTGTCGTCTTACCTTTCCTACGATTAGCTTTCTTTTTTGAGGGACCGTCCTGACAGGAGTTCTGCCCGGGTAACTAGATGAGATGAAGTGAGGTGAGGTAAGCTCCCCGGGCGCCCGCGACTGCCGCGTATGACTAAGCGCCCATGTGCTGGAGTCGCTTTTCGACCGTCCTAGACTAACCTTCACCTTCTCCAACCCATCGGACAGACCATCCAGCCCGCTTCGCCACACCTTGTACTCACGTTGACCCTTATTACCTCAGAAATACCCTACATACAGCACATTTACGTCCAAACATTGTCCGCAGCCAGTACCCATCACCGCACCTCTTCTGGATTCAGAGAGGCGTGCTCCACCAGTGCTCCAAAGGGAAACGCCATTGCGCCGAATTACCATCTCCTTCGACGGTAAGGGCAGTGCAACACATCCAACGACGCCCTTGAATCGCCTCCTCGACAAGTCCCCATCGAGCCTCATTATTGAATTTCTTGGTCGTCTGTTCACCCACCGCTCTGTCTTTCCGTCGCCATGTCGAATCAACAAGTGGTATGTGACCCTCGCAATATCCTGTCCATGTCTGCCATAGGAACAGCACCAGCCAGCGCAGGTCCACCACGATCTGCTGCCATTATGGAACACCTCACGAATTCCGTTCCAGGTACCCTAGTATCTGGCGTGTTGACCCTTCTTGATGTTTGAAACAGGGTGCGGTTTTCGAGAAGGTGATCAAAGATGTCTGCGAGAACTCCCAGGTCGACTTTGAGGAAAGCGGAGTGGATCAGAAGACGTTGCTGGATTTGCGTGAGGTAAGTCACCTATTTCTCCTACCATGCACTTTTTCAGGACACTGTGTGTTCGCCTTGCTTGGTGTTAGCCATCGGATCACTCTTGAGTCTGGGGAGGGTCAGCCTAAAGCGGGGGATCCCGTGGGTGCGGAAGGCAATGCCTTCTGACGGGAGGGAACCAGTCGGTTTATGAGGCTCCCTTTATATGCCGCCGCCGCTACCCGCCCCAGACGGGTTTAGCTCACTTGCTCATCATTCGTCGAGTGGCTTGCCTATACTCCAGGGCCACTATTCCCACCATCTCAACATTGTTATACTTGCCGTACTGGAAGATGCACTACTGACTCTTTTCCCATCTGTGCACAATCCTAGACCTGGCAAAAGAAACTGTCATCAGTGAATGTCGCCCACTTTCCATGGGATCCCCCAGTTCAACCGGTTGCGCAAGCTCCTCTACCTCCACAGGCTACTGTTCCATCCAACGCTCCCCGTCCACCACCACCATCCCAGCCGCAGCACCAACCTCAGCCGCAGCATCATCAACCACAACAACAACAACAACAACAACAACAACAACAGCAGCAGCAGCAGCAGCAGCAGCAGCCACAACAACCACAACATCAGCAGCATGTTCCCCCACCTGTCTCAATGGCTCAGCAGACTCCGATCCCGAGTCCAGCCCCAGCCGCCCCGGTCGCTCCTGTTGCGACCGCCCAGATGAATGCGCCGAGAGTAAAGACTGAGCCAGGCGCGAGTGGAATGTCCTCAATCCCACCAATGCACCCCAATATGTCTGCAAGCACGACGCCCAACCCGCAGATGGCTCGAGACCGTGCTGCAGCGCAGCTGACCCAGCGGTTTGGTGCATCCGCTGCGACCTCGGTCAGCCAGCTTCAATCACAATCCGCAGGCCAGCAACAATACACACCGCAGCATTATCCATCAAATGGGAATGCGCCTCAGATTAAGCAGGAGTCTAACCACTCGTCACTTGGATCTGGCCAGACTGATGGTGCTGGTGATGCTTTGTCTGACTGGAAGGCGGAAGTCGCTCGTCGCCGGGAGGCTGCGCAGAACGGACAAGGGGATCACCTGCTCCGTGAATACATCAAGCATCAAATGAGTGGCCTTGAAGGTGGTGGCCTACTTCGCCCCCTGTCCAAACAAGAGTCGTCGGCTACAAAGGCTCGTCGCTCCGCTCTGGTCGCTCCTCTGCTTCGCGCAAACGCATCGCCATCGGCGTCTTCCCTCCCAAAGCGCCCGCCCAATTCGATGGCGCAGACGATGATCTCAAGGAAGAAGACGATGAAGATGCAATCAACTCGGATCTTGACGATCCGGATGATCTCGTCGACCATGAGGCGGAGGCCGATGAGGCGGAAGGCCAAGTGATGCTGTGCACCTATGACAAAGTGCAGCGGGTCAAGAACAAGTGGAAGTGCACCCTGAAAGACGGCATTTTGACCACGGGTGGAAAAGAGTGAGTCGACCATTCACGGTTATCAGTAGCTTTGAATTTTGAACATGTCCGCTGACCTAGAGACATAGATATGTTTTCCACAAGGGCCAAGGCGAATTTGAGTGGTGATCGCGTTTCCCTCCCCTTGTGCCACTGCTCCTATTTCACGTTGTAAAGGCGCAGTGACACGAAGAAATCACTCTTGATATTCATGTCATTCTCTGTCACTTTCTAATACCTCTTGTGTTTTTCGTTCCATTCAATGCTCGTTTCACGACGGCTGTTCCGGCTGTTCTACTGTTTCACGAAACCCCCATGTTCTTCTTCCCCCCTTCTCTTTCCACGTTTCTCCAAGAGTCGGCGGGGTCGGTTGATGGCAAGCGAATATTCATCACTTTCTCCCAATACACACCACAAGATCATTGCGTTTTGTGCTACTTTTTTACGTCTTGTTCTCCGTGTGTTCTTCCTCGCTCCCAAACCAGACTGGTCCCTTTGGGGTTTAAACTACTTATTGACCCCATGGTGGGGTCTCAATCTGACATTCTGCCCAAAGGCATCGTAATAAACTTACGCCGGCATACGTCTCTCCCTACATATCTCCCTCTTCTGTGTTTGTTCCGTCTCGAGCACACCTCGGCCGTTTCTACTAGGCTGGCCCACCGTTGAATAACACGTTTCACCCAATGAGAGAAACGTGTCAGAACTTTCAATCCGGCTATGTAACTTACTGCAGTAAGGCATGTTGAAGAGAACAGTGGAGAAGGTCGACCAACAATAAATCAGTTGCCAAAGCCATGGTTTTTTTAGAAAGAAAATATCATATGTACATCATCTGGACGCCAAGGTGAGAGCCGTACTTTTATTCCGGCTGTTCCAGGTTCAATTCCTCAAACTGAAGAGATAACAAAGCCGAATCGCTGTCGTTGAAGGCAAAGACCATCCACGGGAGGTCTGCCCAAATCTGCCAGGTAGCTGCAGAGACGGAGAAAGAAGGAGAGAAAGAGAGAGCTGGCGCGATTCAGCATATGGACCATGCAGATAGGTAAGGCTTGAAGTCCCCCGGAGTTGCGATTCGAAAGAATCTACAGGCAGCAGAATGGAGGGAGAAGAAGATGAAGAAGAAGAAGAATGAACGCCATCCCTGGTGGTCCCAAAAAGAAAGTGCCACTCGATCATTTACATGACCCTCGATCATAGAAAATCAACGGCACAAAGTCAATAAGCCAGCCAACGCACATAACGCAGAAGAAGAACAAGCCAGAACGAAAAAGAAAAGAGAAGGCTGAAAAGAAAAATAAACAGAGATACCGCCCGTTTCAACATGCATTGCAGCCAAAGACACAGCACAATGCAAGTACTCCTAGCAGACGTCAAGCTGTCTATGCAGACCAACTTTCGAATCAAAGGACGCTTCGATCTTTGTGAAATCCAATGCTTTCGAGTTGGATGCGAGGCCCGGGTGGGACTGAGCACAGGCTTGCGGAGAAATTTGCACCATCATCAGCCGTAGTTCTTGGGCCGGTTGAATCTCGAAAAATGAACTCCCAAAGCAGTCCAGTGTAACAGGGTAGCCAGACCGAGATCACAGGACACATGAGACCACTGTTCCAAAGGATAAGACAAAAGCCAATGACAAATCAAAAAAACCAACTCCGAGGTCACCGAGTAATTCAATCATGACATCGTGTTTGGACTAGGCAGTGTTCATGAAGCCAGGAACAGGTGAGCACGCTTCTTGAATGAAGGTCTTCTTGCTCGCTGGACATTATATATACGAACGACGATGGGGCACGCACACCCAAAGCATCATCGTTATTCATGCACCTGTTGGCTCTTATAGGAGGCCTTCTTCGCCAATTCCGGGCAGACCAGCCCCTGCCACATTAATGTTCTGCCCTTGCATGACACCCCCTCCGAGGTTCAGATTGCGACCTGCCGCAAGCTGGAAGTCAGGATTGCAAGGCGGTGAGTGCGACTTGTGGTATTTGAGACCGTTGAGGTTCTTATAGCGCTTGCCGCAGACTTCGCAGCGATACGGTTTCTCTTTCTCCATACCGAGCGTGCCAGGATAAGGTGTCGAAGTCTCCGGGTTGACAATTGAAAAGGTTCCGTCGGCGTTGTCGTGAAGCTGCTGATTATTGTGACCATGCTGCAGAGAGAAAGAAACCGAGACGTTAGGTCATTCATCGTGACTGTTGGTTTCGCATGTACTTACTGCCTTGTGATATTTTAGACCATTTTGGTTCTTATATGCCTTTTCACACCCTATCACGGGGCAACGGAAAGGTTTGGGCTCCTCGTTGGGAAGTATAGACGTTGTGTCGGGCACACCAGCTAAAAGCTGCTGCTCCCTAATTCGGCGAGCGATGTCGCTGTTTGGACCATATTGGGCCCCACTGAGTTTGAAGTGCGCATTCGGCGTTCCCATGCCTCCACTCGGGCTGAACAGTCTCTTCGCCGGCTCGTCAATGCACAGATCAACCATATCATTATTGCCAGGATAGCGTCCGTAAGGAGTCTGATTCTGACCCATCATGTTCTGTTGCATACTGAGATCGCCAAAGCCCCCGACAACGCTCTCGTCAATCTCAGCGGGCGTCCCTGGCCCCGAAGAGTCGGGGGTGTTGCGGAACTGCGAGGTTTGAAGCGGGTTGGCCATCAGAGTAGGTGTATTCACGGAGGATACGGTGGGATTGTTGGAGAGGGACAGAGGCCGTGAAGAGCCTACCGGAGTACCAGGCTGGGATGGGGTATTGAAGCCTTGGTGACTAGGGAGCATGCCCAGGTTCAGCTGAGGGCCTTGATTGGAGTTGCCGTAAACGCCTTGGCCTCCTTCTCGTAATTGAGACGAGAATAAATTAGTTGGATCTGCGTCACCCATCGGGTCATCTAATTCCATGTCGTCCATGGTGTCGAGGTCAACGTGTTGTAACGCCGACGGAGTGTGGCCCATCTTCCGCTGCATGTCGATATTACGATCCTGTGGAATACCGCGCCCTTGGCCACCATGCGGTTGGCCTTGTTGTTGCGCCATCGCGGCGGCGATGGCAGCACGATTTTCTTGGCTTGGGCGATGCCCTTGATTGGGCGACTTGGTCGCATGGGCTTCCTCGTAATGCTGAAGCAGATCATGGAGGGTTGGTAGGGTCACACCACAGCAAGAGAAATCCCGCATGAAGTTAGCCTCGAGCTTCGGTAGATAAGAGGAGGAGTGGTATGAAGGCGACTGGAAGGTGAATGGAGAGGTGCCGGTCATGATAATACTAATGGGAGATTTGCTTGGTCAGTTATCGGAGGTTGTGAAACGGTGCCGCTGGTGTACAGGAGCTCGAGAAACGAGGTCTGGAAGAATCTTTATTCGATCATCCAAGTCTCCGAGACAAAATGCGCGCCTGTTGCTTGCCATCGGTCTCCATCTTATAGGGTGTGCTGCCACTCACTCATCCCGGATCCAGCTTCCCACCGACACACCACCCCAGCTCATGCCTCCTACCAAGCTCCCTGCAAGAGATTCCCGTCGACCCTTATCACGGGCTGATCCTGTCATTGAGATGGGCTTTGTTCCATTTCCCCATTGCGCGGTAGCATTAGTGACGGAATCTTTGCGTGGCAAAGGCGCCTTAAACACCCCCAGGCCACTGCCAGGATGCAGTGATATGCTACCCGTGCGCTCCCCGGTGCCAGCCCTTTGAAGAGCCGACGTAAGATTTGAAGCCTGTTGACCCGGCGGCGACACCGAGGTCGTTTGCCGGGCAGTGATGTCAATGGGAGCGGCACTAGACATTGTGACGGCGGGAGGGCAGAATGGCAAAGATGTCGATCTGGTTGTGCAGTCGTGCTGAAGTAGATGGCGCGCAACTTGAGCGCAAGCGGCCGCGGACTCCCGACGTTCCAGTGGCCTGTGAGTTTGTTGATCTTTTCTCGTCTGGTCTTGAGACGAAGAGAGAAGTAGGGGGGGGGGGGGAGGGAGATGATCTAGAAGGAGCGGTCCACGACTGTAGGTTTCCCGAGTCGGTCTTGCGCGAGGCCTAAGCACGCCAGATGCGGATGCCCAGGAGAACGTGAGATTTTATGGGGAAAGTCCCGTGTTGAAACGCGAACGTCTGCGATGATGAGGAGTTGAAAGGTGTAAGAAAGTTAATGCGACAGGAGAACGACTCCCGAGCAAGTGCCCCTCGATGAAAGTGGACTTTTAGGTGGATGGCGGTTTTGGGCGGGTTCGTAGAGTCCACCCTCGGATGATGTCCCACTCTGGTGCTGGGCCCCAGCGAATCGCCCGTGGCTCTGGTGTAGTAGTGGCGATGAACGCGGCGGTCTTTCTGTTTAGATCTTTTCTTGCTTCGTGTCTCGTGAGAGGATGCAGGCCAGTTTCTACGCAATAACGATCAATATCAATGCGTTTTGTTTTCCCACCCTGTTTTTCCTGGTCAACCGAGGACAGTGAGTGATGGAGGAGGAGGAGGAAGTCCCGAGTCCCAGCGGGTCGGACTGGAGAGAGGCATCTCAACCGGTTTGGGAATAGCGTCGTTACAGTGTTATGGATGACACGTGATGCAGCGGGGACTAGCGTCACGTTTTTGGGAATACACACTTACACAGAGTGACGAAAAGAACACTTGGGAGCGAAGGCCAGCACCCAGTCGTCCGGGACCAAGTGGGATCATCATCTCAGTGATCTTGGAGTGCGCAAGATAATTATCTCTAGTTCTGCACCTCTACTGCGCAGTCAGTGTCGGTGGCTTTCTGCGGGCCCAGAGCGGGCCATCGCCCTGTCGAGACTTGGATGGATGGATGAATGGGTGTTATCGATCCAAGAAGGACTGAGACCGTACGTCGTTGTTGCGACCAGTATGCCTATGGCAGTCCGACACAGTCTCCTCCAAAGCCAGGGACCGGATGATGCTATGATTCCACGACTCACCGCTCGCGGGATCACCCAGCAAGAACGTCATTTACGACGCTCTACAACGTAATTCGAGGAAACGAAGGATCTCATCCGTTCTGATAGAGTTCGAGCTTATTTTGTGATCTCTCCAAGATCCTTGATTTCATCCTCCTCCGCCATAAGTGGTAGCCCATGTGCCCCGGGACTATTTAAAGTCTCAAGGTCTGGATATGACCTAGCGTGAGATACGGTCGTGTAACTAGAAAGCTCTGCTACTGTGCTCAGTGTGCTGACTGCTGAGTGCTTGCGTAGCTGTGATGGCGGATTCGCGACAAGCCGCCTGTATAATACTGTACCGCCCGGTACAATGTCTATGTACAAGACTAGTACCGATCAGGCGCGGGGCCAAGCAGCCTGAATAGCAGTCTCTGGTAAGTAGTACCTAAATGCCGCCGCCTGAGTGACAGAGTCCCGCTTCGACTTGTGTCCAGTGCAGGTACCAAATGACTAAGGAGGCTTGGCCGATGATGTGCTCCAACTCAGGCTCATTTCGTTGTGCTCCAGGCTGATCTGACATTTGCATATGAGGAGATGCCAGATACCAACCTCAACCGCAAGCTGGCAAAGGGCCCGGTCGCCAACTCTGCAGGCCCATACTCGGTAGGAAAACGCAAGGGAATGACTTTCCCAGTGGAAATCCACAGCTGACTGCTCAGAGCGCATCAGCACAGTCCAGCGAGGATGGAGACACAGCGAGAGAGGCGGGTCGAGGGCGCGCTCGGCGAATCCCATTCTTCTGGAGTCTCTCGAATCCATGGTTTCCGTGAAGAGCGTCGGAAGCCGGGACTCCACCGACTTCCATGCTGCCGGTAGCCCTGGGAGAGGCTTTCCCTGAGAAGGTAGCAGAGGACGATTGCGACGAACATCGTGTGTCAGCTTGCTGGTGAGAGTCGCGAGGTGCTGAAATCGTACTACTAGTGCCAGCTGGCCCAATGTTGCTCGTGTGTTCGACCGTGATATGCAGGCGAAGATCAAGCTCATCTACACTGCCGCGTGTGAGTCGCCGATCTAGGGTCCATCTGCAAGGGGCAAGGTCACCCGGTGGCGACCCTCCGCTCAGCCGAGGCCTTTGGGCAACGATGAGGTTGTCCTGCACCCCGCGAGATGAATCAGGTGAGGACTTCACTACTACTCTGGAGTGGTAATACTACAAAGACGTAAGCGCTTGTGCTGTACCTAGTATCTACTACCTACACACCTATTACTTTACCGTGCTTGCCGGCTTCGTGATCAGACAATCTTGTGCCCTTCCAATGCGCGAAGTCTTCAACCCGGCCTGGATGATCCATGTACCCATCCTTCAGTGTGGCTGGGCGCGGTCCGCGTCCGTCGTATTGACGTTCAAACTTTCGTGGGATGCAGGAGCACTGGCAGTTGAGGCTGGGAGCCTGAGACGACCGGACTTCTGCTGGTCCCAATTTATGGTCCCTGACTTATTGCGCGTTGTGTATTCAGCTATCATCGCAATTTGACCACTGAGCCATCATTATACCTTACACGTGGCTTGATTATAGGAGGATCATCCCAATGTGTCAAAACACACATTCGGCACTGAATCACTGTGAGAGGGTGGGTTCCCCTACCAACAATTTCAGGTCGACCCCGACGAGATGTGCCACGCACTGGCCCCGTTCCATGCAACCCGAGCCAAAGATTGAGTCGGGGGGCAACGGGTCTTAGCTTCGGCGCTAGAACCGCGGCAGAAGCCTTCGGTCGGAGTTCGATCAGTAGTTAGCGTCGTTGGGGGTCTCAGTCTCGACAGGCGAGTGGACCGTATCCTTCGTATCCTTCGGGGCAAGCCAATGGACTCAAACTATCTCCAGGTAGCGGTCGGTAGCCGCCCCGCTGGCGTCACCGTTGAACGGTCACAGGAAATGAACCCATAAGGGTGGCTCTCTCTTCACGCTTGAAGCCGGTGATTCTTTGTAAAGGTTAGAAATTGTTGACTATACTTGACACATATTGTGCCACTGTATGAAATTCGAAGAGGAAGAGATGTGTCGCGGGAAATGATGCATTACATTTGTTACTAACAATTTGTGGTAGCTGGAGTACAGTTGTGCAAGATGGATGTCACCTGAGTAAAGATGGAGGATGCAGATCGCCCAGTGCCCGACTTGTATAAATAATGGATTACTCTTGGCGTAATTTCCGCAATGGTTAAATTGCGGTAGTGGTACTATCGATTCTCTATAGTCTATAGTATGTTGCAGTCCATCTCTACCGTAAACCTCCTCGTTTGGCAGGTTGGCCGCGTGACTCGGTGCATCAATTTGAAGATATTCTGGGCGCCTCCTACCCGATGATCAGCCAAGTTTGCAAATCGCAGATCGCGCTTACAGCATCCTGATTTTCAATGCTGCCGTTTTCAACCAGAGAGAGGTGTGTAGAGGATCTGCTCATTCTGCAGAGTAATATTAGGCTTTTGAGTGGATACTGAGATCGACCACACTTCAAGTTCGATACCTTGCCTGCTTTTGAGTGAAGTTTCATGGGGAGTCAGCTCTCGATTGGAACTCATACGAACTAAAGTTTCAGTATCTTTGTATGCGACTGCAGCTTAATGGATGATTGGATTGTAGTTCCAATGCGTGGAGACGCCAAGTAAAGGAAGTAGTAAAAAGAGAGACCTCTCGTGTAAATTTGTCTCTGATCCTAATTTCAGTTGAGACTTGGGGGGGTCTCAAACCGTCCTCCAGATTTTTATCATAGACAGTCCCCGCATTGTGGACGATCGGTCACAAGGGGAGATAATCTCCATACTCATAGTGTGCGTTACTCATTGAAGAGGTGTGCGCCAAAGGTAATTATCGGTCTCCGATTGATCTCCGACGCTTTGGGACGATCTACTCCTTCTTCGGACCCGTGTGTGTGTGTGTGGGTGCACCTTTCGAATCTGAAAATGCCTAGGTCATACTGCGTAGCCTCGAATCAGTTCACTTTACCCACATGTCAACAAACATCAACATGCTCACCTCGGAAAGCCTCGCAGTTGTGGAAGATGAGTTTTATAGTCTCCATGCGCTGTTGACACGAGCAAACTGTCTCTAACTTTCTGACGAACTCTTGACCGGGGCAATGCAGCCTCGGTCAGGAGCAACAAACACATGGCGGCAGTGGAGCCCGTCAGCTTCAATCTTGACGACGACCTCCATTTGACTTTAATTTTCTGGGGAACTACTAGCACGCCAGACTATCATCCTACGATCCTAGTAGTCGCTTGAGCATCAGCGGATTGGAACTGAAAACGAGTATGCCAGATAGGTCAAGTGACCAACGGTCACCTGATGCATTGTTGTTCAGCGCGCTGACGGCCCGCTCTGATTTTGAGGAATTGCTCCCCCACATCTCGATAAGGGGGTCAGACTGTAGTCTCAATTTCAGATCCAGACCTGAAGATGGCCGTACGCTCAATTCCGTGTCAAATCGGCCAATGAGCTAGAGTGACAGAATATTCTTAGTACTGTGGTGTGATTCGATTGAAATCTGGTCGATTTTGCACTTTTGATCGGCTTCCATGTATCACGTGTCTCAAGCATGGCCATCCCTTATGTTTCACTCTAGTCCAATACCCAAAGATAATGGACCTACCTCGTCTTGATTTCGAATATGTTTGACTGTACTAGGCAGGCAGTGTATAGCCACAAGTTCACCGTACCTTGCGAAGTTGAACTGAGGTCTACTGTCAGACAAGGTTGTTGTGCGCGATTAAAGCACGGTAATAATATCCAGGTTTTCAGTGCTCCCACCTGCTCGCTCAAAGCTGATTCAACATTATAGAGTAAAAGCCTGTCAGAAACTCCGACCACGCATTGCCGGATTCAACCTTAGTATATGTCCGTGGAATCTATCAAGTCCGGAATTTGTCTCAATCAAGTTACGCTCGAAGAGGCGGATTCGGAATTTCGGGTAAATTCGTCAATATAACCGCCCGAAACATGTGTGTGTGACTCTGTGTAACACATGTCGAACACTGATCAGTTGTGTGAGACGGATTTCCTGGAATTGATCTTCAATTGGCAAATGAAACGTCTGTGATTTCATTGGATTGTATTGATCAACTGGTTTGCCTTCTAGGAACTTTGACATGTCCGCGTTGGACAGATCAGACGGGAATCCAGCTGTAACAGGCTAACAGCATCCATTCACATAATCCGAAAGGTGCCAATTGCAACCACCAAAGGCGGGGGACCTATCAATGAAGCGATTCGACGATAGACTCGGGCAACCACCAAGCAATCATCACTTCGATCCAATTGTACTTTGTCAACGTCGATTGTGTCATCTTAGGTCCGTGAGGTCGTCGAAAACTGATCAAAACGGTCACCGAAAAAGTCATCCGCGGGGCAATTTTTTGTGTTTTGCTTTTTTCCTTTTTTCCCCTTGGATTCCTAGCATTTCTTCGCCGGGAACGCGGGGTGTCAGATGATCAGGGGTGGAATTCGGCCCCGGGGCACCCAGCAGTAGCACAATCTACTTTGGAAATGGGTAATTAGATGCATAACTTACTACAGAATTCTGATTCTCTTCATCCTGGAGATGTCAACTTCACCGAGACGACAAATAAAGCTGCCGTATGCACTTACACACCTTATGCACCGTGAGTATGGGCTCAATTAAGCTGCGCTAGTCATATTCGGGCAGCCAGGCACCTCTGTCCACCAATCAAATATCACTGATCAATGGATACAAGGGAAGCTACCATAGAAGAGAACCTCAGATTTTGAGAGACAGGCAGGTTTTGGTAGAGAGATTGCTTAGCTAAGCCCTCTAAGTTAGTTACATGTAACCTGAAGTAGACAACGTTGGGCAGGACAAGTTGGCAAGCCTCGGTCCACAGGAATGAGAGAAAACCACAACTCCCCTCACAGCCCTCGTCATTTTGCATGAATAGCATCAATCCCAAATCCAGAGGGAGGGAGAAGACAGGATAAATGTAACAAAACACCAGAGCCTGAAGACTTGGCGAGATAAAAGGGCCTTCATTGACCAATGAACATTATCAATGATCTCGGGCTCAACATTGAAATATGTATCGTGCGACAGTTCGCGCCCCCTGTTTTCCGTTACGCCGATGCAGCATGGAGTCATGGACAAGGGGGAAGGAATCATGGCGATTCCTGGGCTCGACCCATCCCCCCTTCAAGGCGCGATCTATCAAAATTGCAAACCCAGGCTTGGCGGATCGACCACCGCGCCCGCGGTGGTGCTTGGCTGGCATGGGGGAGAAGAGCGCCTTGTTTACTTTGCATTCGGACGACCGGAGCGATTGGCGAGTTTCATCTGGCCTACACGGAGAATCATTGCGCAGCCTGGGCATGCAATGATAGCATGGAAAGTGTCCTTCAGGGAAGTTCATTCCTTTATTTTGATGATGTTGGAGGTCTTTATTCGAAGCGAGTGACATTAATTGACAGCAAATTCCCCCGAAAAAAAAGAAGCCAAGATCAGATAACGCCCCCCTTTGAACCCCTTACTTGACACGATCATTCTGCGATTGGCCGGAGATGCGGAGATGGTGATAACATCAGTATGGGGAACCCATTGTAAGAAGCACATTTGCGGTGCCCAATTTCATATCCAGTCCGTCCAGGTGACAGAAGCCCAGACGTGACGGTTGCCGGTAGTTACTCTGTCGATGCATCGTGACAGGAAAGTTGAATGACCATAAACAAAACAGGAAGAACCACATGATGAGACAACAGGACAAGAAGATTCATCAGTGGCTAAGAAACAATGAGAACATGAATCAAGTGTAAGAGAAGCAGGAGAGAGTCCTGCTTACAAAATCAATCACTGGGACGCTCGGCGGCCCTTGTTGTTGTGTCCGAGGAAGAGGAAGCCAGCAGGCATTGGGTTGGCACCATCGTCGACTGATGAAGCCTCGGATGAAGTGGAGGATGAGCTGTTAGAACGGTGCAGCTCTGGCTCGATTTCAACCGTGGCATCTTCAGCGACGGCTTGCTCATCGTAGAGACGAGCATCAGGCCCGGACTCGGTAGGAGACAGGACCAAGAATTTGTGACTTGGGTCAAAGGGAGCTGAGCTGGGGGCAGAGAGCACGAGGAATTGGCGAGGAGGAGGAATCTTGAACATTTTGAGCTAGAGACTTTATGTGGTGGACGACCGTGTTGTGCGTGAAGTGCGTGGAATAGATGAAAAATATTGTTTCGGAGGACTAGGTTGGTAGTAGTCTATGTCCTTCGCAGTAGTGGATGTAGATGGGCTGAGAGGGCAGAGTCAAATCAGGTTGAGATCAGTGACTTTTCTTTGTTGGGAGAAGTGAGAGAGTTGTGTGAGTGAATAACAGGAAAGAAAGGTCAGTCTTGCTGGAGTTGTCGGTCAGGCTTTATAGCCATGGAGGCACTCAAGCATGAACACGCTAAGATCAAGCACATGCTGTGTGCCGAGTGAGGGGCATTCCGGTATGATTGGCAAGCTTGTTGATCCGACTGTCTAGCGACTCCCGGTGTACCTTGAGTCGTGCACTCCACAGAGCCAAACTGTGGGTACCCGGGGAGTTCCCTCCTGAACCAACCAACAAAGCACCCTTTTCTTCTTCCTCTTCTTCTTCTTCTTCTTCTTCTTCTTCTTCTTCTTCCTGCTCTACGACGACTACTACTACGACTACTTCTACTACTACTACTACTACTACTCCTACTACTTCTACTACTTCTATAACTACTACTTTAGCATGTCGATTGTCCCTCCCAGAGTCTCGCCGGCACTTTGAGCAAAGGAAAAACACTTCTCCTTTCCGCCGGATGAGCGGGATGCTGTAGTCGTCATGTCAAATTGCATATTCCTCAGATCCCTCTATCCCCCCCCCTGCCCAATCACTGATCTGATCGACCCCAGCGTGGTCCATCTACAGCACTTGATCGGTCTTGGCCAGAGGAAGGGGGGGGGGCCGAGACGTGACTCCTTGTTATCAGCCAAGACATCATTATTGAAATTCCGACCTCCGCATACGCTCTCTCATGGATCCGTGTCGACTGTCGACGACGATGGCCGGAGCTGAGGGGAGATCTGCGATACGCCGGTACCACCGGCGTCGTGCTGACCTATGCAACTACTGCTTCCCACATGCTTGGCAGGCTCAGGCAACTTTGCGATGTGTCTTGGTAGTGATTTTGCCAGTGTTCTGGGAAATAAGGCTGCGATGATAGACCGGTATTGAGGGATAGAGGTTGCTGCTCTACCAACGGACTATCTCGAAGATGCAGTCTGATGGAAAGTCGTCATCGAAAAAAGAAGCTCCATGGGCCGTGGGCCCCTCCCGCTAGCAGATAAGCGTTCTTCTGATCCGACGCAAGCCGCAAGCCGCAATCCCCGAGGCATCGCCTGGGCCTCGGGAGGATCAGCAACCAGGGTAAGAGGAAATCTCAACCGCTCGGGAAAAAAGCACGAGGCATGATTCCGCAGCATTTCTGGGACGTCAGGGACTCAGAGGGTTTCAAGACTTACGAGACCCACGGGCGGGGCGGACGTGGAACCAGGTACACAGCCAGTATTTGTTCCCCGCGCTAACTGCGGGAAGTAGCATCTACTGTGCGATGGACGGTGGTACTAGTACCTACTTACCGGTACAGGGAGGTTACTAGGTATAGTAGTCAGTACCTCTGCCCTTACTATCAGAGAGCACGTACGACGCGGTGGCACTGCTGCTACTGTGCTCTGTGTGCCGTGCTGTAGCGTCTCACGGGACCCTCATCAAAGAAGAGGGCGAAGTATAAGACTACAGAGGGGGTCCACGGACTGCGAGAGGTCATGAGTTGACGCGATTTATTTTTTAAAGGCGGTCTCATCACTATTTCATCTAGTAAGAGTTAAAGGTTTACACAGTATTGATATGGTGATTCTGCCATTCACTCGCCGCACATCATAGCTTAGGTAGAATCTCTCCCCCGTAGCAATCTCACTCCTTATCCCTCTCTCGCATCATACAGCTCCCAGCCTCCCCCTATTGTAGCTGTATATCATCACACAGCTAGATCCGTAATGTTGACGGATAAGGACCTAACAGAGCGATAGTCTCCTCCCAAATTCAGGGGCGGCCTCCGCTGTAAGCTCGCTACCGCCATGTCGTGATGCTTGATCAGTCGCCGCTGAGATGCTCGTGTCACGTACGACAATGGAGCTGGATAATTTTGCAGGTCGTGAGCTTGAGGATTGTCGATGGTCACCCAAATCGCGATCTCAAGGATATAGCAGTCAACCCTCTGATCTGCCATGTCCTTCCTACCGAGCGTCGGGCAGATGTCAAAAGGTTACCAGGAAGCCTGGCGTCCGCTGTGAACGTCCTTATATAGATGACCAAAGGCCCTCAGACCTCTAGGCCACAGAGTCATGTGGGTTGAAGAGAGAAGAGCTTGACAAAGCTACAACATATCGTCGAGTCCATTTCTCGCCCAATTTGACCGCAATGGTTCATCGCATGATTGATCACGTGGCTCACTCCCTACCTACAAGAAACGTGACCCTTCCTTCAGTCGCGATCTAGCTTCTTGCTTTATGATTATCGAGAGTCCCTGACCGTTGACCGGATTGTTCATTCCTGGTGGTTCGGAGCGACTTCTCCGAAAGACCAACGGCGCCTAAACACCCAAGTGGAGCGAGCGAGCGGTTCCGGAGGGAGTCGTTCGGCGTAGTCGCTGTGCATGGGATTTGCCGCCCCAAGCAGTTCCCCCCTCCCCCCACCCCCACTGGCCCACTCAAGGCAGAGGCGCCTAGTGATGAGCCTCAGTCCCTAGTCCTCCTCCCTGGTATTTAGACGGAGGCACTCGGCTGTGCCCCCGGACATGATCAGTCATTTTATGCCAGTCGATTTGACGCTAAGTGGACTTTATTGGCAACCGTTGATTGTCGACTACGATGCCCTGGTTGCACCACAGGCTACAGGCCACAGCTCTCTCACCCATGACTCCATGATTGAGTGATGGACGGAGCACAGGCAGTAGTACGGTAGTGGCAGCAGTAGCAGCAGCTGTTGCTCCTACTTCTTCTGCCGGCGCCTTTGCTTTGGACATTGAGTGAGGATGCGAGATTCTTCTAGATTCGCACCCCATGAAGCCGGACCCTCCGTTGCCGACATTTGTTGATTTCTACGTCATGGACTAGAGGACTGGGATTCCAATGCAGCTTGCACGTTACTATCACCAACTGTACCGTGCCGACGGGGCCCATATCCAATGATCGATCTAGAGGGGTATCATGGAAGATTCAAGTAAGGTGGATATTCATTTGCAGAGGTGAGGTTGACGGGCTCGGAGGGACAATGGGGGGAAACTGTTCGATATTACGGCCATCCAGTAGGCCCACCTTCACCCGGATGAATCACCACGTTGCGAGTGTTGCTTTGCGATGTATAATGTAGTTCGTGATCACTTCCTGTACATGCATAAAGTTGTCTCCTCCGGGCTGGGAGTCATTAAGGAATAAATCAGAATGCCTCAGGGCAAAATCAGCAGGCAGTCACCTCAGATCCTTTAATTTTATTTTATTTTTTGACTTCCTTGTCTGAGCAGTAGACGTACTACCGTCAGTGTGTAGCAGTTCGTCGGGTGGGATCTGAGAGTGCAGTAACTCGACCATCGTCAACGGCTGGCTACTTTGTAGTATAAGTTGGCCCCCGGACTTCTAAGGGGGTGGCTTATCGATTATCTGTGACTGCCAGGCGGATTTTCACCCGTGCGCCAGGGAAGAAGAAGCTAGAGGACTGCCATGCGCCACCATCCATACCTGCATCTGACATCTAGATTACTGTTCTCCACACACGTATGTGTTAGTTCATTGTTGATGCTCCCGCGAGCATGGGTCGTCCCGACAAGGCTCTGGTGATCACGGACGCGACAAATGGGACTCCATGTTGCGGATGATGATGTCGAATGGAACTAGCCGCGGCGCAGAAAGTCAAATGCACAATCGACAGGGCAAGTCATGATTAACCGGTCCTGTTGATCTAATTTTCTTAATACCAATTCCCACTGCACTCGCACACAAGGAGGTTTATGAATCTCCGGGCCAAGTCCGGTCCTGATCTGAGCATGAGCACTCGAGCGGTCCACCTTCCAGGGCCAACATGGCTAGGTGTTGGCCCGCAATAACCTCCAGATCTGCCCTTGACCACACCGTGTCCGCCTTGTCACATCGGTTCCCTAACAGATGTCTTGCTTGATTCTGGAGGTGATTGCTAAGTGACTAGATGCATATGGCGCATCAGCTATCCCCCACAGCGGCAGTGATGAGGCACATCGTCGCAAGCTTGGAGGGTCACGATGCTACACTGATTGGAGTCTGGATCCCGGCACAGTCAACAATCTGATCATTGAGCATGTAAATGGACTTTGAAGGTCTATAAAGGACACTTGATCCCGCGATTGAATCTGCTTTGGAAGACATCAAGCGTATCCACAAACAATCTACAACCTTTTCCAGCTACCAGAAGAAACAAATCTTCTCTCATCTCCCACTCAGATATCAGGTCGACCTCATCATTATTGCAAACATGTGCTCCGTCTACATCTTCCTCTACGACTGCGGCTGCTGTGTCCGCGAGGGCGAGGTCGTTCATTGCGCCAAGGTTGGAACACCTTCCTGCCCAGGCGTGAAGGAGATCTTCCGACGCCGAGATGGACTCAAGTGCCCTGCTCATGGTGGCTAAAAAGCACAGCTGGCGTGGTCAGTCGTGTGATTCCCCCTGTCTGGAAGAAATAAACATCACAATGCTAACATTCACTATAGTCTCCTGCCGCATACTGAGCTATCCTGCTTGCTGTACCCTCACCATCATATTCGCGCTTTGCATTCCTTTTTCTTGAGCTCTGCTCATACTCATTCCTGAACGCCCATCATCAATGGAAGCCTACTTTCTTATACAATATTTGATCTCGCGACACTTATTCTTCGACATGGTGGCTACTTGTGGTTTGTCTTGTTTATGTCCTTTGCCTTTTCATGATCTTGATGGTTGGCTTTCTGTGAACATTCTTCCCACGTCTTAATAATTCTCCTTGCCTTGCTCCTGACACTTGCGTGTGTGGTGCTTTGGAATATTTTGGCACATTTCGTGCTTTGGCTTCGTTTTTTTACCTGGTTGTCTATCGTTGTTTGAGCATTTAGCCCCAAGTTCTGTTCGGCTTGCAATACCATTGTCAGATTTCATGTTCTTTCTATCCGTTGTGGCATCAATTTTGACATACGAATAGCCGATATTCACTAAGAAACCGAAGCTGCCGGGTGAAAGTCCTGGCAGTGTAGCTTGATCGATTGAAAGGGTCGTGAAATCAATGTCCGAGATCCCTTGTTTGACAACCCATGCAGAAATGCTCAAAACCAGATTCTCAAGTACACCGACAATGGCTCATCATCAATTCAGAATACAGTGACGCCTTATTTTTGTGGCTGGTCGATGATTACTGTGCATAGTCATACTGCATCCAACGGCAAGGCGGTACGTCAATTGCCTTACAGAATTGCCTTAGTTTGATCTCTCGAATTTCACCCAGACCAGCGCCAAGCGATAGGTCTATAGCAACAGACGCAGGGCTCACACCTGCATAACGCCCAAATCAGCTGACCGACCTTAATCTGCCCGGTCTTTTAGCATCCGCCTTATGACCCCCGACCATCAATGGCACGTAGTAGTCAATTCACGGCTGCATGGACATGTCAAAAGCAATCCTCTCCCTACCCAAGATAGCTGTGGAATTACACCAACTATTTCCTGTAGTCCCGTCATCTGAATGGCACAGGTTTTACTATTGTAATCACCAGATGGCCGAACTCTGGCGGGTTGGCACAGCGTCCAGAATGGATTGGATGTTGATTCTCCCGAGACAAAACCTTGACTGGGCTCGGCATTTGTTGGTGATCGCGCTGGGGCCACCGCCCAAGCTTAATCACATTCCAGGCCTATCAGCTGCGGCCCAAGGCGCCTAGAACAATGACGTCCCGTGTCCAATGATTCATGTCAGATTGGTGGGGGTGGTTACTACTAAGGTATACAGGCCATCGGTATAATGGCAAACACATATCAAGTTCTTGCATGCTTCGAATCAAACCTGAAGTTATTCTAAAAGACGCTTGGCATGTCATCAAAGGAGGTCCTTTGATCTCGGTTATTTCCAGATAGACTCAAAAAAAAGGAGCAGAACTACAAGTCGCCATTAATGTCCAGTGTTCGCTCGTCTATGATTCAATCAGCGAGCGAATCACGTGACTATGCTGCATTTTGATCTCACAGCAATGTAGGTCGCTCCCTTCCACGTCATTCAAAGCTACCCCCCACTTGAGCTTCAGAACCGATCAAACAAGCTCAGTCTCAACGCACATGTAATGTCCATCGAAGTTGACTGGGCCCGAGCCACTTCCGGTCCGGACGGTGAAGCTCTTGCGGAGCGAATTCGCTCGTTTGTCCACGACAGATTTCAACAAGTTCCGCTCCCACGATTCATCCGCTCCGTCCAGTGCCATGCCTTTGACTTTGGCACAATAGCTCCAGACCTGGAGATCAAAGACTTCTGTGACCCCTTCGCAGACTTCTACGAGGAAGATGAAGATGACGCTTCTGTGACCTCTGAAGAACTCGTTGGCGATGAATGGTCCGGTCGGAATTCGGACTCTGTGTACGATGACGATTTGTCGCAGAATCACCATCACCACCACCACCATCACCATCACCAAGATCAACAGCCATACGCTGGGGAAGGGTTTCGGCCTTCAGCTTTAAGATCTCCACTACCATTGGGAGATCATCTGAATCCACATCTTCATCCGCGCGCGAGTACACCGGGTATCCCAGGCGGCACATCAACTCTCGGTTACCACCTGATGTCTTTGGGTGGTCTCTCGGGAACCCAGACACCCTTGGCCGCTGTAGCTGGTGCAACTCCTTTCGCCAGCAACTGGTCAGACTACGGCATGGGCCACAGCGACAGGTCACACTACCCCCGTCGACCTGGCGGTCCATTCTCCCATCTCGACACGGAACCCGAGCACGCAAACCCAACCTCTCGGCCATCGACAGGCGAGGTAGGGAGCAATAGATCCCATCGCACCAGCAGCGGCTCAGCAGATATCCCCAAGCCTTCAACCGAAATCCCCACCGACCCCACCGCTCCCATTCCACCTCGAATGCGCGAGCGGCGGCCAGAAGACTTCCAAATCCTGTGCCACGCAAAATACGCCGGGAATATCCGTCTCTCGTTGACAGCAGAGATCTTGCTCGATTATCCCATGCCGAGCTTTGTCGGACTACCCCTAAAACTGAACGTCACGGGCATCACCTTTGACGGGGTGGCGGTGGTTGCGTATATTCGTAAACGCGTTCACTTTTGTTTTTTGTCTCCCGAAGATGCGGATGCGCTGTTGGGCTCTGAGGACCAGGACAAGGCCGGTCACCAACAAGGTGAGGACGGTCGACCTCGTTCCGGAGGGGATCTCAAGCGGCAGGGTGGTCTGTTGCAGGAGATTCGTGTAGAGAGTGAAATCGGCCGCAAGGAAGACGGCAAGCAAGTACTAAAAAACGTAGGCAAAGTAGAACGCTTTGTTCTGGCTCAGGTGCGACGTATTTTCGAGGAGGAACTGGTCTTTCCGAGTTTCTGGACATTTCTCATCTAGGGATCTAGGAAATGGACTGTGTTCGGCGAGGCAGTGTTCATGCCTACATTTTGCGCTCCGAATACTCGAGAGTGATTCCTAGTGCTGCTCGCTCCTTCATGTGATCTCCAAATAATGTATTAATGACTTGATGATATGCCTCTAGACAAAAACTCCTCGATTATTTCAGATGTCCTCGTAACAATCCAAACAAGAACTCATCCACAAAACAGTAAGTATAGAGATTTTCAAAAGGTGAACGAATTTGAAAGTTTAAAAATGATCGAAGTGTCCCCACAACAGCCCCATGCCAAAAGCCAAAACGAAGCTGCTGTTGTCCCTGGGAAGACATTTCCAAATGGGTCGGTATCTTGCGCATACCGAGAGCAAACGTGTAGGGGACATCTGCTAGGCGTTCAGAGGTGACAGAGATGAGGCTAAAAGTATAAGGGTGAAGGTATGCAGACAACGACAAGCGACAAACTTGCACCGACATTGTCCCCAACCATCATCCATGATGCATGAATTCATTCAATCCATGAGCAAGCCGCTTATGAGGCGCCAAGCACTCGATTTCGACATACAGCCGGCAGACGCCCCGAGGCCAGGCTCATCCAGCCAACTAAGCCGAACTGGCGGCCATTACATGTCCTTCTTCTCGGTCTTGTCGCTCTTGCTGGAAGAGACCTCATCGCCGAGCTTGTGGTACTCACGGGTAAGGCCCTCACACTGCTTCTTAAGGGTCTCAATGTCCCGGTCTTTCTCTGCCAGCTGCTTCTTCAGGGAACCAATCTCTCCAAGGTTCCCAGCCTCAGCGATGCGGGCAGAGTCCTTTCCACCAGCGTTCTTGTTACCTTCCAGAAGCTTGACGCGGTCCTCGAGACGAAGGACTTCCAAGATCATGATGTAGGTGCGGTTGAGGATCAGGGAGAGGAAGAGGGTGAAGCCGCAAAGGTACATGTTGCGCTGCGAGTAGAACTTGCGGGCCTGGACCTCCATGCGGTCGGTACCAAGGTGAGCAGCGCTGAAGAAAAATGTTGAATCAGTGATGAGTTCATGTAGCATTTAACACGACGAATCGACTCGATCAAAACATACCTGACGGCAGAACCATCCTTGGCAAAAGCTGCGAGCTCCTGCTGCACCCGGAACACCCGGTTGACACTGTCGATGAACAGAATCAAAATGAAGATGAATGTGATCTGTATATGCGATTAGAGAGTGAACGAACACGATGCGCCAGATTTCGATACAAACTCACTTTCAAGCCATATTGTAGCTTTGCTATAATTGGGCTCTCCGAGATGAAAGCGAAAAGCTTGCGCTTGATGGTGAATGGCAGAGGCACGATGAGGGCCAAAAAGACCGCCATCTCAAACACCAACAGGAGAAAAACCTGCGATTGAGTCCAGTCAGCATTGCCTTCGGTGACAGTACAAACGTCGAGGGAAAAGGTGCAGCTGTTGCACAAGCTACCCGACCGAGTCGTTGTGACTCGCTCAGAAACCTCAATCTCGAGGCAGTCGGAATAGCTTGAGCATCAATGAGCTAGACAAGGTGGACGAAAGCGAAACTTACAAGACTGTAGTAGAGTGTCATCTTGCCGGATTCACGGTAATGGCTTCAAAGCGCTGGAATCAAAGACTATGAGGGTGCTTGTCGAACAAAAGGGGCGGAGGGGATGGTCAGGAGCTTCGGTTACCACCCAGGCGAGAGATCCACGAAACAACCAGGAGTTGAGGAGGAGTTGTAAGACAATAGTTTGAGGCCAATTGAAGCCTGATGAAGGAGAATCTGGAGTGTAGACTTAGGCAGCAGCGAATGATGGAGCAAGAAATATGCAGCTGTGTAAGCTCTGAAGTGGCCTTTAATGGGGAGTTTTCCAGCTTGCCCTGAGGGGAAAGACGTCATCATCAGATTGGCCACGTGACTGGCGTGACCAAGCGGGCAGCTCAACGTGGAGCCGTCATCCAAGGAACTCTTCTGCAGCGATTTGGCCCGTCCCGAGAATGTGCAGATCTACAAGACCAGGTTTACAGTGAACTACCCTAGTCACCAGTTGCTCAGTGGTTACAGTAATTTTACTAGCCATCCTAGGACCAAAGTGGTCTTAGGGCTGAAAATGTGCCTCGTCAGAGGCCACAACAACATTCTGAATTCTATACACAGTGACACCGAGCCAGTATCGCAGCTAAATTTACACCAGTAACACAGCCAGCATCGCAGCCGGTGAAGCAGCCAAATTCACACTAGTATCATAGCCAGCATCGCAGCCAGCATCTCAGCCAGATTCACACTAGCATCGCAGCCAGGTTTACACCAGGCTCGCCAGCATCGTAGCCAGATCCGTTACGTCTAGCCAATAGGCTAGGGTTGATGCCATAAAGCTAAGGCGCGAGTACATAAGTCACGTGTTTTGTGTTTCTACACCGCTGTGGCAGAATGCCTTCCCCCCCATCGGGGAAGAAAAGAATAGTATTATATGGGCCCTCCCCCACCCCGAAGCGTATATCCCAAAGAAGGTAGCCTAAACTATTGTTGTTGTGTCTCTGACGAGACACAATCAATTGACCCGTAGTACCATACTAAACACAAAGTCATCATGGGACTAACGCAAATGTGTACAGCATCTTGCAGTAAGGCTCAAAAAGCTTCATTTAATTCATCAGACGTCCAGTCTATTGACTCATCTAGCCTTCAGCCTCATAAGCATTGGACTTGTGCTTGGGCTCGAACTTGAAATCCTTGTGCGCCGGACCGAGGAACATCTCACTGGACTCGGACGTTAGTTCACATGCTCTCAAAGGTACAATCAGATGGGTCTACGATTCAAGTCATGACTTACGTGATCTTGATCCAATCCTTGTAGTTTCCACTTCCCATCAGGGTCTCCAGATCGTTGCGGCCACGCCAGGCAGGAGGCCGGTCGTTGATATGAGGCGGAAGGTATTCCAGCAAGCCAAGAGGAACGTAGCGATAAGCAAAGCTTAACCACTCCAGAAGGAATCTTCGAGTGGTGCCAATACCGAACTCATCGGAGCCCCACGCCTCGAGGCCGTACTTTGCGAATTTTTCAATGTAAGCCAGGCGCTCCGAAGCAGACTTGTCCAAGTACTGTCCGGTTTGGATTTCCTCGAAGATCCAAGGCTTGATCAGGGCGCCGCGAGCCACCATGACGGAGTCGACACCCGCATTCTGAATGTGGTCATCATAGTCGACGTGGGAGAAGCAGTCACCATTGCCAAGGAAATAGGTCCTGCCCCCGTTGGGCAAGTAGCGAGGATCAGCCTCACGAACGGTATCAGTGAGGTCGTCAGTCTTCTCATTGAGACGCTTGATAAGAGCTGCAGTATCTGCAATGTAGCTCCAATCAGCTTGCTTGGTATATCGCTGCTGTCTACTGCGTCCATGAAGAGTAATTGCTGCGGCACCAGGAGGCCCAAGGCCCAGAATACTTGACTCGTAACCTCCCAGAACCAGGCGTTCGACCAGTTTCAATGCGTTGGGCTGGTTGTCGCGAGTTCCCATGCGGATCTTACATGTGATGGGAATTTCTTGAGACACCGCGTTCATGCCGCGAATGATCTTCTCCAACTTCGAAGGATGGTCCAAGAGCGCGGAGCCAGCTCCATCGCGATAGACAAGTTCAATGGGGCAACCGCAGTTCAAGTCGATGACACGCAGATGCGGTGTGTATCGAGAAAGCACTTCCGTCGCCTTCAGGGCTTGGAAGGGCTTGTTGGCAGTAATCTGCGCTCCATATTTGAAGTCCTTGGAGTTGTCATATCCTTGCACCACATTAGGACCAGGCGTGATGGTTGGTGGGAGCATCTCGGTCTCATGTCCCTTGATGAGAGTCCACTCTGACTTATTACCCTGGATCAGCGGCATGCTGAGCGCCATCTCGGAATAGGTGAATTGAGCACCGAGGTCACCACAGAGTCGACGGAAAGGAAGATTGCCCTGAGTCGTCAGAGGAGCCAGAGCTGGGGTCTCGGGGCCAAAGTAGATCCGTCTCTTCTCAGAAGCCAAGAAGGGGGGTTCCGTGAACTGCGCACGGTTCTCTTCAAGGGCTTCTTTGGCCTTGACAGCTTCATCACCATCAGCCGAAGGGGCCTCCCCATTCCCTTCTTGTGCTCCTGCGCCGTGTGGCATGCGCCCATGCAGTTGCTTCTCCAACTCTTGGGAGACATTGTTCAACCATTGGTTGTATTCATTGGCGCGGGGAGTGTGTTCTCGCTTCCTCGACAATGCGACTTTATCTTCATAGCTGATGATATTGACAAGACCCTCGGGTGTCGCGTAGGGTACAAGAGGCTTGGCCTTGGCCTTGCGCTCTTCATCTTCGAGCAAAATTAATTCCTTGCGACCATCTTCGGTCTCTCGCTCTGTGGAATGGGACCCAACAAAGCGGCATCGCCAACCAGCGTAACATGTTCCGCGTCCCTCATAGACAGGGCAGACACCGTTGAATGTCGTCAGGTCCTCACGTTTGTGCTCTTTCAAGTATAATCTCAGATCGTGTTCGAAACGACACTTGTCCCCGAATTGGCACTCTTCCGGCGAAAACTCCGGACTCAACATTCTCGAGCCGCAGAGGCCCTTGGCGTCTTTGGAACTGCCAAAGCTTCGGTTGGTGTTTTGACCCTTCGGCTTCTTCTTGTTCTTCTTCTTCTCGTCATCGCGCTCTTGGTGCGAAGCGGCTTCGGCCGCGTCATCTGGGCTCACGGTAGGTGCCAATTTGGATTCCGACTTGAGGAGGTATCTAGTCATTGAAAATCAGTCAGTCATGCGTTCCCGTGTGGTCCTTGATCATGCCGGAGCAAGACTCACTCAGCCTTGATCGGCGCAATACCTCTCTTGCGCCGATCATCGCGATCATGCTCTGGTTCGTCGGTCCCTTGGGCCTCTTCGACACGTGCCTTCTTAGAGGGAGGCTCTTCGGGAGCAGGGCTACCGTTGGCGGCTTCGCGCTTGGGATTCTCCGACTCCGGTGGAGCTTGGGAGACCGGGACGTTCCCAGGATCGATCACTTCTGAGCTAGCCATGATTGGAAAGGTGAAGTGAGTAACTTCGGCTGTCCTGCAGCGAATTGCCAATTGTACACTGGTCTCGGACGATATGCGCAAAACAAAAGACGAATTTTTCTGTTATCTCCGACTCTCTCGATTTTTGTTCAAAAATGCCCGAGGCCGGTGCCGCTCCGCATCTTTGCACTGTTTGCACAGAAGCCCCCACTTGATTGCAGTATCTCGATTGGCTGTCGGGTTCATGATGCATCATGCATGCATTACTGAATCTGTAAGTTTCAACTGTGTGGAGGTTGAAGGGAAAAAGGGTACAGTTTCTTGAGGTCTCCAAACATGCTCAGAGGCCTGGTCAGTCAACATTCACTGATAGTTAGGAGCTCGCATAGCCCAGACTCCGGCACGCAGTCTAAGTGTATTCTGTATTGTCTGTTTGTCAACAATTATGAGGATCACTCATGTTTCACCTTCATCTCGGTTCTGCTACATCGCTAATGGTTAGGGTAATGGGCCATGATGGAAAAGCATGAAGGAAATCTAAGTGATCTCCTTGCCAAAGATCTCTCATTCCCGAATTAAGACTGTCAATCCACAGTATCAAAATGTAAAATCGATCATCAACATAGTCCTTTGGGCGCTCTGGGCACGTGTTACGGTGTTCTTTGAGACAGACTTTCAGAACTTTTGGACTCGATTGGTTTCCCTTTTTGGAAGTAAAGGCCGAGCGGTAGAGGTTTTGTTGGGATCGTGAGGCAACATTGATAAGAATGCAAGCCGTTCCACCATACAGTTGGAGGTTTCGCCTCAACATAGCTACCTAGCATGTGACAATCAACAATCGTATCAGAGGACTATACCCCTCACTGCAGGCAACACCATTCTCCCTCCTTCTCGTCACCAATTCCACTTTCAACCAAGGGTAAGCAAGAAGTAACCAGTGGGAGCCTACCAACTGTCTCTCAAGATCCAAAGACTGGATGGGGGAACAGCCGAGAGTGAACGATGGACTAAAGCGGGTGGTATCCCGCCACACATACCTCGAGAATCGATGAAGATTCGAAGCAGTATTGACTGGACATTTCGGCAGATGACTCAAAGCTTAGCCTCGGCTCTACGTGCTCTTTGCTCCGTAGGTAGCCTTTGCGCATCTTCACACGTTCCCGGTCAATCGCTCAATCGGAGACTGCGAAACTTGCGATGGATCTGCGGATGCCGAGCGGCAAAATGGAGCCGTTTGTGGCGGTGCGTCAGCAAGTGTGGCGCAGCAACTGCCTAAAGTCAACGCTGAACCAAACTTACTGTGAGAGGTACTAACTTACTAACTAGTAACTCCTGTAACTAACTAGTACTGTGGGACGTGGGTATGGGCTTCCGCGGCGTAGAAAACGCACCCCACCCTCAGGGGTTCCCCAACCATGACGACAAGGGCGCTCCCCCCACCTAATGTGTACTGTCGCAGGTTAAACATGGATGAATGATCTGTGGCTATTTAGCGCCCAGCCTTCCCAAAACACGGTGCTCATAAAGGCATCCCCTCTCATCTTTTGTGCCTTCTATTCTTTCCCTCGTCCTATCTCATTGAAAAGGTCTCGCTCTCCCGACGAATCTATTGTTCACTTCGGTCATCATTACTTTATCGTAGTCCGCTCTATCAGCTATCGACGCGTGGACGACGTCATTCATCAATTCCAAGACTATCGGCACCATTCACTTACCCAACATGGCGAGTGCATCCCACGATTCAAGACTACTGTTCAAAGTGAACAACATTCGAGCCTTCCATATTCAGGATGGCGAGGAGCAAGAGTTGACGTCCTCGGGCCCTCAAACTCTATCACTGCTCATGGTCCCTACTGCAATGCCGCCAAACCCATCCGCTGGAGGCACGCAGACCCCGGAAGAAGATTACTATCTGCACCTCTCGCTACCCCCAGAGCTGGATCTGGCCGTTCCGGCTACTACCCAGATCTTTCATCAACCGCCCGACAGCTACTTGATTCCTCGTTGGGATGTAGCCCCGGAGGCTGGCGCCTTCATCCGCATTCAATTCCCCAGCATTGGCACGGGTCCTCAGAATGTCACCCAAGACGATATCGACACATTCGAGACAATCCTTGCCCAGTGCACCGCATTCCTCGACTATGCGCCCAGTTCTGGAGGTAAAGCTGCTGACATCGCCCCATACAACCCAGCCAACTTCGCTCCTGGAGAAGGATACGTCGGAACTGGAAGTGCACAGGACGATAGACAGCATGGCAGAATTGTGCTGGTGGATGAGGAAGATGGAAAGGTTGTGGGCGAGCTTGGCGAGGGTTACGATGTCGTCGAGATTGGAGATGTGAAACCTGGTTCAAAACGTGAGTGTTTTTTTTGTGGGAAGATACAAATGAACTACGCAGTACACAGGCTAACTCTCTGACAGGCCCCGTCGAGATTGAACTTCCGGTGGAAGGGGAGGGCAATAAGGTCAGGGTGGCTAACGTCTCCGAAGAGTATCTTGAAATGTCACGGCACCCGGCATATCAAAATTCGACCATCGTGCAGACATCAGCCACTGCTTCGCGACTGATCGTGACTACATCCTCATACATCTCCAACGCGATGGCAAGTGGTGCAGAGAATTTTATGAAAAAGACCAAGCCAACCCCCAAGCCGGTCACTTTCTCAGAGGCTACCCATGCCCGGATCCGAAAGGTGGGCACTTTCTCGGATGGTGCAGCAGACTTCTCGAAGCGTACCTTGGGCCAAGTCGACCGTGTCGCACAGAACCTCGGCGCCACGTTCGCACGTAAGGATACCAAAGTCCGGAGTGACAAGAGGCACCTGCCGCCACCAGACTACAAGCCCGGCGTTCTGAACAAATCTATGATCGCCTTCTCTACCTTGGCGGATGGCATCACGGAGAGTGCACGCACGATGTTGATGAGCGGCTCCGCGGCGGCTAGCAGCATGATCGGTCATCGGTACGGCACCGAGGCCGGCTCCGTCGCAAGTAATTTGACGGGTGGGATCAAGAACGTCGGTCTTGTGTACATTGACGCGACAGGAGTCAGCCGTCGCGCTCTGCTCAAGTCCGTGGCCAAGGGTATGGTGGTGGGACGTATGCGCGATGGGAAAGAGGTTGTTGTAGGAGCGGGTGATGGTGGCCAGCTGCCCGGTGATGTCAAGGGTCAGAATGAGGCTGGCCCATCTGCTTCGGGTGCCGCGTATGCCTCATCGTCCACTACTGCACCGCCACCAGCTTATGGTGCTCCGGGCACAATGTCGTTGGACGCGGCTCCCAAGTCAGGAGTTGGGTCGAAGCGATGAAAATTTTGAGTCAGCAGTTGATCTTGTTCATTGAATAGTCGAATGAGGTTTGGAAGAGAGGGTTCGATACATGAAGTATATATGATCCATGCTTGATGACTTTTTAATTGCTACAGTGCATTTGTTCATTTCCTGCCAATTAATACTTTCTGATTATATGATGTAAGGCGAGGTCAACAATAGAGCCTATATTCGACGAGTCGGTACTTCCTGGCATGGTCGTGACCTCGACCTGCTAGTAGGAGATTTTGCGTCAAAGCATCCATTTGACTACTAAGGTGGGTAGGGAAGTCCCGTCTAATTACTATGTACGGAGAGAACAGATTCGTCCCATAGTCTCATCTATCACCCAAGAGCTGTCATAGTCTACTTCGAGGTTGCAGAGGCAATTCTCAACGAAAGACACTCCGCTTCGTATCGCATAAGTTGACTTTCCACTGTCTAGTTGAGAAAGACTGTTTAATTACCCCCGAGTGGTGTGCTATCTCAATCCTTCAATTCCATGCTCCACCGTCGCGAATATTCGTCTCAACTTCGACTCGGCTCCAGCCGTGGTGACGACAAACAAATGGGATCATGGATAGGCCGATCTATCGACGTAACTCTATCAGTAGTAGCGTGGCAAAATCAAACTACTGGACATGTGTGAGGTTCAACTTACACATACCTGTGCGAGATGCGTAGTCCGCTCGCCATCTCCACTCATTTCCATACTATCCACCTACTGTACATATCGCAGGCTCGTTTCAGCCTCTCTCCGCAGATTGGCCTCTTGAGGCTCACGGCCTCGCACAGTATACAATCCGGTGTCATACAGTCATCACGAAGCGCCAAAGTTAAGCGATCGACAATTTCGCACCGAGCACAGTAGTAGCAGGAGTATTAGTGAGTACCGAGATCATTGTTCATTATCATTCGGGGATGATTGATCGCGATCGATTGGACACGCGGCTCCCAACGCGCTGGCGCTGCCAGCGCATCACCCTTCCTGACAGTTGGCGCGGTCCTGCGTTGGACCAATTAACCTTGGTCAAATGGTGCGATGTACTGCACGGTACACCGACCTGAGGAGGATTTGGCATTTGGATATTTGGATCTTCGGATCTGTTACGCTTTTTTGGCTTCTCATGTGGAGCGAAGGTGGAAACTCGCTGATCTTCCACGCAATTTTCGCATTTCATTGACAGCTTAAGTAGTTGTCTGTCGGCGCGTAGTGACACGACTTTATGAAAATGGCTCATTCATTAAATGACGAGATTTGAAGAAAGAGTGACAGCCTCGACTTTATGGACAATAAATTCGAGGGCACCGAGAGACCTCTCCAATCAGAGGAATTTTCGGAGTCCACGGCGATCGTCCCAAACAGGTAATTTCAAATTCTGCGGTGGAGAGTCGAACAGGTCGAAAACGCGGTGCCCGTTGGGCAGGTGGAGCCAGCAACTCAGCACTGTTGTGGAGCTGGATTGAATGGCAGCCCCAGAAAGAGCAGAGTGAACTTCAGTGAAGAGCAAAAGGAAAGCGGACGAGGCTGGGCCGGAATCCTCGCGAAGGTAGCATTGACCAGAAAGCCTGTGATAGACACCGTGGAAGTACTGTGAGTTAGTATTGGTAGATGTTTTAATGTTGCTTTCCAAGTTCTCTACAGTATCTGCCAATCGTGCCATTTTGTCCATCTCCTCCAACTGTACTGGAACTTTCAATGGTCACGACAACTTGGAAGGACGCATGTTAAGTAAGTTACTACTAACTTACTACTGTCTGCTTGTTTCGATGATCGATGATTCACTCTTGGCTCTCTCGGCGCCTCAACCGTGGACAGTTCCACCCCGTGCCAGGGATCGGTCACGCAAAGAACTGGCAGGGAAAAAAGGGGTGGGATGTCAATATCAAATCAGTTATTCAAAGCAGAAGGCAACATGATTTTCTTGAAGTGGTGGGTGGAGTTGAGACGGAGGAACGGATATCTAAAGAATGACCAGCCGAGGAACAACAGTTTGAACTTTGAAACTGGGGAAACTCGATCAGTACTAGTAAGTCAGCAGCTGGTCTAGATCCGGGAATGACTCGTATCGCACCCATCAACTCCACGGTGACACCTGGACATTGTATGAATCGACACCGTCACCCAGTCAAACCGAGGCTTCATCCTTTTGGACGACAGCGTGAGGTTGACCTTAGCGTCCTCGCCGATTTTGTCAATGCCACAACGATTTATTTTGGTATGATGATGATATTCAGGTTCAAGGTAGAATGGAGCTTTGCGACCTTTCACTGACGTCGCGTTGATCGGGTTCGATCAGCAACTCCATTCATCTTTGACGAGCCGCCTTACTCGTCGGACCGCAATGTCCCGTTTCGCTCAACTCAAGCAGGTGGCTTTGTCGACATCGGATCTCTATGAAGTTTCCGAGGAATGAACCAAGAACTCTATGCGGCCGTATCCTATCCCTCCACGGCCGATAAGATGCTGCGCACTGGCGTAGTTTGAGTTTCTCGGGTATCCTGCTTCACTTGAATTACCGTATGACAATACCGTAATGTACGCTACAGAACGAAAGGGACTTTCGCGACTTCGTCCAGCACACGGCGTGCGCGCCGGGGGTGGAGACCACTGGGGCAGTGGAGTCGCTGGAGACGCTGGAAAGAAGGCTGGGAGGTGCAGGAGTGGTCTTCCAGCGACACCGACTCCATTTGCCAATCTCCTGCGGCCCACTTATGACGATCGTCCCTGGCCGCAGAACCCACTCGGCGTGAAACTCGAAACCATCGGCGCCGGCAGCCCTCCCCTAATTTAATTTCGCTTTACGCTGCCCGTATACTTTTTCCGTTGTGGACCTCTTCCAGGAACCATTGCATCCGGGACTGGAACTGGGATGAGGGTAAAACTAAAAGCTGGTCGGGATCAATAGTAATTCTTACGAGGCGTCTTGCTCTTTCTCTTCGAGGTTTAGCTTCCTAGGTTGCACTTATGCACATGTTGTTGCGTCTTGAGTACCTGGTAAATTAGGCTTTTACATTTTGCATTATTGCAAACCTAGGTGCCTTACTATAGTACTACTATCATCCTTGTCGCTTATCGCCCAGAATAGATCCCCAGATCATTCATCCCTTATGCAGGTCATACCCTCACGCTGCGTGGCTTGCTCGCTCTGGTTTATCGTCAGGGACGAGAAACGGAGCTGAGTCGGTTCTGATTCCATTCGAGCACAGACTCGGGACTTTGCCGCATCACAAGTGGATTTCCAGGCCTGCCGAAACAACTTGAACAAGAGTCACCCGTATTGTGTCTCTTGCACACCTGATAGGAACCCTCTATCATCATCATCATCTTCTTCTTCTTCTTCTTCATCAAATAATTGGTGTGGCCATCCATTGCGATCGAGACTCGTGGACTGGGGTCGTCCACTCGCGCGACTCGCTTTGTCCATCGATTTGCTCGGACATGGCCCTCGGGCGTTCATCCGAGTTCTTTGTTTTGATCGCATCCAGATCAGATTTGGCTTTCAATCTTTCTCTTGGTCGCTTTCTTGCTTTTACACGGAGGGATAGATGGATTCGGACATGGACTACAAGCGAGGATCATCAGCCCTCGGGCCTCCCACCCGTTCGGTGACCAACTCCAGTCGACGAGGCAAGGGAGCTCGCTGACCATTGATGAGATCCTGGAAAGGACCGAGCCACTGTCGACATCCTGGGTTGACCGTCAGACTGATCAATAGTGTGTGTGCTGGGCACATTGCCACGCTTACTCCCTGTTTGGCAAGTAAGCAACAGCCCAAGTGTGCTGGACGGCTTCCTCATGGATGGGAGCATGAAGAACGGTCCAACAATACTAGCAAACATTGTTCGACTCAGATCTCCTCATCCGACTCAGAGCGCCCCTGTACAGCTTGGAACTCCCACGGGTCAGAGTGCTTTCAGCTCCTTCGCGAAAGCAGCAGAGCTTCACTGTTCATGATCTGCTTCATGGTCGAGCTCGCTGCATACGTATTAGCATATCCATCCTGCGAGTGTGCAGGCTGCCGACCGTATATAGCACTAGCTTCTAATTCATGTGCAGCAGCTCCCAAGTGGACCCTCTTTGATAGGACTCAAAACAGTCTGCAACTGTGGCTCTCGTCAACGGCGTCATTCATCCAGCAATGGCATCTTGATTCCTGGGGGGCCCTCTGTTACGGACTGCCAAGAGCTTCAGTGCTAACTTAACTCCGTTTGTTCCACGCCATCACGATCTATGCTAGACACAATCTGAGCCAGCAGTGACTCGGACTTGAAATAAGCTGACCCTCGTGAATCTATTGAATCGCAGACAAAATCTGACCCAGCGTGGACGGGTATAAAAATGGAAAACTTGCAAGAAGGAACAAATGCAGCAAAAACAAAAAGGAAAACAAAAGAAAAGGCAATTCGAAAATCCAGAAACACGACCTGGGAAAAGGAAAAAAAAAAAAAGAGACCCAAAGCGACAACGGAGACCCGCTCTGTTCCCCCAGACTCCACCAACTTGAACCCGCCCCAACCTGAGAGCCGTACAACTATGTACATACACGACTAATTGATCGGACACCACGACTGAGCAGTGAGCAGTGAGCACATTCCGATGATTCATTTGCCTAGCTAGTTCTGTCTGCTTCTCGACCATGGAAACCTCCAATCGATAGCAACATTGGCCGACTACGCAATTCCCGACTGTCGACTAGGTATTGCTGCTGCGTTATCCTATCAATACATACTTGTAACCTTTTCGCATATTCAATGAAGGTACGTTACATACATTAATACAGTATAGTACTACATATTACAATAGTAAAGAACTCAAGATCAATAGTAATACACATGATGGCGAGGTCGGTCCAGAACCATTTCCAGAGTCCTTGCCCTTTGTCGCGCAACCATCCTGCGCTCATCTCAGATCCTCGAGGAGCAGGGACGATGGCGGATTCAGTCAACGATCGAGGGTCATCAAGAATCCCTCATCGCAATGATGTACAATGGAAAACAGATGTTACGATACTGGTGGTAACGTGTATACAAGATTACCGCTAAAGCACTACAACATTACCACGGAACTGCTCTCGACGGCACAAACCCCAGAGCTCTTCGTCTTAGTCTCTTTCTCGTAGGACTAGGAATAGGTTCAAAGGTTGCAACCTTGTCGAACGTCCGAGTCAGTAGTGGCGCCCACTTTCCCACTGGAACCTGCTCTGCTGCTCTGGTTTCCTGGGTACCTGATACCCGAGACCTGATAAGTTACCTGATACCCGTGATTTGCGCGCGGGCTCGCTGAGTACCGGGCCACTGATCGTGTCACTCGGCCCTCTCTCACACGCCCTCCCTTTCTCACCCTCTTACCCTCTCATCCTCACCCTCACCCGTCTCGACTCGACTCGACTCTTTCTTCCTTCCCTACCCTCACCCTCTTCTTACCCTTCTTACCCACTCGACTTGGGACCTCTCTGTGTGAGCGTCGTTCGGACGTGGTTCTTTTCTGTTCTTCTCTTCCGCTCCCATCTCGGGATTGTTCAATTCCTCTTACCTTCTTACCTTAATTCTTTCCAACTCTACCTTCCCCCGCCCCCTTTTTTTCCGATCAGTTCTAGCGGCGAAACCTTCCTCTTAGGAACCTTACCCCGACCGATTGCTTCCCCTCGCGCCCCCTGTCCGCGCGCGCCCCCCCCCTCCCCCCTCCGCCCTCCGTACCCTGGCTTCAGTCATGTCTGCCATCCTCAATTGAAGACGGTTGGGTTATAATCTCGAAGGGTCTGCGTCACTACGTCTGAGACATCTTCATCCGTCGCGTTTGTTTACCCCAGCTCGTGGTCCAACGTGCGACCAGCAAGTGCTCTCCTTCTCTTTGCCCCCTCGGTGGGCCGGAAGAAATCGAGGGGACTCGCTCAGTCCTGCCGTGCAGGTAAGCTCATCCTCACCTTCTCGTCCTGTTCTCCTGCCGCATCATCTTCGACTCGCCGAGACGCGCGCGCTGCTCGATCAATTGCAGATTGGGATCCAACTTCTTTCTGGGGAATCCGCATGGCATCATTCCCCACCATTCTGCATCTCATCTGCGACCATTGGCCTCGATCAGCGTGGCAGCAGCATTCTTTGCCTGCGCTTTCCCCGCCCACATTCCTCCGATCGGCCGTCCTGTCATCCACACCTTAAATTTGAAGCCAGTTTATACTCAATTACTGGAGTGCTGATCCTCTTATTGTCACCTTTAGTGACAATCCCCGCCGACAAAGTGTGGACGTTTGACGAGGATTCTCAGGTCGTCCCATCTGCATCTGTCCTCAAGATCGACAGAGTCCTTGTGGATAGGAATTGTGGCCCGGACGCCGCAAAGCTACATTGTGAGAGGAACAGCAGGGACGCTCTCCTCAGGCTGCCAGATTGCCGCCAGTTGCAAGGTGGGTTCATGTGAAGCGACCGGGAAACGCCCATTGCACGCTTTCCCTCACACCCATGAAGCGGTCACCATTGCCGTGCTTGGAGAGACTAATCACTTGTGACTTTTCTAGGGACCACTCGAGGTAGTGGAACTCCGCTTCTTTGGCTATGAGCAACCCCCTTCAGCCACATATGCCCCCGCCTGATTTTTCATCGCCAACCTCGTCTCAAGCCGTGTCACCTTCGCAAAAGAATGCGCGAAACAATCAGTACGACATGTTGAGCTCCCCGCCAGTCCCTCCGCCGAGGACGTCTTCTGCACACCAGAGCCGTCGCAGCCCCAACGGAGATAAAGCTGGTTCGCGCCCCAGCAAAAGCCGCTCTGATCGCAAAGACAATCGGGAACGACCCCGCGAAGACCGCAATGGAAAGACGCGATCACGCCGTCCCGCACCTGGAGAGGACTCCACGAGAGAGTCGGGGAGATCCAGAGAGCAATACTCAGAGTCCACAAGCCAAATTCAGTCGGGTATGGAGGACAGTTCCGGCCCGGAATTGGCGAGAGAGCCGAGCACGGTGATCAACTCAGTGTTGGTCAGTGATCCCATGGTGGACAGAGAGAGGGAACAGGTGCGACAAGTTGGTGGTGTCCCCGCCGCCGCAATGGCGGATGAGCCAACCATGTCGGCTTATGGACCCGAAGCTGCCGAGGACGGAAATCGCGCAGGATATCGCAGTCGGCATGACTACAGCAACAACGGCAAGGATCTCAAGCGAAAGGAGACCACCTTCGGCACGTATATTCTCGGTCAGACCCTTGGCGAGGGTGAATTTGGAAAGGTCAAACTTGGCTGGAAAAGAGATGGGAGCATTCAAGTCGCCATCAAACTGATCCGACGCGAAACGCTTGGATCAAACCCCAACCGATTGCCCAAGATTTATCGCGAGATCTCCATCTTGCGTGATCTGGCTCACCCAAACATCGTGCGTCTGCATGAGATGGTAGAGACTGATCGTCATATTGGAATTATCATGGAATATGCTTCGGGTGGAGAGCTTTTCGATTACATTCTGAACAATCGCTACCTGAAAGACAACTCGGCCCGTCGATTATTCGCGCAGCTGGTGTCGGGCGTGGGATACCTCCACAAAAAGGGCATCGTTCACAGGGACTTGAAACTCGAAAATCTACTGCTGGACAGAAATCGCAACATCATCATTACCGACTTTGGCTTCGCCAATACTTTCAACCCAGTGGATCAACTGGAAGAAGAGATCGAGTACAACTTGACCAACAAAGACTATGTCAAGCGGAAGCGTTTGGACAAATTAGGTCCGGACGGATACCGCCGTGGAGACTTGATGCAAACCAGCTGTGGTAGTCCCTGTTACGCAGCTCCGGAGTTGGTCGTGAGTGATTCGCTCTATACTGGGCGAAAGGTGGACGTGTGGAGCTGTGGTGTTATTTTGGTACGTCGAGAAGTCATTCTGATCCCCTCCAGACTTAAGCTTGCACAAGTCCTTCAAAGCTGACCGTTTCCGCAATAGTATGCCATGCTTGCTGGATATCTGCCATTCGATGATGACCCGGCTAATCCTGATGGCGACAATATAAATCTCCTCTACAAATATATCGTCACCACTCCTCTCACGTTCCCCGAATACGTGACTCCTCATGCTCGCGATCTCCTGCGACGAATCTTGGTTCCCGATCCACGCAAACGTGCCGATCTTTTTGAGGTCGCTCGTCACAGCTGGTTGAACGAATACTCGCACATTGTTTCGCACATTACCAGCAGCACCACTGACGTGGCAGATATTGCCAACACGACAGTACCTACCGGTATGAGTGCTCGGTGGATCATTTCACAGTCTGTGTCCAGCTCGCTAACCACTACAATCTCAAATACAGAAACGAAGGTTCAGTCACCCCCAACTCTTGCCCGCAGCGCATCCGTTCGCGAGCCACCGAAGACCAGCCATGGACCAGTACCGGCTGTTGGTGGACTCAATCACCAGGCGGGCGACATCTCACAAGGATCCCCAAGCGACAAGTCCAAGGCGTCTCGTGACACCAAGCGTAGGACTGTACAGGTCGAATACGTTGCTCCTCAGTCGCAGACCGCGAGAGGAGAGCTTCAGGAGCTTCCAGAATCGCAAGCCCGCGAGGCTGACGCTGAGGCCTCGCAACCTCCTGCCCCTCCAGCCAAGGACTATCCTGTTCGAACGACTGCGAGGCCCCCAGTTAGCTACGACAAACCCTTACCAGGACATTTCCCCCGGTCGACTTCAGACACATCTGCATTCACGGGCACTCACACAACTGCCACGGCAGGGTTCTCGTCTGCCCGGCCGACGACAGGCGCGTCCATGGCATCTTTTCACACCGGTCGTCTTCCGTCACGCGGCTCATATGGCCAGCCGGTGGCTCCTACTGTGACAGCAACCAATACTGAAGGTCGCCTCGCTCAACCGAAGAGTGGACAATTCGCTCTAGGACCGAATCCTGTCCAGCCACCGACATCGACCATGGGCAGGCCCAGCACACAACAACTTCCTCCGGCATTTAATCCAACCCCTCGACAAGAGCCTCCGAAGGGTCATAAGCGCTCGAACACAGTCTCCAGCCTGGGTGAGAAGCTTTTTGGACGTTCAGGCTCCATACTAGGCAGTCGCAATTCACCGAACGCCACCTCTCGCGCTGATCGGCAGAATAAGCGGTACCCACCAACGAGCATGAAAGATCCCATGCCGCGAGAGGATTCTCGTGCCTCAATGGACTCAAGGCGGTCGATGCAATACTCGCATGGTCGTAAAGCTAGCCAGGCTGGTGACGGACGAGCTCGTCGATTTTCTCTGCTTCCATCGTCGTTCTCCTTTCGAACGTTCTCTTCCAGCCGTGATCAGACACCCGATGAAGTTTCTCAGACGCCACGCACCGCAGGATCAGTCAGTCAGCAGTACCCATCAACAATGATGTCTCAGGCACGCCCACAACCGACGCCTTATGGAACCGATGATGGCATGCGGTCAGTGAACGAGGGACCTCTTGATGATAATCAGAACCATCATGATCCGCAACCGCTTAGCTATGAGGCCCAGATTGATCAGCAATTCGCGGATCTTGGGAACCACTTCGATCAACCTCAAGGCTCGTTTGGTGCGATCTCTACCGAGCCGCGGTACAACCATAGTGACCAGAGCCGCCCCAGCCGCAACTACACACATTCATCGAGACCCACCTACTACGATGATTACAACAACGGCAACAATACATATGACAATGTTCCTCGACAGTCGATGCAAGCTGGTCGACGGGGACCTAATGTTCTGCAGAAAAGCCATCGGAAATTCGCTGATGCGTATGAGTATGAACGAGACGGCTCGCATCATTCTGGCAGCTCGGGTCCGGCCAGAAAAGTTATGGACTTCTTCCGCAGGCGTGCCAAGTCTCGCGCTGGGGAGTGATCCATCTGAGAGCTCATTGTATTATCCATTCCCCCCCCCCCCCCCCCCCCCCCCCGCCCTCTTCCCCCTCTTCAAGTGCTCAGCTGAGGGGTGAGGAACCTACCAATCCGTTCCACGACAACAACATTAACAACAGCGGTTGGCCGGTTCGACAGACGGACGCCAGATTTAGGTCCGCATCCCTCGAAGACGAAGTACATTCTCGCTTTACGTCCTTTGCTGCATTGAGAGCGAATTGGTCTTTGGTTCACTCGCTGCGCCTCCTCGAGAGTGAGAGAAGAAGAAAGCAGTGTGGTTTTTTCTCGCAGCTCCGCATGTGATACCCTGCTTGTCTTTTGGTTCATTTTTCCACGTTCCATGCATGAAGCGAGATTTCTCATTGGCCTTCGGGTGTTTCTCGGATTTGTGTCCTTTTCCCCTGTTATCTAGCATGGTTTTTCATTTCCTATGTTCGAATACATTTCCTTTGTACACTTTTTATGCCCGTTCCCATATTGCCTCAATTCCCCCTCTTGCTAATATTGTACCGTTCGACTTTTGATTGAATTGCTTCTCTAGGGGTAGACTTGTTTTTTCTGTTCTCTTTTCCGCATTTTCTTGTCACTATTATCTCCGTTTGTAAAGTATGATCGGAGCTCAAGTGTTCTCCGGGGCTCTACTTATTTGTCGACTTGTTTGTCGACTCCATTGTGTCGGACCAACCTTCTTGTCTTTTTTTTGCTCTTCCATTTCAGGTTCGACTCCATGGGTGTCATAGCTGGCCTGATCACTTTCTGCATTGGCTTATCGGCTTTTCAGTATTCTAATGAACCTCGGCTCTTGATGACTGGCTTCTGACTTTTTTTGTGCTTGGTCGGTAATCTCATGGTGGCACAGAGAATACTCGTGTTCTTGTCCTCCTTTCCATTTCTGGTCAATCTCAGGCGTGCATTACTTGCAACGCATTAAATGGGGATCAGGTATGATACATTGGGCCTCTAATAGAGTCGTGCGAAAGCGATATACGAGGGGAACAGTCCGTCAATAGGGTCTATGTTCACCTTCCTCGAAGCGCGAAATCACAGTTTATGGTCATTCTTGCAAGTCTATCATGTCATCAGCACCTGTGGCGGGAAACCACAATAGGGAGTCAATCTCGCTCGGAGCAATACAACTTTTTCATTCTGATAGTCGGCTAAGGCTTGCAGCCCCAACTCAGGTTGCACTCCGAGGTCTCACTTGATGGGTGGATACTCACTGGATAGCATGTACCAGAAGCCAGGTTGTACGTTGGGAACTTCGGAGGGAGAAAACTCATGTATATCATACATGTTTATACTCGTGGTGCAACTAGTCCAGTCCCGTTCATATTCGTTCATTCACCAACTCGACTTACTTTCAACGGCGCAACACCAACCCTCTGCGCCTCCTTGTTCAGACTCGCGACTTCAGCCTCTGCGAAAGGAATGCCCTCCACCGATCGGTTCTGCTCTGTCAAGATCTCAATCTCGCCCGGGAAGTAGATACGATCTACCCCTGCCATCTTTTCCGACTCCACCACCCTCTTGTACAGATAGGCCATCCTCTCTCCAAACTCCCGCATGGTCATGAACAGATCCGGCTTGATAGCCACCAAGAAATGACCGACATCCGACGGTCTGGAAGGATCATACGGACCCGTGACATGGCCCGCGAACGCCGCCCCCGAGAAGACTCCCGAAAAGACATCCATCATGATCGACAGCGCAGAGCCCTTGGGCCCTCCCATGGGCAACATGACACCACCAAGAGCCGATTCGGGATCATCCGTCCGATTCCCATCCTTATCCAGGGCCCAGTCCATCGGAATGCGCTCCCCCCGTCTCAGCGCCTTGTAGATCTTTCCTCGGGCTGCGATCGACGGCGCCATATCCAGAATGAACGGTTTCGCCGACTCCCCGCCTGGCGCGCCGCACGCTATCGGCGAAACACCCATCAATTTCTCCTTCCCACCCCAGACCGGCAGTGCCGGCGATGAATTCGTAAACACCAAGCTCATCATGTTCGCCTCAAGAGCCTGTTTGACCAGCCACGCTGACATTCCGAAATGATTCGAGTGCTTGACAGAGACCATTCCAATACCGAATGTCTGGGCCATTTCAATGGCGCGCGCCATGCCTGCGTGCGCCGCAACAAAGCCAAACCCATTGCGGGCGTCAACTTGAGCGACGACAGGGGTGATCTGGCGCAGAGTGGGTGAGGCTGTTGGATCGAGGGCGTTTTGTCGAATGCGCTCCATGTAGGAGGGGACTCGATTGGCGCCGTGAGTGTCTACGCCGCGGAGGTCAGCAGCCACCAGACATTTGGCTACTGTGGCGGCATGATCTGGTGGTGTCTTGTTGGCGATCAGCACCTGGATGACCCATCCTTGGAGGTCGGCTGCTTGGATATAGTGCATTTGCTGTGGTGATGATGTTTGGGGTTGCGAGGAAGTTGCGGCCATGTTTGGGGTCGGGCTTGGCTTGGTTTGGACCAAGCAATGTTGAAAGTACGAGTTGGAGGTAGGTCTCTTTAAAAAAACTTCTTGGGACAGTCTCGTCAAGGCCTGGGGGTCAAGTGCAGTCTTATAAGGACAATGATACCCCGGAGTTGGAGTGGTTTGTTTCGAGTGGGGGCGGCGGATACCGTCCGCTGCGGAAGACATCCGCCGTGACAAGATCGAGGTCATTTTCAGAATTCCTGTAACGATCACTGGAAGCTGCTTGAAGGCGTATCGGTTTATAAATTGCTTCTTGGAAAAGACCCAAATCAATAGGGGTATGTCACTCGTCATCCTCTGGTTTTCTAAGGTGATCAAAAAAGACAATAGTGGTGCCGTGGGCATAGAAGGTCCTTAAAAAAATGTCAAAAAATGGACGAATGGCGATTCGAACGCCAGACTTTTCGCATGCAAAGCGAACACTCTACCAACTGAGTTATACGCCCTTTCCATGAATGGTCATGCATAATCTTATACCATATTCGATCATTATTCCCCCATCTCGATTTTTGTTCTTCACATCGCCTTTAACTTTGCACAACGTACTGCACATCTTGCTGCTTTGGCCTGTTCACCTAAAAAAAACGACACCCCTACAGTGGTACACTATAGCAGGGCATGTCTATCCATGATGGACGTCTTTCACTCGTTCGGTCTTCAATATACACTTGACAAAGACCTCAGGACAACGACGAGCAGCTAAGTCTCATTCGTACCTTGCTTCTATATAATCTACGACTGTAGACTTTCACTTGACCCGCTGCGATTAGATGTATATCTGACTGGGGCTATAGGTAATTAGGTATATCTATCCTCGGTCGCAGTCCTTGTCAGTTTGTTTAAGACACCGGGGAATACGAGCCAACAACCTGTAATGATCACGTGCGCCCATGGCGTCAATGTTGATTCTCCGAGTTCAAGTGCAAATAGATCTGCAGCATCCGATTGCATTTACATTGTCATGAAACACTGCCCCGCCACATCGCACTGTGCTGGTCAACCTTGTAGACAAGTAGACACTACTAGAGTATAGACATTCTCCATGATGCGACCCAGGTCTTTGAACTCGAGACATCAACCAAGCTAATTCAGATTCAAGCAACAATTCCACCATCTCCAACGATGAAAAACATACAGGGGAAGACGAGTATGTCCATGCCATGTTTGAAGAACAACCGACACGTCTCATCGGCTTCCGGTTGCTTCACTCCTGATGAATGAACGAACCATTGGCCAAGTAGTCAGATAAAAGTATAGTTGCAATCTGATCTAAGCTTATAGCAAAAATATTCCATCGAGCGCTAAGCCGACCGTTGGTAAACAGAGAGAGACCTTACTCACTTCACAGAAACAAAGGCCGGGGTGAGGTTTTTTTTAAAATGCCAAAAAATGGACGAATGGCGATTCGAACGCCAGACTTTTCGCATGCAAAGCGAACACTCTACCAACTGAGTTATACGCCCGTTGATGTAAATAACCGCTTTTTTATAAATGATGGACGCTATGTTCTTTGCCCGAATACAAACACGAGTCAATAGTCACACTCGAGGTACTGATATCCTGGCGGCCTGGCCGTCCGCAAAGTCAATGAGAAACTTGTTTGTATGGCATGTGATACTGCCGCTCACCGCAGTCCATCGCCTAGATAGGATCTCTCCCTGTAGCAATCTCACTCCTCTTCACTCTCTCACGTTGTGCAGCCGCACCTACTATTGTAGCTGTAGATTATCACTACCCATCATAGATGGAAACCCCAAGAGAGGGAAACGATAGGACACAGATATAGAAGCACAAGAAGAAAGAAGATCGGCAGGATAGATTAGCCAGAGGGGACTTGAAGCTTCAATTTCTAGCTTGGGTGCAACACAAGCAAATCTAGACAAGTAACAAAAAGGACTTTCTCCTGATCCACCTTATGGCATATGAAAAGTCATATCTGTGACTTTGCTTTATCATTTACTTGATGCGTTTCCTTTTTTTTATGACCTTAGTGGAGGAGGACTGGAAGGAAGAGGCGAACCGGAGCATAGAGCACTTCAAAGAAATAATGGTATGATTAGGGCCATCAAATAAAATAATTCACAAATAAACTGCACCGTGGGACCCGACTGCTCCTTTGGGAATGGCCTGAGTATAGTCCGAGTGCTCAGTAGATGCCTCTGATGATCCTCTTGTTTGATGGTGAGGCCTGCTATACTGCCTGGGCCACGCCCTCACCACCTAGGACCACCAACCTCAGTAGTCTAGCTTAGCTTCCTTCTTCCTCCTCTCCTCTTCTTCTAGTAAACGTCGAGTGTTTTCACCTTTCAGGTTTTTCCTTCGTAGGATCCTGCGGTCAAATACCTCTGAATAATCACTGAGCTGCTCTGTGACCCTGAGTGCCGACTGAAATGTACTCAGTGAGTCTGACTCGGAGCGCCTCAGATAGGAAAGCCTCACCTGGCAGAGAAAATCCTCTACATAGAGCTGCCCAGGTAGGAAGGCAACTAACCCACTCCAACCGGAAACCCCCATCGAAATCGGATCCAAATATATAATATGTGAATGAATATGTGAAACATGATTGTGTCTCGTCAGAGACACTACAACAGTAGTTTAGGCTAACTTCTTTGGGATATACGCTTAGGGGGGGGGGGGCCCATATAATAGTATTCTTTTTTTCCCTAGGGGGAGAGGCGTTCTGCCATAGCGGTCTGCGAAGTACAAATCATGTGACTTACGATCTATCAACCTGGCTTTTACGGCCGCAACGCTAGCCCATAATTGGCTAGAATCGACGGATCTAGCTGCCAGTTGATACTACTAGCGACGATAATACTAGCTACAGCCTACGATGCTGGCTGCGTTCCTGGCTGCGTTCCTGGCTGCGTTCCTGGCTGCGTTCCTGGCTGCGTTCCTGGCTGCGTTACTGGCTGCGTTCCTGGCTGCGTTCCTGGCTGCGTTACTGGCTACGTATCTGGCTGCGGATTTGGCTGCGATACTGGCTGCGATACTGATTGCGTTACTGGCTATGTTCCTGGCTGCGTTACTAGCTGCGTTCCTAGCTGCGTTACTGGCTACGGATCTGACTGCGATACTGGCTGCGGATCTGGCTGCGTTCCTAGCTGCGTTATTGGCTACGGATCTGGCTGTGATACTGACTGCGGATCTGACTGCGGATCTGGCTGCGATACTGGCTGCGATACTGGCTGCGTTACTGGCTGCGTTACTGGCTACGGGTCTGGCTGCGATACTGACTGCGGATCTGGCTGCGTTCCTAGCTGCGTTCCTGGCTGCGATGCTGGCTGCGAGCTCGGCGTATAGGATTTAGAATGTTGTCGTGGCCTCTGACGAGGCACATTTTCAGTCCTAAGACCACTTTGGTCCTAGGACAGCTAGTAATTTCATCAAAGGTACACCCTACATTTAACGCCACTCAGAAGACTAATGGCGACCCACGTGTCGGCGATCACGTCAGATATCTGAACTTGCGATGCAAGCCGCGATATCTTCCAGAGGAAATGGAGTATGAGCAAGATGCTGAGGAATGTTGAGTGAGCAACAAATCTACTGTAGAGCAGGGAGTCCTGTATGTAGAGGGCGCCAAGGCCACGAACGAGGCTCGTTGCATGCCGAAAACACTGTGTCAGGGAAGTCTCCGAGGGCTCTGGAATCGCTGGGCTTGCTCTCAGCAACAAGACCATCATCTCATGGTACTTGCACTCACAAAGCCGGGTGATTGACTGTATCTCATCCGAACGGGGGATCGTGATATGCCATTTCTTCAGACGGTCAACCATGTCTATTTGCCACACTTGAATGTCGGGAACAGGCGGATACGCATAGCGTGGTGCCTCTCGACAGACACTGTGCATAATGTATTTGATTTCCGAATTCAAGCGAGCCAGTCTGAAAAGGTGAATCGAATATGTCATATGGGATGGAGGAGAATTGACACTTCTTCCACCCACGTTCCCACTGGCAAGCTGGGCATCGGAAGAATCCGAGGGAAAATGAGCACCCCACAAAGCATCCATGTAAGTAGCTATTCCTTTTTTCAGACATGATCAGCAGCGGTATGACTTATGCGAAGTTCACATACCTCGTCTTGCACCCCGATAGCTCGACCCATCATCGTGCCCAATGCGCGTTCAAAAGTGTATATGACCCAAAAGATCTGTGTTCTCATCTCTTGCTCCAAAACTGATATTTGAAATGTGGAAGAAGCTCGTACGTCGCGCAGATGTCCGAGGTCAATCAACGCGGCCAGGCACTGATAATTCAAACTCCATACGTTCGTTCACCAGCTCATACCGTACATTAAAGATGAGACGATCGTCCACATTGGTATGCTCGAAACCCCCGTCTCCCTCACCTCAAGCCCACACTACGCCCCATCCCGTCTCTGTTGAATCGCAAAGTGCTCTTCAAATTTCGGCCCGAAACGCAAATCAGCACTCGAGAGAAATTCGTCACAGAACTGAAGACTCTGAAGTATTTGCCCTGCGTCAAAGATCAGCGTCTCATAGTCAGAGGACCGTCGATCACGGACCCCGCGTCCAAAAGTAAGGGTTTCCAACATGCATTGGTGGGCTATCATGACGACCAGGTAGCTCTGGACATGTATCAAGCAAGCCCCGAGCATGCGAGGTGAGTGAGCCCTCATGTTATGCTATCACTGATCAAGGATCGATGAGCCAGATGAACTGATTATCGGACTTCGAGTCCAGGGTGACCAGTCAATACTTTATCCCGTATAAAAAAGATCTCGTACGTTTCGATTTCGAAACAGATCTTGGAGGCGAGGACTTGCTTGGATTTTCGACTTCCTCACACGATGCATGATAGATGGAACTTATAATGAAGCGACTATACTAGTTCGCAAGCACACTTAAAGCAAGATTCATCTGATAGGCCTGCAAAGTCTAAACGAATAGATCTCGTTGGACTGATTTCTTTATAGAGACTAAGCCTCTGAATATGAACAACGAGAGATACAGATCCTTACCTGATGGATGTTGTGAGACGTTTAGATCATGTTAAGGTTTCACCTGTTTGATAATGATACTTGAAGCCAAAAGTTGCGGAAGATATCAGATAGACGAGCGTATCCCATATATGAAGAAGACGTGACTGAGCATCGAGAAACATGTGCGAGTATGAATGCGTAGAGGGCAAACATCAAGGTTTCGTGTATGCCAGAACAGGCACAGACTCAACTCATGGTCTCGAGTATGAGATGGACTTACTATCGCGCATTCGCCACGATGCTGCGTGAATTACCGGATGACAGCAAACACCCCGTCGGTCGGTCCCAGTTCTATGTGAGCGAGTAGTCATCCATTACGCAGGACAATTGTAATATAAAGTTTGAGCCCGATCAAAGGCTCTCCAATCCAGAAACTCGGTCGACCATGACAGAGCTTCGCTTGCTATTATTTCCAACTGCGATACATAGATAATCTTGTAGCGCATCACTGACGAGTCGAATAACACGGATGCTGTTCTCTCGGCTCTCCTTCCGATTCATGAATCTAATTCGATATTTTCCCCACGAGGTAGCAAAGCGTACCTACCGCTAAGGTATAGCCCCACTCAGAAACACGAGATGAACGGGGTATTCATCCGGAGACGGTAAAAGTATAAGTGCGCCTCGAAAATGAAGCAGACGCTAGACCGCGGGATTGAGACCGATCGCGGCACTGATCAGGATTCAGGAGTGATTCGAATGCAATCGGCGATTCCATTGCGAAGCCATGTCGAACCCAGACGGGGCCGAGACGTACCTGATACCGTAGAAAGCGGGCGCCACCGGACCCAGTACGACAAGTTGAAGGAGAGACCAAGATTCTGGTTCGGAAAAACACATTGAACACAGCACAGTCCAGACCGGCCGTTGTGGAATACACGTATGTCGTCCTACGGATATAGACTTTTTGGGGTCTGAAGCGGGTGGTTGAGAAAATTGATCACATCGAGCGCTGTCAGGACTTGAGAAGAGTCTGGGTTTTGACAAGTTTGTATTCTTACTTTTCTAAGTGTGGCTAGGCACTCACAACCGACTGGAATGTCTACTGAACAATTCAGATAGTGCGAATTGGTGGATGATTTGGCTTATATCGTGCCTAAGCGCGTACTGTGGAGATGTTCCCTCGAGACAGCAAGAATGACGGCACGGACAGCAAAGTCTAAAAGAGGTATAAGGATCGTTGGATAGCAGGCGAAGGGGCTTATCACCTATGCTATACGTGCAGAATCGTAAACCTTGCGCCTGTCTCCTCGTGGAGACTACTTAATTAGCCTTTTTGCGAATACCAGAAGGTAGTCCAGCAGGAGAGATCGATATGAATGTCTTGTAGAAACACGGGACGAGACTTGTTCTTCCATATGTATTAGGCACCTCCCCAGAGCTCGCCACCAGTAGTCAGTCTAGGTGAAATCATCCCCGAGGCTGCTATTCTTCTCAAGGTCCACCTTCATCATGGGCCTCTCCACCAGTGTCTAGAAGGGCCCGATTCAACCAAGACCCTCATAAGCCTCCAACGGGAGGGCCCGGCTCCAAGTGGAGTCTGGTCTCGAGCATTGGGCGAGGGCGAAATAAGCGATTATACATGCCAAGGCATGCAGAAGGCAGCGACAGGAGAGCGCAGTGTGTACATGATGGGTGGCAGGAACGCTCAAATAGTCCTACACGTGCTGCACACTTTGAATCGTTGAAAGTTCAGTTCATGCCATTTGAAGAAATTTGGAATCCACATCCACCTGCGTCTCGGCCCTTGTCGAGACCGCGAGAAAGTCGCAGCGAAGCCGTTACGCGGGTCTGGATTGGGTCATAATACCGTTTGAAGCCATTGACCATTTGACAGGGGCCTTTTGACCTTTTCGACTTCTTGACCCCAATCATGAGTCAAGGGAGGTTAGGGAGTGAGCCAAGAACCCTCGAGTCGCCTTGTTCTCGCACCATGTCCAACGTTTCAAATCCAATCCCGAGCAAGAGATGATGGACTTGGCCGCCGACGAGTGGTCTTCAGAAAGCATCCCATCGTATCAAAGAAATTTGATTAGCCATCCCCGGCTTGTTGTAGCAGCTAGTGTCATTGACACCCGACCTGAGGCCTGCCAAAGTTTGAAAACCCAAGCTATCATCAAATCCTTTAGATATTGCCCCTGGCCCTGTCCGGACTGCGCCGGCGATGAGATTCGGTACGTTCCAGTGTGTCGGGAAACGGGAGAAGACCCGGGTAGAGGCTGAATGACCGGCAGTCGGGCTTGTCGGGACATGGCACTAGGGACAATTCTCTTAGACATCTTCCACCCCTTCCATGGTGTTGGAACAGGTTCCGATCATCTCAGGGGCCCAGAAATTGACCCTGACCCATGAACACGCTCACAGAGGCGTCGGCTATCCTGAGATCCGAGTAGATTGGCAGTACTCTTGTACTACAGTAGTTCTACCGTGCAGTTGGTGCACCGTCCAGCGCAAACTGCAGGGAGCAAAGATACGAACAAGGCCGCCAATAGGCTCGAGAGGCGAACCTTTTGACGAGACCCCTCCATCGTGAAGGATCCATGAACGGACCATCTTCTTTCGCTGTCATGTTTGGTCATTCTTCAGATAAGTGATCTGAGGCTGTCCACCACTCCACCGAAATCGGTTCATTTGGGGGGGCCTGCCTTTTACGGTTTGCACGTCCCGAATTCCAAAACCGGCTTTTTTGGCTGGCCTGGTTCGGCCATGGCCAGTATTTGCTCTGATTGGTCGGTTAGTCCATCCGGGGGCTTGCAGAGGTTCCCAAGACCAAAAGTGACATCTGCACGATGGAGCAGCCATGACGCATGAGGGGAAATCAACCGGTCCCCATTCGCACGAAAACTGGGTGCTTTTTGGGTTGCTTGGAGGTGGGGGGGGGAAGGAGGAGGGTCCAGCATCAGCCATGAGGAGCGGGAGGCAGCACGGCCACGCAACAGAAGGCGGACGTGAATCAAGAATCTTTCGCTGTGATACACGCCAGTCACACACGATCCTCGATCGTCTCGGGCGCTGGCCATGAGAATTCCGTGAGTTTATGTGTGGGATCGATCGAAGAGTGATATCCTCGTCTGGCTGCCTGGTCGGTTAGCGTTGTGTGCGAGGCGCAACTTGTGGAATCGGGCGAGCGGTCTTGTTATCATGATTGCGGCTGTACAGTGGTGTATTGGTAGCGCAAATGCTTCATGGACGGTGCCTGTAGACTTGTAGAGCGGAGAAAGTACATACTACTATAGCCTGCGAGTTGAACTTGACCAGTCCCAGTGCGTCATGTCCTGAAGACCTCGGTGGAACCGGCGACCAGCACAAGCACAGGTGAAGTCTTTTGACGTGCCTGAGACAGCGGAGAGGCGGAGAGCCCGAGGGAAGCTCGGACATGGCAGCACTCCGGATGGGTCACTGGGAGTCGCCGAGTGCTTCAATTGTCACCTGACTCGATGGTATAAGGTAGACAGTACAAAAGTAGTCGTGTCACTACAATCCATGATCACGACTCTAGTAGGTAGATCGTTGTTTCGCGTATCACAGCAATTCATTCGCGACCACGTCCTCAGTATGAGTACATCGTGTCAATGAATTGACAAGGTAGTATGGATGTAGATAGTGGATACTAGATAGTACTCATAGTAGATAGTTAGTAGATAATAGATACTAGATAGTGATATACTACCATACGACCGTGAGACTTCCCTTAGCCCTGGAATTCAAAGAACGATTGGAACTGCCGCCTTGACGACTGCACCAGGTATCACTACACAAGCATACATGTATCAAGCGACGTTTGTAGGTAGTCTCGCAAGCCAGGATTGAGATAGTCCGAGGCAAGACTCAAGCGTACACGACCTGATGCCCGAATGGCATAAAGCGAGTCTCTGCATATCTTACAATAGTTCCCTCCCTAGTCCTCCTGCTGGTAGTGCCTGGCAAATCACATGCCCGAATGGCCCATTTCCACATCATCGACCGCATCATCAGCATCATCCCAAATGCAAGTTCGAATTGATGAAACGGTCGGCTCTTTAGTTCCACCTCTCCCACTCATTTTCATGCTGCCGCGCCGTCGGTCGGTTGGCTGGTTCCACGCCCAGAGTTGGCCCCCCAACGTGTATTATCATTGCTCCTGTCGTGCTCGCGCCGGCTTGAATGACTGGGCCTCGTTTCGAAATCGGCTTGATATCTTGATACCTTGATACCTTGATACCTTGATACCTTGATACCTTGATACCTTGATACCTCATTGAGATCAGAACTGGGTACTCCGACTAAGCAGTTAGTAGTCAGTCAGGTACTGGGTGGTAGGTACTGGTAGTGGTACTGGTAGGGCTGGCATGTATTGTAGATTGTGGATGCCAGGTTTAAGAGATTCAAGAGTCAAGACTCTGTGATCCTCGCAATTACAGTGGTAATCTGATACAGCAAACTGGTGTCATTTCGTATTCCCTCTTTTTTTTGTATTTTTTCTTTTTCCTTTTCTCGGGGATTTTCCTCTTTTTCACTTTGGCTCTCTGATCTTCATTTTTTTCTTCTCGTCGTTTCTGCTTTTTTTCCGTTCCGTTCCTTTCCCTGTTGACGTGCCCCCCCCACCCATCAAGCGTAAGTGCAAGTCGGTGTTTGTCATTTTCCCGGATGGGTCTGGGTCGCAGGCTTGAAGTTGGAACCCCCGCCGACATGATCTCAGCGGTTCCCCATCTCCAATACCAATACCTTTTTCCCAATCTTCCATTCCTTGGCATCTGCAAATTAGTGACATCCACGTTCTCTCTTCCCCTCGCTCGATCGTGACCATCTTGTTTTCCTCCTTCCCTTCTTTCCCTCACCCATCTCAACCCGCCATCCTTCCCCTCCCTTCCAGCGTGCGACCAGAATCAGATCTCGTGGGAACGAAACGAGAGCCCTGAACGGGGATCACCATCATCCACATCAGCATCGCTATTGCCAGTTCTCCCCCTCCTCACCGCCTGTGCCCCCTTCCTCTCTTCGAGACACCGGTCTTGTTGGGACACCCCAGACGGAGTGATTTGGCATCGCGCCGCCAACTAGTTGCCAACCACGCCTTCCCCCTCAACACGGCCGCTTGCCATTCAATTGTATCGGACCCGTGTCGTGGGTGTCTGATCCGTCGTCCCGTCTTCTGATCGTCACCGTTCGCGGGATTGACAGAACCAAAAAAACCCCCCAAGACACGATGGACGCCAGTCAGGACCACCCCGCGGAGACTCCGCAAGAGGAGACCAGCGCTCCTACATCCCCCAACCCTCCCAGCGTGGAGCCGACGGCGCCGCCAGCAGCCGACTCACCGGAGCAGCCCACTCATCATGCCTCAATGCCGGCTCTGCGAAACACCCGAACGCCATCCGCCGGCATCACACCGTCGTCCACCCACCTGGGTCAGATCAATGCGGCGCGGCGCGGCGCGGGGACCCCGCCGCGCCTGCAGCAGGCATCCATGAGCTCCCAAGCGGCTGGGGGGTTGAATCAGGACATCATGGCCAAGATGAGGGCGTTCTCTTTGTCCAGGCAAGGTGTCCCCCTTGCGCATGCGGCATCCGCGGACGCCATCCCCACCTCTCATGACAACGGCGCCGGCGGTCCGCTCGCCGGCCGCATGCCGGGTGCCATGCGTCCTAATAACAAGAATTGGGCTTCGTCGCCTGTGATCTCGGGCGCTGCTTCCTCGCCCGGATCGCCGCGACCCGGCGGTCTGGCGGCCAAACGCATGAAGCCCGGGCTCAAGTTGTCCGACGTCACAGGTGGAGCCACCCCAGCGCCCACGCCGAATGGCGCGGAACCGACTCCAGAGCCGAGTCAGAACGGAGAGTCGGCCTTTAGCAAGTATTCAGAATTCATTGACACGAAAGCCGGAACGTTGAATTTCAAGAACAAGGCCATTCTTCATGGCGGAGGTGTCGAGTTCTCCTCCGGCCATAGTTTCAAGATCTCCTTGGACGAGGTGGACCGATTGGACGAGCTGGGCAAGGGCAATTACGGCACCGTGTACAAGGTTCGCCATAGTCGCCCGCACCTTCGTAAACCGGGACAGGGACTGGGTGGAATCGTGAGTCGACCGACGGAGCAGCCGGACGTGTCACCGAGTAACGGATCGCAAACCAATCTGTCGGGTGTGATCATGGCCATGAAGGAGATCCGCCTGGAATTGGACGAGGCCAAGTTTGCACAAATCATCATGGAGTTGGATATCTTGCATCGATGTGTCTCGCCCTTTATCATTGATTTCTACGGTGCATTCTTCCAAGAAGGTGCCGTTTATATGTGCGTGGAATATATGGATGGAGGATCGATCGACAAGATCTACGAAGGGGGAGTCTCGGAGAACATCCTGCGCAAAGTGACGCTCTCCACGATCATGGGACTGAAGTCGCTGAAGGATGACCACAACATCATCCACCGTGACGTGAAGCCAACTAATATCCTGGTGAACACCAAGGGTCAGGTCAAGATTTGTGACTTTGGCGTCAGCGGAAACCTTGTGGCCAGTATTGCCAAGACGAACATCGGATGTCAGAGCTACATGGCTCCCGAACGAATTGCGGGAGGCGGCATGCAGCAGTCGGGTGCTCCAAGTGCGGGAACCTATAGCGTGCAAAGCGATATCTGGAGTCTAGGGTTATCCATCATCGAATGTGCGATGGGCCGATACCCCTACCCCCCGAGACGTTTACCAATATCTTCAGCCAACTTCATGTGAGTATCGAGTGTCTTTGTTCTTGGAAGAGTCTCGATTGATGGTGATGGACACTAACTGAAAGCCCACATTAGGCGATTGTTCACGGCGATCCTCCTACCTTACCCGCAGAGGGATTCTCGGAGGAGGCTCACGCCTTTGTCGGCGCGTGTCTTGATAAGATCCCCAAGAACCGACCCAGCTACAACATGCTCCTCCGCCATCCCTGGTTGTCGCCACTCATGCAGCCCCCGACCGAGTCTGCGAGCGAAGACATCGCATCAGAGCCATCCGAATCGCCCACGCGCCTCTCACCACCGTCCAACCTGACCGAGGACAAGGAAGTCGCTGAATGGGTCATCAAGCAACTTGCGCGTCGCAACGGTGGCGAGCTGCAAATTTCAGAGAAACCTGCCCTGCATGCCGTGGCCCTGGACAAGGTGGCCACGAGCCCCCTTCATGATGATGCAGCGGCTCTTTCCGGGCAGACCGAGTAAAGGCATGGAGCGAGCAAATCAATTGTCTTGGATCTCCAAGACTATCCTTGGATTCACCCGTCGCCTTTCGACAATACGCGCCTCATCTTTTCTCCTTCTAATTCTCATCCGATGACAAAAGATCTTTCAGCGTGGATGGTTCTACGGCGCAGGCGCCGACTCTGCTGTCATGTCATGACTGTCTGTTGATACATGTAACAATTCGATCTGATGTGGACTTATGTAGCCGCACTTTTGAGCACCAACTCGCCCAAACGCCCCTTATCCTATTCCTGTTCCTTGTTTCTTCTTCTCTACAGGACTTCTATTTTTTCCAACCCTGTCTCACTTCCTCGAAATATCTATCACCACCGTCTCTTTTTTTTTTTTTTTTTTTTTTTTTTTGCGCCACATACATCAAGCCGCAAATTTTTGCTTGCATTCGTTGGAGCGTCCATCCTCCTCCATCCTCAATCTCTGGCCCATTTCTTTTCATCTATTTCGTACTTTTGTGGTCTATCCCCCGTTCAGCGAGATTTATGGATTGATGTGTCAAAGTACCAAGGCCTGGGATTCCTAACATCTCTGGTCAATGAAGTTTATGCTGCACGAGACATTTATCTTTTCTATGAATCATGTGATCTAACGATCATGCACGAAAACGAGCCTCATACTCCTGGACTCGCGAGGCCTAAAATCATAAATCCCGACCACAATCACGTAGATGTTGATTTGTGGTGTCTCAGCTTTCTAAGTCTCGAATAGCTCGAACCGTTCATTGCCGTTGAGATCAAGCGTGCGTATCATCTCAGACATGCTGCTTTGGCGCTGAAGACTCGTGCATTATTACCTTTGACAAATCTCCCCTTCTAGTTGTCTGTGACTCCGCAGAAAAAGTCGCTGTTCAATTAGCTCGTACAGCGACAGGGATAAATATCGTGCGAAGCTTACCAGCAGTCCAGTACACTTTCCAATTTCCATATCCATTGTCGCCGCCAAAACATGACCCTATCACCAGTCTCCACTCGCTATCTACCGTGGTGAGACAGAGTAAGTTAGTCAACAGTCAGTACTCCGTAGTGAGTAGCAAGTACTGCGTACCTGTCTAGTGGAAATTGAGTACACGGCACAATGTACCGTTCTTAATCTCGAACAATAGAAACGCAAAATCACTCAATAACAGACAACATTAAAATGACCCAATATATCAAACGCCGGATCTACCCAAATCAATCCAACCAGTCTTTACTCCTGACCCTCCGTCCTTGACCCCAGTGATCCCCTCCACCCCGTCACAAGAGCCCTCACGCCTGGACTTCCCTTGCGCGGATGCCCGTTGAACATGTCGCGCACGACGCGGACATCCTCGTACGTCGTCTCATACAGGGTCATGTCGAATTCTCTGAAGATTGTGGCGATCACGAGGAGGATTTCGGCTTTGGCGAGACTGTTGGATGGGGAATCATTGGAGGAGGTTCGTTGTTAGTCACTGGGCCTTTTTTTTTTTTTTTTTGATCGTTCTCTTGTTGGGTGGTTTTCAAGCATGTGGCGTGAAGAGAGAAGGGGGAGAATGAAAGCAAAATGGAGAGGGATTCTTCTTTTTTTTTTTTTTACGTACGGAATACCAATACACTGTCGAGACCCTTTACTAAATGCGACGAGATATTTCTCGAGTCGGTGTCTTTCTGTGGGATCCATCCATCGTTCTGGATCGAATTTCTCCGGGTTGGGAAAGATTTCGGGGTCGTTGTGAAGGAGGAGACTGGTCATTCCGACGGGGACCTGGTTAGGGATATCATTAGTATGAAAAAAGCATCACTTGTGTGAGTCGGTGAAAAGATGTGCCCCCTTTCAAAGATGAGATATATGTTTGGTGCTTGTTTTTGACTTACCCCCGGGGGAATCACCCAGTCGCGGTAGATCATCGGTTCGTCCGGGGAACTGCGTTGAAGCCGGGTGGCTACGCCAAAGGAGACGCGGAGACCCTCGAGCATGATGGATGTCTGAGATATGAGGTTAGCCTTGAAGGTATGGAATCATTCTTGGGGGCAAGCTTGTCCAAATCTAGGGAGAACCTGGAAAGCCCAGAACAAAAAAAAAAAAAGAACAAAAGGTGTGATCACATTGGACCTGATGGGCATAAAGTCCAGTCGACAACAAGTATAGACGAATCTTCCCAGAACACAGGTAGTAGTAAAGCATTCAGGTCTTACCAAATAGGGCATGGCTTCATAATCCTTCAACGAAGCCGTTCCATCCGGATCCAATCGGTTCAATTCTCCGCGCAGCTTCTCCAAAATCTCGGGATTACTCAACAGGTGATACGAGACGGTCGTCAAATTCTTCGCCGTGGTCTCACCACCCGCTGCAATGACGGTGAAAACCTCTTGACTCAACCGAGGCGCAGCCTTCTCTTCCGCCGGTAGATTACTCTCCAGCAAGGCATGGAAGAGTGTACCCGGAGGCACGATGGGCTGCTTCTTATCGGTGACCTTTTCGGGATTTCGACTGTCGATGACCAAGTTGGCCAGACGGATACTTTCGGCCTTTTGGTCCAGCACTGGTCCCAGATCCGGATTGATCTTGAGAACCAGCCATCGTGGCAGAAGCTCGAACAGAGCCATGAACCACTGGAATTGTTTGAACTGCATGCCCGCGCGCACAATGGCCTGAATGGTCGTGGACCACTGCGGGCTAAAGTCGGGATCGTCGAGATAGTGAAAGGATTCGCCCATGGTGTATTCGACCACGACGTCGGTGGTAAAGGCGTTGTAGGCGTGATACAGATGAAGCGGCGCTTGTCGTTGGATCCATGCGCGCATGCCGTCACAGAGCTTGTCGACCATGGCGCGCAGCATGGGCTCGAGGGATCGAATGCGTTGCTGCGAGAAGAATGGGTTCATGGGCTGTCGACGGATTCGATGACGGCGATAGTCCACGGTGCCAAAGGCCGAGGCCGGTGCGCCGAACATGCCGGTCAGATGAAGGGATTTGTTACGAGGTGCTTCGCGCGAGTAGAGCACGTCGATGTATTCCGGGTCGTTGATGTGGAGTTCATAGGGACTGATACGAACAATGGGTCCGTATCGACGGTGCATCTGGGCGATTTGAAAGGTATATTCGCCTTCGAGGTAGGAATCATAGTACCATTCATACCACATGGTGAGAGCCGCCCATTTGGGACCCGGGAAGTGAGCTATCGGAGAGAGCCATAGTCGTTGTATCGCCAATCCAATGGTATAGATGGTTCCGACGGCCACCAGTGAAAGCGCCAACTGTGTGAGGGATAGATCCAGCAGCCACGCCATCTGATGCAGCGTCGTTTTTGGGAGCCACGAGGCGAGCTAGCTCCAGTAACGCCCTTTCTCAATAGGGCAAGCAACGGCGATTTTGAGCAAACTACACAGAGAAAGAGAGAGAGAGAGAGAGAGAGAGAGAGAGAGAGAGAGAGAGAGTAGTGGTGATTCAGTAGTAGTCCAACAAATAAGACGTCAGTAAATCGTGCATGGGAAGGCTATGGAGCAGGAGCAGGGATAAGCAGCCAAAGAAAATGATATTGTTCAAACTCCTCAACGACACCCGGGCAAGGAAATGCCGATCCTTTTGAGATGATAGAGCTCTCTTTTCGGGTGGAATCTTTCTCTCTCTTTTCCTCCTTCCTCTCTCTCTCTCTCTCTTTCGCTGTCTTTGCTCACTCTTCCTCCCTCCAAACTCTCTTCTCCTGCGCCTTTTCATCATTGCTCAGCTCTCGATTTTGTTTTCATGATTGGATTATCTGTTCTTTCCCAAACTCAGTATTCTCCCTTGATGAACTTTCATTGCTCGCTTGGTCTGCCACGATGGGCGGGATCCATGCACCAGCAGAAAAAGGATTTCTCCACCTGTCTGACGCTTTGAAGGAACCACCGATTCGGGAGGGATGATCAGACGGAGAGTGGACAACGCGGTGGATGAGCCCGACCAATTCCTCTTTCCCCGTTATTAATTTATTAATTGTCATTTTCCTTTTTGTCTCGTTCTTGATTATTTCAAATCCGCAGAGTTACGGAGATGAGCCTTGAACGGGACGAGACGGGAGGTGGTTCCAGAGAACGGGAAACGTCGAGTACCCAGTGCCACTGGCCAGTGCTGAGTGCCCACTGCCCACTGTTCAGTGTCCAGTGTCCAGTGGTCCACAGATAACCCGTGGATGAAGGATGGATGGAACGTGGATATGAACGGTCTGGCGACGGGGACACCTCTTGTGGCTCTTTGACAGGCGAGGAGGGTTTGGGGGGGGGGGGTCTCCCTGGCCGAGAGAAATGAACTGGTATGCTCTCCGGGGAATTCTCCCTGAGTAGGTAGGTTTGTACTGTAGTTTCCGGTGACTGGTAGTGAATCCGACAAACTCATCCTTCCCCTCTCCCCCATGAGATAGGGTCCAATCCATCAAAAAGTCCTGGTCTGCGATCCGAGAGCGTGTCAGCATATCTGCAGGCGAAACAATGCCATTTTGCGAGTGCCGCATCCGAGCCCTTGGGAAAGGAAACCCGACGCACCCGACAGACTGGTTCCCGTCTGTTTTGGGCCTTAGCGGAGGAGCTCGGCTGCAGGAAAACGAGCCGAACGGAGTGCAACGGACACTTTGCCAACGAGGATGACTGACCATGAACATCACATTGCAGGTTGCACATGGGACCCAGGCAAGATGGGAGAGAGATGGAAACAGAGGAAAAGGGACACTCGCTTTCTGCTGGGAAAGTTTTGGGTCCTTTCTTCTTCTTGATCACACACACACTCTCCTCACTCACTCACTCACTCTCTCTCTCTCTCTCTCTCTCTCTCTCTCTCTCTCATACAGGACAACCGATCTAGTCCTCAATGGAACAATATTTACAGTATTTTCTTTTTCCCAAGATAGAAGCCATGTCCCACTATTTCCATCCACAGCCGATCCGCTCACCCACCCATGTCATCCACTACGGGACTAGCGACAGGATGAGGATATGCAGTGGTCTGCAGGATGCATTCATGCTACCACTGTCCTGAAGAATAGGAATCTCATCATCTCATGCTTGACTACCGAATCTACTCTCGTAGCTAGTAACTACCTGGTACCAACCACCAAGAACCTACTGGTTCTAATTATTCCGGGAAGACATGATGCAGCACCCTGCGTAGTACGTAACTGCGTACTACTGCACCAATGCATAGTGCACGTGAAATGCCTCCCCACGTTTCAACTGCTTTGCCTCGGCTTGGACTCTCCATCATACAACATCCCGTAGCCCGTAGCCCCTAGCCCGTAGTCCCCAGCAGAGAGCGAGCTCCAGCTTTCCTTTACCGCGCGATGCAGCCGACTGCATCCCGGACCGGATCTGTTCCCCAAATCACCAGGCGTTCCACTTGCCTGGATAGCTTTCCAATTGTTCCAATCATCTCTTCTGAAGGCTGCCGCTTCTCACGTCAGAACTTTGCGAGTGATGAGCAATGAGCAATGAGCCATGAGAGATGAGAGATAAGCCATGAGAGATAAGCCATGAGAGATGAGAGATGAGCCATGAGAGATGAGAGATGAGCCATGAGAGATGAGAGATGAGTACTAGTCACCTTACCTACTACCTCGTGACTATTTAGGTACCTACTACCTACTACCTACTACCTACTATGCTGATCTAGGAACCTAGTACCTGGACGATAGTCAGACCTTCCATGTGCTTCCCAGTCGGGGACTTGGCGTGGCTGGGTCTCCGACCTCCGACCTCCCCTCTTCTGGGCTGCAGGTTGTGGACTGCAGCAGTGCAGACTGCAGACTGCGTGCTGCGGACTGAGGACGGCCTGGCACCTGCTCGTCTAACTTTCTGGCTCGTGCAACCCAGCGAGTCGTGGGGTAGAGAGAGAGAGAGAGGGACGGTAAAAAAGGAAAAAAAAAGAAAAAAAAAAACAAAAGGTAAATGGCTTTGAGAAAGTGAGGCCACCGTACAAATGTAGGAGCCAAAAGAACACTTGTGAGGTCAGTAAATACTAGATAGTGATCCTAGATAATAGACATCAGACGATCCCTCATTCTGTCTTTCTTGCCGGGTAGTAAGACGAAGTGCACTCATTTCATGGTCCGAGTCAAAGTCTGTCGAACAGAACGTTTCCCGTCCTCCCCGACCCGCGGGGATCTAGAGCGGAACATCCACCGATAGACCTTTTGCTATAGGACTACCGCGATCGTCATTCGAGGAATCGTCGCACAGACAAAGTAGAAGGCCGAAGTATCGTTTCACTATTCGGTCTAGGTAGAAGCGCACGACACGGTGATGGCGACCTGTCTACCGACCCTCCAGGGTGCTACTGTGCTTCAAGTTCCCTGTAGAATCCAAGCTGGTGCACAGTAAGATGATGGTCGAGGACTTCACTTGGCATTCCCATCTCGGCTGCTTAACCTTTTTTTCACTACTCCCATGAATCGCTGACTCTGTTGTCTTGTCTGTCACGGACCGTGATCAAGACCCCAGGACTCACTGCCTTACCTGACTTAGTTAGGTACCTAACGGTAGTACCATCTGCAATTCTCTCTTCCGACGAACAGTCACACGTCTGATCCCCGTGAAAATCCAGACTTTAATACGGACACAATCTGCGGTAGTATCACTGTCCAGCCGTCCACTGGCCCTCGGATCTGGGTTTCCAATTTCTCCCGCCTCCTCCTCCTCCTCCTCTGGCTTGGACCACAGGATTACTGTAGGTTCATGCATGCTGCTACTTTGAGTCGCGCCCGTGGGCTCTAGCTTCCGCATCGACTCCATCGGTGGTACCTTTTCCACAGTGGGGTTGACCTCTCAGGCAGTAGTATTACTATCGAGTATCTACTACTACTTAGGACTTCGTACTTAGGACTTCGTACTTCGTACTTGGTACTTAGTACTTAGTACTTAGTACTTAGTACTACTACTACTACTACTACTACTACTACTACTACTACTACTACTACTACTACTACTACTACTACTACTACTACTACTACTACTACTACTACTACTACTACTACTACTACTACTACTACTACTACTACTACTACTACTACTACTACTACTACTACTACTACTACTACTACTACTACTACTACTACTACTACTACTACTACTACTACTACTACTACTACTACTACTACTACTACTACTACTACTACCTACTACTACTACTACTACTACTACTACTACTACTACTACTACTACTACTACTACTACTACTACTACTACTACTACTACTACTACTACTACTACTACTACTACTACTACTACTACTACTACTACTACTACTACTACTACTACTACTACTACTACTACTACTACTACTACTACTACTACTACTACTACTACTACTACTACTACTACTACTACTACTACTACTACTACTACTACTACTACTACTACTACTACTACTACTACTACTACTACTACTACTACTACTACTACTACTACTACTACTACTACTACTACTACTACTACTACTACTACTACTACTACTACTACTACTACTACTACTACTACTACTACTACTACTACTACTACTACTACTACTACTACTACTACTACTAGTATCTATATCACAGCCTCTACTACCGAGTCCGGACTATCCAGTCCCGCATCACGACGAACCCTCCTGTCGAATGGCTCGACCGGGTGAACTTCTGGCGGGGGCCGGATGCCTGACGTCTCGGCACGCTAGAGGCTAGAGCCCATGGCGTGCAGTAGCACCAACGTCTTTCGTCATCCAAAGACGAGAAGAGTCCAATCAATAGACGAACAGATCCGAAGCTGTCTCCAGGGACAGGGATGTTGACCCGAGACCGGGTTGCGATGCGGGAGGAAAGGGTGGTGGCCCTTAGTCCCTGCGCTGCTGCAGTACCCTGACACACGTAACCACTTCACAACTTCACACTCACTAGTGAGTTGTGACTGTAGTCTGTAGTCTGGACTGACGAGAGGTCCTAATTTTGGCCCGTTGGCGCCGCTGTAGGGATCGTCCAGGAACTACTGCTAGTCTGCTAGTAGTGTGTTGGGAAGCCACCACATTTGTTCGTCCGGGTAGTAAGTTAGTCTAGAAGTCGATGGATTCCTGCAGGTGGTTCAGTTAGTTCCGCTTGCCAAGGGACTGATCCCTTTTTTGCTCCTGGTAACTATAGGACAAGCACGGTAGTACCGCTGTCATATGGCCCGCCCTCGGTGTTGTCATGTGGAATCATTCCACTGGAAATGAGCCTGCCGATCTGGTATAGTGAGTGGGCGGGAATTCGGTCCGCGCCGCTTCGTTTCCCTTGTTCGTCGTGAGGGGCCGAGATGGAGGTGGGATGCGGGAAACTTGGAAGTAACGACAGGGTCTCACGCTGGTAAGCTGGCAGTCGAGCTACCCGTTAATACTACTGAGAGTGGGTAGTAGTACCACTCTCTACTGAATACTCAGTACGGACTGAGTACTCAGTACTGAACTGCTGATCGGCATAGGGATGGATTTTGTGAAATGATCAGCTGGTCCCGATGGGCATGGAGGATGGGGCTGAAAGTTGGGCGTCCTGTATCACTGGCCCCGTGTCCACCGTGTCAGTGTCCACTGCGTTCGTTCATGGAGGACGAATCTAAAGTGGACGAAGAATCCTGCGGCGACTTTTGTTCCTCCATCTATCTGATGATCGATGGACTGTACTTTTAGGAGGCATTGCGTGCAACGGTTCAATTCCGAGTCAATAGGGATGATTTTCTCCTCGTACATCATACAGATGTTCGTGATTGCATTGACCACCTGCCATCGGGGTTTATAGGTTATTAGGTACCAGGGAGGTCGTTCCGGTCAGCACTCGGTAGTACTCTGTTTGTACTGGCAGAAGCCTACTAGTAGCACGCTGGATGTCCTCCTCTATTGATCACCTACTGGACTTGGACTGCTGTTGATAGTAATGTCGTCGAGGCCTCGACCTTGTCTCCTGCTACTGTTCTTGGGTCACTCTTCCCTCATCAATGAAGGTAGTACGTAGTTATGTACAATTGTCAATCCCGTACTTTATCGGTTCCACCCCGCTTGTTGTCCTTCTGACTTTCTGTTCTCTCTGTACGGCGCCCTCTTCTCTTCGTCGCCTCGATTTCTCGCCAACCCAAAGCCTCGCTGAATTCTGCCAAGACACACTGACCACCGACCACCGACCACCGGCCACTTCTCAAGTGTGACACCACCGAGACTGACCGAGCCCGACCACCCTCGCCCCAACTTTAACTTTGGAGAATCAGGTGTCCTTACTGCAACCTTGCACGATCTGCATTCAACATGATTGTTCCCTCCTCATCTTCTTCCTCTTGTGCTCTTCCGCTTTCCCCCGGCCCCATGATCCCTTTGCATGGTAATCCATCATCCAGTCTCATCCTTCCACTGAAGAGGTGGAATGGCATGGTCAATCCTCTACGCAGATTAGCTCGAGAATAAACCACCCGCGTCAAAGCCGCAGTTGCATCGGAATGGCATGATGGACGAGCCACTTGGAAGCCTTCCGTCTGGTGGAGACTCTTCTTCCCGAGGCGACACCAGGGGGGCCCCTCTTCCCGCTCCCGCCTTTTGGTTGTCATCACCAGTCCAGGAGGATGTGTTATTAACGGACAATCTTGGTCGAGAGAGAGAGAGAGAGAGAGAGTAGTGTGTGTGTGGCAGTTACATGTGCAGTGCACTTGTACAACAGACCTACAGACTTCATCTGTCCGTCTCCCTCTCCATCTCCATCTTCATCTCCCTCCCGTCTCCATCTCCATGTTCATCTCCATCTCCCTCCCGTCTCTCGGTCCACGTCGCTCGACACAAAGTCGGAACGTCAAAATCCTGTTACGTAGACTAACTATATGAGCTTATCCTGAAAACCACGTTTCGTCGGCGGGCTAGTAGCGAATGAAACTCATCATAGGTAGTGATCGAAGTAATGAAATAGAGAGACATTACGACGGACTAGGATTAGCTCTCTATAGCATAAGCGTAGCTAACTACCTAGGTAGTCACTAGCGGGTAGTTACGTCGGATACGGGACGAATAAGGGGTAAGACCGTAAGAACGAGTAGGATAGGCGGGAAGGGTATAAGTAAGCTGGAGATCATAACTTCATAAGGTACTAGATCCCTAGAGCTCCCCTAAGTTTCTATATACGTGGTTCTATAGAATATTACAGTAATATTATCATGACTGATCCGTCATATAAGCCCATTCTTATCATTGTTTTGCCAAACTTTTAGAGCGGTAAGCCAAAGAAAGTTAGCGTATTTCGGATTTATTTTCCGAGAGTGAAGTCGTAAGAGTGCGGAGGTATAACTGATTTCGAAAACTACTGTAGCATTCCGAACTGACCAAAAGAACCACCTCTGTTCCCCCTCTGACTTCGACCAGACTTCCCCCCCCCCCGGTCACTTACTCACCCCCGTGTGCTTCTGTCCACAGATTCTCACGGGCAAGTACAAAAGAGGGTTCTGGTCTCCGTTCCGAACCACTTTGAGTTTACGCCTTCGCGTGTGGGCTCTGTACTTTTGCCGGTCCACTCCAATCGTCCCCAAACCGTGCGTGTGCGGATGTCAATGTCAAGACCGAGTCATCCGCGCCAACGCACATCCTCTCCGTCCAGAACCCTCCCCCCCACCGACATTAAAGCAAAATTGTCTGCCGTTGTCAACGTGCCATTCAAATTGCCCACCGGAAACCACAAATCAGAGCAAGACAAGTCATCTCCGCTAATCGGGATTCCAATTCTTGTGCTTGGAAATCATCGCGACCTTGGTTTCCAATTCACTACTACAAGTCCAACCCCAGCGATCGCTGCGAACAAAACCCGCCGGAAGAGGGTCACCAGCTACAGAACGAATCTTGGAAGGGCAAGTCTGTCGCGCGGCGGGCACATCTCCAATCGGGGCACATTCGAACCCTCAAACCTCCCTCATCTTTCCGATGTCGGAACCGGAGGCGATTGCGGTGGTAAGCAGTCGGCTTCACTCCAACGTCAATCACGTTGCAAGATGCAAAATCCGCGAGAACTGACCGACTCTTGGAGGATCCGGACACGTACGCTGTCGCAAGTGCGTACTGGCCCGACGACTGGCAATCGTGAGTGATGATTCCCCTCAGCGCCACGTGGAAGACGGAAAAGGTTTCCCTAGCACCGAAAGAAAAAAAAAATTGATGGGGCAACGGCGAGATCTAAGAAGAGAAGAAAAAGAGAACCTGAAGAAAAGGGGAGGAGAAGGGGGGGGGGGGGGGGGAGCTGATGGCTCGGAGTGATGGCTCGGGCCCTCATTGCAAACTCCATGGGACAAATTAATTTCCTGCGGACAGTCTGCTTATCCGTTGTTGCAATGATTCTAGGGAAACCACCTCTATCGGATCCTCGATTTATCGAGGTCTGATCGAAAATGGCAGACGGTAAGAGAAGCCAAGGAATCGGACCCTCCACGAGAGCCTAGATCACTGACTAAGCAATGACGGACTTTCCACCTCTCCAGCTATCAAGCTCTACGGAACAAGGAGTATCTGTGAGTCAACAGACACTTGAGAAGTAAAATCAAACACCACTCGCAAGGCAGACCATCTCATTCCCTCGGGCAGGATCCCCGCGGATGACGCGCAATTCGAGGCATACGAGGCCGGGTAAGTCCCGGAGATTGGCCGACCCCGGATTCATCGTGTCGAACCCACTCACTGATGCTGGTCTCGCTCCTCACAGACACCTGTGTGCTCTGATTCTCGAGTCCAATCATGATAATCCATTCTTCCGGGCTCCAGTCAAGTCACCTCAGAATATCCTGGACATCGGGACGGGAAAAGGAACATGGGCGATGTGAGTGAAGCCGTTTGTGATCCTCGGAGACGTGGAGAAGTATGCTGCTGAACTTGCTGCAAGTGACGTTGCCGATATGTTTCCAGAAGGTGAGTCACAAGCAAGAGAGAGATATACTCGGCGCTCTTTGAAAACAAAAAAGCCGCTGGAGCAGACTCACTTATGATGAGAATCTTTTCACGCTGATGCACACCTTAGCCACCGTTCGTGGAGTGGACCTCTTCCCTCCCCCCGTCACATGGGTGCCTCCCAATTGTGTTCTGGAGGTGGATGATGTACAGCAAGAATGGACCTGGCACGAGCCATTTGATCTCATTCATATGCGGATCATGATCGGATCTTTTGAAGAAGCCGAATGGGAACGTCTATATAAACAATGCTACGAGTAAGTCTCGACGGGTCACATGGGGGTGGGGAGTTTTTTTTTTTTTTTTTTTTTTTTTCTTCTTGTTTTTGTTTTTGTTTTCTTCAATGTCGATCACCATGCCCACGTCTCCAGTCACACCGAACCCTCACGAGACACCAAGCAACGTCCTATCTACTAACATCCACCTAGCAACCTAAAACCAGGAGGCTGGATCGAACAGCTGGAAGTGAGTCCCATGATTCAAACAGATGATGGCAGTCTACCACCAGATAATATCTTAAATGACTGGGGCCCCAACATGCTCGCCTGTGGCGAACGAGCCGGCCGAGGTGTCGACACTTTCGACACAATGACAAACAAGATTCAAAAAGCGGGCTTCACCAACGTCCACCAGAAATTGTACAAGTGGCCCATTGGCCCCTGGCCTCGAGATAAAGAACTCAAGGAGGCGGGCATGGTCAATCACCAGCATTGGAGCTCCGGTCTAGAAGGTTGGTGCATGTGGTTACTGACCCGATATGGGAGTCCCTCGCCGTGGAGTCAGGAAGAGGTGCAGGTATATGTGGCTCGATTGCGGAATGAATTGTTGAATCCACGCTTTCACATCTGGCATCGTGGGTGAGTGGGGAATCTCCTTGTATACACTTGTCAACCCTCGCATGCCCTGATCACCTTGTGTGAGTGCACGAATCGAACCTCACTGACGGCCGAATCTCTGCATCTAGACGGCGTGTATGGGCTCAAAAACCCTATGACGCAAGCCCAACCCCTACTAACAAGACGGCAACACCAAGAGGACAATGGTGATGCAAATGTGAAAAGGTAGGGGGGGGGGGGGGGGGGGGGGGTGCAACACAAAAGCGCTTCTTCTTCTTCTTCTTCTTCTTCTTCTTCTTCATCAGTTTAATCTTTTCTTGACTTCTGACAAGAATAAAACCAGTCATTTCACAGTCACATGTCGTCCTACTTCTTCAAGTCAGGTATTACTACTGGACTTTGTTTCCAATATTGTGATATACCTAGGAATATATTCTATCATCTATCAATCTTCCCCCCCCCCCCCACCTTTCAGTACGTACATACTATTTACCGCATAGTGACCAACTCCTCCGCACTTGTCGGGTGAATCGCCACACAGCTATCAAAGTCGGCCTTGGTAGCACCCATCTTGACGGCCACTCCAAAGCCCTGAAGCATCTCGCCAACACCGAGGCCGAGGATGTGCAGACCAACCACCTTTTCCTGGGGACCAGCGCAGACGATCTTCATTTCGGTGGGGTTCTTGGCCTTTTCCTCGCTGGGCATCACGCTGTAGTACATGGCGGTGAACTTGGTGTGGTACACCTTGATCTTGTCATCGCCGTAGCGCTCGCGCGCTTCGGGCTCGGTCAGACCGATGGTGCCGACTTCGGGGTGGGAGAAGACAACGGTGGGGATGTTGTCGTAGTTGAGCTTGGCGGTCTTGAACTCGGAGGGGCCAAAGAGACGGCTACCGAGGTGACGACCGGCGGCAATGGCAACTGGAGAATTTTGGGTCAGCCTTTTGAAATTCCTTTTTTTTTTTTTTTTCAGAGGGAATGTGACAAAGCGTATATTATACGAACCTGGGGTAAGCTCGGCTTGGCCGGTCACATCACCGATAGCATAGACGCCCTGGACCGAAGTGTTTTGGTACTCATCCACAATGACGTGACCGCTGTCGTTCAACTTGACACCGGGAATGTCGAGGTGCAGGTCTTCAACCTCAGGAGCACGACCAACGGCCCACAGAACCTCATTGACCTCCAACTCGGAGCCGTCGTTGCTGATCAGCTTGAGCAGCTTGTCCTTGCCCTTGCCATCGCGGATAAGCTGGATCTCCTTGAAACCCGGGTGCTTACGGTGCATCTTGACACCGGCGGCCTCGTAGCGATCCGTCATGGTCTTCTGCACCATGGGGTCGAACTTGCGCAGGAAGGTGTCGCCGCGAATAAACATGTGTGTTTCCACGTGGACGGCGTTCATCACACCGGCCAACTCCACGGCAATATAACCAGCACCGACAACGGCAATCTTGGGAGGCATCTCCTCCATCTCGAAGAAGCCGTCGCTGGTGATACCGTGCTCGGCACCCTTGACGTCAGGCAGGTTTGGTCGACCACCTGTCGCGATCAGGATGTGCGGAGCGGTATAGCGAGCGATCGTACCGTCGGGCAAGCCAACCTCGATCACCTTGGGTTCCACGAAGCGGGCACGTCCGTGAATAAGATCAATGCCCTCCTTGTTCCAGTTGCGCTCGTAGATACCATTGAGTCTGTTGACCTCGGCATCTCGAGTGTCCTTGAAATGCTTGTAGTTGATCTTGGTTCCCTCGGGGATATCGTAGCCGTAGTGCTTGGCACCTTCCATCATCTCGTTGATCGAAGCAAAGTTCCAGGTCATCTTCTTGGGAACGCACCTGTGATCAAACAAAAGAAAAAAAAATCAGGAAAAAAATCAGTTAAGACTATGGCTCTCGGTGAACGCCACCGTCGCCAGGGATTCCGGCATTGTATACGCACCCGACATTCACACAAGTGCCGCCAGATCGGCCGCTCTCGACAATCAGGGTTTTCGCCTTGTACCAACCGGCCGCACGACGCGCGCTACCACTGCCACCGCTACCACCACCCAAGACGATGTAGTCGTACTGTTGAACCTCGACGGGAGCCATCGTGGAGGGGCTTGTGTTTTCGAACGTGGGGGACGAGGACGAGAAGTGCCGAGTAATCGACGACAACCGGGAGCCGAAGTTGTTCGAAACTGTTCTAGAGGAGCTGCGCGCGGTCGCCAGTGTTCGAGTGTCGGTCAAGCGTAGACCAGTATGGAGCGACCGAGAGACAGAAGGCTGGGACTGAAAGGAAGTGCGCAAGCTGATCGGAGATGAGCGAATGCGGAGAGAGCGGGAAAGCATGGATAAATAGGACGCAGAGAGCGGAGAAGGAAAGGAAAAGTAGAAGAGGAAGCGACAAGAGGGGCAAAAGATCCAGAAGAAGAGCAGCTGCGGGGAAAACCTCAATGCAGCAAGGCCAATTGAGAGTCAGGGAAATGGAAACAGTGTGAGCAGGGCTTTTTCGGGGGTAAAGCTGACCTCGAGCTTGGACGGTGATTACGGAATCGGGGAAATAATGAGAGTTCGATGGAATCGGAGGACCAGGTTTCAGGAAAGGGTGCAAATCGTCATGAACCTGCTTGGCTCTAACTACATACTACTACGACTGTAACTCGGGGCAGCTTCGCTCACTTCCGGTCCGACCGGTTCCAGCGGCCATGGGCCGAGGCCACGTGATGACAAATCGGGCCTCTTCATTTAAGGTTACTGAAGAGGGTATCACTAATTACTAACTACTAACTTGACGTTAACTAACCTTGGTTACTAACCAACACTAAGTAGTTAAGTAGTAATTAAGGAGTCACTATGTAGGTAGTAACTAACTAATAACCACTGACTAGTGACTACTAAGTAGTGAATACTAACTAAGTTAGTAGGTAGTTTATTGCTAGCAGTAGATCAGGTTCACTGGCGAGATGGACCGAGTCAATACTACAATATGTGATTTTTAAGTAGTCGAATTACTAATGAGCTATTGCGCAGGCAGAGAAAGTAATCTAGTCTGTGGGATCACCGGATGGGCTGGCAGGCATGTGCCGAAGCAACACCTTTGTCAGTATCGGCAAGCATCTGAAAGGTGTAGATATACTCGAGTCCTTGGCATGACCTAAACTGGAAGGATTCTCGCGCGTTGTTAGTGTTCTGTGCAGGAGGGATCTCATGTGATATAAAAAATTGAATTCTTGTTTCAATTTCGACCTATACAAGCCAAAGACAAGGACAAGAAAGACAGCCTCTTTCCCTAGGAGGATCGAGCATTCAAAAGGACATGGGGTATCTAAGCAGTCAGGAGCATCAGGTGCTCTTCAAGCAAATGGACTCGACACACCGAGAGTGTTCGAGTTCACCTCAAAAAAAAAGAAAAAATTGACAAAGGAACGTGGTCGCCAGTTGGAATGAGTGCCCTCAAGTATGAGAGAAGAGCAAAAGCAAGGACTCTCATGGGAAGTATTGAATGCGAAAAGGGCCAGGGGCGAAACATGGCCACAGCCAGTGAGCAACCGCTGACCTATCTTCTCTTTCAAAAGGTCAGGATCAAAGGTACTGGTCGCTCAACAGCCATTACTGTCTGCTGATGTTGACGCTCATGGGCCAGGGCTTGTAGTATGGACGCTGTTGGTCAAGCCTTCGAGGAGCATTGAGCGCGGCTGCTAATCGACCGGGTGGAAGCCATTTGCGTTTGCCCGCGAATTCATTGCACCAGGCCTCGACCTCACATGCAAAGAGAGAGAGAGAGAGAGGGAGAAAGATGGATAGAGAAAAGAGAAGATTCGACTCTGATGAGAGATTCGACCAGTTTGACATCGATAGACCGTTGTTGCATCGTTCTTGCCCAATTCCCTCGGCTTATATTGCGGCTGGGCCTGAGGAAAGAGGGAAGGACAGAGGGAGTTGAGAGTCTTGCCGCGATTCAATAGTGAGAACGTGGAGTCTCGTGGTACTTGTTCAACGGCAGATGGGCCTTGTGAATTGGATTCTTTTTGGTAGACCCAAGCCGCTCGAACTGATGATGTTTCGTGAGGAAGGTTGGTCGACAAGAGGTAAGGCGGCGTTGGATTCACCAGTTCGCCACGAGGTCTAATGGTGGTACGCGATAACGGCAAAAGAGAGCAGGCAGATGCACAGAGGAATGTAAACCTTGCGGTCCATGTCGGTCGAATTCTTGGTGGATGAGCGCTTCATGGTGGACGGAGAGGATCGTGGCAGAGCAAGAAGAGTCTGGTGTCAAAAGATGGAGGGGCAAATCGAGAGAATGAGAGGACAAAAGGAAAAGATTCAAAGTGGTATACTTGTGTGTTCTTGTACTCCTGATAAGCAAGAGGGGGTCCCTCCGTTTATTGGCGGCGGGGGAGCCTGTCGGTGCATCCAAGGACTGTGCCACTCGACCAATCAGCACGGTCACTCTCTTGCCCTGAATGATTAGCTAAGCGTTGGGCCTCAACAAATGGGCCCGTCACGGACGCTCATTGGCAGAACCCCGGCAGATGTCAAGTTCCCATGGCATCCGCTGATGGCGACACGTGAACGGTTCCCTCCACACCGCTGGGCAGAAGGAGGTATTCACGCTTCAGTGATTTCCGTGTATACCAAATGGGGAAAAGCCCGGCGAGGGGCAACAACCCGAGCGCAAGCCCAGATGACAATTGGGCGCTGCCGGGCACTACTCCTACTACCTGCCATGCCTGGTAAATGGAGCCATTCGGGTAGTACTACTGAGTACCGTAGTGAGTAGTACTGAGTACTAACTACTGAGTCACTGATAGTTGTAGTATGGTTCCTCAGTATCTTGATATTGCTTGCCGCCTCAGGCAGAAAGACCGGGGAGCCACAATGGTCACGTGGCTACCATGCCCATTGAATCGAGGAGTTCATTTAGGAGTAATTACCGGAGACGATCTATTGTGTACATACATACAGTCATACACATATAGGTAACGGCACTAATTGCAGATGCGACCTGTAATACAATCATCAGAGTCTAATCGAACCAAAAAAAAAAAAAAAACACGATGGTACATACAACATACAACATACTATCAGGAGCATATCCCTCCACACACTGCGAGCTGGTCCCACATGTCATAGGCACAGTACCGCTCAGCTTCAGCTTGACACTCAGTGTTTTGCGAAATTCGATTTCCCTCTCGTTCAAGGTAATCGCTCATGGCCGTACGCCTGGCGACGCGGTGTTTACCCTCCTGTCCGACTGCCCACATTCAGGTCCAGACAGCGGCATGTAAGGGGAAGGGTTGGGCATCCACTCGGGGTTCCAATGAACCACTACTCCTCGCGACTTTATACCTCAGTATTCAAGTCAGTTGGCCAATCGAGGCGTGTAGTTTTGACCCTGCAATTACTCCTGCATAGCCCTAGAAGCAAGACTCGAAAGGGCTGCCGTGCATCAGGTGTTCACCTAAGCCTCACATAATACATCAACTGTTTCTCGCTCCTCGAGTCCTTTGCTCATCCAGTACTGCGCCCATTTTGCTTCTCGTACCCAAGTTCAAAGCCCACCCACCGAAATGCGCTTCTCAGCCTTCATCTTCACTCTCGCCGCCACTCTGGCCGTCGAGTCTATCGCCCAGTCGACCGATTCATCGGGGACTCAGAAGATTAACATGTCTTGCAAGTTTGCCGCAGACCACACGGGCATGGTGCAGTACCCATACTGCTGTCGCGACATGAAGCCCGCACGAAACAATGCCAAGGCCAACGAAGCGGTGGATTGTAAGTCATCGTCTCGATCTCGACGATTGCTTCACCGGAGCGAGAATCATCTCATAAAGAAGCGAGAACTAACCATTCTGCTTATTACAGGTCAGCTTTTGACCGTCCCGCAGCTGTGTGAGGACCAGTCCCGCCCTGCGTGCTGCTATACTATTGTAAGTGTTGCTTTCATGGAAGATTGGTTCTTAGTATGCCTCCCAAGTCTAACAATCTTGCGCACCATCTAGGGCCCCAAGAAGATTTGCACATCGCATGTCATCTTCCAGAACGCCGAGGACGTCTAAGCAGATCTTTACACCTTCAGGTTGCTGCGTTACCGCACAGCTTCGAGGTCTTGTTGATCTTATGAGGAGCCAGTGATCTTACAATGTCAATATTATTCTTGATCGAGAAGCCGAGGAACAAGCATTATCAAACCAACAGGGAATGTTTCACCTCATATGCGAAACGGAAACCAAGCAACAAGCAGTAGCGCCACACAGAATAATCAAAGTGAACAACATATAGTACTGTGAATTGAGGTCCTGTATGACTCATGAAGAACGTATGTTTATTTAGGAAACACGTCTAGCATTCGCTCAGTATTGCGTCTAAACAACTTTTCCGCCAATTGAGAGTCATGCGCGCAAAGATCCAAGCACGACTCGGTGAATGGGCTGATATCGATGCCATCAAACCGCGTGTGTGGCCAATCTGTCGCAAAGATGACTCGGTCCGGTGCTATCGTAAGAAATTCTCGGGCCAGGGTCTTGAGATCGTGCATGTGTTGGTCCTGAGTAAGTCGATACGGGGCAGATAACTTGACATAGGTATTGCCGGCTCGTAGTAGTCGAATCAGAGAGCAAAAACCAGGAAGAGAATAAGGATCCAGCCCAGTTGTTCTAGGGCCCCGAATCTGGTTGATTAGATCGGGACTTCCGAAATGATCAATGCACAGACGAACACCCAGGCGCTGCGCCACTGCTTCGATTAAAGGTATTGTCCTCATCGAAACATACAACTCGATCACCCAGTTCCGGGGGCGGGCAATTTCTGCATGGAGGAGCAGAATCTCCTCCATTTCAATTTGATTCATGATTCTCCCCACTGATTGCAGGTTCACACGGAGGCCACGAACTCCAAGCGCATGCCAGTCACCCAGCGTCTCAATCTGGATGGTTGAAGGGTCGACGACCACGATGCCGCGACCACGCAAAGGACCCAGCTGTTTGAGTGCGGATAACAAACACGCATTATCCGTACCGTAGATCGAAGGCTGTACCAAGACGATGTTTTCAAAACCCAGAGACCTCTCGAATGTGAGGGCGTCGGCAAGGGAAGAGGTTCTTGGCTTGTATACTGCAGATGGAGAAATCTGATATTGATCAGGCTCGACCACGTGCATATGACCATCCCACGAGTGCGCCGGCAATCGCTTGCCCACAGGTTGAGAAGGCGTTGTAACCTTGTTTGCTCTGCCGGCATTCTGATATAGACATCTTTCCCATATTCTACATGAATTGGCTCGCGGCGTCAAACATGAAGATGCCTTGCTCAGAGCAGTTTGAGGTCGAGGTGAGGCGAGCATTCTTTGAACGTGCAAGGCTGGGATGCATCAAAGAGTGAAGAAGACAATGTCAAGTTGTGATTATCTTGGCCTCTGAGACTCGGAACGAGAATCACCGAAGGCAGATCTCCTAAACCGGGTGAATGCCCGGCATCGAGTTGGCCCTACTCAAGATCATGTCGTCACCTGTACTTTATCGGTCAACGTCCGTCCATGTCCTTGCATTGGTCGAAATCAATCCCACAGTTATCGATCTCCTGGTCTCAGAGAATTTTGGCGTTGCTTTCTCTGTCAAGGGGAGACCACGGAAGAAGCTCCAATGATGCGCGCGACCCACATTCGGCTAAATGATGGAAGATAAAGTGAAAGAGATCGAGCCCCAGACGCACTCTATGCAGTAGACTCCGCGGAACTTCTCCGAGGCTATCACATGGCTAAATGAGATACAAGATGAAGGCCGAAGGGAACATCGAGTCTTGGTGACTCTGACGGAACGGAAACTTCTGTTTGGTCCATCAGCTTGCAAATTTCTCGACTATGCAGTAGCTGCGTTCAAGTCTTTTCTGGTATCGCATTAGAGCGACTCGAAGCACAGGGCTCCTTTCGCTCGCAGTTCGTCGATCAGTGGAGGCAAATATCTGACTCTGACCACTCACTGCCCGTGCGAAGCTCTGATTGCTTTGGACACTAAAGGTGGGATGGCGCAAGTGGAAGGAATTTACATGGCATCGGCTCGTTCAAATTCAAGGCACTCTACGCGCGCACGTTCAGGTTCCTACTTTTTACTTTTACTGAGATCCGTTGTTCACCAGGTTGTCGTCTTGGTGGTTACAAGAATTCGTCAGCAGGGCAGTGTCTTCTGACTACCTAGGGACTACCTGATGGAACACGTGAGCTCATGTGACCATGTCGAACCTTCCACGATACACACGCAATAACTTAGAATCGTGGAACATCGCACTTGACTCGGGACTCAGGCTCACGAGATTGAGATGAACATGAAAATAATACAATTCAAATTGCTGTTGCAGAACCACGCATCCATTGTCGTCTAGCATCTTCTCATCTAGGAGCTCGCTGAGCGGCAGTTTCAAAGAAGGAGTTAGCCCAGTTGTCCAGCCAAGGCCTGCTCGGACGTTGACCGAGATCGAGAAATTTTTTTACAAATGAAGCCTTTTCAAGTGGCGATCGGGATGCCAAGCGCAACCCAGTCCGCGACCGTCTGACTGACGGTCCAGGTGGTTCTCTGTGATCCACATCGAGCCCAGGCAATCTATTTCATCACCGTCAACTGGGTAGCCTGTCGAGTCCCATCTCTTAGATTTCCCCAGATTCCCCTGGGGCCTCCACTTCTAATCTAGTGCTCTTTAGCGAACAACCGTCGCTGAGCATTTTCGAAACTGCAGGGTGCGTTTCAGGCATCAAGGGAGCACTCACCACTGTCGCAGCCATGCAATGGCTTCAGAGCTCCAGATGGACCACTAGCCCATACTACGCGATGGTGATTATGGTGATTGCGTGCGGAGGTATACCAAAAGGTGAGATTCTGACGGAAGGATGCTGTCCGCTTTTTTGACAGTCTCCAATTTCCCGCGGTTTTTAGAAACAGGAGGGCTGGCGTCCGTATATAGGGCTAATGTCAGAAATGTCATCCGCTTCTTGCAGGTTATGATGAAGGAGGCTACAGTGCGAGTGTCAAGCTCGAGTCGTTCAGAATCGACTTTGACTTGGTGCCCTCACGATGGGTGGATAATCCTCTCGGTCTTACGAATCGCGTTGCCAATATTACCTCCTTCAGCGTCTTGGGTGCAGTGTTCGGTGCACTCCTCGGTCTGGATCTGAATGATCGATTGGGCCGTTTAACATCGTGGAGACTCGCCTGCATCATCTGGGCAATTGGAACCGTGATTCAGCTTTTCTCGTGTGGACTTTATGGTTTGCTTCTCTTTGCTCGTATTTTCGGCGGGCTCGGTGCGGGTCTATTGACGGTCACCTCGCCTATGTACTTGTCGGAGGTGGCACCGCGATCCACGCGCGGTCTTGCGGTCAGCATGTATATGGTGGTTCTACTGGCAGTGCTCGCAATGGGTAAGTGAAACAGGTGTATTTTGGACAGGTTTCCTTTGAATGCTCAGCGAAACTGATGCTGTGGACAACCTGGTCACAGGCTTTTTCATCAACTACGGCGCCAATCTTCACATGGCCGTGACTCGCTCCCAGTACCGCTTGGTCCAAGGGATCCCACTGATTCCAGTCGGCATCGCCTTCGTGTTATCCTTTCTGTGCCCCGAGACTCCTCGGTATTTGGCGTCAAAGCAGCGCCATCAGGAGAGCAAAGAGGCATTGGCTCTCCTACGAGGACGTGTTATCACCGATCCCAGCGTCATACTTGAGTTTGAGCAGATTGACCAACAGGCTCGGCAGCAGGCCAGCCTCAAGTCGATCTCGCATTGGCATGCTTTCAAGGAGTCACAACTGAACGCTAATTATCGTCAGCGCTTCTGGCTTCTGATGACCATGCAGACAATTTCTCAGTGGACCGGCGGGAACGGTATTACGTTCTACGTGACGAGTATCTTTGAATATGCCGGGATTTCCGGTGTCGGCCTCTCGCTCATCTCCTCGGGAGCCTATGGCATTGTCAAACTGGTGATGACGATCGCTTTCGCCTGGGGTCTAATCGATATATTTGGTCGTCGTCGTTGCGCTCTCACTGGACTTGCCCTGCAGTTGACAGCCCACATATATATGGGTATTTACATGGGTCTCCAGCCCGGCTCAGCAGGCAACAAGTCGGCTTCAGATGCAGCCATTGCATCCGTGTTCGTGTACGCAGTGGGCTGGTCGATCGGTCTGTGCACCATTCCCTATCTCTACGGCACGGAGATTTTTCCAACGAGCATCCGCAATGTCGCATACGCTGGCAGCATGGGCCTTCACTGGGCATTCCAGTTCGCTGTGGTGCGCGTTACCCCCAACATGTTTGAATCCCTCCAAGTTTGGGGTGCTTACCTATTCTTCGCAATGATATGCACTCTGGGTCTTATCATTCTTGGTATCTGGATGCCCGAGACTGCCCAAGTTCCGATTGAACTTGTAGGCGAGCTCTTTGACGGGCCATGGTATCTTCGCTGGCGAGCTCGTCCTAAATATTGGGATGCTGTTCCTGAGTCGAACGAGACAGTTGCTCCCGAAGAACCCGATGGAAAGAATGACAGATCCCAGTGGAAGCAAAAAGAGAGCGAAGTCTAAATGCCTGCTCCGAGAATTTCGCACCTCCTTCAGCGCACATAAATTGGTTTCAGAGTCGTAGATCCGTATCATGCTTCATGTCATTAGTCAAGGGCTTACCATGAAATTTCATGGTTGAGTCCGATGACTCCAACATTGTAAGCTTGCATGAATCACGATTGTGGGAAGGCGTTTGTCTCTATCCCTCAATTGCTTTGTGAAAGATCGGATTATTCCAGCTCCTCGCGATCGATCAAGTCGGGCAGAGCTGAACGTCTAATTTCAGATGAGGCCATTTGGTTAGCATCATATTGATACTATTGGGGTTGCCTATATAATTCTGACTTTCTTCACTCGCCAGAAAGGAGTTGAATGTTGCAGCTGTCACCGACTCAGCACTGGGGCCACGTGCGGGAGAGGGGAAGCTCGGAGATACGAACCCGGCAACTCCGACTCTGGCATTGAGTTTGAGTTGGCTGGCTGGAAGAACTCTAAAACTGCCACAATAACCAACAAGTTGCAAATACCTTTCTCCGCAATAACCTTGGATTGAAGAAGAAGATTGTGGTCGGAGTTTCGTGAGAGCCTCCATCTCAGTTGCAGTATACATGCTCGAGCATTTGAGATCACGCGCAAAGGCTACCCACGATGGGATGGCCTTATCAATTTCTCGAGCTCACTTCCGATGAGAAGAACCGCCGCCGAGAACTTCTTGATCGATATGCGCTGTATGCGCAGGTATCGATACTGATTCCATTCGTGTTATATGCTGTTGCGCGCTTCTGTGTGTGGCTGGCGCATGGAAAGGGATGGTTCAGATTGGGATATTCACCGTTGGGTCAATTGCCTGGGGTCGCGGCATCTACTCGAGCGAAGTATGTGCAATCACGGACAGCCCTTCAACGGCGCAGGAAAGTACAGTGGTGGCTGGAGGATGAATTCGCCCCGGGCTGGGGGCTGAGAGGACGTTGGATTGCCGCCATCGTTTGGGCGCTTTGGCTGCTGGTTCTGTGTCTTCTCCACACGGGAAATGGTGAGCCTATATCGCGCATGACGATGAGCTTGACATATGGTCACCCTGCGAAAAGACTCGGCTCGCTGACTTTTCAATAGACTACATACATATCACAAAGCGATTCGGGATTATCGCGGCATCTCAAATGCCGTTGCTCTTTCTTCTATCAATGCGGACGCGATTTTCTCCGCTTACTACCGTTCTGAGATCCTCACATGAGCATATGATTCATTGGCATCAACTGTGCGCTCGTATTGTCATGACTCTCATCGGTCTTCATGGAGCTTGGTACTTGAATTTTTACCTGCAAAAAGGCATCCTCAGAGATCGTCTGCAACACCAGCATCCACTCACAGGCCTCATCGCTCTCATGATGATTTGCGCGATTGCCACTACCAGTCTGGAGAAAGTCCGACGGTGGAGCTATCGAATCTTCATCTACTGCCACATTTCCGCCGGTTTGGCAATTTGGCTTGTCCTGCTTTTCCACGCAAAACCACTTCGCTTGTATGCTGCCCAGAGCTTGGCAATTTACGCCGTCGACCGTGTGCTTCGATATTACGACACTATCACTGCATCGCCCATTATCACTGAAATACCCCAAACGAATCTTCTCAAAGTGGTCTTGCCAATCGCGCCGAGAAAGCTGGCTCGCTTTGGAACTAGTCCGGGACAACACATCTATCTGTCTTTCCCAGTCACAGATCGTTGGCCCTGGTGGAAGAGCTTGCTTTCGAATCCTTTTACAGTGGCCGATATCTCTACGGGACAAATCACGCTTGTGCTGCGAGCACGACAGGGACCCGTGACGCGCATGCTTCTGAAGCATGCGGGCCATGTCAAGGGAGCACCGATGCTGAACATTGAGGGGCCATATGGAGGATTCCCACCCATGCTTGAAATAGCATCAGGTGTTGACCGCGTCTTGCTCGTGGCAGGGGGGTCGGTGCAACATTCATATTGCCCGTGTACATGGCATTACAGGAGCAGCTTGGCGATGATCGAATCCACTTTGTTTGGGCTCTCAAATCTGCCGCCGAAGCGGGCTGGACACTTGACTCGGAAGAACAAAGATCGGTGCAGCGGTCAAATATCTCAATATACTTGACTGGGAGCAATCCGAATGGCAATTATGGTGAGGTATCAGACGACAACGGGGTGGAGATGAATGTCCTACAATACAACAACACCGCGATTTCAGGGCTTCAAACGCAGACAGGACGGCCTGACTTGAGAAAGCTTGTGGATGACATGATGAGCTATCGGACCGAAGAACGAGTTGCAGTGATCTATTGTGGTCCCAAGAATATGGGTCGAGAGCTACGATATCATGCCGGACGATGGGTAGCCAAAGGTCGACACGTGAAATGGCATGAAGAATGCTTCGGATGGTAATCATTCCAGAGCATCAAAATATTTGAAAATGCGAAATCAGACCATTCGTCCATAATTGTCATACCCTCGTCGGTCGGATCTCTCGAAAGCCTCACGCTATTGCCCATTTTTCATAATGCGCGACCGCCAGAGCCGTCATCAATACCAGGTTTTTCAAATCGACCGTATTCAGATCACGATTCTGATCGACTCCGTCACAGTAAACAATTCCATCGCGGTTCATGACCGCCAGTACCGCGCCTCCGGTCAAGCCGTAATTTGGACAACTTGAAGGGCCCTTGACTCGACAGACCCGGGTGTCGAGATCCAGTCTAAACGGTAAATCCTCAGGGATCCCTTCCATGTAAATTGAATCTGGTGAGCATGAATAGAACATCCATACAAGGCTGTTGGCCCCCAGCGACGAAGCATCTTGCCGCGGGTGCTCTTCCTCATGAAAGAAGTGGTAATAATCCGAGTCAATCTCGGTGAACTTCCAGCGCTCGCCGCTCGCAAGAATGTCGCCTCCACGACTTGAGAAGCATACGGAGCAGCGGTAAAAGGGAGGCCGGTCGATGTCGACAGCACCAACTATATTAGCGTGCGAGAACCGAATCGTGTCAAGGCCCATGGTCTTCTGGATATCCGTGTCCTTGAGGGCATCGGTGACAACCAAGTCGTTGCTGTTCAGTTTAATTGGGTTCGGGCCAAGGGTCGTGATACAAATCCCGAAAAGCAATGATGATGGTCTCCAGACATTGAAACCATCGCAATTCATGCCCTGACTCCAAGAAGAGGATTCTCGTATCTGGCCGCAGAGTGCAGGCCCGTAATGGAACATGCATAGTCCATCCGTGACTGTGGCTGTGATTCTAGGCCGAGCGATACGTAGAATCTGTCGACCTGGGAATTCCGCCAATGCTGGCGTCTTCGATAATAAAGACGGCACCAAGGAATGCTGCTCGTGCTCCTTGTTGACGTCGGACCTATGAAGGGACGACCATCACCAGTCAGAAACCACGTCGAGCCAAAACTGCTCGAAGTATGAGTGGAGGTTCAGCCATACATTAGACGAGTCGCCTCATCGTCCAAGGTGCAGTCCATCCCGAGCTCCACAAGTCTCTCCAATTTTTAACTGCTCAAATGAAGCGGATAGGTGTGTGTTCTCGCGAAACGGTCCGGATGTTGAGCATCGCCGATCAAGACGATATGGAAATGCCAGTGGGGATGAGGGCCTTTTCAGAGCCTCAACTCAAGGGTGGGGCCGCATCGCCTCCACCATCCGATGCAGCATTTATTTTTAGCGGCGCGATTGAGCCGCGCATATTAAGCCTGAGGCTGAGCGGCAGAGGATGCGCGGGGTGAAATACAGAGACCTAGGGGGTAGGAACTGGGTTTGTTAGCCAATGCAGCAGTTGAGCAAGGAAGGCGATGTCAAGAATTGCATGGAGCTTCGGGCGAAGGTCAATTCTGTCTATTCTGACTCACATGCAAAGTCCCTGGACAATGGACACTAGGTTTATGCGATGGTGGTACTGTACTTGTTCTTTACAACCGCGTTCGTACCGATCTTTTGATGGAGAGGGTCTTCCTCAGGTCTTTATTGAAGGCCTTTTGGAATGGTCCCTTTTCCCCATATATTTCTCCAAAACCTTCCGCATAATTTTGCTGATCCCCCGACCATCTTTTCTGATTCGGCCAGTTGCAAATCTTCATAATTATTCCTTTGCGTCCGATTGAATTTCGAGTCCCTATGTAGATCGTATGCGAACTAACGTCCAATGACGTCCTAGTTCATTGGTCAGATGAAGTGGGCATGTTCATCGGTCTTTGAGTCAAATTCTGTACATCTATACATGTGAGGTCTGATATTGAAATGTCAATATGCTAATTTGAAATTGTGATTTGAGATGCAAAAGGAATCCGGTGAAAAATATAATATGGATGAGAGATGCTCCATGAAAATGCAAGTCCGTGCCAAAAGGTCCATTATTACTCCTCGGCACAATGTTATAAACGCTCAAGTAACTATCGGGGAATCACCAGAATCAAAATTGATGCAACGCGCCCAAGCGACCTTCAGCAGAATCCTCACAGTCGGGTTGCTTGTTAAGTTTTCGTACTTCCTCAGGTTCCACCCATCAATGTGGTGGGCCCGTCCATTCGCCTTGGAACGGAGTGGCCATCGTCGTTGACATTGGTTGTGCATACGAGAATGCCTCAAACACCTCAGGTGTGATTTCGTAGCCACTCTGATTATCCACCGTCATGAGAGCATTTGGCATGCCACCCAAAAGGTGTGTTGGCACCATCTGAGGCATTTCACCAATGTGAGACTGACCGAAAGCTCCACCTGGTGAGCTGAATGTGTGATATTCGGGAATCATGGATGCGTTTGCTGTGGGGTCGGAGCTGACAGAATGGGAGGTCATGGCGGTACGGCTTTGTGGTCGCTGATGCTGTTGATGATGAGTTTGGTGTTGTTGCTGCTGCTGTTGCTGCTGGTGGCGGTGGTGTTGGTGTTGTGGTTGCTGCTGCTGTAAAGCAGGAGAGACATGACGAGAATGGTTGCTGCTGGTAGGAGTAGAACGGGAGCGGTGGCTTGGATGTGATGACTGAGGTTGGGAGTATGATTGCGAGTGTGTGTGCACCGAGCCGCTACTGGAAGGATGTTGCGAGTCAGAGTGAGTATGCCGATGAGGAAGCACAAGGTGCATATCGATCTGGAGCTTTCGCGCTTCTTGGTAAATGAGTCCGAGGGCAGTGGTGATGACAGGATTAGAAATCTTGATGCGCTCCAGCGTAGCAATGCAGAATTTGAGCTTATCTAGGGTGCCTGGTGCAGCATACTTGAGCGCTTGAATTTCCAACAAGAAGATGGAAGCGGCGGTGTAAATGCTGTATGCAAGCGAAAGGACGACGTGATTGTCGCCAAAAGTGCGGCGATAGAGGTCGAACAGCGAGAGGATCGAAGTAGCCGAGGCCAGACACTGTACGAGATGGCTTTTGTCGTAGGACTCAGGTCGGGTTTTCAAGAGCGCTCGAGAGCAAAGGACCGGCCGATGAAGCAGTATGTTGACGGTATGGTAGAAACAACTGATGGAGTGACCGGTGAGTCAGTGCACAAGCAAGAGGAGAATATTCTTTGTGATACATACTTGAGTGTCATTATATGGCTCGGCGGAGAATACGGAGGCAAGTCCGCTGCCACAAGTTTCAAATAAGTAGGTAGTTCATCCCACCAGTCGCTGAGGTTCTTTGCTTGTTCCCCAACACAATCGAAGAACTCAGCTTCGGTACTTTGACGCATGGGATCATAGATGTGAATAAGAATCTGATTCAAGACCTCTGCGAGACCACACATCTGGATAAAGCACGAAGTCGAGTGCGCTTGCGTCGGTGGGTAATGGGCCCCATCTGGAAAAGTGACGCCATGAGGGGCCCAGCTCTCGACCTCCGATGTATCATCCACTGGATTCACTGTCAGAACTTTCACTACCAAGAAGGCTTTGTCAACGAACACGAAAACTTACAAATTAGGCGAGGCGGGCTGACCTGCGAATGCTGCATCGCGGGAGCCCGTCCAAAGTACAAGGAGATAACTTTGTCCCAGAAATAGCAGCTCCAGAATAATCGATTGCGAATCTCGATATCTTCATCACTCAGCTGGGCCGCACCGAGATATTTGCGACTGTCAATAGAGATTCCGAGATCCTCCAGCATCCGAAACGCCATGCCGCTGTAGAGCCAAGCTTGCGTCCTGTTACCTTTCCCACATTCTTGCGCACTAAGCAGCAGTAGTGTCTGAACAGTAGGAACACTGGCTTGTCCGCTCTGAACAATCTCAAACAGCCCAGAGACAGCCCGCCGAGAGAATAGAGCACCCCCTTCGTAGGAATCGAGAAGCGGACCAATCTGGGGCTCCGCCTTGCACCATCGCACGGAATGGGAGAGGATGGCGTTCATCAAGGCATCGGAATAATATGGACCTTGTATCTTCATGTCACCTGCAAGAAAACAGGTCAGTGTTTGAGAATGCCGAGTATTTCAAACGTTCAGGAAATAGGCGTACGTGTGAAGGCCGGCCGATAGATAAAGTTGAACAAAGGCTGAATCCAACACCAATGGGAGTCTAATAGGTATTGAAAAGGCTCCTGATCGAGCATTCCGGTCTCTGTTAGCATTTCAACTTGGACCCCAAACACACGGTTTCCATTATTCTCTCGTACCGGAATCGAAGCCATTTGCTCGAATGCTCGTTCTCGCCAAGCACTATGAACCAGTCGCTCCTTGCGAGCTTGGAGCTCGTGCACCACGAGAGCAGTCGGTTTCGTCTCGCTCAGTAGACCACTTGGTAATTGAAACAGACTGGTCGGTCCATGAAAAGATATTCTTCCATCGGTTTCGATACTCAGGCCTTCAAAGTCTCGCGCCATTTCTCGCGAGTCGTCACCAGCGGATCTGACCTTGTGGCCAGCACTCGAGCTAGATTCTGCCAACGAAAGTGGAGAGCTCGCCTTAGGCACGTCTGTGTCTGTGGGCTCGCCTCGAGCTTTGGAAAGAGCATCTTCCAGCTGGGCTACCCTGGCCTCGAGCTGTTTCGTGTATGACAAAGTTGGGGCTCTGTAAGCGTTGATCGCGAGAAGTTAGCAATGGGTTGGAGTGAAAACATGCACCAGTCGGCGCGAGTTCGTCATCCCATTTTGTGAGCTAATATCTTTTTAACATGCAAAGTGCGGTAGCCTTACAAGCTGTAAATGCATGTCTCGCCTCGCGCAGCACAACGCGAGCACGCCGGGCTGGCTCCGTTACACTTGACCTGTCAAACGCCTCTAGGGTTAGCTTCAACATTAATCATTGCATTCCGCAATCCACTTTCATCTCGTCTCGGATTCTGTCCGACTTGAGGAAACTCACTTTACGTTTGCGACAAGCCTCGCACGAGAATGCACTCTTCCGTGGCAGTGCACTTTTCAGCGGCACATCAGACATGTTCTGATCATCAGCCATCGTCGAGGAGAGGTACTTTCACGCTGGCAACCCGATGCTGCCGGGTTCCATTGGTCACAATTGAGGCCCATATGCCGATTAAATGCAATACGAGAGAAGTCGGGCACCAGGGATGAGGAGGGGAAATTCACGGCGAAATTTCTGGCTCCCGAGAGAGGCAATCCGGCGTGGGGCGACTGTGATAATCGCGGGGACAATCAGAGTGTTTATGATTTAACCTTCTTTTGGCATCGGTGGACCAGGAATTTTGTCCATTGCTCTAGATTTATCATTCTGGCGTGTCTCTTGGGACCCTCACTCAGATACCGGGCAAAAAGACCCGAAGCAGAACATCTGCGGACTTGCGTTGAGAAAGATGCCGCGACACCTTCCTGGAGAGAACGCGGTTAGGGAAATTGGAGAAGAGCGACATCGCAGGGCTGCGGTCTCGGGCACTCTTCGGGTGAACCGCGCGCCCAGCCGTTTCTCACAGCGAATATCGTGACGGTTCTTGTTGCCTCCGGCAGTCATTGGATGGGAACCAGGATTGGTGACTGTAGGATCGCCTTGAAGCCGGGTCGGGAATTCCTGGATCCGTTCAATCTGAGCCCTCGGCATGCGCCATGCACTGTGAGCATGCAGACTCCTTCTTTTTTGGCTCTGATGATTTTCCCTTTAACCCAATTTTGAAAGTGCTTGATCCGATCTGGCCCTCGTTCTATGGTTCGAGTGGAAATCCCCCGAAATCAGCTTTATTGGGTGGGACGGCGGCACTTGCAACAAGAAGCATCCACCTCTCATCCTCATGGATATTCAGATTTCAGATACGAGGATCTTCGACGGAGAGTGGCGGCCTTCATCAACCTCATCATGACGACCCAAGAGGTGAGCGATCGCTGGATACATTCGGCCCTCTCTGGTCACTGCGAGGATAGACAGTCAGCGGGAGTTGCTTCGCGTTCTCTCCTTGAACAGGCCCTCTCTGCTCGTTCGCTCTGGGTCTCCTGCGCACGGGGGAACCAATGAAGCCCATAGGTACCGGACTGTTGGGAAGACGGGAGGGCATGTCTTTGAGACGGCGGCGACATCGCCCAATTGATCGCTGAGGTTTCCAAGTAAGTCGTGGGCCGCGTGGGTCGCCCGGTATCCGTGGCTAGAGGCCGTCTCGCCTTGGCGACAGTCGGGCGCACTCACGGAGCGAATGGCAGATCCGCTCCTGGCAGTTGAGGAGGCATGGGTGGACCTCCAGAAGGATGGGGATCCTCATGCAAAGTTTGGAGCAGGGCGGCAAGCTCAACAGAGTTGGGCTAGCCTGTGCCTGAATCCTGGGCCCTCTGGAGAATGAATGATTCCTGGGAATGAGTAAGGCATTACGATATCAAGCAGAGGGAAATGCCGGAATGTCTGTGGGATGTCGGGAGATGCTTGAATACTACTCTGGTACGTACCTGCACCATCCGCTCTCAGTTAGAAGGTACCTTAGTCACGTTTTGGCGCAAGCCGATATTCCCTCGACAGGGTACCGTCTCGTGACAAAGGATCGATAAGTCCCATGGCCATAAACACTCGTCACGCACAATTATGAGCCTGGAGTGCGCTGTCAGACAGCTTCTTTTCAATATGCCATAGTGAAGACTTTGTTCTCACGAAGTCGATTGACCTTGACCGGGCACCACTTTCGGTGAAGCGTGTCTGAATAAGGTATTCTAATACACGAGTCATGTAAGCGTCCTTGCTGCACACTCATAGTACTCGGCGACTCGCACACACATTGCCAAGTTGACGAAAGTTGTCAGGGGATGAAGGGCCTGCGCCATGTGGGTTTCACGCCGATGAACCTTCTTTTTCTTTCTCTCGGTCGATGATCCTCGCGCATAGTAACGGCTCAACTCGGCCTCACTTCCTAATCTCTCGCTTGTTCTGGACACGAGAGCCCTCCGAGACATGCCACTCTCGGCATCGCAAGTGATCCATCCAGCGGGGATGCGCTAACCAGTAGTCCAAGCGTCGAGAGGAACGTTTCGCACTCCTGGATTCCTGGGACCTCACATGGCCGGAAGACTTAGCGTATAGTGATGTGGATCTCGATGAGTCGCATGGCCGGTGATCGGCATCAGGAGGTATGTCATTGAACGGTTCTGGACTTACTGTGGCGGCACGTTACCCACTACCGGTGTTTAGTTGACTAGAAATATGATACACTACAAAGTATCTGGAACGACTCGAACGAGTACGTTATGCAATGATGAATATGTAGTTACTAGTTACTAGGTAGTTACCTATGTAGTACCTTATGTACTAAGTACTTGTCACTACCAGCCTACCAGGTAAGTAGGTAGTAGGTAACTTACAGTAGGAAGTTGTAACTATATGAGTGAGTAGTTACTATGCAACTACCACGTGAGTACGTGTAGCTAGTCGCAACTCGCTAGTGCTACTAGCATGAGTAAAGTACCGGAACAGTCCGGAGAAGACATGTTTGGTAAGAGCCTAAGAGGTAATACTACTGGAATCCCGGTGCCGTTGCTCACATGGTATTACCATTAGGCCATAAAAGGTCTATGCCAGACTATTCGATACGAATAGTCTGCATGTAACGGTATATATAGTCAGTTGATCCGTACCCGCCTTGCGGCATGCCTCTGGGATCACACTACCTAGGTAAGAAGGTAGTAGTAGACTTACTCACTACTACAAGTAGTTAACTACCTGTTAAAGGTGATGACTAACTCGTACTGTAGTGCTAACTAGGTGGTTAACTAGTATATACCTAGTATGCTGAGGTATCATGGACTATGGAGCACGGCGACACCTCTAATGCCTAGGCGCAATACCAAACTTGAGGAAATTGAATTTACAGGGGTGGGTAGTTGAAGAAGAGATGAATGATCACGTCAATGTGATGCTCAAGTACAGTACATGTATGCCTTTTGTTCCTCCCGTCTCCAGTATTTTGCTTCCTCCCTCGATCGAGGGATTCATCTCTCATCCCGCCATCTATACAAGGTTTGCAAGGATGTATGCACAGTGCAACGCTCCCAAGCCGCCACCGATCATCGACAGCGGACTTCTTACCCCAATGAGACTAGTCACCTATTTCTTCCCCTTCTTCTTCTTATCCTTGCCTTTCGTTTTGGGGGCATCGCGCTCCGATTTGCTCTTTTTCTTCCCAATCATTCCCTCTTGTCTCAGCTTGGCATCATCGAGTCGCTTTCGATCCTTGTTACTCAGCTTGACTTTGTCCTTCTTGGAATTGCTGTCCGGGCCATTAAGCTCGGTCCGGCCCAGCTTACGGGCGGCCCGTTTTTGCGTCTCCGTCTCAAACCAAGTTCGTTTGGGACGAGACATGATCTCCTGGCCGTGCTTCATCAAATTCTCGCTCTTGTTGAACTGCATCTCCGCCTGTGCCAATTGCTTCTCGGTCTTCTCTTCTTCAAGGACCTCTTGCACCTCGTCGGCAAGATCATCAGCCCTTTGCGCCCATTCATCAGCAACGGCCATTTCGACAACCCGACTGACGATCTTAGCACCCTGAGCCTTTCCTGACTTGACGGCCATTTTGACCACTTTACGATCAGGCTCGGCAGCAATTGTGCAAGCACTTCCAGAGCGACCGGCACGGGCGGTACGACCAACACGATGCAAGTAGATCTCGTGACTTTGTGGCGCTTCGTAGTTGATGACGGTCTCGACGCCCTTGATATCCAGACCACGAGAGGCGACGTCGGTGGCTAGGAGGAAGGAAACCTTGCCGTCACGGAAGTTCTCAACGGATTTGATACGCTGGATTATATACGTTAGCTCTACTGCTCATCGGAATTGCGAGGGCGTGGCACCGCATACCTGTTCCTGGCTCAAACCACCATGGAGCTCCGCGGCCCTCAATCCAAGTAGACCGAAAATGACACGGACTCGATGCGCTTCCTTCTTCTGACGGAAGAAAATAATCACTCGCTGTTGGTAAATCTCTTTGCAAAGATATAGAAGGTAACCCAGGCGCTTATCCTCGCGACCAGGTCGCAGACGGACAAACTCTTGAGTCAGAGTGACGGCGGTCTTCTTCTTCGCATCAACCATAAGTCGCACGGGCCGGTTGAGGCCGACACGAATCAGCTTGTCGACGGTATCAGTCATCGTAGCAGAGAACAGCATGGTTTGACGCGACTTGGGGATCGTAGTCAAAATTTCATTCAACTCATCCGCAAATCCATCTTCGAGCATTCGATCGGCTTCATCCAGAACGAGAATTTCTAACGTGTCCACCGTGAAGCTCGGTGAGTTGCGCATGTGATCGATGAAACGACCCGGAGTCGCAATGATCACATCAGGGCGCTTCTTCAAGACATTCTCTTGTTCACGGAGACTAAAACCACCGACAAGCTGACAAAATGTCACATCCGTGTAGGTTGCGAGCTTGACTGCGACGTTGTAACACTGAACCGCCAATTCACGAGTGGGCATGAGGATGGCGACACGGCTGGTCGGAGTTTTGCGAGGACGGAAAAGAAGACGCTCGAGAATGGGAACGATGAAGGCGCCGGTCTTACCGGAACCGGTCACGGCACTTCCGACAATGTCTTTGCCCAGAAGAGCGACTGGGATAGCCTTACGCTGAATTGGTGTGGGATCTGTGAAGCCGACGGCGGCTAATCCACGCAAGATGGGACGCGATAGGTTGAAGTCTTGGAATGAGCTGTTCGCCGTAGCAGTTTTGTTGTCGGCGTTCTCCTCAGGCGCGAAGAAAGCCTTGCGCTTCTCAGCCTCCTCTTCGTCTACCTCGCTCTCAATGTCAGACTCACGGTCAGAGCCGACATCGTCAGGATGCTGAACGGGGGTGGCGACGGAGTCATTGTCGGATGCGGCATCATCATCATCGTCAATTTCGTCATCTCCTTCGCTGTCGCTGTCCTCTGGCCCGGACCCGGGCTCAGGGCCTTCGGCCTCACTCTCATCCTCCCCGTCTGCTCCCATGCCGAATGCGTCCTCGGCAACAAGTTCGTCGTCTTCAAAGTCCACGTCCATGGCCTCATTGCCTGAAGGGTCTTCCTCATCTGAGCCGCTAGCGCTGTCGCCATCTTTCTGAGCCTGCTTCTTCTGCTTCTTTTGATTCGCAGCTTCCTGCTTCTCCCTCCTCCGAGAGATGATATCGTCAATGTCCACGGCCTTTTTGTCTCCTTTGCCGTTCTGCTTCGAATCTTCCAAGCCCCAGCCGTCAAAGCCCTCGGTGACACCCTGATTGGCCACACCACCAACGTCAAATTCGAAATCTGAATTGAGCGCATCGTCTTCAGCCCCCGGAATATCCTCCTCTTCGACATCTTGCTCTTCTTCAGAGTCCTCGACCTTGGCTTGGACTTTGCCTTTTGGTCCCTTCACCTTCACGTTCTTCTGCTTCTTATTCTTGATTTCGGAAGAATTGGCCTCACGTTTGCGCTTTTTCGAATCGGTGCTGGGGAGCTCTTCGGCAAGCTCGTCACTCTCGTCGTCGAATCGGGGAATGTCTTCATCGTCGGACAGTGTTAGAACGAAATCGTCGTCCTTAGGGGCGCTTCGTTTCGACCCTTTGGGAGTCATTGTGAAGACTCAGGAATGGAATCAAATCCAGGAATTAGAGAAATCTTGTCCTTTGTGTTTCGCTTCCAAATAGCGAAAAATCGAGTGATTTGCAAATCCCTATCGCCGTATAATCTGCACGGCAAGAATTAACTGCAGAAAAAAAAGTTATCCAGGCGGTGAGATTCCGGAATACAGGTGTCAGGCACAATGTCTGCCCTGGCTCGGAGGTGGTATAAACTCCCTCAGACCGCCCGGCCCTTACTTGAAGTTACTAGTAGTTAGGTAGTTACTGACTGTTAGTAGTTACTACTTCAGTACTTACTACTTAACTTACTAGGTACCTAAGTAACTTAATTGGAGTTCCCAGCCATTATCTTAGTCAGTAGCAAAGGGTGATACCTACGGAGGTACTTGCAATAGTCAGCAGACTCAACGCCCACTGTAGCTCGAGGCAGTCACCGCCCTGGCTGTGAGGGACCCGATCATGCTAGATCTGCTTTTGTTATATCGTCATTCAGTGTCTCAATGACTACGAGTGTCAATGATCAGATATCGCTCTTTGGCGGATTCTTCAGATCACCTGCTCCGGCCTAACCAGTGGACAATGATGGTGTGTGCAACACTGTCTTTCCTTCCATGTCAAAAACTCCCAATATCAATCATATGTTCGGTTATTGGTTGAAGACGTCATGACAGCTTAATCACATCTTCTTTATCAAGGACGACTGGAAAAGACTTTGGCCAACGAAATTTTCTGAAATAGAGTTTTTCTATGTCCAAAGCACCCGACAGCATCTACTCCTTCCATGGACCTTCATCCATTTCACCCGACCTGCCCTGTCTGCTTCTTTTCACGCCATGTGATTTCAGCTCTGCTCAAGTGCTGAGCTTGTGAGCTGTTATCTTGTCCGGCCGTGATCTGCCCCTGCATGTAAGCGTCTGGGTACGCGTCTACCGTAGTGGGCTGCTTTTTGTTGATACCACGGCTCAGGCAAAAGAAGTTCTCACTAATACAAACTTGTTCAGTTTATACATCCCGCAAAAACACAAAATCTCAAAATCAATGGGCTTTGGAAAACTCACGCATGGCCATGCTTTGGTCGGTCCTGTTTCGATTCACCTTCATATTTGAAGGCAAATCGTCTCATCAGCCAGTGCCAGATGTATGCATGCTCTTCTTCCCGCTGTGCTGGGTAAGAAATAGCGCATGTCAACTGCTTCAATCGAGGCAGTGACTTCTCCATGAGGTCTTCTAGTTGGCATTCGGTGAGGAACTGGGGTTGATGATTCCAGTCCATGATTGACAGAATACAATCTACCAGCCGATTACCATAGCCACGGCCATTCATCTTGGGGCAGACATAGACTCGCAAGTCACCCAACAAAGAATCGCCCTCGAAGATGTCAATGTAAGCCAACCCGCAGATGGTTTCATTGCCGGGAATCGGAGTCGTTGTTGCGGAGCTGCTCGGAGAGGCGTCGACTTTGACCAGGATCAAGAAGGGAAGGTTTTGGATCAGGCAGACTTGAAGGAATTGGAAGTAGTCTGCAATGGTGAGGAAATTGGACGTCCAGTTCAGTGCGTATCTGGTCGAGTACCAGTTGATGATTCGGAGGACATCCTTGAAGTCTCCGAGTTTCGCTGAACGCACATAAATGTGCTCTGGCGAGGGCATACAGAAGGGGGGAGATGTGGGTTGAAGAGACCCTCTTGCTTCCTCGGGGCCTGGCGTGTATGTCGCTTGCTGAGGATACCACATCCTCGGATACTGGCCCGTCACTTGAATGTGGTCATCCGCATGAGTCTGACGCATAATTTGAGTGGAATGCGTCGCTTGTGTCTGATTATGCAGATGTCTAGAGTGAGTACTTGAACTTTGAGCCTGATCCGTGGAGACAGCCTCAGCTTGTCGATACGCGCGTTCCCATGCTGGTTGGTGGACGGGCGTGTAAATCTTCCACGGCTCGGGGTGCTCAGCGAGGACTCTCTGATATGCGAGCTCCCACTCAAGCCCCATGCCATGGCTCAGATGTGTGTTGTCTTGCCGAACTGGATTCATCTTGAAGACCGGATCGGTGACGAGGATTTGCAGCGTCGGTAAGGTGACGGCGAGATGATTTTATCAACGTCCTGCGTGTCAGGTTGAAGTGTCGAAGGGCGAAAGGGACGGGAGAAAATTCAGTATCTGTTGAGATGAGTTCCTCACACGGTGAAGACGTTTGCTTTTCTGTCTATTTCCATCGCAGTCTCGCAGCCTCGCGGCCTGGGCCTGCCCAAGAGCGCTCGGATTGAGGTATGATGTCGTCTCAGGGGAAGGGATCAGAGTAGATGGAAACATTCTGGTCATGATTGAGGATAGGTCAGAGAAATCCGGCAGAATTATCACTTCGACACTCGAAGCTTTGTCAGATCTCCCCTGATAGTTGAACGTGAAAAGACATTCCATGGTATAGGGTGCGCTTTGAGTCTTGCTCAATCAATTGAAAGCCGTTCCAATCGAATACCTCTTCTCGGTGCTCAATTTCACGAATGGCAAGGGAATCTAGACAACGAACTGCCATCTTAGCACACAAATGGAATCATATGGGTTGGTTGACGAGGCGCACAAGGCATGTATGTGATATGAGACAAGGATATTCTGACGCTTTTTACCATACAGCGAGTAATCGTGAACGTTTGAACCCATCATATACAGCGGGAGCGACATCATGGAATCTTCCACTGTGGCCTCGATTGTATAGAGCGGTCTCCCAGAATCTCTTCAATCCTTTGACCGTGTACAGATCTGCACCGTTGCCTCAATTCTCTGTTGCAGCACCAGCCATTTTCCTTTGGCGTATGCTCCGTTGAAGATGTAGAATCTGATAACACTCCGACTACTAAGATAACGGTGCAGGAGCCCTAACCAGAAATGATAAGACAGCGTGCAATGAGCACATCGCTCTCTGTATCGTCTTTCGATTGATCGGTCATTTCATCTTTCAGCCTGTCTTTCCGTCCATGTTTCTGTTTCTTTCCCTTAATCTTTCTAACTAATCTTCCATCAATTCTTTCGTTTATGGTCTTGGTCATCCCGATCATTCTTAAATTTTATCCATGAAAGTCGTATAGACCTACCTCGACCCCGAGGGCTGACGGAAGCGAGTGTGGCCGAGTCCTACGCACCTCAATAATGGATGCCTAGCTATAATCACAAGCGCAGTGAAACAGAATTTTGAGAGGCTCATTGATGTGTTTTTGACAGGTCCTCATAGGCAGCGAAATTCATTCAGCGACTCTCAAAGGGCAACCCGAGTATCGCGCATCAGCGGTGCGCTAGTGGAAATTTTGAGCTATATGGACTCTGATTGATGTTTATTGACACTGGTAACAAACTCGGGGCTATCCTGATGTAACACCGATAAGCCACTTCAATAGATCAATGATGCTTTATCAGCGAGGATGAATTGAAATTCTTCGAAAGGCAAGCTCGAAGCAAGTGAAATTCTTGTGAATGCAAGCCGTTGAATCAAGCTTCCACTCGGCGGTAAAGCCAGTTTGGTCGGGCCGAACCCGACAGGTGTCGATAAAGCGGAGGGTCAAATTGGACGCCGCCACACCCCAGAGCCGCCGCTTCTGCCCCTCCGCAACACCCAGAGAGACTCCCCCAAGTGGCCACTGAGGAGATCATGTTATCGATATTGAGAAAAGCCCGGCTGAAGGACAAGGAGATGAGAATTCTGATGCTGTATGTATGATTGACCCACTTGATGTGAATGACACGGTTCTCATTGTAGGGGGAATCAGGGGTCTCGACAATGCGGGCAAGACCACCATCGTGAAGAAGATCATGAATGAAGACGTTACCACCGTCAGCCCCACTCTTGGGTTCATTATCAAGACTATTGACTTTGAGGGGTGAGTTCCCTGTTCCTGTCCCGTAATTTGAAGTGAAACTCGTCCTAACGTTCAGAAAGATACAAGTTGAACATATGTAAGCCAACTTGCATCCGTAGCTGGTTCTGGAAAAAGATGCGGCGCTCCATCATGGCGGCACTGACAACCATATCCAGGGGACGTGGGTGGTCAAAAGACCCTGCGGTCATATTGGAAGAATTACTTTGAGAAAACTGATACCCTGGTGTGGGTGGTTGATGCTACCGATCGTCTTCGTGTCGATGATTGTCGACAGGAGCTGGCTGGACTGCTCTTGGAAGAGGTACGTGCCGTTGTCCATGGTCGCAAACATTTGAATCATTGAGCTGAAATTATGGCCAGCGCCTGATGGGTGCTACTTTACTGGTTTTTCTGAACAAAACCGATGTGGAACATTGTATGACAGAAGACGAAGTCCGACAGGTAGGTCCAATTACGCCTCGACAGGCTGCCATCTCACAGGAGCAATGCTACCATCGCCGGTCTGATATACTAACTTGAAATGCCATACCTTCACCAGCGCCTTGAGTTGGATCTTATTGTAACGCACAAATGGACCATTCTGCCGTGCAGTGCGATGACAGGCAAAAATCTCATCGAGGGGTTGAATTGGGTGGTACAGGATGCCAAGGATCGTCTATTTTTATATTAGGCCTTCAGACCAGGAAGCGTGGTATGGAAACTGTATTTCCACACTCCAATGCCACAAGGTATCTGCCAATTTTCGCAAAAGATTGTCTTGAATCACCCATCATTAAAACGTAGAATTCAGCTGCACCTCTGGATGTATATGGTCCGTGATATCCCTAGGTAGCTAGGAGCGCCCGGATAGACATATCAGCTGCTGGGTACCTCCCCCGCCAAGCTACGAAGCCCCTTCAGCCTGGTAGGCAATTGCCAATGTGATTACAGCCTTCCAGTGCCGATATATGGAGACAGCTATATACCGTCCACCACGTTGCATTCAATAAACACGCTAGCACATCTAGGTATTTACCTGATACGTTCATGAATTCAGCGTATCTTTCCATATAAAGAGTATTGACTGTACGACCCCTGATTCAAGCACAAGAGTACCAGGCATTTTAGAGGCAGGGGATGGATTGTCCGACAACCTGTCCGCACTCCGCAGTACAGTTGGGAGAAGCCCCACTCTGGAAGTTGAACAAGTCCAAAATGATAGTCCGAGTGGAGAAGCCAACTGCAGTAGTGCAGTCAACCGACCATTATGCAGCACTAGTGGACGTATTCGATCGTTGAATATCAAAGACCAACCGACCGCAGCTTGATCGGTAGGTTACTATCGAAAGACCCAGGGGGGTTTTTATCGATCAAAAGAGGGATAAGTAGTTACCATCTTGTAGGTGTTGGATACGTTCCTGGTTCCTGCAGGCTGGCGATGGTGGCGACATGGGAACAAGGTCACGTGTCACGACACGGGAAGAGACTGGCCCAACGCCCTCACCGCGTCAACATGGTTCCTATTAGCCTGACTTGGGATAGCCTCATTGATGATTTCTAGCAATCCGCCGTCTTCGACTAGCAAAGTATGGGATAATCGACTCTAGCAAAGGCGCCCAAGCATGTTGGGCGAGAATGTCGTTCCGAGTGGACTCGGAATGGGGTCTTGGTTGCCGGCGCTGCAAGGAACGGTACCAATGATTGATCCATCCTCGGACTGAAAGACCATTTGTCGTCCATGACCACTATCATTAGGTTTCATATGATCTCATCTGGTTCACGATGCTAAAATTCTCAACCAGCCGTCACCCTGATCATTGTGAATCACCGCTAGGCTCACCCGGTTTCCCATGGCATCGGGCAACGGAACCAGATTTCGCAATCGTCAATTTGCGGCTTCATCCCATGGAACCCGTAGCTGGTTATTTCCGAGCAAGTCAACGACCCAGACTGAAGCGGGGCTGAACGGCCAGGACCTGATCCACTCCACAATTGTAAACAAACACAGCATGCGAGGAGTGGATGACTGAACGGTTCACTCACAGCGGTCGGAGCGTCGTCGAATCGGTCAAATTATGGAAGCGTCAACTACAAGAGAGTCCATCTGTTCGTCTTAAGGCATCAGGCGCACGTTGAATAGGTATGCTAGCATCGGAGGCCAAAGTACGAATGGTCCGAATGACAATAGAGGTACATGGTCCATTTGGGGCCACCACGGATGTGGTATGTTTTGCAGGATGTAGATTTTCCGAGAACAGTGCTTCCACCGGGCAGCGAATCTCATCAACAGAAGGGAGTCATCGGAGTGTGGCCAATGAATCTATGATGATCGCGGCCTGTCCCTCATTTGATTTCCACAGGGCGGAGAACCACTCGGCGGGAGGAGGCTGTAGGCTCAGCTGTCGGAAGCTATCGCACTCTCTTCTTGCACTATTTGCATTTACGGCACTCTCGAGTCCTGACCCTCTTTCCACATCAACTTCCTCAATCTCTCCCTTTCCTCAACCCCTCGTTTTCCCCTTCCTTCCCCCTACCACCTCTCTGATTTTCGTGTGCAGAGTGTACAGGTTCATCTTCACTCGTCCGCGCAACAACAGGGAGAATGACAGTCCCCGCCAACCCCGATGGGGCCGAGGACGTGAATGACTTCCTGCAGCGAATCCGAGATCTCGGTGAAAATCGTGACAAGGATGACGAGGAGCGCACCAGAAAGTTGGAAGAAGAAATTATTCAAGGCCGAAAAGAGAGACAGGCCCGCCGAGCTGGTATCATTCCCCCTCACCCAAAATGACTCCTCAATTGCAGGTTCCTCCGCCAAATGAAAGTTCATACCCCGCGCGTCAAGACCGGTGGCCATCAAGGCAATGAAGACATTATTAGAGTTCTTATCAGAAGCCGCCATTTGCTAATTTGATCACATTACTAGAGCGAGCCCGATCAATCGCGGAATCACCGACACTGAACGCCTTCAGATTGAGCGCTTCATCACTCAGTCAAGTGTCGGCCATTGAACCACCCGAGCAGCTGGAGCCCACTCTACAAACGTCGGACCTCGACATCTCGAGTCCGTCATCTCCAAACCACGGCCGGGGGAGTTCAGTCACGGATCTGACGCAGGAAAATGATTCATCAACAGCCGCACGAGCGCTACCATCTATGTCACGCAGCCGGGCGGGAACACTCTCATGGCAGCAGCGCCCATCTTCGCGCGGTTTAGGGAACACCTCTCCCGGCGCGATGTCTCCCAGTCGGTCAAGCCACCTAAGGAATGCTTCCACCGCTTCAGATATGCCCGAATTGTCTCGTGCCCAAATCGCTCAAAGTCTGTCGTCCAAGGACCCAGCGTGGTTTCGTCAAACACCTGAGCGAGGAATAGGATCGCCGGCACTGCGGAGACCCGAGTCACGCTCGGGAAGTCCTACGGATTTGGGACCTGGTCGTCCACTACCTGGATTGAGTCGTCCCTCGACCGCAGAAGCCGAAAATATTGGGGAAACAGAAACCAAGCCTCCTGCAGTGTCTCGACCCGCTTCCACGATTGGCGACAGCCCCCGAATCTCCAGCGTCCTGTCAGCAGCTCCCGCCAGTGGCCTCGCCTCCCCCGTCACCCTCACGGGCCCAACTAGACTCGATCCCTCACAGAGTGACACCCCCAACGATCATGTGCTGCCGTCCCCGACCCAGCGACGAATGTCCCCGGAGCGGACTCGTTCAACGTCACCCACGAAAGGAATGGGTGGCTTCGTGCAAAGCGCAATGATGCGCCGTTCTGATAGTGTGTCCAAACGCTGGAGCGCCCAACTACCGCAAGGGTTGACACGCAGCAACTCCATTCGATCCAACCGTAGTAGCGTAGCAGGGCCGATTCTCTCTACAACTGTCAGCGATCTGTCCCCGTTGAAATCTACCGGCCTAGGAGGCGAGGTATCCCCGGCGCCTCTCCAGCAGCGACCGAGCTCAAGCGATAGTGACGCGGAAGGTCACTCTAAAGAGTCGGCGGAGCGACCAACAACGCCCTCTGCCTCCGTGCATGAGACACGTGCAGAAAGAAGCCCGAGTCGACCAGATTGTTTCGCCCATTCCCGCTCGGCTAGTTCGATGACCGCGGACAGTGGGACGGGCGACACTCCTTCCAGCCCGTTCACCTCACGCACTATGGATCCTCGTCGCTGGAGTCCCACCAAGGCGACCTGGCTGGAGAGCGCCCTCAATCGACCAGAATCACCCCGCGCGCAGAAGCCACCACCCCCTGAACAGCCCTCATGGGTACGGGATCGACAGAATCGTGCGAGTGTCGACATTGGTCGGCTCAATAATTTCAAGGAGGTCACTCCCGTGGGCTTGATGCGAACCCCCCGCCTGGTGGTCACTTCAAGCAGCCGAGTTTTTCTGGCACTACAGTGCCTCCGGTTGTGTCTGAAACGAGCACAAAATCACAGACCGTCGAGCCAGAGTCGTCGTCCAACTCCACAACCACCACGCCCGTTGCTGTTACTGCTCATTCGTCTCCTGATGGGCAGCCGTCGCTCACAGGCTCTCCTGTAGCTGCCCCAAAGGATCGAGATGTCGAGTCGCCCACGCCACGGAGACAGGAGAGTCAAGTCAAAAGTGAAGAGTCACTCTCTCCCTCCACGTTGCTTTCTGAGGAAGATGTTCGGTCCGGGGAACCGAAGGCGCAACTGCGCAAGACTCCAGGGCCAGCATTCACCAGGAAATCTCCCCCTCCGCCACTCTCCACCAAGCCGAACTTCTCTCTGCCACTTAGGGAACCACCTTTGTCCAAACCAAAGCCACACTCGCCAGTTGTTGATTTCAGGGCAAACTTGCGCAAGCGCGAAGTCACCAAGGAGACCGGTCCCCAGGCCGAGCCTGAGTTCAAAAATGTGTTCGGTAAATTGAGAAAGGCTGAGACACGCAACTACGTCCCACCCGACGAGTTGAAGGGTAACATTCTTCGTGGCAAGGCTGCCCTTAATGTCACTGGTGGCCCGATCAAATCGCCTCGTGTCGACGATCTCAAGGAAAGTATTCTCAAGCGCAAAGAAGAGATGAAGGCTGGCGGTGGAACCATTAGGCGCAACACAATTGAAGAGAAGGATGCACCACCTGTGGTGATTCCCGAGGCTCTAGTCAAGCGTCAGTCGATGGCCTCAAATACCAGCTCCAAGCGTGAGGACGCAGGATCGGCTGTTATTGCAAACGTTCCCGACTCGCCAAGTTCTGTGCTCGAGAAGCGACTTTCACCATCCCCACCCACTCGTCGAAGCGTCGATGTTACTTTGCCAGACCTATCCTCGTCGATCGACAGTCACCAGAAGGCCGAGTCCGAGAGCACGAAGTCGGTCATCCCCAACAAACAAGAATGGCAGTCACGGGTCAATCCGACCTCTAGAGAGATCGAAGATACACATGATGAACCGGATACACGTCGCGACTCAGCTACCTCGCTTCGTGGTTTGCCATCCTCTAGGCGATCCATCCCCACGTCGCCCGTTGCAAATCCGTATTCGCCCGTCAAGGGAAAGCTCGCGAATCGTATCAATCCTGCGCTTTCAGGAATTCTTGCTCGTGGGCCTTCACCCAAGGCCAATTCCAGTTCCCAAGATATGACCGTTTCGTCTCCGCAAGAAGGTTCGTCTGCGTCCCCGGCGGCGCCGCTCACACACATGACGAAAGCTCGTGCCAGAGGACCCAAGAGAAGATTGCCAGGAAGCTCCGCTGCTCCTGCAACTTCGCCTTCGGTTTCATCCGCGCAGAATACTACGGAGGTTGGTGCCAATTCTACTTCTGAAGTCTTATCTCCGCAGCCCCTATCCGAGTCTAAGGTCTCCTTGGAGCCTTCTCTGGAGAATGTGCCTAGGGAAAGCCCGGTTCTCGATACTGAATCCGCTCAAGCAGTGAGCCCCATAACGGACAACCATGACCCGGGAAATAGAGCCAGCAGCTCGCACACCCTGACCGACAGCGCAACTTATTTCAGACTCGACAGCATATCGCCTCTGTCGCCGGTGTCACCCATCTCGCCAGTCTCCCTTATCTCGACGCCAGAGGTAAATCTAGGCTCTTTCGTCAGCGATCATAGCAACAAAGAGAACATCGACCAAGATCAATATGATTTGGACAACGTAACACCGGCGTTGAGCCCCATTTCAGTCAGAGGCTCCTTTCCCCCTAAGCCAAGCATGGCGCTGTCCTCGAATTTCTCGTCGTCGCCTTCCACTCCAGTAGCCAAGCCGCAATGTGCGCAAACTCCTCGGTATTCTTCGCCATCTTCGCCTTCTCCTCTTCGCACAAGCTTCAAAGATAATTACTCTGTCACGCCAGCCACGCCACCCCAGAAGCCACTCCCAGCCGTGAGCGTAGCGGCCCCTTCACCCCATTCCAAGGCTCTGCCTTCTCCCCCAGTCCCAACCAAGCAATCCAATACATCCCTCAACAAGCCCAGGCACTCCCATAAGTTATCTCGAAAAATGTCTGCCCCTTCTCTTGTTGCGCAAGCCGCGGAAGCGCGCGACATTCTCGGCGTCTTTTTCAAATCCTTTCCCAACCCCAAAAATCGAATGGATATTGACCCTCAGCTTATGCTGACGAAAGAAGCGGAGACGATCAGACTCAGGACCCTGAAGAATATCACTTGGGAACTCACCGGGGACGGCAAACGATATGATATGCCCACGAATCAGGAATACGTGCTGTACGAGGGCAGTATGTACCTGTGCGTGCATCGCTTCGAGATCGAAGGTCAATCCGGTACCGAAGTCTATCTCTGGTGTGGAGACGATGTTGAAGCAGCTGCCTTGGAAAGTGCACAGGTCTATGCTCGTAAGATCAGCCGCGATAGTGGCTGCAAATTGGCTGTAGTCCGACAGGGGAAGGAACCGGTGCGGTTTATCCAAGCCCTTGGCGGTATTCTTATCACTCGGAGAGGCGCCAATTCCCGATCGAACTCGTCTGCGCTGTACATGCTTTGCGGACGCAAACACATGGGTCAAATGGTCTTTGATGAAGTTGACTACTCGCTACGAAGTCTTTGCTCCGGATTCCCCTTTGTCATCTCAGCACCGTTCGGAAAGGTATATCTTTGGAAAGGCCGTGGAAGCAGTCCAGAAGAAACCGGTGCGGCTCGCTTGATCAGCATGGATCTCGGGCTAACCGGCGAATTCGAAGAATGCGATGAAGGAGAGGAACCCGAATGGTTCTTTGAGGATTTCGCTGGATCCCACGACGCCAATCCCCTGCTGTCCTCGGCATATTGGGCATTGAAGCCGAAGTATGCTCAATTCCGGACCCGGCTCCTCCGGGTGGACCATGAGCTTGCCCAGCCTACTCGGTTTTGGATGCGTCGTCCTGGAGCAGGATCGCCAGTCGTACGCCCGAATGATACTGTCCAGGAAATCGAGGCATTCTGTTGCCGAGATGTGACCGAGAAAGGCGTCTATGTCCTGGACACGTATTTCGAGATCTATGTGTAAGCTGTCCCACTTGGCTTGATCGAGATGTATAGAGATGTTGCGTGCAAGAATCTTGACACTGACCCTGATTTAGAATCGTCGGTGACCAGGCCTTCCAGAAGTCAGCCGATTTTGCCTCTGCTGTTGTTTTTGCACACGAATACGGCATCCTTGCGGCGTCACTTCAAGACCGCCCGTTTATCCCGAAGAGTTTTGTCTCTTTAGGTGGCATCCCCGATCGCTGTCAAAGTGCGTTCCGCAAATGGAGTTCCAACAAGCTGGGTGCTCCATGTGTTTTCCCTCTCGATGTGGTGATAGAGGCCATCCGCTCGTTCGCGCGTGGAGATTGAGCACCACGTCTTCTTTTGCCTCCTTCGCAATCATTCTCCATTTTCTTCCATGTTATTTTATTTTTCTGTGTTTCCTCCGTCCACTATCACTGTGCATATTTTGGCAGGGAAAAGGAGCATCTTGTTGGAATGGGAGTGGGAATCGGCGTCTATCCCCTACTGTTGCTGCTCTTGTTGGGTTATCAATCAGACATCTGCATTTCTCCATCTTTTAGTAGGGCAGCTTCTCGAAAATGAGGAAGGCTTTCATACATGCATACTATCATCTACATACTCTGTCATATACATTGAATGTCTTACCACTCACCTTGATGGATTTTCTCCCAAGCGTGGTCATATATCAAGCATGTCCTTGTTGATAACGGCATGCAGCCTAGAAGACCAGATCAACGGCTGGAGCTGACAGCAGATGATACCTGGTCTCTACGCCGAGGCAGCCTTCGGTCCAATGCTACCACCGCAAATGACGGCTACTTCCAAAATGCCATCTGCCTGGGACAAAAAGAGTGTTGCATAGGTAATAGGACTGTGTTCGAGACCTTTGTCCGAATAAATCCATTGGATTCTGAACCTGGTGTTCGTCTCAACAGACTTTCTATTTCTATTATCCCCGTTTTGATTGCTCTCAGCATGTGCTCAAAAGCCGCCCGGGACGTGGAAATTTTCGTCTGGACCACTGATCAGGGCTGATAGTTGTAGAAAGACCGTTGGTCGGCAGTCGGGACTCGGGACATTAGACGTACTAAGAAATCAGTCTGATGACCGACCGGCGAGTAACTTGGTAGACATCCCAACTAGTTACATAGAAGTAGTTCCCTAAAACCAGCGGGTCACACTTCGTCAGCACTTATAATACCCTCGGATGTCGACATTAGGTTATTCTTTAAAAATCAAGGCGAATACAGGCTATACTTCAACGATCAATCCTCTGTTCGTTGTGCCAAGTTGGTTCCTCTTTGCAGTGTCCGTGGCCTCGTACCAAAGTATTAGACTCCTGTCGGCCTCCATCGAGTAATTGACATGACTCAGACCACAAGCTGAAGAAGAATGAGCTTAACAACAGGGCCAGCCAACGAATTATGCAAACCCAAGCACCCCGGTAGCAATCTTGAAGCCCGTGGCTGAGACAATGCAAGGCTAAGCGATATACCTGCAAAATGCACATGGCCGATCGATCGATCGGCGATTGGGCGAAAGTGTAAGTGTATAAGCTTACTACAAGTCGGCTGGGGGTCGAGAAGTACTGCCGCGGAACGGTTCAACTGACGGCCACTCGTTCAGAGTGAACAACTTGGAATCTCCAGAAAGCCTGCAGGAGACCCTGTCATGATCCAGTCGCACTGCGGTAAGGTTTGCAGCGTCGGGTGGAAACGTGCGGAAGAAGTGGACCCGATCGGGACGGAGTGCGCAAGATTGATTTATCTCCGGGTCACCCATCGCGATTGTCTGGTTTCCGTTTCTAGCGTGCAAGTTGCCGGACACTTAGGCTTGTTCTTTTTTTTGGGGCCTTTGCAGCGCTGGTTGGATTTCTCACTTGGTGTTCTGGTCTGCAATCTGTCCTCCTTTCTTCAATTCTTCCATTCAAACGACAACGGCGAAACATACGTGCAGCGTGATGTGGTGATTGAAAGCCCACTCCGACCCTGTATCGAATCGATCACCTGCAATCCACAGCCCACCTTCACATCGTCTTAGCCGATCATGGACGGTTTCATCGCCCGTGAGCTCCAAAAGCTCGACTCCAACATCCCTTTCCGCGCGACTACCGACTATCTGCACCATACCTGGGCCAAGACCTTCTTCTCCCGACCTGAGCTCTACATCCGCCCTCAGTCGATCGAGGAAATCCAGCAGGTGGTGAAGCTTGCCCGCCGGTACCGCCGCCGCCTGGTGACCGTCGGAAGCGGTCATTCTCCCTCCGATCTGACCTGTACCTCCTCATGGCTCGTCAATCTTGATGACTTCAATCGCATCCTACACGTGGACCCTGAGACATGCCTGGTGACCGTCCAAGCAGGCATTCGCTTGTATCAGCTTGGCCCACAGCTGGAAGAACAGGGCTTGACACTTGACAACCTCGGCAGCATTGATAGCCAGTCCATTGCAGGTGTCATCTCCACCGGTACCCACGGTAGCTCGCTCCGCCATGGTCTGCTTTCAGAGTGCATCGAGTCTCTGAGCTTGGTGCTGGCTAATGGACAGCTGGTGCGCTGCAGTGCAACGAACAACCCAGACCTCTTCCGCGCCGCGCTGATTTCCCTGGGCGCGCTCGGTATCGTGGTCGAGGTCACCTTCAAGGCTCGACCAAAGTTCAATATCGCCTGGCGCCAGGAACGATACTCTCTGTCCAGGGTTCTGAGCGAGTGGTCAACTGGCTTGTGGACTTCGACGGAATTCGTCCGTGTCTGGTGGATGCCCTACGAGAAGGGAGCAATCGTCTGGCGTGCCGATCCGACCGACCTGCCGCTTCAAGCCCCTCCCAAGAACTTTTACGGTGAATCGCTTGGATATCACATCTACCACAACCTTCTGGCGCTGGCTCAGTATGTACCCCGGATTCTACCCTGGGTGGAATGGTTCGTCTTTGGCATGCAGTATGGCTTCCGCCCCGGTGCGGTCGTCACTGAAGCTGTCCAGCCATCCCGTGAGGGCTTACTGATGAACTGCTTGTACTCGCAATTTGTGAACGAATGGGCGTTGCCACTTGACAAGGGTCCCGAAGCCATCATTCGTCTTTCCGCCTGGTTGCATGGTGATCTGGAGACTGCGCGCATTCCGTTCTCTCCCAAGGGCCTCTGGGTACACTGTCCCGTTGAGGTTCGCGTTTCGGACTCGACTCTCTCCTCCAAACCACGACCTTTCCTCGATCCCACGTGCCGTGATGGACCGACTCTGTATCTGAACGCCACCTTGTACCGGCCATACCTTCGTGACCCTCCTTGCTGGAAACGGTACTACGAGGCCTTTGAATGGCTCATGCGCGACATGGGTGCTCGGCCTCACTGGGCGAAGAACTTCACCACCTTGGATTCCACCGAACTACAGCGGCTGTACAAGGCAGACATGGACGATTGGCTGAAGGTGCGCCAGGACGTAGACCCAGAGGGCATGTTCCTTGGTGAATGGCACTGCCGTAATCTGCCCTTGACCGGTCCCTCGGCCGTTGAGGCGGACCTGTCTCTGATGGAGCGCGAGAGCGGACGACGCAGATTAGGCGCTCGTGACGCCGGCGATGGCGTCGAATGGGTTGGCGATCGTCGATGGCAACATGCGCCATCTGAGCGCTCCTCAACATCCTCGCCTGGTTTCCCCACCCCAGAGGGCAGCGAAGACAGTTACGAAGTCATGTCCAAGGGTGAGGCCAGCATTCTCCTCAACGGTGCATAATTACCTCGCCCTTTGTCGCTGAGCAAACATTCCCCCCACCTTGGAGAGGTGAGGGCCGCCGCTTAGTCCCATCGGCGGGGTGAGATCGTGAGTGACGGGCTTGTGGTGCGCGTGAAGGTGACAGGAGGTGAAGGGACATGACTGACAACCTGCGAAATGAAACGCCGAATCACTTGAGATCACTGACTCACAATCGTCAGTATCAGGGACTGTCAGTGTCGTGGGGGAGTGTGGGCCTAAGAGACGATTTGGAAGCGTTGACTTGGCGTGACGAATCTACCTGAGATACCTGAACCAGGCCTCTGTCTCCGCTTGGATGCAGAGTATAGCGTACAGAAGCGTCAAATGTCTGGGAATCGTTTAATTTTCCTTCCCTGGCCTGTCCCGGTACCCGAGTCAGTACCCACGTAGCAATAAATAGACAAAAAAGAGGGAAAACTTTGTTCAGCTGAATCTCAGTCCATCTAACATGCTCAATCAGGAACTAGTAGTCGAAATCAAGTCTATCTTTAGATTGTCAGCAAGACTGTTGTCAATCCATGTCGCAAGCTAAAAGTCAAAGTAACCCCACTCCAGCGCACGGTCAACATCGAATTTGTCATCAGGTCATCATGTCAATGTATGTCTGTATAGAACTACCTAATGGACAGAGTATAGCACAAGAGGTCGGATCAAGTCGGCGCCATTCAAGACTTGCAAATCAATCTGCGCCCAGGCCGTAGGGCGTAGGCGAGTACAATTACCTGTCACCCTGAAGGGTCTTTGTTTCTCTTTTGTTGATCACAGAAAGTGCATTGCATTGGCTCCGACCTGGCAGACGTGCATTCTACATCGTTTAGTGATTTACGAATCATGTTCCCGCGGCGACTCGGGGGTTCTCTCCGATGCTGCGATGATCAGCCAGGCCTCGCTAGCACAATCTTCTATCTTACTACTCTTCTATCATGTCTGAGTCTCTAGATATCCTGATGGGCATCGAGGAAGTGGAACAGGACACTTTTGATCCGCTATCCAGCAAAAATCTGATGGAGTGCCTGTCTATTCCCCGGACGTGAGTTCTATCTTCGGTACAAGTCTGCTCCGATAGCAGGGATAGTATCAGATGGACTAGAAATGTACTGCGGCCCCGTCAAACAAGCACACATCATGTGAATGTTGATCTTTCTTCGACTGACAGGACATACTTTTTGAAGAGGAAGATCAGATCTCGAGAGCCGATTGGCAGAGATGTTACACGTACGAATGATAGTTTGCCGGAAGACCAAAAGACAGGGTTCATCAATGGGGATTGTGGTGTAAGCTCAGCGTACATGGTTGTCACTCTGCTATCAGCCACGCTGACGCATTATCGAGGGTGGGCAGATGCCAGAGAAGAGAAAGCGACAATATCTGGCTAGAGGTGAGCTTACAAGGGATCACTCATGAAGTGGGTGATGGATGAATCTCGCACAGATTCCTTGTACTTCAATCTATGTTTTGTCTATCGTTGTCGGCGAAGAGATCACGTCGTGTATACCACCAGGTGTAGAGCCTGGAAATGCATTCGAAAACAGACGAATCGACGGGTTCACGAGAGTGTGTATGGCTTTGACGAAGAATGCGGAGAAATTCGGTGCGCACAACATGAAGCACGTCAACAGCGCCTGGCGACCTTCAGATGAAGCGAAAAAGTACTGAGGTCAAGGACTCAAGTCCACATCGCAGTCGTGCTGTACTGACTCAGGTCGGTACAAGAGTCAAGAGCACATGACTTACCTCAAGTAGGCTCCAGGTCCAGCAGGAGGGGCCCAGATGCGCTTAGCTTCTTACTCTGCCCTTGATTCGTGGTGCTGTCTTCCCCTCCTCACAACTCCCCCTGCAGGCCAAATTCAAATGTCAGTCTCTCCAATCGAGAACTTCAGATTGGATTGTCAAACATCCTGCAATTCAGAATCCTTCATCTCGTACCACGTTTCTTTGCAACAACAGCTGCAGGACTATCAGGTGATCTGACGTTGTTCAAGGACGACAGGCTGTACCCCGTTCACGACTGCAAGAACAGACCTCTGTTCACCTTGATCCCTGCAGTATAACCAGTGGCCTGTGACCAGAAAAATCCCCGGCAGCAGTAGAGGGACAGGGAGGGCTCTACATGGGTCATCACACACACATCAACCCAACCGTGCTGCTGAGACGACGATCTGGAACCTCGACACTCAGTCGCTATCACGGCGGTTAGTTGATCAGTGGGAAGAGCGGGGAAAGTGGCAAAGATTTATCCTCGTCATCCATCCTCTACGGCCGCCCAGAATGGGCCATCCCCGGCCTTGGGTAGGTCTGAGACTAGAAGAAACGAGAAGTGACACAACATCGCCTACATGCTATCACCACCTGCGTGATTGCCTGGCGGCCGCTTGAATGAAGAGACAGTCTCATTCTTCCAAGGGGTCCGAGCGTTCGGCCTGCTCTCAGGTCCGGGTGATCCAGATCGCAGGGTGTTCCATCGTCGACGCGGCCTCTTCATCATTCTGCAAACGATAGAACCATTATCCTGACTTGCGGCGAAAGTGACTGTCTCATCCGCGAAGCGCATGGACTGGGCAGCAAGTATTCGGGTCTCGAGGAGACCCGACTCAACGCTGGATCCACTGGCGGCTCGGACCGGATCCATCACAAAGATCGCAGACAATTGCGATTGAGCTGACAATTTGATGCTGCATCCGAATGCAAAGAATCCATTCACGGCCAGCGCATCACCGTCGCAAGACATGTTGAGATCGTCATTTGAGTGGCCTGGGGTCACGCGGCGATCTGGATTTTGGGGACATGGTGGCAGGGCAGTCGACTAATATCATTGTACGAAAATAGGACGCTCGGTTTTCCAACGAAGAGTTCTCCCCGGGCGCCGACTTGCGACTGGATCTTGTTGGTAGCCTATCACGCTTGAGAGTGAGACAGAGCGCGCTAAGGCCTTTGCAGCAAACCTGGACGATCTCAGCGTCTAGTGTATCAATGACCCATTACTAGGCCGGGTGATCATCGTGAGCTGTCTGTACGTCTTACAGCCAGATCCTGTTGCAAGACCCACGAACAGCTTACTTACTCTTCCCGGTTGAGGCTTTCCTGACGGCAGGGGGCCCGTCCGCATCACTCCACAGTACACACTACACACTACACGCCCAACCCCTCAGCCTCTCTGTAGAACGCAGGTTGACTAGGTGTACCGTTGCTATCGCCCCCGCCAGACGAAGTACAGAGGAAAGACGAGGAAGAGACACACCCAAAAATTGGAAGATCCTGGGACAAAGCTTCTCACATTGGTCTCTTCCAAATCCAATCAATGCACCTGCTTCCCCCAGGAGGCACCTGCACTAGTGATCATCCACGAACGATTCGAAGTGACGAGCATGCTGCATTCATTGAGGCGATTACGCACGGCAGCAATCGTGTCTTGTATCGGCCATGGTCACCTCTTTCCCCTACTTGACGTCGGATGCGGGCCATGAAAGTGCGCCTGAATTCCCACATCACCTGCCCATTTTCCTCACCTCCTGCGTTCAGTTCTAGCCTCACTCGTCGCCCTTCTTTCACTTCTGTTCTTCTGTTCACGACTAGCTATAGTTTTCAATACTGTGGCAATTGAATTTGTCTTCTGCCTCTCGCGTCGACAAACATAATTCTGAGATTGAGACCTCCATTTGTCTACCTGTTTCACGATGACATGGCAACCCAAGCTCCGCCCAAAGGGCTTCCCTCACAGTCTTGATGATTTTGCCCTCGCATCATTGACTGAATTGGAGCACCGGTCAAGGACAGGCGAAGACAAACGGGACCAGCGCGTATTCCGGGTAAAGCGTAAGCATGTGCTCAAAGCTTGTGATCGATGCCGGGTCAAAAAAACAAAGGTATTTACTTCCTTACCATTAAGCAAGGCAACTATGGTCGTGGATACTTCGAGTGTTCTAACTTGATCAGTGTGATGGCAAGCAACCCTGCAATCGATGCTCGGTATACAATCATCCATGTCTTTTCCGCGAAAGGAAAGCCACCCAAACCAAGGTGTACTCTAGAGGGTCAGTGAAAATACACATGGGTTTTCGAATCAATCAATCACCTTCCGCTAGCGTCGGATATTAACGACGAGATCACAGCTTCGTGGAGATGCTAGAGTCTCACCACGCACTTGTGGTAAAGGCTCTCCAAAAGCTATACAAGTTCTGCATCAACAAGGAAGGGTTTCCTGGAGAACCTCTTGCCGAAGCCCCAGATGGCCATCCGCTTACCCACACGATTCTCGACCGCTTAGGACTGATCAAACAAGCGGAAGAGAATGCAGACGAGGTCGATGAGGATTCGGAAGATTTGAGATACTTGCGTATCCTCTCAACTTCTACGGAATGCAGTGTGACGGCTGAACCATCGCCCGAGCCTACCACACCCACAGAGCCTTCACCAACGACATCTTCTCGAGCCTCGGTCTGTCAGGGCATCTTGACGCCAATGACTAGTCGAAATAACTCGACATGGCAATGGGACATGCAAGCTACTCAACAGACCAATTTGTCCTATCCGGGGAATGGGTTTCCGGGGTTCTTCGCGCCCGCAAGGCCATCAATAGGCTCAGCTGACTCAAGTTCAGGAGACGTATTCTCTCATATAGACAATTCGTCTCCTTCGATCTTATCCCATCATCCACCAAGACATGATCAACAGTTACTGACATATTTCCTGGATCCGGCCAGTAACATTGCAAGCTCTTCGTCAATAGAGTCGAAAAGTGTGGACCGTTACAATCAAGGATTCCACATTTCTGAAACGCATTCACATGCCGCGGCTACGCTTCCTGGCGATGTATGGACTGATTTCAATTTTCCTACACACGATCAAGCGCTCTACGAGACTTTTACTCCTAGTTGGTCGTTCCCATCTGCTTGAGTGAAAAGAGTGACACCATTTTTTCTCACGAGCGATGAAGTGAAGGCTCGTCAAGCATCATTGAGACTCTACATCTTTTTTTTTTGTCTTCATTGTACCTTTTCGGGACATTTCTGGTTCTTGGATTCTACAAGATGGTATCTGGATATTCCTGGACCTATGAAATTGCTTACCTAAGTCGGCTTCCACAAGAATATCATGACTCAAGTGAAATTGTTCACCTTGAAATTCAAACTAATTGTACTCTCTCGCTCCAATCAACCTATATGGCATTCGTTCGTTCATGGGTAACATCCCATCCATTCAATTGAGTAGTGGGAAGACAGCTCCTCAACACACCACAACAACCATAGGGGTTACATAACTAGACACAAGCATTCAACCCGGGATCAGGGAGACCGTATCATTGGCTTATTTCCCTCTAGACGTATGTATGAAGTCCCGAGCGGATACCTCCTGCCCTACCTTTGACAAAATTTCACATTTTCACCACGCTGGTCCAGTAAATTGACGATAAATATACTGAATGGACGTGCCGGCGGAAAGATAGAACAAGACAACTCAAGGGAGAGTGGATTGAATCCGCGATCAAGGAGTGAAAGCTTCTATCCGCACGGATGTACTCTGTATACGTAGGACGTAGTTACATCGCTACCTCCTTATTCTTACCATCCAATTAATCTTGAGTGGTCGTGCAGTGCCGGGTGGAGCCTACTTTCCGTGAAGAGGTATTACGTTGTAGTGGCATTGTGCTGTCTGCCTATGAGGCCATTGTGGCATCAATTTAAGGCGAGGAGCAACCACTGGAAGCTCTCAAATAGACATTGTCGGCATGTATTGGATCATATTTGGGAAAGACCGCTTCGTTACCAGCAAGGCTTCTCGTACAAAAGGGCTTGGAGAGTTCCTTACTAAAAATGAACCCACGCCAATCGGATACCTATTATGCTCCTGACAATCTAACGGGCTTCAGGATGAAAAACCCAAACTAAACACTTGGTAACGACCTTTTTATGTTTTCAAAGCATGTGGTTTTGTGGCCCTGATCCGAGGCCCTGGTATAAGATAAAATAGAGAGATATGCAAGTGGACATGGATACATAGAGAGATGGAACATTTAGATGATGGGAATGATAGGGTTCGAGGTTGCGGGTCCTGAATCCTTTGATGCGAAACGACCAGAATATCACAGTCAACTGTTCAGTAGGGGGGGGGGGGGGGGGGGGGGGGAGAACGACAACGGTCAACAAGCACCCAAAGCATACACTGACCCCCGACCGAAAATAAGAGAAGAAAGCCATCCCCAGTGGAGGAGGGGAAAATGCACATGAAAAGACGTCCACGAGCATGAGAGAAAAGAGTATAAGAAAAAAAAGTCCTGGAAAGATCGACCTTTCTCAGCCAGTCGTGGTTGCACAGGCCCGTGATGGAATCAACCAATCCTGTGCGGACAAACAACGTTGCAATCAGTCCTCGTCTTCCGTCTCGGTGTCGGTATCGCTGGCTTCTTCCGCGTCACCGTCAGTGTCACTCTCCTCGCTGGAGGAATCGGAAGTCTTCCGAGCCTTCTTAGGCTTGGGCGCTTGTCCGGTCTTGAGGGCTTGCATCTGACCAGCGATTGAATCTGCGGGAGAATTGAATGTCAGTATTTTTGCCTCCCGAAGAAGAGCGCGGAGAAGGGTATGAAAAGCCTATGCAGGCGCTGAGACACGAGTGAAAAGTGGAATAGACGTACCCTCATCCGGCTCGCTAATATCATCCTCCTCCTCCAAAGCAGCCGCCTTGGCGGGGTCGTCGATATGCAGGGTAATCTCCATCTTGGTGTCTAGACCCAGGTAACTGTCACAAACCATATGCATGACAAAGGTGAAATCGCCGACCTGCGGTGGAGCCTGGAACTGCATTTTGAGGGTTTGCACGTTGAAAGTGGGTTTGCCACTATCGTCGATAATCGGCTTGTCAAAAGTGGTGAACGTGAATGGGGGAACGGCCATCTTGCCTTGCTTAGCATCAGCCAAAAAGATGTGCCAGCGGGGTGAGTGGTCTCGGGCGAAATAGGGAGCGTGCGCAAGGGGAGGTTGAACGGTTTCGGTCTTGATCTCAACCTTCTTGCCGTCGACCACCTTTGTGGAGCGGTTCTTGGCCGGCTTGCGGCCCATCAATGCATCCAAGTCATCCTCATCAGGATCAATGTCCTCGAGGTCGAGCTCATTGACAGCTGGGACTTTCGTGGAGCCAGGGGGAACGAAGCGTGCCTTCACAACCAGTTGTACCAGACTGCTAGGAGTGATGACCTTCTCGCCCATGACCTTGAAAAATGCCCTCGATACTTCCAACATGGGAAGCTGACGCGCCACGGTGACAGCGTCTGTGTACTGTTTCTCAGAAAGAACTCCCGACTCAATGGTGAGCTTTCGGCGTTCTTCTTCGGACAAACTCATAAACCTTTGGACAGGCCAATGTTCCTTGGAATGCTCGCCTTCCACAGCCTTGATGACCGAGTCTGTAAAGTGGGGTAGCTGCAAGAGAGGTGAAGAACCAGGAGCGATAGCTTGAATGAGATACTGAGACACCTGGAAGGCGCCAAGAATAGGACGAAGGGTACCAAATGCCAAAGAGATTGCCGTGAACGCCTCTCCCAATGAAAGGGCGATGGGGGCAGCCTCGTACTTCTCCGCATCCAACTTCGTATCTTCCAGATCCACACGACCGAGGTATGCCCAAAGCAACGCCAGAGTCTTTCGCCGAGTGATGTCGTCCATTTGCTTGATCGCCTCACGGTCTTTGGCGGTTAAGAATGTCAGATCCTCGGCCAAAACTCTTTTCTCCAGTCTGGCCAATCCCGCTTCGGCTTCAGCTCCCTTCAACATCTCTTTGAATTCATCACCAGCGGAGAGAGCGTTGATGATGCCACCATCCAAGATGTCTTCCTTGTATTCGCGGAAGATGTTACCGGCGCTAGCGACGAGGACGCGCTCCTTGGTGAAGCGTTGAGATCCGTACCACCACTTTCCGACAATGTAAGGGAGCAGGACACCAAGCAAAGCTCCATATACGAGGAGCACATACTTTCCGTTGCCCTCCATGATGATGAGCTTCGGAAGGGCGATGCCAATGCTGTAGCTCTGCTTGCCGTCGGGGTGGCCGTACTGGAGGTAGTTGTTGCGAACCTCCTCATCAGTCAGGGCCTTGTACGCCTTTGTAAGCTCAACGAAGCGCTCATTCAGGGTTTCCATGGTCTCATTCTTGGCGGGATCCGGGCGGACTTTATCAGGATGGTATACAAGAGACATTCTTTTATAGTGGCGTGAGATAGCCTTCTCGTCGGCGCTCTGGAAGTGGAATATGTTAGTTCGGAAGATACTGGCTATTGCCTCGAGCTGTAGCCGCAGGATGTTGCCAAATAGCTGGCTCCAAAACATGACCTGGTGTCCTTTCACATACCCTTGAAACGCCTAGGATTGAATATGGATCATAGAGCTTGGGAGTTGTGCGCGCCGTCACAAAAATCAAATATGCCATCCAGGCCATGATCACATAGCCCGCAATCACGGTGACGATGCGCTTGATTCGGCGCTCTTTTCGCAGGCGCTTGCGCTTTTGCGCCTCCACAAGGTCGGCATGTTCAGGTTTGAAGTCGGATTGAATCCGGGGGGCTGTGTTCTCAAGATCTGCCAGGGGTTGTCAGAGCACTGGAGTGAGAGAGGCGATCGGCCGGGAAAACACACCTTTGTTGGGTCGGAGAAGGTTGTAGGTGAGAGGAAGAGTGACTAGCCCACTCAAGGTTAGGATGAAGAAGGGGAAGAATTGTCCCTGGAAACGCATTGGCGCTGTATGTTAGCAACTACTCAAAGCGCTCTGACCAATCCAACTGAATAGATCTGGAAATCAAGCTCACCTGCTCATCGTAGGTGTAGTCCGACGACATGCTGCGGCGAATTTAGGGCGACAGCGGTTGCCGCCGCGAAACTTTGAGAGATCGTGAAGAGCCGAGGCGCAGACCCGAGAGAGAGTAGTCTGAGTAAGTCAGTGTCGATTCAGAACAACAGAATAACGAAGATGCCCTATAATCGGCAAATTTGAAGCATGGCCTTGGAGGAATCAAAGGAGCGTGGGAGAGAGAGCGCTCACGCTTCCTGATCTGGTGATGACCGTGTCCTCAAGGAGCCGACCGCCTGCCTGAAACTGCAACTAGGCACCTTGTGGGCCAGGCGGTGAGCTGAGGACAACATTGCACCTTTTGAGGGGCCCAGCGATCGGATTCCGCTCGGGGGAAAACTGGACCCTGATTCTTTACATGACAAACATTACCTTCTTCACAGTTCACCTTAGATGTGAGAATTTGTTGTCGGTTTTTGGTGCCATGCAGCTTACAACGACAATACTATCGACGGGAACATAACTCCTTGAACAGGAAATATTTGAAGATATGTGTGTATCGTTGCACTTTTCAGAGGAATATGGTATTTAGACTTTAAGGTCTGATGGTACAGGCTAGATACTGGAGGTGTAACCCTTATACATGAAGTAAGAGAAGTAATGCCAGGTCCCGTGATAATTGATTTTTTTTCACTGTCTATGCAGCAGCCCCATCGTTGGTTCGACCACCTTGCAATTCTGCTGAAACAGATCCGTGGGAGCGACAACCGACGACCCACCATCAGATGGCCCGGAAGACCGCAAAGGGAGTTCAAGCCTCAACGACCTCGCGAGTCGAGGGCGAATTCAACCGATGTCGGTCGTCTCAAGCAGCCGATGGGAGGTCTGACATTCAATCGCAGACGCATCAGATCGCAGACCAGGACCGCCACGGCCTCCGGGTCACGAAGGGGACCAATCCGACCTTCCTTCATGAGGGACGATCTTCATTGCTTCAAGTCAGGGACCCGGGAGATTCCATGTGTTCTGGTTGTCTCAGTTATGCTTGTAGCGTCATAGGAGGACTGTGGTCGAAGGGCGCGCTCAGATGTGAACCAGAGATGTTGAGATGGAGTCTCTGGCCATACCAAACCGGGACTGGATTGTTTTTTTCACGATGATCAGAAAAAGACCATCGCTTCGAGTCGTGATGAAAGACAAAACATCAGATACGGAGTTTTGATAGGTGTTTTTTTTCTTGCTTTTGAGCTTCCCCGATAGACGGAAGAAAAACAGCCAAAGAATGCAGAGATCTCTCAATCTCCCATGGTGATGCATCGCAATCTAATCCCAAAGCCAAGTCAGAAAAAGGCTTGTCATAAGATCAACTCAGATTCTGGCGGTGTCACATACGGGTCAATATAGTCTAGACCGTCAAAGTATTCCAGCATACGATAGCACAGATTCAAATCGTCGCCCGGCTCCCCGCCAAACAGGCGGTATTGCCGCGCCTCGATACCACTGCTGAGTGGTACCTGCTGCGGAGCTTCCTCATGGATCGGCCATACCGTCAACCCAGAATGCCAGATAGGGGCAGGGTTGAGAAGGTGTGGTGAGCCAGGAAGATTGCAGATCGACACAGAGCTGTTGTGCGCGGCGGCGGAGTGAGGATTTTGCGATGGAGACTGGGCCCTCCAGATTGATGCTGGTAAGACTGATGATGGATCTGAGATGGAGTTACAGAACAACCCGAGCAGGTCTCGATCGAGATGTTTTTGCTTGCTCGAGCGAGGGCGAGGGCGGGTACGGCGACGATTGTGTCTTTGGCCCATTCTTCAGATGTTGATCGGTGGTGAACGTTTCACAGGGGAGTATCGGCAGTTTGCTCTGCGGAAGGATAAAAAAAATATGTGCACGAAAGGAAAAGCAACTTTTTGGGGTTAGAGGTTGAAAGGAGTGACCATCACCCCCTTTTGGAAAAGGAAGGATGAGATAGAGCAAGAGGAAAAAGAGAAGCTGGAAGGACGGAGCGGCCGGGATTGTATAGATTTATACAGAGGCTCTACAACGTTCCGGCAAACGAGCCATGAGTCGACCAGGAGTGAGTCACTTTACTCCTTTAGGACCTTGCAAGGGTGCTGACTAACTGCCAGAGCCAATGAGACGACCATGTGGCAGTCTGCCTGACCTGATCAGGACAAGGAAAAAAGGGCAGCGACCCACATTTCTGGGTGGGTCTTGCATGTACCCGGCAGATCACCGTACGAGTTTTTTTTTTCCCTTTTTTACTTAACGAGTGGCGCCTAACCCTTGCACGACAGGAGCGCTTGTCAAAGGCGGGATCTAATGGAGTCATTTCGATCTCCTCGCGGCGTGACTAGCTAGCATGATTCCGATCGCGTGATCCAAGACCCCGATTATCTCTTGTTCTCTATGCTTGACACCATGAGTCCCTATCACTTCGTGAAAGCTTGGGAGTGGAGAAATCGACCGACTTCATGGTGAGCTTCTCATGACGAAAGAATCATGAAACCCTAGCATGTGGTCTGGAATGTGTGAATTTTGACCAAGGTGACTCCACGTCTTCAGCCTGACCAAGCCGAAGAATGACGACAGAGATTTCCAGTTCAGAAACGGGAAAAAATGAGAAAAAGGAAAAGAAAAAAAAAAACCCCTCCCAGAAACATACGGGATCTCGGGTATCGTACGGGTCCTGGCAGCTCCGGCTTCAACCGGCGATTGGCCGTCCAGCAATCCGGCCTCGCACGCTCTGGGAGTGTCCTCATGTACTGGCTACAATGCTGACGGTACAGGAGTAGTCAGAGGCCTATGTACAGTTGTACACAATACACGTGGTCTATCATTGATGCAAACCTCTGCCATTTACATGTGACCAGACTGCATCTACTGCAGAAATGTCTTCGTTGGCCGACCATGGCTGTTGCTTCGATGTCTTGTCCCAATTAGGGCGAGGACCGGCCGGATACTCGGCCTCATGCAATGAAGGTTTATACGCATGTCACTCCAATACTCGCCAGCAACATGAAGCAAACATTGTACGTACTACAGACGAACTAGTCACCAACTCACTATATTACTAATTTTAAATTAGATTGAGAGGATCCCTGTGTGTTGACAGACAGAAAGGAGAGTATGGAGCCTCTCACTGTACATCGCATGAGCTTTCTGAGACGTGCCATGGAGAGGCAACGAGGCATGGTCCAAGTTGTCTCGGAGCTTGCTCTGAATCGCCGAACTAGCGACTTGAAGAATGGAGAACGGCCTGAGTAGACTAAGAGTGTGCGCTGCTATATTTGGGAAAAAGGGGTTGACAGATTTATTGGAGTTTCGGAGAGTAGATTATGTACCAGGTATGTATCTAGCAGTGGAATACAGGGCACACCGGCGCATTAAGACTAGTAGGCTAAGAGTCCATACTACTCCTCCACACGATTGTGGTTGTAGTTTTGTACATATAGCAATAGTACACTCCAAAATTCAAATACAATATTGACGGGTAACACACTGCTGTCTCACACCAGTATATTACTATATTCACTTCCAATTTGAGTACTACGAGGTGGGACTCGCCTGCCCGATGGCGCCGTTGAAGGCATGTCCCGATCTATCGATCTAGCTTTTTCCATTCAAGGTCGCTTGTGGTACAATGGATAGTGCATATTCATGAAATTTTCCGAAGGCAAGCCCCAACCGAGCTTTACCGGGTTGTTTCACTCTGCGTTTTGTACAGTAGTAGACTACAATGGATGGAATTTAGCATTCGGACGAATAGCTACGATCGCCGTCTCAATTCAACATCTTGCAAACGGTCCAAACAAATTCCTGCCTTTTTATTCTATTTCGATCCGTCCTGAGGTGGTCCTGTTTCCCGCTCTGTAGTCTCGGACCCTTGCATCGATCAACCACGACCTTCCAACGCATTCCAGTCCTGAAACGCGGTCAATTTCAACACGTGGAGCCACGTCACAGATCGGCAAAATAGCCGGAGCTTGGTCTCTGCCGGTTATCCCTTGCAGAATCTTCGACTGAGATCCGGATTCAACAAAAGATCCAGCCCATGGCCCGACCAAGAATTTTCATCCTTCCCTGTCAAGATTTATGATTTCAGGCTGGGTGAGATTGTACGGTCTAGCGAGGGAGAAAACGTGGGAAACTCTACGGCTTTTTGGGACTTCAACGGCCTACCAACTGTCGTACTGTAGACATACAACGTGGGAAAGATCAGTAATATAGTGCTGTTCTGGTAGTTCATCCCTTCTTTGACCCACCGGTCAAGTCAATCTGCCAGGGCTGCTTCTCAGCCCTGGCAGTTCCACCGGGAGACTAGCCACTATCCTGCTAGTTGCAACATGCGGGTAGTAATTGCATGGTTGCAAGGGATTTGCCTACCATGCGATCTCGATCGAAGGATCCAGAAACAATTCGTTCCAGCCTCGAAATTGTACTGCAGAGGATCGCCAGCCAAGGCAGGTCTGCACCACTCTGGCCCTCTTCCAACGGAGCGGTGACTGACCCCGTGGTCCACCACATGGGTACTAAGGGGACAACGATCTTCCTCCTAAGTATGCCAATAAAAAGCAGTCTTTTCTCTTCTTGCAGAATGCGCGGAAGATCTAGAATCTCATATCCTTTCCTTATTACCTCTCATTGCCTCTCAGTCTCAGAAAAGCGGGCCGCGGTCTAGACTCTCAGATCTCCATCTCTTCAATCTGCGCACGTTGAGAAGAGCTGGATGCTAGACTTGACCCGACTTTGGAATTTCGTTCGGCTTATCGTACCTAAAAGGCCGAGTTGAGAGTGCAATAGAGCCGGACAAGATGGGCCACAATGCTGAGGTCTCGCTGGCATTCTCGTTCGAATATGTACAAACACCCAGTCGAGACAGACGGCCGTGCCAAGCCCATGGAGCGAAACTGGAGGAGGGGTGACTGGCTCATCAAGATGTGCTGCACGAATACATGTGTGCTCATTTGCCTTCAAAAATGCCCAGAAGCCTCAGACGCCACTTTCCTTGCAAGCCTTCCTCGCAGACTCTCTTATAATTGCAAGCATGTCCTCCCCCTTCGGAGCAGTAGTCAGATTTTCATAACCGTTGCGAGTGACCAGGATGTCATCTTCGATTCGTACTCCGCCAATGTGAACGTATTTCTCGGCGACCTCAAAATCAATATACTTTGCATGTGGCTGTTTCCGCGCGTTTGCGAGAGCCAATGCCGAAAAATAGATACCCGGCTCTACGGTCACAACCATACCCTCCTGCAGTGGCGATGCTGACAAATCGCAGGGGGACAAACTGCCAGGGGGTTCAAAATAGGTCCGTATTGATCGTGGTCAAAGTCAGGATGAAGAGCCATGATTGACGACTCGGACACATCGTGAACCTCGAGCCCAACGTGGTGGCCGAGGCCATGGGGGAAGAAGACCTTAGAGGCGCCGGACTCGCGAATCTCGGAAAGGCTGCCGCCCTTGAACACACCAAGATGCAGCAACTCAATGATGGCTATCTCATGAGCAAGGTCATGAAGCGAAAGGAATCGGGTTCCCGGGCGGATCCGCTTGATACATTCCTCCTGCATACGCTCGACAACTCGATAGATATCCCGAGTGTATTTGCTGGGCCACTCGCCTCCAAGCGGGAATGTTCGTGTCACATCGCTTGCATAGCACTGCCATTCGGCACCAGCATCGAGACAAACCAGTGGCTTATTCTTGAGAGACTCGTTGTTTCGCACATAGTGAAGGACAGAGGCGTTGGGTCCCGAGGCGGCAATGATCTGGTACGATTGATTTGGAGCACCATGAGAGATGCATGTGTTCAAAAATGAACCTTCAATCTCCGATTCGTTCGACATCTGGTGAATATTCTGCAGAATCTGGCGATGCGCCAAAGCTGACACCCGGTTGGCTTGCCGGATCATGCGGATCTCAAACTCATCTTTCACTCCTCGAGCGGCATCCATAGCTGGCCTGAGCGAGTCCGTATCCACTGGTAAGTCTGCAGAGAGACCCTCGGGTATCTCTGAATTGTGGACCATGTAGAGCAGACTGTCTTGTGGCCGTTTGCCTAGCCACGAAACCAGCTCAGGCACGAGCGATGATTGATACATCACCCGATCCGCGTTGTACCGATCCCGCGCCTCCTCTCGCGATAGCGTTGGGCCCATCCAGATCGCGCGCCGGAGATCAAAGTCAGGCACGAACAGAGTCAACACATCCTGACCGATATCGTACGTCAAGGCGCAGTCAGATTCGCCTACGCCGCTGAGATAATAGAAATACCGTCGCTGTCGGAATGGACGGGATTGATCAGAATCACGCCAATTGGCCGTGGGCTCACCAGCGATGAAAATGAGACCATGCGACACTCCGAGCCTACTTGCCACGTTGCGCGCATGTTGCTTAGCTAGGCATCGGAAGAAGGTCAATTAGCGGGGGACCGCACGCAGGTAGATAAGGGTTGCGAGCTGACGCCCTGCACAGTGGCAGATTGCGAATATACACATCGTATAACAGAAGTAGAAGTATTCACTGCATGCGTCCAACCATCTGTTGGACCTCGCGGCTGCGACCTCGCGACAGAGTGAAAATGAAGCCTACCTGGGTACTTGTCGCAAGACGTCCCCGATACAACCAGGCGGATATGACAAGGATCAACCGCGTTGATGACGATGTCAGCCGGGTCCATAGAGGTGTCGCCAGGACGCGCGCAAGTCTTGACACGCATGGTCCGAGATTTTCAATCGAGGGATCGTGAAGGTGAGTCAAAAGAGGGTGTGACGAAAAGGGATCAGACGGTTGATGGCCGATCAAGGAACACCGAGGGAAGGGAGCAGTGAGAGAGGGGGCCCGCCCGTGCAGCGGATCTCCAACTGATAATACCACAGGTACGACTACTAATGCATCGCGATAGCTGACTGCTATCTCGCACTGATTGACCGCATAAGAAGGTCCCTCCCACGACTGCTTTAGCCCAAGATTTCCATAAGTAGGAGGTTGTATCCCTACATAGGTACCTACCTATGCAGAACGTGTACCCCGAGATTCTGTAGATTGGGGAAACGACGCCTCACCCTTCCATATACTCTACAGTCTAGTACACAGTAACTCCCTCACTCCTACGAGTGATAAGTCGACAGGGGTCAGGCGATTAGTACTGTGAAGCTCACAGGTCGTAGGAATCACCTACTCGAGGGGATTCAGTTTATGAATGGTAATTTGAAAGACTTACTACTAACTTAATACTGTCGGAGAATTAGAATCGATGTCAAAGGAGCTACTCCCATCTCATTCCTCATCCTTTGCGGCAGCTTGTCCCTGAGGCCTAGTAGGAGAGTCAAGGAACAGGTTCATTTCTGCTTCAGACTGTGGCACGCATCTATGGAAGTACGTAAGTAATGACAGTGGTGATAGTTGAGACACGATGGAAGTTGACCTGAAGATGCAGCGGGTTAGTAGTAAGTAACGGGTACAAACTAACAACGTACCTGGAGGCCATTTCTCATGCGTGATTTTCGTATTCAAGTACAGAAAACGGGGTACCAGAAACGGACCAAGGGCTAGCCTAAGCCCGGTAGTACCGCCTGGAGCCTGTGTGCCAAGGAGGCGACTCCCTCCTATCCAGGCAGTTAGTAGTACTAAGTTGAAGAGTTCGAGCAAGTTGTAACTAGGGCAGTACTAAGTACTTACTCGTATTACTAACTCACTCATCAGTAGTAGTACTCACTACAGGTTGGACTACTAGTCGTGGTAAACCACTCCCCTCGAATGGATCTCGGCCCTTTCCAGCGAGCAAACGGTCTTTCTTTCCTCTAGATTCAAACTCCTATAAGGTCAGACCCTCGCCTCAACTCACTTCCGTCCTCATCTGTGCCTCGCGTGTCATTGCTCACTTGGTCGCTGAACGTACGACCTCCTGGCTATTCCACAGTCCACACCCAGGACTGCAATCCATCGCCGTTATCGCTGCGCTGCCCCACCTCCTTCTTTTTCGGCTCAGTCTTGACACTCTTATCCTCCGCGCCGTGTGCGATTGGAATTTGGGACCATTGCGGGCACTTGGCATTGGTGACCGCTTTGCCTTTACCGTACTTGCGCTCGGACATCGTCGATTACAGTACTACTACTACTACTACCACTACTACCGCACCCAATCACTCCACCTTCGAGACCCTGCAGCCTGAACCTCTTTTTTGCCTCTCGCCTCTTACCGCTGACCTTTCTCCTCATTGCCGTGATTCCTCATCAATCTGCGTCGTACCTACATCTCATCCGCTCCCTCCCCGTCCCGGTCCATGAAAGATGCAGAGCCCTGAGGCAACGGGCCCTGATGCGCTCGCTGACCTGCCCTCGACGTTGGTATCGATGATAGCCACTCCGTCGACGTCACCGCTTCGACTCATCGCTTCCCAAACGCAGACAGCGTTCACCACAACCTCAACAGCCCCATCATCGTTCACGCAGGATCGAATACAGGAAAGCCTGCAACATGTGATCTCCCGTCTCTCGTCAACCTCGGAATCCACCGCCGGCCATGCCGTCACTCTCAGTAGCGAGTCTTCCGGCTCGACGGGCAAAGGTATCTTGATTGGGATACTCTCGGCGTTTGGCTCGGCAGCGATCGCGTTTGTGGTTCTTGCCATCTTTTTCTTCTTCAAGTATACTCGCCGCGGGCGGATTATGCTCGATCGCATCGGTCGCCCCGGCGAGTATGACGACGAACAGGCCTTTCTCCGGGAGGAGGAAGCGGCGATGGAATCCATGGACGATTTGATGCGGTCGGAATATCTGCGCGCAAAAGGTATGACTCTTTCCAACCTACAATTGGCAGGATCGTTGTCCCTCATCGGGTGAGCATGTGGCTGATGGCCCGATACAGCATTTGTTCAAGCCAACCCTCCCGAGTCCATGCAAACCGATATTTCGCTCTCCCAATTCCTGGCGATTCAAGAAAAGGGTGTCTCCGCGTGGGAGTTTCAACCAGAACTCGAAATTGCCAACTGCTTCGTCGAAGCTCGGACAGAGATCGAGTTCTTTGATTCTGAGTGTAGCGTGCAGACCAACCTTCCCCTCCCGAAGCAGAATGAGGTATATTACTGGGAGGCCAAGATCTACGATAAGCCAGAGACCACGATGATTGGCATTGGCCTGACGACGAAGCCTTACCCTCTCTTCCGAATGCCCGGTACGTGTGGACTTCGTGCAATCGGGGAGATGTGCCGTCTAACCCCCGAGGTGTCCTCCTGTTGCCTGTGAGCTCGACTAACATGGACGTTGTGATTCATTCTAGGTCTCCACAAGACGTCCGTTGCCTATGAATCGACTGGCCACCGCCGCAACAACCAGCCATTTACGCCATCCTCCTATGGACCTCCACTCTTACAAGGCGATGTGGTTGGCGTCGGTTATCGCCCGCGGTCGGGAACCGTCTTCTTCACGCGCAACGGCAAGAAGCTCGAGGACGTTGTCCACAACTACCGTTCTCAGAATTTGTTCCCCACCATCGGTGCCAATGGCCCTTGCACAGTGCATGTCAATTTTGGCCAAATGGGCTTCGTATTCATCGAAGCCAACGTGAAGAAGTGGGGCCTCGCCCCCATGACGGGGAGCCTTGCCCCGCCTCCACCCTATGGTAGTGAACAAGGCAGTATTCTGCTCGAGTCCGGTCGTGAAAGCGCTGCTTCCATCTCTCAGCGCGTTTATCAGTCGTATCATGGACGGAATCCTAGCGCCGTGATCCCTCAAGCTGTGAGCCCCGGGCCGGTGCGATCACCTACTGAAATCTCCTTGGCCCAACTGGCTCATATCTCTTCCCGTGATGACGCCGGCGAGGGATCAAGCCGCGTGGGTAACGAGGGAGAGGAGCCTCCGCAAAACCCCCTCGTTGCAACCCCGGACGCTGCCCAGGACCATGAGGCACCACCTCCAGAGTACTCCAGCCCCACCGGCAGCCGAAGGGGCAGTGATGCATCCTTGCAGCTGCGATCCAGCGGTGCGACTGATCAGCGTCACTCCCCCCTGTCCCCAGCTCGGACCGGCACAGTTCAGATCTGCCCAGCTACGAAGCCGTGGTAGATCAAGACCTCGAGGAGCGTCATTAAAAGTCGACCTCTGCGCTCGCCGCTCGGTCCCTATTTGAATCCTCTCGACATCAAGTTCAATTTTGCACATACCCACTCGTTGAAAGCCTTGTCTCCGTCTATTTCGTCTGTTTTCTGGGTGGCTTCACTCATGGGTTAGGTCCCATTCCCCTCTGATGTATTCTGTTTGCGGCGTCTTTTTATCCTTGAGCGAATCACGAATGGCGTTTCAGCGGCTGCGAATCGGGCTGGCCCGGGAAGTCTGGTGTGTTTGGGAACGAATCCTCGGTGTTTTTGCGTGTGTATCGGATATCTTGGTCATTTCGAGGGGTCGAAGGTGTTGACCGGTTGAGTTGCGTCTTCCTGTTCGACCATCGACCCCCTTGGCCTGCTTTGTCTTGTTTATCAATGCCCCCTCAGCGGTCAGACTGAGTCATCGTCTCGTCTATAGACTCTTTACTGTTCTCGACTCTTCTTTTTCAACGAACGTATTTGCTGCGACCGCGTCTGTAATTCACGCTCGATCCGCCCACTGTTGTCCCCGTTGAAGATGTAAACAGCAGGGTTTTCTTGGCCGTAGATGCTGTATGCCTCACACCCTTAGCGTACCTGATAAGCCCTGCAATGTGCCGACCCAGACTGTGATATCATGGCGACTTCCCAGGATGCCTCATCATTCGTCGTGGGGGCTACTAAACTTGCAGCGGAACGGTCATCCGCCCATTCAACCGCCGATCCAACTTGGAGCGTTCCCGCCCAAAGGGCTCCACCGAAGGCCCGCTGGGGACATTTTCCAATTTTGACGAAGCGAGGCTCTTTTCCGAAGGAATTCGCAGTCTGACGACAAGACCGAACATCCAACCTGATTCAGCTCGTGCGAAAAACGCATCTGATACTGTAAATATCCTGTTCAAGGGCAAGCTCGTCGACCCCTGGACCGACGAGGACGATGCAACAGGGTGCTGTTGCACTGGCACTGATGTGAGTACGTACTAAATATCGATGGCTCCAATGTGGAGACTGCGCCAAGGCCCACCCCAGCCGCCCCGGTTTGAAGAGCTCTGAGCTCATTGTCCATGCTTCAATCACCACCCTTCTAGGTTCAGGATCGTTTAGACGCACGAGCAAGCTTCTCAGGTGTTGCTGAACAGCCGCAAAGCCCAAATTGCGGCTTGATCATATCTGAGACTCTGGGACATTCAGCGGGAGATCCAGCTTGAAGGTCCCGAAGCCGACTAGGTTGCTCCTGGTCCACAGTCTGTTCACGCATCCATCATCAATTGGGGACTTGATAGCTTATCCAGCATCAACTTGCGATTCCTGCGAGCAGCCTTTGCGACCCGATCCGCCCAATCAGTGGCTGTGGACGGACACATTTTTACGGTGCAGTAGCGTCCTGTGCCCTGCTGCATTCCTAGTGCCCTCCGCCTCCACAACTGGCTGTAGTACACACTACAAACCAAGCAAGGTCCGTCCCCGCTGAGCGGAGGATTCGGTCTCGATCCTGGTTTCGCTAAACACGCCGTTGTTCTATCCTGGGCGAGCCTGCTTGACGCATCGTACTCAGTGACACTGTCGCATCAGCGATTCCCGCCCGGTAATCATCAAGCTGCGCCTCAACGTCGCTGTTCCTTCCCCGCCACCGATACGCCCTTGGCCCGTCTGGCGCGCGTCTACGGCAACCCCGTTCGGGGCCAGCATCTGTCACAAGTACCAGCCCAGATCGCAAGCACTCTCTTCTCTGTGATACGAACTCCCCTGCTGCATCTTCGAAGCCGAAAGTGCTTGCACTGCACTGCCCGCGTCGATCCACCAGATCGCGTCGCTGCATTCGAGAGCTGCTCTTAGTAAGGCTTCCCCTCAAGATTCCGAAATGGTTGATTCACTGACAATCGCATTGTCAGAACAAGTGCCACAGGCCACTCGACTGAGTCGTGCGGCTCAAACCCTCGACAATTGTCTCGGATTTGTTGCGGCGCGTGGTGTGTAGGCCAAAAATGGCGGAACCGGAATCCCCCGCGTTCCAGGTCATTGTCCTAGTAAGACTCCCGTCTCCTTCGCAGCTGAGTCTCAGTGAACTTCATTGTGATTGTTCTTCATCTACATAGTCCTCTGAAAGAGAGGATAATAATCAGCAAACGCACTTCTAACCCCCCAGATGATGGTGTCATTGATGAACAATTTCTTTCAAACCAACGAGGTCGATGAATTGACCTGTTGGCGTGGCTTACACTCCTCGCCATCTTGAATACTGACCATCGATAGGGCCCCAATGGCGGTCCTCGAGAGGATCATGTTACCGGTCTTTTGGTACGGTCAACATCGATGAACTGGGTCCCTGGATCGGTGGTCGCTGTGGATGCTGGAACTCTTCTAGCAGGGATCATCCGCATCTTGAAGAACTTTCTGCCCGATGCGATAGACGAGCAGAAGAGAATGACAGAGGGACCCTTTAAAGGGCTGCAACTACCGGCAAAAAGCGCAGAAGCAAATGCCGCGCACATATTCCGCGAAATCATCGGTGCGGTGCTGATCACGCATCCTCATCTCGACCATATCTCAGGCTTGGCGATCAATACCCCAATCCTCGAGGCGGGAAGTGGGCCGAAGCCCGTCGCAGCCCTGCCATCAGTGCTATCAGCGATCAAGAACCACATGTTCAACGACATCATTTGGCCAAATTTGTCAGATGAAGACGGTGGCGCGGGCCTGCTCACTTATCAACGACTGGTCGAGGGTGGCAATACGCGCTTTGGAATGGGAGACACCAGAGGTTACGTGCGGGCCTGTAACGGCCTCTTGACCAAATGTCTTTCCGTGAGCCACGGCCATAGCAAGCAACGGTTCCACCCCGAATCTGGAATTCATCACCGAGTTGGAAGCACGATATTTCCGCCTGACCAGTATATGCTGTCTTCACGGGCAGTCTCTATGGACCAAACCGATGGAAGGTGATTCGCTCTCTGTTCCATATACCTCAAGATCATCCTGAAGATAACTATCACGCTGAGGCCACGCACTAACGAAGCTACAGCTTTTACTCTCCGGCTCGCTCCCCACACATGCCTCCTTCCGTCTCCGGTCCAAAGGAATCTATGATGGCTTCCGTGGAAAGCTCAGCTTTCTTCATTCGTGACCATCACACCGGAAGAGAAATCATTATCTTTGGGGATCTCGAACCGGACTCAGTTTCCCTTGAGCCGCGCAACAAAAGAGTGTGGGAGGCTGCTGCCCCCAAAGTCCACATGGGCCGTCTGGGAGCAATCTTCATGGAGTGCTCCTTCAGTGACAGCATCGACGACTCTTACCTATACGGTCATCTCTGTCCTCGTCATGTAGCGGCAGAGCTCAGTGTACTCGCCGCCAAAGTCATGGAGCTACGCGATCCCGCCTCGCATGATAAAAAGCGAAAGCGCCCTGCGAGCGGATTCGGAGATAACACCGGCTCCCCTCTTAGTCCCCGCACAAAAAGCCGTTCCAATCCCAGCTTTGAGAGGTCGGAGCCCCGTTCCGGGGACGTTCGGGCTCTCGACTTGCCAGATACATTGGTCGATCGGATCGATAGCAAAGATTTTGCAGGGGTCTCCGATACAGCGAGTTGGGAAAATGCTGATCCCTTACCTTTGACGGGATTATCGGTATATATCATTCACATCAAAGAGGGTCTAGACGACGGGCCCCCTCCGGAGGAACAGATACTGAAAGAGCTAAGAGCGCATGCCGAGGAAGCCCACCTGGGGTGTCAGTTCTTCATACCGGATCCCAATCAGGGCATCTGGGTTTGAGTGAACGGAGAAATCGGCCGTCAATGGGCTGCACACCGCTATGAATTTGATTGGGTAGTTTTGTGTGCTTACGTCTGGTGAGCGTTGTAGCAAATTGCATAGTTGATGGGCAAGTAAACACACGCTGGCCTTTTACGGTTTCACACCATAATCGATGCTTCTCGAGGTTCATGTCATGTAGACGCTAAAGCTCAGCCGTAATCCTCGAAATCAGGTCGAATTTGCGCCCACGCTCTGTCTAAAGCCAGACAGCCCAGGCCCCCATTCGCGTGAAAATTTTGAGTCTTGAAATCCCTATCAAAATCAGAACCTTACCCAGGATAAGTCAAGATCCGTGAATTGGACAACGACACCTGTATTGGAAGTCGCATGTTATTATTGCAATAACTGCTTGCCTCTAGACGCCAATCTCACAGCCACTATGGAGACTCTAGCTACAAGCCACAAGGGACGACCACTGGTGCAAATGATCTACAGTGTGCCGACTCTGCCGACTATCGGGAGTGCGAGACCCGCATTGTTCCAACGTAATGAATCAAAAAGGCACTGGGTATTGAGAATAATGGTCCGTCGACAACAGCACGTAGTGGACTGCAGTACATGTAGTGTTAAACCTGGGGCTCACCAAAGTTCTGGGCAGTGCGCTAGGAGTAGTGATGCCGAGGCTCGGAGTACAATCGGACCGCAATTCAAATGCTGACGACGAGGGCGACTACACAGGATATATAGTTATCGGCCAGGCACGGGAAACCCAAGGACGTTGAATAGAATTGACAAACACTGTGGATGCTCGATCTGATGAGATTCATGGTATCCATAGATATACATATGTAGGGTAGGTTGTGGTACCTTGCCTAGGTGCGTGACCCGAACTGTCTCAGGTAATACCAGGCAAGAACAGGTTACTATTGTCGAGTTGTACCCCAAGGTACAATCTTCACAGCGTTTGGTTCATATCTGGCGGCACCCCACCGCCTCCCCACGAATGATCGGAGATGACCCCAAAGCCGCCGATAACCGAGGCTCAGCGGCCGCGGCCTGATTCCCTTGTGATTTATTGTTTCTTTCGATCTCAACTCCACCACTTTCGATTTCACTCTCTTGATAGCACCCGGAAGGTCGTTCACGTCCCAAAACTTGCAAGCTCATAGTGTGATCTTCTCCCCAACCGTGGGCACATATTCATCATGGCGTCCATCGCTCGCGCATTGCGACCCCTGTCCCGCTCAACTCCCGCCGCCCGCTTGACCACCAGGCGTCTTGCTTCCGTTCGACCCGTTCAGAGGTGAGTCGTGTGGCTGTTCGATCGATGTACTCATAGGAAACCTGATCGAGCAATTGCCCGTTAATACTTGTCCGGATTCGCAGTGCCTATGCCTTTTCCACATCTTCCCGCAGGCGGGAGGCCGACCTCTCTGAGCTGACTCCTACGCCCATCTCCCTGTTGACCGAGACCGAGTCCATGATGGCCGACATGGTGTCCAAGTTTGCATCTGAGCAGATCGGCCCTAAGGTTCGGGACATGGATGAGGCCGAGACGATGGATCCCTCCGTGGTGGAGGGACTGTTCGAGCAGGGTATCATGGGTATTGAGATTCCCGAAGAGTTCGGCGGAGCCGGCATGAACTTCACTGCTGCGATCGTGGCGATCGAGGAGCTGGCACGTATTGACCCCAGTGTCAGTGTCATGGCCGATGTCCACAACACCCTTGTCAACACTGCCATCATGAAGTACGGCGATGCTCAGTCCCACCGCATGTGGCTGCCTAAATTGAGCACCAACACTGTCGGCTCGTTCTGTCTGTCCGAACCCGTTTCGGGCTCCGACGCATTTGCCCTTCAGACCAAGGCTGAGAAGACTGCCGACGGTTACAAGATCAATGGCTCCAAGATGTGGATCACCAATGCTATGGAGTCCGGTATCTACATTGTCTTTGCCAACCTGAACCCCAGCGCCGGTTACAAGGGTATCACCGCCTTTATTGTCGAGAAGGGCACCCCTGGGTTCTCCATCGCCAAGAAGGAGAAGAAGCTCGGTATTCGTGCCAGCAGCACTTGTGTGCTGAACTTCGATGATGTCGAGATCCCCAAGAGCAACTTGCTTGGTGAGGAAGGCAAGGGCTACAAGATTGCTATTGAGATCTTGAACGAGGGCCGTATCGGTATTGCCGCTCAAATGACGGGTCTGGCTCTCGGTGCTTGGGAGAATGCTGCGCGGTAAGTATAATTTACATACACTCCAACATCTTCGCGGCTGATCAAAATCAAAACTAATTTGGTATGTGATAGGTACGTCTGGAACGATCGCAAACAATTCGGCAAGCTTGTCGGCGAATTCCAAGGCATGCAGCACCAGATGGCTCAGTCCTACACTGAGATCGCCGCCGCCCGAGCTCTCGTCTATAACGCCGCTCGCAAGAAGGAGGCCGGCCAGGAGTTCGTCAAGGATGCCGCCATGGCCAAGCTCTACGCTTCTCAAGTTGCCGGTCGTGTGTCCGGCCTTGCCGTTGAATGGATGGGTGGTATGGGTTTCGTCCGCGAGGGCATCGCGGAGAAGATGTTCCGTGATAGCAAGATTGGTGCCATCTACGAGGGAACCAGCAACATCCAGCTGCAGACCATTGCCAAAATGCTGCAGAAAGATTACACGAATTAGAACAAGGAAATGGTCCTCTCCTTAGACTTGTACCATCGGCGAACATTTTTGACTTTCTGTGGCTTGGGTTAAGCTTTTCTGTCGCGCCAGATCTATCGGGCTTAGGGATGCGCGTTCAATGACCATCAATGTACTTCACAGGTTTCTGCTTCCAATGACTGCATCGGTTTTTCAAGGTTACTTCTACTGATTTGGATATGAGAGTAATGCTCGAAATAGCAGTCGTAAAGTATGTTCAGTAACTTGGTACATGACGTCTCGTGCCGCCAAGATTGTTTCCTATTCGGGCAAAATGCTGCCAGCTTGTCCCACCTCGCAACTGAACCTCACCTCTTACTCCCTTCCCTACTCAAACACCACAAAGCAACCCTGGTGTTTGATCACCCCCTGAAAAACGAACCGACGACCCGACATGACAGACGGCAGATTTCAAGGTCATTGCTGTCGGGCCTGATCCTGGCAACTCGCCCGCGAACGCAAGTTGATTTTCTCGATGTTTTTGCTTCGTTGATGGACACGATGATCTTGGCTGCGGACCACTCTCGAATTGATTCAGTGAACAGCCGATAATTGCGGGCAGGAAGTCACACGAAGCTCATTTTGTGAGCATCCGTGGTGCTGTCTTCCCTTCTGGACCTCGCGCTCAGTTTCAATTTCGATGTTATTGCTGTGCATCGGGAATGGGCCACCATCAAGAATTTGCAAGTCTGCGAGCAAGTCGAATGCGACATTGTTGCCCAATGTTTGAAGTCTCTGCTTTGCGCCGCCCCGCCAGCCTCGAATTCGTGGCGTGTATTGCTTGGCAGGGCTGGCCTGCCCGCCCGTCCTACGCTCATGAGCGATGGCGCAGTTCACCGTCCCATCGGCTCTCCATTTTAACATGACCGGTCTGTATGTAAAGCGGCCTTGTGGTCACGACTGTGAGTTCCACGGATACGAAAATGACGGGTCTCTCTGCTGAGCTGGGCCATGCTGGGTTCGATATGGGGCAGAGGCCGGCTGGTATGGAGGTGTGGGATTACCCTGAGAAGGAGCATTCATGCCCGCCATGGACAGAGGCATTGTCCGATGATCAGGGTGATAGCTTGACATGTTGGGTACTCCATCCCCTCCGGCTCCCGGCCCTGAATGATGGGCCACCTGATATGCTTGGCCGAAAGAGGAGTCTGCTCCAGAGTGATTCATACTGCCTGCGCCTGCGCCCCCGAAATTCATTTGGGAGGATACGAGAGGGGCAGTAGGTGCCGCCATTCGTGGACCTGGTTGCTGCAAATGTCCCTCCAGGGCGTAGGCCTCCATGCGAGGCGGGAACTCGGGGTCTGAAGAGTCCCCAATAGATGACGATCTTGTGCTTGAATACGACTGCTGCCATTCATGTGGATGGGAGCGGCTGGAGACAGACATACTCGATGGTTGGCGAGGCAATCTTGTCGAGAGCTGATGAGCTGACGAAGGAAATTGAGGCGACATGATTGTATTCGATGTGGGTACTGCGGCTGCCGATGCCGATCCATGAGACCTTTCGGCAACATCCCATCCACTACGCTGAGGCACAGTTTGCTCGGGGTTGCTTGTGAAACTTGAAGGCCCCGTGAGGCTCGAAAGTTGGGTTTTCAACCGAGCAATCTCGTCTTGCAGGGTCGCATTCTGTCGAATGATATCGTCAAATTGCTGATTTTGCGACCGCATGCTGTCCACCTGCGTTCGCAAGAGAACGACCTGTTGTTCCAGCTGTTCGATATGCTCCTTGGTGCGTTGTCGAATGGATCGTTGAGCCTCGCGATCCATGGCCCGTTTGCGCTCTAATTGTTCGGCAGATAACGAGGAAACCTTTCTCGATCCAGAGCGGGATTCCCGCCTTCTAGACGGTCCCCCTCCTTCCCTGCTGCTACTGCTCATGGTGAAATCTTCCCTTTTCTCTCCTCCAGAGTTCATGAGAAGAATGCGACCTCTCAACAGGAAAACAAATTTGCCCGATAGCCGAGCGCTCGGTCTTGTCTCGCTTGAGCACGGATTTGTAGATGATCATAGGGTACAGCGCTCGTCACCGCGGGAAGTGGAAAAAAAAAAAAGAAAACAACCCGCGAATCTTAGAGAAGCTTGGAAATGTGTCTATGCCACGCAGGGCCTTCTTTGGGATTTTAAAACGGTCAGGATCGCTATCAGCGCGCCTCTTCCAGATTCGTTAGGGGGAGGGGAGGCGGCGTCACCCCTCCTGAGACGCCGGAACCGAGCAGAGTCGGCTGGTGAAAAGCGCGTCGAGTTGGTTTCGAAAAGGCTGTCTCTTGTCTTCTAGTCTGCCTTGCCAGACGAGGATTATCATGGGCACCAAAACGCAAAGCCTACCATGACCGCCTCACGGGCCTACAGGTTGAAATAGGCACTCTGCGAAGATTGAGCCCCTGCTCCCATCACCCGATAACAAAGGGGAAAAACAGCTCAGGAGTCCTTCGAGCTGAGCGATGATCCTCTACCGCGACAATCCCGCAGATTGCACTTCTCCAGATCGTCGCTAGCATCAAAGTTACATCCCTCCAAGTGCAGTCAATCTCCCGACTTCCGAGTGGTGGTTACGCCTAATGGGTAGCAAAGCCACGGCCCAACCAATGACCATATCCGGGCTACTGCACGAACCCTGCGGAGACGTCAAAAAAGCCCTGAGTCGCCAAGTGCACTGGAATACTGTCCAAGATTGCGTCTTCTTTAGGCGCTCTAGTCCCTTTGGGTATATAGCTCGGCGCCGATGGCAAAAGGACGCCCGTGTCCCTCCCCTCCTTCCAGCCTCTCCGAGAGTTGTTGGACCATCCGCGTCCGGCAAGAAGCCCATTTCCCCTGAAGCGCGTAAAGAGAACATCTCTGACTTTATCTGACGGAGATGGTCTTGTGACGCGGTCAATCTTCATGACCAACAGATAACAGCGCGTCTTCTGAGGATTGACGGGCCACTTTGTCATGTTCATCGGCAAACACATGATCGACTCGGCCCAGATGTGGACATGCAGATCATCGAGTCCGTGGGGCGTGCGATGGATCAATTTCTAGGCCCTACTTCGTTCTTTTTCCATCGGCATTCATGCGCTGCAAATGAATCGCATGGACTGGAAATCAAGATGTGCTGGCTAGCGTGCGGACTACCGCAATCAGCTGTCAAATTCGTTGTTACAGATGCTAAAGAAAACCTGCATCTTTCAATATTGAGACTTTTTGACCTGCCCAACAAAGATTCCTTTGGGTGGCTGGCCCCCTTCTCTCAAAGACGGGACAGATGAAAAGTCCGTCTACTCGAAGTTTCTGGACTTGCGCAGACCGGGGAGGTGTTGTTCTAGAAGGGCCAAGTGCCGCGCATATCTCCTGCTCACCCGCGACGCTAAGCAGCTAGCTCACTCGCAGTTAACCTGATGAGCCGGGCCTCTAGGCAGCTTCCGGAGTCATCATGCGGACGATGTGTCATAATCTTAGCGCGCTGCCTCGTAGGCCCATCTAAGCGACGGTGATGCATGACGACGGGGCAGGGGTGGAGCAGCACGCTCTTTGTTGGCCCCCACTTGCACGGCTCCCTCGATTGCTTCGGTTTTGCGCTGCGTCCGGCGTCACAACTGCGAGTAGAGCAGGATTGAGACGAGGGACATCTGATCGATCCTGGTCGATACTCTGGAAAGTATGACCCGACAAGTAAGGCAGAATGGGTAAACGGCGGGCCCGCCACCCCCCCTCAGTTGGCGTCAACGTCGCTCTCAGACATTTCGCGATAGAAGACGAAGGCACAATAATGGGCAAACATCCGAGGACGAATCGATCCGACATGGGCCTATCGCGCGCTGTGGTGGCATGATATGAACACATTATGATCGACACATGATTTCAAAGATGTCGAGGGTCCAACCTCAGATTTAGCGCATATTCTATGCGCAAGCGCCACCGGTCAAGCCGCCTGACATGGTATACTCACGTTCATTGACAGAGATGCTTGCTTCCCTTCCTGAAAAGTTCCCTGTCAGACCCCTGCACACACCGAAGCTCGGATACCCGGCCAACAAACGCTCCAAGTCAAGATTTGAGTAACGGCGAAGATCCTGTCCGTTGGTGACGCTTAAACCACTCTGTCGGAGAGAGAGACTGTCAGGGATGCCATGAGTTGTTGGTCCCCAACAACGCCATGCGCTGGCACGTTTCTCACGTTTCTTTCAGTCCGCAGTCTTGTTCCTTGTGCCTTTTATGGCAGAGTCAATTTTGGAGGGCCAAAATGGGCTTGCAGAGCTCGGGAAAAGGCTTCCACTGACGAAGATGCAACATATGCACTCTAGACGCAGTACATTCACAATACGGGGCTCATTCTCCAGCCCGCCTGAGGAAATCAACAACGAGGCGCATGCTAGACGCCATCCAGTCCCGTCGGGACGAGAAACTCCAACTTTTCCACCTTGGCGGCAGCAAATTATTAACAAGGCATGTCTATAGATTGAAGTTGACTGGTGCACTCCTCCTCTCTCGATCAAACATTAATACCCAGACCCTAACGCAAAGCCAGTCATGCTTTCCATCGGTGACCCCGATAAGGAGTGGAAATGATCGATCAATAAGATCGATTCCTGAGCTTGGAAGCAGCGATCAGAGTTTCATATTGGGCCGCAGTATACCACCTCTCGACTGGGCACGGTACTTCCATGTCCCTTCGCTTGGCGCATCGCGCTTGCGAGTGAGTGAATGTCGGGAAAGGGCTGAGTGAATGATTCGTGATCTCTGACGCGAGTCGCGAGTCAGAAACTCAGAATCCAAACCCGGCGCATAGGAGTCACATGCTCCAGGGTAGCTCGTCAACGGTCGATCGAATCCGATTCAGCCTCCAAGTGCCGCGATCGTGTTTTGGGAGTTTGACGAGGCGGGGCTAATTCTCAATGTTATTCTTTTTCTTTTGGGTTTGTTTGGTTTTGTCGCTTTGCAGTGTGCACTCAGCACTGGTGCAGAGTGCAGCCTGTCAGCTGTTTCTGTCTATCTGATGATCCTGACTGGAGTTCTTTTCTCGCATTCGTCCTTGATCCATGGGCTTGACTTGTCAAATAGTGATGAAAATTCGAGGCTCGTCTTCACAAAGTAGGAACGGTGGGGTTTTGCACTTTTCAGTTCCAGTACAACGGGTCGGAAGCTTGGAAAAAGGACTGGATTTGTGAGATGCTCCCGGAAATTGGTATTATAGTTGTTTGTCGAACGAGGAAGGATCGTGCAAAGTATCAACCATTTTACACCGGTTTTGAGTAGACTTACGAGTGTCCAATGTCCAATGTCTATAGCTTCCATCAATGATGAAGTAGAATCCCGGGACAGAACGGAGGCCGCTCAGAGACCGTGATTGAGCCTATCCCAGCTCTGCGCCTCCCTGTGGACGCCACGTTCAACTATTAGGATGGTGCGGGAATTGCCCTGCGATTTGCGGTCAGAACCTTATGCTTCGAATGCTGCGGAAACCAAAGTAAGGCGAGAGGTACAAAGGGGAAGCATGTCGTTTCTGTTGACGTGTACTTGGATCTTTGGGTTTGAGACTCCTACTTGGACCGCCCTTGGATCATCGAAAGGAACTCTGTCCGCAATGTCCCACGAGCATGGACTCGCCATGTCGGGCGCAACACCCTACCTATGCGCTGGAACCTTGGATCGGGTGTCTATGTGGATTGCTAGTGAGGTCACGTCTACGGAGAGTTGAGTTACCAGTCATGGAGGTTGGCATGGTTGTGTTGTTGCGTGGTCCTGAGGGTGTGCCTCAGAGTGACACACTGCTCATTTTGGACGGACCTTCCATGCTGCTGACGAAGGGACAGGCAAATTGCATTGGATCATTTTCGAGTGAGTCAAGTGGAGGCAGCAGAATGCTAGAAGGTTGACATGTCCATTGACTCTCCATGCCCTGGTAGAGTAGTATATAGTATATAGTACATAGTATATAGTATATACACTATAGAGTATAGAGTGTAGACTGTAAAGTGTAGAGTATAGACATTACAGATGCATCAGGTGACTGCCACAGTGTCCAGTTGTCCACAGCGTCGAGTGAGCGGGTCCCGCCCAGTTCTGATGTCGCGCGGCACTGCAAGCTTCCATTCCCGAGCTCCACGTCCGCGACTTCAACTTGGTGTCATCACAGAGCTTCTGTCCATTGAGACGCAGAAGAGACATCTCCATTTGGGACATGGCCGCTGAGCGTCCCGCAGCAGCATCAGAAGACTGAATACACTTGTCTTGAATCAGCATGGACCCCAGCTACAAGGCCCGGAAAGAGGCCTTTGTGTCCAACCTCGCGGGAAGCAGTATTTCCGATATCAATGCTGTCGCTCTCGTTGCACCGGTATGAGGGCATCAGAATGTCAATTCCTCCACAGACACATCTCAGGTACTAATGAGCCTCAATAGGCCGCGGTCTTACTTTGGTCGGCCCTGCAATCTCGATTATCGTTCTTCACACCTTATAGCCCGGCTGCGCTTCTCACGGACTTCATCCTCAATGTCCTCGCTATTCTGTTTGCAACGACCGCCTACTCATCTGCGCCCGTTCTTCTCAACATTCTTTTGATCACCCCGGCCGTTCTCCTTTACCTGACGCAACCTCCTCAACGCCTCCAGCAAAAGGCAAAGCCTTCCCGCAAGCTCGTCAACCATGATGATCGCTCGGCGGACCAGGCAGAAGCCCTGCCCGTCCACCCTTTTCTATCAACGTACCGCGCTGCGATGATGGTCATCACCTGTGTTGCGATATTGGCTGTCGACTTTCGCGTGTTCCCCCGTCGTTTCGCCAAGGTTGAAAATTGGGGCACGTCTCTGATGGATCTGGGCGTCGGCTCGTTTGTGTTCTCGGCCGGTGTGGTGTCGGCCCGGGCTGTTCTCAAGAGTCGTGCCTCCGCGGCTAAGAAGAAGTCGTTCATCGGACGACTCGTTCAGTCGCTGCGCCATTCCGTTCCTCTGCTTGTCCTGGGCCTCATCCGTCTGTGGAGTGTGAAAGGTCTTGACTATGCCGAGCATGTGACCGAATACGGAGTGCACTGGAACTTTTTCTTCACTCTGGGCTTCCTTCCTCCTTTTGTGGAGGTATTCGACTCTTTGACCGCCCTAATTCCATCTTACGAAGCACTAGCGGTGATCATCTCCATTGCGTACCAGATTGCGCTCGAGTCGACCAATCTCAAGAGCTACATTCTCGTCTCCCCCGGGGACCAGACCTATTGTCCAAGAACCGCGAAGGGGTGTTCTCATTCCTGGGGTATCTTGCAATCTTCCTCGCCGGTCGCGGGGTAGGCACACGCATTATTCCCCGAGGCACATCTGCTTCCAAGACCCCTCAGCAAGCACGTCAAACTGTGATTCTGAGTCTGGGTATGCAGGTCGCATTCTGGTCAACCATGTTCTTCTTCAACTCTTCTTATGCATTTGGCTATGGAGCGAACATCCTGGTGTCTCGACGTCTGGCCAACATGCCCTATGTTCTGTGGGTGGCTGCTTTCAACAGTGCCCAGATTTTGCTTTTCTGCCTCGTGGAGACTCTGTTCTTCCCGTCTGTTCACCGTTCTACCAGCCAACAAGGGGAAAAGGAACGGAACGCCTTTGCCACCAGTCCGATCCTGCATGCATTCAACCGGAGCGGTCTTGCGGTCTTCCTGGCTGCAAATCTCCTTACCGGCCTTGTGAATTTGACTGTCCCTACCTTGGACGTCAAAATGCCACAGGCGATGGCCATTTTGGTTCTGTATACGGGAGTCCTGACTGGTCTCGCTCTGATCATGGACAAGTACAATCTCAAGTTACGTCTGTAGCTGTACAAATGTATATAGATCACTGGAAACTCATTGTCGACTTGAATATAGAATACATTATTTACATTAAAGTCAGCCACGTGGACTGTGATCAAAGACCCAGCCCGTATTTCTGCATGATTTTATAGACTATGGCCGAGCAAGACGACGATTCATCTCACTGTCACTCACTCACTCATCTGGCTCAGTTGACACGTACAAATTACCTTATGGAGGAAGCTCCCGTCTGGGCAGTGGGAGGTCCAAACATGAGCCTCGGCACATGACGTTTCCGCATAGCTCAATTGAGGTACTAGCTTTGGACGGTCTGTCTCCCCCGCACAGCAATTGATCCTCTTTCGCACCAGTCAGTCAACCAAACTCTTTAGAGGCAAGCGATATGAGCTCCGGTACAAAGTCATTTCTCAATTACCCGGCGCCTCTCAAAGGCCCGGAAGTGCCATATGAGAACGAGACGCAGTCGATTCCTGCGTTTCGAGGCGCTCCACTGATCATCAGTGCAACACTGTAAGATGTGACCATCACACTAAGCACAGTGTATCCTTTTTCTCGTCTCCGCAAAAGCAGATGCTTACCACTGAATCTCCCCATTGACGTAGGATCCACAAGATTGGACTGGCGCAGAGCTACTTCTGGCGCAATGCCGGCTTTGATGTGATTCGCAAAATTCCCGAACTCAACCAGTACTCCGGTCGCTATGATCCCACAGTGATCCCCGTCGAGGACAATGTCCCTGTGGAAAGGGAGCTTCAGCCACCGAGTTGCCGGAAGAGAGCGCACCGTGATCAGCACTATACATCTGCAGATTATCATGCGTTGTATCTCTCCGGCGAACTCACGCCTCTCGCTGTCGTTGAGTGTTTACTCCCCTTGGTGCGGCGCGATGTTTCGCCTGCAGGGAAGCACTCGACGGCATTCCTCGAGTCGAAGGTTGACGTTATTCGTGCGGCTGCCGAGGCGTCTACCGAGCGATATAAGATGGGCAAGCCTTTGGGTCCACTAGATGGTGTGCCTATTGCAGTGAAAGACGAAGTGCACGTTGCGGGCTATAAGCGTACACTCGGAACTAAACTTGATTTCAAGCATGGCTCCGATGGAACCTCGTGGTGTGTTCAGCAATGGCAGGATGCCGGTGCGATTATCATTGGCAAGACCACCATGCATGAGCTTGGCTTGGGTCAGTAAGAACTTCTCGCTCATACGACTATCGAGCTCAGCCTGCTAATGAGTCATGGACCGCCTAGATACGAACAACAACAATCCAAACTACGGGACCCCCAGAAACCCTCACAATCAAAATTACTACTGCGGTGGATCTTCTGGCGGGTCTGGCTATGCCGTCAGTGCAGGTCTGGTGCCAATTGCACTTGGAGCAGATGGCGGTGGCTCGATCCGCATCCCATCCTCGTTCTGTGGTCTTTGGGGCTTGAAGACTACGCATGGCCGTGTTTCTGGTGCCCCGTCTCTTAGTCTTGCACCCACGGTTGGTGTGCTTGGCCCCATGGCTGGCAGTATCGATGATCTCGCGCTGGCCTATCGCCTAATGGCAGCTCCAGCGCCTGTCTCGCAGGACGCGATTTCATCACAGTTCCCGAATCCAAAGCCGCTGCCTGATAATCACAAGAGAGCCAAGAGACTGGGCATTGTCCGTGAATGGATTGATCGGGCAGAGGCCCCTGTCCGAGCTGTCTTCGACGCGGCGGTTGATTACTACCGCAAGCAGGGCTATGAGGTTATCGAGATTTCCATTCCATATCTGCCAGAGGGCCAGCGAGCCCATGTCTTGACAATCATGGCTGAGATTGCAGCGGGCGTTGACCCAAGTCATGTGGGCTCTCTGTCTGCGCCGAATAAAGTTCTCGTGTCCATTGGCATGTGGCAAATCACTGCCAACGATCTTCTCGCCGCGCAGCGATTGCGGAACTTGCTCATGCAGCACATTTCGCATCTGTTCCACGAGTATCCGGGTATTGTTCTCTTCACGCCTACCAGTCCCATTCCCGGATGGAGAATTGAAGGTGGTGAGACCGAGCTTGCCTATGGGCTCTCAGATGGGAAGACGTCCGTGCGGAACATGGAATACGTGTGGCTGGCTAATTTCATGGGCTGTCCTGCTATCACATGTCCGGCGGGTTATGCTGGGGAGGGAAATGTACCCATCGGCGTGATGGCAATGGGTGACTGGGGTAGCGAAGAGGAATTGATTGAGTTTGCCCGAGATGGAGAGGGTCTGGTGGACAGGGTAATCCCGGCAGGCCATCACTCAGTCTGGGAAGATGTCCTTCAACAGGCAAGAGGGTATAATGGGCTTTGACGACGCTTGATATTCCAACTTATTGAATGGAAGTGAACTTTCTGTTTCTAGTAGAGGCTTCTATCTATTGATCACTGTTATCGCGTGGATTGTCCTTGATTCTCGGATGCATTGGCCTTTGACTATGAACATCTTGTCTCGAGGCTCCTGCAGCACGCCTGAGAGAATGACATTGCATACCAAGACACCTAGAGACGGGCTCTGCATGAAAAGTCATTAAGCTATGATCCAATGCTGTGGTAATTTCAATCCTAGGTGAGTTAAGTCTGTCCTTGTTCACCATCTTGCTCTATCCGTCTACAGCCCTCCATAGTGCAACACTGTAGCAGTGTATAATTGTATAGTTAGTAGTATATGGTATATCCTGCATGAGTGCGTAGTGCATAGCATACTGCATAAGTGCATAGTCATTTGCGGGAAGTAGCTCTGACGTCGGAGCTAAACCCAAAAGGGCAATCACACTCCCCGCAGATCTCCAAAAGTAAACATTCCCCCAAGGCCAACCAAAAAAAAAAACATAATTTCGATTAAAACTCCCTCCTTCCCAATCGGAGTATTTCAAGAGGAAGGACCACAAACATGCCGCAATTGCGCCGCCAGCCCAATCTCCACGGCTACCACGGCGATCCCAGTCTCAATGAACCCAACACCTTGCGCACGCAGTTCCAAACACCCCCCTCACGAGATTCGCGGCCAGACCCCCCGACGCATTGGCTTCCACCATCTTCAGGGCCACAGCTCGTCACGCCTGAGCTTGCTCCAGTCTCGAGATCTCCCAATTACCACGCCGCGATGCCCAATGGACCATTTGCGATGTTTCGGCGACAGCGGCCCGGCCGCCAGGTGCCGGAGCCTGCTATGCAGGAGGAAGATGTGTTTGAGGATGATTCGGTATTGAATGTGGATGCAGACGAGCATGTTGAATATGAGGATGAGATGCGTGCGGAAGACTCCTTTGACCATGGAGAAGGTCTGCCGGGCTCCGAAGACATCATCGACGAGGAAGAAGATGAAGAGGACGACGAGCTCGACGAAGATCAATACGAGGATGAAGACCAAGAGGACGAGGAAGACGGCGACGAAGAGATGCAAGACCGAGGTAAGAAGCATGCACAAACAAGACACTCTTCGCCTCCAAGTAGGACCCTGTGTCTTTTTCGCAGTCAACAACGAGCTGACTCTTCCGTCTCGTCACAAGAAGTGGATCGATCAGAATCTCCCCTGCCCCCCAATCTCCGCGAAATTTCCTCTCTCGCATCCTGGACAGTTTCCACCTCCAAACCAGGCTGCGGCGTCGCTGCCCTCCGACACCCCTCGCCATCCCAGTACTGGCAGTCCGACGGACCGCAGCCTCACACCTTGACATTGCACTTTTTCAAACTCGTCGCCATCGTGCGAATCCGCGTCTACCTCGACTTTGAACTCGACGAGAGCTATACACCCACGAAAATGGCCTTTCTGGCTGGCATGGGCGGGAACGATCTCGTCCAATTCGCTACCTGGGAGGGCGATACCCCGTGTGGGTGGGTGACCATTCCTCTGGATGGGGGTGGGGGTCGGAATGGGGGTTGGGTGCGTGAGGATATGCTTCGGCGCAAGCGCCGATCATCAACGACTATACGTCGACATGGTGGACCACGCCAGACACGAAGCGCCGCACTTGGCACCGGTGCTGGAGGAAATACTCAAGGACTCTCAGCCGATGAAGGGGAGTATGGTTCCGAGACCGACGACTACACTGTGATGGGGGACCCCGAGGATCCATACGCGGGCAATGTGCTCAAGGCAATGGTGCTTCAGATGCGCGTGTTGGAGAACCATCAGAATGGGAAGGATACGCATGTGCGTGGGTTCCAGGTGTTCGCGTGTGATGATCACCGGCGAAGAGTGGGAGTTGTGCCATCTACTGCGGCTGCTGGCCATCCCCCTCATGATGAACAGAGCAGTGCGCATCACTCACGTCGAGGGTATCCAGCGGAGGCATCGCGCGCTCAGGTGAGCAGCGAAGACGTTGATACGAGCACGCTGATATCTACCACTGGGTTGGATGAACCGGAATGGATGGGCGAGCCGGTGATCCGATGAGAGCTTTGCGTCGACCCCTACGAGAGCATATGGTCAATGGCGTTGTTTGAATTTGCGTCTGTGTTGTATAGACTTTCCTTTGTTTTCTCCTTCCTTTTCGGTCCTCGTGCCTTTTCAGATACCCCCTCCCGCCTAGTCCTTACAATATGAACTTGGAGTGAACCTATTTATATACGGGAAAACCTATCCCAAGTCGGACGAATTGTTCCAGGCTGAGAATAAGCAGGGGAAAAAGCTAAGCCAGAAACGACTTTTGATGTTGACTTTGCTCCAGTGGCACAGGTACGGTAGTGAGAATGATTTCGGATAGTAAACTTGCAATGTCAGAGAAATAGAACCGAAAAGTGGGTATTTATCTTGAAGGGTTCAACAGTCATTACACGTCATATTTAGGTTAGAAAAGCAAAAGACAAAGAACTTTTCCAAGGCAAAGAGGGGGCTTTTTCTCCGGCCAAGTCCACACTCTCTTCATTTTGTTTTTCTTACTTGAGCAGCTTCTCGAGCTCGGCAACGACGGCATCACCAACTTCGGCTGTCGTGGCCTTGCCGCCGATGTCACCGGTACGAACACCCGCCTCGATGACGTTCTCAACGGCCTTCTCGATGATGCGGGCTTCGTCGAACATGTTGAAGGAGTACTGCATCATCATGGCAACGGAGAGAATTGCGGCCACGGGGTTGACAATGCCCTTGCCGGAGATGTCGGGAGCGGAGCCTATTTCATACAATATTAGTGACCTAAATCTTCCAATGAAGAGAAGGAAAAAAAAACCGATGGGTGAATCGAAGATCAATTTGATGTGCGTCGCAACGTACCGTGAATGGGCTCATAGATACCGTTGACACGGTTCGTGCCATCGGGGATACCACTCAGACTGGCACTGGGCAGCAGGCCCAGCGAGCCGGGAATCACACTGGCCTCATCACTGATGATATCACCAAAGAGGTTACTCGTCACGACAATGCCGTTCAGCTTACGGGGGTCCTTGACCATAAGCATGGCTGCAGAGTCAATCAGGTGGTGACCAATCTGGACCTGAGGGAATTCCTTGGCCATGACTTCGGTCACGACCTTACGCCACAGACGGCTAGTGGCAAGGACATTCGCCTTGTCCAGACTCCACACGGGAAGAGGGGGGTTGTGTTGCAGAGCCAAGTGAGCGGCCAGACGAATGATGCGCTCAATCTCCGCGCGGGAGTAGGGCTCGGTGTCCATGGCGTAGCCGGAACCATCGTCCTCCTTGCGGTCACCGAAGTAGATACCACCCGTGAGTTCACGGATGATGTTGAAGTCGACACCACGGCAGACATCGGCCTTCAGGGGAGAGCTGTCGACGAGGGAAGGGGCAGCAAAGTTGCAAGGTCGCAGGTTACCGAATGTGCCCATCTCCTTTCGCAAGCGCAGGATACCCTGTTCAGGACGCACGGAGCCAGTGCCCCATTTCTAACATGGGCAGAAGAGAAAGGATGAGCTATTGTCCATTGTTTTGTTTTGGTCTTGTCTTGTCTCCAGCTTCCAACTCTGCTCTTCAACTCGAGATTGACAACGTACCGGTCCGCCAATGGCACCCAGAAGGACGGCGTCGGCATTCTTGGCAGCTTCCAAAGCTTCGTCGGTCAGAGGGGAGCCGGTGGCATCGATCGAGGCCTGCAACATCAATTAGAATCCTCCGACTTCCCATCAACATTTCAAAGAGAATCAAGATAGGCACTCACGCCACCGAGGAGGTGATCCTGAAGATTAAAGGAAACATCGCGGTGCTTCTGAACCACTTGAAGGACCTAGGCCAGCATTGACGTCAGACTTCAGCTCGTATGGAAACGCGATTTGGAGTTGGCTTAATTTCAATGTACCTTGATGGCCTCGGCAGTAACCTGTCATCGATGAACACAAAGTGTTAGTTATAGATCAGCCCCATGCTTAACACCATACTGTGCGTGTCCCCAAAGCTTTCAGAGAGCTCAGAGGATGGCGGGGCACGGCGATTGTTGTAGCTCAACCTACCTCGGGACCACAGTGATCACCGCCAAATACGACAACGTTGAATGCAGGCATGATAGAGGCTGAAGTAACAAGCGTACAAGAAAAGGGTCCCGTGAATTCCGTGAATCTGATCGGGGGAAATAATGCGTTGGAGAGTCGAGCTTTAAGAAAGGCGGGATTGCGGCGGATGGATGGTCCCCCGCCGACGCGCCGACTCGCCGACTCCGAAATCGGCCAGGTCCAAAACCCACTTAATCGCCTCGACCCACCGCAGTGTTGCCTGGCTGGCGGAGGACACTCAAGAGTCAAGACAACAGTGCAGATGTCTGACTCAATGAGTCAATACTGGTGTGGGGGTCCGACTCGCATTCCTCGCGACCCTGTCCCTGTGAATCGACTTCAGGAGACCTGCATACTGAAATATTGCCGGCTACATTGAAGCTGCGACGCCCTCGTTGAATGAGTGCAAGGCGACTTCTTCATGGTGGTGGTGTTCCACAAGAGGTGACTCAAGAAAGCAATACGGGGAAAGACATGCATTAAAAGAGGTTATAACACAGGCATTAAGAATAACAGAATCAAGACCGCCTCACCGGCCGCGTGAGTTCTATACTTGAACAAGGTGCAAGAACAATCGGCCGCGATGATCAAAGCAAGAACGAGACGCACCACAAGATACTCAAGGTACACGGCGGTGCTCGTATGTTCGGCTTTCGACGTGTCACACAGTCTTCCACGCTCAGTCGCAAGGAAAATCGAATCCAGCAGTCAAGTGACCTAAGACTTCAGCCATAAACAGACGACGGTCCGTGTCGCGCAGAGGTGTCGACTCGATCAGGGGAGCTTGTAAGACAGCCAACCAGGAAGAAAAATGGAAAGATCCCCACGTGAAAACCATCGCGCCAACAGATGCAGGGCCCGAGGGGAGATCGGGCGAAATGGGAGAAGAAAGAAAAGAAGTTTATGCTGTCAGCGAGACAGAATTGACAAGGCTCGAATATGGCAACCGTTGGTTTATCTCTTACGGTTGGCACGTCGATTGAGACGATCGCCTTCGGCCAGCCAGCGGCTCGCGTTGACCATCTGGACCACGTTGACAAATTGCTTGAACAACATGACGGGAGCGGCGATGCCGGTGATGACCCATGGCCAGAAGCTGTCGATCTTGTTGGCGCGGGCCATCTCGAGAGCACCCGCACTCCAGGGACTCGCAAAGAGACTGGTTGGAATGGGGTGGGCAGGGTTCCCAGGTTGCGCCGAGGATGGCTGAGTGTCACCGACAGGCTGGAGGAGCGAGGGTGACAGGATGGGGGACGAGAAGGAGAGTAAGTAGAGGCCAATGAAAAACAGTTCGTTCAACGCACAGCAGATGAACAGAACAACCTGGAGTGATGGTTAGCCAAATGTAGAATTTGCAAGCCATCAGGAATAGAGCCCGCGGGGACAACATACTCGGCTGTGATAATATTGATAGAGAATCCAGCTTCGGCTAGAATCGATCTTCTTGTGGCTCTGGTCGGAGCCACCCATGCTGAGAGTCGCGTACATGTGCATATAGTGACTGGCCAAGTCAAGGCAGATCAACCCTTGGAAGACGATAGCCCAGCGCGGCCAAGCGGAGCTGAGAAAGACAAGCAAACAAGAGGTTGTACAACGATCGGTCACCATATCCAAGACTGCTCCAAAAGTCGTTGACTGATTGAAGTAGCGCGCCGCGTATCCATCCAGAGCGTCCAGGAGACACGACACACTGTACAGAAGTGAACATGTCCGTGGGTGAAGAGGCATGTAGTAGAGCGAGGCGAAGGCGAGCACAACGCGGAAGTATCCTAATTGCAGATTTTAGTTGGCAGTCCACTAGCACGGAGCTTGTAAAATCTCTCTGGTCCGCAGGGAAACTCCCCGCAATGGACGAAGCTAAAGAAGATAAGGGCGTACCGATCAAGTTTGGCGCGAACAGAAAGATGTTCTCCTCATTGTCTTCTTCCACTCTCACGGCCGAACGAGATCGTTTCTTGGAGGATGCGCGCCTGGTAGACTTGGGCGCAGCAGATGGGACCCCAAGATTGCCATTGCCATTGCCGGCATCCAAAACCTCACCGTCGTCAGCAGAGACGTCCAATGCGGCTTTTTGTCGTCGCGTCCTGGCACTCATGATGTGTGATTGTGAGAGATCTCGACAAGTTCTGGTCTTGCTAGGAATGGATGGGAGAAGACTTCGGGTTGCGAAAGCTGTTGGCCCACAATCGATCGTACAGCTGGTCTTCTTTGCGACAGATGAGGGTGATAAGGAGCGTAGCGGATGATGTGCGATCCACCAACGCCCACCAGTGTGGCTTAGATGGACGAGACGATGACGGATCTAGTCAACAGCTATAATGTCAGCTTCGAAGTGTTGGACGAGGAGACGGTGTTCAGCAGATCATTCTCTCTCTCCTCCGTTGGAACGAAGCAGACGCAAGGCCGATGTGATGAGATAGCGCGTCGCGTACCTCTCCCACTTGAGCAGCACAGATAAGCAGGCTTTTTTTTGTATGAGGTGGATTTGGCAAGGAGCCGTGACCAGGACACCGCCTGCGATTTGGGAATAAGAATAAGTGGAATAGAGCGACAGGTGTTCCTCGTTAGGTGACCGACGGCGATCGAGCTCAAAGATCAGCTTAGCGAAAGACTGATCGGCAGGATTCAGGGGATGGAGGGGAGGGAAAGAAAAGAGTGAAGTAGTCCAGATGGACAGGTTTTGTTTTTCGTGACGGGTCGCCCGGAACCGTGGCTGCGAAAGTGGGAAGTGGGAAGCTTTCCCCACGCGCAATCGGGAGCTTCCATTGCGCATCGTCGAGACGGGGGAAGATTGAATTCTATGCATAAGCTGCAGCCTTGAACAAGACGCTCTACATGTGGGCGAAGAAGGTGAGAGTGTACTGTGCTGATCGGTCATCCAAATCGCCCTTGGATGCTTAATCCCATTTTCTAGATTGCCATTTAGAACCATGTCATGTCAAGCAAGTGGGCAGGTGTGTAGATGGCAAGTATAGCTAGCTGTCTCCAGCAGGTCGAAAAGTCAATTTCGGTCTTCTAGCGAACAAGTCAGACAGAATAGGCGAAGGCGTTCTCTTAAAGTTGTACATTCAAGCTTGTGTCATTACTCGCTATGGATGTAAAGTATGCAGAAACCTGACCTAGCAAATCTAGGATTCTCGAGGAAATCAACCTTACGTCCGTATCGCTGGTGCGCCTTTCGCCACCTGGCCCTGACACTCAAAATCAACCTTACCTTCTGAAATGAACACTGACAGGGTAAGTCAGGCGGCTTCGTAAAGTAAGTACTAAGTACCTGCTAGCATAGTAGGATCAAAATCTCAGGCAATTGTACGGGGAATAACCGCAGTGCTGTCTACAACATGAAAGTTCCAGCCAAGTTAGTACCTCGATAACGAAGTTCCTGTATACTTTCAATTGTACAGCCATGAGACGGGACTCAATTGGTGATCATTGGATGTTTGTTTTTAACCAATTTCTCTGTATCAGTGACATTAACAGACATCAAGGTCAAGGACACGGGTGTTTGCTTCTCAGTGAGAAATGGCAAGATATAGCAGCTTATATTTATTTTCTTTCTGAAGTCAAATCAAACGGTCACCCTCCGGGGCAAGAGGGAAGTGAGTCATCTCAGCCTGGCATCCTACGACGGACGGCCTCGGGTGCAGGAACAGGGAGAAGTATTCGTCTCTGTCGGGCTGCGTCGCATCACCAACCAGTTGTATCAGAAACTCGATAACTTTAACAAAACGAAAACCCAAATGGATGTAGTAAAGAGCTTCTACCCCACTCTTTAAAGAAGCCACAAGTTTCTGGACCAGCATTATACATTCTTTGTGATATCCATTGAAGCGAAGAACACTCAGATAGCCTTCACGGCCTGCACGGTAGAACGGACTTCTCCAGTTCGAAGTTTCGAGCCTGATGCCATAACTATGTCTGACAACTTTGCGGAAAATCTGGACGTCTCCTGCCTTGCTAGCCAAAGGAAGATAAGCCCGGCCAGAGCGATCTGGCGGTGACACATCAGCGCCTTTCTTCATGAGTCCTTCCAGAATGGAAAGCGCGTGAGGCCGGAAGAAGTCGATCACATACTGCGGGTCATCTCTATGATTGTTAACTGCATTTGCATCGATTGAAACGCTATCAAGTAGCGTCTTCACCACGTGAGCTCTCGTGTCACTGATATGTTGAAGAACATCGTCGGCTTCTGCACTTTCGTAATTCTCTCTAATATCTTGTAATGGCTCGACGGCATATCCACCAGCTCCTCATGCATCGTCTATGACGCGGCCGAGAAGCTGGCCCCATGACAACCCTTGAACCCTGGAGTCTAGGTCAAAAGCAGATTCAAGAAAGAACATGGCTCGTCTCTGTCGATAATTTTCCGACTCAATTGCGTAAAGAAACGGCGTCATGTTCTTCTGGTCAGAGATGTGCGGACACACCCGACCCTTCTGTTAAGAAGTATTTGAATCATGGTAGAATTTCTGGACTCGCTATTCGTGTATGCATCAGCCAAAAGGAATTGAATCTTCCAAAAGTCCACGAGCTGGCATCAGCATTGATTGATCTTGTCGGGCCGGCATTATTGGGAAAGAAGCTTGACGCAGCGCTGTGACAAGACATAGTTCACCGCGATAGTCGAAAATCCATTCAAATAATCCGCCGTTGTCAAAAAGTCCTGGACCGAGCGATGCAACAAGCGCACCACATCTTGGTCGACAACAACCAAGAAGCGACAGGAATCAACAATTTTTTGGGTGTACTGACGGAGAGTCAATATCCTCGTCCACATGTAACTGACAAGTTTCAATTATTCTGCCAGTGGGAGAGGTCGCAACGCAAACGCGACCACTTTTAACATCAATTCAATTTGTAATCTTCCATTTCAAGCCATATTCCCGATATCACACGAGGAATTCTTTTTTGATCGCGGACCTGTGACTGTAGGTTGCCTCGAATAGCCAGCCAGGATCTGATCTGGCCGCGAAAATTATGTGGGACATGATCGGTTATCCAACACTCTCGAGATCTCATGCGTAACTGACGAGTTTCCCATGTATATTCAAGTCTCGACAAGGGAGGACTCGAGAGATTGTAAACATAAGTGCCGTCAGTACTGTAAGTGCTGACCTAGCATTTAATGAAGAAAGCACTATAGGCGGGTTGGAAGCTACGTTGGACGATAGAGGCCATGCAGGGTGGAAATGGATGGACTCGAAGATCTTCCAAGATATTCCTTATTATACCCCACTTCACATCTTCCATTCCTATATCTTTCAATTTACACCCTACTCTCTCTGTATGTAGTATGTACACAGGCTATCTGGAATGGAATTGGAACAAGTCGCCTGACCATATCGATAAGTGGAAAGCTTCTCGAAAAATCTACACGTAATTATGGACTGCTCGGGGTGGCCGCTATCGCCCAAGTAGGTCAGCCTATTCATTGGAAGCGAGTCAATGAGATGTGCATCAATTGCAAAGCATACCGGCATGAGGCAGAAGGGGCATTCAAACATCAGGTAAAACTGCAGATGCAGAAAAGACCATTCTGTACAAAGACTGAGACTTTGGATACAGTGCCAAAAGAATCGAAGCACAAGTCTGCCAGACGCCAATATCTCATTTGGAGTCCAAAATTCTTGGAACAGGGTGAGTTTATATACAACAGGCTACTCATCTCGCATCAACAAAAAAGCCCAGCTCCAACGTCACCTCCGTGACCTGCGCGGGTCAGTGGCGTCTTCTCGTCGCCAATCGCGAGATTCCTTAGTACCCAAGCTACCGACGCCTCCTTCTAGTCGTCGCTCCCAGCCACCAAGTCGCACAACCAGGCAAGTAGCATTGTCGCCTTCCTTGGTGACCTCGGTGGCGAAGCTAACCACATCGCGTGCCCCTTGTTCTGGAGTGCGGGCCTCTTTGACAATGTCCACAATTTCTTGGTCTTGGAGAGTGCCGCTGATCCCGTCAGACACCAGAACCATGAAGGAAAACTCCGCTGGGCCCAGTTCAACACGGCACAGTTCTGGTTCGGCAGAGACGCCAATCCGCTTGGATTGCACGTCTCCGAAGGCGCGAGTATTGGCCAGCCCGCTCATGCGTTCCTCTCCAAAGGAATCCGTCACAAAGGTAGCGGCATAGCGACGGAGACGACCCGCTTCAATGGGGGAGGAGGGATGGTGATTCGAGGTGAGAGGTATGGCTTGTCCGTCGATGGTTGAACAAAGTAAAACTCGAGTATCACCTACATGAGCCACTATAAGGCTCGACGACCCAGTCGGATGCCAGAAAGGCGTGGATGTAGGAGTCGATATCATAGCAACGCTACCGGTGCTGCCGCCTTTAAATCTGGACCTCCCGCCGATCTTCGGAGTTCTAGTCAAGCTGGGACTGTAGAGGATTTCGTCCTCGTTCAAAGGCTTCTCGGCAAGAACGAGATCGTCATCACGCTTGGCGGCCTGCGCTTTCACGAAATCCAAGTCGGTGCGGAGAAAAGCATATTCGAGGACCTCTTCGATCGTCACGTGGCCTTGGATTTGAGAGTCTTCGGCGGGAACATCCGAGTCGTGGTATGCAAAATGAGATGGCTTGAAGCGCTTGAAATAACCGCCGACCAAGCGACGCCAGTTCTGCACCAGATTCTTTTCCAGGTCGCCAATTCGCTGACGATTGGCTTCCTGCATGACTGGCAGAGCGCTGGAGTTGGGCGAATCTACGGCCGTCGGTCCATTGCCGACTTGCTGCTGCAGTTTGCAAAGACTAGACTTGACCTCGAACTCTGCAGCAGAATTCTGGATGTACTCGTGGAGGTGATCTTGTAGAAATGTACTGCACTCGGACCCGCCGTGTCCGTCAAAGATGCCAAAGTAGAACACTTGTGGATCTCCATTGGCCGTGTCTGCAGCTCGAGACTCACGTGGCTCCGTCGACGAGGCCGATCTTTTGATCCGATTAATTGTCAAGGACGCAGGTGGCCTCTTCGCAAAGGCAGGGATGTCAATGACGCCAGCTTGGTAAGTATCTTCATTTGCCGGACGGGTACCGCGGGCAGTCACAGCTCCAAAATGATGCTTTGCACTACGCAGTGGAATTCGCACCACGGTCATTTCGCGATCAACCAGAGGCTGATACGCTGGCGAAGAGCTTGCATTGTCCCCAACATGTGGTATTGACGATGATCGAGGGAGTTTGTGAAAGGGAGAACTTGGCCCTCGAGGGTCTGGATGTAGCGACGACGAGGGAAGATGTGTAACAAAATAATCGTGGAACTGTGGGCGCCTCTTACTTGAAGCAGGCTCGCTATGCGTAGTGGCTCCGGACAGGTATCTTCGCGAGAGTTGAGGCCGAAGGGAACCTGTTGAGAACATGCGGGGAAGCTTCCGCGTTAGAGACTGACAATACGCAGGAGTACTCGGGAGTCGGAATAGAATCAATCATGCAACTTGGAGAGTCTGGCAGGGAGAAGTGCATGAGACATACCCCGAGTCCCAGTAAGGGTCCAGGTCCAGCCTGTTACGCGCCTCGGTGCAGAGACAATCATGAATGACCCATTGGCAAATGACGCGGGCGTAAGAGGACTGGGGAGAATGGGAATGAGAGAACGATTGAATGCACCGAGTTGCGCAAACTATGGGGGCGTATTGTAACATGGTTCTCTCTGGCCCAGTGGCCCGAGCGTCGGCAGATTCAGTCGGCCACTAAGTGACGGCATCGGCACATCAGTTCCGAAGAAGTACTCTTGTCCTCGAGCACTTTCTGAATCAGATCCAAGTAATCGCTTCTGAGTGATCTATGGGTCGGGAAATTCGAGGCAGTATCGAATTCATATCACATGCATTTCAGCGCTCGTATGTCCAAAAATATCTTGTCTTCTAAGAAAAAAGACTTTAGGAAATTTGGAGTTTGTTGAGAGGACACAGCGCCACACGTCAGGATCTAATTGCGGGGAAACCTCGGTGTCTGGACTCTAGACACTTTCCCATGCCAGGACTAATGACCATACATTCAGACTATTTTGTAGGCGTTTGACTAATTCGATTGCACCCAACGGAAACCATATCAAACGGTCATTCATTGCTAGTCTACCGGAGTCTGTGATCTTGCTAGCATGACAAAAAAATAATACGCTCCTGCAAGCGACAATCAAGAACATCATTTCGCGTGGGACGGCCGTCGTAATGGCACAAAATAAAGAAAAAATACGCAAGGCGAAAGACGAGCACCTACCAGGAGCAGAGTCATCCAGTGATGCTGAACAGACAAAAAGACGCCAAAGATGGATCTGCCTGGGAGAAGACAGTGCATGTTAGAGATGATGTGCAGCAAAACACAAGAACTCGAGCGAAAACGTCAAACCCCCAAGCATCAGATGGCCTTGGTGCGACTGAAAAGACTGCTGTAAACAGCATCGACGACAGGCTGTGCGGTAATACGCCTGCCGCCAAAGAAACGACCGTTTAGACCTTTGATGGCATTCTCACCGCCTTGGACACGATCAAACTTGAGATAGATGTCGCCTTGGGAGTTTGGATCCAGCGAAATGTGGACCACATGGCCGTACTTGTCCTCGCACTCTTGGCGGACATCATCCTCAAGTTCCTTGATCCACGCTTCGCCGGTTTCTCTGTTGAGAAGGAAAGCGCACAGATGTTAGCCAAGGGAAGCAAGACCTAGTTTAATCACGAAAGTGGAGCCAATAGGGTGCGACTTTATGCAAGGCCGGTGAACTTACTCATTAGGGTCGAACATGTTTCGAAGCATGACACAGCGACTGGCCATATTCACGTTGACAGGCAAAGGCTTCACCTCAGTCTTGGGTCGAAGAAGTTTCTGTTGCTCATCGACCGAGGGGTCGGGTTCATCTGTTCGTGCAAGCTTCCTCATCAATGCATCTCTACTGTAGTTGTTGAAGTTCACGCCCGCAACGTCTGTGTCATCGAGAGCACTTGCGCCGGTGCCCTTATCAGTATCCCGACCACCACCAGCTCGGTCAAAGTTACTCGAGCCACCGGCTTGGACACCACGACCTCCATGGCCGGAAAATGAGGAGCCCTGGAAATTCGGTTGGTTTGCAGACGCGCCCTGCTGACGATTCGCGTTCGAATCGGGGGTGAACTTATCGTTGCCAAGGCCCACTCGGATTGCTCGACCCGCAAGATCAAAGCCATTCATCTTCTCCAAAGCCTCTCGTGCTTGATTTGGGTCACGGAATCTGTGCGCAATTAGCAAGGGTATCTTCATGGAAGAGGGCCCACAAGTGATACATAGAAACTTACTGCACAAACGCGTAACCTTTGCTACGACCAGTCTCATCCTTTTGCAACTGGACAAATTCAAGTTCGCCAAAAGGCTCGAAGACATTCTGAAGATCACTCTCAGTAATGCTGAAATGGACATTACCCACATAGAGTCGGTGGAACGGCGCCGAGTGAGACGGGCCGGAGCTCGCCTCGGGATTGCGAGCTTGACGGTTCTTTTCAGCTTCAGTGAGCTGTGCGATGATAGGAATGCCTAAAAGTTTCTGGCCGGTAAGTTGAATGGCAGCCGGAACAGAGTCTTCGCTTTTGAACTCGACATAACCGACACTATCGGAATAATTGTTAGTCACGCATAATCATGCAAGCGACGAGGATGGGTCGTATCATTTGCTCACCCTTTGGATCTACCGCTAACTCGGTCCTTCACAATCTGAGCCTCTTTCACAGGGCCGGCTTGTTCAAAAAATGCCATCAGCTCTTTGGTCCTCAAACGGGCAGCCAATTGTTGAACGAAAATAGTTCTTTTGTCGCGCTCGTCCTCGTTGAGCTCAGGGGATTTGCTTGGGCTGCGGCGACTGGGACTTCGGCGACGACCACCTTCGCGGTCACGCCGAGGGCGTCTTTCTTCTTCCCGCTCACGTCGAGATGGGCGATAGTGACGGTCATTATAAGGCGAACGCGAGCGAGTCCTGGCACGCCCAGGCCCACGATAGAAGTCACCACTCGAGCGATAGCCATCGCGGTCGCGACGAGAGCGGCGTCGCTCGCTGTCGCGACTACGGCTTCTCTTCCGGCTTCTATGGCTTCCGTTAGCACTGCCATGCTCGCTGTGTGGGCTCTTCATGTCCTCATCGCCATCAACATCACGGCGACGGTCACGGCTGCGGTCACGGCGTCGGCGCCGCTCACGGGAGAGATCTCGGTCGCGGCTTTCGGAAGGGTCTGCACGGGAACGATCATCGCGTTCTTCTGTCTTCGGGGCGGTGATTTCGGCAGAGGCAGCTGTAGACTCAAGAAGAGCCTCCACATCAAGACCTGACATGGTGATTCGCGTATGGCTTGCTGACTTGCAACTCCAGTGATGAACAGGGTCAGGGAAGAGTCACTTGGGACTTGGTCAGGATCTGTCAAGTCGCACAGAAAAGCTTGGATTTCGATCTCGAACCCTTTAAAGTTTTTTTTTCCTTTCCTTTCACTTGAGCACAGGAAGAAGGGATTATGACCTCGGCTAAAGGGATAATCACCAATCGAATGAGGTCGATTCAGGTGAGATTGAAGTGCCTGTCTGGGTAGCATTAGTGTGCCTCGAAAGACGTATCACAGCGATTAAAGCGGTGGCCGGGATGATCACGTGGTTGGGAGAAATTTCATCAGATCTAGGCTATCTATTTGCCACACGCACCAATTGCGGTTGGGGAAATGCCAACAATTATCTAGACACTATTGCGCAAGCTGAAAGACAAAGTGAAGGAATCATTCGATTAATATTAGGCCATAAGAATAAAAATTTCTTACTTTACAAGTTAGGTGAAAGTAATGGTCATCAATGTTTTACAGAGGGACAATGTCTAACAGGACTTCTTGACTCGTTAGTCGGGCTCCGAGCATCTCAAAATGGTGCGTGCAAACTTTGAACGAATGAAACGCCAATGGGACCCGATGCAAGAATTATGTGTAGTGGGCTGCATGCCCATAGTGGTGTAGAATGATTCTTGACAGGCGAGAGAAGATGCTCGAGCGTGATTCCGTGATTTTGAGAAACAAGTAGCCATTTGAGGCCCCGAAGCCAGAGAGCGCGACTGCTACTGAATCTTGACTCCTTTCGGTACTGAAGTTTCCAACTCAGTCCCGAAGATCTTATCCCAGAATCGGCTAGTCACACCGAACCCATTCTCGTAGTCGGCGTAGTGATGCGCGAGATGGTACTTCTTCAACTCTTTATAATGCATGGGAAGGCTGTGGATGCGTTAGCTCGAATTCACGCGCCGTTTCCATTGCAATTTCGGCACAGAGAAACTTACTTGCGATGATGGATGAAGTAATGCGTCAGGTCATAGCAGACATAGCCAAAGACACCACCACAGAAGACCTGTGTTGCCGCAAACCAATTGTAGAAGAAGACTGCATGAGCCAGCTTCCAAAAGGGCCAAGCCAAAATCAAGAAGAGTGTTGGGGGCATGACCAGCCGGTAACGGTCCATAGGCAGGTAATGGTGAATTCCGTGGAGCAGGAAATGGAGAGTCAACCCGACTCGATTGTCCGGGAGCCATCTGTAAAAAGAACACAATTAGAAAAATGAGGCTTGCATAGAATGGAGGGAGAGGGGGAAGGGGTCAAGCAGATAAGCATACTTATCAAGGTGGAAAAGGAACCGGTGCAAAAGGTACTCAACCAAAGTCCAAATGAACACACCACCGGCCCAGTACGCAGCAGCAGGTGTGGCATCGCCTAGACCCTTCGATGCGACCACCGTGCCATAGAATACACAAGGCAGCCAGATGAGCGGAACCACATACCAGGCAGTCTTCGAAAGAGGCTCGAGGAAGTTGCCAAAGAGTGGAGCGGAATCACCACCCTTATAGTGGCGGGGACGATGGATTTGCTCGAGATAAAAGTCCTTGGAGAAATCGCCGTACCACAGCTGTGCGAAAAGTGGCTTGTTGAGATCAAGGAACTTGTACGTCTTGTAGTCCTGGGTGTAGTCCGTATCAACCGACAAATCCTCCTCCCGCGACATTCCCGTGCTGGCGTAGACGGGCTGCCCAGGGGCACCCTCACGATCCTGGCTTGTGGCCTCGGACTTTCCAACTGCCACGGAAGAGACGAAGCCGACATGATAATCGGTCAAAATCTCGTAAGCCGCCTCGGAGTGTTCGTGAGAAATCTCATCCTTCATTATCTCCCGCACATCTTTGCCGGCGTACTCCAGTATCAAATCGCCACCGCCTGGATGGTCTTCCACGAAGTCTGTCACGTCGTAGACATTCCGACCGATCGTGATGTAGCACGATTTGGCGTTGTTGTGAGATTCCACCTGAACCGGTGTAAACGTTGGCAGGGTTTGTCCTGGCATGGTGGTCTGTTTCTCGGAGAAGCGATCCGTTGAGCGGGAGACGCTGAGAGAACAAAATATTGCAATGTTGAAGAACAGTCATGAAAGGGTTCGGCTTTGCGAGGCGACCGGAAGTTGGACCAAGGACGGTCCTGATTGGTTCGAGACGAGAATCGGGTCGGTCAAGTAATGAATTTCTCAGGGGTGGCGTGACCGGACCTGCCGCCGTGCCGGCGTGGGCTGATGTAATAATGTTGGTTATCCCCGTCCATCTTTACAGTAAGTTACAAGTTATCACTGAAGGTAGGAGGAGAGGAATAATGAATATTGCGATTATGGTGATACTATCAAATTATCATTGACCCCTCCCCTTCATACTATCTTCTTCTCATCTTCCCCCATTCTTCCCTGTCAACTCTCTCCGCTTTAGCCCCTCCATCAACTGTGCATTCAACCCTCTTTTTTCTCCTCGCTTCCGGAAAAGACACTCTGGCTTCCTCCTTTCAGAATCCGGCATCCAGCAGCGCGACTCGCAGGGCCAAATACGCACAAGCTAACACGGCCCTGCTCGAGTCACTTACGTGAACCTCAAAGCTCGTCCATCCAAGCAAGGATCTCACGGAGCTCAAGGCCACCCTTACGACGTTCAAGGCTGATGACCCAGAATTTGTTGCGCCGGAGCTTTGTCTTTTCAGGCTTACGTCTTTTGAGAAGCTCGAAAAGTTCTCGTTTGTCGAGCCGAAGAATGCTAATGATATTTCTTAATACGATGTAAACAACAAGAATGATAAAAAGGCCTCTTTGGGTATTGTAGAGGAATACCGTCAGCCCAACGAAGAGGAGGCCTTTCTTATGAGCAATCACGCAGAGCGTGCTTTCCTATGTTTTACTGAACTATCTGAGCACTCACGCAAGAGGAATACAAGGAGATGCTCCAGCAAGGTTTCTTTTAGTTGTGGTTGGACTCATATCAAGTTCAACCACCCTTTTTCCGAGCCACCCCAGGGTTCTCTGGCTGATTATCAACCAAAACGCCCAGATTCCATTTTGGATAGTGCGTGCTAAATACGAGTGTCGAAACAAAAGAACAATTTACCCACATATCATACTCATCGTACACACTGGAGCAATGGTGTTTGAGGGCAAATTACTTTTTGACGAGCTGGCATGCATCGCCCAGGCTATTAAGAGCCGCCTGGTGCAAGAGGAGTTCGAGGCTACCTCACTTGTCCCGGTATGTTTCTATTACACCTGAACTCTGTCAAGGCCTCCTGAGCTAGAAGACCTGAGTACTGATTCGTTACCTCGTCTACTGCATTGTAATAGATCTTCGTCATTTCCTTCTGCGGGTCCGGGCTTCGCCATTTTATTCCTTCGAGGAATCCAGGATAGAGGTGGCCCGTCTTAGCGTCTCTTCCTCCAATACCACGCTTGCGACCCTTATAATGGGACAGACGCCGAAGATGCGGATGGACCAACTAGCCTGAGTACAGTCCTGCCACTATAGTCTTCCATTGACCGAGCAGGTAGGAAAGGCGGGTGGTCGTCGGTCGAAAAGTACAGTGGCAGGAGTCAGGGGTCAGGACTTATGATCGAGGGTACTCTATTCCCGCAGGGTAGATTCTCGAATTGTACCAAAGATAGCATACAAGATGGATATGCCCAAATGTACCTCTTGTGCACCACCTCCTTAAGGCAAACACTAGTGTATCACCAGGAGAACCCTTCGTGCTTGGCTCCAGTGGGCTTGTAGCGCAATATCAAGTTTCGATAGTGTGTCTCAATGATACGAGAAGTATTCAGTAGACTGCTGAAGGAGACTGTACAGTGTAATGTGTACTACTACTATTGGCTTAGACTAATGATAATAATGTCCCAACCCATCATCGACTTCATACGGAGTACATTGTCTGTATCCTCTTTCGCCAAGATCTACAGTCTGAAAAGGAAGCAGCTCCTGAGCCGCAAATTGGACGCGAGTCAATCAGATGATGGTCAGCATACCACAGATCACGTGCCGTGCACTATCTCCACCTGCACATCCGCCGAGGGCAAGCTCAGGAGCTCCGGATTGGTGGGCCGCTGAAGTCTCAATTTTCAACGCCCACACCTGGCGCCAGACCTATCTACTCCAGCTCCTGCGAAGGATCCGTATATCCCCACCGATTCTCTCCATTGGCTCCCCCGTGAAAGATACTAATGCATCGGTCCAGCTCACAGACTCTTCAACACACATCTGAGAAAGCCGGCAGCCTTCATGCTGGCTCAGGTTTCGCTCGTGAACCTGCTGTCTGTATGCGAGTCTCGCCTCGCAACTGTCCTTCTTTCGCACGCCTCACGGGACGATCCGCAAGACCGAAGCAAAGGAGAAGTGGAACCGACCCTTTCCCCCAATGGGTCATCCAAATAAGGCTCTTGGAGATCAAGTGACAGTGCGATTGGATCGACGCCGCGACCAAGGATCCTCCCAGGGCTGCACCCTCGCAGCATCCTAGTTCTTCTCCTGCCCATCCCGTACGAAGAAGCGGACAAATTGGAATGGAGAGGAGGCCCGTAGGCGCCGGGGAACAATAGCGTGCGCCCGAGAGACAAATAATGCCGAGGTGAGAAAAGTCACTGTATACCCCGACGGGTTTTCCCCCGATCGGATCGCATACATACCTTGGACTTGGAGCGGCCCCCCACTCAAGGAAAAGGAAGAAAGTGCACGCATCATGGCCCCCCCCCCCCCTTGTGCTATGCTCTCCACGTCCCGGCGCGGTCTCCACCCCTTGAACAGGTCCGGATCCGTACTGAAGGCGATCTTTGAAGATGGAAAGACTATGCATTCTGCTTCTCGGGCGAAGTTCAATAGTCCGCCAGGATTAGACATCGCACTAGCTCTCCTGCCAGGTGGAGCTTTCTTCCCCGCCAAGGGCTTCACGGTCTCAATAAGAGACGTCCTGTTCCCCCCGAGTCTTGCCCGTCCATCCACCCGCAACTCTTCAGTCCTCATTCCTCCCCCCCCTCAAAACGCCCGGTCACCCCAAAATGTCGGAGACCGCGAGCGTCCCGGAGAATCGCATCCTCCAGTACCTCCAAGATTTGACCTCGGCCAAGAAGGGTCTTCCTTTTGGGCAGCCTGTCGCTGTGCTTGCTTCGGACACGGTGACCACCACCGAGGCCCTGGTCAAATTAGCCTGTGAGCTTGGCCCACACATCGCAGTCCTCCAGGTGCATGCGGACATCATCGACGATTGGTCTGATGACACGATCGAGCAATTGACATATTACGCCAAGAAACATGGATTCATACTATGGGAAGGCAGTCGCGTGTTGAATTGCACCGTAAATTTCATGGGCCGAGGCAGCGCCGACTTCAAGACCCGAATGGCCGCAGCAGATTTTACGAAGCGAAAATACACACATGGAACCGTCAAGGTCGCCCAATGGTCAAATCTTGCTACTTCATGGGCTCCTGGTGTGCCTCTGAATGAACAGGAGATGGATCTGCTGATTCCCACGCTGCGCAAGGCCGCTCGAGAGGCTGTCGCGACCACAGTGAAAACTATTGAAACTGAGATCTCGGCGACAAATGGAGAGGAGCCCCACTACGACGTCGAAACGCCTCTCTCTGCCCCAAGTACTAATGGGTGGCTCGAGTTTAGTTCCGATAATTTTGGTTCTGCTCTACGAAAATCATCGACCATCTCTGTGACGGAATCGGTCACCCTGCAGCCCCACGTCGAGCCCGACGAGGGCATCCCTCCACCACCTCTGCTATCACGAGGACTCGCTCTCTGCTTGCCAAGCGCTATCGACTCCGCCTTCACTTCCGAGTTTCGTCAGAGCACAGTCATGGCAGCCTGTGCAAATCATGACTTTGTGGTCGGATTCCATACCTGTGAGCCATTGTTCACAAGTTACACTCGGGATTACCTGTTTGATCTGGCCTTCCAAGATAGCCTCGGTCATTCTCCTCAAATGGGCCGAGACATTCTCGAGTCGATTCCATATCTTGAAAACAAGCATCTGTTCGCCTTGTTCTCACTGGTTCCAATGGAGCTTCTGGCAAGCTTTGAGACCGACCCGATGCGCAGTTTAAATAGCGGGATTTCGGCGGAAAGTGAGACGCCCAAGAGCGTGGCCCAATTGTTTCATGTGATCGACCAAGCCTTGAAAGTGCGCAATGCCCATCGCAAGGAGCAATCTGGGAGTCCTCCTCAGGACTCGCTGATCTCAGTTGGTCCACGGCTTTTCCATGTCCCGCTCGTCATTCTCCCCTGAGCGAACATGCATCCCAAATTTTATATCCCTCCATGACCGCTATGTCCCCCATCTTATGACCCTTTCTCATCATACCATCGTTGCATTCACTTTAGATTTGCAGAATTTTGATCTGGTTCATTCAAAATAGTTTCGTCACAGTCTGCATAAGGGTTGCAGAGAAGTGCCTCCGCCCCAGGTCCTGCGGACCAGATGGAAGCGTGACTACTATCAAGGACCCTACTGAAGTCTCGCAAGGGCCCTACTGAGCTGTCCTTTGGATGGAAGTCATCTGGGGGTGATCTGGCCTGAACACAGCCAGGCAGTCAAAGGCCGCCCGCGCCCGATCAACATCAGAATATACATTAATTAATCACTTATCAACTCTTGATCACCTGCTCCTGCACTTCCTGTTTATGATTTCGAATTCAGATATCGTCCCATGGCCTCTGGACCAAGTACCTGGTGGCTTGGCCAAAAATCGACGCCTCGGGACAAGGATTCGCACTGAATCTGATGACCGACCGGAGAGCTCTTGTATGTTAATGATGCCCCTCTCCTCGGGGGAGATGAAATTTGGTTTATAAACATGCTGGAGGCACGGTCCTAAGTTGCAAGTTTAGTCAAAACTGCCAGCTGTTATCCCTTATACACACGGAAAAGTGAGATTGCTCCTCAGTTCTTACCTGAGCGTCTCTCGGTTCAAGAGGAGCTTCCACTCACCGCTCGGTGCCCGACTCCAGCGTCTTACCGCCCTGAGTATCCCCACCTTTAATGCCGGCAGAGGCCTGTCGACGTGCTCAACATTGAGGATGGCACTTGGCAATTTGACTTTTAACAACGCTTGGGAATGTCTGTTCGTCGACCCCTCCAGCTTCAAGCATGAAGGCTGCAGATCTTTTCTGAATCAAAGCATCATTATCGCTACGTGTCCCAATTGTTCAAGAGAGGCGTGAAGCTAGCGCGTGGGCCACATTATATTGTCTTGCCTCTTCCCCGTGACTCGCCTAGTCAGGTCTGAAGGCCAACATACCTTGCAGAAAGTCACTTGACAACCGTCTCTATGTGAAAGGTCATCAGGTGAAAGACGAGAGAACGTAAGTGAATCTGAATAATACCTTCAGGTTGATGAAAGATGATACAGACACTGATGAGATAGCAGACATCCCGTCTTGCACCAGAGTGTGACACAGCAAACCCAGATACGGTCCGAGATATGGGGCTTACACCACAGCCTCACAAATTCTCGGACTGTCCAGAAGACCTCAGAATGACAAAGAAGCTGGGTGGTCTCGAAGGATCTAACCCCACGGAAGCACCTAATACGCTCATTCTCAGGTCAAAGTCGAAAGCAACGCCAAAGAGCCGAAGCACTTTAGAGTCGCCTATCATCGTCTGTCCAGGCGGCGATTTGATCTTGCACTATGTCAGCTCAGCTTCTGCAGAAACCCACTACTGGAAGGTTGATAGGGAAACGCTGAGGAAACAAAGCTCTTATTTCAATGTGCTGCTAGATCCTACCAGAAGCTTCATGGAGAACAACTCCCTCGCCAGTCAACTGGCAAATCTGTCTACCTCAGATGCCTTGCCTGTTGTTAAGCTACCGACAAATGCAATCTCGGATCTATATGGAATGGAGGCGTTTGAGCTTTTCCTCCAGATGTGCTGCCTTGAATCTCTGAAAACAGGCACAGCGCAAGATGGCGAAGACAGTCTGATGGCTGTGTTCTTCCGCAATCTGCACTCACGGCCTCCATCTTTGATTGCCAGGTTGATTGCAATTGCAGGTTTCTATCAGAATGAGGAACGGGTGTGCCAAGTTTTGAGGAATCTGAACTATCTTGGGAGAAACAAATCGCAAGAAAAATTCAGCCAGGAAACCTTGAGGCTTGGCGAGGATCGAATCCGGCAATGCATATTCATTGCTAGAGCTTTAAAAGAACACACAATCCTGAGGAGACTATCACATGCCCTGGTGGTTCTTGGCTCCAAGCACTGGGCTCAACCACCAGAAAATCCAGGAATCCCTCATCTTCCATGGCAGTACCTGGCAGATGGACTAGAATGTAAGGATGCATCTACAAGATCTATTTAGATTGTGCTCTTAATACCATTCGCAACATGCTAACATTCCATGATAGGGCAACTATTCTACCGACGGCAGTGTGTTTTGAACACAATCGCAGATTTGCAGGCATATTTTCTTCGCAAATTTGGTGGTTTAGACACCGAGCAACAAAATCCAACAACCGCCTCATCTGGAGCTGCGCGAAACCTCTTGAATAATCAAGAACGAGCAGTTCAATGTCGAGCGGGTCTCGACAATGCCAATCAGTGCGATCTTTTTCATCTTGGCCAGATGACTCGCTTCTTCTCAGTTCGAACAAAATCGGTCTTTATTGGATCCAACTACATCGATCCTGATTTCAGACCGCCAAGCACATCAGACGAAACTGTCTCTACTCCTCACCACGTTCCACCGGTTCCGGACATTGCGTCAATCCTGGTGGCGCTCAAGAAATGTCCCGACTATCAGATCGATCAAAACCACAATGCATGCGGAATCAGACGTCGTCTGCTTCCGATACTAGACTGCATTGAGAAATTTGTGATGGATGGGTATGGCTTGCTCGGTGTCCAAGCTGATGAATTCGATACGTCGCGAAATTCCATCGGCCCGTCGTGGGCTGAGGGATATACCCGGGCCGTGCATATCACGTTCGGCCAGATCTCGCTCGTGGAATATGAACCCGGTCATCATCATAAGCGCGTATACCCGTTTAGCCACGTGAGCGGGGGTAGTCTCTCCAAGGAGTGTCGTGCTCATGCACTTTTCACTGCCCAGAAATGTGTCTGGGAACCAGAATCCCGAAACCCTGTGACGAGTCAGGAGCTTTTTCACCCCTAGGTGGAAGTTGCAAGGAGCTGGGTTTTGTTCCTTGATTCCTGCGCTCTTACGAAGGTAGAAGCAGTTTCGCTGGAGAAGAGGTGTGCATAAACATGTAGGAGGTATTTGTACGATAGATTAGTTGTCGGGTTGAAAGGCATTGATAGATTAATGCATGAACTATCTATACCAAGGTAAACCCCTCAGGTATATCATAAACCCCAATTAAGTTTGTTCTATGTCTATAAAAGGACAATTTCTGACGGCGTCGACGAAAAGAAATGTCAAACGTAACAAGCTACTGGTGCGAGCAGTGCGATATCGGATGGCAAAGCCAGATTACCAGTGTCGGGAGTCCATGAGGTCCAACATTTCTTGGAAGCAGCCTGACTTGGATCAATCATGGCTCGCTCAAGATCTGATATCCAACATGCTCAACCTTAACAAACGGCATCACCCCAGAAATACCCCATGTCAACGTCCAAATTAGGGCCACTTGGGAAGAAAGATCCGGTAATCTGGCCCGTGTTGGGATCACAGGGGAAGAAATCATCGTACGTTAGTTGGTTAGAGAAAGGCGCCTCTTGCTTGGTCAACGAGTCCAGGAGATCAGGTGCTTCCATATTGAATGACATCGACATATCAAGCGGGCTCGCAGGCTGATTACTCGGCGAACAAGCAATGGAGTCCATCTCAGCCGCGATCGAATCTGCTGTAGCAATGGGCACAGGAGGCAATTCGAAAGCAAGGCTGTTCACCAGGGGACTATTGCCTGTCTCGAATGGGTCGAGAGCGTCGGAGGATGCATCGAAGAGGGAATTGCCCGTTGAATCCTCATTATCTGATACATCGCCTATGTCGATTTCCGCCGAAGGGGTGAGGCGACGAAGGAATCCATCACAAATTTTCCATGCACGCGCTGATGCGGTACTTTTCTTTCCGATGACAGCCAGCCACTCTACGGCTTTTCTTGCAGCTTTCAGTACCATGTTTGCTTTGTCAGGGACATGTCGAGATCGAAAGGCAAGCTCCATCAGGAGCACGGTGGTCGCTTGCATCAAGTAATGTAGGGTGCACCACCACGGAGACATCCGATGCAATAGAGCCGCATCCAAATTGTCAGGAAACAGAGTCAGCATATGGCATGCAGACTCCACACATTCAGCAGCGGTCTTGCCGCAGAATTCCCGCACCTTGCTGTCTTCGGACGGGGAGGCATCCGGCCGACAGAGACATGGGCGCGCAATGCCGATTTTCGTGCTGTAAAACAGAAAGGCGAGGCCCATTCGCTGACCCACGGGGCATTGCGAGCTCTGAGTCGAAGTGAAATCATATGCCGGGGGAAGATTCATGAACCATGAGTCGATGGAAAGTGTAAGACTTTGAATCGTAAACTCAATGCTTGCCCAAGGGGATTGCAATGCCTCGGGGCTATAAAGCTTGGTGGTCATCCGCTTGGCAATAATAGCGAGTGAAGTCAATTGTAGAAAATAAAGAGACATGCATGGTGGAAGACACTTCAGATATTCCGCCCGGCTTCGTTTCTGATCACCAGCCGACGTTGATTCGCCCGAGTCGGAGTCTGCGGTAGAGTCCAGGTTGGCGGTGTTGCCGTTCAGAGACACTCGATCCAAAGGACTCGAAGCCCCTCGCCCAGCCACGCTGATCAGCTGTGCCACGTCTTCTTTCTGAAAATCACTTTCATCGAATGGAACTGGCAGGGGTGTCGTGCATGAGCCGTCCATGATGCACGATGGGCGACCTGTCATAACCCCTAGCAGATGCTCAATGTTGTAGAGTGACCACCAAACACGATACCGAATCTCCTTTGAGGTATCAGATGTGCAACCGCCCACGTTCTGGAGGTGTAATCCAAGACCTAGCGCACCCCTAACAGCACTTCCAGCTAGTTTCCAAGCTCTGACTCACGAAACAGTCAGTGAACAGGAAGCTGCATACTAATCGTAATCGAAGCGCAAGACTCACCTATTTATGTGCCCAGACGATGTTAGATAAAAGGAAGCGAGCCCTTCAATCTGCAGCTGCTGTAGGTCTGGATGCTGAAGGAATTGATTCTCGAGACAAAGGCCTCTGGCTCTTGAAAAGTAGACCTCATGGTCATCCTCGCCCTCTGCCCACTCGGCGTCGGTCAACTGACCATACTTTGAAGAAATGGCAAAAATCAAATTGACAATCGCTAGCCACTTGCCGCCGGGCCTGAGCGAAGGCTGATTAAAGAAGACTTGGAATTGTGAGAGGAAAGTCGAAATCCCAATGATGGGAAATGATGGATGGACTGATGTCAGGTAGGCGTTCAGCAACTTCGTTGCAGCGTCTCTGGTGGGTACTTCAAACAAATCAACTTGCTCCCTTTTAGGAACTTCGAGATCATCTGCAAAGTAGGTGGCTGAAGCTACCAATGGCTCAACATGCTTGTCGACCAGTGGAGTTGGGGTCGGTGATGGAAGTCCACTCTCATTATCCTCGTGAGATTTGACTGTCAACCAGTCCTCGCACTCCGTGTTCATTTCCTTTCCTAGCTTTTGCAGCCAGGCGATCTCTGAGCTCCTACCGACAAAGCCGGTCGCACGAGCATTTTCATCCCGGTTAAAGTCCTCTTCGGTGTGATCCACACGGCCTATAATACCAGGCGATGAGGAGCTATCCTGCGGGGGAGGCTCGGACTCAGACTTTCGACCTCTATCATTTTTCCGAGCCAGGCTGTCATCAACTTGGATCACTAATTCGGGCGCAGACTCCTGCGGCTTGTCAGATAGGTCTCCCAGGACCAACGGAATGCAAAGTGATGGTTCTTACCGCGGCCAATGCAATGTTTACTAGCTGCTCATCAGAAACACCAAAGCGGCCACTCAACTTTCTAATGACATCCTCATACGCCTGTACCTTTGCGGTCAAGCTAGCCAGCTGTCTGTATCCACCGAGAATGGTCAATCGAGTTCAAAGTTTGCAGCAAAGAGTCAAGCAGTATATCTACTGACCGCTTCGACTTCTCTCTTTTCCCATCAGTGTAACAGCAGATGATGCCAGCTTCTCGGCAGTTGCGACAGCCGGACTTGTCACCTGTACATTTTGTCTTTCTCTGGCGGCAGCTCTCGCACGCCCGGCGAACGTGGCGACGGTGAAATCTGCCAGGGGACGTGAACGCTGACTCTGTGCCTTCTGCGAGGCGTGGAATCGCCATTTTCCTGCTGCCGATTTCAGTCTCCGGTACTTGAAGGGCCGCGAGTGGATTCTCCTGTGTCCATTCACTTTATGAGTTGCTGAGCAAGGCTTTTAATCGTCAAGCAATGATTGACTCACTTGGCTCAGTTGGCTGCACGTCTCGGCGTCAGCACTCGTTAACATGAACAGGCTTTGCTGATAGTCCCACAAAGGGTGCGAAAGACTCATTCTGGGAATCAAGAGACTGGAATATGTATGTCTCGGCCTAGATCGGGGTTGAGTGAGTATTTGACTTCAAGGGAGAACAACTCCATCCGCAATTCCGCATTTACCCCAAAAGCTCCAGGATTCCCGGGCAAAGTCTGAAGATGGCACTATCAGACGCTCATGAAGAGACGTGGAACGACGAATCTGAATTGAGTTTTTATTCCATTGGTCCCCTTCAACCAAGGGTGCAGTGATCCGGCTTGGAGCATTTCCAGGTCGCTTCCACGAGACGGTGAGCTCGCGAGAAGCTTTCTAGCATGCTATGAACAATGAGTTACCATTGTCATGATGATCGTCCCAGTGCCGCAGTGAAATCACTGTGGCAATGGTAATGTATCTTCAGGGAAGCCAGGTCTTGTCAATTTGCCTCATCTTGTTGGAGTGTTGGCCGAGGCGACTCTGGAATCGATCTATGCATCTTCAGTGTAATCACAGACACTTTCTGTTCGCCGCTCACTGGCCAGATAGACGATAGTCTTGCATCAGAGCGAGTCCGAGATCTTGATGTATTGGCTAGATCAATGTTTTGGAGCCCCTCTCGAACCATAATTGAGGACAGTTGTGCATCGGTCGTTGGAACCGAAAGACTGCCGGCTCCGACGCCTCCTCGACTGAGAGCACCCCTGAAGGAGGTCGATTGACAACGAACTGACCATATCACCTCACTCGAAGTTGCGTACCGCATGAGGGGACACTTCAGATTTGGTTGGCCGAAGGCTTTGGCGGACAGAATCAAGAGAGTCAACCAAAGAGCACTTCTCTTTGCAGCCCTAAATTCAGCGAGGGCTTTGGCGGTCTAGACCAAAAGATCGGTGTCAATGTGACGTTTGATGCGAGAATGCTTGTTGAGTGTGCTTGTCTCTTCCGGCGAGGGACCGAAAGTTCTAACACGCTGGATTGAAGAATCAAGCTGAGCGGGTAATCCTGAGAGATCCATGGAAAGGCATCGAGGTACCAAAAGCCTGAATCTCCTCACCAACAGTCTTGCCACTTCAAGAGGCAAAGCTTCAGTGCATTGCATGTTACTGCCGATATGGCTAGAATCATGAGCTGGACAATACTGACGTTATGCATTACAGCAATGTGACAATAGCACACTGCACGACGGGGCGAGACAAGAAAGCGGGGACGGGTTCAACGGAAATCTCGTTATGGACTGGTGCAGATGGATTCTTGAATCAACAATATTGATTTGCACTCATCGACTCTAGAACAGCTGGGCCCGATGAAGCTAAAGGAAATCCATCATCTCCATGCATCATGCGAGTGAATCACCTAAGACCCAACAGAAAGATATCTACCTTGGAAGTCAAGGATAAGCTCAGGAGAAGAACAATAGCTTAAGCATTAATAGAAAAGGGAGACTCTATACAATCATATCGCCGTATTACTCAATGAGGTAATTCTCCGCGACACTGCGAATGTCCTTGGAGAAACCAGCACTCTCACCACCCATCTCCAACAGGGTTGCATCGAGGACATCAACATCGACGAATGGCTGAGATTTTGTGAAGCGTACGCTCATCGGGAAGAACTCATTCTCATCGCCATCCCCTGTTGATTCGAATTCGAAGCTGCCCGACGAGTTCGACTCGTCCACTGTGCCTAGATTCCAGTCCAGGCTATCACCTGATACCTCGTAGACCGCATCGAAGCTGGCAACTGCAGGCTCTGATGTGCCATAGGGAATGGTGACCACAACGTCACGCAGAGTATCTGCGCCATTCAGCTCATATTCCACGGTTACAGTGGTCGAGTCAGAGCCCTTATTGACCCACACAGTGAATGTGATAGGAAGCAGCTCGGCATTATCAGCAGTGCTAGCCACACGCCATCGCAAAACACCAATGGAGTTGTTGGCAGGGAATCGTTTCGTGGTATCTTTCAGCTGGATGGCGGAGGTATTTGTGAAGAGAGCTTTATCGACGTTGGGATGAGTTCGGAACTGAGCACCCTGGGTGGGAATTGCTCTCAGGTCAAGTCGAAGTTTGGTGAAAGCCGGGTCAGTGATGCGAAGCTGAAGATCTCCCTTGACCTCGAAAGATTTGACCGCGCCTTCACGAGTGAGTGTGGCGGAAATTGTCTCGGCGATAGTCACATGAACGGGCTCACGATCCCCTGTTAGGGACACACGAGCAGAGGAAGGCTCTTGGACGGGAGTTGACGCTTGTGGGGTAACCAGCGGGCTGGACTCCTCGATCTCCGGGCCGAGGTCGCCCCGTACCTTTTCATAAATATCAGTAGCTTTGGATTTCTTGCCGAGCTGCATTCCCTTTCCACGAGTGGGAAGGGGCCTATAAGTAGACAGACAGGTCAGCAATCCTGGTCCTCATCTCTTTCAACAAGGCAAAGGCAATGAGTAAGCGAGAAACATACTTGGCGAAGGTCTTTTTCTTTTCCGCCTCGTAGGAGTCAAAGGTCTCGGGGACCGACGGACGCGAAGGTGGTGTGTAGGCAGGGTAGTTGGGTGCTCGGGGAGCAGCGCCACGGTTTGAGCGAGCAGCCTCTTTGCGCTGCATTTCCAATTGCTTGGCTTTGCGTTTGCGTTCCTCGCTGGCTTCCAATTCTTTGTTCTATTGATGAATGTTAGTCTCCACCCTAAGCTCTCGGTGTAAGGGACCGTATTACCCGCTCAATGATCTCTTGAATGCGCTCCTCGTGACTCTCCATCTCGAGGAATGTCTTGATCTGCGAAAGTGACAGGTTCTCTCGATAACCCAGGGTTACCAGCTCATCGTACGCGCTGAGTAGCTCGAACGCATTGCGAAGGATTTCACGTTCATCGAGACTCTTGCAGATGCTAGTCGTCACTTGCGCAAAGAGATGCAGACTATCAATGTCTTGCAAAATGTTGGATTGACGGTTGGTGATCAGGACAATGTAGAGCTCATCCAATGGCTGGTACACAAATCGCACGTTGTCCTGTTCGACTGTAGTGTGCTGGGTCTGCGAGTCCGCAAGCTTGGGGAAGGAGGCGAGAAGAGCTTCGATTCGGGAGCGAGGAATTTCGCGAAATTGGCGCGAAAGCACTGCTTTACCACCGCGAGTGCAAATGGATGCTGCGAGCACGACCTGAAAGATGCGGGACAGACCATTAGCTCCACGTAATTATCACAGATAACAGACCATGAAACAGGAGACAGTCATACCATAGTGAGGAATTTCCCTGGGTTTTAAGGACACAGTATAATCGGAAAGACGAGGAAAGCTTGAATTAAGCAGTGTTGTCCTCCAACAAGTCGATCGTGGCTGCAGCAGAGTCAAGAGCTGGAAAGAGGCCCCTTGTGGTTGATTGACAAGGTCGCCCGCGGGCCGCTTTGCTGGTCTCTTTGGTCTTCCACCTGGTCTGTGCACGTGCACGCCTTTCAAATCGTCGGGCTACCCCTTCGCTTAATCGTCAGCGCTTCAAATGTCCTTCGTCTACATCAATTTTACAACCTGTCACGCATTTTGACCCATGATCATACTCCCTTTCCCTCGACTTGTCTCAGAATCCAGGTGGCTGAGTATTCGGAAGATATTTTATTGAAACATCACTGATCATCATCACGTACGCGCCGCTATCCTCGACTCGCGTCAACTTCTTTTCACCTCACCTACCCGTTTCACGCATCCGGCGCGCTACCTTAGGCCTCCCTCTGACACGTCCCTCATAAGGAGCTTGTGTCGCGCTCTGTGCTATGACAGCCGTACCGTCTCTAACGATCACAACAATGGAGGTTCCTACGACAGAAGATTCCATGGAGATGGCTTCGCCTTATCACGGGCACGCAGATGACTTTGACATCGATATCGATCTCATGGAAGACAATGTTTCGAACATGGACAGTGAGATGATGGGCGCAGATGACTATCTCGGCACATCTCATGCCTCATTATTTACTACTGAGGCAAATGGCGATGCAGACATGGCTGATGGACCGTCTGAAGGATCCATGGTCGATGCAGATTTGGTCGACCAGGACCCTGATGTTGAAATTGAATTTGAGGACACCACATACGAGGCCGAAATGCTGGAAGACGATCAAGACGAAGGGAATACCATCCCTATCCCCTCAGTTCAGGTTGAGCCACACCCGGAACCTGTTGAGCAACACCACGGTCCAAGTGAGACCCTTACACAGGCCGTTGAAGAACCGGCGCATCAACCAAAAGACGGTGTAGACACTACCGGCGAAGAGTCAATTCCAAGTGGGTCCGTGGAGGCTCGAGAGGATCCTCAGCCACAGGAGTCAAATGTAGCTCTTGGGGAGGTCTCTCTTGAACCTATCAATGCTGCTACGAGCGCTGAGACCTTCGAAGGATCTGAACAGTACTCAAAAGCGGATTCTTCGGCCTTTGAAGACCATTCTCAAAGCCATGTTTCTGGCACAAATGAAGATTCGAGTGCCGTGATTGCTCCGCTTGATGACACTGTTCCAGTCAACGATGCGGCCGCTGAGAAAGACGATGAAGAAATTCCTCAACAAATCGAGGCGACCGAAATCCCTCAACAGGATCACCACGCAGACGAAGCTGCAGATGTAGTTGAGCCTGAGAAAAAGGATGAAGCTGCAGAGGGTGCTAGGATCGCAGACGAGGATGGAAAGAACCCTTCCAAAGACCCCGCCACCACCAGCGCTCCAGAGACCGACGATCAGAGTAGTTTTGATGAGGAAGAGTCCCTGCACCCTGTCAAGGTATACTACCAGGAGACTGAAATTTCCCTATTTCCTCCTCTTGAAGGAGACTCGTCGGAGACATTCTTTCTCCATGACGAAGAAATCGCGTACGATCATATTGGTAGACTGTTCAAATCTCTGCGTGAGGTCTTGTTGGATAATGTCGCCGAGAATGAGGTCCTTGTCATTGACATTGATTCATTGGGTATTCAATTGACTGAGGTAAGTCCAACGTCGAATGCATATACGCTCGCTACAATTGAGGAGCTCCTGCTAATCAGTGAACGTATAGGACTGCTCGCACTTATCCACTTTGACCTTGCACCGAATTTTGAATGTCTACCTTCGTCTTTGCCAAAATGAAGGTAACAGCGAACCAGAGGCTTTCTACTTGACGCTGAGCTCCAAGCCGGCTGTTTCCTCTGAGCTTGCCGCTCTGGAAGCCGCCGCTGGCGAAGGTAAAGGCTTGTCGCAGATTCACCCGTGGAGTGGATACGAAGATGGAGATGACATTGATGATGGCGAAGCTACTCAGACCATGGATCGTTCATTGGAGGAGAGTCATGAATTGCAGACCCATCAGAAGTCCTCTTCGGGCACCGATAATCCCGAGCCACGAGTTTCGGTGCACGTGGAAGAAGTGAATGTAGTTGAACATGTTCACCAGGAAGCCCACCCTGATGAGACGACTACGTCACCTGACCACGAAACAACTTCCATCACAGTGGGAAATGAGGATACAGTGAGCCCTCCGCATAATTCTTCGAACGCTGTTGAAAAGTTAGATGACTCTCGCGAAGAGCAATACGACTCTGAGGCTCCCCGAACAGAGTCGACCTCCACGCTTGTGGCTACATCCGATCGTGCCGGTGAAACTGAGTCTGCTGGTGACATCTCCACCGCAAGTGGACAAGCGCTACTTGAGCAAGACGGAGAACAGATCGGCGATGGTGGTGAGCACGCAGATACTAGCGAGGAATCGAGTGGTGCTCGGACATTGGAGCAAGAACTTGCGCCCGCGTCGCAGGAGCAGACGCAAGAAGATATTCCTGACGAATACCATGAGGAAGACGACAATACCAACGAAGCTGAAGCAGAAGCCGACGTGCACGTGATCGATTTCGCTGCTGCGGATGACCGCGATGTTCATGTCGGCGAGAGTGACCCGGCGCCTTTGGAACAGGAACCCGGTGTCGATACTGTGTCTCATGATGCCGATGAGCAGAACGAGGACCAGTGGGAGTCTGCGGTAGAGGCGAAGTCGCTCGAAGAGTCAACAACACTTGAAACTGCGGCGGATCCTGAGGATGATCTATTGGAACATACCAGAGACAACTTGCAAGACACTGCCGGCGATCTCGAGGAGACCTTTGACCACGAAGACGAAGACTTCCAACAAGAGTATGGGAATGAGCAACTTGATTTTGCCGCAGACGATGCATATGGCGGTGATTATGACGCCAACCACGTTGAGGGCGGCCACGATGAAGAACAACAGGACATCCTTGTCTTCACCGAGCACACTGTGGGCGAGCAGGATTCGGCACCCATCGAGTCAGAAACCCACGACAAATCGTCCAAGCGCTCTCGTGGGGACGACGACGAATGGGATTTGGACGAGACTTGCAGCCTTGAGCCCAAACGTCGTCGCCCTTCATAGACCATTCGCCTTCCACATCATTTTTTTGACCGTTTCCCATTTCGACTTTCACCTTGTGCAGGCACCTCTTCTGCGGGACTGCTGCCTTGGAAGGCACCATCAGACCCCCATAGATCTTCGAGCTCTTGCCACTGTGTCCGCCCCAAACACTAACAACTACTAATCAATTTCACAGCAATTTTGCCGCCACACACGCGCAAGGTATGGTACGTTCTCTTGATCGAGGAAACAGGTATGTTTTGTGTCCCCTATCCTCTCCCGGTCCCCCCGGTGGACAGGTCACCTGATACCTGGCATCCACTGCGGAGAGATACGTCACGGTTCCCTTGTCCCTTGACCATGACAACATCCCATTCTTATCATTGCATTTTCCGCCTTTTTTTCTCTCTCTCTCCCATATCCTTATGGTCATGGGCCAGTGCATCTTTTCCTTCGCAAAATACCATTCTACAGTCTGAAACAGCGGGAGTTGATGGGTATGGTAGTTTTATGACGCAGGAACTTGCGCCTCGGTGCGCTAGAGTCTTTGCTTCGGCTTTTTCCATAGTGCATAGCATAACTAGGATGGATTGATGTTGTCACAGTGTGTGCTTTTTGGGCGTTACTTGAATGCTAGATACAGGTACCAGTTCTCGGGTTGGACCTTCCCCTCGGTCCTTGCGTTTAACTTGGATGGATGTACAACACAGGCGACCTTTTGTCAAACCCAACCTAGAACCCGAGCGTGTGATTGATCTTGCACCTGATCTCAGGGCTGCAATATCACGTTCTGGACAAAGAGTATATATATACGCATTGCGCCCGCGGTGTCCCAGTTAGGTTCAATTCTCCACCCGGGGCCTTCGCCCGGGCACCTCAGCGCAACTGTTGGGTCCAAGTCTCAATACGTGAATAAAGCCGCCAAGGCGTGGTCCGTGACCTGATCCTTCCATTAATTCGGGTAGCCCCTTGGTTGAACTGGAGGGCGATCACCTCGAGGCTGCTCGGTATTGGAATGGCACGTGCTGACGTTTGCGGAAATGAGACGAGGAGCTAGTAGGAGGTATGAACTATGAAGTGGTCTGCAATCTGCACAATACTAATCCCAAGAGTAAACCTTACTAGAGCTACCTAGGTACTTGACCGATGTGCTGCAATATATTCTTGGACTAGATACATCCCGAATCCATGGATAGGGAAGAGATGAAAGCTAGGTCTCTTCGATGCTAGAGCGGCGAGCAGCTGGATATATGCGAATCGAAGCGAGCGGATTGCCCATGTCGACGTTCTACACGTCCATGACAAAAGACATGGTCAAAAAGGACGAGCCCATCTTGATTGATAAGAAGCGTGACAGCATAAGGAGGAGCAAGTACCATCCACAGGCACCAGCGGGAACTCCGAGCGGTTCGAACGCTTTACTCGTATCCTAGAGTCTGTCTTTTTCATAGTTAGGTTTCAAGGTACCTGAGGTGATCGTCAGCACTCAGGAGCATTCAGCAAGCTCGCTCCCCACCAGAAGTACACCTGAGATTACCTCCTTGCCACATGCACAGGGTCCTGGATCTCATGGAGGGCGTTCAAACTCAAAAGCTTGAATGGTCTGAACCCCGGTGCTCTCGGTGATCGGGGCTCTCGAAGATCGAACCCCCTCCCCCGAGACTTTGGACTTGGGAGTATCAGATTGCTTTCCCCCTACTCCAATGTAATGTGGGTCCGCCCCGTCCGCCCCGTCCGCATGCGGTTCAGATGTGACCCTTTGGACCAGCGATCAGATGTGAAACAACAACCCCCCGCCACCGCCCTCGAAGGGTCGGAGTCGGGCTTTTTCAAATTCAAGCTCATTTGGCGGAGGCTCGGGCGCTAGGCCTAGATCGTCCTGGATCATCCTGAATCATGTACCTGGGTTCGGAGCCACCACGTCTTGGCTTCTTAATTTTTACCCTTTTAACGTTCACGCATGCACTCATGTGCAGTCGAAGCGCAGTAGAGTTCGGCTTGGCATTTCAAGGCAACCCGAACGTGGTTGCAAAGGTATCTTAGACCTTGAATCTCCGAGAGTTGTCATTGCTTGATCCATCCTTTGTAAATGCATACCTACACCGTAGTAGTCCCTTATTTCGGTCGATAAAAATATGATATGTAAGGTATGTACTCAATGTAGTACTCCTCATGGGACGGTTAACACAATAAGTATAGAGGTACGGTACGTACCTCTGGGTGGCTCTCGCCTCGAGACGAGGGAACGGATCGCCCCGCTTCTTGTTATCAGGGGGGGGGGGGGGGGTTGTGAACAGACTGCTGTCTCACGGTGCAGGAAAACCTCAGCGAGCTCGATGAGTGACAACAGTGGATGTCGAGACATATTCGAGGTTTGAATGCGGGTGAAGAACACCTCGAGGCAGGAGGATTAGGTGTTAGGTGTTACGACAAAGTTCATACAACCTGAGGATTCGAGGCCATTGCATAGAAGCACTGTATAGAAGTACACATACTACAGTATACTGGCTGCCTCTTCCTTATTGCATGGTTGAGAAATCTTCATGTCACCATCTCCAGGGCCCCTGAGTCCTCTTAGTTGTTGTTGTGAACTTGTGCTCAACTGCTCAGATGCTGCCAGCCCTCGGCTGGCTTATCCGGGGTCGATAGCTATCATGTGACCAGGTCGTCAGTCGCCTTCCCTTGACGAACATGTTTCGAGTTTAGTCGGGATTCCCACCTTTTGTAGTTCTGTCATCCTGCCGAAGTGAGGTACTACAGTAGAACAGCACAGCAGATGACTAGATCGTAGGTAGCGGTACATATCCCCCCAGCAATATATCTAGTGTCCCCAAGTACCTCAAGTCACTTAGGGTTTGACCGTTCTAGCAAGTTGAGATGCCTTCATGTCCCATCATTTCCATTGGTCTCTGGCCTACGAGAGTTGCCTCGCAAAGGTGAAAGTACACACAGTCCCTGACGCGGCCTCAGTGCCCACTGGGCCCAGGCTCGAAGCGGACACCTTCCTACTCCATCGTCGCTCCACCGAACGCAGGCAGCCAACATTATCGAACCGACCCAACGCCAGGCATTCTGAAGTCCGACCTCGTCTGAAGTCCTTTGTTCCCTTTGTTCCTGAACAACTCACGACCACTGGCACCTAGTACCTACTAACTTAGTACCTACTAACTACCGACCTCATCTACTAAATTATACTGGTCCTGCTGTGGTTGAGTACCCCGTAGGTAGTGCTTGGTAAGGTATGATGGAAGTAGCAGCATGAGTAAGAGTACGGCAGTCATGGCCCAACTCCCAAACACTCCTGCGACTGCTGCGCCCGTGGTTGGTGGCTCCATGGCTCCCTTCCCGAGCCCGACTCGGTCACCTTCGTCGTGCATCATCATAATTGGTAGACTGGAGAACTTAATGCAGTACAACTTCCCTACTGCATCCTTTATTTCAGTGAGGCACACTTAACCACCACTGACTGTATAACTCCTGCATTGACTTACCTAACCTGTCCTCTTTCCGTCCTGGAGTAGCGTCTGCTCCCATTGAGATTTTGCCCTTTTTCTCCGACAACAATCCCCCCGGCATTCGTCTTTGCGATCGGACCACTTTGACTCTGCTCTTTGGCGCACGCTGAACGTTGTCAACGTTGTCCATTGCTGCCTTTTGCTTTGCGAACCCTGCCAGAGGACTCCAAAGGGCTCCAGAGGGTATCGAGTCACCCTGCGCGTCGCGGTCCTACCGTGTCCGGTTCAGTCGATTACGCATCCCTTCTGCGGTTCCTCCTTGCGCTGCCCGAGGTGCTCTCCGAATCCGTTCCGCCCGCCCGCCCCAGCTCTCAAACCGTCCTACATACCATCCAACCTTCAGTCGCTCGTTGCCCATCACACCGTGGATCTGCGAGAACCCAGATCACTAGCCGTTGGAGGATCCAGTACAGTAGGAGCTGCACGCTCCTATACCACTTCGCATCACGATGCTTCCTGACAAGTATGTTCGTCGGCCCGTCGGAGGGGTCGCCTGGTGTCACAGGTTGCGCCGGTCCCTTTGTGGACAAGGTGGCAGGACAAGGACAAACGCTGACTTGGTCGCAACGACACACAGATATGTCGGGCTCATATTAGCCATTCTGTCCACGATGGCCATTGGTATGTGCTACTTCCTTCTTCCTTCTGATACAGATCGCATGCCGCCGCCGTCCCCAACCTGTTCCTGCCAAGGCAGATAGGCTAATGCATGTGGCTCGTAGGCACAAGTTTCGTCATCACAAAAAAGGTTCGTTGGAGACAACTGACCCAATCAACTGCGGTCTCGGCGCGCCGCCTCAAGCTCCATCAGATTGGGAGGAAACGACTGGGGTTCTAAAGCAGAGCGCTGATAGCGCCCACCGCAGGGTCTTCAACATGCTAATAGGCAACACGGCTTCGAAGGCGAAGGCTTCTCATATCTGAAAAGTCCGATTTGGTGGGGAGGCGTCGTCACTTGTATGAAACTCTTCGCGCCGAGCATTTGCTCGATCCTCGATAAAGCACCGCTAACCCTCCGGTTTCAGTGGCCATTGGAGAAGTTGCGAACTTCGCCGCCTATGCGTTCGCGCCTGCGATTCTCGTGACGCCCTTGGGTGCACTCAGTGTGCTGATCGGGTACGAAAGCCATCCCCAATTCCCTGCTGCCTCGCCCCTGTATACGAGTCGTCAATATCCGCTGACAATGTGAAGTGCCGTGCTGGGATCCTATTTCTTGAATGAACGGTTAGGGACACTCGGTAAACTGGGCTGCGCATTGTGTCTCCTTGGCTCGGTCGTCATCGTGCTTCACGCACCGCCTGACAAGCCTGTGGAACGAATTGACGAGATTCTGGCATACGCCGTTAAACCAGGTGAGCCTGTCCCAGACGGTCGAGCTCTCCCCGTCAGACGTCGCTCATCCTTGAATCTAGGTTTCCTCTGCTATTGCCTCGCCGTCGCGATCTTCTCTACGGTCATGATTTACCGAATCGCACCCGTATACGGAAAGAAAAACCCTCTGATTTTCATCTCGATCTGCTCGACTGTCGGCTCCATCTCGGTCATGTCTGTGAAGGCATTCGGTATCGCAGTGAAACTGACTCTCGGGGGCAACAATCAATTTACTCACGCGTCCACCTATGTCTTTGCCATTGTGACCGCCTTTTGCATTTTGACCCAGATGAATTATATCAACAAGGCTCTGAACGCGTTCTCAACCTCGATGTGAGTGTGGTGTTTCGCGGCTACTCTGGGGAACTATTTTCCACTCAGTCACTAAACTGCAAGCTTCTCTCATAGTGTCAATCCCCTATACTACGTCACCTTCACGACAGCGACACTCTGCGCTTCTTTCATTCTCTTCCAGGGATTCAATACCACCGAGGCCGTCAACACAATTTCCCTGCTGTGCGGCTTCCTTATCATTTTCGCTGGAGTTTATCTCCTCAATCTTTCTCGCCACGATCCTGATGGTCGAAGTCTGGTCAATGACAAATTTGACGATGAAGGTGTACCGACCGATGCGATCTCTGGCTTCCAGACTCGGCGATCCATGCAGTCTCGCCGAAGCTCAGTCAGCATTGCCTTCATGAACGGTCATAGTGATCGGGAGGGACTGATTCATTCCTACGACGTAGAGAACAACCGCGGGATCGATCTGGACGATCTTGCAGATAGTGGTGCAGAACCCGGTCCAACATATTCGCATGGTGGCAGGAGGGAACAGACCTCGTTACAGATCAAGCACGACACTCCCGCTTAGCCGGATCTCCTGGAAGGCGAGTGGAAATGACCACATTGAAAATCAGTCGAGATCGGCATTCTTCACGATCCCAGGCGCTGCCTCTTCTTGCTTTCCTTCAGTCCGATCTCCTTTTCCTGTCTTTTTGCCGTTCCCATCCCTTCATCGATGGAGGCTTCTCTGTTTCCCAAAACCAGCAACTTCTCCTATCTGTCTCTGATTAGAGCTTCTTGTACTTATACCACTGCCACCCCAATGTTGGTATTGGGCCTATGAGCGATCCCAACATACCCGATCATTGGGATGCTCGTACGACATGATTGAATATGACTCTTGGATTCTCGGCATGGCTTGCTACTGTTTGCTTCCTTTCTTCATGTTTCTGATCTACTTGGGTTTACTGGCTGGGGAGAGATCACTGTACATATTGTACCAACGATTGATTTGTGCTTGTTTCACGCTTTTTGCTCAACATGGGTGCACACTGCACAGTATGCTCAAGATGAAGTCCGGGGTCTATAGAGCGACGGGATAAGAAATGACGGAAAACCCTGCTCAGACAGACATACTGCGAGTGATCAATTACACTCTACACAGTACACTTTGCGGTACTAACTAACCACCTCCTTGTCTACGTTGGGGTTCGCGTGATGGCCTCAGAGAAGCCTCGTGAGTGGGGCACTCCCGCTCCGATGATGTATTGTGCGGGTCAGCTGTGATGCCAGCTGAGGTCCTGTTTTTTTGGTCATCTACCCGGCAACCACCTCGATTTCATGGGTGGTCGATTCTGCGAATGTTCTTGCCAGGACTGTGATAGCAACATAGAACGCCAGACTTGCGCATCTGCACAGTTAGCCAGCCATCTGCGCTGTCTCGGAGCGAAGCTCTCAAGAAGAAGACCATGCCTGGTCTCTTGCGCAAGTTGGTCATTGTCGCTGCGGTCGATGGGCTGGTCCTACACGGCACCGGCGTCAATGGATTGCGACAAAAACATAACGGGAATAGCAATGAGGCATCGTGTATCAAGATTGATTACAAGACGAAACGGGTCACTACAGTCCCCGCGCCATTGGACTCATCTGAGGAGCAAAATGCGCTCGAAGCATATGGACTTGTGGGTGAGTGAGACCTTAGTTTTGCGGGGTTCGGCGCTACACAGCATCAGTTGACCGACGTCGACATTAACCTGGTTGTTTCACATCCATAGGCCTGCTGTCTATTGCGTCCTACTCATTCCTCGTCTCAATCAGTCAGCGTCAACAGGTTGCACAGATTCAGGGACGCCCCATCTACGCAGTGACCAACGTCGCCATTATTCCCGTCTCCACCCAGGAAGATGCTGGCCGTGCAATTGATCAAGCCCGCAAAGAGGCCTTGCAAACTGGTGCAGATCTAGACACGGAATCCGAGGAGGAAGAGGAAGAGGACGTCGATCGGACGACTGATCGAGTAGAAATGGAGATCAGCAGTGTACCTTCATCGCCCGTTCGTGAGACACCGCCTCACCAACGGGATATGAGCGTCAGCAGTATCGCTGAAGAAGTCATTGGGAAGCGAGTACGATTCGGTAGCTTCGCGGCGAATTGGCTGTCGCGCAAAACCCCGGGTTTAGCTCGACCCAGTGCCTCAGACCGTGAATCCCTTGAGTCACCATTTGAGAAGTCGCCGCGAGAGTCGGTCGACGGAAGCGGTAGAAAGGATGAAGCCACAAAGACCGCCGAGGCCGCGATTCCTAAAGAAGTCGAAGAGCATAGCGAGGCCCAGCCTGACCCAGCTCTGCCAGGCGAGGCTGACCGTCCAGTAGCCGAACAAGCCTCGCAGTTGTTGCCGAAGCTGCTTCGGTGGACGAAAGTGCTCTTTGCTTCTCGTAATTTCTTCTTCTCATATGATTATGACTTGACGAGGTCTTTTGAGGCCCAGGAGCTGTGGAACGCACATCAACCACTGCACAAGAGGGCGGATCCGCTGGTATGTCCTATAGTCTGCTGTCTTACATGCTGAGAGCTTCGTCGGAATGCATTGAATCACTAACAAGAACTGGTTTCCTGGATCCAGTACTTTTGGAACAGATATCTCATGAACGACTTGGTCGACAATGGTGTTCATGCCTTTGTCTTGCCCCTGGTGCAAGGCTTCGTTGGGCAGCGACAATTCACCGTCGCAGCCTCAGCGGATACGGCTCCTTCAACCGAATCACCTGAGGAGACGCCCGTCAAGGCCAAAGTCGTGGCCGAAAGCACTGAAGCTCCCGAGGCAACTCAGCATGAGTATCTTCTGACTCTGATCTCCCGACGCTCGGTCAAACGGCCAGGCCTCCGTTACCTCCGTCGCGGAGTTGATGACGAGGGCAACACTGCCAATACTGTGGAGACAGAGCAAATTCTCTCAGTGCCGGACTGGAACACGTCTCGTAAGGTATACTCTTTCTTGCAAGTGCGAGGCTCTATTCCATTGTACTTTTCTCAATCCCCCTATTCGTTCAAGCCGGTGCCGATCATGCATCATTCCGCTGATGTCAATCACCTCGCCTTTGGCCGACATTTCCGGGAGATGAGCCGCCGCTATGGCAAAGTACAAGCTGTGTCCTTGATTGATAAACACGCCGGTGAGCTGAAGCTCGGGGAACAGTACCAGCAGTACACAAAAGCCTTTAATGAATCTGGCGGCATTGATGGAGAGCAGCTTCAGCTTGAATGGTTTGACTTTCACAACGAGTGCCGGGGCATGAAGTTCGAAAATGTCTCGCGGTTGGTTGATAGACTCAAGTCTACCCTGGAGCAATTCGGATATGCGGCGATCAAGGATGGCTCGCCGATTCGCACCCAGACTGGGATTATTCGAACGAACTGTATGGACTGTCTTGATCGGACTGGTGTTGCTCAGTGTGCCTTTGGCCAATGGGCCCTTGAGCAACAGCTCCAGGCCGAGGGTCTTAAGATCGACTTGGGCGGAGACTCATCTACCCAATGGTTCAATATTCTCTGGGCTGATAATGGCGATGCAATCTCGAAGCAGTACTCTTCTACTGCTGCTCTAAAAGGGGGACTACACACGGACGCGTAAACGTGACTACCGGGGCGCTCTGAACGACTTTGGCCTCACGCTCTCGCGATACTATAACAACATTGTCAACGACTACTTTTCCCAAGCATGTATCGACTATCTTCTGGGCAACGTGTCAACTCATGTCTTTGAGGAGTTTGCCGTGGAACTTCAAACAACCGACCCCGGCATTTCCGTCGAAAAAATACGTCAGAATGCGATTGACACCAGCTGCAAGATTGTCATCAGCAGTCCGTCCGAGGAATTTCTTGGAGGCTGGACGATGCTTACACCACGGCAGCCGAGCACTTTGCGCACACTCCCTTTCGAAGAAACCGTCCTTCTTCTCACCGACGCGGCCGTTTATAGCTGCCGCTTCGACTGGGAGACGGACAAGGTACTTTCCTTCGAGCGTATCGACCTTCGCTCCATCTCCCGCATTCATTACGGAACATACATTACCTCTATCCTGACCGACAGCCAAGCCGACGAACGAAGCAACGTAGGCTTGGTCATCGTCTACCGAGATGGCGAGGCAAACGCACTACGTGTCAACACCCGTTCTCTTCAATCCAACGTCCAGCCAGCTGCGCTCGAAGCCTCCGCAAACAACGAATGGGACCTCATCTCGTGGCTGCGCGGTACCAAGCGTTCAACATCTCGTTTCATTGCATTCAAGTCTTTGCCCGCAAAGGCTGCGTCTGTCAATTCCCGACTTGATTCACCGTCCGGTATACAAAGTCTCCGTGAGCTCGACCGCGTTCGATCTATTTGCCTGGAGATCGAGCGCGCAATGCTGACGGGGGACGGTCAGAACAAGGAAGCAGCGTCGGAGTCGGTGGTCGAAGAATCTGATATAATATCCTTGGAGGAAGCGAAAAAGAGGACTGGACTACTGGAACACTTGGTGCACGACATCAAAAAGATGGTTTGGGCATGAAGGCAGCGCGGGTCACGTCAGGCTCTACATATTGAGCTTATAAGTAATCTTTGTGTTTATATTGATTCCTCGATGACTTTATGAGTACATGAACATATTCTGGTTTGTTTCGGTGCAAAGTGCAGCGGATGCGACTTTTTGGTGATTGGAGATAAAGATGCGTGAGAATGCTTAGGTCGTGCGGTCGAAAGCCGCAAGCCCGACTGCGAGGCATCGAGTATCAGCCTTGAGCGATCTCTCACTCTCACCCTCATTTTGAACAGGTATCACATATGATTCACGTAGCATGTGTAGAACCTATGTATCTCGAAGGGTGTCCCAACGAGCTTTCTGCACTTTCATCGGTCACTATGTCGACTTCCTCGATGACGGCTTTTCTACCGTTTCCGTGGATTGTTCGCTCATTCTTGCTTCATTAGACCTCAGCTCTGTGAGATTTAGGTCCTTGCGGTATTTTACTTCAGACAGAATCGACCTTAACTTTGACATGCAATTTGTTTGCAAGACTAGTGAATACTCGATGGTAACCCTCGAGAGTTGACTCTGAGCGACATCCTGATGGTTCGCACGCTGTCCTTTTATGATGCCGGACCCAGATGATTCGAGCTGGAGCACACCTGAAGGACTCGAGTACGATGCAGTATCTGTGTGAGGAGAGAATATGTAGATTTGAGCAACTACTACCTGATATTTACATATCCAATGCTTTACGTAGAGATGCCTAGCTACTTGTCATCTACCTCTGAGAACTTCCGGCTCATGCTGGACAAATCAATGAAGGCGAAGATCGAATAGATCATTCCACGGTTGATCAGACTCTCATTTCACCCTTCGATATCCAGTCTGCTGCCACGTAAACTCATTCAGCATCTTATCTTCTTCGACGCTCTCCATCTTCATAGATCGTTTTCAAGCTTGACGTGAGCTTTGAATATCGACCGCTTTCCCCGCTACATACGCATTGTGCCGGCAAAACCGACCTTTTTTGTTTAGTTTCGAACCGTGACCGCCTTGAAGGGAGCTGGAGGGCTGTCAGATAATAATCACTTCTTAATCTGGTTTATTTCACGCATTGGGACCTCTTCCGGAATTCGATGAAAATTTTTGGGCTTTTCCTCACAGTCCTCTAGTTTTGTTGGTGACGAACTGACTACCTCTCTTGCGGAATCAAAGTCACTTGCCGCCAAAGAATTTTTGCCTTCGGGGCATCGGCGAAGAGGGGCCCGTTCCCACATCCTTGGCGGGGCTCTTTTGTGGCACAATCAGTTTTACCTTCACAGTCGCCGCGTCCAGACGAGTTGGTGCTGCTTTCAACATGGATTGGCAACCCCAAGATGAGCCATTGAGGCAGCTAGCCTGCTGCCTCAGGGACTCGCTGAACAGTGGTGATTCGCAGTTGCGGAAGCAGGCCGAAAACGTACTGAACCCCCTCCAATTGAATTCCCCTGGTGAAGTCGCTCTTCGCCGGTTTACTGTTCTGCGCCCCGCGACGTCGATGACTACCAGACCCATGACCTTGATGACGATGACTTTGAAGAATGTTTGCCCTTGCTAATATGTGATTTGCCCGGAAATTATAGATGCTCGCCCAAGCGACTTCTTCGCCTGATTATGTCAATTACATCACGTATCTGTTCTCCACGCCCGAGGTTCCTCCAGCAGTGGCCGCGGCCGGTGTTGACCCTACCACCTATGGAGTTGTGCGATTCGCTGCCACTATGAACATGAAAACCAAACTCGCGGTGGCCTATAAGACGATTCCTACCCAGAGTCTTACCTACATCCGATCCGCCGCCTTGGTCACTCTTCGTGACAATGATCGCCAGGTGCAACGGGGTGTCGGCAGTATCATCACGGAGTTGGTGCAAAAAGGCGGATTACTTGCCTGGCCAGAAGCTTTGCAGGAGCTGTTGGCCCTTGTCGGTAACGATGCGGGCGACGTGACCGTCGCAACCCAGGAGGCTGCGATGGCGGCCCTGTTCAAAGTCTGCGAAGACAACCGTAAGATTCTCGACCGCGATTACTCTGGCCAACGTCCGCTCGACATCATCATCCCCAAGTTGCTTGAATTCACCGCACGCGACAGCCCTCGCATTCGATCACTCGCCCTGAACAGCATACACGTCTTCCTGCCTCATCAGCCGCCTGCCTTGCTTGCCTCTTTGGACGTTTTCCTGTCGCAACTTTTCAGCCTTTCCGGCGATCAAGATACGGAGGTGCGCAAGATGGTCTGCCAATCGTTCTCGCAATTGGTTGAGTTTGCACCCGAAAAGCTTGTCCCGCATTTGGAAGGTCTGGTCAGCTACATTCTCATGCAGCAGCAGAATCAGGAGGATCCGGAACTTGCGCTCGATGCTGCCGAGTTCTGGATTGTCGCCGGTGAACAACAGAGCCTTCGTCAACCCCTGGCTCCGTACATGCACAAGGTCATTCCAGTGCTCCTTCAAAGCATGGTGTATGAAGAGGATGATGTCATCCGTCTGATGCGTGATGAAGACGATGCTGATCAAGAAGACCGTGCCGAGGATCTCAAGCCACAGTTCGCCAAGTCAAAGGGCGCTCGTTTGGACACCTCCAAGGCCGGGGAGCAGGGTGCCAATGGACAACAGCAGCAACAAGCCGAGGAAGATGATGATGAATTGAGTGAGGGTGAGATTGAGGATTCTGAGTTTGGCGACGACCCCGAAGGTGACTGGACCTTGCGCAAGTGCTCAGCTGCAGCTCTTGACATCTTTTCGAACGTATATCACGACCAAATCTTTACCATCATCCTGCCATATCTGAAGGACACTCTCCGACACGAGGAATGGCCCAACCGAGAGGCGGCTGTTCTCACCCTGGGTGCCGTTGCGGACGGCTGTATGGACGCCGTGACTCCTCATCTTCCCGAGCTGGTCCCCTACCTGATCTCTCTGCTCAATGATGCCCAACCTGTTGTGCGACAAATTACATGTTGGTGCCTGGGTCGCTACTCAGAATGGGCCTCACACCTGCAAGACCCGGCGCAGAAGCAGCAATACTTTGAGCCCATGATGGAAGGCATCTTGACCCGGATGCTTGATAACAACAAAAAGGTGCAAGAAGCCGCTGCCTCAGCCTTTGCTAGCCTAGAGGAGAAGTCGGACGATAACCTGGTTCCCTATTGCGAGCCTATTCTTCGGCAATTTGTTCAGTGCTTTGCCAAGTATAAGGACCGCAACATGTTCATTCTTTACGATTGTATCCAGACCTTGGCTGAATGCGTTATGACGGAAATGGCGAAACCCCATCTCATTGACATCTTGATGCCCGCGATGATCCAGCGATACAATCATGTCACTGATCAGTCACAGGAGCTGTTCCCGCTGCTAGAGTGTCTTGGGTATATCGCAGCCGCTTACGGTGATGCGTTTGCACCCTTCGCCCCCCACCTTTTCCAACGATGCATCAAGATCATTTACCAAAATCTCGAGGAATTTGTTGCCTCGCAAAATAACCAGGGTATCGATGAGCCTGATAAGGATTTCCTCGTCACAAGTCTTGATCTGCTGAGTGCGATCATCCAAGCAATTGATCCTCAGAAGAGCGGCGAGCTTGTTTTAAACTCGCAGCCTTCCTTCTTTGACCTGCTCGTCTTCTGCATGCAAGATCCCAACTACGAAGTGCGCCAGTCCACTTATGCTCTGCTTGGCGACTGCGCCATTAGCATCTTCCCCCACTTGGAGCCTTTCATCCCCACGATCATGCCAGTTCTCATCAAGCAGCTTGATATCGACCAGATGCGGGACGATGACCGAACAACAGGCTTCAGCGTCTTGAACAATGCCTGCTGGTCTTGCGGTGAGATTGCGGTCAACGAGAAGGCTGCTCTTGCTCCGTATGCGAACAAGCTGTATCACGGATTCTTGACCATCATGACCAATGAAGAGATCAGTGACGGGGTCAACGAGAATGCTGCCATGGCTTTGGGTCGCCTGGGTTTCTGCTGTTCCGACTCTCTTGCACCGCAGCTTCACGAGTTTGCCGGTCCGTTCTTAAAGTCCATGAGCAAGATCGATTTCACGCGAGAGAAGGCCTCTGCTTTCCTTGGCTTCAATAACATGGTCATGAAGAACCCACAAGCCATGGAGGCCTGCCTGGGAGACTACTTCCAGGCGATTGCGTCATTCCCATCCAAGTCACTTTCACAAGAAGAGTACAAGGACATCCAAAGTTCTTTCCAGCAGGTTCGTGCCACCCTCTTCTTGAGTTCACGGAGAGGCCGTTTGAGTCAAGGGTTCGTTCAATATCTAACAAGTCCGCCGTTCTAGGTTCTGCAAGGCTACAAAAATATGATACCCAACTTCGACTCGTTCCTTTCGCAACTTCCCGATCCTGTGACCCAGAAGTTGCGCTCAGTATACCAGATCTGAGATCCGCGGGGCCGTTGATTTGTGAACTTTTCATTCTTGAACAGTCATTTAGACCCTCGCACGATTCGATAGAGGAAGGGGATCGTGACAAGTTGATCATGAAAGCCGGCCTTTAACAGAGCGAACTCATTTATCATGTTCTGTAATGGATGTCATTAGGACAAGCAAAAATCCTGCTTTTGTTATTCTTCTCTTTTTCCACATTCGACTCGAATGCCCACCGCCGAGTTCTTCCTTGTCTCCTGTGATCTAGCGTTTTTCTTTCCAACCTTGACGTCTTTTGTTCTCTTCTCACAACAAGGCCCTTGCCAAGTTGATGTTTCTTGATTCTTCTAGTTGGTCACGACCCATTCGAATGAGGAGAAAATTTCCATCAACTTCAAGATATCAAGGGAGATTCGCATGAGACAGGTCTCATCATGAGGGCGTTTTGTCTTATTGTTTTTTCCTATCCTACCTGGATGAGACCTGGACCCTTTCTTCTTGTGGCCTCTCGATTTATTAGCCCGGCGTTAATGTTCTCCATTAGATCCGGGAGCACAAATGATGGGGAGGGGGATCCAGCTGGGTATGGAATAGTATGGAATAGTATGAGCCCGTAAGAATCAATTGACGATTGCGACGAGACTATTCATGGATGTTGTCTATCTGACTTCTTTCAACTGGTGGCACGGTCAGGGTATCCGTTTCAATATCCCTTCTCTAGTTGCGCCCCCGTGGCAATCGACTTTAACATGTGATGAAGCTTTTCCTATTCAATCCAGCTTCTATTAATTGCTCGCTTCGTCATTATGTCCCTTGAACCTACAGGCTACGTATAGGTTATGCATTCGTCTGGGTCCGTCGGTGATCATGGAGATATTTTACAGGTTTGCCACTCCTAATAGGTCTCAATGCGCTGGTAAATTGGAGAGTGATGGAAATCGACGGTCCAGGGATGATCCTGTTTATATGCGTCGAAACATCCACCTTATTTCGTCAATCCTGGTGCCCGTGGTCGGTGTCTACATTATCCATGCACTGTATGCAGAACCTAGTCAACCTAGTACCTAGTACCTAGTACCTAGTACCTACTGAAGTACCCAGCACCTTAGTGTACCATCGACGAGTAAACTCCTGCCTTTTCGACATTAGCGTGGGTAGAACATGTCTCCTCAAATGACCAATAGATATACAAAGTGCATAACTACCTTATCTGGAATCCGATCTCTAAGCGGTCTAGTCTCGTCTAGTGGCGATGAATGCCCAGTGATCGACCCCCACGATGATGCATGGTTCTCCGTTTCCTTTCCTCTCCGGGTCCCACCTCCTTCGCTCTACAGAGATCCCACTGCACGCGCGCACGTCCGAGTTCAACGTGCCGCCGAAGCTGCGCGCCGCGACGCGGATCAACACATACGAACTTGGTAGGGCTTAGTTGGCGAAGGATAGAAATGCCAAGACACGGACCTTTCCTATTATCGCTTCTTTTGACGAAGAGAGGGTCTGGTTTAGCGAGTCGTGCATGGATGTGGCGCCCGAGGGCGGTTCATGATCTTGCAGGTTTACATTGTGCAGTTCGCAATTATGCGCAGTTCGAGGTACATGGACCAGGTGGTAGGAGGTATGCATGAGAAAAGAATGTATAGTATAGACTTGTGTCAAACTATGGAGAAAAAAAAGATCAGAACTGCTTGATTTACCCGGTGTTGGCTGGAGTGATTCCCGACTTCCCGACTTGAATTGGATCAAATATTGTCTTTCGGTCAAGGAAATTCCATGAAGCTTGGACTTGCCGAATGAGGGATTGTCCGGCCGATTTCAGTTCACGCCCTGCGAGTCTTGGGGATTGTGCCCGCCCGCAGTTCCAGGAAGATCTGCTTCTTGGCGGCATGATTCAAACGGCTCTTCCTTCAATTCCTGGCCGGTTGGATCGACTCGAGTCAGTGTGGGTTGACGAAGCGGCATAGGTTAGTTGAACGGGAGCTACTCGGTGGATGGAAACACATCGATGTATTTGCGTGGGCTTGATATTGAGCATATCGAGCTTAGGTGTGTAGCAGGTAAATAAATATAGGGGTGAATGTTATAGCTCCAGTGACAAGGTCAATCTCAATACGCCTCTGCCCCTGATACTTAGTTACTGGGTGAAATATCTTGGAAGTTGGGGTTTGATGAAAGGTATAGGGTCAAATATGCTGAAGCTCGTGGAATCCAACATCCAATTGTCTACTGTACCGATCACGTCGACTGAGCAGAGCTCGACCTATTTCAATAGGTATGAAAGCCCTCCGTCTCATGTAAATTTTAGAGGAAAAGCCAAACCAGAGCTTATCATGATGTTATCTTCCCATTTCTTCCCCCAAAGATTCAATCCCAAGCAACTGATAACCTTTTCCGCCTTTTCAGAAACAGTCCATGAACCGGAGATGTCCATCTTCATTCTTAATACAATCGGCCAGATTGACACAAGAGGCAGAGCTCTCGGCACCGACTGCAGGATCCGTGTACACATCGGCGTGCAGAATCGGGTTCTGGGGTTTGCTATCCCCTTCCCATTCGAGATGGATGTTTTCTGCCGCCTGGGTGAAGTTATGACCACTCCAAGTGAGTTTGCCTGGTGGAGGATTCCGTTTTGAATCGAGATTAGTCTGGGTTCAATGGCCACTTCATGGGAGATGTAGGAAAGAGAAAAAAAAAAAGAAATGGTCTTTCCAAAACACGAGTATCGAATCTTGGTAGAATGTGCGGAGCAGTTCATGGCGCGCAGAAACATAGCGGGCTCCTGCAGGTCTGATGCAGAGGCTCATGACTGTTTTTTCCAGGAGAAAAGACCGCGTTACGCAGCCACATTGGGATTGTGTATCGAGACCGTGACCTCCGTCCTAGTCACGGGGTCACGGGGGTTTGAAATTGACATTCACCCGAGGAGGACGAGTCGAGATGCTCACCTTTTCGAACTCCTAGAAATTCATTCAAATCCAGCTCCGAGTATACTGCTTCACCCGTTGGACGCTGGCAGTATGCCGAAAGCATATGGCCGTCTTTAAGCTTCACATTCAGAGAGGACTTGTGAAACCCCATTGTGGTAAGACGAAGTTCAAATGGCAGATGCTGTGTGGTAATGCAGTATAAGGGGGTATGTGTCGCCGGACGAGGGTTGATCTCGAAGATCTGCAGTGATCCGTAAGATGGATGGGGGAATATGGTTCAAAAAAAAAAGAAGAGGCTGGAGAAGGGCTGTTGCAAGAATTTACTTTCTTCGCTTGATTCGAGGATTCGCGCGACTGCATTTCTACCATGACATCGCGATGGTGTTATGCATCCACTTTCGATTTTTGGCTCTGGTGACGAATAATGTACAGTTTTTGAGGTGATTGTGAAGGAGGCGGTGGCCAGTCATCATGGTGTTCTCAGAATGATGAAAACAAACCCCCCAAAAAGGGCAAAGACACCTTGCGGTAGCGATATTTACTACCTACCTCTCATCACTCGCATCTGCCGCTGCGTTCCCAAACCATTGCGCCCCCCTTCGCACATGTGTGGTCGAGGAAAGGTTTCCAGGTGTCACCCTTGACCCAGGCTTGACTGGATAGACGCTTTGGTGATCTGTCTGGCGGGAAGATCACATGAAGTGCCGTGTAGCATCATCTATTTGCGGGAATCATGTCCGGCGGCGAACCTGGAACGAGTCGATGTACAATCCCCCGAATTAGAATGCTCTCGCCAGGTGACACTCATGTGCAGATTAATATCATCGTCCTGACTTTCTGGGTATGTGAAATTTGGGGTTCACTGTACAGCTGATGTACCAATGTCTATTTGAAGTGCTACTGCCACACTGTCGAGGCTACAGACTGGAGACTGGAGAAAGCGGCTCTTTGGACGGCTTCTCAAATCGGGTACAGAAAGCAGGTCGGTACCTGTCAGGTAAGCTTGACGGCTGCGGCTGAGAACTGAGAACGTGGCTGGCTCCATTTGTGTTGAGGAACGTGAGTGCAGGTGATCGGCCGCGAAGATTCGACCTCAACTCACATGAACTAGGGACCGACTCTTATTCAGTATTCACCATTCATGATGGTAGAATGACTGCGTGATGTCCAGCACTCGCCGCCGACTGAAATGACGTTTCACTTTTTCAACTGCTCAACCAATCTCCACACATCTCTCGGAGAGCGGCAGGACGACAGTGGATTGGAATTCCAATCCGGATCCAGATCCAAAGTCACACAAACGCAGATACTCTATTCTGTCAGATAGAGGAGAATGGAACCGGTTCAGTCCACAGTCCACACTGTTGAGACACCGAGAATGTAATATGTTAGTATGGAGGGTACTCCTTGAATACGCTTCATAGCTCTTCGGCCGCATCGGCGGGCTCCTCTCAAGTCAACTGAAGCTGTCTAACTGTTTAGGGTTTAGTGTTTCCTCAATTGTAACGGCCCATTTCAGCCGATCTCCCTTTTTTTTTTTCCCTGGGAGAGTCTCCACTCGGCGGTTGCCCAAAGCTTCTGCTGATCACGCTAAACCCATTCGGGCTCCATGAAGCGAGTAGCGAACCCGCTAGTCTCAGTGGAGTCTCGCCAGGGTCCTCTTCCGCAACAGCTGGAATGGAAAATGGACAGGCCATCGACCGCGAGGTAGATACTAGACACGTACTCCTGCTTGGCCCGGAGAACTTCCATGCAAAGGGTCTCAACTCTCAACTTTTTCTCCAGGCTTGTGTGTTTTGCCATGTGGTTCCACCGCGAATGACTCTGAGTTCTGGTGGTATCCACATGCCTAATTCGGCTACCAAACATTTCCAATCTCCTCTACCTGCTCGAGAGCGCAAGGTCTGTTGAGTGGACAAAACGCACCAAGTTCGGTGATGACGGGCCCAGGGCCGTCAGGGTCACATTTCGATGTCAACGGAGCGCGCACGGTCGGAGAGCCACGTGTGGGAATGGGGCAACGGGGATTATCCTTGGGGGGGCTAGATTCGGCCATCTGCCTTGAGAACCTCAAGAGCCGCTTTGGATTGTTAGAAGGGTTCCTCGCCTTGTGAGTTTGTAAGTTTGTAGGTTTGTACAGTACGGGCTGGAAGATTGACCCCGGTGGACCCACGATCAGCTCGGTTGGGCGTGTCTCAATTTTGCGTTGCGAGTACAGTGATCGGCTCCAGTCCTGCAGATGATGATGAGTACTGGAAATCCAGGAGAGGCGAGAGATGGAAGTTGGTCTTCTAGGCGTCCACGGTCTTCTCTTGTACCGCCCGAGTTTCATGCTGTTCCCTCGGTGCTTTCAGGACGGCGATGCCATGCTAACAGGGTTGAATGCCACCTGCCGTCGGTGACTCGGTGCTACCCGCCTGTAGAGTGTAGACTGCTCTGCAGTCTACACAGTCCACGTAATTCCTTGGTGTTATGATCCGTCGTCATAACTTTCGTCCTCCCAGCAGTGAGCACTGAGCAGTGAGCACACTCAGCACCGGAACGGGACTATCATGTCTAAACCAACATACGGTCCCAGTCGAACGGTAAGGCGATTCTCTCGTCCTGGAACAGGCAGTATTTTCCGACCTATCGCGCTTGTCGTGCCCCCGCTTCAGCCTACTGACCTCCAGTAGTAGTATGACTATGAACTATAAAGTACTGCCAGATGTCGGGCATATTGCAGTAGTGCGTCCGTACGCACTGTATAGAGTAACTATTGTGTATACTGGTAGAGTTTCATAGGAGGAAAAAGTCGGGTCGGTCTGATGACTGCTTATCAGCACTCATTTTGCTCGGTGGCGTATGAGGCAGTCGTTCCTGGTGGACTCTACACTCTGTGGTGCGCATTGTGGACTGACCGAATGCCTTGTGATGGGGGAGTTGAGTTTTGTGGCCGGACTTCTGCACCGCTCCGAAACCTTGCATCTTTCGGTTAGGATAACCGAAAGAGAGTGTCTGCCAGCTTGTCAGCCTGCCAACCTGCCACGCTACTGCTTGACTGAAACGGTCGGGTCGAATAGTTCGAGGAGGGATGGGGTCAGCTCTGCCGCCGAAAAATCACGATGCATTCAGAATCTCAGACTGGGCACAGGTCATTCTGAGTGTTGTCGGCGTGAACCGGTACAGGATAGTACAGAGGGCTATCCCTTGAGTTGGTAGCATAAGATGTCCATAGCGGTGCACTTCTCAAAGCAGATCGGAGCTGAAGATAAATCGGATCACCAAGTGGATTATCATACTAGTATAATCATATCATGTATTCTTTTGCGTACTGTGAGCCTGTTACTGGGGGGTTTCCCTCAATCTACCAATCAGGCAACCTTTGGCCCCGGAATCGTCTTCCAGAGTGAATAGGGCTACGGGAGGTACGCCCGTCCCGACTGAATAGCGTGCTCCTTGGTATCCATTCTCCAGGATCCATCTAGGCATCTACGAATCTGAGGTAGTGCTCTACTGCTGTATCGTGGAGCTGGTAGACCACTCATTCAGTCTTGATACCGACTCGATTTGGTCGGCTGCGATCAAAGAGAGTGGAGTATCACCCAGGGATCATTTGAATTTTCTGACGGATGCGCTTCATTCATGTCCTCTTGGGAATTTGTCTTTTGTAGTTTGTTCTCACTACTCATACCATTGTCTACCTTACTCCCACTCACTTGCCGAGTCAATCTCGGAGCGGGTCGCTCGTTGCAGTGGTCTCCAACCTGAGCTGACCAGTCCATGACGGCGCTTACCAAATCTGGATGTCTCGTCGGTGGAACTGTCAGCCTCCTGTCGTTTCCGTTGCTCGTGAAGATTACCCGGATTGTGTTGTGGCAGTCACTAGACTCTCACCCCTCTGGGATCAAGCAACGAAGCATATGCTCCTGCTGATGGCGACCATGAGGAACGCGATGGGAGTGTGATTCCAGGATAAATTTTCAGCCTCGCTCCCGAAACCCAACCTGGAGGGTCTGGAGGAAAACTCTCTGCAATCAATGGGTCAACCCTCTGTGAAGCAAAGACAAAGATTGCCTTTTTTTTTTTTTCTTTCCCCCCCCCCGTTGCCCCCTCTCCTGTCACTCTGATGCATCTCCCAAGGCAAACAATGGAAGCCTCGTTGGTGGACCCGGTCGGTTCGACTCACCCGCCGTGTCGAGCGCATGCTGCATCTGACAGGCATTCCTCCGCCCTCCGCCCTCCGCCCTCAGCCCTAACGCCATGAAACCTACCGTGCCATAATCATCACGCTGGCACATTCTTCGGGGCGGTTCTCGACCCCCAAGTGGTGACGTCCACATCTCTGTCCCAGCCCCCTTTGCCGTCAACACACTGAAACACAGAAAAGAAAAGAAAAGAGAAAAGGAAAAGAAAAGAGAAAAAGGGTGCTCTGCGCTCGCACTGCATTGGGCCCGAGCATTCTCTCCTGGGGCGCCATGTGGCCCTCTCCAGAGTCTCCGCCCCGTCGGTCAAAAACGCTAGCGCCAGACTGTCTCCCGTAGATTCCTCGTCATTCCGTTTGAGTTGACTCGGAGGAGGAGGAGAAATTTCATGAAAATTGATCTGAGTATAACCGGTGCTCTTCCAACCTCAACTCTTGCGCCCCAGCTCGACACCCCTTTCGCCCAAGTCTATGCTCCGATCCCCGCTCCTACCCTTGAATACGCGGGTGGTCGCAATTACCTTCTTAAGCGGGGCCTCTCCTGTTGAAAGAAATCGAGCAATGCACAACCCGGAGAGATGGCTTACCCACTCAATTAAGGTCCATCCAAGTTCCCATTCAGACAGGAACTGTAGATCCAAGTGCTCCACAACAGCAGTCCAGTCCCAACAAACAATATGCATACCGTACGATTAAGGTGTACCTCGTACCTCGTACCGTGCAGGTATTCAGAGGGTCTGCGTCTGACACAATCTTATTATCTCCGTCGGGTTGCATTTTCTTTTTCTTTTTCTTTTTTTTGTTGTTCTATCTTTCTTTTGCTTTCTCATCAGTCCCCTTTGACTCTCGGCCTGAGGACTCTCAACAATCGACTTGCTTCGTTTGTCATGTGTCTCTCAGTCTGTTACACTTTGCTTTTTCAGCCAATCGACATACTCTTCTCCTTTCGTCTCGTCTCTCTAGCTCCATTTTGTCTGGACTCTGGAGGACCCACGCCTGAGGCTCGTCGCTTCTGATCGGCTCAGGAACTCTCATTTGCGCTGGCCTTGCATCGCACGTCCACCTCTCCTCCCGTGGACAAAGTGACTCGATACTCACTCGGTCAACAAACTGTGAGATCTCCTCACAGGTCTGAGGACTGCACCACCCGGACGAATCTTCGCCCTGACGATCGGTACGGGCCTCGATAGTCTCCTGGCGATAGTCTCTTGGCGATAGTCTCCTGGTGATAGTCTCCTGGTGATAGTCTCCTGGCGATAGTCTCCTGGCGATAGTCTCCTGGGGCTTGTGACCCTCGCATCGACCAGCGCGACTCTTCCACACTTCACTGAAATTCCGCGCAAGTTGGATGACCTGGATCACCTGACATAATACTCCTTCCCATCAGACACGTCCAAGTTTCACCGTCGCCGTCTTGCCTTTCACCCCACAAGCCTCATTGAGCGGTTTGAGTATTCAAGGTTGTTCATGCGACCGACTTCCTGGTTGGATTCAAGTGCAATTCTACCCCCACCGACGGTGGCCTAAACCCAGAACCTGGCCATGTGTATACAGTGAATATTTTGAGTGAGAACATCTGCGAGCCCGGCCTACTGACAGTCCTCTGCAATCTTTGTATCCCTCGCTCAAATCCGCACCGTACGGGCTCAACCGCTGTTTGCAGTTCGCCCGTTCAAACGATTCACGGATCAATGAAAATCTCCAGCTGATCTCTGAAATCTCATTCTGCTGATCGAGGGTGTCATTGGCCATCGACAATCAACTGTCTTGGAGGCTACCAACGGCCACTCTCCCGAAAGTGGACGACACGCGCTTGGCTTCTCTTCTGCATTGCCTGCAATCAAATCCCGCCTCTGGCCAGTTTCACAGGTGATCGTGCTTTCACCCAGACCTCCATATCCTCGCAGAATATGGCCGGCCCCGGTGGTGGTCCTCCACGAAGGAGCCATACCAAGTCAAGGAATGGTTGCAAGACTTGTAAGAGAAGACACATCCGCTGCGACGAGACCTTTCCTCAATGGTACGCCCATACCTCGATGGAGTTGATGATTTACACCCGAGAGCAATCTGAGACCCAGGATCATTGACAAAAAACGTTCCATAGCCGCAACTGTACAAAGCACAACTGTCGCTGTGACTATCAAGATATACCACTACCACTACCACTACCACTTGATCACGCTACCATTCCACAATTCGACCAAGATCGGGTGGTCCTTGCAAATGTCGAAGCTGAGGTTCAACGATGGCATAGCATGGGATCGACTCCACATCTGGAACTCGACGCCGGCTCATACTCGCCTCACTCGAGCCTCTCTCGACTTGACTCCCTCTTGATCCACCACATACTCGGACTGTGCACCGACCTCGATCAGCGCGGTCTCAGTGACTGCACGATCTGGGCGCGCATTCTACCAAGGTAGGCCACCAAGATGGAGAGAACAGCGAGTGTGCTTCGATTTGCTGATTGGTACTTTTATATTGAAGCTTCCTCACTCTGGCCATGTCCAACGACTTTGTGCTGCGGGCAATCTTGTCTCTATCAGCTGCACATTTTGCATTTCTCACGCACAATGTCGAGGTCGCAGAATACACTCGACGGAGCCAATCTCTCGCTTTGGACGGCTTGCAGACGGCCTTGAGTACGGATCGGGTGGCTCGTTCCCAACAGGATACGGAGTCCATCGTGTCGGCCTTGATTTTGCTGTCTTGGCAAGTCACTGACTAGTAAGCTTTCCCCCAAATCAATTATCAGAATTTGACCTTCAATACTACGGGGGGACTAATGGGGAGAAGTCATACTTGGTCATATTTAAAAGAGGAACTGGGATTCATATTGAGGGCCACGCCGCCGATTTGGAAGCAAGACTCCAAGGTCATTCACTACGCAGAGAGTCGCGAGGCCTTGAGCTATCCGAACCACCCCCCTTCGATACATGAGAATTTGCTCCAGCTCGATTGCGCTTTACAGGCACTACGACTGGTTCAGGAACAGACTCTTTACCACGCCGTCTACGCTCGGCACCTCCAAAACCTGATCGATCTTGTACAGCGCTTACTTCAGGATCTGCCCTACTACGAGACTCCGGAGCAGTTCTTCAATGAGACGAGAATCTTGCGGAGACGACTCCTATGGTTCCTTCCGAGTCTGTTACGCGAGGCGGAGCTGGAAACCAGCGGACTCGTAATACTGGCTCAATATTATGCTGTTGCAGCCACGGTTGATAGATTGTTTCCACAAGCCGTCGACGCGACCTTCGGAACCGGCTCTGTTGTCGCCATTGACGAGATCTGCCGCGTTCTCGCAACCCGAATGGCCACTTCCCCGCAGGATTTAAATCTCAGCCTCGAGTTGACCCTCCTCGACTTCCCACGCTACTGTATGGCTCGACATCAGGGCCATCTCGCCTGGTCATCACCCCCGTCCGCTGTGGATAATCACCCTTCCGAATCATCAAGTCCTTGTCTTGTGCTTCCAGACAATGGTCTCCATTCAGATTCATCGCCCCGATCGGTTTCATCTTCGTACACTGCGCCAACCCCTCCTCTTCATTCCCCGTCAGCCAGCACAACGACCAACTCCTCCTATATCTCAACAACATTCTATCCAACCCCCGCCATGTCCTCTCATTCCTTGTGCTCGCCATCACCGCAGATTTTCGATACCCAGAACTTGTCACAGGATACGCACGGTGCAAGTTATATTCCATTTGACTCTCACACGCCATTTTATAACTCATTCATGACAAGCGACCCTCTCTGCTCAAACATGCCTTCCACCGCCATGAGCGGAGGGCCCGGCGTCTCCTTTTACTTGCCTTCATATACCCTTGACATGGCCCAGAACGATTGTGTCTGAGCTCCATTGGACATGATCAATCCTGAAAAATTGAACATATTTTTTCTGTGGCTCGCATAGTTCCTCGCCCCCTTTTTGCAACCAAGTGTCTATCACCTCAGTAAACCTTTGGGTATTATCGGGTTTGCCATGTGTGATTTCCAACCGATCGTACTTGTCTTCAAGCTTTCATTTCAAGGTCTTATAATATTTCATGTATACCGGACCTGACGAAGGACCGGCGCCTTGGCAGAAGCAATTCTCTCGATTTCACTGGAGACACCTGAATAGCACACTATCGTGCGTCTAGCTTCCACATCACATTGACTTGTTAGGGTAGAATGTAGATGGTGGGTATCGTGCATTCGGCGAGAACTCCCACCTGATTTGACTAATCCTCTTTCTTTGTAGTCTGCTTGAATCTTGGCGGCTTACCACCCCTCGCTCTGCGACAGTCACATAAACTCAATTTTTCTACCAGAAAAATAGGGACCCAAATACACTTGTCCAGGTTCAACCCAAGTTGCAGGTATTAGATGAAAGTCTCTGGACACGCCTGCCATAGACCTATCTTTTATGCCTCTGGGGAATGTTCATGGGTTGGAGTGTATTTCTCATGGGTGATGATACTCTGCTAGTTTTGGATTCTGATACGGATATCCATTTTAGAGTTCGCTTTTTCTGAGACCGAAGAAATGATATTCGAAAATCACCAATATCGACAATGGACAACTTCCTAGGTTGCTAACAGATTACTTCGTAACGTGTTCTCGGTGAAGCCCAACCTGGATCATCAATAAATTGTCTGAAGATCCATCGCCTTGATCAAATCGGAAATAATCTGCAGCGACATGTCAGCTTTAGCCCTGTTCGACTCGTACCTCGATGCTCGGGGCCGGAACTCACCACTCCAACATAGGCGTCGATGTCTCCACCCACACTGCTGAGCTCATCGTCGATCGAGCTTTCACCGTAGTAGATCAAGTCCTTGGTTCCCGAGTCGGAGTTCAATTCCTTGAGGGATCGAGCGGCGGAGTCGTCGTGACCCACGCGGCAGAGACAGAATAAGACGGCAGGACCGGTGTTCTTCGCACTGTCGAGCTGGGACTTGAACTTGGTGACTTGCGCGGTGAATTCAGGCACGGAGCTCCCGAGCTAGATTTCGAAGAAAGAAGAGGATGACATGTTAGCGGTCTGTGAAGAAGTTGGAACAAGGAATCCGTCGGCGAAAGGGACTTACATCTCCATCGGTGATGATCACCACAATAGTCGGGTTCAAGCGGTTTTCCATTGCCGCGGTGGCCAAGGGATCCAAGATCTTCTTTTTCAGCGGTCGGGCCACATTTGCACCGGTGTCAAAGGTCATAGACGAGACGATGTCGGTCAATTCGGTCTCCGAGGTCACATTTTCATACTCGTCGCCTTCGAACGAGCGGATGGAGAACTTGTTGTCCGGATTCAGTGTCTTGGCAGCCTTGTATAGACCCTTGACTGTCTCTTGTGTCGCGGGGATACGAGATTCTTCCGAGTTCATGGAGCCGCTGTCGTCTGTTTGCGCAGATTAGTAGATAGACCTGACATTTGCCCCCCCCCCCCCCCCCCCCCCCCCCCCCCAAAAAAGACCTAAAGATCGAGAGATTGAAGGGCTGCAGGATTCCGTACCGTAAAGAATGGTAAAGTCATAGAAAGCCAACTGAGCCGCCTTGGGAATCTCCTCGGGAGGAATATTCGATTGAGCAGCGATGCTTTGAATGTTCGCCGCTGCCAAGTCGGTGATGCTCTGGATTTTGTCCTCGGAGAACTGAGGGAACCCGGCAAGGTTCTTGCTTGCGAATTCATTCAATTGCTTCTTCGTCTCGACTTCGGGAGCAGGAGGTGCTGGCTCCGGAACAGGCGCCTCCTCCGGTTCGGCCGGGGCGTCGGGGGCGCTGTCCGAGGGCGCCGTGCTGACTTTGCCGATGTTGTCAATGACGGGCATGTTGAGACCTTCAATACCCTATCCAAAACGGTGATGAGTCAGAGACGATCTCAGATAGACCAGAACTTTGCCAGCCACCCCCAAGTTGGGAACATACCTTTCCAGTCAAAGTAGCCAGCTCGGGCACAAAGTCCGACAGAATGTGATCTGCGATCTTGCTTGCAAAGAGCGTCAGAGCGCTCTGCAACTCAAGACGAGTGAGCTGTGCCAGAGGGCCATCGGTGAAGGCTTCAATGTCCTTGCGATATCTCTCATACTTGCATCCTCCGAGGGTGGAGCTAAGGATGAGAAGGAACTGCTCGATGATGGTGTTCTCGTTGACCAGATGCGAGACCACCTGCAGGCCTACGGGAACCCGAAGATTGAATGTCAAAAGCCCGTTGTCCATGGTGAGACCCGACGCGCTGAGAGGCGATGATAGATTTGGATGGAAAGAAGAGTAGGGTTGAGAGGGACTAGATTGGGAGAAGACGGATGATAGTCGGGATCGGTGTCGGCGGAGGAGAGCTTTTAATATACGACGAGTCACGGTATTCCCGTCTGCACCTCAAGCCTTCCAGTCCTCCTGGAGAATAACCTTGCACATACACTCTAGAGTGCAGCTAGGCTGGCGATAGTCTAAGCTCCACTGGTCTTCAGCTTGCTATTCTTGCGACGAGCTGGCTAGAATGATCACGGAATCGCCGAAGGATTGCGCAACAAACTACTCACCAGTCATTTCACGTACATGACTAGTGTCTCGCTGCCCCATTCCGGTCAATCATTCACGATTCTGCTCGTATTGGCTTAAAATGCAGCTGAAGACGACGGTCAATTGCCCAAACATAGCTATACTCAACAGGGGGGGGGGGGGTACTGAAAGTCCGTGGCAATTGCTCTCACTTGAACGAGCGTGGCCCTGTGGCCAAAATCTGACCATCTCGGCCATCATCGATGCAGGATGAATATCGATCATCTCACTACTAGAGTGAGTGGCTGGCTGAGCCATGGGCCATCGCTAGTCTCGTCTTTCGCGAACTCCATTAGATGCATAAACATAAGCTGGCAACATGAGGCGTCCATTAGGCACATTTGACGGACGTAAAAGAAGAGTGTGTATGTGCATGGAGGGGTGGGGGGCCCCTCCACAGCGTCAAAGCTCCATGTGTTTTTCTCTATATTCTGTTTTTGGAAGCCCAAGACAGGGTCTACTCGTATTGCAAATGCTGCAAGCGCCCACAATTCCACGGCGAGACCGTGCATTTGCAGATGCGTGAAAATACTGGACTTATCGATATGAAACCTAAAGTGGCAGCTGACTCCCAATTTCAAAAACACCTTGTACTTGGTTTGTCTGACCTATCATCTTCACGAGGGCAACCACTACTTTGAGTATACCATGATTCAGGACTCCATTCCCCCCCCCCCCCCCCCTGTTCACAAACCCAATTCCGCATCAGCCAGCCTCAATTCATTGCTCGCCACTATAGCTCTGCATTTAGCTCACTCTCCGCACATAGGCCACGCCAAAGTCACCTTGGGTTCCCACCCGCGGAAGATTGTCATGAATGGCACAGAACTGCTGGCTAGGTAGGTAATGCATCGCCACGCAATTGGCATAATCAGCACACATCTTGATGCAGTCGGCCAAGCTGTGCTTAGTGGCAGTGGTAAACCCATCGCCGCCCACCCACCGGTAGCAGTCAATCGAGTAGCTATGTCCCTTGTACTGAACCACCTGTCCGTGCGCCGCTTTGCATTCCGGCACATGCAGACTGTCGGGCTGCTTGGGTGGATCCACAACAGGCTTCTTCCCATTCCCATTGTCGTCTGGCTTTGCAGGCACGACCGGATCATTGACCGGGACCAATGCGACCCAATTACCCCGGGGTTGGAGGTGAGGTTTGGCCGTTGCGAGGTAACACTGTTGGCCTCGCAGGGAGACGCCGGTGCAATGCTTATTTTTGGTGCACTCCAATGCACACTCCACCTCGTTGGCTGCATGAACTTGAGTCCATTTACCGCCCGACTCCAGCCAGGCGTTGCAGTGGAATTCGTAGCGTACGCCGCCAATTGTCTTGACGGCCCAGTCCACGTATGGACACCCATACCCTGGAAGTGGTTCCAGACCAATGGACCCGGGCTGTTTCGTGGGATGCACTTTTTTGTCCGATAAACAGCAATGGCCGTCGGAGAAAGTGGCTCCGGTGCAGTGAGAATCGGCGACACATTGGGCAGCGCAGTCCTCAAATGAGGAGGCCGGTTTAGCCGTGCATGCATTGACATCTGCAAGACGTGTATCACAGTGGACCTGGAACTCGAGTCCATGGATGACTTTGGTCGTACCGTGGAGATGGGTGCAGTCCCCGTTGTTCTCTTTCTTTGGAGTTGAGGGGCCCACAGGTTCGAGGATCACCGAGCCTGGGGTCTCCACAACGCTTCCAACGCTGGTGGCCAGCGTGCAAATTTTGTTGTGGTACGACAACATCTTGCAGGATGGGTCGCGAGAGCATTTCTCGGCGCATTCTTTGAGGCTGTCGAGGCTGGTGGTTGCACACGTGGTGGAGGAGCAGAAGCCCTTATTGCAGTGGTAGATGTAATCCTTTCCCCCAAAATGGTGAATTGATCCATCGATTGACGGACAGCCATTCTGGTCGTTGATGCATGGCTTGTCTGCGGCGGGGTTTGTAGGACAACGACTGGGACACTCGGGTGGATCACAGCACTGATCGAGTATAGTTCCATCCGGTCCTACCGTCACTTCGGCATAATCGCATTCGAGACCGTTCATACTGGCGTGAGGGATGTTCACCAAACCGCAGTGACCAGCACAACGGTATGTTGTAGCACACTGGCCTGAAGACAGCTTCGGTCGGACATGTTGGTTCCCGCACCGTGGAATCGGAGGGCTCGGTTTCTTCTCCTCGCATTGATGGCAGATTGGGACCTGAGGAGGGGGATGCGGATGCGACGTCGCGACGACGCCCGTCACAAGTATCACACTGAGAAACAGATGAGCGAGATACATGACGACGAGTGCTCGCAAGAATTGAAGAGAGAGGGAGAGAGAGAGAGAGTGTGTGTGTGTGTACGCGAATGTCAAGGTGAAGCATTTTGTCCTGTGGGAAGTTACATCGTGCTTCTTATATGTCAATGCCAAAATCTCTTCAACGAATGAGTCAAATTGCAGGTGCTCGAGAAGCAGCTCGTCACTCTCGGACTGTGTCTTCGTATCTTCAATCTCATCTCTCCTAAGGTCAAATATGCCGAGTATTGTCTAATTGCGCCGTCTGGCTGGCGGAATTGAGACAGCTCCACCTGAATAGTCTCATCCGTGCATGCGAGTTTGTAGGCAGTGACAGGGCTTCGAAGATATCCACTGCCTAAGCTGAACTAGAGACTACCATGCATCGTGGTCATTCGATGAGTTCCATTCATCTGTTCATAGGTCAAGACAGCTTGCTCATTGGCCCAGGAAGACTTTTGCTCTCTTCGCCTGACTGGTTGTGGCTTAAACTCGATTATCAATTGACAGTCCCGGGTGCTTTGCTAGGACGCTGGAGATACCTGAAAAGGTGTCAAGAATCCCCCTTGTGGGACGAGCGTTGGCGACTTCGAAGCACCAAATATCTCAGCATGCGAGACCACCACATGTCTTTCATGTCGCAGCTGATGCATCCTGAGAATGGTCAAAAGCCACCGGTCTCTCCGTTCCGGCATAAGTGTGCGGGGAGGGGGGATCATGGCTTCTGAAAAGGTCAAATAATCAAACGGGGCCACCAAGACACGTCAACAACCATCTAGCCCGCCAGCCACTCAGTCAGCCACCTGCATCTGCTGCTCGCTCGGGACAGGCGACAAGCCCGGCGTGCTATCGAAAGAGATCATGTCGTCCAATGACTCTTCTGGGTCTCCATCGATCGCAGTTCAGAAAGAGTCTGACAGACTCGTTCTCGGACAAAGATTCCGAGCTCGAGGGTGCAGATCCAGTTCATCTTGGGCCGGTGCGCACTGGCTGACTGCATCTTTAGCGTGAAAGTTGGCGCCGGATCGGTCCACCCGAGCTCTTGTCAGGAGAGCTAAAAGGACCAATGAATGGAATCGTCAAAAAGACCGCCTGTGCCAATGTAAGGGCGATGGAAATGCACAGTCCGTCCGCGAGTGGTGTTGACTCGGTGAGGAAGCAAAAGATGCAAACGTAGGTCGTTCTGGCTCTTCAGCTGGCGTTTGCTTGCTGTCGGATGTTTCCGGACGAGTCACGTTACCGTCGCGAGTGGGAGGTCGGCTCGCGTATGCGCTTGAGACTACATATTGACACGGACTCCACCACGCCGGGTCTAGTTCTCTTCGCTTCGAAACGTGTGGCTTGCCGAGCGACAAGAGAGACAGAGACAGAGAGAGAGAGAGAGAGAGAGAGAGAGAGAGAGAGAGAGAGAGAGAGAGAGAGAGGGAGGGAGGGAGGAGAGAGGGAGAGAATATTGGTGCTGGAGAGAACGGAAATTGGAGCCTAGCCTTGACCAAGTACGAAGCTACTTGACCCGCTCGAGTTTTCGCAAGAGTGAGCATGTCTCCCTCTTTTTGTCTACTAGATCCGCAATCCTGAGAGATACCTCAAGCAGCAATTTGATCGCATCAGCGGGAAAGCGTGGACCTCTCGAGCAACTTGGGAAACGTCGGAAGACACCAGGGTTGTCACTGGACGGGACCGACTCAGCCTCGATGGAGTGGTGTTTTTGGCTCTCGCTGATTGCTTTCTACTAGATCCATCTGAGATCTTCGGTCAGGAGATTTCCGTTGAACTTGGACGTGAGAGGAGTGGAAATCCCAAAGCCCACGCGAATGATTTCAACTCATGCAACAGAAAGCCTGCCGACCTTGACGAGCATTCGACGCTGATCGTAGCTCCAAACCCTACCCTCAAAGCGCAACGGTCGATGAAGATCATTTCGATTCTGACCGCCGGTAATGGAAAAAGGGTGTTGCGAATGGCTTTGGACTTCCTGCGTCTCTCGATTTTGTACGCCGGCCATTGACTCCATGTACCCAGGAACGAGCATTATTATAAGATTTGGAAAGGACAAATCCGAAAAGACTACCTAAGCGTCAGCAAAACTACGAGAAAAATTATTTGGAGCGAGATCATCAGAGCTCTGATGCGACGGGACCATCCCCAAAGACCAGCCCAAAGGACTTGTAAAATTAGTTTTAGCCTACCGAGTCACCGAATAGACCAAGAACCCAGCGCCTGAGAATCACAGCTGCATGAAGTTCAGTAAAGACTACTGGACATTGGCCTGTAAGCTTGCTGTATGAGTGTCTCAAGTACGGCAATACGTTCGTTCTCGGGTACACTCCCACTCGGCCGCCGCAGACATTCCTGGCAGCGCCTACTTCCAGTGAGGCGGCATGGATCTTGTCCACCATCTTGTATCACCTTGGCATTGGCATTGATAAATATCCAGTCTGAACTCGAGAATTTGTACTTGCTTGACTTGGCTTATTTTGGGCCAGTTTTTCATCAGTAGGGAGTAGGTCCATGCGATTCAACCCAGATGTTGAGCAAGGTCATCTATCGCCATCTCCACGTGGGCAATGATATATCAATTCTGTCAGGTTCCGTGCTAGGAATCATCCTTAAGAAGGTATGTTAGGTGTTTGCACTCAGCATTGGCAACCGATGACGAGAAAATAGGCGAATATTCGGGTATCAGGCCAGAGACAACCTTTGATTCTGGAAATTGAGACTTTCTCGCTCAGAGCCCAATTCGAAATGTCGTCTCTGTAAGGAAACGAGGCACGAGAGAACAGAAATTTCGCTGGGAATTTTCGAGTGTCTGATCTTCGTTCAGGCTGATACAAGACTGATGGAGTCGTGTTGTTACTGTCATGGCGGACATTGTTCCAAAGGCGATGGCCATCGGTGGAGCATCTGGACTCGGACACCAAGACCGGCGAGAGAGGCCCCCCCCGTCGGGGGTCCCCTCCCACTTCACCATATTGACCTGGCTGCTTGAAAGGGGATCACATTTACTCCATTATAGACGAGCAAGTACCTATTTGATCCGCCCTACGGGAGATCCGTCCACCCACCGGTGTAAGTGGAAGAAGGGAGTCAGGAATGTCATCTTTTCAGTCTCAAAATAAACTATGAACATTCATCCTCTCAGTTCCTCCACTTGGGCACAAAGCATTGCTTGACCAGGTATGTGTCCACGCCATTTGTTGGCGTCTCGAGAAGCGCATAGTTCCAGGATGGCTGGAAGCCCCCAGCGCTCCAAGAGGTCCATCCGAGATACACATCGGAGTTTTTGCTATGATATGTCAGCCATCCGTTGGAGCCCTCCTCCCCAGTCGGTCACTTGCAGAAGGGGTGGAAACCGAAACTTACTTGATCACATCGAGTTGCTGGCACATGTACTGTCCACAGCTTGCCACATTACCACCGCCCGTTTCGGTGAGCATCGCTTGACGCTTGTTGGAGCGAAGCCACTGGGCCAAGTTGGTGAACGCAGCGGCATTGTCAGTCACACACTCGACGTGGGTACCACTGTTGTCCGAGTCGAGATACTTGTGCACGTCGAAGATCAGGTTCGTGGTCGATCCATCCGGGTTGGTCACGGCGGACAGCGCAGCCCCCGAACCGTTTTCAATAAAGTTGGCGGCATTGGTGTAGTCAGTACCGGGCAGCAGGATCATCTGCGAGGTAGCACCAGTCTTGCGAATGGCCGTCACGGCCTTTTGCACAGTCGCGGCCCACGTGTTGATATTCAGATCATGCGGCTCGTTCATCACGCCGAAGATGATCTTGCTCTCGCTCTTGTACTTGGTGGCCAGCTGAGTCCAGAGGCTGAGGAACTGGTCATCCGTGGGACCGCCTTGTCCGATGACGCCGCCGTTCCAACGAGCATAGTTGTGGACGTCCACGATACAGTGTGCTCCGAGCGAGAGACATCCCTGGACGAGCTTGTCGTACTTGCCAAAGTTGTTGGAATCCAGTGAGCCACCCAGGTTGCTGTTCACCAGGAACTCCCACCCGGCGGGAAGACGGAAGATGTTGAAGCCGTCGGCATTGACAAAGTGTTGCATTTGGTTCACACCATCCACGGACTCATCGGCCACTTGGGTGAGATCCTGGGAGCCGTCGGTCTTGACGCCGAAATCAAACCCGGCGATGTTGACACCTGCGAAACGGACTTTTCCGCCGCCTGATCCGCCGGTTGGACCCGACGACGAGGCAGTCGTGGTCGTCCGGACCATGGTGGTTGTCGTGGTAGTAGGATTACTACCGCCACCACCTGATCATTCACAGGTGGTTAGTGTGATCATGAATGAGATGATGAGGATTTCCCATCTTGCTAGAGTGCTTACCGGATCCAGGAAGACATTGGGAGTAGTAGGCATTCGAGTATGTGCAAGTGTAGCCCGACGCACAGGAAGTTGGGCCGGTCCATCCTTGTCCTCCGCCTGTTGAAGGTATTTTGTCAGTACGCGTTCATATGCCACCGTGTGGGTTCCCGCCTGTCATCGACTTCTTACATTGACCCCAGGCGGTTTGTTGAGCAACGGCTGCCGCGCTGATCGACAGCAGCGCCACCAAGCTCTGCGTGTGGTGATTCTTCATTGTGGAGGGTTATGAATGCCAAAGCTATGAGAGTCTGGTTTGGATTTCGAACAAGATGATGGAACAGACCGTCTCGTTCTTATATGTCCAGTCTGTGCTTCCAGTCATGAGAGGAAATTTGTCCGGAGTGCACGGTTTAGCCTGAATTATCTCCTTGAGACACGGAACTTCCTGCCTTGTGCATCTGTTGCATGATTAGCTGTACACTAGAGAACAGCGCAAGACCAGAAAGTTTCGATCAGGCATTGGTCCCGAGAAACAGGATTACCCTCACTTTAATTTGAAGGGGAGGGAAAGCCCTTCATCTACGTCGAGGCAAAGGGGGCGACGCTAAGCCGTCGCAGACAAATGAAATTCCATACTCGGCAGTCATCAATGCCAGTGCGGGCATCACGCGAGGATTTTTTCTTTGCTGAGTTTCCCATCTTCACTTCCTCTTCGGGTCACGGAAGGGACGCCGATGCTCGCACTCGGTTGGTAGGTTTCGGGTACCCCTTCTGACGAAGTTTATTTCCCCACAGCACCCGGAAGACCCCTTTGATGTGGAGGGGCGCGGGTAAATGTCCGTTTCAGGCAGTCCGTTTTCTGCAGGTTCCTGGACGGTCGCAATCTTTGAGTATTCGGGGAGGTCGAAATGGTGGATTGCATTGCGGGGGAATTCCTCTGCCCCCCCTTCTTTTCTTTGTTATCTGGCTTCTTCTTCTTCTTCTTCTTCTTCTTCTTCTTCTTCTTCTTCTTCTTCTTTGTCGCCGGGTAAAGTGGGTTCGCCTTTTCCCAGACACGTACACCATTTGGCACGCAAGAGGACACTTGCCGATATTCATGGAAGGGGTCCCGGACAGAGACTCAGATTGGTCTGGACTCTGGAGTGTATCTGAGACGCAGGTGGAAAGTTTATCGTCGTGTATGAGGGCAGCCGGGAGACAATCGAGTTCCAAAGCGTGAACTAAAGGAACTGTCACATTGACATGAAACAGGACCATCGACACTGATGAAAAGGTGGGGGAAAGGGAGTTACAAAGGAGGCGTCCACGTTTCTCATTCTCGACGATTCTTCAGATGACCATATTCTTTCTTCGCATTTGGCTTGCACTCTGACTGTAGAGATTAGTGATTGATCAACAGATCCGCAGGCGAAGAGTCTTGCTCCCTTAGTCCGGGCCGTGAATCTCTAAAGCCGGAAATGGCTGAATGAAGGGAGGCGGTTGAAGAAGAATCTCACTCGTCGTTTGCGGGACTCGTCGGCTTTGATCAAACTCAACTAATGAATATTTTGCGCCTCATCGAGGGAACGTGGAATCGAGGACCCGAAGTTTCGAGTGTTTCTTCACGACAATTCAGTGGGGAAAAAATTTCTTTTCTCTTTCTTTTTTTGAAACAGAGAATGATCCTTGCCATGTTGTTGGTTGTAGCGTCGGTACAGATATAGATCCTTCGGTTGCAACGCCGGCAATTACAATGCACCCCGACCGATGGACTAACTGTCACTGCTCAGCCGGTGAACAGCTCGAGTTGTATTGAAAGAAGTACGACATTCAATCTACTGCGTACCTTCTCTTGGCAAATCATACTGACTCAAACAAACTCTACTGACACAGCTCGAAATATCAACCAACTCGTCAGGCTCTTGGCTATTATGTGCTTTTGCATCTGCAGTACTGTACCCGAGTAAGGAACTCGACCTTGTGGATTATTGAATTGATCATACAAAAATGGCCGACTTTAGCCACATACAGCGGAGTCTATGAACCTGTGTGCAAGAAATCTCAAATATTTTTGGTACAGAAGTGACAGATCTCAACGATTCCATGTACATTCATCTCTTCATATGAGATTTCGCAATAACACCAGATGGGTCGACTGCACAGCAACTACCGCTCTCCGGTCAAGTGAATATCACGTGATGATAGCTTCCCATTGTACCTTACCCTGGAACTTACCGCCCACCTGACCTGGCAAATGGCCCGGGGCAGAATACTATGACATAATCGAAGATGCCGCGCGGCGGGAAAGCTTGGTGTGCAATGGAAAGCTCATATTATCTCGTAGCTTGTCGGCATTAATCTAAACCCAGTTCCTGGACACACTTGGCTCTTGGACTTTGAGGATTACTTCAACTCGTTCGCCGCTCAATCATCACGGATTACAGAAGGGATTAAACCCCTCACCATGGCGGACACAGGAGGTTGGAGCACAATCGAGTCGGATGAGGTACGCGGAGCCTGCTATGCTCATCTTCGCAATTTCTGGGGTGAAGGACCGTGTTGAAGAAACTGACCATTCGACATTGACAGGGTCTCTTCACCTCACTGATTGAGAACCTTGGAGTCAAAAATGTCCAATTCGAAGAGTTGATCTCTCTTGATGCGGACACGATACGTTCACTCGGGTACAGTCCTTTCTCCCAACTCTGTAGAGGGACACGCGATCCCACGCGATTTCATCATGTTCATTCCAATGTGCTTAGCTGACCAAGACCTCACTTTTCCCACTCAGATCCGTCTACGGCGTCATCTTCCTATTCAAATGGACCCGCGAAGCCGCGGGTGCCCGCGCGGAAGCTCCCCTCGACGGCACATACGACCAAACCGCATCCGACAACGACGTCTTCTTCGCCGCACAAACCATCCAAAACGCCTGCGGCACCCAAGCCATTCTCTCCGTCATCCTCAACCACGATAATCCCCCCGCTCCTCTGCCTCCCATCGTCCTCGGCCCCGAACTGCGCTCCTTCAAAGATTTCACCACCGGATTCCCCGCCGAACTGCGCGGCGAAGCCCTCTCAAACTCGGAAGCTATCCGGACCGCCCACAACAGCTTCGCCAGGGCCAGCCCATTCGCTGACGAGACTGTGCGGCCGCCGGACGAAGAGAATGCCGCAGATGTCTACCATTTCATTGCTTATACGCCCGTGAACGGCACGCTATATGAGCTGGATGGACTGCAGCCGTATCCGATCAGTCACGGCGCGTGCGATCCGTCCTCGTTCCCGGAGAAGGTGATTGAGGTGTTGCAGCGGCGGATTGCGCGGTATCCGCCTGAGGAGACGCATTTCAATTTGATGGCTGTAGTGCAGGATCCTCGTCCGCGGGCGCGTGAGATTGGCGACGTGGAGACGTTGGAGCGCGAGGAGCGGAAGAGGGCGGCGTGGGCGTGGGAGAATACCTTGCGGAGATGGAACTTTGTTGGCTTCATCGGGGAGATGATGAAGGGTGTCGCTGGGATGAAGGAGGCTCAGGACGGTAGTGGGAAGGCGTTTGATGAGTGGGTGGATAACGCGAAGCAGGCGACGAGGAAAAGATTGGAGATGCGTCGGTAGAGACATCTCTCATTTCACATGCTGCGAGGAACGAGGTCCCTCGGGAGAAAGTGCTTCGTTTACGGAGCTGGGGAGGCCCTTTGAAATTGACGCAATGTCTCAATTGGAACTCGCCTATTAAGGATTTTCCGTTGACGTTCTACAAAGACCACCTGTCTCCAGTTTTCAGATACCCCTGTTTAGGAATCGAGGTGCAGACATACAAATCATTGAGCTGGGAGTATTCATATCCATATTCATATTCATATTCATATCCACCACTATGCACTTCGGTCGTCAACGACAAACCCCTTCACATCCTCAAGATTTGTTTCAATCCTTATATGTCAACCATCAACGGCGAGTTGTCTCAACTGCACATCAAACGAATACTCATCAGTAATCCACGATCCGGCTACGAATATGTTCAACCAATGGCAGAGGTAATTCGTCAGGCTTGACAAGACCCAATGCGAACAAATCGGACCAGAAGAACATGGCTCGGTCCTGAGCGTAAGCCAAGTAGTCAAAAGCTTCCTCCTCCTCGTCAATATCCGGATCCACAGGCGGAGCTTTAAATTTCTCCTCGACCGCAGATTCGGCTTTCGCATCCTCTACTGCACAGTCTGGGTGCGCCGCCGCCGCCATGGCGGCAATACCCTCATCCATGCCGGGAACCTTGGCCTGCACAATACCCCACGCCACCCATTGGGCCGAGTTTATGGCGCGCCACAAACGAGTTTGTCCCATGAGATATCGAACTTTGGACTCAAGGTCATCTTCTTCCACGGTTTCGAGCTGTTGGCCTCCAGTTGTGCCCTCGACGCCTTCGTCGAGACTCAATGGAGTGATGGCGGCCACTGGCCGACCTCCACGCATTGCAGGAGTTCCCGAAGGAGAAGCCATGGGCGAGGCGGGACCGCCAGGAATGGCAGGGCGATGAGTGAGATAAGTCGCAACGAAGCGACGCTGCTCTTCAGGAGTAGGGTAAAGACGATTATTACAGGCCCAGGGAATCTCCTCGTCGTGATAATTATAGCACCATTCGGTCTGTGTGGGAGAGAAGAGAGAATCAGTCGCCGTCGCAAAGTTATGACACAAATCATAAGCCGAAGATACTCACAAAATGGTTGGCAAACTCCAGACCAGGAGTATTGGCCGACGAGTACTCGAAATCAATCACCACAAGCTGCTTGTGCTGGTTGGCTGGCAGAAGAAGGGGAGACTGCGTGGCAGGCTCCATGCGAAGAAGATTCCCATATTGGGTCTACATGACCGTGTTAGTATCTTGAAATGGCCGAGAAGGCTCCACAATGAGGGAAGCGTCGTACATCGTTATGAGCAAATACGAGTTGCCGTTTGATCTCGTTGATTCCACCGCAGCTGGCAACAAGCCACACCCGATAGCTCTCCACTGCCTTTCGGAATTGTGCCCAGGGTACACCACAGACATATCCACGTCGGCGCCAGGGTTCAGCAGTTGCTTTCGCTTCATTTTGCGGCGACTCAAGCTCCTTGTCCAACCACGTGGTGACCTGCTCGCAACGGTCCACCCACTTATCCCAGTTCTTGAAAATGACCGGGCCCCCTTCTCGCTCCTCTTCCAGCAGTTCGATTCCATCGTGCAACTCTCGCATCCGCTTCGCGATCTGCTTGGCGGTATCTGGCAGTCGAAGCTCGCGGGACGTGAGAGGCCGAGCTTCAAAGTACTCCTCAAACCGACCGTTCAAGAATGTGCCGAGCACTCTTGGCCCGATATTCTTACGGCCCAAGCGGCGGAGGATCTGCAGTTCCTTCTCACGATCAATCAAATGGTCCACTTGAGGCCCGTAGATTCGGAGCAACAGCTTTGGTGGAGGCCTGCGCGGAATGGATGTCGAGGACCCCTCGGTGGTGGATTTGGTCGATAGAGGCAACTGCTTTGGCGGCTCGACAACGTAAACCGCATTGGTCAAGGCACCGCTTAGGCGGATCACTTTGATGTCTCCAGCTGCCTCCATAGATACTCTGCGCCAACCGCGAAGTTGCATGGTATGCGCAATGCGCACGATATCTCGTTTGAACGTCAACCAGGCCTCCTGGTCTTTCAAGCGTCTTGAGCTCGAGCTGCTTTCTATGCTCTCCTCTTCGGCGGCGCCTCCGGTGTAAGCGAGCGTCTTGGAATTATCAAGAATAGCTTCTACACTGGGTACGGGGGCCTCGACATCGGTGAATTCAGACTCGGACGCAGAACCGCGTCGAAGTCCCTTGAGACGCCGTCGGCCTGTTCGCTTGACGGGCAGCAGAGACGACAGACTGTCTTTCTTGTGAGTACCTGAATACTGAAGGAGGATCTTTTCTAGCTTGTCCAAAGAGAAGGTACTTTCGGAGCAACGTGGAGATTCTTCCATGGAGGTCTCTTCCGAGTCACGAGCCGTATCTGTGCCAGTGACGCCGGCCTCGGCGGCTGCTTCGGCTCGCCGAGCCTTACGATTTCTGCGTCTGATCTTTTCATGTTCCAGCCATTCTGAGACCTGATGGAATAGATTCAGATGCTCCTCCTCTTCCTTGGGGGCTTGCTCGGATCGGTTCGTCAGGTGGCTGTCATTTTTGACACTAGACTGACTGCTCAGACCCGAAGCCACCGATTGCAATGGTTGAATCGGGGGCCTTGCAGTCACTTTAGCCACCGGGGCTCGGTACTGTTTCACACTTGGTCCCTCTGGCGGGGTGCCCGGGCTCGCCTCACCTCCTTGCAGGACTTTGCGGACCGAAGGAATGTTCAAGCCAGTCCCCGAAATGGGTTGAATTTCTACAGAGCAAGAGTCAGACGACGGGGCATACAGATCTTACTGACAGGTCAGAAAGACAAAGAAGAAAGCAGAGAGGTGTATATGGGACATGGAGAATAGCGCGCAGGTAGGTGTTTCACTGGGCCTCCCATAACTTGACGTAATACACAACATGGAAGAAGTAGACGAGAACAAAGCAATCGCGGTCGAGTGCCACTTAGAATGAGAACCTCGTCGGCGACCAGCGCTAGACTGGACTTGCAGGGTCTCGAAAGTCAAGTCATGCATTCAGGGGGATTGTCAAGGATTAAGCTTACCCGCTCTTTCGGGGCCAGGACCACCGGGATCCTCCGAGAAGGACGGCATGTGCCTTGCTTCCTAGAATGCGTAGACAGGCAGATCTCCAGGAAAGTGGAAAGTATGTGGAGCACAGCCTCAGTATCGCCACAGATCCAGAAAACAGAATCAGGGGCAGAGTCGGAATTGCAGGGGAAAGACGGTCACTCAGATGCGAGAGAGTACTCGAATTTAAAAGAGTCGCGGAGAGCGGGGTGGGTTTTGAAGGCCCCCGAAACAGCACGGCGGATGGGCAAGCGAACGGAAGTGTTGTGCACGGCGCACGCAGCCTCAGTCTGCTGGGACCAGTCGACGTCAACAAGCGAGAGACCAGTGTTCAAAAAGGGTAAGCCATCAAGTGATGTCGAATTCGCCAGCGCCACAGACAAGCCTCTTTCCGGTCTGGATATGGGCAGTTGGGTGCGATACAGGGGTACACACGTTGGGGAGAGGGAGAGACGTGCACTTGAGCGTATCCCGAGTATCGGGAGCGGCTCAGGTGACCCAAGGTGGAGCCTGGCGGATCTGGCAGTCGAAAGGGCCGAGGTCGTGACTGGTCACCTGCTCCCCTAATCGATGCGCAAGGCAAGGCTTGGCCCGGGACTCAAAGGCAACGTGCAGCGCCCTCGGCAGGTGATAGGACTCCTCCGAGCGGTCTGTCAGTCTTGGGCGAGTCTGTTACCCACTCTGCAAAGGGAAAGGTCATCGCGCGAATCCGGTTCGGTACTTCTCAGTTCTCACTGCTCAGCCTCAGACCTGGCGTACTGACTGTACTACGACTGTACTTGTGACGCGGAACAGCAGGGGCAGAATCAGAGTACACGTGATGCGCACGTGATCCTTCTCCGAGCAGCTGAGAAGCTCCGCCCGCGATCTGTGATTCATAGCTACCAGGTACAACCCTTTCGAGTTGTGGGTATTGAATTTCCAAGTTTCACGTTCACCCTCATTCAGATGTTTTTCTTTCGAGATGAAAGTCCTGAAACACTTGGAAGATACTGTCTGAATATACCCCGCAGGTTTACTCTTCCTCAGTTATTCGTATGTTGATCAGAGGTCCACCACCCATGACATGATTATTGATTGAATGAGTCCGCACTTCCTTGCTAAGCGCCATGTCAGTCGCATGCTGGAGAGGATCTATTAGCAGCGTCTATGGCTCGGTCAAAGAAACACGGGATATCATATAGACAGAGACCAAATAGAGCCCGTTGACACTTCTGGACTGTGTAGTTTTGAAGTCTTTCGATAGCCCTTCCGCCCCTTCGGCTAGTTGCCACAGGGTGCCTCATATCACAGGCGATATACCAACTTAGTCTCCAGCCGAGGTGAGTCTGATTGTATGAAAGTTTCTTCCATCTGTGTTTGTTTTATATGGACCGACTGACCGATTGACCCACTGGCCTAGAGTGATGGTTGTAAGCGTTATCACCAAGACATAATCCAATACAGAATTGATTGAGTTTACCATACCCAATACCACGCCCTATCTCACTCCCAGACTGTCCGAGTTGGGTGCGGAGAAAGGATAGCATGGCCTTTTGTAGAGGCTCATCTTCCTGCAGCTTATGTCTTGGGCTACTATCTGTCTCGAACTGGGGACCTCTGATCGTGGGTCTTGAAACTGCAAAGGTTTCAGGTCATGGGCCGCATATGTGCGATTCCAATGACGCAAGCATTTTCCGAAAGCTAGTCTTTCTCGCCTGCTCATGTTAGAGCGGGAGAGGACTGCCCTTTTAAGTAGCCTTGCACCACATGGAAAGACATGATAGCCGAGGTTTTAAATGCGGTCGTTCTGAACCGCGAACTTGAAGGTATTTTCGAACTTCGGGAGTACTGTAGTGAGGAACTAGTGGTTCTCCGGATATCTGATTGGGCACGGTTTGGCGGTTCGAAATCGCGGCGCCACAAGCCATGAGTTACTTCAGCTTTTCGGACGTCAAAGCTCGTTACTAAGTTAATTAGAAGGCAGGTGAGGTGATTCGCCAAATCCTAGGAAGACCGTGTCTTAAGTAAAAGAAGGGAAGCATTAAATGTCCTGTTGATATTCTATACAGTTGTACAGTACCTAGACACGCTCATCACTCTTCAGCGTCAGGCATATCCATTAAGTCTCCAAAACAAGGTATCTATTCTCGTCCTGACGGCAAGTAAAAGAAATCGTGTTACATGATAACTTTGTGATGATTGTAAGGCGACATGCGGTGAAGAACATAAAATCTTTAGCTCTACATGACTAGATGAAGAGTGTAAAATTCCATTGCCTCGTCCTGTCTTTTATCTAGCATCAAATGGCCACAGTTTGTCCGCTTTTGCTACTGTCAGACCCTCGCCGCGAGATTCGGATTCCCTGGCTGTCTGTATCCATTCTTCATACGCTGCGCGATGGGCATCTCTCGCAACGTCCCATTTATCATTCGGAACCCACCCGTCCGAGTTCGTATGGAGGGAGCGTTTAAGCCATAATTTAAGTTTTTGGAAGGTCTCGAAATCTTCATAGTCTCGAGCGTGCTCTTTCACCTCCATTTCGGTGGGAGAAAATGGGCAAGCTCCCTGTAGGTCCAGTTCTGTCCAGCGAGCTGCAAGCTCAATTAATTCTCGGTGGACTGCTGCGGCACTGTCCCGCCATGTGGTGTGACAGTATTGGAAGAGTCGAAACAAAGACGGGTCAAGTAATCTTGCAGGGCGTAACTTGGGTGCAAGTCCCTTCATGCACACGTCGTATGTCTGATAGCAGATCGATGCATCTTTCCACTCTCGTTCCTTGCAGCCGGGAGGCTTTTGTTCAGATTGTCCGCTCTCGAACATGTCTTCGCCAGGTTCCTCAGGAAGAGCAGCGAAATCAGGCGTCTGGTTGGCATAAATAAATGCAGGCTCAATGCATGTTGACTGCCAGTCAATAAGGCCAGTTATGAGAGTTGGTTCCTCGGCTGACACAAAGATATTCCTCATGTGAAAATCGGGATGAAGCAGAGTTGGGGTAGCAGCGTCCTGAATGCGTTTATCTTCAACCAACTTCTGCATCACTTCTTGGCTGATTTTCAACAAACGGATGTGATCTTGAACTGACCCTTGATGAGGAAGAAGCTTATGAGAAGTGTCCTCCTTCGGTAGACGTGAGAAGCCGGTCTCTATCAAGCCTAGACAATAGCTTGTAAGGTCTTTCCCTAATTCCGACTTTGCGTTAGTACTGTTGTGGAAGAGAGGATAGAGTATCTAAACTAACAGGGACCGCAATTGGGACTTGGACCACCGTAGAGTTCGAGATCCGCCGGGTTCCGGTTCCAGAAAATCGGACTGTAATTCGGTCCAATACAGAAGCCCCGTTCGAAGGGAATCTTCACGTTCGTGTCAATCGGCGCGTCTGAGAAGTATAGACTACCATAGGCCGGGAAGTCCAGGGATGCCATCTTTTTCATTTCCAATGAAAGCATCTTTGTGCACAGCATATGTTGTTCTGAGTTCATTTTGGGCCATATCTGGTGCAGCTGAACACCTATTACATGCTCCTGGATGATATACTCTGAGCCAATTGGATTTGACGGATCATCGTTCCAGTCCAGGACTTTTGGTATCGGAAGGGAGACCTTGGTTTGTACTATATGAAACAGAAATTAGTGAGCACTGAAGCTGAATCTTCAAGGGTCAGGATATACAGATCAGGCTTACAGTATGTCATCGTCGTGACTTCCGAGTTAGTCGTTAATTTTGGTGGGCCAGCAATCCTGGTCGAGGGGGTATTTCAGGCTTTGCTGAGTTAAAGCTAAAAGTTAATAATGATTTCTAATAAAAGAACTATAAATATAGCCCAATTACCCTTAACTTTTATAGTTGAATTGTCAATGAACATCGGTTTTTGAATCACGCATCTTCCTAGCCATCACAGTATTCCAGTGCCATATATCATTATCTAGCACACCCGATACTCATTCACTGGCCTACTTATTTTAACGTGCGTTCCGTTTCTCGAGAATTGAACGGATATACACTGACATACTCAGACTCATTCCCTCATTATATCTCGCAAAAGTCAGGAAGAATTACGATGTTGCAAAAAAACTGGGTACAACATTCACCTCGGGCAGCCGCATCCTTCCATCGCAGACGACCAAAAATGACGCAGATTACCAGCTACGTCTCGATGCTAGTGAACTGATCGACAAAAGATACCAAAATATTGCTTTGCAGGTTAACTCGCAGGCCAAAAACACGGGTTTACGAGAATGGGTCAAAAACAGCCCCAGGGCACGCATGCGAAACTAGCTACAGCTCGCTTTGACACACTTACTGTTAGAGTCGGGATCGCAGGGCGACTAGGACTGTTGACTAGGCAAAGGATTGAAGTCTAGGGGGCTCAAATTCAAAGACTGAATCTTGAAGGTCGGAGTTCTTCCTGCCTTCTGCGATTATTGTACATGTGTCCCCCACGTCCAGGGCCCGCATCCTTAGGGCTACAACCCGGTGGATTCGTTGGCGTTCCGCACGTGATTCATCCGTGGCCGCGCCTTGGCAGGTCGCGCCGTGACACTTACTGAAGACCAGGACGCTAAAACAGAAAGGGTCCTAAGTGAACTACAAGAGCAGGCTAGGAAAAACCTGTAAATAAGGGTTTATGAATACTATGGTTCAGGAATGAAATCAATTCTCAAGTAGTCAGCTTGGAGAGGGCGGATATAGTATCGGTACAGCGCGTGAGAAATATTGAGTCTGGTTTCTTTCCTCAAAACATCCGCTTAAATAGTCACATTATAAGGGTTTTGGCTAAATGAATAGGGGGGGGCTCAGGAATGCTATGACTGGTCATTTGATGGTTAGTTATACCGTGAGTGTAAAGTTCTTATGAGATCCAGAGGGTAGATGGGACATGGTTCTTCTAAGTATGGCTACGGACGTGACTATGTACATACGGAGGACCAAGGGTCCTCACGTGACCGACCGGAGCCGTACGGTGAGGTTATGGCTCATCTGGCTCTGGTCATCGCGAAAAGGAAGGGTTAGGGTGCCTAAGGCAGCTACAGGCCCGGGATCACACTTATTTTGGTTGTGGTTTCCGACTGCGAAATTCTCCTACCGTATGGCTTCCTCCCTCTCTGTTTTGCCTCTTCAATATCTTAGAGATAAATGTGGTAGTAATTTGTGCCGCTATAGGAAAATATCTACAGCCAGCAGAAATTCACACTCCTATCGGGGGACTACTCACATCGCTGATAAGGCCCACGGCTCGTGGGTTCGCAGTTTTAAACCGCCGAGTAACCGTATCCAATCAGCCGTACGGAGAACCATAAGTTCCCCGCTATCCTGTGGTCGAGGGGCTAGTCATTGGATGACAGGCTAGGCACGCGATGAGCGGAGGAAATGGGTTATAGGGTCATAGGGGTTTACGTCGACCCTGTGAGTAATTTTTTGTTGAAGACTTAGGTGTTGCGGACTTGGATTTCTTCCGCAGAAGAAATCAGTATCAGAAGGAAGACGCCAGTACCACGCACACCACCCTAAAACTTAGGATACCACTGTAGCTTCTTCTTCTTCTTCTTCTTTCTCCTCTCTAGCTCTTGAGATTCTTGATACCACGCAGTCAAGTCGAATGAATAGTTTCTGAGTCCTTCTAAAACTTTTCTTAAACTGGCGTACAATAACTATTTTCTTCTGGTTTCGAAGCTTATAGGGGCGTAGTAATCGTACGGTCCTCTTCCTACGAGCTCGTTATCTTTAGGGTCTACCTAACTTAAAAATATCCCCAAAAGATCTAGTTTACCGTTCCCTTCCGTTCCCTACTAGTAGTAAAAAATTGCTCGTAGGGTCGACGTAAACCCCTGTGACCCTACAACCTATATACTCGACTTGGACAATCATCTTGAGGAGGTAGTTAAGTTAACTACCTGTTAGTATTGTAGTGTAGTACTACTACACTCGCTTCCGGTACTTTGACAAGGTCAAGTCAAGATTGTGATGAAGAAGTATGACTCACCGGAACTCCAGTCGCCTACAAAAACGGATGAAATTTAGACTCGGCAGGTGTGCACTGGTGCTGTATGTCTCGCTCATGTCTGAGGCAGTGAGTTGGCTTTCACTTCGAGTATACTCCCGGTACGAGTCCCCTGACTAACGCCTTGGACCGCTTCCTCCTGCCTTAGGTATAACCTCTTCCTAGTTCCCAGATCTTGACTGGTCAAAAAGTTTGAAGTAGCTCATTCAAGACTGATAGGAGTAGATGCACGCTCCCTTTGAAATTAGCCTGCCGGGAATAGAGTATAGGGTAGGGGGTTCTGCAGTGTGAGTGTCTAATGCACGTTATACAAACTACTATGGACTCAGCTGACCCTCCACGGCCATTCCGCTGCCAACCTTCCAGTGGTAACCAGGCTGGGCGGACAGCCGAGGAGCCGAGCATTGGCATGGCCCATGTCTGTCACAGATAGAGGAGGTTCTTCCCATGGAGACAGCTTTCCACTCACCCTGGAAATAGACTCCACGCATGCTGGGGAAGACTTGTACGGGCCGAGAAAGATGTACATCTGTCGTGTCCAGATCGTGACCTCGCAACTTGCTGACCCTCGGTGACAGATACAACAATCCCCGTCTATCCATCGTCTATCCCACAGCCGCCGTCCGAAACAATGACAATGTCTGGCTTTTCAGACTATCTATCCCCAGATCACTGTGAACGTGGACTGCTCGATTGCCCAAGGACTCCACTTCCATGCACTTCTCAACGCTCCACAGTCTTGACTGGCCCCATGTGAGACAAAACGTCATCGGGGATTTGCAGATCCTCCCGATCCTCATCCACACAGCCGCAGCACGCCCGACCTCCGAAAGTCCGCCTCTCGCCTCAACCTTCACTTACCGCCATCTCCGGCACCAACAATAAATCGAGTCTCAAGACACATATGAGGAGTTGAGACATTGTCTCAAGACGAGCTCGGCAGAGATGTCATGAGTGGGGTCGGTGCGGTTCTTGTTATTATTATTAGTGCGTGTTGTGGCTATGTCTTGGCTGGGGAAGTGTACTTCATCGTGTGTCTGTCAAGAGTAGGATCGTCTCTCGACCAGATAAGAAGGACTGACATTACCGTGAATCCATCGTGAAGACACCGGACCGCTACTCATAAGAAGCAATCACATCTGCGCTTGAGCATTTCAGATTCATTTCCACCCTCAACCGCAATCATCACCAACAAGCCTACAACATGAGGTTCCCTACCGCAGTCACTGCCGGTCTCTTGGCCACTGGAGTCACAGCCTTTGACAAGTACCAACGTATGTTCCAACAAAGGCCTCTCCCCCCTCGAGATTCTCCTCTACTCCCCCTCGTCGGTGTAATATTTACATTGAAGATTACTTATACAATAATACCCCGTCGCCCTGGGTCGATACATCCCCAATCAAATTGAGAAAAGACCGAGCAACACTAACTCTGACCCACAGCCTGGGGCAAACGCGACTACTCCTGCATCAACGTCTACCAAGGCATCCCCGAGAACGCAACCGTGACGGCCGGTCAAGAAATCGAACTGCGTTGGAACCGCGAGCCCACCACTCACTGCACCAACCCGCTCGCTGAGTACCCGGCCAGCAACTACTCCATCTGGCTGTGGAACAACCCCCAACGAGTGCCCAACTCGATCCACGACGACGCACAGGTGAAGGTTGTCAACAACATCCCGGCCTCGGCGAACAAGGTGTCGATTCAGATTCCGACCGATTTGCCCAAGGTGAAGGATGAGTCGGTTTGGTATTTAAGGCTGGATACTACCTTGGCCACTGCGCCTCAGGTGAGTTTGATTGCGTTCCCTAGGGAACTTCCCTTGGAAGATGATGTCTGCGTGTGCTTTTTGTACTGCGTCGCATTGACAGAACGTGACCCATTTCTTCTGGAGAGAAAAGGAAGAAGACGTGGTAGCAGTATCTGCCCTGTTCGAAACTAACTAACATCCATGACTCACCTCATCCATACAGATGCCTTCTATTTTCAGCGCAGCCGGCCCATTCACCATTACCACTGAGAAGGCCTAAATGAACCCTGGCAATTCATCTCTCAAGTGGTTTGATTCCAAGACCACTCCCCTTCTTTTCTATCCATTGCATATAGTACGACAATACTATCCGTTTGATTCGAGACTCTGTATGCCATTATTGCCATGCCCCCTACCAGTATCGTCCCCATGTCACGATTACCCTACCGTACCATCACAACTTTTGCTCCGGCACATTACGCACCCCAGCAATACACTCAATCTCTACATCCGTGCCCATGGGCAACTCCTTGACACAGACGCACGTACGAGCCTAGCCAAACGCCCCCATAGCCAAGTTAGCCCCATAGCCCTAAGACACACCAGGAACCACCCGCAATCCCTCTGCAAGAGAACATACCGGCATTGGAGCACTAAAAAAGGTCATGTATACTTCGTTCACGGCCCCGAAATCACTCATACTCGTCAAAAAGATATTACACTTGACCACGTTCCGCAGACTGGTGCCCGCGGACTCGAGGACCGCGCTCAAATTGGACATGATTTGTGTCTTGAAGAGTGATCAAGTCGTGTTAGGAACGAAGGGACTTAATACCGCGGGGGTCTTTGAGCCCAATACTCCCAATGATCACTTAGAAGCGATGGGAATCAACGGTCTTACCGTTCGATCTTGGATCGAGCCCTGCACCAAAGTGCCTGTCTTGGGATCGCTGCCGATCTGACCGGAGCAAAAGACGTAGTCGCCCATGACGATCGCTTGGGAGAGAAAGGGCGGTGGGGCCGGGGCGTGGGGGGACTTGACGGCGGTTTTGGGGATGGACATTTTGTGGTTGATTCGCGGCCGAAGGCACGGTTTGATGAAGGATTCGCGCGAGGGGTGAATGATTAGGTAGGTTTCGGGGTGTTGGGAAAATTGGCGGAAGACAATTGACTGATCAAGTCCGAGTGAAGGTGTTGACCTGTTGTTCGTGGATGAGAGAGAGAGAGAGAGAGAGAGAGAGAGAGAGAGAGAGAGATCGCTGAAGTGGCAGGGTCCTTTGTTTTCTTTCGGGTTGGGTCCCCCGCACTTTCGTAACCCCCGCACGCTTGTCGGCGAGATCAAAGACGCCGAAAAGGTACCATTTTTGATGTCGATAAACGACTACCCCAATTCTAGGTATTCAATTACCTGTCATACACAGTAACAAGATCAAGACGCCCCGATCATCCCCGTCTCGTCGACCGACTGATATCGAGAACCCTCTCCATCAGGTCCCGATTAGCCGGACAATCAATCTGCAGCTCCCTGGCTCGTCGCAAAATCCACCCATTGATGTACTCAATCTCCGTCATGCGACCCTTTCTGATATCCTCCCGCATACTACTCGAATTTCGCGCCGTCTGTTCGATCGTGTCCATGGTCAGACGTTCCAGCGCCGACGCAGAAAAGCGGCTCTTCTGGTCATCGGGTAATTCTCGAATACCGGGCAGCCGTTGCAACACAAGAGAGACTTCTTCGAGGACGTTTTGTAAGAGAGGACGCATGTCCAGGTTGGATTTGATCTCTCCGTTGCGAACATCATAGATTGCGGTCAGAGGATTGAGTACGCAGTTCGCCGCCAGTTTGAACAGTTGGTTCTCGTAGAGCTCTTTCCATTCCAAGTGTTCGCAGCGTAAGATCGGAGATCGCAGAAGAACATCCAATAATTCGCGGGGACTACCCGGTCCCCGACACTCATCCTGTCGAGAAGAACGACACGCCTCTCCATCCTCATCCATGATCCCAATCGACGCGCTCCCGCTCAACCCAGACAAAACCGCCTCCGTCGACGATCGCAAATACACCCCATGCCGCATGATCCCAAACATATACGTCGGCCGACTCTTGCGATCCGGAAACATGCAAGAGTTCAAATCCTCCACTTGGCCCATCCCATTCTGAAACAAACATATATTCGTGGTCGGACCCAGTCGATGCTGGATCGGCTTCAACGCCGCGACTGTCGCGCTCGCTTTGACCGCGACGATGAGGTTTTGAATTGGCTCGCGCGACGTTGTGGCGGGGACAAGTTCTGCGCCGAACCCGCCGCGCTTCTGGAGCGGGCCGTCCTCGCCGACGCGCAGTCCCAGGGTCCAGTGGGCCTGGGCGAGCTCGTCGTATAGAGTCTTGCGGTGAATGAGGAGGTTCACGGGCGGCGGGCTGGGTAGACTTCGGAGACAGTGAGCGATCAGGGACCCGATGCTGCCGAGCCCGAGGATGTGGACGGTCTGCGCGGGATTGGACATGATGGGGCCAACGTTGGCAGTGGGCAGCTCGATTGTGTCCCCTTGATGTGCATATATTGGGCGACTCAGGTGGCTTGTCATGTCACCGTTCGCATGGTGTTTTCTCTGCGTCTCCTGATGCTGAGCTAGCTAGCTCATTAGGATTTCCAGTGCCGCGGGGGAGCTGGTGTGGGGAAAGGGTTCGCGGCGGGAGCAGATCCGTTGCCCGGAGGCTGGTGGGATCCATTTCCGTCCCCGCCCGGTGAGACTTCCCCCGAGCTTTACTGAATGCATTGAGCCTGCAGGAGGATCATAGTATCGAAGGCAGAAATGACAGCCACTACGAGAGCTCACTGTTATCACCGGGTAGACGAGCTCGATATCTCGTTCCAAAGTACATTTCTCATGATCATAAGTCATATTCAGATAAGCGATCAGTTACAGCTGGCCGAGCAATATGATCCAATCCGCAAGATACCACATCAACTCCTGCAAGCCATATACAGCCTTGTGATCTTCAGACCAAAGCTCTTCGCTTCGTGCAAATGTCCATTTGGTTTCAGCAATGGTCAATGAGCGTCAAGAGACAAAGACGACACTGTCGGCTCCTCTGCCTCTCTCCCTCAATCCCGGTAGCTCACACTGAAAATCTTAAAACCAACCTCGGGCGTTTGGCTTTGTGTGGCAATTTGGAGCTGACCCCGATGGTCCACATCAAGGAGCTGATTCCCTTGTGCATAATTGACTGCGTAGCCACGACCGTTACCCAAGAAACTGATGCGTACGGGCGCCGCCTGAGACGCCTGATCCTTGGGAAGCAAGGCACCACGGGGTCCCAACCAGCGGCCGTCCAAAGCGCTGGAGATAGTGAAGACCTCACTTTCCTCGTCTTCGGTGTAGTGGATCACCCAGCGTTGGTTCTTGGATTCGTGATTCTTGGTTGCAGAGCTCACGGTGACAGAATCACGATTGCCCGAGTTGGTCAGTGCATATCCACCCTTCTCAGCGACGAGGTATCGACCCTCGGTGAGATACCCAACGACCTCCTTGTAACCCTCCTCGAACCAGAGAGCATTCGTGGAGTCATGCTGTTCCCCGTAGGGAACGGGGGTCGTGGCTCGCGGTACTTGGCTTGGCATTGGGCGGAGCCAACGTAATCACCGTTGCCATTGGTAGCGGGTGTTTCGGCGTCGGGCAGATTTGGAAGGGAATAGTCAGGCTGGATCCAGCTTGCGTCAGTGTATACTAATGGGAAGGAGGAGAGGCAGTCGAGTGAGGAAATGATGGAAGAGCTCGACTTACGTTATCCAGGTCCAAGGCATTCACCAAATTGGACATGTGGGCACGGCGCCACGGAACCATCTGATTCGTCTGGATGCCCGTGTAGCCTCGTGCCGTGAGCCACTGCTCGACGAAAAGAATCTGAGAGTTGTGGTCGGCCCGTTCAGTGAAGACACGGCTACCACGAGTCCAGGGAGAGATCATGTAGAAGGGCACTCGGAAGCCTGGAAGACAAGGAGGGTTAAAGATGACCTCTGAGTGGTTTTTATTCATGGAGTGTTGTATAGCTTACCAGGTCCCACAAAGATATCGCCAAACAGACCCAACGGGTCCGTCATCCATTCGCCAGGGGTACCCTTGGGAGAGTGGAAGGGGGCAACGTGATCACCAAATCCGCCAGTCTCTGTAGTATTTCCGCCGCGATTAGCTTCTCTCCCCTCTATTCCGGATCTGAAAACAAAAGACGATGTAAATCAACAACACAAGATACTTACCATCGTAACTGATCATCAGTAGAGTCGATTTATACTTGGGACTGTTGATAACTGCATTGACCACCTGCTTCTGCAACCAGGCACCATCCTTTGGCTGGTAGGGCGGGTGCTCTGACAGCTCGGCGGGCCCAACAATGAAGCTGACCTCGGGGAGCGAGCCGTTGGCCGCCGCCGCGTAAAAGGCATCGAGACCGACAAAGGACATTCCCTTCTTTGCGAGAGGAGAGTTCTTGTCTGCCGTTTGGAACTGGTCAAACCAGGCCAGTGGGTTGTCATCAAAGTTATTGGAGTCCTGATACAGCTGCCATGATACTCCAGCTTCTTCATAGAATTCGTATACTGTCTTCCACTTGAGGGGATAGCAGTTAATACCACGGCCGTCGCAGCCTAGGTTGATTCACATCAGTACTTGACACGTCGCAGATTGACGGGACAGCAGCGTGCATACCTGGCATCTCATTATTATCAAGATATACGCCGCCTTCGTTGGAACTTTGGGGACTGCCAGGCACATTGACAGACCCACTGACGAGAGTCACTCGGTTGGGGTTGGTCGACGTGATTTGTGCTTCCTACCCCGTCGTCAGCGTGTGCTTGCAAGACATTCCGGCTTGGACAGCCAAACGAAGCCACCGCTGCCATGTGTCGCTGGGCTCAGGAGAATGGAGAGAGCCTTTCGAAACATCCCGGGGTGATGACCGGTCTTACCTGGTACATGTCTCCGGCGGTCCACCCCTCGGCAATGGCAAACTGGACTGGAATGTCATCCCGTTTCAAGTAGCCCCAGCTCCAAGGGGTATTATTGCGGGCCCAGTGGTTGTTCAACCCATGATTCAAGGCCGCTTGGTTATCTTGGTACCCATTGTCACCGGCCGCCATACACTGAATGGCATCTCTCGAGCTGCCTCCCTGATATCCGAGATACCACGGCAGGAGAGATTTGGTGGCAGTGGACATGCTCGGGTCCACGACCTGATTCCAGACGGATTGACCATCGGCATTTACTTGCACATTGGGGTCGTTGAAGCCCCGGACACCTGCCATGGTTCCAAAGTAGGTGTCCCAGGCGCGATTCTCTTGCATGAAGATGATGACATGTTCAATGTCTCGCAAAGAGCCTGCCAGTGCGGGGGCAGCCCCCCAGAGCACCGCCAGGGCTGCTGTTCCGAACAGCATCGTCATATTGAGCCAAGGCACAGTCGCAACTGTGCTTTAGTGGCCGTTTGTCTGGGATCGCGGAGAGAATCGAAGAGGGGGAAAGAAGAATGAAACACGACAGTCACTATGCTTCCACCACGAACCGGGAATCAACGTCTTATTTCAATCAATCTTTCTTCAGTCCCTCCGCGACGATCGGGATATGCCGCTGAGCACGATGACAGGTCGAACAGAACCAACCGATTTCCACAAACGCGGCAACGCAGCCCAGCTTGAACTCAACAGCAGCGCCGATCTTCACGGCCAAAACACTGCAGCTTTCGAGGCCAGATGAGATCAGATGTAGGCATCACATTCCACAGATGGCTTCTCCCTTGAGTCCAATCTTGGCTGCGGGGAGCCCCACGTGAGGGGGATGTTGGATGCTCATGACACCGACCGAATTGGAGCTAGTGGGTCTGATGAGCATGGCTCTGACGGTGCGTCGAAGCGGGTGGGAGCAAGGATGCCATCTCTTGTGGATTTTGATTTTTCTTTTTTTTTTTTTTTTTTTTTTTTTTTTAATCTCTCTCTCCGAGTTGGAGTCAGTACTCAGTAGTAGTCATGGTTGCAAGATGCAAGTTGCAGCATGCCGGATGTAGTAGAGGATGCCAGTCAGGGGCGCAGGGCCACAGTCGAGACGCGGTTGAGCGATGTGGAGCACCCACTGCCGGGGGTTGGGCCGGCCCTGAAAAAGCGGGGAAGGGGTACCAAGGAGGGGTCCGGGAACTTCAATTTGAAGTGGAATCTGCGGGCTGCTTGCATGTACTCAGTACTCGCCCACTACTTGAGAAAATGAGAGTTGCGAGCAGCACCCGACTCCAGGGGGCACTCTCATCTTTGTAAATACTGTAAGTGACGACTAGTTAGCACAATAAGTACGAGTGATTTAGTATGACTACCTTAGGTATGCCGTGACTTCTGTTACAATGTCTCTTTCAAACTCTACTACGAGAGTGATCAGTAGATAGAGGTAGGACTGACTTAGATTCTGGTATCTACATCTCACCATGACTAGTACTACCTCAGGGCCCGGTCAAGGCCGATAAGAGATCAACTAAGGACATCTCTTGCTTCATATATTGCAACGGTCCCTTCCAGGCTTCCACTAATCCCGTCGGGGGTTACCAAACAAGCCGTTGATCTGCATCCTCAATTCTCCACCTCTCATTCTAGACCCACGCCGTGGCCGCAATGCGCGAATCTCTCCACTTGCATCCGCCACTGCGATGGAGCTAAACGTATTTAGGGCTGCCGTGATCCATTCGAGGGCCACCAACGCCAGGCACGTGGAGAGCCTGGAGATCGTGACTGCTCCCCTCAACATCCCTGGCGGTCGGCACACCACCCGTCATCAAGACGGCCTTGGCGCCACCGTCGATCGCACGGTGAAAAGGGAGCTAGCTTCGCTTCGGAGGTACGACTCGGTCGTGCTCGTTCATTTCCAAGCATCACCCTATCCGCAACGCTCAGTGCGACGCAACCGACTGCAGCGTTGACCGGGAGGGGCGAAGAGAGTGAGAACGGGTAGCATTTTGAGAGATTCGCTGACCAGTTGGGCGGCACCGTATGCTGTTGACAGCATACACGAACCATCAGAGATCAGACGCATCTGAGTCTATCGATGCGATTCCCGAGTCACTCATCATCCCTGCGATTGATCGAGGGTTGAGCGAACATGGAGCGGCAGCATAGTCGCCGGCGCAGGTTACACCACCATGAGGAGGCAAGCTTTCGAAAGCCCGTCACACCACCTCGGCTGGCTCGGCCTATACAGTCATGGTTCCTGATGGGGACTCTTGTCGCGTGCCTCTGGGTCATGGCCATGTACGTCTATGGAATCAATTTCCATACCCCTTGGTCGAGACTGAGCATCCCCGTTCACACGCATACCGCACACGATCCCTCGGTGAAAGATCGTCCTCGCATCGAGCTTCATCCTGAAGACCATGTGTATCGTGAACCAGTCACACGCCACCTGGACTGGCGGATATCCAAGGATGATCGAAGACCCGACGGTGTGTTGAAACACATCTATCTGATCAATGGTAGGCAGCATGAGTCGATGCATCTCAAGGACGCTTGCGTCGTTACTCCAGAGGACCTTGCAAGCGCATTCGATCAGATGGATCTAACGATCATACTCGAGTAGACCTCTTCCCGGGCCCAACTATCGAGGCTCGCTCGGGCGATACGCTACTCATTACTGTGACTAATGCCGTCGAAGACGAGTCCATTGCTCTCCACTGGCATGGAATCCATATTGCCAGTAAGATTCTTCATCTAAATTGTGCCTATCACAACTACATATCATTGAGCTTGTGTGATTGACCATGTTCAGATGCCATGGATGGCGCAGTGGGCATCTCGCAGTGCCCCGTCGTTCCCGGTGCATCATTCGTGTACAATGTCACCATTCCTGTCGATCAAAGTGGAACCTTCTGGTATCATGCTCATGCGGGTGTTTCCCGTGGCGACGGCCTATACGGTGGGCTAGTGGTGCATGCACCAGCGGCGAGAACTACCGTCCGAGGTCTTTTGACTGGTGCCCGAAGGGACCAGGAGCGCTTTCGATACGACCGGGAGCTGCTACTCCTTATCGGAGACTGGTATCACAGGCCTGCACACGATGTATTGGCTTGGTATAAGACACCTGGAAATTTCGGCAACGAGGTGAGTGGTGTGCCAGAGCTAATATTCGTCCGTCTCTGAAGCAAGCGCTGATGTCTTGTATTTTTTCTCTTTCCAAAGCCTGTCCCAGACTCGCTGTTGATCAATGGCGTCGGTCATTTTGATTGTGGCATGGCAGTTCCAGCTCGACCTCTGGATTGCATCTTGCAGACGGCTGATACCTCTTTCCTGGATGTCGATCCAGATGTCACGTATCGTGTCCGTGTGGTGAACACTGGGTATTATCGAGAACAAGAATACCCAGAAGATACACTTGTCGCTAATATGCGATCTATAGCGCACTAGCTGGATTATCACTCGTCTTTGGCCAGGAGAATATCGACCTGATCCAGGTGGACAGTATAGACGTGCAGCAACCTCCACTGCAGAAAGTCAACTCAGCAGGCGTTCTCTTCCCCGGCCAGCGCATGGACTTTATCCTCCACTCGGCTTCTCATTCGAATTCGTCATCTGCCATGACGGTCAAGCTCGACGAAGGGTGAGAATTACCCTTAAATCCCCTTTCACCTCACAAAAGCTCAATTATTTACTCGGAAAAAAAAAAGATGCTTCAAATACATCAACCCTGCACTGACACCCGAGCAAACATTCCCTATCCGCTATCGCCCAAGCACTGCCCTCGACAACAGCGCGACCCAAACACCTGTAATCCGAAGGTCCATCCATCTGGACCAAGTCCCATCCGCACCGTCAATACTCCAACATCTACCCGCAAAGGCCCAGCAGACTCACGTTGTTTATACCAAGATACAAAAACTGGCTCGTAACCATAATATCCCCGAGGGCTATTTCAACCAGACCACATGGCAGCCTCAGAGTGAGCCGCCGATTCCGTTGATAGGCCTGCCTCGCGAGCAGTGGGACTCTAACCAGTTTGCCTTTTCCACGGGGTCGGAAGCTCTCTGGGTGGATCTTGTCGTGAACAATCTCGATGAGGGTCCGCACCCATTCCATTTGGTAAGTCGATATCCACGTAAAATGTTCCCTTCCATTCAAAAGAAGCAATCAGCAATCCCTCTCATGTATACTTCTGCAAAAGGAAAACAAGCGTGAAACCCCCACCTCCTCCAAAAGGACCCAAACATCTAACATACTAACCCCACAATTCTCCTTATAGCACGGCCACCACTTCTACATCCTCACCGTCCAAGCCCCATCCTACGGTTGGGGCTCCTACAACCCCTTCACAACCCCCCTCCCACCAGGTCTCGAACCCGAACCCGATCTCGATCCCGCCACAGAAACCAACGACTCCACCGCCGAAGCACCACCCTACCAACCCTACGACCTGTCCCGCGCCTCGCTCCGAGATACAGTCCTCATCCCGAGTAGAGGGTACGCCGTCCTTCGATTCCGCGCCGAGAACCCGGGCGTGTGGCTGTTTCACTGCCATATTCTGTGGCATTTGGCGACGGGAATGGCCATGTTGGTGGATGTTATGGGGGATCCGGCGGGGCGAGTCGCGCATGATGTGGCTTTGCAGGGGATGGATGGTGAAAGGGGAAGATGTAGTATGATTTGATTTTGAAGGTCTTTGCTGTGGTTGATCAAGGTTGGGAGTCACTGTCTTTATTTTCAATGTCATTTCTTGTTAAGGGGCAGGGCGTACGGATTGGATTTGCTATAAGGGTTTAGTGGTAGCTAGAAGGGCCCGCGGAAATGATGATCCTGACCTTGATTCTATGGGAGGAAAGTGAGTGAGGTAAAGATATTTCGTTCAGCAAAGCCCAGTGATTGCCTCGAGTTCATGGCTCTTCCGTGTACGGCCGTAGAAGAGATCAATGATAATGATGATTTTGATAAAAGAAGAATACCATGTCACCGCGACGCCGATGCAAGACAAAAGGAAAAACCGAGCCTGATCAATCTAGTGGGCTAAGAACGCCAGTTACAAAGACAAGCATTGGCAGCTTGTCCCTGCTGTCCCCCCCCCCCCCCCCCCCCCCTAAACAAAAATAGAAACAGGAAAGACAAACCTCGTGCTCAAGACGAGAGAACGGTAAAAGAAGACCAGCTTCACGGAAACTGTGATAATACTTGTACAAAAAGTGGGTACGAAACAGATGTCTTAGCTCGCCCACTCGAGAACTTCCAGGGCACACATAACCAGGATGAGCGTGGAAGGTAGGATCCTGGAGAATTGTAAGTACGAGACCGACAGGATTGAGAACAGGGAGGGGATACATACCACACGACGTAGCTCTGGAAGAGTAACTTGGACATGGCGCCTACGTAAACATTGTTGATTTGGCAGATTTGCGCCAACTGCAGCGCCGAGGGAGCTCCCGTCAACAGGAAGCACACAACGATGAAGATCGGGTCGTCGAGAATGCTGACGGGCACAAACTTGGCAGTCAGAGCAAGAAGAGGCGCTATGATCAGGGTGGGTAAAAGCATGCGCGCGACCAGCGAAGCGATGATGAGCTTGCGCTCGGCACTGGGATGTTCAATGTCGGCCAGGTGTTCTTCCGAAAGAGTATTCCGAGCCAGGTTCGCGCCAAGAACGACAAGAATGAGAGGCACTGCAACCTTGGCATTCTGGTCGACGGCCCGGGTCACCGAGTTGCGCACGAAGCCCTCGTCGAAGAAGAGACTTTGCAGTGCGGGCACCGAGGCGACGATGATCGAAATCAACATGGCCCACAGAGGCGGGTTCATAAAGTCCCACAGGCCGTGAAGGAATCGAGTCACGCCGCGCGTCAGGGTGGAGAGAGTCTTCTGAACAGGCGTCGGCAGGCGTTTGTACACTACATTGGTCTGCTTGTCCCAGCCGCGGCGCATGCGATGGCCGAAACGGCGGAAAGAGGCCTTGCAGCGGTGTGCGAACGTTTTGTCTGCCAAATCGGGTTCGTGCGAACTGGCTTCTACGTCGGGAAACGAGAGAATGCCCGCACCGGTGTTCTGCCGAGGTAGGAAAGGTCCTCGCGGCGGAAGACCCAAGACGGGTCGTGTGGACTCCAAGTCCTCGTCATCACGATACTGGTCGGCCGAGTGTAGAGACGATCCTTTACTGTGAGGGTGGGCGCGCGTGGAGACCGGGGTCAGATCGCCAGAGTAGTCGAAGTGGTCGCTGTCCCTGGACGAGTGGTGCAGGTCATCGGAGCTGCGTGTGCGCACCAGGGGCTCGTCTGGATCGGTCTGGTCCGGGTTGTCGCTGTACCGCTCCCGGCCCTGCTCGATCCGAGTGTGGCCCGTCTCTTCCCGTTCAGCCTCCTCCAGGTACCGGTCCTTGGGTGCCAGTAAGACGTGATATCCCCAACTCCAGCGTACCAGTTGTCCCAGCTGCTGGAAGATCAGCAGATATAGAATACCTCGCGCCGCCACCTCTTCATCATTGTCGTTGGGAATGCGATCCCAATGTAAGCCGGAGAGGGTCTGTGACAGTGACATGACGAGGGAAATGGGCAGGGAGTTGGAATTTCCAAAGACCTAGAAGGCGCACCGATCAAACGCGTAATTAGTTCTCGTCCTTCATTTAATCCTTTGCCATCACCGCCGGGGCAGGGGGGAGAACGTACCGCCATCGCAGCCACAAAATTTGACTGCCGTTTTTCGAAATGGAAACATCGTGCCATCACAAAGGCACACAGATAGGAGACTGCAGTCTGGACGACAAAGATGACGGGAATGATTGCCAGATCCGCAAGGGTTTCGGCCGTCAATTGTGACCCCAGCTTGATAAAGACTACGCACCTTTGGATTAGCGACTGGTTCTGGCAAATGCCCATCGGAGGGTGGGGGGGGGGGGGGGTTCAAGTAGAAACAGAGGTGTTGCGATTGGCATACTCAGGCAAGGAGTGAACAAGGTCACATTGAGGTTGGCGACCAGCTTCTGGGCTTCCGCGTCGAACATGCCCTGACGGGCAGCAAAATAACCCGGCAGACTGACGCAGACGACTTCCAACACTGCCTCGAAGACGAGGAGCACGAGATGGAAGAATGGTGGATGTTGGGAATGATCATTCACAGTGAATGTGGCTGAGGACGTTTGGTTCACGGCCGTAGTCAAGGCGGCTGCCATCGGGTTCTGAGAGAAAAAGGCATTGTTTTGGACAGATCGGGGCAAGTTGAGAATGGCCATCGAAGTAATGCGATGGCGACCCGGGCGATCTTATGGCGGAAGAGGGTGTTGGAGTGGTGTGAAAGTCGGACGGAAGTTTCGACTAGGAGTGGTCGTGAGGGAGAACTAGCCGGGCCGGTGGCAGATGATGGGACAAGAAGTATAGGACCTCCAGTGGCAGTATATGGATATGTTGGGTTCACGGTTGATCAGGAGCAGCGGATAGTGAGAAAGCTTGATTGAGTCGATTGACCAAGTCTGGTTGGGGCGGGGGAGGCGAATTCAAGAGAAAAAGAAGACGAGGAAGCATCGCCGAGTGGGAGTGCCAACCACATGATGACGAGTCCCGGAGGCCTGGAAATGTACAAAATTGACCACTCGCTCGGACCATTTTGCGGTCCCGCTTGCCCTGACGTGCGGGTGTGGTCATCGCCATAATATGGCTGTACTTGGTTGACATGGTGTACACTGTACACTGTACACTGTACATTATACACTATACACTTAAGCAGTAGTAGCACTTGATTGATGTACCACTACTTCGTACTTACCTCTAGTCTTATCACTGCCGTAGTGCCGTGCGAGTCCTACGGTCGGTCGGCTGGTCGGCCGGCTAGACGCCCATCGGCTTATCAGCGCCCCGAGACCTTGCGCTCTTCTTGTCTTGCGACCATCAGTTGCACCGCCTCCTTGTCAACCCTGCACGCCAAGGAGATCATTGGGACTTGGATGGCTTTCGTGTCTGGTCTTTTGAATCTGCAATACATTTCGCGAGGATTGTATGTACTGACATATGACGTATTGCAGTACCTTGAGTACAATAGTATTTTGCTTGTACCGTACGTCTTCCGGGGCATAGACTTGACAATCACGTCCTAGGCTGTTTACCTGCAGTCGCGAACCCAAACAGGAACGAGACACGCAGCTTTTCCCAAAAAGAAAAAGAAGAAGAAGAAGAAAGGAAAAGGCCGACGCCGATCCGGTCGGCCTCAGCAGCCACCCAGTCCGCGGACACACCGATGTCTCGGATCGCCTGCAGCGCTACTTTGAAACCGCTCGAGGTCGGGGCCAGTCTGAGTCTTCAGGCTTCCTACCTGAGTCTACTACTGCTCCACACAAGTAGTTAGTACCTACTACCTAGTTAACTACTAACTAAGTAGTGAGTAGTTACCTCTTTGAAGAGATATAAGTGCATTGACCTTTCCACTCGACGATCTGCCTGTGTTGCCTGAAGGGAAGAACTCTGACTCTGGCGGTAACGATCTACCACGGATCTCCTTGATTTCTGTCCTTGGGTCTGATGCTGTGCTGCAGCCTTGACGCTAAAAAGTGTAAGGATCCCAGAATACTGCCTAAATCTAGTAAAGGCCTGAACGACCTCCTCGCATGATCGGTACTACGACTGCTCACTTGGCAATCCATACGCCTGGACCTGATCAATTTCTCGCTCCCCAGACTTGGAAACGCTCCTTCCTTGCACAGATGCATCTCGCTTGGCTCTACGGGGGACAAACAGGGTGAAGACTGTGCTACGTATGTACTGCTACTGTACGACCGAAGAATACCTTGTTGAGGACCTCTCAAGCTCCCCAACCTCCTCGTGGAGGAATTGGCCTCTTGTACTGGTTACCATAGGCACTACAGTACTGCACTACTACAGTAATCTGTGGTACCAGACACTGGATACTACTTACTACACTGAGGAGTCAGGACTAGTGAAGTCTGGATCTTACTAGACTGTTCAGTGTACTACTACTGATCGTTCAGACCGTCGCCAGTACATACTGAATAAGTTAATATACTACCTGGACTCATGGAGTAGTCTCGCAAAAGCCGACGAACATGAGAATACGCTGATTCAGACTACCCCCGATCACAAGCCAGTTGCCAAGGGTCATGACGTCGATCCCAAACTACCAGCCAATCACCTTGGCCCCCGGAAGCACGTTGGTCGGGCCGTGCAGGAAGACGGGGTCGAACTGCGGGCCTCGTCATACGGTACAGATACTTCAGTCCCTGGTCGGATTCTTCGGGGAAATATGCCTTGGTAGGTAGCGGTACAAGGTACGAGCACTAGCTGAACGGGGGGAGCCTAACATCAAAATAAAGGTTGACTATCACCACAGCCTCACCCTCTAAGCCACACTCCGTTGGGTGTCTCTACTCCGTAGGCCTTCAAGGAAAAAAAATCCGATCCGATGGACCTCTCAAATGAACCGACTGCTATACTTTTTTCTTTCTCATTCTTCGGACGGTAGTGATTTGAAGACAGATTCAGAAGATCCGTCAAAGACTCTTCAAGGGACTCCTGAAAAGAAATTTACTTTCAAAAAGAGCCTTCCAAGACATTATGGAATAGGTATTGAAAGAGATCATTATGGAATGAATGGTATCGCAGAATCTCTTGAGTAGACAACAGGTAGATTATTGAATTTTCAAGTCGATCTTCACTGATATGATAAGAGCGCTCAAGGCGCTTGAAGTCGAAGAAAGGCATTTTGCCATCTCACAAAGGTCTCATTCATTCCATTGGTAATCCGGTATTTGATACTCATCTGCACTGGAAGAAGCAGCCCCGAACAGCTTCTCCAACAAAAACGGCAGACGACTCCAACAGATAAAGGCGAAACACATATTTCTCACCCAGATCCCCCATCTGCTCTGCGGTGCAAACATTCCGGGAAACAACGGGGGTACCTTTTGCATCGTCTCGACAAGCGGCCGAATCTGCTTCTCGTAGCCTCTCAAAGCAGCCGCAAGATCTCCGGAATGTTTGCCAACTTCTCCTGCCAACAGATATGCTCCGGTCAAGGCCAAGCTAGTGCCCGTCCCAGTGGGACCAGGTCCATAGCCTGCATCGCCAACCATCACAAAGCGTCCTTTGTGCAAAGTCGGTGGCTTCACTTGAACCCATTCGCTTCCGTAGAAGTCGTCCGCTTCCATCATACCCCGTACAATCTCGTCGGCTTTCCAGCCGGCGCCCTCGAATTGCCGCGCGACGAACTTCTTGAGCGCCTCTGTGCCCAACCTGCTCGCTTCGTGGAAATTGGCCATGGCGCCGTTCGTGTCCGTGTCATCTAGGTTGACTCCCATCATGGTGATCAGGTTGCCGCCATTTTGACCGGGACCAACGCCAATCACACGGCCGTTGACAGCACTATATAGATTCCCGATTTGACTTCCGCAGAGTAGGTCCTGTTTCACGGAGAAGAACGCTGCCCAGGCATTCATGGGATGGACGTAGTCGCGTTTGCCGCATCCAAGACCAATAGCCCGAGTCCGGGAGGTCGCTCCGTCGCAAGCGATGACAAGATCGTACTCTGTAGAAGGGGTTCCGTTCAAAAATTCCACCCGAACAGGCCCGTTGCTTGACTCAGGTTGCTGCTGAATCGAGGCAACTTGTTCACCGAAGATATATTTGATTGATTTGTGGTCCTTGGTCATGTCGTAAAGAATCTGCGACAAGTCTCCTCGAAGAATTTCGTACTCGGAGATTAATGACTGGCGATTGGGATCCCCGGTGGGCTTCATGGTTCCATAGGAGTAGCCGTCCTCGCGGACGACACTAAAGCCATGCATGGGCTGCAGAGTGGCCCGCACAGCTTCTTCCATGCCTGGCATCATCCGCATGACTGAGACTCCTGTTGTGCGAATGTCGACATTCTGACCATTGGTCCGGAGCTGAGAAAATCGTTCAATGACTGTGACTTGGGCACCTGTTTTGGCGAGCCAGTAGGCTGTCGCGGGACCGGCGATCGAGGCCCCGACAACGAGGCATCTCAGATTTGACATGTTGACTGACTGGATGAAATTGAAAATACTCGACAAAGATGCCTGGATCTGGTAAGAAATTGACTGAATAACGGACTCTTCTGTTCACTTTATATGCCATGTTGGTAGGGATCAGTCTATAGCTCGGGCAGTATAAGGCCGAGCTTGCAGACGAGCTGATTGGCTGGCGGTGGGATTGTGAGATTGGGATCTCGGGCGCTCCCACGACCGAGCAATGAGCCAATCAAATAGACCACGCGGCTGACATGGGCATATTCCTGTAGTTCCAGGATGCCTTGTCGCTGGACTCTTCAGTTGCGATGATCTCTCAACAGTTGGTCCCAGGATACCCAATCGTCAATATTAAAATCAACATCAAGATCCTGAACACCATTAAATTCATCTAGATCTGGAAAAGCGGACGCAGAACATTGAGGGTTTGGGAGTGATGGTACTGTTTCGGAGTGTGTTGGGACATCACAAAGTTGTTGACTGCGCCTCGGAGCTTTTCTCCAGGTCCGCAGTTTGCTGATGAATTCTGGTTCAGGAGGATGATCACTGGGCCTCCATGAGTCCCAAGCTCTCACTGCGAGACGCCCCATGGCGACACTGAGGGCTTGTCGACTGTCAAAGAGCTCTTCATGATGATGGTATAGTTCGGCTACACTGGTCCAGGCGGCCTCGATTTGGTCCTGCGAGAGCAAATCTCTCCACTTCAGGAGGGTCATCAATACAACGACCATTGAATCTCGAGTGCCCCACAAAAAGAAGGGTTTTGTGTGCCACTGGAACCTGCTTATTCCACCATGCGAATGGACTGCAGCATCAGTGTCCAAGTTCTTCCGCGCCAGTTGAAAGATCGCTTTTCTCTCTTCGTCGGTCGCAGTGTGCTTTCGTAGTTTAGGCAATTGGAATTTGAGCCTCATGGCCGTCATGCCGGACCGAGCAAGTCCGATGGTCAGAAAGTGTAAAGGATTCACCATATCACAATAGCGGATGAATTTTTCCTCTACCTCACTTTCTGCGGCCAATATCACCTTCTCGGCTTTTTGGTAATCGGACGATGACCACGAATCTGCCGTGCTCATAAGCGCACCTGCTCCCGCAAGCCGTTTCCCCATGTATGCGCGAGATAGGCAGAAGATCATGTCCGTCGCGCCAATTTGCTCGACGGGCTTTTCAGACATCTCAGGCCAGATTTGGTCATCGTTGATATTGAGGGGCGGTTTGGTGTCCCAGCCTTGAGGCAGGCTGATATTGTCAATCCCAGCTGACTGGCCGGCTCGGGAATCATGGGGAAAGATCTGATAGAATAGTCGACGTCTTGTTTCAACTTCAAAGGGTGGCAGACCCAGACCTTCTCCATCACGATGAAGGCCTATCCTTTGACCAACACGGGCCGATACTCCAGTGAGAATCCAATATGTGTGGGGATCGTGCGCGTCACGACTTGATAAGAGGTACAAATGGAGAGCTTGTAGAACCGCGATTTCGGTCGTCCTCAGAAAAGAGGCATTCACAAGGGCTTGACGTACAGCAGCGTGAAACAACTTCATCATATCTGATCGATTTTGATGGAATCGGGCTTTGCAATCTTCGTCCGTAATTGAGAAGATTGCACAATGGTAGATGGAGAAGAGCAAGCACTCCTCTGCTTTGGTGGCGATCTCAGGCTCCTGCGAGATGGCATCGACCATTTTGCGAGTCGACGGAACGTGTAGAATCTTGCAGATAGGCTCCACATTCCGTACATATGTCTCCCATAATTGCATCGCATCCATATGACTAGGGTGAAAGTACGAGATACTTTTCTGATACCCAAGAAAGGCACCCGTCAATGGATCTTGCGGATTGGCTTCCGACCACACTGGATTCGTAGTCATTGCTCCCTCGTGCTCATCCTCGTCCTCATCTTTATCTGTCGATATGTGCCGGATTTCCTCGTCCTCCAGGTTAAGCCACATATGACTGTCGATATACCTCGATCTGCCTGGTCCAGTGAGAAGTCTGCCTGTTTTCGACGAAATCGGACTGGCAGGACCGGGAGGACTACCCTTTTCATTCCGTGTGAGCGGACTTTCTTTTTGTTGATATCCCACTCCCGCATCAAGCAAGCCATGTTCCTTCAGAAGACATTCATAGTGAGCCATCTTCTCCAACACCTCATCCAGCTTTCGCTTTCGAGGCTTCGGCTGGGGGGCTTCAAAGCTACAGGGATACCCTCCCTTACGACAGCGCGAGCAGACGGGGCCGATCTTATCACATTTGACTTTACGTCTTGCACATGTCTGGCATGAGTAGGACATGGCCGGCTTCCCTGACTTCGTCTCATTGCATTTGAGCGGATCTGCTTGGACGGGGGTGGGCGCAATGGGGACAAGCCCATTGCCGGGCCTCACCAGGTGGTTCACCATTTAACTGCCGGATACTGGATATCAGAAACGCTTTGAGTGGTGGTTCAGTTTGAATGGATCATATGTTCTCATGCAAAGGTCTTTCTGACTTGGTTAGTAATTCCATTAGAATGGGGTTCGTTCCTAAAGTGCTTCTGTGACTGTCGCCTGCCGTGACCACGCCCCGATAAGCGCTATCGGGAGTGACTACTGCCACTCCGGCTCAGCAAATAGAATCATCCATCCACAGGAATTGGATTCACTATACAGATGCTATACAGATAGATCAACCCGAAGATCACCAGAACACACCATCTCAAAAAGTACAAGGAGGCGATCAAGCTAAGAAATTTAAAAAACTATCTGTCTTGAATGCAGTTCTCTTCTTTTTTCTTTGCTCTCTTGTTTCTCGAGCTGTTTTTGACCTTCATTGCCCTTGCGCGTAGCCCTAGATCAATGTCCATAATACAGGCGTTTCGGAAGAAACTCAAAGTTGACGGCTGTATACACTCCTGGCCACCAAACAGTCCCTCTACCTAGTCCCCCGCCTGCGAGGGAAATTTTGTCTTGGTTTACCTCGGGAGACCAAGGGTACTCTTAGGGGTGTGCTTTGTTGCGAGTAGGCGTATAGTTATTATTTATACATATTTCCCGGTATTGGGTCTCTTCAGGGACATACATTTAAGGTCCGTCTCTTCCATAATTAACGATAAAGACTACCTATATTCAAGAGCACTTGTATTCGAACTATTGATGTGGAAGAATAACATCAATTCAAATGCCATTCATGAGACCGATGCTTTTCTTTTTGTGATGCGATCTTGCAAATCTAAGTGAACGTGATCTTCGTATGCATCGCAAGAGACCTCTCAGTGAGAGAAATATGACAGGATGGTATATTACAACAAATGTAAAGAGATTGTGAACGCTTCGTGCAGAAGTGGAGAGAGGTCCAGGAAACCGAAACAAACACAGGCATGAGTGATGAGGTGTAGAATGCCATGCTTTTTTGGGGCTGCTGGTCCGCTTCGAACTTGAGCTAGGCAGCCATGAGAGTGAAAACTGCCACTCAGTCACCAGGCGACCTGATGACGCTAGATGTGGGTGAGAGCGCGGTGAGCGCGAAGGAGTGATAGAAGATAGGGTTCGAAGTGAAGGACAAGTGGGTCAGAGCTTAGCCTTCTCGAACAAAGCCCAATCGTTCACCCATTTGGATCCGCTGGCCCTTCTCCACCGACCACGTCCAGCCATCGGGTCGCTCCTCCTCCGGCCAGCCGGCATCGAACGACTTACGAGTGCCAAGTGGGGCTTCAAAGACAAGCACCACTGTGCTACCAAGCTGGAATCCACCCATTTCCTCGCCACGGCGAAGCGGGTGGCCGCCCAAGGTGCGACTGGCATGAGCGTAGGTAGCCTCGACGTAGCCTGGATCCTTTTCACCTCGCTCGGCAGCTTGAGCTGCCGCCATGTCTGCCGCGGTGTCGGTCAGCAGGCTGTTGGTACGCAACTCGGCATCGAAATTGATCTTGATCGAGCCCACATTGGTGGCACCAACGGGGGTATAGCTGAAGAAGCCCCATCGCCAGCGGCCCAGCAATGCGACCCGCTCGTTGAGAGTGAAGAGTCCAGGCAGAGTACGCTGCAAGTAGGGTGAGACGGAATAAAGTTCACCAGCAAAATGACGGCGGCTTTCCACCACCCACTCAGTGGGCGAGTGGAAACGATGATAGTCGCCAGGAGCCAGGTAGATGACAATGTAGAAGAGCGCACGGTTCGCAGCGGCCTTTGGGGCGAACCAAGAAGTGCCCTCGGCCTGAGCCAGCTGTTCCTGCACTTCACTTTCAGAGACCGACTTGGAGGTCGTGGAGGCATCGATCGAGGCACGTCGCTTGGCAGGTGCACCAGATTCACCGGACAGCAACGATGGCAGAGTGTATGAAATACCATTGACGGTGGCGAATTCCTCGTCGGCCTTCATGTTTTCCACATCCGCTTGGCCCACCTGGTCGGTGGAATCAGACATGTGCTTGCTACGATCGGCGGTCACAGGAGTCGCGGCGCCGAGGAGTGCATCCAAGCTGTAGGTCATACCCTTCACCTGTTCAACCTCGCCGCGCTCGATCATACCGAATTGTAGGATACGTCCATCAGAGGGGGAAACCAACGCACGAGGGTCGAGGTCGACTGGACGAACGCCAGGTTTCAATTTGCGATAAAAGAAGGCGGCAAGATTGGGGTAGACATGGAGATCGGGCTCTGCGACCTCACTCAAGTTGACTCCAAAGACCCATGAGTAGAGCTTGAAGCCCGGGACACGGAGATAGTAGGGTAGTTCGATTTCGTTGAAGCGACCCCATAAACGCGAGATGGCCTTGAGGGGTAAGGTCGACATCACCTGGACCTGCCAGGGACCTGTGGGCACCACTCGAGGTCGTCGAGGTGGCCGTTTGCCATTCTCCCACTCATTACTGGGTTCCTCCTGCTCGACGCGGTCGCGTTCCGCACGCTGCGATTTGTAGAAGGAGAGCACTCCGAGCAGGCCGATTCCGAGGCCCACTGGGATGGGATACCATTCCACCTTGGTATTGCGCAAGGCAAATCGCAGTCGTGATCCAAACCCGCGTCGAGGGTTTCCTTCACTGCCATTTTCCTTGTGGTACTGTTTCCACGACGTAGAGGAGAACCGGCGCACAGCTTTATGGCGAGCAGTTGCCCGGAATGAAAGGGACTCCATCGGCGTAGCGAACCCTGGGGAGGAGACTGCAATACGACACGGAAGAGAAGTTGTTTGGGTCAGGAGGCGCTTGGCCATCGTGCAATTTTAGTCCATCAGAAGCCCTGATGTGACAGTCAATCTAACCTTCTTTAGGGTCCTCAGAGAGAACGTTTTTCCATTTCCGAATCTGAGGCGCATCAGGGGACCGACTGACCGCCTGCGGGAAGGGGCAGAGCGGCACGTGCAATTTGCCGATCTGGGCATCACAACAGAAGTAAACATTGGGGGCCATACAGACGGCCTAGTCTTTTTGTGTGTTATCTGTTCTAATAGGGCCTGCTTTTCAAATAGATATTTTTGCCAGTCCAGAAGTGGCGATCGTTGTCAATAGATTTTTCAATTGAAGAGGTAGAGAATTTGTGGGTACGCTTAGGCTGCTCACTTACATCGTAGAACTTGAGTAGATACACTCTGTCAGTGACTCTACACTTTGCAATCTAGCGGCGCACAGGCTTTCTGCCACATACTCCATTTCCACATCCCAGCCACTAAGCTACCTCGAGCTCCGCGTTCCATTTTCAGGGCCAGAACACTTGTCCTGACAGGACACGCAATTGAATTGACAACCTCAACTTTGTCTTCCACGCAGCTTTTCAAAGACAATCAATCATCTTTGTTCGCAGTCAATGCAAGGTGATTCATCTTGACGGGCGTAAACGCCATTAGTCATTGTGCTCAGGGCGGTGTCCGCGACCGCTTCAACGCCTATCGAGGCTGTAACGGCTTTAAAGGGTCTCACTCATAATATCATTCATCTCTTGCCCTTGAACTTGCCAAGAGAACGATCCCATCTGATCTCGCCAGCGACTCCTTCCAACATGGCTTCAAGTGAAACCCCTGCTACTGTTGTGGCTACGCCCACAGCGCAGCAAAGTGACAACAGCCCACAAATGATCACAATCAATGTACTTAATCCCTCCTTGCCGTCTCCCGGCCGTGTAACACTGCGAGACGTGCCATTAGAGACCACAGTCGGGCAATTGCGAAGACAGATCAGCAAGTCTCTGCCTAATCAGGCACTTTCGACGACCCAGCGACTAATCTACCTTGGGAGAGTGCTTGTTAACGACAACTCAACGCTGTCCGAGACCTTTGGGCCAGTCGAGGTATGTCCGGATTCTGCTCAATAGTTTCAAGTCTCCGTCAATATTTCTTTGTTCCGAATGCTCCCTAATGCACGATTAATCTAGCAAACGGAGTTTTCCATTCATCTGGTTTTACCACCTGCTCCGTCACCTGCGACGCAGAATGCGCCTGGGTCTGCTGGTGTGTCAAGTGTGAACGGATCTGGGCCTTTGCCCGCATTTCTCGCGTCACACATGGCAGCTGTCAACAACGCCATGCGCCAGGCTGCTGACAGCAGCCACTCGCAGGTGCAGCATGTTTCCAATCATACACAGTCGCTTGTGGCAGCTCAGACATGGCCACATGCGTCAATTGTTCACGGTAATCCAGCTTCTGGGCGTGAGAATGATGAGTACGACGTCCTGCGACGGGAGCTCGAGAAGGCAGAGAATGAAGTGAATCATCACTTGATTCCTTCACACGAGAGTCTGTACCAATTGCGGAGAAGAATAGAGCAGCAGCGGCAGCATCGCCTGGCGGCATCTCAGGCACAACCTGGTACTGTGGACACCTCTCACGACTTTGATTCTTTACACCAGCGTGTTGAGGCTCTCTATCAGCGAATCGACAGCTTGCCTCCGAACCCAAGCCAGCGAGCAGACCAGCCGTTCCTCGATTTACGTTCTCACCAGACAATCTACCTACTCTCTGCGCCTGATGGTCGCAAAAGCCTCATCATTCCACCCCTTCCTTCAGCATCTCCGTTTGTGTCCCGTCCAACCCCTTCACTCCGGCAAAATCTTCCATTGACACTCTTCCCGTCAACGTCCTCGAATGTCCTCCATCCTCCATCAGACACTCTGAACCATGGACAGACCTCGGGCCAACCCCAACCCACCAGGACGATCCAGCCCAATCAAGCCGATAATGGGCACCCGCGTGGCCAGAATCCGGCTGTCATTCTTCAGAATGCTCTCAATCAGCGCGCTGCCAACGCCCAGCCTCGGCGCGAGATCGAGAATATCCTTGCCGGAAATTTTGTGTCTCGCATCTGGCTCTTCATGCGCCTTTACTTCTTCATCTTCATGATCACCAATCCCGGCTCATGGACCCGCTACCTGCTGGTCACTGTAGCCGTCCTGGTAACTCTTGCCTCGGAGAGTTCCATTCCTGAACGGCTTCACGGCGCGCTCATTGCGCCTGTTCAACGCCACCTCGAGCGGCTTACCCAGATGGGCGGCCCAGCTGATCCAGCCAGACCGGCCGCAGGCGCCGGAGCAGAGAGAAATGCCCGCAATCCCGCATGGGGCGAGCTATGGGCAACCGTTCAGAGCTTGGAGCGAGCTGTTGTCCTGCTTCTCGCTAGCCTGGTCCCGGGTATTGGCGAGAGACAGGTCGAAGCACGAAACGCGGCCGAGGCCGAAGCGCAACGGCAGCGCCAGGAAGAGCAGCAGCGGCTTCTTGAGCAACAGCGTGAGCAAGAGGAACAGCAACGGGCCACTGCAGCAGAAGCGGAAAACCAGAGCGTGTCTCAGTCTGATGACGTGGCTCGGGGAGCGGAAACGGAGGAGACCGTTAACGAAGGCAGTCTTACGGAGCAACCACAGCCGGAGAAGCTCACTGCTACTGCTTCTTGATTTTGATCCAAGGCGTCAACATTTAGCGTTCTATTTGATTATTTTTGGTTGTTCGTCGGTTGCTCTATAGCTCACTTACTCAAGTGCTTACGTACGAGCTGGAATTACTTTACCCTCGTTGCCCTTCCACATAAATAATCATACTAGCAGCTTGAACACTTTTCCTGGACCCGTACTATCGTTTCAACTACTCAGTGTGCTTCCCGCATGTCTACTTATTTCCCCTCTTCGAGCCAAAGCTCTGAATATCCAACTGCTCTTGATCTTTAGTGTCAGTACCTACCCAGCTTCTATGCCATGCTTCTGATACTTTCACGGGTCATATTGATGGCACGTCAAGGTTTGACTGTTTCATATAAACATTTCACATATATGTTCGATGCACTCTTCTAAGAAAAACGCTCACAAGTACGGATTTCATACGACCTGTTGCATGTAGTGTGTCTTTCGTCCTCGGCGTCTAGGTATCTAGAGCTTGCTTGTGGAGCGCACCGACTCCGCAGGCGAGGAAGATGCTAAAGCAGGGGGCTCAGACGGCGGTGCCATGACACCAGTATCGAAAGATTCATCACCGTTGAAGTGCCTATCAAAATTAACCCGGATTCCAAGTGGGTGAAGCAGGAGATCAGAACTCGGCCATGATGCAAGCGGATTGCCGCCGGAAGACAAGCAACTCGAAGAAGGACGGTCATTAGGGGGATAAAAAGAACAAGAGAAACATACCATCCACGCTCAGCACCGTCGCTTAAGAAGGTACAATCTCCATTCTTGACACAAGTCCATCCACCTCCGACTCCCCGACCATCCTCCCAGGCAGGAACACCCTCGCAACGAACGAACCTAGTCCCATCAGCCAGCAGAGACAACGGCCGACTCTGATCTCTGTCCCGAATCATCCGTCTTTTGAAAGTACTCATTCCAGCGGTGAAGACAAAGAAATCTTCCTCAGACGAGTCCTCGGGCATATTCCCCGTGAGCACTCGGCCCATGGCGATCAGAGGTGCGGCATGTGCGCACATGAGAATGGACTTGCTGGTTCGTTGGTCTTGGGGCAGATGTGCCTCGAGGGCGGTGATCTCTGCGTCCACGTCGGCGATGATCCCTTCGAGCGCGGTTGCGACGCGGTCGTGGAGTTGGGCGATGGTCTCGCCGCGGGTAGATGGGTGCAGGAGAGGTGTGTACTTGGTTTCTGGGGAAGCGGGGAGAATGCTTGGAAAGTGAGTTTGCATCATGCCTGGGGTGGGATGCGAAGGGTGGTCGAAAAAGGTCGTGGGTCCGAACCATTCCCTGCGAGACACAGTACGTTAAGTCAGGCAAAGGTGGCAGAAAAGAGATTTGGAAAGCAAAACATTCGTCTACTGCAAACCCCCACCACGCTTGCATCAATTCCTTACCCGAGACCATTCTCGATCCTCACATCAAAGTCCGCGGCCGGATCCAGCTGAGCATGATCTCCCACAGACTTTTCCAAGGAGCTGGACTCATTCTGCTTCTTCTTCTTCAGAGCCTCCACGGAGGGTTGTATGGTCTGGAGACATCGGTAAAACGGACTTGAATATACACGGAATGGTTTAGGGTGGAATTCCGGACTCGTAATATGAGCTGATAGCTCATGCGATTGCCGAACGCCATGCGACGTTAGGGCTGGGTCTGCTGGGTTCCCCGTTGGCGTGGGGAATTGCGATCTGTAGGTACCAGTGCGGAAGTCAATCGTCCAGCTCAAACGATGCTACAAGATAGAGTCAGTAAGGATGACATGATTCGGATGAGGATAGTGGGCCGTAGACCCCGTCAGACAGCTGATGCAACGCTACATGCTCCCACTGGGACAAAACATACTCCGTGGCGTGTGAGATATATCGTATCGAGCGGCATGGTGAGCGTACCTGAGAAGTCCAAAGACAGGAAGTAAAACGTTTTGATGGTTTGCGGGGAAGGTTGCGGGCAAGCCGGGGAATGAATGCAAGGGCGGTCGGTAGAGCTGAGCCGCGGCTCGGCAAAGGAAATGCAAAGGTGAAAGGATCCCCGGAGGACTAAATTGGTGCACTTGGATGCGGGTCGGTTGGATCCCATTAAAAGCTCTACAAAAACGGAACATTAAGTGCAGACTAGAGTCGCGCCTAGTATTTGGATGAGAGCCTTGTACTCTGTAAAACTATGACATCGGGGTATAATCCGCTACTCGTAAGGTTTACATTCCCAGGGCCAAGGCCAAGTGGCATGCGAAACCAGTCAAAATAATAACTTTTCTTTAAGAGGGTGCTTTTGAAAGCGACTCCATCTAGTAGAAGAAGCCGAGGAGCTTGCCAGCAACGTGCTTGCGACGGGCCTCCTCGTGGTCCATGATACCAGCAGAGGTGGTCAGGACGACGTAGCCGAACTGACGAGAAGGAAGGAGCTGAGTAGCCCACTTCTCGAGGTCACGGAGCTGAACGGGGTAGCGGGGGTTGATAACACCACACTTGTTGAGACTGTAGGATATGAGGTGTGAGCAAGGAAAGTTTCATACCGCGCAGCATCTCTTGAAGAAAAGACTTACCGGCCGTTGAGCTGGATGACGATCTTGCCGGAGCGGTGGTCATCGACCTCCTCGAACTCGCCAATGTAGCCTGAAAAGAAGAAAGGAAATCAGTATGTCGCGAAAATTTAAAAGTCGCCAAATACTGGAAGCATAAGCAAGCGCTTGGAAACATGTAAGATCTTCGCCAGAGGGTTTAATCTATCGGGCACTTAAAAGGCAGACGTCGTAGGTGTTTGAGACCGGCCGCCTAGTTATCAGCCCGAAGAGAATGGGAGGTAGAGAAGAGGTTTTTTTTTTTTTTTTTTTTTTTTTTTTTTTTACAATGACTCCCTCATGGCGAGATCCAAGGTTTCCCAAGCGCATATGCCCAGCATCCACGGAGCGATGATGGTTCGAGGATAGAAAAGGAAGAAACTCACCGTGCTTCTGCATGACAGTGAGGAACTTGACGATGACCTTGGAGGAAGGGCGGATGAGGACCTGGCGCTTGCCAGCCTTCTCGGCGTTGTTCATGGCGTTCAGCGCATCGTTGAGGACGGAGGTCTTGACCATTTTGGCGGTTGTGGAGAGTCGAGATTCTCAAATCGTTGGGTGATGAAAGATATGAGGTATCTGTTCGACAAAAGGCGCAACAGAATCCCCACGATCACGACGACCGAGCTTCAGCAAGCCAATGCGAAGCTCGTGTCAGTCGAGTCGGGGTTTCCGATTGCAACTGAAAGTCAGCCGCTGCTAGTCTTCGAGCGCAAAGAGTGCCCCTTGCGAAAGGAGTTCTTCAGCCCGTGCCGAATGGGGAGATGCGTATCATCCTTTCACTCTCGATGCCCGACGAGCTTCAATTGTGGTACTCAGAATCGTAAACTTCGAGGTGATGATGATTGAATTCCCAGACTAGCTGCGAGGCTGGTGAGAACGGAGTGCGTACATACCTCGAGGAATGGTCCTTCGGTGTAGCGGGTTGTTCAGGAAATTGAAACGGGCGGCGCGGCGGACGAAGTCTGCGTTTTGCTGACTGTGCGGCTACGGCTTAGGGTTGGGGGCCTACAATACCCTTATCGCTCATCGTCACGTGCGCCAGTTTGAGCAGCTCAATCTGCCTCAGGCATCAAGGCACTATCAGCGCAGATTGCAAAGAAGCTCAGTACTACTGAGGCAGGTACTGCAGAACAAGTCTAGTCTCCCTGTCCGGCTTGCGGCTCAATGCCTCCGAGCCTTTGCTTCTCTATGCAGTAATACAACCGGCTTCATTACGAAATTTTCATATGTCTATATCTTGACGTGAGCAAAATCGGTCACCTTACTATCGTCTCCACGAACAGCATCAGTGTCATGCCGCGTAGGGATGAATACCAGTTAGGAAGTACAGTCATACTGGTTCATGGAGAAAAATACTTTTCATAACGACTCTTTATCAAAAAGGGCCTGAATCCTGAAGGTGAAAATACATGATTGGGAATACATGGTCAGGGAATATGACGAAGGGATACATGACTTATAGGGCTACATGATGGGTAATAGTAGAGGGTGAGTGAGGGCTCTTGGTCTAATTAAAAAGCAAGATAGGGAGTTTTCGGGAAAGGAGAAGGTGGATTGGAATGATACCATGGAGAGCACGGTAAGATCGAAAGCAGCTAGATGAGAGAGGGAAGGGGCATGTGGGGGAGGGAAGCATACAGAAAAGAACGGGCTAATTGCAAAGTGTCATAAGGCAATTCGGGCTCAGTCCTGGGGATGAATGGGGGGATGTTGAACTTGACGATCATAGGGGAGGGGGGCGGTGGGGTTGCAAGGGAAACAGGGACGGGGAAGGGTGGGAAAACTTCGGGGTCCAATGCAAAAAAAAAAAAAAAAAAACCAACAATCGAGGTCAGTGGGCGCATTGTATTGAATCAGCTTGTTGCAGGCAGGTTCGCAGCAACGGACGAGGATACTCACTGTTTGACCAGATGTGCCAAATCCCAATGGGGAAGGTTGGTCTGACCGGTATCATGAGGTCAAGGTGGAACCCAGAGGCAGGCCCATTGCCTCAATGGACTTGACGACACACCGGGCGTTGGAGACGCTATCGGGGGTATCGCGCAAGGGTTGAAGTGTCCATCATCGGCTAGATGAAGCTAGAGCCTCATGGCAATTAAGACATACCGCCGCCCAGGTTGATCTGGCGCTTAACCTGCTCCCGGGTCCAGCGAGCGGTCTCAATGGTGCGCTCACTGTACTGACGGGTGGTGCGTGTCTCACGGACCAAGGTGGTCACCCAGTCCTGGCGGAAGTGGCTGGCCAGCTCGCCGTTGGGGAAAGAATCAGCCAAGTCACCGATGACACCCATAGCAGAGCGCATCAAGCCTTCGGACCGGTTGCCCTCCTGGGAGATAATGTGAAGCAGTTGGAAGATGGACTCAACGAATGGTTGAATCAGGTTGACTGTGCATTGGTTAGTACGATTTGAGCGACGCTACGGTCAACAGTCGGACTTACTTTGAGGGCTGCCCTTGTAGGAGAGGAGAATGCCACCCCAGGCATCCATGATGCCCTCGCGCAGGGAGACAATGTAGTCCACCATATCGTAGGGGAGATCTGAACTGGTGGTCACGGAGGAAGCCTGCTGGAGCACCTGGCCGACAACGGGAAGGTAGTTATCGAAGTGTGGGGTTCCGATGGCCTGGGCAATATCACCAAAGGTCTCGAGGATGGCGGGCTTCAGCTGGTTGGTGGAGGTCTTCAAATGGTAGTATTAGCATCACGACAATCAGAAAGCACTTCGCGGGATTCAAGGCACACATACTCGGAGGATGTTGAGGAGAAGGTTCATGAATGTATCACAGTAAGGCTGAACCTTCTCGTTCAAGGCGCGGGCAATGTCGCTGACCAAGCCAATGGCCATGGAGCACAGACCGGCTTCTTCCTGGTGCTCCAGGGCGTTGTACAGGAAGGGGCTGAACGACTCCATGTACTTGGCAAAGTCCTCATCCAGGGCGCTGGCAACGGAGCCGACAGTGGCGAAGATCACATCGGGGACGCTAGACTTGCCACCGACGGTGGTGAGAACGCTAAGCAGGACCTGCATGATGCGGTCGGCTTGGGGCTTGATCTCGACCTCGAATCTTTGAACAATAGCCTGATGGAGAATGAAGTTTGTCAGATCAGAGACGGGAGAAGGTCGGGAAGGGAGGATAGACTCACAAGAATAACACTGATCAGAGAGGTCTGCATATCCTCAAGGAGAATGCGATCCTCGGTGCTAACAACCTGCTGCTGCATAGGAATCGTCTGCTCCAGACGTCCAAGGATGTGGTCTGAGAGACTGGCAACAGTTGGAAGGCTGTCGTTGGCGGAGTTCATGACAAAGGAGTTGAGGACTTCATATCCAGCGGTACGCAGCTGGCTGTCGGCATCTTGTCTGCAAAGAGCGTTAGTCACACCGAAAGGATATTTATAGAAGAGCAGCACTCGAGGGAGCCCGCGACATACCTCTCAGTGACCTGCAACAATGACTTTACGCTCTCATCGAAGTGCTTAGACAGGGGGTTAGTCTGAGAGCCGGGGTCGCCGGCGAAACGGTCCGCAACGTTCATCAGAGCCCAACAGCAAGAGCTGGCGATCTTGGGGCTGCTAGCAAGGCCATTGAACAGACAAGAGATGAGCGGTTGCAGGTGAACATCGGGATCCAGAACCTCAGGGCAGCAGTCGCATACACGGCCAAGAGCGTAGGCAGTGGAGTCGCGAACCTGAACAGAAGCATCCTCCATCATGCCCAGCAGGACAGGCAGAGCCTGCTTGATCAGAGGCTCAAGGACACGAGGTTCGGGACCCTCCATGATACCACCAAAGGCCGCAACGGCGGCGTCACGACGGCGCCAGTCTTCGTTACGGATGTTCTCCTCGACAAAGGTCACAACGGGTTGAATCACCTCAGCCTGCACACACTGAGCGTACAGCTGGAGAGCTTGGTAGGCGGCACGAGACACATTATACTCGTTGTCGTCAGCGTCCTCGTCCTGGCGACACATGGCCTGCAAGAGAACGGGAATGACCTCGCGAGCGGCGACACGGGCGAAGCCGTAGAATGGACGGGCCTCGGCACCCTCTTGTTGAGCCTGTTGATGCAGTCATATTAGTCTTTCTGTTCCTCGTGGTGGGGACAAAGCGTGTTTTGTTTTGGACCAGGAAATCGGCATCGTCTCACCTCGGCATTATCATCTTCAATGGCAATCTCCTCCTCGCAAACGGTGCACCAGAACTCGATAGCCAGCTTGGCGACATCCTCTTCTTCGCTCTTCATTCCCATGATGCTAAGTCCAAAGAGGGCCTTCTCCATGTAGAAGCGCATCTTCTCGTAGTAGGCGCCCATGATGCGGTTGAGACAGCCGAAAGCACCGGCTTGGACACGGACCTCATCGGCCTGAGTGGCCTCGCACACAACTTGCATGATGTAGTTGCGCTCTCCCTCGTTCTCCATGTTAGATCGGACACTGTCCACAAATGTTAGTCATAAATTCACCCAAGGAAGATAGTCCCGACGCCATAAAGAGACCGGAGAATACTCACAAGTCCACGGCATCGCTCAAAGCAGCAATAGCCGCATATCGGACATCCATGTTAGGCTCCTCCCGACGGGCACCCTGCACAACGGCAGTCAGGATGGCGTTGGAGTGAGCCGTCAAACTGGCACGTAGATCGGCATCCTGGGACTCGCAAATGAAACCAATTGTGGCGAGAGACGATTGTTTCAGGTTGTCATTTCCACTGGCCACATTCTGGACCAGGACGTTCATCAATTCGGGCCATTCATTTCGGGGCAATTCGATCGCGGCGATCGAAACAATAAGCGCAGCGGCAGCATTCCCAGCTCGGGTATCGGAAGCCAAGGTCTTGAGCGCGAGCTCCTTGACCTGGGTCTTGGTTTCGGGACTAATTTGTTGGATCCATCGGGCTTGTACTTCACGAAGCTTGGTCTGGTCTCGGAAAGTGAAAGCGTTCTTCAAGGCAATACCGGCAGCAACACGGATGTGGGCAGGGCTCTCTTCGCTGGCCAACTCCTGACCAAGAGTGACGAGGTAGGTAGCCTAATGAATCAGACGAGCCAGATTAGCGACACTCACAACCCTAGTATCAGACGGTCCTCGGCGATCTCCCGAAGAACGGTCTTCGGGGGCCAGGAGGCGCAGCCTTTAGCAGGACAGTCCTGGTTATTACTTACGAAGTCAACCTCCGCCGCATGAGCGAGCTGCTGCTCAGCGTTGGTACGTTCCGCCGCATCTGCGGGAAGAAAGACGGTCAGCGAGGGGTTGTCACAGCCACCACTTTTGTCACACTAGGGCGAGTCATGTGTGGGAGAGGCCGAGCACAGCTCTGATCAAGCAGAGCATTTGCTAGCACTGGGCAAGAAGGCACAGGAACTGCAAGTGGATCGAGGCAGACATACCGGGCGACAGAGTACTTTGCAGAACCTGGCGAGCGTCCATGTTGTCTGCTCTGAGGGACGCAAAAAAGGTCGGATGTGGGGGTACGGGAAGGAAAGAGAAGGAAAAGAGAGAGAAGGAAAGTAAAGAAAATTGACAAAAAAAAGAGGGATGGTGAAATTAAGAAAAGAATCTAATCCCTCTTGGTGCCGTACTGAGTGGTGAATCGGGCGATAGGCACACAGCTCACAGTTGATGGGCGAGGTAGGCGTAGTTGCAGGAGGAACCCTGGAGAGGTCGATAGGTGGGAAGGGACGGGGTGTTTTTGTGGATATGACGAGGCATGCACCAGGTCTTTCCGCGCAGAGTCACAGAGAGAGAAAGGTGCCTTGTTTGCACGCCTGAACCGCAATCAAAGAAGGAGTTGGTTGCCGGATATTTGCCTCAAGATTTCTTAAGGCCGATACTTTGATATTGATTCAAGAAAGTGGAAAGAAGGGCGGAATCCGATTCTTGAGCAGATTACTGCAGTGAGGTTCAACCTTGTAAGGTATGATTATTGGTCGACTAGGTACAGCCTGAGGCACTCATATTCTTTCTGCCTGAGGCCGTAATCAATCCTTGCACGGACATTCTTTACGCCTCCAAAGTCCAAAGTACCGTACATACGGTACGAAGCATATGTTAACTTGGAAGCTTTGCCTGGTGTAGCTTGTAAACACTTGACCCCGAGGTGATACAAAAGTACTTTTTTTTGGCAAAACGGCTATCAGCTTCCAAGATGTTAGTACGTTCCTAAGTAGTGCTATAATTTCTAGCCGTTATCGTCGAAGGTCATCCATAATTCCATGCGTTCACACTCGTACATACATACAGTAATACTCATCAGTTCCAGGCTCTCAGCCTCTCAGCCTCTCAGCCTCTCGACATCTCGTACCGTAATACAGTAGAGGGGCAACCGGCAAACCCTTTGGTTTTTTCCATCCCAAAATTTCTTCTCTTTTTTTTTGCCCCTCCACCTTTGCTTACTTTGCTTGTTTTGATTTTACTTCTTGCAGAAAGCACCCGCTCAATTTTCCGCGTGGCCCCGGCGACAGGCTTCTCCAATTTTCCTTCTCTCAAGCCCTGGCCACACACAGTCACACACACACACATTCTTCGCGATGCTTCCAGACTTTTTGTTTCTCTCTTCTTCTTTCCTTCCATAGAGTGGAGACTGGAATGGGGACTCTGGCACTGCTGCAAATAGATGTGTCACTGCGGCTGCTGTAGGTCCTTATTTACAAAAAAAATTTCAATAAACCCCCCCCCCCCCTCCCTTCCCAAAAAAAATGCCTGGTTTACTAGAATTTGTAAAGACTAGGAGATGTAAGGTGCAAGGGGGTGATATGTCCATTGTATAGGGAGCTATGAAATGGATGTATTCAGTATGATCACGGGCTGATATAGTCAGGGGAAGAGAAGTAGGATATGAAATAGTCAACAGATCCCAAACAGCAAAGCCTACTACACTGAGTGTAGTACACTCTGTAACCTTACGCGAGATAGGAATCAATAGCCAGCCCTGCTAGTACCGCATTTTGTATAATTGTAGTCTCCCAGGGCTGATACTGTTAAATTTGACTTCCCAGCTAAGCCATCTGAATAAGGCTGCTATCCCGAACGACCTTGATCCTCATCCGGCGATTCCAGAGTTTCCTCGTGCTCGTGCTCGTGCTCCTCATACTCCCCCTTCTTCTCCTATCGCCGCATCCAAATCCAACACATCATACCGCATCCCGTCCCCATACAACACACAGACGGCTCTTCGACCCGCTCGCCCGTTCACATCAATCCGAACCGGAGACGAATTGGGGCCCGCTGAAGCAAAGGTATGCACAACAACGTTGGTTTCGGCCAGAAGGGTAGGAATATCGAGTTTCGTGCGTGTCACCTTGGGCTTGGCCACAGTGGGCTGCGGGTCGTTGTCGGTGTAGTTTAGAGCAAATGCTTCCGCCGTGGAATGTGGCTGGAAGCCAAGGTTTAGGAGGTGGGATGTTGTGTCCGAGGTAAAGAGAATCATGAGCGTGTCATCCTCGACAAATTGCACTTGGCGGACGCTTCCTGAGTCAAAGAATAGGGCGGCGATGGACGAGTTTCGCGTGGAGCTGACCCCGTTGATGGAGTCGAGGACAACGCGGTAAATATAGACTGGGAAGAGGTAGTCAGCAACGATTCTATCAGACGAGCCCAGGATATAACTTACTCAGTGATGCATCACTGACTGATTTTGCAGCAACGTAGATGGAACAAGGCTGGCCCTTTTCCTGATCCTGTATGAGTTGAGTCGTCAGTCTTCAGGCGCTGATGAAACGCAATGAGTTCAGAACCTCCGTCATCAGGGAGACATACCTCATAGCAAAGCTTCATGTCAAGGACACTAGAATCGCAGTCCTCGTGCAACGTAATAGGGGTATGATGCAGGATACCGCGTCTCTGGGTCAAGGCGATTTCCGCAAAGACCTTTTCGAATTGTACTCCCAGTCGCCGTGTCAGGTCATTCAATTTTGGAGCATCTACCATAGTTGTGTCACCATTCTTTGCCTGCACCTGTTTCTGCTGGCTGAGCAGGACCTTGAAATCGTCGAAGAAGGAACGATCATGGCCATGCGGGAGCCATTTGTCAGTCTGGGGAGTCGGCACATGTGGAATTCCGAGCATAGGCAGTTGGCGGATGAAGTGGCGCAAGGCACTCTGTCGCAGGGGCCCGGTGATGTACTTGACAGTGGGGGGAACGTCTACAAGCTCTCGCTTCTCGAGAAGTTCGTCCCAGGTTTGTGAGAGAGGTTCACTGCTCAAGATCAAGATCTCATGGTGAAGCGAGCGCGAGAAGGCAGTGAACTGATCCAGCTCTTCGTTTGCATGGTTGATAATATGGTGCGAGAGAAGATAAAGACAGTCGACTGTCTCGACGATCGCTGTAAGCTTAGACGAATCCAAGCCAAGCACGTCATTGAGTTTGGAGAATTTGGAAAGTCCTACCAGTCGACTAAGAAGAACTTGACTCCTCTCCAAGGCGGGGAGAAGACACTCGTGAGTCAACCGTCGGATATTCTCATATCCGCCGGAGACAGCTTTGTCCCATCGTTTATGACCCTAGGGTTAGATAGAATTCAGCAACTGTGTACGTGTTCGAATGGGCAACTGCGCAAGGTAACTCCCAACAGGAAGACGAAACGTACCCGCTCGCCAACAATGTCGACCAAAAACTCCTTCAGAGGCTCAAAGCAATGGCCAGTTACAACCAGATGATATATGGCGGTTGTGAAATCACATTGACATCGTTCTTGCAAATCCTGATTTGCATTTCGCAGGAACCGGGCAGGCAGCTCTTGGGCTGTCTTCCATTCGAGCTCGATCTGTTTCTGTACCTGGCCAATGTATCTTAGCAGATTCTGGAGTTGGGTTGTCTTCGATGCAAGTAATGAAAGATATCTTCCCGACTTTGTAATGAATCGCAGATCCAGGGTCACCAGCCTGAGAGGAGTCTTCGGTTGACCCTTGTTCCCACCATGAGACACCAGCAAAGCATGCGTTGAGCTCAGAGGATGCGACGCATGACGAAGAACCGAGCCCGCTTCAGCAACCTCCTCCGGTTCAAAAATGGGGAAAGATCCAATCTCGAAACAGTCAAAGATGCGCAGGTGAACGCTTCCGTCATCGAGGCCAACAAACAAAACATCGACCGAGTCACTATTGTCCTTGGCAGACGCGTGAAAGATAGCATCGATTGAGGCACGCGAGCTGAACAGGTCATCCTCGGCACCAGTCGCCGGGAGAACACTGAGCTTCGGCAGAGAACTTTCTATGTCCATCAACATGAGCTCTCGAGGAAGATCCGCCTTGAGAAGGGCGCCCGCCTTGGACGGATGAAGGCCCGGAGCAAGAAGATCCTCCACGGAAATTTGACCCGCGGCACCTTGTAGATGCTTCTGCGCAGCTTTGCTATCTGTAAAGTTGATGCCCCAGCCCAGACATGTCACCTTGCAGGACTGAGACTGATCATTCTTCTCCTCATGGGCGCGGTAGTGGTGGACTGTCTTGCCACTATACGCACTGATAATGCGAATCGATCCATCCCCGCAAGCGACCGCAAGCAGACGACCTGGTGAGCCGGTCAGTCATCTGTCACTACCAGGTGCAGGTATTTGCAGACCGAAGTCACTGCGCAAGCCTTCCATCTTCTCTACATGGAAGGTATCACCTCATCCATGCTGTTCGGCCTCAACCCTCACAAGGAAAACAACAAGCACTTACCATTACCCTTCCACGCCACCGCTCTCACTTCCCCATCAGCCTCGTCCTCGCCAAGATAAGGATCACCCTTGAAAGACCCCCCAAACACTCTTTGGCCATTGAGGCGATAGACTTCTATTTTATCATCATCGGTCGCCAGAGCAATCAAGTCCATGGACGGACAATACGCGAGCGTACTGGGATTGCATTTCCGCAGCAAGGTCTTTTCCCCGACCGGAGCAAGCTGCGGACCCAAGTCTGCCATGCTGGCTTTTTTTTTTTCGATGTGATTCAGACTTGCGGTGTTGATCGGAGCTAGCCCATTGTAATATGTTCTCTTGGGGACTGAACTGAGGACGGCTGGGCCCAGACGTCTTGGTTGGGTCGGTCTAGTAGACTCTAGAGAGACTCTCGAGGTCTTTTTGTGAAGTGTTGTTGGTAGTTAAGGTAGAGTGGGTGGGTCGCGGGACGTGCTGCGCGTCTGCGTCAAGGTCTGGTCTGTAATGTTTTGGATGTCTGGGCATTTGAGATTGGTGTGAAGCATGACAAAACACATGTCTGTCTTGAGATATGATTTGGAATTTCACGGTATGAACCTTACAAAATCAAGTGATTTGACAGAAAATGCACATACAAGAAGCTACCTTACCTACCAAGGTCACTATTAACTACGTCCGACGGTACATCAACCTAGTATAGGTCCGGGACCAGCCGATTATGAACGGGCACCCGTCGCAGTGCAAAATATATATTCATGGGGATTAATCCCCTCAGTCCGGAATGCCACAGCTGGAGGACCACCGAATTGAGAACGGGCTCTACGTAATGAATACATTAGAAAGATACCTTCAGAGATAACTTGGCCGCGATTTATGGATAAAGCGGCGAATTCACTTTGACCTACCCCTGACAACTCTTGTAGTACAGGGGAACATCTTCCCCCGAGAAATGTTTGTCTATGAGATCGAATCGAATTGAATGGCTCATGAATTAACGGTCTAGGTATTCATAATTTCATCGAGCGATCCAGCGCCCCGAAGCATCCTATCCATACATAAATTGTGCGCACACAACGGAGAAAAGACTCGGACAAAGCGCCTTCAGAAGGGCTCGCCGTCCATCTCCGCCTGAATCATATTTTTCAAGTAACTCAATTCGTCCATGATTTCCTGCATCGTACTATTACCATGCATCGACGCCTCGCCGGCCGGAGAGAGAAGGGGCTGATAGAGACCCTCTCGATCCGAAGAGCCCCGTTCCCCATAGCGTGGGTCGGATAGCAAGATTGGAGAGTCGATGGGGCTGCGAGCATGAGAGAGGGAATCGATGGACTCGAGAGCATCAAAGAGAGCGGCGTGACGTTTGGGATCTCGTTCAACTTCGTCTAGTTGTTGGTCGATCCCGAGACCGGCTGTCAAGCCCGGGGACGATAGAGAGAGCGTGAGCCGTGGCAGGTAGAGTTCTAGAGGCTCGAGCTTCCACGGGATGGGTTCGCCGGACACGGAGTTGGGAGAGGACGGCTTGGAAGCGGCTGTGAGATGCGGGGTGTTGGGGTCGGTGTTGGTCGAAGTGTCGCCAACGTCGCTCAGGTCTGGGGTACGCCATTCGTCGATGTCCGGTGAGGCTGTGGTAGTCTGCTGAGTGGAAGGGGCAGGGCACATGAGTTCTAGCAGCGGAACCTTCTTTTCCTCCTCCTCGACTTCAGGCTCGGTATCGGTATCGGTGCTCCATTCCGAAAATCGGCTGTTCTCCGCGTCGGATTGGAAGCAGGCAGACTCGGGTGCGACGGTTGTCAGGCTCGAGAAATGACTGCGCAGGATCTGAGAGCTCATTTCCTTGTCCGTTTCGTCCATGGCTTGCACCGCCTCATCCATCACAGATGACGGGGTGTTGGGAAGCGAAGGTAGTCGTTTCTCTTGCGCGCTATTATTGCGAGGTGTTGTCGCGCCACTGGAACAGGCCATCGTCGAGGGATCCTTGGAGATCTGCAAATCATCACCCATTGCTCCATTGGGCCCCACGGCAATGTCTCTGGAGACACTGGATCTGAGTCGTGTTTCCACAGTGAGGCCGTTGAAAGGTCGACCTGCACCCAGCCCATTCATTTTGATTGCACGGCGGGTCTGGATGGAGGGTACAGAAGTAGAATCTGCTGCCACAGAAGACTTATTTGGTACACCAGATTTCGGATTGATTTGGCCTCCTCGCGAGGGGTGGATGCTCTTTTCCGCAGGGATGGACCGCGACAGAAACTCGACGCTTTTGGACATGTTCGCTCCTTGACACCCGATCGCGAGGAGACGATCTCGTGGAGGCGAGACCGATCGTGCGTCCTTGCCATGGTAGTGCCTTCGGGTAGCACTGCTGGGTTGGGAAGAGCTGCGGTAATGGACGTTTGGTGAGAGGCGAAGTCCAGGGGTCGTATTTTGATGATAATTCGGAGCCAAGGATGTCTGTAGTCGCGCCACAGTCGGTTGGGGGGGTTTGCGAGGGTTCAGAAATTTGTCTTCTGGGTTCATTGTCCTGTAATTGAACCCTTCTGATCCGTCGTTCCTGAAGGATCCATAGCCGCTATCGGGAAGAATGATGGGCACATTCAGAATATTCAATGGCTGCCCTGGCAAGAAGGGGCACTTGGTGGTCATCGGCTCCGCTGGGTTGCAGTATTCCCTGTCATTGTCCAGCAAATACTGGTCGAACCGTTAGTTTTCTTCCAAATGTTCGTCAGGATCCGTCAACCGCCCTCGTGGACGCGCATCAACGTACGTAGTACCAGTATGTCGCTCCCATCTTGAGACCGCCGGTGCGCCATTTAGATCTATCGCTGGTCGATCCATCACTCAAAATGTCTGTGAAGGTGTGGCACCCGCGCCATTGGCCAGGCCCCATGCGCCTGTCCCTCTCCATCAGATACGGCCGGGCGAAATTATCCCACGATCCGAAAAGTTTGACCGATCGGACCTCTGGATATGTCATTCTGCAGAGAAAGCGTCAGCGATGGAGCCCACGCAAATATGTTGCTTGTGTGTTCACTCACAGAAGAAAAGTGATAAGAGTAGTCGAAGACATGGTGAGGCAGATGCAATGTAAGAGTCGCTAGAAAATGCAGGCAAGCTGGAAAAGAGTGGCCAAACTGGTTGCGCGAACGTCGAAAGATGGTAAAACGAGGAGAGGAACGAAGCTTCTCCAAGGAAAGGCGTGGGAGCGTCTTGAAAAGGATGGGACGGGGACAGCAACCAGTGCGTGAGACGTAACGAGAGAACACCGGTATGGTACAAAATCAATCAACGCAAAGAACAAACACGAAAGACAGAGCGAAAGACAGGCGAGTCTAGCGAGTGGTGATGCAAGAGAATGACGAAATGTACCGAAGGAAAGGGAAAAAAAGAAATCAGATGATCAAACGCGACAAGGGACTATAAAAGAAAGGTCACGAGCGACAGTTGCCTCGAGACCGAGCGAGGCAGATCTAGATGCTCTTGAGCCAAAAGAGAAGAAAACAAACAATGCAGGAACAAGTGCCAAAGACAGCCTTGGGATGCTATAATTACCGTCGATGCAGGCACTGCGGTGGCGCTAATAGCTCTTCGGCCTGTCTGTTTCAAAAGTCGAACCCTGAGCGATCTGAGGCTCCACACCAATGACAGGTCTCAGAGCAAGTCCACGAAACACGTTTCAGAGTTGACGAAAGAAAAGAGTGAGCCTCAGGCACTACCCCGGATCACGGCTGTTCAGAACAGGACTCTTGCCCGGAATACTGGCCGGCGTCGAATGCCACTCCCAGACTCGGTCGCCAGCAGGGTGACTGACAGGCTATTTGCGGACAAACAGTAAGCGCCGAGGCCGTTTTCGGTCGGAGTCACGGTTTCGAGATCCCCGTCGACGATCTTTGGGGGAGGGGAGCTTGTGTCGGATGTTGGTGCTTCAGGAACCGCGGAGCTAAATCTCAGGCACGCTGCAGGTCGACAAGTGCAACCAATGGAACGGGACTGGGCGAAGAGCGAAGCGCCCACGCAGCGTTTACGATACCTGGTACCTGCGTCGGAGATGGGGAACGTCTGGCCAAGAGATCTTCTAGACCGTCCCACTCCCAGATGCTTTGGTGACGGGCGCACAGCGCTGCCTTGCCACTCGAAGGAGTGTACGGTGAGTGAGCAGGTGGGAATGGCCTGTTCAAGATGTCGAGCAGAATAGTCGTCCGACTTTGGGAGGAAAAGATGGAACAGATTGACGCGACGGGAGGGAGAAGGGTCGAGTCAATTGGCGAGAGAAATCATAACCGGATCGTGTCGTCCAGTCGTCTCGGCTCGGAGTTATTGAGTCAACCAAGTCTGGTCACAACGGTAGGGATGACTGCGATGGACCTCGTTTTGTCGAGTGTTCGTCAGTCGTCACCACTTGTGGCCCGTGACGGCGATCGGCGCTGCGGGAGATTTTATTTGTCGAGGATGATACCTTCGACCGCGTCCAGCAGACGATCGTGATAGGCGGACGAGATACCACGCCCAAGAACCGGTGGAGACTGGAGACGAGGTGCTGGCCTTTGCTGACCGTGGAGATGTGCAACGGTCGAATGAGCCGAGAGGGACCGGGGTTCTCGCTCTCGCGCTCAGGCCAAAGAACGAAATGAAGCAGGTAAGTAGTTGCGACGCTTCGGGGATTGGCTCGGAAGAGGGCTGCGGCTGAACGGGACGAGGCAAGCGATGGGCGTGGGAGTGTGGGAATGTCGTGCAGCTGAAACTGAGAGTAGTATCTCCGTACACACTATAGACCATACAGCCGAGTGAGGTAGGTAGAGGAAGAATGGAAACAACAGAAATGTAATATGAGAAAAGAAGAAATGACTTGTCGCGACGGATGAGAAAAGGAGACTGTCTGTCTTGAGGTATTTGCGAGGGTTCAGCTGAACCATGGTTGAGCTCGCTCCTGCAAGGTACCATTACCACACCACCACATCCCGACCCCATCTTTTTGGATTTCGAATAACGGGAACGGTTAGGACGGTAGAGTCACTCGAGTGGATCAGTCTAATCAGTGTAGACTGGAGAAGTGTAGAGTAGTACAGGAGTATACTTGATAAGTTGATGTGAGCATTGGTTCAATTTCTCCGATTCTAGTAGGATCATGTGATGATCGCTCCCGTGTGTCAATGGATTCTTCTTCCCATCGTCTCCATGTCGATTGTCTCTATCGCCGGCCTCAAGCATTGAACACTCAATCCTGAATCCGCTGCACATGATCGGCTTGGTATTGAAGGCCCTCATTCGAGTCACCTGATTCCACCGTATACAGACTAACTACAGAGGACAGAGTCACAGACACGTCCAAAGCTAGGAGTAGACTCCTTCCCAATTCCCTACCCAACCACACAAAGAGCCTCTCGTCTTACTCACATCACTCATGAGGGACTCGATCGTCAGCTGAGACATAAACACACCTACATCTGCCCTGCACAAACTACTGTCGCAGGCTTGTTCTGCTCCGCCCCACTCATCTCCATCGCACCCAACCCACGAGATGAACCTGCAAGGACGGAAATCGCAAACAAGCAGGAGAAAGAAAAAGCCACGGAGAGAAGGGCCTCCCCCCAGTCGTTGGCCAGCGGGGTGTGGCTCGGGGAGATTGAGCTCGGCAGTCGCGTCTCCACTCGGGCGGTTCGACCGTCGCGGAGGTTGGGCCAGGGTCAATCGGGCAATTTGCACCGGTCAGCATGGGGTTGATGTGCGGGTCGCATGGATCATTGACTACACTGATACGCATAGTCGCTTACAGTATGTGATGGACAGTACTTAGTTAGGGGAGTCCTTGGTGCGATCAGTTGAGGTGAGTAACTGGCGAACAAGCCTTGCAGGGTGAGTTGATGAGTGAGGAGGTAAAGCACACTATTAGCTTAGAGTTAGAGTACTGCGGAGTTTGTCAATCGTAAGTACCTACTCAGTAGACTCAGACTCAGTAGACTCAGACTCAGGACTAAGTACTAAGTACAGGTCAAGGACAGGCGAGCGCGAACAACAAGGTTTGACGGTACTCACAACTCAACACCAGAGATAAAACCATGGACCAGAAACCGAAAACCCCACGACAATATGACCCATCATCTTACTCCCCCAAAAAAGTCCCAAAAGGCCGGTGGACCCGACCCTGCCCCAGCTGGCGCATGATTCTCCGATGAACCGTTTAGTGTAGCCTTTGACCATTGCCCCCCTTCAGACGAAATGGTACGTCAGATCCTGGGTTTGACGGATCCGGGAATGAGTAGGACACTGACTGGGAGCATAGGATAAGATCAAGACTACTACTTTAGTACTTACTACCTACCTACCGACCTACCTAGGTACCAAGGTACTAAATCCGTCTGAAATCCGGTCTTGAGGTGCTACCTCATACAGTACATGCTTTCCAGTGAGTGGTGGATGGGTAGCAAGAGTCAGACACTAAGGGATTCCAGGTTGCTCCAATCCATGGATTCCATCCAGCTCGACGTTCCAATTTCAAGGGGATTTGGTACCTGATGACGACAACGCGTACCCTCTGGCAGTCACCGTTCCGTCGGGTCATGCAGATGCTGGCCCATACGGACTGTGTTGGTTGGCCATGTCAAACTAGATCATATACCTACTGATAAGTGGCTGATCGACTAAAAAGACCATCTCCTCCTGAATGTGTCCCACGGGCACAAGGCACATGAACCCACCGGCTCTCATTGAACGAAAAGCCATGAAGAAATCAACCTTGACCCAACCAAGCAAAGCACAAACACAGATAACAAACATGAAATCGCCAGTCCAAGCCAGAAATCTCTCTCTCGAGACCCTTCCAATCCTTCCTTCCCAAAAGTGCCTACTGCACCGATCGTCGATCATACTTCTTGTTCACCGCACCCAACACACACTTCAAGATCCCTTCCGCATCAAGTCTCTGGCCCGATCTGCCGCGCCACGGCACCGTATCCACAATATCTCGCATCTTTCCATTCCGGCTCCGGTTCCCCAGCTCATCATCCAACTCCTGCAGATACTGTCTCAATCTCTCATCCTCTCCGATCTGGAAGAACTGGATGCCCACTTGCCACGGCAAGCAACCTACATGATCCAGAGTCTGCGCAACCCGTATGATGATGCTTTCGGCGTCATCGGTGAACTCGCCATCCGTGATGGCGATGATATTCACTGGCTTGACGTAGGTTGCTGGGTCAATTTGGCCGCCGTTTGTAGCGGGAGAGGTCTGCATGGCCTGTACACGCCAGAGATACGGATACAGGATCTGGTGGAGACGATGGCCTAACGGGGTCGAGCCTCCGGGTCGGACACTGCGGAAGATCGTGCGGACGTCGGATGCGCTGGTGACGTGGGTGTAAGCGCCTGCGCTGGACTCATTCGTGTGGTTGCGGTGGTTGAGAAAGTAGATGTCGATCCCGTCTGCGTCGTGTTGGGTACAGATGGGGGCAATGGCCGAGATGGCTTTCTCGGCTTCCTTCCAGCGGGTTCCGCTCATGCTGGCGCTGTCGTCGACGAGGAAGATGGTGTCAAAGTCTGCGAGAAAGGCAAAGCGATCATCGTTGGGCGAGCCGGTGGACGATTGGGCAGATGTGTTGGAGTGTGGTGGCGCTCGTGCGCTTTGTTGAGACTCTTCGTAGGAAGGCGGCTCCCAAGATGCTGAGTCGTTGGGTCGAGGCGTGGTTGGCTTGCTCCGACCGAAGCTGAAAATTGAGGTGCGCGGACTACGGCCAGAACCAGGGGTGACACTTGGGGCTGCGGCTGATGCGGCTGCTGCTGCCGCCGCCGCCGTTGAGCTGGAATTGGCCCTGGTGCTCTCTAGCTGACTGCCCACACGTCTTTGGCCCTCTGGTTGTCGTGCCCGGGCAGGGTAGGATGACCACATACGGGGTGGTGTCAACAGTCCGTACTTGGACGTACTGGAATCCATTCCTTGAATAGAGTTGGCTTGAAGGTTTTTCTCGAAGTAATTCAAGATGCTGATTGACCTTTCCGATGATGGATGATGCTAACAATGCAAAGTCTGTTGTATTCTGCTGAACTGCTTGGTATTGAGGACAAGTTCAATGAAGCGACGACGATCCATCCTTCTTATACTCGACATCGTCCGGGAAAGTATGACCAGAATGGCCAACAACCACGAAGATTCACTGAGCACCATCCTGTCAACCTTTGTTCACACAAGGCGAATCGTGGCTTTGAACAGTCACGCCGTTTATGAAGCGTCACTATTACTATTCTCCATGGATTCATGATGAAAAGTGTCGTTTCTTGGAAAGGGGAGTGTGCGCGAGTCCGATGACTTGACCTCGTTGCTCTCTGTCGTGGGTCGTCGAGTCAGTTGCGTCTTTGTTCAACGGTGCTTGGGGAGAAGCAGCTCGTCTATCGTTCCAAAGACAAGGCGCTTCGGGGGCTCCAAGGGGTCAAGGACTTGTAAGTTTCCCGCCAGCCACGTGTTTCACCAAGACAGATTGGAGCCGCGATCCATGCGGTCAAGGTCAAACCATGTTTCTGGCATACAATCTCGACCAGTCCAAGTCGCATTTGGAGGTATGCGCAGCGTCAGAAGTGGACACTCCGAGACTCCAAGTGTTGGAATAGTTGCTGAACATATTGGTAATCTGACCAAGGCACAAACGTTTGTAGGATATTTCGTACGTCTTGGAGCAAGGTTGGTCCATTTACGCGACTCGCAGCCGCTGGTTAGTAGAGGCGCATTATCCAGTGACTTTGGGGGCGGAGGCGCTTAGCCGCAGGGCTGAGTCGGCGAGTGGGAACTAAGTTGATGCGGCTGTGGACGAGACGGTTAGCCACCCGTGTGCCACAGTTTTTCTTTACTTAAATCGACTCGTCCGGGTGATCGCTCTTCTGTTTCATTATCGAGTGTATATCGTTGATATACTATTCCAGGTGCCAATTTCGCCTCACAGCTTTCCCAAAAAAAAATGACAGAAGCAAGATCGCGCAGCCCTGAGTTCATATTGCGCTTGGGTTGCCCCATACAAGTCTTATTATATTGTGTCGGGTATTTCAGAAACTGAAAACACATCCAGTGTCAACGGTGAAAAATGCAAACTCATGCCCCTATACTCAGTTTCGACTGTATTCTAAGCGCCCATCTATCTAGGCCACAACCTCAGTCCAGCGACCCCCCTTGAAGAGAACAAAACGACAATCAACATCATTTCTTCGCCGTCGCCATGTCCTGACTCAAATTATGGTTTCTTCCGAGGCCGGAATCTGCGTGTAGTGTACATCCGGCATAATCGGTGGAGTGCCCATTGACACGGGTGAGGGGCACTCTTCGGCCACATCATGATCGTCAACTTCTCGCAGGATACCTGCATCAGCAGCCACGATGTCCATCGTCGCGAGGGCCTGATCAAACCCGAAACTGTGACCGATGAGCCTAAGGCACTGGATGACCCAGCGACGCAGTGCATGATTTGGACGCTCGACAATCCCGGCGAGAAAGAGCGGCCACAGTACGGTCAGTCCACCCATGAATCTTTCAAGGGGAAGAGCAGCGTGCGATCGACTGTTTGGCAGGGCACCCAAGATGTACGGTACGCTACGGCATATGTCGACTGCTAGTCGCCGGATGTTGATCCGTTGTGCTTTGCCCTGTTGCCATATCTCTTCCGAGAGAGATGCATTCGTCGAGGACATGGCCAATTTTCGAATGTGTTCTAGGGCAATTTCATTGATAATGATCCGTGTGCATCGATAGTGATTCCACGTGTTGGAGATCCATAGATTGGGGTACTCGTGATATTGGTCATCGTAGGGGACCAGTCCTCCACGGCGTTCCTGGAACAAGATGTCGTAAGGGATCACTGTCTCTGTTTGGTAATTAAACTCGGGCGGCAAAGTGGCTAGCCAAGCAACCAGATCGGCTTCTAGTCTAGAAGTAATTGCTAGGACCTCGTGACTATCGGTTACGATGCCCTCGCGCAGGTCCGCACGAAGACTCGCCAGTCGGCCGATGATCATGATCAAGCGATTGCTCTTATCTTCAGCCGGTCGAAGCCAGATTGCATGTTCAGTGCAATCAAGGAGAGACCGGGGCACTCGTGCGGTTCGTTGGATACAGCTGATGACCTGGGATGTGTGAGCCAGGCAAAGAGACAGGTCTTTGACCGAAACTGGACACCTGGATACGTACGATCTGATACCGCAGGTGCAGGAAGAGCCGGAGACCAATCTCTGTCTTCAACTGGTCAGGACCTCGTAGATGTAGCAGAGCCGTTGCTCCTGTGATGTGTCTTGTCCATTGATCAATATCTTTAGGGGCTCTAGAACAGATGATCTGATTTGAAGCGTTCCAATAAGGTCAGTTTTTGCCCGGGAACGCCCCCCCTCCCGCAGATCGAAACGCTGACGCCACTAGAGCCGATAGGACCTGGCTTTTTCCCATTGGATTACTCACCTCATAAATGGCAAGCAGAATGACCGCCCCCAAGGCTTGATTTGTCTTGGCTTCTTTCACATCAGCCAAGGCCGTGTTCAGTAAGTTCAGGGCCGACACGTATTCCTCTTGTGCCAGGCGTTGGAGTGATCGTTTCTTCCGAGCTCGGGACAGCATCGCCGAGGAGACTGCAAGCAAGCTGGACTGCATGGCTCTCTTACTCGGCGTGGGACTTGGATCGTCCATGAACCGTTCGACAAACTCTCCCGCCCAGACGTTCCCCGGGATGGCATTCCCCCGTAGAAAGAAGCATATCGCTTCTTCCCTGGACGCTTCAGCCGGCGGTTGGACCTCTGGTGATAGAGAGCAGAAAGCGGAGGCGCGGCGATCCACTGACTGATGGATTGGGTCCCGCGGACGCATTGCCCTACCGACTGGCCCAGTGCTCCCCTTTTTCCCACCCGGGCAATCAGTGCGAGGCGATCGGACAGTCGGCCCTTTGGCTTTGGGCCCGATGGACGGTGAGGCGCCCACCTCGACTGTGGCTTTTCGGATGACGGACCTGCTTTCATCGCGAAACATCAACGACAATTGGTCTCGATATCCCGGACATTCTTTCTTAGCACGAATACATTGCGCACACGCTGGCCGGGCTTGATCGCAGCGGATTTTCCTGCTGCGACAATTGCCGCATCCTTTACTCGGCTTGCCGCAGTACACCATGTTGCTGGAGAAGACGAAATCTCTAAGTCATGTGGGCGTTCAAGGCATCATTCCATTTCCTGGATTGATTCAGAGCGAGCGGTGGAAGTTTGAGCTGTCAGCACAAGAGGGGAGACTACCTCAGTACCTACTACCTAGTCACCTACTAGCCTCGTGTAGTACTAGTAGAGTGCGTGGCGTCGAACATGCAGTGAGCATCGGGTTGTCAGCGGGGCGCCTGGCGGGTCACACCAAGTGCGCACAGCCTCTCTCTCTTTCTCTCTCTTTCTCTCTCTCTCTCTCTTGACAAGTCGACAAGTTGACAGCGCGAGGGCTCGCAGGATGCGCCCGTTCGGGTAATAAGTGAGACGCTAGTCCAGGTTGGGTAAGCACTGCGACGCTTTCCAAGGTGGGGCCATGGGGGCCATCGAACAAGCACCAAAAGCTTATCGTCCTCTCAGCCTCGTTGGCAGCACATCCGTCAGGGGAATTCTACGATGAGATGCGACGGGACGCCTCTCTGGCAAGCCATTCGGTTTAGGCACCTGCGATGTTGAATGACAGTCGAGTCACCAGGCAGCCAGCCCATGGCAATGGGAAGCTGAGGTAGTCAAGGATGTTGGTTGATCCACTCACGTTTTCAGCCCTCTCGAGTCTAGTTGATGTTATCGATTCTCTGCTCATCTGTCGCAATTATTTCTAGATTAGGAAATCTCTTCGAAGCACCACAGAGTCCAGCACAGCCTCTGTCACTCTTCGAGTCTACCACATCTAGATCATGTCAAGTCGTCAGTATATAGGATGGGAATCTTCGCCAGACTTTGGTGGTTGATCATTCATTCCAAAATCCATCATTCACTGCCTCGAAACGTCAAGACTACGACTCGTCTACCAACTCTCATCTCGGCCTTGAGGACAAGCACATAATACCTCATCTCTTCGACACAAAAAACACGTCTTTCTCGACTTCCAACACCATGACGATCAACTACCGACACGGTCTCTCAGTCCTCGAATTGCTCGTTTACATTCCAAGCGTTTTCGTTGCAGTTTTCCTCGTCGCACGACATGGTCTCCGTACAAATAGCGGATTTCTTTTTCTCGCCATCTTCACACTCACTCGGATCGTGGGTGCCTGCTGCGATCTTGCTACGATAAGCAACCCTTCGATTGGGCTGTACACGGCGGCTGCAATCTGCAGCTCCATCGGTCTCTCCCCCCTGATGCTCGCCTGCTCGGGTCTCCTGTCTCGAGCGTAAGCCAACCCTTTTCATGCAAGCTCATGACAGCTGGGCCATTCTTCTTCTTGATCAGATTCAGATCTAACCTCCACCTCCAGTAATCTCTCTGTCGAGCAAACAACCGGACGAAGAGCCCTTCCAGACTTCATCTTCAGAGCCTTCCGCCTCCTCACCGTCGCCGCATTGGTACTGAGTATCGTCGGAATCACCTCCGACATGTCTGTCGAAGGCTTCGAGCACCCCGACATCAAAGTCAAGATCGGCATGATTCTCTTCATCGTCTGCTGGGCCGTACTGGTTGCGATTCTGGCCCTGCTTAGTCTTCGACTGGGCAGCATTGAACGAGGCGAGAAGCGTACACTTCTGGCCGTGGCCTTGTCCGCACCTTTCATTCTGGTGCGGTTGTTGTACGCGCTGTTCATGTGGTTCTTGCACAATGCGGACTTCAACATGCTGAATGGCAATGTCACCGTTCAGCTAGTCATGTCTGTGCTGGAGGAGATTGTGGTTGTGGTTGTTTGTCTTGCCATTGGAATGACTTTGCGCGTCCGGAGATGGAACCCAGTACCTGCTTCGGGGGAGGAGGAACCCATGACATCTTACCGATCACGCAAGCCGTGAGATCTATCGATGTCTTGAGTCTGTTTGCCTGTGGTACCCGAAAAATTTAGAAGTCGTGTGTTTCTGAAGAATGATATATCGTCTTGGATAACCATTCGGGTTGCTAGACTCTTTGACCGTAGAATTACTTTTGTCGCCATATTACATACACTCTTGAAAATTGCTCAATTGATGGAAGACCGAGTTTTCGTTACCACTCTATTTGATGATTGCGTAGAGCATCTACAACTACGTGAAATACTTTTGGTAGGATACCTAGGTAGTGGTACGAAGTTTCATGGATCATTTTATGACTGGTAAAACAATTCCTCGGGCTAAGATTACTCAACATTCGCTCTGTGAATCAAATCGAGCGTAAAAAAAGATGGACCCTGATCGGGGAACGAGCGACACTTCAAAAAAGCAAAAACATCCTCTCCGTGTAGCAGGCCATCAAGGCCAAGCAGTCACCGGCCACTCACCACCGAAGCATCTCAGCACCGCAATGGAACCAAAAGTCGCGGTTCGAGCATAAAGCTGTAAAGGGGCCATGTCTTCCAGCATCAAGCGCGATCCCCATCGAGAAAGAACAAAGAAGCGCAAAGGGCCCAAAATGATCCACCCTAAGAATATCGGTATCTGTCATCACTCATGAAACGGGGGCATCGTAAAATCATCAATCGTGTGGGGAACCCCGCGCAGCAAGTCAAGGCTCGGCCCGCTCTCTCGAACCCCTCGGCTTCGACCAAAGGAAAAAACAACATCTTGACAACGCCCAAACTTGCAAAACCAGCCATCACAGCCACACGAGAGAAGCTCTCTACCACTGCCTCACAATTTCATCCGACGGCGCGTCGATTCTGCGAAGGATTCTATCCTCGCGATACAAAGTGGCAGCATTAATGGTTGCGCCAATACGACGCATCGACATCTCAGATCGAATAGTCGAGCTTAGAGTCCTCAACTCATCGATGAATCCCTCGCAACTCATGAGGTCGGTGCGAGCTGAGGATAGGCGAGTGAGGTGCTGTCACAGAAGGAAAAAAGAGCATGTCAATCTGACTGATCTCATTTACACCAAACGGCGAGAAACTGGTGGTGGGATTCACTTACTGCGTAGAGCTTCTTTCTCTGCTCACGGTCGGGCTCATCAATGAGACGTTTACCCAGTCGGTTGACACATTGCGTGAGGTCTTCCAGGGATCGAGGCAGTGGAAGTTCGTCCTCGTCTTCGTCCTCGTCCTCGTCTTCGTCCTCATCCGAGATTTCAATTGACGGAGTCAAGGCATTCGCGGGTCTCTCGCAGGCAGGAGGCATTTGAGCAATGGAACTCGGCGCAGTCTCAGCTTCCACTGAACTTTCTGACCGTGTCAGCTCATTTGGGACTGGCTCCAGATTGGGAAATGCAGGAGCAATGTCGATCTGCACAACGATCTCCGATTTCGTGGGCTGCAATGTCGAATCCAGAACTTGCTTTGGCGACGGAGAAGCGGGACTGATGTCTGTCAGGATCTGAATTGGGGAGATCTCCAGCGCTAACATCGCGGACTGTTCAAAAGGACGGTCCCCCACGGTTAGAATTTCCGAGGGTGCGGCCGCAGTCGCTTCCAGAGGACTGGAGATCTTGATTCCAGAGTCTTTGAAGCTCTTACGCCCATGCTTTGTGCCCTTGAAGCTGAAATCACGCAGCTTGGCCCGGCCATCCTTGAACAATTGTGATCGAAAACTGACCACCGAACTGGGGTGCGACTCTCCCAAATGCACGTTGGTGTGAGAACGAGTCATCTTGTTCTGACCAGGAAGGTCTTGCTCGCTCCAAGTAGCCGTGACCGGGACTCTCAAAGGAATCGACTTCGAGCTGACTTCCGCAACTCCCTGCTGAAAGGCATTGGCCGTCCAAGAGCGCGGGAGTGTCGCTAAAGAGGCAGTCTCTCGAATGATTGGCTTGTGAGAGGATGAGCTAGGATGTATCGGCACCGGCTTGCGTGGGATCAGGGATTGAGTGGAAATGCTGCCGCGGAGTAGAGTCGGCGGTGACGAGGCATGGTCTCCTTTGACAGGACCCTCGAGGTATTTGCTCGCATTCTTGGAGATCTTCAGGATAGGACCATAACGCTCCCATTGCGACTGCTCAATCGCCGTGGGCGAGGACTCGGAGGAGCTGGCCTGGATCGTGCGAACAGTCTTGGCAGCAACAGCAATCACCTCCTCCCCATCGGATCCCGACTGGAACGCATCTGCGACGGTTCCCGTCTCCCTCTTGTTCACGCCATCTGTCTCACTGAGACCAAGGTCTGGCGGCGGAATAAAGATTCGACCCAAAGGCCGCGGGAGGCGAGAGACAGGCCGCCGGTGACCTCGGGTGAGGGACGTATCGGAGACGCTACCCTCATGATGAGCTAGACAGGATATGTCAGCCAGATGTGGTTATCTGTCATGTAAGATTCAGTTCTCACTTACTTTGCACCCGGGAATGCTTCTCAGGATTGGGTCTACCCGTCAGCAGGTCAAAACGAGGACGGGTCAAGGAAGGTTGCCCGGATGAGGCCGAGGACTTGGACATCGCGGCTTCTGCTTCACTGTCAACGGATGATTTTCTGAGGTTTCGATCTAAGGTGAGGTTAAGGCCACTCACTTTTCTCTTCGGTCCGCTCCGAAGTGTGTCCCTGGTTTCGAGGGGTGATGCGACGGCGGAACATTCTCGTCAATGATCTGCCTGGGCGAAATTGAGGAAGACGCAGTTCTTGGGTGACGAAGGTGAAGCCGATTTGCGAAGCCAAGGAAGCTTCTTCAGTGAGGTCAGTCTCTGTGGAATACTACTTTGCAGAGTTGATGAGAGTTTAGAAAGAACTTACTGTTTCTCTCAGTTTGCTTTAGACTGAAGGAAGCGTTTGGGTGACCCGCCTCGCTATTGCGTTGTTTGGGAGCGAGCGCCGGAGGGGTCCGCAAGGCCGTCGAGGCCGTCGAGGCCGTCGAGGCCGTCGAGGCCGTCGAGGCATCTGACGGGGACATCAGTCTGATGACAGGCCACGGCGACCAGATGTTCTTCGCCTCATAGAAAAGCGGCTTGTATTGATTCTCGACCACACGTGGCAAAGAAGTCCATCTCACATGAAGGCTTCCATGATGAGATCGAGTCACATTCATTCTCTCCAAGGCCGGCAGGTCTTGTACGTCACACTCGCTGTCTATCTCTGTCGGCTCCATTGAGCCAGTTACATTGCTATCATTGTCCTGATAGCTGCCGGTCGTCACTCCTGACAAGGAGGAGCTATAGCGTGATTCCTCCAGAGGCTCGTTTGGGTAGATGGAGCGAATATCACGCGCATTTCGCTCAACGCTCCGCTACAAATTTCTGTGAGTCCTTGTATTTGACAAAGGTCTTGTCAACGGAGAGACAAAAGGGCATAACTGACCAAGTTTGGAAGACGTTCTCGTATACACTTCACAGTATGCTTGATTTTAGAAGGAAATCCATTCTACGTTCGTTATTAGTTTCACGCACTTTCTTCCATGTCGTCCAGGTTTGTTGAGACTTGGTGCCATCCTGGTGATGAGCATGCTTTGAAAGCTCTTTCACTGACGGTAGCATGCAGGTAATACGGTGATAGCTTTATCACAACATACCTTATTCTCTGCGGAATGATGTGACGCGCTGAGCTGATGGCCTCTGACGCGGCGCACCAGCTTTCGCAATTTTTTCATCCTTGCTGGACTCTGATATCAGCTTCAACCTCAAGACCCAATGATTGATGCCTTCATTGAAGACTTCAAGCTCCTCTTACTTACCGATCAGGATGTGGTATTTGTGGGAGTCGTATGCGAGAGATTGAAGACGGTTGAAGGTGGTTGAAGAAGAGAGAGAGAGGAAGTGGGTGTGTGTGGGTGGTGATAAGTAAGTGAGGATGGGATGGAACGACTCGAACGCGTCAGTGCTGCGTTTGCATGTCAACAAGGTAGACTCGATTCGAGTCCTTGAGTAAACAGACTGACGCGTGAACCCTCGGAGATTGAAAACCTCGGAGATTGACGGATATCACCGCCTTGTCGCGAGGAATTGGCTCATCAACAAGAGGTTCAGATCAATGACCGGGTGAAACCGGTGGATCTATGAATCGACCGGTAAGCGCCTCCTGATGTCAGAAGTGAGCGTTCATGTGAGTCTAAGCTCGATGATCACTGAACGTCAATTCTTTATGTGAAACTCAGAAGGGCTTTCAAGAAGAGCTGGCTAAATGGCAAGTTCGGTCATTAGGATTGCTTGTATTTGTCTGTCTGAGTATCAAACGTTCAAATGAATAGGATTGAGATATAACCAGAGGACGAGGCTGCCAGCATCTACTGGATACCACTGTAATTGCAGAAGAAATGGCCATGGCTGAATGCATTGGCCCCATATGCAAGCAACTGCTTGGATTGACCCTTTTGTCTCGACTCGCATTTATCGAGGTGCTTTTTCATGGCCGCTTTGGCAAGGACTCGGTTTCTGCCTCACGCTCTCGCTTCCTCTTTCCAGTAGACAAGCTGTTCGAGTCATCACTGCTATTGACTGACTCGCCAACATCACCCTCTTGGACTTCAGTAATCTCCCACTCAATAGAAGTGGATTGGTCAGGGCTGATTCCAACTCCACGGCGTTGTCGAATAAGACGACCAAGCTGGCTTCCTTCCACCAATTCCTCGAACCAGGGAATACCGTTGATAATACCACGATTCTGAGACCGTGAGAGATCTGTTTTTTGTCGTGATGGAATGACGATAGTCGAAGGTCTATCGTCGGACTCGGCCTCATTGACGGAGGTCCTTGCCATCTTGGTCTTGGGCTCGTCAACTTCCTCGTCGTCGTCCTCCTCCTCCTCCTCAAAATCAGGAAGTAATCCCAAGTCATCCAGAGCCCGTTGATGCTCACGTGACAGACTCTCAATGGACACTGACATAAAATCGGCCTCGTCATCCGGTTCCTCTGTCCAGAATGTCAAAGGGGTACCGCAGAATCCGCAAAAGATCCGACGAGTCTGAGGCGCATTGTGCGGCGTAAACACTCGACGAATGGACGTGTGAGTCTCATCTGGGAAAAAGGAGACAGTATGGGATTGATACCATTCGAGAGGGACTCGTAACCAGGAGGTGAGGACTTGGCCTGCATGAGTATGTGAGAAAGCTATGCTCTAAGACCTATTTCACACCTCCGTACTTACGACTGTCTCGACCCGTGTCAAAGTAGACCTGCGCATGGTCGGCTACATCCTCGGGGACCTGAATGGTATACTCATTGCGGCCGCAAGAGCATGACCCGTGAAGAGGCTCGTGAATCATAATGTTGCAGCGTTGTACCACGCCGGCTTTGGCTTTCCGCTACCGTAGGAGATCGATAATTGTATTATTGTAGATGGGATGCCTGAGATCGACTCATGTGTGCGTGTTGCTAGCTCTTGTGTTCTAGGATAGTCGTCCGGTATTAGGAAGATTGGAGCTCATTCGAGAAGGACACGGGTAACGAAAGAACTTTGAGCTGTCTGACGTGGTGGATGGACTACTCTATGACGTTTGAAAGGGCGCCAAGACGCCAAGTGCCCGAGGCGATTACTCCGCACGTTGACCTTAATTGATCGGCCTTAGTCGGCTTATCGGTCCTATCGGTTCCTTTCCTCTCCAACGATCTTTCTCCGGTGTTTTCGACAACTCGCGCCGTCGCTTACAATCATTGCTACACATGCACCACACGCACTACTGTGCTCGGAAGAAAGGCCTTCAAGAAGAAAGAATCTACCTGTTCTGCCTGGAGCTCCCCTCCGAGACCGTCCCTACACTCAACCCTTCGGTTCGCTCTCTTCCTCGGCCAGCAACGGCTCATTTTCCCCGCGCGTGATGAATCCCGACGGCGATGACGAACGTTCCTCCACGACGCCCACGGCTGGACCAAAGTCTGCTTCTGCGGCAGAAAAGGACAAGCCCCGCTTGACCGACCAGGAGAAGAAGAACAATCACATTGCTTCTGAGCAGAAGCGGCGAGCGGCGATTCGAGAGGGATTTGATCGACTTACAGAGCTTGTGCCGGGGCTGGAGGGACAGGGCCGAAGTGAAAGCATCGTTCTACAGAAAACGGTTGAATTCATACACATGAAATTGCGAGAACGGGAGGATCTGATCTCAGAGATCGAGCACAAGGGCGGTCGCGTGGATGACTCGCTTCGACCAACATAACCGAACTGCCGACGATTTCCTCGAGACACTTCAAGATCGGCAAAAGACCACCCACCAGACTCGACCCGCTTTCATTCAGTCCGATCGAACATGCAAGCTATCACTCCTCCGCATTCTACAATACCATATGGGCCAATCAACCTCGGTGGGTCATTTCCCGAGTCACCTTGCGCCATATCAAACCTAACCCTCACCGGACTCGAAGCCTTATTCTTATGACCAAACGATGTCGTGCTGAATCCACCCGAACATACGAATTCGATTAAACAATGTACTTCTTCAATGACTACATGCGATAAACCCCTCTTCAAGAGCCGATCCCAGTCACCTGTCTGCCCATGCGCGACATTCGACCAACAACAAAGTTTCATTTCCATCCTCATCCACATTCTACAGCGCTGGCAATACTCGTGTTCGTGATGGCGTATGCAAAATTTTCGAGTCTGGAATCAGGTAGGGAACAATCGACCATTATCACGTGCCTGTTTTTCCTTGTACATATTCTTTATCAGGACCAACCTGCCTAGCCATCACCCTAGATGTCAAGGAAGCTATGTGAGGTGGCAACTCCGTCTTAAAATAAAAAGATACTCAAGCCATCCTGCTCCCACTACGACTCGAGTATATCATCAAGACTACAGCGATGCGGGGGAACGTCAAGCTTGAAATCATGTGCCAACTGGGGCAGAGGATCAATAATCACATGTCAAGTTGTATAGTAATCAGCCGCACCTCAGGTTCTCAGGTACCTGGACTGACCTGGATGTACTATCCACCCAATCAAAGCTCGGGCGGACTACTTTGCTTTCATGGGCTGGCTGACTTGTAATTGATGGTCAATCTTTCGTTATTTGGTTGCAGACTTGTGGGATTCAAGCATCAAATATCTCCAACATCACTTCAAGTTTGCAGGTGCCATATGTAAGTGTTGGACTCCGGGCCGCCTTTTCAAACCCCATTTTTTCACTTGCAAATCCAGACTTACTAGCCGCCCGCATTCCCCGCATGCACCAGTTATGGTCTTTTTACGCTATTCTGACGGTTCCTTCTTATATGGCGCGGTATTGCAAGTGTAAAATATGATAGCTCGGGACCAGATCAAACGACGGTCACAGGAGAGGCTCTGCTAGCAGACTGATGATGGAAGAAGATCTGTACAGAGAAAAACTCTGAAAGCAAAAAAGAAAAGCTCCCACACCGAGAGTCGAACTCGGGCCTACCCGGTGAAAGCGGGTGATCCTGACCGCTGGACCATGTGGGATTCTATAGACAAGAGAGACGTCTTTGTATATATCACCCCAAATTGTGAGTGAAGCTAGAGACGACTCCTTCGGGTCAATTTCGTGGATCCGCAAGTGGCCAATGCCGGTACAGAATGTCGAGGAATATTCCCTTTTAGCATCGCGAGACCTTTTTTTTTTTACTTTCTTTTGCAACCAAGTATCTCGAATCCAAGCTTTCCATTTTGTCTGAGCTACGTATCTTCCAGGCTCACTGCACAAAACAAGGAATCATGTCAGATTCCAAAGATTCTCTCTTGGGCAACGAAGACCCCATTGACCCTCCCCCCGCATACGACCCTCCCAAGCCTACACGGGGCGCTCTCCCACGCCCACCACCCCTCGGTCTCCCCGTCTTGAATGCCCTTCGCAACAAGCGCGTCATCCTCGCCTCTCAATCGCCTCGCCGACGCCAGATCATCTCCTTCCTCGGCCTGCCCAACATCGAGATCATCCCCTCTAACGCCGAGGAGAACCTTCCCAAAACCCTCACGCCCTTCGAATACGTCCTCGGCACCGCGACCAAAAAGGCCCAAGCGGTCTACGAGCAGGAGATCAGCAATGAGACCGCCGGCGAACCAGCTCTTATCTTGGCCGCTGACACAGTAGTCGTGAACATTGAAGCGGGCACAATTCTAGAGAAACCGCGCTCCGAGGCTCATCACGTCAGTATGCTGCGAGCGCTCAGAGACGCACGGGACCATAAGGTGTTCACGGCGCTGGTCGCCATGGCGCCTTTGGCGAGCGCGAGACAGCCCGGGTATGCGATGGAGTCGGTCGTCGAGGAAACGAATGTGCGGTTTGATGGCGAGGTGACGGATGAGTTGATCTTGGCTTATGTGCGCACGCGCGAAGGGGCGGATAAAGCGGGCGGGTATGGTTTGCAAGGTCTGGGGTCGATCTTGGTGGAGAAGATTGATGGGACGGCCGATAATGTGATTGGCATGCCGCTGAAAGCGACGTTGAAATTGATCGAGACGGTCATGGCCAGGGCAGATGATGAGGATCGATTGCCGGATGACCCGATATTTGAAGAAGACGAAGACGAGGACGCCTTTTGAGTGAACCTCTCCTCCTATACATAGCCCGGCAGTTTTGAGAGCTCTTTGCGGAACCCCAACTATAGACGTTGCATTATGCAGGATTTCAGACATTGAAAACATGATCTTCAATCCGAGTGCGGTCTGGAACGACCTGTTCAGACGTGGGGAGTGTTTTGTGAACACAAGACATGTGAGAACAGCAACCTCCCACATGATCCAGAAGCCTCACTGGAAAAAGAAGGCGTATGGGGTTTCAGATCATCCAGTCATAGGTATATCAATACGGATTGTGGACTAGCTCGCTGATCAAATGATTGTCCGAGACTGGAGTACAGCCCGAATAAGGTAAGAGTAGATAAATTGAATGCTTTGGACATATACAAAGGCGAAACGCCCAGACCTGGAAAGGAAAAAAAACAGAACAAGCACATAGCTCCTTTTCAGACAACACATCCTACTCTATGCGTTCCAGATCCGGCGCAAGGCCTCGGTCACACCCACATCGTTCGTCTCAAACTCGTAGAGACCAACAGCGGTGGTAAGAGTGAAAGCGCGCAGAAGCCAGTGGCAGAAAGAGCTGAACTTGGGAACACGCTGGGGGCGGAAGTAGTCAATGATGGCAGCCCTGCAGCAAGGTATTAGCATCGTCTGAGAGAGATCGGAATTCCCACAAGTGATGGTATACGCACTGGAAGCCGACGTGCGAGTGAGCAACAAGGAGAGTGCAAAGAACGGCGTCCATGACGGGGTTGAGGGAGCCCGCGGCGAAAGGAGCGATAGTAAGAGGAATAAGGCCGACGCTGACAGCTCTATAGATCAAAACAGACTTAGTGCAAAAGCTCACGAACAGAGCGCCATCTTTTATCTCGCACCTTTCGAACGTCCAGTGGTAGCTACCCTCCACGGGATGAGGAGCGGGGGTAGGAACAGGGTCGTTCACTATCAGTTGGGATTTGGATTAGCATCGCCGTGGATTTGACCGACTTTGCTCCTTCCAGTCAAAATCCGAAAATCAATTTCGAGTCCGCAAGGACGACCATAAAACGAGAGATCGGCTAGACTGTAGGTGTGTTCCGAAGCGCGAGATAATCCGGGTATTCGATACGTACTGGTTCCTTCGATCTTCTCTGCATATCAAACACAAGTTAGCAACAACGGAACTAAGCAGCCCATGAAGACCTGTCTCCACCGATCACAGGAACCCAGCTCTCGATCAGGATCGTCTCCGATATCACGTACGAGGCAGCGGAGGCAGGATTTGCTTTCGGGCGGAGGCGTGGAATGCGACCACTTGCGACACGCCAACATTCTGGCGCAGCAAAGGCGACCGGTTGGCCGCAAGAGACTGTCGAACCAGCGATGAGCGAGCAAAGGAGGCCATTGTGAAAGACAGGCTGTGTGATGAAGGACGAAGACAGTCAACTCACACGAGGAATGAGGTTGAAGTGCCTCGGGAGTCCGATTCGGTATGTCATCTTATTGCGGGTCAGGTGATTGGTTGGCGTCTTTCCGCCCAGCCGAGATTGGCCGATGCGATCATCACCTTAAATGTGCATCCTGGCTTCTTCATCGGGAGTGATGGTGTGGCCAAATGCTCTTACAAGTAACAACAGTTTACGTTGCCCGCAACGTGTTGTCGAGGCTCTAGTACAGAAGCAATTTCCCAGTCTACTACCTGGCACCATCTGGTCCTTGTGTCTGAGCTTTTCTTGTCGCCAATTGACAGTCCTGTCAATTGCCTACACTACTCATGACTCGTCTTGAACGTACTTGAAATGATCAGAGAAAGCTATGGGGAAGATTTGAAATTCCAAAATTTTGAATTGATTTCTCGGATTGATAATTGCCGCGCCTGTCGTGCTTCTATCTAGTCCTAATCCAATCTCACATGATTTTGCTTCAAACTACTAATGTGGGGGGTATATTCATATCGGGTCATTGCTTAGAACTTGAGGACGGCCTTGCCCATGTTCTTGCCGTGGAAGATACCGACAAGGCCCTCAGCGGCGTTGTCGATACCGTCGGTCTCGTGGAGAAGAACCTTGAAGGTGCCCTCCTTGATCCACTTCTGAACACGCTCCTGGTGCTCCTTGGTGTAGACGGGGCCCATGTCGGGATCAGCGACAATGAAGCCACGCATGGTGATACGCTTGACGAGGACGTTCTGGATGTTCTTGATGGGGTAGGGGGCAGAGTTGTACTGCGAGATCATACCGCAAACAACAACGCGGCCAAAGTTGTTCATGGCATCAAGAGCAGCCTCAAGATGCTCACCACCGACGTTCTCGTAGTAGATGTCAATGCCCTCGGGGGCGAGACGAGCCAGAGCATCGGCGGGCTTCTCCTTCTTGTAGTTGAAACCACCGTCGAAGTTGAGGTCCTTCAGGATATAGTCAAGCTTCTCGTCGGAGCCGACGGAGCCAATGACGCGGAGACCCTCGTGCTTGGCGAGCTGGCCAACGAGCTGGCCAACGGCACCGCTAGCAGCGGAGACGAAGATGGTCTCACCCTTCTTGGGCTTGCCGATGGCGTACAGGGAGGAGTAGGCAGTCAAACCGGGCATGCCGAGGGGACCGAGGAAGACACGGATATCCTCAATGCCGAGGGGGTTGTCGAGCTTACGAACCCGGACCAGGTTCTGCTTGTCGAGGGCAACATACTCCTGGACGGGGACGTGGCCAATGACGAGATCACCCTCCTTGAAGGAGTCGGTGTTGGAGCGGATGACCTTGGCAATGCTGGCGCTCTCAATGGGCTTGTTCAGATCGAAAGCAGGAGCATAGGACTTGGTCTCGGCAGAGCGCATGCGGCCGCGCATGTAAGGGTCGAAGCTGGTGTAGAGGGACTGGAGGACAACGCCATCGGTAGGAGCAGCAACGTTGGCGTCATAGGTGGCGTTCTCAATGGTGAGGTGCTGGCCGGGGACGGGGTATCCCTGAGGGATTTCCTTGAAGATGAGAGCTTTGTTGGCCATGATGTGAATATTATAGGGGGTGGTATGGTAGGTAGAGCGTGGAAGGTAGACAGTAGTGAGTATGGTTGACGATGAAGAAGGCCAGCGGCGGCCTGGCACTTATAAGTACTTCTACGTTTCACGAAATCGGAATCAGCCAGCCTAAAAAAAAAAATAAAAGAATAAATAGAATAAAAGAATAAAAATCCAGTCCCTCAATTGACCCCTCAGTCGACCATGAAACTACCTCGTGAGACTCACAATAATAGATCAGGCGTAGGACTACTCTCCGTCGACTCCGTACAAAAAGGGAAGCGGGGCAGAGAAGGACCGAGGCACAGCGTCAGAAATCGAGGTGCTACACTCGGAGTCCTTTCACTCCCCACACGTTGCCATCGGCTCAATTTTATTATAAAGCAGATTTTGCCGCTTGCCGATCGAACCCGGAGAAGCTTCTCGACATGGCGGTAGATCCACCTTCGTTGAGAGGTTCCATGCCTTCCAGTATCACGCATCACGAACAGAAACAGCCTCGCGGGTCCGGACCGTGGTTCAATATGATGGACCTTCTGGTGGGAAATTGGCTGTAGATGTAATCCTTTCTTGACGTCGCCACACCCATGCGGTTGAAGGCATGAACCCCTCAACTGAACAGTCTTACGACTTGACCTAGTCTTACAAGAAAAATGGGATTCATATTTCGGTCTTGCGCTCCCTAATGCAGAATAGATCCACTTTCCTGCACATCATTCCCTCGCTGCCATACTACCAAGTCACATCTGGAAGAAAAAGCTGGATATTGGGCAAGAGATGCGCCTTGCCAACCCGAGGAGGAAACAATGATCGAATTTAGAAAAATAATAACTATAATCAACTGAATTATCGGACAGGGAATGGTTTGAGTACATGCGTACATCTCATCCAAACATCACGAACTGTGCGGCGAACATTAGTAAGTATGAGATGGATTCTCGATGGGTACAATTTGTATCCATCCGCTCAGCGGACCATCTCCTGGCGATGCTTTGTATAAATGATTTTTATGAAAACCACCGCAGTCAAATGAAGAGATTTCTTCATAGTAGTAGTCACGACCCCACCATTGTGGCGGTGGAGCCTCGGAGTAACTCAGCCCGCCTCAGACCGACGGAAGACGGCCAGACTAGGAAAGACGGCCGGATCAATGATGGGCGAGAGACTGAGAGGACGGACACTTGGACGTTGGCCATTGAAACTCATGAAGCACCAAGTTCTCATTGCGCTAGGACTTATGCTGGGGCAAGATGGCAGTATATGGGTGCAGGCCGGACAGAATTGGCCAGTCCACGTTGCCGGGCTCGGTCCTCGAGGCACATATTCATGATGCACCTCATCGAGTTGTTTGCGGTAAAACGGCGTGAACACCACAAGCCACCACCAAATCAGTACTGCTAGGATCCGAACTCTTTACGTAGTCCAGTACATGATGTTGTACTGCTCAGTTACAGTGTCTGAGAGTGTACACCCTACACAGTAGTGACAGTACATACTGGCGGGGTGCGCCATTCGAGACTTAAGAAAAGTCTGCGGTCTGTTGAGTGAGACTTTGATCACGCTGGTTTGACATTGACTTGACGTAATCAGTACGTTCAAGGTTCAAGCCCCAAATCATGACAGGTACATATAAACCTTTAGGTAGGCAGTTCAGATGTTACCTGCGATATTAATTGAGCAAGCTTGTCGGGATATGAAATCTTCTTAAGATCCAATGACCACAGTATAGCGACAAGTCCTTGGTTGACCAATACTCAGATATATCAGGATATTGTATTATGAGCTTAAGAAGTAAGTACTTCATGGCTACCTGAATGCAAGTTCTCGCAGATGCAACTTAGGACAGCGCAGGGTGGGACCTCGCCGAAGACAATGACCTCATTCATGATCCTGCAGGTACCAACAGCAGACTGCTGGGCACATCACGTGACCTTAGTACGCATCAATATCACTACAGACTACAGACTACAGACCTCGCGCTCGCTCAGAACGGTGGACGTCAGAGAACATACTCGGAAGAGAACATGTCGATAGTCAAATATCAGTAATTCAGCTTTGTGGTTCAACGCCCTGACTGTATACCCTGATCGCTCACTGGGCATCCGCCCTCAGTCTCTCGTCTCACAGTCCCTAGATTCCTGGAGTCCTGGACAATAGTTTAGGGAAGACCCTTTTTGCGAATTCTGCCAGTTGCTATCAGTTGCCTTGATTTCCAAAGCGATCATTAGAAGCTACCGTGGTGGCCCACCACGGTATTCGTGTCTAAGTAGCACTCTCAATACTGCAGCCCTGCTGCCGCTGGCCAAACGACCACGGATTTATCAGTCGGAACTTGGCAGGCTTTTAGATGGAGTCGAAGTACCACATACGCCGTTCTTCAATGTTGTGTCAAAGGTTACTATCAGGTATCTAATTAGTAGATCGCTTTTGCATGGTCTTATCGTGGGGGTTTGAGAAGATTTTTACGGGAGAAATTGCGAGGAATTGTACACGGATTCCTAGAGTAGGAGACTATAGAAATACATCAGGAATCGTCTTATTGTAGGTCTTCAATTGCGCAGTGATTCCGGTTGCTCACTGTATGTCTTCGCAACGACACGTGAGGCGGGAGGAACAGTGTGGTCTCGGGCTTTTGCCATGGGACAAAATATATTTCAATTACTCCCCAGTAGTATGTGGTCTAAAATAAGCAGCTTACTTCATCCAATGCTACTGTAGGTACTCCACTCGCCTCGTCATCAAATAGGAAATATTAAATCGAGGTGGATAAGTCTTTAAATTCACTACTCCCAATAAGCATACAGCTAGATGGACCGGGGACGTCAGCTCAACATTGAATTCATGAATCGTGGATGGATGCAGTTTCCTGCCTACCCTCAGATTCTGTCAACTTGCTTTATTGATCAGGCTTTACCAGCTACCGATTGAGACGCCTTGGAAATGAAATAACTCCTGCCCTTGGTCAATCTCACCAGAATGCTGAAGAGAACAAAGCCAAAGATTTGGCCTGTTCCACCCGTCTTGCCTACAGGCACCAACATCAAGAGATTCTTGCCTTGATCATACTGCTTGCGCTTGTGCTCGCCGTGGATGTCAGCCATAAGGTTGGCGGCAGCAACTTTGGCTTGAGCCGTCGCTTTAAAACTGAGCCGCATGTTGTTCGTGTTGATGTCACCGACGGCATAGATTGGCAAGAAAGAACCGTCGATCGACCGTACTCGTAGCTCTTCATCCACCTTGACCCAGCCATCGTTGTCGAGGAACGCCTTGGGAACGAAGCTGTTATTTGGAATAGCTCCAGTCGTCGGAATAAAAAGATCAGCGGACAGCATCGTGCCATCGCTCAACGCGATGCTGCATGTCGAATTGTCCTCTGTGATCGGCTGGACGTCGCCCACTTTGACCGATGTGAGGATTTTCACTCCTAATTGTTGGAGCCTTTTCTCGGCCATCGCGCTAGCTGAGGGTTTGAGCATGGGCAGCACATGGTCGGTAGAAGAGATAAGGGTGATTGCCGCTTTATTGGCCGAGCTTTCGGCTAGCTCGCCGGCCAGTTCGACACCAACAGGGCCAGCTCCACCGATCACGATTTCTTTCGCGCCGGCGATCACTTTCTGGGCATTCTCGATGACTTCTCGAATATCATCACGATTGGTAGGCTTGAAAGGTATAGGTCTTCCGGTCATGGCTCCCGTCGATGACGAGTTCGTACTTCCCGACGCAATAACGAGGTGATCGAAAGGAACATCGTGGGTGCCGACGTTGTCATTGAGTGCAACCGCTACTGTTTTCTTCTCGACGTCGATCGCGGTTGCGATCCCAACCAAGAGCTCAAATGCACTCGATGGATACACGGCAAATGCATCCTTGATCGGGAGCAAATATTGCTCGTGTCTAAAAGCATCTGGTTTGGCAACGATGCGTGGAGAAGCAACATTCCAGTAGAATGACTGTGATGGGTTGATGAGAACAACTTTGATCCTCGGCACCCCTTGAAGTAATGAGTGGGCGATGGTGAGCCCAGCGACCCCGGCTCCAATGATCACGACCTGTACGGTTGCCATGCTGGACAGCGATGCCTCTCAGTGGATTCTGTTTCAGAGCTGCGCGGATTGATGGTCGGAGGTAGAAGTACCTGGGATCAAAACGATTCCCCAAAGCAGGCTCCAGGGTTGTTTGTCCGCAGTCCAGAGAAGCCAGGCAATGATTCTCCTATCCAATTAAACCGGGTTGATGCAAATCTCTGACAGTTCAAGTTTATTGACTTTGCAAAAACATGCTCGTGTGGTTGCACAAAGGCTGATTGGCCCAATCTTTTCCATAAACTTGTGCGGATCCAATGCTGGTGGATACTGTTCCATAATGAGTACTGTAGATCGCGGACTCGAGGACAGATCATCCACAGAGATCGATCATTAAGACTCGAGTGTGAGAGCAGATATACTGGACACAGCCATGTGTCCGAGGATCAAAGTCTTATGACTCGCTTTTACCACCCCAGTATATCTCACTCCACAGTCAAAGCTGAGTTAATCGTCTTTCGCTCAAGCCCTCATTGAACGCATGAACGCGAAGCTTAAATGACCCGGACAACCGGAGATTCGGCCTCAGGCTTCCAAGTCAGGGGCAGATCTTATCGATAAGAGACATGTGACCGGAATTTTTCGTTTTGGCTTATTATCGCCTTCGCGCGTCCATCGCCACGCCTTAATCTTCACCAAAACCAAAATCATCAATCAAATTCATCATGCTTGGTGCTGTTCGCCGGTTTGGCGTTTGTCATGCGCTGCGGGCCTCTAGCACGCGGACGCTGTCTACTCGATGGGCTTCTCACTTGCCCAAATGGCAGATTCCAACGGATCAGACTCCTGCCCTTGCGAAGTCATTCCACGTCTCTTTTCCTGCGTTCAATGCTGCTTCGGCGCAGGTAGCCGAGACTCAAGAGGGCTTGCAGCCTGAGTCTGAATTCGTCACAGAATTCGAGGATCTGAAGACGAAAGGTCTGATTGATCCGACCATCATCCGCAACATTACACAACCAAGCCGCATGGGTCTCTCAATTATGACTGATGTGCAGAGTCAGACAATCAATCAAATGCTTGCTGGTGTTGACGTGTGAGTTTTACAATCCAAAACTTTAACACAAGAGCAATCTTTCTATCTCAGTAATATGCTGACTTTTTTTTCTTTCTCAGTCTGGCCCAAGCGAAGACCGGAACTGGTAAAACCCTTGCTTTCCTCATCCCGACCATGCAAAATATTCTCAGCGACCCCTCTTTAAAGCGATCTGCGCCCCAAGAACGTCAGCATGGACGCCACCAGGGACGTAATCGTTCATCTGGTGCTGGTTCTTCTGACATTCGCGCCTTGATCATTTCCCCTACTCGCGAACTCGCAGAGCAGATTGCTGCCGAGGCAATCAAGGTTGCCCAGGGCACTGGGCTTGTTGTGCAGACTGCTGTTGGTGGAACTCACAAGCGATCTGGCTTGATGCGAATTCAGCGTGACGGCTGCCACCTTCTTGTTGGTACCCCTGGCCGCATCAAGGATATTCTCTCTGACCCCTCCAGCGGTGTTTCAGCCCCCAAGCTCAACACACTGATTCTGGATGAGGCAGACAGACTTCTTGACCAGGGGTTCTCACAGGAGATTAATGAAATTAAGGATCTCCTTCCAGACCCGTTCAAGGTGGACCGTCAGACGCTCATGCTTTCGGCTACTGTGCCCAAGGAGGTGATGACCATGGTGAAGCGCACCATGAAGCCGGACTTCAAGTTCATCAGGACTGTGCGTGACGACGAGGTGCCCACTCACATGCGTGTGCCTCAGAAGACTGTGTTTGTGAACGGTTATGAGAACGCTCTTCCTGCAATCCTCGAGTTGGCCAAGACCTATCAGGCTCGCCAGGCTGAGGACAATACTTTGCGTCCTTTCAAGGCTATCGTGTACTTCAACTCCACGAACGAGGTCAACCTCGCCGCCGAAGTGTTCATGGCCCTTCGCGGTGTTCCCGGTGACGGGCGGAGCCAGTCTCCCCTCGGTCGCATGCGCATTCTCCAGATTCATTCGCGACTTACTCAGGCTGCTCGCACGAACAGCGCCAACAACTTCCGCCGAGCGCAGGAGGCCATTCTCTTCTCGTCTGATGTCACCGCTCGTGGGATGGATTTCCCAGAAGTCACCCATGTCCTTCAGGTTGGTCCTCCCCGTGATCGCGAGACATACATTCACCGTATTGGTCGTACTGGTCGGGCTGGTAAAGAGGGTGAGGGCTATCTGTTCGTGCACGATGGAGAGTATGAGTACTACCAGCAGAAGCTGGGCAAGTTGCCCATCACCGAGGACAACACCATCTCCACAGCCACGCTGAACATGACCCGAGATCTCGAGACCGCTTCCCCTTATGCCAAGGAGACGATCGAGCAAATCCAAGAGGCTATGAAGGAGGTTTCTCCCATCATGAAGGAGAGCACATACCGATCCCAGCTGGGAACAATGACTCAGAGCTTTACCAAGCGACGCAACGCTATCATCGCTCTGAACAACCTCGCTATCCACGGTTACGGCTTGGCCGAGCCCCCATCGGTCAAGGCCAGCATTGCTCGCAACCTCGGCCTTGACCGCATCAAGGAGCTGAACATTGAAGAGGGCTCTTATACCCGCCGCGCAGTTGATCCCTACGACAGCGGTCGTCGTGAGCGCGGCTTTGGCGGCTCTTCCTTTGGTGAGCGTGGATCTGGTCGCGGCCGCTCCAGCTACGGTCGCTCCGGTGGTTACGGGGAGTCGCGCTCCTCGAACCGTGGCAGTGGCAGCGGTGGCCTCTACGGAGCTCGTTCCCGCTACTGATCGATTCAGTGCTCCCTTGATGCATGGGACGTGGAGGGGATGTCTCCACACAAACGGCATCTGATTTTGGCCATTTGAAAAACTTCTTTTTGTCTGCTTTGTAGCAAACGGAGGCTGATAGAGTGATACCATATTTGCATTGGGTGGCGTTTCGCATCGTCTTTTCGAATTTTATTGTACAATAATCCCTTCCTGTCTACGACGAGTTCAAGCTTCTCACCTCATACATTTGCTGTATCATACGAGTCACAATGAGCCACAATGCCACTTCCTACGTTTTGGATTTATATGAATCTTCCCACTCGTAGAGCGGTACGGCGATGAGTAGTATCTTCTCAAGCTTTCCCGTCTTTGACCATGGGTTAATTCCCTACACCTCTAGTGGGAGCGAGGTAGATCAATCAGTATTTATTGTAGTAGGGAATCCGGTTGCATGTACCTAGAGCAGATGGTTTGCAGAGGTGCGTGTGCCTGATGGTGGCCTTATAGTCGGGAGAGACTATTTGGACATTACGAGAGGGGTCAATCAACTTGATCACCTAAGGAATCCAAGAAGGAACCAAGGGATTGTACGACTTCATGGGATCCGGGAGATCCATCGGAGAAGGGAATTGAGGGTTCAGGACAGTCTTTACAGTCGGATTCTTTTGCATTGCAATGATACACTCCTTTTGATCATCACTTGTGCCCCTCGACCTCGAACGGATAGGTGTTGTACGGTCGGGCTGGGAGATCTCTGGACGTGCGTGCTGGTGGTTGTGGTTTGGTTCCTCTATGGCTCGACCTGTCTGGTGAGATCAGACTGCCTTGAGCATTCCCCTCTACACTATGTATGATTGCGTACACCTAGATGGCGAGTGCATCCTTCTTCATATCTGGTTCACGGCATCAAATCCCGCCCGTCACGGTAGACCCCAAGACTTTCTATAGGTTCATCCACCTGTCCCATGACAAAAGCCGAGTCCCCTCTCTTCTTCCGCCTGACGTCTCGTTAGAAAGACAATTACTGTACTTGAATCATTATGTAGACGGAGACCCACGCACCGGCGATTTCCTGGGGTAGGTCTATCTATAACCTTCACTGGAAATGTCCTCGTAGAGACCCTCGCAAAGTCTTCTGTAACGATCTTTTCAAAGACCCTAGATACAAACCCAAAGATCATCGGAAAGTTTCTCAAAGGACCCTCGCAAAAGCAATCCGCTGATCGATAGTAACTCAGCACGGTATACGCGGCTCTTCAAGTACATCTGAAAGCCTGCCAAGTTCAATATGACGAACATGTGGTCTTTTTGCCTGATAGTATGCTACGACTTAATACTTACGTACAATATCAATACTGTTTGAGGAATACTACACTAGCCTTTAGTAACCGCTATAACGGAATGGGGTCATGGGCATTTTATAGCCGGCAGAATTCGGAAGGGGCCTCGTAGTATGTTATGGAATTGTAGGAGAGTCTTCAGTTTATGATTCGATAAGATCTTGTGAGTCCATCTGTGACCGGCTATGTCATAGGTGATTGACCTTGATAAGGACATCCTGATCATCGGATTGAAGCGGTATATGCATTTGCCTTGTCACTTTCTTGGCTGTATAGTTCTTCGAGCCAGGGGGGACGATCTAGTAAGATGCATGTGGACAGACAACCCATTTTCTGAATTCATGTCATATAGGACCCACAGAGTCCCTACATAGGCCCCAACAGGGAGACCAGAGTACTTCCCCGCAGGAAACACCCTGCTGCGTATGAGGCGCCTCCGTCATTTGCTCGTCGCCTGTTTCCGGTACGTCGAGAATCTCCGATTGTGATTCATATTGAAACAGTGTATGGCGACACAAAAGAAATGGGAGGAAAAAAAATCACAAATCGAGGCTGACAGCCCCGCAATAAAAATCCAAGAAAGATCTACAGTGGCTGAATGTTGGTTGCAAGTTGAATTTCACAGAGTTTTTGTGGCATATTCGGAGCAAATTGTCCTTTTACTCGCGGGCAATCATGTGCTCACGAGCCGGGCCAGTGCCGATCCACTTGATAGGGACACCGCCGAGCTCACGCTCAATGAACTCGATGTAAGCACGAGCGTTTTCGGGCAGGTCCTCGTAGCGAGTGACTCCCATGGTGTTGCACTTCCAACCGGGCAATGTCTTGTACTCAACCTTGATCTTCTCCACGACGTTGGGGTCGGCGGGGAAGCTGCAAGTGGTACGCTTGCCATCGGGCAGGACGTAAGCGACACCGACCTTGATCTCATCAAAGTCATCCAGGACATCGAGCTTGGTGAGGTTCAGAGCGGTGTAGTGGTTGATCGCGTGGGAGTAACGGCACAGAACTAGATCCAACCAGCCACATCGGCGGCGGCGACCAGTGGTGACACCGAACTCACGGCCGACCTTTTGCAGCTTGTCACCGTCCTCATTTAGCTGTTCACTGGGGAAAGGCCCAGAGCCGACACGAGTAGTGTAGGCCTTGACAACACCGATGACAGACTTGATGCTGGAGGGGTTCAGGGCCAGCGCCTGGACAGCTCCGCCGAGACCCGTTGAGGATGACGTGACGAAGGGATATGTGCCGTGGTCCAAGTCCAGCATGAGGGCATTGGCACCCTCAACGAGGATGTTGGGGGAGTTCTTGTGCTCTTGAATGAACTCGAGCTGATCGACGATATAAGGCTTGAGCATCGTGCGGTACTCCTAAAGTGGAATAAAAAGGCAAAGGCGGGTAAGTTTCCATATCTCTTCCACATACTGATCATTTTTGCGCGTGAGGTCGGGACTCGATAGATTTCTTACCTTGAAGCGAGCAATCTCCTCCTCAACGTCATATGCAAGGTCGCCAAAGCGTGCGCGATAAGAAGTGTCCAATGTGCGAAGCTTCCGCTCAAAGGTTTCCTCATCCAGAATCTCACCCACGCGAACACCGCGACGGGCAGCCTTGTCGCTGTAGCAAGGACCAATGCCCTTGCCCGTGGTGCCGACCTTGCGACCACCCAGGCCAGCCTCTTCCAAGCCGTCGACAACGGAGTGCAGGTCAAAGCAGACGTGGGCACGATCGGAGACAAAGATACGCTTGCCGGCGGAGGAAAGGCCCTTTTCTTCAATGGCCTTCAGTTCCTTGAAGAAACTGGGAACGTGGAAGACAGTACCGGCTCCGATCAGGTTGATGCACGTAGGCGATACCAGACCAGAGGGCAGAATGTGGAAGTCGTAGGTGACATTGTCGTGGACAATGGTGTGGCCGGCATCTATAACGGAAGGAAGCCAGATGACCTCGAGTCAGTTCGATGCACAAATTGGGAGGGTTGACGCGCAATGCACAGTGTCGAGAGCACAGAGGTTCATCTTAGAGTGAGATTCTTGGGTGATTGACTTACTGTGGCCACCGGCAGCACGACAGCAAAGCGTCGCCTGCTGCGACAGCATGTCTGTGATTTTACCCTTGCCTGCAAACTCCGCGTCAGTGTCCTCGATTCCTTAATGTGCAGCCCAGCCGGATTGCCGAGCGAGTTCAGTCTGACCTTCATCTCCCCACTGACTACCTAAAACGATAGAAACCATTGTGACTGTATCTTCACTCCGTCAAGATGACTCGCGATGGTGAGAATGGGTCGAGTGTTGAATGGGAATTCAATCGGGCCTAGCGGTTGGGGTTTTCTGGAGAAGAAGAACGCTTTCTGGCCGGCTTCGGATGGCGGGGCACAGGGTCTGCTTCCGGGTCAGTCTCTCAGCGTGTCTTTCACTCTTGATGGGACCTGTGAAGAGCTGGTTCAGTTGACAAAATACAATACGTACCTCACCTGGTGTCAGGGTGATATTTAGAGTGTAGATTGAAAGACGAGGTTGGAATTGACTTTGCTTTTCTAATGAGTCACTTGTCAGTTTAAGGCGTTTTTTTTTTCCCTCTTCTCGGCGTCACTGGCAATGTGTATGACTCGTAACTGAATTACAAAGGTGGGGCTGCTGCCAACGTGCGTATCTTTGGCTGCACGTGCGTGGCGGGGCGTGGCGGTGCGTGGCAGCGGTGGCTGCAGCGATTACATGCCTCAGGCACCCAGCAATGTAGCTTGATCATTGTCTGTCTGCTCTATCCATGATGAGTACAAGAACACAACAAGGGCGAGTATTCGCCTCGCTACTGCTACGGGAAGCATACCAGCACTCCACTATCATTTGACTCAAATTGGCGGGTCAAGAATGTAAATCATTGAGAGGGTATTCCACAAGGCCTGACCGACTCTTCCAAAATATGCAAATGAAGAAACGCCGCAATCCATATAACACTGACTAAAGGCCATGACAGGCTCGTTGAACGCCAAACACATCTACAGAAAGTCTACCGTGTTCCATGCAGTCACTATTCTTTGGCGGTGCTGTATACCTCGCGTGTATTGAAATCTGGTATAGCCATGATCACACAACAGTACCACCTTTCCGAATCCATTCCCGTAGTCGGCCAAGTTCCACGATGGATTCACGGTGAAGCTCACAGGCTACCTCCCAGTGCTTTCGCACAAGAATATCTTCTTCGATACCGCGAAGGTATGCGCTGAATCCACCTTTGCCGCTACCCGGCACAAGATATTCATCGGCCTCAATGGGGCCTGATTCGTCACCTGTAGTGCTCTGCTGGGGCTGGCTGTCGTTATCAGCCTCGTTGATTCTCAGACGTATTGTATCCCCGACAGCACTGATCCATCCAGGTGCTAGACCCGTCTCGACTGCATCTTGACGTGTGTTGAAGTGAAGAAGCATGCGACGATTGAAGAGATTCCATTCGTGCAGGTAGGTACCCATTGCAGAAACGTAGTAGTTCCATTGATCTCTCGAGAGAACCAGCTTTTGTGAGCCTATCGCGGCTGGCACTAGAGTAGGTACCTTGGGCCTTTTGGGTGGATTCGGTAGCTGAAGAGCTCGCGGGCGAATGTCCTCGGTAGTGGTCCTTTGAACTTTCGCTTGTGACTCGAAAGGTAGGGTGGCAGACACGTCACCCAAATTTTCGATGCCACTGCTGTTCGTGCTGGTGAAGGGGGCAGTGTTACCGAAATTGCCGAGATCAAACAGGGGAGACCGGAAAATGGGCTGCGAGGTGACGCCTCCCGGTGCACCTTGCGGTGTGCTTTTTCTGTTGCACCCTGAGTGGCGGACTGCGCGCTCTGTCTCGTGAAATCGGAAAATCGGGGACCTCTTGTACCCGCAAGGTTTGATGTGCTGGGTATGGGCACCACTTCGTCGAGGTCCATTGGCTCATCATCAACTAGGATGGGCGAGCCCTTTTGGCCAAGCCCGTCGAAGTTGACTGTCCGCGCAGCTTCTTCAATGTCACTGGCCACTTGGACGGGCTTTGGAGTGCTGCGGACCTTGCTGCCCATGCCTGTCGATTTGTTGGGACTACGGGACGAGGATGCGCTATCCGACTGTCCCGATTTCTCTGCAGCCGTCCATGAGATATTGTGTAGATCTTTCGACCATTTATCCGCCAAGAACCTCGGCTGAGCGAACGGAGTCGGGCTCTGCCGTGGCTGGGTTTCAAAAAAGCCCGCCTTCGCGGTAGAACCTGTACTATCCACTCCGAAACCCGCCGCCGTGGAAGACTGCTTAGGGCTGTCACGGGTATTGGCTCGGGGCCGACCATTAGAGTGCAACGGAGATTTCTTATTGAGTGCGGCTTGTTCTTTCAGTTTTGCACCCAAAAAGTTCAGCTCACTGAGGTGCTGGCGCCAATCATCGGCCGAGAATTTCTTGTGAAGATTGTTTGCACCTGTGTGGCCTGAAGGCGTGGGATTCGGCTGCATATGGCTTGCATCAGAGCTGTCGAGCAATCAGTCAGTAATTTCTCGTGGGGCAAGCTGGGAGCTGACTTGGTGAAAAACGAACCTCTCATTCAGATTCTGCGGCTGGGAAGTAGCAGTGCCCTTTGCGAAAGCAGAGCTATCTGAATTGTGGCCTTGGGGATCGTCGCTCTCAGTGGTCAAATCGATATACGTGGGAGCACGTCGGCTCTGCGTTGATGACGAAGACCGTCGAGCTTGGTGGGCAGACCGGGACGAATATGTCTCACCAGTTCCTAGATTCGAACTCGACGTTGGGTTTATGTTCGAAGTCCGGGCCGATCTGAGACGACTTTTGGGAACAGCCATTGGTTTGAAACTACTCGGCCGTCTCACATCCTCCTCTGTGGTATCGTCATCCAATTCACTCGAGGTCGATGAGTAAGAGTACGACCTTGCCTTCGGACTTGCGCTCCGATGTCTTCCATGTTGATTACGATCAGAGCCGAGAGGATTGTCGCGGAAATCAGAGGTTCGTTGCGAGGCGGGAGGTGTGCGCGTAGTTGATGATCGTCCCAACCCGGGGCTCGCGAAGAACGTCTTCTCGCCGCCTACAGAGGCATAGCTGCGACTTGTACGCTCGAACTCCTGCGCCAAGGGTGGGGATGGCGCCCTCGCTGACTCTGGCTGCCAGCTTGGATCCACCGGTTTCATTGGCTTTTTGGCTGTTGGCGGTGGCGCAGAATCGAAATACATGGAGCTGGGCCGGTCAATGCGAGTACTATTATACGCACTTGTCCCCGCGGCCATTGGCTCGTCTCCGGCAGCGGTTCCTGGCGCATAACCGTTCCTCTTCCTGGGCGAGTTCGCAGTGTTCTGGGTTGCGTTCTTGGCTTGGGCGCTTTCTTTGAAGTACTCATACGCGGATTTGGCTTTTTGATGTCCAAAAGGCGTGTTCTGTTGACGAGGCGTAGCACCTGACGTGGGATCGAATCCTCGCCAATTCTGACCTCTCATGTTGTGGAACCCCTTGTAAGCGTCCGCCCTGGTTTGCGATTGATCCTGCGGTTTTTGCCATTGCTCGTGACCTGCACGAGCGTGGGAAGCGTATCGAGCTGCACCGGCCGAGGGTCCACTTGAAGTCGCTTGCGGTCTATTACTTGAAGAGGCGCTCGTTGCTATGGAGATATTAGCTGGTGCTTTCGACCCAATGCTTGGGAGACACAGGAGTCATGTTTGGTCGGGTGACAATGCAAGAAGCAAAGGACTGATTCGAACCTTGTGGTTTTGGAGGGGTAGGAGAGTAGGTCTTTTGATAACTAGGCTGGGGTTTGCTGCGAGCGGCATTCTTGGTTGGCCCGTAGAGCTTGCCGTATCCTGCACGCAGGCGCTCCGTATCATACTTGAGTCGCTGTTGGGAGTCGCTGAGAACTTCATGGGCGGCTTGTATGGCCTGAAACTTTGCGATCACTTCTTGCTCGTGGCCCTGATTTCGATCAGGATGAAACTTTAAGGCTACGTAGGCGATGTCAGCTTCACAATCTCTTTGGAACCATCCACAAACCTCGTTCTTCTTGTCCGGATCGATGCGTACCCAATTTGCGAAATTGCTTCTTGATGTCTTCGGCCTCCGCGCTGGGTTGGAGGCCTAGATCAGCGTAATAGTCCCTTCGGACGTCTACTTTGACCATCTTGATCCCGTCTTCTCAGTGATGTCAAGGCCCGGGCGAACAGGTCAGATTTCATTATCCTATGTCTCGTGGTTCAAGGTGCTTTGTCATTCATGTCCGGCCATTCAGAATGCTTTGCAATGTTTATTGTCCAAGAGCAGAGGCCACTTGATCTCGCCCGCCCAGAAGGTCAGTGGTGTCGCAAAGGCACCGAATCTTTCCCAAAGATGACGGTAGAGCTGTCACAGCTAGGCCTGCTCTGTCGGAACCAGACCGGTGTCTGGTGAAGATCCTTGGCGCGAATGAGTTGCCTGCGGGATCCACGCTGCGACAGAGCTGAGTGGAATGACTGGAATCAGATCAAGCGAGCGTTCGGTCAAGGGCTTCCTCGTCACAAAACGCTCCGTGCCCCACTCAGAAGCTTCCTTTATGACGATCGGAAGGACGAAATCGAAATTCGGCTGGAGGAGGTCTGATCGTTACAGCCGCTTATTAGATCTCTTTTCGTCGCTGTCGTTGTGCTCGAAGTTGCAGGTGTTGCGGTTGCGGGCAAATGGCGCATAAGTGGGATCGCGAGCACTGGGCACCTGATGGCAGAGGTTAGGCTGATCTGGGTCTGAGCGCAGATCACATCAAATCATGAGGCGGACCCTGGCGCCGAGTTGAATCTAGGCAGCTCCGCAGAAATCTAGTAGCTTCTCAGTGGAGGGAAGACCTTGCGCAATTGCAGGTCGAAAAAGAAAAACGGTCGGTGTTTGTTTTGGCGCGAGCGGATCAGCCTTGGTTGGTGCCCAAGGCACTCACGGAGGATATGTACAGTGCAGTGGTGCACACTGCACAGCAAATAAGTTCCTCTTCGTCGATGAACCAGGAGATCTAAAAAGCAGTTGTAGCGTAGATTTTGTATTTAGACTTGGTTACATTCATTTGGGGAAATTTTTCTTCACCCCCCTTCAGAATGAGCGTACAGTCCGTACACTACACAGGATCGTGCCCTCCTGCAGCTGGATTGATTTTATTCAGTCTGACTTATATAGCTGATTCATCCCTGCATCGTCCCTTGATTCATTGATTCATCTATCTGCTGTACGCTCCTTGCGACACAACCGTCTCCCTTCCTCGAAGCCACGAGGAAAGGATCCAAAAAAGTACATACTGACTGTTATCTGGGCCTCTTGCATCACTCAGCGACCACCATGTCTCGCTGAGAACACTCCGTGCCAAACGTTGGGGATTTGCATCGCGGTCCCAAGTTTTGGAAGAACTTTTGCGATCACTAAACCTTGCCGGAAATCAATAAAGCATCGTGTGGTCGGAAGAGCCTCCAGAGACATGGAACATGACTGGTACACGAGTCACCAATCCCTCTGCTCGAGTGAGCCAAAATCACTCTGACAGTCTGAAGTGATGTCGGGCAGGAAGACGCCAGACAGACGGGGGCATTGGCGCGGACTGGTCGCGGCTGGTCGTGTGGAATGCCAGACAATTTTGAAGCTTGGCTGCGTAGAGCCTCTTCAGTGTGAACACACGAGACCACCTGCAGCTTTGTACAAATAATGAGTCATAGTCCTCATTTCTCAAGAAGCGTCACCGCTCGGGGACCGCCCCCCGTACCACCGAAGAAAAATCCATCGAGAATGTCATAATTGGGATTTTCACTCCAATCATGCTGGAAATCCATCGCCATGCCGAACCCGAGATCGATTCCGACATTCTGGCCTAAATTCGGCATACCTGCTATGTCAAAGTCGGGGTTTGCACTGTGCTCTGGAGCGGGAGCTTCAGGGTCGCCATTTTGGAAATCCAAGAAATCGAGACCAATGCCTCGATGGGCGTCAGGGTCGGCAGACTGCATTTCATTGGACTTGGTGCTCGGTTGGACACCGCTCGAGGAGACGTCTTGAGGTGGAGAATGGCCGTACATGAATTGAGGATGGTTTTGCATTTGTGGCGACGTCTGGCCTTCATACTTCATGAAGTACTCCATCGAAGGGGTACGCTGCGCAAATGGACGGGGAAACTCCGACGCAGCTACTTCGGTGGGCTCCGCTCGGTTGGCAAAGCTGTTTCCAGGAGTTCGGGTCTCGGTTTGTGCTCTGTCTGCCAGAGGTGCATTCGAGTCGCTGAACAACTCTGCCAAATTCATGTCGAATTTGGGCGCCGGTTTCGTTGCACGGGAGTGGGTTGAGCGTCGACCGTGTCCTTGGTCGTTTGAATTTCGCGGGTTCCAGGAGTGACGGCGACTCGAATAAATATTATTCGCGTTGTAGGTGGCGCCTTGGATGCGAGACACGTCGACCTGAGAACCAAATCCTGTCGTCGAGAGGCTCATTCGAACCGTGGCTTTACTCATTCGCTCAAAGGCATCCCGACAATTTTCAGCAGGAGGACACTTGTGAGTCAAGTCGCCGAGTACTGAAGTCGCTGCAAGTACCGTAAAATCGACTTCGTCCAGAGTCTATCACAGATGTGTAATCAGCGCGAAGTCTCAGAGGAACAGACCGTGGAGAAAAATCAGACTTTAAAAAACTCACCAAACGACTGCGGACGAGGGGCGAGTGCCAGATTGCATAAAGGAAGGATATGCCTGAATGGATTGTTAATCACTGGAACATTAGAGTGCATGTCTTCAACCATCGAAAGAGGCAGCAGGGTCGCAAAGACAGAGGTGTAAAGGAAAACGACTTCATACCTGCCATGAAAATATGATGCGTAGCAAGGTATGTGTAATTCACTAAGCGAATACGATGCAGCTGCCGATAGATCCGAATCACTTTCTGGCCTGCCTCGGCAACGTTCAAGTATACGTGATCTTCGTCATCGCCATCGTCAGGATAAGAAAGAGATGGACTGGAAACATCATCTGCTGGTGTGAGCTCTGAGGCCAGCTCTGCCGGCACTGTCAAGCTCTGCTGATAAAGTAAGATGATCGCCTGCCAGTAATTCAGCTCCAACAATTCGATCGAAAAACGAACACCTGTTTCAAGACGTGTAGGTGCGGTCTCTTTCCATTCAATCAGACGGCGGTGCACGTCATGGCGCCATGAGCGGAAAGAGTCAAACCCTTGTAGGAATGGCGATATGAGATCATCATGGGGTAGACCTGGACCAGAGCTCGGAGCGCGTCTGCGACTTGCACGAGCCTGCTGATACTGCAGAACGTCATGAATCTCGGATTGAAGCAGTCGAAGTTTAAAGTAGTGGAACGCGACGTGTTTGTACGTTGGAGCTCCATCTACAGGTTTGACCAAACCTGACCGAGTGATGTATTTGTCATCAACCAAAGATGGAAATTCGGTGCTAATCGCTTGATCATTGATGCCGAAGGGTCGGCCAACGCAGGTCGCAACCAGCCGGTCGAAACTATACACGCACCACCACAGTCTGCGTCGCAAATCACGGATCCATTCTCGGCGTCCTCGCTCGGTGGGTTGAAGAACATCTTGATTTTGATTGCCATCTTTGACATTACCGAGACCCACACCGTCCTCGTAGTGAAGCCCCAGATCAACGGCCAGCCGCATCGCGACACCCACGATGTACCAGAGACCGGGAGCCACAGGTCGAAGCAAGGCAAAACTGGCGAGCAGAAGAACTGCCTGAAGCTCTTCCAGGCCGCCGAATCCTTCAGTTGGCGAAGACCCAAGGAAGGACTCTAAGTGTACGATCGCGGATGCGTGGTACTCTTCGGGCTGATATTGGTGATTAGACAGGCGCGTTCGTTTGGAAGTAGACGACCCTTGATCACGGCCAGCACTGTGCTCCCCATCTTGTGCTTGGGATTTGTCCTCGAAGATGATTCCTGCACCAATAGCAAACACAATATTGAGAATGTAAAGAGCCCGTGGCGAACGCTTGCTGTCTTCAACCGAATAGGTGCGGTTCAGAAGATCCATGAAATCGCCTCGGTGCAGAATTGGCATTTGGGGATTCGCATGCTCGAAATATAAATCCACAAGACGTTCGGCAAGCTCACGACCGGGAAAATCAGCACGTTTCATCATCGGTCTTGTTTGCAATCCGAAAAATGAGTCACGCATACTTCCTCCAGCGGGACCACTCGCTGTCTGCGGTAGTCTTTCGCTTGGACGCATCGGAGTTCGCTCAGGCAAGTTGCCTGGGAGTGAGCTTCGCACAGCTGCAAAGACAACCCTGGCAAACGAAATGCCTGATGTGGAACCGAGATATCTCGGGTCAGAGGTCCCTTGCACAGAGACCATGCCTATATTCGAAACCAGATTATGCAGACGCCAATGTTCCTCATCTGCGGCGCTGTAGTGCCTTTCTATATGTCCAAACTCTTCGCCGTCTGTTTTCACGGCAGATCTCTCTATATTTCCAGGGTTTGTGGCTTCTTTCCGCTTCTTCTCCGGTTCGTCGGCGCCTGGAGCGTCAGATGACGATCCGACAATTGCGGTGTCTCCTTCATTCTCGGTCTTGATAGCCTCATCCTCATCAAAAGCCACGGCTTTTTTGAATTCAATCTTGTGCTCAACCAATTGTTTTTCCAGATATGCAACCCGCGTTTCTAAGAAATGTACGTAGCTGCGCGGAATCTCCCTCTTAGTGATCGGATCGTACCCAACGCAGCGGACTCCCGCCTTCTCGCAAGCCTGGCACCGTGGAAGTCTCTGATCGCATCGGTTCTTGCGCAACCTGCAGCGGTTACAAGCCGAGACATTGCGAAAGGAAGAGGATGATGTGGTTGACGCTGCAGTAATGGTGGAGTGTGCGGTCGAAAGCGCGGGGGATATAGAGGTCTGAGTGGCCGTAGCAACTGGATTCTCTCGTGAGGATACTGGATGATCGGTCTGTGTCGGCGACGTATCAACCGCTGCATGGGCTCTCTTTCTGCTGGAAGTGTTGGGCGAGGGTGGGGACGGGGCGGGAGGCATGGTGAAGGAAGTGCTCTGAGCGCCACGGGCTCGCGATCATCTCTTGCGGATGAGGTTCTGCAAAGATCTTTGTCGAGAATGGCGACTGTAGTTGACCCAACTCCGCATTCATGATCCCGAGCTCTGCACGGACCTTACTGGGTTTCGAAATATGGACGCTGCTGCTGCGCAGGTAGTTGCGACAAAACGAGGAACCGGCCCGCACTGCACAAGGTGACAGGCGGAAAAGGATGCGATCTCCGCAATGCGAGGGCACCCGGCTAGAATGGTATATTGCTCGATGAGGAGCAGGAGCTGTTTTGTTGAAGGTGCAGATGACTTGCCGAGAGCCTCGCAAGTACCCACTGTTCTCCAGTTGAATGTAGGCGAAGGTGCAAGTCTGGAATCTTGCTGCCCGTTGACAGGAGATGGAAAAGTCATGTCGGTTGCTGAACCATTGGATTCTGGTGGAGTTCGGGTCAGTGCACAGCGCCAGTGACGGAGAGATTTTAAGTTGCCCTCGGGAATGGGGAGCTCGGCACGACCGGTACCCCAGGATCATTCGGAGGCGCTGAGACATTGGGGAGACAGGTTGGACCTTTCAGTGTGCGCGTTTGAGCGACTAGGTCATCTGACCTGTGAGCATGATTCCAATCTGACTGCGAAGACGTCTTTCTTCCAAAGTAAACAGCGCTGACGCGAAGACTCGAGCACTTGAAAGACTGGGGCGGGACCAGCGCCACAGAGAGTGTGGAGCGGAGCATTTCAGTTGGACTGTAGACTCCTGTAATGCCGCTCACCTGGCCACTATCGGGCCGTGGAAAAATCGATGTATGTAGCAGTGAGGGGGAGGGGGTTGTAACACAGTGGAATGAACATCAAGAAACCCAGTAGGGTGGTTGAAGGGTATTAGGCGAGGACATACTCGTCCCACGTGGTATGATAGAAAAGAAATGGTCGATTTGGCCAAGGCACGCTCGCCAGGAGACAGGGGGAAGAGAGCGAGGTGCAAAGGTAAATTGAACGAGCATAGGCATCTCAATGACTAGCTGGGTAATCGTGAACTTGAGAGAAGCTTATGAATTGGACACTTGAAGTTTCCACGTTGGAGTGCCTATCTTGATGTGAAGTTCTATTGATCTATAGAATTGGACGAGGTTGATAAGATGACTTCAAGTAGGTTTAAAACAGAGTAGACAGATAACCTCCCAGATGCATGAGTATCATCATGATGTGCCGTTCAAATGCTGCCAAATCGAGAAAAATAACCAGAAAATTTCAGACCACCGCCTTAGGACCAAAGAGATGAGTAGGTGACCTTGAACAAAAGATTGCCGTCCACTGACTCATTTTGTCCAAGATGCATCCCTTCTATATAAATTTGCGCCATGCACACAACCAAACATGACCGCTGGAAAGAGGAGAGAGAATAACAAAAAGAAAGCATAGGTATTTCCGCCAGTAAAAGAAAGGGAAGAAGAAAGGTAAGAAGAAATGTAACAAGAAGAAGAGAAGAGAAGAGAAGAGAAGAGAAGAGAAGAAAGAGAAAGCATGAAAAGGGCGACGGGGCTCAGTCGAGAGAACGCACTAAACAAGGGGCAGATGGAGAAGTCTGAGAAGGCAGAAATTGCGAGGGAAGAAAATGTTGAGAAGGTATCGTGACTCAAGCGTGGGAACGAGACGAGCATGCACGGCCATAGTCAGGAGAACCTGCACTGCAGATGGCAGTGGGTAATCCCGGCCTCATCATATCGGACAGGGGGGGGGGGGGGGATGAACAACAATCGATGGGGTATTCGTCGTTGTGGGATTCGCGATCCTCTCACGAGCGACTGGCCGATTGTAGCTCAGTCTCGGGAGGAGTGGAAAAGTCATTGATTGGCGTCAAGCTCAAGGTGTTGATGTCGAACTCATGATCAAGGCTGGAGCGCAGGGAGAGTAGGCGCTGTTCTTCCTCCGAAACAGAATCCCGACCGGCATACAAATCTGCATCCGAGGAGCCACGCTGCTGCTTCAGCTCGTCTTCATCGATGTCCGACTCAGTCCTCTTGAAGCGCTCAGGCTCGGCAGACTCTTCCATCCAGAAGCTTTGAATGGCGCCAGCGAGGCAAACAAGCCCGCAAGCCCACCAGGCCAGCACGGAGTATCCACTGAGGAGACCTTTGGAATGGAGCAAGCCAGTGACTGTCGGGCCAAATGCGCGACTCAAGCTCGCAGTGGAGGCAGCAGCACCATTGATGGACCCCAGCACCTTTGACGTGGGAGCAGCGTTGGCCAGCAAGATGGCGATGGCGGGGAACGCGATCACGTGGAAAGTGATCTTGCTGATTAGCGCCGCGTAAACCGCAGGCATCTGAAGCTTTGCGGGGAGCAGGATAAGGTAAGGCACGGCCAGGTAAAGCGCCGGCCAAGCCAGGAGGACAAAGCGAAACGTGCGCAGAGTACCAAAACGCTTCACCACGAATGGGAAGAGCCACAGTTGTGCGATCATAGAGTAGACACCCTGCACCGCCAGCATGAAACCGATGGTCTTCGTTGGCAAGCCGAGGCCACCGGTGAATTTGAGGGGTAGGACAACCGCCTCGTCAGACTTGGGGGTGCTCAGGAAAACCGGCATCAGCTGATCGAAGGAGACACTGTGACTGTGGAGAAGATATTAATGTCAGTAACTATGCAGCGTGGTGACCAGACAAAGGCCTGAAGGGTTCGAATGATTGGTGCCAACTCACTAGGCGAGGATGCCATAAGCAAGAATGGTCAAGATGACCTGCCGCGTGAAGGCCCTGGGCGCAGCCGGTTTCTGTCCCTCGACGTCGCCATCGCACGCGGCTACTCCGGCAGCGTCGCCCACGTTCTTTTCGACGCGTACCTTCACGGGGCGGAGGCAGGGTGATGATTCGGCACTCGTGTACTCCGGCGGAACGTCATCACTGTCCTCATAGGCAATGTACTTGGTCTCCTTCTCTTCGACATCTGAGACCTCGGGAAGCTGCACGCGAGTGACCCAGCATTGGCTGACCAGCCAGTTGCCCAACTCCCGACCAGGATCTCTTCGGTGCTTCTTTTCCGGGTGTGTCTCCTCCAAGAAGAGGAATCCGACGACGATGCCACACACCAGCACACAGATGCAGACCAGGTTGGGCAGCAGAAATGGGAAACGGTCGAGCAAGGTGTCACGCGAGAACAGCTGCGGCCAGTTGTCGCACGGTTGAGCAAGTGCACCCCCCATGGCCGGTCCAATGATCGAGCCCAGGCACCACACAAAGGGCATGATAGAGTAAGCCCGCGGCTGGTGCTCCTTCACAGTCACGATTTCTGCCACCGTCGTCTGCAGCACACCGATGTTGCCGTTCAATAACCCGCCCAGAGCTCGTGCAACCATCGCGGTGGCCAAGTTGGGCGCAAACCCGAACGCAACCATGCTAATAGCCGTGCCTACCAATCCCATAACGAGCACGGGTTTGCGGCCGATTCGATCGCTCATTCGACCCCAGAACATGCCTGCAGAGAACTCCGCGAAGGTGAACGAAGAAGTGATCATACCAGCATAGAGCGCGATTTTTGACTCGTTGTCCGTCACATGAAATGATTCGACCATTCGATATACGTAGGGAAAGATGGACATAAATGCGATAGGCTCACAGATCCGGACGAGTGCTATCAATCTAGGTCAGTGACCGGTCTTCGTCTCCATGAATGCACTACAAGCTTCGCCCGGCTGAACCCATGCACGATGCGCGTCATCCAAAATTTGACAATCGCCGCAATGTTCCCCGAGACCATTGCATGGATGGCAATAGAAGGCTTGAATGCTTTGCGAAGCTTGGAGCAAAAGTACGAGGCTTACCTAAAATGAAGAGTTGCCGGATGGGAAAGGCCGTCAGTTCCTCGGCCGGGCGACTGCGCCGTTGACGACCTTGTAGACATGCTGGTCGTGGAAACATCTTGTGAGGCAAGGTCAGGTATTGCGCCGCAAAACGCGCTTGTGAGAGATGTCCTCAGGCGAGAGGTTGATGAGAAGTGTCAAAGGTCTCCGCTATTATTCAGAGGCGGCAAAAGATGCCAGATTCAAGTCGAGAAGACGAAAAAGCAGGGGAAAAAAGTACCAAAGAGGTGCTTTTGACTGCTCTTCGATAGTCGACGGTTATACCCCAGAAAGATGGGTCAAGGCTCTAAAGGGAGCGAGGAATGTTGAGGTGGAGACAAATGATATCGGAGCAAGGAGCGGACGTGGGGTTTAGAGTATCTGCATTTCTCCCCCTGCGATTCTAAGGGTTCTGTCGCAAATTTGATCCGACGGAAGATCCTCGGACCTCAAGCACTGGGGCAGTAACCTGCGGCGATTCTGCAAGGGCGACTCGACAACTCCACAGGATTTTGACCTTGTCGTGCAGTCACTCCGTCGAGACCAGCAAAGAAGTCACGCCTCCAAGTAGGGAGCACCAGGGCAGTTGTTCGTTGTAATCAAGAATTTACTGCACCCTTGACTTATGTCCAGACCTACTTCAGACTCTTGCCCAAGTAAGTTCGATGATCAGAGGAGTGTCGTAGATCGGCAACAATTGTAGAACAGATCGAGGGCTGGTTGGCAGGCGGGAGGGCATAGAGATCTATAGAGATGAATGGAATCGAGGGAGAAGTGACGGGAGTTAAAAGTGTTGGTAAAGGTCTCCAAGAGCAGGGCGATAGGCGCGTGAAGTGCAATGGAAAATTGCTCTGTAAATTTTCAAATGAGCAGGGAGAAGAACTATTATATGGAAAGTCCACGGGTGTCGACATTCAAAGTGGATAGCTCCATCTCGAGCACATCGATGTGATCAGGCGCCAGACGCAATTCAAAAATTCAACCATCACCGCCCCGGAATTTCAGTTACAGCTGTACAGCTGCCGCAGGACGCAGATAGCGAGCAAGCAAACATCAAAAGGGTCAGAACGAAACAGACAAAGCAGGTGGGTCCACGAATGGGTTGGCAGCGAGTTTCTAGAGGTCACAGTAGCTGACGATTTTCATTTTCATAATTTTGGGGATGGATTCTCTATGCGAAAGGGAATCCCTTTTTTTTTCATTTAATTTTGTTCTTCTGGTCTCAGAGAGTGAGAAGGATTTTCGTGTGATTAATTTAATTTTCTTTTTCACATTCCCACGATCTGATGGGTCCTACTTTAACTCCTCCCGAGCCCTCGGAAGGTACATATGTCCAAAGTGAACCGCATCAGCTATGAGGCGGCAGTTGTGGAAAATCAAAATAATGATAATAGCAGAAACCAGTATTCGTGACACCGAGGATCGGGGCTAGCCGATTTCAAGAAACTAAGGATCATAGATGGAAGAGCTGTCAAGCCACTTGAGGCAAGAAACTGATACGTCCATAATCTCCTTGGGTGATTGCCGCAATCAGGAAGGAGGAAAAAAGGATTATTCCAATATTCTGTTGAATATCCCCGGCGAGGGGAAACAAGAATCGCCCTAGCGGCAAAGCCTAACTCGCGGACGGAAGAGTCTCAGAAGGCGGGAGGCGAAGGTATCGGAAGACACTAATCTTACTGTATGGAACTTGTATACCTTGCGTTCCGTGTAGCGTACTGATTTTCAGTCAGCTGACTCGTACTGTAAATACTATCGTATCAGACTAGTCCCACCGTGGGGCGTGGGCCGTGGACAAGACTATAGTTACGGTATTACAGCACTCCATAAATATTTGAAGATACAGTTCATGTCGAGGGACTACAGTCTGCATCATGATCGCAACAAATGTAGGTGACAACTGTGTAAGTGTGCGTTTTGATAAGTTATTAAATTGATAAAGTGAGCAAATTAAACCATTCCTGATCTCAAGACTTACTACTGCAGAAGCATACCGTACACGGCGTACATAAGTCGGTCAGTCAAAACGAAGCAGTAGTGGTGTCTTTGAGCTGGGGCCGCAGATACGTGCATAACATCTTTCCCTCTGACCCCCGGATGGCACATACACAACAATGGCCGTCTTTCTATGTAGACCGATCGTTGCTAACCTTGTTCTTTTGAATTGTAAGATATGTAGTTTGATCATCATTAGCGTCACCTTAGCCAATCATCGATACCTGCCCCGAGCATGCCACTCGAGAGTCCAAGTTCTTGGGCATTGAACTACTCACCCCGCCTCTTCTGGTTGAGCAAGATTATCACCGATTGGTGTATGTCAATACATGAAGTACATGAGAGGGTTTCACATGGATATATATCTTGTGTCTGAGACTACCTAACCGAGGCGATAGATTCTTCTGCCAGTATACTTATTTCGATCTCTTTTACCGGTCTTACTGACCGCCAGAATCCCCGATCGGCTTTTTGATCATATCCAGCCGGCGCTCAGATGATTTAGATTTCAAAGAAGTGCAATATCTCATGGCTCTGGTAGAATCTGTGAATGCTGTGTCAATATGAGTCGTTGGAAAAACCTACTATGTGACGCCAGGAACTTGGTCGAGTATATTTGAAAGAAGCTAGGTACTACCTATGGAGGTAACATGACTAAATAAACAAAATGCCCCTGTACAGCTTTGAATATACTGCAATGGATCTTTTGATTTGATATCAAACTTATGTTAGACAGTTAATTATGGACTTGGAGACAGTCCGAGGAGATAAATTCCAGACCGACTGTGTCAGTTCAATATAATAGTAGTACTGAACTCAGTGAGCTGCGTTTTACCGGCATTCGGCCCATACAATTACATCCAACCATCCACACATAATTAAATACGACTCACATGTACAATACAGGTTTCCAGCTACCAGTACTGTAAAGTGTGAACAGGATCACTCTAATCTTATTATCTTATACATAACATTATTGTACCTTGCGCATAGGTGCTCACGCTAACTGGCTTAGGATCTCCACAACCCCGTTCCCCGGTCCCCGGAATCACTGTCAAGATGTCAGTGATCAATATGTATAACCGACCGCCTCAGATTGACGGGCTGGAGATGCAAGATCGAATACCATAATGTGTGTCCGATAAGAAGCATCTAGCAAGACTGCGTCTAAAGCATTGCTGAGTATCTGTGTACTGTACTCATATAGGACGTACCGTCGTACACCATGTAGTATGTACAATATTCATCATTTGGTGCTCGGTACCGGTCTATCTTACTCGGCCTTATCTGTTCTCGGTCGGGCAGATCTCGAAAATAATACTAATACATCTTCACTCTCAACAATTGTGCCATAATTGCCAATTTGCCATTACCTCGGGAGCCTATACCTCGACTCCCAACGTCAACAATGACTCAGTCAGCTGCCACAAGTATGTTCGGTGCATCTTCCGGGCTTGCCGAGACGCCTCGCGGGCGTCAATCTTGATTGCCGCACCTTCCATTGTGTACAATCACAGGCGGCGGATTGTTGCATGGCTACCACCAGCTCCCAAAGTACCCCCCGTCCAAATGGTGGCCCTCTACTCGCTGGAAAATACGTCGGACTCCGTCTGCTTGCTCTCGAAGCCGTTGTGGCAGGCTTCTTACCAGGGACTTGGGAATGCTTGATCCGTCTTCAAACTGAAACTAAAGAGCATTTCCAATATTTTGGGTCGGTTCGTGCCTCCTGATGTCAGGACAAGAGACCGGGTTGAGTCCATACTCAACGTGGCTGCTCACTCCAGTCGCAGGCTTGACAGAGCAGTACATACATAAATCCCACCATCGAATTTCGAGAACTCGAAGGATCGCTATAAAATCACCTGAGAGGTGATAGTATCAAAGTTGACTAAAGGGTCCGCGTTTGACGCGATCTAGCAACATCTCGAGAATACTGCCCGAGTATGACGTGGTCCACTGATCGATCCCCAACTGAGCAGCAGCCTGACGGAGCCTGAGAAATGGTCCACTGCCCCCCCCCCCGCCTCCTCCCCTCCTCCCTTGACGGACTTGACACGGAAGGGGAGACACTCCTATTACCTTGTTGGGAGACTAACGAAGTCAGTGCCTTTGGATAAGTGGAAGCACAACATTTGAACATTTGAACATTTGAACATTTGAACATTTGAACAGTGTGGGTCGAGCAAGCTCCTTAGAGTTGTAGCTAGACTAGTTGAACTTGACAGCCAAGCTTGCTCGTCGAAAAGTTGCTTTCAGCTCCATAGCGATCATCCATCCTGAGACCCCCTTCTGTGTTTGAAAGAAAGTTTGAGAACCAATTTGCGCCCGTCATCATAGCCACCGATAATCAAGGCTCCACCCCTGAGCAAAGTCTGACGACTTGCGACACGCTGGAAAAGTCAGTGATTCAATGGGATCACCTTTGGAACCATCGTTTCCTGTTCCAAAAGTCTCCTGCATGCTAGAGGACTTCCTTTGGAAAACCACCCGAATTTCGTGATCCCCAAGGGAGGTGAAGTGGGCACAAAATATGGTACAGACTCCGTTGGTGGAAGCTTTAGGGGACAGATTATGGGTCATCGATATCCAGGTTTATTCGTACGGTACTGACATTCTATGAGACGACGAGGATTGAATCGGGATGGAACTTGAGAAGAACTTCCAGAAGCAAAATGTGATTTGCCAAGATGTCAAGCCCGGAGCAATACAACACAAACAAATTCACCAATGGCCTCTGCTCATTGAGCATAGTCATACTAATATTTCTGAGGATGGAGTGGGACTCGATCAAGTAAAGCTCATTGGCGTCAGACCGTCAAGGACACCAACTCACAAACGGGCCAGGGTTTAAGGGTCGCATACAGCGGCTCCCTAAATCCTAGTGCGGGTGATTGGATCTATCCATTTGAAATCGAATGATCTGGAATACAAGCAATATGTCGACCTGATACGCGAGGAAAGCCTCATCTGGTGCAAAAATACCATATTTTGCTGGAGCATAGCGGGGCTGAATTAGCCGCGGGTGAATTGTACGATGTCTTGTGAGAAAGTACAATGGTGTTTCGAAGGCACTGTAGGCCCAAT